ATTTGTATATCAGCGATAAAACGTGTATAATTTGTAATCCTAATTTTCAGGTTAATAATGCACTTTTTAGAGATAAATTTCAGATCTTTTCTATTTAGACTCTGGTTTTTCAGTTTCTAAGTCCCCAATTTCAAACTTCTATCTCTTGAATAGTAGTTATTCCTTCAATTCCATCAAAAAAGCCCCATCATACATATAAATACATTGTCATGACATCGAGTTGAGCTTAGCTTATCATAAAAGCATTTTCAGCGCATCCAAAAACCTAGATAAAGCATTCAAAAACTTTGGATTGAGCATAACAAAAATTTACAGATCAGCATAACAAAAAACAAAAATCTTGCATAACAAAAAACGTCAAAATTGCATAACAAAATACTCGGATCTAGCATAACATAAAACATAGATCTAGCATAACAAAAAATGTAGATCTAGCATAACAAAGAAGGTAGATCTAGCATAACATATATCATAGATCCAGCATAACAAAAAATGTAGATCTAGCATAACAAAATTTGTAGATTCAGCATAACAAAGAAGGTAGATCTAGCATAACACGAATCATAGATCCAGCATAACAAAAAATGTAGATCTAGCATAACAAAAATTGTAGATTCAGCATAACAAAAAAAGTAGATCTAGCATAACAAAAATTGTAGATTCAGCATAACAAAAAAAGTAGATCTAGCATAACAAAAGACTTGGATCTAGCATAACAAAAGACTTGGATCTAGCATAACATAGATCATAGATTCAGCATAACAAAGAAGGTAGATCTAGCATAACATAAATTGTAGATCCAGCATAACAAAAAATGTAGACCTAGCATAACAAAAATTGTAGATTCAGCATAACATAAAACATAGATCCAGCATAACAATAAATGTAAATCCAGCATAACATAAAACTTGGATCTAGCATAACATAGAGCTTGGATCTAGCATAACAAAAAATGTAGATTCAGCATAACAAAAAGGTAGATCTAGCATAACATAAAACATAGATCTAGCATAACAAAAGACTTGGATCTAGCATAACATAAAACATAGATCCAGCATAACATAAAACATAGATCCAGCATAACAAAAAATATAGATCTAGCATAACATAAAACATAGATCTAGCGTAACATAAAACATAGATCTAGCATAACATAAAACATAGATCTAGCATAACATAAAACATAGATTCAGCATAACAAGAAATGTAGATCTAGCGTAACAAAAGATTTGGATCTAGCATAACAAAAGACTTGGATCTAGCATAACAAAAAATGTAGATCTAGCATAACAAAAAATGTAGATCTAGCATAACAGAAAACGTAAATTCGACATAACATAAATCATAGATTCAGCATATCAAATTAAAGAGTTAAACTGACTTTGAACAGAGTTGAACAAGCATGCTCTATATTCTCTGCCATGGTACAGACCACTTGGCCATTGATGAATCAAGATCTGATTGGAAAATTACTTGAAAATTTTTTACCCGAGATCTCCAGCCGAACCCGAACGCTCTGAAATACAATCTGACGACACGACATTAGTGATGACCTACTTCCACTCAATTTGGATATCCTTCTGATCTCTTCGTGCATTGTCTCTTCCAATCTCTAATTGTTTCTAATGGATGAAACAATCAAGTGCTTATGACGATGCTACTTTACCACTTTCAATTTAGTGTTCTAGATGCATTTGTGTCTATTGATCATGCAAATGTTTTAATTCTCCACACTTGATCTAATATCAGAAATATATGTATGTCGTCACTACATTTATTTTTCTTATTGATTTGTACTCTAGGGCATTTAAACAGAAAAAGGGCAGTTTGATCTATCTATGGCTAGTTTTCTATTAATTTGTATTCATTTTTGACCAAATATTAACATCATTCTTGTTCGAGCCAGCTCTTTCAGACCGACTTTCACTACCCTCGAACTGGAAACAATCGTAGCCTAAATTACATTTTACCCTCAGGCCCTTCTCAAGCTGTTAAAGATGTTCCTAGAATTGCTGATCGACCATTCATAGTGTACTATTGAAATTTTATGAATGATAGAATTAGCTGAAGTGTAGATGAGGTGCTAATTGCTGTTGTGAAACGAATGAAATTAATCATGTAAGATTGAATTTCCTGATTTCAAGAAAAATAAGTATTTTCCTAAGGCTAGAAGTCGTGTCGTAAAAATGGAGGAAAGAGATTTGCTAAAGCTTTCATTACTAGCATCAATGATAAGTAACAAACACTTGTTTCAGGAACATGAGTAGCTATATTGATGGTTTTTTGGTGTTTCGATTTTATTAGTTTAGCGTATATCTTCAACGTCTTTTCAAACTTTAGTAAAGCCAACACCTAACTAACCTGACTTAAATTTAAATAGTTTTGCAACCAAAAAAAGAAAAAATAAAACTACTTTCTATTTACACAAATTTCAAACTTTCATAGTTTTGGATCTGAGACGTTATCTGTAACTTAAATCTACACCAAATCAGATCCCAGGGGCCTCATGTACCTTAAATCTAATTAAAAACGAACTGAATCTTAGATTTGGTCAATTCTCAACAACAATACGTACAGTATCTTGATTTGCCATATCTTCAGATCTGACCACAACATTACACCAATACTTACGGGATCTTACTATGCCATATCAAAGATACAACTACAGCATTACCGCAATAGTTAAATTCATTTGAGATCCCTTTGGATCTTGATCTCAGATTTGAAACACTTCCAAACTGCCATAGTTTACGTTTTGGAGTAATTGCGATATGTGTATATTTAGCATGCTAGATGGACATGTCTTAAATACGTCAAGTAATGAAAGAGAAAATAAAAAGAATTTAAGAGTAGAGAAATCAGTGAAGAACATGTCCAAAAGCTGTTGAAAAATATTTTCATTCTGTTTTTACATGTAGTTATCATTATCAAATATAGATGAATCTTTCTCTTTGAAAATTTTAAAATTTGCGCCCCTACTTGATGTTTCTAAATTAGGAGGGGTGCAATAATAGTGATTTAACTGGTTGCAATAATAGTGATTTAACTGGTCATTCAGTGAAATCTGACATCTGGCTGTAATAATTAGAAATTGTAAGTTTTGGCACATATCTTAAAGACATTAACGGTTAGAAGCCAGTATGCCTTTCTATGCATCAGATCATTTCCCTTAATACTCCAGCAAGTTTTAAAATGTTTTATTGGTTCAATTAAGTTAATATTGAGTAGAAAGGCATACTTCGAACTTTAAAATCTTGTACCCCTGAATATGAATTGAAAAAAATGTCTGATAAAGTCAGCTTTAAGCTCAATTTTTTGACTTTGCTAAAGCTTAGATTTCTAGTTCTTTCTATCGATTACTCCTCATTCACTGGTATGGTCTACTTTGCAAAATAATTGAGCTTATGTTTGAGTGACTTAATTGATACCTATTTTACTATATGAGTCTGACATCCAAACATCAACATCCGTACACCAGTTTTTTAATCCGTACTCTTCCGCTGAATAGTAATAGAGTTGATGGAAAAACACGGGCTAAAGTACATAAGTAACTACACCATCAAGAGGAGCACAAGTTTTAGTTTATTGAGTCTGACTAGTTACTAAATACGTTTAGGATTTAACAGTGGGGTCAAAATTATTCAAATTTTGAGCACTTTGTGAAGGTGGTTGTTCAGTGACTTTAATCCGCTTGAAGCTTGATTTATAGAATAACTCCTTGAGATTCTTCTATTTTTATGTGAATTTTCTAAGTAATCAAACAAATTTTTCAGTGCTGCTTCAGTTATTTATTCAAAAAAAACAGATACATTGACAAAACCGAAATCATATGAAGGGTATACATTTGTTAGGTAGTTTTCAATAAGTATTAATTGTTTTCGTATTTTGATACTTATTGTTGAGATATTTTTTACTGTGATTCTCAAGCTCTATCATCTTTCCAATTATGTTGGTTTTAGTACTCATGTGATTACAAGCCCTTGTTGGAATAATGACCTAGAGAAACTGAAATTGCTGATTATTACTTTTTTAGAATCAATCTTGAAGGGTCTCAACACAGCGTTTGGTTTCTTTGTCGAAATTATGATCAGCTTATATTGGTTCATTATATTGCTAACTTTGTTTCAATAGAGTATCAGCTAAAAGCGTACCTCTTTTTATGGGATGATATTTTTGCAACAGCTGTATGAAATATTTGACATGTGCTAAGTAATGTTCATATTTCTCCCAATAGATATAGCATGACTTGGAACTATAGTTAACCATTTGTTGATTAGTTCATAAAATCATTGGCTTTTTGAATGACCTTCAAAGTATTCAAATAGATCAATGTACAAAAAAATCTTGAGTATACAGTTTTTTTCAAATCTTTTGAATAATTTTTAACTTTAGAAAGCTGTTTCAAAATCTACCCAGTACTCAAGTAGGTCGTAATTGTTACACATACTAAGATAATCGACCCTACAATATACGCCTTACCTGGCTTCTCTGTTATGATACCTTTGATTAGGCGCCCATAATTTCTTCTTACTTTGACTTCTCATTTTGGGTTTCAAAAGTGGTGGTTTAAAATCATCAGTATGTTTCAACAAGTAAAAAGTCTTAATTAAATTAGATCCTGACTAACGCTGTAAATAATTTACGCAAAGTAAATCCAACAATTGAGAGGGAAAGCGTCTGTGTCAATCATAATGAATTTAGTTCTTTTTCCAACATCAATTAATTTCTCCTCATGTCAGTTTCTTGCTATTTCTCCAATTCTCTTTAAACAACTTGGACTTTTAATGAACCATTGAGCTCTAGCTCTAGAGGTTTTCTTCCATGATCGAGAAATATGCCCCGTGTTTGAACTGCTTCACGCATTAAACCAATGAGTTTGAATGCTTCATATCAGACTAGTGACACACTTCGTTGAATCAATTATTAAAAATAAAATTTTCATCTATCTTGATATTAAGTAAATTGGAAAACCCCACTTTGTATATGTTTTTTTAGGTTTTCTAGAAATTCCCATCCTTAACACAAAGCAGATTATGTAAAACCTTGAGTTGCTGTTGAATGAGTTGCTGTTGATGTTGATTGAGTTGCTGATGATGTTGCCGATGAAGTTGTTGAGTTTGTTGATGTTGATCTTGTTGTTGTTGATGATGACGTTGTTGTTTTGAAGGAGGATGTGATGGATGTTGAGGTTGAGGTTGAGGTTGAGGTTGAGGTTGAGCATATGTAGGTGCTGTTGTATTTGTTGCAGGTACATTAAAAAAATAATTTTGCCTAGCATCATTTTGACTATTATTTGGACTATTACACTCGTTTGATCTTTGGTTTTCATAGTAGTCGTTTGTTGGATTAGTTTGTGAATTATTTGAATTGAAAATATTGGTGGTACAATTGATATTTTGTAAATGAACCGTATGATAGTTATTAAATAACATTTTCAAAAATACCAATATTTTATACGTTTTGAAGCAAGACTAGATGGTTTCTTTCAAATAAAGGGACAAACTTAGACCAAAGAAGCGACGATTTGAGATTGAATTATGGAATGATTAACACTAGAAAATGGTAGTTGATATTGAATATGTTTGGAATAAGACTTTGATAAAGTTAAAATACTTGAATATTTTTTTGTTTAATTGTTGAACATTTCTATTTAATGTCAGACTTTTTTTATTTTGTCAAATTTTTAATTAATTTTCCAAATTAAGACAAAATTAAGAGTTCCAATATTTCAGACAAATTCTGTATATAAATTAGTTGGTTTGCATAAAAATATTGTAAATCGTGCAGCCAAGGATGGGAATTTAAAATCAATCAATTTAAAATGTTGAGGGAAAAATAACCTCCATGAGCTACCAAATACTTTGCGCTAACGTGACTTTATATCCTCGATAAAAAAAACTGGTTGCGTTCTACAAAAAGGTTAATTTCTATTCTTTTTATACCAAGTCTATCAAATAGCTAGTAACCTCTCCAATTAAATTGTCAATATGTTTCTCATACTAGCAATTTGAGAACTCATGAATCCATCTAAAAAAATTAGATTTCAACACACCTGCTTAATTTTGCTTGATGTTGAAAGTAATTCTGCTATTTATTAAAGTTGGCGTTACATTATTAGTGCTCAATAAATTAAGCTTTACCGGCCTCAACACGCTTATGTCACCCCCGAAAATTGATATCCGATGGAGGTTAATTTTCACCCACTATTTAAAATCACTCAAGATTCAAAATAAGGTACAGACAGACAATAATTTATTAGTAAGTATAGAGTCGTCGACACTTTTTTGTGTAAAATATTTTGATGTCGCGCAACACTCGATCAAAAATATTTGTTGACGACAAAATATTCAATAAGTTTTAGTTAGTTTGAATTGAATCCTTGTAAACCCTTCTATAGCTATAATGAGTAGTGTTGGTGGTTAATTGACTAAATTATCTTGTAACTTCTGTCCTTGTATCGTGTGATGTTGAGTAGATTGATAAGTACGAATTAGAAATGTGAATATAACAAGCAAAACAACAATGTGCTTAAAATATATTTGAGATTTTTAACTAATCTGCAATGGGACGTAGGTCCGTTATCACGAATTGAATACAGAAAAAAGTTATCGAAGAGAATCATTCTAAAGGACCATTATCATATTGGAAAAATTTTACAAAATAACCAACAATTAACTTTTTTACATGTCTAGAGTTTTTAGAATTCATCGATATCTATCCACCAATAATAGTAATAAATTATCGTTAACTTTCTTCACGAAAGAAGATTGCATGCTTTGTAGTAATGCGAAACAAATACTTAATTCGGCCATCAAAACCTTTCCCAAAAACCATAGTATTAAAATCGATTTAAATCAAGTGGATATAATGGATCCAAGTAATAAAAGTTGGTTTGATAAGTATTGCTACGACGTGCCTGTACTTCACATTCAAAACGCTAATTTAAGTTCAAATAACGACATAATCAAAAAACATATGCATTACTTCAATGAATCTGATCTTTTAAAAGATTTTAGCGACTTCAGTAAGAAATAGATGGGCCAAACGACTGGTAATTAATTAGTTGAAGAATAGAAAACGGGGATTGATATTTATTTATTCTTTTTGAGATTGTCCCTAAATAGCTCTGGTGTTTTAAAAGTGAATTATCTTATATATATGAGAAGTTCTTAATATTGATAGTGATATATATAGTAAGAGTATATGCTCTCCCTAAATATAAACCTTTTCATATTATCATGGTCATACGATTAGTTATCTTGATTTACAACTTTACCCCACGGTTAAAACTGAAAAAAATAATCTTTTTGATAAGAATTTAATTTATAGATTCTATCAAACAAACACAGAGATTTAGATCAATTAATTGTCATAAACCATTACGTACTCAATTTTATACAGAAACACACATTTATTATCAAAATTGCGTCTTTATTCATACAAACAAGCAAAAACGAATTATCAAGTGAAGTTTTTTCATATTTTAATTTTCCTTAATCATAATATTACAACTTTCATTCAAATAAATATCTGAAACATTGTATAAAATCTAATATGCCATCAGATCGTCAAAAAGTAGCATTAGTCACAGGAGCCTCGTCTGGTATTGGGTTTGCGACTGCAATTGAGTTTTCAAAAAGAGGTTATATGGTTTTCGCAGGTGCTAGAAGATTGGAGTCAATGCAAGCATTAAAGGATGATTATGGAGTTAAAATCTTTAAATTAGATGTAAGTGATTTGCAGAGTGTTAAAGATGCGAAAGAATATCTTATAAGTGAGACTGGTAATGAATATTTGGATATTTTATATAATAATGCTGGTCAATCTTGTACTTTTCCGGCAACAGATGTAACGGATGAACAAATTAAGCAATGTTTTGAAGTTAATGTATTTGGTCCAATGAGAATGGTTAGAGAATTTGTACCTTTATTGATTAAAGCCAAGGGAGTAATTGGATTTACTGGATCTGTTAGTGGAATTGTTCCATTCCCATTCTCATGTACCTATTCAGCTACTAAAGCAGCTATTCATCAATATGCTGCAGTATTAAGAGTTGAGATGAGACCGTTTGATGTAAAAGTTATTAATATTATAACTGGTGGTGTTAAGACTGATATTGAAGATAAAAGATCATTACCAGAAACTTCTATTTACAATTCTCCAGGAATTCAAACATCATTTGATGAAAGAAGACAAATGGCAGCAAAAAACAATCCCATGGATGCTAATGTTTATGCCAAATTGGTTGCAAGCGACTTTGAAAATGCAACTCTTGGTGGCTCTTTGAATTACTATAGGGGAAAAATGGCCTTATTTCTTTCATTTGTTTTAACTTTCATTCCTAGGAGAATTGTTGAATTTGCTTTAATCAGGAAGTTTAAATTAGACACCGTTTTTGATTATTTAAGAAAGAAATATAATTAAAGAAATTAGTCCTTTTGTTGTTAGAGCAATATCTAAAAAAATTGTTTCATTCAAAGCAATTCATGATTAACTTATTTTGAATGCTGATACTCTTTTTATAAATTCTAATACATATAATGCTAATAATGATTTTGAACCTCTAATATCAAATCTTGAATATCCATATAATTTGAGAATCAAATTTCTTATAGTTTTGTGTCAATTATTTTAAGTTCCGTATTTTCTGTATAGAAATTATAATTTTATATCTATTGCGCTTATTATAATATCAAATACTTAAAATAACTAACAATACTTTCTGACAAGTTCAAAATTTTAATTATAATCAATGAATTTCATAGTATTCACTCATTCATACTGATATCATCTATGTAAATGAAGAAATGACAAAAGATTTATCTCTATGGTATAGAGACAAAGATAAATTAAAAATTGGAGAAGTAAATAGATATATTGTGGAATATAAAAAACTTTCGAATAATTCAAACATATCGAAATTTTATTTTAGATTAAAAAATATCGAAAATACAGGTATTAGGGCGATTCATTTGTTAAGTGGTCCATTTATATTATATTGTCACGTTGTTCCTTGTAATTATGATTCCAAAAAGGAATTTGTTCCCGAAAACATTGAGAAAAATCCTGAAGTTGTATTTGAGAATCAAATAAAACCTAATCAGTCATTCAATGTTGAATTATTACTAAATCATAATTCCTTGTTCGAAAAAAAATTTGAAAATGATATAGAGATCCAAATATATCGATGGGAAATTGATGTGATTTCACAAATTGTAATTAGTAAAAAGACAGAAGTGGATTATGATCTAATGATAGGTGAAGATTTAAGAGTTATGAAACAATTAGGATTGAATAAAATAGCCAGGACTTTAACAAGTATTGGCATGAATGAACAAGAGGAAAAAATGATTGAAAAGGAATCAGAACACGAGAATAATTTTAATACGTCATTTAACCCACAACTTTCTGTTATTAAAAAAAATACTACGGATATATGGAGTAAAGAACCTCCATATCCTCAAAAACCTGTACATTTAATAATCGTTACACATGGGATTTTTTCTAATTTAACAGCCGATATGTTGTATTTAAAGGAAACAATAGAATCGAAAGTAAAAGATAATATTATAATTAGAGGTTATAGATACAATGCAGGGAGAACTGAGAAAGGAGTTAAGAAATTGGGAAGAAATGTTGGTGATTATATAATAGATATTTTTGAAAAAGAACCTTATCAATTTGATAAAATTTCATTCATTGCACATTCATTAGGAGGAATTGTTCAATTATATGCTATTAAATATATTCTACTGATTAAAGGAAATGATTATTTTGACAAGATGAATGTGAAACCAATAAATTTAATAGCTCTAGCAAGTCCCTTTCTAGGTATATTAAACGAATTAAATTTTTTATTATCTTGGTTTTTAGATATCGGTACATTAGGTAAGACTGGTCGAGACTTAACTTTACTGAGAAGATTACCTGGTTGGAAAGATGTTGAATTGAAAGATCATCATACAAAAGATAGCTTTAAACCGGTTCTAGAAACATTACCTGATGATCCTTTACAATCTTTCTTAGGTCAATTTGAGAAACTAACAGTATATGCAAATGCAATTAATGATGGTATTGTTCCTTTAAGAACAGCTGCACTTTTATATTTGGATTATGAAGCTTTAGGAGATGTTAATCAATTAAAACGAACAAACCACATTAATAATCAACCAAATCTAGAGAATAAAAATCGAGCTGAAAGCAATGAGAGTGAAGACGATGTGGGTGAAGTACCAGTAAGTGAAGAAAGTGAACAGACAAACGAAGCGGAAAGGGCTACAAATGATAATGATAAGAAAGAAGTCGTTGAATCGGATCACAGTAAAGTACAATACGAAAAACTGAATCATAAGAATCATAAATTAAAATTTGCCAAAAATAAATATAGTCAATTTTTAAATTTAAGTTTGCCTGCAAAAGCAAAATTGAATAAAAGACAGAGGAAATATAAACATTTTTCAATTAAAGGATCAGATACTGACAATTCTATGAATCTTGATGCTACTGCTAAGGATAATAATGAAGCTAATCAAGACAATGCCAACGAAGAATCAAAGGATGATGATGATGACAATAATAATAGTAATAATCATAACAATAACTCAATGCATACAACCAATTCAAATACCACAGAGGAATCAATAGAAATTATAGTGCCTCCAAGGGCCTCAGCCATTGAATCTGCAATTAATACTCTTATATGCCCAATTCCATCTTCAGAGTATATTATGAATCCAGATACAAGACAACCAGTGATATTTCACGATAAATTTTATCATTTTAATAAATCAGAAATCTCAAAAATTGATGACAAAACTACTACTGATACAAATGAAAATCAGTTTAATAAATGGTTAAAAGAATTTAAAATATTTAAAAAATTTTCAGGAAATTGGAAATTATATAAACAAGTTTTTATTGCAAATAAATATCATACTAATGAATTATATTGGAGAAAAGTTTTAGTTAATTTACCACCAGATGCTCATAATAATATTATAGTAAGAAGAAGATTTTCAAATGGTTATGGATGGGGAGTTATAAATCATCTTTGTGAAAATTTATTCAATTGTAAAGATTTAGATTCAAATTTAAATGATGAAAATAATCAAATTAATGATATTAATGACCTTAATGATGATAATGAAATTAAAGTTAATACTAATAATGATAAAAATTCTTCAAAGGAAATAGAAAGTTTAATAAAAGCAAAAATTTAAAGATAATTAGTAGTAGATATATCGAATTATTTTGAAATTGAAAGCTTTTATTTTTACTGTGTAATTTATAAGTATAGATACATTTTTGTATAAATTTATAGACGATGTATAATAATTTGAACTTAATTAGTTGAACGATCGTTTCAAAAGTTTAAATAATTTGCAGTCTTTACTGAAAATTATTTGTTAATACCAGAAATAGATCTATATAATAAAAATAAAACATGATTTACTTATCATTAATTAAGAAGTTTATAAAGAAGTTATCTCCATATAAAATTTTTTAATATTAATATACACAAAAATATCCTTCAATCTGATAAAATCACAATCATCATCATCAACAACATGATCATGAGTCAGTTAAAGTCAGCACAACTTTTCTCATTCAAAACCCAACATTGAGGGAATTTAAAATGATTGAAAAATTTTCAAACGTGGGAAAGAGAGGCTTATTAAATATTTGAAAATTTCATATTAAATTAGTAGATGAATTATTTTAAAGGGGTAATTTATATTCTATTTATAAAATTGAAGATCATCATTTTTTACTTTCTTTGAATTATCAATTTAAAGTATATAATATATTCATCATTAATATAGTAAGTAAGTAATATTTTTAACTGAAATTTTCAAACTTAAAATCTTTATAATATCAAAATATTTTAAGTGCTTCAATTTGGTATTAAACTTGAGCAAAAAAAAAGTCTAATCAAATAGAGTTAAAGGATCAAAAGGATTATCTTGACTTTAATAACATATAATATGAAATTATAAACATATACATTCCGCTTTCTTTAGTATTTCTCTGATCAATCTTAAGTATATAGTACATTATATTAAATTTTGTTGAGTCAATGTTTAATCTGAAACATTTTATAAAAATTAATATTGCAATGTTTTAATAAATAATTTGAATTAAACAATTACCGCCTTATAAAATAAATCTTATTTAATATTCTTTAATAATACTTATAAACTGATGTTACAAATAACATAAGAAATACGTTTTTTATAATTGATATTTTCATAATTATATATATATTTATTGAGATAATTCCATTTTCAATCAATTCTAATTCATCTAAAGTCATTCTTTCTCTCTATTAAAATCTATGTATTTTTTTTTTCTTTCTTTCTCTTTTCCGAAATATTTAAAAATAGTTTAGACTATTTGATATAAATATAAAAATAGATAGAAATAAAAAATTACAACCAAAAATTTTTTTTTTTTTTTTTTCTCTTCTCATTTTATTTCTTACTTTTTTTTTAACAACATCATTTAATTTAATTTTACATTTATGAAATTTAAATATCATCATTTAATTAACCAATTTTTATCATTAATGATTAATAGAAGTTAGAATATTTTAATAAATAATTAATTAATCAAAACAAGTATTCAAAAAGGATTTTATTAATTAATTTTATTGTTTTTAAATTTTAAACTTGTGTGTTTAATTTCGAAAAGAGAAGAGTAAAAATTTAACAATCTTTCATTTTAATATTCATTCCAAATTCATCTCAACAGCTTTTAATAATAAAGCATCGAACAAAGGATTCATAGACGATTGAAATTCAAAAGTAGTTCTTTTTTAAATTACTATGAATACTTAAATTGTTTAATAATAGATTTGAAACAATTAATCTTAAAGCAAACTAAAAATAGGCAACAAAAAACAGTTCAAATATTGGTTTAATTCAATATATCAATAAAAAGACATAAGACAATAATCAACGATGTCTGATACTGAAAGTTATTTTCAACCTACAAATAGCAGTCAACATAATAATTTAAATACAGATGAAGTACTTAATGATCATAGAAATCAAATGACAAGTACAAGTTGTGCTGTTTCTGAAGATGAGGATGATACAAATGAACCAATAAATAAATCCACTACTAATACCCAAGAAAATGGTTTAAATTTATCATCTACTAATAACAACAAAATTCGTTCCAATTCAATTAATAGTAATCATAATCATCACCAACAAACTAAACAAGAAATATATTCAAATGAAGGAAATAGAAAAAAATCTATTAGAAGATCATCAGCTAGAAGATCATCAGTTGGAGAAAATGTTAATCCTCAATTAAATAGATCTTATATGACTACATTAAGAAAAGATTTTTATTTAAAAGAAGATGATGATTCACCATTAACAATACCTTTAAACAATCAATCAATTTCACCAACTAATCCCATCAATATTAATTTAACTACTCCTCAACCATTACCTACCAAATCAAGACGTAGATCAACTCTTGAAAATTTACAATCCAAAAAAAATGGTCGTTCTATGTCAAATAATTTTGAAAATGATATTTTAAGTCCAATGATAAAAACTAAAACTAATGAAAGTTTTGTAATTACTAATAATGGGAATGGTGAAGAAATTAAAATTAGAAGACAATCACGTTCTTCAATTGATAGTGAAGCTGATTCTCATGGTTCGAGAAGTTCTCAAGAAACTGAGGAAGATGTTTGTTTCCCAATGATGCGTGAACATATTAAAATTAATGGTATTGATTTTGATGAAATTGATGAATTTATTAGAGAAGAAAGAGAAGAAGCAGAAATTCAAAAACAATTTATTAGTAAAAATAAACTGATTATCGATACCATTGATCAATTCAGTAGTAATAATAATAATAATAATAGAAATAACAGTAGTTCTGGAATTAGTAGACAACCAACAAGTAGTGCTGCTTTAAAATATACTCCAAAAAATATTCTAAAATCATTTACACGTTCAGAAGAAATTCAAGATTCTGCAACTACATCATCATCAATTGAAGAAATTAAATTTAAACAAGAAAGTTTAGAAGATGATGATAAATCATCAATTGAACAAGTTAAATTCGGAGGTGCAAGAATTTCAGATGGAGCTAATGGAGCATTACCTGATAGATTTTCATTTTTCCATTCAGAAAATGAAGAAACTGTTCATGCTCCTGATATTCCTTCCTTAGTTTCTAATGGGCAATCTATTAGAGAATTATTTCATAATGGGGAAGAAACTTGGTGGCTTGATTGTACTTGTCCAACTGATGCTGAAATGAAAATGTTAGCAAAAGCTTTTGGAATCCATCCATTAACAGCTGAAGATATTAGAATGCAAGAAACAAGAGAAAAAGTTGAATTATTTAAAAGTTATTATTTTGTTTGTTTTCATACATTTGAACCTGATAAAGAATCTGAAGATTATCTTGAACCAATCAATGTTTATATTGTTGTATTTCGTGATGGAATATTAACATTTCATTTTTCACCAATTTCACATCCTGCAAATGTAAGAAGAAGAGTTAGACAATTAAGAGATTATGTAGATGTTACCGCAGATTGGCTTTGTTATGCAATGATTGATGATATTACTGATAGTTTTGCTCCAGTAATTCATGGAATAGAATATGAAGCTGATGCTATTGAAGATGCAGTTTTCACAGCTAGAGATACTGATTTTAGTAATATGTTGCAAAGAATTGGTGATTCAAGAAGAAAAGTTATGACATTAATGAGATTATTATCAGGTAAAGCTGATGTTATTAAAATGTTTGCTAAAAGATGTCAAGATGAAGCTAATACGGGTTATAGAAGACAACACCAACAAAGATTAAGAGATGAATATTCATCACCTCATTCATCATCAACCAATATTCATGGATTAAACAATCAATCATCATCAGGTGGAGGAGGATCACAACCACCACCACCACCACAGCAACAACAACATTATGGTCAACCACCTAGTAGTTGGGCTCAAAATACTACTTATAATGCACGTCCAAGAGCAGATATTGCGTTATATTTAGGTGATATTCAAGATCATATAATTACCATGTTTCAAAATTTATTAGCCTATGAAAAAATTTTCTCAAGATCTCATTCCAATTATTTAGCTCAATTACAAGTTGAAAGTTTTAATTCAAACACCAAAATATCAGAAATGTTTTCAAAAGTTACTATTATTGGTACAATGTTAGTTCCATTAAATTTAGTTACTGGTTTATTTGGTATGAATGTTAAAGTACCAGGTGAAGGATCAACAATTTATTGGTTTTATGGTATATTGGGGGTTTTATTGGTTGTTATTATTTTAAGTATTTGTTTTGCTAATTGGTGGTTAAGAAGAATGAATCGTCAAATTAATGGAGCTCCAAGACCTGTTTTTAATTCAAGAAGAAGTATTAGAAGTTTAGGTATGAAAAGAAATGGAGCAAAATCAATAATTAGTTTTCCAAATAAATATGAATAAATAATTTTATATTTAAATGTGGAGTTTGATTTTGAAAAAGTGTTTAGTGTTTTTTTAATAGTGTAATAGAATTAATGTATATTAAAAATTATTTATTTTATCTTTTGAATACTGTAGCAATTAATAAGAAACATTCTTACATCGAGCTTCATGGCATTTAAACTATTGAAACCAGTTTTTAGTAACAAATTGTCTGATAGTTTCATTGCCCGGATTTAAAGTACAATAAAGAGCTGATATAGTTTACATGATAAGAATTGTTGTTGCAACGAAGGCTATAAAATTCAAAATTATTTAACAATTATTAATTTAATAATTATTAAAACCACCTGGTACCATCTAAAATATACTGAAAATTATTGTGATACTTCTTATCTTATCTAATCTTTTATATGCAGTACTTGGTCAAGAGCACAATTTTGTGTAACAGATTCCAAAAATCATGGAGAAAAGAGGTCAAGTAAAAGAAAACAAAGATTTGAAACTCATCAAAGTTATATAATAAGTTTTTATGGCAATTCCACTAGGAAATAATTATTTATTAACTTAAACTTAAAATTCTGGTAAATGATACAATGAAAATAAAGTTTAGGATCATACTTTGCTCAATACTATTTAATTTAAATCTTATATTATCACTAAATATAAATTTTTTTAATAATAATGAACTAATCCAATTTAATCAAATTTATAATAAAATTTATAATTTTTTAATACCAAAATTCAATTATAGAAAAAATGAAATTAATCATGACAATTCAAACTTAAATACTTGGATAAATTATCAAAGAAATAATACTATACATTCAATTTTAAATAATATTTTATCAAATGGAGCAATAGTAGCCTCGCCTTCAACTTCAGATCCTAATTATTATTATCAATGGACAAGAGATTCAGCAATTTCAATAAAATCATTAATTTATTATATTGAAGATAATTACAGAAATGAACTTAGTAATAATAATGGAAATGAGCCATTAAATAAAAATATTATAAAAATTATTGAATTATACATTTTGAATGAATACAAATTACAAAGAGTACCAAATAAACTGGGTAATTTTAATGATTTAAAAGGATTAGGAGAACCAAAATTTAACGTTGATATGACAGCATTTAATGAAAATTGGGGTAGACCACAAAGAGATGGACCAGCATTAAGAATATCTACAATTTTAGAATTTATTCATTATTTAAATCAAACAAATTCAATTTTCCAAAATTCAAATTTACAAAATTATACGTTTATTTTTAATGATATTTTAAAACCTGATTTACAATATATTTTAAAATTTTATGACTGTAAAGGATTTGATTTATGGGAAGAAATTGATTCTATACATTTTTATACATCAATGGTTCAATTAAAAGCTTTACAACAAGGATTTATTTGGTTTAACTATTTCAAAGATAAAATTGATGGTATAGATACAGAGTTTACAAATGACATATTGGATGCATTTAATAAGCTAAAGTCAAACATTTTAAAGGACTTTAATTTCATTAATCAAGATAAAGATCATATAATTGAGATTCCATCATTATTAGAGAATGGAGAAAGAGGAGGACTAGATATTGCATCAACTTTAGCCGTAGTTCACACTCATGAATTGGATTTTATAGAGAAATACAACCTTCACAATGATAACAATTTAAAAAATTTTAGAATACCATTTCAAATAAATAATTCTTATGTTTTAAATTCTTTTAGAAAATTGGTTGATGATATGAAATATAGGTATACTATTAATTATATTGATCCAAATGATAATGACAATAATTCAATTACTGGTTGTGGATTAGGTAGGTATCCTGAAGACATATATGATGGTCATAATACATCAGAAGGTAATCCATGGTTTTTAGCAACATCAACAGCAAGTGAATTTCTTTATCAATTTATATTTAATTTATACAAGTTTGAATTAGATTTACAAATTGATAAGTCAAATTATGAATTTTTTAAACCATTCATAAATTACAATAAATCAATTGATTCGAAAGACGAAAACATTACAAATATAACTTATGAGTATAACTCTAAAGACTTCAACAATACACTAATACAATTATTCAAATATGGAGATTCATTTTTAAATGTTGTTAGAAGACATTCAGATTTAGAAACTGGTCAAATATCAGAACAATTTAATAGAAACACAGGGTTTATGCAAGGTGCTAGAGAATTAACTTGGAGTTATAGCGCATTATGGAATGCTATACGCTGGAGAGATAAATTATTATCAATAATTGATGTATAAAAAGGGAAGGGAGAATTTTGACAATGATTGAAGTTAGAAACAATCAGGTATCGCAGATTGAACATACAATTAAATTATTAAGTAGTAGCAGTAGACAATTAACGAAAAATAAACACTTTTTATTTTATAGTACATTCTATTAAATTTCTAATCTCTCAATTATCCATAACAGTAGTTTCAAAAACTGTAATATTATCAAATTTTTCATCATCAGTTTTTGTATAACACTTTTTTGATCTATCTAACAATTCCTTCATTTCACGTTTATTAAAAAAAAGTCCATTATTGTTCAAATTCAGTACAGTATCATCATTTGATTTATCATTTTGTAAAAAATTATGTTTACTCAATTCTAATAATTCACTGACACTCATATTCTCTTCATCGTCATCATCCTTATTATCATCTCCCTCACCGTTTTTATTAAAAGCTTTTTTCAACTTATTAAATTTAAATTCACCCATTTGAATAACCAATTTCTCCAAAAATCTTTTTGAACTTGCTTTTGTAATTAAAATTTCTTCAATTGAATTTCTAACAACAAATCTATAAATTTTTACTGGTTTAGTTTGACCAATTCTATGAACTCTATCAATTGCTTGTAAATCCATTTGAGGATTCCAATCACTATCAAATAATATAACTGTATCTGCTGCTGTTAAATTTATACCTAATCCACCTGCTCTTGTTGATAATAAAAATACATTGAAAGGTGAACCTTCTTCATTGAATGCAATAATTTGTTTTTGTCTATCCACTTGTGATGTTGAACCATCTAATCTACATACATCAATATTCTCTGAAACTAACCAATCCTGAATTAGATCCATAATCTTTGTAAATTGACAAAAAATAAGACATTTATTACCATTTTTAATTAATTGAGGTAAAATTTGACTCAATGCATTAATTTTACACAGGTTTTCCAATAATTTTCCAATAAATTCCTTGTCCTTGGATCCATCAACAGGAAATGGTTCATAATATAGATATGGAGAATTACAAATACTTCTCAATTGAATTAATTTCAATGACTGTAATTTCAAATGCTTTATATGATTAATGATTTGTTGATATAGGTTAATAATTAAAAACTCTTGTTTATCCTTTGTTTTTGATATCTTTTTTAACTGTTTGAGAGTTTCTTCATAGCTTAATTTTGGTTTCGAGTTGTCATTGAAATATGAAGATTCTTCATCTTCTTCTATAAATTCGTCATCACTTAATGCTTCTTGATAATGTACTACTTGTTTTCTATCTTTTGGTTTTAGTTTATTTACATTTTTCAAAAATTCGTCAATATCATAGTTTTCAAACAACTTTTTATGATTATACTCAATAAATTCTTTTAAATTTGATTCTATTAAACCTTGTTGTAAATTATAATTTAAAGCATCACGGTATATTTTCTTTTGCAAATCACTTAAAGGAATATGAATCAAGTATTCCTTTTTCGCAGGTAAATCTTTGATAACGTCTTTTTTTAAACGTCTTAATATAAATGGTTTTAAAATAGTATGCAAATTTTTAATTAATGTTTCTTGAATATTTAATTTCATTAATTTTTTGGTTTTTTCATCTTCTTCATCTTGTTCAAAATTTGTTAATTGATCAAAATTAAACCATTGCTGAAATAATTCTAAATCATGAAATATATCAGGTAAAATGAAATTAAGTAACGACCATAATTCATTTAAGTTATTTTGTAATGGAGTACCTGTTAATAACAATCTATTATTTACTTGCAATTTTTTCAAAAATCTAATCAATAAACATTGACTATTCTTCAATCTATGACCTTCATCAACAATTAAATATTCCCAAGAAATACTTGAAAATTTTTTAAAATCTTTAATTGAAATTTCATATGAGGTTAATACAATATGGTTCTTGTAATTTTCTAAATTTATATTAGCTCTTTCTTGTTTTATACCAGAATACATAAGCACATTTACGTCGGGGGTAAATCTTTTAATCTCATTGTACCAATTGGCTAAAGTTGATAGTGGGACAACTATCAAAAACGGCCCATTAATTCCATTTTCAATTAAATAAGCAAGGAATGTAATACATTGTAAAGTTTTACCTAAACCCATCTCATCAGCTAATATACCATTTAATCCATTTTGGTATAAAGTTACTAACCACTCCAAACCATCTAATTGATAATCTTTTAATTGACCACCTGAAACCAAGTCAGGTTGAGATATTGAATGTGTTGTTTGAGCTTTTTCAAGAGCCGCTCTTGCTGAAGTTGTATCATCACTTATCTCTGATTTTTTAGTGAAATCATTTGCTTTTCTTTTCTTCTTTAAAGGTGAGGGAGTTTTATTATTTTGCTTCTCTTGCTTTTGTTTTAAACTTGACTGAAGAATATTATCTGCAATTATTTGAGAATAAATTTGAGATTTTTCAATTAAATTATTTAATCTGGTGAATTTCTCTGATTTCGATAAATTTGTGAATTCTTCTTGTTCATGACTGTTAGATGATGAATCTTCTCTTTGTTGATTTTTAATTAATTCTTCCAAATTACCATCAGTTGTATTTGCTGTTGTATCATTATTAATTTCATTATCAGATGATATAATTTCAATTGCTGTTGTATCATTATTATTTTCATCATCAGATGATATTATTTCAATTGCTGTTGTAGTCATACCAACTTATTTTTAATATTTTTTTATGTACTAAATTTTTTGGGAAAGTCTAATCTGAAAGAGCTTGATAATACAAATTAATATAACCAACTTGCTGAGCTTATATACCTCATGTACTAATAAGAATTAACGTTTATTAACGTAATAAATCAAATCAAATCGATCTATTCTATTAAATAAATTTTAATACGCGTCTCTTTATATTTTCTTTTTTCTTATCAATTTTCTATCTAATAATTTTTCATCGGATTTAAGAAAGTAAGAGATATTGGATTTTAGAGAGATGATCTTAGAAATACATTTTACAATATTTATTATTGAACTAAGGTTATTAATTTGTCTTCAAGATAAATAATTTTATGAAAATTGTAAATACAATTAATTAAACTTCAGTTCATATTTTGTTTTATAGCATTTTTTAAAGCATCAAATGGTGAATTTCTAAATTGAGGATTTTTCAAAACTTCATTAAAATTTTTATTTTCTTCTTTCATTATTAATTTATGACCAGTAGATTTGATTGGATTTGGTTTATTTAGTTTCAGTCTTTTATCTTTTATAAATTCATTATTACTATCATTATTTAAAGTATGAGTTATTATATTTGTAATTTTTGGTTCTTGATTTGATTCTTCTCCTTCATTTTCATCTATTGGTAAATTATTCAATAATTCATTCATTTTAGGTTTTAATTGTTCTTTTTGTTTCTTCTTTTGTCGACGTAATGATGATTTACTTATATTTCCACTTGTATTAAAAGTTACTTTATTTACTAAGGTTTTAATAAATTTATCACTTTTGTCTGCTTGTTTTTGTTTCTTTGTAGTTTTAGCTAATTTTAGTAGTGGATTTTCATGATGTTCGATTTCATTTATATTTGATTGATTAGATTGTGCTTGTTTAAATTCTGATATTTTTGATGATAATTGTGATTTTCTTTGAGATTTATCTCTTAATGATGATTTCTTTTTTATGCCTGCCTAATAAAGTCAAATAAGTTAGTATACAAAAACCAGTATATAGCTTACTTTAAAGATCATAGTTAACATACCATGTTGTTTAGTTTAATGTATATTAATAACTTGTCTAGCGATGAGATTTGAATTTATTTCACCAGATTTGATGCAATCTAGATAAAGATTTAAGATTTTACAACTAGTTTACCCCACAAAATATATGAACACGTATTAATAATTCTTGAAATGTGATTGACGTGACAAGATTACTATCAATCAACAAATTTCCGAGGAGTACCTGATATATGTCCTAAGAACTCGATAATAAAATTAATTTCATATAATAAAACTATATTTGTCAACACTTTTGATTTCAAGACACTGAAGCTTTTTTGACAAGATTTAAAATCATAGTGGCGAACAAAATATATAATATAAGGGCAATAGATTGATCAAACAATAGTCAATTAAATATTAATTCATTAACAATTATCAAGTCATTACCACATTCAATTCTAAAAATTTTACTAACACAATGAACTCAATAGCTCAAAGATATACAAATTCAAAAAATAATGATATATTAAATGAAATAAATTTAATCAACAATTCACAATCATCAAAACAACAATTAAATTTAGCACCATCAATTTCAATTCCACCAATATCACAACCAACTGATTTTTTGAGAGCTCATACAGATGATTCACAAAATCCAGATTGTAAAATAAAAATTGCTCATGGTACAACAACTTTAGCATTTCGTTTTCAAGGTGGTATTATAGTTGCAGTTGATTCAAGAGCAACCGCAGGTAATTGGATTGCATCACAAACAGTTAATAAAGTCATAAGGATTAATCCAATGTTACTAGGTACAATGGCAGGTGGTGCAGCTGATTGTCAATTTTGGGAAACTTGGTTAGGTACACAATGTAGATTACATGAATTAAGAGAGAAAGAAAGAATATCAGTTGCATCAGCTTCAAAAATATTATCTAATTTAGTTTATTCTTATAAGGGGATGGGTCTTTCTATGGGAACAATGGTATGTGGACATACAAGAAAAGAAGGTCCAACAATATATTATGTTGATTCTGATGGTACAAGATTAAAAGGTGATTTATTTTGTGTTGGTTCAGGCCAAACATTTGCTTATGGTGTATTAGATTCAGAATATAAATGGGATTTAACAGTTGAAGAAGCTTTATATTTAGGTAAAAGAAGTATATTAGCAGCAACTCATAGAGATGCTTATTCTGGTGGTTCAGTTAATTTATATCATGTTAATGAAGAAGGTTGGACTTATCATGGTAATTATAATGTTGGTGAATTATTTTGGGAGGTTAAAGATAAAGAACATTCTTTTGTTAATGTTGAAGATTAATTATTTGTGTTAATTAATATACCTAAATATAAGATTAAAAAGATAAAGTATTTCTTTACATTTTAAATATTTGTTCTTATCATATACATATATTTCTGTCTAATAATTGTGCCTCGTAAATTATTAACAGGACAATTTTGTGTAAATGTTTCATATTTCCATTTTTGGTACAAGTGGCTTTGTAATCACGTGGGTTAGTAGGGCTGCAACCCTTTTTGTCTTGCTTCTGTGTCCCAAAATTTACACTTAATTTTGTTACTAAGTGAAAATTTATCTCATTCATATATAGTGATTTTTGAATCAATCATATATACAACAACAACAACAAAACAATAATCAACGATGGTATGTTCAATATGCTAGTTGATAGAGGGGAATTATATGAATACTGGGAGTACTACATTTGTTTACGATCATTAAGATGGAAATAAGATAAATCATGAGAAATTTAAACTTTCAAAGTTAAACGATGTGATAATGAATTACAATTAGGTCGACTCAAATTAATAAATTTAATGAAGGACAATATAAGATTCACAAGTGTTAATGGCTAATTGAAGCAGAAGCCAGATAATGTTCCAGGATATTAGATTCTAAGATGAGAAAATACTATACCAAGTTTAACATGGATAATTAAATTAATCACAATAATTTCACTTGATACATAAAAGAATTTCTATTATTCATATGTTTTCCTATAGCGCACTTTTATCAACTTTGAATCACAATTGAAATGTCGAAACTTACTAACAAATTTTTATTTATAGTCTTCTAAAACTCAAAATCCTATGCGTGAATTACGTATTGAAAAATTAGTCTTAAACATTTGTGTTGGTGAATCAGGTGATAGATTAACCAGAGCTTCAAAAGTTTTAGAACAATTATCAGGTCAAACCCCAGTCCAATCAAAAGCAAGATATACCGTTAGAACTTTTGGTATTAGAAGAAATGAAAAAATTGCTGTACATGTTACTATTAGAGGACCAAAAGCTGAAGAAATTTTAGAAAGAGGTTTAAAAGTTAAAGAATATCAATTAAGAAATAAAAATTTCTCTGCTACTGGTAATTTTGGTTTTGGTATTGATGAACATATTGATTTAGGTATTAAATATGATCCATCTATTGGAATTTATGGTATGGATTTCTATGTTGTTATGGGAAGAGCTGGTGTTAGAGTAACAAGAAGAAAAAGAGTTAGATCTACCGTTGGTAACAACCATAAAACTAATAAAGAAGATACTATTCAATGGTTCAAAACTAGATATGATGCTGATGTTTTAGATAAATAAATTTAAAAAGTATTATGTATCTATAGTAATAAAAAAACAAACAATAATCCCTGTCATAACAATAGTTCAAGAATATTTGCAAGGAAAAATTAAATCTTTTGATAATCTTTTGATAATCTTTCAAGCCTACGCGAACCTACAAATCAGACCTAAACAAGTTCTTGAATACATTGTCTTGCAAAAAAGTCAATTAACATATGAAGTATAGTACTTCAAGTTTGTGCAACCTGGAATTTGCCCAACTTTAGTACTCACTTCTATTTAATCTCGAAAATGATAGCTTTAGCTTAGAGGTTACATCTTGCTAATTTATAATTTTTAAAACAATAGTTACCATGATACAAAACTGCAACTCTAGGACTGCTCATTTTCATCATCTCTAAAAATTTATTAATAAACGTATAATGTTCTGGAAAATTAAATAACCTTGATGTCATCTAATACTTACAATACTTGGATCACAATCGTTAACGCATACGACCGAATTATGAGTTATTAACTATAAAGTATATATTCGCGGAATATTGGTTCAAGTAAATCTACAAATTTTAGCTTTACAATAGAATAATTCTCAAATCCTCGACATCATTGACATCAAACAAGTAACTTAAATTCAAAACGTAGAAAATGGTACTGGAAAATATTACCAAAAACCGGGTTGACAAGTAATAAATATATATAAAAAATATAATAATGATTATGCAGTTATAATATTGATGACGTTTCAGAAACATTGCAAAAAATATTTCTACTAACACAAAGATACATCTCAAGCAGGGCTTTTTGAACCATTTGAGTACCCGTTGGCTCGAATTTTAAAATTTAAGTTTACATAAATGAATATATTGTTTAAATAAAAGACCATATGTTTGCTCAAATGAAATATCTAAATGGGCCATATAAAAATATATAATTTCAAATTTTGCAACCATTAAGTTGGTAGCAGAATTTTCGGAATAAACTCATCTCTTATTATTCTCTTATATACAAGATTTTAACGTTAATGAATAATTTTTCCGAATTAAGATAGTCAAATATTTTAAATTGATAAAAAGATTAAAATCAAATTGAGAGGAGGTATCCTTTGAAAATTTTGAACATTAAATAATTTGAGATAATATTAAAGTATTGAAATAAAAATCCAAGATATAATAAAGTACAAAGTTATAAATATTATTCCACAATAATCAAATTTCAAATCTAAACTTTTTTGTATCTTTGTACCATTTTTAATTGAAAATTTATTATAGATATCTACATAGACAAAGTTAAATACTTCAAATTAAAAAAAATGTAGATCTTTAAACTTTATCTTGCCTTTTCAGTTGCTGTAAGATTAATACAAAGAGCTTAATTACATTTGTAATTTTCCAATAAATAAATATAATTTTGGTCGAAATAATTATTGTTGGTTGATTAATTAGTTGAAAATTTAGATTTATAATTTTGTACTTGTAATATTTTTAATTATTTTTTTTAGTCTTATAAAGAGAGTGACATCACTTTTATTACATTTCTTCAATCTACAATCTAATCAAAAATTTCAAATAAAAATCCAACAAATTTCGAAACGATGTCTTTCAACTAAATATTACTCACTTATTTAATAAACAAATTGTTTGACTTATCATTTTCATATATCAATGATAATTTAATAGTTTACAAATTGTTTTGTTAAATTTATTTTTCAAATTTCATATATTTAATTTCAGGGTCAGAGATAACAAAATTTCAAATTTTTAAACATTGTGGTTTCAATATTTTAATATACTAAAGCATAATAAACTGCTATTAAACAATTGCAGATTTAAATTTACCACAGTTAATTCAAATAAATCAATTTACAACTCAATTACAAAACATAATCTACAACAACAACAAGAACAACAATTTCATAATACTACATTAAAAATGGGTAGAGAAAATATTTTACAATATTTACAAGATAAACCAGATATAAATTCAAATGATATTGAAAAAGATTTATTATTAAAATCAGAATCAACAACACCAACAGAAGAAGAAGATATAAAACCAAATTTAAAAAGAAATATTATACAACATTCAAATTTTCCTTTTACATTATCATCAGAATCAACTATACAGGATTATTTAAATAATAATAAATTTTATATTGATTCAATAAAACATAATCATAATGATCAAATATTTGATTTAAATAGTAAAGGTCAACTGCCTCATACTTTATGGATTGGTTGTAGTGATTCAAGAGCTGGTGAACAATGTTTAGCAACATTACCTGGTGAAATATTTGTTCATAGAAATATTGCAAATATAATAAATTCAAATGATATAAGTTCTCAAGGGGTTATACAATTTGCAATTGATGTTTTAAAAGTTAAAAAAATTATTGTTTGTGGTCATACTGATTGTGGTGGAATATGGGCTTCTCTCAGTTCAAAAAAAATTGGTGGAGTATTAGATTTATGGTTAAATCCAATAAGACATATTAGAGCTCAAAATTTAAAAATTTTAAATCAATATAATAATGAACCAAAATTAAAAGCTAAAAAATTAGCTGAATTAAATGTTATAAATTCTGTTATTGCTTTAAAAAGACATCCAAGTGCAAGTTCTGCTTTAAAAGATAATAAAATTGAAGTTTGGGGGATGATTTATGATGTTTCAACTGGTTATTTAACAGAAATTGAAATTCCAAAAGATGAATTTCATGATTTATTTCATATACTGGATGAAGATGATGAAGGATCTCATAATCCTCATTAATAATGAAAAAAAAATTTGTTTGACTTCTCAATTTATTGATTTAGTTGGGCTCAAGTAAATTTACGTTGAGGTAGTGATAACAGTAGCAAATTAATCAAATGACTATGATCTACTTATTTCAAAAAGTTATTGCAGAATAATATATCGAACTAGTTGATAGGTCAAGTGAATTTACATATATTAATATATATTTTATAGAATCGAATAAAAAATAATTAATGTAGTTGATATTATCATGAAAACAGTTTATTAGAGAAATTAATGCTAGACTTGAATTAAGTTCAATTAAAAAAGTAGTAGCTAAAACAACCTTAAACACTAAAACACATCAATTTACTATTACTCCAAAATTTCGAAAATACCCCTTAAGATTTATAAAGTGCTGTTAATTATTAATCAACAAATATTAAGGACTAATATTAGTAAAAAGAACTTTGTAATATCATTATAGGACTTTACTTGTACTAACGTTAGCATTATAGACCTAAGGATTTGAGAGACGAAGACAAAGCGAAAAAATCTGAACCTTTTAAAGTAAACAAAATTTTAAATTTAACAATTTTATTTAGTATCAAGCAAACAATATTAAACTTTTAAAAAACCTAAATTTAAGTTGTATCCCATTTTAAGTTAAAAGTACCTTCAGTTGGTTTATAATTTTCAACCAATTCAATAACTTCTTCAACACTAGTAGCAACTTCAATAATTTTACCATTTTTAGCAGAAATAAATTCATTATTAATACAATCTTTTAAAAATTTTAAAAAATTATCGAAAAATCCATCAATATTAAATAATATAACTTGTTTATTATGAATTGATAATTGTTTCCATGTAACTATTTCCATTAATTCTTCCAAAGTTCCAAATCCTCCAGGTAATGCAATAAATACTTGAGATTCTTGTGACATTAATTTTTTTCTTGTATGCATATCTTTAACTAATGTAGTTTTACCATATTTTAAACTATTTGGTATAGGTGTAGAACCATCATGATTATTTATAGACTCTTTTAATTTGGAATTTAATGAATCTGATTCATCATTTGTTGTATCTGATTCTTGTTTAATTTCTTCAGTTCTTTCTCTTGAAATTAAAGCAGTTGGAATAATACCATGAACATGAGATCCATTACCGTTTCTTGATGCACTTGATGCAATAACTCCCATTAAACCGGTTGAACCACCTCCATATACTAAACCCCATTTTTTATCAGCAATTGCATTACCTAATTTTTTTGCAGTTTCTTCAAATATTGGATTATTACCAAATGATGAACCACAAAATACACAAACTGTTACTGATTCTTGAGTCATATTACCTTATTAAAATGTTAAAGCTAGATTTTTAGTCGATTCTGTTAAGTACTAGTTTGACAATTATTTATTTTGATTCTTCTATTTGCTGAATTCTTTTCAATTGAGCCTGTAGATTAGTATCAATTTGATGTTGTTAATTGAATATATAAGCTTGACTTGCTATGACTTGAAAAGAACAGATGATTAAATTGAGTTATAAGTAACCGATAATGAAATAAAATTCAACAATTTCTATAAAAATGAAGGAAATTTGATGATTTAAATAAACAAAATTTTGAATATATTTACTGTTGTTGAATGTGTCAAATATTTATGAAAACTAAAACTTTAAACACAAATTTATTAATAAACCGATCATTGATATGTGTATTTTTTTTTTGGTTCCGTCGGAGATTTATTCAATTTTTATTATCACGTTTCATAATTTTATGTACAATAGTAGAACACACATTAAATATATGAAGAATCGTAATTTACTATCTATAGTCTCACCTACGGAAGAGCTCAATAAATTGTATACTGAAGAGTCATTTGCTGTTTCTGAATGTCCTTTATTTCCTTAACTTCTTCAAACAAATTTCAGCGTAGTCAAACAGCATTATTTATATCACTTCGGTCAACTAAATAAAACATTCAGTTTCGCGAAACAAAATTTTGATGAAAAATGTCATTGAATTTTATACAACACTCTAATTAGTTTATGGACTATTTCAAAGCATCATTCATTATTATACTGAGTTATCAAAATGAAAGCTCAGAATACAGGGGAAAGTGAAGGTATGTAACAACAAAGCAATCTTTTGTATCAACAGCAAAATTTTAGTCAACCAACGATACTAACAACAAATTATTTAGAGGAAAGGTTCAAACAAAAATGTAAAGAATTACAAAAGAGGATAAAAGAAGTAGAAGAAAGTAATGAAATAGCAACAATAGCGTATAGTAGAACTCAATCAACAATAAGAAGATTAAGGTTAGAATATGCAATTTTAATTGAAAGATTAGAAGATAGAGCAAATTATCTTCCTGATGGAATAATACATTTTGAAGAAATGGCAGGACCACCAACTCCAAATATTTTAGATGATTCAATAGTTAAAAATTCAAAAAATGGAACTTCAGGTCAAATAAATAATAGTATTAACTCAGGTACAAGTAATTCAAATAAAAAATCAAATAAAAAATCATCGAAATCATCATCATCATCATCAACTAATCAATCAACTAATTCAAATAATCAAAATTCAAAAAACAGAGATCCAGATTTACCGAAAAGACCAACAAATGCATATTTATTATTTTGTGAACAAGAAAAAGAAAGATTAAAAAATGATGAATCAAATAATACAAAAGATTTATCAAAATTAATGACTGAAGCTTGGAAAAATTTAAGTGAAGAAGATAGAAGACCTTTTTATTTATCTTATGAAGATGATAAATTAAGATATCAAAAAGAAATGGTTGAATATAATCACAAAAAGGAATTGGAAGAACAACAACAACAATTAAAAGAACAACAAGGAGAAGATGATGATCATCAAGCTGATATAACTGAAAATCTTGATACTATTGATAATGTCAAAGAAGAAGAGGAAGAAGAAGAAGAAGATGATGATGATAACGAAGAAAGAGTTTTAAAAAGACAAAAACTTGAACCTTCAGAAGAATTTGCTCCTGATACATCCATAGAAAACACCGAGGTTATAAAACAAGAAGAATCTAAAATATTGGATCAAAATGAACATAATGATCAAACCATGAATGAAGAGTAAAAAAAAAAATCAATCTTAAGTAAAAATTGTAATATAATAAATCAATAAAAGAAAAAGTACTTATGTTTTCTTGCTAATTAATTAAGAAACTAAACAACTCTCTTTTTTTTACTTTTATAATATCCATTTTCATCTTTTTCATTCTTTCGTTTCTCTCTAAACCTTTCATGTTTTTTAAATTTCCTTCTAGCAGCTAATTTTGGTTCATTTAATGCTAATTGTGCCTTTTTAGCTTTTCTTGATCTTCTTCTTAATTCAACTTCTTGTCTAACTTTAGTAAAAATTGAAGTGTATTCAGTAATACCGATTTTTTCTTTTATTAAATTTAAAGTTTCTAATGATAAATTAGTTAACTCATCATTTTCTAAAGTTTTTGAATATTCTGAATCTGTGAAATTATACAATGATAATATGATTTTTTCTGAAACTGATAATATTCTTTTATCATTTATAATTTGTAAAAATAAATTTAAAAATTTTATAGATATCTTTTTTGCAACTAATGATTGGAAATTTTCTTGTCTTAAAACTCCACAAATTTTGTTTACTAAAAAATCATTTGCGTATACTTTATCATTTGATTCATTTTCAAGATAGTAATCATTTGATTCCCATTTCATTGCAATAAATACTAAATTTTTAATACAAACATTACCTAATTCTTCAGATAAAGACGGTGTCCTTAATTGATGGATCAATTTAATCATTATTAATTCCAATTTATCATCTTTAATTTTACTCTTATCCAAATTTGAAAGTGGGATTGATATTAATTTACAACAAATTAATCGTATCCAAGAATGTGGGTATAATAAACAATTAATTATTGAATCCCAAATTGGTTTAAAGCTTGTTTCAAATATTTGATCTTTTAAATTTGATGCAATTGAACTGAAAGCAGAAAGTGCAGAATAAATTAATTCCCATTCAACATCATTACCTTCATCTGAAACTTTAGCATCATTTAAAATTTTTAAAATATTATCTAATACTAATCTGTCCAATTTTTCATTATGCTTATACCCAAAAACAGATATTATTAATTTATAAATTTGGAATCCACATCTTTTTAATAAAATTTTGTTTGATTGTTTCAACCATGTCATACAATATTCTTCAATAAATTGAACGTTTTTTAATTTTTTCATCATATTCACCAATAATGAACTAGCCATTTCTCTTGATCTTGAAGAACTATCAGATATTAATACATTAGCTAAAGCAATGAAAAAAGATGAACCTAATTTTTCTAATAAATCTTGACCAGCTTTCATTATGATTAAATGTATTAATTCCATAACTGATTGTCTACCTTCTTCAGTTGGATATGATAAATTATTAACTAAATATTTAAATTGTTTTTCTAATCTAACTTTACTTTGATCATATTCCATTAAAAATTGAAAATAAACTGATCTTGACATATCTCTAATTTCTTTTGTATGATTAACAATCATTATTTTAGAAACACTTTCCATAACATCATAAATTTCAGGTAATAATAAGTGTTGAGAAACCACAGCTTTCAAAAATTGAAATGCAAGACCCTGTCTATTGGGTTCTTGCAAGTCAGGTTGAATTCTAGTCAAAACGTAACTTATAGCTGACTCCTTTAATACAACTTTTGGATTATGCTTAATAGTCGTTGCTAAAAATTTTAATGCAGTTTGACAGATATCTGAATTTGTAGTAGGTGAATCTTTAATCAACATCAATGCTTTTCTAACACAAGTTTTTAATAAGTTTTGAGTATCTTCATCAAATGGTAATCTGACAACTATTGATAAAACTTTTAATGAAGCTAAAACAACACTTTCATTTTCTGAATATATAGCAGTAGTTAATAATGGAATGAATCCTTTCATGTTTGAAGTATTTAATAAATTTTCATGACGAGATATAGCAGTTCTAAATAATTCTAATGAAAGTTTTTGCATTGTTTGTTTTAAAATTGATTTATCAACATGAGTTTTAACTTTTCTGTCTAAAGTAGTTAAGAAATGTTGTTCTGAAGCACTAATTAATTTCTCTTTTTCCTCTTCATTATCAATTGATATCATAAAAATTTCATAACATAATTGCAAAATTTCAACATTTGAAGCATCTATATTATGATGTAAACCCATTGACAATTTCCTTAAAACTTCGTCAAGTTTAACTTGAACTTTATGATTGATAGACTCTCTTAATAAGAGTTTTATTGGAGCTATTAATTCACCAAATTGATCTAATGAAATATTTGATGCAAGAATTTCACAAGTATCGAAACTTTTTTTGAACTTAACTTCTTTCATTTTACTTGTATAACCATCAGCATCTTTTTCTTGTCCTGCAGCACCAAAAATATCCTCCATTACAACATTCATAATAATTGGTACTGATTCATTTAAATCTCCATGTTTAATTTCTTTTGATAAACATTGTAAAAGATAATTTATTGTGAAACTTAAAACGTGAATTTGAGAACCTCTTGATAGTGCAGTTTGTAATTCCTTCAACATGAAAACTAAATAATGTGAGCCTAAGGTTACAACTATTTTACCTAAACTTTTCCTTACTGCATCTCTCAATTCTTCAGACCTTGATCTCATCACTTGACACATACTTGTTAAAATTTTGGGTAATTCATCATTGATTTTTTCTGGAGATATGCAAATAGCCAAATTAATTGCAGCTTCAGCTAATGGGGCTCTTGCAACTATTGTATTATCATCACGTACTTGTAAGACTTTTGTAATCGAAGGTAAAATTTCAAACAAAATAAATTTATCAACTTCATCTTGATTAGGTAAATTGTTCATATCTTTCAAGACTGTTGAAATAGCAACAATTAAATTAACTTTTTGTCTTAATAAATCATTTTCAATTTTCAAACCACCAATATAACGTTTAAATATAGCTTTATACTGGTTCCAACTAACAGATTGAGTTAAAACTTTTATAGCTTCTAGCGATTCTAAACCAATATTTCTATATTTTTCTTCTTTACTAATAGCATATTTTTCAAGTAAAGGTAAAATATAATGAGATATACTATTATCATTAAGTTTGCCACGATGTTCTAATAATCTTCTGATGGATCTTTGACGTAAATGTAATTGAATATGATTGATATTTTTGAAAAACTGCAGTTCTTCATCTTCTTCATCTCCAATTAATATTTGCATGTCGTTTAAATCCTTAAAATATTTATCCTCTTGAACAATGTATTCTAATATTGACACATATTCGGATTGGATGTCCTCATTTTCTTTTCTTAACCCTACCCTAAGTATTGGTAAAACGGTGTCTTTCAACATATGAATATACGGAGCTGCTTCTTCTGGTGTAGACTTTGAATTATAACAATCAACAAACCTTTTCAACATGAATGTGGCATTTTCTCTAATAACTAACTCAGTAGGATCATTAATGAAAAACAATCCAGAATTAACCAATGGAGTCCATTGAATAATATCAAACGAGTTATATAAATCTTCATTAATAAGTTTGAACGCATCTAAACGTTTTCCAAAATCATATTCGTTCATTCTTGAGGTATAAGCATTCAAATCAGCAATTAATTCTGAAACAACCTTTAAATCTGGATTTTTAAGACCAATTGATACAAACAATGTTGACAAAGTTTCACGGATTTCTCTTGAAGCAAATATTCTAAGTAACTTGGAGCAAGCATTATATAAAGGTAAAATTTCATCAAATGAACAATCATAAGATCCGATTAATGATGATAATGATATTAAAATATTAGCTTTATCTTTCAATTCTATATGTTGATTACTTTTTTCAAGTGCAAAAGTTAATGACTTAATTAAAATCAGTTTTGATTCATTATTATCAATATATTCACCTTCAATCATCAACAATAACAACTTGATAGCTTTTGAACCGACGTCATGACTATATATACGATCAATAGTATTTGGTAAAGTTTGTAACAAAGAATCCACAACTATAGCTAATAATGTAAAGTAATTGTCATTTGATTCATTTTTCTTTTCAAAAGCAGCAATAGCAAAATTCAAAACTTCTAATATAACAGTTTCTTTTGCCTCTCTTCTGTCCATTATTGATAAAATAGCCTTCACTGAATCAAAATCGTTGGCAAATAAAAAGGGCATTGTATTTGATTGATTCATCCATGAGCACATCAATGTTAAAACAGCTGAAGGTTGTTGTAAATTTTCATTTGCGAAATTTTCCAATCTTGGTGAAATCAAATTATCACTCATAACTTGAACATAATCTTTCCAATCAAAAGTTGGGCCAAGAATAGTAAATAATTCTTTTAAATTCCTCATACCACTCAGTCTTATACTTTTTGCCATTTTTTGAGTTATAACTTCTTCTTCATCATTATCAACATCCATTGAGCAATCGATTCTATTTTGAGCAGATAATAATGAGAAGATCAATGGTTCAATAGTAACTCTCAACACCGGTGCATAATTTTTATTCAATAATTCATAAAGTTGCTGAAGCAAATGCATGTAACCAGTTATTTTATTTAATTCACCCTTTGTCAAACCTAAACTTACGATTGGAATTTTCCTTTCAAAAAAGTCTTTATAATTCAATTTCTCAGAACCAATATTTAAAAATGATATTATATCATCTTCACTAAAATTCTGCAAACTTGATAATGCAGCGTTTCTATAACCTGTTTTACTCTTGCTTGATGGCTTACCTTGTATTTTTCCAAATAAAATCCTGATAATCAATGTCATGAGCTTGGACTTATCTTCAGTTTCAATTGGATTATTTGAATCTGTAAATTTTGATATCTCATCACTGAAAGTTACGTCATCTAACAAATTTTTCAAATTATCTCTATATTTGTTAATTATTGGGTCATGGAATGCAAATATGACGTCTAAAGCTAATTGTTGAACTTTAGTATATGAGCTCGATAATAAAGATAACATATTTGTGAATAATTGTTGACCATCTTTAGTTTTTTTCAATCCTTTTAATTTTGAAAGTAATACAAGCATATCGTTTTTATCATTCTTTGACCATGTTTGAAAAATTCCCTTCTTTTCACCAGACCCGAGAAATAAATCGATTATTTCGGCTTGATTAGCAATATTTGGTGCAGCGATTAAAGCATTTAAAACGTTAGAACGCAACATAACTTCAAAAGAATTACCTTTAATGGAATTTTGACATAAATTTGAAATTGAAGAATTAATGTTTCTAAATGGACTTAAATAATTGTTTTCAAAGTACTCAAAATTCTGTAATAACTTGGAGTTTCTTGGTTGCCAATCTATTAAATTTGAAAAGGTTTCATCTACAAATAATGTAGTCTCTTCCTCATCATTATAATTCATCGTCAAAAGTTTATAAGCATTATTCCATAGTTCTGCTTTACAAGAGCCAACGATAATTGGTAATGCTTCATTAACGGCCTTCCATATAGGTTGAAATTTGTTGGATAACAAACCAAATAAGTAGTTTGATATTAATACTCTATCAAATTTTGATGGGTTTATTTCTGCCAGAAAACTATTTGCTAAATTTCTTATTCTTAAATTGATGTCTCTACCTGTATGTAAAGATAATGGAATTTGTTCGATGATTTTAATTTGCTGAAGAGTCTCCGATATTGGTTCATTGGTTAATTTGAGTATCAATTCTATCAACTTCATGGCATCAGATCTAGATTGGTGACTTGGTAATAATAGACAATCTAATGCCTCGTCTAAAAATTGACTTGGATTATTGATTAAACTAATAAATTGTGATAATGCAGGAAGGAAACTATTTGAAAATATGAATCTATTAAAATTAGTTTTCAAAAAGATTGTTAAATCTTCTATGATGCTTGATGACGCATTTAAAGTTGGAACTAACAAGTACATGGCAAAACAAACTAACTCATTCCCAATAATTGAGTCGGGTGAGGCAAATAAAAGTTTGGATAATACCTTATCATCAACTTCTTTGTAATTTGAATGTCTTATCAATATTAATTTCCAGTATACGTTAAAAAAGTTCTGTTGTTCTATATCTTCATTGAGGCTAGCGGCCAATTTTGAAGCTACTGAGTCAGGCACTAAGAATGTTGAGTCCTTTAATACTTCGAAGAAATAAGCTTCTCTTTTTAATATCTCGTCGTCATTGTTTATTCTGTTGATAAAGTCTTGGGTGTATTGATTTATTCCAAATTCTGATAGCTTTGAGTATTTGTTATTGAGTCCCGAAAATGCAAATGGTAGGAAATTAATTCCATGATTTATGTACTTTATATTTTCAATATAACGTTTTTGATATTTCATAAGTGATTGCATATTAACGTTTCTAAATACAATCAGTAGTAAGTAAACAATTGATTCTCCGAGTTCTTGGCTTATATTTGTTTTTGTTTTCACTATATCCATAATTGTTTCAATTAGAGTTAAAAAGTTGCTCCAATCTTGTACTTTTCTACCAGAGTCTGCAAAACCTAGGGTTGAGATTATCTGGCAACTCATTAGTAATACTAAATCATCTGAGTTTTGTAGTATCAACTTATTCAATTCTTCTATTATTAAATTGTAAAAAGTTTCACAAGCTTCTGCTTCTCCATGATGTAAAACATCCAATAGTATATCTGAAAGTAGACTCACAATTTTTGGTTGAGCTTCTTTATTGATTTTGTTTATCACAAAGTCCAAAATGATTGTAAATATTAACCTAGATTTTGTATGGAATGTACCTTTTGTATTTTTCATAGATTCGCTAAGTAAAATTTTTAAAGCTTCTAAATAAGTTTCATTATTCATAACTTCATCTAATTGATCATGTAATGCACAGTTGATGAATTTTTTTATAACTTCAGGGTTCAGTTTTCGAACTAAAAATGATAATGACTCAGCACAAAATCTCGAAATATATAATCTGTTTGATATATTTAATAATGGTAATAATTCTAAAAATGTCGGTATTAAATCTTCTGTTAAATATTTAACTAGATATTTGAAAGTAAATGCTAAAGTACTAAACGCCCAATCCAAGGCATTTGATGAATTTCTATTGTTTTGTAAATCATTTGGATTTATAGTTAAAACTATTTCACTTATTAGTTTTAATGTCCTGGTATAATATGGTAAAAAATCTGGTCCCAAATCATGAATAAATTGACTTAGGATTTCTAATGATGGTTGTAGTGAATGTATATCATTTGCTTTTATGGCCTCATATATTGCTTCATATATGGTATCTTTATGATGAATAACTTGTGGTAATGATTGACAATAATCTATTATCTTATCTACTAAATTTGTGAAATCTCCGGATAAATTCAATTCTTGCCAATGTTCTAGTGTTGATAATACATGTGAAGATTCAACATCATCATAAACTCTTTTATTTAATTTCCTACTTGGTTCTATTTTTATTGAATCAATTCTTTCTTTAAATGAAATAAATCCATGCCTTCTACTTGATTCGGTAGTTTTAACTTTTGGCATGACTTTAAATCTTATTCTTTTTAAAATTCTTTTATTTAAACGAATCGACACGTCTCGGATACTAGTTCTGACCTAATTTTAAACTTGAATATTCATCAATATTCAAATATGAAAATAAAATAGATAAAAATCATCTCTTCTACTTATAATATTTTTATTACACAAAAACTGTTTTCCATCATTTAGAAACACAACTAGTTGAAGTAATACAAGAAAAAGATCACATCATTGAATTAAAAGCAAAACAACAACCAGTTTAACATTAAATTAAATCAAATTTGTTATTGAGTAAATAGTTTTAGACTCATCATTAAGTTTTATTGACAAATTATTACAGACATTGAAGAATCCGTTTTTGAAAAGATCTACAAACAGCCAAAACGCAACCATCAATACTTTAGAAAATGTCAAATATTGAAGAAACAGATACAACACCACTACTATCAAAATCAAAGCCTGAGTCAGCACCAAACTCACCGTTAACGCCTACAGCATCATCTACTTCAAACATTAAAGCTTCACCAAATCACAATGTCAATAATAATTTGATACTACCAAATCGTTTACCAACTAAATCATTAAGTAATTCAACTCCATCTCCATTTCATTCTAAAATTTCAAATTCGAACAAAATCGGACTACAAAGAACAAGTAGAACTTCACAAAAATTAAAATTACTACCAGAAGATCCAGATTTTCATAGTATGAATAATAATGATCAAGTCAACGCTGGCGATGACGACGATGATGATGATGATGATGATGACGATGAAGATGTAGTGAATAAAAGACCTACAAGAGTTTATTCACAAGCTAAAATGATTACTGATTCAACTGCTAGAAAAGATGCTGAAACTTTGAGTAAACTGCATAGAGATTTATTACCAAGAGTTACTGCTTATTGTACTTGTGCATCTTACAAAATGAAAGATTTACTCAGATGGTTAAAAGATAGGAAAAGAATTCATAACACAAGTCCAAAATTATTCGATGAGTGTTTATATACCCCATTTGCATATAAAGATTGGAGAAGTGATAATACTAATAATAATAATGGTAATTCTGAAGAAGATGAAGGTCATAAATTAATCAGATTAGCAGATGAAGGAGGAGAAATAGATATTGGTAAAAAATCAGATATTTTCATATTTGAATATGGAGTAGTTATAATGTGGGGTTATACACAAAAGGAAGAACTTGCATTTTTAGATGATTTAGCAAAATTTGAAAGTGAAAAATTATCAGAAGAAGATATTCAAATTGAAGAATTTAATTATTATATTACAAAATCTTATCAACCAAGAATTTATAATGATTTTATAACTTTAAGAGATGATGATAATTATATGTTAAAATTATCAATATCTCATGCATTAGCTCAATCAGTTAAAATTTCATTATTTGAAGAATTAGTTGATAATACTATTGAAGATACTCAAGATATTCCTCAACAAATTGCTCATACTGGTAAAGTTGAAATGACAAGAGATGAAATTATGAAATCAATTGGTGAATTATTTATATTAAGAATAAATATTAATTTGCATGGTTCTGTATTGGATTCTCCAGAATTAATGTGGGCTGAACCTCATTTAGAACCTATTTATCAAGCAACAAGAGGTTATTTAGAAATTAATCAAAGAGTTGAATTATTGAATCAAAGATTAGAAGTTATATCTGATTTATTACAAATGTTAAAAGAACAATTAGGTCATTCTCATGAAGAAAATTTGGAATTCATTGTTGTTGTTTTGGTAGGTGTTGAGGTACTAGTAAGTATTATTAACATTATTATTGATGTTTTAACTTATAAATAAATACTTAAAATGATTCTATATAGCTAAATACAAGACATTGCGAACTTTTCTTAACCTCCTTGATTTTGTATAGATGGCGCCTTATTGCTTTAATATCTCTTGTTGTTTTTTGTTCCTAATATCAAAGTATTACTTTTTAACATCTTAGATACTAACGGACTAATTCAGAATTGTTTCAGGTTTATTGCAAAATATTGCAGAATTTGCAATAATATCGACACAACAAAATTACTTTCAAAAATTACCTCCGAATACGAACAACATTTATTCAAGTAATATGTTACCAGAGTGGCTAAAAATGAAGTTTTTGAAGCTGATCGATTGCAATTACTAATAAAAATATGCAGCCCTGGCTGCGTTTTAGCGCAAAATTAACTATGAGAGGTGTACATATATTATTTTCTCGAAATAATCATTTGTTCGTACTATCTTCGGATAGTACATTTGTCAAATTTAACAATACAGAGAAGATTAGCATTGTCCTTGCATAAAGATGACACGCATTACAAAGAGATTTAATATTTTTTTTGCAAAATTGAAAATACCAGATGGATAAGTTTAACTACATGCCTTTGCTATGGGTTGATTCTACATTGTTTGATGTTCAATAGAGTGATTAATGGTGGTTCTAGTTGGTTTCGAACTGGTTTCCAAAAATTCTAATTTTTTCGTGTCGTAACATTTGAGTTTAGACATTAAATATTTTTACGACTTAATTTTACCCAATTGTATTCATTTAAATTCTACTTACAAATACATTAATTTTTTAAGATTATATTTGGTAAATCTATACCACAAAGTTTATTTGTTTTCGATTACGTGGAGACTGTAGTGATTGATTCGATACTTAACCTGTTTTTCTATCAACCTTTTCTATAATCTCTATTTATTAAAAGTACCAGTTATAAAGAATCATTTCATTAGCTCTAATAAAAAATTTGTTAGAGAAAAAAATAAAGTAATAAAAAAATAAATTAAATTATAACCAATTGATTGAAATTTTCATTAATCTTGGACCAAAAACAAAATATTATTACACAGGTCATTGTGCTCAACTAACTTCCCCATTCATTCATTCCCTCACTCAGGATTCCATTTCATTACTCATACATTTTAATTCCATTTAAATCCTGATTTCTATCACTTATTTATTTATTCAAGTCATTTAAAAAATTGCATTATATTCATAAATTAAGAAGATGATTCCAACTATAAAAAGAGCAATTCAAAAAGCACCAAGATCAATAAATACTCAATCAAAAATACCAGTTACATCTTCAAAAATCACAACTCGTTATTTCAATCAATCAACAATCAACAGAATTGCACATGAAGAAGAATTAGTAAATCTTAATGAATTACCAAGAAAAGAAGAACCAGAAATTTATGTACCTTTAGTAAATCCAGCTGATAAATACAAAGTTCAAATTGAAGAATTACATAAATTTGGTACTTATATAATGTCATGTTTACCAAAATATATTCAACAATTTTCAGTTTGGAAAGATGAATTAACAATATATGTTGCACCATCAGCTATAAGACCAGTTATGTCGTTTTTGAAAAACCATACACCAGCTCAATTCAAAGCTTGTATGGATGTAACAGCTGCTGATTATCCATCAAGAACAAATAGATTTGATGTTGTATATAATTTATTATCAGTAAAACATAATTCAAGAATTAGAGTTAAAACTTATGCAAGTGAAACTAGTCCAGTTCCATCCATAACTCCGTTATTCAACGGTGCTAACTGGTATGAACGAGAAACTTACGATCTATTTGGAATTTTTTTCACTGGTCATCCAGATTTAAGAAGAATTATGACAGATTATGGTTTTGAAGGACATCCATTAAGAAAAGATTTCCCAACTACAGGATATACTGAATTAAGATATGATGAAGAAAAGAAAAGAGTTGTTTATGAACCTTTAGAATTAACTCAAGCTTGGAGAAATTTTACTGTTGGTTCATCAGTTTGGGAACAAGTTGGTGATGGTAAAGATTTTACTCCTGAGAATTTCAAATTACCAAAACCAGAACCAGAACCAGAAACAGATGAAAAGAAAGATGGTAAAAAATAGATCCACATATTTAATTAAAAAAGTTTATAGAAAGAAAAGAGTCTTTACAATTATGTATCAGGTCTATTTGAGTAATATAAATCACTTCAATAAATAATTATTACAAAAGGTAAAAATGATTTTTCACACAATCTATGAGCGATGTTTATTTCTCTAATACTTACTAATCATGTACTGGGTTTTTATTGTAAAGTAGAAATTTCTTGATTTAACTTATTTAGTTCTTGTTTCCTAGATTCCAAATATTCTTGTAGTGATTCAACTTGCGTTTCCAAGTCTTTTATATCGTTTTCAACTTTTGTTAAATCCTCACCACCACTACCATTAGATTGTTTTTGAAATTGCTCTTGCTTATATTTTAACAATTGTTCAAATTCATATTTTATCATATTTTGTTTTTCAATTTCTTTATTATCCAGGTCGGATCTTTTTGTAACTTCAGCCAACAAATTTTCCAAATTATTTAATTCTCTTTTCAATCTTGCTTCTTCCCAATCAGTCCCTTCTACTCCTGAAAAATCAGTACCTTTATCAGATATACTATTATTTTGTCCTAATTTCGTCAAATAATCATTAGCAAATGATCTTTTTTGTGCTTGAGTTTGTGTATTATATGATGGTTTACTCTGAGCTTTTAAATCATAGTTTGGAATTTCTTTTGAGAAAGTTGCTCTTAAACTTGCTGGTACACCTCTTGGGATTCTTTTACCATTTTCTCTTTGATTTAAAATATGTAAAAATACTAATGTTTGATCTTTATCTATAGTCTCAAAAGATTTGGGATTGACTAGGTTCCATGCTGATGATATGTCACTTGTTGGTACATTACGTAAAGTAGAATATAATGAATTTAATGAATCAAATTTAATTCTACCAAAATGATCATTTTTCGATTGATATATTGTTTCATATGTGGATTTATCTTTTGGTGATATATACCAGTCGAAATCTTCACTTAACCCATCTTCATCGTCTTCATAGTCAACTCCAATATTTCTACCTTGTGTAACTGCTTGATTTGCTTGGATTAATGCTGCTTTTGATGATGGAATTAACCAAGACGGTAATTGATCAGGTACTTCGGGTATGGAACCATTAACTAAATCAAATATCAATCTCATTGTGATACAGAATTCTTCAAAGTCCAAACTCCCATCATTATCAATGTCACTTAATTGCCAAATTGATGATAATTGTTGCTGTGGTAATCTTGAATTTTTCAATACTGGAGCTACAGTATCTCCACTAACTTTATTGTCAATCGGTTTCAAACCTTGGAAAATTTGCCAGTATTTTTTTATTTCTGATTCCTCTAAGCGTGGCATGATGACGTTGTTATTCTTTGTTTTTAATTGTATGTACTTTATTTATTAATTGACTCTTGGTTGATTTAAAGCTAATATTGTTGTCTAAATTGAATTTCGGTGATAATATTGTCACTAAATATAAAAGCTTGTCAAATTATTTTCCGTCATCACTTTTGTAACTCCTAAAAGGTTTTTTTTTTGAATTTCGCACCAAATTTGGCGTACTTGTTTTTTTTGGATTTTAGGAAATTGTTTGAGCTAACGGGTTCGAAACCTTTTGTATTATAGGTCAAGCCCAGTTCCGAATGCTTCCGAGTATTAGCTATGGAGACGAAGGAAGATATAGGGTCATTGACTTAACATGAAAAATGAATCAGATAACCCATATAATTTGGATTATTTACACTTTTAGAAGTCAAGTATGTAACTTCACAATTGCACTAATAGATTAAGATTCTTACTTCATGTCTCACTTGCATATTAGACTGTCGGCAAATTTATTCTTGGTTGCAAATTTTTTGAATTGTTAATTCAAAGTAATGCAATGAATAATTTAGAAAATGATACCTAAGAAGCTACATCTTTCTTGTTTTCGATTAGTGTTGAATGTTCAGCAACCGTAGATGAAGGTTTTTACTAATAAAAGTGATTAATTTGTTTGCTAGATTCTGGTGAAACAAATATTGGAATAAATAATAGTCTTCCTTCATGAGGTGATCATGAGGTGTTCGTTGATTATAGTGGAAACAATAGCTTATATTAATTCACATGGTTCAGATCTGAAACAATCTTCCGTTTCATTTTTTTCAATTTGATCCTTTTTAAGATGTAGTCCGATACACTTTTTATGCGTAATAGAAATACACTCCAGATTTTTACCAAGCGTTGCTCAAAAAATCACCATTATTCTACTTCATATTAATCCAAACTTTTGACCTTATAAAGTTTACTTTATAGTGTTTCAGTGAATGCGAAGTTGTTTCATAAATAAATACTAAGAAATTCAATTTAAACTTTAGTTTTAGTTAGTTAGGAGTACTTCTTACTGTTAAAGTATTTGCACCTACAACATTTTGAACTATAGATGGACAGATATATACTTTTTTCTTCAAAAATTTTATATTATTAAGTCTGACCATATGCATTTCCAATTTTGTGTAACAATTGGTTTTGTGTCATTTTGATCTGAAAAATAATCAAACTAAAAACTTCGATATCTCAGCATTCAGTGACTCTACACAGCTAAAAGTAAGTGATTTGGACACTTCAAAGCAAGGGCAATCTAGTGCAAAGCTCAAAACGCCAAAATTCGAACATTTTAATATTTTTATACAAAATTAAAGTTACACAAAACCTAGAAAAAAATTGACATACACCGCCTTCATCTGGGAGCGTCAATTGCAAATTTGTTAGGGGAAAGCATATCAAAAAAATACCAAATTGGCAGTTTCAGCAAAATTTCCAGTTTAGCACTCTACACGAGTTGTACAGAGATCAGCTATTTATAGATAAACTTGAAGGTAAATTTGTAAGGTTAGTAAGTTGTAGATCAATTGTAGTCTTTGTGTGAGCATTTAAGTAGATCCATTTAGTTCAAGAAAATGTATAATGATTTGATTTACCTAAACTGATCACCAATTTTGAGAATATGAATATAAGAACAAAGAACATATTATTTTGAGTCCACTAAATGATATAGATGCTTTACTTTGTGCTAAACTGAAATTTAATGTGAAACTTCTTGGATAATGATTTGAATATGCTTTTGCTGCCCCCTAACAATTTGCAATTGACTTCTTGGTATCTCTGTATTGTTAAATTAGTATACAATCAACAAAAGACCATTTTACCAATTCTTTGCCCAGCCAGCAAGTATAGTAAAGTATCAATTGTGATTGTTTTGAGTTAAACTGCTGTAGTTAATCTGCTTGTTAATAAAACTTAAAAAAACTATTATTAAAGTTAATTACTTACCAGGAAAATGAAATTGGTTGATTTAAAAGTGAGATTCTATCACTTGACTAATGCTTTCTAGCCTTCAAGTGATTGATTGATTGATTGATCGGTGTTTGTCTATTAAAAATAAAGTACAGATAAAAATCAGAATAATTTTACAAATGATATGCTTTAATATTGCAAACGAAAAAGTAGTGCACTTTTGCCAAAATATACAATAGTTAGAATGGCTGCAAATTAACTTTAATATTATTGTTGATGATCATACTGTGACAACAAACATATGACTTTGATTATTTATCACGAGTTGTTTATTAGTTTAGACGTAACTGATAAATATTTATTACGATTAGTTTCTGTTCAAAAACAAAGTCAATTTAGCATTGAATTAGAACCAAATAAATATAAACAATAGACATTAAGAATTACTTTGAACCGACTTCTTGTGCCTAAGTGGCATTACTCCCTTTGTTGTCTGTTGTTTGCCTATTGTTGAGGAATTTCAACGTATTGATTGAAGTTTGTAGAGTTTCGAAACTAGTTAGTCTAATGACAGGCTTTAAAGGTGAAGGCGATAAGCTATTCAAGGATTTTCTCAAGTCTAATAAACATGTATCAAAATTCTAGTTTTGATTCAATTAATGTCACACTTGACAAGCTATATGAAGTTAATTTATGCTTTATTCACTCTATCAAATGTCTATTAAAAAGAATACAGACGTCTTAATCAAATATAAAAGAGTCAACTAAAGGTATAGACTTCAGCTCTTGAAATCTGCAACGACCAAACATTTTAGTTACTCGTCGAGATAAATAGGGCTATGAGATAAAAACAATGTAAAACTCATTCCATTTACTATTAAAAGCATTATTAGGCAATGACATTGTAAAGACTGAAAGTTCAAGAAATTAAACACTGTATGGACTGAAACATTTGATTATCAACACAGCTAAAATCATTCGTACTAACTCGAAACATCTCGTTGTAAGAGTTTCAGCCTTCGAATTATTGATTCGTGAACAAGAAATTTTATTAGACCAGATTTTTGAAACCCAGCCAAGTCTCAGAAACTTACACTATTCAAACCACAAAAAAAAGAACGTTATACAAAACAAACAAGCAATAGTTTGAATTGAACTATAAGAAAATGTAAGACATGTCTCAGATTTTGAAACAAGAATAATAGGTAGATGGGAGATTCAATATGTCATTGAACATTACACTAAATTTCGAGTCTATATACAAGATACTTTACATCATTTCTATTACATTAAATATTCCAAAATATTATTGTTTTTATCACATACGTACAAGGTATATAAAAATTTAAATTAAAAACAAAAATAATTAGAGACAAATAAAAATTTGTAAAATTATTCGAATATTTTCGAAATGTGAGACAAAATTTATTAAAATTAATACTTCTATTTTCGTTTATGATATTGTTTTTATAGTCAGATTTTAGGAAAAATTTATTTCCTTAAATCTGGATGAATCTCCTCAATAGACTTAATTGACTTTGTTTTCTACTCAAACTGACGTGATTTCACAAGAGAAAGAAACGACAAATTTTAAGTTCTAGAGAAGCAGAAAAATTTATACGATAAAGTTGGTCAGGAGATAATCAAATCAAGCCATTTCACGATCATTAATAATTGTAATTTTACATAAATCTAAGACATGCATATTCTCCCTTGATGTCAAACATTTGATAAACACAAAAAAATAAAACATATCAGCTAACAATAATAGAAAATGGAATTTTGCAAAGAGATGGATTCTAGAAAATTAAGGTGATTTGTTAATAGAACCCAAAAATTATACAAGAAAAAAGCAATTTTTGTACTACTGATAATAATTTTTTTTTGTGTACCTTATGCGGTCTCAAATTAATGTATCAAATCTTAAAATTGATTTTGGAAAAATACCTTCAATTTTTTTATATTTTTACGAAATACATTTTTGTAAAAACTGTTTTTACTCCTTTTTTGATCTATCAACAATATTGTTATAACCGTTCTCAGACTTATCTCCACTCTTTTTGAAAGAGATTATTAATAGGACTGATTTGTATACGCCACAAGTTTTGGAATCTTCAAATCTGCATCTAAATTTTATTTTCGATACGAGAACATTTAAATCTTAAATACTCTAGTGTCAAAAATCAAATCAAATCTACATCACCTCAATAGTCCAAAATTAAAAACTAAATACAACAGATATTTTGTTTAAAATTATCATCAGAGCAAACATTGATACCTCAAAATTTGATTTTTGCTCATAGCAACAGTCAGTCGTAGAGTGTTTATTTCATTGCTTTACATTTAGTTATTTATTCATGTTCGCTTATAATTTTTCAATGTTTATTATCATTTCGGGGGTACTAAATATTTTTTGTAAGTTCCGTAAATATAGTGATACAAAATCTGAAGAGTTTCTTAGTGTTAATTTCTTTTGTTCAAATTTAAATTACATTAATGTCTAAGATCGTAATTTAGCACGTTCGATCTAATACACTTCAATCTGTTTTTCTTTTGCTGAATTTAGATATCAATACTCGAGTTGAATTTGAAATACCTTATAAATTTATCAATGTTGTTCCTTTTTTCTTTTTTTGAGCCAAATTATCAAAATTCTAAATTCTTCTTACACAAAACGTACATTGTTCTAAACTTGCATATAAAAAAAGGTTGGCTGTTCTAAGAGGTTTACATACAGTTTTAAAATAGAAGATCGTAAAAATGGGGTGTAAGGCTACAAGATCTTTCGGAAATTCGGAATACCCCTTACATTCCGAAGATTGAACTTTTGTTTCAAATTTAGATGTCATATTATACACTCTTTTGCAACTATCTTAATACTAATTATTGATCCATCTCAAAACTGAAATTTTTTCAGTTTGATTATTTTATTAGTGATCCTTCAAACAAGAAACATTGTCTTACAACTGATTTATAGTTTTTAAATAACTTAACTTGCCACTATTTTATAAAATTTATTTCTTAAAAATTTAATCTTCGCTCTTGACGCTAAAAAAGTTTAAAGCTTAAAGTTTAAAGCTTAAAGCTTAAATTTACATGCAACTTTCAACCAATGAAACCTTACAAAACAACAGTTATAAAGTTCCACTAGTAAATTTATTCGTAAAATCACCAGCCTGAACTTTAGGAACATGTAGTTGTTTAGTGAGACATCTCTAAGTTTCAGCTTTTGGCTATTTTTAACAAGTTTAGGATCCCTTAATTTCAACTCATATGAAAAAGCTTAATTAGATTTGTTGTAAATAACTTTCCAGAGTGGGTAAAACTTTAAACGTAGGAATATTAGTATCAACTAGAGAATTGGGATGATATGGAAATTCATAATATCATTGAAAGACTTGAATCTTCATAACTTGTTCAATATGGAGTAAAGATTAATCGGTTTGAAACATGGTTTCAGATTTAATTTCAATTTAATGTTAAATATTTGTGCCTCTAGTCATTCGGTTTTAAATTTTAAATATTAATTAATAAGATAAGAAGATTTAATGTTTTGATTTTCAATACAACCTTCCGAAATAAATTTTAGTTCGATGATGCCCACTAAATAATTTTTTATCGTATTACACCCCCATCAAAATCGTGTTAAAATTTGGTTTTTATTGAGTAACAATAAGTGCATAATAATTAACTATTGAAGACTAACAAAATCTTGTATATAATTAAAGTGAAACAACATTTGGAGTAGAATTTGATTTTAATCAATTATACATCAAAACTTGTCTCACTTTTATCTTCTTTGTTCTCTGGTATCTTGAAAAATTTATCAATTGATATAAATATATTTCAATATCACTCAAGTAATTTTATGAATAAATCTTCTTTCCCTGTTTCTTTCTAGAATTAAAGTAAGAACCAACTACTATTTCAATAACTTTCTAGTCAATAAAACTAGAAAATTCATAGGTATGTAATAATAATTTTCATCGTCAATTTTAATCCAGCAAATCCAACAAAATAAAATCATTAAATTCATCCGGTTAGAGATTTAACAACGATTTCTTTAATAATACAATTTGTAAAAATGGAGAATTCTACAATTGAAATATAAGAAAGCAAAGTCTCATAAAATAATTGCAAATTTCATTAAGCAACTTTTAGAGAAACTTTAAAATAAAAAAAAAAAGCTTAGTAGTGGCAAATTGTTAAATTTAAAAAAGTTAAATTCTTTAATGAAGGCTCAAAATAATTTAAAAAGTTTTGGGCTAAAACTCATTCATTTGCCATGATTTTAATTAAGTGTATCAAATAATTATAAGTCAGTTAAATCATCATCGTTAATTTCAAAATCAATTGATTCATGTTTCTATATTTAAATAAATTTAAGACAAAAATTAAAATAATAAAATTTAAAACACAAAATCTCAATACACAAAAACAAATTTATGTAAATTGAACAAAAAGGAATAAAATTATGAAAAGATTTACAAAATTGGGAAAACAAATTATTATGGTTAGTAGAATAACAATATTCTTATTGTCACTAATCTACTTAAATTTGAAATATTGTCTTAGAATTTTAAATTTAATTAAATCTTAAATCATGTCTTAGAAAAAGAAAAGAAAAATAAAAAAATAAAAAAAAAAAAAAAAAGTTAAATAAAAAAAGGGAATCAAATTTAAATCACTTCAAATTTTGACAAACAAATAATTTATTCATTTATTCATTCATTCATTTATTCACTCATTTTTATATTTATCAACATATCCAACTAAATTGTTTCCAAAGTTCATCAAACTCATGATTTAATTATTAATTTCAAATAATAATTAAAAAATAAAGTTTAATTTTGACATATTATATTTCTAGATCTGTCAGGGGGTAGAAGTTTCAAATTTCTTTACGGATAGATTTTACAGAGTTTTGCATAATTTTACATTTGATTTTAATTGTATGATAGAATTTGGATTAATCAGGACTAATTATTGAAGAGGAGTCATTTTACTAACATTTTTAAGTGTAGATTTTATTAAATTCATATTACAAATTTTCAAACAAAGAAAACTTTCAGATATAAGATTATCATAAATTAAATCAAAGTATTAGTTACAAACAATAGAAGTTATTTCACGTAACATACTTCAACTTTACAACCTACATATTTAACTTATTTTTCACAAATTTAAATCATATTAAAATGTCTGATATACTACCAATTTCCTGTATATCTTGCAGAAGAAGAAAGATTAAATGTAACAAGAAAAAACCTTGTGATCAATGTAATAAAAGACAATTAGTTTGTGAATTTCCTGCTACATTCAGAAATATAAAAATTACAGAAGATGATTTTAAAGAGGTTGAACAAGAAACTAATAATCAACATCAAAAACTTAAACAATCTCCTAAGAATATAAATGATCAATCAAGAATACTACATAATGTTTCAGATCCACAACATCAGCATCAACAACTACAGCAACATCAACAACAACATCAACAACAACATCAACAACAACATCAACATCAACACCATCATCAACATCATCCACAACATCAACCACAACATCAACATCAACACCAACATCATCATTCCAACATACTAAGTCACCAACACAGTCAACTTCAACATAATCAACAACAGATACAGAATCAACAGCATCAATTAAATCAACAACAGATGAGAAATCATGAGTTACAACAAAGTCTTCTAAATCATCAAAATAATCAACAACAACATCATCACTTACATCCATCTCCAAAACCATTAACTCAAAATTTAAACAGAACTAGTCAAATCGATGAATCAGAAAGTTCAGGTGGTAGTTCAAATTCAATTTTACAATCATCTTCAGAATCAGCTACAAATTCCATATCAACAGATCCAACATCAGTTGATTTACAAAGTGTTAAAGGAGTTGATAGAGTTGGTGATAGTACAGTTTCACCAGAGGCAAAATCAGATACAAATTCAAATTCTCTTGAAGGTAATTCATCAGATTCTTCAAGTACTCCTGCAAATTCAGTAAGTTCATTACCAATACATTCATTAACATCAGTGCCATCATTTCAAACAAGAAGACAGGGCAATGAAGCTGATAATTTCGTAATGATGAAAGAAAATTTTGATATAATGAGAGCTGCAAATTCACAATTATTAGATGAAAATAGAGTTTTAACTCAAAGATTAGAAGAAGTTTTACAAAGAATTACAGTTTCTGATTCAACCCCTCCTTCATCTTCATCATTAACTACTTCATCAAGTGGTGTGAATTCAAATGCAAGTAAAAAACAATCATCAACAGCAAGCACATCAAGTGGTAATAGTGGTGCTAGTAGTGGTAAACGTGATAGAACATCAGATTCATCATCAGAAGATTTACCTTATAAAAAGGAAAAAATTGGGTTTTTTGGCCATTCAAAATCAAGTTTCCCAAATGATTCAGCTAGTGCAAATCAAGGAATGTATTCAACTAATTTAAGAGATGATAATGGAACTCAACCAAAAGAACTGTCAAGTAACTCATCAGGTGGTAGTAGTGGAGATGAAGTTTCTCAACAAATTACTTCAGAACAACAACCATTACCAAGAGAAATAAAATCAACTCAACAACAAAGAAAAATTCATAAATTGAAAAGATCTAAAAATTCAGTTTCTGGTCATGGTGGTGAAACAAATATAAATGATTGGGAAAAAGATATTGATGCTTATCATTATCAAGAAACTATGAAATCAAATAAAATGACTGAAAGAAGTTCAAAGAAAAAAAGATTACCTATATTACCATCATATTTATTAAAGTATGAATCACCAGATATAAGTACAGATTCAGATACTTATCAAGATGTTTTTAGATTAAATTTTGAAGTAATTATGAATTTAGTTTATAAATTTTTTGAAAGAAGTCCATTTTATAGAAGCTTTATATCAGCATCACACGTGGTTGGATTTTTGAAAAATTATGAACTGATCAATGATAGAGATTGGGATAATGATGATGATTTATTATTAGTTTATATGATATTAAGTATATCAATTCAAAGATTGAGTCCAAAAGATTTCGTTGAATTAAATTTATTACCAGCTGGTTCAATAAGTACTTGTACAAAATATAGAAAATATTTAACAAGAAATGTTTTACATAGAGGATTTGAAAGATTAAGAAGTGGATTAATTAATGAATCTTTAATGTCAATTCAATCATATATATTATGTACTGAATGGTATTTCTTGGAACAAAAATATGAAGAATGTTGGACAATGATGTTTCATACTTGTTCTATATCATATTCTATTGGTTTACATATTATGGGAAATTATAGATTACAAGATGTTAAACCTGGTAAACAATTTGGTAATTTAATTAGTGCTACTGCTGAAGATTCAGATGTTAGTGATAAAAAGGAATCATCAGGTTCTGAAGAAGATGATAAAACTCAAGATGAAGAATTAGATGCAAGTAGGTATAGATTATGGTTTGCATTAAAATTTTATGTTTCAGTTATATGTTCAATTTTTGGTAGACCAAATCCAATATCTGTACAAGTCGGAATGTATGGATCAAATAGTGGGTTAGGTTTTGATATACCGAATAAAAAAGCTCATATATTATTTAAAGTTGGAGTTTCAGAATCTTTAAGATTATCAAATTTAATGTTGATTGAAAATTTTATGATTGATTTTACATTACCTGATCTATTAAACTTATCACAAAAGTTTGATAATGAAATTGAATTATTAGAAACTACATATGATGAAGAGATACAAAATAATAGTAGTAGTGGAGGTGATTCAAGTAGTGATGAACAAATGTCAGCTTCAATTAACGATGTTGATTTTTTAATGACTGATGATTTTACAGGTAAAGAATTACAAATTTCGAATTTAGATTTATTATCAGATATTATTGTATTATATATTAATAATGCAAAATTATATGAACCATTTATTAGTAAATTTGAAAGTGTCGACGGTTATGATAAAATAGTCAAAAGTCAGATAAAATCTGTATCCAAGTTCTTAGTATTACTTAATACTTTTGTGGAACAATTTTTGAAACAATACATTAATGATAATTTAAGAGATGTTATTGAAGGTGGTAATAGTAATACAGGTAGTGAGGATGATAAACAACATTCGGAGAACAGCAACAATAACAACAATCATACATATCAAGCATTGAATTTTGGACCTGTCAAATTTGGTAAATTATTCAAGACTTATTATCCATATCTTAATTCATTTATTTGTCAAGGTATAATTGTTGTATTTACATTATTACATTATAAATCAAAAGATTTTGTTGCAAACGATAATTCATCAGATTTAAATAATGAGTTTTTATCATTAATTGAGAACAACTTAAATTCTTTATTAAATTTTGAACAAAGATTATCTACCAAATATATTACAACTTCTAGAATGTGGTCATCAAATATGGTTTATTTAATTAATAGAGTTTTAAATCTTATTAAATTATTACATGAAAAACAAGAAGATGAATCAATTGCAGAAGAATTAAGAAATAGAAAATTAAAATCAACTTCAAAATCTAATGAATCAACTCCTGATAATTTACCAACTAATTTACCAATTACAACTTCTCGTGGTAATTTATCATATTTATTAAACACAAATCCATTTGGTGATCCATCACAATTTGAATATCTTAATGGTTTCCATTTAAATGATCCATTTTGGTTAACGGTACCAGATAATTTACCATATTATTTAGGTTCACCTGGTGAAGATATAAGACAACAAAATAGAACTATAGCTGGATTCAAACAATATGATCCACAAGTAAGAAGTGATAGTATTAATCAAAGATTAAATAATAATTCAAGTACTGGATCAAATTCAAATTCAAGTAATACTTCAAATACAAATACTTTATCACAACAACAATCAGATATGTTTGGATTACAAGGTTATTCAAATTGGAATGATGTAAATAATATGCAAGGAATGAGACAAACTCCAACAAATACTTCATCATCATCAAATAATACTCCAACTGTTAGTAATACTTTAAGTTCAGCTTTTAGTTCTCGTAAAAATGGTCCATTATCAGCTGGTTTACCACCACCAATTTTAACACCAACAATTCAACAACAACCATCTTATCAAAGTGCTGCCCCTTCACAACAACAATTACCACCATTACCACAATTACAATCATCAGCAAGTATAAATCAACCAAATCCTCAACCACCACCACCACAACAACAACCTCAACCACAACAACCATCACAATATATGCCTGGTTTTGTTGGAGGTGGATATATGTTCCCACAACAAATTAGTTATAATCCAAATCAATATTCTAATGATTATTATAATCAGTCATTAAAACAACAACAAAATCAACAAGATAAAATGACTGATTAAAACTTTAATGACAATTGTTTTTTATGTACGGTATAGATGTTTCAAATTTTGGAGAAAACTTAAACATATAATAGTATTAGTTAATGACTTTTTCAATATAAGATTCTACTTTAATTCTTTTAATTTCCATTCTTTATTCTCTGATATAATCGACCAAGTATATATTTAGAAATTAAAATTAGGTTGGACTGTTTAAAAGCCACCGATAGTTAAGCATTTACAATACAAAATTTTGCGAAGCACACCAAAAAATTCATCATATCTCAAGAGACGTTTACCTGACAAACTAATTACTTATACAAATTACATTCAAATTTGCTCAAGCTATCAATTCAAATAAATTTAATACATTCTTCAAAGAAAATTGGAAAATCTTAGGATATCCTCCTCCCATGCTAGAGCCAAAATTTCAGAATTTTTAAATGTAATTTGTATGGTACAAAAATTCACATAAAACAAATTGAAAAAAAATTGTATTACAACGTTCTATATTGTTCAATTCAACTCTATATAATCCATTAACGTAAGTAAGCATAGCTTACAATTTTAAAGAATTCAACACATTCAATTTTTTCTTCAATATATCCAAAGTTACTCCATCCAATTTATCATAATCTTCATTCAAGATAAATTGAATTCTATTGAATTCTAAATTTAGAAATTTAAAATTCTTAAATTGTAAACTTTCTAAAATTGATTTATAAAAATCAACAATAGAATCATCAACTTCATCGATTTTAAGATAGATTTGTTCAAAATTCTTATTGTTTAAATTTCCTGAAATTAATTCATTTATTTCTGGTAATATTCCAGCATCTTTAGTTAAATCACCATTAATATCTCTTGATAATCCATAATATAAATTTATAGAATTCATTAATTTATCATACCTTCTAACATCTCCATTATAAATAATTGGTTTTTGTAAATCATGATTTTTAAAAAATAAAACACTTGGTAAATTTTTAATTTGATAATGACTTATAATTTTTTGACTTTCTTCATCATCAACTATAATTTCTGCAAATTTTAAATTAGGATAATCTTTACCAAATGTTTCTGATGATAATTTTTTATATAAATGTTCGAAGTTTTGACATGCATTACAATATTCTGAACTGAATAAAACAACAAGATTTTGATTTGTTTCAATTGCCTTTTTGAACAGTTTTGAAGTTAATTGAATTATTTTATTATCTTCATCTTCAATATTAACATCTCCATCTTTTGACAGTATCGGTTGAATTTTTCCGTCATTATCAACAACATCTATTGGTTTATCAATTTGTTCATCAATGTCTTTATTTAATCTAATCCCACTTAATTGTTGAATAAAATTACTAAAACTTTCTAAATCTCTACTACCTTGAAATTCAGTATATTTCCCACTATCATCAAAAAATAATAATGTAGGATAACCAATTTCAACATATTTTTTACTTAATTTTTTACCATCTTTATCACCATTTATTTTTAAAATTTGAATTTGAGGATAATCTTGAAATATATTTGATAATTCATCTATTGTTGGAGATAATTTTTTACAATGTCTACACCAATCTGCATAAAAATCAACAAATGAAAATTTACCTGGGGTTTTAATTAATTTTTGAAAATTTTGATCATTTGCTTGTATTATTTTTGATGATGAATATGATGCTATTACTAATGAAATAAAACTGAAAATATATAGTACTATTGATAGTAGTTTCATGTTTTTATAGTATGATGTTGTATAGCTAGTTAATTGATCAAATCAAGCTGGGGAACGAATCGCAATATTGTTGAATGTTTGTTTGTTCAAAGATATAGGTTAAAGATCAAACTGTTAATAATCTTTATATACTATTGTTGAAATATTCGTATATAATTAATAAGGCACCAAACTAAAACGGTTATAAAAAAAGTGCGTAATTCATTCAGACAGCGAGACAGCGCGTTTTATGAACTACTACATTTCGGAGTTTTAAATTTTTTAAATTTTAGCGGATTAAATTTAATTTGGACCTTATTTGATTAGAAACTTTAAAGGGATAATTATTTTCAACCTTAATAAGCCGTTACAGTTTGATTTCAATTCCTGCGATAATCAATCTCTTTGTAATAAATATTTATATTTGCAAGATAAAACTATAAAATCGTATAAGGGAACCTTGAAAAATCTAAGATTGAAAATAAGAATTATTATAAAATAAGCCATCATGATACCGTATGCCCTCTAGTTTCTAAACAATTCACCAGATATCAAGTCACAAATACTTAAATTCATAGTTCAGCAAAATAAAAAATTAAATAACATTATCTATATCACATCAACCACCCCACCTAAAATCTTAATTAGCAACAACATTACTAGCTTCCTTTCTTTTATCTTCTCTATAATGATAATTAACCCATCTAAAACCCTGACCCAATTGAGCAATTTCATTAACAAAATGACAACCAAATAATAAATAATTTTTTGGAGTAACAGCTAATGAATATCTCATAAATACTAAAGAATATAAAATTAATGAACCAGTCATTGGACCTGAAATTAAATCAGGATTTTTTTTTAAATCCATTATTGCTGCTATTGGAATACCAAAATTAGATACTGGTCCCCAAAAATGGGTTGTACACATATATTTTAATGATTGTTTTGAAAATAAAAAATCGAAAAATTTTTTAGCACTTGACATATTGAATATATTTATGTTGATGTAACTTAGGTGATATATAGAATGTTGAAGTTTGAGTAAATTATATAAAGTATAAGGTCTCTTATAATTTAACTGTTTAGGAATGAACAGTTTAGTATAATTGTTGATCAAAATTGAAAACGAAATATTTAAGTTTATACAAAATTGAAATCTAAATTGAATAGTTATATCAGTATGATCAAAAATTGATTAACGAATAAGTTGAAGAATATTAAAGTGGTGAATAAGTAATTGATGACTTAAAATACAACAATGATTGGTTTAAAATATTTTTATTATCTCGGTATTTGATGGAATAAGTTAAGTATTGAATTATATTTTAATCTAAAATGATAGTAAATTTTTTTTGTTGAAATTTAGGAACCCCAGTTTGTAATAAAAAAATTATAAATTAAATATATAATAGAATACGTACAAATTGAAAAGTAATTAGACAATATATATTTGTACCAATAATTTCACATTAAGGTCAATCGCCAGAGGACGTAATGTAGAATGCTCGTGCAATGGTGATACTAAAGCATTTTTATTTGTATCCTTACCAAGTACCTATAAATTTGAACTTTCTAATATTTTGGGTTTCAAAATTTTATAACCGATTATGAATAATTATCTATAATTTCGAACCAACCATATTTAGTGAGTTAAACTAAATCACGAAAGTCTTTATGCTACGACTTCAAATTTTTGGGTATCACTCTATTGAGAGATGAATTTTCAGTATATACAATATATATTTCTACAATTTTATTCAACGTTGAATCATCATGAATAAAATTTTTTATTATCTTTTAAACAGTTCTAAATACAATTAAATACTTTTTCAACTTATTCTAATTTATTCTTATTTTTCAATTTTTCAATTTCATCAACAGTTTTTTGAAAATTAGGAGTATTTTCAAAAACAACTTCTTTTTCAGGATTTATAGTAACATAACTTAAATAATCTTGTGGATTTTTATTACCTTCAAACTCTTTCGTATTTAATTGTTGATAAGTTGGTAAATTTTTAATTGACTTGGTGGTTGATTTAATTGATGATGATTGAATTAAAATATTTCTTGGACCTATAATTTTAACAAATTCTGAATTACCTAATAAAAAAATATTTAATTTAGTTTTGCTATAATTATAATAGTACCTAATACTTTTAACAATATTACTTAACACAATTAAAGTTTTTTGATATGAAATTTTAATTTGATCCCATGCAGTTGGTTGAACTAAAACTGGTTTATTTGAAGGGACGGCTTCATTACTCAAAATAACAACTTCTTTAGGTTTTTCAATTTTTAATTTATCCAAATTAGCAATAGTATTTAAATTAGTAGATAATGAAGTATCACAAACAATACAATTTTCTAAATCAAAAGGTCCATTTACAGTTATAGCCAATATGGATTTTTTATTTATAAGAATTTCTTCACCTTCTGCCAAATTTAAAGAATAAATTCCACCATTACCAATTAATGCAATTTGACCTCTACCACTAACAAGTTTATAACCTCTATTTAAAAAAGATTTTAATCCAGTTTCAATCCTTCTAATGTTTAACTTTTTAGATAATTGTTTTGATATATATTTTGGAATTGAATGTAATGTTATTAATAACGAATTCCCAGTATATACTTGTATTGAATTATTTTGTAATACTGCCCAATCTGTTTTACCATCAATTATCAAATTAACAAACGTATTTTGTTGTGTTGTTTTAGTAGAAAAACTAACTAATACCGAGAAAGGAATAGTTGATATTAATTTTTGATAAGTTTGAATTTTTCCCCAATACCATAACAGTGACCAAAAATGAGGATATTCTATAGTATTTCTAATATTTTGAATATGAGATTTATTATTTATATAATTTTTTAATCCATATATTGATAATAATGAACCTCTTTTTAAAAAAATGGGCACTGATGGTGGTGAATCTATTGATAATATTGTTGGTGGGATTCCAATAGTTTTAAAATGAGCAGTTTCTATTGTTTCATAAGGAACTAAAGTATCTACATTTTGAATATTTTCTAAATTTGTTGTTGTTTGATTTAATTGATCTTTTTCTTGATCTTGATCTTGATCTTGTTGTTGTGTTGATATTTGATTTATTGATATATAACGTCTTTGTTGTCTTTGAAATGTACGTAGATTTAGCACTTTTGAGTGGTTTATAATGTAATTGATACTTCTATTTCGTATCATGACGAGAAGTTGGTGTAGTTGTGGGATTTTGATTAAATTATGGTTTAAATTTCGGTTAATTAAATTTAGGTGAAAAAAAATTATTGTTTCAAATATTTGCGACCAATTGGTTGAAAAATTATTATATTGTTGCAAAACAGAGATAAATTAATTAAACAATAAAGTTTTACCAGTATTAACGGAAGGTGATAAAATGATAAATTAGTACTAATAATAGAAGAGAGTCAATTTAATATACATTTTATTCAACAATAAACAAACTAAAAGAATAAACAAACTTAATAATTTTAAAACTCAAATGATAAACAACAATGCGATTGGTAATAATTTTCTCAATTATAATAATGATACTAAATTAACCAAGTTTAAATATTCATTTGTTAACTTTGTTTTTGCTTTTCAGTAGCAATTGCATCTTTAATAAATTTAAGAAATCTATCACCATAAGGTTTTGAAGGTATAGCTGATATAGTATCTTTAGGATAAGCAAAAGATTTGAAGAAAGTTTCCAACCTTTTCTTTAAGGAATAATCAGTTAAAAAATCAATTATACTTAAATAATAAATTTCTCCTAATGGTAAATTTTCAATATTTGTTGCTCTTATACCTCCATCATGACCATAAAAAATATATTTTGATCTACCTGGAAATACATCAGTTGGTAAATCTTGTGATCTATCTAAATCTCTTGGATTTGTATTTATAATTGCTGATTTATCAGTTGATTTTGGTTCATATACTGATAATTTTGTACCTAGATCATCATAATTACCCTTTTTAACATCATGTATACCCAATAATAATGAATAATCCATTACATTAACTTTTTTCAAAAATTCAACATCTTTTTTCAATTGATCTAAAAATAATTTTCTTTTATCTGGTCCAAATTTAATTTTCTCTTTATTTTCTAACCAATTTAAATCTTTTAATGTATACTTTGATAAATCATGTTTTTCTAAATCTTCTGGTGATACTTTAGTAATTCTACCACATGTTGAACCTTTTAAATCATACTTTAAATGTATACCTCTATGAGGTGGGAAAATATTATTCATAACTATAAAATGAACTTTTTTAGATTTTCTACCAAACATTGACATTTTTATTCTATGTAATCCATAAAATTGAGATAATAATGAATTTGGATTATTTTTAACATGTAAATAATATGGTTTTAACATTTTCATTAATCGTCTATGTTCTGAATGATGTATTGTTTTAATAATAAATCTAAAATCTCTTGAATAGTAGAAAAAGCTTCCAGATTTACCAGGTGATCCCAATTCTGATAAAATAACTTTTGCTGTGATTGAAATTAAGTAATCAGCTTGATTGATTCCAAAAATATTTCGTAAATCTTTAAAAACTTCAGGACAATAATCTTTAAATTTAAAATCAAATTTAGAACTTGGTGTTAATTCACTACCTTCGAAGTTAAAGTTTAATTTTTGATAATTTTTAAAATCTTCATCATTCAATTGTCTCATAACTCCTGATAACCTACTAACTGCAACTCTTATACCGGTCAACATATTATAAGCCATTACAAAATTTGCATGACCTTCACTAATTTTATTTCCAATAACAACTTTGTCATCATCCATCATGTTGTATTTTTGTCTTTTATGATGATGTTTTTTATTGAATAATGTATCATGATGTGTGGTTGATGGTTTTTTAGTTGGTGCTGGGAAAGTTTTACTTTGTTGTGGTCTTTCAAGATTCAATGATTTTCTTGATAAGTTTGTTGATGCATCAATACTAAACTTAGTAGTTTTGTTATTATTATTACTTATTTGAGATGATGTTGATGATCTTTTTTGTATTGGTGCAGGTGATGTATGTCTACGACTAGTAATGGGTTTGTCTAAAGAAACATTTGTAACAATATTGGGTTTACTTGGTTGATCTTTTTGTTCATTTTCTACATTAGTAAGATTTGATCTTGATAAATTAGATGACTGATTCTGATTTTGTGAATTTGATTGAATTGGTTGCGGTTCTTTTTGTTGTTGAGAATAAAATTTATTATTATCAAATTGGGGTGGTGAGTTTTTGATAGTTGAGTTATCATTGTTATTGATTTCGTTTGATGTAGTTGAAGATTGAATAAAATTGGGTTCTGATTGTAGTGGACCAATATCATTATCTAATGAAACTCTTGATGGTTTGATATTAGTAGAATCAGACTTATTGTTGAAATCATTAGTATGAAATTGTAATTGAAATTGAAATTGAGGATGTTCACCAGACGGAGTATCAATTATCCTTGAATTAATTATAGTAGGTTGAGTATTGGATTCTAATTCATCATCCAAATTATCAATTGATGATGGTGTTGTATCATGAGATAAATCAGAAACTTCTGACCTTGAACCTTTAAATGAAGTTGGTGTTGATGGTGAATTATTATTTTGATTTTCATTATTTATTAATTTATGAGGACTATGAAGTTGATTATGATTTTCCAATTGTAAGTTATTTGAACTAGCATTTTTGATGGCATGACTATGTAATATTGGGTATTGATCATTTGATTTCGATGATGATAATGAATTTGATTGATTCAATAAATGATTATCTTCTTGTTGCTTTAAATTTTTCGAAGTTAATAATGGTAATTTTACAGTCTCATTTGTTGTTGTAGATTGTGAATAATTTATAGTTGATTGAGCAGAATTGTTGTTGTAAATTGATAATGAATCATCAGGATTATGATAATTTTGATGAATTTGATGATTTAAAGAATTTTGATAAGAATAATTATCATCTTTGTTATTATAATCATTTAATACTAAGCCATTTGCATACGTTAAAGATGATTTTATTGATGATTTTTTTGGTTTTTGATTAAGATAAGTAATACCCAGTGTTAATTCTTCATTCAATATAGATTTATCATTCCCATTTGTTAATGATGAAGTTGATATAGAATTTGGTGATAAATTTGTTTTGATTGGATTTAACGTAGGTGATGAATTTAATAAATTTGTTTTACTACTCCCCTTTTCCGTTGAATCTATTTGAGAAGTTGTAGATAGTTGAATCATATTAATATATAAAACTTTTTACCTTCTTTGTTGATGTTGTTATTTATAATGTATTATAATGAATTTTGTTATGATGATTTGAAATTAAATGCTTTTTATAGTTAATTAATTAGTAAATTCATAAATGTGGTATTGTTATTATAAATGTATATATTCTGATCCTTGATTTCGTTAAGTTAAAAAGGTTTGATTAAGTCCTGTTGATTAGAACTCGATAATTAAATTAAAGAAATTTTGGTTGCCTTTTTTCTTTTAAATTATTGATAAACAAAAAATTTATTTTTTAATTTATTTATGTATTTATTCTATTATTATTATTTCTTTTTTTTATTAACTACTAAACTTATTACAATACAAAATTTGAAATTTTCAAATTATTTAACTTTAAAATTAATTTTTTAAAATTAAAACTAATAATTCAAATGGAATAATCAATTAATATTTAATATTTAATATTAATGAATGATAATAATGATAATATAGTATTGGTAATTACTATATAAAGAAGTAATACTACTACAAATCAATTTATTTATTAATGATTAATATTAATATATCCAAGAAAATATTATATAATATTTCTGTGATTATTCTAATAAATATTTATCCTTTTAACAAACGTATATTATATAGTCTAATATATAATTAGAGTATGAATATATTATAAATGACGTATAATAAAATTATTATTAATAATTGAACTTTATATTATTAGCTTATTATTTATACTTGACTAATTTCTTATTTGTTGAATTTTTCATACGGCTGAGTTTCAACTATGCTTAGACGATAATTTGTTCACAAATTTTATAATTATTGAAAAACATATCAAGAAAAGGTTAATAATTAGAAATATACAATTCTAGAGTAATTTAGAATATTCAGAGAATAGATCAAAATTGTTGATTTTGTAACTTTAAATATCCTCTATTTTTCCATACTAAATAAACACAAAAGAGTTATCAAATTACACTTCGGAATTGAGACTTCTTCTTTGTTTTGGATGATTGAGTTGTATGAATAAAGAATAAATATAAAAGATCAAAGCCAAACAAATGTCTAGATGTAATATAGTTTCGCTATAACATTAGTCCTTCCCCCCTCCTCCCCCTGTATAAGATCCAATTAACTTTTTTCCTGTATAAGATGTCCAACTAATATTTGGTATAAAGAAATTAAGTACTAGACTGCAACCAAAAGGGATAAAAAGAAAAGACCAATAAATCATTTACAAACCAAATTCATTCAAATTAATTTGTAGGCTTTTAGCTTTTTGAATATTTGCCAACAAATATATTAATTTTTCAAGGAAAGATTAATAAGATCTATTGAAGATTTAAATTTAAATAGTATGCATTGGATCTTGATTTGATTGAATCTAAATCTCAATCTTATACGAAGGGCTAAAAATTACAATCATCTATTAAATGCAAAAATTTTTTTTTTTCCATATCAACCTAAGTACAAGATCATAAAGATAAATTTAATATTATTAAATTTTTAATGTTTAAATGATAAAATTCTATATTAAGTTGTAGCCAGACTATTCTAAGGCTTTAATTTAAAATTTTCACATTTTAAAATCTCGATCGATCCGATTAAAAAAATTATTTTTCCGAAATCTTTTTGTATTACTAAAATTATTAATTACATAATAATAAAGAATAAAGAATAAAGAATAATAATAAGAATAGATTAAATAGATAAGTTTAAAAGTTTATAAGATATCTTTATTTATTCTCATCCACATTGAAACGGTTTTTAATTAATTCCGTTTCTTATTTATTTATTCATTTCATTTTATTTATTTGTTCAATTGTTCATTTATTTAGTCGATAAATTTATTTCATATTTATTATCAATCATTTTATTATATTATAATTTATTTTTTACATCATCATCATATATTCATATATTTAGTATTTCATTTTCAAGACAAGAACATAGCAATATTAATTCAATTCAATGACAATATTAAACAAGATTCTTAATTTAAAATTATCAAATAATGATAATACATCATCAACATCATCAACAACTCCAGAATCAATATCATCTCCATCAACACCATCATCAACATCAATAGATCAACATATTATAGATTCAGGTTTTGAAATAAGTGATTGTTCAGAAACTTGTGAAGATTGTACTTTTCATTATCCAAAATCATTAAAATTTGAAGAAAATGAACCATTATGGCATTCTACAAAACCTTTTGGTTTACATTTAAATATATCAACTGGTAAAACAGATTGGCCTCATGATGCTACTGGTTTAAAAGGTACTTTATCAAATAAAATTGCAAATTGGGCTTCTGAAAAATCAGGTAAAACAAGTATTGGAAATATTAAAGTTACTTGTTCTTCTTTAGGTAATGATGAATTATTAATTGATGATGAATATATTCAACAAAAAAAGGGGGATGTTTTAATATTACCTTATTTTTTATGGATAAAAGGAATATATATTGATGAAGTTGATGAAATTTTTAATAAATTATTAAATATAATTGATGAAAATAATTTATATAATAAACAAACAAATCAACAACAAGAACTTAAATTTGAAACAATAAAACAACAAATTCCAACAATTATAGAAGATGAAAATAAAGCATATGTATTATTTTGTTCTCATAAAACAAGAGATAAAAGATGTGGAATAACAGCACCAATAATGAAAAAAGAAATGGATTTATATTTAAGAGAAGTTGGTCTTTATAGAGATTTTGGAGATTTAACTCCTGGTGGAGTTAAAATTGCATTTATAAATCATATTGGAGGTCATAAATTTGCTGCAAATGTTATTATATATTTGAAAAATACAGGTCAAAATATTTGGTTAGGATTATGTAAACCAAATAATGTTAAACCAATTGTTGATCAATGTATTATTGGTGAAGGAAAAGTTTGGCCTGTTAAAGTTAGAATTTTACAAAAATTTAATCCAATTGAATGGTAATCAATCAAATATTTGGATATATATATGAGGTTTTAAAAATGAATAGTGTAGATCAATTTTATTCAAATTACAACTTATATAAGTAAAAACAATAAGTACCTAAACAAATTATAGAACAATTAATAGAGCTTTAATACATGATTTTATAATAATCCAATAGACTATCAAATCAAAGTTGACAATTTTCTTACAAACATTGATTTTATTTGATCAGTAATTTTAGATCTAAACGATAGCTTTAAAACGCCTTAATCCGAGAAATGACATTTCTTGCTTTAATGGAAGTCAGGATACTAATAAATACGAACCCAAGTATTCTTGAAGCAATGTATAATTTACTAAGGCTTGAATCAAATGTATAATATCTATTTCTCATGTTAAATTTAGTGACTTCCGGACTATTTTGTTAATAATAGAAATACAAGCCGAAGATCCTGTTCAAGTTAAGTAATTTAGTTGTAATTTTTTGGGGTCACTAGAGGTGAAAACACAGCATTGACTATTTGTTTGCTTAACATTTACGTCTACCTTCTTCAAATGCTAACATTAGTCAAACATGAACTTTTAAAACAACATAACAGCATGCAAGGATGTACAATTTATGTTCTACTAAACCTAAAGACTTATAATTGGTTCAATTTTTGCCAAAACCGTATTATTTCAAGCTCAAGAAGAAGAAATGTTTAACAGAATTGTCAATTATTTCAGAATTTGAATAAGACCGTATACATTTTAGGTTTTGTGTAACATATTTGTTTTTGTGTGATTTTTACCTGAAAAATGTGTTGACTAAGAACTTCAATATCTCAGCAACTATTGAATATACACAGCTAAAATACGTGATATAGACTCCTCAAAACAAGGGCTATCTAACGCAATGCTCAGAACGTCAAAATCCCAACATTTTAATATTTTCGTACAAAATTAAAGTTACACATAATCTAGAAAAAAACTGACATACCCCTCCTTCATTTGGGAGCGTCAATTGCAAATTTATTAGGGGAAAGCATATCAAAAAAATACCAAGTTTGCAATTTCAGCAAGATTTCCAGTTTAGCACTCTACACGAGTTGTAAAGAGGTCAACTATATATAGATAAGCTTAATGGTAAATCTATAAGGTTAATAAGTTGTAGATCAATTATAGTCATTGTTTGAGCATTCAAATAGATCCATTTAGTTCAATGAAAATGTAGAACGATTTGATTTACCAAAACTGATCACCAAACTTGAGAACATGAATAGTAAGAACAAAAGGACATTCAATTTCATCCCAGTCAATGATATAGATACTTTACTTTGTGCTAAACTGAAAGACAATGTGAAACTTTATGGATATTTAATTTGAATATGCTTTTGCTGCCCCCTAACAATTTGCAATTGACTTTTTTGGTTATTCTGTACTGTTAATCAAGTACACAATCAACAAAAGATCCTTTTACTATTTCTTCACCCAGCCAGTAAGTATAGTAAAGTATCAATCTTGATTGTTTTGGTTGTTTTGCTGTAGTTGAATCTGCTTGTTAATAAAATTTAAAAAAAAGTGAGTATGAAGTTATTTACGTACCGAGAATCTCATATTGACTAATTTATTAGTGAATTTTTATCATTTGACTAATGCTTTTTAGTCTTCAGCTGATTGATCGATCAATTGATTGAGTGGTTGTTGTTTGAAAAGAAAGATATGTTATTAAAAGTTATAAAAAATTTTAAAATTGATATGCTTAAATATTGCAAAACAATAAGTAGTGTGCTATTTCCAAAATATAAACTATAATAAGAATGGTTGCAAAATAGTTTCAGCAAAATAATACTTACAATGAGAATAATTAAAGACTTATAACTCTAAGAATTAATGAACTATTGTTCATTAGGCTCCATGTAAACATTCAATATCCGAAAAATCCAGAACCTGTGCAAAGTAAAAGACAATTTAGTATTTATATTAACCAAGTATACTCAAACAATAGTACATGAAGAACCAATAGAGCCAACACCAACTTCTTTAGCCTAGTTACCTTTACCAGCGGCTAACTTTTCAGTACTGGTCCCTGCGTTTTTGTTGTTTGCTTGTTGTTGAGCAGCCATTTTTAATATAAAATTTAGTGCCTACTATTGTAGTTAATTTATTCAACTTGAGCCTGATTGAATGAGGAAATAGAATTGCATTCATATTTTATTAATTTGACAAACTCAATTCATCAAAAATTTTAACTGATAAATACATTACATTAGCCAATAATTGTTTTAGCAAAACGTTGTGATGCAGATTTAGCTCTTGTTCTCAACTAAATTTTAATTTTTCTTAATCAGGACTTGACAATAAAGAAAATACCCCAACTCAATCAAGTCCTCATGGACAATTTGGATTTTATTGACAATTGACAATTTAATGAAGGTGGCGTGTTATTGTTCTTTGATCGCTTTAGACACTTAACTATCATTAATAATCGACTCTGATAATATCTTACTTTTGTAATACCATCTGCAACCTTATTCATTCTCAGCTTGAATGGGACTTGACAATAGATGATATATGCCTTTGATCATAAACATGTTAATAGTCAAGATGATAAAATGAAGTGTCCAATATTTTGTCTTGATCATCCAGTCATTAAAGTATACTTTTAGAGATCTATAATTCGTCCATTAATTAGCTGTAATCAGCAAAATTACGTTGAACTCCTTGCATATAATATAATTGTTGAGAGTAGACCAGATTGTCGATAAACATTTTAAAAAGCTTTAAAGGAGATATCTTTCTTTGATGACACTGAAATGTCTCTAACCTTATTACAACGGCTTTTGACTAAAAACGATGCAGTATTTGACCATACTAACGCCTATGATGGATCAGGAGTTATGCCCCAAACATTTTACTATGTAAATCAGTGCTCGTAAACTCGTATGCCATTTACTGGATATTCTCATAGGTATTTGATTGTAGATTTGTTGAAAAGTGTTGATAACTCTGGAAAGGATAAACACATGCGGCTTGAATTTTTCAGTGATTCACCATCTGGCTTCTTCAAAATTTTATACCATAGTATTCAAGTTGAATTTACCTAAAGAATATGAGACTTGTACTACAAAAAGTGAAGAATGCTTCAGTAACAGTGGACAATAAAATCATCTCATCGTATGTTTTAACGGAGATCTACAGATCTTCAGATCTAGTTCCCCACATTTCATCGAATGGATACTAACTAAATCCAACAGAATAGGTAATGGTTTAATGCTATTAGTCGGTATTTCAACTTCAGATACACAAGAAGATGTATCAAAGTTAAGCAAGAAAATACTATCATTAAGAGTTTTTGAAGATATAACGAAAGAAGCAGGAACAAATACAGAATGGGTAGGCAAACCATGGTCAAAATCAATAAAAGATATTGGAGGTGAAATATTATCTGTTAGTCAATTTACTTTATATGGTACTATAAAGAAGGGAAGTAAACCAGATTTTCATAAAGCTGCAAAAGGTGAAGATGCTATAAAATTATATACTTTATTTTTAGATCAATTGAAAGATGGATTGGGCAAAGAAAAAGTAAAAGATGGTGAATTTGGTGCTATGATGGAAGTAAATTTACAAAACTCGGGTCCTGTCACAATTGTTTGGGATACACAAGATTCAATATTATAGAGTTGCATATGTAAGTTGAAAATGATTTTACATTATAGACAATAGATTTTTGTAAGTAGTACCCATAATAAAATGTTTAGATTCTGATCAACTAACAGGATTAGTATGGAATCTTACTTATTGTAAGCATTTTTATATGAACAACTTTTCTAATATCTTTATTTATTAATTAATACAAAAATCTACCTATATAGCATTACTTACACAACTAAATGGTTTACCATACAAACTAGCTTGGTAAGACCAAATAATACTTTGAATAGTAGCATATAACCCTGGTCCCAATATATAAACACCCAAAGCGAAAATAATAATATTTAATATAAATTCACCTTTTTGAATTAAAGAAGATCTTTTGAATAATTCAACATATCCAATTTTTACACCTTCCTTTTTATAATAATATAATTTTCTTAATTTGAAATAAGCTAATGCCCAAAATATAAAACCAAAAAAGCAATCAAACAATGAACTCATTAATGATAATAAATCACTGAAAAATGGAATGACTTCAGCTATAACAAAAGCAACACACCATAATACAAAATTCAATAAAATCCAAACACCCCATCCAAGCGCTGTATGTTCATTTCTATGTCTACTTGATTTGTTAAATATTTCTTGAAATAAGAATTGTGACGAAACATTACTATACAATGAACCCAAAAATAAAATAGTAGGCAATGCAAAACTGAATGCTATTTTTTTAAAATTACCAGTTAATGAACCAAATGCTGGTGCTGTAATATATGCATTACCAACATAAACATAAACGATAGATCCAGCTAAAGCGAAAGTGATTAATTCACAAATAGTAACAACAATTAAAGCTTTTCTAAATTCTCTTGGTTTTTTCATTTGTGAAATGAATGAAGGATAAGTAATTTGTCCAACAAATGTATAAACAATGTTTAAAACTGCTGACATTATATCAACGTATTTTGCACCAGGTGCTGGCCATGCAGTCCAATGAACTGGAGTTGCAGGATCAAATTTATAAGGGTGAGATTGAATACCTGCAAATATCATTGCTAATAAAACTGCAATAAACATAGTGACTGCTGAAAAATATCCAACACCAGACATATGACTAAAAGTTCTTGGTAACGATAATAAAAAACATATGATTGCAGTTACGACTCCAAAAACAATTGAACAAATTGTAGTATTATCACTAATAGTATTCCAATATTTTGCACCAACTAAAACATGTAAAGCTTGAATCAAAGTATTGTTTAATAAAAATGCAGCAGCGGTAGCGTACCAGACCCATTTTGAACCGAATATTAAATGTTGACCAATATCACATACATTAGTTAAATGAGGATAAGCTGCACAATAATCAGAAATAATTAATCCAGTATAAAGACACAATAATGAAACGATAACTGTAACTATTAAACCCAAACCTAAACCTAATACGGAATATGACCAAGGAAATGACATTATAGCTAAACATATATATTCACTAAATAGTAACCCTGCGGTTTTCTGCCATGAACAATTTCTATAATTTATATTATTTTGTGCATCTTCATCTAGTTCCTTTTGTAGAAATGAATCTGGGTCAAATGATGATATATCTGATTGTTCAGATAATTCCAATTTTGAATCTTTGACTGATGATGTTGACATGTTTGCTAGAGATTCAACTATTTATGATCTGACAAAGTGTGACTTATTGATGAAAAAATTAGCTAATTTCGTACACCATAACTTCTGGGGAAGATCTTATCTTGTATTTATGTAAAAATAATTTATTGTAAATAAAAACATCTATGGAATTTCCAACTGTTAAACATGGTTAAGATCTTAACCACCTTGCATCAAATTCTATTGTTAATAAAATTTTTTTTCAAAAGAAATAACTTTTTTCATTTAATTTTCTTCATTTGATTAAATTTTAAGATCTTATACATCAAATAATTATTAATTATTCGTAACTAGTAACAAAAACTGAATCTTTTATTAGGTACTGATAATAAACTATGGCTAATGAATATTACGTGATAGCAATCCGTTATTTTATCGCCTTAATTTTTAGTTTAACTCAAGTTTCTTTTAAAAGGTTACGTCAAGTCTTCTAAATCCAAAAACGTCTTTCATTAATGGTATTATTCACGGATATATCCACCAACTATCTTATTAATTGATCTCACAAGATAATTAAAAAGAAAAAGGCGTACAAATTTATTTTAGAACTCGTAAATGCAAATTGAGCGTTTCATAATCGATATCCACAATTTTTGAACCCTTGTGAACTAACACAATTGGACTTTGGTTCCAAATATCTTAAAAATTTGTGCAACAAATTGTATCAATTTCGCCCTGAATCTTTTTAGCAAAAATGTAGATCTCGTATCTTCATATCGAATCTTCGGTATTGAGTCCAATTTTTTACTAGTATTTCAGATCTCAGGGGAAGAGCTTACCCGATAATTGACATTTTCAAATTCGCATGGATATCAGATATTGTGGCTAAAACTGTTTGACAGTTTCATTAAAGTACAGAAAACTTCGACAATTCTCAATTAATTGATGAGAAACACTCGCCCAAGAACCGCCTTTTATAGCAGATGACTTCAATCATAACATTTAAAGATCGTCAGATATGAGCATATTCATTACTAACTTTGTCATGGACAGCAGATTTTAGCTCATGTAATACTAGACTGGTGCATTTGTATAGAACTGTTGCTCCTGTATATAAATTTATTGTACATTTGGTAGTTATATCCTAAATTATAATTACTTACTAACTTTTTTTTATTGGTTTAAAATTTTAACTATGTGAAAAAAATCATAATATAGAGATTGGTCTAATCTATTACAACAAGACACTTACGAACAAAGGTCCCAACAATAAAATCATCACTATTCAACTACAATTAAGACGATATATATCAATTTCAATAAATCATTCAAAGTTATTCAATTTTAATCATCACATAAAGAATTAATCAAAGATGTCAGGAGGACCAGTACCAGTATGGAAAAAATATACAACAAGACCACAAGGTATATGGGAAAAATTGAGACAATTATTAGTGTTAGTCCCAAATAGATCATCAGGTAATCCATTAGTTGCATTATTTAGACAAACACCACCAGGTGAAAGAATTAAAGAAGCCAAAAATTATAAAGATCCAGTAACAATACCAGCTGGGGATATAAAGGGAAATCCATATTATAATCGAGATTATAGAAGAAATTATCCACAATTACATGGTTTTAATCAAACTAAAGTTTCAGGACTATTAAAATTAGGTTCAGAATCAAAACCAAGAATTTCAATTGGTAAAAAAGGAGAAGAAGAATTAATACCTTTTGAAAATCCAAATAAAGAAATAAGTTTAAGCACAACATTAACAAATTTACCTGAAAATATTATAAGGGGAGAAATTTTGGGAAAAGAAGGTGAACCAATTGTAGCACCAAGTTTAAATAAATTTAAATGGGAAATTTTGTCTGAAAATGTATCAGGAATGTATACTGATAAATACCCATGTCGTATGTTCACTGATACAAAAGTTACTGCTTCAAATGCATCTGTATAAGGTTTAATAGAATAAACAGAGACATCAATAAAGACGAAACAATACAAAGCATTTTAATAATGCAATTATTTAATTAATAATATCTCTATTCACTGAATTGTTGATCTTAAGGAAAAGTCGGGCAAGATTGTAGGTAATCCATACAAATTGAACCAAACTTTCAAATATTCAACGGTAAGATCTTTCTTTTTTCCCGCTTTATCTCCTTCGTATTCTAAAATCTCAACAAATGACTGCATATGTTGATCCAATGTACTTGAAGTCTCACAAGGATGTATTTGAAACCAGGGGTTCTGTAGAATATGGTGATCTATCAACAAGTATTCAACTTCTCGGTTCCAGTATAAAATATCATTTACTCCACCTAGATCAAATGATAATTTATTATTATGGTATACTCTGAAATTGAAAATTGGAACATTGTAAAAGCTCTCAAACGATATCGTGAATTCTAGTACTAGATCTATTCCCTGATTGTTTATGCCCAAGTTAACAAACAATATACTCTGATCGTGGTATCGTTTGATCCTACTATTGGTTATTCTAAATTGAACGTTATTGTTGGTGTTATATAAATCATTTATGATGGCATCTTTGAATGTGCTTAAGTTACTACTAAAGCTCTCGCTTGTAATGATATAAGGATTGTCCATATTATGCCTCCTGAGAACTCATATTATCGTACTTTGTAGCTAATAAGGTTTGTAAATCGATTAATCTGGGGTAATTAGTTATCTTGTACCTTAATATTTTTTCAATAAATTATTTCCAGGAGGTAAAAGTCATTTGATGTAGAAAAGCGACCGTGGTAAAGTGGTTCAGTGAAAAAAAGTAGAGATTGCTTGTTGAATACAATCTGTTGATTAACAAAAGTAAACAGAGCTATAGATACTATACAAGCTAATTAAAAAAAAAGCTCCAAAAAAACTTCAAAAAGTAAATCATAGAAAACACTTCCTACTTTCTCCCTCATTCATTTGTTTCGTTAACAACCTTATCGTTATCTTTATTCAACAAAGTATTAGGTTTAGGTGTACTTTCATTCAATAAACCACTTTTACCATTCGCAAATATTTGAGCATTTGTAGCACTTATACTATTTCTAACCGACATTTCTTTCATTCTTTCAGCACTTGGATGTCTCATGGGTATATTACTTGCAACATTGTTTCCACCTAAACCTGATACACCTTTTAAACCTTTTTGTTTTTGCATTGCATAATCTCCTGAATCAAAATATTTTTTGTCATGAAATTTTGAGCTTAATATTTGAGAAGTTGTTGGTAATTTCCCATACATTTTATATATTTTGAGTTCTTGTGGTGATAATTTTGATAAGTCTATGTGTTGAGTGTTTTTAGGTTCTGATAATGGATCTTCCTCTTGATACTCTTTATTGGTTGACATTGCTATCGCGATTGTATATTCGATTAATAAATTGGTGATCGTTTTGAATTGTTTGAGTTTAATATATTGGTTATTATTGAGATAAATTGAAAAGAATTGAATATAATTGAATTGAGTTGAATTGAACGGGTATAAATTAAGAATTGTAAATGATATAAATTGAATGCAATATTTAACAAGTACATTTTTTAAAATTGGGGAGAGAATGAAGTGCGTTTTTTTTAATCAGCCTCACGTACTTTATAAACAAGGCTTCATGTTACAATTACATTGATTCAATGATTAGAAGTACTAGAAAGGGTTTCAAATTTAATTGATTATGAACGAAAGAAGTATTCTTTTGTCTATTAATGCAATGTCTATACTATATACCAAATATTTGCCTTAATAAATCAAATTGAGTAACAATTAAAATCAACAAATCAACAAAAAAGATCAAGAAATCATATAACTCCAAGGGGATAGGTAAATATCTATTAGGTAATTTTGAAATAAATAACTGAAATTGTAGCAGATCATTATCACTTAAATATTTTTCATCATAAGTCTTTCCAAAAAATTCATAATCAATTCTTAAATAAAGGTCTAATTCAGGTTCTTCATCTTGTAAATAATCTGTTGTTTTAATATACTCTTCATTCAATGTAAAATCATAAGGAAATGTAGCTGGCCAACAAAGTTTAATATTGAGTAGATCATTATTTGTAAATATTGAATTATTGTAATTATTAAGTTTTATCAATAGTGATTTTTTAATTGGTTTCTTTGTATTGTAATTCAACGAAATAATGCTAACATCATTAGATAGTTCATTATCAATCGTAGTAATTGGATAGTTTAGTATGAATGATAATGTCGAGTTGTACTCTTGTAATTTATATTGTTGATTTCGCTGCACTAATTTTGATGTTGGTATATTATAGTAATTCGGAATTCTCACTAAAATTGTTTCAGTGTTAGCTAAACATATTGATATAAAAAATACAAGTAATATGAACAGGTTCATTCATATATGTTTCAAATAATTATTGAGGGTAGTAGTAAACTTATATTGTGTTGGTTTTAGATCTGATTATTTTTACTCTCGTATATTTTTTTATTCTTCATCATTTTGCAACCTTTAATTATTACATATAAAATTGTAGAGTACATTAAAGAGTTTTGATGAGAGCTTATTACACGATTAGATACTTTAGCCCGATGTCATTATTGTGTATTATAGATTTCATCGTAGTTTAAAAAATTCGGTTGATTTGCAGGTACTATTATGAAATCTTCATGCGCGGAAAGATAGCCCCCTATGCTAACATTGAATTTTATGAACGGATTAAACTTCTTCCAGTGTGATACAAAGTCTTCACAGTACGACAGCCAATTAATCGCCTCATATCCTTTCAAAAGTATTGTTGAATCCAACACTTGTATTTCAACCTTCCTCAAGTTTTCCTTCGCAATATTGAAATCCGTGTATGGCATCCTTAACAATTCATTCATGGATGTGAACTTCCAGTTTAATAGATATATCTCTTTTAAATTTGGTAAACAATTTTTAGATTTTAATAAATTTTGAAACAAAACCCTATTAATTGAAAGTTGTTGCAGAATCTCCTTAGACAGCATTGTATTTCCAAAATTGATTTTTAAAATCTCTAAGCTTTTTAGATCAAATCTCTTATCATCAGATTCAAATTTTAGCAAGTTAGAAAATCTTTCGGTTTTAATGAAAAATTCAAACTCATAGGCATATTTTAGACTTAATTCATGTAAACAGTTATTGTAATTGAAGAAAGATATTTCAAAAGGATAATCCCAAGCACAATTGTAAAGTGATAAGCTCTCCAAAATTAATACTGGATGAGTAATCAAGCTGGGATCCCAACTTAGTTCGTAATAGGATAAACTTAATTTTTTTAACATCTTGAAGTTACCCAAATGTTCAATATTAAAAATTTTCACGGATCTATCACTATTTCGTATTTCATCTTTGGAATGACGTGGATCATAATGAAGTGTTAAGTCAGTAATTCTATCATTTGCTCTATACTTTAACCACCCACTTGAATTTTTTGTATTTATCACAAGTTTTCTTAACTTATGAAAGTTCCAAAGAAAATCTTCAAATATGTCTAAGTTCCAATCTCCATTCAGATAACTGTCAACTATTCTTATTTGATTTACCACATATTTGAAATGTTTTATTAAAAATGATGAATCATCCGCATTAATTAAATTTGACCAAAAGACTTTAATTTTCCTAAATATTATATTAATCCAATATGATCTAAATTGTTTATTCAAAATTGATAGGTTTATAAAATCCAGTGGTTGAAGATGTGTTGATATCAAATTTATTACATCCGCTGGTAACGTTATTAAAGTCAAGTTATTTGTACTTGAATTATTGGTGCCATCTGTGATATCGTTATTAGATCTATCATTTTTATCATTATAAGTTAGCACCCTCTTATCTATATCTGCTTGAACACTCAGTACATCATTCAATTCCATTTCAAGTTACTTTCATAACCAATCAAATATTGATAACGAAAACGTAAAAGTGAATATATATTTGTTGTTACTTGTTTGAAACGATATCATTAATTTTTTGGAGATACGATAAGTTTCTGATAAATCTCTTAAGCGGTAACGAAGATATAAAGATTTATTAATAAAAAATCACAATACCCCCTAATCAAATCGTGGAGAAAAAAATAAGAGAGAAAAAAAAATTATTAACAACACGAATCATCAATTATTTTTACAATCAATTCACTCAAATACATCAACTATCTACAAAAGGTTAAAATCTTCAATCAATCAATCAATCAATCAAGACTACAGCATTTTACTCAATGATATAGTAACAAATCTGGACTTCGGTAATATTAGTGAAACCAATTAAATTACCTATACATTCAAGAAAACCTTATTGCCACCAAATACATGAAATGAACAAGCTTGAGCAAATTCTTCAAGAGATCCAGAATGACAAATTACTTGAATTTGACCTCAATTATAGTCAATAATATAAAAAATGATATAATAACGAATTTTTTAACAAATATACCATTAATTTTAATACTAAATCCAGAATCCTTTGATCCACCATTTACTAATGGATTTGAAGAGTTTTTATCATTATCACCTTCATTTACTACGACAAACTTACTGAACAATTACGTTGTTTTACTCATAAATATCGTATTTGCTGGATTAGATATTATTTACAGTATATTGAGATTATGTTTAAGTGCAATCTTTATTGGATTATTATTTTCAATTATTGTATTTTGTTCAATTTGGTTTATTGTTACTATAACAAGAAGATGGAAATTGATTACTATGATATTAAGGAATAATGAATTTGAAGGAATATGGTGAGTGTAGTATTAGTTTAGTCAATACATAAATTTAATAATTATTTATGATTTAATATCGATTTTAGGTTGACTGACGAGCTGTCTCATAGTATTTAATGCAAAATCCGATTTAGCGAGCCTGACATTTTCAGCTTCACGTTGCAATAAGTTGTACTTGTTCTTTGATAAAACCCAAGCAATTGTTTTGTCGACAAAGATACAATATTGATATTTTAAAGGTGTTTTTGGTGCTGATTTTAGCACAAATCTCATTTATAGCAAGGATATCAGAAAATCGGCACAAATTGGAGGTTTAGAATCAACTAACGCTTACTTATCCTCTGAAACATAAGAATAAGAACTTGACCGTATACATTTTAAGTTTTGTGTAACCATTTTATTTTTGTGTCATTTTTGCCTGAAATATTAATCAACTAAAAACCTCAATATCTCAGCAGCCATTAGCTCTAAACAGTTAGAAATAAGTAATTTGGACTATATAAAACAAGGGCTATATAACGCGATGCTTAAAACGTCAAAATTCGAACATTTTGATATTTGTATACAAAAATTAAAGTTACACAAAACCTAGAAAAAAAATGACATACCCCATCCTTCGTTTGGGAGCGTCAATTGCAAATTTATTAGGGGAAAGCATATCAAAAAAATACCAAGTTTGCAATTTCAGCAAGATTTCCAGTTTAGCACTCTACACGAGTTGTGAAGAAGTCAACTATGTTTAGACAAATTTAAAGGAAAATCTATAAGGTTAGTAAGTTGTAGGTCAATTGTAGTCATTGTTTGAGCAATTGATAGGTCCATTTAGTTGAATGAAAATGTAGAACGATTTGATTTACCAAAACTGATCACCAAACTTGAGAACATGAATAGTAAGAACAAAAGGACATTCAATTTCATCCCAGTCAATGATATAGATGTTTTACTTTGTGCTAAACTGAAAGACAATGTGAAACTTTTATGGATATTTAATTTGAATATGCTTTTGCTGCCCCCTAACAATTTGCAATTGACTTCCTGGTTATTCTGTACTGTTAATCAAGTATACAATCAACAAAAGATCATTTTACCATTTCTTTACCCAGCCAGTAAGTATAGTAAAGTATCAATTGTGATTGGTTTGAGTTGTTTTGCTGTAGTTGAATCTGCTTGTTAATAAAACTTAAAAAAAATGAATATAAAGTTGTTTACTTACCGAAAAAATCATATTGATATAAGTTATTTTTTATCACTTAACTAATGCTTTTACTTCTTCCATTGATAGGTTGATTGATTATTTGATTGTTGTTCAAAAAGAAAGAAATATAATTCAAAATAAAAATGATTTCTAAATTTGATATGCTTAAATATTGCAAAACTGTAGTGCACTTTTGCCAAAATATACACTAGCAAAAATGGCTGCAAAATAGTTTCAGTACTATCATTGATAGAATAAAAGCATTTACAGACACTTGACTTCACTTATTAATTATTTATTGGTTATTAAGTTATACATAAACCTTCTATATCCAAGTAAACCCACGACTAGTTAAAAGAAAAAGTCAATTTAGCATTTATTGTACCCCAAATAATTTGAACAATAGTAAATTAAAAACTAATAAAACTAACATCAACTCCTTTAGCTTGGTCTGCTTTTCCAACGTTTTGTTTTTTTAGCGTTACTGGCACTTGAGTTTTTGTTGTTGGATTGTTGTTGAGCAGCCATTTTCAATTAATATAACGAATGTAAGTTGGTTTGTTTGCTGATAGAATGAAATCGATGATAAAGATGGGGTTATTGAAGCTGATTTTGTTATAGAAACCAAGTTTACAAGTTTCTAAAATAGCATCTGATATCATTGATTGTTCACGTCGTAAACTCAATCATCCAGTTTATTATCTTCAAAATGACAATTGATCCTCAGCGAATGAAATTAAAACAATTCAATGATTGATAGTAAAACTTATTTTTATCTTCCTTAGAGACACATTTTGTAACAATCTCTTGAATTGACCATTACCACATTAGGCTTCGAAACTGAAAGTAGATTAGTCTTATATCATGTTTAAGCACTGTCCAATAAAAAACAACAGCTTTTAGGCAAATTAATGTACTCAAAATGTATGTTTAATAATAAATGTTAAATAAACATGTTGTCTTTTATGTATGTCTTGTGACACCTCTCAATAACTGGTAGCTCAATTAATTGATAAATGTGTGTGTGTTAAATATTAAATAAAATTAAAATTACGTAATAATAATTTATATTAATTCTTTTTGAAACATATCAAATTTTAATTAAATTTATTTATTAATAAGCAACCAAATATATTATCAAGTAACTATATAATCAAAATTTGTTTTAAGAAGCAATAGTTTTAGACTTGAACTGTGTAGTCGATTACTACTTACATCAACAACTAAATACTTATCATTTATCTTTATAATTTACAAGTAAATTAATTATTTATAACAAAAAAAAAAGTAATTTTTAAATCATTAATTTTTTACATCACAACTTTTACTGCAATATTTTTGCCACCATTTAATATTTTAATAATTTGAATTCATAAAACGTATAATAATTAAGATTGTTCGTAAACTCAAAGAGAATACTTACCTGACTAAATGTTTATTTCCTGAATCATATAGTTAAATTTTAAATAAAAGATGAATAATAATAATGATGATTCATCTACAAATTCAAATTCACAGGATGATTTAAGAAATGAAAGACAACTAAGAAGACAGCGGTTAAGAGATCATCATCAGGAATTAATTGAATTACAACAAAGACTGCAACAAGAGTTTAATCAACAATTAAATGAAGAATCATCATCTACCACCAACCAATCATCAAGTACACATCAACCACCACAAATTAATCCCGAAACAAATAATACTTCAAGAAGAGTTCCCAGAAACTCATTGTTTCCTCCATTCCGTCGATCTTCTCGTTTAAATCGTTCATCTAGTAATCCATCTGATAATAATGATAATAATACTAATAGCAACAATGATTCAAATAATAATGATTCAACTGATACTCAAGAACCTAGAAGAGGATCAGAGTCACCAGATAGAGCAATAGTAATAACTGTAAATTATCTATTTTCTGATGAAAATAGACCAAATAATCCAAATAGATCAGGATCATTAGTTTTATCATTACCAAATAATTCAAATAATAGAGATCCAAATGCAATTCAAGAATTTATTAGAATAGCAACTCAAATGGCTTATCAATTAGTTGTACAAGGTTTAAATAATATTCAACAACAAAGAGGAATAACGTTATCAAAATTTCAACTGTTTGAAAAAATTTTAAATTTAAGTCAATTAAAGATTAATGATAATTTACAACAACCAGAACAACAAGATGAGTCATTGATTTGTCCTATATGTTTTGAAGATTTTTTATTTGAAAAAAATATCATTGACTCTAAAGAAGATTTTGATCTGATTGATGATTTCACAAAAGATGAGAAAGATGAAGACGAAAAAATTGAACTGAAGAATGAAGAAGAAGAAAGTTATATCACAAGTAAAAGAAGAAAATTAGTTGATAAAACATCAAGATTATTAAGGAGATTTTCAAGATCAAGAACTGAAACTATAGATAGAGAAGAATTAACGAGAGATAATAATAATACTCAAACTAATCAAACAAGTTCAAGTATCAATAATAATGAAACAAATACAAATAATGAATCTAATAATTCAACATCTCAACAACAAGAACAACAACCAATTTATTTGATTGATTTTAAAGAACCTTTTCAACATATTCCAATAAAAATGCCATGTAATCATATTTTTGGACAAGATTGTTTATTTGAATGGTTAAAATCAAATTCTACATGTCCATTATGTAGGTTTTCAGTAGCTGAACCAGTGGAACAAAGTGCTAACGCAAATCCAAATAATAATAATAATAATCAAATCAATGGAGTTACAACTACAAATTTCCCACCACAACATCAAACTATTAATGGTCAAAATTTTACATTTTATACAATTTCAAATAATATGATCAATAATAATAACATTAACGATAACATCAACACACCGCCAAATTCACATAATAGTAACAATGATGTTACAAATCATCACAATCATTCTCATTCTCATACTCATACTCATACAACAACTCATGCAACAACTCATTCTCATACTCATTCAAATATAAATCAAGTAAATTTTACAAATCAACTAGCAAATATGTTAAGACCTGCATTAATGGGATTAACGAATAATTCAACAACTCAACAGCAACAACAACAACCTCAAGATTCATCAGCAGCCACTTCTAATGAATCTCCTCGATCTCAATCTTTACATCAATCACCTATAAATAGATCATATACATCAGGTTGGTTTTCAACATCATCCGAAGAAAACAATGATAATAATAGTATACCATCAATAACAAATCAACAACAAAATCCAAATTCAACCTCGAATCATGAATCATCAAATTCTAATGTAAATAATAATAATAATAATGATCAATCAAATATTTTACCATATAATGAAATTTTCAATTATATAAGACATGGATTTTCAAGAGATTATAATAATAATAATAATAATAATCAAAACCAAAATCAAGGTTCATCAAATTCAAATTCAAATTCTTCTTCTAATGGTCCTAATCAATATAGAAGAAGATCAATGATTAATGCTATATTCCCAGTTGGTATAAGTAGTAGACGTACTTCAAATGGTGTTGAAACTACTTCGACTGAAGCAAGATCAATTAGAAGATTATTTAATGAAAGAGGTGAAGATCAACAACAAGATCAACAACAAGATCAACAACAACAACAACAAGAAGATGATCATGATAATATTGATGATCAAATTGATAGTTTATTTGATAGACTAATCTAACTTTGCTACGTTTTAATTTTAAATATTTTATAGTCAATTTATATAAAATACTATCAAAATATAATAAATAATTCTACTCATCCTCAAGTATACCAAAATATTCGAGAATTTCTTACATAAAAACGTCTTTAAATTGAAAAATTAAACATTATTATTATTAGATTATTAATTTATTAAATTATTGAACTATATAAAGAATTAAACACTATTAAAGTAATTCAATTCTTGAAAATCTATAAACTAAACCATTAAGTTATTAATTATGTTATTGAAAAAAAAAAACCCAAACAATATATCCCAAAAATTAAAAATTAGTATGAAATTAAAAATAAATGTAGAAAGATGTCAATTTTCTAGCCCAATAACTCTTGAAAGTTATTTTCAAAATAAATCAGCAAATTCAGCAACATCCGGATGAACTAAATCAACAAATTTTAATTCATTAAATTGATAATCTCCTTCATCTTTTTTAGATTGTTGAAATTTATAATAATCAAATTGTTTTTCGTATATCTGTTCTAAATCATTTTGTTTCTGATTTGAAAAATAATTAAAACCAAATTGATTTTGGTGTTGTTGTTGTTGTTGTTGATTGAAAATTGAAGATTGACTTAAAGCCCTTTTAATTATTGATGTTGTTCTTGTTTTAATAAATTGTTTTTTAATTGTATTATTAAACATATTTTATTTATTTTCGTATATCGTATAATAAAAATTAAGTGGTTGTTTCAAATATGTAATAAACTTATCAATGATATTTTATATCTTTGAAGTAGAAATGAATGTAATGTAATTGAAATTGATAACAAATATTGACAGATTTATGTTGTTTATATATCTTTATAATGATATTTATATATTTTGTTTATCGTATAACTTTTTATATTATTATAAATAGATAATTCATTTGTAACATCGTGTTTATTATATTTTTGATATATTAACAAAAGAAATATACCCCTCTCTTTTCTTAACTATGTAATTACTCATTTCATAGCCATTTTAATTTATTTTTTACTCCTCCCAATTTTTGTGTAATTAGTATAATTATTAAGCTACCATGCGAGGGGTAAAATTTTATTCTCTTCGTTTAAACTATAAATCATCTTGACCAAAATAGTTGTTATCTCGCCTTAATGTTAACACGAGCTAGTTGTTTTCATCTTGAATTAGAGAATTTAACCAACAGAAAAAAAAAAAATCCATATACCCAAAATTTAAAAAGGAGGGGAATAGCAATATAAAAAAGTATAATTCTTATTTTTCTATTTTAAAGTTTTGCAAGTAATATAGGAGATAAAATAGAAGTAAAGCTTAAGTAAACGAAAGGATTATACTGGCTCAAAGTGTCTATATCATATACTCCTTCCGGATGGATATTCAAAATATTATTTCAAAAGAAGTACATGAAAATATTCAACAAATAAGAATTGTAAAGTGAAAGAAATTTGACTTAAGTTTACTTAAATGAAAAGAAATTGTTGACACTGTTTTAAAAAATAATATATTTGGGTTAACGGTTAAATGGATATCGTAAAAAATAGAAAGATAAAAATAGATTTATAGAATCGTTTAATTTTTTCTTTTTATTTTGATTTTGTTGATAATTTTTCTATTTTGGTTTAACTCTTTTATAAAAAGGGGTTTTTTTTTATTAAAGTCCAATTTTTTGAAACTTAAGGGGGGTATCTGTAATTAAAAGTTAAACTATTGATGATAATGTTACAGCCTTCTTCTTGAGCATGATTTTTAAACGTTTGAGAAGTAAGAGTGTATCTCGTCCGTGTCGTATTTCAAACATCAAAGAACAGATTAAAATTGAATATATTTATCTCATTTATTAAAAAAACCATCTTATAAATCTTAGATAAACAAATTTTTTATTGTAATTTATTTAAAATTCTTCTACCATAAGGAGTATTTTTAATCTGTGGTAATAAAGGTAATAATAAATTACTTAATTTTGTTAATTGTTTTAAATTTGCAAAATTTAAACAAGTTTGTAAAACATAATTACCATAAGAATCTTTTAAAATTAAATTTAAATCATTTGATGACAATTTTAAAATTTCATTTATTAAAATTTCTTGATTTTTTTGTTGTATTTCAATTTGTTTTGTTTGTTGCTCTGGGGCTTGTTGTTGTTGTTGTTTTAATAATTTTTCAATAACATTTGAAGAAAATTTATGAGTTGATATTTTAATTATATTAATTTTTATATATTCTATTATTTTGTTTAAATTTGTTTCATTTTCTTTTGATGTATTATTTAAAATATATTGAATAACGTAATTACCATAAGGATCATAAATTAATATTTCAACATTTTTGGATATTTCTTTAAAAATTTCATTATTTTGTTTGGTATTACCAAAATCTAATGCTTTTTGTAATACACAACATCCATGACGATGACAACTAATTACAACTAAATTTTTTAAAATTAAATCATAAATGAATTGATTTTGTTCATTATTAAAATTTGTTAAACATTTTTGTATAACATGATTACCATTTAAATCATTACTTAATTCAATAACATATGATTTTAATGATTGGATAATTAATTCAATTTGATTTTTAGTATTACAATTTTCAATTAATTTTTGTAAAGTTCTTGTACCATGAGAATTTATTGAAATTAAATAAAAATCATTTGATGTTAATTCTATTAATTTTAATAATTGATTTGAAGATAAATATTTTATTAATTTTTGAATTAAATAATTACCAAATGGATCAATCATTAAATCAACTAATTTTAATTGAATTTCTTCAAAAATTAAGTTAGCAGTTTGATTTATTGATAATTCTTCATTTTCTTCTTTTGGTTCTGCTTCTTGATTTTCACCATCTTCTTCTAATTCCTTTTGTAAAAATCTACATCCATGTTGATCAATACATAAATTTAATATTGAACCTTTAAAATCTATAGCTTTATGATTAAAATATTTACTTGCATCTTCTCCTTTTCTTTGATAATGGTTGTGATTACGATTATTTTGATAATTATTATAATGATTATGATGATTATTAAAATTACCATTTCTATTATTTCTTCTATTATTATGACCATTTGTATAATATGAATTATTATTCATGAAATTGTTTTGTGGGTGTTGTTGTAAATGTTGATATTGTGAGATGTTTTTATATCCATTTATATTGTTATTAGTATTGTTATATCTATAATTTGGATTTTGAATACCTGGTTGGTTTTTCAATTGTTCTGATGAGTTATTATTATTGTTATTATTGTTATTCCATACTGATCCACCATTAGTCAAATGTGGTTGTTGAGCTCCTGGTTGTGGTGGTGGTGGCAATTGTCCTATATTCAAATCAAAATTTTGATAATCTGTTGGACTTTGATGATTTAAAGGGTGATGTGGTGGTAATGGACCATAATTGAACGGCATCATTGGTGGTGGTGGAGCCCCTGGATGATGTCCAATAGGACTTGGTGGAAATGGATTAAATTGATGAGGATGTAGTTGTTGTTGTTGAGTTTGGAAATTCACTTGATGTTCTTTGATGTTAGCATCATTCGTTGATTCTTTATCATCTCTGGCTTTTGAATTAGATTGTGATTTTAATTGAGTACTATCTTTTGAGTTGGGTAAATCAAATGGTTTTACATATGGTAACTTTATTTCTTCACCTGTATTTGTTTTAATTGGGTTTTCAGAATTTGGAACAAAGCCGTTTCTATTAACTCCGTTTGGTAAATTATTCTGATTCATCCAATTTGTTGAAACATCACCACTACCATTATTAATGAAATTGTTTGAAGGTTGGGGAGTAAATGATGCATGGTTTGCATAAGGGTGATTGAAAAAATAAGGCGCTTGATGTAGAGGTTGTTTTGGTAATTGATGATTTGCATTCCCAATAATTGAAGATGTATTATTACTTGAGGTTTTTGTTGATTCCAATTTATCCGAATTTATTGTTGAATCCTTAGTTTGAGTATCATCATCTTCATCTTCATCTAAATGTAAAGTGCTTATAGCTCCAACTATATCAATTTCTTTTTCTACTGTGTTTGTTTCTGAATCATCATATAAATCTTGATTATTCATAGATTTTAGATCTTTATCTTGATCTGATCCAATTGTTGTATCATTATTAATCGAATTATTGAAAAATGTTGATCCACCAATCAGTGCGCTTCTAAGATTATTATATGAATTTAAATTTGATTTATTATTTGGATTTGAAACTCCAGATATAGATACCGACCGTGACATTATATGAATTCTATAGTTTTATGAAGCTAATAGTGGTTGTCGAAATATAATTTGACCACAATAAAATATTAATCGTCTAAATATACAAATATGAATTTTTTGACAAAAATATAGGAACTAATGTACAAGTGAGAAGAGTATAATTCAATTGATTATAATGACATATGAAATAGTTGTTGTTGATGAAGGATAGTTATTAGTTTTGAATGTTTAAATTAAAAAAGTGTTGCAAAGTAAAATTCATATTATTAGATAGACTATTTAATTACTCTTTTGATTTAGTTGGAAAAAAAAAGAATTTCCAAAACAATAAACTTGAGACACAAATTTATTAGTACCATTTATATTACTTGGATAGTATTAATTGATCTTTACTTTGTCATCACAACTAATAAGTAAATAGATTAATTTAAAACTGGCTGAAGTCATTTAAAAGAAAATAACAATGATTATGATAATATATCGGTTGATAATTGCTGCTTAGAGCCAATTGAAACTCAAACCTTAAATTTAATACTATTGTGTAGCACTAATTATTTAAAATCATAGATTTATAGTTTCAATTGGTCAAGAAAAACAAAAGATTACTTCAAAATCTGGTATCTTTAGATTTGAAACCTTAAAACTTTGTAATAGATATTAGATCACCAAATCGAACTTCAAATTTGCAATTTCTTTGTTCATATTGCGTTTCTCTTTCATTGACCTTTGTATTCAAGAAGTTCTTTTATAAATAAGCATCTACATTGAACTTTTAATTATTGTCATTAAATTAATTGTATAAATTAGGATATATCAATTGCAAGCCAAACTCAAATACTTTATTGAATATCTCTCTCGTAAATTGAAACAAAATACGAGAGATTAAATATACTGCTTTTATATGCAGTACCAATCATTTTTATTTTATTTTTTTTATTTTTTATTTAATTTGATCTCTTTACTTATCTTCTTGGTAATTAAATTAATTGAACCATACCAAGATTTATAAATATTTAATAACAAAATCTTATCATTTATTGAAATAAGCATCTTTATTCAATTCTACTAATTAAGTTTTACTCATATTTAAAATTGGAGATTTTAAGTTTACTATATTCAATTCATCTTATAATCTTAATTTAATCGTTCCAATTTACTGTTCCATAATAGTGTAATTTGAATCTAGTTTTCGAAACAAAGATACAATATAGCGACCAAAGAAGCTCAATTCAAACTGTATATCAAACTTAATTGATTTCACCAAAAATTCATTGAATATTTTTCCGTTAATCCAGTTACCTATCAATTATTTATCTGCATATTTCCATATACATTAAATTTTCACTTTTTTTACAGGATTATTCCCTTCACTACAACAGTATCAACTAATGTCAACAAACAAATATGACTTAAAATATAAGCCATCACCATGGTATAGATTAGCAAGTTATGATTTATTATTATGGATATTATCAATAGTATTTGATTGTTTCTTTAGGGAAATTCGTCCAAGAGGTGCTTTCAAAATTCCAAGAGATGGACCAGTTATATTTGTTGCTGCACCTCATCATAATCAATTTGTTGATCCTATAATATTAATGAATCAAGTTAAAAAAGAAGCAAATAGACGTATATCTTTTTTAATTGCAGCAAAATCTTATCAAAAAAAAATTGTTGGAGCTTTAGCTAAATGTCAATTAAGTATACCTGTTGTTAGACCTCAAGATACTTTAATTAAAGGAACTGGTAAAATATATGTTGATTCTGAAAATAAGAATAAAATTATAGGTAAAGGTACAAAATTTACAATTGAATGTATGGATAGAGGATTAATTGCATTACCACAATCATTAGGAGCTACTGAAATATCTGAAGTTTTATCAGATAATGAACTTATAATACGTAAAGAATTTAAAGATACTGATCAAATCAATCAATTATTAACTCAAGGAACATCTTTTAAAAGAGCAGATAAAATCGATCAAAAAGATGTTTATAAATTAGTATTTGATCATTTATCAGATAATAATTGTATTGGAATTTTCCCCGAAGGTGGACTGCATGATAAAAAACATGAAATTTTACCTTTAAAATTTGGAGTTGCTTATATGGCATTGGGAGCAATGACTCAACAAATTGAAAAATTAAAAAATAGTGAACTAACAAAATTAAATCCTGTAAAAATTGTACCTTGTGGAATGAATTATTTTAATGCTCATAAATTTAGATCAAGAGCGGTAGTTGAATTTGGTGATCCAATTTCCATATCTGAAGAATTAGTTAAAAAATATTCAAACCCAGAAACAACAAAAGAAGCAGTAAAAGAATTATTAGAATTAGTTACATCGGGTTTAAAAGCAGTTACAGTTACTTGTGAAGATTATGAAACTTTAATGTTAATACAAGCAGCTAGAAGATTATACGCTGGGAATTTTGCTCAACAATTACCATTACCATTAATTGTTGAAATGAATAGAAGATTAATTATTGGTTATCAACATTATTCTCATGAACCTAAAATTCAAGAAATTAAAAAAAAAGTTTTAAAATATAATGAAATGTTAAAAAGTTTATATTTACCTGATCATCATGTTGAAGATTGTCAAGAAGAAATTAATAAAGTTAAAATTATCCCCATTTTAATTTATAGAGTTGTTAAATTAATCTTATTATTTACGTTGGCATTACCTGGTGCTACATTATTTTCACCAGTGTTTTTAAGTTCCAAAATAATATCTCAAAAAAAGGCAAAAGAAGCTTTAGCCAATTCAACTGTTAAAATTAAGGGGAATGATGTTATTGCAACTTGGAAAATCTTAGTTGCACTTTGTATTGCACCAATAATTTATTCATTTTATGCATCATTAGGTACTTATTATTGTGCAACTCATAATTATTTATCATCTTTAGGTTTATTCACTATGTGGATCTTCTTGTATATTTGTGGTGTTTTAGTAACTTATAGTGCATTGTTAACAGGTGAACAAGGAGTTGATTTATTTAAATCTATTAGACCATTATATTTATCTATAACTTCAGGGTCATCCATAAAACAACTTAAAAAGATGAGATATGAATTAAGTGAAGAAATAACAGACCTTGTTAATGAATATGGACCTAAATTATTCCCAAAAGATTTTAATTTGTTAGAAATCAAAAAATCATTAAATATATCAGATAATACAACCTATATAGATTCAGATGAAGAAGAAGATAATAAAACTTTAGAAATAAGACAAAGAAGAGCAGCAAAAAGAAAATTAGAAAAACAATTAAAAGAAAACACTACAACACAACAACTTGAATCAACAACAATGACAGAAAGTATATCACATTCATCTTCAATATCAGATGGTATATCATTATTAGATTCAACAACAAATTCATATACAAATTTACCAATTTTTAGTGATTATCAATTACATAAAAATGTAACAAATAAAAATTTAAAATTAGATCCTCAATCGAATTTTAATTCAAGTGTTAATTTATATGATGATCATAAACATCATTTTGGTTCAAATCAAATTAATCAACATACATATGTTGGATCTCCATTAAGAGGTAAGTTATCAAATTCAAATTCTAATACATCTTTATCAAATTTAAAAAAATCACCATCTGAAGAACATATTGAATTAAATTTTAGTTCAAAATCTTCATTGAAAGATAAAATTAAAGAAAAAATGAGAAAAAATAGGGAAACTTAAGTAATTTTTTTCATCAACATCATCATCAACATTAATAATTAATATATAGTAATAATTTTATTTATAAACGAAATGAAAAAAAAAAAACTACCAAACTTCTATCAACTTATTTCCCACTTACGTGTTGTTGACGTTCATAAAATTCAGCAACTTCAGTAGAACTAGTAGCATCTTCAATCCCTTTATCATCTCTAACTCTTAAAAATCTTGGAAATCTTAATGATATACCTTTACCATATTCTTGATGAGCAGCTTTATAAATTGGACTTAATGATAAATCAGCAGTTAAAATTTCAAATAACATTGTGGGTTCAAACCAGACATCAGGTTTTGCATTAGAACTATTTTTATCATATATAAAATTTGTTTTAGCATTTGAAATTTCTGTTGGATTTAATTTTTGATATAAATTTAAAAGATCTTCATCACTGAAACCTGTACCTATTTTACAAGTTGTTTCTAAATCTCCAGTATCTTGATTATAAGAAGCTAATAAAAATCCACCATAAGTTCCAGTTCTTTTACCTTTACCATTATAAGCACCAATAACAACAAGATCTAAAGAATCTCCAACACCAGCAAGATAATCTTTTTTCAATTTTAACCAATTTCTTGATCTTTTAGAAGGCTCATAATAAGATTCATTACCTTCCAACATTTTAACCATTAGTCCTTCACATGAATCACGAATACTTTGATCTAAAAATTGTTGTAATACTTCTAAAGAAGTTGAATCTTTTGATTCTGCAAATTGGAATTTTCCTTCTAATGGTTTTAAATGATGAAACATAATTTCTCTTCTTTCGCTTAATGGTTTTGTAAGTAATGATTGATCATTATAATATAACAAATCAAATGCAAATATACAAATATTCACTTTAATATCTTTCTCTGCTACATCTTTTCTTTTTCTAGTTGATAATACTTGAAATGGTAAGATTTTATTGTTTATTTTATCCCATGCAACTGCTTCACAATCTAATATCATTGATGTATGTTCTTGAGTTTTACTAAGATCTTTTATAACTGAAATTAAATCTGGATATCTTTCTGACATATTTTCAGAATTTCTTGAATAAATTCTAACTGTACCATCAGATAATAGATGAACTTGAGCTCTTTCTCCATCATATTTATATTCACATGTAAATTTTTCGTCTTGAAATCTGTCTAGTACTTCCCCCATTGATTTTGTTGGTTTTGCTAACATTGGTTTCAATGGAATACCTGGTGTTATTTGACAATGATCTAATAAATTTAATATTCCAAATTCATAAGATTTTTCAATTAATATTTGATAATTTGGTAACACGTTGAATGCTTCTTTAAAAATATCTTCAGCTTTTGTGAGATCATTAGGGTTTATTCTTTTACTACCTTGTTCTTTTTTACCATTTTCATACACCAAAAAAGCTTGTGCTAAACCAGTTAATACAGTTTTATCAGCTAATCCAATTCTTAATTTACCTTCTAATGATCTTATTAAAAATTTAGCTTCAAAATGTTTTGCATCACATGAATTTAACATTCTATTAATAATACCTATTTTTTTACTTTGTGAATCTTTACCAGTCAGTTTTGCAATTTTTGTTAAATTATCAAACACTGTATCAATATCTAAAGGTACAGGTTTGAACATAGTTGATTGACCACTTCTTGATTTTTGAGCAACTATACCTAAATCCCCTAATTCTTTCAAATCTTCTTTGATTTTATTTGATTCTCTTCCATAACATTGACCAATTGCTTTGATTAGTAATGTTTCTCCTAATCCCAATTCCAAATCTGGTTCATAATCTGGTCCTAATCTATTTATAAATAAATATACGATTTTGACCAATTTCATTATATCAGTTTCTGTATTTAAAATTTCTAAAAAATATTGACTTATTATTTCAATCATTTTTAACCTACCTGATTCGTGTTCAATTTTTTCCATAACATCAGTCAATGAAGAATATGGGATTTTAGATGATGAAGTAGTTGATGAGGATTGTAATTTTCCGTCATTTGTATTATTTAATGATTTTGATAAATTTTCTAGTTTTGATATTGTCGTGGCTTTTTGATTTTCTTTTTCCTCATCATTGAGTTTTTGTCTTTTGGTAGATGGTGATGAAGGTGGAGTAATTTTAGTTTTTTTTGGACTTGTTTTAGCTTCTTGAGTAGGTGATCCTCCAAAAAATCTACCTAAAGTTTGTTGTTTTTGAGCCATATATTTAAAATTGATAAATTTGGTGGTATAAGTAAAATGATTTATTGATATTCGATATGATTGTTTAATTAAAAACATCCATTAAGGAAGTAAAAGATTTAGTGGTAAAAATTAAATGATATTAATGTTTTAAATATTATAAGTATTTATTATTTAGTAGATGTTTCAAATTATATTAACGCGTCTCGTAGAAAATTAATTTTTGAGACATAGAATTTTATGACACTGACGAAGCTTGTTTCAACTTAACATGAATATCTACATCATGAAGTAAGAATTAATTTAATAATACAATTGTTTACTTCTATTCAAAGTCAAATACTAACATCCCATATACTTTGTGGACCTCTTTCTTCATACATTTCTGAACTAACAAATAATTCTTTATTATGATGATGTAAACTACCTGAAAAAATTTGTTTTGCATAAATTTCACCACCAAGAAAGAAACAATCATGCCATGAACCTAATTTATTTTTTGGTTTTTTCCATTCGGGAAAATAATCAGGTAGTTTTGCTAATTTTATACTATATGGAACTTGATTTATACTTGATTGAGTTTCTCCATCAATTTGTGATTCATCTATTTGCTGATACAAAGCTAATGTAGCTCCTACCCCTTGTTTTGTTGATGCTCCATTAGCTGATGGTTCTCTTACCAAATATTTATTAATTAATTTACTAATAATTTTTTGTTTTAAACCTGGAATTTGGAATATTGAGCCAACTAATATTATATTATCATAACAATCTTGTCTTTTTTCGAGATCAGGAACTTTGAAAAGAGTTTCATATATTCCTGAAGCAATTATATCAATCAATTTTGAATCCGTAGTAAATCTTTCTTTACCTAACCATATTTTTTCTTGGTTTGATGGATCAATAAAATAATTTTTATCTAATTCTTTATTTGATTTTGTTGGTTGATTTTCATCTCCTTGACCTTCTTGTTCTGCAACTAATTTTGCTACATCAAGTTCATCTCCATCATCTTCCATATCAACATCCATTTCACCAATTGACTCTTCACCTTCTAATAAAATTTCATATATTCCACTACTTCTTAATTCTTCAATTTGTTCATCACTGTATTTTGGAAATTTGATTTTAAGCTCCTCAGTTATGATATTACCACCTGATCCAGCAATGTATTTACTTGCAAATTTTATACTTTGATAACCTATCACTGGTACAATTTGAATACTATCTTCACTTGCATAAACAACAACAGAGTTTACTATTCCTGCAAAACTAAAAATTGATCCAAGACTTAAATCTAAAATATTAAAAGCTGTTAGTTCTAAACTTTCAAATACAAATTTCGTTATATATTCTAATTGTTTTCTTGACCATGTTAATGTTGGTGCAATTATTAATAATGGAATTGATGTTATTGTGATAATTGGATGTTGTTGTATGATACTTGATAAAATAATCCTGATTAAAGCGTTGAAAGCATCCAAGTCAACAATTTTTGATTCCTTAATTGGATAAATAGGTATTGTGTTTTCAGAAGCTGTAGATAAGTATTGTTTTGATTCTTGATCTTGATATACTACTGTCGGTATTGTAAATTGAGGTGGTGCTAGTGAATCTTTCAATCCAAATGTAAAGTATGTAGATTGTGAACCGGGACTAATTATAAGGAAGTTATCCTCTTTATATAAAGGCATTTTTTTGCTTTGATCCTCTTTCTGTTTTTGGTTTTGACACTGGTTAACTGAAAAATTATTTTTGTTGATAGTTTATTTAGATTTTTATTTTTAAATTTTTTTTTCACTATATTATGAATGGAATATTACGATTTTCAAAATTGATTACAATTTATGAACGAACAATAGATGAATAGCTAGTTTATGGGATCTGTGGGATTGATAAAAAAGAAGAGATCAGTTGTATTAATGCTCTCCATGAAAACTACCGTTGCAAGTTGATTATATTTGACAATTTTAGGATACTACTCAGGTAATGGTTTGAAAATAAATTATTAAGAATAGCTGGCAATGAATATTATAGACTATTTAGAAGACTGACTAGTGACATGGCTGACAGTACATTCATCGATGGCATTTTTTGGTAAGACTCAAGCTATTTTATGGGTTGGTTATCTGGAGCAAAATTTTTAAATAATTCGACTAGAGTTATTGCTCTTCCTAAGATAGTAATGACTTTTGAGTTGATTATGAGTATTGAGTGATGTTTCAATATAATCTTACTTTTTTGGGTTATTGGTATCTTTACAAATGAAGTTGATGAAATATTTGACAATTTTTAACAATTACTGATGAACTTACTATCAAGGACAAGGTTTAAATTTGAAATCATCAAAACCAGATTCAGCGATTACAAAAGATGGAAATCAACCAAAACCATTATTCCACTCACTTAAGATAAAAGATAAAAGATTTCGAATAACAGCGCCAATATTGAAAAGAAAAATGGATTCGTATTTATAAGTACTTTTTCCATTTTAAGATTTTAGAGATACGATACCTGGTGGAGTCAAAATTGCATGTATAATGATGTTGGTGATTGCAAAATTGCAGCTAATGCGATCACGTATTTGGAATAAACAGGTTGTAATTTCTAGTTGTTGTTTTGTCAACCAAATAATGTTCGATTCAATTGTTGATCTGTGTTGTTGGTGAAGGTAAACTTTGGTCAAATAACTTCAGAATTTTACGAAAACTAGTTCGATGGAATGGTACTGTATAACCAATTGACATATTTGATGTATTTAAAATCAAATTTTGCTAATAATTTGACCAACTTATTGTTCATACAAAATTGCTATTAATCGGAATACAGTACAAGATATAGACAGATGATTTAGCTTAATTCTTAACTCTTAATCAAACCTCACTATTTTGACGCTTAGAATCTAAATTGACTGTTTCAGTTTGAGTGATGTGCATTTCTCTTGAAAATTACAACACTCAAAACCCATTAATTTACAACTCTCAGCTTTTGTGCCTTATTGATACTTATAGTGCTTAAAAATACATCTTCTTATGCTCAGAAAGGACGACTACCTATTTTAACTTAAAAGTTACAAGATCAAAATCTGACCGTATATGTCTTGAATTTTGTGTCACTTATTTGGTTTTGTGTAATTTTGAATTGAAAAATGTGTTGACTAAAATCTCTCATATCTCAGCCACCAGTAATTCTACAGAGCTAAAACCAAGAGTATTAAGCTCTTGGGAGTAATAGCTATCTAGTACGATGCTCAAAACGTCAAAGTTTGAACATTCAAATATTTTAATACAAAATCAAGGTTACACAAAACCTAGAAAAAAATTGACATACCCCGCCTTCATTTGGGAGCGTCAATTGCAAATTTGTTAGGGGAAAGCATATCAAAAAAATACCAAATTTGCAATTTCAGCAAATTTTCCAGTTTAGCACTCTACACGAGCTGTAAAGAGATCAACTATATTTAGATAAACTTAAAGGTAAGTCTATAAGGTTAGTTAGTTGTAGATCAATTGAAGTCATTGTTTGAGCATTGAAGTAGATCCATTTAGTTCAATGTATAATGATTTGATTTACCTAAACTGATCACCAAACTTGAGAACATGAATAGTAAGAGCAGAAGGACATTTTATTTGAACCCAGTCAATGATATAAATGCTTTACTTTGTGCTAAACTGAAATAAAATGTGAAACTTCTTGAATAATTGAATTGAGTATGCTTTGCTGCCCCCTAACAATTTGCAATTGACTTCTTGGTAATTCTGAACTGTTAATCTAGTATACAATCAACAAAAGACCATTTTACCACTCCTTTACCCAGCCAGTAAGTATGGTAAAGTATCAATTGTGATTGGTTTGAGCTATTTTGTTGTAGTTAATCTGTTTGTTAATCAATTTCAAAAATATTATTCTTAAAGTCTCTACTTACCGAGAAAATGACATCAAATAATTCATAAATAAGTTTTTTCACTTAACTAATGATTTTTAGCATTCAGTTGATTGATTGTTCGAATACTTTGTTCTCATTTGAAAAGAAACAAGTATAAACAATAAATTAAATTAATTTTAGAAATGATATGCTTAATTTGTATTGCAAATATTTGGTAGTGTATTTTGCCTAAAAATGTAATGTAAAAAGCGTACAAAAACAATAATATAAATGGTTGCAAAATTTCAATAGCAAAAGTATCTATAAAGTTGAAGTAATTACAATAATATAGTTTTAAGTAATAATTAAACAATGTTTATTGAGAATTATATAATTGTTTAAGTTCTAAAAAAAACAGCACCTGTTCAAAAAAAAGTCACTTTAGCACAATATAACCCTATTATAAGCAAATTTATTTAAACGATAGTACATGAAGAACCAACCCAACCGCCATCAACAGCTTTAGCCCAGTTTTCTTTACCGGCATTTTGTTTTTTAGCATTAGCACCTGAGTTGTTGTTGTTTGATTGTTGTTGAGCAGCCATTTTTAATGATATTATAACGAAAGTAAAAGTTTTTGTGGATAGATTGAAATTAGAAAGATTTGAAAAAAGTAGAACAATCATGGACTATTTATAATCAAAAATTTGTATACGTAAAAGAATTATTGGCTAGACTATAACTTATCACGTTGAATTTTTGTGTTCATAAAAAGAATAACTTTAGTTTTACATGAACTCGTTAGTATATTCTTATTGTTTCAAATTATTTTGAACATGTGACAAATATGAGTAATTAATTTTATCAACAAGGTACTTCCACTTTCATGTTAATTAATTTGATTTAACATAAACAATACTAGACTCTTCTTTTCAACCGTTAAAATGAGTAAATTAGTTGCATAAAATATTATATTTTATAATTTGCAACAATTTTTTTTTTTTGCAACAGCTTCAAAATAATAATTACCTGTTTGGGACGTGACAATGAGAAATTTCATGTTAAATAATTAATTTAAAAAATTGATAGAAGGGTTTATCAAAATTAATCTGAGTTATAATAATTTATTATATTATGAAATTGTATTGTATTATGAAATTGTGAAACAAAAATAAAATCAATGTTTTGGGGTAGTAATTGCACGTTTCAAATCCTTTTTTTCAGGTACTGTTAATTTTTGCCGTCACCTTACATTCACATATTTGACGACAGTATTTGATTACAATGCAAATGTTTTACATATGGAGTAAATTTTGAACCCCCGATTGCCAAATCTCAATCTGGTAATTTTGTTTTGTCGATATTGTTTGAAGTGAAACAAAAATTAACGCCCGTGTTTCATATTCAAATTATTGACAAGAAAAGCAATGATTAGACGAATAGTTTTCTCAAATGTACTCGCTCCATTTGTAGAAGTACACTGGTTATCTTAAAAGCAAAGATTATATAAAAAGTGCAATATCTCTCATTACCAAGACAATTCTAAGTCCTTCATTAAATCAAAAAACACCAATTTTCAAATACATTTAAAAATGGCCGCTCAACAATCAAACAACAACACTCACGCTAACGTCAACAAAGCTACTAAAGAAAACGCTGGTAAAGAAAACTGGGCTAAAGCTGTTGATGGTGGTTGGATTGGTTCTTCATGTACTATTGTTTAAAGTCTGAAATAATTTGTTGCTCGATAATTGACTTAATTTTACCAACATTATCATTTTTCATTTTACAATTTATTACATTGTTTTACAATTATTTCAATTTGATGGTATTTGTTTTATATAACTTTTTGCTTCGATAAAATATACAATAAAAATCTTTTAAAATGGCTAAGTTTTGTAGAGACAATTTCTTTTTTTGAATAAAGCGTAATATCTTATAGAGTATAAATTTAATTTGGTTCTAAAGTCTTTAATAGTCATTCATTCATTATTACATACATAAGCTATACATCAATTAAAAAAATTAAATATTTTTGATTTGTCAATCTTCAATTAATGGATTGACGAATATTTTACCTTAATAATCCTTCCATTTTTGAACTTTTTTAATAGATGGTAATTTTTCCTTAGGTACATTATCATCAGATAAATTTGGTAAATTATTTAAATTAAAATCAGTTTTCAATAATTGAGAAATTGGTGGTAATTTTGGTGGATTTTTAATTTGATCATTAGTAAAACTTTTATCATTATGGGTATCAAAATATTGTGATCCACTTTTATGTGATTGTTGTTGTTGTTGATGCTGTTGTTGATGATAATCTGAAATAGGTGTTTGTGGTGATGGTGATGACAAATGCTTATGACTTGAGTAAGTCTTTGGTTTTTGATGATGATGATGGTTTTTTTGTTTCAATTTTTGTTTTTGTTTATCAAATAATTTTTGTTTTATTGATTCTGATTTATTTAATTTTATTGATTTACCATTTCCATCTTGATCAATATCCATATCATCATTATTTGTAGTATTTTGTTTATCGTTATTTTCATTGTCACTTTCCATTGATCCATCTTCATCTTCATCACCTCCATCTTCTTCATATGCATATTCAGAGATTGGTGATTGTTGATTATCAATTAAATCTCTTAAATGACTTTTTGTACCATTACCATTACCGTTGTTGTTACCGTTTGATGACTCAAATTTCAAAGGTGCAAACTTTGGATTTGAAAAGCCGGCAGAAGAATTTGATCTTGATGAAAATTGACTTGAATTACCTGAATCTCTATGTAACGATAACAAACTATTTGAATCTTTTGAACACAATGATTCACTACCTGAAGTACCACTTTTGGTTCCGCCACTTCCTGAAGAGTTCCCACTGTTTTTAGAATCTCCAGATGATGCACTTGCGACATCATCATTACTTGAAGATCTTGATCTTTCAGAATTTTGTTCTCGTTCTTTTGGTGGCGAGGGGCTATCTGTGAAATCTTCTTCATTTTCTTTTAAGTTGATATTTTTATCATCTGATGGTTTTGATTCTAATTTTTTACGTTCAGAAATTGATTCAGCTAATGCCAAGGAAGGATCCATTGATGATTTATCATTCGATGGGGTATCATTTGAAGAAGCTGATGTTTCAAGACCTTGATTTTGGTTTGAAGAATCTGATGGAGTTGTTGAGTTATTACTTGATTCATTTGGTGAGTCGAATGAAGACACTGGTTCGGAATTCGAATTTGAGTTGGAATTTAATGGGAAAGATTTAGGATGAGGTAATGGAAATCCATTTTGTGGTAGTTGAGGAGGAGCAGATCTATTAGTTGAAATTGAACCATTGTTGTTGGAGCTTGTAGTACTTGCAGCACTGGAAATTGAGTGTGGATATGAATGATTATAAGCTGGAGGTTTTGAAAATGGTGTACCGGCAGAAAATCTAGAAGGATTGTTTTTTATAGTTCTTAATCTTTCAAACGGACCTATCAGTTCATCAGCACTTGTAGCATTATCACTAGGTGAGTCACTATGGTTATTCTCATATGGTGAATTTCTATTCGGTCCATTGATAAATGAGGATGTATTTAGAATTGGAGCAGATGAATAAGCTTGTGGAGGTGGAGGTAATTGATTTAAATGATTCGATGATGGATAATTTGGTGGTTGAGATGTTGGAGGTGGACTTCCTTGATGGTTATAACCATTTGAATTAGAATAACCATTACTACTATTGTTATTATTACCATTACCATTACCATTATTAGGATTGCCATTATGATTTTTATTATTATAGTAATTAGTTGAACCAGATGAAGTAGAAGATGAGGTATCCCACATATTATTAGATGAAGGTATTGGAGATGAACTAACAACATAATATTTTGACATAACTTTAGTAATAGCCTTGCCTAAATCATTCCAATTGAAAACTTTTAAATCTTTTTCAATATTTCTAGGTCTTGGATTTTCCATACTCATAATTAAACTGAAAAATTCACGATCATTTTTATTTGATCTTGATACAGTTGTTGGTTTTAAACTTTGTAAATTTCTTCTTATTCTATTTTTCTCTTCAATTCCAAAACTTTGATGAACTAAATATTCTAGTAATAAGATTATATCAACAGATGTGCAAATAAATTTATTCTTTTCTCGCCAAAAAATACATGATATTATAGCTTGGACATTATCAAAATCAATTGATCTAATAGGTTCAAAATTAATACATTGCATAGAAGTTTGAGGATCAATATAAAAATCAAATTTAATTAATCTTCTACTATTTTTAATTTCTTCTTCTGACCAATTTTGTGTCATTGTATTAAGATCTTTTGCAAATTTTAAATTTACTGCAAAATTTGGATTTAAATGATGCAGAAATTGCCTTACATATTGGACATTCGATGGTGATTGATTACCCATATGATATGATTGTGATTGAAATTTATCATCTTCCTCATTTGTTGTAAAATTATTTGAATTGTTACTACTATTTCGATAATGACCAAATGGTTGTGATTTAGATGCAGAAAGTGGTTGTTGGGCCAGCTGTGGTGAATGATGTATTGGTGGTTGTGGTGGTGGTGGTTGCTTTTGTGATATAGACGGTATTTGAACTTGAGTTTGCGGTTGTGAATGAGAGTGTGCTGGTAGTGGTTGCAATCTTTGAATTGGATGTAGTGGTGAGAAAGATTGGTTTGAGTTATTATTGAAATGATCATTATAATGACTAAGTGAATTTTTATTACTATCATTATAATTATTATGAGATATATGATGATTATTTGAATGATTATTGAATATTTGAGGTGGTGGTGTATGTTGACTATTCATTGCTGATGTTATGGGTGGTGGTAATGACATTAATGAATGTTGAGGAGGTTGCGGTATAGTTGTTGCCTGTAGTGTGGGATTACTACCTCGATTTATAAATCCAATACTTGGTAGATATGAGCCTCCATTATTGATGGGTGTATGGTTTATGTTATTTGGGAAAATATTAGGTTTATTTATGTCATGATTATTTGGTTGTATGTTGTGGTTATATTTCGAATAATTTGGTTGATGTCCATCATAATTCCCATTTAAGTTATTTTCTCGACTGTTAATGTTGTTTTGTTGATAATCAACCATGGTAAAATGAACCTGAAAATTAGTTCTTCGTAAGTAATTTCTAGTCGATCTTCTCCTGGTATATTAAACTAGAATGACGCCTTGGTAACTCTTAATAATAAACTGTAGTTGTTGCTTTTTATAATGTTCTCAAATTTAATAGTGGTTTGTAAAGTAAAACTAATTTAACAATTCAAATAATGCTTTAAAAATTAAATATCGATTGTAAGGTCTAGGAAATTTTGAAATGAATGCCTTGATGATGAAAAAAAAAGGTTGAAACAATTGTAAAAATGATTTTCTAAATCACATTGAAATGAAGAAAGTAGAAAAATATATATATATTCTAAATAAATGGCAAGGTATTGATAAAATTTTAATGTTTCAAATAATCTTTTAAAAAAAATCTAAAAAAAAAAAGCAATCAGCCAAAATAAAACAATGTCTCTCTGGAGTTCAACGTATTTCCATAGTCAACTTTAATTAAATCAATAATTTATTCATAAAAGATAAAATATAATAAATTTTAGACCAACATACTTCAATCTTTAATTCTTGTGTTTTGTAAAAAATTTATTTGTTTGTTCTTTAATTACTTTTTTTTTTTTTTTTTTTTTTTAAAANTAAAAATTAAGTAGTCAAAATTGAAAAAGTTAATTTTAATGAAATACCACTTTATCTTTAGGTAATTAATACTATCATTTGTATCACTACTTCAATTAAGTATTGGGTGAATACTTGAGGAAACGAAGAGAAGGTATCTTTAAGTTGCTGTCAAGCTAAATTTTCAATTTAGTATAATGTTTTTATTTATTTCATGGGATTCAGTTTGTGATATATTATTATTTATTATTTATTCAAGTCCGTTATAAGATTTAAAATTTTTATGCAGCATTTGAAACATAGATTCCGGTCAAATAAATACAGAAGAAAAATAAATTTGGCTTCAGAAGAATTGTTTTTCTAAAATTTTATTAAGCAAACAATGAACTAGCTTTAACAAGTTCCATCAAGTTAGTTTCAAAATTATAAAAACTTCAGCCAATTTGTATTTTGAAATTTATTTTTTATTATTTAATTTAAAAATTATGTCATAAGTATAAAATTAAGTTTACACAAAACTTTAATATGTGGTACAAAATCTATAGATTTTAATGAAATTATATTTCCATAATCTTTATAAAGATTGGATCTTGTAGAAATTCGAAATTTGGAATGAAGTCTTAGGGTATAGAATTTTAAAAGAAAGTTATAAGATAATACATCACAAATGAGATTGCCATTGTTGGGATCAAATTCTTAATCTATTATATACCTTGATTTGTAAACTCGAGATGTTTAGCATGTATGTACAAAATGCTAAGAATTATTATAAGTTTGAATTTAATTTTTGAATGTCTCAGATTTTTACTAATATTTCAGATCTAGTAAAATAAATCTGGGATTTAAAACATTGTTCCGAAATACCATTACCTTTTCAATTAATCCATTTAATGGAAAAGTCCCCTTTTTGAACTTAAGTTTTCCATGGGTTTAGAGAATTAAAAAAAGTAAAGAAAATTAAACTTTAAACTTTATTATTCTACTAACTGCAAAAAAACTCGTAAATTTTCAACTTTAAAGTTTAAAGTTTAAATCTTTTTACTAATAAATTAAAGTTAAGAATCTTTTAGAGTGAGACTCTGATTTACATTTGGAACGGATTTCATTTTTTATTTAAAGATCTGACGATATAAATTTGATATTGGAAAGTACATTTAATATATAATAATTTGAAAAAAAATGTACAGTACATTAAAGTTCTTTTAAATTGTTATTTGAAGCCTTCGTCTACTATTAGATTATTACAATCACAAAAGATTTCGGTTTTGAGTAAATCTTAAAATATTTTAGATGAGACAAAATTTAATGGAATTAATTGTTTTAGGTTGAAAACTGATTTGCTAATATTTTTTCATCATTTAACATATGATCCTTAAAATTATGTCTCACTTCCCAAACTTTAAATTTTAACACCGAATTTATGAGGTCAAAAATTCATTAATTTATTGTAACGTATCCGCAAGTAGTATACCTAATCCACCAAGCACATATTTTGTGAGCTAGTATTTGTTTCGAAGAGTATGAGATTTTGTTCATACAAGTCAACGATAACTTTTTCTTATCAAAATATTTCGAGACATTCTGTTTCAAATGATGTAACTTCGTCACATATATTCACCAATATGCAAGAAGGGTTTCATAATGTTCAAGGAAACAATCAACATCAAAAATGAGTAAAGTAACCAAATCAGTTGTATAAATTTTTACGCATTTGTGTACAATAAACGGAAAGGAACATAAAACATAATTCCGATTTTCCCATGGGGTCCGTTTGCATATTTGACAGAAAAAAAAAAATTCATTCAGAAATAATTTAAAACCATCTGGTTTTAAGTCGACCAACGGATATAGTAAATCAGCAGACCTATATTCCAATTACTTTTTAATACTGTATGGTATAGATTTAAAAATAATGACTTTCCACACTTCTTGCAAAATTCCAACGTGGGAATAGAGGGTTGAACAGACAAATTAGATGTAATCTCTTCTGACGAATCTCGCTTAAAAGCTTCTACTCTTGAAACTGAAGCATCAAGCTTAAAACTATTTGTAAGAGCAAAAGCAAAATTAAATAAATTTTTAGTACTTGCCTAAATGTGAGATCTTGTTTATAGAATGTTTCGAAAATGAACTCCGAAATCTCAGATTCCATATCATAGATACACAATCTGTGTTCCAGTAAATCAATTCTTTCCGAAGTTTCACAATTGAGTTATTAAGTATTCTAGAATCAATTCTATTAACTGTGAGGAATTAGTTTTTAAGTAATCATTTTAACTTCTTTAACAAATGACCGGATTTATAAGTTTTATGCATTATACAGTTTCTACATTTTAAAGTTTAAATTTCAAACCTTAAATTTTAGTTTAAATTCAATGCGAAAAATAATATAATTGTGAAACAGCGTTTGAAACAAATGTCTAAAACTTTAAATAAATGAACGTTAGTGTACGCATAGAAACAGCATGCTAGGCTAATAAATGTTACTAATAAGAGTCCCCTACCAATAATTTGAGTTTGAGAGATTTATATTCCTGCTTGCTCTGAGATATGTGAAAACGCAAAAAAAACCTGGTTTATAAACCGCTGACGCAATATTATTTGACTGTTACGAAAACAAGCTACAGCCTATAAGCTATGATGGGTAATATATATGTTAAGTTTAAGAGATTAGGCTAAAGCGTTAGTAACACTTGAGCGTTAGGAAAAAAAATTTTTTAGACAAATTAAATTGAAAAATTGGTTACTTTTGAGTTTTAAGAAACAAAAATTTAAACTGATCTAAACCCTTGAAGGTCTTACTTGAATTAGGCGGGAATCGAACCCACAGCAACTGCTGGCTACCATATGGAAGGCAGTTATGTTACCACTACACCACTAATCCGTATTTGTTGTGTGGTTATGTTAGGATTTTTAGGATTACGAGCTTCAATTTGGTGATTTTTTCTCTGGCTGTATTAGAATTAGGAGTTTCAAGTTGGTGAGTTGCAATATATTATACTGATAAATTCGATGAACTAAACAAGTAAGATAATAGTAGTAATAATGACTTGAAAATGTTGTGACCTATACGGGTCTATGTGAAGCTAGACTAGATCTATTTCATTCTATAACTCTTAACATTTCTAATTCAAGGGATTTCCACAACTGTATACTGAATTGCACAATTTCCGACACACGCCCAAAGTTAGGTATAAAGACGAAATAATAATCATAATACAACTAATACAGCTTTGGATGATTCTATCACTACATTTGGTTAATTCTCCATTTGCAAAACCACCTAGTTTGGTAACCTCCTTTTGCTTTTATTATTATTTCTGACTTGTGGATGATAACCTTTCAAAGATGGAAAAACTTGGTTTGTAGTTTTAAGATCTAGGAATAAATTTAACTCAGACACTTTTCCAATAACCACCTTAGAAAAAACCCCCTTAATGTTTTGTAACGATGAGAATATTTTTGTTTTACAAATTATAAAATAACATCATTAACTGTTACAGACTAAGATTTAAGCAAGATGTTTCATCCACAACCGAGTACAGATCAATTTCTAGATGATCTACCTACTTACTTACCAAACGAAGAACCAAGTGAGAAAGACAAGAAGGTGGATATACCCAAGCCGCCTCAATTCAACGAATTCAAAGCTGAAGAACCACAATCATCAAATTCAATAAATTCACAACATCAAATAAACAACAAACCCACTAAGATAAATAAACCGGTGAGAATTTCTGGAACCAATATAACACTACAGACGGAAGAAGATATAGCAAAATGGATTGAAGAACGTAAAAAAAATTGGCCAACTAAATCAAATATGGAAAAAAAACAACAATTGAAAGAAGAAAAACGAAGGAAGTTTCAAGAAAATCAAACTAGAAGCATTAATAATAATCAAAGCAAGCGTAAACTAGAAGATTCAAACGAACCAGAAGGTAACTCAAATAAGAAAGGTAAAAACTTATGTCGACATTTTCAACAGTTTAAAAAATGTAAGTTTGGAAATAAATGTAAAAACATTCATGAAATTTCAAATGATCCTAATCCAATTGCTCAAAATTTTAAAAATGATTTAACTCATACAAAAAGAAAATTAAATGGTATTACAATTTTAATTCCAAAATTATATTCAAATAGAACTGAAAATACTCCAACTTCAAATTCTTCCTTGTTTAAACATTTAATTACTCAAGATCGATCGATAAATGAAAATCAAGTAGTTATTGATTTTATAAAGTATCTTGATGATAAAGGAATGATAAATCACGACGTAATGAAATAGAGTAATACGATAACCTCAATAAATGAAAAACTTGTAATTGTCCAACCTATTTAAACCTCCCCTTAAATATTCTCTATAAAAACTTTTAAATAAAAAATTAAACTAATAAATATCTCCATCATACTTTTTAGTAGCATCAATTAATATTGAACATTGTTTACCAATTTCTGCTAGTTTCCCAATAACTATATCATTACCTTCACCAAATCCATAAATCGAATAAGATAATCCAACTTTTTCACAAAATTTTATAACATAAGGTTGAGCAGTTCTTAAATTATGACGAGGTAAACGTGGAAATAAATGATGTATAGCTTGAAACTGTAAACCACCATGGAAAAAATCAAACCATTCTGGACAATCAACATCCATTGTTGTTCTAATTTGTCTCGAAGGAAATGATTCACTAACTCCTAAATCTGAAGTTGACATTGCAAAATGCGATAAAGTAATTTGAACATGAACTAACATTGTTGCCATATGACTAACCATAACATACATAAATCTATTCCAACCACCTTCAATACTTTTGAAAACTAATAAATAAAAAAACCAATAAAAGAAAAAACTTAAACCTGCAAATTCAAAATATCTAAACCAAGCAGCTGAACCTTTTCTTGGACCTTCACCTAAAATTATATGACCCCAAGATAATCTATATAAATTAAACCTACCAAAACATAAAATTGGATAATAAAGATAATGTTGAAAAGGTATTAATTTTTGGGCAAATGAATCAAACCATAATACTTTATCATAATAAGTTGAATAAACATTTTCAAATAATCGAACACTAACTGCAAAAAATGGTAAATGTTGAATATCAGGATCATGTACAGGATCATTTGTAACTAAATGATGAACATTATGATTACGTTTCCACCATCCTAAACTTAATCCACCAAACCAATCAGCAATAATCATACCAAATAAATTATCGATTTGATAATTATGACTTAATGATACATGACCAGCATCATGAGCTATAAAAGTACCTTGATGCCATGCCATACCCATACAAATAGCACTTAAAAATAACCAATTTATTTTGAGAAAAGATAAGGAACATAAAAATAATGATCCAATTTTAACAAGTTCTCTAAAATAAGCCCAATAATTACATTGATATAATCCAGCATCAATTATCTCTTTGTGTAGTATATTATATTCATCTCTTAAAACTTGTTGAGTTTCATAATCTAATGAAGGTATTGATACAATATCCTTTTGTGATAATTTGTTATCATAATTATCCATCAAGTGTTTAGGGTTAACTATTATTGATTGTGTATTGACTGGAAATATGTCATTTTTATTTGAATCATTCACAAGAACATTTTGAGGAACAACTGGTTTAACACGTTTTTGTGGATCTTCATTGTTAAGTATCGGTTGTTGATCTTCTTCCTGTTTTCTCAATTTGATTTCTACTTGTATGCCTTCTTCTGAAGCTGCGCTTGTGACAGAATCTAGTTCCAAATCTGATCCACTTTCTGATGAGTTTACATCTATTTTTTTCTCCAAATCTCCGGATTTTACTTTACTATATTTACTTGTTTTTGAATAAACTGCACCTTGTATTGGAGGTAGTAAATTTTCCCATTTATTGTTAATTTTTCCTATTCTCCAGTTTGTGAAAATTTTTATTGTTTCTTCACCATGATATGCGTTCATTTCATCAGTTGCGTCTCTCCCTATCATATGATATACAGCTTTATCACCACCAGGATGTCTAGATATCCATGAAGTTAAATTCAATACATTATCTTTATATATGACTATAACTTTCCCACCTGCAATAAGATCCGTTATTTCAACTCTAGATAGTATTCTAAGTGCTTTATTGTTTTCCATTATAAAAGCGAATGAATGGAATTAATATAACTTGAGTTGTTGAAGTTAATTCTTACTGAAACGTTTTAATAATTCATTTTTTTCTTCAGCCGATATATAAAATATTATACGAATTTTGTGAAACAAAACAAAGACCCTTATCAGGTGATGCTTAAAATTAGTAAGAGATCATAATCTTACAGAATGAAACAAAAATTGACATCATTTATGGTTTGAAGATCTATAATTAATTTAGTAGCATCTATTTAACAAGTCAAATGCAATAGGAATAAAAGTAGGAATTAAATAATTGTCATTAATATTTGATGTACCTTCAAGAACACCACCTAATATTATTGAAACTAATGCATTTTCCCAATTTTTAATTGGTATATAATGCTTGTTATTACGATTATAGTATTCCACTACATTAATGGCAATAAATGAAGTTAAAATAAATGCAATTGTACCTTGTACAGATTTTTCACTACCTTTCCATTTGAAAGTTCCAAATCTTTTACCAATTATTGAAGCAAATGAATCACCAATTCCCAAAGCTATAAGACCAATATATCTAATAATAGTTACTTGATTTTTATGTGCAAGATAATCATAAGCTATTGGAATAGTAACACCAGTTAATAAATATATGTAAGATAAATTTAATGGACCCAAATCTTTTGTATCTTGAAATTTGATTAATAAATTAGTTAAGTAAGTTCCAATAAAACTAACTTCATTGTATCTAATAAATTCAATAATTAAAAACACTATGATCATACCAAGTAATGCAATTAATGTAAATTCTACTTGACCAAATAGTATATCATTACTAAAAGTCAATGCAATTATTATAGCCAAGTGCCAAATTTTTCTTCTTGTATTTAAACTAAAATAGTCTGCAAAATAAAATACCAATGGGATAATAATTGTAGCCAGTAGTATCCAAGTTTTTAATATATTTAATCTTTCAGGATCATTCGTAACATATTCATATAACCAAACCAAAGCATTTTCATTAAGTATATTATTCAATTGAAATATTGTTAAAAAGCTAAAAATTGCACCGAATAAACCAATGTTTAATAATCCTGGTAAGTATGAATAAACAGGATATGCCAAAAATGCAGTAAGTATCAAACTTATCAAAAGTTTTTGAAAAATTTGTAATGGAATGGCATCTTTGGTGATTGATGGATTAAAAATAATATTGATTAACAATAAACAAACTAATTGTATTTCTGAATTTTTCAAAGACTTTTCCCCAATTAAATTAGTATCTTCTCCTTCTCCTGAATTAGCTCCTGACTCACTTTGTACATGTCCATTGTTTATTGAATGAAGAATATAACTGAAAAAGAAATGAGCAGCTGATATTTGTAAAAACTGAACCGTGGGGATAATTTTATCTGATTCACCTTTATAAATTTCAAAAAATATAATGCTGGAAACTAAATTAAAAATTGAATTCATTTTATCAACAATAAAATAATTCAATGAATTATTAATTAAGATCCAACTTGGATTATAATAAACTATATTAAATAATGATGGTAATAATATACTGTAAAAATAATTGAAATCAGGTATGTGTATTTTATCTTCTTTACTTTTTACAATACTTAATACAGTACAAGATAATACTCCCGCACAACTAAATAACATCATTGGTAATGAAGATTTAGCATGATCAAATTTATCTTGTCTTAAATAAATTAATTGAATGAAAAATCCAAATACTAATAATTGAGCTGATTTTAATAAATCAAGATGTTCATTCAAATAGTCTTGAAACCTGAATAAGTAATTGAATGGAAAAGATGCATTTTTAATATCATCTTGAGGATCTCCTAACGGTTCATTTGGTGAAACTTGTTCTTCTATCTTTTCTTCCTCTTCTAAAACTGGGTTTTCTGAATCTAGATTTCTAAAAATGGCAGCTGTTGATCTTGCTGTTATATCCTCCTTTTTCTCAGCAATATCTTTTCTTTTTCTAGCCATTACTTGATAAGATTTGATGTATTATAAAATTCCAACTTAACATGTAGTTGCTCAAAAATAATTTTGCAATTTCACTAGTATAAATTTATATGCAGTATATAGATCTTATCATAGATCGATAAATTTAACTTACAACTGATCTAAGAGATTAAGATTAAAATTCCGATAGAAAAAGACGTTTAATAATTCAAATTTAATTGATCAAGCCAAATGATTAGAGCATAAAAGTAAAGTGGCTTGTTTTTCAACATTTCATATGATATCACAATTTTGGTCGTTGATTAAAATTGAAAAAAATCTCAAACTTGGAGACTAAGATAGATCTTGTTGAAAAATTCAGGGGCTAGTTTAGTTCATCAACAGAATTAATTAGTTCTTTACACTTTCAAGTAGTTATACCGATTCTAGAGTTTAAGATGCATTTTATATTGAACTAATCCATCAATTGTCATATTAAACGAGATCAAGACACGACAATTAAACGCGTCTTAAATCAAAAAAATAAATTTATTTTAATACGTAAATATGTAAACAACTATTATCATTATCACAATCAACTTATCAATCAACTTACCAATATAATTAATGCATATAAAGAAGATAGTGATACAGGGGTTTAAAACGTATAAGAATCAGACTACAATAGATGGCCTTAGTCCAAATTGTAATGTTGTCGTTGGAAAAAATGGTTCTGGTAAATCAAATTTTTTTGCAGCAATTAGATTTGTATTAAGTGATGCTTATACTCACATGACGAGAGAAGAAAGACAAGGATTATTACATGACGGTTCAGGAACCATAATGTCTGCATATGTTGAAATTATATTTGATAATTCCGATGGTAGATTCCCTATATCTAATAGTGAAATTTCAATAAGAAGAACAATTGGATTAAAAAAAGATGATTATTCATTAGATGGTAAATCTGCAACAAGATCAGATATAATGAATCTTTTAGAAAGTGCAGGTTTTTCCAAATCTAATCCATATTATATAGTACCACAAGGTCGAATAACAAGTTTAACAAATTCAAAGGATCATGAAAGATTAACATTGTTAAAAGAAGTTAGTGGAGCAACAGTATTTGAAAATAAATTAAAAGAATCAATGAAAGAAATGAATCAATCAAATATAAAAAGACAAAGAATCGATGAAGCTTTAAATAGTATTGAAGAAAAAATAAGTGATTTACAAATTGAAAGTGATGATTTAAAAGAATTTCAAACTTTGGAAAAACAAAAGAAAATTTATGAATATAATATATTTGATAGAGAATTTAATGAATTAAATGAATCAATAGAAGAAATTGAACAAAATCATCAGATAATCCTAAAGGAATCAACAAAAGATTTAAAAGAAATGGAAGAAAGAGAAAAATTATGTACTGAATTACAAAATACAATGAATGAATTGGATGTAAATTTAAATATTATAAAAATTGAAATGGAACAATCTAACTTAGATTGTAATCAATTATTAAACTCCATTGCAGAAAAAGAAACTCATTTAACTGAACTACGAGATAGTTTATCCTCGTCAGATGAAAGATTCAATGAAATTAATACTCAACTTATTGAAAACAAATCACAACTTAATAAAATCACAGAGGAACTAAAAAAAAATAAACCACATTTGGAAAATTTACAATCACAAGAATCGGAATTAAAACAAAAACTACATGATATACAAACCAAGCAAAGAGCATTATATTCAAAACAATCAAGATTTCAAAAACATGGTTCAAAAGCTGCAAGAGACTCATGGTTATCAGGGGAAATTTCAAATTTTAAAGATCAATCAAAAGAAAAAGAACAAGACATACAACAGCATCAAAGTGAATTAAGAACTAAACAAATGTCACAAGAAGCAATAAATGAAAGAATTCAAGAAATTAACGACACCTTAAATGATAATGAGACAATGACTCAAGTAGAAGAACTAAAAACAAATATTCAAAACTTAAAAATTAGAATTAATCATTGTGTTGATCAAAGGAAAACAATGTGGAGAGATGAAGTTAGACTAAAAAGTGTAAATGATTCTTTAACTAATGATTTAAATAATGCCTCGAGTTTAGTTGCTAAAACCATGGATCGATCACAATCTCAAGGTATTGCGGCTGTTAAAGCTATTACAAAAAGATTGAAATTAGAAGATCATGTCTATGGAACAGTTGCTGAATTATTCAATGTTAATGAAAAATACAAAATTGCAGCAGAAGTTATTGCTGGTAACTCATTATTTCATGTTGTTGTTGATACTGATGCAACAGCTGCTACTTTAATTGAAGAACTAACAAGAACAAAGCAAGGTAGAGTTACTTTTATACCTTTAAATAGAATCAATGTTGTTGTTACTGAATATCCAGATCCACAAGAAAATCAATGTTTACCATTAATTTCAAAATTAAAATATAATCATGAGAAAGTTGGTAAAGCAATGGATCAAGTATTTGGTAAGGCTCTAGTTGTAAAAGAGTTACAAAGAGGTTCAGAACTTTCAAGAAAATTCAAATTGACTTGTATAACTTTAGATGGTGATAGAGTTGATGTTAAAGGTATTTTATCTGGTGGTTATAGAGACTTCAAAACGTCAAGAATTGATGCAATGAAGTTACAAACTAAAAAAAGAAATGAACTAGCCAAAACAGAAACAGAAATGAATCAAATAACTCAAGATATAAATGAAATAAACCAAGAAATGACAAAATTGAATAATGACTTACAATTAAGTATAAGAGATTTGGATAAATTAACAAGAGTTAAAGAACCTTTAGAAATCGAGTTATCACAATTAATAGCTAAGAAATTTAATATTGATCAAGATATTTTTGCGTTAACTTCAAATATTAATATATTAGAATCAGCAAGAAATTCATTACTTACAAATATCAAGCAATCTGAAAATGAATTAAATTCTGATTTTACTCAAGTTTTGAATGAACAAGAATTAATTTTATTAGAACAATATAGTAAAGATATTTCAGCAATTGAAAATGAAATGGATGAATTAGTAACTTCATTATTAGATTGGGATACAAGAATCAGTGATTTAGAATATGATTTAACCAAGTCAAATCAAACTATCAAATTATTAGATCAAGAAAAAAAATCATTAGGTGAAAGATCAACATTGCATTCAAACATCAATGAATTATCACAAGAACTAGAATCATTACAAATTCAATTAGATACATTGCAATCAAGAAATGATGAAACAACAGCTAATCAAAAAAGAATAATTGAAGAAATTAACGAAAATGAAAAAGCATTAACGAAAGCAAACGAATTACAACTTAAAACAATGGAAAATTTTGAAAAAATTAATAAAAAATCAACTAAATTATTAAATTTAAAACTGATAAAACAACAAACTCGTGAAGAAATAACCAACAAAATAAAAAATTTGGGGATGTTACCAGAAGAAGCATTCCAAACAGATAAATTTTCAAATACTTCAACAAATCAACTACTCAAAAAATTAAACGAAATAAATTCAGATTTAACAAAGTATTCTCATATAAATAAAAGAGCCATAGAACAATTCAATCAATTCAATAAACAAAAGGATGAGTTAATCAAAAGAAAAATGGAATTAGATGAATCAAACTTATCAATTGAAAATCTTATTAAATTATTACAAAAACAGAAAAAACAAACAATAATGAATAGTTTTAAAACAATTTCAAAATCTTTTAATGAGATTTTTGAAAAATTAGTACCTCAAGGAACTGGTAATTTAATCTTAATAAAGAAAAAGAATTTATCTGAAAGTCAACAACCTACACAAACTCAAGAAGATGAAGAAGAAGAACCAGAACAACAACAAACTGCAGATGCTGATATAAATTCTGACTCAGATTCAGAAGAAGATGATGATACAATAGATAATTACACAGGTGTTTCAATATCAGTATCTTTCAATTCAAAATATGATGAACAGCAAAAAATTGAACAATTATCAGGTGGTCAAAAATCATTATGTGCAATAACTTTAATTTTTGCAATTCAACAATATGATCCTGCTCCATTTTATTTATTTGATGAAATTGATAGTAATTTAGATACTCAATATAGAACATCAGTTGCTTCATTGATTAACTCATTAAGTGGTGGTAATAATATTGGTGAAGAAGAAGAAGAAGGAGAGGTTAATGCCAAAAAACCACAATTTATATGTACCACTTTTAGACCAGAATTAATTTCTTTAGCAGGTAATAAATTTTATGGTGTTGTATTTGCCAATAAAGTTAGTAATATAATTGAAATTGATAAAAATGAAGCAATGAACTTTGTTGAAGGTCAAACTAGGATATAGAAGTTATGTAGTTTAAATCAATGTAATGTATTTTTTGTAATTTTATTGCAATTATAACATTTTTGAGAAAGTTGCAAAATTCTGCTGTTATGAGTTCAATTTTGCGTAACTTTTTAGGTTTTGTGTCATTTTTGCCTAAAAAGTGATCCAACTAAAAACTTCAATATTTCAACAGCCAATGACTCTACTCAGCTAGAAGTAAATGATATGGACTCTTCAGAGCAAGGGCTATCTAATACAATACTCAAAACGCCAAAAATTCGAACATTCTGATATTTTCATACAAAAATCAAAGTTACACAAAACCTTCAAAAAAATTGACATACCCCTCCTTCATCTGAAAGCGTCAACTGCAAATTTTGTTATGGGAAAGCATATCAAAAAAATACCAAGTTTGTTAATTCAGCACAGCATCCAATTTAGCACTCTACACGAGTTGTAAAGAGATCAGCTATATATAGATGAGCTTGAGAAAATCTAAAAGGTTAGTAAGTTGTAGATCAGTTGTAGTCATTGTTTGAGCATTTAATAGATCCACTTAGTTCAATGAAAATGTATAAGATTTGATTTACCAAAACTGATCACCAATCTTGAGAACGTGAATTTAAGAAGAAAGAACATATTATTTTGGAACAATTCAATGACATAGATGCTTTACTCTGTGCTAAGCTGGAATTTTATGTGAAACTTTTCGAATATTTAATTTGAATATGCTTTTGCTGCCCCCTAACAATTTGCAATGGACTTCTTGGTTATTCTGTTGTTAATCTGGTATACAATCGACAAAAGACCATTTTACCATTTCTTTACCCAGCCAGTAAGTATAGTAAAGTATCAATTGTGATTGGTTTGAGTTGGACTGCTGTAGTTAAATCTGCTTGTTAATAAAACTTAAAAAAATGAATATAAAGTTATTTACTTACCAAGAAAATCATATTAACTAGATTATAAGTGGATTTTCATTACTTGTTTAAATGCTTTTCATCCATCAATCGATTGATTGAATATTTGTTTGATTGTTGTTCGAAAAGAAAGAAATATAATTGAAAACTAAAATAATTTAAAAACTGATATGCTTAAATATTGCAAAAAACAAAGTAGTGCACATTTGCCAAAACGTACAATAGTAATAATAAATGGTTGCAAATTAGTTTTAGTACTATCCTTGATAAGTAAAAATAAGTATGACTGACTTTAAGTTTTAGTTGTTTGAAGTTTTTAGAGTATGTATAAAAGTTTAAAACCTCCGAGAAAATACAACAGTTGTTAAGTGAATGTTGGTTTAGCATCTATTATAATCAGACAAATTTCAACAATAGTGCATGAAGTTCTTCAATCTAATAGAGTTATCTAATATTATAAGTTTTGTATCTTACTTCTTATGCAGTAATTCACCTTCGACATAGTTGGTCCAGTTATCTTCAAAACCATAAAAACCTGAGTTGCCGTTGTTTGTTTGTTTAAAAATAGGTATTGTCAAGTAATTTGTCTACTCAAATTTGTTCTGAAATGGGAATGTAGGTGATTATATTTCGTCCAAGCATTTGTCCACAAATATAATTGGAAACTTTCATTGAGCAATACCAACAATGTAGGAATTGACCATTATTACTACGAACTTCAACTAGATTTTTGAATTATGGCAAAGGCTTCAAACTAATTTTGAAACTGACTGACTTGCAGCCCCTACAAAAGACCAAAATTCATTCAACACCTTTCGAAATCAAAATATTTTGACAAACAAGGCGCAATAGTTTAATCTTTTACCGCTAACGTGCATAAAAAAATGATGTAATCGTAAATAATACAGCCCTTTTCCAATCATTAATTATGCAACTTAAAGAGAGAGAACTTAGACCATTAACTTGAAGTACAAGAAGATCTACATAAGAAGGGGAATTTATCTACAAACATGAAATTAATCCAGATTACTAAATGGCTAGCCTCAAAGATTTTTAGCTTTTAAGAGTCAAACTTATAAAGATGGTGATATTTAAAGAGATCCAAGATTGAAATACAATTCAAAATCAGTCTAATCTTGGTTGTTTTAGTTTACAAAAATATATAAATAAGTTGAAGTATAAGTATGAGTTATAATATTTAATTTTGATGTATTATATTTTGTACTTGAAACAAAATGAGACCTTTTCAAATAAAATATAAATGTCAGAAACCAAGAAGATTTTGTGTCATAAATTTGAAAAAGAAAGCAAAAGTTGGAAAATTTCATGTTCCTAACCAATTTTAATACAATTTACTTAAAACTAACAATCTAATATTAGAAATTAAAAGTTGGCTTTTAAATTTTCAATTAGTTGTAACTATCAACATCAAATTATAGTTTTAAATCTAAAATTTTTGATTTATAAAACTTTTTAATTATTACAATCCTTTTTTCACATTCAACGACTATTCTTTCCCTATAAATTCATCTGTTTAAATAAGTAAAGAATGGTATGTACTACAATAACACTATATTAATACGTGCTTACTTTTAAATTTGGAATCTGAGATTGAAAGATGTTGGGACCACGAGTGGCATTGCTCCAATTAATTTTCTTCATCATAAAAGACATTTAATAATTTTTATGTCAAATTTTGTTGAGTTTGATCTAATAGTTACAGAATCATATCTGAAAGTTGTATAAACAAGGACTCAATCAGGGAATGAATTGCAAAAGATAAACAGATGTAATGATTTCAAGAACACCAAATGAACGATCTTTATCAAAAATCATCACCAATTTTAGGAAAGAGTCCAATCATTAGATTTAAAATCAAATTTTGGTTAAATCTCACAATTTAGAGCAACATTCAACAAAATTAAAACAAGTATACTAACAAACTCCAAATCTAGCCAAATTATTATCAACAAGGACCACCTCAAGGTTATCCACAACAAGGTGGAGGTTATTATCAACAAGGTCCACCACCACCACAAGGTTATTATCAACAACAACAACCAATGTATGTTCAACAACAACCTCGACAACGTGATAGTGGATGTTGTGGTTCTTGTTGTGGATGTTGTACTGCTATACTTTGTTGTTGTTGTGCTGAAGAATGTTTGGATGCTCTTTGTTGAAAAGAGTAATTTATTGATGTATTGGGTTTATGGTGAATTAGATTGGGAAAAATTTAATTATAAGAGTATGAGAATTGGTGGTATTGATTGAAAAATTAAAAAAAAATTTGGTCTATTGAATATCTGTAGAGATTGATGCATTTATATTAGAGATTTCAAAAATAAGTTACAATAACATAATAATAATAATAATATTATTCATATATTCAAACAGTAAAACCATATCTATTACTATTTTCACAAATCAAAATCTCTACTTATTTTGGTGAAGTAAATCCACCATTTGCAAAGATATTTTGACCAGTAATCCAAGTACCTTCAGTAACCAAGAATCTAATAATTGGAACAATATCACTAACTTGAGTTAATCTTTGATGTAAAGCAACAGTTTTAAAATATTCAACTGCTTGTTTTGGTTCTGAATTTAATAAAAAGGAAGTTTCCATTGGTCCAGGACTAACTATATTTGAAGTAATTCCTTTTGGTAATAATTCTTTTGAAGCAGCTTTTGAATAAAATTCTAAAGGTGCTTTTGTTCCTTGATAACCTCCGTATAATTCAGTATATGCTGCTAATAATGAAGTTCCAATTGATATAATTCTACCATTATTATTTAAATTTAAACCTGCATTTTTAATAAAGAAGAATGCAATCTTGTTATTTTTATCATCTAATGAATCAAATTCTTGTTCTGAAATTTCAATAATTGGTTTTTTGATAACTTGTCCAACATTGTTTATAGCAATATCAATACCCTTTGGAAATTTAGATTTAGCTTCACTATACAATTTTTTTAAACTTTCATCATCACTTAAATCACCTTGATATAATTCAATAGTTACTTCGGGATATTTTTTATTTAATTCTTGTTTAAAATCTTCAGCTTGTTTTTGATCTGATCTATAATGTAAAAATAAATTACTTCCTAATCTTGCTAATTCTTTTGCTGTTTCACCACCTAAATTTTTGGTACCACCAGTTATGATTGCAACTTGACCTTTAATTTGATGTTGTGGAGCTAAAAAAGATGATTCTGACATTTTTAATTTCGGTTGAGTATAATTGAGATTTAAAGAACTTATAGTAAGAACTAATAATTAAATTAATATTTTTTGATGCAGTTGAAAGTAATTTGCATTGCTATATATAGTCTTGCTGCAAACTGCTACAATCCCTATTTTTACCAAACAATAAACTGTGTAAAAAAATACCCACTTAATCCTCATTATTTTTTTGACCGAAAAAGCTAATATTAAAAATACCTCATAATAACTACTACATTTGCTTTATTAAAAACAACAGACAAAACTGAAGCCATAACTAAGAAACTTTTGAATAGAAAAGTATAGAATTTCTTAATACATTTCACAAAGGCTTTTAATTTAAACTTAAAATTCTGAAACATCTTGAAATTTTCCACTTCCATACAAACCAGGATTTAATCGGGTTTAATTCTAATTTGACAGATTTTTCTGAATCGTGAAATTTGTTATACAACAAACTCGAGTTTCAGGTAGTTACTGAGACTTTACCGAGATTCAAATCGTATATACGATCTATCTATCAAGTAGAATTTATTACATCTATTCGGATTGAAAGCAATCCCGAGCTTTCTACAAACCACTAGTACAAATGATAAGTCATGAACATTACTAAATACACATTCTAGTCTATCAAAAAGTTAAGCATTAGCAGCAACCCCAACACCAAAACAACAACAACAATAAACAAGCAAACCACCCCACATATCTTTTTCATTAGCATTTACAGTTGGTATTGAACAACAACCAAAACAATTAGTTGATCGACAATCTCCACAACATATCCGGCATTGATTATGTTCTTGTTGTGTTTTTTGCTCATAGTAATCTTGAGGTAGATCTGATTCTTGATCTGATTCTTCTGTTGGTTGAGGTTTTGGTTGGTATTGTGGTTCTTGGTGTTGTGAATATGATGATTGATTGGTTATATTTTTAGTGTTGTCATTATCATTATCTTTTGGTTGTGATTGAGAATAATCTGGTGGTGGCGTTGGTTCAATCTGACCTTTTGTAATTGACATGTTTGATCTCTGGGTATTAATTACTTACTCTTTGATTCAAAAATATTGTATAGCCTTCTGTATAAAGCCGTTCGTATATTTACAATTTTGTGACATTAATAAAAAAGTGGGTAGACCAATTATTATAAATTAAACCATTTTTATTACATTGTTACAATATTACTAGCACTTACTGAAATGTAAATCTATTTATTAATTAATTACTATTTATAAACTCCTTCCCAGATTTAATCTTTACCTTTTGCTGCTCTTTTAGTTGAAGTTGAATTTTTTGGTAATTCTTTAACAAATGGAATGAAATCAGGTTCACCAGGAATATATTTTCTTAAAACTTCAGGTACAACCAATCCATCTTCTTTTTGATAATTTTCTAATATACAACAAATAGCTCTTTGAGTAGCAGATAAAGTTGAATTAAGACAATGAACATATTTTTTTTCAGTTTGATTTTGTTGTTTTACACCACATCTAATTTCTAAATTTCTTGATTGATAATCAGTACAATTTGAACAAGAAACTAATTCTTTAAATTCTTGTTGAAATGGGAACCATGCTTCTAAATCATATTTTTTAGCTGCTGCATTATTTAATTCACCTGAAACTATTCCTACTACTCTATATGGTAAACCCAAAGATTGATAAAATTCTTCAGATGCATTAATCATATTATCAAATTCTTCCCATGATTTTTCTGGTTCTGTTAATACAAATTGTTCGATTTTCTCAAACGCATGAACTCTGAATATACCCCAAGCATCTTTACCATGAGAACCAGCTTCTCTTCTAAAACATGATGAATATCCAGCATATTTAATTGGTAATTGTTCTTGAGGTTTTTCGAACCATTCATTTGCATGATAAGCACTAATAGGTTGTTCTGAAGTTGCAATCAAATATTTTTCGTCTTCTCCGTCTATGACTTTATATAATTCTTCATCGAATTGTGATAATTGTGCAGTTTTAGCCATAACTTCTTTATTCATCATAACTGGTGCTTGTAATGGTACATATCCTTTTTTAGCTAAAAATGAAAGTCCATAATTTATCATTGCTTGATTTAAAAATACACCATAATTTCTTAAAAAATACCCACGATGTCCAACAATTCTAACACCTCTTTCTGGATCATAACCATCTAATCTAAGTAAAACTTCATGATGAGATAATTTAGCTGGTTCATTTGTACCTGCTGCAATTTGTTCAGGTTTTGAGTAACCTTCTGGTAACCAAGTTTTAACTAATTCATTATTTGCTTCATCCATAGAATCAACAACTGATTTATGAACAATATTACCAATTTGATTTACTTTAAATCTTAAATCTTTATCAGCTTGTGCTTCTTTTTCAATTAATTGTTTTTTTTCTTCAGTCAAATCATCTTTTAATTTTAATAAATCAGCTGGATCTTCTTTAGCTTTATACTTGGCTCCAATTTCCTTTTGAGTTTTATTTATTTTTTTATTATGTTCATCTAAATCAAATCTAATTTTAACCCAATCTTTATAGTCTTTTATGATTTCATCTACTAATTCTACTGATGCTCCTCTTTTTTTTTGGGATTCTTTAATTTTGTCTGGTTCTCCTCCCTTTTCAACTATGAATGCATTAATATCTAACATTATGAATATATTTAGTCTGGTGGTTAAACTTTTATCTGGTGACTAAAATTTTTCGTATTTTGAAAATAAATTTTTTCCATAAAAAAATATTTCAAATTTATTTTTATTAAAGAAGTAATGAAGTATACGTGTTGAATCGTAGATTCCAGTCTTACCATAGCAAAATGACGAGAAATCCAACTAAGAGGCGGACCAAAGCATTATAGTATAACTTAAAGTAGCTGTATTAGACTGAGCTGAGTTTCTCATCTTTTTGCAGGGAGATTACTCTCAACTGAAAACAGAGACAACTAGAAAAAAAGTCAGAATTCTAAAAACTCCATCAACTAATGACTGTAGAGTAGCCTATACGTGAGCTGAAATGAAGAGATTGAGCTGCAACATACTCAAGCAGCACACATAAATGAACTTATTAGAGAAAGAAAAGTATTGAAAAGCAATGAAGTTAGAGAACCTTGATAAATTTATGTTGAAAGACTGGGTCCATGTTCAATTCGAGAGATGCTTGATTTCTCTTTCGATTCTTTACTCAACTACTCTAAATTCTTGACCGATTGATGTTTCAATTTATAAATCAGAGAAGAATATAGCTATGTTTCAGATTTCGCACGATTTTGATAACGCGTATCGTGTGAACCAATTTGTGTAGATAAACAAAGCTAATCGGCTGAGCAATTACTCGGAAGAAAAATTAAAGTAAGTTAAATAAAAGTACACGAGTATATTAGACAGCTGATTGATAATTCGCCTCAACTGCGTATTTTAAATAGATAATTGTAGAATTTATAAGTATTTGCAAAACTTATACAAAAACGGAAAAAGCCGCACAGATTTAGGTAGCAAAATTACGAAACTACATGAATTAACATTAGCAATAAACAAGACCTTTTATAGCATCGATTTATTTCAACTTTAAGTATTCATACTAAACCGTGTACCTATTGATCAAGTCGAAAAGCATTAATTCAAAAATGATATGCAATCCCTATTATTAGATAGAAAATTAGGTACAATAACTCCACTACAATTTCGAAACATAATAACAGAAAATTATTATTCTTCATTAATAAATCAAACAGCCAAATACGATGTATTTCCTATAAATTGTCATCACAATTCAAATATAAATAGTTTATCATTGGAAAAAAATGATTACAGGTTTTTATTAAGTGGATGTGGAGATTCTTCAATAAAGTTATGGGATTTAAATAGTCAAGACGTTGTAAGAGAAGAAAATGAAATTGATAAAAGATTAAATCGAACTCATAATCCTGAAAAATTTGATAATTTCGATTATGATAACCCCGTTAGTGTTTATCAAAATGTTGCAACTATTCCAAGACGTGAATTTCATAAATTTGGTATATCTAATTTACAATGGTGGCCATATGATACAGGGATGTTTGTTTCTTCATCATTTGATCATACTGTTAAAATTTGGGATACAAATGAGCTACAACCAGTACATACTTTTAATTTAAACAATAGAGTCTATTCAATTGACGTTTGTGGAGAAAATTCATTAATTGCTACTGCAAGTGATCAGCCATTTATAAGAATATTAGATATGAAATCAACTTCCAGTGCTCATACTTTGAGTGGTCATAAGGGGAAAACATTAAGTGTTAAATGGCATCCTACAAATCCTAATTTATTAGCTTCTGGTGGGTATGATGGTGAGGTTAGAATATGGGATATAAGAAGAAGTAAATCATTATTGTGTAGATTAGATATGTTAAGAACTAATACGTCACAGACTAATACTGGAGGAATTAATGAAAATTTAACTCAAAATTCAATAAAAGCTCATCTGGGACCAGTTAATGGTTTAGTATGGGAAGAATCAGGTACAATATTATATACAGCTGGTAATGATGATAAAGTAAGAGTTTGGGATATGGTATCAACTTCATATCCACCAATAAATAAATTAATAAACTTTGGTCCATTAACAAGAAATAAATATCCTCAAACAATACCAATCTTATTAAATCCAAAGGGTGAAACAAATTTACAATATTTATTGTTTCCATCAGAAAATGGTGAAATATTAATTTATAGAACAATTGATGGTAAATTAGTTAATAGATTATCAAGAAAAGGTACAAAAAATATAGGTAGAACTACATCAATGTGTAATGGTGGACCTTTCACTGCTAAATATTTTGCTGGTACTAATGATGGAGAAATTATTCAATGGAGTCCTTTCTGGGAAAAAATTGATATTGAAGATTTTATAATTAATGATAATGAAAATGGAGAAGAAGATATTGATGAAATCATTTTGAGAAGGCATAAAGCAAAAGAGTTAATGCAGCGGATGGAGATTTAGGTTTATATACAAATACAAATTACAAAATTTTATTAACTATATAATTATTTTAGAATAATTCTTTTGCTTTTAATTGTAGATTATTTTTTTTAACATAATCATGTTAAATATAGTTAATAAAGATAAAACTTTGTACTCCCAAAAGAAAACGCTAAAGCATTATCAAACTTATTTCATAAAGCCTGTAAACATTTCCTATTCTAAAGTTAAACCTTCATTGAATGATCCATCAAAAGTAAACGTTTACTAAGTGTTCCCAACCGCCAACAAGTCAAGCACAAGAGCGACCCAAATTAACCAAATTAATTTACGTGGTGCAGGCCACAACCTTTCGACAGTTTAACCTCTAACTTCACATTAAAATAATTAAACCATCAATCTAATTTAATAAGATTTTGGTACAGGGAGGGCCCTTGACAATTTCCACCTGTTGTTTAATCTTTATCACAATTGATTGAGTTATGGCTTATTTAATGTTGGTTGGAAGTCCATAAATTTCTCCGCCCAAGATTATAAGTGCCTGAGATGCAGCAAAATTGGTCATTTTGCTAAAGATTGTCCCACTCCACATGCCATAGACTTACGTCAGTTTCAGACGAAAGTGGTAAGCTTAGATCTCATGTCTCAAAAATTTCACGCACTTCATTTTTGGTGAGTGTTCAAATATATCGCTCGGATATAAATTCTTCGTATTTTCAAATTTTCAAAAATATCTTTTAAATTTAAATTGTTTGTTATTTTAAAACCCCGGATTGTATTATTCCAAAACCCCAATTTTCTCTATGAGGTTTATCATGTACCAGATTTCAAAAATAATGCAGTAATTTTAAGTATATCACATTTAGTGAAAAAAGACTTCAAATTAAACCCAAATTGTATGTATCATTTTAAAATCCAGATAGTTATTTGTTAAACTCTAGATGTTTTTATCTCTTTGTTTCAAATTTATAATCCTTGAAAAATAAACAGAATTTCGGGGTTTGAGTCAGGTGCTAATTCATTTTTGAACCCTAAAAAGTAAGTGAGCATAAGTACAGCGCACGTGACTATACCGGAAACGCGTCTGAAACAACTACCAAAAGTTAAGTTAAGTTATCGTTATAATAAGTATCAATAGATTAATTGTTCAAGTCTCCAGTAAAATTTACTGTTTTAAATAGTAGAATCTAATCTTGTATTCATTCTCCTAACAAGCTTGATAACTTGAAAAAGATTTAATTGTTCCTAAAAAGGGTTTACTTCAATATACAATTTAGTTTAAAAGGTACAACCAAAAACACATTATATATACTCAAAGAAAAGAATTGGTTATGTAAACGAATAGAACAAGTCATACTTGTTAAAGCAGATTCGACTGCTGATAATCTTTTCTTAGAATTGGCTAAGAAGAACAAAAAAAACAAAGTCACATACAAAAATAATATACTACTAATACATTATGTACCTTCTAATTCTTCCATAGTTGGATCAACTAAAATGGGTATTATCAATATTGAGAATAAATTATACAATTGTGAAATTATAAACATATTATAGATCTAATAAATAAATATATGTTAATTAAAATAAATGCAAGTAGTTAATTATTATAGTAGAAAATAATAATCTCTTTAAGACGTCTATAACATGATTGATTGATAAATATTAATTGTTAATCAGAATAAATAAATACACGATGTAATAAATATTATACTATCTCATTCTGTTGAGCTCAAAATCTGTTCAAGAGAAAAACAAGATATATCTTATTAATCGCTAAAACCGGGAGAATAAGATGAAAGTATTTTCAACGAATGTTGCCCAAAATTAAGAAAATTTCCACATTCTTGCTGAAAACCTTTAACAAAATTTGTTGCAAAATCTGCATAAACTGGATAATTTTTGGTATTATATAAAAAGCAGGTAAAATAGTTATTTCTGAAGGTCTTAATAGATTATTTCATGTCTGTAAATTACAATCAAACTATTATCTAGATTAATATCCTATTTCTCAAATTTTTGTTAGTTGTTAGTGTTTGTTAACAAAAATTGAGTGCGTGAAAACTGGGACAGCGCAAAACCCTTGTTTGGCACCTTTTCTATAATAATAAAGTTTCATAAGTAACAAAAAAAAAATTAAAATTATCAATAATAAACAAAAAAGAAAAAATATAAACAAATAAACACATTTTTATTAATTCATTTAATTTGAAACATATAACATCTTTTTAAAAATCAATTCAAATTACAACCACAACCACAACCACAAATAATACAAAATGGTTAAGTTAACTAAATTACAAATAATTCTAATACCAAAAGAATATGCACCATTACCAATAGAAGATATTAATAGTATTATATCAAAAAAATTTCTTCATTTAACAAATCCAGTTAAATCAATACAAAGTTTACATGAAGAAGTATCAACAAGATACAAAAAATTATATCCAAAAGAACCAGAATTAAAAATTATGAATTTCCAAGATCAAAATTTATGTGATTTAGATGATGAATATACAATTGAAGATGTATTTGAAAATAATGATATAGTAAGAGTTATAGTTGATAATTTTTTTAATGATAATATTGAATTTGATTTTCACCAAAAGAGATCCCATGAAGAAATGCAACGTATTGAACATAATGTAACGCCGACTAAAGAACAACTAAACAGAAGTACATCACCAGTTTCTTTAGCTCCACCACCTTCAATTTCACTGAATAAAATCCCCAAAAAGAAATTAAATGAAACTCCAGGTGCTATGTCAAGAGTTAGAATTACTTCAGGTATGCTTGAAAAACCTCCAAATGATACTGATGACTTCAATAATAATGGGAATACAAATAATTTTGAAAATCGTGATGATATGGATTTAGATGTTGTATCAAATGATGATGGTTCAGATGAATCAGATGATGATAATATTCCAATTTCACAAGTTGTAAGCAATTCCAATTCACAAAGAATTTCAAAATCAGCTATTTTGGATATGTATAAAAGTAGAGCAAATGAAATACCTCCTGCTCATGCTCATGATGAAGTGTTGAAAAATTTAGGAATTGATACAATTGAAGGGAATCCATTATTAGGTGATAATAAAAAAAGAACAGCTGGTTTAGAAGCAGCTTCAAAAATTAGTAATAATAATAATTTTAAAAAACCAAATTCAACACCACAATCTAAATCAGCTACAACTTCAGCAACTTCGTCAACTAAAAAAGCTACTCCAACTCCAAAACAACAAAAACCACTTGCACAAACTCAACCAAATGTAGCACCAGCAGGTTCTAAAATCACTACAACAAGTCCTCCAACCATTACAAAAAAACCACCTACATTAACGGGTAATGAATCAGTACAAGCTTTAAAACCAAAAGAAGAAACAATATATGATGAAGATAAAACAATGAATTTACTTGAAAGTATAAAAGTTAGTTTGAATCATTTTGAAGATCAACTTTTAATATATAAGAAAAAAGACGCAGATGGTTATTTTAAATTACCTAAATATTTTGCTTTAAGTCCATATCATAATTCAAAAGCTTATACTGATCCAATTATAGATTGTCGTTTAAATTTAAGTGATGAAGCAAATTATGAAGGTCCTTTACCATACAAGTTAAAAACAAGATCAACTGCTCATAATCATAAATTATTTACTTCATCAATTCCTTCACTTCTAAAAGATGAACCAATAAATACTCCTCCGAAATTTCAATCACCTCCAGCACCACAAAAACAACAACCACAAAAACAGCAACCACCAAAACAACAACCACCAAAACAACAGCCACAAAAGCAAACCCCAACCACCACCAAATCAACTACTACCACTGCCAAATCTCAACAGCAAGCATCAACTCCAAAACCAAAAACACCAGCCAAATCAAATATTGAAAGCAGTCATCGTCCAATTACTAGATCTGATACAAATAAAAATACACCAAAACCTCCAACTTTACGTACATCATCACGTCCAACATCACGTCCGACTCAACCAACTCGTCAACAACCAAAGCCAAAACGCGCATCTCCACCAGCTCGTCAACAACCAAAACCAAAACGCCTTATTGATACTTATAGTGATACAGAAGTAATTGAAATTTCATCATCACCAGAAACTGACTCAGAAGAAGAAGAAGAAGTTGAAATAAGACAACCTAAAAGAAGATCAAGTGGTTCAAAAGCAGCAAATAACAAACCAAATGGTGTATCTTCAAGAAAAAATTCAACAACTCCTAAAAATGTTGCAGCTAAAGATAATAAAATAACAACAAGAAGTCAATTTAAAATAACAACTCCAAAAAATTTCACCAAAAATAATGGTAACTCAAGATCTCCTACAAGTCCAAAAGATTCAATGAAATCAAAGTTTCAAGAAATTGCAGCATTATTTATTGGTTCACAAGATCTGTCACCACAAGGAAAAAAAAACAAAGATTATGATGGAGATGATGAAAATGAAAATGATGAACCATCACAACAACCACAACAACAACAAACTAATTTTGCTTCGATGTTTAGTAATCCTAAAAAGACAACTTTTGATGTCGTTAACCTGATGTTTGGTGGTGTAGATAAAACCAATGAAAATAATGAAAATTTGGAATCTCCATTTGGTACATCAACTGATCCTGCTCTGTTGAGTAAAAATAATGGAAGTACAGCTGCTTTTGGTGTTGGTAACTCATTCGGTAAACCCGAAACAACAACTACTACATCGACAACAGATCAAAATGGGAGATCTTATAATTCACCACCTCCAACCACCATATCAAATGAAGTATTATTGGAAAGTCCAGTCCCATCAAGTGGTCATGGTAGTTTACAATTATATGCAAATAAAGATGGTGAAGCTCCATTATCTTCTTCTGGTTCAAGTGATGTAGAATCAGTGATTGAAGGAGATGATGATGAAGATGATGGACAAGAAGAAGACTCGGCAACAAATAATCAAAAGAAAAGATTAGTTGCTTCTATTCCACAAAAGAGAAATTCACCAGCTCCCATAAATTTACAAACTAGTAATTTACTTCCAACAAATTCCCCATTTGCAAATTTTGAAAATTCATCAAGTTTATCAAATAATGTAACTACTGCAACAACTATAGAAACATCAGCTTCATCAACTGCAAAAGAAAAAGAAGATCAACCAATAGTTACACCATTGAGAAAACCACTTTTACCTTCATTATTAGAATTGGGGAGTAGAGGAGTTCCAGAAGTTAAAGAAATTGAAGAAACTACAACTACAACTACAACTACAAAAAAGGGTTTAATCAACCAGGATGAATCATTAAGTTCTGAAGAAGAAAGTTCAAGTGGGTCTAGTTCAAGTGATGAAGATGAAGATGATGGAAATAAAAGATTATTTTTATAATTAGTATATTATAGATCCAAAATAGAATCTTTTTCACACGTTTTGAAGATTCAAAATTTTATATTTCTATCTTGTGTATTATTGTTTAAATAAATGTCAAACTATAATTATAAAAAATGTTTTTAAAAAAATCAATTTTAAATGAACTAAAATAAATAATGAAAAATGAAACCAAAAAGAATTGAAAAAAACCTCATTTCCTAAATTAAACAACTTCTTTTTTACAATAAATATTCCTTCCCAAAATATTCATAGTCCAATTCTGATAAGTAACTTGAGGTGGTAAAGTCTCAGTAATAACGGATAACAACCTTTTATAAATTTCTCTTATAAATTTTTTTGCCGTCGCAGGTTGTTCAATTAATAAAGCAGCCATATAACTTTCAAAAAAATCACCTAAAAATTCTTCTTCATAAATTCTTACCTCATTTAAATCTTTTTCAGGTAATAATTTCCCCAATGTTGTATAAGGAATCCATTCATCTGATATTCTTGTATTAATTATTGGATCATCTAATGCCTGATATAAATTATAACATTTTGTTAATTTTGACATTAATGTATTTGTAGCCAAAATGGTTTTAATTAAATTATACGTTGTTGAATTAACATTTAAATTTAATGTTGAAGTTGTTGTGGTTGTACATAAATCATAAATTAATTTTGAAGTTTCTTGAGCTAAAAAAAAATCACCTAATCCATCAAGAAATGAAATTTCTTTACGTATAATTCCATATTCATTAGGTAATAAATCATAATTTTGAGATTTCATGACTTTTGCAAATTGATGTCTTGGATCTAACAAAACTCTATAAAACTCTTTATGCATTAATGCTTTAACTAATAATTCTCTATTATGAATTTTAGGTAATGGTGGTAAATATATTCTTTTATTGTTTGCTTCAGTAAATGATACAAACCTTGTAATTGATGATCCATACAATAATTCTTCTTGTACTCCAACATTATCAATATAATTTTTAAAAGTTTTCAAAGTAAAGATATCTCTTTCATCTCTTATTATCCTAACTTCATCCGGTGATAATCTATTTTTTCTTGCATTTAAATACATTTTAATTATATCATCCAAACATTCATGAACTTCTTCTTCATTATAATTTTGTAACATATACCCAAATATAATATAAAGCCAATTTTTCAATCCAAATTGATGATCACATAAGCACCATATTTTTTCCCTTTTTTGTAATATGGAGTTGTTAGAAGTTAAAAAATTTTTCAATTCTAAATGGATACCTGATTTTTCATCATTCAACTCCCTTTTTAAAAAAGTTGATAAATCAAATACAATTTCTTTAATTAATGATCCTCCCCCAACAGTAAATAATTGTTTAAATCTACGATACGAAGATAATCTTATAAAATCTCCTCCTAAACTATGAAAATGATATTTAATTTGTTTATCTGATTGTAATAATGCATTTAGTTGAGAGGGTATTAACATTGATGATCTTGATGATGGTGTTTGAGTTGATTTGTGGAAATAACATTTTTGATGATTTGTTGTAGTCGAGTTGTTTGAATCTAAAGTTGAGGACCTAGTCCTCGCTGACCTTGTTCTACCATTTGTACTCATTTTAGTTGGTCGGAGTCTAGTGGTGAACATATACTATTACAAAGTTGGATATAATTCAAACTATATTTAGTTTGTTATGTTTAAATGATTGTGCTTGATTCTATAAATGATAATATTAAAATCAATTCTTTCTGATAAGATAAGAGAATTTAACCTTTATATTTATATATTTTAAGTGAAGTTGTTTATTGTTTTGATAAATGATCTAATTAGAACAAGTTCTCAAAAAATGTATGACGTGAGTAATAAGAGTAAATAGAACATTATTATTTGTTGTTTTGTTTAATATTATTTTTGTGATTTACCCCGTGCTCTTTTATTTGATATAAACTAAAACACGATTTATTTTATATTTTAAAATTGCGCAATAGATAAATGATTTTGAAGAAGACCATTGAGACCGGATGAGTCGTCTTTACAATAGAGAATTGCTACAAAATCATCTTCAGCAATTACTTTTTTCACTTATTAATCTAATTAGTTGACTCTTCAAAAGTAATGATAATATTGTTGTTTTTGAGTTTATTTATCAACCTTATCTTATCTTATCTATGAATAAAAAATTCTCTAGTACTAAACTTTGTGTAATTAACTAAGGAAAAAAAACATATGACAGAATTTTTAATAAAAAAGCCGCTTAATTACAAACAAATAATATGACACATTTGAATTATTCTTTTAACAGTTAGTCATAAATTTCGTTTTGATCAATCAGAACTTTCAGTGACTCTGGCAAAGTGAAAAATTTGAGCTGAAACATTATTAATCTTTATAAGTTTAGCTTGAAGCTAGTTTTCTCCACCATGAAACAGTTCATCGACTTTATCTCCGCGAAATTACTTGTACCGGAAAAACCTCTCATACAAATTACATTTACTTTCTCAGTTTGAATCAAACTAAGAACTTTTCACAAAATCTCTTTACTTTTTAAAAAATTTCCAAAATTTTGAATTTTGCAATCCAACGCTCTTACAAAAATTTTTTACAACGGAGAAAAAGTTTTTGCGACCGAATGTAAGATTTTAGACGAGATATATATTATTCGTCTCTTGAAACAAATTTCAAATTGGCTAACAGAGCCTAACTACTCGTCAAATTTCCAAAGTTTTATATTTAAGGAACTGAAAATTGCAAGATTTAATAATTATATTTGGTCAAAGAAAGCCATTTATTCAATTTTAATTATTTTCAGAAATTTTTGGCAACCAAATAAAATGCCAACCACAAAAATAATAGATACAAATCAAGGTGAAGAAAACGATAAAGAAAACGATAAGGAAAATGATACACCATCAACAACTTCATCACCAAGCAATTACATAATCGAGTTTGCAAAATCTCCAGAACTAGGTAAATTTAAAATCATAAGTCATAAAACATTATCAAATCCATTAAATTATAAAGAAAATATAACTTATTCAAGTATTAATCAATTAAATGATAATAAATTTTTGGCATTGAGTAATCAACAACAACCAATTCAACAAAAAATCAAAATGTCTAAAATCGTTCATGATATTAATTATAAGAATCAAGCTATTAGACAATATTTTGAATTTAAAAATAACAAATGATTGAATGAGTGAATTGATGCTATAAAGTTTTCAGTTTATATTTAAACAATTTTTGATATTGCTAGTTACAATTTATATTCATACTTTATCTCAAAATCTTCAAATAAATGAAGGCCACTGTTCAATCTCTAATATAATGATTTTCTAAAAAAAAGTTAAATATCTGAAATTACCTGAATTAATTCTCGAGAAATTTTTAATTATATATTATTATAGTTCGTAGAGATAAAAATTGACACTAACCACAACAGAAAACAAACCCAAGTAAGCCTGCGTGGCGAAATGGTTATCGCTTTTGACTTCTAATCAAAGGATTCCGGGTTCGAATCCCGGCGTGGGTTCTAATTAGTTGGTAAAACTTTAGCAGCTTTAGCTCACCTGGGAGAGCGTCAGACTGAAGATCTGGAGGTACTGTGTTCGAGCCACAGAAGCTGCATTATCATACATTTCAATGAAGTTTTTTTTACCTTTTGCTTTATTAATTTACACTTAATTTTTTCATATTAATATTTCATCTATTTCGTTATATTAAAACATTATATATTATCTATCTATCAATTTAATTAATTAATTTTTAAATTCATTTAAAACCTCAATATAATATTCATTCAATTCAATTTTGAAAAATTGAATAAGATTTACAAATTCAACATTTAAAAAATTTTTCAAATTTTTTTCAAATGCAAAAGTTAAACCAAAATTAAAATTAATTAAATAACAAAAACCAATTTCACACCTAAGTAAATCTTTTAAATTTAATCCAACAACGTTTTTAAATTGTTTTTGTTTTTGATATATATCATCTAAATTTTTTGTTGTTGTTCTTAAACTTGCTATAACTAATCTGAAACAATTATTTAATGTTAATTTTACGAGATTTTGTATAATTGTTAATTTAAAAATTAAATATAATGAATGTACATAAGAAACTTTTGATATTGATGATGAATATTGATTTATTCTTAATAAGAAATTTTGGATTGATAAATTTGGTAATTTTATTAAATTGAAAATTTTAACTAGGTGATTATAATTATTTGTTGATTTTGAATTTGTTGAATGAATTATTTCTTTTTTTAATTTAATTATTTCACTTTTAGTATTTTCTTGTTCTAAAATTTCTGGTGTTTGTATAATTGTAGTTTTAATTAGTGTTTCAATTGGTATATAATCTGGTTTTAATTTCATATCTTCATTAAAGTCATAAGTCTTATTATATTTTATATCATCAATATCATCATCTGCAAAAATTGATATATTTTCTTTGTTGTTTATTAGTATCTCTCCAAAATTATTATCAAATTGTCTTATTTCAGTTAATGATTCATTACAATCATCGAAATCATCTCTTTGTAAAGTTTTTAGTAATTCTTCATTATTTAATCTTGAAGTGTTTTCTTTATTGGTAATATTTAAATCACTTGATGATGAAGTTGCAGATGTTGTATCTGATGATGAAGATGTTCCTGTTATGGTATTTGTTGATAATGAAGTAATTGAAGTGTTAGAGTTGTTAAAAATCTCATTATTTAGACTATCATTTTTTAATTTAATATCATCATCATTGCCCGGGATTTGCTCTTCTTCTTCTTCTTCATCTATTGATAAATCATTTAACCCCAAGTTCTTTAATTGTTGACTTCTAAATTTTTCAAATAATTCAGGATATTGTTGTAATTTTATTATAAATTTTAAAGATACTGAATAAATGAATATAATATGTAAAATATGTAAATTCTTTATCGTTTTTAACCCATTTTGTAAATCAAATATTAAATCATCTAAATTTATTTCTTGTAATGTTGTTGGATCGTCTACAAATGTTTCTTGTGGAGGTTTTAGATTCGGTATTTCTTTGATATCTTTCACAAAAGTTGTCATGATTTTATGCTGTTTCTATTTTTATAGATTTGATATTATTATTTTTATGATTTAAGTTGGGGTAAATATTATTTTTTTTCTATAGTACCGTATGAATGTGTATAATAATGAATAAATGTAAATGATATAGTACAAAGTGTATAGTGAGTATGTTGTATATAATTCATATATGAATAATCAATAAATGTATCACTATGTAGAAGATTTGATTAAAAAGATTTGATCTACTTGATTACTCTTTTTATTATTATTATATTTATTTATGTACAAAGCAACTTTTACTTCGTATAAATTTATTCTTATTTTTTTTTTCATCATTTATTTTTTATGTGTGTTTTCTCTCTCTCTTCTAATAATTTTTCAGTTTGTCTTACATTCGGTTGTTATTTCCTTTTATTGATATTAAAATATTATTTTAGTAAATCATTTGTAATAAAACTGAGTCTATATGAATATGAGCCTTTATGAATAAAACACATATCAGTAAATTGTGAAATATGATGTCCAAGTCAATTTATGAAGATTTGTATTGGCTTATAACCCTTGTATTATTATATACGATGAATTAAAAAAAAGAAAAACAAATTTGGTCTACACTATCACTACAAACTGTTTTTGCAACCAAGAAATTTTAAGTTTAATTATCATGCAAAATTTGTCAAAAATAACATGTTAAAATAGTTATAGAAAATACTTATCCAAAATTTTAATTGAACAAATAAGATATGAAAGTTCAGCGGAACCTTACTTAGAGAACAAGTTCAAAAATTAAATAATAAAAAAAAATAGTTTCTATATTGTTGATATAATCCTCAAACTCACTTTCCCTTGACTAGAAATAACCTTATTTGACTTTTATACTATTTGACTTTGTTCAAATCCCCATACAATGAATAAGTCAAAGGTGCAGAGTTTTTAGACATTCAATTTGAAACAGCCTCCCATAATCAATAAAACAGCAAGATAATATTGTATTAGTTTAGAAAAGTTCCACAAACTAACACGCTCAGGCATCTTAAAAGAGACCAATTATAATTCAACCGTTGAACATTTGTTTTACATAATCTCATGGTTGTTCGTGCTCAAATACATCTTTGTATACATCATATTTCGTTACTTAAATTCAATTTTAATAGCACGCGAGGCCAAAAATTTGTTTGTTTATTTATTTATGTTATACAACTTGACGCGTTAAACTTAGCGCGTTCGACCAAAAAGTTAAGTCGATTGTCGTGTCTCATAAATGAAACAAATCAATTATTGCATATGATTTTGTGTTAAAATTGTACTTTTCAAAAATTTATTCTTTAAATATTTTCGAGAAAATAGCAAATATATTTATATTCTCATATACTCTTACTTAAAACATTTTCTTGATCCGAAACTTACCACATGTCTCAAACAATACAAATGTTTCTCGAATTATTAGTATTTAGAAGCAAGTAATGTTAATTTTTCTTCTCTCAATTTGTGCATCTATATCATGAAATTTTTGTTGAACTTAACACAAAGAATATTGAAAGATTTAAAGAAATGTAGAGAATATTAAGGATATGAGCTTAGATTTGGAGATAATGGGTTTTAACTTGATTGGAGTTAGAGTTATATGAAATTTATTACATTCGAAGTTGAGTTAATTCAAATCGTATCCTTTTATAAAATAATTTTTTTTTTTCTCTTTTGTAATGATTCGGAAATTAATTAATTAATTAATTAATTAATTGATCTATATTATTAAATGTAATTGATCAATAATTTTCAATAAAGATTAAATTAAATTAACTAAGAAATGAAAGATCTATTTAATATCTAAAGATTTAATCAAAATTTAAAGAGTTGTTAAGATTCCAAATAGTAATTCAATGGAAATAATAATAATTTAAATTTAGAAACATTAAATAATAAATAATAAATAATATCGGTTTTTAATTTTATTATACATGTATATAGATTAGATTTGTACTCTTAATAATATAATAATAACTCTTATTACATAAGTTAATACAAATACAAATATTTTAATAGTCTTTAGATTTTGTTCTTCATGAATTTTATTAATCAATTTGTTGTTGATTTTACTATATTTCATTTTAATATTATATACTAGTATATACTACTTGAAGATCATCATCTTATATCCAAAAGGTTTAATCAAATTATTGTGAACATAATACTGTCAAATTTAAGTTACAAGTTTCATTTAATATAATAATTTATTATTATTTATTATTATTAATACTAAAACATTTAAAGGGTTGTTTTAAAATTTTTCTTATTTATTACTTTTTTTTTTTTCTCAGCCATTAAGATTTTAAAGATAGTTTTTACAACCAAATTATTATTATTTTAACTCAAGTACATCCTATACCTATTCCAAGAACCTTGGAGTATAATCACAAACTCACAAACTCACAAATCATCATCATCATTCGCTAAGAAATTATTACTAGTAACTTTCCTATTTCCAAGATATCACAAATAATTATCAAATCAGTTCATAGCTAAGAAAATAAGAACAACCAATCTAGATCAATATCCATCACCAAGATTTCAAATACAATATTTAAATAAAAATAATTCACAAGAATGCTATCTAGTAATCAATTTATTTATTATTTTTCACTTCTAATATTATTATTTACAACAAATATTGAAGGAAGAAGAAGTTTATCAGCAACTTCATTAGTAACATGTATGCAAAATTCTCAAATTACTCCACAATATTTCAATGTTACTTTTAATCCAGATGATAGATCATTAAGATATGCATTAGATTTAACTACAGATATAAGTGCAAGAGTAACAGCTCATGTTCAAGTTTATGCTTATGGATTTTTAATTATTGAAAAAGATGTTGATATGTGTACTATAGGTTGGAAACAATTTTGTCCTATTTATCCTGGTACTTTACAAATTAATAGTGTTACATATATTAGTCCTACTTATACAAGAATGATTCCTGGTATAGCTTATCAAGTTCCTGATATTGATGCAGTTGTTAAAATTATTGTTAGAGATCAAAGTACTGGTGAACAATTATCTTGTATTCAATCTGGATTTTCAAATGGTAAAACTATAAATCAAACTGGTGTTAAATGGGCAACAGCAGTTATTGCAGGTTTAGGTTTATTAATAGCTGCTATATTATCAACTTTTGGTAATTCAAATGCTGCTTCTCATATTTCTGCAAATTCAGTTAGTTTATTCTTATATTTTCAAAGTGTTGTAGTTGTTTCAATGCAAGCAGTTGAAAGAATGCCACCAATTGCAAGTGCATGGGCTGAAAATTTAGCTTGGTCAATGGGATTAATTCGTATTACTTTTATGCAAAAAATATTTAGATGGTATGTTCAATCAACTGGAGGTACTCCAACTACTTATTTTATATCTGAAGTTAAACAAATTTTGGTACAAAAAAGGAAAAGATCTCAAGAATATCTTTATGGAGAAATTGGTGAAAATGTAGTTGATTATGTTTATGGTTTAGGTAAAAGAGCTTTAGATTATTCATTAGAATCAAATAAAAATTTAATTGTTTTAAGAGGTATTAAAAGAATTGGATATAATACTCATATTGAACCAACATCAATTGTACCAACTGGGTATACATGGTTTGTTTTGATGGGTTATTTATTAGTTGTCTTGTTGGTTTTGATTAAATCATGTATTGTTTTATTAACAAGAGCTAAAAAGATTAACACAAATAATTTTACTATATTTAGAGGTAGTTTCAACAATATTGTTAAAGGTTCAATATTAAGATATATTTATATTGGATCAACACAATTAATATTATTTTCATTATGGGAATTTACAAGAGTTGATTCAGCAGCAGTTGTTGTATTAGCTTGTTTATTTATAATATTAATATTTGGAATGATTGGTTGGTCATTATTAAAAGTATTAAGAATAGGTCATCATTCCAAAAAGAAGTTCAATAATCCAGCTGCTTTATTATATGGTGATAATAAAGTTTTGGAAAAATACGGTTTTTGCTATACTATGTTCCATGCAGATAAATATTGGTTTGGTATAGTTTTAATTGGTTATAATGTTTGGAAATCAGTATTTATTGCATTTTGTCAAGGATCAGGAGCTGGTAAAGTTTCAGTATTTCCTGTTTTTATTGCTGATTTGGCTTATACAATTTTCTTAATTTGGAAATCACCGTATTTAAATAAACCAACAAACATACTTAACTATATGGTTGCAATTGTCACAACTATAAATTCATTTTTGTTTTTATTTTTTTCAGATTTATTCAATCAAGCAGCTCCAGTTAGTTCAATAATGGGTTGGATATTTTTTGTGCTTAATGCTGCTTTTTCATTAATTTTATTAATTTTAATTATTGTTTTGATTGTGTTTTCCATACTTTCTAAAAATCCAGATGCAAGATTTGCACCAGCAAAAGATGATCGTTTTTCATTCCAAAGAAAATCATCCATTAAGAATAAAAGAAAATCAGCAATGTATGCTGGTGGAAACGGAGCTGCAGGAGGTGCTGGAGCAGGAGAATTAGCAGCTTTAGGAATAGCGGCACAAGATCATTCACAAGATTGGGAATCACAAATGTATAAATTAAATAATTATTCAAAAGATGGTGATGAATTCAATGATACTTCAAATTCTGGATCTACACCTGATCATATAACTCCTAATCCAAATTATTATCAAGATGATAATATTTTAGAAAATAATTCATCAGTTTATTCTGGTGAAGAAAATACTCAAAAATCACCAGCTAAGAATCAATCATTAGGTGCAAAATTAAAAGATTCAATAGTACGTAAATTATCAACTAAAAAATCCACCAAATCGCCAACTAAATCAAAAGATCCTAAAAATGTATCAAGAGTAAGTGATACTTTAGTCAATGATACATATTACGATGATTATGATGATGTAGATTCAGATGAAAAAAAAGAATTAGCACCTCAACAACCACAACAACATCCAATAATTACAAAAGTTTCAAATCCTTACTTAAATAATAATTCTCAATATCAACAACAACAACAACAACCCGGTCATAATAGAAATGAATCAACTTTATCACAAATTAATAACCAGAATCCAACAAATACAAAAGATATTCTTTAAATCATATCGTTATATATACCCATAAGAACCACACGTTTTAGATTTTACTCATTTATTATTTTTCAATTTTTTCAATCGTTTTACTTGTATTAATAGACTATATATTTTAATGAATATAAAATTTTTCAATTTAACTTTTTAATCTTTAATCTTTTCCCATTGTTTCTCTACTTTCAAAAGCAAGTCGTTAACATATCTAATTTTCCCAATCCTACCCAACACTAAAAACAATTTCTGATCAAATGACAACTCACCTTTTTTCAGTTCATTTTCATTTTCATTTTCATTCCCCTTGTTAAATTTCTCCCAAAAAAAATTAAAATCAATAGGACTAATTAATTTATTCAATAAATCAGAACTATAATTAATAGCTTTTGTTAAAAAATGTAAATCAGCTTCATCATAAATATAATCTTCATTAATTTCAATTTTATTAGCCCATGAATCCTTATACATATCTGAAGTTTCAAACATTGAAAATCTTAAATTAAGTGGTGTTGTAGTAGTTAAATAAGGAATATTTTGAATTACATGTGGATTTAAAACGTTTAAAATCTTGTTTATAAACCATTGATTAGTTGAATCTTCTGCTATTAATGGAGCTATTGGTCTTGATAAATTTGAATCACATTTGAAAAAATTTTGATGAGTAGAATTTTGTATTAAAAAAATAGAATTTATTTGATTATTTTGAAATTCATTTAAGAAATTTTTGAATAGGAGTTGTTTCATTTCTGATGAAATTAAACATTCAAATATACCACCTACGAAAGTATGTGGCATAAAAAAAGATATTTTTCTTTTAGCGTATTTTTTACGTCTTGATAATTTATAACAAACCAAGTTTGAGTTTTCTAAATTTATAAATGAGTTTTTAAGTTGGATTAAATTGAAATTTTGGTTTTGGTAAGTTTCGTTTTGGAGGTTATTACTTGATGTTTTAAAATTTTGAAAAGTTTCTGATTTGGATTTACCACTATATTCTACCCATTTTCCATTAGTAACTTTCTCCAAGATTAAATCTAATTTCTTTCTAATTAATTTCTTCAACTTTAATGATTTATTATTCAAATAATTTAATACTTCAAAATTCAATTCATTAGTATTTGAATCTTCATCAACATTTAAAGAATTTAAAGTTATTAATTTTTCACCTAATTTAGGTTTTAGTAAACAAAAAGGAACTGACCAATCTACTTCTGAACTTGATTTTGTTCTTATCACTTTTTGATAATCTATTTGTCCATGATTACAATGAGCTATAGTTATGAAATGCATTGATAATGGATTCTTATAACCTGATACCTTATATTGTCTTAGAATTTTAAAACCAGTAAATGGAATTAATGATTGTGGATTTGGATTGCAGATCTTATTCGATGGCTTTATTAAATTGATTGAGCTTACTAGGCTTAACAAAATTAGTAGTGATACTAATATTTGCATGATGGTTCATGTTGTTAATCGCTAATGTAAGATTATTGTAACTTAAATTTGATATGTTCAGTTTGATCTTATGGGGCTCTTTGTTTCTTTTTGAGACAACATTTTAGAATACCCCCTTATATTCTTTTCTTACACAAAACTAAACATCTTCTTCTCTCTTAAATAAGATGAGGAAAAAAAAGTATGCAGAGTAAAATCATTTTACAACCAAATCATTATTAAACACAAATAATCAAATTTAGTAAAATTGTATGGATCAACAACAACAATCCAACAAGGCCCATAGAGGTGCCACTAAGAAGACAGGTGCCAAAAAGAAACTACATCAAAATGGTCATAATGCAAAAGCATTTGCTGTAGCAGCACCAAGAAAATTAGAAAGAATGGCAAGAAGATCTCATGATGTAAATGAAAAAAAATTACATGTACCTATGGTAGATAGAACTCCAGATGATGATCCACCACCAGTTATAGTAGCAGTTGTTGGACCTCCAGGAACTGGTAAATCAACTTTGATAAAATCACTAATAAAACGATTAACTAAAACTACAATAACTGAAATTAAAGGTCCCATAACAGTTGTTAGTGGTAAAAGAAGAAGATTAACTTTCATTGAAGTTAATAATGATTTGAATTCGATGATTGATATTGCAAAAGTAGCAGATCTAGTATTATTATTAATTGATGGAAATTATGGATTAGAAATGGAAACTATGGAATTTTTAAATATTGCTCAACATCATGGTATGCCAAGAGTGCTAGGAGTTGCAACTCATTTAGATTTATTTAAATCACAATCAACTTTACGTACATCGAAAAAGAGATTAAAACATAGATTTTGGACTGAAGTTTATCAAGGTGCAAAATTATTTTATCTTTCAGGAGTTATAAATGGTCGTTATCCAGATAGAGAAATTTTAAATTTAAGTAGATTTATATCAGTTATGAAATTTCGACCTTTAAAATGGAGAAATGAACATCCTTATTTATTAGGTGATCGTATAACAGATTTAACACATCCTCAATTAATAACAGATAATCCTAAATGTGATAGAAAAGTTGCCATATATGGTTATTTACATGGTACACCATTATCTTATAAAGATGCAAATGTTCATATAGCAGGAGTTGGTGATTTTACAGTATCATCAATAGAAAAATTACCAGATCCTTGTCCAACACCATATTTTGAACAAAAAATTGAAGAATTAGAAAGAGAAAGAATAAAACAAGCAGCTGAACTGGGAGAACCATTAGCTAAAACTACAAGAAGAAGGAAAAGATTAGAAGATAAACAAAAAATCATTTATGCTCCAATGTCTGATGTTGGTGGTGTTTTAGTTGATAAAGATGCTGTATATATTGATATTGGTGGTAAGGAAAGTTTTAATAATTCAGAACAAACTGATGAACCAAGAGGTGAAGGAGAAACCATGGTTACTGATTTACAAGATGTATCTAAAACCATGAGTGAAAGATTTGAAGATGGACCTGGATTACAATTATTTTCTGGTTCAAATGTTATTAAAAAAGTTAGTGATGAAGAAGAAGAAGAAGAAGATGACGAAAATGGACTTTTATCCGATGACGAAGAAACAATAGTAGATACAGGTAGAACATCAATGAGAAAAGCAAGAGTATATGGAAAATCAATATCAGAAGATGATGAATTTGATGATATGGAATCAGATGAAGAAGAAGAAGATTATGATAATTTTGATGAAAATGGAGAACCAAAATTAGTTGAAATTGATTTCAATAATGATAAATATAATGATAAAGAATTAGAGTATGTCGAGGATTCAGCATTATCATCAGATGAAGAAGAAGATAATTCAATAAGAGCAACAGCTGCAAGATTAAAAGGATCAACTAAAAGAAAATGGGACATTAATAAATTGATATATATGACAAATATAGATCCATCAGATGCGTTAAAAAGATGGATGGGAGAAGCTGATGACGAAGAAGAAGAAGAAGATATTGAAAATGATGATGAAGAATTTTTTAAGAAAAGAGATGTTAAAGAAATTAGTGAAGATTTAGATAATTTTAAACCGAAATATCCATCACTTGATGAATTGAAAGCTAGGTTTAATGCTGAAAATAGTGATGATGAATATGAAAATGGTTATTCTATTTTAAAGAAAAGATTATTGACAGCTCCAAAGTTAGATGATGATGATGATGATGAAACTCCAAAAGGTGATGGTGATAACGATGAAGAAGAACTTTATGGAGATTTTGAAGATTTAGAAGATGGAGACGATGCTGCTGCATCTAATGGAAGATCAGATCATGATGAAGAAGATGAAGAACAAGATGATTTTGCAGATTTTGAAGCAGAAGAACAGAAAGAAGGAGAAAGTGACAACGAAGTAGAAGATGATGAAAATATGACAGTTGAAGAAAAAAGACAATTAAATGCAGCAAAAAAGGCAAAATTAAAAACTCAATTTGAAGAAGAAGAAGATAGGGAATTTGGAGCTGATGATCCAGAAGGAGATACAGAAGCAGAAACATGGTATGAATTTCAAAAAAACAAAATGGCAAAACAATTGGAAATTAATAAGGCTCAATATGAAGAAATGGATCAACAACAACGGTTAAAAATTGAAGGTTATAAAGCTGGTTCATATGTTAAAATTGTTTTCAATAATTTACCTTGTGAATTTGTTGAAAATTTCACACCTGAATTTCCTTTAGTGCTTGGTGGATTATTACCTACTGAAATGAGGTTTGGTATAATGAATGCAAGAGTTAGAAGACATAGATGGCATAAAAAGATATTAAAATCACAAGACCCTCTAATTTTGTCTTTAGGGTGGAGAAGATTCCAAACATTACCAATATATACTACATCAGATTCAAGAACAAGAAATAGAATGTTGAAATATACTCCAGAACATGCTTATTGTTTTGCGTCATTTTATGGACCATTAGTTGCTCCAAACACAACTTTTGTTGGTTTTAATATTGTTGATAATAAATCAACTACTGGAGCTTTTAGAGTTGCAGCTACTGGTATTGTTGAAGATTTAAATTCATCAGTTGAAATAGTTAAAAAATTAAAATTAGTTGGTCATCCATACAAGATCTATAGAAACACTGCTTTCATAAAAGATATGTTTTCAAATGCATTAGAAGTTGCAAAATTCGAAGGTGCACAAATTAGATCAGTAAGTGGTATAAAAGGTGAGATTAAAAGAGCTTTATCAAAACCAGATGGTTATTTCAGAGCAACATTTGAAGATAAAATATTAATGTCAGATACAATTTTCCTTAAAACTTGGTATCCAATCAAAATCAAAAAATTTTATAACCCAGTCACTTCATTATTATTAAATCATCATTCAGAATGGAAAGGTATGAGATTAACAGGTCAAGTACGTGCAGATAATGATATTGCAACTCCATTACAACAAGATTCTCAATATAAGAAAATAGAAAGAGTAGAAAGAAGATTTAATCCATTAAGAGTTCCAAAATCAATTAAATCTGATTTACCTTTTAAATCTCAAATTCATGAAATGAAACCACAAAAGAAACAATCTTATATGAATAAAAGAGCAGTTGTATTAGGTGGTGAAGAAAGAAAAGCAAGAGAATTAATTCACAAAATTAATACAATAAGAAAAGAAAAAGATGTTAAACGTAGAACTAAAAAGGATGAAAAATTTAAAGATAAATTGAAGAAGATTGCCAAGACTGAAGAATTGAGAAAGCAAAAGGAAAAAGAAAGAAAGAAAGAATATTTTGCAAGAGAAGGAAAGAAAAGGAAAAATACAAATAATGATGATGGTAATTCTAAACGTAGAAGATAAATATTAATTCAAATAAAATTCAATAAAAAGTTCAACGCATTATCATAATTTTCAAATTTGTTCTCTGGTAGTGGCATTAATCACCTACGTGAGTGTAGACCAGCTTTTATTTAAGAAGTACGTTAAGTACTGAGTGATTGCCTATTGGCGCTTGATGGTACTCAGAGCTCTCAATCTGGCCAAATATTCTGTAAATCTAGCCCCTAAAAAATTTGAGAATTTTTCAATTTGAGCCCAGACATTTCACATTTTTAGCAGATTGTTCAATCAAAAAGCCACTAAAAGATACTTTCCTTCTGACTGAAGATTTCCAGGTAGTTACAAAGTGCAATTGAACCAAGATCATGGAGATATGGTTGATGAAAGACACTTGTTCCAGAATACTACACAAAGCTAAAAACGCAAACTTCTATACAGGACGCAAAAACTTGTATGCAGTTCAAAAAGACTTTTCAATAAATTTTCATGTTTTCGATATCCCGATTTTTTAATTTTTGACTCAAAAACTTTGCTTAATATATAGATCAGTTTTATGCCAGATTTTGAGTGTAATTTGTATGGGTCCTATTTTAATAGCGGTACAAATTGATTCAATTTTGAGGTGCTTAATGGAAAATACTCAAAAGACAAAATATGAATTAATAAGTTATGACTTTTTCAAGCGATTTGTTGCTAAGTACAATCGAATCGATATTTTAACTATTCCATTGCTGAGTCTACATTCTCGGCCTTTGGATGTTTACAAGTTTTTGCTGCTGTCGATATAAACTAAAGTCGAAACTGATGTGTTTCTTGTTTCGCACGAATTTTTTAATGCTGCATCGACCGAAAAAATAGTTCAAAGCTTGCCCCGTTTGGTTGTACCGTAGCCCCAACTTTAATTCAGTTTTTCGCAAGACTAAACATCCTGGTAGTTATTGATCAAATTAAAGTGCATTCTTTATTCTCAAGAAAAATTTTGTCGACTTAGTTTTCGTATTAACCCTTCTGGTCACGGTGGTTCATCAAAAAGTATTTGAAAAATTTTTCAAAAGTGTTTTGTACATTACGCTGCACAAACAAATGAGCTGCTCTAGAAACTAATAAAGTAGGTGAGATAATGGCCAGATAATCTCCGAAATAGATACATTTTCAAATTCAGAGTGCAAAAATTACTCATCAAATATTTGATTTCTCTCAAACAAACTACTTTGCGCGCCAGAAGGAGACCTATATCGGATATTGATATCAAAATCTGAGCAGAATCAGTGAACTGTGCATCAAATTATTGTGTTTTAAAAATTGGCAAAATTGCTGCAAATCGATCAATTTTTCATTTTTTTGCGACTCACCCCTGTGAGATGTTGAAGTTTGTAAAGTTTTCAACAAAATAAAAAATTGAGTAAAGCTGCAGAGCTGATCCCACTTAATCTTATTAAAGAATAGTAGGAGAGTACAATTCAGTTATCTATTTCCTTCCCCAAGCAGCTTTCGAGCAATCATCGTGATTTGTCGATATTTAAAAATAATGACGCTGAAGGCTCAATATTACTGTTTCACCTTTTTGAAAAAGCACATAAAACACCTTGACGCTCTGCACTTAGAACGGTTATTCAAGATTAATCAAGTTTATACTCCAATGTTAAACAAATTTGCAAAACAGTGTTCTGATTCCTCAATTTTGTCTGAAATTGCAACAAAAAAATTTAGGTATTTTTGGTATGCGCACGATAACAGGTATTAACTATTGTGGTACGGAGTTTTAACATAGGGCGAAAATAGAACGAGATCGACTTAAACACGCGCTAGAGTTTATCATTAAGAAATATTATTAATATTACATGTAAATGAACTATGATACAGTACTTAAGTTGACAGTAATTCTACGAAAATGACTATTTGAGACGTGTCAGCAGTTTAATCAGATGCTATAAAATCAATAATCATTAAAACCTTTGTAAGTCTTACCAAAAGTCAGGTAGTATTACTTATGACTAAATTGGCCTTCTTTGTAGGAGGTTTATTTAAACTATTATGAAAACCTTGATCACAAATCTAGCTCTATATAGCTCATAATGAGCTAGATTATGACTTTTTAACAAAATTATGGTGGTGTATATGATATCTGAAAATAATCAGTATGAAACCACCAATACATCAAATAATTGCAATTTCAGTAAACTTAATAATCTTTGCTTATAATCCACTTTAAACAATTCTCAAGACCTTCACCGGTTTTACCACTAACCAATTCAATATCCCATTGATTTGAATTAATAACCGAAGAATCGTTTAATTTCAAATTATTAACAACATTATTTTTCAAATTCATCAATTGTTCTTTATCTTTCACTAGGTCTATCTTATTAATCATGATTAACAAATAAATCCCATAAGTTAATTTATCTTGTAAAATAATCTTGTTATATAATTCTTTAAAACTTTCTTCTAATCTATTTTCACTTAATGAATCAATTACCCATATAATTAAATCAGTCTTGTCGAAATAATTATTCCAAAAAGTACGTAACGTCGTTTGTCCACCTATATCCCATATATTTAATGTATACTCTTGATATTCTAACGTGTTTATTTCAAACCCCATAGTTGGTGATATTTCATCTATATCTTTATTTAATATTTTCTTGATGATTGTTGTTTTACCTGAATTATCAAGACCTAGAATCAAAATCCTAATTTCTTTGTCTTTGAGTTTTTGCTTTTTTATAATTGTCAATAATCCCATAATTCAGTCACTACATTATTATTGAACTATGACTTATGTTGTTGTAGATGTCAAATATTGAATCAAAGAATCAGATTATTAAAGTAGTCGCAACTTTTATTATTTTTCAATTTTGTATCAATTATTTTGCAACATTTCTTTACCATACTTTACAACTAAATAAACAAATATAAAACATGCCTCAACTTTTAGGAAGGATATAATAGATCAATAGAATAAAGCAAAATGGGCAGATCATCGAGTTCTACTCCACCAGTAGAGAGTGAGTCAAGAAAAGGTTCTACTCAAAGATCAATATTTGAATTTACGCGTACTCAAGTAGCAATTAAAGAAGAAGTGCAAACCAATGATCCTGTTGTAATAAAAGATGAAGGAGAGATAATAGAAATCAAGGAAGACGCACTAGATGAGAGTCAAATACGCGTTAAAGAGGAAGAAAATTATCAATGTATTAAAGTTGAAGATTCTTATTTATTCCCACCTATTGAATTTAAAGAAGAAATTAAAGAAGAAGTTAAAATAGAAGAACATGCAGTAACTTGTCCTGTATGTGATTTAAATATTTCAAATTTGGATATAAAAGATAAAACAGACCATGTTGATACGTGTTTAGTTAGATTCACATTTGTCGAAGAAGAAAAACCAATCACTATCAAAAGAAGATCATCTACAAATTCAAAAAGTTCAAGTCCTACTTCTACTCCATCAAAAGAGAAATCAACTACAGTAAAAGATAAAAAATCACCAAATAATAATAAAAAGCGTAAAGTAGTCAAAGAAAAAGTACGATATATCAATTCAACCACGTCAACTGAAAAGAAAGAAAAAGTGATAAAGTTACCAACAACCCCACAAACATCGACTTCAAGTTTTAAAAGAAGAGAAATTATACCATTAAAAATCATGACATTTCCCGTAGACAAAACAAAAGAAATCAAATATAGAGTAGCCGTAGATGCTTTCAATTTTGCACCACATGAAATAATAAATCAATATTTTTTAACTCATTTCCATGCTGATCATTATGGTGGTATTTCTAAAAAATGGTCCTACGAAAGGGTTTTTAAAGAAGATACTGATTTTGAGGATGAGTCCAAATATAAAAAAATCATATATTGTACTGTTATAACTGGGAAATTACTAACATTATATTTTTCAATTGATACAAAATTCATCAAGCATTTAGAAATGGATACTAAATACAAAGTTAAGAACTACCGAATGGATGGAGAGATTGAAGAACTTGAAGATGGTGGATATATATCAAATGAAGAAACTCCTGGCTTATATGTTACTCCATTAACTGCAAATCATTGTCCTGGAGCTGGTATATTTTTATTTGAATCAGTAGATTTAAAAGGTGAAAAATATAGATTACTACATTGTGGAGATTTTAGAGTTAGTATGGAAATACTAGATCATCCACTATTAAATGATTATAGTTTGGGAAGACATGAATTTAAAGATACATTGCGGTTAGACAAAGTTTATTTAGATACAACCTATATGAACCCGACATATATTTTTCCCAAACAAGAATTAGTGTGTTCTACAATTGCTCAATTATTTGAAGATTTAACGAAGCAAGAAAATAATAAGTCATCAAATACTTTATTCAATACTTGGTTTGGATATTTAACTCAGCGAAGGATAACAGATTTTTGGAATAATAAGAATAAACCCACAAATGAAACGAAAAAGAAGAAATTTTTAATACTTGTTGGTACTTATGTTATAGGTAAAGAAAGATTAGCAATAGCAATATCCAAAAAGCTAGGTTGTTTGATTTATGTTTCAAACATCAACAATAGAAAGAACAAATACGAAATTTTAAAGACTTATCAAGATTCATTCCTAGATTCGGTACTAACAGATGATGATTTAGGTTTATCTAGTGAATCAGATTGTATTGTACATTTAGTTCCAATGAACATTGTGGGATCAATACAGGAATTATCAAATTATTTTAATCATAATAGATATTATGAGAATTTTGAGAGATGTGTTGGATTAAGACCAACTGGATGGAGTTTTGCACAAAATGGAAATAAAAAAGAAGAAGTAGTTGAAGAAGAACCACTTATACCAAATACACCATTAAGTGAAATAGTCAAATTAATGACTGAAAGAACAGAATATTCACCAATGGATCACATACTATCACAATCACCCAAACCAACTACGAAAAAAAAAGTGGTGGATACAGAATTATATAGAATTTATTCATTACCTTATAGTGAGCATTCATCTTTTCGAGAGTTATCATATTTTGTTACTTTTTTTAATATTGATAAAGTTATACCTACAGTTAATTGTAGTAATGAATTTAATTGCCAACGTATGGATAGAATTATAGAGATTTGGCAAAAGATAAGAAGGATTAAAATGGGAATTAGTAATGAAGAAGATTTTTTCAATGTTAATGATTTGCTAGTGGAGAAAATTCAAAATTTGTCGCTAGATACTTTCTAAAATACAAAATGATTATATATATTAACGAATTAATATTACTCTATAAAATTTACCATCACCTATTTAGTTCTTTTTAATTTTTTGGTTTCTTTATCTTACTATGATATGATTTAGCTAATGTTTCACATTCTTCACCTTTACACTTATTCCATTGTACAACAAAATCACCATCGTCATAATCAAACTCACTCGTTGCTCCCTTTGCTGTTGACTTTTTATTATTATTCCTAAAAGGATGATCTGAACTTATAATTCTTCGAGGTACTAATATGGTTTTACTTAATATAAAAGGATGCCATTGTAAAATATGAGTTAATGCTGAATCAGGTCCGTAGGGGAAATTTCCATAATTATAATATAAATTATCTGACCAAATATCTACCAAAGCCTTTCCAGTAGGATCATTTTTTATTATAAAAGAGGTGGTTTCTATCATATCTGAAGATTGAGTTAATATTAATTTAACATTTTCAGGTTTAATCTTTTTATAAGTTTTTATAACTCCATTTCTTGGTATAAGTGGTTGATCTCTAATCATTAATTTATTTAATGAATTTTCATTTAATAATATTTCTTCAATATTAACAGTTAAATCCATAACCATACTATCTTGATCTAAATACCAAAACCATTTTGCTTCAGGGAATGCAAACATAGCTGCTCTTAAACAAAATAGTCTAACCCATTTTGATTTTTCTTCATCTTTTAATGTATCAAATGATCCTAATTGTGGTATAAATTCTTGTGCCCATCTTACATATATTCCATATTTTTGATAATGTGCATAATCTACTCTATTTTGAACAATTTTAGCTAATCCATCAACTGAATATTTTTCAAAGTCTACTGCTGTAACCAATATAACTTGTGGATATTGAGAATTTTTAGATTTATAAATTATTTTATCTTGATTTTTAAAGAAATTTTTAGCTTTCATTAATAAATCTTTTGAATTTTCATCATCTTCTTTTAATTTTTGTACAGTTGGATCAGGATTATCCAATGAATTTAAAGATTTCAATATAGTTTTATCACCAATTTTGGAACTTGTTATTAATTTTTGTGGTGTAATTTGTTTTAATGTTGGTGCATGTTCAATAGGTGGATAAATATATTTTGAATTTTGTTCTATTACAAATCTTGATGAATATGGATGTTGTTGTGGATAATGTGGTAATGTTGAACTTCTTAGTAATGATGTGATCCAACTATATGGATTAAAAATATACCATATTACTATAATTGATAATATTATTAATGGAATATTTTTTCTTTTATTTAGATTATTGAATGTATTTGGTAATGGTAGGTAAGATTGATTATTTTTACCATACCTTGGTTTAAAAGTATTCTTACTATTAAACATTGGTAGGTTCTGTTTATCTTAATGATTTTTTATTAATTCTTTGATATTGGGTGAAAATTGAAAATAAAATAATTTTGACGTTATTATTTAACAATCTTCTCTTTTAAAATTTCTAAGACAAAAACAAAGCGATCGATAAAATTGAAATTTTTCAACCGAGAAAGACAATCAAGAGAGATTAAAGAGAAATTACGAAAAACACGTTAAAATTAATTTGATTTGATTTAAATCTAACTTTATTGTACCTATGTATTATACTTTCCCACTTTCTTTATTAATCCTATCTTCAATAACTTGTAAAGCAATTTGTCTTCTTCTTTCAGCAACAGAACTAGCAACACTTTTATTTATTTGATTAACTTGTTCTTGTCTTTTTAAAGCTCTTGTATTACTTTGTTGTACTATATCATCATTAAACGGAGTAATAATAGCTAAAAATATCGCAATTTCATAAATTTGATTAAAAATTGGTGTCAAATACGGTTTTAGTACGTTGGGAAAAAACTCAACTAATTGAAAAGTATCTGATGCGTCACCTTTTATAACTGATATATCTTGATTATTATTTGTTGGTAATAAAGTATCTGATTTAATAATTTGAAAAAATCGAAGATATATAAATGATATAAAAAAACTTATAGTTGATGGAACTGCTGGATATAATGAACCAAATAAAATTGACCATAAGGATAAAATGATAAGTAAAGCAAAAGGTAAATGTTTTATTCTAAAATTAATTAATCCTTGAAATAATACAATATTATGTTCAGGTATTAATTGTTTGAATACAACTAAAAATCCAAAATAATAAGATATACCACCACCTAAAGGTGAGTTCATGTTTTTGGAATCTGATCTAGCTATATTGGATAATATAGCAATTAATACAGTAATTAAATTTGTTATTGATCCAATTATATATATAAATTTTAAAACTTCCAAATATCCCCAAAATCTTTCAACAAATTTTGAACCAATAAATAATACAATTGATGAAAATATAAAAGTGATTAATGATATTTCTGCAAATATCGAAGTTATAATACACCATGGATTATATATTGTTGAATTGGGAATTAATTGTATAAATGGAATATTTATATCATGAAATGATACTTCAAGTGTTGGATCTTGTAATTTCAAATAGTTATATGTTCTATATTTCAATATAAATAATGTTGTTGTTGTTGTTAGTAATATACTTAATAGTATCTTACTTGATTTAGGAATGTTGTGACCTCTCATTAGACTCATTTTTGTAGTTAGTTAAATAAGTTGGTTGTAAAAATGTTTACAATTCTTTTTTTTCGTAAATACATTTTAAAATCTCATGAAAATCAATGAAACAAGTTTTGATTTACGAATTAGATTGATAGATCTATTACTTCTTACTTCTTACGTGTTTTTTTTTAAAAACTCTTTTTTTAAAAATGAAATAATTTGCCTATTTCAAAAATACATCTATAAATATCAAACAAAATTATATAAAAAAAACTTACTAACATAAAATTAAATAAATATGTTAACAAAAATGTAGTGTAAGAACCCTCTCTGTTTTTTACCCTAAGAAAATTCTTTATTTAAATGGATTAGTTGAATATGCAGTAGTTCTACCAGTCATTCTTGTACTCAAATAAGACCAAGTATAAGAATGTGGTCTATTATTACCAGTATCATTATGTGAAACGTTTCTTGGTTGGAATAAACCATAAGCAATTGATCCTTTACTACCAATATTTGCAAAAATATCAACTTTAACTTGTCCTGAAGCAACTGCTGGTGCAATAATAATTACAGCAAATAAAACTAATACTGTAAAATATAATACACAATATTTTCTAACCATTCTTTTTCTTAATCTTGCTTGTTTTAATGAATAAATTGGTGGTCTGATTAATCTTGAAGGTTTTAACCAAAATAACATCATTGAATGCCATCTATCAACTAATGGAACAAATAATATTGGTAATTGACAGAATAAAATAACATGAGCTAACATAAAATCAGCTGCAAATTCAGACATTTCAATAATTTTAGCAACAAATTCTCTTGCTGGTTGAGTCATTGCCATCCATCCCATACCAGTATTATACCATTTACCAGTCCAGAAAGCAGTATTTGCTTTATCATTTTTAAATTCTCTTGTTAAACAAGCTAATGTTAAAAATTTAAATAATAATCTTTGAACATAAATCATAGTTGCTAAACCTAATAACATTCTTGCAAAACTAAAACCTTCAGTTACCCACATAACAATAAAGAAAACAATATGAACTATAACTGCAATACCATGAGCAACTCCGGCAATAACTGCACCAGTTTTTTTACAACATAATCCTAACATTGGTCCTGCACAACATGCCATTCCAACACAAACTGCTAAAGCACCACAATCAATAACAACTGGAGCTAATGCACATATAACTAATCTTAATACTGAATTAACTGGTTGTGCAGCAGTTGATCCATCAATTTCATATGGATATGTAGTAACACCAGTTTGAGCATTTATAAAAGTATAAGCAACAAATAAACCTGCAGTATAAATTAAACAAGGAATAAAATCAGCAAAGAAAATATTTGATCTATGAGCTCTTGAAGCATCACCAGCAGCTTTTTCTGAAACATCACCAACTAATTTTCTTTTGAACCCAGTAACTCTTGATCTTGAAAGTCTTATGTAACCAATCCATGAATTTCTATGCCATTTAGTATTACCTCTTGATAACCATCTTATAAAATCTCTATAATCAATAAAGAAATCTTCCCATGCAAATTGATGTGGATTGAAAATAAAAGGTGAAAACATTAATGATGATAATGAAGCCCAAAACCATAATAATGGAGCTTGCCAATGTGCAACAGTTCCAAACAATAAAATTAACATTAATCTTGCACCCATATAAATTGAAGAATCAGCAAATCTTGAATATAAAATTGAAAATGGAATTCTTGAAGTTGCAAAACCTCTACCAGTTGAAATATATCTTGCACCACCAACTGTTAAATCAGTGAAAACAGATGATGAATAAATTTGAGCAACGAAAACTTCAAACATTGGTGATAATGAAATAAAATGTCTAACAAATCTTTGGAAAGCCTTCCATACACCTCTTTCAATTAATTCTTGAACAACTAATGGAATAAAAGAAATAAAGAAAACAATGAAAATGGATAATGTATAACGTCTAACCCAATCAACTGCTGGTGCTAAATTATAACAACCATATGGATATAAAACATCAGTAACTGGAACATCTCTATCATAAGAACAAATAATTGATTCATGAGCTAATGAATTTAAATTAGCTAATACCAAAATAAATACTTGTAATGATAATTGAATAAATAAATTATTAATATGGAAACCTGGATGACCATAATAGAAAGATAAAAATCTATCTAATGGTAATTGAGTTGATAAATAATAATATTCTCTACTCAACATTTGTTCACCCATACCTGCACCAATTTTAGTTGTGAAATTTAAAATTGATCCAAAACCCATATCTCTACCTTTACCACATTGATAATATTCACAATGTTTGATTTTACCACCTCTCATCATTGCAGTCATACCAGCATAAATATCTTCATTTAAATGTAAACCCTTTTGAGCTTTTGAAACACCACCTCTTGTTAACATAAAAGTAGCATTTAAAAAATCAGGATGACCATAATGTAATTTACCACCAATTTGAGCTAAAGTTCTTGCGAATAATGTACCAAAAGTTTGTTCTTTACCAGCTGCAACATCACCTAAAACACCTGAATTTTCAGAGAAAATATATTCTCTTGCACCTAATATAGCAACAGGATCTTTTTTAGCAGTTGGATCTTCAGTTTTCAAATTTGGTGCATATGGATTAACATGTTCAACATTTAATTCTTCAAATTCAGCTAAAACAGATCTAATTTTCAAACATTCTTCTAAATAATTATCTTGATTTGCATCAATTAATTGAATATATTCACCTCTATGGAAAATAATAGCATGATTTTGATTATCAGATTTACCATCACCTAAAATTGGATTACCAGATAATTGAACTCTGAATTTTGGACGTCTTCTACCATTTTCTAACATTTCACAATGACCATCAATCAATGCGGAATATACTCTTGGTTCTTCATCTTCATTTAATGCAGGTTCTTCATCCAAAAATGCAATTTGTAAATCTGGGTAAGCACGTAATAAAAATTCAGCATTTTCCATTTCATCATCTTTAAATTTTGATAATCTTTGCATAGAAACTAAGAATCTGAATTTTCTTCTTGCCATTTTTTCTAATGCTAATTCTAAACCTTCTGGATCACCACCAAAATATTGAACTAATTCTGGATTTTCAACTCTGTATAATAATTTAATAGCTCTTGCATAATTCATAAAACCTGAAACTGTTCTGTATAAAGTTTGGGATCTTAAAGATGCCCAAATTCTTGTTCTTAAAGTATATTCTGGAGCAGCAGATTTAAAACCAATACAATAGAATGGTAAATCATCAATCTTGGATTTTAATCCATCTTCTGATAATTTTTCATTTGAATCATCATTATTTTCATATGCAGCAGTTTCTTCAGCTAAAATCTTGGTATCTTTAACAAAACATTCCCATTCAACTGGATGTAATTGTTTCAAATATTCTAATAATGTAACTCTTGAAAATTGATCATCTTCTCTAATAATTTCTCTTAATGATAATAAAATCTTTTCGGAATAATGTGGAGTGAATACAGTAAAAGTTGGCATATTATCAACTGGTAATGGTTCAGGAATTGGAGTAGCTAATGATTGAGCAAAGAAAGAAATTCTTCTTTCAGCTTCTGAATTTCTTGGGAAAAATTCAGTTTCAAAATTATTATCATCTTGTGAAACGAAAAAAGTTGGAGCTCTTAAAGTTCTTTTACCTTCAATTTCAGATGGAACTTGATGATATAATAATTTTTGAACATGATCAATAGCTAATAAATGTTCTCTATACATTGAAATAACAATAGCATTCCAAATTTGTGAAATTAAAACTTTTGGTTTATATTTAATTTCCATTTCTGTAGTTGCTAAAATCTTGGAATAAATTCTTTTTGGTAATCTTGTAAAAATATTTCTCCATGGTGTTAAAATTGAAATACCTAAATAAAATGAACGACCAATTGAAAAAATACAGTTACAAATAATGTACCACATATAAGTATCTAAAAAGAACAAAAGTAAATCAACCAAGTACATTAAACCCAAAACAATTTTAGCTTGTTGTCTACAGACAACATCACCATACCAAACTTCACCAACACATCTCATAGTCATAGTTGATAAATTTCTAATTGGATCTCTTAATGATAAAGTTAAAAAGAAATATGACTCGGTTAATTTTGCAAGGAAAACTAAAAACCATAATAAATATGACATCCACATATCTAAACCTCTTAATTTAATAAAATTAGCAGTAAAAGTTTGTGATGAAATATATCTTCTTGATCTTTTATTCATATATGAAGTAAATAATCCACCTAATGGCATAACTGCGAAAAATACTAATGTAACAATTGCAATGAAAAATCCAACAATGGAAACAGCTAATGCAGATTTGGAATATAATACTAATTTAGTGATTTTAAAAGTATAAACAACTGGAGCCAAATTGACTAAAAATATTAAAATTAAAAACATTAATCTTCTAGTTAAATGTTGAGCACCTGCCCATTCTCTTGGAACGAACATCCATTCAAAAATAGTAGCCCAAATTTGAATGAAAGCAGCTAAAACACCACCAATTGCACATGCAGCCCATCTTGATGAAGCTAATGGTTGATTATTTCTAGTTTGAACATAATTTTTGGTATATAAAGTTGGTGAATTATAAGCAGTATACATCCAATAAATTGTACCATGAATAATCCAAATTCTATTAAAATTTGTTACAAAATGTAACCATGTTCTAATTTCTTTATAAGTTTTAAAAAATACATTTGTCCATTCAACTTCTCCTAATCTTAAATATCTTTCTTCTTGTGGTATATCAACTAATCTTGTACCATCATTAAACATAATTCTTGAAATACCTTCTGGATACCAAAATAATTGATTAACATCATCATAACCAATAACTTTATTATGATCTTTTTCTCTTTTAACAAATCTACCTTCATAAACTTCATAAACTTGAGATCTTAAAAATCTATATAATGGTGTAATGACTCTATTAAGATAATCACCTTCTGGTACTGGTTCTTGTCTTTGTTGACATAATGGAGAATTTAAATAATCAGATGCTGATTTATGAATATAACATAAACATTCTGGAGTAAATCTAACTTGATTTGCTTCACCCCATAATAATAAATATAATGCAATATCTCTAACTCTTTCTTCAGGAGTTAAAACATTCATTTTAGCTTTCCATCTAATTTCTGCCGCTTCGAGTGAATAATCTCCCTCTAATTCATTAGCTAATGCATCAACATCTTGTCCATGTTCTTCAGCTGCTTTTCTTGCCTTTTTAGATTTTTTAGAAGCTTTTCTTGCTTTTCTACCAATTTTTCCTAAAGTCATATTTGCAAAACCTAAACTATCATCTAAATCTTGTTGTGATGAAAAAAACCATTTTCTATAATTTGCATTATCACCACCAATATAATCAGCATGTAAACTTAATAAAGCTTGAGCAGGACTCATTCTTGAACTTCTTGAATCTAATAAAGTCATAAAATAATCAAACATGTTTCTCATTGAATCTCTTTGAAACCCAAATTTATTTGTTAAATCAATAAAAATATCTTCAATATGTTCAATTTTTATTGGAGCTTGTGGATCAGCTGACCATGCAGGATAAGGTAAATTTGATGATAATTGAAATTGAGTTGGATCATAACCACCTGGTACACCACCATACATTGGAGTAGAAGCACCAGAAGATCTTTGTTGATTATCACCATATGACATTTGTGAAGGAGTGTATTGAGTACCATATTGATCATAACCAGGAGTTCCAGGAGTTGGACCACCATAACTGAAATCACTAAAAGCTTCTGGATCAGCGTTATAACCTTGATTATTCATTTGATGTGGTTGTTGTTGTTGATGCATATTATTTCCATATTGATCTTGATAAGAATCTTGATAATGTTGTTGTTGATTCATATCATATGGTTGTTGTTGATGATTGTATTCTTGATTATAATAGGGATCTTGATCATATTGAGGTTGTTGATAATAACCATCTCCTCCACTACTACCACCATCATTGTTGGTATGAGGTGGTATTTGTTGATGAGGATGTTGTTGATAATTATCGTATGACATCTATTTTAATGAAAAAGCGAATGTTAGTAATACAATAAATTAAAAAAACAAATTCAAATCCATTAATGAAAAGGAAAAAGATAAAGATTTTCCAAAATAAAATGAAATTGATGAATTAAAATTTTATAAAAGCAAATGTAAAAATCAATTTAATATTAATTTGTTAGTAGTAGTATAATAATAAATTTATTCTATTTTTATTGTGATATTTTTTTTTTTTTTTGATTTCAATTTTAATTTTTAATTAAAAATCTGCATAAAATTTTTTATTTAATGTCTTGAAATCCTCGAAGAAATAAAATAAATTTAAAAAATCCTAAATCAAGTGAAATTAAATCCTATTTCTGATACAAATTCAATAATTATGTAAATCTATTGTTCTGTCTTATGTTTTAAATTTTAGATTTAATTAATAATAAGGAGTACTTAATAAACTAACTGCAATTGAAACAGCAAACAAAAAATTTTATGTACTAATTTATTTATTTGAAATCAAAAAAGAAATAAAAAATTTTATTATTAATATTTTTTTTTGATTTGTGTTTTGTTATAATATTTAAATTTTGAAATTGAAATTAAATAAATTTCAATCTGTTGATAAAAAATCAAAAGTAGATCTATCAATCAATATTGAAATCTTTGAAATCTTCTAAATCTCCTAAAATCTTGAGTTCAATTGTAATTGTATAAGAAATCTAATCTCCTCAAAGAAATTGTATACCTTTATATATCTTGAATTGAATCTTATCTCCTTAATACTAAAATTTGAATTTGAATTGAAGGCTATGAAATTTTTGAGTGCTATCACACTACTATTTTAATATATTATTATTATTATTATAAAATCAATTTATCTAGATCGAATTCAAACTGACTCTCCAATCTTTTAACTTTTAACCTTTTTTCCAATTTGAAAGTAAAAAAATAATGAACTATAACATACTATCAACTAATGATTAAAGTTGGTTGTTGTAAAATCAAGAAAAAAAAAAGAGGTTGTAAAAATAAAAAATTTTTGGTTGTCAAAAATCAAAAATCAAATTTTAGAAAAAAAAATTAAGTTACAAAATAATAATATATTAATTATGTATTATGTATTAATTATGTATTAATAGTTATAATATTTCAATTATTATAAGACGTGTATAAATAAATATATTAGAAACTAATAATAATAATTAGTACACAGATATCTATCAACCGACCTTACCATTTTTATGTGTTTGATATATTACTCAAAATCATACATTTGATTAAATTGAATTTTGTTCTTTGGCTTTATAAATTCTAAATATCTTTTCACTTCAATGTTTATACTTAAATTTATTAAGTAAACAAAGATCGCGTTTATCAACTAAATTTTAAACTTCTACCGTAAATTTTTCATGGTAATATTTGTCTTGTTGTTTCCTTGATCAATTTTTAATTCAATTGATTCTTTTCATTATTAAAGTTCTCCTCTTTTCAAATTCATAGGTACATTAGATGAACTTGTGAAAAATTTAATTTTAATATGTCAATTTAAAAAAATAATAATTTATTATTAAAATATAATATAGTGTGGAAAAGAATACACTTTATCTTTTCATTATTCTTTTAATTGACAGATATAAGACTAACTAAAAATAATTTAATCTAATCTTTCTTTTTTTTATAGATTATAGATTAAGATAACAAAACCCTTCTTATTTACTGAACTAGATTTAATTATACAATAAAGATTTTTTTTAAGAACTTTTTTTTTATTCACATGATAACGCGTCTTTACTTAAATTCCTCGAAAGATTAAATCTTTCATACTAGTAGAACTGTTATTGATAAGATGTTCAATTACTGCTGATATTCAACTCAATGAACTCAACTCCCAGTTGTTAATCAATTAAGAGCCGAAGTTTTTATATGCTAATTTAAACCCGATCTTTGAATCAACTTAAAAAATAATGTCTTGGTGAATCATTAATAGGATGAAGTAATTTAATACATCGTACTTCGCCCTTAAAATTGACACGAAAAAATTTTTTTTTAAAGCTACTGATGAACGCGTTTATTTGTGATAATAAAGAGACAAAGATCATGGATAAAACGGCTACAAATATCTTTCAATTCAGATCGTGTATCAAATTGATTGAGTACCTTTATATATTTTCACATCTTTTTTTTAATTTGGTTATTATCATCAATTATGTGAATAATGCGTTAGAATAAAATAGAAAGAACTCAACAATTTTTATTTTTTTTCAAATACCGGAATTTATTTTCTAAAAATAGATTGTTTTTTTTTTTAGTTAATTTCAAATCTCGACAAATTTTAGATTTTTCTTTTGAACATAAATGAACTACTTTTGTCTTTTTAGTATGTTCGTGTAAAACTACAAATAAAATTTGCCTCATTCATGTAAGTAATTATATTACCTAATTCGGAAACATAGTAAATATATTCAAAAAAAAAATACTATTATTATGTAACTTCCCTTGATTTTCAATTTATAATCTGAAATCCATTGGAATGCGAAAAGTATCCTTCAATGATTTGTTAAAAATGAGCTTGATGTTTTTCTACTGATATTACGTCGCTCTCAATACATTAATACGAATTAAAATCAATCTGATTCGACGTTCATCAAAAATATATTTTTTGTCTACGTTTCATTTCGAAACTTTAATAATGTTTCATTTTGTTGCAAAATTTATGTAATTGTGATAAGTTTAAAGCACCAACCTCACGATGTTCTTCTTTTACTCTTTCTTCATTACAATTTGATATTATCAAATTGACAAATAAATTAGTTAGAGACACATAAAACATTCAACAACACGTGTAGTACGTGCAGAGATTTGATGAAATTTGTTCAGATGTACATTTCAAGAATAGTATGGAAATCCGACTTTTTATCAAATAGACGAAGATAGATTAATATTTATATTTTGATTGAATAATATTTTTAAATTTAACAACGACAACGACAATTACTACTACTTTATTATAAATTTTATTTAAAAAATATCTCTATATACTAACAAACAATAATTAATACAAAAAAACAAAACCAATATCAAACAAACATTCAATTTTATTTATTTTTATTTCTATTAAAAAGATTCTTTTTTTTTTTTACCTCAATCATGTTTATTCATCCCATCCTAAAGCTTGTAAATCATTTCTAATTTCATCTTCTTTTGAAATTTTTATAATTTGAGTATCTTCTAATATTTCTCCTCCAGCTTGTTTCATTTTTAATTGTTCAATAGCTCTTAATTTTTTTAAAAGCAGTCTAATTTTTTTTTCTTCTAATGAAGCTATACCACCTAATACAGAACCACCTGATAATAATTCATCATCTTTTTGTTGTGATTGTGATTGAGATTGTGATTGAGATTGAGATTGTGTAGCTGATGGAGTTGATGAAGATGTTGATGATGGAATTGGTGATTGATCTTTCTTTTTAGCTTCTCTTTTTTTTCTATTTTTAGCAGCTGCTTTACTTTCTTTTTCTACAACTGGTGCTGCTCCAACTACGGTTCTTACTCTTGGTTTAGATAAACCTGGTGGTGGTGGAGTTTGTGTTGTACCACCATTTTTTAAATTAGATTCCATTTCCTTTTGATATAATGTAGTTGATGTATTTGAATTAATACTACCTCTAGCATGAGGTGGACGATAAGCACCTGCTGGTTTTTTTGATGCGGCATTTGCTATAGCTTCTCGTTTTGCTATATATTCACTAGCTGATTTATGAGGTTCTGGTGCAGGTTCTAAATTTCTTAAGGGTGGAAATTTCAGTAAATCTTGAGGTTTCCAACTTATTGAATATAATTCAGAAAATTCTTTTAGATAAATTAATTTACCACTTGCATGCCAAATTTTTAACCCATTATCTACTCTTAATCTTGGACTAGTTGTAGCAGTTAATATAAATCTACCACATGGTGACCATTCACATACTGAAGTATTTGAAGCTTCAAAAGTAATTAATTTTGAAAATTTATTTTGACGATCATAAACATCAACAGTACCTTGTAAATTTCCAAATCCTGCAACTAATACAAATTTAGCATGTGGTGAATATAATATAGTATTTCTTGAAGCTGTTGGCAATGAATGTATTGAATTACCTCTTGCATCAAAAAATGTAGTTTCTGCTGGCATATAACCATATGATACCGCAAATTCTCTTGCACTTGGTGACCAAGTAATATCATGTATTGGACCTTCTTTAGTTAAATCAATTCTTGAATTATAAGCACCTGCTATACCTAATAAATATAAATTTGATTCTCCGTAATATGATTTGTTAGTTGTATCATGATCTGTTGAAGCTAATGCTAATAATGCAGTACCTAATGAATTCCATTTTATATCACATTTTTCAGCTTTAAAAAATTTTTTAAAACATATTGGATTTTTAAAATTATTTAATTCATATATTGAAATAGAAGCTGGTAATGAACCTTTTTCAGGTATAAATATAGCAATTGATGGATTTTTTCCAGGTGAAATTTTAAAATTTTGAAACGTAGCTTTTGAATCATCTAATTTAAATTTATAATTTGGTTGATTTATATTTATAGTTGAATTTAAATCATTTTTAATTTCAAAAAATTGAATTTCTTTATTATTTAAATTTTTACAAAATAAAGTTTCTTCACTTGTAAATTGAGGTTTCCAACCATTTTGATGTTTTGAACTCCATTCAGCTATTATTGTTTTGGTTTTCAAATTAAAAATTTTTAAATTATTATTCCATGTACCATTTTCTTTATTTAATTGAATGGGTTTTCCCCAAAGACATAAAAATGAACCTTTTGGTGAAAAATTTAAATCAAAAATTTCTGATATTTCAATTTTATGATATATTGTAGCTTTTGTTGTAGTGTCTAATATTATAACTTCATTTGGTTGTGTGTATGCAAAAAATTGACCATTATTTGAATATAATGCTGATCTACATTCTTCTGATGGTTTTATTGGAGTTATTTCTTCAAAATCTTGAAATAGCTCTATCGATTTAGGAATACGACCTTAAAAATTGGAAAAAGTTAGTAATTTGAAATTTCATTGAATATGGAACTGATTGGTTAATATACATACAGAAAAACTCTGTAGATTCAGACATTTCTTGTTAAATTTTTGTAGTTGTTCTTAATGATGGAACCAAAATCTTGAAAGTTTTTGAAATCAAAGTTTCTTTTCTACAAAAATCGAGTACCAAAGCTACCAATTTATGTAAGAAAATTTAATACACGTTAATGGCATAAATAGTTACAAAATAAGACTTTGTTGCAGAGTAATGACACTTTGATAATTAATAATTAATAATACAATTTTACATATTCTATGTTTTTATAAACTTTTTTTAACTTCTCCAAAATTCAAATGTCCAGTTTGTTCAGCATGCTTAGCAACTCCAACTTCTCCCACCAAAATTGAATAACAATCAGAACATCGTACTCTAAAGGTAGTTGTATTAGTACTATAATCTTTCTCTTGTAATAATTTACATAATTTTTTAGCTGCATCTAGTACCAAATCTCCAGTGGTACTTCCTATCTCCCATATACATTCATCTTGATCTTTATTTTTCGTGCTTAGTTCATTATTCAACGCCAATACATCATAATGAACTCCGCTGTATATCAATAATATAAATCTCGTTGGCTTAAGTTTCTCATTTTTTATTTCAACAAAATTTCCCAGTTCTATATCAATACATGTAAATTGGATATCAAACCAGTCAGCTAGTATTCCTAACTCTATACCACCTCCCCAACTTTCCTTCTTCATTATCCATTCACAATAAGACTCTCGCGATCTTCCTAGTATTAAATCTGAATATAATTCAGGGTCTTTTTGAATATAACTCACTATAATTTTTCTTAATTCTTCTGGTGGTGATATAGTTTCATAAGAATCGTATCCAGATATTGCATATGCTATTGAATTAAACATACATGAATTATCATCTGGTATATTTCGAAGTGTCAAATATTTATTTATCGACTCTATGTAAACTGATGGAATATCTTCTTTTGTATCTTGTCTTTTTGGTTGTTGAGGAGGTGGCGGTGGAGTATTTTTAGCAGTTGTCGATTCACTTGATTCTGGTGAATTTTTACGTTTATTTGATGAAAATTGTATTAATAATTGATCACCATCTTTTATTTCTTTATCTTGGATAGTTGTAGTTTGTGAATAATCCAAATCTATGGACTTTGGTGGGAACCCCAATTTTATTGAATCAATAACATTTGATAAGTCAGTCGAAATTTGTTGGTTTGACCGTATATCTACCAAAAACTCATTAAATAGCTGATCTGACTCCACATTAATAGTAGTTACTCCAATATCTGATTTTAATTTTAACCTCATTACACTTTATGTAACAGATAAAATAATAATATTAATTTGTTCAAGTTTGCAATTAAGCCTCACATAAAATACCAAAAAAATCAAAAAATCAATAAGAGCGGGGGTCTCTTGAAAGCGCATCATAAAACGCAAAATAAATTATATCATCAAGTCGTTAAATTAAATATTGTATATGATCTATATAAGCTGATCTTTATAAGTGAGGTAAATGTTTGTTATGAATTGAAACTGGTAAATGCATGCTAAATTTATTCTGTCATTGTAATTTCAGTAGTATGTACTTCTTGTGGAGCTTGTTCTTGTTCTTGTTGTTTTTGAAATTCTTCAGAAGGAACCCCAGTTATAATTGCATCCAAAGTATCTTTCTTTTGATTATTTACTTTATCATATTCTTGTTTATTTTCATTTTTGAATTGTTCCAATTGTTTATATTTTTCAACAGAATCCATGAATTTTAACATATTTACACCACTTGCAGCTTCTGCTTCTAATGGAGTATATGGTCTTTCTTTTAATATTTTAACTCTTCTCTTGTGAATCTTGGATTTTTGATGACGATCCAAACTTATTTGATTTTCAAAATATTTTGCACATTCTATACAGTAATATTGTCCTAAACCTGGTTTGTATTCATCAAGTGGTTGATTCTTTAAGTTGTTTATTGATTGCGTTGTTGACAAATCATCGTATATGAGATCCAAATCTCTTGTTCTTCTTTTTGTTTTATATCTTTTGACACTATATCTACCCATATTTTATCGTTGATTATTGTATGATTGGATTAGTTTATGTATGTTTGATATGTATCTTCGATATTGGATTTCGATTTAGTGTGATGATATGTGATGAGATGGATCAATTTTTTGTGGAGCAAAAACAGTGCGAATTATCGACCCAGTTTGACTGAATTATCTGTCTGATGTAGAGATAAATCCAGGTCGAGTATAAGGCCGAGATCATCTAAAAGTCATTCTGTGGTTGTAACCCTATTGAAATTTTTATGCTACCACATTTTGCAAAGTATGGTGAATCTTAGTTCTGTATGATCGAAGACTTGAATGCACATCTTATCGATGGTAGTCATTGAATTGGGAATGCTTCATAAGAGAGACGGACCAATAAGGTTTATACACTCTGTGTTAAACTCTACAATTGTGTATTTATTGTATGACCATATGCTTATTAATACAGCCATACTAAAAAATTTTCAATATTGTATTTGTAAGCGAGAAGTAATTACATAGTTAACAAAATTATTACTATTGCCACTAACAAAAATATATTTAAAATTTTCAAATTTTCTATTAAATTTTTAATAGTTCATTACTAACAATCAAAAGTACAACAAGACAAAATGGCTAGAAGACCAGCTAGATGTTACAGATACTGTAAAAACAAACCATATCCAAAATCAAGATATAATAGAGCTGTTCCAGATGCTAAAATCAGAATTTATGATTTAGGTAGAAAGAAAGCTCCAGTTGATGAATTCCCATTATGTATTCATTTAGTTTCAAATGAATTAGAACAATTATCATCAGAAGCTTTAGAAGCTGCTCGTATCTGTGCTAACAAATACATTACCAAAATCTCAGGTAGAGATTCATTCCATTTAAGAGTTAGAGTCCATCCATTCCATGTTTTAAGAATCAATAAGATGTTGTCATGTGCAGGTGCTGATAGATTACAACAAGGTATGAGAGGTGCTTGGGGTAAACCACATGGTTTAGCTGCCAGAGTCTCTATTGGTCAAATTATCATGTCTGCAAGAACTAAAGATTCAAATAAAGATGTTGTTATTGAAGGTTTAAGAAGAGCAAGATATAAGTTCCCAGGTCAACAAAAAATCATTATTTCTAAAAAATGGGGTTTCACACCATTAAACAGAGAAGATTATGTTATCAAGAAAAACAATGGTGAAGTTTTAGATGATGGTGCTTACGTTAAATTCTTATCAAGAAAAGGTAACTTAGAAGAAAACTTAAAACAATTCCCATACTTCAAATATAACGCTTAAGTCTCTATAGGTTTAAATATATATTGAATAAGAATTTTTGGAAAGTTAATTTTAACTTAAAAAATTTGTAGATTTCCGAGATTTGATAAACTAAATATTGAAAGTTTGTGACAATAAATACTTCGTACAAAGATTTTTTGAATAATGTTCCATCACTAAACTCAATGTAGCGTAATCATTAATGGTTTAAATGCCAATTTTTAACTCCTTATTTTAGTGCTATAGTAAGAGAAAATGTTTCATGCTCTTTTGTTTTACGAATTTTGCATCAAGAACCTTTGTAAAATTCGATCAAAGAGGTGCAACAATCATTTTCTTGTACATACTTTTCATTACTTCAAACAACATGGTCTTGCGAGTTTGTTTACTACGATCTCATTTCCAAATCAAGAAGATCAAATTTATCATTATAACTCAGTAAATACTTCAAACTTAGTGATTGAGTTTCAGAATTTATAAACTGTCGAAAAATAATTTTGTGTCCTAAATTAGCTAATTTTGACTCTGTTTCGGTTGCAAAAACTTTAGACTAAAAATCTTTGTGTTCAAAAATATCAAATTATTTGAAACACATTTTCAATTTCCAAAAATTCATCAATATTTAATTTATAATTATTACAATAGATTCAATCAAGTCAAAGTGACTACAGAAATATTCCAAATCTGACCGATATAATTATTGTCATTTTCTTAGGTAATGCATTAGATTTAATAGCTCTCAAATCTTGTAATTATATAAATGACCTTTTCCCCTCAACCTTTAATTATTTCAACATATTTAGCAAACTAGAAGGACACTTAATTAACAATCAGAATAATTCAAGAAACAAAATAATATTATTGCAACTATATGTCAATCTGATGACATTAAATATTTTTTGATAAAGGCTCAAGTTGGTAAAATTTTTATACTATTGAGGTTTCAAGCAAGTGTTTAATTCAGTTTTTTAAATTATAAATTCATACTATAATTCTTATAATTTTGAATAAGATCATTTGAAACAGAGTTAATTGTCCATATTTATTGATCAAATATATTCTTACTGATATATTTATTGTGATACCGCCTGAAATTTCACCCATTACAGAATTGAATCTAAAATAGAATCTAGAGCAACTATTGAAAATGTAAATAATTCTAATGAATTCAGAAATACTATACATTTAAGATAAAGTTGATAATAAAATTAAAAGAAGGTTTGTATTTCATATAAGTCCTATTAAAGTTAAAATCTTGCATTGCGTAATAATTTAATAATGGAAGGAGTTTGTTTGTTTCATAATAATTTCTCGAAACGCGTATAAAATTTAATTATATTTTTTACTTAATTTTACGCGTAAAAGTCATGTGACCGTATGCATAATGGGGTAAAAAGAAATTATAAATTATATATTCTATTTTAATATTATTTAATATAATTATAATTATAATTATAACAGCTTTAATCTCAGTTTCAATTTTAGCAACCACTTCTCTTTCTTTTGATTCTATTATCCAATTGAGTTCATCAACTACTATTTCAATTCCAAGATACTTATTGATAAATGAGAATTGAAGGTCAATCATTAAATCCAAAAGATTTATTATTAGATTTGCAACAATTTATAATAAAACAAAATGATTATTATATTGAAATATTAGGATTAATAAAGTCATTTAAAGATAATACAAGTACTACAATCTCATCAACCAATTCATCTTTAATATCATCAATTTCATCAATTTCCAGAGGATTATATACAAAAAATAATGAATTAAATAAATTACTTTTACAATATTTACAAAATTCATTAGATGAAAAACAATCATTTAAAAATTTCATAAATGAGTTTATTTTAATATTTGATAATAATTTTATAATTTTGATTAATAAATATTTGAATAGAATAAAGAATTTAGAAATTAATAATAAATTAATGTTTGAAAAATTAAACAAACCAATTGTCTCCAAAATTTTATTTATTTCAAATTTTACATCAAATTGTATCTCAATATTGAGAAATCCTTTCATCATTGATAAATTGAAAGATATTAGCTCACAACTTACAAATATTTACGATCAACATCAAAATGACATTTTAGTGAAACAATTCAATAATATAAAATTCAACAAAATCCAATCGTTTTATTCTACGTCATCTATTGTTTCAAGTTATTTCACAATTGATCAAATTAAAGACAGATCTGGTGATTTGATTATAAACATGAACAACCAATTAATTGAATTAATTCTATTAGATTTAAATAATATTGGAGATTACAATGCTTTAGCTTTAGTACGTGTTGAGGAAGAAGGAGGTGAAATACATAGAAATTTAATTTACCCGCCTTTCCGAGTTAATGAATTATCATTATCTTCTTGGGAAGATGAAATCTATTTAAGAAGTATAAACTTTAAAGGGGACGATGATTTTCAAAAAAACTCAATTAATTTACGGTTCAATAATCAAGAATCATGCAACATCTGGTCAATCAAAATATCCAAAATATGTCCATTGGAAAGTAATTTGTCACCATTGAATGAATCTTTTTTAATTGATTCACCAACAAAACCAAATAATATGTCAGGATTAGGTATAAATCTTATAACAGATTCAGATCACAAAAGGTACTTATCATCAGAAGAAACTTTAACATTAAATAAGAGTTCAATAATATCCTCACCAATTAAAAAACCTAGAACTGACTCTTTACAATCGCAATATGATAAATCTTTGCCCATTATCCAAAAAACCATAACCAATAATAATCAAGATGATGATGAAAAATTATTTCAAATAATAAATAGAAGAAAAATTTCAGAAGATTATCTGGATGAATCAAAAGAAAGACCAATTTCTTCACAAGCAGAATTTTGTTCACCAGAAAGTATTGAATCAATAAATGATCCAATAAATTTGAATCCAATACAACCAATACAACCAATACAACCAATTCAACCTATTTATCAACAACCTTGTGCTTCAGTACCTGATTTAAGAAATAGTTCTAAAGTATATCAATTATCAACTGGCTCAGCTATTGACATATCAAATTTTGGTAAGACTCATCAACCCGATTTTATCAAGAAAAGAAAATCATCATTCTTTCAATTATTCAAGAAAAGTTCCTCAAGAGTTGATGTTAATTCATCAAAATTAGACGTCAATTTATCAAAAAATGATTTGAATGCATCTATAGTTGACATAACAACGGCTAATATAGATATATCTACACCACCTCAATCACCACCTCAATATGACGCTAATCCAGAAAAATTAATGACAAGATCAGTTTCCAAAATACCTGCACCATTTGCATTACCATCATCAACATCAACTTATTTTTTCAAACAACCAAATTCTAGTGTAGTATCAACAACAAAAGATCAAACTCCAGAAATTTCAGAAGATGATTTAATTATTCCAACCAATTTGAAGAATCAAATTAATCTGGATTTGACTAAAGATTTTTACATCTCAGAATCTGAGCCAAAAACTATCAAAATTTCAAAATGGAAACAAAAATATGGTAAATGGGAAATGATAACTACATCAGAATTAATCTTTTTGAAATTAGTGGTTGATTTAGAAAATAAAAATTGCTGGTTAATAATTTTCAAAGAAGAAGTTGAAAAGAATGAAGTTATTGATAAACCAATTTTGTTACTCGACATTAATATTCAAACAAAAGTTAGAAACTCGTCACCATTAGATTTACAAATTAATTCTAAAAATTCAATCACAAATGAAAACCAATTAATTATGATCAGATGTACATCCAGCTCAATCATTGAAGAAATAGACTCCAACTTAAATAAAGTAAAATCATTAATACCAACTACAACGAGCTACAATTCATTAACTACAATCGCTTCATCAATAATGGACAGTCAAAGTAAATCATCAACTTTTTCAAGTCTTAACTCAATTATAAATGAAGAACAACCAGAAATTGAAATGATCATAAGATTACAAAAAAATTTACAACCTTTTCAAATCAATATTCCATCATCCTGGGAAATTATTTCAATGATGAAATTACAAATTTTCAAAATTATCGAATTAGGTCAAATTATGTACAAGTTTAAATTATACAACGATATGAATGAATTAAAATATGATTGGAATATTTGCATCAACAATAAATTTGAAAAAATTGGTAGGGCTGGTTTATTGATTAAACCAAATAATGAAATTTTTATGATTGAATGTAAAGGTAAAAAAGAATTCAAAAAGTTATATGAAATATTTTAATACTTAATAATACATAATAAATTTAAATAATTTTTTTTTTGCAACAACAACAAAACAAATTTTCTCATTAATTTTCTTTTGCACCCAAAACAGCCACCAACAGAAAATGAATCTAATACTTGTTCTTCTAACATTACTTCATTTAGTCACATCATTATCAGAACCAGCTAAAACAATCCCCATAATTAAAATCCATCAGAATAAATTTTATGATTCACACACTAAAAATCAATTTTTTATAAGAGGTATAGCATATCAAAAAACAAGACAAGAAGGAGAAATTTATGATACAACTAAGGAAACAAATTATATTGATCCATTAAGTAATCCATTCACATGTTTAAGAGATTTGGAAAACCTAAAAGAGCTAAACGTAAATGTGGTTAGAATTTATCAAATTAATCCATTAGCTAATCATGATGTTTGTATGAACGCTTTTGCGTCTGAAGGAATCTACGTTTTAGCTGATTTATCAGAACCTTATGTATCCATCAAGAGAGATTATCCGCATTGGGATACTGAAATTTTTGAACGTTACAAGGCAGTTGTGGATTCTTTACATAAATATCACAATGTCTTGGGTTTTTTCGCAGGTAATGAAATTGCAAATTCTCAACTGAATATTGATTCTTCTCCATTTATAAGAAGTTCAATTAGAGATATTAAAGCTTATATTGATGAAAAAGGGTATAGAAAAATCCCAATAGGTTATGCATCAAATGATGATTCAGTTATAAGATCAAATTTAGCCAGTTATTTTGTTTGTGATTTAGATGAAGAATTAAATAGTAAAGCTGATTTTTTTGCAATAAATAATTATGAATGGTGTGGATATTCAACATATACTACATCGGGATATAGAGATTTAACATCAATTTTTCAAAATTATCCAATCCCATTATTTTTCAGTGAATTTGGATGTAATTTAATTCAACCTAGACCTTTTACTGAAATTGAATCAATATTTGGATCAACAATGAAGAAAATTTGGTCAGGTGGTATAGCTTATGAATATTTTGAAGAAGTTAATCATTATGGTGTAATTCTATTAAAGAAGGATCAATCTATATTAAAATTACCTGATTTTGAAAATTTGAAAACTAGATATAATTCAATTAATTCAAAAGCTGTTAAAATTGATTTAAATGATGAGACTGAAGTTAATACAATATCATGTGATGATTTGGTTTCAGATACTTGGAACGTTGCAAATAATTTACCACCAACTCCCGATTCCAATAAATGTAATTGCTTATATAATTCATTAAGATGTGTAATATCAACAGATCAACAATTTGATGAAGAAAATTACATAAAAGACTTATGCTACAAAGTAGATTGTGATCATATAAATTGTAACGGTAGAATAGGTAAATATGGAAAATATAGTGATTGTTCACCATTAATTAGAGCCTCGTATGCATTAAATCAATATTATCTACAAACAGGTGAAAGAAAAGAAATATGTACTTTACAAAATCGTGGAGAGTTATTACAAGGTGATGAACAAGGTGATTATTGTACAAAATTATTACAAGATTTAGATAAACCTACAAAAACTCTTATTAAAGATGTCGTAATTGATGAAAAAAATTCTGAACCAATTGAAGTTTTCGTACCTGAATTAATAAATCCTCAACCAATACCATTAAAAGATAAAAAGAAAAATTTAGGTATTTCATTGTTTTCAAAACAAATGTATTCTAAATTGTTCAGATGCTTAATTGATATTTGGTTAATTTTTTATATTATAATTTAGCTAATACTAAATATATATTTTAAAACCCATTATTTACAAACCTCTCAATATTTAATCCTTTTTTGGTCCCCAATTCAACCCCAAGAATCCAGACCCACTTCTCAAATTAGTCGACCCCATCAATTGCTTTCTTAATAATCCCTCCGGTTCAACAATATAAACTCTAGCTTCACCAGGTACATCTAATGCAATATATTCAAATTTAGTTTTAAATAAAGTATAATCCAATTGTTCTAAACTGACAACACCATATTTTCCATTAGAAGTTTCAACTTGGAATTTCATAAATAAATGATCTTTATCATCAACTGTTGATTTTCTTTTCATACTTTGTACTGATCTATTACGAATCCATTTATCTGCTGCTACTATTCCATAAGCTTTTAATCTTTCACCTTGTGGGAAACCTAACAAGGATTGTGCTTTTGGTGAGTTCTCTATTATATTCACTGCTTTGTTGAAAGTTCTTGTGTCTCCTGATGGTAATAATAATTCAGATAATATGAGGTAGACCACTAAAATTGCAACTCCAGAAGCTAATATCACTATAACTGTTGATAATGAAAATGTAAAAGCTCTTGAAATTCTGTTTAAAATTTGTTTACCTTTAATGTTTTTATCTTTTGGCGGTTGTGGAGGTGGTGTTCTTGTTGCTGTTGAATAGTTTTTGAAAGTGTTGATGAAAGTTGGTCTATGAAGTAATGGGGTAAGTATTAGTGGTTTTAATGGTATTGATTTTATTATGTTTGGTTTGGTTATCAAATTGATTGGTGCAATCAATGGTGATCTGAGTCCTGTTAGTCTCAATGAGCCTGAACTTAGTTGTTTGAACATTGCAATTGATTAATGATACTCTTGCGGAGCTGATTAAAAATTGATGCTTTTTCAGATAATTTTTTTACAAAAGGTTGATCTAGAAAACACATCACACGACTGAAATATAGGTCTATTGATTATTCGTTTTTAGATTTTATCTGTATTTTGCAGCGTCTTTTTTGTTTTACAAACATGCCCCCGTGGCCTAGTTGGTTAAGGTATTAATTTCCGGAGTTAATGATCGCGGGTTCGAGTCCCGCCGGGGGCCTATATCCATATTATAAACATTTTGATTAAGATGATAAATGTATTTTTGAGCTACAATTGATGAAAGAAAAAGCACAGTAATTGTGTTTTTTTTGGAAATGGTTGAAATGCTCCCAATTTTTTTTGATCCCTTATATGGAGAGTGCAATATACTACAGTAAGCTCTTTCTTTCTAATAATGTCAATGTTATGCAAAAATAATTAGTTTTATATATTTTCAAATCTTTTATACACTCATCATTCTATATCGTACTCTCAAAATGTTTCTTAAATAATTTATTCTGATTTACCACCTTTTCTTTCAATTAATGCTTTTCTGTCTTTATCTAAATGTAATTTAGTAATAACAACTTTTGAAGGATTAACATTGATTGGAACTGAAGCACCATTTGATTTTTCTTTTTGTAATTTATCTAATTGAATTGAAAATTTTAATCTATATACTGAATTAACTTTACCTTCTGAACCTTTTTTTGAACCTCTAACAATTAAAACTTCATCATTTTGTCTAATTGGTAATGATTTAATATTATATTTTGATTTTAATTCTTTTGATAATGGAGCTGACATAATGGCTCTTCTTTCAACTGATGATGATGAAAAGTGAGCTTTTCTAGCTTTTGATCTTGATGATGAAACGTCTAAAGTAATTTAAAGTTAGTATTGAACTTGTAAGTTGAAAATTTATACGATCTGCAAAAGTTCTTGACTGCCTTGGGATGACGATAAATAGATGAATAGATACAGCATAAAACTCTGATTTCTTGTGATTAAGGATGTATCTTTCTTTACTCTGAAACAAGCTTATAATCCCTTTAAAAAATTCAATAGTTTATTCCAAAATAGTATTTCATACTTGGATTCGATAATTTATGATATCCCACCTTATTGAGTCTGAACTTTTCAAATATCGTATATCTCTCTTTCATATCTTTTCATTATAATCACATACCTTGTGAGATTTTAGCCATTTTTACTAAGGTATTATTGATTGATTGTGGTTAATGAATATCTAAGTGAAAATTTTTTTCTATTAAAAAAGTGAAAAATTATTAAAGAGAAAAAGAGAAAAAAAAAGTAAGAATTTTTTCAAAAGTTATGTGCAGTATGTAAGAGTAGGTCGTGTGTTATACAATTTGATGAATCTATATAGATTGATGCAAACTCTATTGATAAACGAAGCTCACAATTTTGCAACCATTTCCACGTATTCTGTTTTTCTTTATTTTTTTACTGGACTACATACGAATAGACAAGTCTGGCTTACATCCGTATGTGTCTGAGCTAATAATGTTGGATATTACACTCCTACGAAGCTCAGAAAAAGTCCGAGAATCAGTATCCTGTAAAACTACCCTAGTATTTTTCACTCTAATAAATCACGCTTTAGCTTTGAGCATTTCGACACCGGCATATTCAAAAAAACAACTAAGAGCATGAATTTCTGGAATAGCTTTAATCGAATCTGTGAACTTTATTAAATTATTGAAAATCTTAGCTAATAGATTGGTAGCTTTTTTATATCAGATAATTGGCATAATATTAATATTATTATTAATTATATTATATCATGCATAATCATTTATATTTACGTATCAATTGATAAAAGAATATATTTTATACTTTGTATACTAATTTTGATTCAACTTGACCAATTTCACCTAGCTTGGAACCATATAATCATATTTCAATTCTCAATTCAAATTATTATCAATTCAAATATTATAATTATACCCAATTATTACCGTATCAAATGTCCAACCCCACATTAATATCTGATGAAGAAGAAGAATCAATAGAATTATATAATGGTTTTGGTTCACAACCAATAAGTAAAAATCAAATGAGAACAAGAAAAAGATGGTCATTTCATGATAATTCGAAACCCAATTTAGTTGATTCACCAGTTGAAGGTATGCAAAGAAGATTAAGTGATATAACAGGAGTTGATGGAGTTCATAAACAAATTGATCCATTAAGTGAATTAGGTGGTGCACAATTATATTCAACAGAATCAGGTAGATTATTTCATGCTGGTAAAATTATTATTGCATTAGCTGGATTACCAGGTAGAGGTAAAACTCATTTATCAGTATCATTAACAAGATATTTAAGATGGTTAGGTGTTAAAACTCATTCTTTCCATTTAGGTGATTATAGAAGAGCAAGTGCTGAAGATGATTTAACTCATGATTTATTTGTTCCCACTCCGAAATCAGATAAAGCTCATGCATTAAGAGAAAAAGTTGTAAATGAATGTTTAAATGATATTTTAAATTTTTTTAAAAATGATAAAGGACAAGTTGCAATTTATGATGCAGTTAATGCAAAACCAGAATTTAGAATTCAATTACATCAAAAATTTAGTAAATTAAATATTCAAGTTTTATTTATTGAAAGTTTAGTTACTGATGATTCAATAGTTATGAAAAATATTGAAGAAGCAGCAAGATCTTCACCTGATTATAAAGATTGGAATTATGAAAAAGCTTATAAAGATTATAGTGAAAGGATTAATGCATTAGCTCCATATTATCAAGAAATGCAAAGTAATGATTTAGAAAAAGATTTATCATATATTAAATTTATAAATTTTGGTGAAAGAATCGAATTACATAATTCAAATTATGGTTATTTAATAAATAAAGTTGTATTTTATTTAATGAATGGTTCTATAAAATCAGGGTCAGTATTTTTAGCAAGATGTTATAAAAATTCATTAGATTATAATTTTGATCCTCCATTAGATGAAGAAGGTACAAATTATGCCAAACGTTTAACAAATACATTAATTGATCAATTAAAATCTGAAGGTAAAACATACCTTGATAAAGTAATGACATCAAAACCAAAACTTGAAAGAGAATTATCAGTTGATGAAAGACAACCAGCTGTTGGAATGGATGGAGTAGATGATAATTCTTTAGTTATATGGACATCAGTCAAAAAAAGAACAATTGAAACTACTCAATTCTTAAAAGAAAAACATATAAATGTAAGACATAGAATTCAATTATCACAAAAAAATCCTGGTGTAGTTGGTGGTATGTCAGATGAAGAAATTTCTCAAAAATATCCAGATGAATATGCTCATTATATAAAAGATCCATATCATTATAGATTTTCAAGAGCAGAATCATATCATGATTTAGCAATCAAAATAGAACCATTAATCTTGGAAATGGAAAGAATGAGTGGTGATATATTAATAATTGCTGATGATACTATATTAAAAGTTTTATATGGTTATTTAATGTCTTGTTCATGTTATGATATACCAACATTAGATTTTAAAACTGATGAAATAATTGAAATTAAATTTAATGCTTATTCAAATGTTGCTAAAAGAATAAAGATTAAAGATGTATAAATGAAACAATTATCAATTTGTATAGTAATAAATAGTTTATAATTTTTAATTTTTTCAATACATTAATAATGAAACACAAATTAATAATACCAAAAAAATTAAATTAACTTCTACAGTAATTTTTAAAACCAAAACATCAAAACATGAGTTTGAAACCAACAGCAACATATAAATCAAATAATATACTACATAACTTTGATATAGGAGAAGGACCACATACAACAAATGGTAAAACAACTCAAATATCAGATATAGTAATAAATGCAGGAGGAGAAGATAGAGATAAACCAAGTGATCATAAAAATACTCCATTGGGTAATTTAAGAGCTTCAATTACTACTTTACAAGATCATATAAATGAATATTTAACTGAACGAATGAAATTGGGGAAACTGAATATAGGTAGTGATGATATAGAGAGAAAAGTATTAGATGAAGGAGTAGAAGAAGAAGATGATGATGATGACTAATTAATGACTTATGAACTAATGATAGTAATACATATATTAAATCTATAATAAATGCATGATGATTTATTACGTGTATTTATTTCTTTTCACCACCTCCTACTATTTTAGTCATACCATCAATTGTTTTCTCAAGTGTAGTTTGTAAATAATCTTGTTTAATCTTTAGACTTTTTTCAGTTGTTTTATATTCTTTTTCATCTTTCGCCAATTCATCTAGATAATTCTTTGTGGTGTTTGCAATAAATGCTTTTCCTATACCTTGCCATACTTCTTCATCTGGTTTATTTACTTGATTTAATCTTTTATTTGTTGATGTTATTACATTGAGGTTTGTGTTTATTCTATCTAATTGTAGATTCACCATTGATAATTCTGCTCTTGATTTGTTTAGTTGGTTGTCCATTTCTATAAGGACTTTTTGCAATGCCTCTTGATTCATATTTTGTATGTGGTTGTTTATTCTGTAAGTTGGTTTTGATAATGTATTGATAAAATAGAAAGAGATCGAATTTTTTATTTTTCAAACCTTTTTACAACCATTAAAGAATGATAAGAATAATACCCACAACAAGATATGCTTTTACAACATATAGATCTTTTTCGTTAAGTTCTAAATGGCTCAATTTTAACAAGGGTTCATTAGCTGATAAGTCAATTGAACATAATACTCAATCAGAAACTAATAGATTAGCTAAAACAGGTAAACGATTTTGGGATAAAGGAAATGTTCTTTATAATGAATCAACAAATAAGTATGAAGTTCAATTAGATGGGAAAACATTACGTACACCATTAGGATTACCATTGATATTACCACCTACCAAAAAACAATTAGCATATTTAATAAGTCATGAATGGACAAATCTACAAAGTACATCAGTAAAATCAAGTGCATTACCATTAACTGAATTAGCAGCAAGAGCAATTGATTTAGAATCAGCTCATAAAATAGATGAAAATGAAAATGAAAAAGTTAAAGAAATAATAGCGATAGATGACTTAAAAATGGGATTATTAAAATATCTTGATACTGATACTTGTCTTATATTTGCAGGTATAAAAGATTGTGATGGATTATTAAGACAAAGACAAGATCAATTATATTTACCATTAATTAAAGAATATAATGAATTTTTCACAAATTTCGGCCATCAACAAAACTTATTAAAAAATGATGAAAAAATTGAATTAAACTTTTTGGATTGTGAAAAAGATGGATTAAGAGGTAATAAACAATCTTTAAAAACAAAAGAAGTAGTAATGAATTGGTTAAATAAAATTGACATTTTTGAATTAATAGCATTAGAGAAAACAGTATTAACTACAAAATCATTCTTATGTGGTACATCAATATTGAGATCAAATGTATCTGATCCACAAAGAATGCAAACTGTGTTTCAAGTCAACAAAAACACTCAAGATAAATTTTGGTATAAATCAGTCGAAGAAATTATTGAATTGGGGAATTTAGAAACTATTATACAAACTAGTAGATGGGGAGAAGTTGAAGATACTCATGATGTTGAACAAAAGGAATGGTTAAGAAGTTTAGCTGGGGCAGCCTTAGTAAGTCATTAATAAATACATGTATATATTTACTTAGAAAATAGATATTTCGAAACTACTTAGTGTTCATAAATGCTTAAAAAATGTGAAATTTTGTTGTTACAGATGTTGGACTTGAGCTGCTTTTATTAAACCTTGATCAGCCAATTACTGGCGCTCGTAACTAGTACACCTTGGTCTGAAGGACGTTTGATTTGCAATCTTTGATCTCTATTTTCACACATAATAAAATTATGTATGATCTCTCTATAAATAAATAAGTAAATAATATTACGCGTAAAATATAAAAAAATACAAAACAATAAAAAAGTAGTAATACAGATAATAATAGACTTGTGTTGCAACAATTTGAAACAAATTGAATCAATTAGATTATACCTTAATATACTATTTTTACAAATCACACTTTACATACACAATTATTAGTCAGCAGTAGTACATCAAGTTTAGAAATTTATTTAAATTGAGTTAAATTCAAAAGAGAAATTCAATTCTCTAAAGATAATGAATGATAAAGATAATAAAGAAAATCAAAATGAATATATATCACATATTACTCAATCCAAAAAAGAAGAATTAAAAAGATTAGAATCAGCAGGAAATTTACCAAGAAGAGTTAAAGTATATTTATTAAATGGAGAAGATTGGATAGATAATGGTACAGGTTTTTGTACAGGTGAAATAGATCCTCAAACAAATATACCATATTTTTTAGTTAAAAAGGAAAATCAAGAAAATGATACTATATTAAAATCATATTTAGAAGGTTCAATTCAATATCAAAGACAACAAGAAACTTTAATAGTTTGGACTGATTCAAATGGTACTGATTTAGCTTTATCATTTCAAGAAACTGAAGGTTGTGCAGATTTATGTGATTTTATAATAAAAGTTCAACAGGGGAATATAAGTCCACATATTTCTTTATATTATGTGATTTCAAATATACCTGATGGTGGAGATGATATAACCGAATTTATTACTGGACCAATAAGATATCCACCATTATTACCTTCAAAAGATAATTTGATTTCAGCATTTGAAAATTTAAATCAAGGAATTAATTCTCAATTTACTAGATCAAACATACTGGATTATATAATAGATACAAAATATTGTGATAAATTAATAAAAGTTTATGAAAAAGCAAGTAGTGGAAATGATAAAGAAGCATTATGTTTAATAAGTGACATTTATAAAATATTATTTGCATACAATGAACCATCATTGGTTGAAGATTTAATAGGTACCGAAGAAAGAATATTAGCTTTAGTTGGAATATTTGAATATGACTCAGAGTACCCCGAATCTAAAGCAGATTACAAGTCATTGTTTGAAGAAAAATCTTTTAAAACAGTTATACCCGTTAATAATTTAGAAATATTTAAGAATGACTTTTATCTAAACACTTTGAAAGATGTAATTTTGGCAAGATTTTTAGATAACCAAACTTTTAGCACTTTCAACACAATGATATACGCAAATCAAATGAAGATATTTGAATATTTAAAAGATGCAAATGTTTTGGAAAAAGTTTTTGAAATATATGAAGATAAAGATAAAGATATAGAGTTGAAAAGAGATGGATTGAAAATGCTACATCAATATTTAATGATAGCCAAGTCACTACAGAAGTCTGACTTTTTTACATTGTTGGTTAATTCTGGTTTATTTAAAATGATAATTTTTGCATTACAAGATGAAGAAGATAAAACTCGAATTTTGGGAACTGAATTAATTGTTATGATTATTGATCAAGATATTACTTTAGTCACTAAATTAGAAGATGAGGAAGAAAGTCTTATAATTGAATCAATCACACCTTCAAGTCTGGTACGAGAAGGCAATAACGAGGCTAAACTAAATGGTATTGGTGTAAAAAGTATGAAAGCTGACGCGAATAAAACCAAAAGTCACAACATGGGCCTAATATCCACCTTGGGGAATCTTCTAGCAAATGATAAAAATATTGGATTAAAAATGCAAGCATATGAAGCTATAAAAACATTATTGGATGCAAACAATAATTTTACTTATGTTGGGAATAACGAAAACGATGCCACTAGTACTGATTCAATATTGGGGGAGATTGATCAAGACATAGTTGATAATCAAAAAACCAAAGAGGATAATAGAGTATATCATTATTTCGAATCATTTTACACAATAGTTGCACCAATATTATTTGAAAAAGTGATATCAAATGCCACCAGCAATAAGTCATCGTCTATATTAAAAGAGGATGAAACATTATACCAAATACTATGTGAACTAGTTTCGTATTGTTCAAAAGAACATGACATTTCATTATCAAGACCATTCATTATTGAACACAATATTCTAGAAGGATTTGCAAAATTATTATCATCAAATTGTAAAAAAGTTTTAAAACTACATATTGTTAGATGCATTAGAGATATACTACTACTAAATGATAATTTATACACTCAATATATCCTAAAAAATAGAATACTAAATTATTTAATTGATTATTTCAAATTAGTATCAAATGAAAATAGTTTATCAAACTCAACTTTTTTAGATTTTTTAGAATCAATAATAAGATTAGCTGATGCTTCAAATTATGAAAACAGAAATAATTTCAAATTAATTGCAACTTATCTTATTGATGAATATCGTGAATTTATGATGAGTATTGATTATATAGATACTGGTCAAAAATTAATAACTTTGGTTGATAATAAATTTAATGAAATAATTCCAAATGATAATGACAATGATAATGATGATGATGATGAATTTGATGATGATAATGAAAATAATGATATAAAATTAACTTTAAAATTAAGTGATGTTGTTGTAAAAGATGTTGAACATTTGGAATTGATAAAAACTGATGAATTGGTTGGTTCAGATGATGAAGAAGAGATATTAATTAACAATGCGTCTACTCCAATAAGTGATGAAGAAGAAGAACAACAACAAATTGATATACCTGAACAGAATGGAGATAATCAAGAGCAAGTAGATACAAAAGCATCTTTTAAAATAGGTGAAAAAAGACCAAGAGGTTCTTCAAAGGGTAATTCAGAAGATGATAGAATAGAAAATTATAGTACCAAAAAATCTTCAAGAGAATCATCAATATCAATCTCCAATTCAAATCAAGTAAATGGATTTAAATCAAATGAAGATGAATTTATAAATTCAAATTTAAATTCTCAGTCTTTACATACCAATGGTTCAAACGGAATAGAAATTGCAACTACACCAAGTAATAAAATATTAGTGAATGCAACAGGAAATGGGAAAGGTGAGGATTGATTATACATACATACAACAAATATTTATGGTAGTGGTGATTTAAATATATTTATGGGTTTTTAGTTTTTCTTAATGTTTTAGTTATCTATACTTACGATTAATTTATTGATCTTACAATGTTTTAACTTTACTTTTTATTGATGTTTATTCTGAATAGTTTCTTCTACTTCTAGATATTGATAAATAATCGATATTTAGAAATCGAAGGTTAAAAAAATTTATTTAATTTTAACAAATGTTCTCCTGCGTTGCAATATTGTTTTATATCTAATTCAAAATAGATGCAAAATTTTCAAAATTTCTTTTCCAAAAATTTCATTCATTGTATTATACGCTGCAAATAATCGCATAAGAGCACAATCAATAAGAGATCAAAGTTCTATATACATCCAGTGGCAAAAGTTTTAATGGCTCGACTAACCCAATAGATGTATCGAAATATGTCACAATACAAATATCTTTTGATATATTATTTATTTCCCGAGGGTAAAAAAATAAAAGAATAGTTACTACCAAATGATTTTAAATATTGAAATGTGGAGATTTGTCACTTTAATAATTTTGAAATATTATTATAATCCTTTTTTATAACAACAATCTATTATTACTTTACATTAATAATATACAAACAAATTAAATTTTCAAATTATTCATATATTCAAAAATCTTTAATCATCTTACAACTATAACATTCATTCAATTATTTACATCATATACATATTCATATAAATCACAAAAGATGCCATTTTTAAACGAATCATATGTAACAAAGGGGAGTTGGAGACCTGATTTATTTAAAGGAAAAGTTGTATTTGTAACAGGAGGAGCAGGATCAATATGTAGAGTACAAACAGAAGCTATGGTATTATTAGGAGCTAATGCAGCAATTGTAGGTAGAAATAAACAAAAAACAGATGAAGCAGCAAAAGATATTCAATCTTTAAGATCTGGATCAAAAGTAGTTTCATTACCTGATGTTGATGTAAGAGATGTTAAACAATTAGCTGAAGCAGTATCCAAAACAGTTGCTGAATTAGGTAGAATTGATTTTGTAATTGCTGGAGCAGCTGGTAATTTTTTGGCTGATTTTAATCATTTATCATCAAATGCTTTTAAATCAGTTGTATCAATTGATTTATTAGGTTCTTATAATACTGTAAAAGCATGTTTTGAAGAATTAAGAAAAAATAAAGGAGCTGTTATATTTGTAAGTGCTACATTACATTATTATGGTGTACCTTTTCAAATTCATGTTGGAGCAGCAAAAGCTGGTGTTGATGCATTATCTAATTCATTAGCTGTTGAATTTGGACCGATTGGTGTAAGATCAAATTGTATTGCTCCAGGACCAATTGATGAAACTGAAGGTATGTCAAGATTAGCACCAGGTGGCAAAGAAGCTGTTATTTCTAAAATTCCATTACAAAGAATGGGTACAAAACAAGATATTGCTGATGCTACTGTTTATTTATTTTCACCAGCTGCTGATTTTGTCACTGGTGATGTATTAGTTGTTGATGGTGGTTCATGGCAAGTTTCTCAAGGTGCTGGTTCAGCTGATTATCCAGTTACTTTAAAAAAGGCTTTAGAAGCTCCAGGTGCTAAATTATAGATTTTCTTTATACTTCTTACTTGTATAGTATTACATATATGTTTTTTTCTACATGTAAAGTCATAGTTTTCATATGATGATGAATGTTTCATGTTACAATCTTTCTAGTCAAAAGCAAGGCGTTACAATCTCTAATAATATAAATTACGAGATTTAAAAAGCTACCAAGTAACGAACAAAATTTTTTTTAGTTTTGGTTTTTTTTTTGTTATCAATCAACAAACACATAATATACTAAAAATTGAAATTACAAAATTTCAAGACAAATCAACGATTTAACTTCAAGTATCACCAATTCAAAACTTCAACTTATTTATACTTTATTTCTTCATCAACGTTTTACATTAGTCCATTATCATTATAATACTTGACACGACAAAAATGTCAATTGATCCAGAAACAAGAAGAAAATTATTAAATTTACAAAAAACAGGTGAAAATAAAAAATGTTTTGATTGTTCAGCACCAAATCCTCAATGGGCATCACCAAAATTCGGTATATTTATATGTTTAGAATGTGCAGGTATACATAGAGGTTTAGGAGTTCATATTTCATTTGTACGATCAATTACAATGGATCAATTTAAACCTGAAGAAACTTTAAGAATGGAAATTGGTGGGAATGAAAGATTGAAAAAATATTTTGTGGAAAATGGAATTGATTTAAATTTAACTGCAAAATTAAAATATGATAATTTTGTTGCTGAAGATTATAAAGAAATTTTAACTTGTGAAGTTGAAGGTAAAGAATATGTTCAAAAAGATCATTCTGGTGAATCATTACCTCATAAAACCAATGATTCAAATTCAATTAAATCAAATTCATTGTCATCATCATCAAATCAAAATTCAACTTCTTCAAATTCAAATATACGTTCAAATAATAATACACTCAATAATGATCAAAGACATAAAAACGAAGCATATTTTGCTGATTTAGGTGCCAAAAACGAAACAAGACCAGATCATTTACCACCAAATCAAGGTGGAAAATACAGTGGATTTGGAAACACACCAAATCAATCAACAACCACCACCACTAACAATTCATCATTATCAAATTTTACAGTTGATAATTTCCAAAAAGATCCTTTAGGAACATTCACAAAAGGTTGGGGATTATTTTCATCATCAGTTGCCAAATCAGTACAAGAAGTAAATGATAGTGTAATTCAACCAGGTATAAATTCTTTCAATCAAAGTGAATTTGGTAATGAAGCTAAAAAGGCAATGGCACAATTTGGTCAAAAAATGCAAGAAACTGGTAAATATGGACAAGAAACTTTTCAAAATTTTACAAAAGAAATTAATGAACAAGGGTTAAATAAAACTATTGATCATAGATTTAATGGAATATGGGGTAAAAGTTCTTCTTCAGAACAAGTTCCTACTGCGTTTGGTTATAAAAAGGCAGATAATGGAATTAAATATGAAAGTTTATCTGGTGGAAATAATTTAAAACACGATGATGATGATAAATGGGATGATTTTTAATAAAAAGTTATTCAAATTAATTTTTAACATAGAAATTTATATAATACAAAATTAATTTTTAACATAGAAATTTATATAATGCAAAATTTATTTCAATTCATAAATTAATTCTATTAATTTGATCTATTATCTACTCTTTCGAATCTTCTCACTTTTTCGTTCAGCTATATACAAATCATACTCATCTTTAAAACTCTTGTAATTATAATAATAAGAATCCTTAATCCAAAATAATTTCACTACTCGCCAATTCAATACCCAATCTACTATACCAACATCTCTAACAAATGAACTCACAAGAAACCAAAATATTCCAATAACAATACCTAAATTAACTCCAACAAAGACTTGTTGCCAAGTATGATATTGTAAATAAACTCGTGAACTAGCTACTCCACAACAAACAAATAACATCGCTATTGCACTCAATCTCTTGTATAATATAGGTAATTTTGGAACTTTTAAAATTATAATTAACATAAAATAACTAATAAAAAATCCAATAAATTGAGAATGAGCAGATGGCATTCCATAATTTAATCCTGTTCCTTCACCACCAAATTGTAAATGGAAATCAGGTCTTGGATTCTTTAACAATTTTTTCATTACTTTATTCAATATCTCCGAGAATAAATGTCCACCTACCACAATAACTGGTTCAATTTCTCTCGTTATAAGAAACCATGACGTGTAAAACACCATAATGTAGATTGGCAATAATGTGAATTGTACCGATATTATGGAAATTATATCGTTTGGGTTGTATAAGACGTATGTTTGATCAAAGGGCACATATTGAGGTAGTAAATTTGTTGGAATATTTGACATATATTTTAGATTTGTAGATCGTTTCTAGTTTTCAAATATGTTGCAAAATTGAAAAATAATTTTGACAGATTTCGCGATAATTTTTAATTCGAGAAATAATAATATTATTACAAAAAGACTAAATATAAATTTTTGTATTATTAAATAAGTTTGTATATTATAATAATATATATATAAGAGGACATTAGAGTTCATGAGAGTGTGTTCAGAAAGAACACGGGATATAATGATAAGTACCCAGTAGCTAAAAACCAAAAACAAATTATAATTGATTGTCTGAAGATTGAACCAGGACTGATATTATTTTCCTTTAAAAGATGCAGAATAAATGAGATTGGTGATGCAAATAAAACAAAATTAACAAAATGAGAAATAACAAAATTGAGAAAAAAAATCAAGCAGTAAATTTAGTTCAACCCATTGGAGCCGGTATTTGTTGTTGTCTCTTTTGTTGATCTCTTGCCCATCTTGCAGCATCTTTTGTTTTTTCATCAAATAATGGATTTGATCTTGTTTTTTTAATAAATTCAGTAACCCAATCAGAATCAAAATATTGTTTAAATTGACCTTGTGGATACATTGCTGCTATATCTCCTAAAAGTCCAGTAGCTGATCTTGCTATTGATTCTGTTGATGACATATTTGGATCTAAAGAAATTTTTTGTAAATATTGTAAAATAGTTCCTACAACTGGATATAATGTTTGTGATTGATCTGAAAACCCAGCTGTTATACCAACAAAACAATCTAATACTGATTCTTTAACGTTAAATACATAATCAATTGTTTCTAATGAATTATCTTGAGGCTCTATATTTGCTGCTTCTGTACATATATTCATAACATATTCAAGATATGGTGCAAATTTGGGACCAATAGCAGCTGCAACATCTCCAAAAGCTGAAACTATGGCTGGTCGTAATTCTCTTTTTATATCTGGATTACTTAAATTTTTTCCCAATATTGTCATTAATCCATTAAGATATTCAGTAATTTGTAATCCTAAACTTTGTGATAAATCTCCAACTAATCCAATAGCTGTAAAACAAGTAGGTGAATCAACATTCTCCAAAGCTCTTGTTAAATATGGTAAAAATGCTTGTAAATAATTCATAAATCCATCACCTATAGTACTTGCTAATGCACTAATGGCTATGAAAATATCTTCTTCTATTACACTATTAGGTTCTTGAGCATTTAATAATTTTAAAAATCTATCCATTAAATTATCAGCTGCGTTTATTACATCTGGACCTAATTTTCTTATTACATTAGTTAATAATGATAATATATTTGTTTGTAATTCTTCTAAATTCCCCTTATCTTCAGTTGTGGAAACTTGTGATTGTAATTCAATTGTTGATTCTAATCTAGATAAGATTTCAGATGCTATATTTTGTACTATCCCCATTGTATCCAATGCACTATATGTTACAAATGTTGATAATGCTTCATACGCAGAAGCTCTTGAACTATTTTCATTATCTGCTCTACCTGAAACTTGCATTAATACAGGTATAATTGTTGGATAATAAGGTGACATTATATTAGTTTCTTGATCAGTATCTGAACATAATTGTTCAACTAAATTCATTAAAGTCCAACAACAATTTGTTGAAACTTTTGGATGATCTTGTAATCCATTAAGTAAAGCTTCTAATAATTGAGGTAATTGTTTTTCAACATCTATTGCATCAACTACCATATCTGCAATTCTACCAAGACACCAAGCAACTGTTTCTTTAACTTGTAAATTTTGATCTTTAATTAATGCTAAAATCGGTGTTAAAGCATCTTTTATAGTTGATTTTAATTGATCATGATCTGGACCATCCAATATCGATCCAAATGCCATAACTGAAGCTTCTCTTGATCTCCAATCTTCTTTATTTATATTGTTACTTACAAAATTTATAGTTGGATCAACAACATAATTTCCAATATTTTGAGCATATAATTGTAAACATGCACCAGCAGCCATAGCAACTGACCAATCATCATCTTCTGGATCTTCATTTTGTCTTGTTAATAAAGTCAATAAAGTAGGTAAAACTTCAGTTGAAGCAATTAAAGCAAAATTATAAGTAATTAATTCTGGAGAAGTAGCATTTTGTAAAGGATCTAAACCTAATTCTGATCTTTGTAAAGCAATTTCTAATTCTTCTTCACATACAGTTGACCAAAATTCAACTGCCATACATGCAACTTTTTCATCTGAACTTTGCATTCCAGAAACTGTTAATCCATATAATGCTTTTTCCATATAAAGTGACATGAATCTATAATATAATGACATTATTCTAGCTAAACATCCAAATGCACTTGCTTGTAATTCAGAATCATCTGCTTGTGTTGCTTCACATACAACTTGCATTATATAATTTCTTTCACCTTCATTTTCAAAATTATATTTTATAAATTCTAATGAATTTACTAATGCATTTAATGCAGTAACTCTTACAGCATTTGAAGGTTCATTACTTTGTACACCTTGAATTATAGCAATTAAAATTCCAGAAGCTTGTGATAAGATATTTGGATTTGTATGATCAGCAGTTTCACATATATATCCAATAGCTAATTGAGAAGATCTTTTAACATTTTCAGGATTTTCCAGTTTTGTATTTTGTATAATAATAGGAATCAATTCGGGCCATTCACCTCTTGGTAATTCAATATCTGCTATAGCAGCAACTAATTGAGCAGCAGTACTTGCAACTTTTTGATTTAATGTACTTAATCCCAAGATTGCTTGATCTTTTATTTTTTTTTTCAATTCAGTATTTAATTTAAGCCAACGATCTTGTTGAGCTAATTTTGTTCTTTGATCTTTTGATATTAATTGATTTTTTAATCCAATACCTGCTAACATTCTAACTTCAGTTTTAGCATCATTATTATTAAGAGCTTCAATTAATAAAGATATATATTCAGGAAAATGATTATTTGCTGCTTCATTTAATTCAATTTCTGCTTGAGTCCTTTGAGTAGGATCAGGACTCAAAATTGCATTTTCCAAAAGTTGAAGAATATCCATTCTGGAAATGTTGTTGTTGTGGTTGGGTATATTGATTAAATTGAAAATTGATCTATCAAAGTAATAAAAAAAGAAGAAAAAAATAAATTGAATTGAAGATAAAAAAAAAAAAATTTATTATTGTGAAATTAATGAAGTAATGTTTAATAACTTGTAAATCTCAGCAACAATTGAATAGATTTGTTGATAAGATTAAGTATTTGTTGATTGATCTTATTCTTTGATCTTTTGAAAAGTAATATTGTTATAACCTTGTTGAATCAATTATTATTTTTATTCTTGCCCTTATTAATTTATTAATATTATTTTTATTTTCTATTTTTTGTTTTTGTTTGTTGTTTAATTTATTTTTTTTTTTTCTGCAATAAATTTCAATTTTCGCAATTAAATTTTAACATTCTAGATATTGATTCTTTACATTTCTAAATTGATTGATTGAAATTTAATGTTCAGTAAGATTAGTATAAACTACATGGGCTAGTATCAAGAGATCAAAGGATTAGAAAAATGTTTTTTAAAAAAAAAAAAACTCACTTTTTTATCAATTAATAAACTATGTAATATTTATATATTTTATAGCAAAAAAAAAAAATTTATATAGATTCTTAAGTGTCCTTAACGAGGATGATAATATTCATTTTGGTTGTATTGTTGTTGTTGATGTGGTTGTTGATCACTTACTATAGAATGTAAATCAGTCAATGTTTCATCTTTTTGTAGTCCACCACTATGACCATTTTCAATATGTGGTTGTTGTTGTTGTTGTTGTTTAGCTGAGTCTTGATTTACATTTTCTTCTTCATCATCTATAATTTCAACATTTGAACTTCTTTTTATAGGTGATGAAGTAGCTGAATTTAATTCTCTTTGTTGTTTTGCCAATTCCAATTGTTTCATCAATGCTCGTTCTTTTAATTTTAATTCTTGTGCCTTTTTTTCCAATAATGCAGCACGAGCAGCCAATTCTTTTGCACTTGCTTTCTCCATTTCTTCCAATTTATTTTGTCTTTCTATATTTCTTTCATGTCGAATTACATAAGGTACAGTTTCGGAAATTTGACGCAATTGATTTCTTTGTGGTCCTATTGATAATCTCTTGAAAGCATCATTATTTGGAGCTCGTTCATTTATTGATACTTGTGATGTATTTGGTGTAAAATCAAAAGTGCCTTTTGTGGTGGTGTTTTTTGATAATGATGTTTGAGAATGGTTATCATCTAATAACATAGATGCTGATTTTTTAACTGATGAACTTGATGAGCGTCTTGAATTATCATCATAAAAATTTGCACCACTACTACTAGCATTTAATTTATATTGAGAATCTATTGGTGTATTAGTTAATTGTGCTAAATTTGATAAAGAAGGTATATTTGTATTAGCCAAAGTAGCACCTTTGTCTTCATTTTGATGATGTTCAACAGTATCATGAAATTCACTATCTTCATCATATTCTTCATCCTCCAATCCTCCACCACCAGTAACTTTAGTCAACCTTTCAGTTCTATAAGTTTCATACAAGAAATCATGAGTTAAATCTTTCAAATCTTGTAAATGTGATCCCAACAAAACCGATTTCAAATATGGAAAATCACTTATACTTGTATCTTCAATATCAACCAATCCCCAAGGATAATTTCTTGCCCTTATAATTTTTGAATTACCAGATTTTTTATCTTTAATTTCAAAAGTATCTTCTGATGTAATAATAGCAAATGGTTGTAAATTTGCATAAAATTTACATTCTTGAATTAAATCATAATCTTCATCTTCATCATATTCATCCAAAAAATTATCAAATTGGAAAACTGGTACATTAAATTTTTCAATATCCATTTTAACTTGTTGTTTAAAAGATTGTAATTCTTTAGGAGTAAAAGAATCAGCTTTCCCAATAATTGGAATTATATTTACATATTTAGATAATCGTTTCATACATTGTATATCAATTTCTCTTAATCCATGACCTGTAGGAGTTATAAAATATAGCATTACATGAACTCTTGTATCAGTAAATCTTGGATTTCTTTTAATTCTAGTTTCTTCAGCTAATACTAAATCAAATTGTTGTTTTAAATAATTTTCAATTTCAACAAAACATAATTCATTATTTAAATTTTCTCCAAATCCTGGTGTATCTATAATATTCAAAATTAATTTTAAATTATCATCATCTACAATTTCAACTTTTGTTTCAGTCAAAGCAATACCTGGTTCTTCATGTATTGTATTTGCATTAAATGAATTTCTTGTCAACATTGAAGTATTCGGTAAAGCAACAGATTTTGCAGATGTAAATGTTAAAGTTCTAGTCTCTCCACCATTTAATGAGATCTTATGGTTGTCATTTTCATAACGATGATTCATAACTTTCTTATTTAATAAACTATTTATAAATGTTGTTTTACCAGTTCCCAGTTCTCCAACAACCATAAATGTAAACTTTACTGCTTTTTTAGCATCTTTTCTATAATTTATAATAGGTGAATGTTGTGAATGTCCATTTGAAGTTCGATTAATAAATGAGTTATCTGGTTGATTATACTGAGCTGATGTAGTTGCCATTGTCTATGATATATATATAAAGTATATGATATTTAATGATTAAGTAGTTTTTGAATAATACAATTATTTATTAACGTGTCCCTTAAAATTCTTTATTTTTATAGATTTTGAAAAATGTGAAATTTTTGAGGATCTAAATTCTATTTAATAAAATTGTGATCTAACCAAAATTAGTAAAACAAAGTAATTGATCCTCTAAACAATTAGCAAATTATTAATTATATTATGATAAATAAAATTTAAAAGTGATTAATAATAAATTGTAGATTCCAAACTTCAATTTACTTCTTGATCTCTTTTATTTTTGTTGTTTCTTGTTTGTTGTTTTTTTGTTCTATGTGAGAATTAATTTCCTTAAAGTTTTTATTTTTTTGTTATTCTCACTTTTAAGTTTGTATGCAGTATTACACGTTAATTATTATTTAAATAAAAATATTTGATATAATTATTCACATGATTGATCATGTGATCATATAGTCCTAGCGTAATAGATTTCAAGGTGAATTAAAGTATTGCTGAAGCCAAATCTAAACTAGTATCAATAACCGTTATATGTATAAAGTGAAGATTGTTTGGTTTTAGAATTAATAGTATGTCACAATCTATCTCTTAATTGTCGGAAATGTGAAATAAATGAAACAAAAATAAAGCTACCAATTAGACCCTTATTTTTAAAAACTAATTACCCCCATAAATTCCGTATTGCACTGTTATATTTGCTTTTGTAGATTTATATCATAAGAATTTAATGAATTGGTTGTAATTATTTCTACTAAAAGTTCATTTAATACTAGCTCTTTCAATTCAATTATAAGCTCAATAATTAATTTCGATTTCAGCTATCCAAAAATGTCATTTAAAACTTTATCAGCAAAAGCAGCAGCTCAATTAGATCAAGAATTAATGTCTAGTGGTGCATATTCAATAGATCAATTAATGGAATTAGCAGGATTATCAGTTGCAAAAGCCATTTATAAAGAATATCCGCCATCACAACAAAAACCTTTACAAAAAATTTTAGTATTAGTTGGACCAGGAAATAATGGAGGTGATGGATTAGTAGCTGCTCGTCATTTAAAGATTTGGAATGCTTATGAACCTATTATTTATTATCCTAAAAAATCAACAAAAATTCAATTGTATGCCAATTTAGTTAAACAATTACAAAATTTGGATGTGAAGGAAGTATCTACATTGGAAGAAATTAAACATTTGCTAAATGATAAATCATATAATGGGATTTCTTTAATTTTAGATTCGATATTTGGATTTTCATTCAAACCGCCAATTAGAGAACCATTCAAAGATTTAATCTCATACTTATCAGAAAATCATAAAAATCTACCACCGATTATTTCAATTGATATTCCATCAGGATGGGATGTAAATGAAGGACCAGTTGATGTAGATATAAATTCCAAGATGTTGATAAGTTTAACTGCTCCAAAACCATGTGCTACAAAATTTTTGGAATTAGGTGAGAAAGAAGGAGAACAAAGAGTACATTATTTAGGTGGGAGATTCATAACTCCTGCAATAGCTAAAAAGTATGATATTGAAGATATTTTAAGTAAATATAAAGGAGATGAATTGATTGTTAAATTATGAATCAGAGATTATTAGTACTAATATAGTATGTATGCTATATAGTCTAATCTATGTATATAGTTGTCTATCACCAAATCTATTTTCTCTTTCATTATAATAATTTGGGACTTCAGGTAAATTCTTTGATGCAAATAAATGTTCTTGAATTTCTTTGGTTTTCCAACGTCCAATAAATGCACTTATGTGTCTTTTCATTTGTACTGAATTCGGTCTTTGATTATTATTAGACTGTAAAGGAGGATGGGGTAATTGTTTCACATTTATCAGATCAGACACTGATCTAGATTGAACATAGGGGTTGGCAGGTAGTGTAGTAGTATTTTTGACTATTGGATTTGTTACTATCCTTGGAAACCTACTCTCTGAGTATATGCGAGGAGTATCTAAACAATAATTTAGTGGAATATTTGATTTTGAAGAATCTTGTTGTTGCTGTTGTCTCTTGGTACGAATTTTTGGTAAATAATGGGAATGATCTTCTTTCTCTACTGGATATGGCGGTGTAGATTCTTTTAATGATGTAGCTAGTGAGTCATCAGAGAATAAACTATCAACAAAACTATAATTTGATGAAGATGATGAAAATAATGAGTCTTTCAGCAGTTTCAGCTCGTGTTTTGAATTGCGTTGTTGAGGTTTTGGATCAAGAGTTGCTGGTTGGTTGTATGAAATGTGGTTATTGTTTTTATTTCCTGGTTTTTCTGAAACTGGTCGTATTGTTGTGTAAGTCATTGACTTTTGAGTGATTAGTGGTTTTTGACTTGACATTTGTTGATGAGGATTCTTGTTGTAATTGAATGTTGGTTGAAAACCAGATTGATTCAAGATGATAGGCACGCTGAAATCTCTTACTTTTTGAACAGGTGCTTCCGCAAACTGAGTATCATTATTAGCAGCTGGAACTTCAGGTAATTCCTTATAATTAACCCTATTTTGCGCTCTAGAAAATTTATTAAACTCATGAGCCATTGGAGGAGCACTAACAATTCTTCGTTTAATAAATCTTTTAACTTTGGTATTGTCCTTATTAAAAATAGGTATTTGAGTAGGTAAATCACCTAAATCATAAAAACTTGGTTTAAATGTATCAACTGCATGACTAAGATTTATCAAGTCAAAGTTCAGTGCTGGAATATCTGGTGGAAGGTCCATTGAGGATAATCTTTGTTTGTTCTTGTTACTCCCCATAATTTAACTAAATTGATAAACTAGATTCTGGAATTTACCCCAGTTCTAGAAAGGATGGACATTTCATTTTCTATTTATATTTGAAATTTGCAAGTACTCTCATGATTCTTTATCTATTGTTGTAGATCATACTATGGACGTTTCAAATGATTCCTCTTCTATGCATCTTGAGCTAAAACTCAATTATGAAATATAGTTTTGTAAATCAACTCTTGTGCATATTTTGCTGGTATAAAATATTTCTGAATTTGGTAACACAAAGAAAAAGGCTGGTTTATATTTCAGCTAAAATATTACATTTCAATAAACAATTTAAACTTAGATTGAAAGATAAGAAAGATCAAGTCAAAATTCCACATTAGGTGAAAGTATCAACAATACATCGATGATTTGATTCTGGAAGTATATATGTCAAACATCAAAAAAATCGAAAACCTAACTGAAATTAAAAAAATATTATGGAACGGTTCAATCAATTTAAAAATCACTCATAAAAGTTCAAATGAAAATATAGAATTTTTGATTCAAGTATATAGAAACTCATACTTACCTTTCATATACGAACAGATCATCACATATTTCAAGAATTTCTTAAGTACAAACGATGTCAAAGATTTTAATAAAATTTGGTTAGAATATGAAAATGTACCATTAAAATGGAATTATCCAAGTGGAGTTCTATATGACTACCTATATCTACCTGGTAACTTCAACAACCAACAACACATATGGAATTTAGACCTTAAATTCGAAACAGCAGACCAAAAATATCCGTCAGATTATATAATACCCACCAGAAGATTTGAATCAGATATCTGGGAGAATAATCTAAATGAGATACTAGTCAATCAGCTAAAACAATCATGTTTTGTAATTAATGGAACTTCAAAACCTATTATGCAATTAAGTGAGCAAAATCTGAAGAATTTATGGAAATCTATCAAGTTTAGAAATTTGAATGAGTTTAGTTACGTGAATAAAAAGATTTTGAAGCAAGTTAAAAATATTCCAATAAAGTTGATTGTACCAAGTGATGCTGGAAATGTTATACAAGTACCTGGATCACCATTGTTAACGCTAAAAGAATTTTTGAAGATGAACTGTTCTAATTTATATGATATCTCCATTCCGGTAATTCAAGGAATTGATGTCACTAGCTTGTTGGATTTGCAATTAATTGAAATTTGGGAACTTTTTAAACATCTAGATAATGTTCTTTACATAACAAATATAATAAAGTCCTAAACCACTTAACGTACTTCATCTTTAGCTTTAAAAACACCTTGTAACCAATTCCTGTACATTTTTAATTGTCTCTTTCTATTAACAAGTAATCTTCTATCAGTAGCTATCTTAATTTTTTCAAAAGGTCCCAGTTGAGTAAATATCTCTTCTAATTCTTCTTCAGTAAAAAAATAAACTCTTGTTCCATCACCTCTTATATAAAAATTATCATCTAATAATCTATTCTTTTTGAATCGTACTTGTGCTAGATCATAACGACCATAATCACGAAATAAAATAGTTCCACCTGGTTTTAAACATTTAGATAAATTTCCAACAGCTTGACCCCATTGATTTGGATGTAACGCTGAAAATACAAAAATCATTATAATTATATCACATGAATTTGGCTTCAAGTCATCTGGTAATTTCCCTTCGGGGTTAGCTAAATCCCATACTGAACTATACGCAACCCCATTTTCCAGTTGTTCTTTAAATACTTCATTGTCACGTACTAAATTCACAGCATTTTTAGAATAATCACAAGCAAATATCTTGAGGTTTTTATTTTCATTTTGATTCAATATTGGAAAAAAAGTATTACCTGCTCCACAACCAATTTCTAGTATGGTAGTTGGTTCTTGATATTCAGCAGCTGTGACTTTATACAAACTTGGGAACTCAATTTTAAGCCAATTACGATCCTTAAAAAAATTTTCTTTATTGTTCTTATAAAAAATATCCCAATACCTAGCGGGATTAGAATTATATAAATTTTTATCAAATTCCCTTACGGGATTATCATACTGCTTTTTGATTAGTTGTTCAGCTTGTTCAATTTGTTCTGCTCCCCATTCAACATTATCCCATGCGTTATGATTGTATACATCTTCTTCTTTTGTTAAAAATCTTTGTCCGAAAACAAATGGTGAATCTTTACCGATTCTTGAATCTAGTGGTGGTTTTTGTATTTTAGTTATAGGATCCTGAGCTGAGTCTATTTCTGGGGTGGACTCTATGTATTCTTCTGACATTTTTTGGTGGTTGTGGGTAGGTGTTTCAGGACTTTATATTGATGTTTCAATTTAAGATGGTGTTTCGCGATGCAAAATTTGACTGCAAAAAAATATTAATGAGATTTTGTACATTAATTTTAACTATTTACTATTTACTCTATCAAATTCATGTAATGTTTATCGCCATCCAATTCTTGTAACCTTTTGGCAGCTTGTTCACTAGTCAAATCTCTTTGAGCTTCACCCAACATTTCAAACCCCACACAAAATTTCTTTACAGTGGCTGATCTTAACAAAGGTGGATAAAAATGTATATGAAACCAAGAACAATCTATTTCCGAATTTGCGTGTGAGTCAGAGCAAAATGGAGCTTGATGTATACCCATTGAGTAAGGAAAGGAAGTATTGAATAAATTATCGTATTTTGTAGTTAATTGTTTTAAAATTGTCGCCAAATCTTGTGTTTGTTTTGAGTTGAATTCCTTTATTGATTTTATGTGTTGTTTTGATATTAATAATGTTTCAAATGGCCATAAAGCCCAATATGGTACCACTACAATAAATGAATCATTTTCTAATACTATTCTTTGTTTTTCTTGTAATTCTAATTTAACATAGTCTCCCAAAAGATGAGAATTATTTTCTTGATAATATTTTGTCATATTTGTTATTTCATCATTAACTTCTGTAGGTATAATATCCAAACACCAAGCTTGACCATGAGGATGAGGATTTGAACAACCCATAGCAAAACCTTTATTTTCAAAAATTTGTAAATACTTATATGGTGCTTTTTTTTCAATTGATTCTGCTAATAGCTCGTTGTATAATGATTTCCATGTATTTATCACTGATTCAATTTCTGGGATGGTCATTAATGGTAATGTAAGATTATGTTTTGGAGAGAAGCATATCACGAAACATTTTCCCTTCACACCTTGAGTCTTGAATAATTTTTTTTTCAATGGGTTAGTTTCATTTTCTTCTTCATCATAATCAGGTTGATCTAATTTAACAGCAGGATAATCATTGGTGAAAATATAAGTTGACTCATATTTTGGATTAACATCACCAGTTGCTCTAATATTCCCCGGACAAAGATAACATTTTGGATCATATTCTGGTAAATTGGTCTTTTTAATTTCTTCTTTAGCACCTTGCCATGGTCGTTTAGCTCTATGAGGTGAACATAATATATACTTCGAAGTTAATGGATTAAATCTTCTATGACTATGATTTGTAAAATCGAATTCTTGAGACATTTTTAGATATGTTGGTGTTGATGTTATTGGATTTAGTAAATTTTGAATCGACATTTGTAAAAATGATATATATATGTAGGTGAATGAGCTGGTTTTTGAGATATTTATATGAAAAATTAATATTCAAAACGGGTTTTTGAAAATTACACCGTGGGAAATGTAAAATTTTGAAGTTATGAAATAAGTTTTTGTACTTGTTTTTGGCAATTAAAGTAACGAAAGTGATTGAATAATTGGAGAATATAGTATGTAATAATTTAAAATAAACATGTTATGTAATTTTTTTTTCAATTAATTGTTTTGATGAAAAATAATTTATATTTGTGTTTCGGAATAATAAAATTGAAATGCAGACATTTTTTTTTTATACTTCACACCTTTTTTAAAATTATGATTTAGTATGAAGAGATTGAATGTAACGTTACATTTTTTTCAATAGCCACTTTATAAACAACTTTCAAAATGTGATATAATATTGCGAAATAGCTTTGTGACGTATAAATTATTTTTAGTTTAGTTCATGTTGAATTGATTAAATTTGATTTCAAGAAAAGCCAGAGTATTACTATAAAAAAGTTCATTAGTAATTTAGAGACTGGGGCTATTTCATATGAACGACTCATAAATTTCAAACCTGTACAAATATCTAAATGTACAATTAGACAAAATCAGTACACAAATCAAGTAATCATAGATGGATCAGACTTATGACAAATATTTCTTAGTTACAGGAGGTGCAGGATTTATTGGCTCACATTTTCTAAACACATTTGTGCCAAAATACAAGAATTATCATTTTTTATGTATTGATAGATTAAGCTATGCAAGCAATTATGGATATATTGAAAATTTAGAGAAATTCAAGAACTATAAGTTCATTAAATTAGATTTGAGTACAGTAGAAGTTCCGGATCTACTTGAGTTATTCAAGAAATATAAAACTTCATACATCATCAACTTTGCTGCTGAAACATCAGTGGACAGGTCTTTCAAAGACCCTTTATTATTTACAAAGAATAATATACTATCAACTCAAAACTTGTTAGAATGTACGAGGTTATTAAGATATCAAATTGATCTTTTTTTTCATGTTTCCACTGATGAAGTATATGGTAATGGAAGACTCCATGCAAACGAAGTATCAACAACATTAGAGCCTACAAATCCATACGCTGCTACAAAGGCATCTATTGATTTAATTTTAAATGCTTATCTGACTTCATATCTATTACCAATTATGATAATAAGGTCAAACAATATTTATGGGCCGGGTCAAAATCCTGAAAAATTGATTCCATTATGTATTGAAAATGGTCTAGCTAGTAGACCAATCCCAATTCATGGTAATGGAGAAAATATTAGAGTATTTTTGTACATCACTGATATCTTGGATGCTGTTGACTTACACTCAAAATATAGTTATGAATCTATATATAACATTGGAGTACGTGATCCAGAATATATATATTATCTTGAAAATAATATAGACTTGGTTAAGCTAATTGGTGAAATTTTCGAGTTTGAACCTCAAATTGAATTTGTTAAAGATAGATTATATAATGACTTTTCTTATTCATTAGATTGTTCAAGAATATATGAAATGGGATGGAGACCTAAAGTGGAATTAAGAGAAGGGTTGGAAAAATTGAGAGACTATTACATAGTCCAATAGCTATATTTATAGAAATGTATACTTTAAATTCTATATTAATATTTCTTTAACTTTATTATCAAATAGCTGACTCTTTATAGGCATATCCAACGAATAAAAAGGATTCTTCATAACAAAATCACTATATGCAACATACAAATTTTTAAAATTTTCATTCAAATTATTCAAATCCACTTGCGTTAAATTTGGTTTAGTTATAATAATAAATTTCAACCCACTCACAGTTTGATAAATATATAAATTAAATAAATCAGTCTCCAAGTTCTTTAATCCAAGAATGTTACAATTTGAATTTTGCAGTTTACCAGTTTGTAGTATTTGTTGATTATGTTGTATATTTATATCCTCTAGATTAAAACTTCTTTGTGAGTTTTCTAGTATATTTGATGTTAATTTTGAACCAATTGCATGAACTCCATGTAATGTACCTGCTAACACGAGATAATCATTTGCTGTTAGTTTTGAAAGACCTAGTTGTAATTCTTTTTGATATATTAGACCACCTGATTTGTTTAATATTAGTAATGAATAAACTTTTGTCATGTGGATTATGAGATGTTTGTAGTGTAATTGGTGTGTGTTTAATATTCGATTAATTTGTATTGAAATATTTGTTTAATACTATTTTGGTGATCTTCAAATTCTCGTTTTTGTGTTACAACTCATACGAAACTTTCTACACTGTATCGCTGCAAAAAACAATCTATTCACTTTTATTATCTATATGTATATCTATAAATTTTATTTTTTAGAAAACTCTAATTTAGATTTAGCACCATAAACCTCTCCTTTTTTTAAAATAACTTGCTTATGATATTCTGGCAAATGAATTGCATCAACAAATCTCGAAGGTTCAATACAAAATCCACTTCCTTTACCAAACCCTGTGGTATTTATTCCATCACCTGTATAGAACTGAAAGCTTGGCTCTGTTGTTGATATTGTTAATTTTCTACTTGAGTCTGGAGGTGATGCTTCAAATATTTTTTTAAGCTGATTCGACCTTGTATCTATTTCACTTGTTTCATTTACAACAAAACAATCATCGAATTTTGTATCTGAAGTTAATTTTGTTGGTAAAGTGTCTTTTGTGACTATTTTACCAGTTGGCAATCCATTTGAATCTAACTCTAATACTTTATTTGTGAAAAATTTAATTTCAGTATTGTCAATAGTTGGATTTTTAGATAAATTGAAATAACTATGATTTGTCAAATTAATAATTGTGAATTCTTGTGATAATAATTTACTTTCATATTCTATAGTTATTGCTGGCGTTGGATCATTTTCAACCACATAATTAACAGTGGTTTCTAATTCACCTGGAAATCCATCATTACCATCTTGATCTACTAACTTAAATTTAATATCAAACTTGTTATCTTTAAACTTAACAATCGGTCCAAAGAAATTTCGTTTATCGAATCCATTTGAACCCGAATGTAATGTATTAGAATCTTCATTTGATGTTAATTTAACAGTTTTACCATCCAATTCAAATTCTCCATTTTTGATCCTATTTGTAAATCTACCAATAGTTGTACCAAAATAAGGATTTGTTTCACTTTCATAGTCCTCTGATTTATCAAAACCAAGAACTAGTTCTTCACTACCTACTTTAACACTTTGAATTAATGCTCCTCTATTACAAAATTTAACTTTAAAATCCCCCAAGGTAAAAGTATGTAATCTGTTGTTTAAATCATTGAATTTTTCCCATTTATAATTTTTAATTTCAAACCCGAATGGATTCTCAGTAGTCCATTTCCATAAATCTTTACATGAGTCATCAATATTCAACTCAGTTTTCCATTTAAGTTCGGTGTTGGCTCTGTCAGGTTTAGCAGTAAGATTTAAAACATCACCTTTTCTCCTACCTGCAATTTCATATGGTAATTCTTTACCAACAGCTTTACAAAATGCATTATATACATCAAATACAGTTGATCCTTTACCAGTTCCCAAATTCCATTCTCTATATAACCCTTTTTTTGGTTGGTTCTCCTCAAGATCTTTTAAATAATTTAAAGCAGCAATGTGACCTTTTGCTAAATCAACAACATGTATATAATCTCTTATGGGAGTACCATCATGAGAATTATAATCATCACCAAATATTGATAATTTTTCCCTTCTACCTATAGCTACTTGAGCTAAATAAGGTAATAAATTATTAGGAATACCTAAAGGATCTTCACCTAGTAAACCAGAAGGATGAGCACCAATTGGGTTAAAATATCTCAATATGGCAACTTTCCACATTTCATCACTATTATACAAATCTTTTAATATTTGTTCTATAACATATTTAGTTTTACCATATGGATTAGTAGGATCCATTGGACATTCTTCAGGAATAGGAATATATCTATCATCACCAAATCTTGTAACATCACCATAAACTGTAGCACTTGATGAAAAAACTACAGTTTTAACATTATTATCATTACATACATTCAATAATGAAATAGTACCACCAACATTGTTATCGTAATATTTTAATGGAATTTCACCACTTTCTCCCACAGCTTTCAATGCAGCAAAATGTATAACACCATAAATTTTATGATTTTTGAACACTTTATCTAATTCTGATGAATTTTTGATATTAATGTTGTAAAACAACACACTAGTTTTAGTAATATATTCAATTCTTGCAACTGCATCATATGATGAATTTGATAAATTATCAACTATTATAACTTTATATCCATTGTTTATAAGTTCTATAACTGTATGTGAGCCAATATAACCTGCTCCACCAGTAACTAAAATGTATTGATCTTCTGAAGTCATTTGTAGTAAAATTGCTTGTTGTTGTTTTATGATTCAAATATATTTTAATTGAATAATCTATTGATTTTAAATATAAAAATGTAGAAAAATATGTCAATAAATAAAAATACGAGATCCAGGAAATAAAATGTAACGTTGCAATGAAGTTAACTATGGCGAATGTATTGATCAGTTAGTGAAAGATTCAAAATCAGATCAAGTTAATAAAGAACTAATTAAATTTGGACAACAATTATATAAATTTACTTGAAAATAATACATCATTCCTAAATATAATATTTCAAAATACCAAAAAATATGCAGACACAGAAAAATTAGATTTTCCGAGAATATAATATCAAGCAAGAAAATTAGCACAAAATTTTACACCCCCATCACTCCAGAATTAATGGAGTTGTTTATATTTACTACTCCTAGTTCGTTAATTTTGTGACTAGTTTGAGATTTATTTGTACGTATGAAGAAATAAAATAATTTGAAGAAATTTTTAACATTGCCTTGCCTAAATTACCAATATCATAAAATGAACTTGAACAAAATCTCGAAACTGACGACTCAGACTCTCCTGTGTTTTTCCAGGTTCTAGTCCAGTTACTTCATTGGAGTTCTAGCTTTCATATGATACCCATATCGTGAACCTTTCTCCAGTTTATCTTTTAAGACGAAATAATGTACATGTCAAACAGTAAGTATAAAATGTAACGTTACATTTCTTCTCGTCATACTTAAAAAAATTTAAATATTTGTTCCGAAATTTTTAGTTTTGTGTCGTGGGGTTGAAGATTTATTTTTCAGACATTTTAAAATTTATATATACAGAATAACTTCATTTTAATTTCATTTTCAATAACATTAATTCTTGAAATTAGTTGTCCGTTAGAAAACTCATTCTTCGGGTGGGAAATTACACCAAGAATTTTAATACAATTAAAACAACTTCCCACATCTTATTCAAAGTTTTAAAATTTTTCCCATTCATTTGTTATACTATATATTTTTACCATGTCAACAGTACCAATCTTGAAAGATCTATCATTCTACTCAAATCCAGATCTACAAAAGTCAAGATATGAAAATCTTATCAAAAGTTTTAAAGTTAATTTCCCAAATGATGAAGTGAATTTCATTGCAAGGTCTCCTGGTAGAGTCAATTTGATTGGTGATCACATTGATTATAACTATTTCCCTGTATTACCAATGGCAATTGAAGTTGACGTTATTGCTTCTGTTTCATTAAACGATTCAAATAAAATAGTTATAACGAATACAAACCCTAATTTTGAAAGATATACTATTGAATTACCAGCTAACTTGGAGAATATTGATAAAGATATTAGAATAGATGATGTTCACTCATGGGGTAATTATTTCAAATGTGGATTAATAGTAGCGTCTAAATTTTTAAATGAAACAACCACTACAAACTCATTAAAGGGTATGCATATAACTTTCAATGGTACAGTACCGACGGGTGGAGGATTATCATCAAGTGCAGCATTTTGCGTTACATCAACATTAGCTATATTATACGCTAACGGCTGTCACCAAATCTCGAAATCGGATTTAACTAAAATAACAGTAGTTAGTGAACATTATGTTGGTTTAAATAATGGAGGAATGGATCAATGTGCCTCGATTTATGGAGAACAAGGCAAAGCTTTACAAATACAATTTAAACCTACCATCAAAGGAATACCGTTTAAATTTCCTGTTGAGAATTTAGTGTTTTTGATTACTAATAGTTTACAAGTTTCTAATAAGCAAGAAACTGCTCCTTATCATTATAATTTACGAGTTGTTGAAATGGCTATTGCTAGTGATTTATTAGCTAAGAAATTAAATCTCGAGAATTCTGAGCTAGTTAAAGATTCTAATTTAGGAGGATTTTCTTTAAGAAGTGTGATGGATGGATATTGTGGTGAATGGAAAGATGATGATTATGAAACTGGTATTTTGCATTTACAAAAAATGATCGATGTTGTAGAAACAAAATTGACTAACAAGAAGGGATATTCAGTAGATGAAATATGTGAAGAATTAGGCATATCAACAGAAGAATTTAAAACAAAATACTTAACGAAATTTCCAATAAAATTTCAAGCTTTAAAATTATATCAAAGAGCATTACATGTATACAAAGAAAGTTTAAGAGTATTACAAGTAATAAAACTATTATCATCAAACACTTCAGACTTTTTCAATAAGTTTGGTGAATTAATGAATGAATCACAACAAGACTTAGATTTACTCAATGAATCATCAAATTCCAAATTAAACGAAATATGTTCAATTGCTTTAAGTAATGGAAGTTTTGGATCAAGAGTCACAGGTGCTGGATGGGGTGGATCTATTGTTCATTTGACTAATACTGAAGATTTACCTAATTTGATTGATAGTTTGAGAAATTACTATAAACAAGAATTTCCTCAAATTAGTGAAAACGAATTGGATGAAGCTATTATTGATAGTAAACCTGGTATGGGTAGTTGCATAATTGCATCAACTAAATTCTAAAATTTTAAATAGACTGTATTAGTTAAGTGTTAGCTCGATACTATAAGTTCAAATGTTTCAAAGTTACGATTTCTAAAAATCTAGAATGTAAATAATCAAAATTAATAGTATTAATAATAATACAATATAAACTTTTAAAAAAATCATAAATAATACAACTATAAACGAACCAAATAAAAATATATTACAAACCACCACCACCACTGAAATTCAATTCAATACCAACTAAAGCCAATCTTGACCTCTCAAACGTCTAGCTAATTGCATATCTTTCTGCATAATAGTAACTCTTTTAGCATGAATAGCACATAAGTTTGTATCTTCCAATAAGTGAATTAAAAAACTTTCACTTGCTTCTTGTAATGCCAATATTGCATTTGATTGCCAACGTAATCCATATTCCGGTCCAACAAACTCTAGTGAAATTTCTCTAACTAATCTTGCAAATGGTAATTTTCTAATTAGGAGATCTGTTGATTTTTGAAATTTACGAATTTCTCTAATGGCTAATGTACCAGGTCTATATCTTTTTGTGACTCTTGTTGTTGTTCGTGTCGTTGTTGTACCTAGTCCACCTAATGCTGGTGTCGAAGTAGTTGTTCGTCTTGTTGTTGTTGATGCTCCTGGTCTTTGTCTTGTTGTAGTTGATGTTCTTCTATCCGATTGTGATCCTCTTCTATTTGTTGTAACTCGTCGTTCAGTATCTTGTCCTGCTTGTCTTTCCGTTATTCGTTCTCTAGTTGTTGTTGGTTGAGGTGGTGGTCTTGATGATGATGAAGAAGAAGATGTTGGATTTGATGTTGATGCTGATGTGGTTAATCCTGGTATTGTCTTTCTACCTGTTGTTCCTCCTGCTGTTGGAGGTCGTTGTCTCGGTATTGGAATTGGTGCTTCTGCTCTAGACGATGTTGATTCTATTGGTGGTTGTTCTATTCTTCTAGTTGGTGGTGATAAAGTTAATGGAGTTCTTGATGTTGTGGTAGTAGTTGGTGGAACTGTAGGTGGTGGTGGTGGTGGTCTTCTTATATTTGTTGATGCTGATGAAGCTGCTGCTGCAGTTGATGTAGTTGTTGATCTTATGACTCCGGGACTTTGTTCTGTTCTTGTAGTAGTAGTAGTAGCTCTTCTTAATGCTTCAGATGATGCTAAATTAACGTTTGTAGGTCTTGGTGAAGGTCTTGAACCACCAGCTGCAGGACTTGGAATTAATCCCTCTTCTCTCCCAATTCTACTCCCACCACTTCCCAATGGTGAAGGTCGATTTGAAGTCTGATGTTGTAATGGAGAAATAATTCGTTGTTGAGCAAATTGAGCTCTTAATTGTTGTTGTTTTCTTAATTCTTGTCTTTGTTTTCTTAATTCATCCAATTGACGTTCTTGTGCCGATCTTACTTGTTCTATAATATTTTGTTGTGGTGGTGGTTGTGCATCTACTGATGATGATCTACTTGGTGAATCAGCCATATCTTTTGGTATTATTTAATATTGATTCTTCTTTTTAATACAATATTATCATATGAATTTTGTAGTGATTGTTATTAAATGGTGGTGTAAAGGATGCTAACAATAATAATACATTTGAATTTCAATCAACTTTCAAAATGATTTCTTTAAATTATAATACAATATATTGAATCAATTGATTTAGCCTAGTTTAAAGTATATAATTTAAATTTAATTAATAAGATCTAAAAGAGTAAAATTAATTTGATTTTTTTTTTTTTTCGTGTTGCAAAAAGAACTACCAGCCATTTTTATTTTATTAGAGAGTTAGTACCAAATAATTTTGAAACATCTTATCAATTTCATACAAGAGTACTCCTAACCTATGAATGTATTATTGAAAATAAGACAATGAATTTTAATATATCTGGAAGAATCTGACCCCCCTAGATTTTGATTGATTATTACAAAATCTCGATGCCAGATTTAAAGAGACCTTTAGATCTTTCATGAAACACGTCTTGTTACATATCAACGGGTAATTGTTTGTCGAACTTGGGAAGAGTAAACAGGTTTTAAATCGCTTCATTTCGATTTCTAGCAGCTCGAAATTAATTGAGTTGTTGATGAACTCTCACTGATGAAAATACTAACTTTTATATCTTGATATATTTTATATCTCATTGATTAGATTCAATATCTTAGATCCATTACGATCTTTAATGTTCAGATTAAGTATTGTAATTTCAAACTTCATCATCCTGTCATGACTTTAAATTTTAAACATTTTGATTATTTTACGAAATTGGAACTAATAAAAACTTTAATTTTATACAATATTACATCATACTTCCCATATATTAAATTTTTAAGTATATAATTCCATAATAGTTAATATATAGCCTTAATTAGGTAATTTATAAACAATTGAATTGTATAAAATACATTATATGCAGTATACCTGTTCCAATCACAATTCATCGGTAATTTTAATAATATTGTATGAAAATTCAAATACAACCTTTTGAATGATTAAGTATGTAATTAAATTGCAGTTTGCATATAATCAATTAATCTATTAAGTAGCTGATGATCAATAAATTCCTACTCTATAGCTTTAGACATGTACTTTTATATTATATATTAATCATTTATTAAATATAATTTTATTATTATAATTTACGATAGAATAATACACAATAGTATAATAAATTTTAATCATGCGGCTTCAATATATATGTTTGATATCTCAAAATCTACCAGCAATTTAAATTAGATAAATTATATTTGTTACAAATTTAAATTATGATCGCCTTTTACAATTTGTAAAAAAGAAGGGGGATTAATTGTCGAATAATTAAACATTTTAATAATATGTCAAATTTAGAATTAAATAATCTTAATTAAGATGATCACCAAATATTTGTTATAATAATTAATTTTCTTGATTATTCTGTAACTTCATTTTGTATCATTATTTTTAACTAACTGTATAATAATTTTTATTGCTTTTATTGATTATAATAGATTTTAATTTTAAGTTTGCTACATAAAGTTACTCTTAGAGGTATCAAGTTAATTTCAAACTTCGATTAAATTAACCCCTTGTGTTTAAACATAATACACAGTCGATCTATAGCTCTACAACTCTACTCATGTTGTTGATTAATTTAATTCGACAATATATTCCGGTTATGCAATTTGTTTTAATAATTGCGTATGATAAATTAATTTTTAGTAAAATTCTATTTCTAATTTCTGTTAAAATTTCATTCTTTAAATTTAATAATTAATAAACTTTTAGCTCCAAAATTTCAAAACCACCATCAAATTTAATTTTTAATAATTTAATTTTAATTTTTATATCTTTTTCTTTCTTCAAGTGAATTATTTCATTTTTGACAACCAATATAATAATCAATCAATCATTTTATTTTTAAAACTCTTGACCAAATCATTATCATTTATCATAGCAATCAATTGATCGATTAATAAAACAATTATCAACCAATTTTGACAACCAATTCAAAAGCACTTCAATTTCAATTCAATTCATATCATAAATATTTTTGTTCAACAAATTGTTATAGTAGCATTATCAACAAACAAGTTTCATTTTTAATTTAAATATATTGTAATATTATAATTCATCAATTTAATTCATACATATTCCTTAATTAACAATGTCTCATTCATCTGTTTATCAAACTTCTGGTAAACCATTATCAAAAGAAGCAATATATCATCAAAGATTAAAACAAGGTTATTTTCAATCACCAAGTGGAACAATAGTTGGTGTCAACAGTAATGCTTCAGATACTGCTGCTTTATTAGCTGCATCGTCTGATTTATCAGTTAAACCTAGTTATGAACGTTCAATTGCTCCTGAAGCTCAAACTGCAGCATTAGCAGCTAAAAAACAAGAATTAAAAGATTTAGAATCAATAAACTCACAAAGAGCTCAATCATTGTCAAGTCAATATACTTCAAATGGTACTCCATATACTACTGTAAGAGTTGGTATCCCTTCAGCTTTAGATCAAGGTTCAATTTATAAAGCTGCAAAGGAAAAAACTAGTAGTACAATGACTTCAAGAATCGATCCAATAAGAGATGTTAAAAGATCAGGTATTCCATCCAAACAAGGAGGTTCAACATTAAATATTGATAAAATTAATAAATTAGCAACCAAAAATTCCTCAAAATCTTTAAATTCGAGATTTAATCCAGATTTAGATTATAGATCTGGTATTAAAAAGCCAATTAAACCAACTGAATTCTTGGATGAAGGTGAAGAGGAATTAGCAGCTTCAGGTGCTGCTGCATCATTAAAATCAACTCCAACTGTTCCAGATTATGCTACTCAGACAAGATCAAGTACTTTCAAAGCTCATGAAATTGTCAATTCTCAATTATTAGCTGCTGCTGCTGCAAAAGCTGATGCTCGTTTAAAATCATTAAATAGTAATACTCCTGCATCATTAAAACAACAAGCTCAATTATATGCCAATGCTTTGGCTCTTGCTCAAAAAAACAGTGATGAAAGATCTAAAAATAGAGTTGCTGGAGTTATTAATTTAGGTGGTGGATTAACTATAACTCAAGCTGAATTAAATAAGTTAGCTTCAACTTATGTTCAACCAGTTATTGATGATATTGAAAATAAAGCAGAAACTAAAAGACAAATTGATCAATCAAGAAAACAAAGAAAATTAGAATTAAAAGCAGCTCATGAAAAAGCTAAACAAGAAGAATATGCAGCAAAATTAAAAGAAAAACAAGATATTGAAAAGGCAAAAGAAGAAAGAGTTAAAGAGAATGAAGAATTGAAAAAAGCAGAAGATGCAAAATTAGTTGCTCATGAAAAAGAGGAAAATTCAAAAGTTGAAGCTCAACAAAAGGAATTTAAAGTATTAGAAGAAAAACATGCTGAGGAAAAGAAAGAACTTTTAAAACAGAAAAAAGAAAACCAAGACGAAATTGATGAAGAAGAAACTAAATTAAAAGATGAGAGAAAGAAAGAATTAAAAGAATTACAAGATGAAAAAGATGAAATTTTAAAACCTGTATTAGCTGAATTAACTGAAGAAAATTCAAAATTAAAAGAAGTTACTGATGCAAGAGATGAATTATCTAAAGAAGTTAAAGCAGCAGAAGATCAAAAATCAGAATATGATTCAAAAGTTGCAAAATTACAAAAAGAAATTGAAGAAACTAAAGCAAGTATTGAAAAGTATGAAACTGATTTAGAAGAAGCAATTACAAAACATGAAACAACCGATAAAGAATTATCTGAATTAAAAACAAAACATGATGAAACTAAAACTAAGAATGAACAATTACATAAAGAATTAGATTCAGAAATTTCAAAATTGGAAAAAGAAAAGAAAGATAAAACTGAAGAAAAAGCTACCAAGAAGAAAGAAATCTTAACTGGTTTAGATCAAAAATATAAAGATGAACAAAAAATTAATGATGAATTACCACCTCATTTAAAACGTGAATTAAATGAAAGTAAAATTAAAGATACAAGTTCAATATTTTCAGTTGAAGAACCAGAAAAACCAAAAACCACTACTGGTGTTGGTGCTGCCACTAAAACTGCTGCTGCTACTACTGGTGCTACTTCATCAAAAGATAAATCCACTACTGCTTCAGCTCCAAAAACAAATGGCGATTCAAAAATAAAATCAGTTCCATTAATTCCAACAGAAAAAGAAACACCAAAAAAAGAATCAGTTTCAAAACCAACAACTAAAAAAGAATCAGTATCAAAACCAACCACCAAGAAGGAAACAACAATAGCTTCACCAAAACCACAAAAGAAAGAAGCTACAACCACTAAACCAACAACCGCTACTAAAGCTGGTGAATCAAGTGGTACTAAAAGACCAGTAACTCCTTCAGCTCAAACATCACCATCAAAAAAAGATAAGAAATCCTTTTCAAAAAGATTTAGTGATTTTTTCAAAGATCAATCAAAAGTTCCACAACAACAAACTCCAAAATCTCCAAGTAAAACAACTGGTGCTACAACTACTGGTGCTGCAGCAACAAAAACTACTGCTAAACCAACAACCACTACCAAAAAAGTAGAAGAACCAAAAACTCCTTCAAAAACTACTGCTAAACCAACAACCACTACCAAAAAAGTAGGAGAACCAAAAACTCCTTCAAAAAAAGTAGAAGAACCTAAAAAATCCACAACTACCACCACTCCGAAAACTACTGAAACAAAACCAAAAACAACTACTGCCACCACTTCATCAAAACAACCAGCAGCTAAAGATGCAGAAAAAGAAGCAAAATCAAGTTCAAATAATAATAACAACACCGTATCAGAAGATGGAGAATTTGGAGAATTTGATTATGATGAATTATCATTAAAGAATAGAAATCAAGGTGGTGTATTTAAAGAAGAAATTTTATAAATTTGTTGAGTTAAAGAAAAAGTTTTTAAAAAAAAAGATTGAAGCTACTTTGTTTAATTAATTGATTGTGTTTATTTTTTTTGTTTATTCTATTTTACTTTGCTTTGCTTGATTTTTTTAATCATTTTATAGTTATTACTATTACTAATTTTAGTTTTTATATTTGTTTGTCTTTTTAATTATATATATCGTTTAATAATTTTATTTGTAGAATTGATAGATGTTTCTGACTTTAGTACATTTTTTACTATTTTGGTTGCAAAATAAAACATTGTGATAAAAGAGAATTAGATTTCTTTACAACTTTCTAGAATAAGACAAAAAAGGTTTTGAAAAGAAATATATTGTCGTTTTTTTCAACTAAAAAATGTGCTGTCAATTAACTGAGGTCTTCTGATCTAACTAGAAGGTTGTATCACCAACAAATGTGTGTATGAAATTGAATTTTTGTGAATTGTGTTAAGAGATTAAATTAATCGATACATGGGAGACAAAAATTTTATACGCTTTTTTGTACGCAAAAAAAAGTCTGAGAATATAAATAAGTTGGGTTTTCACAAAAGTAAATTTATAAATTATATATCACTTTTTTATAAAGCAAGATTTTCCACATTAGTTTTCGAACAGTAAAGTCATTTTTACATAATGGATATAATTCTTTAATAGCCTGATATTTTAACAAATTTTTTTTTTGATTTGCATTATTAGTATATTATTATTTTCCTACGTAGTATCCGAATTCTTCAATAACTTTGGAGTAAATTTGTATAAAGCTCTATTAATTATTACAATTAATGAGTCAGTCGGCTCTTCCTATTATCATACAAACTTTGAATTGTATTGATAGAAGGGGGGGTCGTGAAGTTTTTTTTTTGTAGATTTCAGGTTTTCATCGATTCAGTTGCATTGAATTCTTGACTATATTTATTGATTGTATTGAGTTGTAGAGTGTAAACTTAATTTATGATCTCACTAATTGATCTCAATAATCAGTGCTTATTTGTAAATAGCTTAAGCTGTAGATATTAAAGCAGAATATTCATAATGATTTGATTGTTGAAGTAATTAATTCCTTAGTATGTACTGTTTATTACAGATATTCGTTTGGTTGTCAAATATTAAAATTTCTACAATAGTTGTATAAAATTTAAAATTACAACAAATACCACCAGATATCGTATCAAAAACATTCATTATCTAAAACTTAAGTCAAGAGCTTTAAATATAAAGCAATTTAAAATAAATTCAATGCCATCGTTCATCCTTCATCTCGATCATTAACTTCCTTGCATTTTAGATATAAATTGGTTGCCCAAATTGAAAACCCCTAAAGAAAGGATTCCCCAATTTTTGATTATACTCAAAGATTTTGACAGTAGATTGAACACTCTTCTTCATTTCTTTATACCTTCTTTACTCCTTTGTAACTAGGACGTCTAATTGACTACAGGGAAAAATGGTTTCAAGAATCAACAATAATCGTTAATTTCAGAACAAGATTGTTCAAGAGACGCGTCTAGCCTGAGAATAAGTTATATTAGTTTCAGTACTACTCAGATTTATCTATAGTCTTTTTCCAAGTGGTCATGCTGAGACCTAAGCTGTTAATTTTTTCGAATATCAAACCTAAGAGATGGAGTCAAAGTGAAGATCAAATTCATTGTGATCTAATTGTAAAGAATATTGTTTCTTATATTAGTTTACTTTTGTGTAAGACCTTAAATATAGAATTTGGTTGCATATTTTGTGAAAAAATAGAGAGATAACGGATCAAATCTTCAAATACTAGTGTAAGAAGCTAAAGCAAAATGTATCGGCTACACTGCGACTATTTTGTAAAAAGTTAACTTTTATTAGCTAAGATATAAAATTATGGAAATATGAAAAAAAAAAATCCAAAGAAAAGCATCATGAAATAAAATCTAATAAAGTTTTAAAGCATTTAAACTACTATATCAGCAAGATTTAAACAATGGTACATGATGAACCAATCCAACCACCATCAACCTTTTTAGCCCAGTTTTCTTTACCAGCATTTTGTTTTTTAGCGTTAGCACCTGAATTAGCACCTGAGTTGTTNATTAGCACCTGAATTGTTGTTGTTTGATTGTTGTTGAGCAGCCATTTTTATTATAATATTTAGTTTGAGTTTTTTGTTTGTTGATTAAATCGAAAGAAAAATTGAAGACTTGGGGAAATCATAACTCTTTATATAATTTGGATTTTTAAGGAATAGGTCAAAAATAAATAAGCTTTATTACGTAGGTAATTAATTGTAAGTGAAATAAATATTAGGTTAAGTTGTCGAGATTAGTTTTTAATATGAAACACTGAGTCTTATTGTTGTCTCACATGAAACAAAATTTCATATACCCCGACACATAAAATTGCCAAATTAGGACTTGGCAATCGGGGGTTCAGGCTCTTCAAACTTCTGATATAAATTTTTTGACTCACTTGTGTTAAAAAAATAGATCTTAGAATGACGATATATGATAAAGTATGTGTAAAATGACTAGAATAATCTGAAACGTGCAAGTTTTAACTAGCTGTTTCGTTCGTAGTTTTTTGATTCGAATATTCTGAACTATAATATATTATTATAAAACACTTTTTTAGCGCAATGCATCATAACATACTCAATTTATGTATTTCATTTGTCAAATTTCAATTTAATCAACTTGAAATTTTTCATTGTCACGTCCTAATCAGGTAATTAATAAATTCAAATTGTTGCAAAAAAATTAAATTGTTGCAGATTGCGAAATATAATAATTTATGCAAATAATTTACACTTAAAATTGGAGAAACCTTGAGTGAATCAATTGTCTAAACTAAAAGAGTTTCAGATCTCTAGTTAAAATTTATTAATTTGCTATACTATAGACGATTTGGCCACATGTGAAAGAAATTGAAACAACAAGAAACCCTTCATGTTTTAGTTTACCAATAATTCTGAAAAAATAAAAAATTAATAAACAAAACTATCCTAGATTATTGAGACAAAAACATTATAAATACAGCTCAAATCCATCCTTTAGATCGAAATTTTTTTTTAACTCATCAACAAACAAAAAACTCAAATAAATAATTAATTAAAAATGGCTGCTCAACAACAATCAAACAACAACAATTCAGGTGCCAATGCTAAAAAACAAAATGCTGGTAAAGAAAACTGGGCTAAAAAGGTTGATGGTGGTTGGATTGGTTCTTCATGTACTATCGTTTAAGCAAGATCGCTCACTGCTAATACTGCTTTGAAGAGTCGCTTTATTTGATGCTTTATCATTTTTTAGAATCATTCACAAGTATTTAGATGATTCGTTATTTTAGAATCATTTTCACAGATTTAGATTTTTAATAAAAGTTTATATTTTTCCGAAACTTCACATTGTAATCTTACTTTTCCCTCGTTATCGTTTTTTTGTCTTCAACATACTCTCAGTGTTGCTATCTTTTGCTTTTGTTTCAATTATTTGTTCTTGCTGATCACCAACTTACGTCTACCAAATAATAGAGATCTTCAGTGTCAGTGTATAACTAAATCTGCAAACCTGAAAACTTTCAAGAGCAAAAACTTCAAAATTAAGGTAAGTTCTTATTATTTTTCATGAGTTTGACATGCCAATAAGCGTAGAATATATTTTTCAGATGAAATTGAGTGAAATTTGGGCGAAAACATACATTTAGTGTGAAGTAATTATAATACTACAAAACTGATTATATGACACAACCACTTAATTTTTTTGATCATTAGTTGCATTTCGATCATAAAAGTGACGGAAATAAATTAAATTTCCTTATCTATGTATAATTTAGCCTTGTTTGCTTTATCAACTTGTCAATTATTGATTCAACTTAGACTTAATACACATGAATATATAATATTTTCAAATAAATTAATTGCATTCATTGTCAAGTCCCGATTAGGTAAATAATATTTTCAATTGTTGCAAAAAAAGTTTCAAAATCTGCAAATCTGAGAAATATTATTTTATGCAAGTAATTTACACCAAACGTAGTAAATTAAGACCCTAAGCTAAGTCTAATGGATCATTGAAAGGGTTTGTCGAAGCTTACATTGTCAGATCCAAATAAGGTAATTATTGTCTGAATTTCAAAATTATTGATCAATCTGAAACAAGAAAAAGAAAAGTGAACAACAAAATGGCAAGTAATAAAATGAAAATTATTATGAATGCTCACAAGGTCTCTATCAAATCTACAAAGGATCACCTCTCAACATTTACCTTGTGTGATTACTAACATTTTGTTTAATTATAAATATAACCTCAATTTCCCTCTTTCTTTACAAATTTTTTAAAAATTATTAACAAAAACTAAAACTAATAATATCAAATATCAAAAATGGCTGCTCAACAACAATCAAACAACTCAGGTGCTAATTCAGGTGCTAACGCTAAAAAACAAAATGCTGGTAAAGAAAACTGGGCTAAAAAGGTTGATGGTGGTTGGATTGGTTCATCATGTACCATTGTTTAAATCTTGCTTACACATTATTTTAGATACTTTTTGATTCAATACAATTTATTTGGTGACGTTTTCATTTGTGGTGTTATTATTTTATAAAATTGTTTAAAATTCTTTATTAATAAATAAAAGTTTACTTATCGTTAAATTTTCATAAGTTGTAGTTTTATTAGATGATTGACCGTCCTAGAAGAAATCACTTTGTTACAGTATTCTTTATAAACTCACGGCCAAACACAATAGTGTTATTCAGAGAGATCATTGGATTTTTAAATACAATAAACCATACTATATTTATTGGTCTGTCCATAACAAAGAGAAGCACAATTGAAATCAAATAATTCATTAAACACTTATTCATCCACCTATTAAAATTAGCTCAAGTATCAGCAACTTAGTAAGTATATTCAGTTAAAACTTGCTCCAAGATTTTAGGATACCATTTTTTAGCAACATCTTGATGAGATTTAATTCTATTTCTAAAAACAGCATAACCAACAGGTTCCTTGTTAATATCAGGTTTAAATTGGAATCCAACATCAACAGCCCAATCTTTAATTTTTTGATCTCTTATTTCTTTTTGTTTTATCACATCATCAGGAATATTTTGTATAGCACTTTTTGAGCAATCTAAATCTATAGTTTGAAAAAATGGTATGGAAATTCTTGTACCAGTACCTGATTTTGGTATAAGTACTCTATGAATAGTAGCTTTACATACACCTTGAGTTATTGCTTCTAAAGTTTGTCCATTATTTATGACTAAATGACCTGGTAAATTAGGAACTGTTATCCATTGACCTTGAAAGTTTTGAACTTGTAATGAATCAGTATGTGGAGTAGCTTGATATATATATGTAATTAAATCTGAATCTCTATGAGGACCACAACCTTGATTTGAAGCAGGTGTATCATCATTAAGAGCTAATGATTTTGAGTTTTGTAATTCTGATTGATCTGGATAAGCAATTAATTTCATTTTACATTGTTGATTAGGTTTAAAATATGCATTTAATGCATCCTTTTGTAATCCTATAGCTTCAAGAACCAAATATCTGAATATTGTACTTAATTGCGTCATCTTGTGTATGTGATTTTCTACTACGGGTCTAAAATTTGGAATTTTTTCAGAATCAGGCCATTGATTTGGTCCCTCGATATTCTTGTATATTGGTTCAGTTGGAGATGGTGGTGGTAATTCAGTACCTAAATCAATTTGTTCTCTCCAATCTACTTTTGAAGCTGTGATTTCATTAGCAATTCTTGAATAACCTAGAAAATGTTTTGAATTAACCATTTCAATATCTAATTTTACATCATCTGGTAAATTGAAAAATTCTTCTGCTTCATTTTTGATATTTGTAAGTTCTTCAGTAGTTGGACCTACTGATTCAAAATTCTTTAATAACAAAAATCCCACATTTATAGTTGCATTACGTAATTGTTGTAAAAATTTTGGTTTAGTCTCTGGATTGAAAGCTTCTTGTAAATCTAGAATAGGTATCTCTTGAAATGACATAACTTATATACAATGGATAATTTGGAAAAACTTAAAATTTTGTAAATTCGACTCTGTTAAATATATGATGATTTATGCATATTTTAAGGATTTGTTAGCTGATTAATTATTATAAAGATCAACCGGTATAGAAATTTTTCAGTGAGGAAAGCCACACAATTTTAGGGTAGCGCTTCTGATAAGTCCGCTAAAACTGTACGAATTTAGATCAAAAGATCCCCCAAATCAATATTTTTATTACAACTTAGGGAAATAATTGCGTTAAAAGTAATCAAGTCTAAACACAAGGTCTCTCACTTGATAACAAAATCTGGAGTAGAGCGTTGGATGATAAGCTCACTATAAATGAAAATTATAGAGAAAGATTGGAAGTATAATACATTTTCTATCAAGTCTTTAAGTGTATGAAAAAATCTCGTTTATTTTGCATGAAAACATTAATAAACATCCGTACCGCAACTTTTGAATCTCGACATCCGTACCGCAACATTTCCAGGTTTAGAAGCTGCAAAAATAATAATAAAAAAAAGGTCGATCAATCTACAAATTCTAAGTGTTTAAACTAAATTGTCAATTAAAACCTATTTAAAAAAGAAAACATTTCAAAATCTAAAAAAAAACAGTTACCCGTTGAAAAAAAAAAGTCAATCAAAAAGCATCCCTTTTAAAAACAAACAGTTATAACCACTATACTTAAACAATAGTACATGATGAACCAATCCAACCACCATCAACCTTTTTAGCCCAGTTTTCTTTACCAGCGTTTTGTTTTTTAGCATTAGCACCTGAGTTTTTGTTGTTTGATTGTTGTTGAGCAGCCATTTTTAATTAATTTGTATTTGTTTGTTTTGTAGTGATGAAAATGTTAAAAAATTGTATCAAAGTTGGGAATTTGTGATGATTTTATATTATTTTATTAGTGAAATAAGTTGATTTTTTAATCATCCATTTGTAAAGTTTTTTATTGTTTTTAAACGTGTCTTATTAATCGTTTACATTGAAATACCGATCCTTCTCAAATTAAATTACTTATTTCGGATTTTTCACATGAAACTAACCCCATATCAAATGTCCATCCATCTCTTTTTCCCCAATTCAGTCATTAAAAAATTGAATGCTAATCTTTGATAAGTCTTTGATTAATTAATTGCATAAAATAATATTTTTGCAATATCTGCAACTAATTTAACTTTTGGTGATTTTCGTTTTGCAACCAATTTCAGCTAAATTTATTATTTACCTTTTCGGGACTTGACAATGAATGTACCCAGTCAAAAAAAAATTTATTATATTTGAGTGATTTTTTTATAAAAATGAGACGTATTTTGACAAGGTGATGAGGAAAAATGAAACTGAAAATTGATTGATAGTTCTGAGATTTGCCTTTCAAATAAATATTATTTTTTACTGATGGAATTATGAAACAATAGTTTTTTGCGTGTGTGTTTCATATTATTTTTCTTGAATGTTTTTGTTTCAACCAAATTGAATTCATTTGCCAAATTTGTCATTAAATCTTACTAACTTTGAACTGGAACGAACGTATTAGTTTGACCGCCTTTCTTGCCATTGGAACTTAGTTATTGAAACAATGAACTTTATTATTTTTTGTATTTGGATCGTATGAAAACTATTAATTTGAAACATGAAACAATAAAGACGATAAGAGACTTTTTCCCAACAATTAGTGATGTACTATTTCACAAGCATGCTAATAGTTGCTTTCAAAAGATTATTATATTTCTGAAACATATTGTAACCATGGTAACTTGAAAATATTATAAGAGTCTATATATAAGAATTTATAAATTTACATGTTTCATGATTATTATTTTAAAACAAAAGCCTCCTTTATTAAAAAAGTATTATTTACAACTTGATGACTTACTATATAGTGATTCACTGACAAATTCAAATCCAAATGCAATCTCAAGAAGAATATAAATGAATCTCAAATTTCCCGTAATATTCACAACTTTTTTTGATCATTAACAAAACAAATCAAAACAAACTTAAAACAAATATTAAAAATGGGTGCTCAACAACAATTAAACAACAAAACTGCTTCTGGTTCAAAAGTTCAAAATTCAGATAAATTGAATGCTGGTAAAGATAATTGGGCTAAAGTTGGTCATGCTTGGGGTGGTACTAAATGTACTATTGTTTAAATCGAATCGTATTGGTATTGGTGATTGTTAGCTAAATTTTACATGCTGCAGTTTATTGACTTTCAAAAGTTCACTTTCATTTTATTTGCAATCTATTTTGTTTACATTCATTTCATTATTATTGGTGCTATCTTTACAATAAATTGGTAAGTTATTTTGAGATATATATTATTTTATATTAGATAGAGAATGATATTATTTTATATTAAATTAGAGATAAATAAAACTTTTATCTTTTATGTAATACTCTTTCTCTCTATGGTTGTTATTATTATGATTATTATTATTGTTACATGTTATGAATATTATAATGTTTTAAATATTCATCATCTTAATTTAATGAATCAACTAATCTAACTTCATTTATAAATTTCTCTCTATGGTTGTTATTATTATTATTGTTGTAATAGTTATGATTATTATAATGTTTTAAATATTCATCATCTTCATCAATTTCATCATTTATGTAATATTCTTTTTCTCTGTTATTATTGTTGTTGTAATTGTTATTGTAATTGTGATTGTTATAGTTGTTATGATTGTTGTAATTTTCTGAATATTCATCATCTTGATTTAATGAATCAACTAATTTAACTTCATTTATAAATGGTAATTCATCATTTGATTGTGGAGTTATTGGAAGATGCTTTTTTTCAATTTCCATTGATGAATTTTGTCTTGATCTCTTAGATGATGGTGGTGAATTTCTTTTTGTTATTAGTGCTGGTTCAGTATTTAATCTTTTTAATTTTTGTGGTTGTGAATATTCATATGATGTTGAATAATTATTATTCATGTTGATATTTGGAGTTGAATTATTTGAAGTTTCTCTATCGTATCTAAATGGAGTTACTCTAATATTTGATTGTCTTCTTTCTTTTATTTTCGGTTGTTGTTGTAGTTGTTGGGGTTGTAAAGACATTCTTTTCTTGTTCTGGTTACTATTGTTTGAATGATTTGAATGATTATCATCTCTTATATAATTTTGTATAATTGTACTTTCAACTTCTCCATTTGATTCAATTTCTTGTTTTGATTGGAATAGATTTAATTTAGTTTGCATAAAAGTCAAAACTTGATTGACTATAGCTATATCTTCTTGTTTTAAATATCCCATTTTTAAAGCTACTATTATACCTGCTACTACTAGTAGTCCAACAACTATTCCAATTACAACTAATCCAATAGTTAATAATATTAATTGTTTTTTGAAAATTATTGCTAGCACGGTTAAAATTATACCCAACAAGAAACTTGGAATATGGAATTTTAAAATATCTGAAGTGGTTTGCCTGATTTGCGTCATTTGTGGTTCAAAATTAGGGAATGTAGGAAATGGTAAACTTGGTAAAGTTGGTAAAAATGATGATAAATTTGGAAATTTGAATAAATTTGATAAAAATGATTTTTTTGGATTGCTTTTAGGTGAAGATGAAGATGAAGAAGATGAAGATGGTCTACTATTATTTGGAGATGAGTTGTTGGATGCTTGAATTAATTTCAAATTTTTAGATGATGTATTATTATTTGCAATTGGTTTAATATATTTTTTTTGTTTATCTTTTTCTCTACTATTGATATTATTATTATTATTACTTAAATAAGATAATGATTTTGATCGTGTGCTATAATTTGGTTTTTCATTATTAGTACCACTGTTTAATTCATCCATTATAGTATATGAACAATCCATTAATTCATTAAGATAATTATCAACTTTTGATTTTTTTTCAACTATTTCTGATGTTGTTATTGATACATTATCATTATTATTTATATCATGTGTATTATTATCTATCTTTTTTAATCTAAATACTCCATCATTATCTTGTTTATATACTAATTTTTTTTTCTTTTTTGTTGTTGTTGTTGATGATATTGTCATTAAATGATAATGTTATATTAATTGATAAACATGTAATTTGAAAATTAAGTTGGTGATATATATAATTAAATAATTTTTCAAAATTTTGATCAACACATTAATGTCTTTTATATACTCACCTAATAATTTTTCAAAGTTTAATTAATTATGCATAAATTAATTTTACTAATTAATCTTACAAGTTACAATTTACAATTTTAATCACAAAGTATAATTACAACTAAAGATAAACACAATCTAATCAAATTAATAATAATCCTTAATTTAAACTTTTATTATAAATGAGATTAAGGATATTAAACTAATTAGTAATTTACAACAATATTTTACAGTTCAAAAAATAACATCAATTTGTACAATTTGATTCAAGCTTTTTTCAGCTTCATTAATCTTAAAAATTCATAAATATGAAAATGACCAATAATCACTTCAGAGTAATTGGTCTCAACTTTTTAAAACCATCGTAAAGAACCCTTTTTTAAAAAATAAAATATTATAGATAATAATACATCAATTAAATTTTTGTGTAATTGTATATACTACTTATCAATTAAATGATCAATATTTATATTTACAATATTGATAAATTAAGAAAACTCAAAGATATTGTTAAAGCAGACCAAAAATCTTAATTGACGACAACCATATATCGTCTTTTTGATTTAATAAATTAAATCTTTTAATCCAGTGTAAAAGTTTAATTAATTGTATGAAAGAAAAATTTTAGACGATAAGCAAAAAAAATTCACAAAATCATAATCATCAACTATTACTTATTTTGAACAATAGAAGTGAGACAAAACCAGATCAAATCAAAGGGACCAAAGCCATAATTTCTAATTGGCTAATCAACATATCAACAAACCAGCCATTTATTAGACTTGTTGATGTCTTTTGTACAAAGTTTTATAAATCTGACTAATTTAAATGTGGGGTTAATCATTTTGGATTTAAGGTGAGACTAAAAATTAAAAGAAATTTTAATTTAAGGGGTAGATTTTTAATTTTACGATAATCGGAATTTAGCCGTTGTATTTGAATTTGTAGCCATACAATTAATAAAATTTTTGAAATATACGACAACAAGAAATTGATAAGACTTTTATATAAATACTCAATAACTTAAAGGGCTATAAATAACTATATACGATATTCAATCATTCTTTGATTATTACCAGTTTGTAATATTTCATCAACATCATCACACCATGCAATTTTAATAACATCATATAATTCATGAGCATAATTTAATTCTATACCATATTTCTTTTGATAATATTTTTCAACAATATCTAATTTAAAATCTTGGAATTCATTATCTTTTAATATTTCATTTAAAAGATTATTATCTTGTTCAATACCATCTTCTTGAATCATTTTAAAATATTCTTCAATTAAATCTTTTCTATTTTCTCTTGGAACTATCATTTTATTTATACCATTATTTAAATGAGCTCCCAACATTTTTTCTTTAATTCCACCAATAGGTAATACTAATCCTCTTAATGTAATTTCTCCAGTCATTGCTATATTTGAAGGAACTGGTTTTTCCAATAATACTGATAAAAATGATAAAGTCATTGTTATACCTGCTGATGGACCATCTTTTGGTATACCACCCATTGGAACATGCATATGTATATCTAAATTATTAAATTTATTTAATAAATAATTTTTGGATTTATTTGATGGTGTTTTTAATAAATTTTTGAAAATCATCAGTTTAATGAATATAAGGCCAATTTTACCACTTTCCATTAATGTTTCACCTAATCTACCAGTCATATTTAAAGTTGCACCAGATCCGTTTTCATTGGTGTTTTCCGTACCGGTTCTTCTATCAAATCCGACACTTTCAAAAACTAAAACTGAACCTGAACCTTCTGAATTATAAGATAATCCATTTACAACACCGATTTTAGAATCTCCAATTGATGTATGATCATTTGCAGTTAGATCACCACTTGCGAAAGGAACACCTAAATATATGGATAAGTCATTTTCATCAATATTTGGATTATATGTTTTGGATTCATTACTTAAACATTCACAATATTCAACTGCTTTAAATCTACATAATGTACCTAATTTTCTTTCGAAATTTCTGACACCTGCTTCTCTTGTATAATCAATTATAATCTTTTTGAGTGTGGAGTTATCAATTTTAATAAATTCTTCTAAATTTGAAGACTCATTTTCATTATCATTAACAGGAAATCCATTTCTTTTAATTTGTCTTGGTAATAAATATTTTTGTCCAATTACTAGTTTTTCATTATAATCATATGCACCCATTTCAATCATTTCTAATCTATCTAATAATGGTCTGGTCATATTATATGGTTCATTAGCAGTACATATAAATATAACTTGTGATAAATCCACGGGAAAACCTAAGTAGTGATCAATAAAAGTTGAATTTTGTTCAGGATCTAATACTTCTAATAACGCAGCTGATGGATCACCATTAAATTTTGAACCACCACCTCCGCCAACGACTTTATCAATTTCATCTAATAATATAACGGGATTCATGCATCTTGCTTTTCTCAATGCTTGAATAATTAATCCTGGCATTGCACCAACATAAGTTCTTCTATGACCTCTAATTTCACTTTCATCTTTTATTCCACCTAATGATAATCTTTGGAAATTTCTACCTAATGCTGAAGCTATTGATTTTGCTATGGACGTTTTACCAATACCAGGTGGTCCAGATAATGCAATAATTGGAGATTTATTATTTTTAGAAATCTTAATAGATTCTAAAATACCATCACTATTCAAAGAGGTATCACCTATTGATTTCTTGTTTTGATTTTGTGCTTTTTGATTTACATGATAAGTTTCATCACCATTTGCAATTACTATGTTACCACTACCTGAAAAATTTGATTGATTATTAGAATCTTGTTGTTTATCATCAGTTGCGGTGGTGTCAACATTTTTTGATGCATGAATACCTAACAATTTCAAAACAACTAAATATTGAATTAGTCTCTTTTTCACATGTTCTAAACCATAATGATCTTTATCTAATTGTGTTTTTGCAGATACTAAGTCAATTTCCTTGTTAGTTTTAAACTTTGTAACGTATTTATCCCACGGTATATCCATAACAATTTCTAAATAATTTCTAATTACATGAAAATCTGAATTACCACCACCTGGAGAATTTGCTGATGATTTTATCCTTTTAAAATCTTTTACAATTAATCTTTTGGAATCTGGTGATAATGTAGTTATTGTTGGTAATTTGTTTTTGATAAAATTGGTAATTGCTCTCAATTCATCATTATCATCATCTAATTCATCAAATTCTTCTCCATCTGCATTTGCACCTTCTTTTAATCTTGCTCCATTTTGTGGTCCACTATTTCCTTTGCTTTGTCTTTGTTGATTATTTTGATTTGGCTGCTGTTGTCTTTGTTGATTTTTTTGTCTATTAGTCATTCCTTCCAATAAAATCCTTATAGACTTCAATTGATTTGCAACAACGTTAGCTCTTTGCATATTTGAAGCTTCATTATGAAACCAATTATTAGCAAATGAATTATTTTCTTTTAAGTTATCAAAAATTTTATTCAACAAGGTAATTTGTTCATTAATCAACTCGATTCTTTCTTCAATTTTATATTTATTTAATAATTTCAATTTTTCATAATTTGGGAATGGTAAAATTGCAGTTGTTAAATCAATTAATCTAAGAAATGTTTTGCTATTTATTTTCAAATCTTCAGTGGGAAGTGTAGTTGAACTTGAATGAAATTGTGAATATAATCTTTGTAAATTATGGAAGGCTTTGTTAAAATTTTTTGACCCAGCTAATTGTAAATATAATGCATTTGCCAATGGATTTAAAGTTAACAAGTCTTGCTTTGTAGTAAACAACAGACTATTTGTCTTATCCTCGTTCTCTTTCTCATCTTTAGCTAATGTCAAATTCCCACTTTTTATTGAACTTGAATTGTTATTAAGCGCTTGACGATATTCAGTCAAAAATTTATCGATAGATTTATATAAAATATTATAATTAGTTTTTAATGTTTTAAATCTATTTTTTAAATCCATTATTTCATTATTCCGATCAATTAAAACCAAACTTTCATTATTTTTTGGTTTGATTTTTGAATCTTTCAATTTAACACCTCTTGTAACTGCTTGTAAAGTTAATTTAATATTTGTAGTATCATCAACTATTCCAACAATTTTAACTATAGTAACGACATTAGCATAATCTTCAGTTTGTAATAAACCTTTACCGTCTCTAATTCTATCCAAATTTGGTGAAACAGCTAAAGTTAACCAATCAAATTCATTGATAGGACCTAATTCATTATTTAAATCAGTATCTTTATTATCTTCATCAATAACTTTAACTTCATTACTAGTCTTTTTGTTTATTAAACTTTCAAGATTGAAAAATTGAGTAATACCATTAATAGCATCATTAGAAATAACACTAGGATTAATATTAAAATCCCCGATTTGTTCTTCACCAGTATTATTATCATCAAAATTATATTCACTTAATAAATTATTTATTATTGAAACTTGAGATACTAAATCTTTAAAACGATATAATAAAGCAGCAGCTTTAAATCTGGAAAAAGTAACATTATATATAATACCAGGTAATAAAACAAGATTTGAATCTAACTTATAAGTTGGTAAAACAACTTGTTGTACTAAACTTTTATTATTAGCATTAGATTTAGATGAACTTTTGGAATACCTAGCCATTTATATAAACTGTTTTTGAGTTGGTTGTAAAAAAAAAAAATATTGTGAAACTAAATACAAATTTGATACACTTTTCTCCTTGATAAGTAGTTGATCAAATTAAATATGATAATTCTTGTTGACCTTTCTTCCTGACTTTTGAATCTAAAGTTTGTCCTCAATCAAAGGTTGGTTGTAAAAAAAAAAAAACTTTTGATTTTATTTTAAATCGACTGATTAGATAATAGAAATTTACCAATATTAATAATTATATAATTTATATTATGTGGGGGAAATATTAATATATTATACACAAAGAAACGTACAATACTAAATAATTTTGCCACTAATTAAATACACTAAGAATAATCTTGTGAAAAATTAAATATATTTTAATTGTCAATTCTAACCGACTTAAATATTACATTTTCATATCCAACTTTAGCAGTTATATATATGAATATGATGAATAACATCACCTTTCAAAGATTTCTAAGATATTCTATTATACAAATCATAGATTTTACTATTATTAAAATTGTAATATATCTCGGATAACTTTTTTACTTCAAATTTATGAGCTAGAAATTTGACATTTCAATATCGAACAAAATTTAAAAGTAAAACAATGAATTACAAGGAAAAGATATCTATATTTAACAGTTCTATATACAAATTTTCTAATAATCTTAACCAGACTTATGTTCATTAATTTTATTAATTAAATCTTTTTCATCATAATCAACATCATATTTCCCATCCAATAAATCATTTAATCCATCTTGAACAGATCTCAGTTCTTCATCCATTTCCATTTCACTCAATTTTTTTAAATTTTCATTCCCTCCCATAATTCCTTTCATTCTATACCCAAATTCTTTAAAATTCGAAACATCTAAGATCCATGCAATTCCAAACATAAACATTCCCGAAATGGATCCACAAGCTAACGTACCTGCTCCAACAGCTACTGCTGCATCAGTTGTGAAATTACAAGATGTTGGTGGGGCATGGTTTTGTTGAAATAATGTTGGAATATATTGACGAATTATTGTTTGTTTATTTATTATTCTTAATGTAAAAATTGATAATGCGCTAAAAGCAAAGAATTTCATCATTTGATTTGCTCGTCGAGTTTTATATTCGGGTGATGAATCTGCTATTTTAAAATTTAGTTTATGAAGTAAGTCTGACATTGCTCTAGTTAGTCTTTAGTGATTTCGATTTTGGTTTGGTTCTTATTTTGATGATATTTCAAATTTTTCATGAAATTTGAATCGCACCGGAATTAGATCTGTTGTTTGTTAATCACCTAAAAAATTATCAAATAACTTTTTATCCAACAGTGCTAATAAGAGCAAAGTAAAAATTAGATAGTACGTTAGAAAAGTAATTAATTTTATTTAAAATTTTATACACCAAAAACTAACTATTTCATCTATCGTCACTTAAAATAAATTCACAAAAATATTTAATAGCAGAAACAATTTCATCACCAACTGGTTCAATATATTTTGAAGGTAATAAAAATCCATGAGATCCAGTATCTCTTAATTTTAATTGATAAGCCCAATAAGCTTTATTATGATACATATAATCTAAACTTGAACCAGAACCTAAATCAGGTAAAAGATCCGAATCTTTATCAATACAAGCAGGTAATACTTGATAATTATATCCACTTTTTAATCTTATTGATTTTGCTATACCCCAAGCTAATTCTATTAAATTTTCTTCATCTCTTGGTTGTTGATTACATGAGTAAGCATAAGGATATAATACTTCTTGTGAATATGAATGTAAATCAAGGTAACCATAAATTTTATGTTCTTTATTTGTTTCATTTAAATAATTATCCCAAATTCTTGATTCAAATGATTCAAATGGTATTTCTCCACTATATTCTTCTCCACATGCCCAATCAGTAGATTTAGTCCAATGATAATCATAAGAATGATCAATATCTATACCAAAACATTTTGGAATAGGAGTTTCTTGTCTATTTTTTCTCCATAATCTATCTGTTGTCCAAGTATATTCATAACCATCTGGATTGAAAACTGGTATGAATAAGAAATTTAATTCTGTTAATATCTTGGAATTGGGCCATGAATTAAATAATTGAATGAATTGATAAATTAAATATAATGTACTTGATACTGAAATCCATTCTCTTGCATGAACACCACCTGTTATAACTATTGTCTTTTTTTCATGATGTTCAATATCATCATTAGGTACTTGAAAATGAACAACTTTTAATTTCTTATGCTCATAAGTTTCACCAATTTCTTCAATATTAACAATATTTGGATATGTGATTTGAATTAAATTTAACCATGAATTAATAGTTGCTAAATCTCTATATTCTTTAAAAAATAATTCAGATTGAGTTTGGAAATTTAAATTTTCATTATCTTTTAATTCAGATTGATTAGTTTGTGGGTAAGTTTCATAAATAGTTTGTGATAAATCATCAATAATTATATCATATTGTAAATTTGGAAATTTTAATAATAATTTATTGAATTCGTCAGTGTTGATTTGTAAATCTATTGTCTTTTTATTATTATTTTGTGCCCATTTATTAAATTTAATGTCCTTTTGAAGTATTAAATATTCTTTTAATGTTTTGGTATATGAAACTCTAACGACAATATCGTTTGAATACTGTGATAAATTTATTGGTAATTCATTTTGATGTAATTTTGAATAATGTGGATGATTGCAATTGTTTATTTTTGAAGTAAATAATTTACTTGGTAAGTTATTCAAATTAAATGGAAATTGAAATGCATTTATCGTCTCTAGTAGTAGAATTATTGATATTAAAATATACTTCATATTTAGTGGCTTATGAAAGGCTTGAATTTTTAGTATATAAATTGTGATAAGTAATGTTCTGAGTCTCTTTTAAAAAAAATAGAAGGGTTTCTTTAAGTAGTTGATAATAATTTGAAATCTTAAATAGAATTGAAATTTGCTATAAATTTTTAAATTAATTAAATATAGTTTTTTAAATTTGAATAAAATGCTAAGAAATTTTAATATTGTGTTGTATTATAATATGTCTCTTTAAATCTTTTTACTTTAAAGAAAATAATTTTTGATTAAAAATATTGTTCTGCTTCTATTAAAATTGTCAATAGTGATATCATTAATAGCTCTAGCTACTTGGCAGAATAATTATAATTCCTTGTATGAGTGTCGAATCTTAATTTGATTCATATTATCTAAATCTTCAAATCGTCAATAGTATGAATTTCTTATATACAGGAATTGCAAAATCAAATTTACTTAATATTTAACGATAATGAATGATATGTCAAAACATCTTGTATTGATGCTTATGTGAATAATTTCTTATGTTGAGCTATACTTCAATAAACTAATACGTCTATAACTTTGTTTCTAAAAATCAATATCACCAGAAATGAACCTTTTGTGCATTATTTTTATATCGATTGTGGGGTAGAAGTAAACACCAAGTAACGTCTATGTTGCTTCAACCATTTTTTCGATTCGTTCTATTGACTTAATACATATCAAAGCATTGAAGACCCAGTTGGTTAAAATAGAACAATCGTATGTGATGGAAATAACTTTTGGTTGTAAAATTAAATATCTTACTATACGTAGACTCAAGTACTGCATATAAGTTTATTACTAAGACTGACTCAGATTTATTAAATTTTTCATCTATTTACTTAATCTATAAGGGTTCATTACTATCTTCACAATATCCACCACAATACAGAATGTATAAAAGATTATTCAAATCTACTAGTAATATACTTCTAGCCAATTCAAGAAGAAACTCACAACTTATAAGGACATGTACATCCTATAATTCATCCACATCAACAATTAAACAAGTTGCAAATTATTCAACTATAAAAACAGTTCCTTTCACAGCAGATACATACTCATCAAAAGTATCAAGAGATTCCAAATTTAAAAATTTAGAAGAATCAGATTTGAACTTTTTTAAATCAATATTACCAGAACATAACATAATACATAATAATGAAAATGATTTATTATTTTATAATGAAGATTGGATGAGAAAATACAAAGGTAAATCAAATTTAGTATTAAAACCTAAAACAAAAGAACAAGTTTCTCAAATTTTAAAATATTGTAATGAACACAATTTAGCAGTTGTACCACAAGGTGGAAATACTGGATTAGTAGGTGGATCTATTCCAATTTTTGATGAAATTATAATAAATACAAGTTCAATAAATCAAATTAGATCTTTTGATCCAGTAAGTGGAATATTAAAAGTCGATGCAGGGGTAATATTAGAAAATGCGGATCAATATTTAAGAGAACAAGGATATATTTTCCCCTTAGATTTAGGTGCAAAAGGATCTTGTCAAATTGGTGGTAATGTTGCATGTAATGCAGGTGGGTTAAGATTATTAAGATATGGTTCATTACATGGAACAGTTTTGGGTTTGGAAGTTGTTTTACCAAATGGAGAAATTTATGATTCAATGCATTCTTTAAGAAAAGATAATACTGGTTATGATTTAAAACAATTATTTATTGGATCTGAAGGAACTTTAGGTATAATTACTGGTATTTCTATATTATGTCCTTCAAAACCACAAGCTTCAAATGTTGCATTTTTAGCTGTAAAAGATTATGAAACTGTTCAAAAAGTATTTGTTGAATCAAGAAAAGAATTAAGTGAAATCTTATCAGCTTTTGAATTTATGGATTTAAAATCTCAACAATTAACTGCTAAACATTTGGGAATTGATCACCCAATTGAAAGTGGTGAATATCCATTCTATATTTTAATTGAAACTTCAGGATCAAATAAAGACCATGATGATGAAAAATTAGAAACTTTTTTAGGTAATGCAATGGAAAATGGATTAGTTGATGATGGTATCATTGCCCAAGATGAATCACAAATTCAAAGTTTATGGTCATGGAGAGAAAGTATACCTGAAGCAAGTACGATGAATGGTGGTGTATATAAATACGATGTATCTATCCCATTAAAAGATTTATATGGATTAGTTGAAGCAGCAAATGAAAAATTATCACAAGCAGGACTAGTTGATTTCGAAGACAATTCAAAACCGGTTGTTTCAGCTATAGGGTATGGACACATTGGTGATGGTAATTTACATTTAAACGTATGTGTACGTAAATATTCACCAGAAATTGAAAAAGTGTTGGAACCTTTCGTATATGAATGGATCTCATCTAAAAATGGATCAATATCTGCTGAACATGGATTAGGATTTCAAAAGAAAAATTATATTGGATACTCAAAAAACGATTTAGAAATTAAATTAATGAAAGAAATTAAAAATCATTATGATCCAAATGGTATTATGAATCCTTATAAATATATTTAATAGACAAGTACATATTTAATACAATAAATTTATTTATTCTATGAAATATCTATAACATATCTAATAATAAAGTCTAATCCTATCTATTTAGCATCAAGAATTTGTTGAACGGAATCAACAACAGATTTTTCCAAACTAATATAATCAAATCCCAATAATTTCTCAGTCTTACTATAATCATATTTTTGACCATTTTGTTTAATTTCTTCATCAGATTTTTCTTTTGAACCTTTAGGAATATCAGTTTGTGGGAAATTCTTGTTAATAATATAAGCCAATAACTGATTAGTCCATGGTCCATTAACTAAAACCAATCTTTTACCATTAGTTTCTTTTGAAATTTCAAAAGCTTTAATATGAGCGTGAGCTACATCTCTTACATCAATAAAGTTTCCAACAATAGGTGGAATCTCTTCATTGGGTTTTAATTTCAAAACTTTATTAACCAATTCAGCAGAAAAATTCAATTGTGATTTATCTTTAACTTCAAAAGCTTGTGGACCAAATACATAAGTTGGTAATACAGAAGTGATTGTGAAATTTGGGTTTTCATTTTCGAAAAATTTAACAACTTCTTTACCAGCTAAAGTTTTACTCAAACTGTAACCCGTATCTGCATCTTTTGAATGTTTTAAATGTGAATGAGTGACTTTGTTCCATGAATCTTCAGTTAACACTGTACCTGGTGGAGTTGAATTTGTTGTGTCATTTACAGTTGCTGTAGATGATGTGATTACTAAATGTTTAATATTCTCGTGTTGTTGAGCTGACTGTAAAATATTTTTAGTTCCTAAAACAGCTGGATCAACCAATCCCTTTTGAACATCATCTACTGCGAAATCAACTGGAGAAGCAGTATGTAAAACTATACTAATTTGTGGATTTTCTTCAAATACTTTATCAAATGATTCCTTTTTAATTATATCTGGAACTATAACATAACTAAACAAATCAGAATCTAAACCAGCTTCTTTGATTAATGATTTTAAATTCTCACCTTTTTGTTCTGATCTGACTGTACCAATTGTTTTATATCCCTTCTCAATCAATTGTTTGACGATATGTTGTGCAATATAACCTGTAGCGCCTGTAATTAAAACAGTTTCTTTAGACATTTTTGTATAATTTATTTACTAGAATTGATTTTTTTGGATAAATTGAGGTCTTTTTATAGACTTTTAATGTGGTGGCTCTAAATTCATTTTTGACTTGTTCTTTGATCCTTGTTTGAAACTATGTATTACTAATACAGAATCCAAATATTGCTATATAAGCCGCACACAAGACGGAATTTTTTTCCGTACCTTATTTGATCTGGAACAGACTATAAACTACTCTTGTTTTGATAGAAACCTAAATGACTTATTATACAAAGAATTTGAATATCTACGGATGGTACCTTAAACTAATTTACAACAAATTATGTTTTTATTTCCTCTATAAAATGCTTAAAACAATAAATGCAAATGTCAAATAATGATAAATGTTTAGATTTAAATTTAATGTAGAAGCTCCACTGATATCCTTCCCATTTTTAATATACTGGTAATCATTTAGAGGTTGTGGAATAACTTTTAACTCAACTAATTGTTTAAAATCCCATTCCACAGCTTGTCCTTCAGTTTTCCAACACCAAAAAATCCAACCTTGAGTATTTTTTTCATATTGATACAATTGCATCTCAACAAATCTTCTATGATCTTTTATATCTTCAGTTGACCATTTCTTTGTTGAGCATTTCCCAAAGGGTTTATTATCGTAAGGTTCAGAGCCTTCGTATCTGTTACCTAATCCAACTCCATTTAACCATGGTGTACAATCAGTTAATGCAGCAGACCATTCACCAACTATTGCTGGGTGTTTCTCATCAGCTATTGATGATGCGTAGTTTTCTATGTTTTGTAGATGTTGAGATACATTATCACCTACTACATTTCCAAATACTTCATAATGATGATGATCTACCACTATATTTGTGAAGTCTGTAGATTCGTGAATTGTTTCATTTGTATCATTCCTATAGGTTAAATTACCATCTTTAAAAAATGAGTCCCAGTAACCAATACTCTCAAATACGTCATGATAAAATAAAGTATTGTTAACTTCTTGAATTACTCTTGCGTCATTATATGAATCAATATAAAATTTCTTGATTTTGTTCATGTTCAACTTTGGTCCTAATGGTTCATTCAAAACTTCAACTCCAATTACTGTATCTGAATAAGTACTTGATCCATACTTTCCATAAATCAACTGCAATACTTCCAAAGTTTGATTTACATATTCAGTTTTGTTTTGCCAACCAGGGTACCCAATATTTCTTAACCCAGAATTATCAAAACCATTTTGTGAAAAAGGAGCACCATGTAAATCAATCATTACTTTCAAATCATTTTTGGAACACCATTCAATAGCTTTATCTAAATAATCTTGAGCACCTTGAACATATGGATCATTATTAAATTTTTTAAAAGACCAATAACCAACAGGTATACGAACCATATTTAATCCATAACTTTTGATTTGCTCAAAATCAGTTTCATTATAAAAAGTATCCCAATGATTTTCAAGTCTACTTTTAGCTTCTTCTGTACCTAATTTAGAACAATAATGGAATTCATCAACCGGTATATCCTTGAAGGTTTCATTATTTAATAATGTATCATTAAATAAAGTTGGGGTTATATAAGGTTCTAACACTAACCAACCACCTAAGCTTATACCTCTATATTGAAAAGATGAATTGAAATCAGCATTTATAATTGTTAAAAATAATAGTAGTATTGTATATACAATCATCAACTGAAAAAGAGGTACAGAGATTCGAGGAAGAGATTCGATTCGTAAAATTGAGCTTTTTTCTTATATAATATCTGTCAAATTTAATGTCAAATTTATACCAATATTATTTAATAAAACTTTTAAAAGATTTTAGTATTCCAATCTGAATTAATAGATAAAAATTGATGAGATATTGATCAACTAGATCTTTTTACCAAATTCTCGATGAACCGATCCAATTATTCTGATAAATTACGAAATGTTTTTGATTAATTAAGACGAGGCACGTCTGATTAATTCGACTAAAAATTTAATTTGAAAAGACACGTTGAATAAAATAATTCTGAGATTGTGTCTCATTAGTTGAAAATAAAAATTCACAATTTTTCATCACCAAGATTTGGGATACATTCTTTTTTTTTTTAGCTAATTATACTAAACCTAGACCAGTTATACAAATTCAGCCATGTCATTCGCAGCAAAAGAAGATCCAAAAACATTAGTTTTATTTGATGTTGATGGTACATTGACACCAGCAAGATTAACAATTTCACCAGAAATGAAAGAAACCTTGGAAAAATTAAGAAAAAAAGTAGTAATTGGTTTTGTTGGAGGATCAGATTTATCAAAACAAGTTGAACAATTAGGACCAAATGTTTTACAAGATTTTGATTATTGTTTTAGTGAAAATGGTTTAACTGCTTATAAATTAGGAAAACAATTGGCTAGTCAATCTTTTATTCAATGGTTAGGTGAAGAAAAATATAATAAATTAGTTAAATTTATCTTGAGATATTTATCAGATATTGATATTCCAATCAGAAGAGGTACTTTTATTGAATTTAGAAATGGTATGATTAATGTATCACCAGTTGGTAGAAATGCTTCAACAAATGAAAGAAATGAATTTGAAGAATTTGATAAAAAATCTCATGTTAGAGAAAAATTAGTTGATGCATTAAAAGAAAATTTTAAAGATTATGGATTAACTTATTCAATTGGTGGACAAATTTCTTTTGATGTTTTCCCAACTGGTTGGGATAAGACTTATTGTTTACAACATGTTGAAGATGAAGGTTTTAAAACTATTCATTTCTTTGGTGATAAATCTTATAAAGGTGGTAATGATTATGAAATTTATGAAGATCCAAGAACTGTTGGTCATGCTGTTAATTCTCCAGCTGACACTATTAGAATCTTAAATGAATTATTTAAATTAAACTAGTTTAAACCAAAATAAATAGTTTTTATATTAGAATTTTATTTACATGAGTATATTATAGACGCATCATTTCCAGCTAAAAATTTCTGGTGGTTTTGTAACTGCAATCTCTTTGTCGTTGTATCGTTTATAATTTGAGCAAGTTTTAATTTATCTTTACCATCTTCAGGTTCTAATAATTTTGGAATATTTACAGTTTTACAACTTTTGATTTTCTTACCATTACCTAATTGACCAAAATCATTGGATCCGGTAGCAAGAATATCACCTGAATTTATTTGTACAAGTAAGTGATGATTCCCTACTGATATCTCTTTTATACCAATTGGTTTAACGGAGTTTGTTTTCTCATCAAACTCTTGACTACTCCATTGTCCTTTGACTATTTCTGGATATGAGCATACTTGAAGATATCTACCACTACCCAATTCTCCATTTATACCACTTCCAAATGCCAATAGATATTGATTATCAAGTAATAAGTATGATGTCGATGGACCAGCAAATACTTTTAATGGTTCATAAATTTTAGTTTTCAAAATTCTTTTAAGATCTTTTTTATTGAAAACTTCTTTAGGAATTGGTATGGTAGTTATACTATTATTTATACCACATTGACCAAATTTATTATCACCCCAACTCCAAACCGAATTTTTCTCACTAATTATATTATAATAATCACCACTAGCTATAGAATCGAATTTTCTTTCAACAAGTGCCCCAGTACTATCCAATTGATAATTCAAAATCGGTAAATCAATTATTTCATTGATTGGAATTTTCTTTTTGTCAAATGGTGAATAAGTAGGACCATATTGACCATAATTCGTAGGGTTTTTAGATGTATTTATAACTGAAACTTGACCTGTTTTATTCAATAATAATAAATGATCAACTCCTGAACATACCTGACTTATATTGCTTACGTTTTGAACTTTACTAAACAGTTGGATTTTCAACATGCCAAACCAGTTCCTTTTTAACATAGGTATAAATCCAGTATCAATTTTTCTTGGAATATACAATATCTCACCACTACTGGTTAAAAAGTAGTAATTATCTTTCGTTGGCGCAATTTTGATGACATTATTAGGTAACTCAAGTTGCTTTAATGATCCCTTTTGCCATTGTAACACTTTTCCTTTATCCGTTATAGCAATGATGTTATTTCTTTCAACATAGGCATCTTTTATATATACGCCATCAAATTCTGGTATTCTAACTGGTATTTTAACATTATCCCCAAAGTAATAAACTCCTGGCTCTTGACTACTTTTCATATTAGCTAAATTTACATCACTTAATTCTTTTTCTAACTTTTCTAATAAATGTTTTGTACTTTTAACATTCTTAACAGGTTTTGGTGGTTCATCAATTACATCACCATATTTATAATTCATTAATAATCTGTTCTTAATAGATTTACGATTCATGAATATTTGATGTGCAGAAACAACTCCAATCAATGCAACTAATCCAAAAAACACCCCTTTCATTCTTTCATTAAACTCAAACCTCTTGTGTTGTTTCTTGGAATTTATAAGAAATTCTTGATGTAGTTGATGTAAAGTTTCACGATATTCATGAGATCCAGGTTTCAACTTGAGCAATCTGGGATCCTTTTCTAGTACTTGATTTATATCCATCAGATCATCTTTTGGTTCTGGTTTTGGTGGTTGAATAGATTCATCTATATCTTTCAATGAGTCAAAATTATAACCATATGAATATTTTGTCTTCTTCTTGTTAAACTCTTCAATTGAAGAGAACTTGTCAGACTTGAACCTTCTGAAATGTCTCAAATTTGATCTAATCATTTGATGCTCTGAAGTTGATAACAAGAAGCAAAAAAATATTTAAAAAAAAATAAATAATATTATCTCCGCAATCTACAACTATCATCCAACCTAATGTTCAAACAATTAATCAAACCCACAATAAGATTCGGCATACAACCAATACGACAGATTGGATCAATTACAAAATTCGATACAAGAAAATTTGTTAAATCATTACAAGAAAAAGGAGGATTTGATGCTCAAAAAGCAGAAGCAGCAGTAACAGTAGTGAATGGAGCAATTAACGATGGAATATACTCAATTACAAACAATTTAGTCACAAAAGAAGCATTGTCATCAATAGCATATCAACAAAAAGTAGAATTTGCAAAATTAAAAGGAGAATTACAAACATTAGATAAATCAGAGTTTACAACACTTAAAAAGGAACAAGAAAAACTAAGAACAGATTTAACAAATTTAAAGAATAGGTTGAAAGAAGAAATCACTAAAAATCAAGCATCAGTGAGATTAGATTTAAATTTGGAGAAGGGGAGAATAAGAGAAGAGAATTCAGCAAATGAAGTTAAAATTGAAGATACTTTTAGTAGAGTTGATGAAGAAATTGCTAATATGCAAATGCAAATTAAATTGGTCAAGACTCAAGTTTTACAATGGTTGATTGGTATTTCTACTGGTAGTATTGCTTTGATTTTGACCCTTGGAAGATTTTATTTTTAAATTGAATTGCTTGGTTGGTTTGTTGAATTGATTGGACTAACGCAGATCACAAAAGTATCATTGGGAAATAGCGTAAACTCATGGAGCAAAAGAGTAGCGGCTTAGAGTTTATTGTAATATTGGTTGCAAGTTTTGAAGTACGAGCGGTGGGTTTTGTTCTGTTCCAAAACATCTTTATCAATTGTTAGTCCATAGTTGCAGATCTTTCAATACCTGATAGCATTTCTTAATAAGATATAGCATACTTAGTCTATTACTAATAAATTTTCTCGTATTTATTGTTCTTGTTAAATTTTAAATTATTATATTCGTCAATTAATTGACACCTGAAATGACAGATCAACAAAAAAATAATAATGTATGCGAAAACTCATATAAACAAACAAATCATAAAACCACAAATATAATTTAACATTGATACTACTATGAATTCAATTTATAATCATGGTTTAAAACAAACTCAAACAATTACTCGAGATTTAACAGAATTTGAAAAAAATTTATCAACATCACCCTTATCATTACAAGGAGCTATAACAACTTCAATTACAGCTTTTAAAAAAACAATAAAGGATTATTCAGATTTATTAGATAAAAATACAACTGATTCATCATTTGCTAAACATGAAAGTAGAGTTACCAAATTCAATCAAGATTTAGAACAATTCACATCAAAATTTGATTCATTGAAAAAGCAAAGAGAAACATCATTACAAGATGCTAATAAACAAGAATTGTTAGGAAGAAGACATATACCGACGCAACAACAACCATCAGATAATCCATACGATCCAAACCAACAACTGCATCAACAACAAGAACAACACACAATGTCACAACGAGAAGGATTATATAATGAGAATCAAACATTAGCAAGAGGATCTGAACAACTAGATAGAATATTAGAAATGGGACAACAAGCATTTGAAGATATTGTTGAACAGAATGAAACTTTAAGAAAATTACAAACTAAATTCGAAGAGGGGCTAGTGGTTTTAGGAGTTAGTCAAGGTACAATAAGGAGTGTTGAAAGAAGAGCTAAACAAGATAAATGGTTATTTTGGTTTTGTGTTGTTATGATGTTGGTAATATTTTATTATATAATAAAATTCTTTAGATGAAATCTTCAGATACAAGATAAGGAAAAAGTTTATATTCAAGTTGGTGGGGTTGGGTGAATCAAGATTAATTATCTGGATCATAAAATCCGTATATCAAACAATTTTATTTGGATCATAGTATCCGTATAAGTCCAATTTACGATATAAAGTGCCCCACTAAAAAGTACATAATTTATCATGATATTTAATATATATTTACCATTTTTAGTAAGAAACGTACTAAGCCATAAGAAAATTACCCACCACGATAAGTCGACCAAACTACGCCATGTTGTTTAAGCCAACGTCCCTTTATTACCAAATTTAGATAGATTAAATTAAATTTGTGGGAAATTGAAACACCTTCCATCATAGTTGTTTCACAAAACCAAGAAAATCTTTGTATCAGATTTTTAGTTTTTTTCCTAATTAGGTAAGTTAATAGAAAAAAAATTATGATACAAATTTCAATCACTTCAAAATTTATAATTACACTATTTATTTAGTTAGAAAAAAATGAGTTCTGAAAGTTCCCCATTAGGGATATGGATATATTTATATATATATTGAAAATAATTTCATGAATTTCGTAAAAATTTTCAGTTTACCATCATCAAATTTACATTCATTACTATCTGCATTATAATTCATTCATTTTTCATTCTCAATTATTTCATTTAATACATCATTCATTTATAATTCACATTCATTTTTGATTATATTGTAATATTATGAAATTAGATTATGTTATAGTGGCGTTAGCAGCTGCTACTTTATCAGAAGCTGCTCCAATAAAAAGAGGAATAATAGCTGATTTATTTGGTCTAGATTCAACAACAACAACAGCAGTAGCAGCTTCTCCAGCTCCAGTTCCAGTTACAACTGCTGCACCAGCAGTAGCAGTTGCTCAAACCCCAGTCGCCGCTGCACCAGTAGCAACAACTTCATCTCGTGGATTTTGGGCAAACTTATTAAATGATTTTACTTCAACTCCAACAACAGCGGCAGCTCAAGTTGCAGCAGCAGTCCCAGCTGCAACAACTCAAGCTCCGGTAGCAGCTGCGGTTACAACTCCAACAGCTCCAGCAGCAACAACATCTTCAGGTGGTTTTTTTGCAAATTTATTAAATGATTTTTTCGGATCAAGTAGTACAACAACGCAAGCTGCTGCTCAAGTCGCCGTAGCAACTCCAGCTCAAACACAAATAGCTCAAGCAACACAAGCTGTGCAAGCTGCGCAAGCCGCAACTCCAGTTACAACTTCATCATCATCAGGGGATTATTCAGCTCAAAGTTTATTTGCTTTTTTATTTGGTGGTAAAAGTTCATCATCTCCCCAAGTAGTAGCTTCATCAGCTCAAGTTGCTACACCAGTTGCAACACAAGCAGTTGCTAACCCTGTAGTTTCAAATTCAGTTGTTGCAAATTCGATTGTCACTTCATCAGCTTTTGGTATAGATTCACAAACTTTCCAAGGTGGTTCGCCAGGTAAATATACAGGATCCATAAATACAGAAACTGCAACAGCATCAAATGGTGGTAGTTCAGCAGGGGCAACAGCTGCTGTAGGAGCTTATGGTATCACTTATTCCCCATATTCAAAATCAGATCAATGTAAAAGTGCATCACAAGTTGCATCAGATATTGCAAAATTAAAAGACTATGAATTAATAAGATTATATAGTACTGATTGTTCAGGTATTGAAAATGTTTTAGCTTCAATGACATCAAATCAAAAATTATATCTTGGTTTGTGGAATATTGATTCAGCATCAGTTCAAAGTGGTTTAGCAGAAATTAAAACAGCTATATCAACAAGTTCAAGAGGTTGGGGTGTTGTTCATACAATTGCTGTAGGTAATGAAAGAGTTAATGCTGGTGCTGCTTCAGTAGCTCAAATGCAAACAGCTGTTGATACTGCAAGATCTTGGTTAAAAACAAATGCTCCAAATTATACTGGTTATATTGTAACTGTTGATACTTTAGTTGCTTATGTTGCTAACCCTCAATTATGTGAAATGTCAGATTATTTAGCAGTTAATTCACATCCATATTGGGATGGAGGTGTACAACCAAGCAATTCAGGTCCATGGTTATTGAATCAAATTTCAAATTTACAAAATGTTTGTGGTTCATCAAAAGAAGTTTTAATTACAGAAACTGGTTGGCCAACTCAAGGTGATAATTTTGGACAATGTGTACCATCAGTACAAAATCAAGTTGCTGCTATAAAATCAATAAATCAAAGTTTAGGTTCAAAAGTCATCATGTTTACGATGTACAATGATTATTGGAAAGATCCTGGTCCATATAATGTTGAACAACATTGGGGAATATTTGGTGATCCATCAGTTTAAAGGACAAATAAAAAAAGTTTAATACCGTCAACTTATTTCAATTCTTCACGTCTATATTAGTTTCAAATAGTTTTATATTTATGTATGTAATCCACACATAATGTTTGATATTGCGTTTTTCATCAAAGTGCGCTGTTTATGTGCTCTCTCTTTCTTGAATTTTTTACAACCAAAAAATTAAAAACAAATACGAAAAAATTCAATTTGTTACACATTTTGTACTAGAAAAACAACAATCAAATCAATAATGTCTGATAAAGATAAGAAGAAATTGCAGACCAAATTATATCCATTATTTGAGAACATATACAAACATGAATATAACGGAATACCAATAAGTACTCATTTTCATGCATTACCACCAAGAACAGGTGGTGGAGATTATTATAAAGTTATTAAAAACCCAATATCACTTCACAAGATTGGAGCGAAATTAAAAAAACTCGACTATAATAATGCACAAGAATTCATAAATGATTTAGCTCTTATATCATTTAATGCAAGATATTATAATATGCAAGAATCCATAATATATAAACATGCAGAAAGTTTGAAAAAATATATTGAAGACACAGTTATACCAAAATTGAAAAATGATAAACATATAAATGATAATTTGATATATCCGATACTTGGTGAATTACCTGAAGAACATCAACAATTACAAGAAAATTCCCCACCCGTGAAAGAAGAATATGAAATGAGTGCAACTCCAACTATTGAAATTCCAATAACAAGACCCGATTTAGTTTCAGCATATAATCGTCAATCATCATTTACAACACCTAAAAAAGCCACTACTATCAAACAACAACAAGCCTTACAAGCACAACAAGAGCAATTAGAAAGTGGTATAAGAAGAGGTAGACCCCCAATTATTGATAAGCCATTTGAATCAAGAATTAAACAAATATTAAAAGGTTTTAAAAAATTAAGAGATGATAAAGATAGATTATTAATTAAACATTTTGATAAATTACCAGATAGTAAAAATTATCCAGATTATTATAATTTGATTAAAAATCCCATGAGTTTAGCCGAGATTAGAATTAAAGTTAGATCGAGAAAATATACTGATGTTGATCAATTTATAAATGATTTGGATTTAATGTTTGCAAATTTTCAACAATATTTTCAAAGAGATCCTTATGGTGAAGAATTTTTGGATTATCAACAATTTAAGAAAGAAGCTAATCAAATTGTCCAAAATGAATTAAATAAATCTGATAAAGATGTCTTGTTGGCAGCATCAACTTCAAGTGATGGAATTGTTAGATATCCATTAGAGGAATTAAAAGTTGATGGTTATTCTTATAGAATCGGTGATTGGGTATTGATGAAAAATCCAGCTGATAGTGAAAGACCAATTGTAGGACAAATTTTCCGTATTTGGTCAACTGAAGATGGTAAAAAATATTGTAATATGTGTTGGTATTATCGTCCTGAACAAACTTGTCATGGAGTTGATAGAATTTTTTTCCAAAATGAAGTTTGTAAAACTGGTCAATATAGGGATCATTTAATTGATGATATAGTTGGTCCATGTTATGTATTATTTTTAACAAGATATCAAAAGGGAGATCTTCCAAGTGGTGTTATACCATCAACTGCTCCATGGTTTATTTGTGAATTTAGATATAATGAAACTACTCATGTTTTTAACAGAATTAGAACTTGGAAAGCTTGTTTACCAGATGAAGTAAGAGAAGATGATGAACAACCACTTATTCAGCTAAATGAAACTAGAAAATTAATTAAATTTGAATCACCAATTAGATCATTTTTTGATCCAAATTTAGAAATGGGGGAAATTCCAGATGCTGTTGCTGGTACAACTAATTCACCACCAATTAGAGGTTCAGTTTACAAAACAGCCCCAATACCAACAGATGACTTAGGTCAATATACTACAAGTCCAAATGTTGTTTCTGTTCCAGAACATGATGATAAAGCAACTGGACGTCATGCGTATTTATTTACACCAATTTCCCAATTAAAAGGTGGTGGTGGGTCCACAAATGCAGTATATTCTACTACATCTTCCTTACCACATGGATCACCTAATCATGAATCTACAAAATTAGCTACTAATGCAATGAGTCCTCCTGTATTACCTCCACCAACTCCAGTACAACAAATTCATCAGCAATCACCAGCAATAACAGATTTTACAGAAGAAAAACCACAATTACCTAATTCATATGTTTCCATACATGATCAAATTCAAGAAAATCAAATTAAAAAACTACAAGATCAACAACAACAACAGCAGCAACAACAACAATTACAACAACATCAACAACAATCTCCACCACAACAACAACCTCAACAATTATTTAAAAAATTGAGTACTCCAACTCTTGCTAATATTGTTCCAACTGATGGTGGTACTTTTTATAATGCTATGCCAACTTTTTCTCAACCAAATGGAGCATTAGCTTATGGATTACAAGAAGATTTAGAATTACCCGTAAATAAAAAATTAAAATCAGATCCTACACAACAATCAGAAATAATATTTTATAGATCACCACCAATTCAATTATTAGGTAACAGAATAATAACGAATTCCAAATATGAATTAGGTCATTCTGCAAAATATTTAGCTTGGAAAAATGATAAAAAAAATAATATAGCACAAAAATAAATTTAATACAAATCCATATCATATTTTCTTATATTACTTTCTTTTTACTCTTTTTTTACTTTAAATGAATAATCAACTAAAAGAATTTCAAATCTACCTTAAAAATTCAAAAAAAGTAATAGCATTAGTAGGAGCTGGTCTCTCTGCTTCTTCAGGACTACCAGTATTTAGAGGTTCTCAGGGTTTGTGGAAAAATTATAATATGATTGATTTAGCTACTCCAGATTCTTTTTATATTGATCCAAGTTTAGTATGGCAATTTTATTCATGGAGAAGATATACAAGTTTAAAAGCACAACCAAATAATGGTCACAGAGCATTAATAAATTTAGTGGATGAATTTAAAAGTAAAAATAGAAAAGTATTGATAATTTCTCAAAATGTTGATGGATTATTTAATAGAATTCGACCCAAAATTGATGAAATTTATGACATTCATGGTAACTTATTCACATTAAAATGTACAAGTTTTCTATGTAATTATATTGAGAAAAACAATTTCAAACAACCATTAACACCAGCATTAAACGAAACTGAACATGAATTCGAACATGAACATGAAATTGATGAATCGACCACCACCACCACCAAAAATTCCCCAAAATTCCATCCAGTTAAATCATTAGATGAATCACAGCTACCTCATTGTCCCATTTGTAAATCTTTACTACGTCCAGGAGTAGTATGGTTTGGTGAATCTTTACCTTTGGATCTCATAACAAAAATTGATAATTTTATTGAAGATGAAGATAGTATACCTGATTTAGTATTAGTTATTGGTACAAGTGGTACAGTATATCCTGCAAATAGTTATGTTGAAAGAATCAAATTAAAAGGTGGGAAAGTTGCCATTTTTAACACTGACATTGATGATAAAATTGTGCAGGGGCAAGTGAATGATACTTGGGGATTTAAAGGTGATGCAGCTGAATTATTACCTATTGCATTAGATTGTTTTTGAACTTTGTTGTTGTGGCTCTGTTATTTGATCAATTGAAGAAATTTTCACGATTGGTTTCTCAATAGGACGGGTAGGTGAAGTTGGTTTTATTATTTTAAATTTTTTTCTCCTTGTTGCTGTTGTGGATGAAGAACTTGAAGAAGATGATGTGGCTGACGACACAGGTTTAGGTACTGGTACTTCTTGTGTTATAGTTTGCTCAACAATAATATCATCTGGCCAATTTGCAAAAGTTTCAATAAAATTTGTTGTTGTTGAAATGTCAAAATCGAAAAATTCAAGAATCTGATCATCAAGAGACATGATAAATTGATTATTAAGAGAAAGAGTTATAAAATCAGAGGATTTTTTATATTTCGTTTCAGTGTTAATATATATATATAACTAAACATGCTCGACAATTTTTTGTTTTGTTAGTTGGTTACCAATTGATTTTAATAAATTACCTTATTGAGGGTTGACAATGTAAGTATAAAGTTACACAAAAATTAAAGATTCACGTATACATTAGATTGTTACTAAGATCTATACGTAATTCAGATTTCACAAATTTTTTAATAATTCCGAATCGTATTTATCCTGAATTACTCTTTGAGGTATTGAGCTTGGTTCTGGTGGTAAACCAATTTTTAAATTTGCGTCAATTACTATTTGATTTTTTATCCATAATTTTCTTTTATTTAAAATTGACGATTGTAATTTATTTGTTATTATTTTATTTATTTTTAATGATGTATTAAGTTGTGATTGTAAAGTATTATGTAATTGCTTCAATTCATCTAGGTTTTTGTTATCAACATTTATGTCTTCTTCTGGGGTGTAACTGGTAATTAATTCATTTGATTCTTTTGATAAATCTTCTATTATTCTATCACTATTTATATTTACTACTCTATCTGGATGTTCATATTGTATTTGTCTTTTAATTATATTTATGATTTGATTGTTCGGGTCAAGATTTATATTTGCATCATTCGCCTGTATTATTTGTTTTATTCTTAAATTACTTAATTTATATTGATTTAAATCAAATGGTAAATTCTCAATTGAATCTATTTCTCCTTTAACTACTTGTAAAAACTCTTGATTAAACCACCATGGCTGTTTTAACTTATAATCATTTCTAACTAATTCTCGAAATTTATCTTCTGTTATATCTTCAACACTTTGAAATTTTTCTTTAAATGATGGTAGTTGATCTTTAACAGTTTGTAAATTATGTGCTGCTTTTCTATGTTTTGTTAATGCATCTGCTCTTGTAAAATGTTTTTCACATTCCGGGATGGGACAAAAGAATGGTTTTTCTCCAGTTGGAGCTCTTGTTGTCATTGATTGTGTTAATAAGTGGTGTTGATTAGTACTTAAGTTTTGATAATCCAGGATCGTGTAAAAATTACTTTTTTTAATAAAAATAAATTTTTCAATTTTTTGTTTCAAATGAATCATATAACAATCAATTAAGATGTCACAGTTACAACTTGATATTTTACAAATTTTGGATAAGGAAGGATCTATTCCAAACTCATTAGATAATGCACAACTTTTAAAAATCAACCCCAATGACTTGCATTCAAATTTAAGTTCACTTTGGTCAAGAGAAATGATTCAATTTGATAAAATTGAAACTGATCATTGGATATTAACTAAAGAAGCTGAAGATTATTTAAAAGCTGGTGCTACACCAGAGATACAAGCTGTTGATGAAGTTTTAAAAGCTCTTGGGGGTTTAACTATTGGAGAATTGAAGAACAAATTAGGTGCAATTGGTGCAATAGGTCAAGGTAAAGCTTTTAAAAATAAATGGTTGAAGAAAGATGGAGATAAATTAATTGCAGAAGTTAAAGAATTACCAAAGGATGATGTTTTAATAGATTTAAAAGAAATACAATCAAAGGGAAATTTATCAGATAAATCAACGGTAACAGAATTGAAAAAAAGAAAATTAATTAATTTAACCAAGATAGTTGGATACAAAATTACAAAAGGTGAAAAATTTGCATTAGATATAAAATCATTAGAAACAGATATAACATCAGATATGGTTCAAAATGAAACTTGGAAAGATGCTCAATTTAAAGATTATAATTTTAATTCATTTGGTATAATGCCACAATCAGGTGCATTACATCCATTAATGAAAGTACGTCAAGAATTTCGTGATATTTTTTTTGCTATGGGTTTCACAGAAATGGCTTCTAACCAATATGTTGAATCTGGATTTTGGAATTTCGATACTCTTTTTGTACCACAACAACATCCAGCAAGAGATTTACAAGATACTTTTTATTTAAAAGATCCTAAAGTTGCAAAAGAACCAGAAGATAAAGAATATTGGGAAAATGTTAAACAAGTTCATCAAGATGGTAAATATGAATCAATAGGTTATAGATATCCTTGGAAAAAAGAAGAATCATTGAGGATGGTATTAAGAACTCATACAACTGCTACATCAGCTGCAATGTTACATAAATTAGCTAAGGATCCAAAACCAACAAGATTATTTTCAATAGATAGAGTTTTCAGAAATGAAGCAGTTGATGCAACACATTTAGCTGAATTTCATCAAGTTGAAGGTGTTATAGCAGGTTATGATATAACATTAGGTGATTTAATTGGTTTTATGGATGATTTCTTTGGTAAAATGGGTGTTGATAATTTAAGATTTAAAGCAGCATATAATCCATATACTGAACCATCTTTAGAAATTTTTGCATATCATAAAGGTTTAAAAAAATGGGTTGAAATTGGTAATTCAGGAATGTTTAGACCAGAAATGTTGGAAACTATGGGATTACCTAAAAATTTAAGAGTTTTAGGTTGGGGTTTATCATTAGAAAGACCAACAATGATTAAATATGGTGTTTCTAATATTAGAGAATTATTAGGTCATAAAGTTTCATTAGATTTTATTGAATCTAATCCTGCTGCTAGGTTAGATGAATTATTGTAGATATAAATATAATTACAATAAAATAAAATAGAGTAAAGAACTTTTTTTATACAGTATTTTTTTCTAATATGATAATGAAGCAACGTATAAACTGAATAAATCAAATTTTTTGAAAGAATTTGAAATTGCAAATTAGCTTTGATTATTTATGTAAAAATAATATTTATTACTTAAACTAATTAACTTATTATGAAACCTACTAATTTTTTTTTTTTTCTCCTTCACAATAAAATTATTTTCTCGTGCGAGAATTCGGTAGCGTACTTAATATCATAATTTTACTAAATTTTTTAATTATCACCAATTTTTCATCAATTCTTGACCAAAAAAAGCTCCAAAATTCATTCCAAGTCACCAATCAATACTTTAAGATGATATAAAGGGCATATATGATACCAGGGAGGTACCCAAGGATTGTAAGCAAAATGCAAATGAAAAGCGGCGAGGTACATCCTACTTCAAGAAACTTGACAATTTGGTTAGTATACGACATGTGGTAGCGCCTGGTAGCGCACGGTTTTATTCACGCGTCGCTACCAAATGTAATTAGCAATTTGTGATAAATTGTTGATTAAATTTGAGATGAATCCATTTACTCATTAATTCATCGTCGAAATTCCGTGCTATTTAACATTGTTTTAACATAAAACATAAATAGATTGTTAACATACAACACCAAGTGGTGGAAGAATGATTGCAAAAAAGATTTTAATAATATCTGAACAAGTGAAAGCCATTGTTAATTGATGAGTTGTATAATTGTTAAAAAAAATAGAGGAAATGTAAAAATAATTTCAAGGAAATCTAATCTTTTTATATATAAATTTAATGAAATATTAAAGGCTCATTTAAAAACAAATAGATCTTTTTTAATATTAACTTTGCTTTATTATGCGGCTATACTCTCTAATAATTTAGGCAATTTAAAGTAAATGGTTAATAAACTATATTTAGAATTGTAAGAACAAAAGGATGACAAGTAATTGGCAGCGCAATCAATTGATAAATTGCTATCTATAATCTTTCGTTAGTTAGAATATAGTTTATCCCACTTGATCATTATTTCATCGTCAAAATTTCATGTAATTGGTTTGTTTTTTATTAAATATAATGGATTAACTAAGAATTTTTAAGCCAATTTTTTCTTAGTATATTTCGAGATTTTTAATAAGCAACTTTAAATTTTTAAACTGTTTCCCCATAAAAAATTTGACTATTTATTAAGATTCTACCCCTTTCTTAATGATGTAATTATTAGACCATAAAAAATTTTAAAGTTGTTCAAAACTGTTGCTGCGGACGTTTGAATTATATTTACAATAGATGACTATTTTAAAACAATTATTTATATTATATATTTCGTACCTTAAAATATGTTTTTTTGAGTGATCTACATTTCATAATTTTGAATCTTTGTGAGTCCCCTAGATTTTGTGATTCTCTTTCGGGAATGTTAAAAGATTGCTCATATAATTATGAAACATGTCATGTCAAATAGATTTGTAATTACGTATTTGACAATTTGATGATTACAACGTGTCAAGAAGCAGTTAAATAATACAAACGCTCTTAACTTTAATTATTTTCAAAATCCAAGATGAATATAACCTGAGACGTTGTGCATTGGAACTGATGAGCATCTTACTTAATTTAAAATATTTTCATTTTATCATAAATAAATCATTATATTATTGTCATATTAAATAAGTATATACGTAAATTTCAAACTTTTTTATAACTTTATAAAACTGAATTCAAAAAAATCAAACAAATAAATAAACATGACAAAAAGAAACCTCAATTCAGTAAATTTTTGAATTGAATCTAATCTTTATGATGTCTAGCTCTATCAATTTTTTCATAATTAAAAATAGATTTTCTAAAAGGTTTACCATATTTAATAGTAGAACTTAAATTATGAAATTTTTCATTTGTTGAAATTTCTTCACTTGAATACATTTCTCCAACATCACACATTTTTGTATTTGTACCATTAAAAGATAAATTAAAAAAATTTATCATTTCTAATTTATGAAATTCAGTTGAATTTGATGTAATATAATATTCAGCTAAAATATCTGGATTTCTTTGTAATATCCACATTTTATCTTCTTCTGTTAAATTTTGTACTGTTTCTATTATATCTTGTCCTGGTTTTTTTAAAAATTCAAGTTGTTTTTCAGGTATCCATAAATTTAAAATATCAACAAATACAAATCCTCCATAAGTATAACTTTTTAAACCTTTTTCACCATATTCTGTTTTTAATAGTTGTTCTATATTATTTGGAACATAAACTGGTACACCACCTAATTTTGTAAATCTTAATGGGGATATTTCATCATATGAATAAAAATGTGATTGTCTACAATTATATATGGTTGATGTTTTACCTTGTAAATAATTTTTTTCAATTATTGAATCATATCTTGATGGTGGAACTTCATTGCTTACTCCCAAACCTGTAATATCAATATATGAACCAGTATCAATATCAATAAATCTTGCATCAATATGATTATCCTTATAAGATTTTGATCTATGATGTACCATAGTTGAACATTCAATAAAAAATTTCCCATAACCTTCAGTAATATCTTCAACAACTAAAGTTTGATTATATTTTTTACAAAATTCAACTAATTCAACTGCGGGCATTTGAATATCAATATCTTCATCAAATGGGAAAAGTAAAGCATTCCAATACCATGCCAATAATGGACCATGAGCTATCCAACTTATAATACCTTTTGTAGCTGAAAATTTATACCAATTTCTTAATATTCTATCCAATAAAATAGTTTCTCTAATTTGTAATTCTTCATTATTCCAACCTGGTTTATGAATTCTTAAAGCACCATTGAAAAATCTCCATTCATAATGCCAACCAGCATCTCTTTTATTTTCAGCAGTATTAAATTTTAATCTTGCCATTCTAAAATAAGTTGGTTCTTTTTTACTATTAAATTTATTAGCATATTTTATACCATCATAATACATTTTTTCTTTTCTTGTTAATCTTAATTCATTAATTTTAATAGGATCATAATTTAATTCATCATTTATTACCCTGTTTAGTTCATCAACTCTTTTATCATAATATTTAATCTGTACATCCATTTTATCTTGTTGATAATCAAATGCTGATTCTGGGATATATATTTCTGTAGGGTGTTGTTTGATCTTTGGTTCTTCAGGTTTTATGGTGTTAATAAATTTTTTGAATTCATTGATTGGATCTAACTCTATAATATCTTCATTGGCATCAATTTCATTATCTTCTAAATAATTTTTTAATAAGTTCCCATCAACTAATCTTTGTTTCCCATTAATTTGTGCTTCATAACAACCATTTTCACTTAAAAATATTATAGATAAAGGATTTATAGCATAAGTTAATAAATGAGATTTTCCCTCCAACATTCTAACTTCATTTGTTGCTTTATTTGTTGGTGATTTTTTAACTGCAAAACCAGGTACATAATCAATCAGTGGTAATTGCATTAAATCTAATTCATCTTCCATTATATCAATATTATTTATACAATAATCATGAATTTTTGTAGGAATATGATGAGTTTGTTTCATATATTCACAAGTTTTTCTTTGTTTTTGAGGTTTCATTAATTCTTCATTTAAACTTGTTATATCTACCCAATCTTGCCATGCAAATGGGATTACTATATTATCTTTTTTTGTAGGATCATTTGTTGGATTTTTTTGAAGGTATTGATTTTTAATTTCTGATAAATATATTGATAATGTTAATCTTGGATCATAAATTATAGCTGGTTTATCTACCCAATATTCAGGTAAAAATTCTGTTTTATTAATTAAAATTTTATTGTCTGTTATTTCTGTTTTGGTTAACCAATGGTCTGGATTTGTTTCAACATCTTTTAATAACCATTGAATTTTTTCTTTTGTTGTTTTTGGGTATGATGTTTCAATTGTTATGGTGGTGGTGGTGGTTGGTTCTTCATTTGGAACTTTTATAATTTTTGGTATATCATCTAATGAAAACCCACCTTTTAAACCAAAATGATATTCATTTTTATGATTTGGAGCTGGTTTTAATATATTTTGTTTAAGATATAATTGTTTATTTGATTTACTTTTGTTTTTTTTAAATTTGATTAATTTTGATATTAGAATTTTTTTCTTCCCCAAGAATAATGGTATACAAATTATATTTATTAGTATTAATACAAATATTAAATACTTTAATAGTTTTTTTCTAACTGTTATATGATGATTTAGTTTCATTTAATTGTACATTATTGATATAGATATGAAATTGAGAAAAGTATCAAATTTTGGAAGTGAATGAATTATAAACAAATTTTTCTTCACTTCAATTATAATAAAATTTAACGTAAATAAAAAATAATATATTAATAAATAAATTAGAAATTATACAGAAATAGAAAAAATAATTTTTATATAATATATGAAAAAAATTCAAGTGTCACAAGATTTATAATCAACAGATTTATATCTTCTTACACTGTAAATCTATCTATATTTTATAACGGAATAAATAATTTGATTACGGGAAAAAAAAATTTTCCAACGTATCTCGAGGAAAAATAATAAAATTTTTAAATATTAAAATTTATAAAAATAATTAATATTCTATACATAAAATGTAAAAAAGGTTAAATTTAAATAGATTGCTTTTAACTTTAGAAGAATAAGATTTTTTTAGTTTTTGACATTTCCAAAAAAAAAAAAAAGGGAAGACTTAAAAAGTTTAAAAGTTTAAAATAGCGGTTATGTCATAACTCATTTTGAGAAGGGTATATTATATTGATTGATATAATTTGGTAACATTGAATCTAATAGTAGTAATTGCAATGTAAACATCAATTCGTTAAATCGCGTATATTATAATACAAATTATTATAATTTAAATATACAATTTTAAACAAATATCTTCATACTTAAAAGATAAATATCAAACTTGAAATTCTCTTTACATTTATTTATTTTTTCTTATCTTAAACGAAATAAAAATTTTTATTTTAACATTAAAAATTAAACAAAAAAAAAAGAAAAATATAAAAATACTAATATAATTAATATCTTATTCATTTCTAATCTTTATTACATTTTAAAGTTGATATTTTATTTTTATATTTGATATCTAATAAAGATTAGATCTTGTATCATTTTATAATCAGTAAATAAAATCTTACTAATATTTCAATGTGTATCATCAGCCATGATTTTAAGATCTATTTAATTCTCCCCTTTCTTTCTTCGTAATTTTTAATTTTTAACTCTAACCAAATAAAATTTCTTTTTTTTTAATTCTTTTATTACACAAAAGAATGAATTGACTATTTTAGCAAATTTTGTCACACGACAATAATATTTAATTTAAGGCTAATGCAACAAAAATTATTAAGAAAATTTGACAACCAAAAAATTATAATTTCAATAAAGATATCATTTTTAGCTCGAGGGGATTCATTCATTAATTCATTCGTTTTATTTATATGATAATATAGTATTCAATATTATACAACACAATATATAAAATGTTTGATTTAAAACTACTACGAAATTTATTTATTATTATATTACTTATAAATTTATATTATTTCAATATTTATTATAAAAATCAAGAAGAACTATTAAAAAAATTAGAATTAGAACATCATTCCTCGATAAATTATAATACTGATGATTTAATACCTTTTAATAAAGATTTAGATTATCATTTATTATCAACTGAAGAAAAAATTTCTTATTTATTATATAAAGTTAAAGTAGATAATGATAATTATTGGTTAGCTAAAACTGATCCTGAACATGTTTCAATAGATATAAACCCAAGAAATTATTTACCACCACCATCAATAGAAGAGTCTGAAAATCAACTATCGCCTTCTTCTTCATCATCAATTAATAAACAAAAACCTGTTACAACTTGGGCTAATAAATCAGAATTATTTTATGAACCAAATTTCATACTATCAATATTCTTAGATGAATTAAAACACCAACTAATTACCAAAAACCCCCAAAATGAAAAACAAAAAGATCATCTTATAAAAATGCCTTTTGCATGGGAAGATTGGGTAGATTTAACTATGCTTAATGAAGAAATATTAAAACCTATAGATGAAAAAAGAACTTGTAAATCATTACAATCAAAAGTTAATAAAAAAACAAAATATCCTAAATGGTGTAAAAATTTAATAGATTTAGATGATGAAGAAATTGAAGAAATTGGTTTGGCAGTTGAAGATTTACCTGGTTTCATTGTTAATAGTTCACCAATGAATAAAGCTCATCATACAGAAGTTATGTTACAAGGTAAAGGTCATTTATTAACTTCACAAGAATTACCAAATTCTATAATATTTTTAACAAAAGATGGAACTTATGAAACTCAAATTTTGGGTACTAGAAAAAGGTTAGTAAGAACAGATTTATTACAAAATTATTTAACAAGAAGAAATTTACCTAATGATACCACAATAACATTAAACCCTCAATTAGAATATAAAGCATTATTAGAAACTATACCTGCAAGACCATTGAATTTAGAAGATGATATATATAGAATGAGACAAATTACAAGACAAACTGAATTTAATGCTTCTAGAATGTTATATTTAGATAAAGATGCTTTCCATTATAAACAAGAATCAATAGATGAACAATTAAGTAATTATGAAGTAAGATTAAATAAAATTGAAACTGCAATAACTAATGAATTAAAATATGATCGTCAAATAATAGAATCAAACAAACTAAATAGAAAAGAAATTAATCATTATAATGGATTAAAAACTGCAAATAAATATTCAGTAACAAATGAACCAACATATTATAAATTAGCAACTTTAAAAAAGTCTAAAAGTAATCAAGATGCAGGTTGGCATTATGAATGGAGATTTTTTAATGGTGCATTACGTTATATAAAAGATGAAACTTGGACTGTTCAACAATTAGAAGTTAGAGAACAAATTATATTAGATAGATTATTACGTAATTGGTTTAGATTTGCAGAAGAAAAAGGAATAATTAGTTGGATAGCTCATGGACCTTTATTATCTTGGTATTGGGATGGATTAATGTTTCCATTTGATATTGATATTGATATTCAAATGCCAAGTTCAGAATTAAATAGATTATCATCAAATTATAATATGACTCTTGTTGTTGAAGATTTAAGTGAAGGATATGGTAAATATTTAATTGATTGTTCAACTTTTTTACATCATAGAGATATAGCAGCAAAAGATAATCATATTGATGCAAGATTTATTGATGTTGATTCTGGTACATATATTGATATAACAGGCATTGGTATAAATAATGCCAAACCACCACCAGAATATGATGGATATATTAAAACAAAACAAAAACAAGGAGAATCCATAGAACTTTATATGGATAGAAGAAAACATTGGCTTACATATGAAAAAATAAGTCCATTACATTATTCAATGATTGGTGGTGTACCAGTATATGTTCCCAATGATATTATGTCAATGTTAAATAATGAATATTCAGGTGGTACAAGATCTTATTATTTTGATGGTTATTATTTTGTTCCATGTTTAAGATTATGGTTACAAGAATCTAAATTAAAAAACCTCTTTAGGGACAAATATCAATCAAAAACAAAAGAAAGTGAACAAGAAAAAATTATAGAACTTATAAAAAAAATGAATAATGATGATAAATTAAAATTATTAGAACAAAATAATGATATTTTAATTGAATATTATTTAACTCATAAATTAACAAATTTACATAATAATGAAAAAAAATTCATGTTAGATCATTCATTACAATTATCAATTTCAAATTTAAAAGAAAATGAAAAATATCATGAATTAACATCAAGATTTAAAATGGGTCCTCCATTACGTAAAAGTCTTTATGATTTTGAATATTTTGAAAGATTTAAACATATGTAAATTTATACTAACTTTTTTAATGATTTTATGATGATGTATTTTTATACTTATATTTATTAATAGAATAATTTTATTAGATTTAAAAATGAATTGTAATTCTCTCGTGGTAAAAATATTCAAGCTTTTTTTTCATCAGTGAATGCATTATGTATTTGAACTTCCAGTAGGAGTGTCAAATTGGTATTGTGAAGAAGGTTTCAAAAGAAATTTCATGATATTTACCAATTGATGAAAACAGCTTCAAATAATTATAGTTTTTGTTCGTCCATTAACTTTTGTATACTACCCATATAAGTTAACTATGAGCTTTTATACATAATATATCTTAGATAAGTCATGAATATACCGTATAAAGAAGGAGAAAAACCAATGAATGATGACCACAACTCAAGAGATAGAATTCAATCATATGTTTCAAAATAAATTGAACTTCAAGGATTAGTATTGTAATGATGAAAATTTACAATGACTCTAGCTTAGATGATGCGCTATGCGAAAGGGGTCCATTTTTATTTTATCATTTTATCAAATGTAACATAACCATATATGTCAAATTTGTGGCTTATAATTTTCTTAAATTTTGGTATTAAAATTTGTAATATTTGTAATATTGTTGCAACTTCCGTTTTTACATTCACATATTCACAACTCAAAATCATCTAATTTGATAAATTTAATTCTTCTCAGCTATATTTACTAATTATTTACTTGAAGTGGTTAATTTAATTTAAACTCGATATGTTTTAATATTTACTCAAAATCTGAAACACGAAAGTGGTTACAAAAACAAAAATTGGCTAAATGCAAGGTAAATTTCTTAATTTTTTGCCAACCACTTTTTTAAATTATTATTTTCACGACTTTCTAAAAACAACTACTTCAATTTGAAGACAATGATTATTACAGATTTACCAATTACAAGCATTTGATCAAACTGTTTCAGGTGTCACTTCTAGTAAATTTTACAAATAATCATTTAAATTTTTTAAGTACTTTACCAATAAATCAAGTTTACAACTCTTTTCAGAACCCAATAACAAAGAAAGTTATTTTTTTTTAGTTGATAATAAGAGTTCAAAAAATTAATATTTATTTTATATTATAGTAGTTTCAACAATTGAATTAATTAATTTACTCAATAGTGAAGAATTTAAAGTTGGTTATTTCAAATATTTAAAAATTGAATTAAGTAATTACCTCAAAACTCCAATTTATATTTTCCCACTTTCAATTAAACCCAATAAAAAATCCATTGTCAGTTGTTATAAACTTTGATGTTGCTAAAATATCAGATTTACAAAATTATTTGAAAAATTTTTACTACAAAGTATTTTCATTATCAGATCTTCAACAATCATTTCATACATAAGATATTACTATTTTAGCAAGATCAATGAATTTCAAACATGCCAACACATTTTTTCTCCAATGTTGGTAAATTATTGGATTTAAGTGTTTCATTATGGTTAATATCATTTATTAGAATTCAAGATTTTTGGTGAAACTATTGACACACAATTTAAAAATTTATTTCAAATTGTTGAAGATGATTTAATTTGTGTTTAGTTCCAAATGCTGAATTTGGTGATAAAAAAATTAATCATCCTGATCTTGTTTCACAAAACAAATTCACAAAAATTTTATTAAGTGCTTATTCAAGTTTTGAAAAAGGTATTTTAATTTCCATTGATTTAAAATTAATTACTATTGATGATTTTGATTGGGGTGAATTGGAATATAAAATTTATTTTGAAAATGTTTAAGTGGAAAATTTAATGGTAAACTTACAATTAATGATGCGTAATTTACTGCTGAAAAATTAAATTTATAAAGTGAAAATCAAATTCAAGTGGAACTTCAGCAACTGTAGAAGATTTATGTACTAATGACATGTGAGAAGCTAGTTGGCTAGAATTAAGAACGAACAGATAGAATATTAGAAATGAAATACTATCAGTACTAATTAAATTTAATCTTCAGTAGCTTTTGATATTTTTCAAAAAGTCGTAGACTTTACTTTTTGTTTAAATCCAAATGTATTTATACAAATTTGACATGTTCTATGCATTTGTTTTTAGTTGCAAAATACAATTACAATAGTTAAGCAAAAAAGTACAAAAAAGTAGTGCAGAAAATGCAAAAATGAATAGTTATGAAATTACACCAATATTGATAAAACACGTAAGAGTACTCATACTCATCAAATCTACAAAAAACAATGTTTAAATACGCGTTTAAACAACCAATAAGACGTTTATCATACATCAACTACATAAGACCATATTCACGTTATACAAAATCCCAACCACTTAAAAAAATAATAGAAGATGAAGATGCAGAAATTATAGATTCACCGACATCATCATCAACTTCAACCACATCAACTATAACATTCAATGATTCACCAATTGAAAATTTAGATAAACCTGCTACATCGCCAATAATAGACTGGTCTGATTCATATCATGGATTAGGATCACAACCCTTCCCCAGAGAAATAAGTGATATTTTATTAGCTCCAATAGATGATTTAGATATTGAAATTAAACCAGATGGATTATTATATTTACCAGAAATTAAATATAGAAGAATCCTAAACAAAGCATTTGGTCCAGGAGGTTGGGGTTTAGTACCACGTACAGAATCACATATTACAAAACAACAAATATCAAGAGAATATGGATTAATATGTCATGGTAGATTAATTAGTATAGCTCGTGGAGAACAAGATTTTTTTGGTGGTGAAGAAAAAATTACAACTGCTTTAGAAGGTTGTAAAAGTAATGCATTAATGAGATGTTGTAAAGATTTAGGTATTGCAAGTGAATTATGGGATCCAAGTTTTATAAGAAAATGGAAATCTAAATATTGTGAAGAAGTATTTGCTGAACATGTTGTTAATAAAAAGAAGAAGAAATTATGGAAATTGAAAAGTTTAAAGAAATTGGAATATCCTTATAAACAGATTTAGTTACAAAATTTAATAGATGTATATAGTATAATTTATAAATATGAAATGGTTAAAAAATTATCCAAGCTCTATGTCAAATACAATGATCTACATTTCTCTACTTCTCATTTATCGTCTTTCATCATTTATTATACAATACACTTTCAACTAATCACTTTTTTTTTCAATAACTCTTGATCTACCAATAACATTCAAATCTTCAAAAGTTTCAGTAGCAGGTCTTCTACTCCAAACATCCCAAAATTGTTGTTGAGTCAAATCTTTATTACTTTGATCTAATTCATATCTAACATTTTTAACTGGTGAACTAGTAGATTGAGCCCAATAAGCTCTATCTATTATTGTTGCAGCTGTAGTTCCTAAAAATCCAGTTATTATTTTAACTTTTGGAGGCATTGATTTAAAACCTAAACTTAATATTAAAGTATTTGCACCAGTTAATCCCCAAAATATATTCCAACAATCATTTTTTTCTCTTAAATTAGCTAATGATGATTGTAAACCTTTTGCTACTGTTATAAAAGTTATTGCTGAAATTGGAATAGTTAATTTGAAAGTAGTTCTTTTCCACAAGTACAAAAAAGCATATGATCCTACAGTTGAATAAAAACCAAATCTAAATAATTCACTAACTTGTTTTTTAGTATCTATTGGTTGCCATTTTGGATACCCTATTCCTCTACTAAAATTTGCAAGAGGATTTGGATATTTTGGTGGATTTATCTCTATGATTCCTGATTCTGACATTGTGGTTGTGTTGATGGTGGTGATTGGTGATTATGGTGGTTGAATTGGAATTGTGTTTGGTCTATATAATCGATGTCTCAATACTTAATTTTTCTTAATCCAATCAAATATTTTAATTTTGTAATAACTGAACTTGTCGTAACAAATTTTTCGCGCCATTTTAAGTCAAAATATTTTATCTTGGGACAGCAAAAATACGCACCTTTTAAAAAGTGGTTGCAATTCATTACTCAATTCGGAAGTCTAGACTTTCTGCTATTAATAAAATTTTTTAAGTTATTTTTCTTTTTCAAAACTGATTTTAATATTCTACAACCAAAATTAGAATAATCAATACCACCACCACCAAAAATGTCAACAATGAATAAAGTATTAGCCATAACAGCAGTAGCAGCAACTGCCATAACAGGATACGCCATATATTTTGATTATCAACGTAGAAATTCAGTCAATTTTAGAAAATCATTGAAAAAAAAACAAATTAAACAAAATAAACAAAAAGAAAAAGAATTAAAAGAATCAAAACAATCAAAATTAGATTCTGTTAAAAAGGCTCTTATTGAAGATTTAAAATCAAATCCAATTCCAACTGATTTAAATGAAAGAGAAGCATTTTTCATGGAACAAGTTGCAACTGGTGAACAAAAAGCAAAAGATAATCATTTAGATGCTGCTATATGTTTTTATAAAGCTCTTGCTGTATATCCAAATCCAACTGATATTTTAGGTGTATATCAAAAAACAGTACCTGAAGAAGTTTATGAATTAGTTGTTATGATGGTTGCTATTGCTCCAACTCAAAATATTTCAAGTATATTAAATAAAAATCCTGCTGAAATGAAACCAACTGAAGAAGATTTAGATTAAAGAAAGTAAATGTTATGAGGCTCAAATGAAAAATAAAGTTATGTAAATAGTAGTATTGGTAATAGTTTCCTTCATTTTTTTATGTATAGAGTAATAATATAGTAACAAGAATACATCGGTTTGGAAGAAAAAAATCTTGTTGAATTTAAGTCTAATTAAGCAACTAGTCAACATCTGGAAGTAATCGACTACCTTAATGAAAGAGATCAGTCATTCAAAGTTGAACTTCCTCTTTATGACTTGCGTTGTTAGTTATAAATATCTGGATCTGAGTTTTGGTAGCGAACCCCCAGATTTTTAAATTTCTAAGATGAACCCCCCTTTTTCTCACCAACTACAAATTGAACTATTGTAAAATTAAAATTAAGTGTTTTTATTCTATTGAAATTTATTTAAAAAATTATAAACTATACTTTATTGATAAGAAGGTGGAATTTCAATTGAATTTAATCGTTGATCATTATTATGTCTTTTATGATAATTATTTATAGCTTTTTCTTGAGCTCTAAATACTCCATCTAAAATATTTATAGCAGTTTCTTCATCATAACTATATCTTATAAAAAAATAATGTAAATAAGTAATTATTGAAAATAATATTGTTGTTATTGTATAACCTATAAGTACTAATATTTTTAATGTACATTTTTGCCATTGAGGTGTTTTTGTGTTTGATGAATTTAAAGATTGATCAGTTGATGAACGTGAAATATCTTGAATATCTTCTTCTTCTTCTTCTGTGGTGGTTGTAGTGCTTGCTTGATTTAGACGAGATCGTATTATATTTTGTGAAGTATCTATATTAGTATTAGTTGTTAAATCCGGTGATGATAAATCATTCCAGCCTTCTTCTTCTCCATTTAATTCTTCATTATTATTGTTATTATTATTATTATTATTAATTGAACTCATTTTGTTATAAGATTGATTGTTGAAATCTGAATTGAAGTATGTAACGCTTTTTTAAAAAGTTCAATTAATTGAATTTATTTTTAGACTTATTTTCTAAAATTGAATTAAACCTGAATATTTTTGAAAAAGAATTGGCAAGTTTAAAAGTATTTATTAATTTATTAAATTAATAATAATATGTTCTATATCCGGAGTTTTTATATAAAATCTGGATTTATTATTGTTGATTTATTATTGTTAATTATTACTATTATTTATTATTATTAAATTAATATGTAATGTATAAATTGTTAAATTATTATGCTAAATTTTCATGTGAAATTTTGAAATTATTTTCTAATCATTCGAATTCCAAATTTTAATTTTGCGTTTTGGTCTATCGTTTAAATTTATTTATGCTTTCAAATTTATGATTTTATTATTGAGTTCAAAAAATTGAATTATTTTAACAAAAAAGTATTATTATTATATTGAAATTGACGAATTTAGTAATTAAAAAAGATACATTTATTCAAGCATTTAAAACTCGTCATTTTTTTTCTTTCTATTCGTTTGTCAAGTCGATTTTTTATTACTACGTTTGATTATCTGGCAACTGAATATGATATAGTGTGGATGCTTAAAAGTTCGTGACTAATACGTGTTTATTCAGCTTGTGGCTTTACGTTCCTACTAGTCTTGGTGGGTTAAATGTAGTTGAAGGTTGTCAAAATAGTCATTACTTTTAATTTGGTTGACAATTTTTTAACAATATGAAATATACATTAAAATTTATAAAAACAAAAAAACTTCTCGTATTCCAGCTCCCTAGTGTTATTTCACAATAAATTAACTTATTGTTGTATCAGAGCTAATTATTTACAACACCGTTTGACCTAAATTAATCAGATTTTGGTATTCTTGCTTAAAGTTCATGCTATAAACTTCTCACAATAATTCAACCCAAGGTTTTGTAAATTGATTACTCACTACTTATTGATTCTGAGCGTGATCTTTTTCTATTAATTGATTATATGCTTCAAGTCAATGCGATTCTAGACCATCATGCATGTCAAATTTTGGTCGATAAATCAAGTTTAAGTAATACTGGTAATTCTAAAAACACAGTCCCGGTTGATTAGTTGAGGCAGATACCAATTAAAGAAAACTTTAACTAGTCAATCGACTTAAGTCATTAGCAGAAAACCGTCTTAAACGAGCGCATATATGATCAAATTTAAAATTTTCATAACCATGGAGATTTCCTTTGAATTTGTGTAATGATTTGAAACAAAATTTTGATCAGATCCAAAATGAGTTGACCTTCAAAATAGTTAAATTTAAACTACTTCAAGGACGAATACCCATCGTCAGTCAATCTCAAAGCAGATTTTTCTCGCTTCTTAATTTTGACAAGACCAATTACCTAATTCATTTTTAAAAACGCTCGCTATGTGCATTCGCAAGCGGAATTAAACAATTTTTTGTCATTGATAAATTGCGTAAAAGAATAAGTTTGCTCACTAAACAAGTAAATCTATTCTTTTTTTTCTCGAATTTCAAAAATACAAGAGAGAAGAATAAAGAGAGAGGAGTAACGTTTGGACCCTTGTTAATTGGACCTTGCAGTTTTCATGCATTTCATCGCCAAATTAATATAAGTCGACTTTAACCCGTTTGGTAGCTTTAGCATGACTAAAAAGTTATTTCGAACCCACAGTTTTGTTTTTTTTTTTTCACTGAAAATTTCTATACTTTTACAATTTCTACAAGCAATTTCTACAAACTTAAGTTAAACAACCACTTAAAAATGGGTAAATCAGTCAATTTAGCAATTATAGGATCAGGAGTAGTTGGATCAGCTTACATCAATCAATTAATAAATTCAAAGTCTAAAATTACATTTAATGTAATTTATTTTGCAAAAAATTCAAAAGATGCAATTTATAATCAAGATTATAAACCTATTAATTTATCTAATTGGAAATCGCAATCTTATAAACCAATATTAAATTTAGATGAATTAATTAAATATTTACATAATTCTCCAAAACCAACTATTTTAATTGATAATACATCAAATGAAATCATTGCTAATAATTATCCAAATTTTTTAAAAGCAGGAATATCTATTGCAACACCAAATAAAAAAGCATTCTCATCAAGTTTAAAACTTTGGGATGAAATTTTTGAAGCTGCTGAACAAGATGAGAATGGGTTAGTATATCATGAATCATCAGTTGGTGCAGGATTACCAATTATTGGACCATTAAAAGATTTGGTAGAAACTGGAGATAAAGTAGAAACTATTGAAGGAATATTTTCAGGTACTTTATCATATATTTTTAATGAATATTCAACAACTGAAGAATCGAATGTTAAATTTTCAGACATTGTTAAAAAAGCTAAAAAATTAGGATATACTGAACCTGATCCAAGAGATGATTTAAATGGATTAGATGTTGCTAGAAAAGTTACTATATTAGCTAGAATTTCAGGTTTTAAAGTTGAAAATCCAACTAGTTTCCCAGTTGAAAGTTTAATTCCTAAACAATTAGAAAATGTACAAACATCAGAAGAATTTTTAGAAAAATTATCACAATATGATGATCAAATTCAAAAATTAAAAGATGAAGCTTTTGCAAAAAATCAAGTTTTAAGATTTATTGGTAAAGTAGATAATTTAAATAATAAAGTATCAGTTGAGATTGGTAAATATTCATTTGATCATCCATTTGCTTCATTAAAGGGTAGTGATAATGTTATTGCTATAAAAACTAATAGATATCCTAATCCTTTAATTATACAAGGTGCTGGTGCTGGTTCTGAAGTTACTGCTCATGGTGTTTTAGCAGATACTATTAAAATAGCAGAAAGAATTGCCAAATAGATTATTAATTCATTAAATCATTATATTTAAAAAAAATACTTAAACTAAATACATTGTGAAATATATAAATAAAGCATTCTATCCTTCATACTCTCATCAATAAAGTAGAATTTTTAGTTGTTTCTGAAGCCACTGCAATTCAAATTTCTCCAAATGACGGATATGAGTCACATCTGTGGTGGGCTGTATCCCAGACATATTAAGCTTGTTGATTAAATAATGCTTTTTTCTTTAAATATTAAAAAACAAATCAACCTTACTAAATACTTAAATCAATTTCTCCTTGCTTTCTCAATAGTTCTAAAACTTTCTTAAAATTTTTCACCTTAACAGCTGCATTGAAATGCAAACATATAAATGTGGTGCTTTTGATCTCTCAATATAACAATTGATATTTCAGTAGATTGAATTAAATTCTGGTATAATTTAATAAGTTGTAAAAAAATAGCCAATTAAGTAAACCAACCAACTAATTAATTCATAAATTATAAAACTTCCAAATAATCAACTAATCAAACTGTAACTCAAATTACATTTTCATTAAATCATCAACTTTTTTAATTAATTTGTGAAATAAACTTTTCTTTCCAAGACAATTTAGCATCTCTAAATACTTCTCTCAAAAACTCTTCATTTTGACAAGCAGCTCTAAAATTCAACATAATTTTTTGAGAATCTAAATGTAATGCTCTAGTATTTGTTTCATAATCTCCAGCAACTGGTGAAATCGAGGAATTTACTCTAGTAACATGCATATTATTTGGAGCTAAAAAAAAATCTCCATTATCTCTTAATTCAACAATATAAAATCCTGTCTTGTGAATAAATTGTGCATATTGGAAAGATGGTTTTCCCCAACTATATGTTATATCTATATTATCTTTTGAAAAAAATGAAGTAGCTCTATTATCTAATAAAAAATCTAGTTTTTTTAAAAAATATAAATGATAATAATATTTATTTGATGCTATTATTTTGAAATCATCAAATTCTGGATCTATCCATGGATTAAAACAAAGTTTTACTTCAACAAATGAATGAAATGGACTTAATTTTGGAATTGCACATAATTCTTTCCATGGTGTTTCAACTAATTTTAATCCATGTCTTTGACATAACCTTGACCATGCAGTGATTGTATCTTCAACAAATTTATTTGTAGTATTTAACCATTGAATTCTTATATGATAACAATGTTCAGGGTTATGAACTCTATCAAAATGAACAGTTATTAATTCTGGTCTATATGATTTTTTTAATGGATCAACATCAAATTTAATTGATCTACTTAAAATAAATTTCCGACGTTTTCTTTCCAATGATGATGATTCAGAAGCTGCTAAGTTTTGTGATGACGTTATTTTCGTGAGTCCACTTTCTAATCCCAGTAATTTTGGAGATGCATTACTTTTGGGAGTTAATGATCCATCTCTTTTAAACCAAGAACTTCTAGATTTATCAATTTTCTCAAAATATTCTTCTTCAAATTCATAGAAATAATAACCATCAATGAAACCATGTCTTGATTCAACATGTTTAAATAAACCTTTAGATTGGAGTGATTGACCATATGTAGTAGCTTCTTCTCTTGTATTTATATCTTCAAAACAATCAACTAGCCAAGTAACTAATTCACTTCCAATAAAGCATTGTAAATGAGTTTTGAAATGCCAGGTTCTATCAGTTAATTTTAATCCAGTTTCTGCATTTTGTAATTCAGAAGCTAATTCTGTTAATTTTATAGACTTATTAAATCTCATATTATCTGGAATCATTAATGTTGGTTGATTTCCTGTATTGTCGAAATTTTCAGCTTCTTGTGTTAAAAAATCATATAAATTACCAGTATAAAAAATAACATCAGAATATCTTTCATTTGATTTGGTGGCCGAGGTCTTACATTTCCCTTTTTCAATCACTGCTATTAATTTTCTTAATCCTTCAACTCTGATTTCTTCCGCATTTAAATGTTCATTACTTAAATAGTAAGCATTTTTGGGTATTTCTGCAGGCATAACTACAAATTTCATTTTATGAAATTCTTTCTTATCTTCGGGCATTGCATCATCAAAACCAGCTAATAATTGATCAAATTGATTCCAATTATATTTTTGTGGCTGTGCAGCTATAGCATCTACTTGAGTTGGGGTATATTCATCAGCATATCTTGTTCTTACTAGGGGAAAATATGGTTGAGTTTTTCTTTGTCCTAATGTAATTTTTTTGGAATCTTCTTGATCTGTTTTACGATAAAGTTGAACATTCAAATTACCATTATAATCATAATAAATACGATGAATTTCATCATCTAGTGATAAATAAATAATTGAGCCTAAATAATCTTTCGGGAAATACTTTATAATTGAGTCTGCATTACCTGAAGGTTTTCTTTCAACTTCTGCTTTTTTGACCCTATCTCCGTAACAAATTTGGAAACCCAACATTAATCTTAATTGAATCATTTCTCTCATTAAATCAGAAGAACTTTTAAGTTCTAGATAATTTTCAGAATTTAGGTATACTGAGTAATTTTGAAAAGTATAATCCTTTTGTAATTGTTGTTGTGTGGGAAAAACTCCAGTAACTGTAGGTAATGAAGCGGGAGCTTGGAATGATCTCCATTTAATGATTTTTCTTTGTATTTTATTCGGAAATAAATTACTCCATCTACTGATTGGTGCTTTTTGTAAAATATTATTGGTGATTTCTCTTGAAGGGTTACATATTTCAATCCAAAATGAACTATATGGTAGTTCTTTTTCTGGTTCAGTTAATGAAGGCATTTTATCTCTAAATTTTTCACTGGTTCTTCTTTTTTCGTCTTTTATTGTAAATAAAGTTTCACTTTTTATAATTCTTGGAGAACTTGCATCTTTTCGATACGTTTCAATTTGTTTTGAAGCTATTGAAGGCGTTGGTGATGTAGCTTTTTCTTCACTGTTTTTATTAATGTTGTACAATTTAGATAATGCTGATGCATCACTAGGGAAAGCAACTACCCCTGACGCCAGTTGGGTTGTGGTGGAACTATTAGCAGGTAACAATGAAGTTCTATTATTAAAAATCAAAGAAAGTGTAGCTTTTGAATCTTTAACTTCAGGTGCTTTAAATTTAGGTTCTTCTTTTTTGAATTCAATTTTTTCTTTTCGTCGTATTGGTTTAAAAATTGATTCATCATATTTATCCATAACTTCACCTACATCTTTATTGATATGTAATCTTGAAATTCTTGCATCACTTGCTTCATTTTCCATAACTCCCATCATTTGTAATTCATATATCTTACATCGAGGAATCCATTGATTATCATCTGAACGGTCTTTATAAAATGATACATCACACCATATAGGAACACAATGACATACTTTACCGTCTCTTAAAAATCGAAATAATGGAGTTACATGTAATGGTGGTTGACTTAAACAAATGATATCTAGGCTTGTATCTATACTTGATATTTTCCTACTAGTTTCTAAAAGTAAATTAAAATCAACATCAAACAATCCAGTTCCAGGAGTAATTAACATGAAATGACTTAAAGAGTGTTTCAAATCTGTGTTTCTAAATCTATCATTAAGTAGTACTAATCCAACATTAACAGCTTCTAAAATATTCCCCTTTATTGATGGTAATGTTTGCCCCGGCATCAGATAATTCTGTAGTTCTTCTTTATTCAACATACAATCTCTTTTAAAATTTGCAAATTCTAATCTTAAATTTGCCATAATTCTATCCCAATGCATAATATTAACTTGATCAACAACTACTCTAAAATAATCTTGTCTTTGAGGCGGTCGTTCTCCTGGTAACAAATGTGTCCATGGTATGTCTGTTAAATCTATACTCGTGAATAAAACTATTGTAATGGAATGATGAGTACCTTTATCTCTCCATCTTCTAAAAATTTTGGGGAATAAATTATTTACTAATTTATGAAACATAATTTCTCCATTTTCTTCAAAATTCCACATCTCTCTAGAAAGTTGTATAAGTACCGTAAGTTTTGCACTTTCACTTCGATAAATAATTTTAGTTTCTTTACTTATGTATCCTGAAAATACTTTTCTACCATTTTTATACATATATTTGACAATCCCAGTTCTATTATTGAGGTAAGATAATCTTTGTTCGGTATAACAACAACCACCCATTAATGAAGAACTAAATTGCCACATTGCATCTCTTGATAAATTAACATCTTTTATGAATATTTCCATTGAATCAACTGCTACTGAATCTAGTTTAGTTAATTTTCTTATTTGTACTAGACTTCTTGGTGCTAAATCTAATAATTTTTGAAATGGATTTGACATAAGGGAAAGTTGTGATTTTCTATCCAGTGGTTTTAATTCAGGTGTATCATTTTGTTCTCTTATGTTTTTTTGATTTATTTTAAAAACTAATCTTTTAATAGGTTGTTCTAAACTTGTTAATTCCAAAATTTGACCTGATTGTACACCTCCAGCGAATGCATTTGAATCTATAAGTATATCTTCTGGTGTTGTTCTAATCTCATGAAACCATAAATTAACTTGAATTGGTTTATCTTCAATTTGTTGTGGTTGTGATTCAACTTTTTTGGTTTCCACGTCATGATTATTTCTTCGACTAACTGTTATAGATGATCCTTTACTTTTATTTACACCGTTGGATCCAATTGTTATACTTGCATGATTAGCTGACATTCTAGGTTGACTACCTTTTGTTGGTGTTATGATCCTTGCATGTTGCATTTAATACTTTGATTTGGTATTGGTTGTAAAAAAAAATTTATTTGGGACTATAAATTTACGAGACCCCAAATATTGAAGATCAACTAAAAAATAAAATGTTATACAGGTTTAGATATGACAATACTACTTGACTAGTACTTGCACTAAATATTATCAGTTTGATTCTATAAAACATATATATATATATACTATGCAACTTTTAAAAAACTTTCAATCTTGAGTTAATCTTAGTTCTCTTATAAGGTTTATTTATCACTTCCATCTATTTACAAAATTTTAAAACAAATTCATCTATAAAATATTGATGAAATCTATAATCATCTGAAAGTTCTGGATGAAATGAAGTACCTAGTATTCTACCTTGTCTAACAGCTACTATCAATTCTTTATCACCATGATAATTCTGTAATTTATACAATATTTCAACAGGTGCAGGATTGTTGTAATTATTTCCATTTTTATTAAATTCTCCATCTAATATTTTTGTAACTACTGGTGCTCTTATAAATATAGTTGGAAAATCATTACAACCTTCAATAAATTCACTAAAATCTAATTTTTTTTCAAATGAATCAACTTGTCTACCAAATGCATTTCTATTAACTTGAATATTTAATCCACCAAGACATTTTTGATCTTTAACTCCATTTAAAATATCTTTTGATAAAAAAATTAATCCTGCACAAGTACCCCAAATTGATTTGGATTCATCTGCTATAAAATTATATAAATGTGGTAATAATTCTGTTCTTTCTGCTATGTATGACATTGTACTACTTTCTCCACCTGGTATTACCAAAGAATCACATTGATTTAATTGATCTTTTGTTCTAACTTGTATAATATTGAATGAATAATTTAAATATTGTTGTTCATTATTAGTTATAGCTTTTTTAAAATATAATTCATGTTCAAGAAATGCTCCTTGTAAACTTAGTACACCAATTGTTATATTCTTGGTCTTTGTCATTATAAATAGGTATTAAGTTGTTGCAAAATTGAGATCAGAAGAATGGAATTAAATTTGAAATATGGTAAAATGTGACCTTTTAGTATAGTATAAATAAAAATACATAAACACAAAATCAACTCTATTAACAATTAAATAAAAGTCAACTTAAACGCATAAAATTTTTCAATTCTTATCAATTAAATAAAAATTACAAGAAAATTTAATGAATCAATTTTATGACTAAGAAAAAATCTATGTATTGACGAATTAAATAATTAAAAGAAAAGTATAATAAACTATTAACTCTAAGCCATATAGATGTAATTAAATTAACTCTGTTAATTCATGACTCTTATATTCACGAATATATGAATATTCGGATAAGTTTATTAATAGAAATATATTACATCAATTGTTAATGATTGACATATGCATTATATAAATAATGTAATTAATAATAAAAAAATAAAATAAAAAAAATAAAAAATAATGCGGGGCAAGTATCCGTTTATTTCCTTAAATTTTTGAGTTTTTAAAATCTTAAATTAAGATCTATATTGTATTAAAATAGACTCTGTTTTTATTAATAGAATATGGCAAATGAGTAATTAAATTTCTATTGAAAGTTCTACTTTAATAATCATGATATAACAATGTTAAACTAATATGGTTATCCAAATTAACTATTCAAATGACTCAACAATTAAATTAAAAATTTGAAACAAGTTTTAATTTTTTTTATTTACGTAATCTCAATAGTTTACACAAAAACACAAAGGAAGTCAAAAAGAGTAATTGTTGCAAACGATTGAAATTTTTCAAAATTTTTCAATATATATTTAATCAAACTAATATATCATTTCTTTTAATCAATACTTCATTTAAAGGTTTTGAAATTAACCAAATCAATAATACTTAGCTTATCAGGCTCAACTAACCTATTTATTTTGCATATAACAGATAGTAATAAATTTATTGCTACAAATCAACTAATTTAACTCAAAAAATGTCAGATTTTAAATTAAAAAGTGGATTAGCTCAAATGCTCAAGGGGGGTTGCATAATGGATGTAACTAATGAGGCCCAAGCTGCTCTTGCTAGTAAAAGTGGAGCAATTTCTATAATGGTTCTTGAAAAAGTTCCAAGTGAATTAAGAAAAAATAATCAATTAGCAAGAATGAGTGATCCAAAACTTATAAAAGATATAATGAATTCAGGTATAACTATTCCAATAATGGCAAAATGTAGAATTGGTCATTTTGTTGAAGCACAAATTTTACAAGCACTTGAAATTGATTTTATTGATGAATCTGAAGTTCTTAGTTGTGCTGATTATAGTGATCATATTAATAAAAATAATTTTAAAGTACCTTTTGTATGTGGAGCTAGAAATTTAGGTGAAGCATTAAGAAGAATTAATGAAGGTGCAGCAATGATTAGATGTAAAGGTGAAGCAGGTACTGGAGATGTTTCATCAGCTGTAACTCATATCAAGACATTAACCAAGGAAATTGCTGAAGCTCAAAAATTAACAACAGAACAAGAAAAAATAGAATTAGCTAAAGAATTAAGAGTTCCAATTGAATTAATTAATGAAGTTATTAAATTAGGTAGATTACCAGTTGTTACTTTTGCAGCAGGTGGGATAGCAACACCAGCAGATGCAGCTTTATTAATGCAATTAGGATGTGATGGAGTTTTTGTTGGTTCTGGGATTTTTAATTCAAAAAATCCTGAAAAATTAGCAAAAGCTATTGTTAATGCTGTTACTCATTATAATGATCCTGTTAAATTATTGGAATATTCTACTGATTTAGGTGAATTAATGCATGGTACTCCTATTGATACTATTAAAGAAGCTGATAGATTAGAAAAAAGAGGTTGGTAAAAAAAATGTAAATAGAATTAAATTTTTAAAATGAAAATATATATATATATGTTAGTGTTCTAAGACATTGTTGTTGAAAAACATTTGTAGATGTTATATTAATTCGTCTGTTTCGCTAATATAAGAAACTTCTAATTTGAATGCAATGAATGTATATTGATGTTGTTGTTCATGCGTCTCTATAAAGACCAAGCACAACACAGGCATAATTCATGTTTGAATAGAATCAACAAGATAAATGGATGAAAAATTTTAACCAAACCATAATAAGATAAACCCATACAATCGATAAAATATTCATTGGCATTTCAAACTTTCCTGAATTAAAATATGGATTCAATCTAACACAACTTGATAACCATCCAGGATCGTTTATCATATCTTTGAATACAAAAAAAAAAATTCTTTCGGAACTCTAACCAACAAAGGAATAGTATTGAATAAAATACCAATATTGTTTCCAGCAGCAACAAGTCTAATAAACAACTCTAGCAGTAAATGCATTAACAAATTAACAACTCACAAATTTTCCCAAAAATACCAAATAACAATGAAATGTCTAAGGTGTATAGTCCTAATACAACTCTATCAAAGCCAAAATCAAAACAATAACAACATAGGTAGAACTCAAATAAGCAAAACACCAAAACATATTAGAATATTAATTCTTGATTAAATCAAGCATTCTTTTAAAAAATTCTAGACACTAAAGAATGAGCTGAAGAATGTGAATATATACCAGTTTATTTCGCCAACGAAAAGCCAAAAAAATCAAATGAAGAATATTATGAACAAAAGTCCACATATTAGTCCTGGACTACCACCCATACTAATGATAACGTTAAGATGAGTACCTATATCCAATGCTGATCATATTAATATTATTTGAAATGAACAAGTTGATAATAGGTTGAAATTTTTGTTCCAATTTTTTATCTTAATTGATCTCTATAACTGCTATTGTTTAATATATTTTCTCAGTCATTTGTGAATTTGAATTGGTGACTTATCAAATTTGAGAAATGTTCAATATGAATCATTTTGACTAATCTAATTGGTAAGATTAATAGTCAATAAGTAAATATTATGAGGCGGAATTTGTGAGTTATTATAAAAAATTCCATTATTTGATAAGACATCGCGGTTAAGACCACTATATTAAGTATAATAATAAAAATCTTATCTATTTTGATTGTTTTATCTTTCACTATTTAAAATATTTCAAAAATTTTGATTGATTATGTAATATTTAATTAATCCGATAATTATTCTCTTGTTACTTTTAATTAGTGAATATATATTAAATGATTTATATTAAGATCTACTTCTGAATATTTATTAATCTAGAATTTCAAATACAACTAAAAAATTGTTTTAATATAACGGAATCTTTATTCCTAATTTTTTTGCGGGAAGTAGATAACAAAATTTTTATACAATGTACATAATCTATTTGTTAGTTTAAATTTAATAAATTTATTTAAAATTTAGCTGCAACAAATGTTAAATTTGAAAATTAATCAACTTTCATATAAGAATCAGTAAAGATCCATCATACAAAGTTGTAAATTTTAAATGAATTGAAATAATCAACCAAATATTGAAATTTTGGCATTTGGTCAAAATCAAGTACAACTAGATAACAACTTTTAAAAAAAATGGGGGTTGATAAATCAATCACAACCAATATCGATGTTGAAAAATTATCATTAGATGAAAATGAATCAACTACAAGTTCAAATGATTTTAAAGCTAAAATAAATATTGAAAAACATGGTATTACAAAAAGAGGTCTAAATGCAAGACATGTAAATTTAATGATTATTTCACAATCTGTTGGATCTGGATTATTTATATCTATAAAAACACCTTTAGTAACTAGTGGAAGTTTAGGGTTTTTTATAGCTTTTGCCATATGGGCATTTTTAGTAGTTTATCCGCTTATGCAAGCAGTTGGGATTTTATGTTGTTGGTTACCAATAAAGGGAAGTTTTGTTCATTTTAGTGGACGTTATGTTGATACATCTTTAGGATTTGCTACATCAATTATTTATATATATACAACAATGATGTTTGTTTGTTTGGAAGCTACAGCAGTTGCTCAATGTATAAGTTATTGGACAAATTTAAATCCTGGAGTTTGGATTACTATATGTATTGTATTATATGTATTAATGGGTCTTGTTGGAGTTAATTATTATGGAGAAATTGAATTTTTTACTGGAATAATGAAAATTTTTTTAATTGTTGGATTAATGTTATTTTCTTTAATTTCAATGTGTGGAGGCAATCCAAAGGGAGATGCTTATGGTTTTAAGAACTGGCATCCTTTATTTAAACCTTATTTAGTTGAAGGAAATACTGGGAAATTTTTAGCATTTTGGAATTCTTTACTTTGGGCAGCTTTTGCTGCTGGTGGTGCTGATAATTTAGCATTAATTGCTGGTGAAGTTATTAATCCACGCAAGAATATTGCAATGGCTGCTAAAAGAAGTTATATTAGAATTTATTTATTTTATATTGGTGGGATTTTTTTTTTAAATTCTTTAATATCTGCAAATAGTCCATTATTACTTGATGCTATTAAAAATGGAGGTGAAGGAGCTGCTGGATCTCCTTGGGTTATTGGTATTAAATCTGTTGGAGTTAAAGGTTTGGATTCATTAATTAATGCATTAATTATGAGTTCTGCTTTTTCATGTGGTAATGCATTTTTTTATTGTTCAACAAGATCAATATATTCAGCTGCAATTGCAGGTTATTTACCTAGATTTTTTGGTAAATGTTTAAAAAATGGAGCACCAGTATATTGTGTAATGTTAACATTTGCAGTTTCACTATTAAGTTATTTAAATGTATCAAATTCTGGAGTGGTTGTATTTAATTGGTTTGTTAATTTATGTGCTACTGGATTAATTTGTGCTTATCTTTGTATATTTTGGAGTTATTTTAATTTTAGAAAAGCTTGGGAAAAACAAAATAATTTAAAAATGAAACATCCACAATATCCATATTATTTAGGTCCTAAATTTTTACATCCAATTTTAACATATACTGGATTAATAATCACTATTTTGGTTTTATTTTTCAATGGATTTTGGATTTTTTTCCCAGGAAATTTTAATGCTTCTAATTTTTTAACTAGTTATTTTGCTCCAATCTTTTTGGTTTGTTTGTTTTTGTTTTGGAAAATCCTCAAGAGAACTAAATTTAAAACTAGTTTAACTGCTGATATAACTACTGATAAAAAGGAAATTGATGAAGAAGAAGAAGCTGAATTACAAGAATTGGAAAATATACCAAAAAGTAATAATAAATTTATGAATTTTTTTGCAAAAATTAATACTTTTTTATTTGATTAGAATTATTTAGGTTTGTTTTATAGATAACTGGTTTATTTAATGGTGCAAAATCTAGAAATTTGAAACGTGCGTATATATACTTCTCTACCGCAATAATATATAAAGTTATTTTTCTTAGTCAAAATTTTTGGAAAATGTGGGGATCTCATAACTAAAGGCAATATGTAGCTGCAATTAAGAATATAAAGTGGTCTTTTTGATCCCGTTGAAAGTCGTTGGTGAGATATAAATTGGATTTTTAGTCAATTCAATTTTACCAAAATTTGTATCGATATATCTCAAAAGATTAAAATAAATTTTGAAAATTCAAAGTGCAAAAAAGTTTGCTTGAAGTAATATCGATTCATTTACAAAACTTGTACAACCTAGAGACCCTTAGAACTCAAGCATTTTTTCTAGAAAGTAATACGTTTGAGTCGCAACGTTTGTAGTCGAACTCTGATCAAGAAATGTTCATAAATAGCTTGGTCAGAAGAAAAAAATGCCGTTCAAGATCATAATTCTAGCAAAAATTTAAGAAAATTGGATGAATCTTATCTCTAGACTCGCAATTGTGGTGCACATCACAGACTTTCAAAGGTCAAGATATGATGTGTTGTGTTGAATCTACATTTTTTTGAATCTAAACATTAAATCGTCACTTTACTAACTTTTTTCTGACATTTCTTAACTCTTGCTCACATATTAAGCCATTATTTGAAATAATCTTTAACCTTGAATATATTATACCATCATAATCTTTCAAGCTAGTCGTCTACACTTTTGTTGAATAGGTTAAAAGATCATTAATCAGAATATTTCGGACTTTATTCTCCATCTTAGTTTTTGGGTTGCAAAAAAAGATTCCAAAATGCCGTTGGAAGAAAGAGAAAAAAAAATCTCGTATTTAATACCATAAAGATGTAAATTCAAGTACCCCAGTTTTGAATTTTTGACTCAGATACTTTGATTTAGATGAAGGCTTAGAATTAAAATTCATCTCATTACTCATTAAATTTATTTCGTCGTTAATAAAAATTAAATTATACCGTTTTATATAAATATTTTTGCAAAGTATCTAAGGTATATTAATTATCAATAAAATTGAATATATTAGTACCGTAAGTAGTCTAAGAAAAATTATTATAAAATGTCAAAGGAATAATTTTAAATCTAAATTTTTAAAAAAAATATGTCAAAAATTTAAATTCTTTTAATTATATTTTAATTTTCTTTAAACCTTTTTTTTTATAACTTAAAGTCTTTTCACAATCAAATTTAAATTGTTTATAGATCGTAAGATCTTTGAATTTTGATTACAGACTCTTTTAAGATGATTCAGTTTCAAATCATTGCCTCTTTTTTCATTGCATTTAATTAATTGATAAAGAGAACTTCAGTAATGTCAAAAGATTAATTGATTTATTTTTTCTGGGCTATTTTATGCTAGATAAAATAGTTTTATATTTATATAGATATATTGAACTAACTAGCAACTAAATTATTAAATTTCATAGACAATCAAATGTATATAAAGAAAATTAATAAATTTAAAAGATAAGGATATAATGGTTTTAATAAGTTTATCAAAAGACAAGATTTTAATAAATAGAAAATCTATACTATAATATGTAGGAGCAAATTGTATATAGGTGGAGAGTCTAATAATATTTAATATGAATGATTTACATGTAATCCCCGCCCCGACTATTTATATTTAATGTATTTAATTTATCTTTTCTTCTTAGAACGTATGATTTGAAAAAGATCGAATAAATATTTATACCAAAGTCATCGTTATGTACTACTGAAACTGCTGAATTGTCAATTTTTTTAAACGGCATTTGTTTTGTAATTTATTTATAAAAAAATAAAAATAAAATATAAAAATAAAAATAAAAATAAAAATAAAAAGTTTAAATTTCTTTTAAGAAAAAAATTATTTTCTTTATAATTTTAAACTTTTCTTGGCAGTAACAATAAAACAAATTCAAATCAAAAAGAGAGAGAAAGAAGATGGAATTAAATGATAACAAGAGCTTATCAATAATTTAAAAGAAGTATTAAAATTTGCATATTTTCACATTAAGGGTTTTTAATTTTTTGACAGGTTGGTAAGAGAAGTATTTGACAATAAATTCAGTCTAAATTACAATTATAACTGTACCTAATGGATAAAATTGAAAATCTTTTTCTCTCTTTTACTGTCAAATTTAAGAAAGAAAGGAAGTAAGACAAATAATAATTAATAAATACTTATTATGTAGTAAATGCTACATGTGTAAAATATTTTCAATTCTCTTTTGTGTTATTGATAAACAAAATAAATAATTTGAAAAAGTAATTAGATTATAATTATTGGGGTTTATATTGATTTCTTTTCTTTTTGTTTAGTTTAATTTTCCCATCTTTAGTTTAATATTTTTCAATTCATATAAATAGTTTTTCAAATCTCCGAAATTTATTAAATTTTCCATGAAATTATTTGTTTTCCACTTTTAAATCTCTTCATTCATTTTAATTGTATTAATAACTTATTTCATAAATGGTATTTGGAAATACAAGTACTAGTATAAGTGATGGAGAAAAAAATCCTACTCATAATTCACAAGATAATGATTTAAAATCAATAGTTTCAAAACAACATGAAGAAGAATATGATTTATATGTTGCAAAATCAAATCCAAGTGCAACTAATGCTCAAGATGGTCATAGATTAAGAAAAGCTTTGGATCCAAGACATGTTAGTATGATTGCTATTGGTGGTGCTTTAGGGTATGTTTAATATAAGAAGAAAATCTATTTTTGACTTTGTTTGAAATTTTTTGGATATGTTCTTTTTAAAAATAATAAATTTTTTCTAAAGTTTAAAGTTTTGGTTTTAACACAAAATTGGAACTGTTGCAAAATGTCAAAGAAACAAGAACTGAACCGATTCAAAATTTATCCGATAGCCAGGAATCACATTATATCAAAATACTAACTCTCGATTTTTTATAGTACTGGTTTATTAATTGGAACAGGTAGTTCATTAAAAACAGCAGGTCCAGCAGCAATTTTAATTACATATTCATTAATTGGAGCAGTTGTTTGGATAGTAATGTCAGCATTAGGAGAAATAAGTACTTTTATTCCATTAAATGGATTTGCAAATTATGGGAAAAGATATAGTGATGAAGCTTTAGGATTTGCATGTGGTTATGTTTATTTAATTAAATATTTAATATTACCGGCTAATCAAATGACTGCTGGTGCTTTAACTATTCAATATTGGATTTCAAGAGATAGAGTTAATCCTGGAGTTTGGATTACTGTATTTTTAGTTATAATTATGGGTATTAATTTTTTAGGGGTTAGATTTTTTGGAGAAATTGAATTTTGGTTAAGTGCTTTAAAAGTTATTACTTGTTTAGGATTGATTTTAGTATTATGGGTTATTGCATTAGGTGGTGGACCAACTCATGATAGAATTGGGTTTAGATATTGGAAACATCCAGGTGCTTTCATTGAATATCTGGATTCAACTAAAGACTTAATTATTCATGGTGGAAAAGGAAGATTTGTTTCATTTGTTGCTGTTTTAGTTACTGCTGTATTTGCTTATTTAGGAACTGAATTAGTTGCTATTACTTTTAGTGAAACTAGAAATCCAAGAAAAGCTATACCAAAAGCTATTAAATTAACTTTATATCGTATTTTGGTTTTTTATATTTTATCTATTTTATTTGTTGGTATGTGTGTTAGTGCTAAAGATCCATTATTATTATCTGCAAAAGGTACAAATGCAGGTGCTTCACCTTTTGTTATTGCCATCAAAAATGCTAGAATCAGAGGTTTAGATCATGTTATTAATGCATGTATTTTATTGTTTGTTTTTTCAGCTGCTAATTCAGATGTTTATGTTTGTAGTAGAGCTTTATATTCATTAGCTGCTGATGGTTATGCTCCTAAATTTTTTACAAAAACAAATAGATTAGGTGTTCCTTATTATGGTTTAGGTTTATCATTATTATTTAGTTTATTGGCTTATATGAATGTTTCAAGTGGTTCAGCAGAAATTTTTGGATATTTTGTTAATGTGGTTTCCTTATGTGTATGTAAAAGTTGAGATTTATCTGAAGAGGGTAGGAACTCGCTCAGATGGTTGATATTATGGAGTTTCAAAAGAATAATGTTTTCTTTTTTTACCTCATTTATTATTTTCAAAAATATTTTACTAACTTCAATAATTTTAGGGTTTACTTGCTTGGATATGTATTTTAATCTATCACATTTGTTTCATGAGAGCATTAAAAGCACAAGGCTTTTCAAGGAAAAAAGATTTAGTATACAGAGCACCATTACAACCATACGCTTCATATTTTGCATTAACTGTATGTGTTATAATTGTATTTATTAAAAATTTCACAGTATTTTTAGGTGATGAATTCACTTATAAATCTTTTATAACTGGATATATTGTATTACCAGTATTTATATTATTATTTGTTGGATACAAGTTATGGTACAAAACCAAATGGTTAAAACCACAAGAAGTTGATTTAGATACTTTTAGAGATGTTATTGATGCTGAATTTGAACAATATCAAGCTGAAGATGCTGAAAGAAAAGCTGTTAGAGAAGCTGAAGGTAAAAAATATGATAGGGAATGGCTTTATGATAAAACTTTAGGATGGATTTTTTAAAGATTTTGTAATGATGTATAGTTTATGAATTAATTATTTATTAAGGTAGATTTTGATTGATGAGATTTTGTAATTGTCTTTGCCCGATGTTTTTTTCGCAACAAGATATGTTTTAAAATTTGTAACACAAAGACGAAACCAAATCAAATATATTTTGTTTACACAAAACATGTGAAATTTTCAAGTTCATCAACAACCACCAAAGATAAATGGATGAGATCAAGATTGAGAAGCTATCGATAGAAGATGATGATATAGATACGATACTAAATGGACTATCAAAGTACTTCACAATTGGAGAAACAAAATACGGAGGTAGAGGATGTTTTGCAACTTCATCAATTCCCAAGGGGACCAAAATTCATTATTGTTCAAAACCAGTTGGATCCACAATTACAAAACCATTTAAAAAAGAAGTTTGTAATTATTGTTTTAAATACGATAATGGACAAATTATGAAATCTAAAATTTCAAGTTCATCAGGAAAAGAATCAATTTATTTTTGTAGTGATGAATGTATTACAAATTTTTTGAATCAAGATGATGATAATAATAAAATATTATTACAAAATTTATTAGCTGTGGAGAGAAATTATTTATTGGGATTAAAGAAACCTGAAGATGAATTAAAAGAACCACAAGGTGATTTAAATGAACAAATTAAGTTGGAATGGGAAAAAGTTGATAAATGGAATAAAGAATTGACTTTATTAAAAGAAACTCAAAAATTACAAAAAATCCCTAGAATAGATGAAAGTGAATACTTAGAAATCAAATACGTAGTTCACGTACTATTTAACATGTATAAATACAAATCATCACCACAACAAGATCCAATGAAATTAGAAATGATACTATTTGATATACTACAATCAACAGAAATTGAAAAATATCATAAATACCCTTACTTATTATATTCATATATAAACATGTATAAATTTATCAAATTAACATGCACAAAAGAATTAAAACCTTACATAACCCCCACCACAGTAAGATCAATAATCGGTAAAAATCTATCAAATGCATTTGGAATATGGTCACATACACTCACCCAAAATGAAGATAAAGAATTCTTGGGGTTTGCAGTATATCCATCAGCTTCATTTTTTAATCATTCATGTTCACCAAATATTTTAAAAATCAGAAATAAACAAGATATAAGATTTGAAACAACACGAGAAATTTTACCAAATGAAGAATTATGTATTAGTTATGGGAATTTTCAAGATGAAGATGTTATAACTAGAAAATTACAATTAAAAGAATGGTTTTTCGATTGTGGATGTAATAAATGTATTAGTGAAGATCAAAATCAAGTGAAATCAAATTCAGTATAAAATTTTTTAAATTCTTCACAATCTGACATTTCTTTAAATTTAGGTTGTTGACATTTATCCCATTGTAATCGATCTGGTAAATTTAATAAATGTGCTAATACTCTACGAGGAAATTGGAAATCAAAATTTTGATCGGGGTGTAGTTTTGTTATATAAATCTTTATACCTGTTTGTGAATATATTGTAAATTTTATAAAATCTGAATTTTCAAATTGTGTAAGTTCTGGATCATTTTCAGTAAATTTTTCAAATTTCAATTCTTGATTTCTTTTAGATTTTTCATTATTTAATTTTACTCTAAAATTTAAGGAATTTTCAAATTTATCTAGTATTGATTCATATACGGGTAAAAATTGAACATTATGATGAACATTATTAAATCTATTAACTTCAAACACAATTAATGCTAAAAATGGTTTTTGTTTGACAAATGCAGAATATATTGTGGTTTGAAACTTATTGATTTCTTGTCGTATCAATTCATCTTCCTTTTTTATACTTGACACGTGTTGAATAGGTATAATAATTCCATGACCAGAAAATGATAAATCTTTATTTGATCTTGTTAATGGACCTTTTGCAATAGTTAAATAAGCTTGCGATCCAATTGAGACAATCATATGAGTTTCAGTTTTGGGATTACTTAAACAAAAGAAACATTCATCTGGTGTTACTACTTTAGCTTTCTTAACTGGTGCCTTATTAACTTCTGCTACTCTTTTTTTCGAAGTGAATGGATTATCTATAAATTTTAAATCAGTATCTTCTTTATCTTCTAAAGTGAATGCATAAAACCATTTCCCACCACTTCCTTCTTGACCTAAACTTATAAACCTCGTAATTTCTCCACTTGACCATTTAAAAGGTTCTAGTTCACAAAATATACCTTCTTCTGTTCCTACTGCAAAATGATATTTTGGTTTTATTTGTTGCACTAACAAATCTACTAGATCATCCGATACTTGTGTATACTTTTCAACTTGTGCTATTGCTGATGGCCATTTGTAAGTAAATAAAAGATCTAATTTGATTCTAATTTTTGAAGTTTTAGTTATTGTTTCTTTTGTTAGTGGACCTGATAGGATTAATATTGTTGTACCTGTGATTAACTTTATAATTGAGAATGGTGGTTTTACGTAAGTTAGGTTATCCAGTATATCAATTAATGATGAATCTGCTTCTTTTATTTCTTGTGATATCCCATTTACTCCTTGTCCAAAATAAGTACTTTCATTTAACGTAATTGTTGGTAATTCTTTGTCTTCTGGAATTACATCACCTAATAAAATTGTTGCAGCAAAGGGACCATTTTTCTTATTTTGAAGATTAGCTTTTTCTAATATTTTATCTAGATCATTAGGATTAGGATTTAGCACCAATATCTTACTCATCTTTCGGTGGTTACTTTAGATGAAAGTCCGATGCTCTTTTCTTGAGTTCTGCATGTAGTAATTTTGTACCGAATCAGGTACAAAACTGTTTTTTGTTTACATTTTTGAAATTCTTAAAATTCAAACTACAACCGGTACCAACACAATGGAAAATAAGAATCAAAATAACATCAAAGTACTCGTCAGAGTGCGACCACTACTATCTAGAGAAATTCAAGATGAAATACCCCACTCATTAGTGTCAATGCCTCCTGGTGCAAAACAAACCACACTCAGAAATCCCAAAACAAATGAATCAAAATCATTCTACTTTGATGATTGTATATGGTCATTCAATAAGCAAGATCATCATTATATTGACAATTTCAATTTCTACAAACAAACAGGACCAGATTTGTTAACTCATTTATTTGAAGGTTATAATGTATGTTTATTAGCGTACGGTCAAACAAGTTCTGGAAAAACTTATACAATGATGGGAGATCAAACTCAACCAGGTATTATCCCTTCATTAATGAATGATATTTTAAAACAAATGGAATTATCAATAAATCAAAAAATTCATTGTGAATTAAAATTTTCATATATGGAAATTTATAATGAAAAAGTTAAAGATTTACTTAATCATAACGATTTAAAATGTAAAGTTAGAGAACATCCCATTACGGGTCCATATATTGAAAATTTAAAAGAATACACTATTAAAAACTACAATCGTTTCTTGCATTTATTGAATACTGGTAATTCAATAAGATCAACTGCTACAACACAAATGAATGATCAAAGTTCAAGATCTCATGCTATTATTACTTTAACTTTAAAACAAATTAAATTTGAAAATAATGATGAAGGAGAAGGGATTGGAGAAGCAAGTGAAGAAATGATATCAAATATTAAATTGGTTGATTTGGCAGGTTCCGAAAGATTAACTAAGACAAAACTATATGGACAAAATGATAGAATTAAAGAAGGTGCTTTGATAAATAAATCATTAACTGTTTTAGGGAGGTGTATACATTTATTATCCACTAAGACAAAAGCAGTTGTACCATATAGAGACTCCATCTTAACATACATCCTAAAGGAAAATTTAGCAGGAAATTCCAAAACCTGTATGTTATTTTGTATATCACCATTAGATTATGAAGAAAGTCACCAAACTTTAAACTATGCAAATGAAGTTAAAAAAATCAAAACTTTAGCAAGAGCAAATAAAACTAAATTATCAACTATTATAAATTGGGAAGAATTACAAAAAACTGATCAATCAATTATAGATTCTTTAAAAGATGAAATTGAATCCCTCACAAGTAAATTATCAAATTTGGAGACTGAAAATAATTCAAGATCATCAACACCTCCTCAAACACATTTGGACTTTCATAAAATTATAGAATACTTGGAAAAAGATTCATCAAAGATAAAATTTGAGAATTTATATTTAAAAAATCAATTAAGTAAGAAAAATAATCACATTATGGAATTAAATAAACATATAAATTATATTGAAGATGAATATCAGAGATTACATAATGATTATCAAAACCTATACAATCAAAAATTTGAAACTACAAAAAATCAACTAATTAATGAAATTCAAATTTGTAATGACAGTTTCAAAACTGATTTATCTGAATTTGATCCAAAATTATTTTAGAGAAATATATATTCTTACACAGAGATTAAACCTTTCACTCTCAGAAGCTTTTGGTTATTTCTCACTACCAACTCGAGATATAGTTATAATTACTCCATAATATTCTTAATTTTGTACTATTCTTGGCTAGATAATAATTTATCGTAAAATTATTAAAACTTGTTTGGTAGCATTGTCCCCGCTTTATTTTGCTATGATAGATTTAATATATGAACTACTAGTGACCAATCTGTATATTGATTAGTGTTGGTCCAAAAATCAGGTTTAAGAAGTACTTCAAAAACAAGTTGAGTTTTTGCTGTTCCTTCTCCTTATCATTAAATCTATCCTGGTTGTACGTTTATTTTTATTTATTACATGATCTAATAATTCTATTAATATTGAAAATCTCTAATAATTAAATTATGCGAAATTTTATATTTAGAGAAATAAATAGAAATTTATAAATTTATAATTTTAATTTACAACCAAATTTTATATTTCATTATTTTCCTTATCTTCAATCATATATATTTCATATTTACATTATCACTATTGAATCAAAACATATGAGTGATCTAATCGATAATTTATTCAATACATCAGTACAGCTGGCTGTACAATTAACAAATCAAACAAAAAAACCATTATTTGTATATATTCAACTGGTAAATTCGGCTATAAATGTTGATTTTTTAAATAAATTCATAGACAACAAATCGATATCAACACTGAAAACAAATTTCATATTACTCAAACTTATTGAAAATTCAACAGAGTTTGAATATTTTACACAAATTTATAAAAATTTAATAATACCCAGTTTTAATATTGTTAAGGAAGGAAAACTTGAGGCTGTAATTACAAATAATACAACTATCCAAGAATTTGAAAATATTATGATGAAATTTAGTAAAAAATCAATAGACACAATCAATAACTTATCACCTTCATCATCAACCTCGATAAATCAAAATCAAAATTCTACAACTACCCCCACTATCAACACCCAAAATTCAAATTTAACAGATCATGATATATCAGTATTAAAACATAAACAAATAGTAGCACAACTGAAGAAAGAACAATTAAAAGAAAAACAAAGACTAAGGGAACTTCTAAAAGCTGATCAAAGAGAAAGAGAAAGTAGAATTAAGGAAGAACAAAAAAAACATATACAAGAACCACAAACCGCTCTAGAAAAACCAAAATCTACAATAGAACATCAAGATTGTGTATTAGCAATTAAATTATTTGATGGATCCACAATCAAAAAAGAATTTAATTCGAATGAATCACTAATAGATGTTCGAAAATTCTTAGATGAAGATATAAATATTATTCCATCAACAAGTAATATGCCATCTTTTGCAAGTACTACATACTTGTACCCAACAGGTTATTCATTCCATAGACCTACATTACCAAGAATCACATATACTGAAGAACAAGAATCAACATCATTACAAGCATTAGATTTAACTCCAAGATCAATTCTTATATTAAAACCAATATATTCTGAATCTCAATCAAATAATGTTTCTCCTTATAATGAAAAGGGAATATTTAAAAACTTATATAAAGGTGTTGGAAAATTAGGTAATGCATTAATGTCATTTTTTGATTATGGAGTTGACGATTTAAGAAATTATAATCAAGAAGATTCCGAAATGCATTTATCACCATCACAATCATCTCAACAACAACATCAACATCATCAACATCAACCAGTTCCAGAAATACCACCACCAGTAGTTCCCGGATTCTTAGGTATAGGAGAAAGAGGATTATCATCATCTTTATTAAGTATTCATGATGATAGAAATGATGGTTATATATCTGAATCAATCCATTCTGATATAAATATACATGAATTACAACAAAATTCAAGAGCTTCAAGTCCAAGATATAATGGAAATAGTGTTAATTTAAATGAAAGAGATGAAGATAAATATAATTAAATAGTTTTAATTTTTAATAAATTTTTCAAATTTTTTTTTTTCAAATTCAATAAATAATACATTAGAAGAAAAATAAGCTCTATAAATAGCTAGAACAAGTAATACAAAACTTTTATCTTTAGCACCCCAAACCCTAGAATCAACCACCACCACCATACATATTATTCAAAACTTGAATTTCATCACCATCAACTAATTCTAAATCTTCAGGAGTATGATGAGGTAAAACTCTTGTACCATCTAATAAAAATCTATGAGCTTCAAATTCAATTTCTCTTCTTTTACAATAAATCTCCATAGCTTTACCTAGTTTACTTGTCCATGGAACTAACAATTCTAAATCAAATTTAGATGGATCAGTGATTTTAATGTTTATTTTACGATGTTTATCTTTATTTGTTGATTTTGATGATTTTGATGATGGTTTTGAATCATCTTCTTCTTCTTCTTGAACAAAAAAATCTGTAGTATTTTCTTCTTCTATATAGTCTTCTGGGTCGGGTGATATAGTTGTATCATTATTTGCCATTGATATTTGTGTTAGATAGGTTTTTTACTTGTGATTTAAATGTGTTTAGTTTGATATGTCTCGAGATTATTTTTATTTTTAAAAAAAAAGTTGAATTTGTGAATTTTTTATAAATTTTCATCACACAAAATTGGAAATCTGACGCGTCTTTTGATAATTTATTTAAAGTAACTTACAAAACGGTATCAACCTATCAGATTATTGACCAACTTTAGGAGTAATGGAATTAGGCACCTGGATTTACTGATTGCTAGTTATAATATATATTGAAACCTCACTTGAAATATGTACCAAAATCATTTGTTATGAAGTTGATGAAGGTTAATGACAATAATTTTTACAATAGTTTTATTTGCACCCAAAATTTGTTTCAGATTTTTACGCAAAGTAATAATTGAAAAATAGTCATACAATCAAGAGTCTTACCGACTAACAAATAGTCACATTTATTTACGAAGTATTTACTTAATTCAACTATTTATCCAAAATATTCGATACAACCACAAGAATTTCTTCCACCTAATTGTCCATAATGAACTTGAACCATATCACCATCCTCCAATTCAAGTGATTCAGGAGTGTCAAAAACTTGTACCCGAGCACCATCAACTAAAAACCTATGCTTGCTCAATAATATCTTACGTTCTTGGCAATAACGCTCCATTACACTTGACATTTTTGAAGTTCTTGAGACTTTAAACCACATTTCATGAGATGTCATATCTGATAGAACCAAACGAATTGAATTTGGATCGATTTTTTCCTCTAATTTCACATTATTGTTCTTCATTCGAGGTTTTGACATAAGTAAAATTGGTTCATTTGGTGATTGAATTGTTTGAGATTGAAATTGATTCGTGATATCATCAATTTCTTTTTCTGAAGTTTCTGTCGTTTTAGGTTTTTCTTCTTTCGTAGTTTGATCCTTTATTTGCATACTGATTGGTTGTTATAAAACTAAATTTTAGTCATTAATTAATCTACAAGAATCAGCGGTTAATGATAGGTTTTATATAACTCAATTAAAATTAATGTTTGGCAAGAATACGTAATCAGCAAATCTCTCAGGGTTTGTTATACTTACTAAGTTTAATACATTGCAGATTTTAAGTCATAATTCAAATTACTTATTCGACCCTTTTATTTAATTAAACTACGTAGTAAAAAACATGCAATGTAAGAGAGTCTGGTTATTATTTCCATAATTTTGTATTAAAATTGTATGTAAAATTCAATTAAAGATAAGAGAAATCTAATCAATTTTCAATTTCTATACAGTACTTTATTTTACAACAAATCTAAATGGAAAGATCAAATTTAGAAAATCTACTACGATTTCCAGGTTATAATAAAATTATAAATGATGCTTCAGTATTATCATGTGGTTGTTTAACATCAGAATCAACATTTATCAACGATAAGTATACAAATTGCCCGAATTGTCAACAACAAAATGTAACAATATTATCAGATATCAAACCATTAAGAGAATTATATTCATTGATATACAACAAAAGAAGAAGATCATCATCGAGAAAAAGTTTTAAGGGAATAGAAGATTCTTCAAGTTTACAAAATATTAACGAATCAATGGATCTTTTGACGTTATTTCATAAATTTGCAAAAGAAGAACAAATTGAAAAATCAAAATCAAGTGTACAACCAATCAACATAATAGAAAAAAATCAACAACCTCCAGAAGAATCAATATCATCTTCATTCCATAGTTCACCATCAATAAATTCAGCATCAGTATCTCCACAAAATTATAGACAATATGCAATTGATTCAATGAAAAAATATAGTAATGTTAATCTTGAAATTTTATTGGAAAATGTCAGTGAAAGGAAAGAGTATAATTTCAGTAAATGTTTCCCATTTCATCGTAAACTTATAACTTTCCAAACTCAACAAATGAAATTAAATTTGGGACCATTAAAATTAGGATCAATTGGGATTAAAAAAGCTATAAGTTCTTCAATTCATACATATATTGATTTTCAAAAAGGTCTTGAGATTACAAAATTTGTTTTGATTAGTGAAAAAAGGTGGGAATTATATGAATATGCCTTACCTTTAAAAGATACTGATATTTCACAAATAAAACCAAAACTAGTATGTAGTGGAAAATCATCAGGAGAATATGGAGAATCAAACACCAATTCAAACCAATTGAAAATACCAGGAAATAACGAGATAATCAAACGTAATGATTTTGGAAATAAAAGTGATGACAAGAACTCCACCAGCGAGTTAAAAAAACGACTACTGACATGGGATCAAATGTATTGTCAACTCACAAAAAACTTTTTAGTTATATCTGGTACAAAGGGAGTAATGAGAGTTTTCAATATAGACACTAATTCCAAATATCAAATTGGAGAACCATTATATACATATTTAACTGATTTCCCCATTAGATGTCTTGCCATATCACCAAATGAGAAATTAATTGCATGTGCTATCACGGCAAGAGAAAAAATATCAGATAAAGAACAACCTTTTATTGCATTACATAGAATTGATATGTTTGATGATTTTTCGATAAAATCAATAGAACCAATTATGATAACTATACCTTATAGAGATCCCATCAAGATTTTGAATTTTAATGCTACTTCAACTCATTTAATTTGTGCAACTGTTTGGGAATCAAGATATGTTATTATAAAATTACAAAATTTAGAAAAACCAAGGTTGGTATGGACTGATTTACCTTACAAAAGAGATGAAACACTATCAGAAAGAAGAGCAGACGATGAATTAATGATGACAAACGAGGGAATCACAGATTTACAATTTGGTAATATAAACACAAATACAATATTAATTACTTCATGTTATGTGTATAATAGACCAGCATTATTATTTAAATTAGATGGAACACAAATTGATTCAACAAGATCGGTAGTTGATGATTATAGTGCAACAAATTCTTTTACAAGTAATGATAAAGATGATGATGACCACTCAAAAATGAAATCGGTTGAACTTATAATGAAAATTCCAGAAATTGGTTCATCAATTCATAGAGCTGCAGTTTCCCCACGTGGTGATGGTATAGTATATTTAGATAAAGACGGTAGATTATATCTTGTATCAGCAGCAAATTTCAATTCAAGATCAAATACAAACAATAAAAAGACTATTGTAGTATTAGGTGATGTTGCAAATTCAGAAAGATTTACTGAAGCAGCATCAGTAAAATTTCTGGCTGATGGTTCAAAAGTATTTGTAGTTGATCGTAAAGGTGTGTTTTCGATATTTGATTTTACAAAAGGAATCCCAGGTGAAGATTTAGACGTTGTTAAATGTAAAATTATAAGTTTATAGAGTTAGAATATATTTAATAATTATTTACGAGACATATAAAATCAAGCCACACCGCTTATTAACGGCCATCTAATATTTTTTTTTTTTTTTTTTTTTTTTTTTTTNTACAACAACTGAAAATGACAACTCCACCACCTGCCTTAAAAGAAGATGTTTTAGAACTTATTGGAAATACTCCATTAATCAAATTAAAAAGAATCCCACAATCATTAGGAATAAAAGCTAAAGTTTACGCAAAAGTAGAATTATTCAATGCTGGTGGATCTATAAAAGATAGAATTGCCAAAAATATGGTATTAGAAGCTGAAAAAACAGGTAGAATTAAACCAGGATATACGTTAATTGAACCAACTTCAGGTAACACCGGTATTGGATTAGCATTAGTTGGTGCTGTTAAAGGTTATAGAACAATTATAACATTACCTGAAAAAATGTCAAATGAAAAAGTATCAGTTTTAAAAGCTTTAGGTGCTGAAATTATAAGAACTCCAACTGAAGCAGCATGGGATGATCCAGAATCTCATATTGGAGTTGCTAAAAAATTGGAGAAAGAAATTCCAAATTCAGTAATATTAGATCAATATTCAAATCCTGCAAATCCTGATGCTCATTATTATGGTACTGGATTTGAAATTTGGGAGCAAACTGAAGGTAAAGTCACTCATTTAGTAGCTGGTGCTGGAACTGGTGGTACAATCACTGGTATGTCAAAATATTTAAAAGAAAAAAATCCGAAAGTTCATGTAACTGGTGCTGATCCAAAAGGGTCAATATTAGCTGAACCTGAAAATTTAAATACTTCAACTGAAGGTTATTTAGTTGAAGGTATTGGATATGATTTTATTCCAGATGTTTTAAATAGAAAATATGTTGATAATTGGATTAAAACTGATGATGCAGAATCTTTTAAATTAGCAAGAAGAATTATAAGAGAAGAAGGTATTTTAGTTGGTGGATCTTCTGGTAGTGCATTACAAGCAGCATTAGAAGTTGCTAAAGATTTGAATGAAGAAGATGTTTTAGTTGTTGTTTTCCCAGATTCTATTAGATCTTATTTGAGTAAATTTGCTGATGATGAATGGTTAAAATCAAATGGATTTACAGTTGAAGAAAATGCAAATGCTAATAAATCAGAAGACTTTTTAGCAAACAAGACCATTAAAGATTTAGTTGCTGGTAAAGCACCAGTAGTTACTGTTACTTTAGCAGATACTGTTGCCAAGACATTTGATTTATTACAATCTAATGGGTTTGATCAATTACCAGTTCTTAATAAATCAGGACAATTAATTGGATTAATTACATTATCTAAAATTTTAAAATCCCTTTCTACCAAAAAAATCCAATTAACAAATTCTATATCTTCAATAATAATAGATTTTAGAAAATTGGCAAGTTTTGAAAAATCAAATTCAATAAATAAACAATCAGGTTTTACTAAAAAAGATTATGATTTAATTACATTAGATACAAAATTAAATGTATTAAATAAATTTTTTGAAACTAATTCAAATGCAATTATTACTGATAAAGATTTAAAACCTGTTCAAATTGTTACAAAAGTTGATTTATTATCTTATATGACAAAAAATCTTTCATACTAATTACTAGATAAGTAATAATTTATATTAATATACAATATATAAGAAATAAATAGCTTTTGTAGTGAGTGAATGATTTATGAAAATTTCCATCTATTACCACAATTTTCACAAGTACAAAAAGTAGTTAAAGGTTCATCAGCTGATCTTGTTTGCATTTGATAATAACTAACTTTTTTATGTTTACATTTACCACAAGTAAATCTATCCGTAACTGCTCTCTTTTCAGTTGCTCCTTGAGCATCAAACAAGTTTTGTTTATGTAATTTTTCAATTTCCTTTTTTAAAGATTCTGGTGCCATTTCATTAGGAGTCATTTTAATAAATTTTGATGCTGATATTTGTCTTGATAATAATCTTTCTCTTAATTCTGGATTTTTTTTATTTTTTAAATTCATTGTAAAAGTTCTTAATTTATTTCTATATCCATCTGTAACTTTCAGATATTCTCCTTTATATACTTCACTTTCTATTTCAGTTGCAATTGTTAAAATATGATTTGGTTGATCTTCTCTATCTGTAGCTAATGATGTATATAATGCACTTATACAAGCATTACGAGTTGAATTATCATATCGATTTACATTAACTCCATCATTTTTGGGATTTCTTGGTCCTGTGAATTTTGTAGTTGTTGTTGATGGTGCAGGAGTATTTGCATTTGAATTTGAATTTGATGATGCTGGAGTGGATCCAGTTGAACTTGGTTTTTTGGACTTGTTTTTTTCATTTTGAACTGCTTCTCTCCAATTTTTAATCATTTTTTTAACTAATGAACTTATTTCAACATTGTCATTACTTCTATATTTATTTACAACTACACCAACTTTTGTTTCTCTTAAAAGTTTTTCAGTTGGTTTTACTTCATCATTTAAAATATTTAATAATTTAAGTATTGTTGTATCATCTATTGCTTTTTCTAAATTTGAAATGGTTGATTTAACTTCTTTGGTGTCCATATTGGATCATAAAAGAAAATAGAATAGATAAAAGTATTGATAAGTTTTTGGTTGTATTTTGATTACAATTTTTTTTCTTTATTTATTTAATTTTTTTTTTTTCTTACTAACAAATTAGAATTTACAACCAAACAACCAAATCACCCAAATGGATTCAAAAAGTACTTGTGTTTCACTAGGGAAATTCCCATTTGATTACACAGAAGAACAAGTTAGGGAGATAGCAAAATCAGTAGGACCAGTACTAGATGTTAAATTATTATTCGATGAATTAACTGGTAAATCCAAAGGTTATGCAATTATAAATTATGGAGATATTGAAACTGCAGGATCAGCAGTCAGAAATTTAAATTATACATCTTTACCTAATGGTAGATTTCTCAAGTGTTCAATTATAAATGATTATGATTTAAATTCTGAAAATGAAGAAACTATAAAATTACCACCATTACCTCTAGGTATTCAAATACATCCAAATCAAAATGCATCACAAGTTATATCTTCAATATTAACAAATATAGATTCAAATTCAGCATTACAAATATTAAAAGAAATTAAAAATATGAGTATTGAAAACCCCAAGGGAACAAAATTATTATTAGAAAGATTTCCTCAATTATCATTAGCTTTGGTTGAATTAGGATTGATTTCAAATACAACAAATCATGAATTAATAGAATTAACATTAAATAAAAAACAAATAGAACTCAAGGAATTAAGTATTGATCATGTCAAGTTACTACAATCTGTTAATGAACTAACAAATGAAGAAATTGAAGAATTAAATGAAAATCAACAAAATATAATAAAACAAATTAAAGAAGAAATTGAAAAAGGTTCATATGGTGAAATACTAGTGGAAATATAGCATGAAATATATTGGTGTTTTGTTCAGAAACTTTAAAATAACTTGTGTAATTGTATAAAAAATAATAATAATGAAATGTTGGGAATTATTTGTGAAGTTTAGACAAACTGAGGTTTTTTACAGCTTGTTCTTTATACTTTAGAAATGACATAATATATACAAAAGAAATATTTTCAAATGTCAAAACTGTGATAAATGTTTCAGATTTTAATTAATAATTAAGATAGAAAATTTTCATTATACATTATACATTATTACTTAATTCCGTTTAAGTCCTATATTTGCATAATTATTTAACACTCAACTTTTTTGAAAAAATCACAAAGATAAAAAATTAAAGTTGAAAGAATTCGAATATTTTTTTATCAGAGAGAAATATAATTATTGAAATAGAAATATATAAATTTAAGACAAATTCTTCATTCAATTTCAATTAATTCACTGATTATTTCTTACATCTAGCTTAATTATTAAGTTATTTCTTATATCACAGCATATATATTAAAAAATAATGACAAATCAGCATCATCATCATCACCATAATCATCATCATCATCATCAACAACAACATGATCATTCAACACAACATAAATCAAAATTATCATCATCAACTTCAAAATCAACTAAAAAGACAAGAGAAGAATTACTACAAGATTTTGAGAATGATTTAATAAAATTTGAGTCAATGTCAATAAAAATAGATGGTTATGAACAACCTCTTGTTTTTACAAGAAATATGGATCCAATGCCACAAAAGCTTCATTTTATTTTACCTGAATATTGTGTTTATCATTTAAGTATAAAATATAAAGTTAAACAAAGACCATTAAATAAATTATCATATCATCAAACTGTTAAAAAATCAGGTATTATTGTAGATTCAAGAGATTTACCAATGAATGATATTGCTAATGTTAATAATCCTCAAGATGAAAATGATTATCATGAAATTACTTTTATACCTGCTGGTACTCCAGGTGGAGCATTTTTAAGAGGTGAATATCCTGCAAAATCAACTATAAAAGAAGATGGTAAAACTATTTGGTCATATAAATGGACTTTAAAAATTACTAAAAAAGCTGATAAACCAGAAATTGGAGGGTTTGAATAGAGTGTTTGTGTGGTTGCTGTTATTATAGAAGTAGAAGTTATAGACATTTTTATAAATTGTGTACATTAGTTATAATAGATTAAACATTGCCTAGATCCCAACAAATGTAGTATTATAGAAAAAAATTATGGATGAAAGCCCCTTAAATAATTATCATAAGTATATAAAAGTTTTAATCGGAGTAGTTTAACCGAGTATACAATTGTAAACGTTTTATAAACTGGAACAAATGATCATTGAACGTATGACGTTGATTTATTAAATTAGATCCGTTGAAAAGGAGTTGGTTGTTGAGAATTTGAAATTCGCCACTTAAAGATAACGCATTAACAAAATCCACTGTATTTAGGTCGGTTAAAAGATCAAGACACAAGTATTGGTTTCTAGTGAGATTAAAGGTAGATGATTTGATTTAAAGAAGCGTTCCAATAACAAGAGTTGAACAAATTCCAAAGTTGTATATTTGGTACACTTGATTTCTCAATAATTATAATTTTCAAGAAATTACCTCAAGAATCGTGTGATAATTTACCTGGTGCACAATCGAGTAAGATGAAACCAACTTAAGTAATTAGTCAATTCTAGGCAAATAAATCTAATCAATTGAGCTCGTATACTAATAAGAGCATTTCTCAAATAGATTATATTGTAAATTTTTCTTATTACTGAATGTTGGAGATAAAAGTAATTAAAAATTGACAAGATAATAAATTATTATTATTTTGTAACATCAAAATTCAATTTTGTATGACACTTTTATTTGATATATTTTACGAACCTTTACTTTCTTTTTAATTGAAACACTTCACAACAAGAATTATTCCAAAAACTTTATATATATATAACAATTATCGTTAAGCTTTTTTGGTATTTGTATTAGGGGAAATCCATATTTTAACTATTCGAAATTAGAGGAGTTTAAGATTATTGGCTCTTTTTCTCATATTACAAATTAATAGCAAGAAAGAGATCACAACTACCACAATTACTGTCAAAATATAACAACAAGCCTCCTTGAAAATGAGTTCACCAAAGAGAAGAATCGAGAAGGATGTGATGGAATTAATGATGAGTGATCATGACGTTACATTAATTGATGATTCAATACAACAATTTTTTGTTATTTTCAAAGGTCCAAAAGAAACTCCTTATGAAGGTGGGATGTGGAAAATAAGAGTCGAATTACCAGATCAATACCCCATTAAATCACCATCTATAGGATTCACAAATAAAATATATCATCCAAATATTGATGAAGGTTCAGGAGCTGTATGTTTAGATGTAATAAATCAAACTTGGTCACCAATGTTTGGATTATTGAATATTTTCGAGAATTTCTTACCTCATTTATTAAGGTATGCTAATCCAAGTGATCCTTTAAATACTGAAGCTTCAAATTTAATGACTAAAGATGAATCAAAATATAATGAAACTGTTAAAAAGTATGTTCAACAATATGCTACTGATTTACCTGCACTCAATAGAGATGATGAACTGGATTTGGAAGTTGATGAAGATAATGAATTAAGTGATGTTGGTAGTTTATCTAGTGATGATGACATGGAAGATGAAGAAGTTGCTGGTGATTTAGATATTTAAAGTTGAGGATTGATTCTTCCCAGTTTTATTACATCACGTTGATATTCTTTCATGTTATGAATCAGGTCTTTTAGGTTTTTTGGTTATTTTGTTCTGTTTTTTGTTAAGTCATTATTTTTTATCTGGTCATAAAGCTTATCAGTTTTTAAAAATTATCTTTGAAAGGTAATTTTTCTTAGTTTTTGTTGCTACAACTTTAGAAATTATATAGCTAAGCTTGTAGTAATCTATTGCATCTCTAATACATAAACATATTAAACAAGTTTCTTGAATTTTCTAAAGTTTGGTTCTTCTTTAAATTTTGGTTGTCATAAATTCTTTAAGTGTTACAAAAATAATATGTAAAATTAAATATTTTGAAACATTCTCAAATTATCTAATCTTTTGCCAACCAACTTTTTATTTCAATTATAAACTAACTAAATCCCCATAATTAAAACATTTTGCATAGCTGGAAATGACAGACGTGCTATCAAATTCAGGAGATCCAAAACCACAACCCAAAAAACCAAGAATTTCAAACGATGATCTATATAGAAATTCAACACAATTTGAAATATGGTCATTTACAAAAGAAGAATTGCATAATGCTAAACGAAAAGTACACGAAAAAGGACTAAAAGCAGCCCTGAAAAATTTCGATATTGCTTTATCAAAAGCCAAACAAGAAAATCCCGATATTTTTCAAAAATATCCTAATGAATTTAAAAAAGATGAAATTATTAGTACATTAACTCAAGAAGAAGAATCCATTTATTTAGATTTTTATGTCAAAAATGCAACAGCAACATGTAATCATTTCAAAATGCCAACACAAGTACGATTAACAGCAGCATCATTTTTTAAAAAATTTTATCTTATAAATTCAGTAATGGAATATCATCCTAAAAATATCCTTTATACTTGTATATTTTTAGCAGCAAAATCAGAAAATTATTTTATATCAATTGAAAAATTTGTTAATTCATTACAAAATTTAAAAGTGAAAGATATTTTAGATTTAGAATTTATTGTATTACAATCATTAAAATTTACATTATTAGTTCATCATCCAATACGACCACTTTATGGATTTTTTTTAGATTTTCAAGCTGAATTATTACATCCATCTCCAGTAATGTATGATGTTTCTGTTGATACTATTGGGAACTTATATAACAAAGCTAAAGAATGGTTGAATAAATATTATATGTTTAGTGATGTTGCATTTTTATATACTCCTCCACAAATTGCATTAGCTGCAATGTATGACGTCGATAAGAGAATAACAGATAAATATCTAAAGAGAAAATACTTGAAAGAAACACCTAAAGATGAAATAATAGAAGTAGATAAAGATGGACAAGAAGTTAATGGAACTGCTGAAGTTGATGACAAAACAAAAACATCAAATAGAGAACAATATGAAACTTTAGTTCGATTAATTAGAAAATGCAGTAAATTAGCAAAAGAATTACCTGAAACTGATAGAGAAAAAAGTAAAGATATTGATAAAAAATGTTATTTTGCTTTACATCCTTATAAATTAATTAATAAGAAAATCAAGAAGTTGAGCAATGAAAATGGAACACCCGCTGCTAGCTAATGATTGTTTGATAATTTTTTATACTTATAGTAAATATATTCTTATTAGATGTCTATAGTAGATTTTGTGCGGCTTTTGATTTCCTTTTACATCCCCGCTTAAAACTTTATTTTGCTTTGTGTAACTTCTGATAGAGGTTCCGCTTTGCTATATTTTTCAATTGCTTTAGATCTCAAATCTTAATCAGATCCAAAAAATACTACTTGAAAATGATTTCAAAGAGACTATATTCAATGGTTGGACCTTCATTATCAAAAATAAAGAACAAGAACTTAATCAAAACTCAAGCATTTGTCAATGGGAAATGGATAAATAGTTCAAATGGTGAGACATTTGAAGTTTCAGATCCTGCTTTATACCCCAAGAAAGAATCTCAGTTAGCTACTGTTCAATCAATGTCAGAAGACGATTACAAAGACGCAATACAAGATGCTCAAAAATCATTCCAAACTTTCAAAAAGACAACAGGAAGAGAAAGATCAACACTATTATACAATCTATACAAATTAATGCACGAAAATAAAGAAGATTTAGCAAAACTAGTAGTTTTAGAGAATGGTAAACCATACGCAGATGCATTAGGTGAAGTAGTTTATGCAGCTTCTTTTTTCCAATGGTTTGCAGAAGAAGCTCCTCGAGTAGCAAGTGATTTAATACCAAGTGCTAATCCAGGAACTCAAATTTTAGCTATAAGACAACCAATAGGTGTTTGTGGGATATTAACACCTTGGAATTTTCCTTTAGCAATGATAACTAGAAAGTTAGGTGCTGCTATAGCTGCTGGATGTACCACTGTTATAAAACCTGCTTCCGAAACTCCGCTAGCAGCTTTGGCAATGGCTCAATTAAGTGAAGAAGCTGGGTTTGCACCTGGTGTTATTAATATTTTACCAAGTCATGAATCTTCCAAAGTTGGTAAATTAATTTGTGAAGATCCTATTATTAAAAAAGTTTCATTCACTGGATCTACAAAAGTTGGGAAAATATTAATGGATCAACTGAGTTCAACATTGAAAAAATTATCAACGGAATTAGGTGGTAATGCACCATTTATTGTATTTGAAGATTCTAATTTAGAAAAAGCAGTAGCTGGTGCAATAGCCTCAAAATTTAGATCAAGTGGTCAAACATGTATTTGTGCAAATAGAATATTTGTACATGAATCCATATATGATGAATTTACTTCTGAATTTGTCTCAAAACTTGAAAAGGATGTTAAACTAGGTAATGGATTAGATGAAGGAGTTACTCACGGTCCTTTAATTCATGATAGATCTATGCAAAAAGTAAGAGAACATATTGAAGATGCTTTAAATAAAGGTGCTAAATTATTGTTAGGTGGTGATAAGAGACCAGATTTAGGTGAAAATTTCCATGATTTAACAGTTTTAGGAGATGTAACTCCAGAAATGTTGATATTTAATGAAGAAACATTTGGACCAGTTGCCCCCATTATAAAATTTTCAAGTGAAGAAGAAGTTGTTAAATTAGCAAACGATACACCAGTTGGATTAGCTGGATATTTTTATACTCAAGATTATGCAAGATTGTTTAGAGTTGCTGAAGCTTTGGAAGTTGGAATGGTTGGTGCAAATACTGCATTGATTTCTGAATGTGCTTTACCTTTTGGTGGTGTAAAAGAAAGTGGATTTGGTAGAGAAGGTTCAAAATTTGGGGTTGAAGATTATACTATTATAAAGGGAGTTGTTGTTGGTGGTATAGAATAGAGAGTAAAAATTTGAAATTTTATTAATTTTATACTATGTGATTGGCATTCTTTCTGGAAGTTCGAAATCTGTTTTGTCTGGAAGTAATGGTTGATCTGTTGGTTCTACTTTTATCATCTCGTCTGGTTCTTCTTCTACTATAGTTTCTGTTACTTTTTCAACTTCTGGTTCTTTTGTTTCTTCTGGTGCTAATTCCACTTCAATTGGTAATTTTAAATTCTCAATTTCTTCAAATTCTTTATCTCCAAAAATCTTGATTTTTCCATTCTTTATAAACTCTTCTTCTATCGTATCACTTACTTCTTTAATATCAGATCCATTTTGAGTAGCTTTACTTAATTTTTCATTTAATTTCGTTATTTCATCATTATTAAATTTGACAGTAGGTATTTGTTCCAGTTTCACAGCATTCAATTCTCTTTGAACATCTTCCAATAATCTTGTACAATTAATATTTGAAATTTTCGGTATATCTAATTTTTGTTTTTTAAAACAACGTCTCATATTATCAATATTTTCTACATATTTTGCACAATGTATAGATTTTAAAGTTAATGAAAATATACCACCTTCTTTTGTGACCCCATTTACTATTGATGATGGGAAATTTTTCAATGTTGATTGTGGTTTTTCATATTCTGTTGCTTTTATTCTAGGTACCTCTATTTGTTGTGGTTGGTAATTTTGTGGTTGATAGTATGTGTTTGATTGGTGTCCGTAATATGCTTGTTGTTGTTGTTCTCTTTCTCTCTCTTGTTGAAGTTGAAACTTCTTTTTAAGTGAATGTCTACCCATTTTTTTGATAACTTTTGTTGTTTTAAGTACTGAATGTATGAATTTGTATGTTAGTGTTTTGTAAAGATAAAACAAAATTAAATTGAAATCATTTTTGTCAAAAAATTTATTGTCATGAAATGAACCAATATGTCAATTCATTAGTAAATCAATAACCATTATCATTCAAATATATCTCATTGCAGCCACTTAAAGCAATGACGTCTCGACTAGATGAATTGAATAAGAAATTACAAGATGAAAGCAAAGGTTTAGCATCAAGAAATCAACCAACTAAATCAAATAATTCACTAAGTCCACCAACTACATCCAACTCAAACACATTCCCATCAATAAATTCAATACAAAGAGCATCTTCATCTTCACTATCAGCACCACCATCACAATCAAGAGCTCGTCAAAAGGTAGTACTAAAGCCTGGCCACTCGCCATTAGATTGGGCAGAACTTAATCGAAAACAACCGAAATATAAATTAAGAGGTGTTGAACCATCAACTCCACCACCACAATACGTCAAGGTAACAAAAGAAGAATTAAAAAAACATAAATCACAATCGGATTGTTGGACTTGTATAAACAATAAAGTTTTCAATATTACTCCGTATATAAATTTTCATCCTGGTGGAGTTGACGAGATAATGAAATGTGCTGGAAAAGATGGGACTAGTTTATTTAATAAGTATCATAGTTGGGTTAATGTTGATCGAATGTTAGAGAATTGTATTGTTGGGATATATATTGGATAAAATATAGAATTTGTATTATAATGGTTAATGATGAATGTTATTTATTCTGGATATGTACGTGAACTTGTAATGATTTGATCTAATTTAAAATCATGATCCTCTATAGGTAAAACGTTATCTTCAACAACTTGTTCTTCTAATGCTAATCCAATCAATGTTGGTAATGATGACCATTTTTTCAAATGTACTGATAAAAATTCATCATAAAATCCAGCTCCGTGACCCAATCTTTTTAAACTTGAGGTAAATGCAACTCCAGGCATGATGATTAAATCTAATCCACCTTTTTCTAATATGTCTTCTCCTCTCAAAGGCTCTAGCAATTGATATTTACCTTGGGGTTTCAACTCCTGTACATGTTGATATGAAGGTAATTTTAGCATTGATAAGTAATTTGATTTACGATCTGGGGCAGGTTGGGTATTACATCTTGGTAAATAGACTTGTTTATTCATTTGAAAACACTTCTCTATTATTGGCATTGTTTTTATTTCCAGATCTGGCATGTTCATATAAAGTGCAATTGACTGAGCATTTTGAAATGATTTTGACTTGCATAGTTGATCTAAAATATTTTGAGATTGTGCATTAAGCGAGCTTTGACTTATCGTCTTGAGTTTTGACTTTATCTCATTTCGAAGCTTTCTTTTCGCTACCTTAATTGTCTGTAGGTTTGACATAAAAAAATTTGGGGTGGTTGATTAATTTCAAGAGCACAAAAATGTTTCAAAACACTAAATACAAATATTTACAATACTATTTACACTTCATCTTCTTTCTCAATTTCTTCCAATTCTCTCAGTTTTTGACCTGGTCCATACCTTTCTTGTAACGGTTTCAATATTATACCTAATGGACCTTGATCATATATGATAGTTGACCATTTTCTAACTATACTTTCATACCAGTCACTAGTCCCGTTATCATCAACTTTACCTGTGGCTACAAACTTTTTAACTCCCTTTTTCAAGTCCTGACATCGTTCTATATCTTGTGGTTTCTTCAATATAGCGTAAGAATTTATTAAATTATCCAAAGATTTACTCAACACTTGATTTAAATTGGAAGAAGTAGCATTTTTATAGTATAAATCCTTCAAAAGCTCTTCGTTCCATTGAATTGATTCTTGTTTGTAATTTTGAGCCCATAGAATCTCTGCAATATGAGCTTTTATGGATGAAATTTGAAATTCTAAATTCTCTGGTGACACATTATATAATGGATAATGCATTTGATTTGATGTTTTGGATAGTATTTTTTCTTGAATTGATGATAAAGTCTTTAAGTTTGATAAATATATGGCTAATGATTGATTTAATAATTCTTTTTTCAAAGTTGATGATTGTGATTCTTTTGCAAATTGGAAAGCTAAATCATTTAGACAGTTTATTAACTCATCTGATATTTTACTATTGTCTTTTAATGTATAATCTTTATTTAATTGAATTGATGAATATGTATGACTTAACATATCAATTGATCTTTCTAATGCGTCAATTTTATCTTTAGGATTTTGATAAACTCTTGCTAACATTCTACTACTTTCTGACAATCTTTCGGCATCACCAAGTTTATAGAAGATTAAATCATTATCTATGATCTTTCTCAATGTGTTTATAGATTCATCTAATTCCCCTTTTGCCAATAATGCTTTACTATATCTCAAAATTAAATCAATATAAAAATTTGAAAATTTATTAGATTTTTTAAAAACTAAAGTTTCAGCATCAATTATAGGTATTTCATATTTCCCAAAATTTTCTTCTTTTAAAGTTGGATCAACTTCTTTAGCTAAATTGAATAAAAGCTTTCTGTAGTGTTTAACAGCATACCTTGGTTTTTGTAGTACGTCATCTTTGTTTACAGCTTTAACTGCTTCAATTTGATCTTGAAATGTTAATTCAAATGGTATCTTTTGTCTTTCATTTGCATCTTTGTACAAGAAATATAGTGATCCTAATGTAACTATTAAACCTCCAGCGTAAACTGCTGCTATACCATTGACTATTGGACCATATGATCTTAAACCAGATAATGTATTTGCGGATAATTTGATATTTCTTCTTTGCTGAATCTGTAGCCTTCTGATTGATATTTTATTGGTTAGTAGTCGAGATTGTCTAAACATTGTTTGTATTTAGTGTTGGTGAAGTTTCAAATCTTTAAAATTTTAGTAACACAAAAGATTAGGAATTTTATCATCAAATTCAAATATTAGTTAGTAGCTATAGTTCACCATGATATGAGTTTCAGAGGACAATATTCGACTGATGATCCAACTTTCAAACTGGGCTCCTCCGTAAACCAGTCCTTTTTACAACCACACCCAGAAACATCTGGTCATCAGCAATCAATAACAAATCAAGATAGAGAAAATCATGTCACTACTACAAACTTATCATTTTGGCAAAGATTTATTACAAATTGGCTAATAATGGATCCAATACTACTACTGAAATATCAAGAAGGTAACAAGAACTATAAAATTCAAAAAGATGAGGAGATAAAACATATCTATTTATTTGGAGGTAGATTAAGAATTACAAAAGCTAAACCAATTGTATTAATGACTTTTTCAGTATTAGTTATTCCTTTGGTTATTTATTGCATTTTTGAAGCTAATTGGCAATGGCATCATTTACTGCCAGCAGTAGTCATTATTTTCATTTACCTTTGGTTAATTACATTTGGATATTTTATAAAAGCAGCTACAAGTGATCCTGGAATACTACCGAAAAATCTTCACCTACCTAGATCATTAAATGAAAACAAGATAGAAAACCCACCTGAAGAATATTTTAACACTATCACTTTGCCATATTATAAAGATAAGAAACAAGGAGTCACCATAAAATATTGTTCAACATGTCATATATGGAGACCTCCAAGAGCAAGTCATTGTAGTACTTGTCAATTTTGCATATTAAATCATGATCATCATTGTATTTATTTGAACAATTGTATCGGAGAAAGAAATTATATTTATTTCCTTTGGTTTTTATTATTAAGTTGTATTTCATGTTTATATCTTTTGATTTTTTCAATTGTTCAACTTTGTTATTATAGAATTGGAAATGTTGAAAATATACATACTATACATCAATCGATTCATCATTTCCCATTAAGTTTATTTTTAATCATTTTTTCAGCAATTGCATTTATTTATCCTTTCATGTTGTTTATTTTTCATTTGTTTCTTAGTTGTCAGAATTTAACTACAAGAGAATATTTAAATTATATTTATAAAAGGAAAAATGTTGAATTCGTGAATGTTTTTAATACTCAATCCATATTGAAAAACTTATATATTAATTGGTTAGGGAAGTCAAATGGAGTTAGTACAATATTTCCAAGAAACAAGTACCATAAAGGTGATATTACTCTACAAAAGGTAGAACCATTACAACAATTTAGTATAAAATATGAATAAACAACTTTATAATAATACCGCTTAATTTTTAATTACCTCTTAAGTTTTTAATTAGTGCGGCTTTTTACTTTCTAAATTAAGAAAATTTTCAAGTAGTATAAACATAATTTTAATTAATTGTAGGGCTATACTAGCATATCATTTAATTAAGCAAACAGCATTAATACATCTTACACTTTGCATGACTAGAAACATATGACAATAACTTTATAAAAACACAACCAAAAAATATGGATCGACGAAAAAGTCATATACGACTGCCTCAACCGTCAACACAACAAAAAACACCATCTCCTCAACCATTACGACATAATTTATCATATCAATCATTAGATAAATATAGATTAAGTCCCACACAATCTCGAGAACAAGCATACCAAACAGGTTCACAACCACACAAAAATGTACTACGATCAAGATCATTTACTAGATCCCCACTGATTCCATCTGTTGATCCAATTGATTCATCACATCCAAATTATGAATTAAATTTATTTGATTCTCATGCTGTAAACCCAATATATGAAGCATCTATTAATACTAGTAGTAATGATAGGAACACAATAAGAACTTCAATTGCTTCTAGTTATCATGCACAATCTGATAAACCAATAAATACATATACTATTAATCAACAAGGATCAAGATCCAAGATATATAATTTACCACAACGTTTAATAAGTTGGTTATATTCCATTTCATTAATTGCATTAATCATTTTAACATTAGCTTTTATTGCTGTTACTCCTATAGATGTTATAATTCAAACACTTAATGCAACTAATTCAACTAATTCAGTTGCAGTAAAGACATTTGTTGTTATTGCTGTATGTGTTGTTTTCTTATTATTATCAATCATAATTTATTTGGTTAGAGTTTATAATTTCAGAGTTGCAATGAATGATGTTCCTCAAAAATCTTTATACATTCCATTTGAAAACGATTATCCTAAGGTAGTTTTTAATTATATTGAATCAAAATTAAAAAGAAGTATTGAAATAAGTGAAAAAGCAGGTCCTTTAAGTCAACCATATTCAATTAATCATCCTGGTTTATCACCACCAGAATATATTCAACAAAGAAATCCAGATTTAAATGGGAAACTACTACCACCAAATATAAATTATGAAGATATATTACAAAGTTTTGGTGATAAATTTCGTATTGGGAAAATCTTAACTGATGAAGAATTACCTATAAGTTTAACCATAAAAGAAATTTTATTACTACTTTATAAACAAATTATAGATTCAAAAAGAACAAGTATAAAAGTAAAACCAAACGTTACAAAATTAATCAACATATATGAAAAATGTAGATTTGGTCCAAACCTAATTCAAGAAAAAGATCTTTTGGAATTAATGTTAGAATTTGATAAATTTGGTCAAATATGTCAAAATGATTATCAATCACAAATGCCTAAAAATAGAAGAGTTTCAAGATTAAGTCAATCATCAAATTATGATTTCACTGAAGGTAATTTATCAAGTAGTGATATGAAATATTATAGTTCTGCAATGTATTATGATCAAGATGATTCTAAAGAAGAAGTAGAAAATTATGATGAAGATCAATATGAAGATGAAGAAACAAGTAGTGAATCTTTCAATGAAAAACATATTTTACTGAAACAATCAACATTCAAACATCATAGAGCTGAACCTCAATATTTTACAAATTTTGATTCAAGTCCAAATATTCTAGTTGATGAAGATGACAATTCCAAAAAATTAATAAGACATCAGAGTTATTCAAGTTCAAGATCAGTTATTAGAAATAAATTAGCTTTAGAAAGTAAACATACATTACTGAGTTTAAAATATGATGAAGGAAATGATAATAATTCATTGGTAAGAAATAAAAGTGGTTATGTTAGTGATTCAGAAAATGAATTTGATCCTAATGAATTTGGCATATATGAAAATAGAATAAAATTAGGTGAAAAAGATAATACAGATGAAAAAGAAGTCAAACCTAAAGATGATGATGATGATGATGAACAATTTTATAATTTTAGAAGGTATAATTCAAATTTTGGTCAACCAATAACTCCCAATAGATCACCAGAGAGGTGATCACCTCAAAAAAGAACATTAATATTTTGCATTCGTTTAATTCAATTCTTTAATATAATTACAATATGACATTTTTAATTTTTTACTTAGTATCTTTAATAATTTTGATATTTCTTTTCTCTTATCTTAACTATACTGTGAAAAAAAAAAAAAAAAAGAAATCTTGTTTTCTAACGGACTATTCTATACCAGAAAGTTAACAATCATATTCAACTACTCGATCACAAATCTTTTCAAACCAAGACTCACATGATCCAAATACGGAAGTAACATTTCAACATATTCATTATAAATTTTCTAAACTATATTTGGATCTAAAATATGTCCACTCCCAAAAATGATTTAACATCAAATCCAAATCCCACTAAATCATCATACTTGTCATTCTTCCCCGATGATTATCTATACTACTTAGATTTTCTTCCCGATTTACAAAATGCCATTAATTTGTTCATGACATTTACTCCATTATTTTCATACGGATCAACTTGTATATCAATTTACAAAAGAAAAACATCTTTAGGATTCAGTATAGATATTTGTGGAACTATGTTTATGGCTTCAATTTTGAGGATCTATTATTATTTATGTTCTCCTTATGAGATCACTTTGCTAAAACAATCAATTATGATGATTTTAATACAGACTTTATTATTAAAAACTAGTTTAAGATATAGACCAAAAGATTATGATCCTGATTTATTACAACCACTCCCAAATTTAAGTTATGAAATTGAAATGAATTTACCACGTAGATTAAGTTCATCTTCATTAAATTTTGAACATAAAAATTATTCGTCAATGGATTTTATTGATTTTATTGTACTAAAAGTAAAAGATTACGCAACTTATTTTTGGTGTTATTTCAAAATTCTTTTAATTCATGTATTAAGATTATTTGATGTATATTACAAAAGACCAGGTTTATTTTGGCAATGGTCCAAAGAATCATCATACTGGATATTTTTAAGTGGTTTTGCTACTGTTTTTGGAATATCCACTTTTTTTCTAAAAAATAATTCAAATTATTCAAATTTTATAGGAATATTGGGATTATTTATTGAAAGTTTATTACCATTACCTCAAATATTAATGTTAAATAGAATTCGATCAGTTAAAAATTTTAAGATTATTTTATTATTAAGTTGGCTTGGTGGTGATTGTACAAAAATATCTTATTTAATTTATGGAACTAATCAAATTTCAATTATTTTTATTGCTGCTGGATTATTTCAAATGATGTTGGATTTATATATTGCTTATCAATATATTTATTTTAAATACTTAAAGAAGTTTAGAGAGAATAAATTAAATTCTCAACATTCTGTTGATGATATATTAAATAATTTGATGCTAAATAATGATGAAATGGGAAATGATTTAGAAATGAATATATTGACTAGTTCGAGTAATAGTAATGGATCAAATAGTAGATAGAATTAGAAAAATTGTATTAATTAGCAAAGATAAAGATATATATTTATAAGTATAACTCTTCTTACCTATATATTACTAACTGGATGATATTCAACATTCTTCTTAGCTTCATTTATAATTTCTAAAGCTTCTTCACCAACTAATTCATGTTTAATTTTAATATGTCTGGAAAGGGCATCACCTCTTGAAAACGTTTTTTCTTTGCCATTACCTAAACCTCCCTTATATCTACCTTCACATATTACACACCTAAATATTTTCTTCATTGAAGCATGAATCGTATTTTGATGTCGAATTAAATCATAAGGTCTTGAAAATTGTTTGTTACATATTGTTCCTGTTGATGGACTTATTAATGTACATCTATGATCTGGATTTGTTGCTGATATTTCTGCTCCTTGTCCTTTATTATGTGACCTTTTGGTAAATACCGATGTTGATGCTTCTTGTTTTGGGGGTTGTGGATGATAATGATTATCTTGATTATTTGATGATTCCGATTGTTGTTCAGATACTTCACTTTCATGATAATCTTGATCAGTATCAATCATCATTGAATCTTCTTCTGATTCTTCTTGTTTAATAATTTGTTCATCATTAATTTGTTCAGGTGAATCCATTGGTGGTGGAGTTGAAATAATAGATTGTGGTGAAACTTCAGAAATAATTGCATGATTATTTGCAGCAATAGCTTCATCATGTAATTCTTGTAATTCATGAGGTAATCCATTATTTAAATTTGTTACATGATTATCTTCCAAAGAAATATTTTTAAATTCATCAAATGTTTGATTATTATTTATAACAAATCCTGAATTACTCATTATATAATCATCAAATTCTTCATCAACATGATAATAACTTTCTTCATTTTCATCTTCATCATCTGATAATTCTTCTTCAATTTGTTCATTACAATCATCTAAATATAAATAATCATTTTCAAAACCTGGTATTATATCATTTTCAAATTCTTGTGTAGTTGCATCTATGAATCCATTACCATGTTCATTTGGTGGAACATAAAAACAAGAATCAATTTCATTTTCAGTAATAACATGACCAGGTGATATATCAGGATTATATAAAAGATAATCTTCATCAATATTTTTCTTTTTGGTTGATGATGGTTCTAAATTATCGATGGTGGTGATTCTTCTTCTTCTTCTAGTTGGAAATGCTTGTGGTAATGGTGGTGGTGGTGAATTTTCTTGTTGTTGAAAAGGGTAACTTTGAGTTGGTTTAATATATGAATTTGAATTTGAATAATTATTGAATGGATTCAGCATATCTTGAGATTCAGGATACTCAGAATATTGCATTTGTTGATGATGAAGTTGTTGTTGTTGTTGTTGCAGTTTCAAATAATCAGCATAATATTGTGTAGTAAATTGTTCAATGAATGAATCGGGTATATTCAACATATCACCTAAATTATTCTGTGAATTATTGTTCATATTATTATACATATTATTGTTATTTAGATTGTTATTATTATTATAATATAATTGTGATTGTTGTAATGAAGGTGATGAATTAACAGAATTTTTATTTGATGAATGATGATTATAACTATTATTAATATTTAAACTTAGATTGTTACTATTAACATAGTTTTGTTGTTGTGGTTGTGATGATTGTGGTTGTAAATAAAAATTTGATTGTGAAGTTGCTGAATTTAATTGTGGTAATGAAGTTGTTGGTATTAAAGGTGATGTTGGAATTTGATATAATTCTTCATCCATAATATCAGTCATAGTTCTTTTTAATTGTGGTAAAACTACTGAAGTCATTTTTTGATTATGATGATTATTATAAATGTTGTTGTTGTAATTAGTTCTATTAATTATGGCTATGTTTATTTTGGGTTGTAAAATGGATTAGTAATTAAATACTAATAAAAAATGATCTATTACTTTCTCTCTCTTTTTGATATGCTCCTACTTTTTTCTTTAGTAAACTTCTACTTTTTGAAAAATGTAGTTATTATTGATTAGGTTCTTTAACTTTTAAAGAAAGAATGTAAATATGAATATAAGTATAAGTAAAATTATATAAAAATTTGGTTGTAAATAATGTAAAAAAAAAAGTGTTGTAAAAAATATAATAAATTTAAATTTAAGAAAGTAAAAATGATAAGTATATAAATATTTATATTATATTATTGTATTATGTAATCAAATGTACTATGTATTATGTAATATACACATATGGTAGTTCTAGTACAAGATTTAATTCCATTTCATTCTATTTGAAACGACGGATATAACTTTAGAGAGAAAAAAAAGTAATACCGAGAAACGAAATTAATAAGAAATTTTAAAAATGTATGTCTATGATTTTATACATATAAAAAAAAAAGAAATTGTTAATGCTTGAAAACTTTCTCATTCATCATCATCTCCTATATAATTAAGTTTGAAGTAAACAAATGAATGACTATATTCGATAATCTTTAGTTTGTTCTAGCCCATCTCGTTAGAGTCAATTACTGTCTTGTATTATGTTTCAAATCAATATTATATTTTTGATTATTATTTATTATTTATTGACTGTAGATGACTCTAATTTAAAAAATAAAAACAAATACACAATACAAAATCCATACCTTTATTCAATTTTAGATGACTTAGTATTGAGGTATAATTTCTAAAATTTGAAACAAAACAGCCTTACATTACTACTACTTTACTAATCTCCATTTTTTAACTAATTCAAATACGATCTTTATACTAAAATTTCCTTGTAAAACCGTAAAAATTAAGAAGAAATAAGTATTTCCATATTTGACATAAAGATCCATTTATTATATTTTAATTAATATTATATATCAATTATCAATTATTAATTTACAAACAATTAAGTAAAATTATGATTTAAATTTGCTAGTGTCACAAGAATAAATTATTATTATTAGGACATATGGGGGTGGGAAGTTTCTTAATTGTAACAAGTTTTAATTAACTGAATCAATAACTAACTACTGAATAAAACTACAGAAATGATAATCTGGTTGCTGTGGTAATCTACAACTAGTAATCGACTAGTTTCAACTCATTCAAAACTTTCTCCTCTTCAATATGTGATAGAAACATTTAAAAATAAATTTTTGTACCGTATGAAAATATATTTTCCGCTTCCCGTCATTTCATAATTTTATATTACTATTATTCTGATAAAAGGAATTTGATCCCCCGGTACGAAAATTTACATTGGAATTTCTTTTTATAAGGACAGTCCTAAAACTGAGTAAGTTGTTAGCATTACATGACTTAGACTTATTTCGATTGTTCTAGTTTCATCCATCGTTTGAGTAGATGAAAAAAGAATTATTATTATTGATCGTTTCTTACACCAAAATTTCTTTTCTTTCAATACTTCACTTTTCAAATTTAGGTTTAACTGATTGACGTGTCAACTCATTAACGTTTATTACATTATTCTGTATCTTATAATCAAAGTACAGTTTCTTTTTCACTGCTTTGGTTAAAAGAAATTTATTTATTTCTTATATTTCTATAAATTCTATAAATCAACCAAAGGTCTCTCATATTGCGGTTCTGACAATTTTTACAAGTCATGCAATTTTGATTGGTTGAAAATTCAATTTCATATTTTGAATACATTATATCCGGTCTAAGTGTATGCACTTTTTCTGTGAGGGAATTCTTTATTTGATCACTAGGCTGAGTTTTGAACTTTGGAAATTTCTCTGACAAATATTGTTCCTTTAGCACAATGCTTATAAAAATGGGGAAAATTACTACCTCTCGGTTATACATTTGATATTGTACTGAGCCATTAAGAATTTGATCCAATGACAGTAAGATGATATTCTATAATTTCTTTTTCAAACCAGCATTTTTACTTTCTTCACAACCTTCTAAAGCTTTTTCTTTATCCAAATAATAATAAGGTTTAATTAAATCACCTTTATCATTTAATTCAAAAACTAATGGAACACCAGTAGGAGCTTCAATTTTTGCTATATCATCATTATCTACTTTATTTAAATATTTAATTAAACTTCTTACAATTGATCCATGAGTTACTATTAAAACTGTTTTATTTAATTGAATCATTTGATTATCTAAAATTTCATATTTAAAAAATGGTATTAATCTATCCATTACCATATGTAAACTTTCACCATGGGGTAAAATATCTTTATTTAATAAATCATCATATTTTTCATCTATACTTGTATCATCTTCTGGACTAATTAATGGTGGTAATCCATTATAATTTCTTCTTATATATTGGAATTTTTCTTTATCTTGTCCTAATTCCATAAATACATCATGTCTATTTCTACCTTGATATTTTCCATAATGACGTTCATTTAATCTCCATGTTTTAATATGATCAATCCATGGTTTTCCTAATACTTTTAATATTATAAAACCAGTTTCTATAGATCTTATTAACTTGGAAGTATATAAAATATCTGGTGATAGATTATGTTTTTTAATTAGTTTTCCAGCATATTCAGCATCTTTTTTACCTTTTTCTGTTAATGGTACATCTTTCCATCCACAAAATTTTCCCTCCTGATTTCCTTCTGATTCTCCATGCCTTAATACTATTAATTTATGAACTGTCATTGTGTGAGTAGTTATAGATTGATCAATTGGGATATTTGAAAGTGGTTAAAGTGGATGAATTAAATTGAATTGATTTTTTTGGTATTGTATGTGATTTTAAAGCAATTGATAATTTAACTAAAATTTAATATGGTGTTGTTTTTTCTCTCTTGTTTTAAAGAAGTCTACATTTCCGTATTAAAATCACTCCATTTTGAAGAAAGAATTTGACATGTTTCAGCTAAACCTTTATTGATCTAGAGCGATAGTTCAATGTAATTTCACAAGCACTAATAAAAGTTCAATTTATTGTCCATTTGGTATATAGATGAGAAGGTTCAAAAACTTTAAAATTTTGTCGAAACAAAGTAAAACAATGAAACGAACGGAACAAAACAAAACAAAATTTGAAATGATGATAACGCGTTTATGTGCTCTATATTCAACGATTGTTAATTCAAAGGCTGTTCGACTCTCTTTTATATAGTAGCTCAATCTGACTCTATGTTTCATTACTATAAATTTTTAAGTGGTATTAATTCAAATTTGGGGGTATTTTCCAATATTTCCAATGTAACATGACTTTTTGTGTAATGCATCTATGTTGCAATCAAATTTGTAAGTCAAGAAGAGACGATTAGATATAAATTTTTAGTATCTTTGAGCACTAATTTTATAGAAATATGAAGAACGATCAATAATTGTTGGTCTTATTGTAATTATTATATGGGCTATTAACCATAATTATAAGACCTCATCTTCAAAACAAATAAATTTGTTTAAAATATAAATGACTTGTTATTTCCATCTACTTTAGTTTTTATTTTTCACTTTAATTATTTTTATCTCTTTTTCTATCTCTTGTAGTTTATAAACACCTAGGAGCTAGTGAATATAAATTATTTGATACCACTGATTCAATACTTAATCTTTATCAGATCAAAATTTTGAAATCAGAAACGTTTTCACTAAATACAAAAAAAGAAATATATCGCTACCGGCTCGTTTTCTTATTTCCGACTATCATTAAAAATAAATAATAATAATTTGAAGATGACAATTTCATATAATCAATTTAATAAATCAACAACTACTTCACCTTCATCAGTTATAGACAACAAGTCAATTATAGATCATAATAGAGTGAATACCGAAACCCCAGACAACAACCAATTAAACACACCACCAACATCCCCCATAACAGATCAATTACCTTCATTATACAAAAAATTCAATATAGAAATTCAAAAATCAAATCTTATGCCACAACCATCTAAAATAAAACATGGTAAACCATTCACATGGTTAGAAATTAAACAAATAGTAAACCAAAACGCATTAGAATTATTTGCAAGAAATGAAAAACAAACTGAACAATATCATATTTTTAAACAAAATTTAAAAGATTCAAATACTAGTATAAATGATCATATACTAAATTGTGAATTACATTGGAAAGAGTCAGATATAAGATTTCAAGAATTTTCCGTACCAAAACAATACTCTATAAAACATCCACAAGATTTGATTTTTTTTAATGATTCAGATATTAAAATCTTACCAAATAAATTTCCCTATTACTTTGAAAATGGTATAATGCATTTATGTATATGGTCCAAATTAATAATTCCTAATGATCCACATAGTGAAGTTGGTGATATATCAGAATTAACTAAAAAAATAATAGATAGATATTTGGAAAAGACTTTTATTGAAAATGGTGTTAAACCAGAAGATATGGTATGGTTTAAAAATTGGACCTCATTGCAAAGTGTTAGAAGTATAAGTCATATTCATGTTATACTAAATAAAAATGTTGATCCTGTTTTTATTAAGAAGTTATTGGAGACTTGTGGTACAACTTTGACTATTGAAGATTATGAAAAATTATTGGGGGCAAACTAAAACAGTAAGATATTAAGATATTGAGGTAGTCAAATATCAACTTGACCATATCACTCTTTAAAAATATTTTTTTGGTGTTTTAAATTATACAACTCGTTAGATATTAAATTATAGAATAGATACAGTAAAACCATAAATTATTTCGTTTTGTGTAAAACTTTTTGTCGTTCACTGAAATACTTTTTGTCGTTTTCTTGAAAACTAAAAGTCGCTCGTGGAAATTTCGATTTCGTTTTATTCAAATTTTATTTCGTTTCGAAAAAAATATTTTTTCGTTTTGATAAAATATTATTCGCGTTAAGAATTATACGGATTACGCTTTGTTGCGTTTTATTAAGAAAATAAATTTCGTTTTCCAATAAACATTTTTGTCGTTATTTTACTATGTAATTTATTCGTATTCTCATAGTTAAGAGTACGACAGAATTATTTTGATCGTGCGAAAAAATTATTAATAATAAAACGACTTATAATTTTTCATAAGACGAAATACAATATTGTATAGGCGAGTTGAAGATTTTGGGAGTGCGTTAAAATAACTTGCTCGGGACGAGATGGAATTAAACTTAAACGAAATCGAATTTTTTTAAAACGAAAAAATAATTTGAGCAAAACGACAAAAAGCTTTTAACAAAACGACAAAAAGTATTTTACAAAACGAAATAATTCCTGGTTTTACTGTATAGAAAAATAAAAGAAGTTAAATTACGTAATATTTAAAGTTTTTAGTTTTTAATTCAATAATAATAAAGTTTCGTATTTTCTGACAGATTTTCCATATATTAAATCCTGTATATTATAACATGAATAATATTTTTCCGTTTGTTTCTAATTTAGGAATTTTTTGGAAAAAAAAAAGTTTAAAAATATCAACAGAAAATATTTTATACACCAAGTTATAATCAACCATTATGACGAAGTTTTGTTAAAATCCACTAAATTCTAAAATTTAGATCATTAAATCAAAGTTCTCTAGTCTTCTACTTTCATTGCAAGTTTTTAAGTAAGGAAATGTAGGAAGTATGTTCATTAATTAGCGCAAGGCTTGTTGAACAGTTATAGGACCAATTCTCAAAGTCTGTTTCAGAATTGTATTAAATCTTGAATTAAGAATTCTAGTATTCTATAGAAATTCTTTGTTACATAAAAATTATCAACAATTAATTAGCATATAAAATATCGGAAAAAAAAAAAGTTATATTGAGCTTTACTATAGAGAAATTACTTGAATTATCATGATTATTCAAGATTAGACTAGTTTATTCGATTAGATTCCATTCCATTCCATTCCAAATGGTTCTAAAAGGCAATGAAAACTCGTGCTAGCAACTTTGAATCCTGAAGTAGAAATAGTGGCTCTATATAATCAAAATATGATCTAATTATACTTTAACTTAGCAAATTTACATTTCCATATATGTAAGAATCTTCTGGAACATGACTGTATACAGTACGAATAACAAATTTGCAACTTTTCAACTTTTCAACTTTTTCTTTATAAAAATCTCATCAATTGCTTCAATTATTTTAATTCTACTTTTTTTCCTTTCTTCTTCTTCATTATTCAATTCAATTGATTACTTATTATTAATTAAATATAGAATAAATTATTAAAAATGTCCAAAGCCGTTGGTATTGATTTAGGTACTACATACTCATGTGTAGCTCATTTTGCAAATGATAGAGTTGAAATTATTGCAAATGATCAAGGTAATAGAACTACTCCATCATTCGTTGCTTTCACTGATACTGAAAGATTAATTGGTGATGCTGCTAAAAATCAAGCTGCTATGAATCCAGCAAATACTGTTTTCGATGCTAAAAGATTAATTGGTAGAAAATTTGATGATGCTGATGTTCAAAATGATATTAAACATTTCCCATTCAAAGTTATTGATAAAGGTGGAAAACCAGTTATTCAAGTTGAATATAAAGGTGAAACTAAAGTTTTCACCCCAGAAGAAATTTCATCAATGGTTTTAGGTAAAATGAAAGAAACTGCTGAAGGTTATTTAGGCACTAAAGTTAATGATGCCGTTGTCACCGTTCCAGCTTATTTCAATGATTCTCAAAGACAAGCTACCAAAGATGCTGGTTTAATTGCTGGTTTAAATGTTTTAAGAATTATTAATGAACCAACTGCAGCTGCAATTGCTTATGGTTTAGATAAAAAAGGAGCTAAAGGTGAACATAATGTTTTAATTTTCGATTTAGGTGGTGGTACTTTTGATGTTTCAATTTTAGCTATTGATGAAGGTATTTTCGAAGTTAAAGCTACTGCTGGTGATACTCATTTAGGTGGTGAAGATTTTGATAATAGATTAGTTAACTTTTTCATTCAAGAATTTAAAAGAAAAACTAAAAAAGATATTTCATCAAATCAAAGAGCTTTAAGAAGATTAAGAACTGCTTGTGAAAGAGCTAAAAGAACTTTATCATCATCAGCTCAAACTTCAATTGAAATTGATTCATTATATGAAGGTATTGATTTCTATACTTCAATAACAAGAGCAAGATTTGAAGAATTATGTGCTGATTTATTCAGATCAACTTTAGAACCAGTTGAAAAAGTTTTAAAAGATGCTAAATTAGATAAATCACAAATTGAAGAAATTGTCTTGGTTGGTGGTTCAACTAGAATTCCAAAAGTTCAAAAATTAGTTTCAGATTTCTTTAACGGTAAAGAATTAAACAAATCAATCAACCCAGATGAAGCTGTTGCTTATGGTGCTGCTGTCCAAGCTGCTATCTTAACTGGTGATACTTCATCAAAAACTCAAGATATCTTATTATTAGATGTTGCCCCATTATCATTGGGTATTGAAACTGCTGGTGGTATTATGACTAAATTAATTCCAAGAAATTCTACTATTCCGACTAAAAAGTCAGAAACTTTTTCAACTTATGCTGATAACCAACCAGGTGTATTGATTCAAGTTTTCGAAGGTGAAAGAGCTAAAACTAAAGATAATAATTTATTAGGTAAATTCGAATTATCAGGTATTCCACCAGCTCCAAGAGGTGTTCCACAAATTGAAGTTACTTTTGATATTGATGCTAATGGTATCTTGAATGTTTCTGCTTTAGAAAAAGGTACTGGTAAAACTCAAAAAATTACAATCACTAATGATAAAGGTAGATTATCAAAAGAAGATATTGAAAAAATGGTTAGCGAAGCTGAAAAATATAAAGAAGATGATGAAAAAGAAGCTTCAAGAATTCAAGCTAAGAATGGTTTGGAATCATATGCTTATTCTTTAAAGAACACCTTAGATGGTGAATTAAAAGATAAATTAGATGCTTCAGATGTTGAAACTGTTACTAAAGCTGCTGATGAAACCATCTCATGGATTGATGCTAATCAAACTGCTACTACTGAAGAATATGCTGATAAACAAAAAGAATTAGAATCTGTTGCTAATCCAGTTATTTCAAAAGCTTATCAAGGTGGTGCTCCAGGTGGTGCTGCTGGTGCTGGTGGTTTCCCAGGTGGAGCTTCAGGTGGTTCTACAGGTGGTGCTACAGGTGCTACAGGTGATGACGGAGTTACGGTTGAGGAGATTGATTAAATTTGCTTTAGGGACCTATCTCCAACATGTTGATTATCAAGTCTGTTCTTGATGATGGTTTGTAGAATGGTTTATAATTTGAATTGTATAAAAAGAATAGTATTAAATGTATTAAATTGAAAGTTAAGCGGCTTTTTAAAGAGCGAGAATTACGATTAAGGGGTAAAAAAACTGTCTTTAAAATCTATTTATATAGGAATATCATGATATGTTAGTTAATAATAAAATTAAAACACGTGACATGGCACGTGATTGTAATATTTAATAATAATAAACTATTGGAAGATTTAATATATAAAAACAACGTTCATTAAATGATGTATAAATAATAATTATATTAATATTGCTATAACATAAAACTTCTAATGAAGATATGAGGGGTATAAATATAAACAAAAAGTATAGAAAAGTATGTATAGAGGGAGGAAGAGGTAGGCAAGGAAATACAAATTGATTTAGTATATAGTTCACGTGATAGCATATATTATCACCAGAATGCTACAATTCTTCTGAATTAACCTTTCAGTCATTCCCAACTAGCAATTGTCACCATGTGCTTAGATGAACATCTGATATAATTCATATAGTCTATTTATACTTACGTTGATTCAAAAAAAATTTATTGGATTTCTATTTATGTAAACACCATAATACACTAACTTATCATAATCACAACCCAGCTAAATCTGTAAAGTGTTAAAATACAATGAAATGAGATTGAAGTAATGAAAGAATAATTCATCAACAATCGGCAAGTACTAAAGAACTCAAACAAACGCCATTGACGCAATCAATACAATTCTATAGCTCTCATTATCATAGACATTACTGAATATTGGGATTAATAATTAATTAGTTTTATTATATTATATAGGAATTTTAAAAGCTATATATTTAAAAATATATTATAAAAAGCACCATTATAATCATCATCAAATTCTACTTCATCATCATATTCATAATCATCATCAAATTTAAATTGATCATTACCAAATTCATTTCAATATTTAATCTCTATTCTTCTTGTGCCAATTTTTTTGTTGGTGTTTTCTTTTTCTATAATCCTTTTCAGGATTTTTAGAAATAAAACCATTAGCATCTTTTAACCATACTCCTTCTTCGACATATCCTTCAACCATTTTCTTTAAAGTTGTAAAAGTAACATCCAATAAACTTCCTAACATTTGGAAAGTAATGCATTTATTTTTGAATTTATTTTGCATATCATTTCTAAAATTCATACATAAAATTAAAACCTCATAAAATTGTGGTGTATGTAATCCATCGTATACCTTTGAATCTAAATTAGGAGGTACATTATCTTTTTTAAACTCATCAAATAATCTTTTTTCTAATGCATAACCTTTGTTAATTCTCAGCCAATAATCTCTACAAGCTGATGCAGTAGTACCTCCCAATTTGTTAGATACTGCTTCAAAATCATTACCAAATCTTTCAACTGCATCTTTGAGTTCATTTACCTTGTTTTCTGTCCAAAATTTTGGGCCAGCAGGATTCCTAATTTTTGGAGAAGCTCTAGCTCTATAGGGAATATTTGGATTTTTAATATACCCACCATCATTTTCACTTGAGTTAGCTATCCAAATCTTTTCCTTCTTGAAATGGGTATATAAATCTAATAAATATCTTTTATTCCATTTAAATAATTCAGCTATTTTGTCCCATGAAAAGACATCAGATTTATACTTATTATGAATGAATATTTTGAAATTAACTGCTTCTAAAAATTTTTCATAAAATGCAGGACTATGTTTTCCCAAAAAAGTTGTAGATCTAACAGTTGATAAATTTAAATTTTCAATAAACTCATTAATTAACTGATTTTCAAAAATTTTACCTTTGTTAATTATAAACCATTCATCATGAACGGCTTGAGAAGATCTGGTAGGGAAATAATCTGCAATTTCGTCATAATCACAACCATATTGTTTAATTAATTCTCTTAATAAATCATCTTCTTCTTTAGTCCATCTTTTTTCATTAAATTTAATTCTTTGATATGTAACATTAGCTGATTCCACAAATTCATCATCTTCATCAATATACCAACATTTCTGATCGATCCATGAATCGACCAATCTCTTTAAATAAGTTGTTTCTAATTTGTAATAATTTGCAATATCTGACCAAAGAAAAACTTGACCACCATATTCTTTAGCAATTTTTCTCTTGTAATTCATTATGTTTAATAACAGTGTAATAAAGTCTTTACCATGAACTCCATTTTTGACATTAACATTGATATTCTTTGGTAATTTTTCTAAAATGAAATGTTCAACTTTTTCTTTCATTTCTAGTGTGATGTTTTCTAACCAGCTTTCACCTTCAGCTTCTAATGTTTTAAAAAATACTTCTGCCTCAATATTTTCATGACTTGCAATATATGATGATGTTGATACAATTGAACTGAAACTTGTTGTGAATTTACTATGGGTGCTGAGTAAATCAAATTTAATGGATAAACTACTAAAATGATTTATCAAGGTCTTTGAAATGATGCCAGCATCAATTTCTTTTAATCCATATTGAGTGTAGTTGGTAGCTAAAACTTTATTTTTATCTATATGTTGTGATAAATCCAACAAATCATTTTTTTCTAAAAATTGTGAATAGTTTTTCATATTAATTTTATCGAATTTAGTAATTTCTCCACTTAATCTTTTACCGAAATTCCTATCACAAAGGATGATATAATTTTTACTTTTATCTAAAACTTTATCCAACATTTGTAACATCTCATCACGTTCATATGGTTTATTGGAAAAGTATATCAGCATCATTGTAACATTCATACCAAATAATTCTACTTCCACATCACTCAAGCGACCGTGTAGATTACGGTTTAAAATACCGTTATTAACTTCTGTTGTTGGATCAGTTAATGGATAATTATACTTTGCTTTATTATTTTTCATATATGATGATTCTAAACTTTTAATTTGTTCACTGATTTTTAATGGATTTGAAAAAGTAATATTATTATTATGTTTTACCACCATTGCTGATAATCCATGTTGTGGTCTTATAACTTGAATATCCAATTCCTGACGACCAGCTTCTTTAACTAATGCTTCCATTGAGTGGTTGGTACATTCCGTTAAGAATGTAATGTCATTTATATATTTTATTATTTCTGGTTTAGTGGATTTTCCTATATTTTTTAAAACCAAATTTATTTCATCAGTTGATTCAGTTGCTTCTTTTCTATAATTATAAGTTGGAAATTTCAAATCATTCATTCTTAATGAATAAACTTTTTCTTTATTTGGTTTTGGTAATAATTCTTCAATTGATGTTCCAACTGATGATAATTCTGCAGAAGATGAAATTTCTTGTTTTAAATCAATAGTTGGTGGTTGAAATTTTTGTACTAATGATTGTTCATCTGATGTTCCAACTGATAATGATTCTGCAGGTGATGAAAATTCTTCTTCTAATTCAATGATAGGTTGAAATTTTTGTACTAATAATTGATCAACTGATGATGATTCTGCAAGTGATGAATATTCTTGTTCTAAATTAATAACTGGTGGTTGATATTTTTGAATTAAAGGATTTTCTTTTTTGGAGTTGGAAGTAGATGTGACACCTTCATTGAAATCATCTTTTCTATTTTTTTTATTTAATGAAATTAAAGAATTGTGATTAATTGGTGCTAAAGTATTTAATGGAGTAATTTCATTTTTTGAAGATTCAGTACAAGAACTTGTAATATTTTCTCTTTCTTCTTGTTCATCAACTTGATTTTCTTTTTCTGTAATTGAATTGTTGACTTGTAAATTTGAACTAATGACTTGTGGATTTAAAGTATTATTTAAACTTGAAAATAAATTTGGTTGTTTTGAAGTATTAATAATTGTTGTTTCATCATTTTTATCACTAATATTTTTAGTTAAATTTTTTTTATTGTTGTTACTTGAATTCAAAACATTTGGATCAACTGGAGTAAGTGGTAATCTATTTGATGATGATTTTGAATATTTAGTATCATTACTTTGAGTTGATTTTGAAAAAAAACTTTCAATTGATGATTGTTTCATATTTTTAGTTTTATTTTTTGAATTTAATTTTTTAACAATTGTTGAATTAACTTGTTCAGGTTTGAAGTTTGAAGTTGCTGAATCATTATGTGAACTAATTTTAATTCTTTTACTTTTTTGATTTTCAGTCAAAATTGAGTTTTTAACTCTTTTAGTTGACATGGTTGAAATTTGGTTGCAAAAAAAAAACTAACAAGAACTTGTTTAATTTGATAAAACTAATCAAACTTTTGTTGAAATATTTGTTGTTAGTTAATTATCAATAACGAACAAGGCACCCGACAATGTTTTAGTGATTTGTTTTTATCAGTTGAGTGAATTGGTGGACTTGATTGTTAAAAAATTGTTAGATGTAAAATAAGTTTTTTTAAAAAAATTAAAATATATATTTTTTTTATTAGACGAAGATTTTTAAGATTTTATATTGCAATATAAATTTTACATAATGTATTTTATAAAGAGTAAAAATAGAATTGGGAAATATGCAAAACTAAAAAACGAGTTAAAAGATTGAAAGAATTTGAATTTTCATTTTCACCACTCATAAAGTGCTTATTTGATTAAATTGTACTATAAATTTATCAATCATCAATATTGATTAAAACTCAAATTATCTAAACATACTTCTCTTGGCTCATTGTAGTGACAAATCAGTTTGAGTTACTAAATTATTGAGCATTAATTTAAAGAAGATTAACATTTTGGTCAAATGAATTTGATACATCAATTCTCTAAAAATTATAGACGTAAACCCATTTGTTCATTCAAATTTAGTAAAATTTCTCAATGACGACTTAAACAGGTCTCATTTTGATTCCGGAATTATTGACTAGTTTGATTATATATTAGTCTTGTTGATAAGTTTCAAATTAGTTGTTGATTGTACTTTAATTCCTCAAAATGTGAATCGATTAGATTTCAAAGTTAGAGAGCGACCAATTTTTTGGCAAAAAAAATTACGCGTCAGTTATAGTTTAGTGCGACGTTTAGGGCGACAAAATTAAATTTAATACGCAAGGATTATACATCGTGCTCAAGCCACTGTCTCAAGATAATCATATACACAAAATTGACCTGAAACATGGTTTTTTTAAATTACCTAATATTTACGATGCTTGCATTAATATGCAGCTAGAAACTTTCTATAAAAAATAATTTTTTTTTTGAATACTAAAAAATGTGTTAGAACTTACAAAGCTAGAACGCAAAAGTCAATTTGTTTAGGCTTGGTGATAAGCATGGAAAGAATACATTTCATACTCAGTACAATAGGTATAGATCTGTAGTAGTTTCAGACGAGTGTGCAAAAGTGCAAAAGGTGCAAGGAAGTAAAATATCAAAAAGGTAGCGCGTTTTAAAACTTGAGAATTTGATTATCACGTGAGCTATATATTAAAATCAATTTATAGTTTTCTAGCCTACCACTTCCTCCCTCTATACATACTTTTCCTTACTTTCTTGTCTATATTTATACTCATCATATCATAATTAAAACTCTCATCTTATAGCATTATCGATTTAATTATTATTTTTACATCATTTAATGAATGTTGTTTTTATATATCAAATCCTTTAATAGTTTATTATTATTCAATATTACAATCACGTGCCTTATCACGTTTTTACTCTTATTAAGTAAATGATTATTATATGAGTAAGTGATCTTTTATCAAGTTTGGACCTCAATATCAAATCAACTTAAGGAAGGGAGCAAACTGACATAGCTCAACGAACATTTTGGAAATATTACTAACTTAAAAACATCTTTGTTTATGGAATTGTCAAAATTGGGAAATCAGTTGTAGAGAAAATAGCGTTTTTTATGAATATTAGAGACGTCCAAATGATTCAATTAACATGAAAGATCTATAAATGCATTTCCAAAAACTTAGTTTCTTTGATCATGAGAATCAAAACTTTGCATTTCCAATCGCTCGCATCTGAACTTTTAAGCTGTTAAATTTGCGCATTATCAAAAGCCAAAACTGAGACTGCTTGTTCTCCTCTATCTCTAGCTAATATTGTATTAATTAAGTCTTTTGATCATTCAAATTTTTTAAAGCTGAGTAATATAAAATGCTTAATTACATCCTAACGGTATTTTTCTTAAATCAATAGGTACTTGAAATCATTGGAATAGGACAATGTTGTGACGCCACAAAAAATTTTGATCGTTTGAACTTAGCCTGCTGACTTTTCTTGAACAGTTCCTTCATTTTTCTTAACATTTTCAATATTTTGATTATTTTTATCTAAATCATCACTAGTAACATATTTGATATTATTATTATTTTCCTTTTCCGCATTCAAATGAGTTAGACTTTCAGATTCAATATCATCTGGCCAATCTCTACCTACATTCTTTAATGCTTTCATTTCTTTAATTTGTACTACATCCAAATTTTCAAAATTTGTTGGTGGTGGTTTTGATTTTATATCATATGCATTAGCTGATGAATCATTATTTATTGTTTGAGCTGGAACTTTTTGTGCTTCTACTCCTTCTTCTGTATTTTCCATATCTGTTGCATCTTGACATTTTTCTTCGTATGGTGCTGAACTCATGATTTGGAAATGAAAATGAGGCAGTTGTATGGTACAATAGTGGAAATATGTAATATGTTTTACTAGATTAAAATTTATTTATATTTTATTGCTGTTTATTATAATTTGGGGTGTAATTTCGTCAAGAAGTTATAGTTGAATTTGAGAAGTTAGCTAGGTATAGTTCGAGTCAAAGGTAATGAGGTTAGTTATTTTGGTCTATTTGAGCTGACATTGAGCTTCAATGTACTCGATTGTATTAGATTGAAGTTGAAACAAAACGAATCGGTTATAGAAAAATTACTGAAACGTTAAATTGTAAGTATTGTCCGTGTTTGATACTTTGCGACTCCAAAAGACTTGTGACATATATTTGGACAATTTACACTACATTCTCGAATAATTTTTGTTGTATTACTTTAATGTTGAGATCTGTTAGTTTATTAATACAATTTTCTAAAATAAACCAACAAATTTTAATGCTGATATTAACATGAATTTTTATAGCCAACAGAAAATCTTGAATTATGATTGGTCAGTAATTTCAATTAAAACTTTGACTCAAATTTAAGCTAAGAGATTTTAATTAAATTATTAGATCTCATCAATTACCAAATCTCACGATTTAATAAATTATTTGATTTAATATTTAATGTTCCATACATTTTTATCTACTAAAAAAACTCCGACAGATTGCGAAAAAGTGCGCGTTTCAGGGTCTTTGTATGATTGAAGTATATTTAATGAGCCAACTTACTTGATAAATGTTCTCTCGGTAATCTAATACTCATTATCTAAAATTTAAAGATCCTTCTGGGTTTTGAAATCACCCAACAATAACTACTTACTTATAATATTTTGTGTTTAAAATTATCTCACTAAAAAGAAAGAAAAACGGTTGCAAAATCTACAAAATAACTTATTTTATAGATTTGAAAGCTAATTCGCCTTCAACATTAAGTATTTATACTAAACGTGTTTTGGAAAAGTTCAAGTTTTGAAATAGCAAGCGTATACATGTCTTGACCTTATGAAAGTCAAACTAGTTCATTAGTCGTATAATAAATTCTTCTCGTTCCCTTATGTCCCATAAATTATTTTTGAAGCTCTCCACATAAAAAAAAAAAAAAAAAAATTATTTTCTATTGAAAAATTTTTGTTTATCTTTTTTTTTCACGTTATTCTCAGTTTTAATTATAAAACTGAACTATTCCAAAAAAACCTAACAATAAAAAACAACCAGTCTTTATCAATTCAACTGTCATTTTCTATAAAAGTTATATCTTGTATCAATTGAATTTGTATTTTATTTATTATTTTATTTTTCTTGTTTTACATTTCAAATTAACCACATCCAAAAATGACAACTGATCAACATCATGCAGTTGTTCATGAAGCTAACGGAGTAAAACTTAGAGAAACTCCACAAGAATTTTTCAATAGACAACCAAATTCAGGTCATATTAGAGATTTACAACATTATCAAGAATTATACCAACAATCAATTGAAGATCCAGAAGGATTTTTTGAACCATTAGCCAGAGAATTATTAACTTGGGATAAAGATTTTACAAAATTAAGACATGGATCATTACAAAAAGGAGATGCCGCTTGGTTTATAGGTGGTCAATTAAATGCTTCATATAATTGTGTTGATAGACATGCTTTTAAAAATCCAGATAAACCAGCATTAATTTATGAAGCCGATGAAGATTCAGATTCTTACATTGTAACATATGGAGAATTATTAAGAGAAGTTTCAAAAGTTGCAGGAGTTTTAAAAAGCTGGGGTGTTGGGAAAGGTGATACAGTAGCAGTTTATTTACCAATGTCACCGCAAGCTATTATTGCCATATTGGCAATTGTCAGATTAGGTGCTTCTCATTCAGTTATATTCGCAGGTTTTTCATCTGGATCTATAAAAGATAGAGTAAATGATGCTCAATGTAAAGCTTTTATTACATGTGATGAAGGTAAAAGAGGTGGTAAAACTGTAAATATTAAAAAATTATGTGACGAAGCATTATTAAATTGTCCAAGTGTTGAAAAAGTATTAGTTTTTAAAAGAACTAATAATCCAGACATTACTTTAAAAGATGGTAGAGATTATTATTGGGATGAAGAAACTGCAAAATTTCCTGGATATTTACCACCAACTCCAGTGGATTCAGAAGATCCATTATTTTTATTGTATACATCAGGTTCAACTGGTACTCCAAAGGGAGTTGTACATACAACTGCAGGTTTTTTACTTGGAGCTGCATTAACTACCAAATATATTTTTGATGTTCATCCAGAAGATATATTTTTTACAGCTGGTGATGTAGGTTGGATTACTGGTCATACTTATGCAGTATATGGTCCATTATTATTAGGTGTTCCATCAGTTATATTTGAAGGTACACCAGCATATCCAGATTTTGGTAGATTTTGGCATATAGTTGAAAAACAAAAAGTTACTCATTTTTATGTTGCCCCTACTGCATTAAGATTATTAAGAAAATCTGGTGAACAAGAAATTCAAAAATATGATTTATCTAGTTTAAGAACTTTGGGTAGTGTAGGTGAACCAATTAGTCCTGATATTTGGGAATGGTATAATGAACATGTTGGTAAAAATGAATGTCATATTTCAGATACTTATTGGCAAACCGAATCAGGTAGTCATTTAATTGCACCAATTGCTGGTGTTACTCCAAATAAACCAGGTTCTGCATCATATCCATTCTTTGGTATAAAATTAGGATTAATTGATCCAGTAAGTGGAGTTGAAATTGAAGGTAATGATGTTGAAGGTGTTTTGGTAATAAAAGATCATTGGCCATCAATGGCAAGAACAGTTTATAAAAATCATCAAAAATATATGGATACTTATATGAATCCTTACCCTGGTTATTATTTCACAGGTGATGGAGCAGCAAGAGATCGTGATGGATATTATTGGATTAGAGGTAGAGTTGATGATGTTGTAAATGTAAGTGGGCATAGATTATCAACAGCAGAAATTGAAGCAGCATTAATAGAAGATTCAAGAGTAAGTGAATCAGCTGTAGTTGGTATAAATGATGATTTAACTGGTCAAGCAGTTATTGCATTTGTTGCATTAAAACAACAACCCAAACAAGAAGATGAATTAAATTTAAGAAAAGAATTAGTTTTACAAGTTAGAAAAACAATAGGACCATTTGCTGCACCAAAATCTGTAATAATAGTACATGATTTACCAAAGACAAGATCAGGTAAAATCATGAGAAGAATTTTGAGAAAAATAAGTTCAAATGAAGCTGATCAATTAGGTGATATAACAACTTTAATGAATCCACAATCAGTTGCAAGTATTATTGAATCATTTGATTCACAATTTGGTAAAAAATAAGACACCAGTATGATAAACAAGACACTAATATGATAAAAAAAAAAGACATTTCAGGATATATAATAATCCATTCATAGCCATATAGTATATAATGATAGAATATTTAAGTATCTTAAAAAAAAAGTTTGTATTGTAATTATTGTGCTCTGAAAAAAATAAAAATATTCGTTGTAAAAAAAATAATATGGTGGTTCACCAAAATAATGAAATATAATTCAATATGGAAATTGTTCAAGTCATTTTTAATACTTAAATTATTTCAGTTGGTTATTGTATACCTTACACCATCAAGATTTGACACGTCATCAGATTTACTACTACCAAAAAGTCAAAATGTGGTACATGAAATATTAAATAAACTAATTACTTGGGATTCAGTATACTTTAATGATTTATTTGTAAATGACATAAAATATGAACATCAATTTGTGTTTTGTCCAGGATGGATTTACTTCATTAAAGCTTTGCCATTTGATTCTTATTATTCAAAACAATTGCTCAGTATAATTATTTCAAATGCTTGTCATTTTCTTTCCGTCCTCACATTATATTTGATTTCTATTGATGTATTTGGGCATGAATCTAATTTAAATTATTATTCAAGTTTAATGATGGTATTTTCACCAGCTGGGATTTTCTTAACTACAAATTATTCAGAGAATCTATGTAATTTATTAACATTATTAACTTTACTTTGTTATTATGCATCTGTTGATTTTAATAATGTCACCACCAAAACCAAGAAAAAAATAAAGAATCAGGTTTTATACGTATTTAGTGGGATAGTATGTGCTTATGGTTATACAGTTCGAGCAAACACTTTATTATTGGGAATTTTATACCTTTTTGATTTATATGATTTTTACATGGTTGATAAGAATATTCAATTTAGTTTACTTTCTGTGGTTACTGGATCAATTTTAGGTTTTACATTTATTGGTCAAAATTTATATCACTACCTATTATTTTGTCCTTCTAGAGGTGAATGGTGTACCAATTATTTCCCAAGTTTATTTCAATATGCTCAAGATCATTATTGGAATGTTGGTTTTTTGAAATATTGGACTTTGAATAATATACCAAATTTTTTACTTGTAACTCCAGTTATGATATGGAATTGTTTTGGCATTTTTACATTTATAAAACTACTTCCGCAATATAGAAAATTAACTTCTATAGTTGTTATTCAAATTATAATGATTTTTGGTGGGGTATTTTTTTGGAATTCTCAAATTTTAAATAGATTGACTAGTTATTCTCCGTTGATTTACTGGACTTTGGCTTTGAATCGCGACAAACATTGGTTTAATTATATTTTAGGATATATAATTACTTGGAATTTATTACAAACTAGTTTATTTGCAGCTTTTTTACCTCCTGCTTGAACAAAGGAATATAATATATAGTAGAACAAAATTCTTGGATTGAATTGGTAGCGGTTTATCTTTTTATTTGTTCTATCATTAATTTTAAGTAATTCCACAGATTGAAAAAATGGTTGCAAATTTTTACCTAAAATGGATTACAGATACGCGATAAACATTTCAAAAGATAATTAATAAATAATATATCGATTTTAGGATTACATTTACGAAAGTGATGATTGATAAATGAATGAGCTGTTTCGCCTTTTTGAAATATGTTTTGATATATATTAATATCAAATGAATGATATCACCACAAGATTTTTTTTAATTTGGTCACCACAACAAAAATGAATCACAATTCATCATCAATTAGTTTTGATATCAATTCTATCAAAGAAACCTTAGATCAACTGTCTTCATATATATTTGTGTTACCAGTATTACTATTAGTAGCTTACTATTTCAAAACTCAAAATGATTTAAAACCAAAATCCAAATCTTTGACACCATCAGTAAAAGCAACTGCTTCTAAAATGGATCAACGTCCCTTTGGTTATTGGAAACCAGATTTAACTTGGAAAACTCCCACACCAAAAGAATATCCAAATTGGTCAGTGAAAACAACTAAACCAGTACCATATCGTGCTTTCAAACATAAATATAATGTTACAATGGCTATTAGAAATATGCCTTGGGATTCATGGATTGAATTAGATAATCAATGGCTTAAATTCCATAATATGAAATTGAAAAGAATTGCAGAAAAAGGTCAAGACGTTTGGAGAATTAGTCCCAAAGCAGTTGATGCAGCTTGGGAATTATTACATGAATTAATTGCTTTCACAAGTGCAAAATATCCATCTTTAATTAAATTTGATAAAGAAAAACAAATTTTAAAAATTACTGAAACAAATCAAACATTTGATTTAAAAGCAAAAGATTTTAATCCAATAATTACAGCTGCAAATTTAGTTCAAGATGAATTAGTTTTAATGATTGAAGATCCAGAAGATGGTCAATATTCATTAGAAGGTGGTTGTATAACAATGGCAGGATTTTGGAAATTTAAAGAAAAATTTCAAATGAAATTAGATGAAATTCATACTTCAGGTTCAGTTCCAAAATATGAAACTCATTTAGGTCCAGCAATGAATAAGTTTTTCCGTCGTTTAACTGTTGATTCACCAGTTGTACGTAATAATTATTTTATACAAACTGATGAACATATTGATTGGTCAAGATCTATTGGACCAGAAGAAAGTGATTCTGTTGGTTGGAATGCAGCTACAAAAGCAACAAATATTAAAGATTTATGGTTCAGATCAGAAAGACAAACTGTTCGTAGATTACCAAAAACCGGTGCTATTGCTTTTACTATAAGAACTTATTTTATGCCAATAACTGAAATGTGTGAAGAACCATATGTTCCAAGAAGATTATTGAATGGTATTAAAAGTTGGGATGAAGATGTTAATGAATATAGAGGATTTGCTGTTTTTAAGGATGTGTTATTACCATATTTACAAAAGAGAGCTGAAGAACAAGAAGCAGATGGTTTGGTATTGGATGATGAACCACAAGATTATCCTTATTGAGCCCTATAATAAAAAGTATATGAACGTAAATAATAAATATTTAAAACATGATTTAAAATGGTTTTTAAAGTTGTAGTATATTTGATGTGATTTAAATTTGCAATGTTTCAGTAAAGTTTTAAGGAGGATACTAAGACTTTAGTTTCAACTCTAAGTTGCGGTACTTTTGAAACCTAGATCGTCCATGGTTAAATTTGTAAAACTTACTAACTTAGTCTGGGAAAAACAAATTAGCTATTATTTATACCAGCCAAGGGTGTTTGAGATTTAACAAAAAAACTTGAGTCGAACCATCTTCCACCAACCTTAATAGCTGTATAAGCCTCTGTTGCGGAGCTTATTTTCATTTTAATTTCCTTGGCTCAGGCAACCATGAACCTTCACTTAATTGGACCAAAAATTTATATGTTTCTGTGTTTCGTTCTCCAAATGCAACTCGGAGAACAGTTTTGCTACTTGTCTATAAGGGTAATTTATCTGTAGACGCTGTTGAAGTTCATAAAGTAAAGAACTATATAAAGTTATTTGAGAAATTTTCCAGAAGAAGAAATTTGTTGAAGTATTCAAATGTCAATTTTTGCTACCACGTGAGTGTTTCAGATCTGAGAAATCTTTAAGGTTTCAAGGATTAAAACATTGCTCCTTACCTGTTTCTACGTCTGGGAATATTTTGATTTCAGAAATACATTTGAATCACCAGCTACTGCTGTTTTAGCTCTAGGCTCAGTTGCAATTACAGTAACACTTTTGTCTCATTTTCATTCATTAAAGAAAATAGTGTCAATTTTTAAATAGCCGTTTAACCTCATGATAGGAAATGAAATAAAAAGTTTACAGAAGAGAATTAATTAGTGTATTGATAATTTGAAAGTAACTCAGATTTAATCATAGGTCAGCATTTTCTTTGTTGTTCAACCAAATTCATTCGTATCTACAATTTCTCAGAGCCTTTAATCCCTTTAATTCTTAAGGGGGGGAGAATTTTTTGTTTTGAAAATTTGTTTTTATCTACTCATTCACTACCGAAACCTACTTAGCATGAGCTAAAATCATTATATACCAACCATTTCTTTGCGAGCAGGACTAAGTAATAGCAACTGAGTGAAGTTGAAGGCAAAACAAGAGAGAAAAATTTTTCATTTTATGCACCGAATTTGTCACTAATTAGGCGAGTTGGGTCTTCGGACCATACAGGTGTGACGCCTTTCAGAGGATTAATCTTCCGAAGAGACTTTGACAAGACAAATTTTAAACAAATTTTTCTTAAATGCATTTATTTGCTATATAGAAATCATTAAAATATAAATTGTTTATAAAACACTTTGAAATAGAATTGAATATTAATCACCAAAACTCCAAATTCCTAAACCTAAGCTCTTTCACCTCTTAATCTTCTTGCTAATTGAATATCTTTCTTTTGAATAGTAACTCTTTTAGCATGAATAGCACATAAATTAGTATCTTCAAATAAACCAACTAAATAAGCTTCAACAGCTTCTTGTAAAGCACCAATAGCTGAAGATTGAAATCTCAAATCAGTTTTAAAATCTTGAGCAATTTCTCTAACTAATCTTTGGAAAGGTAATTTTCTAATTAATAATTCGGTAGATTTTTGAAATCTTCTAATTTCTCTTAAAGCAACAGTACCTGGTTTATATCTATGAGGTTTTTTAACACCACCAGTAGTTGGAGCTGATTTTCTTGCAGCTTTTGAAGCTAATTGTTTTCTTGGGGCTTTACCACCAGTAGATTTTCTTGCAGTTTGTTTAGTTCTAGCCATTATGAATTAATGTGATGATATAATAATATAAAAAAAGAAAATAAAAAATAGATAGACTATAAAAAATTTATTGAAAGATATAATTATATATAAATCAAATAACTCTCTGGTTTAGAAATCATTTGTTTATACTTTAAAGTTGTTATTTTTTAGTTTGTTTGTGTCAAATGATTTTGTGGTTGATACGAAGTTAAGATATTATTCTATATACTTAAAAGGTGGACTGAAAATTACAGTAAATTTCAGAACAGTTTCAGATTTAATTTTGTATATAATTTCGCACTGGAATAAATAATGATACGATATGGTAGCTTTTTTACGTATTAAATTATTTCTTCTATTCACCACAAAAGTATACAACTTCAGTGAATCACCAATTTCAATTGTCTTTTGTTTTAAACAAAAGATTGTTCAAATAATCTTTTTTCGGCTGTTCAATTACTTGTTTAATGGTTTATTCCTATCTTTTGTAAACTTTACATTTTTTTCACACTACTTTTTTCCTTACTTGTATACTTAAGACATTAGTCAATCTTACACACTACACAATAAAAAATAATATTAACTTAACTAACTAATTAAGTCCTTCCTTACTCTCCCTCTCTCTTTTGGTTAATCATTTAATTCTCTTTCTTTACACAATATTAACTTCACAAAATTTATTATTTTATTTTGATTATATTTGCCTTCTCCCTTAATTAATAATTTATAAAGATTATTTATATATTCAAATTAATTCCCACAAGTAATTTATATTTACATTTAAATTTTTTTACTTTCTTTCTTATTATATTAAACAAAGTAAATTGAATTTTAATTTTTCATTTTTACAACTTTATTACATATACATATAAATCAAATAATTAATAATGTCAGGTAGAGGAAAAGGAGGAAAAGGTTTAGGAAAAGGTGGTGCTAAAAGACATAGAAAAATTTTAAGAGATAATATTCAAGGTATTACAAAACCAGCTATTAGAAGATTAGCAAGAAGAGGTGGTGTTAAACGTATTTCTGCTTTAATTTATGAAGAAGTTAGAGTTGTTTTAAAACAATTTTTAGAAAATGTTATTAGAGATGCTGTTACTTATACTGAACATGCTAAAAGAAAAACTGTTACTTCATTAGATGTAGTTTATGCATTGAAAAGACAAGGTAGAACTTTATATGGTTTTGGTGGTTAAAATTAAATTTGTATAACAAATAGGTTTTCAGTTCTGTATAATTAAAGTTTTAGTGATATTTTAAAATTTGAAGTTGTAAATTTGATTCTCTATTGGAAATTCGAAAAACTCAAGTGTCTTGTTGATAGTTTATTTTGCAAATGAAGAGATTGATTCTACACTTGTAAAGTCAATAAACTAATAGTAAATAAAAAAACAATTTATCTATAATATCTATATTCTAACTTTGTGGACCGTTACTATATAATTGATTCTTCCTCTACTTTACTTTTGCTTTTGGATCCACCTCCTCTTCCTTTTCTACTTTCTCCACTGTTTTATTGTTCTCTTTAGACTTCGTATTCTCAATTTTATCAGCTATTCTAATTCTATCACCCAATTCTCCACTTTCTAGCACTTTCAAACCAATATTCTCTTTTAATATACCTTCATCTTGTGCATGTTGTAACAATACTTTTAATTCATCAGTTGAAAATTGTGAATCTAAAGGAATTTTCCCTTTTGGTATTTCAAATCCATCAATATCTACTAACTCTTCAGTTTCACTTTCACTTTCACTATCGGATAGTCTTTGTTCTGGATGTACTGTATAATTTGATTTTTTTATATCTTCTAATGCTGCAGCTTCTTTTTCTTTTGCTTGTGATTGTGATTCCTCTTGTTCTTCATCCAGTGGTGGATGTTTTTCTATTAAATCTTCTAGTTTTTCTTTTATTGATTCTTCTACTGATGAATGTCTTTTTGATTGATGATGGTCTGGTTGTGTATATATCTCTACTCTATCTACGCTCATGATTGAATTATTTATTGAATATTTTGTACGTTGGTCAGCTTGTTATAAGTATGATAAAATGAATAAATGAAATATTTTAATTATAATTTTTAATTCTGTTGATAAAAATTCTCGAGTAATTGTAAATTTATTATTTATTTGGTACCTTTTTTTAGTTTATATATATCAACTAATTATTAATAACCGCTTCTATGGCTATGTCATTCTATTATTTGAAAAATGAAATCTCCTTTATATTAATTGCTTTTTAGTGATTTATTACTCCAGAATTTAATGTATGGAATAATAATAAAAATAATATATCATACATTCTCGTTTCAAAATAATTTTATGTATGACGTAATGAAACCCGAGAAATTTGTATAATCAAGTCGTGGAAATTTGTTTTATCAAAGACATGTTAAGAAATATGCATTCTATAAGTAGTTGAAGAAGCTAAAAACTCAATCTCTTGACTAAAAGAATTATTGATCTACATGCCGCAGAGCTAGTCCAGTTATCTGTATGCAATTTTATTGTTTCGTTATACATTATCTTCAACATTATTATTACACTCACAACTTAAGCAGCAGTAACTTTTATTCAACACCCATCATCTCATTTAGTTCATTTCAGTATCTTTTCCTTCATTTTCTTCTTCTTTTTGTTCTTTCTTACCCAAATCTCTAATCCCATTCAAGAAATTTTCAATACCTTCACCTTTATAATCATATTTTAAAGATTGTGACAAGAGATAACCAGCACCTTCACCAGATTTTAAATGTTCCAGTAATTTTTGTTCATTTTGTTGATAAAATCCACTACGTATTATCTCAATTATTTTATATTTTGTTACATTTTTGGAAGTTGATTCTGGTAAATAATCCTTGTATAATTTTGAAAGTTCTTCTCTTGATAACTTATCTAAATGATTTTCTATTGTTTGTAAATTTAATACTGATGATATTGAGCCAAGTGGCATTTTGAATTTTGGTATTTGTGGTGGTTGTAATGTAGTAGATGCTTCATAAGAAGATGGTAATGTTTGATCTTGTTGTAGTTGTTCAGGTTCCATATGATTATTTGATTCTATTCTGGAGGTGAGTTAGTAATAGTTCATTAAAACCAACTTTCTGAAAAATAAAATTTACTTACTTACTGTTTATCTTCATCCAACCCATCATTTTCAGTACTTATCAAAGTATTAATTTGTTGAATTAATTTATTATCTTTTTCAGTAAATTTACTTAAATTATCAATATCTCCAATATCTTGTAACCAATAAAGATATTTTGCTCCACTACTTGAAAAAGTAAAAGAAAAAACTCGACCAGTATTACAAGATTTTATTATTTTAATAGAAACATCACCAGGTATTAATAATAATTCATCTTTTTCAATTTGTTGTGATCCATTAATTTGTTGAGTTTGATCTTGTTGTTTTGGTGTCCATATAAAATCTAAAAAATCTGGTTCTTCTGTACTTGGTTTTATTGATATAACTCCCTTGTATGGTAATGGTGTACATCTATTTGTTTCTTCATCATATTTTACTTTACCAGCATGAAACTTTATTGATTTTGTTAATGCCATATTGTGAATAATTGAGTTGTGAATTTAGATTAATTGATCTATGTGGTTGTTTAAATGTGCGTTGCCACTAATTTGGTGAAAAAAAAAATATAGGAATAAAAGAAAAGGAGTTTTAAATTATATACACTACCAAAAATGAATTTTATCAAGTTTATTAAAAAGAACCATTGGGTGGGTTACAGGATTTACATTTGCTAGAATTGGGTTACCATAAATATGAACCATATTATGCATATCAACAAACTGGTGAAAACTGCAGATTATGTAATAAAATAAATGAAGATAATTCACAACATCACCTTTTTGAATGTTCGGAAACAAACCAATATTGGCAACAAGTAACAAAAATAGAAAGAAAGTATGATAATGTATTAGGTAATTCAAAATTGAATAAAAAAGCTATGATAGAAATCAATTTATTTGTGAGAAAAGTTTTGGGGGTATTAAAAGCAAAACGACGACGACAGTCAGAAATAGAATTAAATTCCTCTGCTGTTGTTTAGTCTCACAAATAAGAACATGATCAATCAATAAAAACATAAGGAGAAGAATGTTTAAAATGGGAAATTAAAGGATAGAAATACAATTATATTAGAATTGCAATATTTAAAAGAGAATTAATACATAAAAAAACAATTTTGAAAAACAAAAAAGTTGGCTTTGGTTTTTGTTGAGTATGATCTATTTCAGTTGAATTAGATAGAGTCTCATCTCATTGGTATTTTTCAATGGCTATAAAAGTTTTGTCCAAAGTCAATCGGAGGTGATCGTCTTCTACCTAGAGGACCTGCATACTATATATTATATAGTTTATATAATTTTAAATGTAAGTCGATTTAAGAAAAAAAAAAAAATATTAAAGTAAAACCAGGATTTATTGGTAAATTTTCACCATGGTATCATCTTCACAGGAGAATATATAGTAACTAGATACTTTTAANAAGTTTTGTCCAAAGTCAATCGGAGGTGATCGTCTTCTACCTAGAGGACCTGCATACTATATATTATATAGTTTATATAATTTTAAATGTAAGTCGATTTAAGAAAAAAAAAAAAATATTAAAGTAAAACCAGGATTTATTGGTAAATTTTCACCATGGTATCATCTTCACAGGAGAATATATAGTAACTAGATACTTTTAAAAACCCAATGACAATATAAATACGTAAATCGTGGGATTTCCAAATCTCGTCACTAATAAGATCTCTGAATTCGCCCTTTGAAGAGCTTTTGTAGGATCTTTTAAAGTTCTGGAAACAAAGTCTAAATCAAAATTTTTGTAATGGCCAATCGACTAGTAACCTAACATTCCAAAAAAACATGGAGTGTAGTAAAAATAAAGACTTATTTATAACTGGGGCTGTGCTCATATCAATTTCAGTCATAGCCCTAAGTCTATTAATACCATACAAAAAAAGAATTAATCACCAAATGCAGTATCTCAATTTGTTTAATCAAATTGTACTAATAAGTATTAATCTACCAAACCATCCAGATTCAAACGACAGACAAGAAGCTACTGATACTTTAAACACAAACGAACCACATCCCATACCAGATGAAGAATTTAACGATGGAGTTACACCTGATGCTGATACCACAAATACGAACAAATCATGGTTTAAAAAATTACAATTATGGTTCAAAAAAAAAACAAGTAGGGAAAAACTTACTTTCTTATTATCGAACGAAAAATACAAGAATAATGAGCAAATTAGAGACATTGAAATGCAATTTCTGGAACATTCCAAGCTATACAGAAAGCTCCAGATTGGTCGTATTATTGCTTTAATCATTATCACAATCGGCATTTTATTAGATGCAATTTCTGGTTACTATTTTTATTTAGGGATATGTTCTAAGTAGTTAGTAATAAAACATCTATGTTCTCTTCTACATTGTAACTTATCTTCTTCCTTTAATCTTTTGTTAGAATGTAATATCCTTATACTGTAGTAGCTTGTTTTAGTTACCTCTAAATATACGTACACCTTTAATAATATACATTCATAATTAAAAGAATAGAGTAAATGTTGATAAAAGATACATATAATAATGTTAATTAATTTCTATAAAAGTTAAGTTAAAAATCTAAAAGTAAAAATTTATAAATTATAATTTGAATGCCAACCTATTTATAATAAAATCTTTTAATAAAACTAGTCAGCAAAATAGACTTTAAACATTAATGAACTGATAAAAGATACATATAATAATGTTAATTAATTTCTATAAAAGTTAAGTTAAAAATCTAAAAGTAAAAATTTATAAATTATAATTTGAATGCCAACCTATTTATAATAAAATCTTTTAATAAAACTAGTCAGCAAAATAGACTTTAAACATTAATGAACTGATAAAAGATACATATAATAATGTTAATTAATTTCTATAAAAGTTAAGTTAAAAATCTAAAAGTAAAAATTTATAAATTATAATTTGAATGCCAACCTATTTATAATAAAATCTTTTAATAAAACTAGTCAGCAAAATAGACTTTAAACATTAATGAACTGATAAAAGATACATATAATAATGTTAATTAATTTCTATAAAAGTTAAGTTAAAAATCTAAAAGTAAAAATTTATAAATTATAATTTGAATGCCAACCTATTTATAATAAAATCTTTTAATAAAACTAGTCAGCAAAATAGACTTTAAACATTAATGAACTGATAAAAGATACATATAATAATGTTAATTAATTTCTATAAAAGTTAAGTTAAAAATCTAAAAGTAAAAATTTATAAATTATAATTTGAATGCCAACCTATTTATAATAAAATCTTTTAATAAAACTAGTCAGCAAAATAGACTTTAAACATTAATGAACTGATAAAAGATACATATAATAATGTTAATTAATTTCTATAAAAGTTAAGTTAAAAATCTAAAAGTAAAAATTTATAAATTATAATTTGAATGCCAACCTATTTATAATAAAATCTTTTAATAAAACTAGTCAGCAAAATAGACTTTAAACATTAATGAACTTAGTCAACAATAGACTTTAAAACTTAATAAACTTAGTCAACAATAGACTTTTAAAACCTAATAAACTTAGTCAACAATAGACTTTAAAAACTTAATAATAAATAAAAAATAATAATAATAATAAAATTTAATAATAATAAACATTAGTCATAATAAAAATTAGTAGTAATAAAAATTAGTCATAAATAAATCCCTTATTGTTGAATTAGTAATTGTAATATTAAAAGTACATTAATCAGTAATCAAGGAGTGATTAATCAAATCCCTTATTGTTGAATTAAATAATATTTATTTGTATTAGTCATTTGTTTATAAACTTAATCTTATTTTGCAGCCAAGTGAACTGCCTTATTGTTTTAAAATTATGACACAAAATAAAGTCTAAAATTATTCCTTAAGATTAGTAATTATTGAGTTATAATAATTCAACAATCACTTAAGAGTAATTTAATAATAAAGTTAGACTGTTCTAGAGAAGTCTGGAATTATACTTTCCAACAATATTCAATTTAGTTAATTGTGTAATCTATTTAGTTATGTCGGTCTAAATACCTCTATGGTATAATTCTGTAGATAAGGTCTAATAATTTTCTAAATATCTATTATAATATCAGTTGTATGTACTTAGTATATGAGTTGATTGTTGTTATATAAAACTATATACTAGATGACTTCATTTTTTCTTAAAATCAACTTAATATTAAATATAAACTAATATACACTACTCTTAAATTAATATAACTTATCTAATCGTCATATGGTGACATTCTCAAATTATTACACAAAAATAATGTTTGAACTGTTTCACAATTGCAAAACTGCTTTTTGTATTGAATTAATGAATGCATTCTGTTTGTATGAAATTGGTTCATTATTCAATGATCAGTTACTAATTTATATGAAAAAGATTGGTTAGAATTCAAAAATAATCAATGATTTTAACATATATTATATATTCATTCTTCATTGAAAAGTACGGGGCGTAACAAACCAAAAAGCAATCCAAATGGAATACCAATAAATAATAATGCAACACCACTAATAATCACGATTGGATGAAATAAAATATTTTTAAAATAAAATAAAATCTCAATCGTGAAATAATATAATCCACGAAATGTAAAAAAAATAAAGATTATAATTGTTATTAAAATCTCTAAAATGTTATATAAAATATTAATAAAATCATAAAATATTATTGTTGAAGATTCTTTGACTAATACCCATGATTTGTCTATGAAATATTTAGCTCTGATACTTGCTTTATCTGAATATTTCTTCAATGAATTTTCATTCTTTTGCTCTTTGGATGGAAAGACTGATAATTTTTGTATTTTATTATTTCTGAAATCAAAAGGTTGTTGCTTGAATGGGGATTTTGACTTGATTGGCTCTGGATAGGGAATGTTATTTTTGATTTTGTCTTGTATATCTTGTATATCATTTGCATCTAATTTTATACTCATGGTTGAAGTTGATTGTTCCGTCATTTCTGTAAAAGTTGTAATTTGTAACTTTTTATAAAACAAGTTGTAATTTGTAACTTTTTATAAAACAAGATAGCATTTTCAACAAAATCATTTTCCTCATGTTCTTTGACAAGTTACATAAATAAGATTTTATTGCATTAACGATGTTAAGATTTCCTATTTTATTGGCTTCAAACAACACTTTACTTTATTATACATATCTAATTTAAATTGCTAAAAAAAAAAATCAAATTCATTTAATAGTAGACATTTTGATTTATAAATGCTCTCAAATGTTGTATTTTCTATTGTTGGATCAACACAAGAAAGTCAGTGACAATAGATGACGAATAAAATATCTTTAACAAGTTGCATGAGTAGTTTTATTTGATTTGAATTTTGACTGAATTAACAATCGAATTTGGGGCAACCAAATGCCAAATTCGGCTTGATAATAAGATAAAAATAAAATAACTTTAGTAAAACTTCACTTGAGTATTGCAGAATAGTCATGATTCAAATACTATAAATTTGATTACTCCTGGTTGTTTCAGAATGACCTCTGAAATCCCAAAACGGATAATATTTAGACGAACCGCGAATATGAAACACATATTACAACTTTAGAATAAAATAAAACCGGAAAATTTTTGAGGATCGCTATTATACCTGAATTTTATCTCCATATTTTTACGAATTTAATAAAGGTAAATGATGTATGATTGGTTGTTAAATGACGAAATCAATTTTTAATCTAATCTTTGAGAATTCATAATTAATTTGTATGATAATTAACGTATACAATTAATAAGTTTATGCGAAATTTAGATCGACTTGGAAACGAATAAGACAAACTTTTAAAGAGCTTTTAAAATTTACAAGGGGGCGAGAATTTAATCTGTACCACGACGAGAAAAGCGAACGAAATAAATCCTCTGGCTTTAACGTATTATCCTTCAAAAATAGAGTATATTTGTTACATCTTAATCATCCTATCTCTCATGTAATTCTTACACATATTTATTAAAACGTGTTCAATCTTCAAAAATAGTATAAATTTACAAGCAAAAAGTAATTACATTTACTTTTCCGTATAATTTCAAGCCTAATTTACAACCATCATTACCTACTTAGCTTTAGCTTCTTCTGCTTGATAATCATGAACTAACTTATATTGATCAACAGTTGCAAAAAAAGTTCTAACATGACCCCAAGCTTGAGTCAAAACAGGTTGATTTAAATCTTTTACAAATCCATCAATTATTTTACCAATATAACTTAAATAATTTCTTGTGAAAGGACTAACTTCATGTCTTTTTTTAAGGAATACCAAATAAACTAATACTGGACTTAATGATCTTTTTCTAAATAAGACCATTCTAATGATTAACCATACAAATGTAATTAATTCAATTCCACTTGCTATTTGTATAGATTTTGCATTATTTTGACTTATAAAATTAGTAATATATTTTGAAATTATTGAATTATTTAATCCAAATATTGGTAATAAGAAACCATTAATATAAGCTAATACATGAAAAGTAGCAAAAATAACAAATGGTACTAATGTTAATAAAACATAAGGTCTTAAAAATAACAAGAATCCAGCTAATAAAATATAATGAAAATTATCATCTTTAATTAAAATAGGTAATTTAAATCCATTTTTTTGAACAATTTGAAATATTAATATTCCAAAAGATATAAAAACTCCAATTAATGTTAAAATATAAGTTGGTTTATATAATGAAGGAATAATTTTTAAATAAGTTAATGAATAAAATAAAAATCCAATAATTGTTAAAACATTACCAATAAACCAAACAAATTGTAATGATTGTATTGTTTGTAATAATTTTTCTTGATCAAATTTAACAGCTGGTTTTGCTGGTGGGGTTGACTTTGTTGATTTTGAAGCAGCCATTGTTGAAAATGCGATTCAATTGAATTGTATTAAAAGAAAAAGGGTTTTGTAAGATAAAAAGGGAAATATGATTTTAAATTATAATATTTATTTTTTTTTTGCTTCGAAAATCTGAATTCTGAATTATTCTGAGATTGCTTAACAAGAAATGAGAGAATATAAACTTAAATAAATATTTAAAAAAGTAGTCGTAAATTCAAAGAAGTACCTAATTGCGTCATATAAAATAAAGATAGTTCATCTCAGCCCTTTCAAATTAATTAGTTGTCATCTCTTTTTTAACATACATATTAAAAATTTCAAGTTTTGTAAATTGATACCGTGGAATAAATTGTTTTTTTTTCTAAATTGCTAAACAATTTCTTCGGAGACAAGAACAAAGAAAACAAGTAGAAAAAAAGAAATACACAAAGGAAAGGTCACACTAGTTTTAGATTGACTAAGTACCTCGTATTAATTGTATTTGGTCTGTGATTTTTAACAAGAGGAAAAGATCAACAGATTCATTTCAAAACACGCCATTCTTTTCAGTGAAATTGTTCAAATTAAACTATAACCAATTTAAAAATCACATGCAAAGTTTAATTATTGTCAAAAGATGTAGAATCAAAAGAGTAGCATCAATTAATTATAAATTCTTATATATTTCCAGTACAAACTAAAACAATATTTTAACATACAATTTATTCACAATCATTTCAACCTAACTTCTTCAAAACTTTTTATCTTAAGAAACCTTTTCTACTTTTTTGAGTTGTTTGAGTTGTAGTTGCAGGTTCTTGTGGTAATAACTTTTGTTTTTCCAATTGTAATTTTTTTTCTTCTAATAATTTAATTTGTTTTGTTAATTTATCTTTCATTTCTTTATGTCTTGCAAATAAATCAGCTTCTGATCTTTGTAATTTTTTCTCTTTTTCACTTACTTTTTGTTGAAATACAGATTTCATTTCAGCTTCCATTTTAGATAATTTTGCTTCATGTAATTGTCTTTCTTCTTCTTGTCTTGCAAATGGATCAAATTCTTTAAAAACTGAATTATCTTGATCAATTCCCATTTTTTTCAATTTTTCAGTTCTATAATTTTCATACAAATTATTTGAGGTAGTTTCTCTTAATTCTTCTAAAAAGTTTCTAATAAGTAATTCCCTTAATTTAACAAAATCATTATGATCTGCATTATCAACTTCAATTATACCCCATGGATATTGTCTACCTCTAACAAATACACCATCAGCAACTTTGACTGATTTTGTTGATCCAATAACTGCAAATGGGAAAGCACTAATTAAATTTTTAGTATTTGTGATAGTTTCTTCATCATCATTATAACTACTTGGTTTAAAAATTTGTATACCTTGATGTTGAATATCTAATAAAATTGAATTTTTAAATTGTTGAATTTCTTCATCAGTTAAAGTATCTGATTTTGCAATAATTGGTATTAAATTAACCTTTTCATGAACTTGTTTCATAATTTCAATGTCCAAACTTCTTAATGAATGACCAGTTGGTTCAATAAAATATAAAAATGCATGAATTCTATCGTCTTGAATAGTTGATCTATTAATTCTTGACTCTGCTTCTAAATATGAATCAAATCTACTATTTATTTCATCAACAATTGGTTTCCATGAATCAACATTATTTATAGCTTCTCCAAATCCTGGTGCAGTTATAACACTAACTTTTAATTTGACTCCATCTTCTTCAATTTCAGCTTGTGTAGTTTTAATTTTAACATTTGAATCATATCCATTAACTTGTTCTTGTTCTTCTGGTTCTGATTCTTCTTTCAATCCTCCATTAAATATATTCTCTTTAGTTTTCATAATGTCTTGATTAAACAAAGTATTTATTAAAGTTGATTTACCTAATCCACTTTCTCCAATTGCCATTATATTTAAATTAAACCCTCTTCTTACTGATTTTCTATGCCATTGTTTTGGTAAATTTGCAAATCCAACATAACCATTTAAAACTTTTTTAATTATCTTAGCATTGTCTGGATGTGGTGAAGACTTCGTTGGTGAATGATGATCCATTACTAAAGTAAAAGTTAGTATTTAAAACAAAATTTGATTAGCCAAAAATTGAAATTTGAGTACATACTTGAAGTCATATTTGTGAATAATTTATTGTGTTATGTGATAATTTTTTTGATTTGATCTCGATTTTTAGATTGAGGGCGTAATTACTTGCAAAAAAACAGACCCTATTTGATTTTGTAATGTTATTAATATTTAATTTATTTTAATTGATTCTTAGATTGATTGATATATTAGATTCTTATAATGATGATCTATTTGAGTAAAGTATAATAAATTTGAATTATTGATACGTAAACTTACTTTGTTTTTATTTTTTATGATCAATTTTTTTTTTTTTTTTCGTTCTGTTTAAGTAAATTATTAGATAGAGATTTTTTGTAATTCCTTATTGAAACAAATTATATTATATTAGACGCGTTTAAATATGTAAAAGATGAATTTATTCAATGACTTTCATGAACAATAGAATGATAATACCGTGGAAATTGGGTACCACATGATAAACTTGACTTTTTATGTCATAATCTCTGCTTTTTCTGAATTTTTTAGAATTAAAATTAAGCTATTTGGAACTTTAAAGGTATCTTTTGCGCTAAGTATTGCAGCAGAGATTTCATTTTTGTATTGAGGTATGGATCTTCTTCGTTAAAATTGCAACCAACGTCAATGGAGCTGATGTAATGATTGTACAGGTTTATAAAGCACTTACTACTCAAGTAATGCGTACTAAATAATAGTACAGCTGAATTTCTCAGTTGAAAGTACTAAACTGGCTGACTTATTGATAAAAATAGCTTTAGTCATCAATACTCTGAATTTACAACCTAAGTTGTTGCAAAATAAATTAGTTTGGGTAGTAAATGGTAAAAAGTTAACTCAATAATGTTTAAAAGTCGTAATAATTAACAATATTAGATAGAGGATAATATTATTAGAATCATCAGTACATATATTGTTTGTTTTCATAAATAGTATACAAAATTTCAAAATTTAACCATTCACTGTTGTTTTTGCAATTGTTCTAACAAGAACTCTAGAGCAAATTTTGCAAAATCTATCATATTTTGATTTCTTGGTTGATTAGGGAATTTTTTAAAAGTAGAAGAATCTCCATTTGGACCAGTAAATCCAACAAATACTGTACCAACATCAGCCGTTGGAGGGTTATTTTTATTATTATTGTTGTTATTACTCTCAATTTCATTATCATCAATTATATTTTCTTTTTCTTCATCCAAATGTAAATCAGTAGAAGGTCCAGCAAAACCAGTTTCACTTAATACAAAGGTAGAACCTAATTCATATTTTGCAGTTCTTGCTAATTTTAAAGCAACTATTTCACTTGGTCCCATATAATTTCTAATCTCATTATCTGACCAACCACTTAATTTCAATCTTTGTTTTAAAGAATATAATAATTTACCACCAATATAAAATTGGGATGCACCTGGTTCTGATACTATATAAGAAGATATTAATCCACCACATGCTGCTTCTGATATTGCTAATGTTTGATTTTTAGATCGTAGTATTTCTGCTATTTTTTGAACTATTATCGTTACATCTTCAGGAGGGAATGACATTTGGGTACTTTAGGAATATGGATCAATAGTTGATGAATCAATTGATTTTAAATTTTCGTGTTTACTATAGGATAATTTTAATAATGGTACCTGGCTATAAAATTTGCATATTGCGTGAAAAATATTGTAAAAATATCTTGTTTCCGATCCAAGATATCACTAATAAACTCAAATAATGCTACGTAATATATCCTTGATTTCATTTATACTAGGTGGTTTAATAACCTTATTAACTTTAATATCATATCAATCAAAATTAAATGGTCCAGATAAATCATCATGTAGAGTAGTTTGGATGTATCCATCATATATAAAATTAGATAAATTTGATGAAACTCATACAAAATATGCTTCAAAATATTCTATTTACCTTTATAGAGAACAAGGTAAAGATAAAATACCTAAAGAAAATGATGATATGGAATTAGATGGTGTGCCCGTTTTATTTATACCTGGAAATGCTGGTAATTATAGACAAGCAAGATCAATTGCTGCAAGAACTACAGAATTATTTCAAGAAATGGAAGAAAATCATGATCATTTTAATTTCAAAAAATTGGATTTTTTCACTGCTGATTTTAATGAAGATTTTACTGCATTTCATGGTAGGACTATATTAGATCAATCTGAATTTTGTAATGAAGCTATAAAATTTATACAAAGTTTATACCCTAAAAAGCAAAAAGTTTTAATTATTGGACATTCAATGGGTGGTATTGTATCAAGAATTATGTTAACTTTACCAAATTATATTGAAAATTCAGTAGAAACTATTATAACATTAAGTTCACCACATTCTGCTTCTCCTTTAACTTTTGATGGTGAATTATCATCTATTTATTCAGCAATTGATAAATTCTGGTATGAAGGTTATAATAACCAAGATTCATCTTTAAGTTTATTAGCTCAACAAAGACTAAAGAATTTGATATTAATTTCAATAACTGGTGGTGCTCTTGATTCAACATTACCTGCAGATTATACAAGTTTAGGATATTTAGTTCCACCATCAAATGGATTCACTGTTTTCACTACTGGTATTCCACTTGTGTGGACTCCAATTGATCATTTAGCTATAGTATGGTGTCAACAATTACGAACTGCTATTGCTAATTCTTTATTGGATGTGGTTAATATTATAGGACTTGGATTTATGAATGAAGAGACTTCGGTTATCGCAAGAATGAAGGTTTTTAAAAATTATTATTTGACTGGATTTGAAAACACTAAACCTACTTTGTTATTAGTTAAAATTGGTCTACCAGCTACACAATTACAAGAAAATTATTATAATCATATAAAAACCCCATATGAAAAATGTGTATTTGATATTAGTAACTCATCTAAAAATTATCAATTCTCATTAATATCATCTGTCAAAGATAATGAGTATTACGTTGAAAAAGAGAACAAAATGTATGAACTTGGAAATTTACTATCTACAATACCAAACCCAAAAGCTCAAGATATTTCAGATTCTTCATATGATGGAGATTACAAACCTTACTATAGTTTAGAATTAAATTCAACATTTTTAAGAAATTATCACAAATTATATATTTTAAATAAAGGTGAAACACAATTCCAACTTTCATCTCAACAAACAAACTATAAGTTTCAAGGTAAACATTTAGCCACCATAGGAGATTCAATAACAATACCAGAAAATCATCCTTTCGTTATTAACTTAAATATTCCTCAAGCATACAATAGTCTTTATGTCTATAAATTAAAATTTTCAGAACAGCCATTATTGGTACGACAATGGACTCAAGATCCATATGAATCCAAATGGTTTTCTAATTTGGAAAGTACAACATATTTAACAATGCATGGAATTGCACCATTTGTTCCACACAAGAAAAATAAACAAAATTATTCAATGAATTTACAAATTTGGTCAAAACCACAAAAAGATATAAAAGTTTTTATACTGATTGATTATTTACAAAGTTTAAAATTGTTAGTGCTTAGATATAGAATCACAATTGTTGGAATTAATATATTTATTATTTATTTAATAATATTGTTACAGTTTAATGCTGAAAAATTCCCATCTTTTGGTCAAATTTTGATTTATTTGAACTCAAAGTATTTAATACATATATGTGTTGGATTGATATTACTAAACTATTTGACTACATTTAAATTTTTACATTATTTTGATCCTGTTTTATTACTAGATTATAATAAGTTTATTAATGATGTAACTACAAATGGGGATAAATTTCAAGTTAATTTATTATTTTTGGGATTAGTGGAGAAGTTTTCAATTATTGGAATTCTACTATACTTAGTTTCAAGTTTTATTGTTGGAGTTATGTATATTGCATTAATTTCAATTGGTTCAATTCTTCATTTTATCATAAATTCAATACCAAGTATAAGTTTTAAATCACCACCAAAATTTTTACAATTAGTCATAATCATTCTTGTTCTTTCATTAATACCTTACTATATCCCTTATCAAATAGCCTATTTACTTTGTTGTATAGTACAAGCTTACAATGTTGCAAAGAATTGGACAAATATGAAAATTATTAATTATCAGATATCAATATTAATATTAATGTTATGGATTTTACCAATAAATATACCTATTTTAATAGTATTCATACATAATTTACAATTAAATTGGAAGACACCATTTAGTTCACATCATAATTTATTATCAATTATTCCAATTGTATTACTAGTTTACAAAAATAAAAACTTAAAAAGCTTTTCAATTCAAAACATTAAATTTAAATGGTTAAACAATGTAATGTTAACTTATTTAGGTTTTTATTCATTAATTTACGGAAGTAGAAATACTTTTTTCATACATCATTTATTCAATTTATATAGTTGCTTATTATTGTATATAATGAAAATTCTCAACCATTAAAATTAGATAAATAAATAGATAAATAGAATAGAAAATAAATTAGAAAAATATAAGTAAAACAAACAAGTTGAAAGTAAATAACCTAAATTATAAAAAATGATATATTATAAAAAACTTAAACAAAAACTATAAAGAACTAAAACATTATATTATAATAATAATAATTAAACCAACAACAATAACAAAAAATTAAACTTATAATTCTTGAGATGAAGCAGCTTTAGCTTTTTTAGCTGGTAATAATGATTGATGAATATTTGGTAAAACACCACCTTGTGCAATAGTAACATGACCTAATAATTTATTTAATTCTTCATCATTTCTTATAGCTAATTGTAAATGTCTTGGAATAATTCTTGATTTTTTATTATCTCTTGCTGCATTACCAGCTAATTCTAAAATTTCAGCAGCTAAATATTCTAATACAGATGTTAAATAAACTGGAGCACCAGAACCAATTCTTTGAGCATAATTACCTTTTCTTAATAATCTATGAACTCTACCAACTGGGAAAGTTAAACCTGCTTTAGCAGATCTTGAAGTTGAACCTTTTTCAGTTGAACCGGCTTTACCTTTACCTCCTGACATTATGATATATTATTATTTGATTTGATTTGAATTTAAATTGAATTGATTAAAATACAAAATTAAAGAAAGAAAACTTATAAAAAAAAGATTGTTTTAAAGAAAGGAAATTTATTTGATTTTATATTTTTTATATTTTTTTTTGTTCTATATTAATAAATTTTTTTTATGTATAAACACTTTTTATTACTTATTATTAAATAACATAATAATAAATTAATTATCACTTAGTAGTGTAGAAATTAACAATTATCATTCAAGTGAATAATTCTATGTAGCACTACAATGGTTAATAGTTAATTATCTTGAAATCAAAACAATTAATACACTTGTTTTGACATAATTCTTGTGTGATATCTCTCTCTCTCTCTTGTTGTAAATATTGTAATTAATCTCTCGAATAAATTTCGCACTAAATTTGTACTGATTACTACAACGAGTTCAAACGAGGACTGATAATTACTCACATGTTCTAAATTTTACTCAATAAAATACTCTTTTCACGCGATTTTAATATAAACACAATAAAACACGATTAATAAGTAGCGAGAACTTAAATAATATTTATATTATTCCCACTAAGATTAATTAATTATATTGATGGCAAATCTAATACAAAACAAACATTTTAATTGTTGATAGTTTGAATAGGAATCTATTGAGTTAATAGAGTCACAATCACAATAAACTCGTAATTCTCTAGTATAATGAATTTTATTAACAAAGTACTTTACTAGATAAATATTTTTTCTCTCTCTCTCTCTCTCTCTCTTACTTAACTTACTTCAAATATTTATTTATTTATTTTTAATTTATTTTATAAATAAGGATTTAATTCTCACAATTTTTTAATCTTTTACATTTTTTTAAATTTTTATATTTCTTTTCTTTCATCAATTTACATTTATATCAATTAATCAATTATTAAACAATGGCTCCAAAAGCAGAAAAAAAACCAGCTTCAAAAGCTCCAGCTGAAAAAAAACCAGCTGCTAAAAAAACTTCATCATCATCAGAAGGTCCAAAAAAGAGAAATAAAGCAAGAAAAGAAACTTATTCATCATATATTTATAAAGTTTTAAAACAAACTCATCCAGATACTGGTATTTCACAAAAAGCTATGTCAATTATGAATTCATTTGTTAATGATATTTTTGAAAGAATTGCTAATGAAGCTTCAAAATTAGCTGCTTATAATAAAAAATCAACTATAAGTGCAAGAGAAATTCAAACTTCAGTAAGACTTATTTTACCTGGTGAATTAGCTAAACATGCTGTTTCTGAAGGTACAAGAGCTGTTACTAAATACTCATCTGCTTCAAATTAAGTTTTTAATTAATTAGTTCAATGGTTTTTTGTTTCTCCTATTTTTTAGTTCTATATTATTTTTATAGTTTTTATTAATATATTTAGTTATTGTTTTATTATTTTAATGGTTTTCGAAGTTGTGTATAGCCTTCTTTCTTCGTTGTTCTTCTTTGTTGATTAGTTGGTTGTAAAAAGTATAGATGAAAATTAATTTTGTGGTTTTTCTTAAATATTATAATTCTTTCACTAGTCAAAGTGGTCAGGACATTTTATATTCAACACTTAACAACAAGGCTACAGGGTAGAGCTGCTCAGTTATCATCGAATGAAATCAGTGATATTCAATCAATAAAATATTAACTACAGCTCAATTACATCTACAATCACGTCCTGTACATCAAAAAAAGATGGAGAAATTTTCAACATGGAGAGATAAAGCAACAGGTATATCACCATTTATGCCTCATCAATTTCCAATAAGTCAAAATAGACAAAATAAATTAATAACAACCTTACAAATAATACTAATCAAAACTCCAATATTTATTTTAAAATTCCCATCCTTTATACTATTAACTTTATTATATTATATAACTGGATCAACAAGTTTATTAAATTTAATTTTTAAATTTATATTTGGATTTAATGATGTCAATTATTCAGTAGATGGAATTAAACGATCACAATTGGACAAATTACAATCATATAAACCTAAAATTGGAGATTTAATAGTTACTAATTATTCTTCACCATTAGATGGTTTCATATTTAATTTAATTAGTGGAACTTCAAGTATCATAATTTTAATACCCGACAAGAAAGGTGATTTATATCAATATACCCCATGGTCATTAATTAGTCATTGTTTTGGCAAGAATTCCAACAACAGACCAATTGAAGAAACTTCGAAATTTAAACATAAAATTGTATTCTTATTGTTAGAAGGAACTACATCAAATAATCAATCAATTTTACCATTTATTAAATTAAATCCAAAATATACATTTGATGGCATTTCTAGTATTAAGTCAATGGTTTTAAAATTTTCTCCAAATTATTTTACCATTCCTATTCCTATCAATATTTCCAAATTTTATTACTTGTTTGAATTATTAACTGATTTTAAAAGTAAAACTTTCAAGATAAAAATTTATAAATTTGATAATTTTAACTTGGTGGATATTAGAAAATCATTTGAGTTGAATTCATTAGCTTTAATTAATAATAAGGATTTAAGTATTGATGGTAAGGAAGATTTTATCAAGTATTATTTAAATCATGATATAAAAAAGTAAATAATAACTAAACTACTTGAATGAAGTATTTTTATTCAAGATTCTGATTCTCTTTCTGGACTTTTTTCTCGAACTCTATCTTCTATTGTATCTTCTTCTCTTCTTGATGTAGATGATTTATGAGATTTAGATTTATGTCGATTACTTCTATGATGTCTTGATTTGTGTGATTTTTCCTTTGACTTACTCTTTATAAAAGACTCCATTGGATCTACGAATTCGTCATCTTCGTTATTGTTATTGACATTCTCCATTGGATCTTTGAATTCATCTTCGTTTTCAAACTCAATTTTGTCTTTCTCTTGTTCAATCAGTTCTTCATTAGACGTTATTAGTTTTTGATTTTTCTCTTCAACTTCTTCTTTCAATTTACCATTTTCAATTTCTTTTCTTATTTCATCATAATTTATTAAATAATCATCTTCTTTTTCATTATAATGTAATTTATAATAATTATGATCAACAATTAACATATTAGAATTAATTTTTATACCATTAAAATTATCAATTGCTAAAATACAACTTTTAAAATTTGAATATTTTAAAAACGCAAAACCTCGATGTTTACCTGTTTCTTTATTAATTATTAAATTTAAATGTGTTGGTATACCGTATTGACTAAATATTATTATTATATCTTTATATTTTATAGTTTGTGGAATGTTTCCTATATATATATAATTTGTATCTCTATAATCATAATGCCATGATGATTTATAAGTTAGATTATGTGATTTAAGTTCTTTTTGATTTATTTGATTTATTAGTTTTATTTTATTCATTTTATTGAAAATAAGTTTGATATTTGAATCGGTATGTTTTAAAACACAAAATTGAAATCAACTAAATTAAATTTATATAGAGATGAGGAATTTATGAAATTTAATTTTTTTTTTACAACCATACCTAAAATCAACCATTTACAACACCATAAAATGGCTAAGAAAGGAGGCGTGTCACAAGAGGTGAAGGTACCGAAATCTACATCACAATCGAATAACAGTATACAGAAAAAAAGAAAGCCAGAACAACCTTTGGAAGATGAAGAATCAGAAGATGAATTAAATGTGGAGGGATTAATAGATGCGGAAAGTGATGATGAAGAAGAAGAAAAAGAAGAAGAAGAAGAAGAAGAAGAAGGAGAAGTAGAATCAGTAGAAGGAGATGACGACTCAGAAGTATCAGAAGAATATGATGAAGAACAATTAGAAGAATTGAGTCAATCAGATTTTGATTCAGAAGAAGAACTTAATAAATTATTAGGAGAAGAAGATGATCCAAGTGATTATGATTCAGATGAATTTTCAGATGAACCACAAGAACAAGAAGAATTAGATGATGTAAACATAAAGAATTTATCAGTACAAGATCCATCTCAATTAGATATACATACAAAATATTCAGATGGTAAACCAAGAATAATTAAACCAGAAATCGAACCAATTTATGATAGTGATGATAGTGATGCTGAAAATTTCAATACTATAGGTAATATTCCAATATCTGCATATGATGAAATGCCTCATATTGGGTACGATATAAATGGTAAAAGAATAATGAGACCAGCAAAAGGTTCAGCATTAGATCAATTATTAGAAAGTATAGATTTACCAACTGGTTGGACAGGTTTATTAGATCAAAATACAGGTACTTCTTTAAAATTATCAGATGAAGAATTAGAATTAATACGTAAAATTCAACAACAAGAAAATACAGATGAAAATATAAATCCATATGAACCATTAATTGATTGGTTTACTAAAAATGAAGAAGTTATGCCATTAACAGCAGTTCCAGAACCTAAAAGAAGATTCGTACCATCTAAACATGAAGCTAAAAGAGTTATGAAAATTGTAAGAGCTATAAGAGAGGGTAGAATATTGACACCAGAACAAGCAAAAGAAGCAAGAGAAAAACAAGATACCGATGATTTAAATTTCGATTTATGGGAAAATGAAAATGATATACCTGATCATATAATGAATTTAAGAGCTCCAAAATTATTACCACCAACTAATGAAGAAAGTTATAATCCACCAGAAGAATATTTATTTAATGATGAAGAAAAACAAAATTGGTTATCAACAGATCCAATTGATAGAGAAACTAATTTTATACCACAAAAATATAAATCTTTAAGACAAGTTCCAGGATATCAAGAAAGTGTAAGGGAAAGATTTGAAAGATCTTTAGATCTTTATTTAGCTCCAAGATTAAGAAAAAATAAATTAAATATTGATCCAGAAAGTTTAATACCAGAATTACCATCACCAAAAGATTTAAGACCATTTCCAATACGTTGTTCAACTATATATGAAGGTCATACTGGTAAAATTAGAACATTATCGATAGATCCTCAAGGGTTATGGTTAGCCACTGGGTCCGATGACGGTAGTGTTAGAATTTGGGAAGTATTAACTGGTAGATGTGTTTATAAAGCTCAACTTATAAATAAAGAGCATAATAGCGATGATAAGATTGAAAGTTTGGATTGGAATCCAGATTCAACAACTGGTATTTTAGCAGTTGCTGCCGGTGAAAATATCTATCTTATTGTCCCACCAATTTTTGGGTTTGATATTGAAAATACTGGTAAATTAAGAATTGAAACAGGTTGGGGTTATGATACATTTGGTAATAAAAAGCAAGATATAGATGTAGTAGAAGATGATGAAGAAGTTAATGAATTAAAATCCAAAAACTCCACCACCACTACAAAAAAGGAAGTATCAAAATGGATAAACCCTAACTCAACACAACAATCAATGGGTATTTCAGCAATAATACAATGTAAAAAAGATATTAAAAAAATTTCATGGCATAGAAAAGGTGATTATTTCGTAACTGTATCACCAGATTCTAAAAACACTTCAGTACTTATTCATCAATTATCAAAACATTTATCACAATCACCATTTAAAAAGACAAAGGGAATAATAATGGATGCAAAATTCCATCCTTTTAAACCACAATTATACGTAGCTTCACAAAGATCTATTAAAATATATGATTTATCTCAACAACAACTTATAAAAAAATTATTACCTGGAGTTAGATTATTATCAACAATAGATATACATCCAAGAGGTGATCATTTATTAGCTTCATCTTATGATAAGAGAGTATTATGGCATGATTTAGATTTAAGTGCTACTCCATATAAAACATTAAGGTATCATGATAAAGCAGTTAGATCTATTAAATATCATAAAGGAACATTACCATTATTTGCAAGTGCTTCAGATGATGGTAATATTCATATTTTCCATGGTACTGTTTATGATGATTTAATGACAAATCCATTATTAGTTCCATTAAAGAAATTACAAGGTCATAAAATTATAAATCAAATTGGAATATTGGATATTGTTTGGCATCCTAAAGAAGCTTGGTTATTTAGTGCTGGTGCTGATGGTACTGCTAGACTTTGGACTACATAGAGTAAAATATATATATCAAATGTATATTAAAAACTTAAGTTAACGTAATGAAGTGAAAGCAAATTATTGTAAATAAATAATATCAAGTATGTTACCATGTTGATACATCTATAGCATCACCAGGTTTATATAAAGTTTCAATTAAATCCAAATCATAATATTTAACAATAAATAAATCATTTTCATTACTATTAAAAACAATAGGTAATAAAAATTTTAAAAAATCAACAATTCCATAATTAAATTCATTTAAACACCAATCAAAAGATTTCCAATCTAATATCCCCATATCTTCATTATATTTTAAAGGAGTTCTATAATTTTCATATTGTTTTAATGATATATCTGATGTGAAAATATATAATGATCCACTTACTGGAATATTTAAATTCTTTAGGTTTTTATGGAAAATTTTATGAATTTTTTCTTCATATTTTGATACTTTAGAATTATTTGATTTATCTTGATTATCTTCTTTTGAATATATTTCCCATTTTAATATTCCTCGATTTATAAAATTATTCAAATCTAATCCTGATTGATTATTTATTTGTATATTTAAACTATCTAATGGTGATATCAGAGTATCTTTGATTTCTCCACCTATTCCAAACCATTTACCTAAATGTGGTGGTTGTTCCCTGTTTATTAATAGTATCTTATCATTTTCTTTACAACGAACTAGACCTAATGTGAATGATGGAGTAGTATTTGTTGTGGTTGTGGTTGTAGTTGTTGGCACTTGAGTAGTTGATGCTACTCTTGATGAAGAGGTGGAAAATGTCATGTTTCGAGAAGGTGAGGGTTTAGATTTGAAGTAATGATTTTTGGAATTTTATAATGGATATGGCTGGTATTTAAAATTAGATAGGAATTGCCTATTATGACGTTTTTGTTCTATTAAATTTATTTTAAAGAAAAAAATAATAATTTCCATATGAAATTTCAAGTACGTTCTAGTTATTAAATAATTAAATTTAAATAATAATTTGTTATAATCTGTCAAAGATTAAATTTTTCAGTAACACTTTTGATCTTGATTGCTAAATGATTATGTATTTTAATTTTAATGACGATCAATTGAAAATTTTCCACATTAGATTTAAACAGAGTTTCAAAGAAAAACCTTATCTTGAAACTTTAATTTTTAAATAGAATCAAAACCGTTAATATTGCGGCTCTTGTTTATATGTTCTGCTTTAAATTTCTCAGACTAATGACTACTAGAAATTTACGTCAAGAAAAAAACAATACAATGTATCACAAACTTGTAATTTGGTCGATATTCCGTCGTAAATTTTTTTTACTTAACATTACGAAACCAAGAATTATAAGTTTAAGTTCAAATTGTTGTTGTTGATTTTATAATTAAAATATTTAGTTCTTTTTAGTTTTTGTTTTAGTTATTTATAATGCATTATGCAAATCTAATATCAATACTTAAAACTTTATACATTTAAATAATTCATCTATATCCATAGATTTATTCTTATCTTTGATTTTTGAAAAATCATAATTTTTACCATAATCAGTTAAGACATGATTTTCAACTTCTTCAATATCTTTTGGATTTTCAAATTTTCTATAATCTTTATTTAAAAAAAATAGTATAGTTATTGATTTTTTCAAAGTTTTGTATCTCAAACATTCAACAATTTCGTTACTTTTGTAGTCGATGAACTTTGTAAAATTATTCCGACTCGAAGGCTTAAAACTTAGATTGAAGAAAAAAATTGTGAAGATCATTATTTTTGCTACTTCATCTTGATCTAAATGTCCATGACCTGTTCCAATTCCTGGTATAATTACATTTTCTATGTCAGTTGATTTTTGAACTTTATACAAATAGCTTAATAAATTCCACATTAAATTGAAAATATTTGAAATGTTGTGCTCCTCAAGTAGTTCAGGTACTAACATAGTTGAAATTTGAATTAATTCAGTAAGATTTAAATTCTTGTAGATTAATGAATATTCAAAATTGTAGTTTTTTAGTATTGAGTGATTTTCATCCTTTGATTTCATTGAACTGAAGAATTCTTTCAAGTTTAACGGATATATTTGATTTGGCACTAAGTAGCTATTACTCCTTTGTAGTTGATAATTCTGGAACCAAAACCCAAGATCAATATTATCAAATTTTGAGATAATGTCTTCTCCGCTTGCTTGCGATTTGTATAATAGCATACTATCAATTATAAACTTATCAAATCCACCATTCATATAACTCAAAGAATTAGTTGGAGTAACAATTGAAGTGCAACCTTTTGTAGTAGTATTTATAACGTAATCCTCAATAGTAGTTAATTTACATTGTACCTGGGGAAAATTATAATTGTGTATAAAATTTTTGATTGGTCTATTAGTACTGAGTAATTCAATCCATGTCCTTATATGATAATTCCATCTTTCAATTATTTTTGGATTTGAATCAATTAATACAAAATTCATTCATGAATTTGGTTGTTGAAAATGCAAAATCAAATTATTTGATATTTGACATTCTTGGAGTTATATTTTTTTACTTAAAACAAAGTCACGTTACATGTTTGGTAGCAATAAAGAAAATAAAGTTTTGTGTTATACGATCTTAAAATCTAAGATCTACAACCATACCGCAATGCAATGAAATATCGATTTTAAGATCTAATAACGAGAGTTTTCACATTTTGAAGCACTTCATAGACTTGAATAACAAATAAAATGAGAAAGAGTAGTAACGCTCAGCCTATATGAAAATCATTTTGTAGACATTGAACAAAAATATGAAAATAGTTGGTCAAATTTTCAACTTCATTTTTACTATAAATTTGATACTAAATTATTTGAAATAAGTTTATAAACTGCCATGATTAGTTTAAATAAAATATTTACTACAAATAATTGAAAAAAATTCAATTGAATTGGTTTATCCAGCTCAATAAAACCGCCGTTAGTAATGAAAGCCAAAATCAGGTCATGCAATCAGAGTTTTTGGAAATAAAATCAGGATATTATGCTAATGCTTACATATGATAATCTAAATTGAGTAAAGTGGCAAATATAATTTGATAGGTCAATTTTTATTTAAGTTTAGTATATGATAAGTGAACAATATAAGAGTCAGTTAATAGTTGTAATTAATAGTAAATTAATTATATTATTAGTACTTGAATATAATTTTTTTTTCTTACCCCACGATTCGAAATTTAAATGACATTAAATTTAGATTTACTTTCCAATTCGAAGGAAGACATATAAATCAATCGGTCAGGCAATCACTAGAAATGAATGTCAAGTGTCACATAAAATCAATCTTTCCATAAATTTTAAAATGTTATGATAAATTATTACAAAGATTTGATGATATAATCTTTAAAAATAACATTACCTGTATATAATACTTTCCATACGATCTGTCTCTCTAATCATTAAAACATTAATTTAAAACCCAACCGAACAAAAATATTTTAAAAAATTATAAAAACAGAAAACGTTGTTGGGTTAAATAACACGACATTTTTTTTTTGAATACTTTATTATAGGAGGAAGGATAAATTGTTAATATAAACAACTATCAATTGAACTATGATAGAGTAGAGTAAGAATCAATTGAGTACATGTAATAGATAGAGAATTACTCAACTAATCTACCTATTATAATTAATTAAGTCAATTGCAATTCAAATTCTTATTCTTCTCCATTTAGTCTCTTTTTCTAGAAAATCACATATAATATTTAAAGTATAATTCTAAATCAAAACAAATAAATAAGAATTAAAAAACGCACCACAATAAATTCTTCACTTATTAAAATAATTTTTTGCTTTAATAAATTTCCCTCATTTTCCTTCCTTTTCTTTCTTTCTATTCAATTCAATTTCAACGAATCAAAAGACAAAACTTTAATTTTTTTTAATTCTCTAGACTCAATTGATTCAATTTAATTAAATAATCAAATCAAATATTCAAAAATGGCTCCAGCTGCTTATTCAGATTTAACAAAAGCTTCAAATGATTTATTAAATAAAGATTTTTATCATTTATCAACTGCTGCAGTTGATGTTAAAACAATTGCTCCAAATGGTATTGCTTTTACTGTTAAAGGTAAAACTACTAAAGATGATAAAATTGCTGCTTCAGTTGATGCAAAACATGTTGATAAAGCAACTGGTTTAACTTTAACTCAAGGTTGGAATAATGCTAATGTTTTATCAACAAAAATTGAATTATCAGAATTATTAACCCCAGGTTTAAAAGGTGAATTAGATACTTCAATTATTCCAAATGGTGCAAGAAATGCAAAATTAAATTTTTTCTATCAACAATCTGCTGTTAATGCAAGATTATTTTTTGATTTATTAAAAGGTCCAATTGCAACTGCTGATTTAGTTGTTGCTCATGATGGATTTGTTGCAGGTGCTGAATTAGGTTATGATATTTCAAGTGCTAAAGTAAATAAATATTCAGTTGGTGTTGGTTATTCAAATTTAACTTATAATTTAGCTGCTACTGCTACTTCAAATTTATCAGTATTTTCAGCTGCTTATTATCATAGAGTTTCTCCATTAGTTGAAGTTGGTGCTAAAACTACTTGGGATTCAGTTAAATCATCAAATGTTAATGTTGAATTTGCAACTAAATATGCTTTAGATAGAACTGCTTTTATTAAAGCTAAAATTGCTGATTCTGGTTTAACTGCTTTATCTTATACTCAAGAATTAAGACCAGGTGTTAAATTAGGTTTAGGTGCTTCATTTGATGCTTTAAAATTAGCTGAACCAGTTCATAAATTAGGTGTTTCATTATCTTTCACTGCTTAAATAATTTGATATTTGTGAAGCTTTTTTAGATACTAAGTCTTTTTATTCTATTGTTTTAATTAATCATAAATTAAATAATAAATTTTAAATATAAAATATAAATATAAAGTAAGATTAGATTGGTAAAATAGTTGAGAAAACATTGTATCGCTCTCAATAAATAAAGCTTACAATATCTAATTCTGATATCTGGTTATACACAGAATTAGGTGTATTACTTTTACGCATTCGAAAAAGCGCATTAGAAAAATCTTATACAATAATGTTTTACAACCAAATTATAATTATATCAAACACCTATATATATTCAAACTAATATAATAGCATTATCACAATTAAATATCATGACAACACCAAGACTAACGCCGGACGGCCCAAGATCAAATAGAATTACCACCCCAACGTCTTCCTCCTCCTCCTCATCGAACTATTCTAGTATAACTCAAATATCAAGACCATTTTTCACATCACAAGAATTATCATTTTTACATAAAAAGACTATATCAGATTCAATGAAATTACAATACAGTACCACCAAAACCAAAATATTCCACTTTCTAAGTCAAGTTGTTAAAATTTTGAAATTCCCACAACGTGTACTTGCAACAACTATGAATTATTATCAAAGATTTTATTTATTTAATAAATTTGAAAATATCTCAAGTGATACTACCAATCATTTTTATGTACCAAGCTACATAGAAAATGATCCTTTCACTATTGCCATAACTTGCTTATTCCTAGCGAGTAAAGTGGAAGATTGTATCAAGAAATTAAAAGACATTCAAGTAATATGCAATAAATTAAGAGAATTAGATGATAATAAAGTAATAGAAATAAGTAAAGATAACAATATAACTTCAAATTCAAATATACCATTTATCGATTTACAAAGAAAATATATACTAGCTAATGAATTTAAAATATTACAAATTATAAAATTTGATTTTAATAATGGAAATAATCCAAGTTTTAAAATAAATATAGATAATTTATTAATACAATTTTGTAAAAATTTGAAACTCAACTATAAATTATCTATATTGGGGTGGTTAATAAACTATGATTTAATCCAAACTCCACTAAGTTTGATTGTACCACCACATTGCATTGCATTAGCCATTATAATAATAAGTTTAAATTTAAACCCTAAAGAAATGATTTTAACAAATCATGAAATTGGAGAAGATGATGAAGAAGAAGATTTGAAAGTTTCACAAATTTTAGAAGATTTTAAAGCTTCAGATTTTAATTGTCCTGAATTATTAGTTAATGAAGCAATAGTATATATTTTGGATTATTACACTCATCAATATAATACAAGTAATTTAAAGAATTACTTACCAGAAATAGATCCAGTCACTAACAAAAATCAAATCTTGAAATTTATGAGTTTAAAACAAAAATTCAACAATTTAAAAATAATTAATGATAAGAGTTGTGATTTTAAATTAAATTCTAAGGATGAATATTTCAATGAATGGGATTATAATGTTGCCAATAAAAATTCAGTTAGATTTATGTTGAGTAATAAAAGAAGAAGATTTAATAAAGAACGTGAATTGATTTCAAAAGATCAACAAAATGGGCATAGCAAATAGATAAGCTGCTTCATATAATTTATATATTTTGATAATCAAATTTTTCCAGTTTACTGTACTAATTCTACAATTTTTTCTTTTGAGAAACAGTGTTTTTTGGATGATTCAACTTGGAACTATTCTACATTTCTATTAACCGAACGTATAAGAATTTCAGGAAGTTTAATCAAATCAGCAACATCAATCATAATTGAGTTTTGAATATTCTTAACATGATTAATGTATCACCAATTGCGTTTGATAAAATTGACGAGACTTCAAGCATTTTATCATGAGATTGAGATACATTATTGAAACTTGAAACTTCATCATCTATCCACTATAGAAATGTGAATTATTATCATTATATCTATCATTATATTTTATTACTCTATATATCTTATTCAAACTTATAACTAACTGAGGTATTAACTTTATGCAAATCAGTACTAAAAGATGAAAATTCGATTTTATCAATATTGTCACCAGTTAAAAACCTACCATCACCATTAGTATCTAGCCATTGTAAAGGTATATTATTTGTTTGATTTAAATCAGTATATACTAGTACATTAAAAGTATATTCATCATTCTTTAAAATTGGTAAAAAACTTGAACTTGATGTAATTTGTCTTATTATTGCTCTTATTTCTTTTTGAATTTCAGACTTGTCTTTTGGTGATACTTCTTCTTGTTGTGTTGGTTCTTCATTATCTTTAATTTCTATATTAAATTCCCACCTTTCTAAGTTTTCACCAGTTGATTTCGATATTATTACCACGATTAATTTTGTAATTTTTTTACCATAAATCCATTTTTTTAATTGTTTCATTATGTTTTCAATATAATTAGATACATCTTCATCATTATTTATAATCATTGGTAAATCATATTTTTTAACAATTTTAAAATCTTCTTGTGGATATATTCCTCTTTGATATAATATTGAGTTAATTGCAAACTCAAAATAATCTGATACTATTTTTGATGAACCTTTTAATGCTAGTTTTTGTGATGACGATGATTCTACTTTAGTTGATGACATTTCGGTAGTAGGCAAGCTTATTTTATAGAAATGGTCTTGTATTTGGTTTTGTTTACTTTAAAGATCAATTTAAAAAGTTGATACAACACGCGATTTCATGCGCGAATTTCTTTGTGATAAACCAGATTTACTACCAAAAGTCTGACCTTATATCCACAAAATTTATTGTAGGTCATTGCCATAAGATACAGAGTTTGCCTAATTAGTACTATAGGATGGTATGTATGCATAGATATTTAGTTTATGCTGTCAAGATTTACATGAAATTGTCTAATACTAACTTGAATTAAGCAACATGAAGTAAAAAGAGTGAATTTGACAAAAGAACAACAAGAGCTAAAGTATGAGAGGGATCAACCAAAAATCAAATATTACAGAGATTTAACTGACTATCTACTACAATCGAAGAAAGATCATGTATATAATGAGGAGAACTTCAAATTGACTACCACATTACTAAATTTAAATCCGGAGTTTTATACGACATGGAATTATAGAAGAGAGATAATTGATAATTATTATACACCAGATAACAAGGAAAAGCTAATACAAATTTTGAATGATGATCTCAAGTTTTTGATGTCATTACTAAAACGATTTCCAAAAGTATACTGGATTTGGAATCATAGAAAATGGTGTTTATTTAAATTAGTTGAATTAAACTCAGTAAACTGGGATTATGAATTTAAGACTATAAGTAAAATGTTAGAATTAGATCAAAGAAATTTTCATGGTTGGCATTATAGAAGATTTATTGTTGAAAATTTAGAAGAAGAACAAAGTCAAAAAAATGAAATACTAAAACTAAACCTTGAAGAATTTGAATATACCACCACCAAAATTCAAAATGATTTTCTGAATTTTTCAGCTTGGCATAATAGGACAAAATTGATACCAAAAATCTTACAACTAATGAAAGAAACCAAAGTAGATAACGAGCTATTTAATGATCCACAAAACATTTTGAATAATGATTTAGAAATGATTAAAACAGGAATATATATGAGTCCCGAGGATAGCTCAGTTTGGTTATATCTATATTGGTTGTTATCCGATTCAATCTTTGTAAATTCATTCAAATCGAAAGAAGATTATGTACAGGTTTTACAAGATCAGATATCTATTATTAAAGAAGTTAATGAATTGGAAATTGAAGATTCAAATCAAGATAATATAGGATGTTTAAAAAGTTTAATTTATATCAAAGCTATTTTAAATAATTGTTTACATGAGAAATCTATAATTGACGAGGATATAAAGGAAAGTTTAATCAAACTAATCAAATTAGATCAATTAAGAAAAGGTAAATACCAAGATCAATTAAATGGTATTGTACCAATACTTTAATATTTGAGGAGAAACACAAAAGGTGAATAATATATAGGTTTATTGGGTTATTGATTAATATACGGGGTTTTGCATTTTGATAAGATTTTGACTCCTCAGTTATTTGTGCCCTTAACCGGTTAATAATTTGATCTTTGAAGTATGAATTACTTACTTAACCATCTTGGTATATTTTAAAAATAGTCACAAGACATTACACAAAATCATATATATACAAACTTTATTTAATATTTTCACTGGAAATTCATACAAGAACTTGGTAAGCTTTATTGTTATTGTTTAAGTTTGCAAACAAGATAAGCCTTTGATATTCATTGAACAAAGACGAAGGTGAATTAAAGTTGTGTTACTGGAAAGTTCAAATTTTGTGTTTTTCAGTGATTGCATATACTAAAACACTTTGCCCAATTTTAATGTGTGTTTAGAATGAAAAACCACAGCAGATGTTTGTGTCTTAAAATGACTGAAATTGAGCCATACGTTTGTAAAAGATCGATCAACCATGGGCGATATTAATTAAAAAATACGAAACTTAAAATAAGAATGTGATAAGTATCATATCAACGTTTTGCAAATTAGCGTTTGAAAGTACATCAGAAATTAATTTATCAATCCACAAACTTTATTTCAGCAAAGGATTTACAAAATTAATTAATTGCAAATGCATGCATAATTTCAATTTAAAAGATAATTATCAATAATTTTATATTTCCAATAATTTATTCACAGACCGCAATGTGTGATCAGGTTGTAAAATAATATTTTAATTACTTTTTCAAATTTCATGAGTACATGCATAAACTTTACTTTATAGGGTTTAACGCAAGATATGAAATTTAAGCTTGATAAATAATTTTATTTTGTAAAACATATTTAAAAGAAACAAAATTATTATTAAGACCATTTTGAGTCAAATTAGCCACTAGTAATTACACTAATATTAAGCTTTAGAAAGATCTTAACATTGGTAATCATCAAGTATCAACTCATCAGGTCTAACTTAATGAGATCTTCTTATTGTCTTTTGGTTTTGATATTTTTAGTTTAAACTAAAATCGTAAATTAATTTAACATTCATGTGCCAGTTACAACTGAAATTTAGTGCCTTAAAAACCCGGTAATAATATACTTAGGTCTATTGTTCTTAATTATCAAATTTTGTTCTTTATTGTTCCTTGGTTAGATTTTGAAATTTGTTAATTAATTAATCAATGAAAATTTATTGCTTTTTTTTGCAACCATTACCGCATTAGTCTTGCAAAGGAAAAATTTTAAGACACGGTAAATGCAGGATTACTAATATTTACAACATATTAAAGATTCATCAACACATGTCAATTTAATATTAATGGAGATCCTTACAAATCAAATGCAAGGGTACTAAAATATTTTCTGGGGGGTATGTTAAAATTTAAATCAAAAATTCAATCGAAATATAATATTTTTTAAATTGCAAAAAGTACATAAAATATTATAAAATAGTTTTTAATTACTCTTTAATTGTTTAAAAACTTTAATTATGAAGGTTAGGATTTTGAAGATGGTTGCAAATTACCAAATTTGGATTCGTAAGGAAATTAAATGTATTGAAACCTGATACAAATGAAAGGAAATATAATTTATCATAGGCATGAAATCAATTATCCATGAGTTATAATATTACTTTTTCAAAAATAATATTATTGACGATCAATGAATATTAATTACAGTACATTCAAATTGAATATTTGATTAATCATGAAATTGAAAATTATAAATAGTGATCAATTTCTTGATATGATTTTCATTTTTCATTTCTAATCATCAATCAAAACAATTGAGTTCAACAATCTACTAAAACAAATAACAATTTGCTATCATTAAAGCATTTTTATCATCAAAATAATGAAATTTTCAATCACTATTTTAACTGCTATTGCTGCTACATTAGTTGCTTCTGCACCAATCAATTCAACTGAAGTTGCTATTCCAGCTGATATTCCAAATGATCCAATTCTTGAGTCATTAATTGAAGCTGTCAAAGCTGACCAAGCTGCTGAAGCTGGTGCAATTGATGCTGAGAAAAGAGGATGGACCAGATATGGATACTATGAACCACAAAAGAGAGATGCTGAAGCTTCTGTTGATGCTGAAAAAAGAGGTTGGACTAGATATGGATACTATGAACCACAAAAAAGAGATGCTGAAGCTGAAGTAGACGCTGAAAAAAGAGGATGGACCAGATATGGTTACTATGAACCACAAAAAAGAGATGCTGAAGCTTCTGTTGATGCTGAAAAAAGAGGTTGGACTAGATATGGATACTATGAACCACAAAAGAGAGATGCTGAAGCTGAAGTAGACGCTGAAAAAAGAGGTTGGACAAGATACGGATACTATGAACCACAAAAGAGAGATGCTGAAGCTTCTGTTGATGCTGAAAAAAGAGGTTGGACCCGATATGGATATTACGAACCACAAAAAAGGGATGCTGAAGCTTCTGTTGATGCTGAAAAAAGAGGATGGACTAGATATGGATACTATGAACCACAAAAGAGAGATGCTGAAGCTTCTGTTGATGCTGAAAAAAGAGGTTGGACTAGATATGGATACTATGAACCACAAAAGAGAGATGCTGAAGCTGAAGTAGATGCTGAAAAAAGAGGTTGGACTAGATATGGATACTATGAACCACAAAAAAGAGATGCTGAAGCTGGTGTTGATGCTGAAAAAAGAGGATGGACTAGATATGGATATTACGAACCACAAAAAAGGGATGCTGAAGCTTCTGTTGATGCTGAAAAAAGAGGTTGGACTAGATATGGTTACTATGAACCACAAAAATAAGCTAGTTGGTTCTTTGCATTATCAAAAACAAAAGTTGAAGAAAATTATTCCTCCTTTTAACATTTGCATTTATCATACTTGATTGGACATTTATTTCATTATTTTATCATTTTATTATTTTATTTTGCATCTTATCATCATCCTGATTGATTTTTTAGTTTTACAAAATTTACAAAAAAGAAAAAAAAAGTTTAGTTCTTATACATTTTTACTTCATTTTTATAGCTCATTTTATATTTTATTAGTTTAGCCAATCAAAGTTTTTCGTTGTTTTCAAATTCATCATAGTTGTAGTCTTTAAGAACTTAAAAGCATCATTCAACATTATCCTTTTAGTTACAATGACTAAGCTATCTATTTGAATTTTTCAGCTCTTACATTACGAAAAAAACAATTGCGATGGTTGCAAAATTTAAATATCTTTGAAACGTACTGCATAAAAAATGTTTTGTTTTTGTGCTACTAAAATTTAAAGAAGCATCTCTCATAATAATCTAATATTTAATAAATCTTAAGATATTACCATCAACAATTACAACAACTATGGCTAAGACTAAATCTAGAGGAAGAAGAGCTGAAAAGAAAGCTCAAAAACTAGATGAACAAGATTTCATAGAATTATCGACCGACGACATATCCAAATCAGATCAAACGAATATACCCAATACCTTTTTCGGATTAGTTGATTCAAGTGAAATTGATTATTTCAAACAAGCAGAATCAACATTAAATATAAACTCCTTTGAAAATGATGAAGAAAGAGATGGATTTATAAATTCGGTTATAGAAGAAGCTCAAGGTAAAGAATTAAAATTAGTTACAAATCAAATTTGTTCAAAACTAATGGAAAGATTAGTATTATTCGCTAGTACTAAACAATTGAAACAAATATTCAAAAATTTTTCTGGACATTTCGTTTCTTTAGCTTTCCATAAATATGCATCACATGTATTGGAAACTTTGTTAGTGAGAGCAGCTGCCTTAATTGAAAAAGAAATTTTACAAACTGATGAAGTTAAATATGAAGAAGAAGATGGAGTAGTTATAGAAGATCGTAATGATTCAGAAACGATAGAGGAATTATTTATAAAAATGACAAATGAGTTCAAGCCTTATTTGGTGACAATGATTGATCATCAATACGCCTCACATGTGCTAAGACTTTTAATTTTAATATTAGCTGGAAAAGAATTACCATCCACAACAACTTCAAATTCAGTGCTTAGATCAAAAAAATCCAAAATCGCTAGAAAAATGATTGAAATTAAAGACAATGAAGATTTTAATCGATCTTTTCAAACTCCAGAATCGTTTAAAGTAGAATTGCGAGAATATTTTCAAATTATAATAAAGGATTTAGATACCAAAAAAGCAAGAGAATTAGCTATACATAAAATCGCGTCACCAGTAATACAATTAATAATACAAGTGGAGGGATTAGTAGACCGTGAACGTACAATGTGGCATTTAATATTTGCAAAACAATCGGATGGTGAAGTAGATGAAGAAAGATCATTTGTTGAATATCTATTGTCAGATCCAGTTGGTTCACATTTCTTTGAATCAATTATCAAAAATGATGGAGCAAGACCACAATATATTGAAAGATTATATAAACTTTACATGAAAGAGAGAATACTAAAATTAGCTAATAGATCAACCACAGGAGTATATATAATTCAAGCATTATTATTTAAATTAAAACCAATTGAAGTTGAGTACATTTTAGACAATATAATACCTGAATTATCAAATTTAATATCAATTTCAGAACATCAAAATTTAGATTTGGCAACAAGAGTGATAGATGCATCAATAGGTAGAGGTAATTATTTACGAGAAGAAATCATTACTCAATTGTTTAAGAAATATGCACCAAATTATGACTTCCAAAACCCAACAACTCAAGGTGACGTATCTACCGAATTTCTAGAAAATGTTTTACAGTTGACAGGTTCAACTTTGGGTAATACAAAAGATGATTGGCCAACGGCAGAAGAAAGAAAAAGAGCATTATTTTTGGAGAAATTAATGGAATCAGATTACAGATTCGTCATATGTGTTTGGTTCAATTTTATGGCATTACCAATTGAAAGATTTGTACAAATGTGTTTCCATGGAGTTTTCTCTCATGTAGTTGAAAATTCTTTGGTAGTAGAACAAAACGAGCAAAAACCAATTCAAATTTTAAGAAAAAGATATCTTAATATATATCAAGGACAAATAGTTGCTTTAGCATGTAATTCATATGGATCTCACATAGTTGATAAATTATGGGACTTCACAGTATTATTACCAATGTATAAAGATAGATTTGCATCAGAGATGATGAACAATTCACAAAAGGTAAAAGAAAGTACTTATGGTAAATTAGTTTGGAAAAATTGGTCAATGGAATTATTTTTAAGAAAAAAATATGATTGGAAACTGTTGGTCAAAACTCAAGAACAAGAGTTTTTTGGAGGAGATGAAAATACAGAAAGAGTTAAAAAGCCAATTGAATTGAAAATGGAAAGATTAGCTGAAGAAAAGAAAAAACAACAAGAACAAGCTGAAAGAGCTCAAAGTGGGTATAATAAACGTAAATTAGATGAATTAACTGGCAATACTGACAAAAGACAAAAATTAAGAGGAAGAAGAAGGGAATAATATTTTTAATATATACAAAATAAATTAATTCTATACTAATTAGTTACAATTTCTCATTATCGTCATTAACTTTTATATAATACTCCTTCAAAGTATCTTCACTAACAGAAGTTGGACTATCTACAATTTTATCAACTCCTGATTGATTTTTAGGGAATGCAATAACATCTTTAATACTTGAACTTCCAATAATCATCGCACATAATCTATCAAACCCCAAAGCTAATCCAGCATGTGGTGGACATCCCATACTTAAAGCTTTTATAAGGTGACCAAATTTTAATTCCCAATTATTAATTTTCAATACATTCTCAAAAATATATTGTTGTAATTGTGGATCATGTATTCTTCTTGAACCTCCTCCTACTTCCACTCCGTTTATAACCAAATCATAATGCTCTCCTTTTACTTTTAAGGGACTTGTTTCCAAGTAGTCATAATCTTCTAATTTACACATTGTAAAAGGATGGTGAGTTGATTGATACTTTGAGTAATCATATTTTGGGTATGGTGCAAATGAATCTTCTTCATTAAGCTCTACTGGGTTGAAAAGTGGGAAATCGACTACCCAGGATGCAACTGAAACATCTTCTCGTGGATACTCATTAATTACTGAATCTTGCTCTTGTATTGGTCTTTGCCATTTAGTTGGGTATTCTTTTATTGCAATTTGTCTGAATTTTCCCAATGGTGTTGGATTTTCATAAGGTAAATCCGCCCTTGTCGAGACAGCTATAATATCCCCTGGCTGTAAGTTCAAAGAATACAACAACTTTAACTCATTATAACTCTCGGTTGGCTTCATAAACTTTTTGTTGATCAAAAGACCTATCCAATCTGATTTATCATTTTCATTATTCATTGTAAAAACATAGGGTTTTCTTCTCTTATATTCCAAGTTGTCGATCAAAGCTTTTGGAACTTTTGTATGCTTTTTTGAGTCTGGAGTGAAAGCATTTTTCAATATGCAAATTTCAACAATTGGAAATTCCTCATTTTCTATAGCTGTAAAATGGTTTTCAAGATTTATGAAGCTAAGATTAGATCTTAAATCCGGTTTATCAATTCCAAATTTCTCCAATGCTTCCTTATAAGTTAAGTTTTTAAAATTTGAATGTGATTGATCACCTGTTGGTATTTGCTCCAAATTTCCACTCTCGCCCAAAACATACATTGGTTGTTGTTTGAATTTTCCCCAAATTTTCAAGATTAAATCCTCAAGGACTTTCATAACTTGATTTGAACTATTAACAAAACTCATTTCCAAATCAATTTGAGTAAATTCAGGTTGTCTATCAGATCTTAAATCTTCATCTCTAAAACATTTTGCAATCTGAAAATATTTCGTAAACCCTGAACTCATTAAAATTTGTTTATATTGTTGAGGAGATTGTGGTAACGCATAAAATTGATTTCTTGATCTCGTGGGGACTAAGAATTCTCTTGCACCTTCTGGAGTTGATTTAAATAATAAAGGGGTTTCAATTTCAACAAAATCATGATTATCAATTAACAAGTTTCTTACTAATTGTGCAATTTTGCTTCGTACTCTCAAAGAGTTCTGGAAAAATGAAGTTCTTAATTGTAAATATCTAAATTGTGGTGGTAAATCTTGTGGATTTTTATGCTTTAATTTATCCAATCTTGGAGCATCTATATTTGATTCGTTTAAGATTTTTAAATCCTCAACAACTAATTCCCATTTAGCTGTTTCTCCCTCTGCCAAAAGTTTTTGCTGAATAAATCCAGTTACACTTATTGATTCTTCAACAGTTAATTCTTTAATAGTATCACAAATTTCAATGGGTGTATCCTCTTTTGTAACAAATTGTATTACATTACCATCGATATCTCTTATAAATCCAAAACTTAAAGTTGGCCGTATCCTTGTTTTTTTATGTACATGACCATTTAAAGTTATTTTCAATTGTTTATCATTCAAGAATTTATTTAAGTTTTCATTAATTGATTTGAAAGAATGTTGTTGTATAGGAAAATTAAATTTATTCAATGTTTTTAGTTTATCTGGAAGTGTTGATGAAAATCTTTTACTACATAATTGAATAGGTAGTAGTACTTTATTCTTCATTTTTATTTGATTTGGTTGTAAGAAATTATAAAATTTGAAAGTCTCGTAAATTATAAATTCTATATAATAAAAATCAGTTCTATACAACTTTTTCATTCCTTTACAACCACTATTTTTTGAAATTGACATCTACGATGATTGATGAATGTTGATCAACTATGTATGTTGCTTTATATAGATGAATACGAGGACAACAAACTTAGATCGATGATTTGACTGTAGATTTGTTACTTCGGTCAAAATTGATGCCATATCTAATGCAAATACTTCCATCAACTAAGTCAGGATATAAAGAAATTAAAATGATATTGAATCTACCATGAATAGTTATTCATATGTTTGCAATGAATTTACGAGAAGGATTACCATATTAAATAACATTCATGATATTTGATGATAATTAATCTGATGTCCTCTACAAAACATACAATTACTTATCTAGATATTGGATTTCTAATTTGTAATCTGACTTGTAAGCTAAATCTTCTGTAATCTTTGAATTGAAGCACCGGCTTTGTTTCAAACTTATAGTGAACAATTCAAACACTATTGCCGACTCCTCTTCCATTCAACTGAGTACGCTAATGAATTATAATGATGTTAGGATTAAAGATTAGATAATATGAATTTGAAGGTCAATTTTTATTAACTGTTATAAGTAAGAAACCTACTTGGGTTTCCCATATTGATAAATACTCATAGTAGCAATATCAATGATGCGGTTCATTTATCCCTCCCTATTACAGTATAAGGTTTCTTTCTAAACTTTCGATACATATTCAATATTTAAAATTTGCCATAAAAACTAAGAAATTACTTAATAATGTAGTTCTTCAAAAGTAATCAAAAGAGAGACACACCATCAATTTGACAATTTTGTAAAGCTTTATTTGTCTAAGCCATTATACATGATCATTATTTTGAACACAAGTATGGGAAAATGAAAAGCATTTTCAACAAAATTTATCGGAATTTGAAAAGTAGTACAGTTTGAGTATTATGACTTGTCTTAGATACCAAATTGATTGGAAAAGATAAAGGTTGTATTAAATAATAATAGTAAATTATTTTAATTAATCAATATTTTCCCTTATGATAAGAAAATGGTTTTTATATAATAATATTTGACACATTCCAACTTTGCCTCAAAATAATAAATAAAAAAGGTACAATATTTGTATACAGGAAAGATTATAAAGTTATAAAATATTCAATAATTGAAAAACTCAAAAATTCAACCAATTTCTATAATCAACAAGATTCATATGATAACAATCACCTTTCATTATTTATAATTTGAATTTATCAAATTATTTCCTTATTTATTTTGAGTCTGTTTCACCTTATTTTAATACTATTTTATTACCTAATTTATTCAATCCAAAAGTTCATTTAAAAGGTGATCCGACATCAATTACTTTAACAATTATTTCTGTCATATTAGAAGATGCCAAATATCAGAAGGAGAAAACTTTTATATATATTAATAATCATAACTAGCTCAATCGGACTTTTAATTTATCACACAAATCTTCTAGATAATAAAAATTTATCATTTACTAATCAAGATTGGTCATTTAAATCACTTAGTGATAGTTTTGATTTTTCATATTTACCAGATCTAAGTACTAATCTCAAAAATTCATACAACAAATTAAATTTAAATTCAAACAATGAAGCACAAAATTCAAAAGGTTATGTTTTAGAACCAAATAACGTTAAATTTAAATTTTTGAACAAAAATAAGATCAAAAGTTCACCAAAGGAAGTTGTTGAAGAAACGACTAAAAAGTACAAAAAGTTATTATCTACAGAAGTTGGAAAACCTCAAGATGCATCTTTAATCCCACCACCTTCCAGAGATGATTTACCAAATTACAAACACGCAAATGCAACGATTATAGCATTAGTTAGAAATGAGGAAGTCATAAAGATAGGGCAAAGTATACGTAGATTTCAAAAAAATTTCAACTCAAAATTTAACTACCCATATACATTCATCAATGATCAACCATTCACAGATAAATTTAAAAGAAGAATCATAAAATATACTGAAAATGCACCGGTTGAATTTGTTCAAATCCAGCCAGAACTTTGGGATAAACCAAGTACAATAGATACAGAAAAAGAACAAAAAGCAATGCAAATATTATATGATCATGATATCGCATATGCCAAAAAGGGCTCATATCATAATATGTGTCGATTTTATTCAGGTCAATTTTATAATGTTCCAGAATTACAAAAATATAAATATTATTGGAGAATAGAACCTCAAGTCCAATTTTATTCTGAAATTAATTATGATGTTTTTAAATATATGGAATCAACTCAAAAGATCTACGGTTTCACTGTTAGTTTATATGATATTGAAGAATCTATTAAAACTTTATGGCCAGAAACTTTGAAATACTTAAACAGGGATGAAAATTATAAATATGTTAATACAAACGGTAGTTTCCAATGGTTAGTTGAAAATTTACAAAATCCAAAAAAGAATAAAATAGCTGGTGGTTATTCAACTTGTCATTTTTGGTCAAATTTTGAAATTGGTGATATGGATTTTTTCAGAGGGGAAGCTTATAATAATTGGTTTAAATATTTGGATTCAACTGGTAAATTTTATTATGAAAGATGGGGTGATGCTCCTATACATTCTATTGGAGTTAGTTTATTTGCTGATAAATCTAAGATTCATTGGTTTAGAGATATAGGATATAGTCATGATCCATATTATCATTGTCCACGAACTCCTTTTACTAGAGGTTGTAACGTTGGTAAATTTAGTAGGTATGAACATTTGAATGATCAAAATTGTTTAATAAATTGGCTAGAATACGATAATATAAAAGATGTTTATTAAATAAGTTAAATAGTACCTCTAACTAAATAAATAATGTCTCCATTAGTAAAAATATTTGATTTTTCTGAATTTTTAATTTGTTTTGATTCATTAGTTTGTTCATTATAAGTAAATATATTTAATTTCTCATTGGAATTGGTGGTTGAATTATTGGTGTTTGAGATTTTTAGAATTTCAGCTATACTATCTAGTGACTTTCCAACCACCCAATTTTTAGATATAAATACCGGTTGCTTGGTTGTTTCAATGATTTTTGGATCTTTGACATAAATACACCAAATGTAAATTTTATCATTGACTTTGATTTTATTATCTCCTTTAGCTTCTTTTTTCAATTTCGCTATATCTGCAAATTTTGATGATGATGAAGATTTTCCAAATATCTTGGATATGGAAGATCCCTTTTGTCTTTCCTTTTTAAGATTTAGAAATTGCTGAAATTTTTTGAAAGCATTATTTGTGGCAACATCCCCCACTCTAAATTGAGTTTCTTTAATAGTTGTAGGTTCAGGACTTTTTAATCTTTCATTGATTAATTTTCTATCTGCCTCTCTATCTGGAAATAGTGATTTTGATGATATGGTAGTACTAGACGAAGTTGATGAAGTTGGTATTTGTTGATTATAAAATTTATCTTTATTTGGACAGTGATGTTGTTCTAAAGTTCGATGTTGTGAGCAAAAAGTCTTGTTACAATACTCACAATGAAAAGGTAGAAAGTCAAGTTGACTACAATACGAGCAATTCTTTCCAATATTCATTATACCTTGATCCTCCTTACTAGGAGTTTTAGTCTTATCAATGAATAAACTTGCAACTGAGGACATTTTAAAGTGAGTTGATTGAATGGTTGGTTGATTTTATTGACGATGTAATTTTGAAAGTGAAAAACGAGAGGACTATTTATACCATATGGTACAGGTTAGTATTACTAATACAATTGGTGGCAAAAAATTGAATATTTTGGAAAAATAGCTTGGTATTACTTTTTTAGTTTTGTGCGTCAAAAAGTTTGATTTACGAGACGAAATTTAGCATCATCATTTTTAAGAAGAAACACAGTACAACTGATTTGTCATCAAAGTCACCAAATAATGTCATATGACTTAAATATTCAATGGCCATGTAATGATTTTCAACAAAAACCTACCACTCAAGAATTAACTACACTCAAAAATACAATAATCACAAATTTACAAGTTGGCAAAACTCATCAAGTATTAAATTTCACAATCAATGAAACAATCAAAATTCCACTAAATGATGCCACTAAGATAAATCCTTTACCAATTAAAAAACTACTAGAAGAATTAGGACCGAAATTTCCTCTGTTGAAATTATTTTCAAGAATCACTATTCAGCTATCAGAACCTTCAAAATTACAAGGATTGAGTAAATTAAACAATTATTATGATATTATAGCTATTCAACCTTTAAGTGAAAAAACATTACAACAAGCTGTATTAAGTATAGAATGTGATTTGATAAGTCTTAATTTAGGTTCAAAATTCCCATTTTTTTTAAAGTTTAAAACTATTGGTACTGGAATTCAAAAGGGTAAAAAATTTGAAATTTGTTATAGTCAATTGATTGGAGGTTCTTCAGGTTATAATGACAATATTAGTACGAACTTGATCAAGAAAAATTGGTTCAATAATGTATTACAATTAATCAGAAGTTCAAGATCAAGAGGGTTAGTAGTTTCAAGTGGGGCACAAAATGCATTACAAATTAGAAATAATAATGATATTTTAATATTGCTAAGTACGTTGGGGTTAGACAAAAGTAGAGCTAAAAGTTGTATAACAACAAATCCAGAAAATGTATTGATTAATGGGAGATTGAAATTAAAATCTTATAAACAAACTATAGCTATAGGTAATGAAGATATAATCGATAATGATTTGGAAGATTTAGATAAAAAAAGTAATTTGGCCGGTTACAAGAGAAAATTCGATGATACTTCAACAGGTAAACTATTGAAAAAAGCTAAACGTAATTAGTCATTATATATTCATAAATTTCATAAGAATCATTAACTAAAAATAGAAGATTTCATTGATTTAATTTTACTAGGTGATTCTTTTTCTTGTGATTGTGGTTTCTTTTTCACTTTTGTAGGTGATGGAGAAGTTTGAATTTTTCTAGATTTCAAAAATATAGACGGTTGTTGTTGTTGTAGTCTTCTTTTTCTTGCAATTTCAGCAACTTCTGCTGGTGATGGTGGAGGCGACGCAGATTTTGGTGTGGATTTAGGCTGATTTATAGATTTATTTATCTTAATAGGTGGCTGTATAGGTCTATTGAGTGTATTAGGTTGATTAAAAAAAGTAGTTCTATTAATTGATGATCTTGGAGCTCTTATTGGAACATCATCTCTATAGTTGAATGCATCATAAGGATCGAATCTTTTTGTAGGTGTTTTACCAAACATTAATGATCTTGATTGAGATTCTCTTAATGCCTTACCTAATATAGTGTTTTTATTTAAAGGTTGAGTACTTCTTCTAAAATTCCCTGAAGAATCATAATTTCTTCTTTTAATTGATGGATCTCGTCGTATTTCATCAACAGTTACAATTTGATTCATTGTTTTTTCCTTTTTTAAGGTATTATTCATATGTCTTAATCTATTAGCTGAATCTTTTCTAAAATCATCTCTTTGTTTAACATATTTGAAATATAGTGATTTATACGGCATCTTATCAAATTTTAATTTGGTGGTTGAAGTTAATGGTCCTATATTTGTTGGTCTATCGGGGAAATCTTTTTTTATTAGATGACTCCAAATCTCATCAGTATATGGCATTAATTGATTTGATAAATCTTCCAATTGATTTAATTGTTTAGATGACATTAATTTTAGTATTGGTTCTAATAAATGAAATGGTGTTGCTCCAACATCTTGTAATTGAGTTATATGACGTTTTATTGATATTTGTGATAGATGAAGTAGTGTCGGTAGTCCATTAGGGTGCTTATAATTCACCTTTGGATGTGAGTTCTTATTCATGAATATGTTGTGAGTTTAAGTGTGGTTGTAGTAGTAAAAGAAAGATGAGTTGAATACAGGTTATATATGTAGAACTGGTGATAACGCTAACAAAATTTGGATCTCATTTTTACTATGCAACGCGTAGAGAAAACTTTACGGGTGTGAAATAGTCAAAATTTCAATCCAGTACGACTTCACAATTGACGTAGTTGATATGATATTTTGCTAACACTTAGCTGAACTCTTAAGCATACTTATGGTAGAGATTAAAGTTCACAACGGCAACACTTCAATCGAATAAATTTTGGTAACAAAATTTTTAAACCCTTCAGGTTAAGGGGTTTTAGTTGCCAAATATTTTACAATTTTTTCAACATTTTCCATAATGCAATACCTTTATTGAACTTCTATCTACAACTAAAAACTTTTCTATTAAAACCCAAACAGTGACATAATTCCATAACCAACAGTGATTGAAATTATGAAACATATAACAGTAGCTAAAAAACCCCTTTTAATAAATGTTCCCACAGTTAAATATCGATTACCTAAACTATCAACCATTGATATAGCAGTATTATTTGGAAATCCACTAGAAGGCAAAGACATAGCAAAAGATGCAGACATAGCAGTTCCAAATATAAGCATACTTGAATGATCTTTACTTAATGATTGACCAACTTCTTTTACTAATGGAATTAAAATTAATGCAGCAACTGTATGAGATATAAAACTTGCAATAACAACTGATATAACTCCAAATATAACATTTATTGCAAATACATTGAAATCTTCAATACGTCTTTGTAATGCTTTTGCTATCGTGACTAATAATTCCGAAGATATTAAACCTTTACCTAATGCAATACCACCACATGCTAAAAATACAATATTATAAGGATATTGATTTATATCTGAAGTATTTAAAATTCCAGTACCAAAAAATAAAACCATTGATATAATACTTATAATACCAGCTTCACCAAAAGTATCCTCAATTTGTGACATCACACACCATAATAAAATTGTAGCTAATGAAACGATACAAATAAAAATTTGTTTTGATGTTAATTTCTCCTTTATTGGTTGAACTTTTGGTAATTTAATATTCTTAGTTTGAAAAGTTAATAATAATAATCCATAAGTTAGAATTAATGATATAATTGTAGTTGGCAATGAAACACCTAGGAATGAACCCCAACTTGCAATTTTCATATTTTGAAAAGCAATAATATTTTGAGGACTTGAAATTGGAGTTGATGCACCACCAATATTAGCAGCAAATGCTATCCCTAAAGCTAATGCTTGAGATGCATGTAAATTATTAGTTAAAGATTTCATGACTGGACTAATTAATGAAAAACATATAATTGGACTTGCTGTATTACTTATCCACATTGATAAAAACCAACTTACACACATAATTGCAAATAATGTCTTTTTAAAAGAAGTACCAGCAAGGGCCAAGATATATGAACTTAAAATTTTAGCTAAATTATATTTTGATAATGCTGCAGATATTGTAAAACCTCCCATTAAAACCATAATTGTACTATTCCACATTGTACTTAGGATATATTTTGATGCATCTGGTGCTGACATTGGTTCTTGTGTACCTTCAATTTTACAAATTCTACATGTAACAACCAACAAAGGAACAAATAAACCAGTGGCATATAATGGTAATGCTTCACTTGCCCATAACATAGCACAAGCTACTAATACCGCTAGGGCTCTACCTTGAACTGGATCATTAAATGTTTTAACTGAAATTAAAATTGCAAAAACAATAACTGTTAACAATATTTTCATAACTTGTTTTGTGATTAAAAATTCCGGAACTTTAAAAGTTTTACCACCTAATTTTTGGGGTAATTGAATTTCTTTCATTTTTAAATGCATCATTGAATCAATTACATCACCTTCATCTCCCATTTTCTTGTTGATAGTGTTACCATTATCAAGGTTCAAATTGTATGAATTCTTCTCTAAAGACAATAAATCTTTCCATACTGTATTTCTTTCAAATACTATATGATCACGTAAATGAGATCTTAATTCTTGTTTGACATTTTCTAAATCTTTTGGACTTGAATTTAATTGATTACTGAATAAAGCATAGATTTTAATGACTTCATCTACTTTGTTATTTAAATTTACTATTGTTGAATTTTCAAATACTCTTGAATGTAATGGTAAAAAATGATTAACAAAATCCTCTTTTATTTGATATCCACAAATTTTGTCAAACTTTTTACAAATTTTAGTAAATCCTTGTCTATTTAATTCAATGTATGATTTTAATTCACATAAATTTATGAATAATGAAATTGATCTTTTCTTGACTGCGACTTTAAATTGATGTTTTACATTAAAATGTGAAGCATCCAATAAAACATCTGAGTGATCACTGTGAAAATCTTCATCATCTTCATCATCAGTATCTTCTTGAACTGCTAAGGTACTTGCATTTTTCTCCAAATCATGAAATTCAATATCAAAATTACTACTTAACCTTCTTCTTTGATTTTGTGGTTCTTGAATTAAAGTTGGATCTATAGTATATGAATGTACAATATCTATTTGATTATTTTTCAAATCTTGAAGTAAGTTGTGATATTGAATGAAAATTTCACGTTCTTTTAATTGGTAAAATTCATTTATTTTAACTAATTCAATTAATAATAATCTTGTAAAAACGTATAGTGGATTAAATTTTAAAGATTTTGGATTTGCAAAAGTTTCTTCAAATTCGTCATTATCCATATGTACTATATGGTTTATGATATATTGATCGGAATTCTTTTGTGATGAAACTATCGTGGTTACTGAATCTTCTCCAGATTTTGAGTCAGTTTTTTCATTTTTTTCAAGATCTATATGATGTAATTCAATTTCACTACTATTATTACTATCACTGAAAACATTGTTTTTGCTATTGAATCTCTGAAATATATTAAGGTTTTTAGTAATTCTATTTTTGACATTATTACCAAAATTATCATTACTTGAACTTGAACTTTCTATAGTATCATCACCGAAGCCATTTTGATTTTTCAAGCTTTCAAGTAATTCTGTTATTGTAGTTTTATCACTCCCAACAATAAAACCCTGATTTTGATTACCATTGTTAGTTAATTGATCTTCTTGTAATTTGTATATAGATTTTTTCAAACTTGGATATTTTAAGTAATTATCATTCCAACCAGGAACAGAATTAAACTTTAAAGAATGTGAAAACTTCATAATGTCTTGGTTGTTTAAAAAAGTCTTGGATTTTAAATTTTCAAGTATATTTTAGGAAAGTTATATGAGAAAAAAAATTAGCTGCAAAAAAAACAGATCAAGTCCAAATTTGGTTAAGCATCGTGTGAGTTATTTCTTTAATTGAGAAAAAGAAAAAAATTTAGTAAATAAATACCGAACTTAATTGTGTAATTATTGGTTTAAAAAAAAATATAGCTGATGTAAGTGGAGTTAAAAATTCAATTATAAGATGAGACTGATTAAATAGATTTCATTGCAGGTGTAAGTTACCGCGAGAATCTTTCTATACATTCCTTACTTTTAACTGAATGTATGACTATGTTGTTGATTAAACTTTGGTAATTTTTCTTTACCAAAAATTATTTTGTTTTTGCTTTAAAATATTATTTAATTGTTTGATATTTTGTGCTAGCAATAATCTTATAGAATGTGGGGTGTTTAAACAAAATGCCTTGAACTTAAAGACCATTTTTTTCAAATGTGTTGATAAAGAATCAAAAATTCGAACTGTTGAACTAATTTTTAAACTAGCAATTAAAATATGTCAAATCTAAATGTGTCAAAACTTAATTCGTAAATAATATAATTATTATTTTTAAAATTTTAGTTTTTAAAAAACCTTAAATTTTATATTTAGAGATCTCTTGGCAAATTAATTTCGTAAAATAATTTTTGACATAAATTTTTTTTTGCGACAAACTTCAAATTTTATAATTATTAAACCATAATATTAAACCAAAAATCTATTACAAACAAACTGCAAAAATATGTATGATTTTGACATATTACTAAGTCTTCTATTAATTGTTTACCATTTATGATAAATGTGGCTGTAGTAAAAGAATAAATTATAAAAGATGTTCTGATCCGTGTTGTATTTTAAATCCTACTTAATATACGGCCGAATTCAAATAATAATATTATAGACAATACAAAGTTCTTGATTTCTAACATTTGTTTATTAAGAATTTTATTGAATTTTTTCTCTTCGACTTCACCCAATTCTTCGGTTTCTCTTCTTGAGCAGAAGAGAAATGACATGCTACCATAGTCTTCTTAAAGTAGTATTAGTTTAAAAGTAATCTTAGAACAAAGCCTTTATGGCGAATGACTCAGTCCAATTTTTCTTATCTTTTAAATTTTTAGTTTACTGTATTAAGTATAAATTCTTATTATATTTTAATTTTTTTCTCTATCTACTAACAAAAACTTTTGTACTTAAAAACAAAAATTTGTAACATTAAAATTAATATAAAAGTTTAATACAACAATATATAAATATTAGCCGTTTGGGCTACAATTACAAATATGTCATTTAATAATAATAATAATTATAATCATCAAACTAATGACTTAAATAATGGAAAATCAAAAATAAACATAGATAAACATAATCATTTTCATAAATCATTCCCTAAAAATCATATATCAACTCCAAGAGCATCAACTCCAATAAGATTAAATAGTCCTCATATGTCAATAACTGATTTATCTACAACAAATACTCGGCCGAATTCATCTTCACCATCTTTTCATCAACAAATTTATCAACATTCTCATCATAATCATAACTTTTTAAACCAAAAATTTACACAATTTACATCTCAACAACCGCCACAATTTCAAAATTTTGAAACAATTGAAAACAATAACTTATCAAATTCACCACCTGCATTACCATCAACTCCAAATTCTGTTGATATAGATGGTGTTATGCCATCAACATCTTTCCTAAGTAATCTACCTAAATTTATTCATAAATGGACTCATACTCATTCAATTCTTTGTTGTATTGCATCACCAATTAATAATTTACTATATTGTGGAACTCAAGATGGTAAAGTTTTAGTATTTGATTTGAAAACTTATAGTTTGAAAAATGTAATAGAAAGAGGAAATACAACTCATCAAATAAACTCGGTGCTAACAATTTGTCTAAATAGAAAAGAAGATATTTTGTTTGTGGCAGGTTCAGATTCATTGATTAAAGTTTATGATGTGAAAAACAATTTCAATTGTACCCATATTTTATATTCCTTAGTTGATATTGGAGATATTTATTCAATAGTTTGGTGTGATAAATTACAAACTTTATATATTGGAGCTCAAAATGCTAGTATATTATGGTGTAAAATATGTAATACTAACCTGAAACCTTCAACCAACCTAGAAAATTTACCAAGTTTTAGATATGATAAATTTTTTGATTCAAAAGGTCCAGGTGGTTCTCAAAATACTTTACAAACAAGACATGAATTATATAGAAAGAATTCAGGTGCAAATAAAATAGAAAGTTTAAAAGTTTTAGAATGTAAAGCTGAAGATATTATCAGATTTGCTCATAATGGTTATATATATTGTTTGGAAATTATAGAATCAATTGTGGGGAATTTTGGTGAATGTAAATATTTAATAAGTGGAGGTGGTGATGGAGTTGTAAATATATGGTCAATGAATCAAAGTTGTTTAAAGAAATTGGCAAGTTTAGAAAATGATGAGTCAGTACTATCAATGACTATTCAAGATTCGCTTTTATATGTTGGATTAGGAGATTCTTGTATAAATGTTTGGGATTTAATGACATTACAAATGATTAGAAGTTTTGTATTTAATGAAGACGAAATGAATGAAGTTTTAAGTTTAGGTGTTCATAATGATGCATTATATAAAGCATGTTCAAGTTCTGGGTTAGTGAAGTTAACAATGAAGCACAGAAATGTATCAGATAGTGTATCAATGAGTTCATTAAAAGAAGATGGGATAATTAATACCGTCACTACTTTCAAATTACACAACAATACTTACTTATTAGCTGGTGGGAACAAATCTTTAACAATGTGGGATATAACAGATGAAGATGAAGTAGATGATATATTACCAAGCACCACCAACAGCAATCAATGTACAAGATTAACCGATAATGATTTATTATCAATGTTAAAAAAATTCATATCATATAAAACAATAAGTAAAAATCCACAATTATACCTTGAAGATTGTCGACATTGTGCTCAATTTTTATCAAAATTATTAAATAACTTTGATGCTTATCAAACAAAATTATTACCAGTTCCCAATGGGAATCCTATAGTATTTGCTGAATTTAAACAGAATAACGGTAAACCATCGAAAGAAAGGGTATTATATTATGCACATTATGATGTAGTTGATGCAACTAACCACGAAGCAATAGATTGGAGCACAAACCCATTTAGTTTAACTGCAAAAGAAGGTAATCTTTATGCTAGAGGAGTAAGTGATAATAAAGGACCAACATTAGCTGCCATATATGCAGTTGCTGAATTATATTCAAAACAAGAATTAAGTTGTGATGTAGTTTTTATAATAGAAGGAGAAGAAGAATGTGGATCAATTGGATTTCAACAAGTTATTAAAGATTATCAATTTTTAATAGGTGAAATAGATTGGATAATGTTGAGTAATTCTTATTGGTTAGATGATATAACACCATGTTTAAATTATGGATTAAGAGGAGTTATTAATGCTCATGTTACTATAAAATCAGATAAACCAGATAGACATTCTGGAGTAGATGGTGGAGTAAGTAGAGAACCAGTTATGGATCTTATGCATATCCTAAGTACTTTAATGGATCCAATAACTCAAGAAATTAAAATACCAGATTTTTATGATAAATTATTACCACTTACTAATGAAGAATCTGAATTATATGAAAAAATTAAATCTCAACTCAATATTAATATTGAACAATTAAAATCAAAATGGAGACAACCATCTTTAACAATTCATAAAATTCAAGTTTCTGGACCAAATAATAATACAGTTATTCCACAAGTTGTAAATGCCACAATTTCATTACGTATTGTCCCCAATCAAGATTTAATAGAGATCAAAACTCAATTAACTAATCATTTACAAAAACAATTTTCTTACCTTAAATCTGATAATCATTTATCTATTAATATTTTTCATGAAGCTGAACCATGGTTAGGTGATCCAACAAATAAAGTTTACAAGAAACTTTTTAAATTTATGAAATTACATTGGAATCAAGATCCTATTTTTATAAGAGAAGGTGGATCAATTCCAAGTATTAGATTTTTAGAAAAAACTTTTAATGCACCAGCTGTACAAATTCCTTGTGGTCAAGCAAGTGATAATGCTCATTTAAAAGATGAAAAATTAAGAATTGAAAATTTATTTAAATTAAGATCAATTTTAACTGATACTTTAAAAGAATTAGCTATATAATTACTAAATAGTGGTCGTTAATTTTTTTTTCCTTTCTTCTTCATCAATTAATGATAATCTCATTGCTTCTTCAATCATTCTTTGTTCAACTTGTGAATATCCACTTTGAGTGTGTGTAGTAGTTGTAGATCTTCTTCTATCACCACCACCACCAGAAGAATTTTCAATAATTAAATTACTTGCATGTATTGCACTTGCAGTTGCTGCTTTTCTCGCTAGTTTATTTCTTGCACTATTTAAATTATTTTCCCAATCTGGTCTTATTTGATCTATTGTTATAACTCCAGGATTATTTGCTGCAATTGAAGTTCTTCTTTTCGTTGGTTTTTTCAATACTTTATTCATCATTGATTGATTTTGATTTGTTGGTGGTGGAGAAGTTGGTGATCCAAACCTTTTGGGTGTACTATTATTTGAATCTTCTTCATCTGTTATACAACTTTCTTCTGAAATTGTATTTGATAACTTATAATCACCAGGTAGAATTCCACCAATACCTGTATGAATATCTAATGGTGCATCATATGTAATACCGAAATCTGGCATTGCACAATATGGACAACTTGCAGGTTCTGAAATTAATGAATGTGGTTGTTCTCCAACTTGTTGATTTGAAGGATCATCATGAGGTGGATGAGGATCTAATCTTTTAATTTGTACAAAACATTCAGTACATATTGGTTGAATACAACAACGTGAAATATTTAAATGTTTTGGATAATATAAAAAACAAATTGGACATTCACTTGGATTTCTATAAAGTTTTAATAATAAATCCCGACTTGGCAAATTTTTTGTAACTTGTTGTTGTTTAGCTTCTATAAATTTATTTTCTTCTTGTTTTTGAATATCTTTAATATTAGAAATTAACAGTTTTAATTTAGCTTTTTCTTCTTGTCTTTTGTAGTAATTTGAAGATTTATGAATTTTATGATTATCTAAATCATCTTCTTCATAATCATTTAATTCTTCAGGTTCTTCTAATGCATGTAATGTTAATTGTGATAATAATATACATAATTCATCATCAGTCCAATCATCATCAAAATCTTGTAATGGTGTAAAAAATGGAGAAATTTGTCTATTTATAATTAATGAACGTACAATATCACAATCATAATCTAAATTTGATTTATATGTACCATAAGGAGCTAAATAACCTCCATCAACATTTTCATTATATTTTACAATTAATTGATTATAATGATTAAATTGTTTTAAATCTTTTTCTTCTTGTCTTTTTAATTTTCTTAAATCTGATGAATTTGATCTTTGATGAAATGAAGAAGATGAAGTAGTTGTATTTCTTCTTGGTTTTGGAGTTCTATTTATTGAATTTGAATTTGTTGATGATGAATTTATTGTAGTACCATTAAAGGATATTGCGGAATTTGATCTACTCCTTGATTCTTTTGCTGGAACATTCCCCATGATTTTTTATAATTTTTTGTTTAGTAACTATGTAAAGTGGCTGATTTGAATAAATTAATAATATGAATCTTCGAGGATTTTAATAGTATTTGATCATAAAATTAAATGTATAATTAGGGGTAAATGTAGTTTGATAAATTAAAAAAATGATAAGTTGATTAATGGATTAATAAATTATTAAAAGATAAATGAAAGTAAAAAAGAAGTAGTTGACTTGAATTCTTAAGTTTATTTTGGTTGTAAAAAAAAATATAAAATTCTATTACTTAAATTATTATATATTATTATTTTAAATTTGCTGATTGTTAAAAATTGTAGATAAATTTATTTATTTAGAGTGTTTTAAATTTATTATTTAAAATCTTCTAAGCCTAAATTAATTATAGACTTATAATTATTTAATTTCATACGACAATAAAAAAAAATTTACGTCATGTAATTGTTAATACAAATTACCGCCTTATTATTATATAAAAATATTGTACTACTTTTAGACCGGACTTATTATTAATTTATAATATATCCGTTCGAAAATTAATCTATATGGTTCTACTAATTTATGATGATACAATAATTCTATTTTATTAATATTACATTTAATTCTATTTTATTTTCTAGTTAATCCAATACCTAACCCAACACCAATCATTGCTAATACTACCAATATCCAAAATATACCTAAAACAAGACTTAAAATTTTTTGCCATTTTGTAAATTTTTTAATAGTTACTTGAGATTGATTTTGTTTATAATTTTTATAAAATCTTAATCCACCTCCATAATATGATAATGAATTATTATTATTACTAGTATGATCATCAAACATTCCTATACCTACCAACAAATATATTGGTGGAAGAATTAATCCAATTATCATTAATAATGAATATTTCAAATTGGAATAATTTTTGATTTTGTAAATGTTTTCTTCTTGTTTTTCTGATAGTTGTTGTCTTGGTATATATGGTAATTGTTGTAATTGTTTTTCTAAATCTATTAAATTTGTTGGTGTTTGATTTGGATTATATGATGATGAATGATAAATATTTCTTTTTGGTTGTGATAATACTAAAGAACTATCTCTTTTTAATACAGGTTCTGGTTTTATTGGTGGTGATTGTGATTGTGATTGTGATCTTTCATTTATTTGATTTATTTGATTTATTGATTGATATGATGCACTTGATGATGATGAACTTGATGATTTTGGTTGTTGTGGTTCTATTTTTGGTATATTACTATTATTACTAGTACTACCTTTAATCATAGTATTATTGCTATTTCTATTTTCATAAACTGACCATCTATTTTTTGATTCATCAAAATCTTTATCATGAACTTTATATAACATTATAGGTAATTCATTTGTTGAATCAATACCTGCAGTCATATTATTTTCAGCAGATTGTGGTTGTGGAGGTGATGAAATAGGAGCTTTCAATTTAAATTGATGAATTACTTGAGGTTGCAGCAGTCTATTTGATTGATTACCACTATTATTTATAATTTCATAAGAATTTTCTAAATTTCTTAATAATTCTCCCGATGACATTGATGATCTTGCCATACTTTGATGTTTTGGTTCAAGCATTGTTTCATCAAATGTAAAAGTATGAACTGTTGTTTTATTATTTAATAATGTTTCATCTAATTGAGATTTTGATGATAATCTTTTATTTTTACTATTTTCTGATGATGAATATTGCATAAGTCCAGCTAATGCAATTGGAGTTTCATTTGATATATTACTTGTATTTGTATTATTTTCAGGAGATGATGTATTTCTTTCATTAAAGAAATTGGCTTTTGGAGTGGCTAATGGTGTAATATTTGGATCTGGTAATCTTTGACCACTTGAATTATTATTATCATTTTCACTATCATCACTAAAAGCTAAAGATCCACGTAGTGAAGATCTATTTATGTCAACATTTGTAGATGTACTAATATGTTTGTTGACATTTTTAAGTGGTTCAATTTTATCAGTAACTTTAAATCGTAGTGATGTTATACTATTTCCACTATCTCTATTTGCAACTTGATTTAGGGCTGTTGGTGATGGTTGATTTAATATACTTGTATGATGTTGTGGTGGTGTCGCGTTGAGTGGTTCCTCATTCTCACTATAATTAGGTTGTGGTGGTTCTGCTAGTTCCATAAGTTCTTCTTTTTCATCAGCAGTTAAAAGTTTACTATTTGGTCTTGAATCATGTTCAATAAATCTACTTTCTGAATCTCTATTGGTATATTCTTGTAATACAGAACTGAATGATTCGTCGACTATATGTGATGGTTCATGTTCATGTTCATGTTCATGTTCATGATCTGGTTCTTGACTAATTCTACTTTCATCTGATGAATCAGTATCTGCAAAATCTTCTAGGGTTATATTTTTATTTTGTAATGCTGGATATTTCAGTTGTTGTGAACCAGTATCGGATAAGCCTGAAGATCTTGATCTTGCAAATTTAGGTCTTAAATTAAAATTTAATATTCTTGGTGATCTAGTTGGAGTTAATTCATTATTTGAAATATTAGTTGTGGTAGTTTTCTTTTTAGTGGTAGTTTCTAGTTCTGGTTCTTCACTTATACTCTCAATTGAGTAAGAAGATAATCTATTCTTGAAAAAGAATTGTTTGAGGGATTTAGTAGGCGATACAAATTCTTGATCTGTTGCAGTTGTTGTTGTTGTTGAAGTTGAAGAAGATGAAGTTTTAGCATTAGGTGAATAAATTTGATCTAATGTTTGATGTGAAGATGATGATGATGGTGCTTGCTCAGAGCTTTCAGAATCCTGCTGCTGGGGCTGCTGAGGCTGCTGCTGCTGCTTTAACTTTTTCATTTTTTAATCAAGTTAGTGGGTATCAATTTTAAAACGAATGAATATAGTTGGTTAATTAGCTAAGTAAAAAGAAAAGTTGATTCGAAAACATATAGAAAAAAAGAAAAGAAAAAAAATAAAAATAATAAGATTTGGATCAATACAAAAATTAGAGATAATTATCAACAAAAAATTTAAATTTTTAAGTCATTGAAATAGAACATATGAATGAATGTAACGAAGGCATTATCTAAACCAAAATCGCTAAGTCTACGTCCTTATATACTCTATGAACTTTTCTTTTGACTTACAGATCTCTTAAAATCGAAATCTCTTAATTTTAAACAATGTTTACGAAAAAGAACTGTCAAAAGAAAGAAAAATATTACTAATTTGGTTAATGCCGTCTATTATAATTATCTTTTAGTTCAAATTGTCATAGAGGTCTTTCCATTTTAAAATTAAACTTTTAGAATCAATTAATTATTGGACCAATTCAAGTAGATTTTGTCTAAATTAAATTATTAATGTAATATAATAATTTAACACTAAATCCATATTTATTTACTTATTAACTAAAAATGGAATACAACTTGGTTAAGATTTTTGATTTTGTGTTTTGTAAAAGAAAAAAAAAATAAAAACCATATGCAATTAATTTAAACTAAAATTATGCTACCAAATTGTGTTAGCTAATATATTTTGAATAGAGGGTCAAATTAAGCGTTAAGTATGATAAATTACTAGACCAATTTATGTCAAATAGAGTTCTTTACAACATTGAAAATTATATCATAAATTATATTATTAAAGTACTTTTATTATAAAAAAAGTTTGGGTTACGAAGAAGTGAAACATTAATTTTTTTTTCTCTAATTGTTTTTATAATGATATAGTCCGTGCTAAACTAATAATCATCATATTTTGGTATTCATTTTTAATTGTTTTAATAATTTGCTCTTCTTCTTCTAACTCTTCTTCTCTTTTTACATGGACCTACTGAACCACTACCTGAACCACTACCAGAACCACTAACATTTTGTGTAGTAATTGAACCAGCAGCAGTTGTTGGAATTGTTGTACCACCAGTAGTTGGAGTTGTACCACCTGAACATTGACCAGCAAATGCAGCAAAAGCAGTTTCAGCAACAGTTCCTAAAGTATTGAAATTTAATAATTCTTTAAATAATTGAGAAATTAAACCTGATTGAGTTAATGCAGTTATAATTGATCTTATATCAATTAAATTATTTGCTAACATTGCTTTAATTAAATCAACTGCAAATGATAAATAATTTGAATTTGTTAAAACATCTTTAACAACTGATGTTGCTAAACCTGATTTATATAATGAATCTAATAAATTATCAACAACTCCACCCAAATCAAAATCTCTTTTTTCATTAATAATATAACTACTCAAGGAATCATCATTTTCATCTCTTGTAATTAATGATGAAACTCCTTCACTAATTAAATTTTTAACAGTATTTGCTAAATCAGCAATAACTTCTTTTGCAATATTAAATAATTCAACATATAAATCACAATCACTAATTAAATCATTAATTAAATTAACTGCTAAATTTGATGAAACTAAAGCATCTAATAAAGCTTGTAATGAAATTATACCACTTTTCATAACTGTAATTAAAACATCAATAATAATTGGTTTAAAAGTTGGTGATGAAACAAAATAATCTAAAATCTTTGGTGCTAATTGAGTTTGATTAATTGCAGTTAAAACATCAGTAACAATTGCATAATCTCTTTTAATAATTTCAATATCAATAGCATCTCTTTTTAATTTATAATTATTTATATGATCAACTAAAGCTTGTAAATCTGGTTCACCATCTCTTTTTTGAAATTTTGGTAATGTATCTAAAATTTTTTCAACATCTGATCTTGCAACTACAACATTATTTGTTTCTTGTTGTTGTTCAATTATTGATGCTGATGCAGTTGCAATTAAAGCTAAAGTAGTTGCTGATAATTTCATAACGAGTGAATTGAAGTTAAATTAATTAAAGAAAGAATGAATAGTGGTATGGATATATGACAGTTGGAAAATATGATAAAGGCTTAAAACATTGGAAAATTTATGATATTTAAATTAATTTTCATGATTTATTACTAACAAATTTTTATTACTGTATTTGGTATGTTGCAAAAAAAAAAATAACTTCCAAAAAGAGTAGTTAATGAGAAGTTTTGAAAAGTGTTTATATGCAGGTTTTTTAATTGTTAAATAAAAATTATTAATGTATGTAAAGTAACTTATATTGTTAGTGTTTTAAAAATAGATTCAGTTCACAAAGTAATACTCGAACTTTCGAAAGGTTTAAGTTTTGAATATGAGGTATTAAAAAGCCCTTTTTGTCATTTTTGTATAACAAGTTTCTAAAGTTAATTCTATTGAGTTCTTATATGTAGCAAATCATATCTAACTCGTCTAAATTTTCACATGAAGATGGTGGCTTGAAGTTGACATATTTTTACGATTTAAAATTAAAAACCTCAAAATATAAAAATAGATTGTTTCAAACGTACTTTATTAGATCTTGGCACTTTACTAAATCTAGTTATTATATTACTCCAATTCTTTTATCACTTTGTTACTAAACTATATTTTACTATGCTATCTATATTACTGTATAGTATACTTCACCAAACTATACTATACGATCTTCTTACTTTTTACCTGAATAATTAATGAGCTTAATTCGGTTTTTTGTCCAATGTCTCGATTTAGAGACCACCTGATTTTTGGAAGGATATGTTACGAGGCGTTCCGTCGATAGACAATGAATGATTCAATTAATCAGGTTCATAGTTGGATATAGCAGCTCTTTGTTGAAAGAAACTAAGCTAAGGGTGCTCTTCCAATAGGTTGTTCTTACCGAGTTTACCAGGGAGGCATTTCAAATTTTATGTAAGAAACGAAATAAAGTACTTTAAAAAAGTTAAAAATATTACAAATTTCGAGTAATATTATAGTACAATACGACTATTTACATTTTACCAAAAAAACTCATTAATGAACTTTGAGTTTTCTTTTTATTTGATGCACTATCATTTGATTTTTTTGGTTCTTTTGGAGGAGCCATTTTATTGATAGCTTTTGGTTTAAATTTATTTCTTTGTGGTTTAGTTACTGGTCTTGCTTTTCTTCTAGTAACTGTATATCCATCTTCATCTACTTCTTGTATCATTTCTGGTTCTTCTTCTTTCGGATCTTCTTCTTCTTCAACAAATAGTTGTTGTTCTTCTTCATCTTCAACTGGTTCTGCTTTCTGTTCTGGTTCTGCTTCCGGTATTGACTCTTCAACTTTTTGTTCTTTTACTTCTTCATCACTAAACTCAAAAGTTTCATCTTCTCCAAACATGTTATTTAAATCTGTGGTTGGAGCTGGTACTTGCTTGACTTCATCATCTTCAGTATCTACATCCATTGGATCATAATTAACGACAACTCTTTCTTTTGGTTTTTTCAGTTCAGTTTTTCTTGATTTATATTGATATGATGGTTTAGTTTCTGGTTCTGGTGCTGATCTTTTTAGTGGTTGTTTTTGTTTAGCTTGATCTTTTCTCGATACATAAGATGATGTTAATCCTGCACTTTTAATTGGTTTTTTCTCTTCTTTTTTAGGTTGTGGTGTTTTTGGTTTAGTCGGTGATGCTATATTTTTATTTTCAACAAATACATCTGAGATTTCTGAACCTTTGATGATTCCCAATTCTTCATATTCATTGATTTTATTAAGCGAACTTTTGATCTTTAATTCATTTAATGCTATATCATTCGTGGATAAATTTAAATCTGATTTCATTATACAAAATATATGAATTGTGAAAATTTCTGTAAACTTTTTCAAATCTTCAACTAAGATTCCTTCATTTTCTGAATATTTAATTAGTTTCATGTTTGAATTGGATATACCGGTAGTTATAAATGATGCTGTAATCTTCTCTTTATTCTTTTGATAATATTCATATAATAATTTTTTTGCTTTTGATATTGGAATTTTACATTCTCGAGATAATTTATGAAATGAAAGTGGTGAGCTGTGCGTTATTGTCTCGGTTGTTATATATTCTACTGTTGATGTCGTTGTCATACTTTATTCAGTCTATATTGTAAATGGTATGTAACTCTAAGTTTTCTTATTTTCCTTAAGTAAAACGCGTCTTAAGATATTTTGGATTCGGATTTACACATTCAAAAGAATTTATAAAAAACTTAAATATTTTGAGAAATAGAATCAATTTATTAATCTATACAATATTTTAACCAATTTGGTTCTATAATACCCGTTTGTAATAATCCGGGATTTGTATAAATTAAATCAGGAAGCCAATAACTGTTATGTAATCTGAACAAATTTGAAGCATAATGGTCAGAATCTGGCTTTTCTTTATTCAAAATTTCTGAAACAATATACCCTAGAAATTTATGACTTAAAGTATTTATAGGATTTAATTTATATGTCTTTAGCAATACAACTTGATCAGGATTTATATAATCAGACGCCAAACTTTGTGTAAAAGAATTTATATCAACATGACCAATAGGTAAATCACTATTACTTGTAGGTTCTTCAGTAACTTTGAAAGGTTTTAAGGCTTCATATCCACCGACTTCAATACTTACAGGAAATTGTCTTGGTTTGATACCTTTTATAATGAATTTTTTCTTTGGTTCTTGTTCCTCATTTGAAACCAGTAAAACTTTAGCTTCCGCACGTGGGAACGCTTTCGTAACATTTTTTATAAATTCAACAGCTGGTAATAATGGGTGCAATAAAGTTGAAGGGTTTTCAGATTTCCAAACTTCTTGAAATTGAGTTTCATAAGCTTTCCAAATTGATATTTGAGTAACTTCAACTTCTTCTGTTGTTGATGGTGCATAACAACAATGTAACCAAGTGGAAGCTCTAGCAGGTTCGGGGAATGTCAATAATATTTTGTATAAATCTTCTCCTAATTCTGGTGCAGTTAATGGAGCACCTGATTGTTTGGTCCTTCTAGCGAGTGTAGTCGCTGGTATGTTTTTGGGAGTTGAATCACTTAATGGTAAATCAGCAACCACCAACAACGGTAATTGTTTAACTAGCACATCTAAACCACTTTTTATTAACTTTTGTAGACGAAATTGTTGTGATTCAGTTACTGAATGATCCAAATATAATGCCTTTGAAAAAAGATACATTTTTAAAAAATACAACACAGCATAATTTAATTCATTATCTGCAACCAATAAAACATTGACTATTGTTTGTAATTGTTCTTCAGTTATGGAATCAATACAATTATTTTTCACTTGCTCTTCTTCTTCTTGTGGCTCTTCTTCTTCTTCATCTTTTTGTTGTGATTTATCCCATGTAATTAATAAATGTGATATACCTTTTAATGTAGTTATAAAAATATATTTATCATTCGTAACTGTTAAAATCTGGAATAATGTATGAAATAAAGGATCGTTTTTGGAATTATTAATATAATAACAACTCAAAGGTTCAATCAAATCAAGTAAATACATCAAGGATTCTGAAAATTGATCATCATATTTTAATAGTTGAGAATTTTTGAAACCTGCTACAAAATTCCAATTGAATAAAAACTTTAAAATTTCCACTAGCTGCTTTTTAAAATTTGGTATTTGACTTAAAAATTGCTGATTACTTAACTCCTGACTTGAATTTCTCAAAGTAACCAACGCATCCAAAGAATGTCTGATAACATCTTCATTTATTAATTCATATTTTTTATCCCTTATTAGTTGAAATAATTTAGTTAAATATTTTACCAATTCCATGGCGATGTAATTATCATTTTCAAAAACCAATGTGGAATATGTGTATTTTGCCAACTGGTTTAATGACCAATTTACTTCGTCTTGTATACCACTTTGTAATGATAAAACCACTCTATTTTTCATATCAATTCCAAAATTACCTGTGCCAATAGGTTGTTGTTGTTGATTGTAACTGTTATAAAATCCAGTTCCGATGCTTTGATATTGACCTATCCCATTTTGTATTGTGCTGAGGGCGCCGCTCAATGGTATAGTAGTCCTTGAGCTTAAAGTTATAGGGATTAATGACGGCATTTATTGATTGTTTATGTTTAGAACCATGAAAAAAAAATGAAGAACTCAAAATCTACGAGAAAATTAAAAAAATTCATGATCTGTTTTCCTTAAACAACTATAAAAATGTCAGGAAAGAATCAACTTCCAGTTCATGTTCGTGCTACTGATGCTATACATAGATTAACAGTATTAGGTCTCGTTGGTTTCTGTGTTATTGGTGGTGGTTCAATAATATTTAATGTTTGGGCAAATTCAGATTATTCACCTTGGAATAAAAAGAAATTAAAATTTGAACAAGAACAATATTATGAAACTAGAGCAGATGAAGAAAAATAAATAATGGCTTTAACTTGTACATAGTGGGGAATATATATATTATGTTTTAATTCGTTTACTCATTTCCAGTCCATCATCTAAATCTTGTTTTCGTTTTTTAATAAAGTCATCTACTTTCTTCTTTTTCTTTAGGGGTTCTAGATTATTACTTAAGTGAAGTACGTCTTTGAGGTAGTTATAACTAACTTGGTTTATTTTTTCATAGGTGGGTTTATTTATAGGATTTATAATTACTAAATCATAATCAAATGTGAATTTTTGATTGCACACTGGACATTTTGACTGCGCTGCATCTCCAAGGTTCTTTTTAAGTTCAAGAAGTAGCCTATATGACATTACACATCCACATGGTCTGAGATAAGTGTATGAAGTTTTTTCATCTAATTCTTTTGTTATGGGACATTGGAAATGTGCAACATCTTTTATAAGTTTCCATGTTATTGTAACTGTTTTCAAATCTTTCAAACTTTTAAGGTGCTGAAATTGTAGCTGTAGTTTCAATTTATCTAACTTCACTTCTAAAAGATATTGTAGTATTTTTTCCTTAATGTATAATTTACCTCTATAATCTCCAACTATTGGTGCATTATTATATAATGGTAATCCTGAAATTGCACAACTTTGTAATAAAATTTGTTGTTCTTCTTCTTTTGGATGTGGTTGTGGTGTTCTTGCGTTATGTAGTGATAATATATCTTGTCTTTTGGCAGTTGTTCCACCATCAGCTCCCATTTTTTTGGGTTATTAATCGTAGATAAACAAATTTAATTTTTTGTTATATTTCTAGAAAAAATATCACCAACCACAACCAAAATGTCACAGAAAATCGATTTAAATGCATTACCACCTCAACAATTAGTAGAATTTAGGAAAAATATAGATCAAGAGATCAATCATTTCACTCAATCGTTACAAGCATTACAAACAGCTCAAACTAAATTAAAAGATTGTATCACCACCATAAACAACTTGGAAAATTCAAAACAAGATAATTTGTTAATACCTTTAACTAGTTCATTATATATTCCTGGTAAAGTCGTAACAAAACAAGATTTCCTAGTTGATATTGGAACTGGATATTATGTTTCAAAACAAGCAGACGACGCCAAAAAGGTATACGACAAGAAAATTATAAAATTAGATGAAGATGGTAAAAAACTCAAGGATATATTGATACAGAAAAATGAGATTTTAAATGGTATAAATTTAATATTACGAAAGAAAGTTATAGAAATGGAAAAGCAAGAAACTCAATAGTTTTTATTAAAAATAAATGGTTCCAGAAATGTTTGTTTCAAGTTTTTTCGTTTAACAATCCCCATACCTGGTATATCACTCATATTATCATCATCTTTACAACAATGTAATACAATATCTTTAACAGATTTATAATTGGCTAATAAGTTTGAAACGTCAGTTTTATTGACTGATTTAATACCTGTAAATGCTTCAACAACACTCGAATTGTAATCGCCACCCCTAAAACCTCTAATGTTTGTTCTTGTTTGATGTGGAGCATTATCAAAATGTTTACCCAACGCGATATAGTTACCAGCTTCTTCAAATGACCATGCAAGAACTAATGACAAATCATGTTTTATACAAAAATCTGATAACTTCCGTATTGGTTCTTGATGAGAATCTATATCAACCACCACTAGCAAAACTCTTAGGACGTTATCCTTTTTTGTATCTATAACGCTTGACCCTTTATTCAACTTCTTAAGTCTTGTCCAAATATATTCTGGTCTCAATTTATGATATTTTAAGGATAAAAATAATATTTGAAAAGTGGGACTAATGTAATAATCAGATAGTACGGATGAATCGAATGACCATTGAGTTGTTTTCATCATTGAGTCAGTAAGTAAAGGGTTTTTTTCTTGTGATTTATGAACTAAAATTTCAGATGGACCGGTGGATCTTGCAGGGGCCATAGATCTTTTAGCTTTTGGTTGTTGTTGTGATTGTGGTTGTTGTTGTGGTGGTGGAGGTACTGGTTTAGCTGTTGGCTTTTCCAAGGTGGTTCTAGGTACCGTTACATCAACATATTTACTCGTGATTTGAGGTTGCTGTGGCCTTGGTGGCTTTGGTGGATTTGGTGGATTTGAAGGTTGTTGTTTTGATGGTTGCTTTTCAATAGTTATATCATTTTCAGAATAATCACCACCATATTCATCTCTCATACGTTTGACACCAGCTAAGATACTTGCAAATGATGACGCGTCTATGTTATTACTTGAATCATTGTTGTTGTTTGAACCAGACATTGTAGATGGTTAAATGAATAACTCTATTTTTTTTCGGAAACTATTTCACGCATGGAAGTATGTAACTACTAACATACTTTAAATTCTTGCAATCAGTTGAGCATCATGTTGTTGGAAAAATTTATCAACATGCAAAAGTTCAATAATTATAGAGTCAACATCTCTACAATTTATCACAGTCTTTTTTGAATGATCAATGGTTATAGTTACTTACAATTGTCCGTTTTTGTAGATCTATACAAGTCTTATCAATCTCCTTTACAGGTCCGTTTTCGCTACGTCAAATTCTCCACAGACTTATTAATTAAACATCAACTGTCATAATTTTATTCATCAACTTCCAAAACAGCTTAATATGTCTGCTTATTCGGAGACCAACTTTAATTCACAACATTATGATGATTCAAGACCTAATTATACACCACAATTTTACTCAAAGTTAATAAACTATCAAAAACAGAAAGGTTCATTTGATTTGGCAGTCGATATTGGAACTGGTTCAGGATTTGTTGCTTTTGAATTAACAAAATACTTCCACCAAGTTATAGGTACTGATCCTTCTCCAACAATGATAGATCAATGTAACAATAACACCATCAAGGACAACATAACATTTGTAATTGGTACAGCAGAGAATCAACCACCAACCATTAAATCAAATTCAGTAGATTTAATTACTGGTGCCGAATGTTGTCATTGGGTAAATCATGAAAAATTCTACAAGGAATCTGCAAGAGTATTGAAACAAAATGGTACCTTAGCTTACTGGTTCTATAAAGATCCCATTTTCATAAATTTCCCTGAAGCAAATAAAATTTATGAAAATTATACTTATAATTCATCAATAGAAACGAATGGTGACTCTTTTGAGAAATGGATGGGTAACTATTATCAACAACCAGGCCATGACTATTTAAGAACACTACTTAAGGAAAAATCTCCACCAACTGATTTATTTTATGACATAGTTAGACAAGAGTATATAGTTGATAGAGATGGACCACCAGCACCACAAGAAGATCCTTTTGAAACTAAAACTCCATTATTTATTCGTAAAATTATTGATATGAAATGGTTTTTAAATTATGTAAAAAGTTGGAGTGCTTATCATTCATGGATGAAAGATCATGGTGATAAATATGATATTGCGGAAGAATTTGTGGAAGAACTTAAAAATAAAATGAATTGGAATGATGATACAAAAGTTGAAGTTATTTGGGATACAGTGTATACGTTTTCAAGAAAGAGATAGATGTACTAATAGAATTGTAGAAATTAATGTATTTGATAAGTTTCATAATTCGAATCTTTCTTTGTAAAGCGGATATGTAAATTTGAATTTTGTGTCGTTTTTTTAGCATTGCTAATTTTTGAAATTTTATCCCTTAGTTCTCACATAACTTCTTCTAGTACCAAGCTGTGGAGAAATATCTCTTACTAATTAGATTCAAATGTGAGCATAAGCTCGGCTTCGCCTTTGCCTTACTTAGTTTGGAAAGATGATATACATGATATTTCGCTTGTTTTAACAAATGGGATTTATGCCAAACATAATTTTGTATTACTAAATTATTATAAACTTTGCAGCAAGTAGTGTAAATTTGTCAATTATGATTTTAGTAATAAATTACAAAATTAAAATTATATTGATTTTCCTAATTAACAGATTTCAATAGAACTTTACTAAATTAATTATGAAATTAATAATTTTAATATCATCTTTTTTCAAACAAGTACTTCGAAATTAACTTAAACTTTTGCCTCTGGAGTTAGTGATACAAGATACCTGGAACTGTCGATCAAAATTTCTTTTTAAGTTTGAAAATTAATCATTGTTTCAAGTTCTGAAGGTCACATCATTTAGGAAATCATTACTAATCAATTGGTATAAATACATGCTCAATCTCCTTTCATTATTTTCAATTCCAATTTTAATTACAACTATTTTATTATTTGGTTTTCCTTATTCAACGTTATCGATTAAAGAAGAGCAACAACAAGTTAATCAACAAGTTAATCAACAAGTTAATCAACAAGTTAATCAACAAGTTAATCAACAAGTTAATCAACAAGTTATTTTTCAAAACAATTCAAATATGAGTGCTAGATCAATTGCTAAAATTATAACTGCCAGACAACAAGCAGAAGGTGTTGGGGCTCAAGTTAGAAGATCAATTGGTTCAATGGGACAACATAGATTCGATCCATTCTTGATGTTTGATCATTTTGCAAGCTCAGGACTCAATGGTTTTCAAGAACATCCCCACACTTTTATATCAACCTTATCATTAATCTTAAGCGGGGGTTTCGCTCACGAAGACTATACTGGAAGCAAGGGGTATGTATTTAGTGATGTTTTAATTAGATTTTGAAAAATTTCAAATGATGCTACCATTTGTTGTTTCAAGATTTTTTACCATTTTTAGATGTTCAGACTCATCTAAGAATAAGCAATAGCGATCCGTTACTAACCAACGTGGCTTTACAGAGTGCTTTATCCTTTTGACAGTCAAGCTATGAGTGCGGGAGCTGGTGTTGTGCACCTGGAGATGCCAGTCAAGACTGAGTTTGGTGACCCTTCAGGTTTACAATTGTGGATCCAAATGCCACGTCAATTTATTGAAGCCCCTCCTCGTTATGATAATATATTTGAATATGAAAACCCTGAAGTTACTTCGGATGATGGGAAAGTTACTGTAAGAATTCTTTCAGGTAAAAGTTATGGAGTAGAATCAGTTAAAAGATTAGCTTACATTCCTGTTGATTATTACTATTTTAAAGTTAAAGCTGGTGGAGAATTTAAGCAAGAAGTTCAAAAAGGTTTCAATTATTTCCTTTATGTAATAAAGGGTAATTCATTAGTTTTAAACGATGATACAAAAGTCGATCAATATCAAAATGTATTTTTTGCAGACGATGGTGAATATATTACTGGTAGAAATGCTGCGACCAAAGAAACTCCAGAAAACGATGTTGAATTTGTTTTGATTGGTGGTAAAAAACTTAATGAGGAAATTGTACAATACGGTCCATTTGTTTCTGATACTAGAGAAAGACTTCAGCAAAAAATTATAGATTATCAATACCAACAAAATGCATTTGAAAAAGTTAAAACATGGAAAACTTTAATTAGTGGCGGGGTTACCGAAGAAATGATTCAAGGACCATTAAATGGAAGTCTTGAGGTAAGAGCGAAACAAAAAGCAGAATATTTAAAACAACAAAAAGAAAAAGAAGAAAAAAAAGCAAATTCTAAAGTTGTTGAAAAAGATGAGCTTTAATAAGTTGTGAGGTGAATGATATATGTTTATCTCTATATAAGGTTTATAGTTAGTGTTTATAGTTAATTTATATCTGTTTGAGTCTATTTAATAATTTTTCAGAGCTGTATCGTTGCAAAAAATTACTTGTGTCAAATTTGGAAATATCTTTGAATTGAAACAATTTCTCTATTAGCTGATGAGTTAAGCGGTTCAGAACTTACAATTTCTTTTTAAAGTTAGTCAAAAGTGACCTCTCTAATGAGTTTCGAATGTGGATTGTATGAGAATTCTAGTCGAAAACGATTGTAGAAGTTGTTGCGCAGAATATTCTGAAAAAATTCATATTGAATCAAATCTTTAACTGACGATTCTAGGGGTTCAAATTTTTCAGATAATTCAGAAGGTGATTTAGTGTTGGCATATTCAATAGCTCCCTAAATTTTAATCGGAAGCAGCTGTAGGAAAAACTAATCGATAAAAAATAGTCTATATAGAATTTTGAGTCCAGTCTTTGGCCATTATAAGGAACATCTCCAAACAATCAGGTCTCCATCAGATCTTGTATCTTAGCCACTTGCTCGTAACGTAACTCTTGAAATTGTAGATAATTTCCTGTTTTGTATTTAATTCCGCTTCTCTCAAGCGGTTATTTATTCCGTTCATTTTTGGAGCCATTTACTTAACAATAATGGAAAACTTAAAAATGTAACCAGTATTTAAATTTCTTATCAATTACAAATTTCGACAACTTTTGACACTTTCAATACGGTAAGATGAAAATTACTGGATTTATTCACTTTGCGGTCATTACTTCATCCACCAATGCGTTCTTGAATGGTTTATTTAGCGAAAAACTTTTTACTGATAATCAAGTTTTATTAGTTAGTGAAGATTCTAATACTATAGTATCAGAGATTAAATCAAATTCCAATTATTACAATCTTAACAAAGAGAGTCAAAATATCTTGAGCAATGCCTGGAACTACATGTCAAATGAATTATCAAGTAACAAATTGAGGAAATTAATTAATAAATATGAATCCAAGAGCAAACCACCAACCAATCACCAAGTACCACAAGGAAACTTTGAAACCCTTTCCAGCAACAAGTATCAAGATTATTCATTAAGAATCAAACAAAACAATCCAGAAGTTTTAGGTCTTGACACAGTTAATCAATATACTGGTTACATAGATGTTGATTCAATCGATCATCATTATTTTTTTTGGTTTTTTGAAAGTAGAAATGATCCAAAAACCGATCCTATAGTGCTTTGGCTTAATGGTGGTCCAGGATGTAGTAGTTCAACTGGTTTATTTTTTGAGTTAGGTCCATCATCAATTAATTCAACTTTACAACCTGTTTATAATCCATATTCATGGAATTCAAATGCTTCAGTGATATTCTTGGACCAACCAGTTGGTGTTGGTTATTCTTACTCTGGTGGTGATGAAGTTAAGAATACAGACACAGCTGCTAAAAATGTATATGTGTTTTTAGAGTTATTTTTCCAAAAATTCCCACAATTTTTAAATAACAAATTTCATATTGCTGGTGAATCATATGCTGGTCATTACATCCCTAGATTTGCTAGTGAAATTATAAACAATGCAGATAGATCATTTGAATTAGCTTCTGTTTTAATAGGTAATGGTATAACTGATCCATTAGTTCAAGCAGGTGCATATAAGCCAATGGCATGTGGAGAAGGTGGTTATAAACCAGTATTAACAGAAGATCAATGTTCACAAATGGAAAAAGATTTACCAAATTGTGAAAAATTAGCAAAATTATGTTATTCTTTTCAGAACGCTTTGACTTGTGTTGCAGCTCAATATTATTGTGATTCAAAATTATTTCAACCATATGCACAAACAGGATTAAATCCTTATGATATTAGAAAACCATGTGCTGATGAAGGTGGGAATTGTTATGTTGAAATGGATTTCATGGATGATTATTTGAATTTGGAAGTTGTTAGAAAAGCAGTAGGCGCATCAAATCCATCTGAAATATTTACAAGTTGTGATGATATTGTTTTTAAAAATTTCTTATTGGATGGTGATGAATTCAAGCCATTTCAACAATATGTTGCTGAATTATTAAATAAACAAATTCCAGTTTTAATTTATGCAGGTGATAAAGACTTTATTTGTAATTGGTTAGGTAATTATGCATGGGTAAATAAGTTAGATTATAATGATGGTGAAACATTTGCTAATTTACCTTTAAAACCATGGAAACCAACTACAAGTAAAAAAATTGGAGGTCAAGTTAAAAATTTTGGTGGGTTTACGTTTTTAAGAATTTATGATGCTGGTCATATGGTACCTTATGATCAACCTAAAAATGCTTTAGATATGTTAAACACCTGGATTCAAGGTGATTATTCTTTAGGTTATACTCCAAAATAGAGACACTACTAAATTAAATTGATTTGTTTCGTAGCTATTCTTAGCTTGATTTGGCCATTAAAGTTTTAATAAGCAATAAAAATTCTCTATAGATTACCCCGCTTCATTTTAAAGTGTGGGTCGATTTACTCTATGATGTATCATTCTTCAACAGAACCGTGAATAAACAAGCAAAGATAGGGCCATTAAGTATCGTTAGGTGTATCTCTAATTTTCACAAAATCATACGAGATTTCCCCGTGCATATTATTTCAAATAGATACGACAAAAAATAAGTAAACAAACAAAAACTGTTATTCTCGCTTTTTTTTTTTCGAGATTTCAAAGAACAATGTAAACAATAAATTTACGATATATTGATTTTTAAAGCCTGATTTGGTCAAAGTAGGTACATGATGCTTTGCTTTGTGAATGAAATGTAAAATTACATGATGACTGACCGTGAGAGTAATTTATGCGTTTTGCTTAGTTAGAGTACTTAAATTTTGTTTAGTTAGGGTACTTAAAGTTTATACTTTATTTTTCATAAGGCATAAATAGTTAAGCTAAAATTAAAGTTTAACTAAAAACTGAATTGAGATCCCTTTGATAGACAGAACTTTGCAACCTGAACTTCACAAGACAAGCAAGTACAAATCTTTAAACTCTAGAAATATCATGACCTGATCCTGAACCTAATTATCAGCTATTTCAAAATTTTTGCATCTGAATTGTAATTTAAAACAATATGAACTTTACATCATAAATTTTTAACAGAGCAATCCACTTTCGGGATGAGAGTTTATAAATTTTGGTGATAAGCAGCTCCAGTAATATGTGATGGGATACTCTCCCGTGTGATAAGGAGATCTATTAATCCGGAAAATCAAGCAGTTATTTAGTATTTCCTGAACTTCAAAGTAATTAGGGGAAACCGTGTATTTACCACAAAATCGAGAACAGTTGTAATTACTTCAAAGTGCATCTGAAAATTTAGGGAAGTTAACGTCCACATTTTTAGCATTAATTCGTTTGGTCTTACCACTTTTAATAAAATAGTTATAAATTTCACAATTCGAATATTGAGTGGGGTTAGTTTTCGGTTGTTAGTTTGTGTTCAGATGATTTTGTAAGGTTAATTTTTTGAAATATCAAAATCAGTTGCATTTAATTTCAAACTTTAAATATTTTTTGATTCTAGACCTTTTAAGTTTATCAATTTTATAATACCAAGATTTTAATTTGTTAATTTATTATATTTTTTAAAATCAACCTAAATCAGATCAAACTCTTGCAATTTTGGATCAAACTAAGAGAAATATATTTATAAAAGTGAAAAAATTTTATTTTTTAATTACTTCCTTAATTTTGTGTATTTTAATTAGATTATAGCATCAGCGCTAAAAAAGATAGAGTGTTTAGCCAATTGATCAAATATAAGTCAAAAAAAGATCTGCATTTAATGCAATTAATATAACTCAATTTGCGTGACTTGTTAATAATTGTTTTTTTTTTCATTATTATGTCTTTCATTTAAATAAACGGCTTTAGAAAAAATAATAAGTTCGTTAATATTGACAAATCTGTTCATGATATTCACAGTAAGTTACACATTATTTATCAATTCATATAATCAAAACATGATTGTTTATTTGTTTACTTTTTGATATCAATAGAATTATTATAATTCAGTTGGTGTTTTTACAAAAATTCAAATGTATATTGATGTCGAGAGAAATATAATTTGTAAGAAGTCACACTACCTTATTGCTTAAGACCTGTATATAAGCTAGAATATAAATTATAATAAATTATTACTAAACCAAATTAGGAAATTAGATTACTTACTTATTTTAAATTACAAAAAAGTTTTGTGTAACTAACACATTTTTAAACTTTATTTTTCTCGTAACTATTGCATTCTAATGTTGCATGCAGTATTTTGTATTATGTTTTACATTTTAAGTTTGTGTAATTAATTTTAGTAAATATTTTTAAAAAAAAACTTGCAAAAATTTTTATTTGTTTATTTGTTGAAATTATCATTAACAATTTATATATAATAACAAGTTTTTCCCGTTTTCTATGATTGATCCTGATCTCTTTTTTTTTTCTCTTTTTTTTTGTTCTTGTCAAACAACCTTTACACTCGTTTATATCCAACTTATTACTTTCTTTAATATTCAAAAATGCAATTCAAAAATTTAGCTATCACTTCAATCTTAGCCTCATTAGCTTCAGCTCAAGCTTATTCAAACGGAACCATTGTCACAGAACTCAGAACCGTCACTGAATATACTACTTATTGTCCAGAGCCTACAACCTTGACTATCACCGTATGTGAAGAAAGTTCAATTTGTACCGCATCTACCATAAAAGTATTGGAACCTCAAACAGTCACCATCACTGAACCTTGTATCATTCCAACTACATACTTAACAACTTTCGAAGACTTGACTACAACCGTCACTTTGACTTGTGATAGCTGTAGTTCAGTTCCAGCTGAAGAAACAGAGCCTGTTGATGAACCTGTTGTTCCACAACCAACCTTATCAGAATCAGTTGCTCCAGCTCCAGTTCCATCAAGTGTTTCAGAATGGGAAGGTGCTGCTGCTCAAAATGTTGCTGGTGTTGCTGCTGGGTTAATTGCTGTTGTTGCTGCTTTCTTATAAGTCCTTTAAAAAGACAATACATACCAAATTTTCGTGAAATCAATCAATACATGTTGGATCACTTCATTGTGATATCTAATTATTATTCCATTTATTCATTCTTTAAAATGGTTGGGAACAACATTCGCTAATGCAGTTGAAAAAAAAATGCGCATTAATTTTGTTATATTTTTTTTTTTGGCTGCGTAATTTTATTCATTTTATTTTCGTTGTATTAAAATTTTATTTTTAGTTTATATTTAATAAAAAGTTTGTATTATTATTATCATTTTTCAATAAAATTATGAGTGGTATCTAAAAGTAGTAAACTCTTGAGCTAATAAAAATCGAAAAAGATACATCAAGTCGTTCTTATCAATAGTATACAAGTTTTAAAAATGCAATTCAGTGCAGGGTCAAAGTGATCAAGAGAAAAGAATAGATCAGTATTGGCAAATGTTAAGCATTTAGAGTGAAACTAATAGCAGATGTTCAATCCAGAGCCAGATTTGATTGAATCTGGGTTACTGTAGGTAAAAAAAAAAAAGATTAGTGTTGTAATTTGTAAAGGATAGTAAATATATTCTTTATTGTCTCATATTGTAGATAATTTCTTAATAAAAAATATTAAATTTTCAATATCTAATTTTTTTTCATGAAACACTAGGAAATATATCATTTTACAACAAATTTTGGAATATATGATTAAGCTAACATTAATATAATATTCACTTGCAAATTTATGACTTGAACCCTAAAATGTCATTCTACTCAAATGAAAATAGTAGTAACAACAATCTAAATTATGCAATACAGTTTAATTCAAACACCACCACATCAAATGAATTATCATCATTCCCCAAGACTTCAAGATTTTTCGATAATTCATCATTACCAGACCTAAAACAATTTGAAATTGGAGATCAAAAACAACAAATTTGGTTTAATGGTCAATTATCAAATTTTAATTATAGTCCTTTCAATATTTTACAACAAAAACTAAAAGCATCACCTTCATTAAATTATGATTTAATACCAAACAAATTTTTTATATTACAACCAATAAATCAAGAACCTAACGAAATTCCTTTTTTACATCTAAATGAAGAATTAATGAAAGATCCAATGTTACTAATAGAAAATTTATCAGAAATTGGTAAGAAATATGGTGCAATAAAAATCAAATTACCAAATAAAGATCAATCCATTTTCCAAAATTCAAATCAAGTCAACTCAGATTTGTTTTGGTTTGAGACTAATAAATTGTTAAATAATCCAAAAGAAGATGAAATATACGTTAGATTAAACTTTCACAGAAACCTATTGGATTTTCATCAAAGTGATTTATACAAGAAATTTGAAGATAGTGATATAAAAAAATCAAAAGACAATTTCAATTTTCATTTAAATAAGTTACCAATGATCGATAAAAGACCATTGGATTTGTACAAGTTATTTCAATCAGTTATGATAAGAGGTGGATTTAGTGAAGTAATAAATAAAAAATTATGGGCACAAATCGGAAGAGAATTGGGATATAAAGGTAAAATAATGACAAGTTTGAGTAGTTCTTTGAAGTCCTCATACCATAAAATATTGTACCCTTATGAATTATATTTAGCATCTGAGAGAACCAATGAAGTTCAAGAAGAAGAAGTTTCTGAATTATCTAATGGTAAAAGAAATATTCAACCACTGGAACCAAATAAAAAAATGAAGAAAGAAAATGAGTGTCCTTTAATTATTGGCTCAGCAAAACAATTCAAAAGACGAATCAAGACCAAAGTTTCCAAAGGTTTTATACCTAATGCGCCTCATCTTATAGATATTAAACAGCCAAACACATTTATCATTAAACAAGAAGAAAGAAAAAGAAATCGAAGAACTAACGATACAGTTTATGCACCAATTACACCACAAAGTCAATTTAATCATAGTCTTTCATATATACTAAATAATCAAGATGAATCACCATCAATGTCATCACCCAAAATAGCATCAGTTTATACACTTAGACAGTTTATGGAAAAAGATTTAAAATTTCAAGAATATATCATACAAGAAAACAAATCATTATTTCAAAGAGATTCAGCTGAAAGAGATTGGATAAATTTTGCAGATTTGGAAACTTTGTACTGGAAATATATTAAAAATGAAGATTCAGAACTGTTGTTCAAAAATGGATATGAGCTTGAAATGGGAAAAGACTTACCAAGTTATATACACGGTTCAGGTTTTGTCAAAATTGGAGATGACATCATCAACTTTAAAAACTCATTAAACAATTACCAATTAGGGTTATCACATTTGAAACAAAGTGTAAATAATAATAAAAATGGATCAGCCCCAAACTCTGCACAAAATTCACAAAATCCACGAGAAATTAACTCCACAGATTCAATTAATCAACTTATTCATGCAGCTTTATACCCGTGGAATTTACATAATCTACCAACTTTACCAAATTCTATTTTAGGTGCATTAAGTGAATCAGACATCAGTAACAGAGAATCAACAACCACCCGGATCAATGTTGGAATGACTTTCAGTACTGAGAATTGGTCATGTGAAGATCATTTTACACAACTAATAAATTATCATTTTTTTGGTGCAAGTAAAAGATGGTATTTCATACCAGAATCTGAATTTGAGAAATTTGAGTCACTAATTAAAAAAGTGAACGCAGAAAATCAATCAAGAGCATCAAATTTAAATAATCAAAAGCCAACTGATACACAACGACTTATGCAGATATTATTCAGACCAAATGAGGAAGAAATTGAAACAGATGTAATCGCGAAATCATTAGAAAATGTTATAAACACAAAACAAGACATAAGATTATCTGGTTTATCGAATTTCAAATATAATCAAGAATTTATGATCACTCCAGAATTATTAGAGCAACACAATATAAATTACACAACAACAGTACAGAATCCAGGAGAGTTCATCATAAAGTTCCCCAAAACATATTCTTCATCAAAATCATATGGTTTTAATTTTTGTGAAGAAGTTAATTTTGCATCAAGTGTGTGGTTAGATTATGCATTAGAAGGTGAAAAATGGCTTCAAAAACAAGGGATATTACCAAATTTCCTGACTTTCAAATTATTATCATCATTGGCTATAATGTATGATACGGGAAAAAGTATTTCATTTAGTTCTGATGTTTTTGCAAAGGTTGCTAAATTATATGAATCAATATACTTAAGGGAGGTAGAGTTGAGAAATGAAGTTAGGAAGTACAAATTAAAAGAAACTACCATCAATGAAGAGTCTAGTGCTGATATAATTGCTGATGATGACCTTTCAACTGTTTTTCCAACTAGAATTTTGGTGATTGACAAAAAGAACAAATCAAAAATAATATCCTTAGAAACCTTTCTCGACACCTCCAAGAATGATCCGACATTTTTAGAAAGTTATCAATGTGAACTACAACTTTTTTATTCTGATGAAAAATTAAAAAATTTTTACAAGATATTAAATGAATATTCGGTTGATTTTGAAAGTTGGATTAAAGCATATGAAGAACTTATGTCCGACAGTGATAGTGAATTATCATTAAAGCAATACAAAGTTTTATTGAATGATGGGGATAAAATAAATTTATCAATAATGTCAACCAACTCAACTATAAATGAATTCGATCAAGAAAGATTAAATTTGTTCCGGTCTTACTTAGACAACCTCAGATATTTCACAACCACATCCACTCAATTTATTGAGGATTGTCAAAATTTATTATCTATAAAACATCAACAACGTATAAGAAATGGTCAAGATTCAACAATTAGTGCATCTTTCAATGATTTAATGCAATTAGTATCCAAAATTCCTAAATTGAATTTCACTTGTCCAGAAATTGATCAAATTTTAGAATTTAAAGTTGAAACTGAAAATTTTGATAAGGCAAGTAGAGCATTGATATCGAAAAGGAATAAATCTTTACAAGAATTTGATAACCTAATTAGTCTTGGTGAAAGTTTTGGATTAGATATACCTTCATTGAGTTTTATAACTAGAATTAGAGATAGATTATTATGGTTGAAAACTTTTGAACTTATAGAAAAAGGAGTTGATCCGTACTCTGACAAAAAAGAAGTTTTTACAATTGATCACCTCAAAAAGTTTTACTATGAAGGTTTGGAAATTTTATCTGAGGATGATTTGAACTACATCAAATCAGTTGAAAAGATTTTAAATGAAAGTATTGTTTTCAATTATAATGTCGGTAAATTTTTAACATACCGATATGTTCATGATCTAAACTTACAAGAAATGGAAACTATAGTTGATAAATTTACGCAAGAGAAATTATTTATCTCAATGGACAATTATACAGAATTATCAAAAATTCAATTCAACTTGAAATTAATAACTCAATATAATGAAAAAATTGATTCCAAAAAGACCCCATACCCAGAATTAAAAACTTTTTACAATTCAGTACTAGAAAGTGGTTTAAATTTCAACACAACAAAATTCTCATCAATGTTGCAAGCCACAGAAACTTGGATAGAATTAACAATCCCCAAATTTGAAAAGCTAAAAATACTAACAACTATGAAGAATCCAGATATCGATCATTTGAATCAAAAATACACCACAAATTCCAAACTAATTGAAAGGTTATATCGAATTTTTTACAAAATTGAGTATAATTTATCAAAAGACGATAAATATGAGGAGTGTTCATCATTTTTAAATATCACCGACAACAATGAAGTTGATGCAAAATATTATTGTATATGTAGGGAATTTGAACATGGCACAATGGTTGAATGTGATAAATGTAATGAATGGTATCATGTTCAGTGTGTTAAATCAATAAGCAATCCAAATGAAGATAAATATAACTGTCCTACATGTTTATTAATTGGTAAAGGGTTGGTAAAAGATCAATATTTAAACACTCAAATGACTTTTGAAGAATTTGCTGAAGTAAATCAAGAAAGTTCAGATCTTGAAGCTGTTCCTGTAAATGAAGCCGGTATTCTACAAGAGATATTTAGTATGTTGAATACATACAAAATTGAATTTGATGAAGTGTTTACAAGTATAATGAATGAAGAAGACGCAAAAATACGTTTGGATAAATTAAAATTTCATTTAAGGAAAATTTATGGTTGTGGTATATTCATGAAAGATATATGTGAAAAATTGATACAAGCTATTAACGACTTGGAAAACTCAAAAGTGAAAAATGAAAATGCAGTTAAAATTGAAGGTGTCGCAGAAAAACCAGCTTCAGTTCAAGATTTAAATACCAAATCATTGGACTTTTCTTTATCAATTAATAATACAAGTCAACCTGATACGGCAAATGTTCATCCATCCTCGACGACATTTATAATGGAGCCAACTTCCAACATGATACCAAATGGAACAGCTGACAATGACCAACAAAGAACTGGTGATGAAACTGAAGTTGAAACTGATATAGAGGTGGAAGAACGCAATGATCAAGATGAAAAGATCAATCCACCAACATCAACGTTTGTAACATCGGCTATCAAGTCACCAACAGCTACAAATCAATCACCTCAACAATCAAAAGATAAATTGAATTTTATTTTCTATACACCGAAAAAGAAAAACAGCACCGCTACAAATTCTCCAAAAGATAAAGCTACTCCAAAAATTTCTCCTACATCGGACAATATCAATGGTCAAAGTCTTGATGAAATCAAAAAGAAAGCTGAAGAGGTGAGTGAGAAATTGGAAGCTGTTGTTCATAGCAAAGAAGATGTCGAAATGAAGGATGTTGAGTATCCTATAGCAGATCAGAATAGTGATACTGAAACGAAAGATGTTAAAGATGCTGCAATTGAACAAGATAAAGATACTGAAATGAAATCCATAAATGATGACAACAAGAATCAAGTATTTGTAACACCTGCAAGCAATGAGAAAACTGAAAATGGTCACATGCCAGAGGTTGAAATTAGTAATGGTGAATTTGGAGAAAAGACCTTAGCTATTACCCAAGAAACTAATAAAGAGAAAAAGTCAATATCAGAAAATAGAGATTTTTCAGAGAATCCTGGAATTGACTCAAACAATTTGATTGATATTGTTGATAACAAAGAGGAAGCAACTAAAGAGGAAATAAATGGTACAAATAGCATTCTTGACTCAACATCTGAAGCAATTAATGAGGTCGAGAAGGAGGACAAAATGGAGGTTGATGAAGAAGATTCAGATATAAAACAAAAAAATGAAAACAACGAGGTTTCTCAAAATCTTTCAACAGACTTTGAAACAACGAACTTACAAAAAGGGGAATCTTCAAAAATAGAGAAAGAAAAGGCACCAGAAGAAAGCAAAGAAATTGAATTGTCGATGGAACCACAAGTACTAGCTGTTCCAGTTGAGCCTTCAAAATCTGAACATTCAGCTGATAATCTGGTGGGCAATGAGCATTTAGGTGAGTCAAAATCAGTTGCTGAACCTATTGAAAAGGAACTGAGATCCAGCAAGAAATTTGAGGACGAAATTGGAGAAAAAACAGAGACAAAGCAAATTAAGGAAGCTCCTTTAAAAGTTAAACCGGAGACTATTCCCACTAAAGAGTCAAAGTTTGAGCAACTAGACAATGAAAATGCAGTACCTGAAAACATAAATAAAGAAGCATCAACTCTGGAAATTTCAGTAGCGACAGCAGCAGATAAGGAAGTGTTAAATGAACCATCAGCTGTAGAAGAACCAATAATTGAAGAATCAAGAAAAGAAGAATTACCAAAAGTAGAGTCTACAAATGAGTTACCCTTAAATTTTGTTTCTGAGGTACAAGAACCAGCAGTTATAGAAATTTCAGAAAGAGAAACAAAAGTAGTGACACTAAAGGTCGGAGAAATTAAAGATGAAAAGAAGGAGGAAATCCAAGCTAGAGAATATTCTACATTCAACAATGTTTCTACTATAGTTTCAAATTCTCCAAAAGAAAAAAATACTGCAACTATAGTAGAAAATTCAAATTTGGAAGAGCCTCATGTAATTCACGATGGTAACAATATCAATAGTCCGAACAATGATCATAATGATGGTAATGATGACAATGATGAATATGAACCAAGATCAAAAATAGTTAAGTTAATATTAAGTCCTGCTAGAGCCAAAATTTTGGCGACTAAAACACAAGATATTAATGATGCTTCTCCTTCAGCGTCCAATGGAAACGAAAATGGTACAAGAAGTAACGGTGTTCGTGATACAAATGCAAAATTAAAGAAGCAAGAAGATCATCATAAAAATGAATATTTCATTACATTAAACTATAAGCAAAATTCAGCTTAAGACTAATGATTGTACATAGAATACTTGTATACATTTCCAATTTGAATATATAAAAAGATGTACTTGTAAAAATCAGGCATTTTTTAAACTCTAGTTTATCTTCGACTTAAATAATTTTTTTGCAATTAAACAATAATTGATATAATAGTTAATTCTATATAATAACGCGTAGAAGCTCTGAAACTTGTCAAATGCCACAAAATCAATTATAATAACAAAAAAAAAAAATAAAAAAAAAAAAAACAATTATAAAAATATCAAAACTAATTTTTTTACAACCAAGGAAAGTTTTACAACCAATATAGATGATAAATGTCAAATTGTTATACAACTACAACAAGAATTACCAATGAAGATCCAAAAGGCAAATCAAACAATAAATATATAACAATTCAACAACAAAATGATATAAAATTGAATAATTGTTTACCGATATTAGTAGAAATAAGTTGGCAAAAAGTAGTTGGAAATAATGAAAGAATATTTTTATCACAATTGAGGAATTTATTTAATGAGATGGAAAAAATACTAAAGATAAATTCAATATTTAATGCAAAGGAATTGAATTTAATAGAATCATTTATTATAACTAAACCAACTTATAGATTAAATAAAAAAGAATTGGTTAAATTCATATTAAAACTGATTCATTTAAATTCTTTTGAAAATTTGTTGGTGGAGAGGTTTCAATTTGATGATTACTATATTGCAGAATGCATAAATAATGCTTTAAATGGTGTAAAAAACAATACAAATAGTATAAAGAATGAATATTATGAAAATAGAAGAAATGCCTGGAGTTCCAATAGTTCAATAAAGGAAAAAAATTCCAATGAGACAAGTGGAAAAATCATGCAATTGGAGTTGAACGAGTTGAAAAAAGTTAATAAAAATCAAGAGAAAGAATTAAGAAGCCTAAGGCTAGAGAATGAAAAATTGAATGACCAAATATTTCAACTAATTAAAAAAACATCATCAACTAATGAACTTAACGATAGTTCAAACTCCCTAGAATTAGCAGAACAAAGACTAAAAATCAAAGAATTAACAAATCAGTGTGAAACATATAAATTAGAGAACGAATTGCTAAAAGAAAATGAAGCTCAAATTATAAAGTCTGTGGAAACACTAGAAGGTAATATATTAAAACAAGATAAATTGATTGAATATCTTAAACAAAAACTACCTATTGAAAAATTCAACCAAACCAATCACAAAGTTTTAAACTTTATCAAAAAAATTCCATACCTAAAATCATACTATTATAAATTAAATACAACAGAGGATTTAAAGGATACTAAAATATTTGTACTTTTTATGTTTTCAATTTTTGCAATATTTACTATACTTTTATCAACCCTTCAACTTATAATAACATTAACCAGAAAGTCAAATTCAAATAATATTGGCTATGTATATGACAACTACAGTAGCGAGTCGGAAAACAATTTATTTTGGAGACTATCTATTGCAACAATTGGACAGCTACCTTATATAGAAAAGCTAATGTACGATATAATTGATTGGTGAGACAATTTCAATGGTGTAGAGGTAAAATATAACGTTATGAATTATTCGAAATTATTTTAAATTATTATCCAATTAAATCAAACTACACATATAATACAAAGTAAATTAAAAAAGATATAAAAATTAAATTAAAACATTTTATTTATCTAATTATTCTTTTCCGTTTCACTAAAGAGGATTTGGAAAATAAAAAAACCAACACCTCAAATTGAAATAAACTCCCCAAAAAATTTAAATAACTTAGTTCATTTGTTTAACTAAAGCATTAATAAATTCTTCTCTATTACCAGTGTCACCACCTTGAATAAAATGTTGGAATTTTCTGGATCTAAAACCACCAGTTGGATTAGATAATTTGAATGGCCATAAAAAGTTGTTGACTTGTTTAAAGTTTGGACCAACGGTATAAATTTCATGAATTAAATCTTCAACTGATAAGATATCGTATTTACCTAAGTTAGCTTCAATAATAGCATTATCAGATAAAGCAATTCTTTGTTTGTTAACTTTACCGTAACCTCTTTTGTAAACTAATTGTCTAATAGTAGCTAATGATGGATAACCATAAGCAATATAAGGTTCAGCTAATTTAATTAATTCTGAAGTAGCTTTAGTTAATCTAACAAAAACACCTGAATTGATTTGAGTTAATCTTAATAATTGCATAACTTTTCTTGGTTTTGGTGGAATTTTCATAATACCTTTAATTCTAACAACAAATACTAATTTTGGTTGAGCATCAACATAGTATGAACCTGAAGCTTTAGCATCTCTTTTAGCTTTAACGACTGATTTTTCAGCGTCAACGTATTCTTTGTGATATTTAGCAGCTCTATCATAGATAACTTGTCTTTTATCTTTGTTTGACTAGGTAAGTTGTTAGTAACAATAAATTCTTTTGATATTTTTTCCCGGTTGAAAAATTTTCTCAGTCCCGAAAGATGGTTAACTGAAAGACAACATAGCCGAAGCTAGCCATTTGCATTGGTTTTTTTTCATCTTCAAAAATAAATACTTGGGAGTAACAAAATAAAAAAACATACGGTTCTTCTAACTTTTTTAGCAGCAGCTCTTTCTTCAGAAGTTTTTTGTTGAGCTTTTTCTTTTTTTTGTTTAGTTTCTGGTTTGATAGCTTGAGCTAAAGTATGTAATAAACTTATTAATTTGTTAGTATATTTGCTAGAACTTTGATGTTCTTCCAGCAACCTTAGTCCATTTATCCTCAAAGTAAAACTAATTTTGGTTATTAAAATATATGTATCGATTGCTTGTATTCAAACAGAAAAAAGTTTAAAAATACATGAAAGTTAGAACTGAACGGCCAGGTTCATTCTAATTCACAATCAATTATTATATTTCCAAAAAAAAAAACTCAGAAGAAAATAGATATATCAGGCATTGGCTAAAAACGAAGATATAATATTAAAAGCTGCAAGACAATCTAATTTTCCCTTGGTTGTTATGAAAAAACATTTTCTATCAAATTTCTTCACATCTTGAAAAGATGGATTTGAGATTCTAGTTTAATCACCCAATCAATATATTAATCCACGTCTTAGCTAATCTCTTGTAAACAAGAGTGCTAGACTCGCAATTTGATAAATGTAGTAGACATACGTAGCCATTTTTGATCTTTGATTAGTTTGATGATGATGGTATTAGAAATTGAAATTTAATTTTGAAAAATTTATAAATATATTTTCTGTTTCACTATTAAAATTTACGAGATGTTTATAGTTGGTAGCTTTCTAATTAATACAGGGCTGTTGCCCTATTTGTAATTTGGTAGCGCTTCCAATCTTAGCTGGACTGATCTTATAATTAAAGAGCTAATCTAACGTAGCTATTCTTATCTTCTGTATATTAGAGACAAGGTCTCTTGGTGCTTTTTTTCTAGTAATTCTTATACAAATTTTGTTGTCAGATTGTCATCAAGAAAAGCTAAAAAAACAACAGATAAAGTCGGTCGCGTTTAATGCAGCTGTTAGCGAGAGATTTATGATGTGAACACTTATTCAAGATAGAGTTTATTTCTAGCAAACTCTTAAGAGACCTTAATATTTCAGAATACAGGTTTGTAAATTTTTGGTGTAGCTTTGTTATTAAATTTGTAGTAATCTTGTCTTAAACTTTATTATGAAATGAAGTGGAGAGAATGCTTAAGGGAAATAACTACTTTGATTGTGGTCAAGATGTAGAGACCACAAGATGTGAGCCATGAGACCTCAATGAATTAAGCTTTATGTCATCAAAATTTATACTTGATGTCTTCTTTATTTGCAACTCTTTTTAAATCGGTTGTAAAACAAATTGCGGGTTTATTATTGCTACTAAAAAAAAAAAGATAAGATAAGAGCTTAAAATATATTGATAAGCAAGCTATCAAAACAACAAAATCTGCGACAGCCAATTCTTAATTGAATTTTTGAAAGTAGAAGTTCAGACTACAGTCTCTCAAATATATTACTAACTTATTTTTTACTACTATAAATTTAAAGAAAATAACAACTCAAAACAAAGCCCTACAACCAACTAATAAAAAAAAAAAAAAACAATTGAATAAGTATAAAGCTGAATAAACAGACAAACAAATAAACCAAAACATTAAACCCCCAATCAATAGTGGTACCTAAATATCATTTGGAATATCACTGAAATCTAATTCATTAACATTTATTTCTAGTTTTTCTCCAAAAGTATTTTCACCACTATATAAAACATACAAGAAACCATCTTCATCTTTATGTTCTTCATAAATTGTTGAAATTAAAGCAGCTGTTGGAGGTAAAATATCATTTACAAAAATAAATATAGCTTTTTCACTTGGTAACTTAATTCTTTTTCTAATAACATAAACAAATTGTCCAACTGTTAAATCAACTGGTACTAAATATTTTCTTTTATCAATTTCTGGTATATCTGAATTTTCAACTTTTTCACATATGACTGGAACTCTATCTTTAAATCTTTGAGCAATTCTTGCTGCTTCTGCTTGTCTTTTTTCTATGACATTACATAGTTAGTATTTGGATTGGTAGTCAAATAAATTAAATTAATAGTAATACATACCAAAAGGGTGTTCGTCTTTAAATTGTGATCTCATTCTTTAACTAATTATGATGCTTTGTTATATATCTTTTGATTTGTAAAGTTAGTATGACTCTTTTAGATAATTGATGTAATCAAATTTTGAGGAGGCAAAAATTTGGAAATCACGGGGTAAATTCTATAGCTTATTATTTTTGTACATACAATTTAAATTTATGATGAGATTTTAATTTTAATTTCACGACTAATAAAATAAATGAATTGGATTAATTGATGGAAGATAATGATAATATGATTAGTTGGTAATAGTTGTAATTAATGTTGTAGATATTTGATATAATATTTGAAAGAAATGTGTTATTATTATTTTTAATTTAATTTGTTTTTACTTTGTAAAGAGAGAGAAAGAAAGATAAGAAAATTAAATAAGTTAAAAGAGAGTGAGAGAAAATTAAAAAATGTATGATTAAGATAAAAATATAATCCTTAATTTTTATTTTATAAAGTGTTTGTTAACTAGGGTCTTCTTGATTTGCTTCATTCTAACTCTAATTAGTAACTTTCAATACTCCATCTACAACACTTTAACTTATCTATAATATCGTAATTTATTTAACTCTTTGTAATATTCTATAATCTTTATCTATTTTATATTTGGTAGTGTAAAAAGATCAAAATTAGATAAGATTATAAAAATAAATAAAATAAATAAAATAATTAAAAAAATTAAAGCGGTAATTTCTTATGTATGTAAATCAAAATTGTGTTGCAAAATCAAATTTTGACAGGTTAAACATCAAATTTTATATTTATCAACATATTCTTACAAATGGTGACAGCGGAGCAATTAAAAAAATTAAATAATATCAATAATAAGAAAGATGAAAATAATTCACTCACAAATTCCAAAAAAATCGAGCCATATTCGATTGATTGGTTAATTAATGAAGAACAACAAAATTATGATTCAAATGAAGATGAACTTAATATGATTGAAGTTGGGCTAAGAAACAAAAGATTACAATTACTATTTCCATTGGTTTATCCAAAAGATGATGATGATGATAAGAATGCCACAAATAACTCAAATTTTCAAAATTATACAACCAACCAAGAAATGGATAATATGAATGAAACATCTTCAATTAATTTTCCTACAACTAGATTAAAACCGCATGAATTAACAAATGAATTGGAGATTCAATTATTAGAAAGTTCAATGTTTCACAATAGTAATAATGATAATAATTTACTGAATAGATTAGAATTTGATTCATTTTCATTAGGTAATATAAGTTCAGATTTAACAAGAAGTAAGTCAAGTAAAGAAGAAAAATATAATTCAATTACAGGCGATGAAAGTTTGAAATCATCTGGTCAATCAAATAATTCTTTACGAAAGATGAAGAGACCAACCAGTATTATAAATATATCACCTCAAAAACGAATATTGAATCAATCAAAATTTAATAATCAACAGAATATACAACCACCACCAATAGTTAAAGAGTCTACTACTAAGACAAGTTATGTTGAATATTTAAAACCAAAACCATTAAAGAGATTTAGATCTAGATCTCTGTGTGATTTAGTATTTCCAAATCTTAATATTAAAAGACAATCAAGGTAAGATCAACACCGAATTTTAGCATTAATTAATGGGATTTAAAGAAAACATTCTATCAAAATACATTTATTACTGTTTTAAATGAGGGTCAGATTATTACAGTACGCGTCTAAGCTAATATTTTTTTATTTTTTTTATTGGAGGGCAATTTTTTAAATTACGGAGAAAAAAAATAAAAATAAAAGTAAAAATAATAATAATCATAATATTCATATTATCAATAACTAGATACAAATATCAATTGAATTCATCAAAATGTTAAGAACGTTTACAAGATCATTCTCATCTACCTTAGCCAGATACAATTACGCAAAAGGTCAATTATTTGGTAGAGTTGGTGGAGTTGATTTTAGAGAATCAGAAAATGGTACAAAATATATTAAATATTCATTAGCAGTTAATAGATTTAAAAAAGGTGAAGAAAATGATACAGCTACAGAATGGTATAATATTACAGTTTTAGATGAAGATCAATTAAGAAGAAGTGAAAAAGTCTTAAGAAAAGGTAACAAGATGATTGTTGATGTTCAAATTAGAGCTGATAAATATGAAGATCCAGAAACTAAAAAAATTAATTATAGAAATTCATTTGTTCAAAAAAATTTTGAAATTGTTAATTGGGGTAAAAAACCAGAAGAAGAAGGTACTGAAACTACTGAATAAATTGAGTTCTAATATATATAATATTTTATACGATTACTTCTTTTTAATATAATTTTTTAGCTAAACTTAATTCATAAGCGTAAGCAATTGTTAACTTAATATGTTCTTTTATATGATCAAAATCTAATCTATCAATTGTATCCATAACTGAATGAATGTATTTATTAGTATATTTAAATTCACTTTCAATTAAAAAACTTGACGGATAACCATTTTCCAATGCTGAAGCATGGTCAGAACATGCATATCCACACTGGGTTTCTAAATATGAAATCTTGTTGTAGTTTTTAATGATTAATTTCAAAAAATTATTCAATTCAACACTTGTGTAATCATTAATTAATCCAAAGTGTGGTTCAACTCCTTCATCAATAGACCCTTGCGTATAACCGGTCATATCTTGTTGTAACATTCCAACAACAGTTTCATTTTGATCAGAGTACCTTGTAAATACATCAATTGACCCTTTTAATCCACCTTCCTCGGCGCTGTACCATTGGAACTCAAGGGTATTGTAAGGTTTAAAGCTTCCATCTTCACAAGCTTTCAATAAAACTCTTAAAGATTCCAAAATTGTCATTGAACCTGAACCATCATCATCAGCACCAGGAGCTCTCATGATATTTGGTAATATCAAGTTGGCTGAATCTTGATGTGCTCCAACTACTACTTTATCTTTGACTTCTCCTGGTATTGAAACAATTATTGAATATTGATCCCAACCATCATGGTGAATTTTTAAAGTTTCAATCTCTTTGAAATTTGACACCAAGCTAGTAATTTCATCGTATAACCAATTAGCACTATCTAAACCATGTGGGGACTTGTAATATCTTGAAAAGAATGAACTAAATTTTGTTAATTTCTTAAATACCAAGTCAATATCAATAAATTCATATAATCCTTTAACTTCGTTTTCATAATGAACTTTTGTAGGATAAGCATATACTGGTATCGTTTTTTTCAAAGTTTTAACTTGTTTGGCACCTAATAAAAATAATCTATCCCAAATTGAATTAGTTGGAGCATTAATTAAACCTTGTTCAATAGCTTGTTCAATAGGTATTTGATTAGTTATGTCAATAAAATTTTTATTTTGTCTTTTTAAATTTAATTTTTCAGCTTCTGATACTAATTTGAATTCATCTGGACCTAATTTAATGACTTTATCTTTGATATTGTCTGGCTGGAATGGACTTGAATTTATTAACGAATTAAATGTGGATCTTAAATCTGGTATTAAATCAAATAAAGGGAAAGCAGTTACGAATACTGCAAAAATGCTAAGGACAAGTAAAAATCTCATTATTAACACTTTCAATTTGTTAAATGAAGGTAAAGAATGGATTTGAAAATATATGTTAATGAATAATTGGTAGGCAAAATGCTGGTTTTATTTCGTGGAGCAAAAGATTTAGAACATTTCGAGCCGCACTGAATTTTGGCATACAGATTTCACAGGACTCGAGGAATGACCAACTTGAAAAGTAGATATTGTTCAAGTCAGATCTCACTAAGTGCTTTATTAAAAGAGATTGTTTTCGAGTTATTTGAGGGCCCTATAGACGCATATACTCAAGAATCCGAAAGCTTTTGAAATCCTCAATGTTCAGATAGTAAAACTGATGATGACCCCTAGGGTTTCTCTAAATATTGAAGAATTCAGCTTATGATTACAGAAACCTTACCCCGGCCAACTCTATTTCTATAAACGATTGACTAATTACTTCAAAATATGTTGCAAATATACCAAAGTTGTTAATTTTGAAATCTCTTCAGTAAAAATTGAATCTTCTTTTTTTTCAATGCTCTCTCTCTTTTTAATTAAATTGTAAACAACTTTTACCTTCACATATAAAAAGAAGCAACAGCAAAAGTTCAATTCACAACCACCACCTCAATAATGGTTAGTCTAGTGCCTAATTTTGCAGGGTACGGCAATCAAAATGAACAAAAATACATATCACCAACATTATCAATAAGAGATCCAATAGTTGATGAATCATTAAAATTTCATCAAGATCAATCATCTGCAACAAATTCATCAAGAAATCAATTATCCAAAAGATTTGTACAACCAATTGGGCTCGAGGTAAAAGAAGCAAATTATAAAATAAACATACCTGACTTTTCCAACTTACCACCATTACAATTAGGTTTAAAATTCATATCAAATATAAATAAAATTGATTCAAGTATACCACATGATATTTTTTATTCAGAAACTTTAAGTAAAAATGAATCAAGTTTAGATAATTATTATTTTGATTATGAAAATGGTTTAAAAGATTTTTCAAGATTTGAAAAAATTCAACAATTAGATTTACCTGATAGATTTTTTGAAGAATATAATAAAACTGAAACTATTACCAAAATTGGATTGTTTCCAGAAATTGAAAGAACTTGGATTGCAATTGATAATAAATTAATACTATGGAATTACAAAATACCACAATCATCATTTAACCAAAATTCGCAATTTCTAACTATTGATCAAATTGATAATACTATATTGACTGTAAAATTAGTTAAACCAAAAGCAGGAATATTTTTAAAAGAAATCAATCATTTATTATTGGTTTCAACTACTGTGGGAATAAAAATTTTCATTGTCAAATATGATAAATCTCTTAACAATTTGGAGGTTTTTAATCCTGATTTATCTGTCACCACACAAGGTCTTGCAGTAAATAATTTTGTTGTACATCCAAAAACAAACGACATATATTTCAGTGGAGAAAATGATGGAGTAAACATATGGAGATTGGATTATTCAAATAAATCAACATTCACCAAAAATAAATGTGATAAAATATGTTTAACAAAAGGTGGATTATCAAGTGTGATTCCAAACAAATTTCTGGGTTTTGGCTTTACTTCATCAGGTCCAACAAATGCATCTGATCAAAACTTAGCAAATATCCCTGAAAAAATAGTTCAATTAGAAATTGATACTGCAAGAGATATATTATATTCATTATCAAACAAATCAGTCATAAGGTCATATAAACTACAAGCAAAACAAGAATCACTTACAGAAGGAGCTCAATTAACCCCAAGTCAAATTTTCAAATCTGCATCAAGCTTGTTTGTAGATGCAAGTAACTTCAAAGTTTTTGAGAGATTTAAAATTATTAGCATACATTTTATATCACCGGAAGAATCCTCAGTAATTCAATTAATTGCAGTAACAAGCAATGGATCAAGGATCTTATTAAAGTTAGGAACCACCACAACCTTTTCATCATTACTCACATCAGCATATTCATCATCAAATGCATTAAGGTTAAACCTTGTCAATATAAAATTTCCACCAACTAGAGACATTCCAACTGTCAACAATGAATTAGACTCATTTTCAAGAGATAGACAATACATATCACAAATAATAGCAAATCAACAAAAATCACAAATTCTTAAAAATACCAAAATCGCTAAAATTATAAGTCCTGGAGTTTTTCTTTGTGTGAAAAAGACTAAAAGGTCAGATAAATTGTTTATTGCTACTGCTAACTTTGGATATTTGAAAAAGAACAATAAGTTGGTTGAAGATGCTGAATTTTTAAAATACACTTTAAATGATGATTCTCCTTATACGTACATCCAAGATATTGTACAACTAACTCCTTCTATGAATGCAACAAATACACCAAATGGTTATGCAAATATTGCAGCAAGTCAATACACGAAAGAACCATTGAGGTTCGCAATCTTAACTAATTTTGGTATTATCATTTATCAATTCAAGACATCAGATCAAATATTAAAGTCATTAAATGATGAAGTTATTGAGAATTTTATAGATGAAAATGGATATGAAGAAACTTGTTCTACCTTGTTATATTTAGCATGTTCATACGGAAACACTAATGAAATTTTTGAAAGAAAGGCACAGGTGTTATTTTCATCTTGTGGTAATAATGCAAGATTAACAAATAATCAATCGAATGGATCACAATCAACCAGTTTAATTCCTCATCATCAACTATCAAACTTCAGCTCACCTCATCCAACTGTTGATCAAGTAGTACTTAGTGATAGATTTTATGGTACATGTTTATTAATTGCAAGATTTCTTCGGGACATTTGGACCAAGAAAGTTTTCAGTCCAATTCCAACTGCTAAAATCACTCCATCCGGTGATATAGAAGCTGCAAGTGTAAAAGACAATAAAGTTATTTTAAAGAATATAAATATTGACAAAAGGCAAATTGAGTATTTCATTGGAACTATTGTGGTGTTGATTGATTTCTTTGTTGAAAATGAAACTAGCATCCAAGGTTTGAATGCTCCAAACTATAGTTCAGATCCAAGTCAATTTGAAAATGAAGTATGTTTAAGAGCAGAAAGTATAGCATTCACGTCAATTTTTAAATCTTTAACTTCAATGAAGGAAGCTTTCTCATTTCTTATGGTATTACTTGAAGAATTACAAGCAAATAATAACGATTTCAACAGTGTCTTTGATTTTCTTTCATTAACTAATCAAGCTAATTTATTGTCAATATCATTTAGAGACTTATTATTACCAAATAGAGATGTTAAAGTATTAATCAAGGACTTATTATCATCAATCATAAATAGCAATATTGTTAAAGGTGGATCCATTGATGTTATTGCATCATCTTTACAAACCAGATGTGGTTCATTTTGTTCAACAAACGATGTTTTCATATTCAAAGCGATTGAAAATTTAACAAAAGCTAAAAAGATTGGTTCAAGAGACGTTGAATTAAAATTAAAATGTTTGAAAAATGCAGTATTATTATTTGAAGAATCATATGAAACATTAACTTTAGAAAATATTGAAAATTCAGTGGACATTATGGTTGAACTTGAATATTATTCTGGTGCTATTGGTATGTTATTGAATATTACTAGTAAATTAAGTAATAGCTTAAAAACTCCAAATTTTGTGTTCAATCAAGTAAACGAGAATTTAATTAAAAAGAACCACATGGAAGTTCAAGTCAAAATCAAAAAATTATATGAGATTGTTTTTTATGTATTGAAGAAAGTTGATTTCAAAGCTTTGAAAATAACCGAAACAAATAACCAACTTTTGATAAATGAGATTTTAGAAGTTAGAGATTCAGCTTATGATACATGTTTTACCACCAAAGACAAAGAATTCCAGTATTCATTTTATGACTGGTTTGTCGAACAAGGTATAAGTGATAGATTATTAGAAATCAATACTCCATATATTTTACCATATTTAGAAGAAAAATCTGAAAATAACATTGCAATGAGTAATATACTTTGGCTTTATTATGCAAAAAGAGAAAATTACTTTGATGCTGCCAAGATTCTATATGCATTATCTATATCACAATTCAATCTTGAGTTAAGTCAACGAATAGAATATTTATCAAGAGCAAATGGCTTTTGTAATTGTGTTTGTCCACCAAATTTTAGACAAAAGATGATTCAATTATCAGCTACGATACAAGAACTTTTTGATGTTGCAAATATACAATTAAGTTTGATATCCAGAATCGAGAGAGATTCAAGAATAAATTCAGATAATAAGAAAAATGCAGTGGAAGCTTTGAATTTTAAAATTTTATCAATAAGTGATTTATTTAATACATATGTTGATCCATTGGGCTATTACGACTTATCATTGTTAATATTCAAAGTATCTGATTACAAAAACAATGATGACATATTAAAAAGATGGGAGTTATTAATCGAAAAAATTTATCATGAATCAGAAGAATCAAAAGAGCCATTTTATGTCTTGCTTAATGATGAATTTACCCTTTGCGGGTCCAAATTGTCATCTAATGATATTGTATTCCCAATTGATGAATTGATCAAATTAATAAGTAAGAATTTACATAAAGCTATAAAGGGTAATCCAGTAACTCAAACACCACCAAAAGGATTTTTAGTTGAATTATTTATAAAATCCGGAGTTAGTTATGAAAGATTGTATTATAACATGAGATCGTTAATTGAACACAATGATTTTGACAATTCACAAAATTTCACAGAATACTTAAAGAACAATGAAATGACTTACCTTATCAAAAAATGGTACTCAACTGATAAAAAATTGAAAGATTTTATAGCTGCTGAACAAATGGTCAATTATGGTAACGTTTATTCGCTTGACACAGACCCAATAAAAAAGTTGAATTTTAATTAAATTAAATAAAAGTTAGATAAAAGTTTATATATTATACACTATTTGTAATATTAGATTTAATTCAATTGATAGAATTTGTTTTTTTGTACATCAAATTTTTCCTTCTCAAAGTTGCCAATAACTGATGGTCTTAAAGTATTTACTGGTATACTTGATCTTTTTGGTTGAATAGTTTTATCATTGAAATATAGTAGAATACCATCAATTATTAATTTAACTGCATTATTTTCAAAGCCTCTTGGCATTATAACATCTGAGAATTCTTTTGTTGGAAATATGAAATCACTCATTTCAATTCTAGCTCCTAGAAGATATGCATTTATAACACTTTCCAAACTTTCAGTTTCATTAATCAATACATCTCTTTTGATCCAGCGTATTAACCTTGTATCTGAGTCACTATCAATGAACACCTTAATGTGTGACATTTCTCTTAATTCCTTATGGTATAGTGCGTATAATCCATGAACTATCAAGATTCTTTGTTTAGAAGGATTTACATCATTGTTTAACTCCTGTAGATCATTTTTCAATTTTGCAAAATTAAATCTTGATGGTTTTAATTTGGGGAATGTTTGATCAAAATCTTCTTTTTGAACTGTTATAGCGGCTGATTTTGATTTGGGAAATTGACTTGAATCAACTGATGAGATTCCATGATCCGTATATTCATTCATATCAATTATTTTGACATCTACTGTAGATTCCGGCATTGATGAATTTAGCTCTTTCTCTAATGCTAATGCCGTAGTCTTTTTACCAGAAGCATGACCTCCGCCCAATAGTACTAGTATTGAATTTGATAACTGGGGCATTTGATATGGTGATAAGTGCTGCAAAAAATTGATTTAAAAAAAAATCAAATGTATATTATCACAAATTTTTTTTGCAACCAACTATATACAATGGATGAATTTGATAGAGATCTAGATAATGAAATAGAATTTAGTCATAAATCAACAAAAGGTGTAAAAGTACATCGTACCTTTGAAAGTATGAAATTAAAACCTGAACTTCTAAAAGGAATATACGCATATGGATTTGAAGCACCCTCAGCTATTCAATCAAGAGCGATAATGCAAATTATAAGTGGTAAAGATACTATAGCTCAAGCCCAATCAGGTACTGGAAAAACAGCCACTTTCTCCATTGGGATGCTAGAAGCAATTGATACCAAATCAAAAGATTGTCAAGCATTAATACTATCACCGACAAGGGAATTAGCAGTACAAATTCAAAATGTTGTGAAACATTTGGGAGATTATATGAATATACAAACACACGCGTGTATTGGTGGTAAAAATGTTGGAATGGATGTTAAAAAATTACAACAAGGACAACAAATTGTAAGTGGAACGCCAGGTAGAGTGCTAGATGTTATCAAAAGAAGAAATTTATCAACAAGACATATTAAAATATTGATTCTAGATGAAGCAGATGAGTTATTTACCAAAGGTTTTAAGGAACAAATATATGAAATCTACAAGAGTCTACCGTCTGGTGCTCAAGTCGTTGTAGTTAGTGCTACATTATCCCATGAAGTTTTAGAAGTGACAAATAAATTTACAACTGATCCGGTCAAAATTCTAGTCAAACAAGATGAAGTTAGTTTATCAGGTATAAAACAATACTACGTACAGTGTGAAAAAGAAGATTGGAAATTTGATACATTATGTGATCTTTATGACAATTTAACAATAACTCAAGCTGTTATATTTTGTAATACCAAATTAAAAGTCAATTGGTTAACTGATCAAATGAGAAAACAAAACTTCACAGTTGCATCAATGCATGGAGACATGAAACAAGATGAAAGAGATTCAATAATGAATGATTTTAGAACTGGGAATTCTCGAGTATTAATTTCAACAGATGTATGGGCAAGAGGTATTGATGTTCAACAAATTTCTTTAGTTATAAATTATGATTTACCAAATGATAAAGAAAATTATATACATAGAATCGGTAGATCAGGAAGATTTGGTAGAAAAGGTACAGCTGTCAATTTAATTACAAAAGATGATATACAGGCTCAAAAAGAAATTGAGAAATTTTATTCAACAAGGATCAAAGAAATGCCCGTAAATATTAATGATATAATGTAAGAATAAATTAATTGAAGTGGTGTAAATGAAATCAATTCTGTTCTTATTTAGTGAATATAGTTTTTAGATCTCATCTCTACTTAAACAATTAGATGTAACACAAAATCACACATACTAAAAATTAATTTTCTATTTGGAGCAAAAAAATTCTATAAAAGGGCAAAACCAATTGAAGTTTATTAACGATACTCCAAAATGGATGCTCAATTTGTCAAATCGTTAGAGGAACTTTTGAAGCAAACTTTGACTCCGGATTCATCAGTAATCAAAGAAGCTTCTCAAAAATTAAGTAAAGATTATTATCCAAATCCACAAGCATTACCATCATTGCTTCAAATTTTACAACAATCAAGTCAAGATGAAATTAAATTATTAGCTGCAGTTGAAGCTAGAAAATTAGCCATTGACAATTGGGAACAAGTTAATGCAAATTTAAAACCAGCAATCAGACAATCACTTTTGAAAAATACTTTTGAAGAACAAAATAAAAGATTAAGAAATTTATCAGCTCGTGTAATAGCAGCCATTGCTGAAGTTGATTTGGATGCAAATGAATGGACTGATTTATTACCAAATTTAATTAATGCAATTCAAAGTTCCGATACACAAACTAAAGAAGTTGCAACTTTTACATTATTAGCTATGTTAGAATCACAAATTTCAGCATTATTACCACACATTAATGATTTTATCAGTTTATTTGGAAATTTGTTACAAGATCCTTCGTCAAAAGAAGTTAGAGTTAATTCCGTTTTAGCTTTAGATGTTCTTTCACAAATTATAGAAGATGATGATGCAGCAGATGAACAAATTCAAGAAAAATTTAAAGCTACAATTCCAGGTATGGTTGAAGTTTTAAAGGAGGTTGTTGCATCTGATGATACTGAACTGGCTAAACAAGTATTCAATGTCTTTAATGGATTAGTTTTGATTGATACTGCTTTAGTTGGAGATCATTTAATTAACTTGATTAAAATGATTTGTGAAATGGTCACAAACACCTCCTTAGATGAAAATTATAGAATTTTTGGTTTACAATTTTTAATTTCATGTATTAGTTATAGAAAAGCCAAAATTACAAGCAATAAATTAGGTCCACAAATTACAATGGTTGGATTAAAAGTTGCATCTGAAGAAATTGATGTTGAAGATGAATTAGAAAATGAAGACGAAGAAAATGAAAATGAAGAAAGTTCACCACCATCATTAGCATTAAGATTATTAGCTATATTAGCAGCTGAATTGCCACCATCACAAGTTATTACACCATTATTTGAAGCATTACCACCTTTATTATCTTCTAGCAATCAATTCGAAAGACGTGCTGGATTATTATCTATTGGTGTTTGCTCTGCGGGTGCTCCAGATTATATTGCTTCACAAATTCAAAAAATCATTCCAGCTTTGATCAATGGTTTAAAGGATTCTCAAATTATTGTTAGAGTTGCAGCTTTGAGAACTTTATCACAATTAACTTCAGAACTTCAAGATATTGTTACAGATTATCATGAACAATTATTACCATTAATTATTGAAATTATTGATTCAGCTTCTTCGGTTATGGCTTATAAATACGCTTGTTATGCATTGGATGGATTAATTGAATTCATGAGTCATGACGCTATGAGCAAATACATTGAACCATTGATGCATAAATTATTCCATATGTTAAGTCAAGCAAATTCATCTACTTTGAAAACAGCTATTGTTTCGGCTATTGGATCAACTGCTTTCGCAAGTGGTAAGAGTTTTACTCCATATTTTGAAGGTTCAATCCAACAATTAGAACCTTTCATTACAAATTCAGCTTCAGTAGATGGTATGAGTGAAGATGATATTGAATTAAGAGCAACTACTTTTGAAAACATATCAACAATGGCTAGAGCTGTTGGATCACAAACTTTTTCAATTTATGCTAAACCATTAGTTGAAGCTGCTTATAATTCATTAAGTTCAGAACATTCAAGAATTAGAGAATCAGGTTTTGCTTTCATTGCAAATATGGCTAAGGTATATGGTCCAGAATTTGCAGGATTCTTAGATCAAATTGTCCCACAAATTTTACAATGTTTAGAACAAGAAGAATTCACTTTCAATGTTGAAGGTGGTGAAGGTGATGATGAAGACGAACTTGACGAAGAAGCCGAAAATGATGATCCATTAAAAGTCCATACCGGTATTACTATTGAAAAAGAAATTGCATCAGTTGCTCTTGGTGAATTAGCTATTGGAACCGGAAAGGAATTTTTTAAATATGTTGAACCATCAATCACAGCTTTAGCTGAACAAGTTGCTAATTCTTTTGGTATGAGAGAAGCTGCTATTAGTTGTTTATTCAAAATAGTTAAAGCTATGTTTATTGCTGTTCAAGGTAAAGATTTCAAACCACCAAAGGGAGTTCCAAAACAATCATATGTTGATTCTAATATCTTAGAATTAATCAAACAAGTCAGAGGTATTGCTATCCCATTATTGGAAGAAGAATTTGAATCTACTATGGTTGCTTGTATCTTAGATGGTATTTCAAACTCATTGTACACATTTGGTTCAATCTTCATCGTTGACAGTCCAAGTGACACCACAAGTTTAGAACAATTATGTATATCATTAATGAATTTATTGAAAAAAGATCATCCATGTCAATTAGAAGAAGACGAATTCCCAGAAGAAGAAGATTCATCAGAAACTGAGGTATTACTTAACGAATCAGCTTTAGAAGTTTTGATTAATTTATCAATTGCATTGGAAGGTGATTTTGTTAAAATTTTTGCTTCATTCAAAGATTTAATCTTATCTAAATTTGATAGTAAATCCAAGCCATTAAAAGTTGGATCAATTGGTGCTATAGCGGAAATGGTTGGTGGTATGAAATCCTCAAATCCATATTCAGAAGAATTATTACAAGTATTTATCCAAAAATTTTCAACTGATAAGTCTATTGAAGTTAAAGGTAATGCAGCTTATGGTATTGGATTAATTGTTGAATACAGTCCAATCGATTTGACATCAAGTTATCCACAAATTTTGGAATTGTTATTCCATTTATTAAATAAAGTTGATAAAAAAGCTGGTAGTGCTGATGATGAAGAAGCTAAAGATGTTGTAAATCGTGCATACGCAAATGCTTGTGGATGTGTCTCAAGATTAATATTGAAAAATCAACAAGCAGTTCCATTAGAACATGTAATTGGACCTTTACTTGATCATTTACCATTAGAAACTGGATTAGAAGAAAATACTCCAATCTTTGAATCAATAATAAAATTATATGAATCAAATAATCAAACCATTATTGCACAAACTCCAAAAGTTGTTGAAATATTTGCAGGTGTATTTAAAGCAGAAGAAGAAAGAATTAAATTAATCAATGAAAGTACTTTAGGTAGAGAAGAAAATATTGATGCAATGAAACAATTTTCAAGTGATGAATTAAAACAAAAAGTTGTTGATTTATTAAAATTCTTGAATCAAAAATATGACGGTGTTGTATCTCATAATGAAATTTTAGGAGCAGTAATTTCATAGACCATTTTTAGTTTAATTTTTATTTTATTTAATTCATTTTGATGTTATTAGGAGTGTGGTTTACTCTATTTTAATTTTCAATATAGTACTGTATTACGAAGTAATTTTCAGTTAATTCGTGTAATCTTAGTGATCTTTATCAGATGCCATAAGAATAAGTAGCTTAAGATTGAAACTCATTTGGAATTTTATAGATTTAAGATTTTGTGTCTGAGTATTATATAATATTTTCCTTTGCAAGATGAATCTGGTAATTACAATTACGGATTTGTGGAGTATCTTTTAAGGTGAAATTAAGTTACAGATTGACACAAATGCTTAATTTACTATTTGATAAAATACTGCAAGATGTCCAATTTATTAATTAGCCCCTCGAGGTTATTTGTAGATTTCATCAAGAGTATTCGTGAAAACTCAGCGCATGAAATACTCAATCATTAAAAAATAAATCAAGTTTTACTAAAAGGCTGTGATCAGAATTAAACAGCAAGTGCGGGAAATGTGATCACTGGATATTTCAAGCTTGGAGAATTGGTTTATTATAAGCTTTTAGTTTTTAATTCATGTCGAGATTTTGAGATGATTCAGCTTCAGTAAAAACCGGCCAAAACAAATTTATCCTAAAGAATAATCAGTTGTATTGACGACAAATTGAAACAATCTTGCCAGAAGTAAAAATAAGCTTTTGTCTATAAGCTCATTAACACTTTGATGTCTGTTAATTAACAATAAAGCCATGAAAGGGCTTCTAAAGGATTAAGAGCACAATCACTTTACGATTCATCTAAACTTTAATTTAAAAATTTTGTATGAATTTTGTGATCAATTAGTTTCGTAGATTCTTCTTTGCAAGATGAATCCGGTAATTGATGAAATTTTGATACAAGTTCATTATTAATGTGATAATTGAAAAATAAGGTTTTTATTCTTATGTCGAAGTTGTTAAATGTAGATGAGGTTAAGTTGATATCAGTAAATCCACTTTATCTACAAAGCTTGATTTACAATACAATTTTTTATTGATTAAATTACTTGCATAAATTAATTGCATGAGACAAAATAGAAATTTAGTTTTGTATTGATGTTAAGATGTTTTGCAAGTTTCAAATTACCACATTTGGCTGCGAAAGAGAAAATCATGAATCTTTAACAAAGGAAATGAAATTTGATTTATTTTAAAACATGATTTTGATATATAACAACTCAAATTTCTTCATGTCAATTCTCAAATTTGTAATGACAAACATTCAAGATTAAAATTCATCTACAACCACCAAAAAAAAATGCATTCTGGAGCTGCTGCTACTGCTGCTTTTGCAATTATTGCATTTTTCTTATTAGTTCCAGCATTTGCATGGCATATTAAATCCAGAAACATCCCAGCTATTTTATTAGTACTTTGGTTAATGCTTAAAAATTTTATTGGATTTGTTAATACAATGATATGGAGTGGTGAAAATTTTACCGAAGTTTATGATGGTCAAGGATGGTGTGATATAACATTAAAATTAGAAGCTGGTTCTTCTGTTGGTAAATTATGTGCTATTACATGTATATCAATGAATTTATATTTTATATTATGTGCTAAAAATCCACTGTTTATGGACCCAAGAAGTTGGAAGAAAATATTAATTGATTTGTCAGTATGTCTTATTACTCCGATTTTTATTATGGCTACTCAGTATATTATACAATCTAAAAGATATTATATTACAAAATATAATGGATGTATGACTGTTTATTCTGGTACTAATGCTACAATTGGATTATATTTAGTTTGGCCAGTTATATGGAGTATAGTTGCATTAATATTTGCCTTGATGACATTATACAAATATTTTGAAAAAAGAAAAGATGTTAAAGATTTATTAAAATGTACAAATTCAGGATTAAACTTAAAAAGATTTGCAAGATTATTAATTTTTAATTTTTTAATTGTATTTGCAATGACTCCATTAGCTATATTGTATTTTGCTCAAGAACATGATTTTAATAAATATAAATTTAGTTGGTCAAAAGTTCATAACTCAACTTGGGGTGAAGTTCAATATATTGATGCTGGATTTTTCACATTAGCTGATAGAATAGTTAATATCAGTTTATCAATCATTGCATTCCTTTTATTTGGATTAGGTAAAGATGCATTATCAATGTATAAGTCATTTTTCAGAAAATTACATTTGGTCAAAGGAAACAACGACAACAATCAAGAAAAATTGATATATAGTAATGGTACATTATCGAAACAAACAACATTTCAAACATCAACACCAACAAAATTATTATCGAATAAATCTCAATTCAGCGGTAGTACAAATTATAGTCAACCAACAATGAGAGAATTTAATGAATTTGGTGATGTTATAAATGAATTAGGTTTGGGTAATGATATGGAATTATCTGGTAACAACTCTTCTATAAATTCTCAATCTAAAACTGAGTTATTAAAGGGTGATGATGAATTAAAAATTGGATATATTGATATCGATGATTCTAATTTAGATGATGATATAGTATACACTTATGAAGTTAAACAAAAGAAATAATTAGCATTTAGCATTTAGCATTTTTGCATTTTAAATATAAATACATTTTTATAATACTAAATTTTTTAAAAATTGTTCTTTTATTTCATTTGCTTTTACTTTACCTCTTGTTATTTTCATAGCTTGACCGACTAAGACTTGTATTGCATTTTCATGACCATCTTGAATTCTTTTGACTACTTCTGGATTTTGATTAATAATGTTTTCACATAGTTCTTCAATTTGAGGAATCTCCGATTCCAAATTTAGCGACTTAATTGTTTCATCTAATGATTTACCGGTAATTATCATATTTTTTAATATAAGTCTTTTCGTAACTAATGAATGATTTGAATTTGCAACTTTTATCAAAATTTCAGGAGTAATCAAATTAACATCAAAAACTTTATCCAATTTAGCGAATGCACTAAATAATTCTTGAAACATCCATTTATTTGCATCTGGATTAACAAAGTTTTTAAAAAAAGTTTCATAATATTGCAATTGTTCAGGTTCAGATAATAAGTTTTTTGCATGAGTTAGCTGTAAGTTGTATGGTGATGAAATTAATCTCTTGATAATTTGATCTGGGAATTCAGGTAGTATATCTTTAACATCTTGTGCTATATTTTTATCTAAATTTACATTTGGTATTTCTGAGTCCGGTACATATCTATAATCGATCATGTTTTCTTTAGTTCTAGTAGTTTTAGTAACATATCCATCCCAACTTTTAGTTGCTTGTACTATGGTACCACCGTTCTCAAGTGTTTCTATTTGCTTATTGTACTCATACTTCAATGCATTTGTAATATCACCAGTAGTTCCCAAATTTTTAATTTCGACCCTAGGACTATCATTCACATTAAGATTTACATCAACTCTAATTGCACCAGTTTCTAAATCTCCACTACATATCTCCAAATGTCGTACTAATAATTGATATTTTTTAACAAATGCAAAAACTTGATCTATATTTGTAAAATCTGGTTTAGTAACAACTTCAATTAATGGTGTATTTGCTCTATTAAAATCTATAATATCTCCATATTTTTTTCCTGTATCTTGTTCCAATTGTATTCTTTCAATTCCAATTTTCCCCTCTGAATCATCTATCTGTGAATCTAACTCTAAATACCCATTCTTTGAAATAGGATAATATTGTTGAGTAATTTGATACCCCAAAGGTTGATCAGGATAAAAATAATGTTTTCTATCAAATTTTGAAAAAGATTGAATATCACAATTTAATGCTACTGATGCTTTCAATGCCAATAGTAACGCTTCAGGGTTTAGTTTCGGTTGAGTACCAGGTAGTCCCACATCAAAATAACTTATTTTGGTGTTTGGTTCATCATTGAAACTTGTTTCTGATAATGAAAATAATTTATATTTTGTTTTAAGTTGTGTATGAATTTCCAACCCACATTTAAATTTGTAGTTTGGATTGTATTGAAACTTGTCTTTTGTGGTGGTGGCCAATCGTCGTATAAACATTAAAATTATTTTGTATATGAGGCAATTGAGTAGAGATTGCGATTTGTAAAGTTATTTCTTGTTTCAAATTTACAATTTGGAATTTTTTTGTACCTTAAAAAACTCAAAAATTATTAGATTGCAAAACATTCAATGTTTTTCAAAGATAGTAGAAAGAATTAAACAGCTGAAATCGAGTATACACGATCTCTATCACCCTATCGATGTTTTACGCCTAGGGAACAAAAAATTAGTCAAAAATAATAAATGAGAAAGGTATCCAAAAAAATCAACAAAAAAATAAACTTATTATTCATAACTGCTCTCAGCAGGATTCGAACCTACGATCTCCTCATTACAATTGAATGGTTGATATGTTTCCTAGATTTGTTTACTAGTGAGGTGCCTTACCAACTTGGCCATAAGAGCAATTTTTAGCTAAAAAATTTAGCGGTTTAATAAGTTGTTTTAAGTTTTGAGAAAATTTCACTTAATTTCCCGGTACATGCACCATTAAACTCGCTAAAATTTTTGGTGAAAGACAGTAAAAATGTATATGTGGATAACTACTTCATACGGAGTCATGAAAATTAAATTTAACTCAATCATAAAGCGTCTTGAACATCTTCGCTGTTTGTAGTGAAATTTAAGCATGTAATTTGAGTTCTCAAAATTTTGCATCAATTAAAGTTAAAGTTAAGCCAAATCAAATTTAATAATGCTTAAAATTTAAACTTGTTTTAAGTTCCCCAAATTAGCTAAATTCAAGAAAGTCAAGTTTAAAGTTAAATTTTAAATTACAAGCACAAACTCAAGAGTTCTTGTTTCGGAATCAGTAAGGGTCCAGGAAAGATTTCATATTTAGTATAAACAAAATTATTGTACTTTTATTATGATATTCTATATAAGATTATTACATTATAATACAAAGTTGTATATTATATGTTTAAAATTTGAGATTATTAATAAATGAACATAAATTAAAGTAAACCTACCTCGTTACTAATCTTCAAACAACCAGCCACTGAACCCACCATCCAAACTAAATCCCTTATACCCAATAGAAAAAAACCAAATAAACAAAAAAACACCAAAATTATTATACAAGTATAATCACCAATTATAATTCATTCCAAGAAGCGCCTCCACAAACAATAGAAGATCCACCTCCACCTGAAATTTCTGAAAAAGTATTAGTAGGTTCAACAAAATAATTAGAATGATATTGATGTAAATTATGATATTGAGATTGAATATCTTTTGTTAAATAATTAATATAATCAGTTGACCCCATTAATAATTTACTATCATTACTTATATTTTTATTTTCCATATCTGGTTGATTCAAGTAAATTAATTTGTAAATTATTTGTTGTAGTAATGTTTGATTCTTGAGTTGATCATCTTGATTTTTATTTAAAGATTCTTTAATGTTTAATTTTTTTAAATAATTTTTAACTTCTAATATATCATCATCTTTTAAATATTTAAATAAATCATCACCATAAAATTCTTTTAATAATTTCTTACTTTCTTCCAACAGTTGATTTGAATTTGATAATTTTTGCAGTTGTTGCAGTTGTTGTAAATTTTGATAATAATTAGATTCAGTTTCTATACTTGCAATTTCTTTTTGAGTTGTTTCTATTTCATCATAATCTAAATTCCAACTTGCTATATTTTCATCTATTTGTTGGGTTGATGAATATAAATTTGAATGATGCCAGCTATTTATTTTATTTGATAATTTATTATATGAATTTGATTCAATTTTGCGTTTTAAATGATTTTCTTCTTCCAATTCTTCTTCAAGGTCATTATCTTCTTGTTCTGTATCTTCGTCTTCTTCTTCTTCTTCTTCATTTACGCGTCCTTCTTCCACTTCATCTTCTTTTGATGTATTAGTTAATGATAAAATGTCTGATTCATTCTTAGTTTTACTGCTTAATTTTGGATTAAATAAAACATACAGCGATTGATCATCATCTTCACCATCTATAATTTCTAAATCATCATAATCTGATAATATACTTGATGTAGCTTCAAATTTGTTTGAACCTTTATTACTTAATCTTGATTTCTTGGTTTTCAATTTCTGTAGATCATTATTAAAATTTTGTTGTGACTGTGGTTGTTCTTGTTGTTGTTGTGAGAAAGTTCCTATTCTAAATAATTTTAATCTCGGATTTATTGACATAATCTTCTATAATTGAGTTATACAAATGTATTATTAATGAGAAGCTAATGATCTCTAGTAATGAAATTGATGTTAATAATATATATGATAAAGATAAGTTGAGTTCAAATTTATTGATGAGTTCCTTTTTAATTATTTTATATATTCTTATAATAATATTATTATTAATAGATAAGATAAGTAATAAATAATAATAATAAAATAAAAAAATAAAAATATAAATTTATTTTGTGGTTGCGTTGCGATTTAATAACTTTAATTAACTAGTAATGACTAACTAAATGTATTTGAAATCTTTCTAAATGAAATCTTATTATTAAAAGCAAAATGATTTAATTAATTTGGTCTTATCTTTTGAAGGTCTGAGATAATGTCAATTATTATTAAGAATTAGGAGATGATTTATATAAATATATTATGTATAATTAAATATTATTATATATTTATTAATCGATATTAAAATTAATTATTATTTAAACAAATGACTTAATTATTTTACACTTAATATTTTTACTTAAACTTCACTTAAATCAATTCTGTATTTCTGAATTAATTATTCTTATTATTCTCTGTCTGTCTATCAATTGTTATAATTTAAAATAAATTAAAAACATATATCAGTTAGGATTTAAAACAAATACAATTAGTATGAGATACCAAATTTTAAGACACAATTAAAAAATGTGGTGGTTTTATGACATTGTAACTTATAGACTAATATACTATTCACAAATCCCTAAATTATTTGAACATTAATAATGAATAATATCAACAAAAATTTATAATACAGAGCTTCCCCTCCCTAAGTATTTAAACTTTTTTAATTTATTTGGAACAAATAGTTTTACAGGATTTTTATTCTGTTGGGGCTTTTCTTTTAATTATTGTTTACATTTCATTGCTATTGCCGTACGTTTATGAAGATAGATCTTTATATTGTCTTGATTGTTAGATTGTTTTTTATTATTATTTCGATTCATTCAAGTATGATTAAAATTATTATTCCTGAACTCCGAAATCTTAACTTACTACTACAATTGAAAAATTTATTTATCTCCACTACAAAATCTATAATCACCAAGTAATGAGATTATAAAATTAGAGACAAATATTTACAACATTGTTACATCAATAAATCAACTTGACAATACATGTCATAAAGATGACTTACGAGAGTTAAAAACTCTTTTTTTTTCATTTGTGAATAATTATCTTTCTTGTCTACTTGTCTACCCCATTCATATTTCCTTTTCTGAAAATATTATAATTGCAATAGATCCCATACAAAAAATATAATATGTAAAATAAACTATGCGTAAAGTTGTTAGTATTAAACTTACCTCTTTAAAATTTTTCAATAAGAAAACAAAAGAACTCCAACTATTGAATGATAAATGACCAATGTTAATATTGTATTATTCAGATAGGGGTGAAAGACTATTTTACTTGTGTTTGGATAATCATTTCTATATTATTTAGATAAGTATTAACTAAAACAAAATCATCACTATAATTTTTATTTCTTCTTCATTCTATATTTTTCCTATTGAGTTTTATTAAAATTTGAAATTAAATTTATCAACATACTATTCATCTATCTCAAAGTCACTTTGAGATTCGACAAACAAACTTTGAGTAAAAACTTTAGAATAATCTGGTTGTAAAATTGAAAAAGTATATGATGAAAAAAAAAAATTTTGGTTCAAAAAATTTGTTAGCATTTTTTATTCTTTTCGCCTGCATATAGAATTACTCATAGAATCCAGATCGACGATATTTTACCAATTGATATGTAATAATTTAGTAATCATTCATAATTCATCAATTCTTCTATAACAAAGTTAACATATCATATAATGGCAGTAAAAGGAATTGGTCAAGTAGATAAGAAATACGATGGTATGATTAAAAAATTCGGAAAATGTCTGCATAATTTTAATAAATACTAACTTTTACTTAGGTTCAAAATTAAGAGTTGGTATACTTCACGCAAGATGGAATAAAAAAATTATAGATTCATTAGTATCAGGAGCTATACAAAAGTTATTAGAATTAGGAGTTCAAGAATCAAACATAATAGTAGAATCAGTTCCAGGATCATTTGAATTACCATTCGGTTCAAAATTATTTTTTAATCAACAAAAACTTAAAAAGGAACCATTAGATGCTATTATTCCTATAGGTGTATTAATAAAAGGTTCAACTATGCATTTTGAATATATTTGTGAATCTACAACAAATCAATTAATGAAATTAAATTTTGATTTAAATATTCCTGTTATATTTGGAGTTTTAACTTGTTTAACTGAAGAACAAGCTGAAGCAAGAGCTGGTTTAATTAAAGGTAAAATGCATAATCATGGAGAAGATTGGGGTGCTGCTGCTGTTGAAATGGCTACTAAATTTCATACTTAGGATTTTTAAAATTTTATTAGGATTGTACATATTAAGTGATAGACTAAACTTATAATGGATATATGTTTTATCTGAAATTAATAAAGTTTTACTATTGCAAATTTTTCCAGTTTAGTATCAGAACTTCATAACTTAAATACCTATTTTACTCTACACATTTTTTAATTACTTGGTCAAATTAAATTAAGAATAAATTTTTTAGAACCGCCTTTCCGGAGTTACATAAGCAAGGTTGAAAAGGAGCAAAGGCTGCCTTGGTGTTACATTTTGAGTGTACGTAAATGCACAATATTTGTGTTGAGAAATAATTTTTAACATCTAGTTCCAACAGTTAACGAAATTCGAGGGTATCAGAACTCAAATTTTTGAGAGCATATGATACGATTCAAACTAATTCGTTTCATTCGACATATCTCAAAACCATTTCCAGTTAGGAAAAGAAATTGATTATTTTTTAAGTGGATTTTCATTTTGTTACATGTTTCTAGTTACACGTTTGTTGAATCTTTCTTAATATTTAGAAAATAACAGCTAAATGTTAATGGTTTATTTATGTACGTTCTAGTTTAATTAATTCCAGGGTAGAGTTTTGAGACACAACTGGTAAGGAAAACAATAAGCTTGTGATTATCGAGTTTAGACGAAGTTATTGTAATCCAAATTTGAATTACAAGTAATTTTACTCTTTTGCAATAATAATATCCTAAAGAACAATAGGTTACTTTTTATTGACCCCTTTCAAACCTATCACTATCGTAAATATAATAAATCTTCCCCAATGACCCTTGCAGATGAAATTTTTGTTTGCATTTATTGTATTATATTGATTTGTTCAACAAGATTTATTTTTTTTGCAACCATTTTTTCCTAATTTGTCATGCTAAGGAACAAAGTTTGATGCATTAATATATGTATGACAACTAAAATATCAATCGACACGATAGCATTCTAATTAGAATAATTTAAGTACGTCTAATTTCAAATTCTTATATTCACAAATTTGTAATTTTTCATAAAATAAAATTATTTGAGTTTAGTGGACCTGAAATTACAAAGAAAAAAAGAAATTTTGATGTGTTTCAGATTGCATAAAAAATAAATTTTTGAAACTTTATTGTGCTTCAAATAAATTGTCACATTACTTACCTAATTAAGACTCGTAAGAGTACATTAATGGTGGATATTTGCAACAATTTATTATAATTTGATTCAATTTATAACAAATATAATAATTATTTTGGTGATGGATGTATGTAATTTAGTCGATATTATTTAAGCGAAACGTCTAAATTATTAACGATCTGGATTTATGATGTGTGTATCTACAAATGATACCATGATCAAATATATTCAAAAAATGATATAAATATAAACTAGTTCTCCACAATTTATCCTCTTTTATTTTTCATAATCATTAATAAATCAACTACAACAGCAATCATTATTAAAATGAAAGTCTCAATCGCTATATTAACTGCTATTGCTGCTACTTTAGTCTCTTCAGCTCCAGTGAATTCAACAAAACCAACTAATTCAATCAACGATCCAATTTTAGAATCATTAATAGAACCAGACTTAACTAAAGATGAATATATTGCACCAACTGAAGAATGTATCCGAACTGGTCATTTTCATGCTTATGGTTATTATTTACCACAAAAAAGAAATCGTCACAGACTTTGTAGTGATGTTTATAATGAAAGACTTGCAAAAGGTGAGATTCAACCAGCAAAGAGAAGTCGTAAAAACCAAGGTCAACTTTACGAATCAGGAAGTGATAAAATACCTCATTGGCTGTGGACAGCACCAATAGCTGCATGGGAACCTCAAAAAAGAGATGCTGAAGCTGATGCTGAAAGTGGTATTGATGCTGAAAAAAGAGAGTGGACTTGGTATGGTTATTATGAACCTCAAAAAAGAGGTGCTGAAGCTGATGCTGTAAGTAGTGTTGATGCTGAAAAAAGAGAGTGGAGTAGATGGCCTTATTATGAACCTCAAAAAAGAGATGCTGAAGCTGACGCTGAATTTGGTGTTGATGCTGAAAAAAGAGAGTGGAGTAGATGGCCTTATTATGAACCTCAAAAAAGAGATGCTGAAGCTGATGCTGAATTTAGTGTTGATGCTGAAAAAAGAGGTTGGACAAGATACGGTTATTATGAACCTCAAAAAAGAGATGCTGAAGCTGATGCAACTTTCAATCTTGGTGTGTATATGGCTCCACCTGATGCAACTCACCCTTATCGTCATAGGGTCAATCTTATTTGGGAACCTCAAAAAAGAGATGCTGGAGCTGATATTTAATTTATGGATATTATGAACCTCAAAAATAAAGGAGATCATTATATAATCTTTTTGGGTGTGTTGGTCATGTTCTTCTGATGGAGCTTATTATCCTGATTATTTAATTTTTTTTAGGTGGTTTTAAATATTAAATATTTAGATTTCATTAGATTAAAAAAATTAGAATTTGTCGTTTGTTTTACAAAAAATCACAAGCTTGTAGAGACTCAGAACCATTCTTGCCTTCTATACTATTCAACCTTGTAGTTTGATAGCAAAAAATGGAAACTTGATGTTAGGAACGAAAGCAAAAAGCAATGAAAAAAAAACTTAATTTCATCAAGCTAACGACCAGAGGGAGGATTGAACTCCCGATCTTGTGATTAACAGTCACACGCCTTAACCAGCTTGGCCATCCAGTCTAATTGTTGGCAAAAAAATTTTTCAGAATTAATAAGAAACACATTCAAATGACAGCAAAATCAAGCTTTTTACGTTAAATTTTATCAAAATTATTATCAACTTTGAACCATTTATCATCAACTCAAGTGCCCTTCCCTCTTAATTTGGAGTTTTAGGTCTCCGTATATGCTAAAGTAACTTTTGATTTGTGTCACTTTTATTGATTACGCTTTAGGATGCTAATGAAAAAAATCTACGGTATTAATTAGTGGTTCACACATTTATTCATATAAAGTATTTGACTGTGTTTTGCAACCAAAAAAAGGTGAACTTAAATTTTAGAACAACAAAATTGTTTTCTATATTCAATCCCAACAACTGAGCCTTTGGTAATATCTTGCTAGGAGGTTTAATCAAGTCAACATCTCAAACACAATTTTCTTTGGATGAGTTTCTTCAACGACTCTTCTACATCGCGATAAGCTTCAAAATTGCTACCATAAATTTTGATGCCATCTCTCGTTCATCACAAAATTCGATTAGGTCCAACTTTGTAGAATTTTAGTCAGAGCGTACGACTAAAAATTATAAAAATTATAATCACTTTATTACACAATCTTGCGTTTAAAGTTTAGATTGTCGAACTGAAAAAAAAAAAAAAAAAAAAANAAAAAAAAACATTGCAAAAACCAGCTTTAATTTGGTTGATATTCCGAAATACTAAAAAGAATAAAGACAATTGAACAATAATGAGCGGGTGTATGTAATCAAACTTAATCAAGTCAATTATTCAAATTACAGAGTACTAACAAACCGCTCAAGTTCGTCTACTTGATTTAGTTAAATTTTTTTTACCAATCTTACCAGAGATTGAATTTCCATATGAAGCTGTAAAATTCGATGAAAGAATAGTATATACTTTGGGATCAGCTATAATATTTTTATTTGGACAATTACCACTTTATGGATTAATACCAAATGCTCAATTTCATTTAATTGATCCATTTTTCCAATTTAGATCCATATTCGCAATGGAAAAAGCAACTTTATTGGAATTAGGATTATTACCAATATTAACATCTGCTTTCATTTGGCAATTATTAGCTGGATTAAAATTAATCAATGTTAATTTAAATTTAAGATATGATCGTGAATTATTTCAAAGTGGACAAAAAATAACTTCTTGGTTATTAAGTATTATTTTTGCATTAGGATTAATTTTTTCTGGATATTATGATAATGTAATTAGAGGTTATTCAGCTTATGGTAATGATGCTGTTCCTATTGGATCATATGTTATGATTTTTGTACAAATTATTGCGTGGCAAGTTATCGTTTCATTATTAGTTGAATTATTCGATAAGGGATATGGTTTCGGTTCTGGAATTTTATGTTTTTTGACATTACAACATACGACTAATTTTGTAAGTGAATTATTAGGATTAGAAGTTTATCCAGTTTTAAATTCAAATAAATTTGAAAGTGCAGGAGCATTAATGAATTTAATACGTAATTTTTCATTTTTCAATATTAAATCAACAATTTATCAAATTTGGCATTCATTTACAAGAACTCAATTACCTAATTTAACTCAATTTTATATAGCTTTAGGTTCAATTTTGGTAGTGATTGCATTACAAAATTTTAGAGTTGAAGTACCTATCAGATCAACAAAAGTTAGAAGTATGAGTCAAATGTTTCCTATAAGATTATTATATTGTGGTGGATTACCTTTATTATTCGCTTATTCAGTATTGGCAAATTTACAAATTGTTGGATACATTATTTACTCCATATTGTTAAAATTAAAAGCACCACCTATTTTAATCACTTTGTTAGCTAATTATAATATTAAAGCTAATTCAAATAGAGCAGTTTTAACTTCAGGATTATTATATTATTTTTCACCAGAACAAAACTTGGTAAATTCCTTAATTTCACCAATTAGAGCAATCACATACTCAATTTCAATTATTCTTTTATCAGTTTGGTTTGCACAAAAATGGAGTTATATATCAGGATCATCACCAAAAGATATTTCAAAACAATTTAAAGATCAAGGTATTAGTATTGCTGGTAAAAGAGATATTTCAATAACTAAAGAATTATCAAAAATTATTCCAACTGCTGCTATAACTGGTTCATTTTTAATTTCATCATTATGTGTAATTGGTGACTTTTTTGGTGGATTAGGTAGAAATTCTTCTTTGGTGATTTCTATATTATCTGCTTTTGGAGTATTGGAAGAATTTATGATTGAATATCAACAATCTAGTGGATCACAATTTCAAAATGCACTTTCTGGATTAATGTAAAAAGAACATAAAGACATTAATTTTAATCTCTTTGTGAAATAATCTTTTATAGAAGAGTTTTAACTTTTTTATATTTTTGTATTCATATAGTTCAAAATTAATTAAAAAATTATATATATTAATTTGATGTATTATACTAAATTAGTAAATTAAACTTAAAATAAAAACTTTTATACGTAGCAGAAAACTAGCTAGATCAATTGAAATGAAGTAAAAACCAACCTGATCTGAGAAACAAAGTACCATTAATACTTGTTTCAGAGTATCATAAACCACTTAAAAATTGAAAAACCCCAAAATGAAATAAACAACAAAAATATCTTTTTAGTTTAATCCTCATATATAACATGATGAGTATCAAATTTATACCCACCATTACCACCACCACTTACATTATTAATTGAATGAGGAGTGACTGAAATTAAAGGATTATTTTTAAATTTCAATTTCTTATCTGTGGAATTATTCAAATTTGCAACATTAAAAGTTGTATTATTGTGATTATTGTTGACAAAATAATCTTCTTCATCTTTTAAAGTGGGGGATAAATGGAATTGTTTCATTGTGAAATGATCTGTTACTAATGGATGTATTTTTTGACTCTTCTTTTGATCTTGTTGTTGCTGTTGTTGATGTTGTTGATGTTGTTGATGTTGTTGTAAATAATTATTGTAGCTATTGAATTTTGTAGATGATGATTTAAATTTATCTGTAATCATTAATGAAGTAGTTGATCTTAAAATTACACTTAAAACAGTTTGTGCAATAAAGTAAATAATACCTAAAGGTTTAATTAAAATTAATCTCATAATTAAAATTGGAATATGAAATAAAATTTTGAAATAAAAAGTAATAGCATAAATTGGAATTTTAAAACAACCCCACCAAATAATTTTAAAAATGAACTGAAAAGGATTTTGAAAGATATCTAAAAGATTATCCATGACACTAACATAAACACCCAAGATATAAATTTCATAAATTTCCAAAATGAAAAATCTTAAAATTTCATAATCATGAAATTGGACTTGAACAAAGATAGAATTAAATTCGTTAAATAATACTTTTCTTACAAAATTTGGATGAGTTACAAAATCAAATATTGATAATTCATTTTGTAAATTTCGAATTGTTTTCTTGACGATTTGTAAAAATTCAATATTTGATAAACTATGAATTGGACTTGAATTATTGTTGTGATAATTTTTATTGAAAACTGTTGTGGTGGTAGTTGTTGGATCAGTTAATATTGAATTTGAAGTATTATCAAATTTTGTAAATGATGGGGTTTCTAATGATTCAAACACCAAATCTTCTTCTTGTTCAACTATAGTTTTTAAGGGAGTTTTACCATGAAATGATTTTCGTCTTGGTAATAAAGGTTGTTGTAATTGCAACGGTTGTTGATTAGGATACTCAAGAGTTGGTGAATTTGGAGGTGATCCTTCTTTTGGTGATAAACTTAAAGGAAATGGTGATATTGATTGATTTGAATCTATAGTTTCATAATGAATTTGATGTTGAGGTAACCCACTTTTTAGATGTTGTTGCAGCTGCAGTTGTTGTTGTTGTTGTTGAAGTAATTGTTGTAATTGTATATTTTCTTGTATTTGTTGTTGATGCAGTTGTATCAATTGACGTTGTTGTACTTCATCATATTCTTCTCTTGATTTCAATTCCTTTTTAACTTTCAATAAATCTAATTTTAATTTATCCAATTGTTTATTATTTATTTGTAAATGATCCAATAAAATTTGATTAGTTAAATTTGGTAAAAAATAATGCTTTAAATCTTGAAGCCAATTTTGAAAATTTGAATTTTGTACATAAATATTATTATTATTTAATGAAGAATTTTGTAATGATTCAATAAAAGTAATCATTATTCTAAAAATTGACCAAAATTGTAATAATGCAATATTAACATTATTAAAAACCATTTTTTTCCGTTTTTGATCAATTATTGTATATTTCCTTGTCCAAATTAATAAAGTAGAACTTAAAATTGATGATATTAAACAACAAATTAATGCTATAATTTCAAATGTATAAATTTTCCTAATAAGCATAATAATTTTATCAGTATTTTCATTATTTAAATTATTATTTGAATTAAGTTCTTTAAATAATCTTGCTTTTGTTTGTTGTAATTTTTTCATCCAATTATAGGGCCATTCCATTGTAAATCTAACAACCCAACTAATTAGTATAACTGTTAATAAATCTATAATAAAATTACCAATTTGTTCATTTTTAGGGATTGTATTTGAATTTATAGGGAATAAAATTGAAGTTAAAGTTGGTAATAATATAACAATATATGTAAATAATTTAAAAATTGTTTCTTGATAATATGAAGGTGATTCTGGAGTTGTTTTATGATTTGCATTACCTTGTAAAAGATCAGCAATTGAAGACTTATTTTTTAGTATATTATGATTACTTGAAGAGTTTGGTGGAGTTAATGATGAAGTAGATTTTTTCTTTCTAAGGGATGAAGTAGTAGAATGAATTGATGAACTTGTTGTATTAGCAGAATTTGATGATGATGATGCAATTTTTTTCAAATGATCATTCATAAAACTCATTGATACAGCTGTTCTTAGTGTAGTAGAATTCATTTAAATTTTTTTAATATATAAATCCACCCCCCTTGAGTTAAATATAAGATTCTTTGAATGTTTAAATTGTATTTCTTTTTGATATATGTAAATTAATGCAAATTGAAACTATATTTATAGGATGTTTTATAATGAAATTGTAATATTAAGTAGTTATATGTTATTTGAAAAACTGATTTAATTAAGTCAGTTGCAATTACTTGAAGTTATAAATTGAAAGTTAAAGTAAACCCTATTTAAATTAATTAGATCTCTAGTATTATCTATAATATATTAAATGATTGTAACAAATTTTTATTTATATATCTTTTGTTAATTGATGAATATGTAAATAAAAAACGAAGTTAAATATAAATTAAATGAATGACTATCAATTTTCGTAATAACAATTTGATTAATTGGTAATAAAAAAGAAAAAAGTGGTTGTAAAATCAATTACAAAGTATAATTGGTTGTGAATTTGAATATATGTTTTTATTTAATTAAAAATAAAGGGGATTATTATTTTATTATATATAGACTAAATACTAAAAATAATTTAACACAAATAAATACAAAATTAATAAATTGATTTTCATTAAAGAAAAATGATATTTTATTAATCTTGTGTTATCGATCGATTAAAATTATTAATAATTCAATAACAATCTACTTCATCTTTACTTTAATTTCATTTATAATAATAAATTATATTGAAATTCTGATCAATTAATCTGAAGTGTCAACAATAAATTATATTGTTCCTTTCAAATATATACTAAGTTTGGTAGTATAATTAATATTGAATTAATTTGTTGTACGTTTAATAAATGTGTTTGATTTACAATATTATATTTTATTTACAAATTAATTAACTATTGTTACACTTATTACCCCAAGATTTTATTAATTTTGAATCAAGCTTTTTATTTGTTAAGGTTTTAATTTTAAATAAACCTTACATTTACTATAAATTAACTTAAGTTGTATTTTTTTTGGCTCTACATTCTTTATTGAGAAGCACATTTTTTCTTCATTAGATATAATTGATTCCTAATTCATCCATAAAACAACTAGATTTCTTATACTTCAAAAAGATTTTCAGATGGTTATGATTCTACAATATAACTCATTATACATTTTGTACTCTCCGTAAAATTTTATATAATAATTATTTTGTAATTTTGTAACACATGGCTTATTTATTTTGTAATTTTGTGTTTGGTATTTGGTTCAATAAAACGTTTCAAAATTTACATATTAAAGCGCATGGTCTTAAATTTATAAAGTATGGTATAACAAATTTTTTGAAATTTCAAGTGTTTAAAGAAAACTTTTAAACTTAATACTTTAATTTACAGAGTTAAGGTTATTATTCTCGAGGTTATAAACTCATTCTTTGTTCCCTTTAGTATTAAAAATTAGCTGCAAAAATAAAAAAAAATATACGAAACATAAAAAATTAAAAATTTTCACTAAAAATGTATTTAGTGTTATTTTTAACTTCATATGCATTAATTCCGCTAATCTTTATTGATTTTTATTTTTAGTAATGAGATTTAGTGAAAAGATCTGCAATGAATTTAATTATAATAATATTAATAAAGAGATCAATAAATATAATTCTTTTGATCAACTTTGCGTATTGATGTAAATACCACAATACTTTAAAATTTTGTAATTTAACAAAAAGAAGGACTCATGATGGAACCTTGTGGGTCAATCTTAGATATAGAATCACGTTTCCAATAAACTTCCTTAGGCCACTAATGAAACTACAACAATCTATTCGAAAAAGACGCGTCTTACAACAATTGAAACTTTGTTTCTTTAAAAACTTTAACTTTAATCTAGACAATTCACTAATTTTTCAATTTACGGCATTAAAAATAATAAGATCATCATGAAATGAACAATAGAAGTTCCAAAATTAATAACCTTAAATTGTTTTTTTACGAAAGCTCATATCACAATTGGAATTACTAAATTAATCAACTCAGTAAACAATAAGAATTTAAAAATGTGTAAGACAAACTAATTATTTATTCAAAGTATCAACAAATAATATTAACCAAATAAAAAGCTCATTATTAAAAAGAGATCATAACTAAAACAATCACATGCAAAAACAATGAATTAAATTGATGCCATTCTAGATCAAACATTTCCAAATTTGGATCTGGTGCATTAAGTTGATGTAAAATTTATTTTTTCACAAAATGTAAACAAACCAAAAATTTATTTCCTCTCATTATAGTAGGACATGAAAAAATTGCCCTAATTGACTCAATGTATAATGCATTAAAGGTTTAAAGTAATTGGAAGACTTACCCTTACCCTACAAAGGATAATTTTGGGGCATAAGGATGGTAATGTAATAATTCTAAACTCATAGGTAAGTGAAGAGTTTTCATGGTCAAAATTCTTTATTTTTCATTGATGCAGTAAAGATGAAGTAAAAATTTTTGTGAATTAGAAAATCAATTTTGATTGTTCAAAACAATAAAGATTGAAGTATTGAAAATCATTTACGCCTTAAAGAAGAATAAGTATTAACAATAAAAATATATGCATGCTCGGACTTCATTAATTTTGTCTCATATATCAAAACTTTAAATTATCTTGTGATAAAAAATTACTTTGACTTGATTCATTTTTCGAGTTTAAAGTTTTTCAACTTAATATAGCCTACTCATTAGCTAGGTCAATGAAGTGTGAAACGATTTTAAGGAATATAATAAATATTTCTAATTTTGGTATAGATATCTTTGCTGAATCGATCTGATCTGATCAAAGATTATATGTAACGCGTACTTTTTTTCAGTTTTCGAGTTATCTGAGAAAAGGTTTAAATAGAACGACCATATACATCGAGCACACACTGAAATCACTAGTATAACCATTGAAATTATACCCAGACAAAGCATTGGTTCCGTGTGTATTAAGCGAATCATAAAGAGTTTCAGCTATCAAACTTTGATTCGGTCAACTTTTTTTCTCTGCTGTTGAACGTTAAAAGCAAAATAGTAAATTGTATGTGTTTCAAAATAAGCAAAACAATGAAACAGACACAAGTCTACTAATTTACTAGAAAGATATTAAAACTTACGCTCAGTCGATAAACTGTTAGTGTACGATCAGTTGAAAAGTTTGTTCCAGTGAATTTTTTAATTTCAGGGATTCAATGTCAGTGAGCTATTATTGCACATGTTTCAAAATGAATACCTTTGGACAAATGCTATACAATTATTTTACCAGAGGAACTCATAATCTCAAATTCATTCGATAGAATAAATTTTTTGAAAAGCGAACTATGCTCTGATCAAATCTTGTCAACTTTACGTTTCATTTGTTTTTGATACATTAAAAAAGTCTTACAAGCTCTTCATGAGCTTGCATCTTTTTTTACGAAATCACCAGAATTTTTGAATTTTTCAGAAAGCCTTTGAAAACTGGCTCATTTTATGCTAGTCGAAATTTTGAATGTGATCTGTGTGGCATATCCTTGTGGTTGCTTACCAAGTTTTGTATTAAATTGAGTTCAGAATCGTATCGCATCAATGTTAGACAAAAAAACTCCATAACACATTCAAAAAAACGTTTCTCATCTGATACTTGCTAGCTAAACACATTAAGAATTAAGCATCAAATAGTATTAAGCCTACTTCAAGAAGATTTGAACTTTATTCATTTTTGGATTTTGAAATTATGATTTATAGAACAGAGCCGTTGTATTTTTAGATAATAAAAATATTCAAAATAATCATCTAGAGCTCAGAACTCGATTGGATCACAGAAAAAATTTTAATATGAGTGTGTTTTGTACGAGGTAATTTAGTTGGAGCCTTACAAATTTTGAAATTGTACCAGATCTTAATACTCTTTATGTTGTAAGTCTTAAGAACTTCATCAACATAGTTCGTGCAAAAACCAAATTATGAAAGAATTAAATTTTGAGAAAAGTATTTCGTCACAATAATAATTATTAATATCAAATGCAATTTTATAATTTACTTGGGTCATAAAATGCATCATACCTATGTCAAAAATACATAAAATTGTCATATTGATATCTCTTACTATTATCTTCGACTTTGTATCAGTTGTTTGGTTGTTACACTACTCATCAATTTACAATAATATAATAATCTAATCTGGTAGCTATATTTACTTTTTACACAAATTAAGACTTAATTGAAAAATTTAAAAAATCTCATTTGACACATTTTTATAATTTTATTCCGAAGGAATTGAGTAGAAGTGTAGTGTATAATTTCTTTTTCTTTAAAAAGAACTTGTATGGACTACAGTCTCGCACATTAACTTCCACTAAGATCTAGATCATTTCAAATTAACTAGAATGTTCTACATAATCATTATTGATGTCTCACTTAGTTCTCTTGTGACCAATTTACCTTTACCACAATTTCTTTTTTTCTTTCATTTATTCTCTCTGTCTCTTTAAATTATTTGATTTTAGTGAGAAAAAAAATTTTTCAGTTGAAGAAAAAAGGGGAGAAAAATTTTCAAATCTATATCTCATTTTTTTTTTTTCTTTTTTGCCACAGGATTTTAGTGAAATATCATCTTAAAGATTATAATATATAAAGAGATTAAATCTTAAACATTATTAAATAGAATTTTCAAATTTTTCAATCGATTACAACTATATATTCTTTCCTTACATAAAATAAATTAAATATCAAAAATGGTTTTAGTTCAAGATTTATTAAATCCAAATCCACAAACAACAAAAGATACATATAAATTAAAAAAATTAGTACAAGAACCAAATTCTTATTTCATTGATATAAAATGTCCTGGATGTTTTAATATTGTTACTATTTTCAGTCATGCTCAAACTGCTATTACATGTGAAAAATGTTCAAATTTATTATGTACTCCAACTGGTGGTAAAGCAAAATTAGTTGAAGGTTCATCATTTAGAAGAAAATAGATTAAAAGATCAATTTTAATTATTAGCATCTTTTTTTACACATCTTCATTCATATTTTTTGCATTGCATGGTCATTTTATCAAACGTCAGTTTGATTGGTTAGTTCACAAATTTTTTTTATATTATTTTACATAATTTTAGTTCATTATTCTTGAATATCATTTTTAAATTTTCACTCACATTTCAAATACAGTGGAAATAGGGAGGTATTATGATGGATGAAGAAATTAAATTTTCTTTGTCTAGGTTTGTTTTGAAATTTAGCATTATTATCATTAACTTATTTAATTGAATCACGGGTAGCAGAGTGTAGAAAGATTAAAGTCAGATGAAAAAAAAAGATTGCTAGATAATGATAAAGATCAATGATGACAAAGGTGGCAGATCATACATATTTAGGTACATCATTTAATTGATGAAGAAATATAACTAAATTTTGATACTTTTGGGAGGGTTTGATAAATAACGGTTGTTTTTCAAATTATAATGATAACCGTGTGGTTTACATATGAGTTAATTCATTTTATGGCATTTGTTATGATACATTATTTGATATTGTTTTTTTTAAATTATACAACAGACACAACTTTTTTTTTTTAGCATTTTAGTATACCTCATTACGGGATTTGATGAGAAATACTAATTATTTTTTGATTACTTTTCATTTTTATTTATAGAATCAGTTATTCAGTTAGTTAGTTAGTTAGTTAGTTAAGTTTAAGTTTTTAATGTAACGATTTAAAATTATATAAAAGTGATTGTAGTTCTACAGTTCTTTCATCTAACCTACCCTAATAAATATATTTACATAAATTCTATATACATTTGTTCTATTTACCTTCATAAATTTCTGGATTAATATCCAATTTCTTTCCTTTATTTTTATAAGACCTTTTATTTTCAATTTGATCAGCCATTATTTCAGTTGCTAAAAATCCATCATCAAATTCATCTTGATTAACTGATATTTTCTTTTTCCAAATTTTACGTTGTTGTTCCTTTTTAAAAGTCTTTTTTTGAGTTTTATATAATGAATCTAATCTATTTTTGGATTCTTTTGATAATGGTTGTTTTATTGTTGATATTTTCTTATCTAACCCCCATAAATCACCTAATTGAATTTTTCTAGCATCATGATATTCTTGTTTACCTAAAGATTTTGGGATTTGCCAAGTTTCTATATTTCCTTGAGGTGAACATACAGTTAGTTTTACATTTTTTTTCAATTTTTCAGGTACTTTAATTATCCTTGGCCAATTATTAATATCATTTGAATCCATTGGTGAGTTATCACTTATGTTAAAATCTCTTAAATTATTAATCTCTTCTATAGTTGATTGATCATTGTTACTTCTTTCAACAATTAAATAAGAATATGACCCATCTTCAGTATCTCTACCACCCGGTCTTCCTTTCCCACCTAATTTTTTCAATTCATTACGATTTATCGATCCAATCCCATCAATTGATGTTTTATCCCATTTCACAGCTAATTTTTTACCCTTTTTCAATTCCATTGTATAGTTAGGTCTTTCAACAATTTTAGAAAATGTACAAAAATTTAATCTATGTTTATGTGATGGAATTTTATAATATTTTGGATCACCTAATTGTAAAGGACATTTTCTATGATTTGGACAAGGTGCTAATATTTTGAGGTGATAATCAATTTTTTCATGTTCTGGTATAATCATTGATTCATCTTCATAAAATTCAAAATCTTCAGAATTTTCTTCATCAAACTCTAAATCATCTTCAGATACTTTACCAAATTTTAAATCCAATTCTTCTTCTAAGTTCTCCCCCAATTCCCGAGCTTCTTCAGCATCTAATTGAGCCAACATATCTTTTTCAAATTCAATATCTTCATCAGTGATCATACTATCTTCTTTTTTCAAATGTTGAGGTTTACCACTTGAACCCAAGATATAAGGTCTTGGAATTTTACCTAACTCCAGAGGGAATCTTTCTGGTCTAATCATTACTTGTCTTGCTCTTGCTATAGTTTCAAATCCTACTGAATTACCTCTTTCAACTAGAATTAAATGACCATTGGGTGATAATAATCTTAAGATTAATTTAATGTTGTCATCAACATCTTTCGGGAAATTATATTCTTTTGTTAATAATGAGTTACTTACTATTATTAAGTCATATTTCTTAGTGACTGGTATTGTATCTCTTAATTTTGTATATATTTGAATTTTTTTGGAGTCTATTGGTCCAACATAATCTTGATCTGTGCTGACTTGTTGTGGTTGAGGCTCTTGAGCTACTTCTTCTTCACTTCCAAGTTTTACATTTTCATTGACTTGCCTTGATAATATAATTTTAGCTCTTTTCTTCATTTCGTTATTTTTTCGACCTATTATGTATGCATCTTTCTCTTCAGGTTTCCAATTATCACCCATAATTTCATTTAATGCAACAATACCAGTAGCTGGCCCATATCCAATATCTAAAACTTTTTTAGGATCAAAATTTTCCTTACCTATCCTCTTTTGTAATTCTAATAAGACTTGTCTTATATGACTATAATCTTGTAAAAAAAAACCTGCAATATGCGCATTACAATCCAATTCACTTGATGGAGCTTGTTGGATTTGATTCTTTTGAAAATTTTGATACAAAGTTACTACTCTTTCTCTTAATTTTGCAGGAATTGTAGTACTTAATATGTTATTCTGTATAACTTTTGAGATTTGATCTGGTAAAACAGTAACTGAATGATCCACTCTTCCTTTTAAAGCGGTATCACTTAATCTTGCTTCTAATGCATTATCCCCCTTTATTGGCGTTCCATCTGAGTTTCTAAAAGGTGATCTTTCTTCGTATTCCTCTACTGAATCATCTTTTGATATTATTTTAACTTGTTCTGGTGATAAATATTTTTTAACTATATCTTTCGTGGATCTATCTTCTTCGGTAATGAAGTCAAAATCAAAAGCTGATGGTTTTGGTTGTGGTTGTGTGTTTTGATGAGGTAGACTATATGACCTTTTTAATGTCGGTAGTAGTATCCTACTTCGTATTAGTTGTCTATTTATCATTATTTATTGAATATGTTTAGTGGTTGCAAATGCTAAGTTACAAAATAAGATGAGAAATTCTAACCAAACAAAAATTGAATTTTTCAAATTAGGAAAAAAAATATAGAGAACGTCAATTAACTTTCACAACAGTAAAATGTTTAAATCAATATCGACAATTGCTACACCTATATTTACAGTAGGTGCTATAATGACAATCAACAACAATATAATACACAATGAATCCAAACGTAGTTTTTATGAAGATGATACAAATGTTGTACCAATTCCAGGAACAGTTGTACCAGCACCAGCATCAGAAATTGAATCATTAGGTAATAATAAATTAATAGATGGAATATCTGTACGAACTACAAAACCAACTGAAAATTTCTTTAAAGGAATAAGAGAATTTGCATCAACTCAATTTACAGATTTTAGTCATTGGATAAACCATAAATATACAAAATTCGACGATACTGAAAGATTCGTTACTACCACAGTTAGTGATTTACATTACAAGAAAGAAGACCTTTTACCAAATGGTATATATGTGATAATTGGTACATTAACAGGTGTTATAGCAGCAAGACCTAGAGGGATAATTTCCAAGATTTCATTTCCAATAATAACTGGATTATTAACATTTAAATATTTCTTACCAGTTACTTTTGATAACACAACTGGTTTCTTATGGCATTTAGAACAAAAAAATATCCCACAAATTGCCATAAAACAAGAAGAAGCTTATCAAAGTACTATAAATTTGGCTAAATCAATTGAGAAAACTACTGAAAGTGGTATACAATCAGTTGAAAATGGTGCTCATTCTTTAAGAAAATCAATTGCTGATATAACTGGATTAAATTTAGATGAAGAAGTATCTAAAAAAAAATAATACATTTACAGTGTATATTTAAAAACTTAATATATTTTGATTTTTATTTTTTGACTGGATTCACCTACTAATAAATTTGTTAGTGTTTTAAATTTGTTTTGGTTGCGAATTATTACACAAAAATAAGAATAAAAAGTTAGCATAACATATCATTATCAAATTTAAGTTTTTTTTTTTAAAGTTTCTTATCCCTTAGCTTCTTCTACATCATTATCCTCACTGATAGCAATGTCTAGTGACAAGAGACCATCAACGGCCTTACATAGGGTCATTGAAAAAGTAGTCTCAATTTCAGGATTTGGAGTATCAACAAATTCACAATCACAACCAATTGATCCAACATTAACTGAAGATAATTCAAATAAATTAAGTAAAATAACATCATCAACAATTCATCAAAAATTTTCAAAATTGATCAAATTCAATAATAAATCAAGAAATTTGGAGAAAAAATTAATAAATGATATATATTCATGGGTTGATACTATCCCCAATCAAGAGTGTTCACAAATTATAAAAGATTTTAATCATGTATTTGGATTACAATCAGTAAATAATACTGAACTAAATGAAAGATTAGATAAAATTAAAATAAGTCTTAATTCAGTAAATGAAAGAGAAAAAAAACAAAAAATTCTATTAGCTGCAAAATTTAAAACTGAAAAACTACTTAAAGAAAATCAATCAAAATATGGTCCAAAAGCTTCATCAACAACATTAACAAATGAAAAATTAGAAAATATTGAATGTAGTTTGCAAGTTATTGAACAACAATTTTTAAGATCTATTTCCACCGACTTAAAGGAAACTTTAATTGATTATATTATTGCCCTTCATAAAACTTCAAGAAAATTACAAGATTATACTGATGAGTTAATTCAACATCTAAACAATATAGAAGACAATAATGGTGGGTCTCCAATTGAAAATGAAATTGCTAGAATCTCACCTAATAAATATTCAAGATATAATAATTCCAATGGTAACGGATTGAAAAGAAAAATCCCCAATTTTTATGAAGATGATCAAAACTCAAAACAACAACCAATAAAATTGAAAAATTACGATTTACCAACTCCTCAATCAACTTGTGCAGAATGTAAAAAAACTCCATGTATTCATACGTATCAAACTCAACCAGATTTAAGTATTCAACCGTTAAGAACTCATGCTCAACAACAACAACAACAAGCTTTACAACAAGTACAACCACAACCACTACCTAATATGCCACCACCAAAATCTCATGCTCAGTCAAGGGATAATTTTGGTTTTCATGATAATAATAATTATCATGATCATGAACCAATTAGAGCTCCTTCAATGTATAGTGATCATTGGAATTGAAAACTTCTTAATATTGTTAAAATCTATGTATGTATAAATAAATTGTCTATCAATAAATATTAACAAAACTCCTAAAACTCTATAATACTAAATACAGCTATTTACAATTCTATTAATTCCCATTATTATGATTATTCCCATTACCACTACTATTAACATTTTTAAATATTTTTTTACCAACTTCATAAGATGATATCATTATAGCACAAGCAGGTGCAATTTTCATTACTCTTGGTCCAAAACCAGCATATAATGCTCTTATTCCTTCCCTCTTGTATATATTATATAAAAATTTAAACATATTGGTCTTATGTTGGTTTGGATTTTCATCCATTGTGATTTGTAATCTTGTCTTACCTACATCGAAAGGGTTTGTGAAAAATGCAGCTATTGTCCCTGATATGGACCCTGATAAAAAGCTTGTTATGAATACTTTATAATCATCTTTTTCTGGTGTTGTGGTGTTATTAAAATCTGTTTTTAACAAGTGTCCAATTTTCTGTTTAAACACTTCATAACTTGACCAGTAAATCCCCGAAAAAGGTACATCTCTCCATAAAGTAATCTGTAACCCTTTAAAAAGCGTACTTATCCCTTGTTTTTTAACCATTGCAAAAGAATCTTTTAGTAAGTTACTCAACACATGAGATGAATTTCTTGAATCAGTAGGTATAGATTGTAATCTAGTTTTGATTAATTCAGCAGGAGCAACAGAAGTTGCAGAAATCATTCTTGCTAATGCACCACATAACAATGGATTAATTGGTAAATTTTGAAATGGTGAATGATCTCGTATATATTCGTATCCAGTGAAATATATTATATTTGACGGTATTGCCATGAATAAAGTTAATGAAAGACCCCTCCATAAAGTCGCTATCCCTTCATGTTTAGCAACAGTTGCAAAACCTTGAAAAGTTGATGTAATCTTGGTACAATTTTCAGCACCACTTTTACAATAATTATTATGAATCCAAAATAATTCAGGTGCCGTTATTTGTTGAGGATTTATAGTCTTGGTGAAATGTCCAGGGAAATGAACTTGACAACATGGTTCATTTTGAGGTAGTATACCTTGTTGTTGAATTCTAATTCTTATTACATCAAATGGAGTTACAACTAAAGAAGTTATTAAACTTCCTGAACATGCACTTATCATTCTTTGAGTTATTGATATATTCTCATCATTCATTATTCTATTGGTTGTTGTTGTGGTTGGTAAAGGTGTTGAAAAATCGTTTTCATCTATCGCACCTGCTATTTCTGATGATAATGACATAAGTGTAATATATTGACAGATCTGATAAAAAGAAAAAAAAGAATATACGAAACTCGGACTTAACTGATTTGGATAAGATGATGATTTTTTTGATGATTTATTCGATATCTGTATTTAATTGAATAATTGATTAGTATGTGAAGTCCTGAATAATTATCTTGTATTTAAAAAAGCTTTTAAATTATACGAATTAATTATTAATTGTGGTTAATATATTATACATTTTTAGTTATGTAAAGATGGTTCTTAGATTAAAGTTTAGTTTGCTCGGTATGATTTACCCAAATTAATTTATTAATATGCGAATACGGTTCAAAAAATATTCTAAAGAATTTGTCACAAAAGATATATTAATTATAACAATTATAACTACTACAGTAAAACTTCAATTTGTTTCAAAACTTTTATTTAATATTCAACAACTACATCTTTACAAGTATAAATATTGATATTAGCATCTTGAGTATAATTAGTAGCTAACATCATTCTATGTGGGTGGAAAGTTGTATTTGATATATAGTTAATTCCACGAGCAAGATATTTTTCAGCTAGTGGATTCTTTAATGTGGTCAAATCATCACCTGAAGTTGACCATATATTGACTGCTTTTGAACCAGTGGTCAATATAGGTGCATGTTCATGAGAATCCATACTTCGGATTTGATTTGTTGTGAATGTTAACAAAGGATCATTTGATCTAATATCCCATAAATTTACATATCCATCTGATGAACCACTTATTAATTCTCTAAATCCACCTCTTTGCATATGGACATTTTTAATTGATCCAAATCCAATATTGGTAGTGTTGCCATTTGATCTAGTCAGTTTCCATAATTTTACCATTGATTCTCTTGCATCTAATCTTCTATCATAAACTCTGATAGAACCATCATCAAATCCAGCTATAAATATATTACCTGCAACTTGATCTGATGTTAAACAACTAATGGATGATGATGATCTTGCAGGAATATCCAGTAAACATAATTCTCGAGGTGCATCCCAAATTCTTATAACTTTTACATCACCACTAACCAATAATGAACCTCTTGATTGTTGCCATTCAGAAACTAAACCTGAAGATTTAGCTGTAAGTAATAAATCAGTTAATGCTCTCCAACCGGTAACTAATTCAATCTTAGTAGTTCTTACATCATTATCATTTTCTTCATAAAATTCATGTCTTTGATTTATGCTATTACCTTCATATTTATCTTCATCATCTTCTACATCTTCATTTTGAAAATTTTTATAAATTTTAACAACTCCATCCGATGAACCAGTCATCAATAATGGTAAATCATCTTCATTTAAAAATTTTATATCTGTTATTTTAGTACCAAAGGGATTACCATTTGAAAATTTTTTAACTATCTTAGATTCTTCCCAATCCCAGACTGTTACATTATCTTTTTCATCACTGGCCACTAAAATTTTTTCAAACTGAGTAAATTTTATACATTTAGGTTGTGATACATTGTTTAGTATTTTAATATCTTTATTCCAATCGCCTCTCAAAGCCATTTCCTTTTGTGGTTGAGTCTCTTGTATAATAGCTTCATTTCTATTTCTTCTCCATAATCTCTTGATGTATTCTTTTGAACCAGGTTCATCTATTTCATTTTTGGACATTTGAGGTTCTTGAAAATATTCACAACTATATTCAAAAAATCCAGAATCTTGAGGTAATGATTCATTATAATCGCGAGTCTTGTAGAATGCTGATTTGGGTTTATATTCTGATCCATAACTTGTTTGTATTGGACCCGAATTTAATATTCTTGTAAAACTTTTAATATCTGATTCTTCATTTATTTGGAAACTTTTTAATAATTTTGAAAATGATAGGTTTTTAATTTTGGATGAAATTGATTCTGTATCTGATTTTTCTGAGGCTCCATTTGATGATACGGCTCTTGTAGTCAATGATGATCCATCTATTAATAAATTATTTTTCCTATTGATAACTGAAGCACTCGATGCTTGTCGTTTTTCCATTGGTTTATTACCAAAACTTTCACCAATGTTGATTGTGGATTTACTTAATAAATAATTTTGCATTTCTTTAACCATGGGAGATAATTCACTTTCATTTAAATTTAACATAACATAATCAATTAAGATCTCTGCCAATTGTTTAATTTCACAATGAGGATCTTCTGATAATATCAATAATGCTTTCCAAATTGAACTAAATATGGATCCATAAGCTGGTGATCTTTTTCTAAATTCATTTAAATTGTTTGGATTATCAATTAATACAATTTCTTCTTCTAACTGATTAAAAGCAACCACTAAAAAGAAATTAGGATATGCTCTTATAAATTTGTTTATGAAAAACACCAATTCTTTACGAACTATTGGAGAACCATCACCTAATAATCCCAACATTGTATTCGCTAATTTTAAATCTTGTTGTCTCATTTCATCTTTCCTTGCTTCTGAAGTTGAATTTGAAGGTTGAGGGGTTTGTGGATCAGATAAAAATGTCGTTAATGCAACTATTATGGAAGTTCTGACTTCAGGTATTGGATCACTTATTAAAGAAAATAATTTGTTGACGTATCCTTCCTTGTAAGCTACCCATTTCCCATCTGAATATTTATTCCATAATTGAGAAAGTAGCAAACTACACCATTGTCTTAATAAAGGGTTTTCACTATTTTGTATAAATTTTAAGCAGTTGCTAACAATTTCAGTTGAGAAACATAATCTTTGACCATTTTTAAAATCTTTTATAAATAACGTTAGAATGAATGCACTCATTGCTTTATGATCATCATTAATTAACATTGGGCCTGACCCATTTGCAGCTTGATTTGATGAATTTAATATTAAATAAAAATAATTATATCCTTTATCTTTACATAATTCTTGTTGAGTTCCTTTGTAGTCTATTGCCATTATTCTAGCCCATATGAAAATAAGGACTGGTTTTAATTCTTGTGCTGGACTTTGTAATAATTTTAATACATATGGAAAAATTCCAATAGATAATGATAAATAAACACCCCATGGACCTAAATCTAAGAATTTTGATAATAATATTAATGCTCTTAAACGATGTACTTGTGATAACAAAACTTGTAAAACTATTGGTAGTTGTTCTGGCGGCTCTTTTGTTGATGGACCTGCATATTTTAACCAAATTTCAAATGCAGTCAATTGTTGTTCAAAAAAAGTTGAATGTTGATAATTTTGAGATGGTGGCGTTGAGCCATTAGTTATTGCAACTGATCCATTAGGTACTGATCCATTTGATGTTGAACCATTTGCCATGGAACCATTTGTTATTGCTGGTTGTTGTGAAATCGAAGATGGTACAGATTCTTCTGTTTTTAATAATTGTGATAATACCTGATCAATAGCTAAATCCCAAGAATCCCACATTGGATGAAATTTTACAATATCTGGTAACGGTGGATCACTTATTGGATTACAATTTAAATGTGGCATGATTCTTTTTGCTAATAAAAAATTTCTAAATAAGGCAGCAACCATTAAATCTTGTCTGAATAACCTCTTAAAAATGGGTCTTGATAAAGATGTCCATGCTATTGTATCAGTAATTGCTGTGAAAATCCAATTCAATTCCCCCAAGGGAGTTCTTCTATCTGTTAATTTCCCCGGTATTATGACATTCCCAATTTGATTTTTAGGTAATGCTTCATAATTTTTTTTTAATGAACTTTGCATTATAAACCATTTAACACTAATATCTATAGGACAAGTAAGACAACAAGTAAATAAATCAGCTGGTAAATCAGGACTCATTGGTAGTAATTCATTGCTTTTACATGCTGCTAATTGTATACAGTCCAAATATGCTGAAGTAGGTGATGGAGCACTTGAATCATGATTACCTTCATTATCATCATCAATTCTTTTTTGTACAAATTTTTTGAAATTATGAACTATATTCCCTGCTGAACTACAATCATAAACAAATATTACTGGTGCTCCAAGCCAAGTTTGTAGATCATATAATGATATAGGGATATATTGAGTATAACCTCTATTGAAAACCCAAATTTCTCCACTGGAAGTAGGTTGGGGTACTCCATGTCCATTATAATGAAATAATATTCTCTCATCTTTTGCATTTCTTCGTAAAGTATTACAAAATCTTTTAACATCTTCAACACACGGATCTAAGGATTGTTTATATCTTGTTCTTAATGATAATGTTTCATATTGTGATTGTAAATTTTTCCCAATATTTTCAATTGCTTTTTTAGTATCTGTAAAAGTGTTTGGATCACACCAAGCTTCAAATTTTGCACATGGATAAGTTTTCATAACATCAGGAGGATCAACTCCTAAATTTAAACATAGTACTAATACTGCACTAATAGTTTTTTGTCTTTCTTTCATTACTTTCCAATCATATATGGGTTGATAATTTTTATAATATTTATTGCTTGTTTTCATTTCTGAAGTTAATGGATTACCATTTGTACTATGTCTTTTATCATCAAAATATATATAAAATGTATTTGCTAATAAATTTAAAAAATTTTCTGAATTATAATCTTCGTCAAATCCATGTCTTAATTTATCATTTAGTTGATAAGTCGGTCGCCTACTAGTACCATTGCCATTATTATTATTATTATTAGTAGTAGTAGTAGCTGTTCCATTCTCTTGTATTGATTGTTGTAATGATTGTTGTGTAGATGTTGTTGTTAATGCAGTTGTTAATGCAGTTGACATTTAAAAATGAATAAATATTGAGTAAAATAAATAAGTTCTAGTAAATCATATATCTAATTTGTACAGGTTTAGTGAAAATAATATTGAATGATATATAAAAATTTTGATTTCTTGTATAAAATTTATAATGAAATTTGGTTGTAAAATTAAAGCTATTATTACTATTTAGATATTTTTTCACTCTTTATCTTTATAGAGAAATAATAAGAGATTTATGTAAGAAAGAAAGAATGTAAATTTATAAAACAAAATATCAATACTTAAATCATATATTTAAATCACTAATCTTTAAAGTATAAAGAGAATGAAGATATAATTGATATTGATTAGTAATTGGAAGATTTAAATAAAAATCACTTATTATAAAAGAAAATTTCTTCATACTATGATTGGAAGATTATCAGAAATAGATAAACATTGATATTGATAATTATGACAAATTCATAAATTTCATTAACTATATATATGTTGGCTTAAAATCAGGTCACTCTTTCTTTTGTAATAATGATTGTACTCTCTTGACTTTTGTAGGATTTGACGAAGCTCAAATCCTTTTCAAATATCAAAATATGCTTAATTGTAGTTGTTTTTGTAAACTTTTTTTTTGCAATTTCTGCAACTTCAACAGGAGTTGTTGAGTTGAAACAAGCTTTAAACTGATTTATAGGTTTATTAGATTGTTTTCGGTGGATCAAATACAGCTTTTCTTATAATTGATGTTCTCGGATCCATTGTTTAAACTTCATCTATCTGAAGTTATATTTTATTGATCTACACCAAGATTCCTTTCAATGCAATGTCATACAACTGAATGTTTAACAAAATTAATTGTTCATTACCTTCTATTAAACTAGAGGGTATAGAATTCCTTTACAACATCATATCAATATTCCATTAAGAATTGGAAAGTAAGAATTGAGTGAAGCATTCTGCCAAAAGTACCTACTCAGAGCTTTTATTGATAGGCCTTCATACTACCTAAATAATAAATGATTCATCAAATCAGATAATATTAGTTGGCAAATTATCCTATTTGAAAGAATTTCAGGAGTAATCAAATAATTCAATATAAATTATCAAATTTTAAACAAATCTACTCAACATGAACTTAAAGAAGACATTATCTATACGTTATACGAACTACTTCTCATATTATTATTATGCACATAATGAGAATAAAATGTTTATCTCTTTCTCTGTCTCTCTCTTGTGTAATAATTAAATCACAGTAGTCTAATTAATATTGTTTCAAAAAAAAAAAAAAAGATAAGATAAAGAAATTTTAAGGGATAAAACAAAAATTATTATTTTCTTTTTTAAGTTTATTATTACATATATTATTATTTTTATTACTACTTTATTTTTACAACACTTTTCAATTTGCCATCAACTAATTGAAAATGATTTCAAATGAAAGAGTTATTAAATTTATAGATCAACAAGAATATTATATTAAAAGAGCATCAAATAAAACACTGAATAGAAATCCTCAAATTAATAATCTTTATTTTAATAATAATCACCTTTCAAAAAATCATGCAGTAATACAATATGATAAATTTAATACTATTACACCATTTACAATTAAAGATAATGAATCAACATTTGGAACTGTTGTTAATGATCATGTTTTATTACCAAATACTAAAATTGGATTATCAAATAAAGATAAATTAGGATTAATTATTTCATTACCATCAAATCAAATTAATCAAATATTCGAAGAAAATTTAAATGAATCTAATTTAAATCAAACAATTCAATTATCTAAATTTAAAGGTGCTAAAATTAATATGGAATTTCAAATTTTTATTAATGGAAATATTATTAAATTTGTTCCTATTAATAATAATAATATTAATAAAGTTAATTCTGCTACTGCAAATGGTAATAAACTTAAAGAAAATGCAAGTAATTCACCAATTGACTTAACAAATTCTGATCATACTGTTGAAATCAAGGTAATTGATAAAAAGGATGATAAAGTAAGTGGTACAGAAACAAAATCAATTAATAATGATAATATTGATCAAGAAAATTTAGTTCAAAAAAATCAAACAAATAATGAAGTAATTCAATTAGAAAGCGAAGAAGAAGAAGATCCATTTGGTGATGCAGAAGAAGATGCTTCAGTTGTTCTTATTTCTAGTACTAAATCGGATAAAGATGTTTATTCTGCAACAACTACTCCATTTGGATATGAAGATGATGAAGATGTTAATTTAAGCAGAGAAAAAGAAAAAATTGATGGTCATGAAGATGAAATAAGTTCAGGACTTGAAACCCCAAGTGGAGAAGAAAAAGATTTAGATGATGATGAATACTCAGATTTTGTTGAAGATGAAGCACCAAGTGAACATTGTATTGAATATGATGAACAAGTAAAAGATAGAATTAAATATTTATTCGAAAATACATCAATTACTCATCGTTCATTTGATTGTCAAAAATGTTTTAAACACCCAGCAATTTATGGTTTCGGTGGTGATTTATTCTGCAAATCATGTCAACAAGGGTTTGAAGATTATTGTTTAAAAGATGACATGGAAAAAGATGAAATTAGAAAAGAAATAGAAAAATCACCAGCTTATATCTCTCATTTGGAAACATGTCCTAATCCTAGAATTTGTGAATGTTTTGAAAAAGAAGTAGCTGCTGAACAATGCAGACGTGCAGGGATAGAATTAGAATCAGAAGAAGAAGAAGAAGAAGACGAAGAAGGTGTCGATGAAGAAGATTTAGCGCAAGAAGAGGAAGAATTAGAAGAAAAAGAAGAATTAGAAGAAGAAGAGTTGTCAGACGACTCTGGTGAATATAATGCAGAAAAATATTTTGTTGATTCTGATTCTGATGAAGATGAAGATGAAGATGGATATGGATATTCGTATGTAAAAGGATGTTGTTGTGAAACTGAAGATGATGAAATTGATGAAGAAGAAGTAGTCGTTATAAATTATAACAAAACCCGTGACATTGCGGATTTCGCTGATGATGTGTTTCCAAAATGGAGACCAGCTTCTCCTAAAGTTATATCTCCATCAACTACTAAAAAAAGATCATTTGAAGAAATGGAAGAAGAAAATTTCTCAACAAATTCAATAGAAGATGATGATCATTCAACATTTATTGATTCAGATGAAAGTTTAGAAGAAATTGATTTTGCAGATGAACCTCCAAAAAAGAAACAATTATTAGGATCTTCTTCAAATTCATCAAATTTGAAGACTGTTTTAAAAGAAGTAGGTAAAGGAGTATTTTATGTCGCTGCTACTATTACTGCTTTAGGAATTTATGGATCTCAAATTTCTGATGAATCAACTTTCAATTAGTGAGTGAGTGGTAGTGCTTAAGAGTTGACTTCTTTGTGGCATTTGATACAGGTTATTGAGTTATTATTTGGTGGTTGATATATTTTTTTATTTAATTCTATTAATTTTTATTAAATTAATTGCTTTTGGTTTTTATTTTTGGTGGTGATAACTTATATATACAAGTTTGGCTATTAGTTGGTGAGTTGGAAGGTTTTGTTGATGATTTGCTTCTTTATATTTTTTTCTAGTTTTTTTTGGCTTTATTATTTTTTGTTTAGTTTTTATTAGTTTAATTTTGATATATCCTTATAATGTTGATCTACGATTTCGTAAATTTCTAGTTTTTACAAGTTTTTACATTTTCTGATTTAAATAAATTAATTTATTTTATTATTTAATTTATGTAAATTACATAGTTCTAAAAAGACAAAAAAAATGTTAAATGGGTATAACATAAAATGAAATGAAAATGATAAGGTAAAAAAAGTCATATTAGGTTTGTGCTGTTTTTTTCTTATATGCTCTTTTCTTTTTCGGTTCTACTTGTTGTTGTTGAGGTGGTGCTTGGGCAACTGGTGGAACTGAGTTATTTAGTTGATTTGGAAATTGTTGTGGTGGTATATTCATTGAACCATTACTCATATTATTATGCATCATAGACAGCTGAGCTTGACCATTCATTCCACCACTTTGTTGCTGTTGTTGTTGTTGTTGTTGTTGAAGTTTTTGTTGTTGTAATTGTTTTTGCTTTTGTTGAAATATTTGAAATTGTTTTAATCTTTGAAAATATATAGGAAATTTAGATAATAATTGTTGTTGTAATACTTTAACTTGTTGTAATGCTTGTTGTTTATGTTGTGCTGATAATTGTTGACCATTGGGGGCAACTCCTGTTTGACCCATCATTGCTAATGCTTGCATTTTGGATTGAATTTGTTTATAGAGTTGTTGTTCTTCTATACTCAAAGAGTTTTGGAAAATTTGTTGATGTTGCTGTTGTTGTAATGTTAATTGGGGTTGTTGTTGGGGTTGAGTTTGAGGTCTTTGTTGTTGTTGAGGTGGTACTTGTTGGTTTTGATTTGTCATTGGTGCTTGTGACATTGGTTGTTGTTGCTGTTGTTGAGGAAGTGGTTGTTGTTGGTGGGGAATTGGAGCTTGACCTATGCTTGGCGTTCCCATAGGTAATTGTTGAGGTGTTGAAGTTTGACTCATTCTTTGTTGCTGTTGTTGTGCGGGTATTGGCACACCTGGATTTGGAATCATTGGAGTATTTTTTGATGAAGGAATTTGTGAAGTTGAAGTTGAAGACATAACTCCATTCTTAATAGGTATTTGCGATTCTGGTGGGATATGAGGTGTTTGTTGACTTGGTGCTTGAGGAGATTGTGATGGATTAGGTATTGATTTTTTAGTATCTTTTTTAGCTCTTTTAGTAGCAGGAGTTTGTGAAGAATTTGAATATTGTCTTTTATTAGTTGGTGCTGGTGTTGGTGCATCACTTACTCCATTGACTTTTGGTGGAGGAATTTCAGGAACTGATTGCATCATATCATTTTGAACTGAATTAGCTTGAGCTTGAATTTTAGCTTCTTGTTGACTTTTTTCTAGTTCTCTTTTCTTCCTTATTTCTTCAATTAATCTTAATCTCATGAATTGACCAGTAGCTCTAACTGGATTTGATGCCATAGTAACTGGAGCAGGAATGTTTTGAGTAGTTGTTTTATCATTCTTTTTGGTTTTACCATCTGCACCAACAGAATTCTCTTTACTTGATGGTTTTGAAACTGGAACTGATTGAGCAGTGGATGTACTTGGCATTGTAGTAGGGTTCACTATAACTAATTTCTTATCTTGATTATCATCAAAACGTTTATTTTTATTTGAAAGTAAAATCATAAGTTCTTCATATTCTGATGATTTATGTAATACCAATTCATCTTGATGTATTTTACGAGGTGGAACTTCAACAGATTCTCTATGCAGATATATAATTTTATCAACTCCATCTTCGGGTTCGTTTTCATCTTTGACGATTTTTTCAGTTTCAATTTCTGGCCTTAGATGAGAATAATCATATGGATTTAATTTTACTGATAAATCTAATTCTCTATTTGTTAATGTTAAGATTTCAGATTCCATCTGTAGTGATAAAGTATCAGTAAATTTAGTTAATGCAGAATCTGTGTGGTATAATAAATCATAATATATTGATAATGGAGTTGGTCGTAATAAAGTTCTATAAGTTCTTGGTTTCATTACAACCGTTGGTTCATTTTTTGGATCTTTTTGTGGTGATGGTAAATTCCTATTAACATAAGCAAATGTCTTTATCATATTTCTATGATCATAAACTTGTAAAATTAAACAACCATCATAAGATTTTATAGCAAAATCTTTTAATAATTCACTCATTTCAACGGGGATTTCTTCCTTTAATACATGATTCATGAAATTTTTAATCATTGGTGAATTTTTCGGTATTATTTGAGAATCTTGTGAATTGTTGAATCTGTAATAATTCTCGAAAATATGTAAACTTAATGAAGCAGGATATTTTGAATATTTACGTAGTATTTCTTCAGTTGATGAAGCAAAATGATAATTTTTAAGATTAAATTTTTGTTTTAATTGCTGTTGTTGGGCTTGTTGTTGGGCTTGATGTTGCTGCTGTTGTTGTTGAAGTTGTTGTTGTCTTAATAATTGTTGTTTTGCTTGTTGGATCTGAACTGGAGTTAATTTGTTTGTAGGTATTGGTGGGGTCGAAGTTGATCCACTTGCAACTTCAGATTTGATCATATTAAACTCATTAAACACGTTGATATAATAAATTAACTAATCCACAATGTATAAGGACTTGAAATTATAGATAGAAATGACAGTTATTTGATTGATTGATTGAAATGATTGTATTTTTTGTTTGGTTGTGGGTATTATTTTTCAAATTTATTTTTGTTTTAAATCTTTTTTTTTTGCAAACAGTTTCAAAAGATATGTTTCAAACTTATGAAGCTAATTGATAAGGGAATATAAAGCATAGTTACTGTAAATGACTTGAAGCTACTGTTAGATTGTAAGTTTATTTAAAAAATTTATGTAAATTTACTCTATGTACTTTTATTATATACATTTATCATATTAAATCTAAAACATGTAAATCTAAGCTGATGATGTTTCAAATGGTTTTAAGTCAGCAGTTCCTTTATCCCAAGTAGAATCATTATATGTAATTTCTTTTATAGCCTCAACAATATCTTGAATAGAACCTCTAACTTGTTTAGTTGAATCTCTTTCTCTTAAAGTTACTGAATCATCATTTATTGATTCAAAATCAATTGTAATACCAAAAGGAGTACCTAATTCATCATTTCTTGCATATCTTTTACCAATTGATGCAGATGAATCATCAACTTTAAATGGAATTTTTTCTTTTCTTAAAAGAGTTGAAACTTTTTTGACAATTGGTTGTAAATCTGAACTGTTTGATAATGGAACTAATAATACTTTTGTTGGGGCAACAATTGGTGGTAATGATAATACTCCTCTATCTGCATCATCTCCTCTTGCCCAAAATTGATGTTCAAGAATTGAATATAAAACACGTCCAATACCGAATGATGGTTCAATAACATTTGGAGTAAATTCTCTTATATGTTCTGTTCTTTTGACTTTTTCAACTTTTATTAAATCTGAATCTAATTCGATATCCCCATCTACACCATCAACTTTTACAACTATTTTACCATTATCTTTTAATTCTTTAGCGAAATCTTCTAATTCACATTGAGTTCTTGAAGTAAGCCATTTCTCAACAACCCCAGCATCTTTTCTGAATTTTGGTCCAAATTTCTTTTTGGCAATTTCGATTTCAAATTCTTCAACAATTTTAGGTTCTGGTAAAGGTTGTCTAACTACTAATTTTTCACCAGTTCTGGCTGAATGAACTGATAAATCATAAGCTGATCTATCTGCACAACCAACACATTCTATCCATCCATAAGAAGTTTGTAATTCTGCATCCCAACAATCTGATGCATAATGTGCCATTTCATTTGACATATGTTGTCTAAATCTTAATCTTGAAGGATCAGCACCAATTTTAGTTAAAAACAAATAAATTCTTGCAATGAAATATCCCAAAGTTTCATTATCAACCATTCCTGTTTTTACAGCTTCACCAATAGATTTTTCAATTAATTCAGTAGACCCAGATTCTTGTACTCCCTTTGGTAAAAATCTTAATTTTAAATCTTTAACATCATCAAATTTTGAATGAGATTTATCATCAGGATCAACAAAATGTTCAATTTCAGCCATTAAAAATTCTCTTACTCTTAATAACCCAGCTCTTGGAGCAATTTCATTCCTAAATGATTTACCGATTGATGCTGAAGCAAATGGCATTTTCTCATTATTAAATTCTAATAATTTATTAAAATTTAAAAATTGACCTTGTGCAGTTTCTGGACGTAAATAAGCTTTCAAATTTCCAGATGGTCCAATTGCTGTATCAAACATTAAATTAAATTCAATCGGTGGTTCTAATTTCCCTCCAGTTCCTGGGTTTGTTATATTATATTTAGTAATTAATTCTCCTAATTGAGGTCCTGAATATCCATCAATTTGTGCTAAAACATTTTCATATTCTTTTACAACTTCATCATCTAATTTAACATTTTCAATTTCTTTAACTTTTTTTTTTCTTTTCTTTTTATCTTCATCTTCTTCTTCATTGATTTTTTCACCTCTTGCTAATTTATCTCCCTTTAATCTTGATTCCAATACTTCTTCAACTAAATGATCTGCTCTAAAAATTTCTCCAGATTTTAAATCTTTACACATCCAATCTGAAAATCTATCAACATGTCCTGATGTTTTAAATACTTCATATGGAGTTAACATGGTGGCTTCAACTTCTAACATATCTTCCTCCAAAATAAAATGTTTTCTCCATTCATTTATAATATTGGTTTGAAAAGCACATCCTGGTGGTCCAAAATCAAATAATCCTGCTACACCTCCATAAATTTCAAATGATGGTGCATAAAAGAATCTTCTTTTTAGTAATTGTTCTAACGAATCCCTTGAAAAGGGTAAATTTGTATCTTTAGTACCTGCCATAATGGAATTTCTTGATATTCCCCTAACAAATGATCTAAAAAACCGAATTGCGTTGACTTTATATATTGTTGTATATGAACACAGTAATAGTTAAAACAAAATGAGTCTTTAATTTTTCAATATTTTTCTATTTTCAATTTTTTTTGAAGAGTCGTAAGATTTGATTATGACACACTGTTTTTATGACACTCACTTTATACACCATTCTTAACTATATGGTCATAGAGCTCATTAAGTCTACAATTGTTTAAGGATTTTAAAATAAATAAATTATGCTAATTTATATTCCTCTCTACTTTCTAAAAACAGTTCTTCATCAAAAGTATCCCTAGAATTTAAATCTAAATTATCATCATCATCAATAAACTTCTTTATCACTAAAAAGATTATTGTGATAAAACAAGATAATGCAAATATTTTATCAAACCAATTTTCAATAAACATGACTTCTTTTATTGAGGTGTTGTTGTTTTTAAGTGAGCTTCCACTTAATGATAATATTTTTGAGATTTGATTCGATAAATTTTCTGGTAAATTTGTTCTTATCAATAATGCTGTTGCTATTATATATACACCAACTAATTCTGCAATTAATAAATGTTTTAACCAATTTTTGGCAAACTTTAATTCATGATCTTTGCTGGAGCTAGAAATATGAAAAACCTTACTGAATGATTTGAATGTAGTTAAGACATTTGTGAAAGAACAAATAAACAAACTTCCTGATAGTATAAAACTTAATTGATTAACTAACTGCGATTCTGATATAGGTATGTTTTTGTATATTGAAATGATGACTTTTGAGATTGTTATTGCTAATGCATCTTTTGACGTTGGTGTATCATTTTCAACATCAATTATTTCTGAATGTATATCATAATCTGAATCTTCACCATATATGTATAGTAATGGTAATTTGATTAAAAATACATTAATTATTCTATAAACACAATAAATTGATAACACTGTATTTCCAATTGATATAAATTTTTCAAATAATTTTGATTGATTCAAATTATCTTGACTATTTTGATAATATTTAAAGATCAATTTTGATAAATCATTGTACATTGATTTTTTTAAATTTTCTAATGATTGAATTTCTTGTTTTAATTCTTCTTCTTCTGATTGCCCTTTCAATGGTAAATTTGCAAATGATTGTACTTTATGAATCAACGATCCCAATTTTTTTGAAGTTTGTGACTTGGTTGTTAAAAAATTATCTGATGATAAGTTTTGTTGTGGTAGATTATATATCGTTCCACCATTTGAAAGTTCTAACTTGCTTAGTTCTGATTTTCTTTTCGATAAAAGGTTTGACGTATTATTGTAATTTTGAATTGCCGAATTGATATCAACTGTTTGGATATCACTGGTTTTGGAATCATTGTTATAAAAGCTATCTTGACCTTGTTTTAGTATATATTTTTTCCAAATTTGTTCAAATGGTATAGTTCTATATGGTGTCGATGTAGATCCGATTCCTGATAAAATTGCTAAAATAGTTATTCCAACAATTGATATTTCATTTATTTTTCTTTCAACTATATTTCTTGTATTTGATTGTAAACTTGATCTTGGGTTGAAATTTTGTGTTAAATCACCACATTTGTGTAGTACTAAAAACCATAATGCATATATTACTACTGTCATTACTTTTCTAGTATTGTTAATTTTTATGGGTGCCAAATTCTGATTAATCAATAAATTTATACTACAAAATGGAATCACTAGTACAAGTAAAAGCATTAATGTATCAATTGTGAATTTAAATAATCCAAATCTTGTATCGTGATCTATATAATTACCTAATTCACACATCATTAATATTATTAATCCAATACTTAAAGATAAAGTGACACTGAAAATTATTCCAATAATTATATTTCCATAATCATTATTTGTGTTTTTTTGTTGTTGATGCAGCTGTAATTTTGGTTGAAAATGTATGATTTCTTCTTCTTCTTCCTCTTCATCATTGCTCATATCAATTGATAAAATATTAAGACTCTTTTCATTTCTTAATTTTGAGTTTATAAATTCATTGATTTGAGATTTAGGTATAATTTGTTGATATGATGAATAATATTTCAGTATTAAATTTTTATTAAATATAAATAAATATGACCAAATTGTGAAAATTGAAATATTCAGGATATATAGTGAAGTAGCTAGTAGACCTGACATAGTATTTATTATTATATATGATGATTTAGTAGTACCATTTATGAGCTATAATTTGATATATTTGAAAATCTAAAACAATTTGGCATAAAAATAATTCGTAAACTGTATTGTTTATTTAATTTAATAACAATTACTTAAGGTACAATACATAATAAATTTATTATATGTGGTGAATTGGTAGCACATAAATTTTCAAATTTAGGAAGAAAAAATTTATATCTGAAAAATTTATAGATATGGTAAAATCTTATACAAATCATACTACATTTAATACCCCAAATACACCAGTAATAATACATATTCAAAATGCCTATGCGATTGAGAGCTGAAAAGAAAATGAGGAAGTTTCTTCTCGAACAATTAAAAGAACGTAAACAACATGGTGCAAGAATAGCTCAAGGTTCCAAAACAGAACAAGATTTAATAAATTTAAATTTAGGACCACAAGTATTCGTATTTAAAAATTTATTTAGTGGACAAATACTATATTCACAAGTACCAGCATATCATCAAGATCAAATAGATGAACAATTTATAAATCCAAATTGGGAAAATAGAAAACCTTCAAGAAGACAAGATCTTTGGAAAATCATGTGTGTTGCAAATTTTAATAATTATGAATATGCAACAGCTGCTTACAAGGGTTTATTAGATTTAAGAAAAGTAAGAGATATAAAACAAAAGAAAAATGCGAATGAATTAAGAAAGAAAAACAATGACGGAAATATTTGGTTTTCTGGTCAATATAGACCAACTTATTCACAAGAAGCAGTTGCAGATTTAGCTCATGTTATTGATCAATTTGAATTAGAAAATACTCAATTATTCTGGGAAAATGAATGGAGAAGAGGTGACGATAAATATTGGAGAGTTGACTTGGTTGAACATGAAACTTTACCTGTTTATAGTCCAAAGCATCAAACCGTTTTATTGGATGTTATGAGAGCTAAAGCAGTTGAGGCATTTGCTAAAGAGAGAGAAAATCAGGAGGCAGAAGTAGGAGAAGGGAATGAACAAGTGATGGCATAATTTATTTGAGGTGTTTGTTTATAGAATAGATCAAATGGTTATTTGTAAATAGAGCGGGAGTATGATAAGTACTTACATATACGAATTTGTTACGACTTTAAAACTAGAAAGTAGGATCATTAATTCTAAAACCAGCCTCACTGACGGAGCTTTTATATGGATAAAAGTAGCCTCTGGTCAATTGGAGAAGAAAATGTTGTATAAAATTATATGAAGAAAAAACAATTTGTACTTTTTAAAACCGCAATATATTTGGTATGCTAGATTTTAGCTGCAAATTAATATTGTAAGAGAAAGTAGTGTATTTTTAGCACAAATTGTTAGAATAAAGTTCAAAATATTTCAACAATGCTCGAATTCACCTACAAAACAATCAAGTAGAGATCATTTGGATCTCAATGTCTAATAACAGAGTATTTTAATCATGGATCTGATTTACGTAATTTCGAAGTTATTTCGAATTTTGTATAGCTAAGCACTTCTCACGTGAGCGGATATATAAAACCCATATTGTTCTGATCATGAAATTTGCATCGCATTCACTAAATGACTTACATCTCCCAAAGCACTGGGATTGTTCACGCTTCAAGGTATGTATTTGATAGAACAAGAAGATGATTAATGAATGCAATTGAAAATTGACTTTCATGATGAATACAACACTAATAAATAATATTTTATTATATTGACTTTATTATTAATGAAGAAATTATTACTACATTTTGATAAAAGCCGTTTAGTAATTAACATCCGATCAGTAGCTACCAATTATCTAAAAACTGCCACAATTGAAGCCGCCCCAATTTTTAATATTAGGGTGGAAAAATTTTATAATATTATATATAAATAACAAAGAAGTTTCTATTCACTTAAATGGGCCACAAATTGATATTCAACAACTCAAAGATGGATTTCTGTTATAATAAACTGATGGGAAATGGGACAGTTGCTAGCAAATTTAGATTAACAACAAAAGTACAGCTGAATCAATCAAATTTAAGAACACCGCTAGCTGAACAACCCAAAGCCGATGTTTTAAATAATTTATCATTACAACATATTAATCCACAATCTCCACAACAAAATATTCAACAACTTCAAACTACGATTAGTGAACCAATAATCAAAGCAACTGATAAAACAATCACAACTTCAGCAAATAGTATTATCCCACCCGTTGAAAATATTAATAGTCATCATCCGAGCAATTGTAATCGTTGTTATAGATTAAAGAAGAAATGTACAAGAACTTATCCTAAATGTTCACATTGTCAAAGGACAGGATCAGATTGTGAATATGTTGACAGAAGTAAGAAGAGAAGAAAATTATCACCAAGTAATGTGGAAGAAAGTAAAGTAGATGGACAAATTATACATATAGCAAGTTCAAATACCTTACCATCATCAGAAGTTGTAGAACATAAATTGATATCAATATCCTCATTATTAGCAGATTCAAATGATGAACAAGCTAAAAATAGAGAAGCATCAAAAAACAAAAAAATACCCACAGCTGCATTAGCATCATCAGCAAGAAGAGCTCAAGATAAAGAAAGAGAAAATGTAATTGACAAAATTAATTACAAGACTACTCAAAGGTCTCCACATTCAAATTTAAAAGAAGAATTCATAACCATGAAGGAAATTAAGGAAGCGGATTTACCATTAATTTTTGCTATGAACTATTTTGAGAATTTTGCTTTCAAATACCCATTTATGAAGAAAAATGATTTCTTGGAAAGATTAAAAAAAATAGACTTTACCAAGGATTCTATTGTCAATTTGGACATTTATTTATTACTAAGTATTGGGTGTATATTGTATGATTCAAAATGTCAAACTGAAAATTACTCAACATATTTCAAAACCAAGAGCATACATGGAATTATAGACGTACTTGATGTTTCAATGAGTACCTATAATGAACAAAATTTGAGTTTGTTATTATTGTTATCAATTTATGGGATTGCTTCATTAGATAGTGAACTAGTTTGGAATTTGTTGGGATTATTAGATAGAGCAGTGATTAAATTTGAGTTATTTAAAAAACTTGACAACCCACCAATAGAAAGAATTTTCTGGTCCATACATAATTTAGATAAAGAGTTTAGTATAACTGCTCAAAGACCATCGCAATTCCCATCTTACAAATTTTTTCAAAATAATGACGAAATCAATCAAGCGCTTTATGAAGGTGAAAATTTATCGTTCATAAATAGAAGTATCAAACTTGCAAAATATCAAGATTCATTGAATGAATCATTATTAACCAGTTCAAGAGATAACTTATTTCAAATTTCAGGAAACTTGGGATTTTGGATAGCAGGTATCACAAAGGAATTTAGTTTAAAATACAGTACACAATCAGAAGTTCAATGTCTAGTAGCTTGGGCAAATATTCAAAGCTACTATCTTCATACAGTAATGGATCAAATATCAGCCACGAAAAATTTCCAATTCCCATCAAATTTCATATTTCACTCATTTACTGCTTTGATAACGGCATCTGATAAATCTTCAGAAAAAGACAAAGCAAATTATCAACTATCCTTAGTCTCATCAATGTTCTGGTATTCCCAATACTTTAATGTTATAAGATATAGCTTTGATAATTTAATTCACTTCATCAAAGAAAAAGATTCAGATTTAGAATTAAGAGTTAAAGAATTTAATGATTTATTGCAGCAATGTTTGAATATGTCTAAATTTATAAGAGGTGTTAAGACTTTGAAAAATATTGAGGGTTATGTTTCTTTAAGTAAAGACGTTAATTTATTGGTCGAAGAGTTAGAAGGTGTTAGTTTGAAATTGTTAGGGTATGATGTTAATGATGATTCGGAGTCTATAGTTGATTTGCTTGAAGGAGTTAAGAGCAAAGTGAAAGTACTTATAAAGGTAGAAAGTTAATGATAAATGATATGATGAGATTGCATTTGAAAATGCTGTAGAAGTTATCTCTTTAAATTGTGTTAAAACTATATTGTATTAGTGAAACTATTTTCAAGGTTTTATTGCAAACACTAATTATTTTTCAATTTTACAACCAAATATAAAATTATACAATTCGCAAATACATGCAAAACATACAGCTACTACGTATTCAAAGACGACTATTTTCATCATCAATTTCAAAATATAAAATCTTTGGTACTAAATCCAAACCAAATGGGTTTGAATTAAACAATGCATCAAAATTATTCGATCAAAGATACAGAATTATAGATCATGAATATGATTGTGTAGTAGTAGGAGCAGGTGGAGCTGGGTTAAGAGCAGCGTTTGGATTAGCTGAATCAGGTTTTAAAACAGCTTGTATTTCGAAATTATTTCCTACAAGATCTCATACCGTTGCTGCTCAAGGTGGAATAAATGCAGCTTTGGGAAATATGCACAAAGATGATTGGCATTGGCATATGTATGATACGGTTAAAGGATCAGATTGGTTAGGTGATCAAGATGCTATACATTATATGACTAGAGAAGCACCTGCAACGATTTACGAGTTGGAACAATATGGTGTACCTTTTTCGAGAAATGAAGAAGGTAGAATTTATCAAAGAGCATTTGGTGGACAATCTAAAGAATTTGGTAAAGGGGGACAAGCTTATAGAACATGTGCAGTAGCTGATCGAACTGGTCATGCTCTTTTGCATTCATTATATGGACAATCACTTCGTTATGATTGTCATTTCTATATAGAATTTTTTGCAATGGATTTATTAATGCAAGATGGTGAATGTGTTGGAGTAATAGCATATAATCAAGAAGATGGAACACTTCATAGATTTAGATCCCACAAGACAATAATAGCTACAGGTGGATACGGTAGAGCTTATTTTTCATGTACTTCAGCACATACATGTACTGGAGATGGGTATGCTATGGTTTCACGAGCTGGATTACCGCTTGAAGATATGGAATTTGTTCAATTCCACCCTTCAGGGATATATGGTAGTGGTTGTTTGATAACTGAAGGTGCAAGAGGTGAAGGTGGGTTTTTGGTGAATTCAGAAGGTGAACGATTTATGGAAAGATATGCCCCCACTGCTAAAGATTTAGCATGTAGAGATGTGGTTTCTAGAGCTATAACAATGGAAATAAATGAAGGCAGAGGTGTTGGACCTGAAAAAGATCATATGTATTTGCAACTACATCATATACCTTCGTCTGTATTAAAGGAAAGATTGCCTGGTATTTCAGAAACTGCTCATATTTTCGCTGGTGTTGATGTTACCAAAGAGCCAATTCCAATTTTACCTACTGTACATTACAATATGGGTGGAATACCTACAAAGTGGAATGGTGAAGTTATTAAACAAAATGAGAAGGGAGAAGATGAAGTCGTACCAGGATTATTAGCTTGTGGAGAAGCAGCTTGTGCTTCAGTTCATGGTGCAAATAGATTAGGTGCAAACTCTTTGTTGGATTTGGTGGTGTTTGGAAGAGCCGTTTCCCATACTATCAAAGATTCTTTAACTCCAAACACACCATTAAAACCAATGGATGCAACTTTGGGAAAAGAATCAATATTAAATTTACATAACTTGAGAAATGCAAATGGATCAAAATCAACAGCTGAATTAAGATTAGAAATGCAAAAAACAATGCAGAAAGGGTGTGCAGTATTCAGAACTCAAGAAACTCTAGATGAAAGTGTCGACCTTATAACTCAAATAGACAAAGACTTTAAAAATATCAAAACAACAGATCGTTCAATGATTTGGAACTCAGATCTAGTAGAAACAATGGAATTACAAAATTTATTAACTTGTGCTACTCAAACTGCTAATTCAGCAGCTGCAAGAAAAGAATCAAGAGGTGCTCATGCTAGAGAGGATTATCCTAATAGAGATGATGAAAGTTGGTGGAAACACACATTATCTTACCAACAAAAATTTGGTGATCCTGTAAAATTGAAGTATAGAGATGTGGTTAAAACTACATTGAATGAAAATGAATGTCAACCTATTCCACCAACTGTCAGAGCGTACTAAGTGATCATATATAGACGTGTATCATGTGAATATCAATTTAAACATTTTGCAACCAAAACGCTACCAAATTTTTTGCGTACTCTTTGTTTCTCACTAATTTAGACTGAATTCTTATTGCCACTATATTATTTACAAATCAAACTTATTCAACCAATCTTCAATTAAAAAAATCACCCACATAATTTCATATATATACAATGGCACCACCAAAAGCAGACTGGGATAAATACATAGCTCCGGCAGAAGATGACGAAAAAGATCAAGAAAAAATAACTCCACTTTCAGAAAGTGATATTCAAGTATTAAAAACTTATGGAGCAGCACCATATGCCTCTTCCATTAAAACAATTGAAAAAGATCTTAAAGATATAGAAGAAAGAATTAAGGAAAATATAGGAATAAAAGAAAGTGATACTGGTTTATCACCACCACATTTATGGGATGTTTTAGGTGATAAACAAAGAATGTCTGAAGAACAATCATTACAAGTTGCAAGATGTACAAAAATAATAGAAGCTATACAACAAGCTATACCTACTTCAGGTTTACAAAATGCAGATACAAAATCAAAATATGTTATTAACATAAAACAAATTGCTAAATTCGTTGTAGGTTTGGGGGAAAGAGTATCACCAACAGATATTGAAGAAGGTATGAGAGTTGGAGTTGATAGACATAAATACGAAATTCAATTACCTTTACCACCAAGAATTGATCCCTCGGTGACCATGATGACAGTCGAAGAAAAACCAGATGTTACATATTCTGATGTTGGAGGATGTAAAGAACAAATTGAAAAATTAAGAGAAGTTGTTGAATTACCTTTATTAAGTCCTGAAAGATTTGTTAAATTAGGTATTGATCCACCAAAAGGTATATTACTTTATGGACCACCAGGTACAGGTAAAACATTATGTGCAAGAGCTGTGGCGAATAGAACTGACGCAACTTTTATAAGAGTTATTGGATCAGAATTAGTACAAAAATATGTTGGAGAAGGTGCAAGAATGGTTAGAGAATTATTTGAAATGGCAAGAACTAAAAAAGCATGTATTATATTTTTTGATGAAGTTGATGCAATTGGAGGAGCAAGATTTGATGATGGAGCTGGAGGAGATAATGAAGTTCAAAGAACAATGTTGGAATTAATTACTCAATTAGATGGATTTGATCCAAGAGGTAATATTAAAGTTATGTTTGCAACAAATAGACCAAATACTTTAGATCCTGCATTATTAAGACCTGGTAGAATTGATCGTAAAGTTGAATTCTCATTACCTGATTTAGAAGGTAGAGCTAATATATTTAGAATTCATTCCAAAACTATGAGTTGTGAAAAAGATATTAGATGGGAATTAATAGCAAGATTATGTCCAAATGCAACAGGTGCAGAATTAAGATCTGTTTGTACAGAAGCTGGTATGTTTGCTATAAGAGCAAGAAGAAAAGTTGCAAATGAAAAAGATTTCTTAAAAGCTGTTGATAAGGTAATAAAAGGTAATTTGAAGTTTAGTTCAACAAGTGAATATATGCAATATAATTAATTTAATAAACATTGTTATATAAATTTTTACTTACTTTTTTAATCCCACCATGAAACACACCCAAGACCTGAAACTTGACAAGATGCAATGATACTATAAGCAGGTAATTTAGGTTCTTTTTCTTTATCATCATCATCGTCACTAAATTTCCCCATTGCTTCACTAGAATTCTTCGGTTTGATATTATAAAAATTTTCTTTTTCAACTTTAAATCTAATTTTTTCATTAACATCAATAAATAATTCATCACTTTCAGTTTTCCAAACCCATGCTTGTTCATTTTCTCTAAATTCACAATTCTCAAAAAGATAATTTTCGGGGATCCATATATCATCAAAAAATTCTAGTCTAATTTTTATACCTTTGGCGTTGTTTTCTGTAACCCAACCTGTTAAAATCTCTCCTACAAATGGTTTGAAAATAATTAATCTAAATTTAACTTCTACGTATGATCCACCATCTCCTGGTTTTAATAATCCATCTTTTATATCTAACAAATCCCATATCGTTATACATAATCCTAACTTGGGTATTACTTTATTTGAATATTTTTTATTTAATTCATCTGTTATTGCATGTTGTATGGGTATGTTAAAAGTATGAGGTGGTATTCTTATAAGATCTGATAGCTCCGATAGTATAAACATGATGTTAAATATATGTGTGTAGGTAGATTGGTATATATAATATGAAAAAACTAGACGACTGAATTGCTCTGATCTGTTGGTATTTGGTGATGATCTGCTTGAGTGTTTTGATAAATATTTTGGTTGTAAAAAAATATATAGAGAGAAAAAAATAGCAGTATTAAAACAAGTTTTAATTTGACCGTTCAATGCCGCCACCACCACCTACGCAGTCTCAAAACAGAATAAGTAAACCAAAAAAACCATATACCATACCTGATGGAAAACATATAAGTGCCAAAAAAGCAGCAAGTTACCTACATTCAGTAAAACAACAATCTCAACCACAACAATCTTCAACGTCTACAACATCAATTGTCAAAAATACAGAACCAAAATGGAACCCAAAACATTTCAGATTATTTGTAGGAAACCTAGGACCAGATGCAACAACTGAATTATTGAAATCGGCATTTGATAGTTACAAATCCTTATCCAATGTATATGTACCCATAGATAGACAGTCAAAAAAGCCAAAAGGTTTTGGATTTGTTGCATTTGAAAATTCACAAGATTATCTACATGCATTTCAAAATATGAATAATAAATATATTGGTCAATTTCCTGTTCAATTAAAAAGAGCTGAATCTTCAATTCCTAAAAAACATAAAAAAAAGTAGACAATTTTACATGTTCGTATTAGGTTTTTGTTTTGTGTAATATTATTAAACTAAAAGAGATCTGGAAAAAAAAAATTTGTACTCAGAATTTGATCAAAAGTTGTATGAATCAAAGATGTTTCAAATTGGATTGAGGACAACAATAAGGACTCCTTTAAGATCATCTATACTAATACGGAAGAATACAGGTGCAATAAATATACTATCTTTGAGATTAAAATCAAATATACCGTCTTCACCATCTCAACCATCATCACCTAAAAAATCAAACAATAATTACAATCAAGTTTCAAATCCTAATTCTCCTGCCCCAAAAAACCTCCCATCACAACAAGAATGGGAAAACCTAAAGTTACATATACCTGGAGAAACGGTACAAACTAATAAACTAAAAGATAGAGTACCAATGTGGCCATTAAGTAAAGAGAATGTTCCAACTTTATTACCCAGACCTGGAATACCACAAGTTGGTAAAAATTATACTTTTAAACAAGTTATAAAAATATTACAAAATAAAAAACAACCGGAGCTTATATATGAAAGTGAACCTCACAAATTGTATTTCTTATTATGTTTTTGTTTATCAATTGTATTTGCAGTATATGCTTGTGTTTTATTAGAATGGGCATTTTGGATATCTAATAAAGAATTTGATGATAATGAAAAAGAAGAAACTAATATGGCTATAAGAAATAGAAACTGGGCATTATCTTTGGGTTTATATTTATGTCCATCAATTATAATGTTTGCAGCTGCTTATGGTGCAATAATTTTCCCAACTAAATTAATTCGAAGAATGTGGTACTTACCTGGTCCAAAAGAATTTATAAAATTTTCAACATATCCATTAATACCGGGTAGACCAACTCCAGTATATACAGTTCCATTAACCAATTTATCAAGAAGAAAAACTGCAAGAGTATGGACAGGTAAAGGATTTTACGGTACAGCAGATAAAGGGTTTTTCTTTTTCGTTTTGCAAGAGAAAATATCAGCTTTGAAACTGAAAACTTGGATAGTTGATAGAAAAGCTTTTTTTTGGTCAGATGGTAGAGTATTTGATTATTTATTTGGTAAAGAAACAATAAAAGAATCAGAAGCTGGTATACCATATGATAAACAAATTGAAATTATAAATAAAAATTTAAAATTAAAAAAACAAAAAATGAAACAAAAGCATGGATCATTTTGGCATTATAAATTAGCATTTGGAATGTTTAAAGATGATTTAAAAAAAGTTGGAAATTTTGTTACTGGTAAAAAAACAATAAGTAATGAAAAAGGGAACGATAAACAATTACCAAAAGATTAAAATAGTTATATAGATAGTTACAAAGATTTTTGATTCTTGTATATAAATATATTCATCGCTCATTAATGACAGTAAAAATGATTATTTGTTTTTTTTGAATCAATAGTAGATAACTTGGTGAGTTAATACTTAAACTATTTTGTGTCACTAATAATAATAATAACAAAAAAAAATAATAAATTTGTAATCATCTTAGACCAAATAAAATAAAATAAGTTCACAATACAAAATTAAACAGAATTAATTAAATTGCACCCATTTTGCTGCAAAGCTTTATTAAATTTTACTTACATATAAAGAGTCGGTCACATTTTCAATAATATCAAAGAGAAATTACAAACAAATTCCACCAATAATTTTATATTGCCACTTTGAATATTTCATAGTCATCACTATCAAAATTTAAGACCAATTACAAACAAGTCAAATATAAGCAACAAATTGTTTTATAATTCAAAAGTTACAAATATATTTCCATACTCAACTTAATATTCTGTCAATTATTAATTTCCTTGCGACCTTATAATACACATACCAATATCAAAAATGCCATACACAATAGGAGATAGAAAAATAAAACTAACACCAAGTATAACAAAATCAGACTTGAAACTTTTATTGAAACATTCCAAAATGATTAAATTCTATTTAAATAATTCAATTTTAAAATTCCTAATAAATTTGAAGAAAATCATCCATTTATATTCAGATATTTTTATCATATATTCAACTTTAATCAGAAAAATTCAAAATTTTGAAGATATTACCAAGATGACAAATTTATGTTCAAGAAATTTATTAGTTTTAGAAATTGACTTTAATGAAATATTTGGTAAAAAGATTATGAATGATGAGGACTTAACCAGAAATAATAATGGGAATAATAACAATAATTTGGGGAATCACATAAGTAATAACGATAATTTAATGGATGATTCTATACATTCATTATTAAACCCATCATCAAATTCAATAAACTCATCTTTATCCTCCCATTCATCAACTTCATCAAGACTAAATAATTTCAAATTAAAAAATTTTGAAGATCAAAATTATGAAAACATTATAAAACCATCAACAAAATTAATTTTAAAAACAAGTTTATCAATTTTTGATCAAATCAATAAGAACTTGTTATGTATTGAATTATTTTTTCTGAGTTTTAGTAATTTAAAAAAATTATTGGTACCATTTTTGAAAGAACAAACTCAATCATTAATTGTGAATTTAAAAACTATTGAAAATTTATTAACTAAAAATTTATTTGTTGATAATATACCGTCAGTTCAGGAATTAGAATATATAGATAATCTGGATTCAAATATGGAAAACCATAAAACTGACAACTTATTCATAAGAGATCAAGATAGTTTTGAAAGTTTAAATTTATTAAACAATTTAATTGAAATTGAAAAAGTAACAAGTGGATTTGAAAAAGAATCTTTAAAATTGAAAACTGCATTTTTTACTTTTAATACATCATTGGTTCAATATACAAGTTTATTATTGGGTAAAGCAATTTTAAAAAGAAATATAGATCAACAACAATGTGAAATTATCAAGAGAAGAGAAATTTGTTATCAAGCTTCTGAGCATGTTGTAAGTATCCCATTAACTGAAGATAACAAGAATTTTTTGGGGAATGATAATCAAAATTATAATCATAATGCCAATAATGCTAATCAAAATCAAAATTCAATGAAACTGTTCAGTAAGATTTTGACTTATATTTTGATGATTTTGATGCTATTAATTGTTTTGGTTGGGTATAGATTAGTCAAACTTATTTTTGGGATTTGATGAAGAAGGAGCAGCGTAGAAAAGTTCATTTTTGTTTTTAAATGTTTTGCGAGCTAATATTCATTACTTTAATAATACTTAATTCACATTCTCCTTCGTTCTACTTATTGTTCATCCTCTATTAACTTGTATACTTCGGAGATTCTTTGGTTTATAAAGTGCGCACGTAAAATTTCATCTATGTTATAAAAATTAAATCATAATACATTTTACTAATATTTATTATTTATTTATTTATTAATCAACCCTTAATATTATTATATTTTTTTTACAACCAAAATTATTCAATTAAAATTCATATACCCACATCATCTATTAAAACTACAACAACACCAAAGTAATAAAATATAATTAATCAGTCCTTCATTTCTTATATCAATTGTTTCAACATTGTATTATTATTTATCAATTTTCAATTTATTAGAACACGTTCAAATATTATTATTTATAACTTATCTTCAATTACTAAATCTTCCATATATTCTTACTACAAATTATCAATCAAGAAATATATCAAAATAAAAGATTATAGTCTGTTTGATCAACAGAAAGTATACCCCATAATATAATATCCATATAATATGTCTGACACGACCATAAATAATCAAATATATTCAGCGACATATTCAAATGTACCAGTATTTGAATTTGTAACATCAGAAGGTCCATTAATGCGACGTAAACTAGATTCATGGATTAATGCAACTCATATATTAAAAATTGCTAAATTACCAAAAGCAAAAAGAACAAGAATATTAGAAAAGGATGTTCAAACAAGTACTCATGAAAAAGTTCAAGGTGGTTATGGGAAATATCAAGGTACATATGTGCCTTTAAGCATTGGAGAAACAATTGCGAAAAATTTTGATGTTTATGATATGTTAAAACCCATATTTGAATTTCAATATATTGAAGGTAAAACTGAAACTCCACCACCTGCTCCAAAACATAATCATGCAAGTGCAATAAATGTGGCCAAGAGACAAGCATCATTGAATAAAAAGTTGGAATTAAAACAAAACAAACTACCAAAACAGACCAAAAAAATCACTTTATCCTCATCAGATGAACCACCAAGGAAAAGAGGAAGACCAAAAGGATCAGCTTTAAGTTCAACTCCAAGTCTACAACATTCAGACACAATACCAATAGGGAATAACTTAATGTATAATTCAAATGGTGTACCCAGATTAAATAGACAAGATACTGAACAAGATAATTTGCATAATATGATGGCTTCTAATATGAATCTTAGACAAGAAGATTTAGATTCAGTTGGAACTGATGAAGATGATGAATATGATAATAGAAATGGTCATAAAGGAGCATCTTTGAAAAGGCACAAATTGAATGGAAGGCAGAAATCACTAACAAATGGTGTTGAATATGAAACTCAAAATGAATTATTAACAAGTAAAGAATTATTTGGAGTTTCAAGAAATATTTATGAAAAAAATGCAGCTACTGCTACTTTGCCTAACCAAACGCAACAAACTGATCTTTTACAACCATATCATCAACCAAGTATAAATCTAACGCAAGAAAATCAAATTTATAATGAATATTTTGGGAATTTATTAACATATTTTCTCGAAGATGATGGGAAAAATAAATCAACCTTAATAACCACCAACGCAATACCAGAAAAATTGTTAAATCCACCACAGCCAATATCGAAAATCCATATAAATCAACCAATTGATCAAGATGGCAATACTATTTTCCATTGGGCTTGTTCAATGGGTAATTTGAATTTTATAAATTTTCTTTATGACAAATTTCAGAGTGAAATAGTTAATGATATAAGAAATAATTTGGGAGAAACGCCATTAATGTTTTTAGTCAAATTTAATAATTGTTTCCAATTGAATAATTTTAGTATCATATTAGGAAATTTATTTGATACTTTGCATAAAGTTGATTCAAATGGGAAAAATGTATTACATCATATAGTTGAAAATAAAAAAGAAAAAATATCAGCATATTATTTAGATATTTTACTACAACAGTTTATAGGCGATACAGTTGAAAAAGAAAGTCTAAATAATAGTGATGTTGTCTTAGATGAAGAAAAAATGAATTTAATTGCAAATTTTATAAATCATCAAGATTCTGATGGTAATACCGCATTTCATATTGCTGCCTATCATTTATTAAAAAGACTAATAAAAATATTCATAAATTATCATCAGTTTATAAATTTTGGTTTAAAAAACTTGGTTAATGCTACAATAGAACATTATTTAGCATCATATAACTTTGTGTTAAGATTAGATCAACCAGCAGATGATGAAGAACCAAATGATAATTTAAATGAACATGAAATGGCTATACATAACGATGATAAAAATAATTTCATTAGTAATAGAAATGATATAATTGAAGATGATTCTTTCAATACATCATCATTTGAAATTCAACTACATAATTCAAAGTTAGCAATAAATTTATATAATAACACAGCAAATTTATTAACTGAAAAAATGACTCAATTATCATACGTTATAAATCAAGAATTGAATGAAAAAGATGAAATTGTATTAAATTTTTTCAAAACTTTAAAAGTTATAAATCAAATCAAACTGGAAACACAACGTACAATATTATCTTTTTTCAAATTAGAAAGTCTAATTGATGATTTAGATGATAATACCACCAATCAAATTCAAAAGCAACCATCATTTAAAAAATTTGCCGCAGATTCACAATCACAAACAAGTACACATCAAATATCAAGTCAAGAATCAAACTTAAACAATGGTCATGATATAAATTATGAAACTTTGACTTTGAACCTAAAAAAAGATCATATAATTCAAGAAGAAATTTATAGATTAATTAATGATTTAACTTATCAAATACTACATCAAGAAGAAAAAATTAAAGTAATGTTACAAAAATTCGATAATTTTAGAGAATACCAATTATCAAAAGAATTAAATACTAGAATTGTTAAAGAAGAAAATGTCAACCAACAAATAAAACAAGAAATCGACTCACTCAATGATAACGATCAACTTCAACTATCAATAGAACTACAAAATCAAATTATTAAAAAGAAAACCTTAATCAAACAAATTTACAATAAAAATCTAGAATCAATAAATGAAAATCAATCAATTTCATTACCAACTACTTCATCATCAGATACAAGATCAATTATATCAAATTATTCACAGAATGATCCAACTAATAAAATATTAAAATATTGTAAATTAATTTCATTAAGTTGTGGTATGAAAATTGATGAAATTGAAAATAATATCGATTTAATTGAACAAAGTTTGATAATGAAAAAATAAGTAATAGAGGTTGGCTAGTTAAATAGATCTAATTCAATAAATTCTAGTTATTTATTCTGTCGATGATAAAATTATGATTTTATTTTGTACTATAATTTCTTGTTTAAAATTGGTTAATAGTCTCGTGCCTTAAAATCGAACTACACAAATTTGGAAAAAAAATATTTAAATTTCTTTATCAAAAAAATCTAACATAGCAAGGCCAAAAAAAATTATTATCTTGTTAAATCCTTTAAAATACTTTTTTTAAACAACAAACATTATTATTTACATATACATTCAGCTAGTCTTCATCTAATGATATAGCATTATTATAATTCACGATCAACCACAATTTAACTCAATCTTCATACACTAGAATTTCATTCATACTTGCATTAATATAATTAGATTTTCATTTCGATTCATTCATTCAAATACTATTCATATCAAACCAATTTATTAAAACCCCTATTTGATATAATCAATATTCACATAATCTAATGTTACTTTCACTAAGAAGACTACTGTATAAATTACAAAATTTAAAGATTAATTTCATGGACCCTACAACAAAATCAAATTCAAAATCACTACTAAGAAGATTTGGTTTAACAAAAAGACAAATTAACTTATGCCTAATAGCAAGCTTTTTCTTATTCATCTTATATTACATATATGATTTTTTCTTCAATCCAGCAAAGACATTCAGAATATTCCCCAAAACTTCATTTGATATAGTAAAAAATGAAAATGAATGGTTAATCAACGATAGTATACTAAAAGAAAAAATAGATAAATTCCAAAGACAAAACGAACTACTACAAGACATAAACAATAATGATGTAATAATAAAAGATTTTAGTGAATTCCCTCTAGCTGAAGAATTCATAAATGGTAATGATTATATTCCATATTCATTAAAGACATTCACTGATCCATATCCTTTAATAGTTGATAAAGCACCAGATTTTGAATTTGTAGACACTTTTATGTGTTCAGAATTAGAATATGAAGATTCATTTGAAGTTACTCAACAAACATATTTAAATTATGATTTAGAACATTTTTTAGAAAATTTAAAAAAAATTAAAGAATATTGGGATTTAATTGAACTAGCTCGTTTAAAATTCAAACCAACTATACCTGAATCTCAACAATGGTTTAGATTTGGTGGATCAAGTGTTTGGTTACCTGAATTTAAAATTCATTACATGGTAAGTAGAGTATTATTCACACCACTGGGGATAGCCAATAAAGCATATGTTTCATTCTTGTATATACAGATTTATGATGAAAATTGGATTGAATTACCTAAAGACACAAAAATAACTGTCCCATTTGAAGATTTTCCTTTAGTTAATCATATGAATTTAGATGGTACTTTCAACATTTTTAAATCAAAGGGAGAATTAAATTTCAAAACTATAAAATTTCCTTATATTTTACCAATCCCCATTGATTATTCAATGTCAACTCCTAATGAAAAATATTATTATGGACCAGAAGATCCTAGAATATTATTAAGAACCAACCCATTGGGATTTAATGAACCATTGATTGTATTCAATATGAAAGATTTGAAATTAATTAAAAGAACAATGTTTTTATATTTACCATTTTCTAATGATTTAAAAGTATTGAAAAAAAGGAAAGATCCATACGCTAAGATTGAAAAAAATTGGACACCTTTTATAAGTCCATCACAACACTCGTTAAATAAAATAAATTTTATATATTCAATAGTACCATTAGAAGTTTTGGTATGTGATATAAATACTGCAATTTGTGATTTTTTACAAAAACCAAAAAAGAAAAATAAAGATTATGTTGGAGCATTAAGAGGAGGATCACAATTAATTCCATTACCATTACATAAAATGTTACCACCAAAAATATTAGAAGATTATTTTAATTACCCCAAAAATAGACAAATATTTTTAGGTTGGGCAAGAGCTCACCTAAACAATTGTGGATGTGGTGAATCAATGTATAGACCAAATATGATTATATTAATTGAAGATTATAATCCAGAAACTAAAAAATTTTATTATAAATTAGGTGATGTTTCTGAATATTTAGATTTTGGTGCATACGTACCACCATGGGTTACTCCAAAAACTGATCCTAAAACAGGGTTAATTATAGATTCAGAAATTGAACCAAAACAATGTGAAGGTAGAAATGTATTAATTCCAAATTCTATTGCATATTGGGAAATTTTAAATATTCAACAAAATAATGAAATTATAACAAATTTTCAAAATATAGATATTAAAAATCAACATACATTAGAATTTAATGATTTTATAGGTATAACATTATCAGCAGCAGATAAAGATATTTCAATAGTTCATGTACGTGGTTTATTAAATTATTTAATGAAATTACCTAGTTTATTAGATTTAAGTACACAAATTATAAGTAATGATAGATTTAATATCAGAGGTTTTGATTGGAATAATAAATGTGCAATGATGGCTTCAAAAGATTATTGTAAAAATTATGGTATTAATAATGGAGTTGTTAATGAAGAAGAAGAAGATACAAATCCAGGTGAATCATAAATTAGATAGTTACAACTTAATAATAGACATAAAATTTAGATAACAGCAACTAAAGTAATGTAAATGGACTGTTCAATTCTCTTTGAAGAAGCTGATTTGTTTAAATGGAATGTAATATACATTTCACGTCCATACTCTCTTAACCGAAGGGTTGTAAATTAATTTGCCACAAAAAAAAATGCGAAAAGCACAAAATCAGAATTAAAAATCTATACCGCAGTATATTATTGAATTGAACACTTCAACCCTAATAATTGGATATAACCTTATTTCAAGTAAAACTGGATAGGATCAATAAATTCTTACAGCCTTTAGAGTTTCTAAACAAAGTACAGTGACTGACTTCCATGCCACCACTTTTCTAAAAAAATTAGAAGTAAAAAAAATTATGCATCAATTCTAACGCAAAATAAATTGAAAGAGGTAGTCAAAAAGTTTCAAGGAATTTGAGTAATCCCTAATCTGCTTTATCATGGTGCGATGTTTTCTATAACTGAAACTTTGAGCTCTAGAGTTTTTTAATTAAATTAGTGAGTTTCAAAGATCCAAAACTAATCCAGATCAATCTAAAGACATACTTACCAAAATGTTACTTAATGTAAGGGATTGATTGACTTACTATACCTTAAAATACCGAAATCTGAAAATTCGTAAATTTAGATAACCGTTATAAAAATTTTTATTTCTACTAACATTTATTCATACGGCTTTCTTCAGCTTAACATGAAATTGCTACCAAATTTTACGTCAAATTTATAAAAAAATATTAAAAAAATTTTACGAAATTTCTTTTTTCCTTTCATACCTTTAATAACCGAAATTTTATTATTTTACTAATAAAATTTATAAAACTACTTTAATTATGGAAATACATGTTAGTTGAAAAATTTTAAAGTTTTTAGTCTTAACTATTAATTTGACAGATAAATTTACGATTCATATATAAAAGATGAAACATGCCCCACTTTGATTTATAATATGATGAATTATAATTATAATTACTTCCAATTACTTACATTTACTTCTCATTGAGTTCTATTTCAATTAAAAGATGAGTAGCAGTGAAGATCACAAAAAGGAAGAAGATTTAAATATTAATGATTCAGAAATAATTTATACTTCATCAAGTAATGAATCATCAAATAATGAAGAAAATCCAATCGAATTAAGTATATCATATTATGAAAATCAACAACATCCAAATAGACATAGAAATAGTTCATTTGTTTCAATAAGTAAAAAATCTATTGAATCTATTAGAAAATGTATTAATGGTGAATTTAATAATGAACAACTAGATGAACAAAATCAAAAGGATCAACAAAATCAACAAGATATTAATAATTATTCTATTCATCAAATTTATGGTGATTTAAATAGTGATGAAATTAATTTACAAAGAACTGCAACTAGGAAAACTATATTAAGTGAAATTGAACAAAATATAATAGATGAAACAAATGATTTAAGTACTACTGATACTTATACTACAGATGATGTCAAAGATGATGATGATGAAAAAAAAATTAAAAGACCAATAGAATCAGAAGATCCGGCTATAGAAGATCAAATATTACCAATAAAACAACATGGTGAAGAATTTAATAAAATAGATCCAGAATTAATAACATGGAATGGTACAAAAGATCCAGAAGATCCAAGAAATTGGAACATCACTACAAAAATAATATTATTGGGATTTGTTTCATTATATGCATTAGTTGCACCATTAAGTTCATCAATATTATCACCAGCTATGAATGAAATATCACATGATTTTAATATAACAAATCCAATTATACAAGCAATGGTTGTATCTATTCAAATTTTAGCATGGGCTTTTGGTCCTTTAATTATTGCACCATTATCAGAATATGATATATTTGGTAGAAAAATTATATTAGATTTATCATGTTGGATGAGTTTTTTTTTCAATTTAGGTTGTGCATTTAGTAAAAATACTTATCAAATGATGATTTTTAGATTTATTGGAGGATTATTTGGTTGTGTTCCAATGAATGTTTGTGCTGGTGTAATATCTGATTTATTTGATTCACAATCTAGAAATGCTGCATTAGCTGGTTATTCATTAGTTCCGCTTTTAGGACCAGTTATATCTCCTTTAGTAGCTGGTTTTATTGTTGATAATATGAATTGGAGATGGTGTTTTTATGTATTATGTATGTTTAATGGGTTTGTTGCAGTTATAGCTACTATTTTTTTTAAAGAAACTTATTCACCTACTTTATTACGAAGAAAATGTTTAAAATTAAAAAAAATAACTGGGAATGAAAATTTACATACTATTTATGATATTACAAATGGTGGAGAAACTAAATGGGGTAGATTATGGTTATGTATGTCAAGACCTGTTACATTATTATTTACACATCCAATGATTATTGGATTAGGTTCATTTATGGCTTTTACTTATGGATTTATGTATTTAATGATTATTACTTTTCCCATGATTTTTGAAAAACAATATGGTTATAGTAAAAGTATAACTGGATTAATGTATTTACCAATGGGATGTGGATTCATATTTGGTGTTTTATTTTGGACATTTATGGTTGGTAAAGTATATAAAAACTTAACTAAAAAAAATCATGGTATTTCAAAACCAGAATTTAGATTACCTTGTCTTATTGCATGTTCAATTTTTATACCAACGGGATTAATTTGGTTTGGATGGTCAGCACAATATGAATTACATTGGATTATGCCTGGTATTGGATCAGCAATTTTTGCATTTGGATTAGTTTGTGTTTTTCAAACTATACAAAATTATCTTATAGATATGAATGTAAGATTTGCAGCAAGTTCAGTTGCAGCAGCAGCATTATTTAGAAGTTTATTTGGTTTTACTTTCCCATTATTTGCTAAAAAAATGTATGTTGCTTTAAATTATGGTTGGGGTAATACAATGATGGGATTTATTGGGATTTTATTAGGTGTTCCATTTCCAATTTTTTGTTATCTTTATGGTGAAAAAATTAGAAATTCTTATAATAAAAAATTTGAAATTAAACAACAAAAAAGAGATCAAAAGAATTTACAAAGATTAAAAAGACAAAATGGTGAAAAAGAATGTAAGGAAAGTATGGAGAGTATGGTTCAAGGTGGACTAGAAAAAAAAAAATTGCATACATTATTTCAATTCTTCAAATAAAGCATGGACTTTATTTTATAGACAGACACTTTGTTTGATTATTATAAATTATTTTATAGACTTTTAGCATTTACCTAATACATTAATTAATAGATTTAATTATAAGAATGTAGAAATGGTTGCAAAAAATTGTGTGGAAGAAAAATCGACTATAATTGGTAGCTACAATATCCGAAAAATTCGGGAATATTGAAATCATACTTAAGAATTTCTGACATGATTCCCCAGTTTTATCAAAATCTCGAACAACAACAATATCATTCCAACTCTGCCAAAATGTCATCACAAGAAGAATCCCAACAAACGCTACCTCAAAGGATCTCACCACTAACAATAGATGAACTAAAACCATTCCCATTACCAAAACAATTAAATTCATTACCAAATAAAACATTCGATCAATTCATAGAAAACAAAGAATTAATAAAAAGTTATTTACAAGACCTAGAAACTTTCAAACTAAAATTAAAACAAATTAATGAAAACATAGATTTAATAATAAATGAAACATTAACTTCAAAAATCAAAAATGATTTAATACCCAAATATCAAAATCTTATAATTAAAATAAATAATCAAATTAAAACAATAAATCAATTATATAATGAATTTTTAAATTATGAAACAATACAATATCAATTAATATCATCAAATTTTAATCAAGATATATTAAAATTAAAATTTAAAAAATTAATTGAACAAAATAATCAAGATAGTTTATTAATTATAAAAAATTTTAATAAATTACAATCTGCTAATGACAATAATATTGATGAATTTAATGAAATGTTATCTAATTTTAGAGAATCTAGAAAATTATATCATTTTAGAAAAGAAAAATTAAATAGATGGAATGAAGAAAGAGTTAGTGGATTTATTTAATTATTTTAAAACTGTTTGAATTTGAATTATTTAAGAAGAAATTGGTGAGATAAGATGCATCATCATAGTGGAATTATAAAATGAAATAATATACATTAAAATCATAATATATCCATAACTCAAAAATTTTTAAGTAAAAATATTTAATAAAAACTTTGCAACTTCAATTCCAATTAATATAGATATGATTTTTAACTTTAAATATTTAACTAAATACATACATAAATTGCATCTCATAAAATATAGTCTATTATTAGTACATAAATGCAAGATGCAAGATATATATAAGTCCTCGTATTCCGAGTCATTTGAAGCAAAGAAACTGGTAGCTTACTCGATTCAGGTACAATTTATAAATTAAATTTAATATTTCTTAAAAATTCTTTATCTATATTTTTATTTATTATATCTATTGATAATATTGGTTTTTAGGGATGAGATTAAATTAATACAACGTTTGAGGATAAATTCATTTAATTGGTGTTGGTCTTTGAATTACTTCTTTTTAAAAACGTATTTGAAAACTTACTTAATTTTACCACAAAGTAGAGAAGTATATAAAAAACATCTTTTTTTTTAACTGTAAATTATAGATTTTGTTTGCTCTTTTTTTTCATAAATTTATTATTTAGACTATTCTTTTAAATTCCAAATAAATATATCATCTAACTTTGAGATTAGAGATTGTTAAATTTAATTTAATTTAATTTAATTTAATTTTAAATCTTACATTTTAAACATTACATAAATTATAAATTATAAATATATATTATAATATATTTTATTCTGTAATATTCTTTTTTAATTAAGACTATATATATATATAAATTATATTAAACAACGCGGAGAGTATATATTTAAAAGTATATATTTAAAAGTATATATATATATATATATATATATACACTATCAAACAAAAGGAATATAAATTTCAAATATTTTATTAATCATTTTCAATTTAATTTTCTCTTTTTAATTTCATATTTAATTGAATATTCAATTAAAAATCATTTTCAATTAAAAGATTTATTTATTTAATTGAATTGATCCTTCTTTTTTTTTAAACAAAAAATAAAAATAAAAAATCGGTTGTAAAACATCCGTAAAATTTTATTTTTTTTTTTAATTTTTACATAGAAAACAAAAAAAACAACAGAAGAAGAATAAATTTATGAAATTGAATTATTAGATTATTATTATTATCATTATCATCATTAATTTTAAATATCATTCCTTTTTTTTTTAAAACAAAAATAACATCAATTAGAAATCATTTTTAGATAATTAATCAATCAATTGATAAATAATAGAACTCAATTGAATTTTTTAAATATTTAAATTTCTATTAAATTTTTTGATTCAATTATTCACTTATCATTAAAATCATTTTTATCAATCAATTTCATTATTAGCAAAAATTATCATTTTATTTTATTTATTCCATTATTATTTTAAAAAAATTATTTAATTGAGTTTTGAAAAATGTTTAGAAATATAATTTCAAAAAGAACATTATCTAATTCAATAAAGAAATTCCAACAACCAACTTTATTAAATAGTCAAAGAAATGTACCAATTTTAAAATCTTCAATGTTTGGTACTATTATAAAATATACTTTAGGAGCATCAGCTGCAGGAGCTTTAAGTTTAGCAGCTTTTGTTGCTTATAAAGTTATTGAAGAAAGTAGACCAGCAAAACAAGAAAAACAAACTCCATTTTTTCCAAATGGTGAAAAAAAAAAAACTTTAGTTATATTGGGATCTGGTTGGGGTTCAATTCCTTTATTAAAAGGTTTAGATACTACTTTATATAATGTTGTTATTGTATCTCCAAGAAATTATTTTTTATTTACTCCATTATTACCAAGTGTTCCAACTGGTACAGTTGAATTAAGATCAATTATTGAACCTGTTAGATCAATTACAAGAAGATGTCCTGGTGAAGTTGTTTATTTAGAAGCTGAAGCAACTGGAATTGATCCAAAAAAAAATCAATTAACTTTAAAACAAAGTACAACTGTTCATTCTGGTCATTCTGGTCAAGATACTTCATCATCAAAATCAACTGTTTCTGAATATACTGGAGTTGAAGAAATTACTACAACTTTAAATTATGATTATTTAGTTGTTGGTGTAGGTGCTCAACCTTCAACATTTGGTATTCCAGGTGTTGCAGAAAATTCATCTTTTTTAAAAGAAATTAGTGATGCTTCTGCAATAAGAAGAAGATTAATGGATGTTATTGAAGCTGCAAATATTTTACCAAAAGATGATCCAGAAAGAAAAAGATTATTACAAATTGTAGTTTGTGGTGGTGGACCAACTGGGGTTGAAGCTGCTGGTGAAATTCAAGATTATATTGATCAAGATTTAAAAAAATGGATACCTGAAGTTAGTGATGAATTAAAAGTTACATTAATTGAAGCTTTACCAAATGTTTTAAATTCTTTTAATACTAAATTAATTGATTATACAAAAGAAGTTTTTAAAGATACTAATATCAATTTAAGAACTAATACAATGATTAAAAAAGTTGATGATAAAGAAGTTATTGCATCTGAAAAATTACCAGATGGTTCTACAAAAACTGTTAAAATTCCTTATGGTGTATTAATTTGGGCAACTGGTAATGCAGCAAGATCTTTTACTCGTGATTTAATGTCTAAAATAGATGAACAAAAAAATGCCAAGAGGGGTTTATTAATTGATGAATATTTAAAAGTTGATGGTACTGATAATATTTATGCCCTTGGTGATTGTACTTTTACAAAATATCCACCAACAGCACAAGTTGCATTTCAAGAAGGTGAATATTTAGCTAAATTATTTGCAAAAATTCATGAAATTGAATCGACAAAATATTCAATTGCAAATCCAACCCCAAAACAAAATTTAGAAACTTTAGGCAAAAAATTAACAAGATTAGAAAAAAATTTACCAAAATTCCAATATAATTATCAAGGTTCATTAGCTTATATTGGTTCTGAAAAAGCAGTTGCTGATTTAGTTTGGGGTGATTGGTCAAATATTACAAGTGGTGGTAATTTCACATTCTTATTATGGAGATCTGCTTATATTTATATGTGTCTTTCTGTTAAAAATCAAGTATTGGTTTGTTTAGATTGGTTAAAAGTTGCATTATTTGGTAGAGATTGTTCAAAAGAATAGATTAGATTAGAGAAGTAAATTTTAATAAATAATAATTTTTTTAGAAATTTTGGAAAACATTAAACGCATAAAATTAAATTATAAATAATTTGTTCAAAAATCAACAGCCTAATTGGTTCTATTAATATTTGCATATTCAGCTTCTTCACCATTTAAATAAAGATTAGGATAATTATAAGTTGATTTAATACCTGCTTTATATTCTTTCCAACCTCTTTCAATTTCATCAAATGCATTATAACCCCATAAGAAATCTTGAAAAACAGGATCAGCAAATCTATTTGGATAACCTAAAGTTTTTGGACCTGCTAATAAAGAATCTCTTTTTTGTTGTTTTGGACCATCTGGTAAATGATAAATATTTTGACAATTTTTTGAACCTTTAACAACTTGTGAACTTCTCCATTTTCTTAAATTTTCAGTTAAATATAAAAGATCTTGAATTTGATCTTTTGATTCAATTTTTGAAAATAAACCAGCTAATATAGCAGCATCTTCAACTGCTTGTGAAGCACCTGAAGCTAAATACGGTAATGTTGAATGTGAAGCATCACCTAATATAATAACATTACCACCATCTCTATGAACCCAAGTATCTAATTCTCTTGAATCTTGTAATTTCCATTTTCCAACATCTTTAATTAAATTAAAAATTTTTGATAAATCTTGATCCCAATCTTTAAACATTTCTAATAATTCTTCTTTTGTTGCTTCTTCTCTAAAATGATTATTTTCTAAAGTATCAGGACATAATACAACAACATTACATAATTGTCCTTGATGTAAAAAATAAATAACAACATGAATATTTGGACCATAATGGAATGTAATATTTGGAGTTTCATAAAATCTTTCTAATCCTGTAACTTTTTTCATATCTTCAACATCAATTAATGCTCGATAAGCTAAATCTCCTGTATCATAAGCTCCATCATTTCTACCAGTTAACAAATTTCTTGTTGTTGATCTAACACCATCATAACCTACTATAATATCACCACTATGAGTTATACCTGATTCTGTTGTAACGGTAGTTTTTTCAAAATCTATAGCAACTACTTTTGAATCTAAATATATTTCAACATTTAATTCTTTTGCTCTATCAACTAAAATTTTATGATAATCAGCACGATGAATATGTAAATATTGTCCTTGATATTTATCTTGTACATGAGGTATTAAATTTTGTTGTGAAATAATTTCACCAGTATATCTATGAACTAAAATATCTTTTGGATGAACAGAAGCTTTAGAAACTTTATCTAAACATCCAATAGCTTCTAATATTTTTGTTGATGGTGGAGGAATTTGTATACCAGCTCCAACTTCTCCTAATTCTTTTGCATTTTCTAATAATTTTACATTATGACCTGCTAATTTTAAACAAATTGATGCAGCAACACCACCTAATCCTGCTCCAACGATAATAAAAGTTAATGGTAATTTTGTTTTTTCAAATCCTTGTGTAGTCATTTTAATAGGATTAATTTTTTATAATTTAATTACCCTCTAAAAATAAAAATATGAAACAAGGGATCAACTTCAAGATATATATAGGTTGTTTGTAACATTAATCCTACAACTATAAATTGTTTAATCTGTCGGATATATAATATAAATGGAAAAGCTGTTAAAATCAAAGATTTAAAAACTTTCACTTAACGCAATATGATAATCTTTGGGGTTCAGTCAAGATTGTAATAAAATATTTTAAAAAGTTATAAAAAAAATAAAACTCCACAAACTAAAAAAATCGGGATAAATAATTAACCGTTAACAAAATTAATCTCTGTAAGTTGGGGCATCATTGAAATTACAAATTACGTAGTTATCATTTGCTTGTTGAATGATTATGAGCCTAATGATCGATTGAAACGAACCAGATATAATCGGTAAGATTTAAAACCGAGTTTATTCAATAAAGGTCAATTTAAATAAAACATTAACTGTGCCTGATTCAGACAATAGTACCTTCAACTCTCGAGAAAATAGACGTAAACAACAAACAAAAATAATAATAAGGACCAAGAACAATAAGTTTGATATATTATTTAATGAACTACATTACAAGCGGGTATAAATTACACCGAATTAATTTGATCGGCTGTTTTTCAAACTATTTAGGGCTTTTTATAATCATAAATTGTTTTGAAAAAAAAAAATTATTTCTCGAGATTTGAGATCTAAAAATGGTAAAAAGATCAACCGGATTAACTTTTAAAACTTAGATTTTAGATACAAGGTTTTGTACTACAAAAGTTTGTTAGTTCAATGATTTGTAATTGATAAATTTGAGCTAGGGTTCACAATCAAAAACTTAAAAATTATATTAGCGGAATTAGATGGTGTAATCAAAGATCTTATAATTGAAGGGAAGTGATTATTTGATAAATATATTCCCAGTTTCAAAAGATGATTTGTAATGAACTTCATAATTAATAATCTAATTAAAGTATCAGATTTGACACATGATGTCAGTAGAAAGTAAATAAAATATGTAGCTCAGACCATAATATTATTTAAATATTTTATAAGCGAAGCTATTTCTTACTCCGCATTTGAAACAATGTTTGTGTTTCAAAATTGTAACTTACATCAGTACTTTGAAAATTATTTGAAAATTGTTTAAGCAAATGTTTGAACAGATGTTTCAAGTTCTGTCAATGAAGAACATCATACGATACTGTTTAAGAGTTTAACCAGTTGATTCTACAACATCTTATTGTCAGAATCGCCCAAATATGTTTCAAAAACTAACTTTATACTATTTTTTCGGACTTTTTCCACACGGAATTATGAAAAATTCGCATTTATTACAAGCACATCAAAAAATTAAATAAAATTTTAATTTATTTATTAATAACTATCTAATAATTTAATGTTTAACCCTTAATCTACAAAACCTGTATTGTACCTTAATTAAATACTTCTTCTAAAACTTCTTCTTCTTCTGCTAAATGTTTTGCTTTTGTACCAGCAGCTATTGAAGCACTTGGATCTCTACCAGCATATCTCATTTTCAAATCCTTGTAATTATCAGTTTCTTTTAATACTGCTTCTACTCTTGGTACTGCAAATGACCAAGCACCCATATTTAATGGTTCTTCTTGTGCCCATACTAAATCTTCAATATTTGGATATGAATTTAATGCATCTCTTAATTGAGCAAATGGGAATGGATTTAATTGTTCAATCTTTATAAAAGCAGTGGTTTTATCATCTAATTGTTGTCTCTTTTTATGTAATGCAGCATATAATTGACCAGTCAACAATACAACTCTTTTAACTTCTGATTTCTCACCTAATACATCTTCGATAATCCATTGGAAATGTGAATCACCAGTAAATTCTTCAATATTTGATCTTGCTAATGGATGACGTAATAATGATTTTGAAAAGAATAAAATTAATGGTTTTCTAAATTGTCTATGCATTTGACGTCTTAATAAATGGAAAATATTTGCCGGAGTTGTTGGATAAGCAACTTGCATGTTACAATCTTGATGTTGACGTTCTAATTTTTCTGGTGATGGGAAATATCTAGGATCTTCATTACATAATTGTAAATATCTTTCAATTCTACCTGAAGAATGTTCTGGACCTTGACCATCATATCCATGTGGCAATGATAAAACAACCCCTGATCTTTGCATCCATTTAGATTCGGCACCTGCAATAAATTGATCAATAACAACTTGGGCAGTGTTTGCAAAATCACCAAATTGAGCTTCCCATTCAACCAAAGCGTCTGGTGAAGTTAATGAATAACCATATTCAAACCCTAAAACACCATATTCTGATAATGATGAGTTAGATATACTGAATACACCTTGATCTTCACTTAAATTACTTAAAGGTGTCCATGTCTTTTCTGATTTTTGATCATGTAATACTGCATGTCTTTGAGAGAATGTACCTCTTTCAACATCTTGACCTGAAACTCTTACATGATAACCTTCTAATGCTAATGTACCATAAGCTAATGCTTCACCAGTTGCATAATCAATTCCTTCACCAGTTTCAACTGTTTTCTTTCTTTGATTTAATATACGTTTTAAATTTCTATGAAGTTCAAATCCTTCTGGTACTTCTGACATTGCAACCCCAATTTTTTCTAAAGTTTCTTTATCAACACCAGTTGGGAAATGTGGTAATACTTCAGTAGCTAATTCTTTTGGTGATTTAAAATCTTCCCATGGAGTAGTTAACCATTCTCTTGAAGTTGGTTGATAATCTTTAGCTTTTGAAAATGATTCTTCCAAAATATTCCAAACCCATTTCTTATGTTCTTCAATATCTTCAGCTGTGAAAGTACCTTCATCAATCAATTGTTTGGCATAAATGTCAATGACTGATTTTTTGTTTGCAATTTCTTTATACATTAATGGTTGAGTGAAACTTGGTTGATCAGTTTCATTATGACCGTGTTTTCTATATCCGACAACATCAATAATACAATCAGTATGGAAAGTAGCTCTCCATTCAGCTGCTAAGTTAAATATAAAAGTACAAGCTTCAATATCATCTGCGTTTACATGGAAAATTGGGGCATTAATAGATTTGGCAATATCTGATGGATATAAAGTTGATCTTGCAAATCTTGGATCAGTTGTGAACCCAATTTGATTATTTACTATAATATGAATGGTACCACCAGTTGAATATGCTGGTAAATTAGCAAAACCCATAGTTTCATAAACAACACCTTGAGCTGCAAAAGCGGCATCACCATGTAATAAAACGGACATTGCTTTTTTAAATTCTCCAACATCGTTTTTGTATTGTTGAATAGCACGGGTTTTACCTAAAACAACACCATCTTCAGCTTCTAAATGTGATGGATTAGCAACCAATGATAAATTAACATGTTTTCCGGATGTGGTTGGTCTTTCATAATTCATACCTAAATGATATTTAACATCTCCTGATCCTTCATCAAATTCTCTTGAACCTGTAAATTCTGAAAAAATGGATTCATTTGGTTTACGTACAACATTTGATAACATATTTAATCTACCTCTATGTGGCATACCAATGACAATATCTTCAACTCCATATTCAACAGAAGTATCAATTAATGCTTTCATACCTGGGACAACAGATTCAGCACCTTCTAAACCAAATCTTTTATCATTTGCAAATTTTGTTGATAAAAATGATTCAAATGAAGTCGCCCAAATTAAACGATCTAATATTTGTCTTTTTTGATCTTGTGAGTATTTGAATGGTTTTGGAATTTCAATTCTTTCTCTTAACCAGTCACATTGTTCTTTTGATGGGATATGAACATATTCAACACCGTAAGATGAACAATATAAATCTTCACAAGTTTTAATAATTTCACGAAGGGTCATTGTTTTTTTACCTTCAGTTGCAAATCTTGGTAATATACCAGGTCCCAAAGTAATTTCTTTATCTAAATCTGCTTTTGAGAAGTTATAATAATCTAATGTTAATTCTTTTGGTACTTCACCATTATCTCCAAAAGTTATATTTAATGGATCAATTTTTGCCTTTTGATGACCACGAACTTGATAAGCTCTAACTAATAATTGTACTTTTAAATGTGTAACAACATCATCATTGCTTACACCAGATTGACCTGGAACAAAACCAGCTGCACCTCCTGAAACAGTTGGAACAATAGTTGGTGGTGCTTGAAATGCCTTTGATGGTTCTATGTTATTATTTTCTATGTTTTTGAAATAATAATTCCAAGATGCATGAACTGATGAAGGATCTTCTCTCCATTGTTGATACATTTCATCAACATAATTTGAATTGTTACCTTGTAAAAAAGTATCTGTAGCTAAACATCTAATTTGTTTTATTGATGATATAGATGAAATGGTAGATATTCTAGGTATTCTTTTTATAGTTGTGCGTGGAATAGCACTTTTAAAAGCTCTAAGCATTGTGATTGTTGAATAGTTAATGAAGTAAGAACCTAATTATAATCTAATTTAGTTCATAAACTTCAATTGAAATTGGAATAGTAATTTGAATTTTGGTAGTAAAATGAAAAAAAAAAAAAAAAAAAACTNGGGGTTATAAAGTAAAAATATATGAAACAATGTAACAAATTTACAATGGATTGTAACCGATCTGAAACCAAGAAGAGTAGGTAGTAAGTTGTAATAATTTAATCTGTATTGGTCCTTCAATTTCTTGGTGTTAATTAATATTGTGAATATTAAAGATCAATAATTGCTATTTGTAGTTTGATCTCCTCTATTTTATCTCGACCGATCTGAACGAGAAGTTTAAAAATTCTCTCGACTTAAAAACATTTTAGTTACTCCACAAAGAGTAAAATCAAATTTATGCAAGGATCGGTTTTAAAAAATCTCCGAAGCACACCGAGATCAAAATGATTTGGTCTACTTAAAACTTTAATAAAAATGTAGAAGATATGATGTAAATTTTATGTAAAACAAATCGATGATATAGATGACCAGTATCAATTAAAAGGCAAACTTTAATTTTAAACAAATTGACATTATTATAATTGTCATCATCTCGCTTGTTTATACATTTAATCAGTCAAAATTTCTCAAGAAAAAAACTCCGAGATTCTTGAAACTCCGAGTATATATTAAAACCAAATTTGCAACCAAAAAATGATCTTCATCAAAATTCAAGTCATTCAACTTTAAAAGATTCATAATACACAGTTAAAAGTAAAATTTCAATAGCAATGCACTATCAAGGTTCAGGAAACCCTATACAAGTTTCAAATGCTCAGGAGTTGATAAAACCGCCTTTCGTAAACCAATTACTTCAAACTTGTAAGCAAATGAGCAAGAACCTTCAAAATTAGTAACTTTTCATCCTTCTTGGAATGCACTTAGGGAACCCAGAGTGGCCATTTTGTCAAGAAAATAAAATTTAGTTAAATTCATGACAATTTGGAACTGAAAAATTTAGATTCTACGAAAAATTGAAGGCACTAAGTGCTGCTCAGATAGACAAATGTTCAGGTAAAGATTTCCAAAGATGATTGAAATCAAAATTGATTTTTGGTTCAGCTATCGCTCGAATTTGAGAATATTAAAAACTCAATAGGAAAGCTAGTAGATTATGGTTCAAAATTGTCATTTCAAAGTTGTCAAAGTATCTTTGAAAAGTAAAGACTTAAAGGAAATTTAAACTCGTTATCATCCTCAAATTTTTGGACTTCAAGATCTTTTGAGGCTAAATTATCGCATTGATTCTATATTTTTAAATTTCCAGCTTTTATATTACTTAAGCCATCTTGTAACTGACATTTGTCGTCTGAATCGCTAGATAAGATCCTGAATATGGTCATTTAAAACTTTAGTTTCTACGTAAACAAGATTCTACAAAATTACTCAGTTTTTCATTTACCAGATACCTTTATTACTATTTACAAAATTATCACCCATTTAACCTATTAATTACAAAAATTCTTTTGCTTTTCTTCTAAATGCATTACAATCTCTTAACCATTGTTTATAATCTTTCAAAGAATAGATTCTTTCACCATAATAATCTGGTATTGGATTCGAAAAACTTTGACTTGAAGGATCAGGTCTTTTATTTTTCAATCTCCCTAAAAAGAAACTATTTTTATTTTCAAAAGCTTGTAATTTTGATCTATTCATTGCTTTGAAAATTAGAGAACCAAAACTTGGTCCTACTAAAAAACCAGCAAATCCACCTAATACAACTGCTCCACCTAATACCAAAATTGGATCAAATCCATAAATTGGTTTCTCAACATCTATTTCAATATTTCCCAAATAACTCAATGTCAATAAAGCTCCTCCAATACCTGTGAAAATACCACTTACTAAATTAATTCTATTACTTTGTTTTTTAAGTTGAAAGAAATCAACCCATGATAATGGTGTGGTGATTTTAGTGGTGGTTGAATTGAATCTCACACTTGGTATTAACCTGGTGGTTGCCATTCTATATATTCCTAAAGTAAACATGAATAATTAAAGAAGTATTTTGGTTGAATATGTAGTATGTCTTTAGTTTGATTTGACATGTTAGTTGAAAACCGTGATTTTTCATTATTTTTTCTCATACTATCAAAAAATTTGGTAGCATTTGATTCTGAACCATTCTATAATCATTGATAAGTTAAGTAGAATTTGATTAAAAACCAGACGAATTGCTGAATAAATGCATCGTTCTAATTAAGTATCAGTTGAAACCAACCAAGTGATGGTTTTGCAAAGATGTCCTTGATCTAGCTCAAAATGTAACAAAAATTACCGGGTAAGGAATAAATTGCGCTAAAAATTTGCTTAATCTATGGCAAGCTATAATAACCTTCTTAAAGCTGATTTCTAGCCAAATCATCTTTTTCAAAACTTAAAATTTATTTTTTTCTGGTTTCAACGCTGTCATAACTATATAAGTCACTATAATACCTCGAACAACAAACTAAATGAAAAAAAGAATAGTGTGAAATTGGGTAAAAGTCAATGCAAGCTATACAAAAATGAGTAAAAACTACATAAATGTCAAAAATCTTTTATTCATAACTTACTAATAGTATAAGAAATAAGTTAGTAGTAAACTTTTAATTAGTGCATGGCATTGGAAACTGCTATAAAATGGTTGCAAATTAAAATGAAACATAAATTTATCATGGTAGTGCGTAATTAACAAAACTTTATAAATAAACAAAAAAATAAATAAACAAAAAAAAATAAAAACAATTTACAATTCAAAAACATTTTTTATACGAAATATCAATTCATAAAGTTACAAAAGGTAAATTTTCAACTTTAAAAATAAATATTATAGAACCACCAGTAAAGTGATTACCACACTTTTTTAATAGATTAATAACTTTATCATATCATTTTCGTAAAATCAACAACCTAACAATTTCAAAATTTTATGAACAACTAGTTGTAAATTTACCACTCAGAGTTTGCAATCAATCAATCAAATAAATCAAAATGAATGGTGGTTTATCAACAATAAATGGGAATGGAACCACTCTAGAAAAATCCCAATTCCAATATCCGCAAACCAAATCAGAATTAAATTATTTACTTGATCAATATTATAAATTATTAATTGGATCTAAAAGAATAAATGATGAATATCTGAAAAATGATCCATATCTAGAAGACAAAAAAGAAATTGAGAAAATATTGGGAGATATTACTAAAAAACAAAAGGAATATGAAAAAGAGGAGGAATTGTTTTTAAGTGGTTTACGACTGGAAGAAGATTTAGATCTTTCACTATTTTCAAAACAATTAGCTGGGTTTGGGTTATTATCAAAAGATTATGATTTACCAGAAAGTTTACAATTACAATTTGGTGGTACCGAAGAGAATTCAAACATTGATGAAGTTGTAAATGAGTTAACCACTACCAAAATAGATTTTGAAGAAAGAGCTAGCTCTGCAGGTATAACATCAACTACAATAGATGGAGTAGATTTAAAATATGGATTACTTGATAATAATTATTATAGAGAAAGAATTATAAATAATAAAATATCCCAAAGAATTAAGGAGCTTGAAAATTTACCAGCTAATATAAGTGGGTTTGATTCTGATCTAAAACAAAAGGCAATTATAGAATTAAAATCTTTAAGAGCACTTGCAAATCAAAAAAAGCTCAAAAACCTTATACTATCTCAAAATTCAATGCAAGTCAAATATAATCATCCAAATTTAAAAGATGTTCCAATATGTTTATCAGAAAAAAGACAATTTGGTATTAGACCCAAAATTGAACAACCACATCCAGAATTATTAGCTATTCAATTACAAAAACTCAAGAAACAAGAAGCAAAAGAATTAAAACGTCAATTACAAAAAGTTAAAATTGATCAAATTATAGAAAATTCTAATAATAAAATTGAAAAAAATTTTATTTTAGATAATTATAGAAATACTTATTTAGTAAAACAAATTAATAATTATCATCAAATTACGGAGAAAGAAGAGAGTAAAAAATCAGAGAAAAATGCAAAACAAAGATTACAAGCTTTGAAAGCAAATGATGAAGAAGCTTATTTGAAGTTGTTAGATGAAACTAAAGATCATAGAATTACTCACTTACTTAAACAAACTAATCAATTTTTGGATTCTTTGACTGAACAAGTGAAACAACAACAAGATGAAGCAAATGGTGTTGTTTCGGAAGTTGTGGAAAAACCAGAAGTGCTAGATGCTAAGGAGGAATTACGTGATAAAACTGATTATTATGAAGTTGCTCATAAAGTTAAAGAGGAGGTTGTAGAACAACCTAGTATATTAGTGGGTGGTAAATTAAAAGAATATCAAATGAAGGGATTAGAATGGATGGTTTCGTTGTATAATAACCACTTGAATGGTATTTTGGCAGATGAAATGGGTTTAGGTAAAACTATACAATCGATTTCTTTGGTAACTTATTTAATTGAAAAAAAGCATGAATCAAAATTTTTAGTGATTGTTCCATTATCCACCATAACCAATTGGACATTGGAATTTGAGAAATGGGCACCATCAGTAAAGGTAGTTGTATATAAAGGTTCCCAACAACAAAGAAAATCGATGCAATCGGAAATTAGATTTGGTAATTTCCAAGTTATGTTAACCACGTACGAGTATGTTATTAGGGAACGTTTATTATTAGCAAAATTTCATTATTCTCATATGATTATTGATGAAGGTCATAGAATGAAGAATTCAAATTCAAAATTATCACAAACTTTAAGACAGTACTATAAGACAAAAAATAGATTAATATTGACTGGTACTCCTCTACAAAATAATTTACCTGAATTATGGGCATTGTTGAATTTTGTTTTACCGAAAATATTTAACTCAGTAAAGTCATTTGATGAATGGTTTAATACTCCTTTTGCAAATACTGGAACTCAAGAAAAAGTTGAATTAACTGAAGAAGAATCGCTTTTAGTTATTAGAAGATTACATAAAGTTTTGAGGCCATTTTTATTGAGGAGGTTGAAAAAAGATGTGGAAAAAGATTTACCAGATAAAGTCGAAAAAGTTCTAAAATGTAATTTATCTGGGTTACAATATGTGCTTTATCAACAAATGTTGAAACACAATGCATTATTTGTTGGTGCTGAAGTTGGTGGTGCTAAAAGTGGAATCAAGGGACTTAACAATAAAATAATGCAATTGAGAAAAATTTGTAATCATCCATTTGTTTTTGAAGAAGTTGAAACCGTTTTAAATTCCACGAGGTTAACAAATGATCTCATATGGAGAACTAGTGGGAAATTTGAATTATTAGATAGAGTACTACCAAAATTTCAAAAATCAGGTCATCGTGTACTTATGTTTTTCCAAATGACTCAAATTATGGATATTATGGAAGATTTTTTAAGGTATAGAGAAATGACTTATCTTAGATTAGACGGGTCAACAAAGGCTGATGAACGTCAAGATATGTTGAAAGTTTTTAATGCTCCTGATTCTGAATATTTTTGTTTCTTATTATCTACAAGAGCTGGTGGATTGGGGTTGAATTTACAAACTGCTGATACCGTAATTATATTTGATACTGATTGGAACCCTCATCAAGATTTGCAAGCTCAAGATAGAGCTCACAGAATAGGTCAAAAAAATGAAGTTCGTATATTAAGATTAATTACAAATGATTCAGTTGAAGAAGTGATATTGGAAAGAGCACATCAAAAATTGGATATTGATGGTAAAGTTATTCAAGCTGGTAAATTTGATAATAAATCAACTGCGGAGGAACAAGAAGAATTTTTAAAGAAATTGTTGGAAGCTGATGCCACAGGAGGAGATAATGATGAAAATGATTCTTTAGATGATGAAGAATTAAATGAAATTTTAGCAAGAAGTGAAGAAGAAAAAATTATGTTTAACGAAATGGATAAACAAAGAGGTGGAGGTGCACGTCTTATAACGCAGTCTGAATTACCTAAAATATTCACAGAGGATGTTTCTCACCATTTTGAACCAAATGTTAAAGAATTAGGTAGAATGAGAGAAAAGAAAAAAGTTATGTATGATGATGGATTAAGTGAAGCTCAATGGTTAAAAGCAATGGATGATGATGAAGATACTGTTGAAGAAGCTATCGCAAGAAAGAAGAGAAAATTAGAACCTGAATATCAACTGGTGATTGATCAAATAATGGAATTAAAAGATCCAAACGACGAGCATTTGGTCAGCGATATATTTTTACAACTTCCAAGTAGAAAATTGTATCCAGATTATTATAAAATCATTACAAATCCAATTTCAATAAATCAAATTCAGAAAAAAGTAAATCAAGATTATTATTCAAGCACTGAAGAATTTTTAGCTGATTTGAAACAAATGTGTATTAATGCTAAAACTTATAATGAAGAAGGTTCTTTTGTTTATTCTGATGCTTTAATATTGGAAGAATTTTTAAGAACCGTATAGTGGGTAATTAATGCATTAGTAATAAAATAATTAAATTTCGTAAACTCTTTTCGTCTAAATTTATAAGTGCTAATTGTAATTTGAAGATTATTGTAGGGAAATAGTAGTTTTTTCACACTCATGCTTTAGGTCGTAGAAGATTGACGTAACAGACTGTTGTGATGCATTGTCTTACTGAACAAAAGTACATGTCAACTCGATTGGAATCGCAGTAGCAAATGTTATTAAATACGAATGTTGATAATAATAATTTTACATTATGATTACTTTTAAGAAAATCTATATACTACTAATTTAATCTAACCTTATTAATTAGCTTGTTCATCTAATGTTTTAAACACCATTGGTTTCTGATCCTCAGGATATGTAATACCTAACTCTAACAACTTTGTGTATGCTGGTGCAAAATCTCTAAACCAAGCATCTTGATCTTTAGCATAAATTTTTGTATATTTAAGAAACTCTGGATATTCTTTAAGTGTCATATCTGATGGTGTCATCATAAGTTCATTTGTTTCATCATCTTGATATTGTTTATTACCGCTCCATGGTGGTGGTCTAACATGCCAATTTTGCATTAAATTTTCATAGAAGTCATTGGTGAATAAATAAGCCTGTGGCAGCCAAGGACCATCAAAATTCTGAAGATAGTTAGTTAGTATTTTGTATTAAGATTATGTCATTTTGAAGATTAAAATCGATCGACGTGATACCATTCTTTTTGTTAGAGTTTCAAAAAAATGTTCAGAAGTCATACAACTTTAATCAAAGACAGTGAAGTTTAAAAATACAAACCAGATCACTTTGATGAGCTCTTCCCAAAACATCTTATGAATTTGTTAGTAGTTGAACTTAAAAATTTGAAAAACGTATGATTTACTGAAAAAAACCAGTGATTTTTTTGCAGCAAAAATAACTGCAACATCTTGGACTCTGCCACAAATAGTCTAATACATACGAGCTCCAATCAACGCAACGGTATCTTTTGCATCAAGACCCATACGACTGAAGAAGCGCTTGATCTCTGCTCCATCATCAATAGTTCCGGATGGAATTCTACCATTTTCTGGGGAGTAACCACTGTTGTCATCTACCCTACCTGGTCTCCATTCAATTTTAGGGCCAGAACTATGCATGTTAGTATATACTTGATGAATATAGTTACAAATAAATTAATGTTGTTGTAAATTATCAAATTGTTAGTGATATTTTCAAAACAAAATGTGGTAGCAAAACCATTACACAAAACTCGTTAATTTCATTTGGTAGCAACAAGGAATTAATTTAAAATATTTGCAATTATATTGATAGATTTGTTGAAATAACGTACCTTTCTTGTACTCCACAAACCCCTCCTAATGTCCAGAGATCTCCACGTGATATCCAAGGATAACGGACTTGAAATTCGGCAAGAAAAGACCTTGCACGGCTTAAACCATTATTTTCATAGTCCATTTCTTCGGGTGGAAAAATCATAGTACCTCCAAAACTACCTCCCTTGAAAATAGATGTTAGTATCAACAATTTGCATGTTATGACTTATCACATAACTGAAAAAAATTATCAAAATTCCATTCAAATGAATCAAAAATGTTACATACAGAATTATCAGCTTTGGAATAAGTTCCACTTGTATGCCACAGCAACCTGACTAGTGTCTATTATATGCGTTAGTAAGATCTTCGATTGAATTTAATCTTATGTCATTACTTACTGCGTAATAGCCATCATTATGATCAAATGATAAATGCTCCGCGATTTTGGTGGCAATAGCGTTATAAACTTCTTGATAATCTTCAAAAGATTTACCTTCTGGAACTTTAGCGATTTTTATATTTGCTCCAGTTGCACCAGCAACGGCAGCACTTTTACTAAAGTTTCTTTTACCATTATTGCCTGTACCTGAAAATTGACCACCAGATTGAGTATGATAATAAGCACCAGCTGCAATTGTAGTGCCTGAAATAGCTCCTGCAATAGTTTTTGTAGTGGCAGTAAATTTCAATTTTGAAGGTAATATCCTTGCATATTTTCCTGATATTGAGGCAAATGAAGCCATTCTATATTGAATTAATTGATTAATGATGTCGAATTTGATATTAATTTGGCAGTGGTGAATAATATTAGAATCGTTGAGAAATTAGTAATTGGAAATTAATACTTGAACAATTGGTTATAACTATATATAAATTTATAATTTTATAACATAAACAGTTTTGTGTGATGTTTTATTTATTGTTTTAAGTTTTGTGATAAAATAATCTTATCAATTTAATTGCTATATAAACTTTTAAATAAAACACGAGTTTAAATTTTTAACAAATCGACATTAAAAAAGAAAAGTCTGGAAAGAAATTCATGAATACAATTTAATAAAATTTATTCGTAAATATAAAATTACTAAACATTAAAGTGAACAGATTATCAAATGAATTGTGTAGATATTTGGAATCTAGAAATTAGAATTGTGTGAATATTAACTTTAAAATTTTTTTATTGATTACAAATGATTTTAAAAACTACTCTATAGCTGCTACTTGGAAGATGTTTTTTCATTAATAATTAAACTTCGGATAAATAAGTTTTTTTGAAGTCTTAATTCTCCACAAATTTGTTGTAAGCAACTTTATTTTAAATATAATTGGTTCAATGTTATAAGCGAGAAATTTATTTGCAGTTCACTCAACTGATAATTTCGTTTAAAGAATTTTGGTTAAAATCGACTCATGTTTTTCACCAAAAAAGAATGAGCTGTTTAGTGCCGTCCAAACTCATCAATGAGTGATTATCTTAAATACTTTCATTTAATCATAATTTTTGAATCGATGATGTAGAAAGATATTTACAAAGGTACTGAGTCATTTTTAGCAGTCTACGGTCCTACTTTAACATTCAGATTTGTTTGACATGGAAGGTACATCAATCAAATTTTCATTTGAATATATTGTAGTATAAGAGTTTAGTGCAATTGTTTTCTGAGTTTCTCTCACACAACGAGCAAATACTCGAAAAATAATAATAATAGTACTCACTTTTTATGCCTATTAACTTGACCCAAGGTTTGTGAGTATACACTCTTTGGTGAACAATTTGTCGATTCATTTCTTTACATATATATAGGGATTTTGCAAATGTTCTGAAAGTAGGAAAATTGGTGAAAGAGCTTTTATTATATTTAGATTAACTGAGTATGTCAGTCTGATAAATGGAGGAAAAATTGAACTAAATATTAAAGTATATATCGAATGAGCATAAAGAAATTCGACCAACTAATTTCTAAAGCTATAAATTAATTTTGAATGTTTCATAATCAACGGGATTTTGAAGTTGATCTTATGAGGCTAAAATTAATGGTAACAAGTCCCAAGTAATTTTTCAAGCAAATTTAGTTTGAGATTCGGAGAAAACTAACTTGATCTGCGTTAGTTTATATTTCTGGTTGTGAAAAATCTCACCTCCAACCTTAAATAAAAGTTATATAATAGATTGTGTTTACAAAGAGTATGCGGATGAAAAAGGAGGTATCAAATTTGTTGCGCATTGTTTTAAAATCAATATACAAAAATATTGTTGCAAAATAAAAAGGAAATGTTTCAGATCGATTAGGGCTATAACCATTTGATTGCACGTGATTAGTAGCAAACTTTTAAATTTTCGTATTTATTGGTAGCTCCTCTTTATGAAACAAAATATCTACAAAATAAAATTTCAATCTTGAAAAATTAACTAGTTCACATCTCAAACCAAACACTATCAAAAATGAAATACATTCAAACCGATCAAATCTTAGATATCCCAGAAGGTGTTACCGTAGACATTAAAGCCAGAGTTGTCAAAGTCACTGGACCAAGAGGTGAATTAACCAAAGATTTAAAACATATTGATGTCACTTTTTCCAAAATTTCAAACAGAGCCATTAAAATAACTGTTCATAATGGTGATAGAAAACATGTTGCAGCATTAAGAACTGTCAAATCATTAATTGCCAATTTAATCACAGGTGTTACTAAAGGTTATAAATATAAAATGAGATTTGTATATGCGCATTTCCCAATTAATGTAAATATTGTTGATAGTGATGGTGGTAAATCAGTTGAAATCAGAAATTTCCTTGGTGAAAAAAGAGTTAGAAATATCAAAATTCAAGAAGGTGTTACAATGGAATTATCAACCACTCAAAAGGATGAATTAGTTGTTACAGGAAATTCATTAGAAGCTGTTTCACAAAATTGTGCTGATATTCAACAAATTTGTCGTGTTAGAAATAAAGATATCCGTAAATTCTTAGATGGTATTTATGTATCAGAAAAAGGAACTATTGTTGAAGATCTTTAGGTAGTTAGTTAATTAATGAAGGGTTTGCATGAAATTGTTTTTAACTGTGGATCGTTATAGAGCTCAATAAATATAAAGCCACCTACGATCACACGTCGTCTCTGAGTTATCTCTAGTAGACAAGTAGTTCAAATTGAATTTTTATAATTGTATAATTGATTCAATTTGAATAATTTGTTTTGTTTTGTTTCTCTTTGGAAGTTGTATTTCTTGATGATACCTATCATCGTCAACTAGATATGTTCATCTATGAATTATATCTAAATATAGCCAAATTGAATGTTTCTATTAGTATTAATAGTATTTGAGTCATTATTTGTTAATTTAACGTGATATTTTTTAAAGTAAATTAAATTGCTTTCTCAATGAAAGTTGCATTTTTAGGACCAGAGGGTACCTACACTCATCAAGTATGTTAAAATGGCTTCCTATATCAGAACATTAGACTAACTTCTTTAGGCTGTTCTACAACAATTTGGGTCAAAAATAGAAATATCGCCACAACAATCAATTGGAGAATGTTTTAATTGTATAAACCTGAAAAAAGTTGATTATGCAGTGGTACCATTTGAAAACAGTACCAATGGACAAGTTGTGTTTACATATGATTTATTAAGAGATTGGTTTTTAAATCAAAAATGTGATTTTAAAGTGGTGGGAGAACAATTTGTATCAATACATCATAATTTATTAGGTAATGGACCAATTGAAGAAATAAAGACAATATATTCACATCCACAAGTTTGGACACAGGTTACAAAGTTCCTAAAATCAGTACCCAACGTTACTAAAATAGATGTTTGTTCCACATCAAAAGCTGCAGAATTAGTCAGTTTAGCTGATTCTTCATCAGCTGCAATTTCATCAATAATGAGTTCACAACTTTACAACCTCCCCATAATTCAACAAAATATAGAGGATAACGAAAACAATACTACAAGATTTTTAATTCTTGGATATGAAATACCAGAACCACAGAATACACAAAAAATTACATCAATTATGTTAACATTACCCCATGATGACCCAGGAGCATTATGTGATGTATTAGTAAAATTTAAGGAAAACCAAATCAATTTAACATCTATAAATTCAAGACCATCAAATTTAAAACAATGGCAATATGTATTTTTTGTAGAAGTAATGGGGGAGTTGACAAATGAATTAAAAGTTGAATTTGAAAATTCATGTTTGAATTTTATAGTTTTAGGAGAATTTTATAGAACCACTGTCTAATATTTTACCAAATTTTATTAAGTCACCACCATCACGTAAAGTTACTTTCCAAATTTTTGATATACCCATTCTGTATTATCTAAAGGACAAGCGTTTCTTGTTTTTAACCATCTTTTAATACAATGTAAATGAAATGCGTGATTACACATTCCCCAAGCAGCAATACATTCTTCATTACCATTTGCTATTGAATTTGGTTGACATTCGATACAAGGCTCCATTAAATGATTTCTGCAAATAGCACAATTCTCAATTTGAATATCTATAACAGTCAGTATGAATTTTTAAAAAAGTGATTTGGTTGTGTTACATACCCCAAGACCAGAAGGCAACAGCAGTCCATTTTTTGACTTCAAATCTAGGTTTCTTCGATGATGATTCTTTAACTTCTATAATGGTGGTTAGTATTAGCTCTAATCAAAACTCTCTAGTTTGTACATACCATCTATGTCCATTCGATCTTCATCTGCCATTTTGGTGTTGTAATAACAAATAAAAGTAAATAAAAAAAAAAAGTTGTTATCACCACACCAAAAATGGGGGAAGATTTAATATCGTCTTTATATCCACCACCACCACCATATATCAAATTTTTCACAAATGAAAACCTAGAAAAGCTAAAGCATCAACCACCAGAAGGAGACCTCAAGTTTCTTGTTCCACCAAAACAACCACAAGGATCACAATATAGAGGGTACGGTAATATATGGTCATTTGAAGATAAACTTCCCAACCTAAAAGATACTCAATGGAAACAACTATATAATGATGAAAATTTAACATCAGAAACTAAAATACAAGAACTACATAAAATTATGGATTCATTACTTATAGCATTTCTAGAATTAATTAGTTTACTAAGTGTTGATCCACAACAATTTGAACCAAAAATAAAAGACATGAGTTTATTAATTATAAATTTTAATCACCTACTAAACACTTATAGACCTCATCAAAGTAGAGAAAGTTTAATAATGTTGTTGAGGAAACAAATCAACAATAAAAAAAATGAAATTCAAGAAATTGATAGAGTTTGTGAAGAGGTAAAAAGGAATATCAAGAATTTATTTGTTGAACAAGATATGGATGTCGATTTGGAAGAATCAGTAGAGCCTGAGAATAAACTACAAACAAATTTACTAGATACTATTTTGAAGCAAAATGTATAAAGATTCCGTCAATAAACGTTAAAGTCGAAGTACCACAAAAAACCATTTCTGATGATTATTTAAACAAACGTATTTGAAAACACTTCAAATAAGAATTCTTAGAACATCTCTGTTGATAGGTAATAAAAAGGACCAACGACCTTCATTTAATCTTTCCAACTTTCTGAAATGCTTTTCATGGAGGATCGAACTATCAAAATGTATAAATTTGAGCACAGATAAAGCATTTATTCAGTTCTATAAAATTTATTTAAAACAAATCTAACAAGTCATTATTAACACTTTTAGAGTTCGTTGTTGTATTACCACCACCACCAACAAATAAGTCATTTAATTCACTCAATAAATCATTACTATTGGCTATTTCAACATCTTCATCTTCTGAATCATCAAACTTCAACAAATTTTCATCTCTTATGACATCAGGAACCACTTCTTGTTCCTTAACAGCAACTCTTGAGTATGCTGAAGGGTCAATAAATGTTTTCGACCCCTTATAAAAGATCGATGACAATGTCCCCAACTCCTCCATTAAAGTTTCTAATAAATGTTGATTGAAAACGGGTATAGTTGATTCAATTGGAGGCAATTTTGATAAGATGATTTTCTTTTGTAATGCTTCATCCCCTGATGATAATAATCTCCAAAGGATGAATGCGTTATCTCTAAGATCTGCATTTTCGCAGTCTTTTGTAGCAACTTCCAAAACTTTTTGCAATAAATCATTAAATTTTCCCAAAGATAAATTAATTTTCACAGTGGTTGTTAAAATATTCAATTGAACTGCAACATCAAATTCTAAAAAGTCATTTATTAATGATTCAAGTTTTTCACGTAAATTTGAAAAAAACTTTGGATACTCCCCAAGAATCCATACAAATCCAGCTAATGCTTCATTTTTGTCAAGCCCAGAAGAAAAATTTGAAATTATTGGAATAACCAAAGACGCTATATCATTTTTGCCGGGGTATCTTCTTAAAATATTTGTTAAAACAATAACTGATTCATTTATTATTAAATCACCACCCCTTTGATCTATGATATCATTCAAAAGATTTACCGCTTTGACCACCAGGCCATTTAATTTTATGGCAACAGCACCAATAGATTTAATAGCCTTTGTAACTAATGCAGGTTCAAACTCCATTGAATATTCTCTTAATTCTCCAAGTAATAAATCACTATTTGATTCATTTGCCAAACGGATCATTATATCTAATTTCTCTAACTTTAGGTAAAGAGGATCTGAATATTTTATAAAGAACACTCTCAATTCTTTTGATAAAATATTTGGATACTTTTCCAAAATTATTCTAATATTTTTTAACCCCACGTATTGAGCTTCTGGGATTGATGAACTAACTAATGAAACTAATGGAGCTGATAACTTTTTAAGAATCTGTTGCCTTTGTGCTGTTACATTTATGCTTTCTACATGACAAAGAATAGCCTTTATAGAGCTCAATACCACCGAAGGATTTACATGTTGTAATTGTGGAATCACTCTTTCAATTATATGATTTGCTTCTTCAGTTTTCCCTTTAGTGCTGTATTCTGTTAACGTAGTCAAAATTGTTATTCTTCCCCATTCAGTACATTCATTTAAACATAGTAATAAACTTTTGACTACTTCCCCATTAATTGTTAAAATTTCCAAATTTGGGTCTTGATTCATATCTCTTATTTCATACAATGCATTTATAGAATTTGCAATAACCATAGGGTTTGAATCACCTAACAACTTTTTTAAATCATCCAAAAAACCAAATTCAACACACATTTCTGGATTCAAATCAAATAATTTAGCTACACATATAGCGGCGGTTTTTCTAACATAAGGATTTTCATCTTTTAAAGTTCTGCTTAATGGTGTTTCAATATAATCAACCATTTTTGCAACTCTTATACAGCCCATTGTTCTTATAGCTAAGGCTCTAATTAGAGGATTTGGATCTTCAGTATCTTGAATAAAAGTATTCACCGCCAAAATACATAATTCTGGATGAGATTTTGCATAATTCATTAGATAAAGGTAAACTAATTTTTTTTGTTCTAAATCATAAGTTGCAATATTCTTTAAGACATCGGGAAATAAAGAAGAAACATCTTTACCAACTGTCATTGCTTGTATAACTCTTTGAATAGCATCTTTTCTTTCATGTTTATATTGAGATACTAAACCATTTTTTAATTCGAAAGTTTCTCCCTTTTTAGGTCCCAGTAGAAATTTTCTCAACCTTCTTTCAACAACACTATTTAACTTGATAAGATTTTTATTTATAGATTTTTTGTTGATATTCATGTTGAAATTTGGTAAAATTGAGAATTGTTCACTTGAAACAACGCATAAATAATAATAAACTTCAAAACATTAATACAAACAAAGTTTTGTCGTAAAAAAATGACATAAATTCTTAACAGACACTCAACTGGTAGCAAATTGTCTGATTTTGAAAATTTATAGAGTCTACAACAATAAAGTCAATTGAGTATCTTCAAACCTCGTGAATAGAGCATATGGCAATATAACTTCTTGAATTTACTATCAAAAGGATGTTGAGCCTTTTTGCTCTCGAATTTGGGTTACTTTGCCTTAGGAGGGACATTTACTGAAAATTTGCCAAATTTCCAAGCATTGATCCCGAATTAAAGCTATCACTGATCCTTCTAGTCTAATTATGTTCATATTCCACACCTAACTTTATCTTTTAGATATCTTTCTTAGGTGTGTTCATCTTAACTCTACACTTCTAATATCATTTAATTTTGCACATACAAAAAAACATCAGATTTTAATTTTTCTCACCAAATTTAAACCAATAAAAAAAAGTATTATTTACTTACCATACTTACTTCATTATTAAAACTTAACAAACCACAATGTATGTACACCACCTATGATTCAATCATAGCATAACCATCAATTTTCAACGCGTCTTATACTAACTTATTCAGGGATCCACAAAGAATTATTGAATTGCAAAGAAGATATCAAAATACTCCAAAACCTTTATGGTTAAGAGGAAAACAATCAGCTATGTTAGTTTATCCATTTTATGCTTTATTTGCTGTTACAACTGCATTTCCTTTATATTACTTGGGTAGAGCTATCGCTGGTATTAAAGAAAAATAATTTTGGTGGTCGTGATACAACATATTGGAGTAATATGATTTATGTTTGAATTATTTATTCGCTCAATTTAATAAAAGAATTTACGTTTACATTTTAAGTTATTAAAATCTAGTTATTAATTAAAGCTATGTTTCCTATTCATATATGCTATTTTCTTCATTATCATCATCGTCATTATTATCGAAATAATCATTTTCATCATAAATTTCTTGATCACTACTATTAAACCCATCATCTTCTAAATTTTCCAAATTTTCATCATGAAATTCTGCTAATGCATCTATTAAATCATGGGATTCAGTACCTGAATCTTCCTCTAGTTGTAGTCTTGCAAAACTATCATCATCTTCGCGTTCTTGATCACTATTACTATAAACTTGTAATTCTTCGTCTGTATCACTAACATATATTATATGAGGTCTTGAATTTGAATTTCTTGCACTATCAAATCCTTCCCAATCAGAATGTTCATCTTCATCTTCATCTTCATTATCAGAAGTCCATATTCTTCTTCTTGAAGTTGCACTAGCAGCGTTTATTATGTCTGATTCTGTAATACTTTCTTCATCTTCATCGCCATTATCATTCATTTCCAACCATATTTCTTCTGCTGTTCTTGAATCAATAAAACTATCATCTGAATCATAATTATCTGCAACTTCTTCAATACCTCTTACGTCTTCATAAAATTCATCATCTTCTTCATCTTCTTCGTCATCTGAATTAGGAGTTCTAAATCTACTTCCACAATGTAAGCATACACTACCATGAGCTTCCCAATTACAATTGCCACATCTTGGTACACCATCTGAATTATCCAACATTGTAAATGTACAATTTGTAAAAATTTCACCAAATATTCTTTTTTGTTTTAAGTGTGATTCGTAAGCTAAATATCCTTCAATTTTACGTTTTTTAAACGATTCTATATTTGAATCTAAATTCAAATCAATTATTAGTTCTCCAATGTTTTTACATATCTCATCTAATTGTAAATTTAAAACTGGTTTTAATTGTATTTTATGACGACATGTTGGACAATTTATTTTATTTTTAAACCATTGATGTAGACACTCATAACAAAAAGTATGGCCACATTCAACTGTCATTGGAGCTATCATTACTTCTGAGCATATCGAACATTCTAATGAATTTGTGATCTTCAATAATAAATTTGATGTTAATGAGGAGTCCTAAAGGAGTTAGTACCATACTCGTTGAAACATATAATTTTTAAAACATACTACTTTATTCCATGTTAAACCATTTTGTAAATCATTCTGTAGTGAACTTTCCATTTTGTTGATTGTAAAATCATTTAATGGGGAATCAAAAATAAAAATATTAAATTAATAATACATTGATTTATTATACTTAATAATAGTTACGTACACAAACAGAAAAAGATAAAAAAAAACATGCTACCAAGCAAAAATCAATATTTCTTATCAGAGAAGTTTCGAGTGAAACAGTGCTAAAACAACAAGTCTATTTTTTGACGACTTTTAACATAAATAAAAAGCTCTTGAATGTTGTTCAAAAAAAAAATAATGCATATATTTGTTCTATTTACTCAGATGTTGTCTCCACATCTCCAAAGTGTTCATAGTTTCTTCAATCATTTTTGGTACATCTTCTTCATCTTTCTTTAATATGGTCTTAATATCTCCAATAAATGATCTTAGTTTTCGAACACATTTCCATCCCAAATCTAATTCTAGTTTATCGGACCTCGCCAGTTTTTTACGAAGACTGTTTGCAAGCATATTTTCAATATATATCGATTGAGTTAATAAATATGGACTGAGATATATTTCCTCCAAGGGAAAATCATGCACCAATGAAACCATCATTTTATAATCTCTCATTTTCAAGTACATTCTCATTTCCATTACAAACTTCATCATTTTATTCTTATCATTCAAATTATTTGTATCAATAGAACTAAATAAATATCTTGCTTCTTCTAATAAATCAAAATTTATCAACATTCTAATGAAGAAAAACTTATGACTATCATTTAATGAATCTTTATTTGATTTGAAGTATTGAATCAAATGTTCTTGAGATAAACTTGGATGTTTTAAAGACCTTAGTTCCAAAGTCTTTTGGTTCTTCCAATTATATTGTCTTGTTTTGGTAAGTAAACTTTTAATGTATAATCTATCTCCCAAATCACCCATTCTAAAAGTATCAAGAACCAAATTGAAATCTGGTAAAATCCCTTGATGCAAAAGTACAGGAAATCCTTGTTCAATACGAAACCTGATTTGTGAGAGGTTTTTATGTGTTGGCCCACCAAACTTTAATTCTGACCAATTTTTATATTTTCTTTGATTTATTGGAATTTTTAAGTGAAATGGATAAAATTGTGATGAAATTTTATGAATCTTAAAATGATGAGGTTTGTTTAACCAAAAATTCAATGAATCAGCTAGTAGTGGGGAGAATCTTGAATATGAATATATAAAAGTTTTTAAAATTGGGTTTAGGTAATCATTTTTATAGGGTATCGTGGTTATACTATTTTGTATTAACTTCAATAATGGCACAAATTGATCATGTCTTTCATAAAATTCCAAAAGTGATTCAAAAAACTGGATTGGTACGTCTTTCTCACTTTTATCTTTATATAACCTAATAATATAGTTTATATGTTCTAAATTTGAGTATTTTGTCATAAATGTTAACCAATGACAACAAAACACTTCAATATCCTTCTGGTCCTCTGGCATTATGGACTCAATGAGGTTGTAATCGTTTTCCAAAAAATTCTTTTTAAGGGAAAGATACTCTCTATTGATAATTTCATTTTGTAGTAAGACACTTTGAACCAAGTAATGCTGTCCATAGTTTTTGTTGATTGATCTTTTGAACTCCTTAATTTCATGATAAGTTCCAAATTTATAAAATTGATAGAGCAATAAAGCTATCAGTTCAGGTTTTGGTGATTCGCATTTTGGTGAATTGATCCATAATTGATAGACATAAAATAAATTCTCAAAAAGACTTTCATGTAGTATCAATTGATTTATTATGGTATGAAATAAATTTGATGATAATTTGTGCTTAGTTGATACAATTATTTTTTGATAAAATGATTTAAAAACTTCAATCTCGTAGTTGACAATGAATAAGTTTAGAAAGCATGTGGTTGTATTTTCATTTGGATTTGGTATGGCGAAGAACGATTCAATGATTTTTTCAAGATTATTTGTATGATAATAAATCCATACTTTATATGAGTTTGTGTTTGTTGGTAGTTTATTTACAAGTATTTGAATGAATTGTATAGATTCATTAGTACGTAGAAGTTTCTGAGCATCAAAAATGACTGTTTCATCGTGTAAAGATAAGGGTAAATTTGCAATTAGTCCACAGTTTTTTTCCATATACTGAACTTCCAGATCTAGAATATATATAATTTCCTCATTTGATAGTTTTTCACAATTTTCAAGTATTTGATCGTAACATTTATTATCTAGTAGTATTCTTAAATGTGGGAATTCTTCACGTTTAAAGACGTGTTTACTGCTAGTATTTTCTTCCAAATTTTCCTTAGTGATTAATTTTTGCAATGGTTTAATCAACCAATTAAAATATGACGCAGTTGAAGCTGAAGATAGTCGAGTTTTGCAATTTTGATTTAAATATGGATTTCTTTTAAGTTGATAACTCCATCGTATTCGTTCTGTTATTTTTTGAGTCAACCGTAGCCGTTGTCGATGAGATATTTGATTATATAGTATCATTGTTTTGCCTATGTGAGTGAAATACGATGTGTTATATCATTACTTTTGAATATAGTTGGTTGATCTTTAACTTGGTGGAATGATTTTTGCAATAAAATAAAATCGTAGAAGTTTTGAAAAAAAATCTAATATTCTCAAGGTAGCGTTTATTCCTAAACTTGAAACATACAATAAAAATAGCAAAATACAACGAGAGAATATTCTGCAAGAACTTTTTCACTTATAGAGTATTTATTACACGAGATGAGTTACTAATGTATAAAATGAAATATATATTATCTGTTTAACCGAAACTAAATATACAAAGGGTATCAAAAATATAAAACCGAATGAAAATGTTGAAAAAGAATTGAAAAATATGCAATGTAATGAAAATAAATGCTAAATGTAAAATGCTAAATGCTGATGCTAATGCTAATGATAAATAATCAGTGACTTAAAAAATGCTGGATGCTAATGCTAAATGCTAATGCTGAATGTAAAATGCTAAATGGATGTAAAAAATTGATTAAATAAAAACTAATCCAATGGCTGCAAAAATTCCAATGAAAGCACCAACGAAAGAGCTTCTCAATTTTGGAGCTGAACCCTCTGAAATAATGATTGGAGAAGTTGAATTATCAAAAATGATACTTGTTGATTGAAGTTGTGTTGAAAAAATTTCGAAACTTACATCATCTCTTTTATGATTATTGTGGACTTTAGCTAAGACAAACTTTTGTTTTGTAGTTGTAAGTGGACAATAAGTTGTGTAGGTTGTATCGGTTTCAAAATCAGTTACAGTAATGACAGTAATACCAGTTTGGACTGTATGAGTAGCACATCCATTTCCATTATTTGCACATGAAGTTATTGTAATCTCGGTTGTTTGTTTGGCTGTTTGGGTTGTAGTCAATGTCATGATGGTTTCATCTGATTTAGTTGCTGGGATTGTTGAAAAGGTTTGTGGTGCAGTATTTGAGCTGAAAGTATATGGAGATGATGATGATATGATTGAGCTTGAAGATGATGAATCAGTGGTGGTAGATAAATACGATGAAGGAATACTTGGTGATGCAATTAATGATGAAGAAACATATTCAGATGAGCTTGGAATTGACGATGATGCTAAAGATACTCCACTAGATGAAAGCTCAATTGAGGAAGGTTCGATTGATGAACTTTCACTTGATGATGAACTGGAAAATGTTGATTTAAGTGTAGTTGGAGCTGCAGATGATGTTGGTATAATGGATGAGGTTGGTAAAATGGTGGTCTCAGTAGAAGTCAAAGGACAATAAGTCGTGAAAGAAGTAACAACATCGGAAATAGTAGTAGTAGCGACTGTTATACCAGTTGTTATATGAGTTTTAGAACAACCATGTTCACCACAATAAGTTGTTGTTAAAATTGTAGTTGATTCAGCAGTGTGGGTAACAAAGGTAGTTGACCATTGGGTAGACCAATTTTCAGAATTACTTGTAGTTGCTGATGTTAATGGAGCTGCAATCAAACTTGATGAAGCAGTTGTAGCGTCAATTGAACTTGGTGAATAAGTGGAGGAGCTTGAAATTGGAACTGGAGATGATGATACAAGTACTGAACTAGATGATGGAGCAATTATTAAACTAGATGATGAGCCAGCTACTGAGCTTGATGATGGGACAACTACCGAGCTTGATGATGGAACAACTACTGAACTTGATGATGGAAGAACTACTGAACTTGATGATGAAACAACTACTGAACTTGATGATGGAACAACTACTGAACTGGATGATGGAATAGATACTGAACTAGATGATGGAGCAACTACTGAGCTTGATGATGGTTCAATGAATGAACTTGATGACGGAACAACTACTGAACTTGATGATGGAAAAACTACTGAGCTTGATGATGGAACAACTACTGAACTTGATGATGAATCAACTACTGAACTTGATGATGGAACAACTACTGAACTTGATGATGGAACAACTACTGAACTGGATGATGGAATAGATACTGAGCTTGATGATGAATCAACTACTGAACTTGATGATGGAACAACTACTGAACTGGATGATGTAATAAATATTGAACTAGATGATGGAGCAACTACTGAGCTTGATGATGGTTCAATGAATGAATTTGATGATGGAGCAACTACTGAGCTTGATGATGGAACAACTACTGAGCTTGATGATGGAATAACCACCGAGCTTGATGATAATACAGTAATAGAGCTAGATGATGAAACAGTAATTGAACTAGATGATGAACCAACTACTGAACTGGATGATGGAACAACTACTGAACTAGATGAGTGGACTGAAAAAGATGGGATATCACTTGAACTTGATAAAGTATTACCTGATGATGATGATGATGAAATTATGATTGAGACTGGAGTAGATAATGCTGAACTTGATGTTGGTGAAGCTACAACTGATTCGCTGGTACTTGAGACTAAACTTGATGGTCCGAAACTTGAATCGAATGAACTCGATGAACCTAGACTTGAAGTACTTGATAAAATAGTGGTTTCAGTAGAAGTCAAAGGACAATAAGTCGTAAATTCAGTGACGATATCTGATATGGTAGTAGTAGCGACTGTTATACCAGTAGTTATATGAGTTCTAGAACAACCATGTTCACCACAATAAGTTGTTGTTAAAATAGCTGTTGTTTTTGCAGTATGAGTAACATAACTGGTCAACAAGTCAGTTGATGATGTAGTTGAGTCTGTTGTAGCATCAATTGAACTTGATGGATATACTGAACCAATAGTTGAAGCACTTAATGATGAAATTAATGAGGATTCACGTACACTTGATTGGATAGATGAGTAAACTGAGGAAACTCCAGTACTTGATCCAGTAACGATGCTTTGTGGTATTGAAGATGAAGCTGATCCACTATTTACATTGGGGAAAGTTGAAGCTGAAACTAAATTTAATGAACTTGCGGTGGTAAAAGAAATTAATAATGAGCTTTCTGATAAGTAAACACTCAGAGTACCAACAGTACCTGATGATGATGATGATTTGATTAAAGTACTTGATGGTAATGAAGAAACTAAATTGGTGGTTGAAACAAATGAAGGTGTTGTAATTGAACTGGATTCAGGAGTACTTAAAGTTAAACTAACATAATTTGAGTTTGATGATACTGCATTTGTAGTAGATGAGCTTGCAGGTATATTTGAAGTAGTCAAAATGAAAGTTTCAGTTGATGTTAAAGGGCAGTATGTTGTGTAAATAGTTTCTATATCATGAATAGTTGTTGTTATTTCAGTAATACCAGTTTCAACTAATGAAGTTGAACATCCACCTTTTTCATTACAGCTAGTTATTGATAATGTATGTGTTCTTGTAGCAGTATGAGTTGATAATGAAGTAAAAGTTGAAATTGAAGCTGTACTTGATAATGTAGAGACTAAAGTATTTTCAGTTGATTTTGAATTAGTGGTGGTAGTTGCAACATTGGTATTGGATGAGCTTGAACTTGAACTTGGTGTAATAATAACAGTACTTGTTAAAGGAACTAATGAAGTTGTAGAAATTTCCGAAGTTTCACCATTTGGAGCTGTAACAGTTATAGTAATGATATTAATACCAGTTGAATGAACGTCAGTTGAACAAGCACCATTAGCATCACATGATGAAGTAGAAATTAAAGTTGTAGATTGGGCTAGTATTTCAGAAGTTGTAGCTGAACCAGGAGTGGTGGAAGCGATACTTGAAGTGCCTGAATCTGAACCAGAACCAGTTGAAACAATATCAGTTGAGCTTGTACCTAAAGTGACCACTTGTGTACTTGTTAAAGGAACTAAAGTAGTAGATGAGATTTCTGAAGTTTGACCATTTGGAGCTGTAACAGTTATAGTAATGATATTAATACCAGTTGAGTGAACGGCAGTTGAACAAGCTCCATTTGCATCACATGATGAAGTAGTAATTAATGTTGTAGATTGGGCTGGTATTTCAGATGTAGTGGTCGTTAAAATTGCTGTAGTTGATGAAGTTGAACCTGTAGTAGGTAAAATTGAAGTTGAATCACCTTTGTTTTGATCATTAGTTGATGTACTTGGTGATGGATTTCCACCTGATGTTAAAGTTAAAATCTCTGTTGATGTTAATGGACAGAAAGTAGTGTAGATTGTTTTAATGTTATGAATGGTGGTAGTTAATTCAGTGATTCCAGTTTCTTGTAAAGTAGTTGAACATTGACCATTTTCACATTGAGTTCTGGTGATTGTATGGGTCGAGGTTGCTGTATGAATTGATTGGGTAGTATAAACAGTAGATGGACCAGATGAACCATTGGTTTCTCCATTTTCTTGAGTTGTAATAGAACCAGAAATAATTGAAGTAGAAATAGCAGAATCTGAACTTGAAGTTGAACTTGAACCAGTAGAAACAATATCAGTTGAACTTGTACCTAAAGTAACAACTTGAGTACTTGTTAAAGGAACTAATGAAGTTGTAGAAATTTCTGAAGTTTGACCATTTGGAGCTGTAATAGTGATTGTAATGATATTAATACCAGTTGAATGAACGTTAGTTGAACAAGCTCCGTTTGCATCACATGAAGAAGTGGTAACTAAAGTAGTAGATTGTGCAGGAATTTCAGAAGTAGTAGTAGATGAAACAGCAGTATTTGATGATAACGATGAACCAGTAGAAACTTTTGTGGTATCTAAAATTGATGAACTTTCAGAGAATTGAGATGATTGTGACAAAGTAGCAGATGATGAAACAAATGAAGGTAAAGTTTGGGTAATTGAACTAAAATCTTGTGATTTTGAACAATAAGGAATATAAGAAATTGAAGTAACTGTTGTAGTTTGAATGCAATGATCGGGACATCCTCCTTTATCTCTTTTAAACATTGCAGCAGCAAATATTGATGGAGCCAAAGTTGTAAGTGCCAAATAGTTACTAAACCTCATGATTGATAAGATGGTTATTGAGTAGATTACAAATTAATTTTGATACTTAATTCTGGGGAATTTCAGCATCTTTATATGAATTCTATAACTTGTAATTACACAATCATGTTAAAACTGATTTCAACGTGGATTAATTGAAAACAAATATTATTAAAAATCTGAAACAAATAATTCTATTGTTATCAAATTTGTAATTCAAAAAAACCCTTTCGTTGCATCGTTAAAATTTAATTAAAAAGCATTTTTTGCTTCAATTAAATAGTATGTGTTTCATGAACGATCTGCATTTTTTGTATTGAGTGTTAAAGTGGATCAAATCAATTAAAAATAAATTAAAAAGAAAACATGAAACAATTGTGCATAAAAAATAAAATATTTTTAAAACTTTCATTTTCAATTTTTGTTTGAACCCTTTAGTAGTACTGCATATAATACAACATTTGGTACTACCTACAGATTATCTAAGTATATAATAAATTATTATATTTACCTCTTGTAATTTATCACTTTTTTCGTTTGTAGAATTTCAGTTTGAAATTTCAAAGACTACGAATGGTTTATTATATTTGGTTAATTTGAGATAAACATTTTTCGGGAATATGTTTTTTGTACACAAAATATTAAATATTGGAGAGTGATATAAATTTCAAGTTTAATAGAAAAGAAAAATCCAAGTAGTCAGTAGCAACCAAGCAAAAAGTCAGAGGCCAAATAGAAACGGGGAACAAGGAGAACCTCACTTTACCTGAAGAATTGAGTGCTTGATTTGTTGGCAAAAAAATTCACTAGCTCCTATTGTTATTGCAATAGCTTGTATTTTTAAAAGATATACTCAATTAAAAAGTTATTTTAGTAAAGGTTTATTTAACAACTTTCCTCTTACTTTGTTTTTGACAGTAAAAGTTCATCTGGATGTTGTTAGCAAGTAAGTATTCTGTCTTAGTTTCTTAATAAAATATTTTAATTATTCTGAAACACATAAATAATAATTTGCAGTGAATCTTACACAAAGAAGTTTAAATTTCATAATTTTTTTTTTGCACATTTCCGCTGAACTAGAAGAATTTTAGAACCTTTCGTAAATTATAAATTAGTGCTCGTCTTTAATTTATTCATATGATAATATGGAAGATTCGCTGTATCATACATGAATGGCTTGATATTTATTCCTGTTAATCGGGTAATTTCTATTTAGAAACTTTCCCATAAATCAAAAAGATGTTCGACAATTCCAATTCATTTATTCACATGTTTTACAACTACGATTGTAGCAAAACAATAAAAATGAAAGGGCCATTTTTCACTACGAAATCACATATTTAATTCATACTTATCCAATATGCGAGAAATAGATAATTATTAATATACTATTCAAGACTTCCAATTCTCCATATCTCTAAACCTAATATTTTAAACAGTCCAAATTGTAGATTTTGCTCTCCATTTGTATTTAATATTTCATTACCAAAAGTTTCACACGCATAACTAACACCCTTACATAAGGATTTATCTATATATAATCCATTTTGTCCATGAGATGAACCAATTGCAATAAAGTCATGATTTGAATAGATCATATTATCATTTATACCAGTATACATAAATGCTTTAAATCTTACTTCATGTTTATTCTGCTTTTGGTTATTGCTATGATTTAATTTTGATGGATCATATTTTTCACATTTCCATAGAAAACATTCACCATTTCCGTAATATCTCTTATGATCCATTGGTTTCAAATTTTCATTTAAAAAGGCTCCAAATTTCGAATTATTTTCGTCTTTAATTATCAATACATAACCTTGTGGTCTCTTGGGCTCTATTGATGAATAATGCGGATTACTATTTGTTACCATCATTTTATTAACAACTGAATCAGCAAACCCCTTTTCTTGTTTCTTCCTCTTTTTATATTCAGCTAATTGATGTTCTGGTCTTGAATTTCTATATAATGTGTTTAATGATATACCATGTTGATTCAATGAATAAATTAAATCCCATCGATCAAATAGTTGTAATCTCGCTGGTAACAAATTCCGTATATTACTTGCTAATTCTTGATCTAATAACTTATGTTTTGAATTTGGCTTATACCCATAAAACATAATTGGAGGTAGGGGTGGTAATGCACTCAATTGACTCGATGAACTAGATGATGATGCTAATGATGAAGATGAATTATTTCGACTTGTACTTCCAACTAAACTTTTCAAAAATGATGTCCTTGATTTTGGTGGTTTCTTTTGAGAGTCTGGTAATTTTTCATTTGATAATTCTTCTTTTTGGTCTAGATCATCAATTGGTTTCTCCAGTATGTTATTTTCTTCCCGATTGGGTTCTTGAGATGTTGGTGGTGGTGATATTTTGTTGTCTAAATCCGTTTCTTCAGTAGGTTTCTCTTCATCTTTTGAAAATGATCTTCTGAATAAAAATGACATAACTAATTGAACCTAAGATCTCGGATCTAAGATTAAATTCAAAGTTAATTAAATTGGTCTTCGAATTTCCTTATCAATAATTTTGTGATTTCTATAGAATAAGTTGATGCTATTTACATTTATATTTGCGTTTTTTAATAATTCTGGGGAAAAAAAGAATAAGATCCAAATAATTAAGCAACCAAGTTTTTTCTAATTAAGTAAATTTATAATTGTTTATTAAATCTAACTAAACCTATTAAGAATTCTGTTGCAATTTTACAACTATCTATAAAGTAAATCTCAGGGAAATCAGTTGATAATTTTGAATCTAAACCTGCCATACCAGCACAACCTAATAATACACAATTTATATGATCATTTTTATATTGTTCATTTAAAATATGATTAACTTTCTTTTTAATTTTACCATATTCTTCTTTATCTGCTAAATTTGTAACATTTATATTTAACCCAATAGTTTTTTGAAATCTGTTTACTGGAAATTCCTTATATCCAAAATAATTGGTAATTGCTTTATCAAGTATTGATTCCCATTCAGACGTACTAGTTAGAATGAACAGTCTTGTAACATTTGGATTCAGTAATGTGTAAAGTAAGGTTGCTTGCATTATCCCCATGACTGGTTTTTTACTCAATTCACTCAATGATCTTACTAGCGGGTGATCTGAATAACAACAAACCATAAATCCATCATAATCATTTGCAATATTTTTATCTTTTATATCTTTCAACACTATAATTTCTGATTCTTTTGAAGTCTTTTCACCAGTAATCTCTTTGGGTGCATTAGAAGGGGCAGTATAAAATGATAAATTGACATTTTCAGGAGATCTCAAAATTCCCTTTAAGTTGTTGGTTACTTTTTCTGAACTATTTGGGTTAATTATTAATAATTTCATATTTGGTTGTTGAAGTATTGAAACTTTTTGTTGCAAAAAAAAAAAAAACACAGATTTAAATTTCTGGAGATCTCCAAATCAAACACGCCAAAATACAACAATTTATCATATGGGTTTCAATGCCATTATCGATAACAACAAACATAAACTAATATGGTGTAAATCAATTTCAACATTATCAGCCATTTCAGAAGCTATAAATTTCACGATCAAAAAGAAATCATTATCATTATCAGCTATCAATGTTAGTAGAACTTCACATGGAGAAATCATATTTAAGGAATCATTTTTTAATTCATTTGAAGTAGATTTTCATAATATACTACCTGAAGGGTTTGAAAAGGAGATGCTAGAAGAAGAGCAGACGTATTCGTTCATGATCAATTCAAAACATTTAGCTACATTATTTAGGAATCTAGATTCAAACAGTATGAAATATATAAACCTAAAGATTCATTGGTCTAAAACATCACCAAATAATTTGAAATATAAACTCTTAATAGAAATACTAAACAAGAAGATGATCATCAAGAAATATCAGACTGGTTATTTACCAATCACCAGAAAGGAAATTAAAATAGCATCAAGTTATAAGGATCAATTTTGTAAACAAGAAGAGAATGAAGAATTTATTACTACTGCTGACAAAATCTATCATATAATGATTGATCTAATTATACCCAAACAATTTCTAGAGATGGTTCCTTCAGCAGCTGAAGATTTTAAAATTGATATTAAAAATGAAAAAGTCCTGTTTGGTGGATATACTAAAGCAATTGTTAAAGATAGGGATTATATAAAACAACCAATGGCAGTTACAGTCACCATAAGTCTTGATGAATTAGCTGACAGTAATTTAATAGTACCCGAATCACAAGGAGAACCACTTCGTAAATTAATAAACTTTGGAATGCGAGATTTCAAAAACTTTTTAAATTTAGTTGGTTATTTCACCTCATCGGCATCATCTTATGCAGAACAATTTGATGAAGAATATGTCTCACTAGGTAATCAAAATGATTATTTCCATATATATTTTAAAGAAGCAGGAGATCCCATATTATTTGATTTACAAAATCATCAACATGTTGATGTACAATTTATACAAATTACAGCTGGTGATAAATCTACAATACAAGAAGGTGAAAAAGAGATTGATCCTCTGACTATTAAAAAACATCTATCATTGGAAGCACCAGTAATCCACAAGATTGATAAACAACAACCACCAAAAGAAATTGAAATTGAAAGAGAGCCAGAACCAGAACAAGATGAAGTGTATGGTAATGATTTTGCTTCGAGAGATTCTTCACAAGAAGAACCATCAATGAGAAAATTTACGTTTGGTAGACTACCTACAAATAATGAACAAAATAAATTAAATAAAAGAAATTTAGCTAAAAGAGATAATAGTGATGGATTTTTATTCTCAGAAGGTAATGAAGATGTTGTAACTTATGATAACAATCAAACAACAACGAACAAAGAATATGATAGGGGTGCTGATACAGAATATAGTGACTCAGAAGAAGACTATGAACAGCCCCAACTTAAAAGAAGATTGATTGACACACCAGATGAATTGGGCCCAACGCAAGTTGGTGAAAAAGTAGAATCAATTTTTTAAACTAATGAATGTAATGATTTAAATTAATGTCTATATAATTTAGTCAAGATTGTAGGTCCTGCCATTGATATCTTTTTTTTCTCCGTAATCTACGTGTACACTCCACGGTAAATCATTAGAAGAATACTTTGTGGGTGGAAGTGCAAATGGCATTCGAACATATGTAGTATCTTCTTCATCATTACTATCCTTTAAATATACAGGCTTTAGTAAGGTGTTTTCTCTTGGTGTAACTAGAACACCTAATTCATAACTACTAACTTCATACTGGTTTGGGCTATCATTAACAAATGCATTCCCTTTCCTACTTCCCCAAGCTTGTTTCGATAGATTATGACTTCCCATATAACACCATTTTAAAGTTTTCCAATCATCACCATTATCACACATATATAATTTTACGTGAGGTACAACTTTTTCTCGACCTGTTGTCAATCTTGAACCACTCGAGTTCCACTTTTTAATGAATGGTTTTATTGCTTGATTGAAATAATTTTTATGAACAAATGATTTAGTATAATTGAAGTGAATAGCTTGACCTGCAAGATATCCTACGTTACTTTGTGCAACTTCATCTACAGTTGGGTAAACTATACTTGGTGTGTAATTATGTTTAGTTTGATGAGATTTAATACTATCCTTACCAGGAGGTAATAACTTAAAATGATTTTTTGAAAATATTAATGGACATAATAAATGAGTGAAGATACCGGCAGTCGACCATTTTTCAGTAGAAAAGGGGTATGATATGGCTGATACTTGAGCTAGTATATTATAATGTTTTTCTTCACTAGTATTGTCTAATAGTAAGTTATTAAGTTTAAGCACATCACGTAAATTACCATATCCATAATGTTGATCATTATCCTCCAAATTATAAGTACCAGGAGCTGATGCAACTAAGTCAACTTCAATACCCAGAAAATTGAATTCACTTAAACGTTGTGCAAGGTCATCTATTCTAGACTTTTTGTATTTTCTCAAATAACTTAACAAATCCGATTTGAATCGTATACTTTTAGATCCTTTTGTTTCACCCTTAGCTAATCTCCCGGATCTCCAAACCATTTGTGTTAAACCTCCAAAATCCAACTTAGTTATGTTTGCTGACATTATAACAACTTCAACTGTAGAATCATCAAAGAAATTGATCATCATCTTCGTATGATGAGTTCCGAATCTATTTGGAATACTTGCAACAACTTCATGAATATTATAATTTGATTTTATTGACTCAGTTTCTTCATATTCAGGATCTAATAATCTTCCACCTGTTATGAACACTATTTTCTTTTTCTTTGTTATAAAACTATGATCTAAGAATGTTAAAAAAAATGGAAGATCAACGTTGAAATTAAATTGATAGGTTTCTTCAAGTGAATTTGATCCTATTAAATCATGTATTCTGACTGTGTCTTGATTGACATTTTGCAATTGATTTTCTGGATAACTAGGATTATATAGTAGTTTGATTGGTGAAGGAAATGAACTTTTAGTCTCTTTTGCAGCTGGCTCTTGCACTATCGGTTCATTATTTGACACTTCATCAATCGCATCTTTTGTCTTTTGCTTCTTTGCCCAATGATTAGATGCTGCTTGAAAAGCTTCCGATTTTCTTTTAGTACTCATCAAGACTTTTGAAAGAGGTATTGGTGGTTTGGGTGAAATTATATATCCTCGGGAAAACAACGTTATACAAGTGTTTTGGTGCTATAGGCTTTGATGACTTTTGCTCTTTTCATCAAACGTTGTGGTACTTTTTGATATTCATTGAAGGAATTCATTTACTCTTTCAAATGAATCGGATCTATTCCTTAGATTTTGTGATACATTTATATAAGCGAGACGCATTTCCTTTACAAGATATTTTTAGATCAAGACTTTGCCAGGCAAAGTTATATTATTTGTCAAGATTTTAATTAACAAATCAACTCAGAGACTTCATAGGTTAATTTTCGTCGATACTAATATCACACGTCTTATTTGCTATTTAAATTGGTTTAATCAAATACTTAAATGTTCTAGTATAAATGACAATTTCTTTTAATTACCAAAATAACGAAATTGTTTCATCACCGACAGTTATAGTTAGTGGGTCAACTTCAACAGGACTTCACCGAGGGGTAATAGGTTTCACGAATAATGGCAATAAAGTATTCCCACCTCAATATTTTGAAGTTAATAATGGACAATTTAAAGCTATAATTCATGTTTCACCAGGTGAACCAAACAACTTTGAAATAGAAATATATGATAATGCATTCATAAATCCATTTGGGTTTCCTGATTATAATGGTAAACCACATACAGTAGATAAAGGATTTTTGATACTTAGTTTTAATCCCTTACCACAAAATAAACCCGTTTATTTATGTATAATTAGGGGAAGAGATTCACCAAATACTTATGATATGCCAAATTATAGATTAGCTAGAGGCGAGCGTCCAACATTAGAAAATGCCATCAAGAAATTAAAAGTTGCAGGCAGATTAATTCAAGCATATACTCAGGATGAAATGAGAGCTGTTGGTTTCAGTAATAGATCATTCCAATTTGTTGAAGAAACTGTACTGAATCAATCACTTTTTGGTTATAATGTTAATTCTCCAACACCTCATCAAGAAGTCAAAGTATTTGTTCTAACAAGTCCCAAATCCGTTGCGGAACTTAGATCACCAGATTTGGCACAACAAAACCCAAAAGCTAAAGATTCGGGTGGTCTATTTAGTCATGCAATTGATCTTATAAAAAACACTCCAGAAATTTATAATTCCAAAAATGGTACAGCTGTTCAATGTGCTGTATTTTATATAGATTCAACTTTTGATAAGAGGAATAATATGATCTTGGCGCATGCAGCATTAGGTGGAGGAACAAATGAGGTGAAACTTGGTATATTTGGTTCACATGGATTACACTCGTTTGCACAAAATTTTCCTTTGGTTACACCATCTTTTTTAGATGATACAAGACTCTCTACCCTGGAAGTTGCAAATGATTGTGGAGAATGCTCTACAAGTTATGAATGTTATAATATATGCTTTGGAGCTTTTATTCACGAAGCTGGAGGACATATGCTCGGATGTCCTCACCAAGTTGATGGTATAATGCTTAGAGATTACGTTATGCTAAATCGTTCCTTTATGACTAGAGAATTGAAAAATGTTAGAACTGGCTCTTCTGGTAAAATTATAGGTAGTGATGGTCAATGGCCAGTATGTCATTGGAATAGATTAGATTTAATTAGATTTTTATTTCATGATTCATTTTCCTTACCAATTGATAATTTTGAAAAAGTTTATTCAACAACAATGAAACCTGACAATCTGTACCAATTATCAACTTCACCAAGTCTGTATGCTCTATCAAATGGTGCAATTGCAAAATCGGATAATGGAATATTTTTAGTAGAGGTGGTCGATGGAGAATTAGCCAGATATCATGAAGCATATTTACCTGCAATGTATGGTGGTCAGGGTTTACAAGGTCAAATTAAACTCAGCTATAAAGATTTATTAAAAAAAGTAAGAAGTATGAAAGGAGATGTTAATGATGAATATAAAGTTAGAGTTTTATCATTAGGTGGAGATCTTTTTATTGATAATTTCAAAAAGCATTGTTCAGATCAACATCAAGAAATTATCAGAAATGATTTTGGTTTAGGTAGAGGTGAATTGATGGGAGCTAAAAGTTCAATATTAGGAAATGCAAAAGGTCCAATGCATTATGTTGGATTCAATGTAAAAACGATCTTTAAAATCAGAATTTATTCAGGTGGGGCATTAGATGGTGTCAAATTTTTTTATAGAGGTGGTGGTTCATCAATAGCTCCAAAAGTTCCTCGTCGAAATTATATAAAGAACTTTTTGAGCAATAACCAAACACCATTAAATTTTGATACTACAAATAATACATCAGAAGCAATTGCAGTAGTAGGAAGAGAGAAGGGCAATTATGCTGAGTTTGTACTTGATGAAGGGGAATACATCACAAAATTTAATATTCGAAATGGTGCTTGGATTGATGCTATTCAATTTGTTACAAATAAAAACAGAATTTCATCAATGTTTGGAAATACAAATGGTGGACATATATCTAGTTTAGAAGCCCCTACTAGTGACAATGAAATTATTGGTATGTATTTCTATATGGGTGACTGGTTGGATGGATTAGGCATTATATATACCTCTTAAAAAAATTATGATTGACGATCTAATACTTTATCTGTAGCTTGATAATACTCTATTGGGAATTTCTCAATTATACCAAGGTTTTTCTTCAGCTTCATGAATGGTACTACATAGGATTTCGTATCACCATTTTTTAATTTGGTAATTCGTTTCTCCAAATGTTGAATGTCATTATTCAATTTATCCATTCTACTTAACTTTGAATCTTCAGCAGGTGTGAAATTTTTTTCAAATAATGATTGCAATGTTCTTAACTTTTCTTGTAATTGTGATTTTTTCTCGATTAGTTTTTGATTTTCGTTATTCAAATTACCACTTATTTGTGCTTCTGTCACTAAAGATTTATCCAAGTCTGAAGAATCTAATGCTTGTAAAATTGAGTTGGTGAAATATTTAGCATGATCTCCAAGATTTGCTATTCCAGGTAAATGTGAGGACACTGATTCTTCATTTACTGGACCAATATCATCTTCATCATCATCACTTCTTAAATAATCATCATCTGTATCAGTTGAAACTAACTGCTCATAACTATTATTGTTGTGTGAAGTAAGTCCATTTTTCGGTGATTCTTTCACATCTATACTGTCTAGGTTGGTAGAATTATCATCATTCATTGATAAGACTCGAGTAAGAATCGCCTATATCATGAGACTTATATGAATAACCTCTTGTAAATATATAAGTGGTAGTAGTTTAGTAAACAAATATATACTTTAAATAGACGGAAATAAAATTGGAGTGGGTGCTCTTATTCAGCACAAGCTCATTAAAAACGCACACTTTTCAAGACTACTTATTCTTTTTTTTCACGCACTCATTTGTATCTTACTCTTAACTATTGATTTAGGGATCTCGATGAAAGAGAAATATTTTTTTCTTAAATATTGATGTAGAGAGCTCAATAAAACACTTTTTTGCAACTAAAACTCCTATGACGTTTATACTTTGACATCATAAAAATTCAGTAACTTTGTGATTGAGATTGCCCAATTGTAACTAATATAGCAAGAGCCATTAGATTACTGGTGTTACAGTTTTGAGGATTTTTGGATAAGCTTTGGAACTTAGACTTTTTGCTAAAGAGTTTTTGAAAAGAATTTTGTGCTGAAATTAAGACCAAAATTTTGAATATAACAACACTTACAACATACATGATAGGAAAAAACTATGGTCTTTCATAAGCATTACGAAGTGTGTCACTTAAAACAAATGTGCAAACTTCAAGCTCTGTAGACGCTGTAGTACTTATGCAACAGGACCCAATTTACAAACGTCAATACTGTAGAAACTTCAAATTAATCCATGTTTACTGTCATAGCTTCTCAATTAGCTCAAAGACTGCAAAAAACCCGGCTTCAAGCTATATTTGTTGACGTTTTTAAAATAAAGCAAATATTACTGCGTTATAGTAGGTAAAAAGCCATCAGTATTTTTACAAAAGAGTATATAAATATTCCAAATTTAATTCCCAGAAATTTACTATAGTAATTAGGACTGGATAAGAATTTCAACTTTTCTCAAGCTTCTAATACCAAAGTTCCAGAATTTCTTATATTACATTTGTATGGTAGTTGAGATTCATACATACAATTTTACATAGAAATCTACATGAATATTTCGAATTCGAAAATTTCACATATTAAAGAGTCTGCTATTTAACAAGCTACTACATTACTTTAACTACAGAATGTCTCACAATAGTAAAGACTATATGTAAAAACTTGATTTTTCTTTCATTTACATAGTATTTGGAAAGAAAGATAACTAAAATGGAATATACCAACAAGTGAGTGTTTTGATAATTTTTAGGCTAAAAATTTTTACTCGGTTCAATTTCAATTGAGATCATTGATCTCTAATTTTATCAAATTGATTAAAACAGTTTATATAATTAAGCAAATTATTCTACATATAAAACATTTGTAATCTCGTACAATTAAAACATAATCGAAGAAGCGCTTTTAAGAGCGCGAAAAAGTTCAGGTTCAACGTCGCGAACTCTGTCAATAAAACTTAATAAGAAATTCAATATGTGACATTCTAATAAAATTTGAAACACCGATCCTATTAATATTAATAGAGCTTTTTTTATTTTTTATTATTTTGTCCTATATCAAAAAATAAAATACCACCATTTCAATTCAATATATGTCATCTTTCCAACTTCAAAATTCTGAGGTATTGGCAAGGCTAAAGCCTTTTGGTATATCATTCGAAAAATCTTTAAATGATTTGATCAAAGGAATTAGAGCACATTCAAAAGAATCACCAGAAAGTTTAGCTAAATTTTTAGATGTTGCAATTCAAGAATGTAAAGCTGAATTATACACCACAGACCTTGAAACTAAAGCAATGGCAATTTTAAAATTGAGTTATTTAGAAATGTATGGATTTGACATGTCATGGTGTAATTTTCAAGTGTTGGAAGTAATGTCTTCATCCAGATTTCAACAAAAGAGAATTGGATATTTAGCAGCTATACAAAGTTTTAAAAATGAACAAGAATTATTGATTTTAGCAACCAATCAATTCAAAAAAGATTTAAACTCATCACAACATGTTGAAGTTGGATTAGCATTGAGTGGGATAGCGACAATTGTAACACCAAATTTATCAAAAGATATAAATGATGATGTATTAATGAAATTGAATCATTCAAAGCCATATATTAGGAAAAAAGCAATACTAGCGCTTTACAAAATCTTTTTACAATACCCGGATAGTCTAAGAATGAATTTTCATAGAGTAATTGAAAAATTAGACGATTCTGATGTTTCAGTAGTAAGTGCCACAATCAATGTTATATGTGAGTTATCCAAAAAGAACCCAAAGATTTTCCTTAATTATCTACCTAAATTTTTCGAAATACTAGAAGAAACTAAAAACAATTGGTTGATTATAAGAATATTAAAGTTATTTCAAAGTTTGTCCAAAATTGAACCAAGAATGAAGAAAAAAATCTTACCAGCAATAATGGATCTAATGTTAAGAACTCAGGCATCATCATTAGTTTATGAATGTATCAATTGTGCAGTCAATGGTCAAATGTTATCACCGGAATCTTATAAAGACAGAGAAACTGCTAAAATTTGTATAGATCAATTAATGTCATTTTTTAAAACTAAAGATTCAAATTTAAAATTTGTTGGTTTACTTGCATTGATAAATATTTTAAAGATATTCCCCGTTTTTTTGCATAAAATAGATGGTGTGTCTATAGTTATTATGGATTGTCTTAATGATTCTGATTTGATAATTAAAAGAAAAGCTTTGGAAGTATCAAATTATTTGGTGAATGAAGATAATATTGTTGAAGTTGTAAAAGTCATGTTACTTCAATTAGTTCCAGAAGAAACTATAGTGGATGAATCATTGAAATTAGAGATTACAATGAAAATTTTACAAATAGCTTCAAAAGATAATTACAGTAACATCCCAAACTTTAAATGGTACGTGGCTGTTTTAAAAGATGTCTTGAATTTAACCTTATTACCTACATCATCATCAGAAGTTTCTTCCGAAGTGGGTGATATAATTGCACTTGAACTTGGTAAAGAATTTAAAACACTTGCCACTAAAGTTCCATCAATAAGATCTACAATATTACAAAAAATCATAATAGAAGCAGTTTTGGACGAAAGCATAATACAAATTTGTCCTATCATACTTCGAGATGTTTATTGGATTTTAGGAGAATATATTGACGAGGTAAAAGTGGGTGTAAGTGACGACGATGAAGTGGAAATTGAAGATGAAGATTTAGTTGTATCGATGGGGAAGAAACTTCAAATTTTTAATAGTTTAATTAATTACAAAATTGATGAAAAACTTGGTAATGAATCAAACGCAAAATTTCCAATATCCGTTGCATTAATAAAATTAAATCGTCCAGAAGTTTTATGTGTTTTGATTCAAGCTTTGGTCAAATTGTATAATGGTATTGTTAATGATTATACAAGAGCCTACTCAAATAATGATGAATTTTCCTTGGAAAGATTTAATGAGTTAAGTTACCATTTATATAAATTGATTGAATTTTTTAGTTGTTGGGAGAAACATCAAAATTATGAAGTTCAAGAAAGAGTTCTTTCTTGGTTGGAATTTCTAAAAGTTGCACATGAAGCAATGACTGGAGATGATTTGAGTGCTATTAAAAACCTTCAAGCTAAGGAATTATCATTGCTTAATAATGATGGAGATGATGATCAAGATTCTGTGGACTCGAGCGATGAAGACTCTGATGATAATGAATTTGATTCGGACTCTAGCTCAAGCGAGGATGATGTTGAAGACAATGAATATGAGAATTTAGTATCTGACGATGAAGAACCAAAACTCAAAAATACAGACCAAGAATTTGAAACCAATCCTTTTGCAAGTAATGAAAATCATAATGGATTATCTGAACCAAAAAAATTACCAGCATTAATTAGTCATGTTTTACCTTCATTTTTCAAGGCTTATTCATTAAATCCTGTGGCTAAGAATTCACAATTGAAAATACCAATACCTGAAGATTTAGATTTAGACTCAAATATAAATGATACAACAGAAGAAATTAATCAATTTGAAACTGATGAAGCAGATACTTACAACTTATATATATCAGAATCTGAATTAAATGAAGAACCTTTAATACAATTATCAAGTGAAGATGAAAATAAAATTAGATCAACAGAAAGGCTTGAAAATGTGAGTCCATATTATTTAAATACTAATACTACATCCAAAAAGAAAAAGCAAGAGAAAACAAGTTTAATAAATACTGGTTCTGAAAGTCCAAACAGTGTCAAAAGCTTTCCCATTGAAAATGCACCAAAGAAGAAGAAAAAAGTGTCAAAATTACAAAAAGAGAAAGTTATCATTTTAGGAGAAGAAACGATTGATGGTACACCTTCAATAGAGGAACCGGTAATAGAAAAGAAAATAAAACCTAAAAGCAAAAGTTCTTTCAAGATTGATTCATCAAATTTGGATAATTTTGATTTTGATTCATCAGCTATTGAGTCTTCACCAATTGATATAGAGGAGCTAAGAGATAAATTAAGTGAAAAGAAGAAGAAGAAGAAAAAAGATGAATCAAAAGATAAACCAGAAGAATCACGAACAACAAATGGTACCCATATTAATGAACCAACCATTGTCACAGTCAAAACAAAGAAGAAAAAGCCGAAAAAAAAAGCAGTAATTATTGAATAGATAACTACATTGCATGATTTAAATCAATTTTTTTAATATATTTGCATTAATTATTAAGGCTTCTGTAAATGATCTAAGAAAGTAATTGAAATCTCTTTTCTAATCACCCGAGATTAAAGGAGTTTCCTCACTTATTACTTCAACTTCAGTATCAGTAGGATTCTCATTTTCTGGCGGAACATATTCTTCATTTGGTTTGACTCCTGGTGCTGTTGAAAATCCATTCTTTTTTAAGACTTTCAACATGTCATTTCTGACATCTTCACAACATTTAGAAACGTCTTCATTTGTTTCCAATTCCGCAGTAGAGACTGGAGGTAACACTTCAATGTTGATCTCTCCCCTATTAAAGATTTTGTTTTTTGAATTAAAAATGGTGGAAGTATTTGAAACAACAACTGGTATAATTGGGATCTTTGCTTGTTTTGCTAAATGAAATGCTCCCTTTTTAAATGGTAATAATTGTAATGATTCATAAGCAGATCTTGTACCTTCTGGAAACATGAACAATGCTCTTTTTTCTTTTCTTAAACTTGCCAATGCACCGTCTAATACTTTTTTGGCTTTTGTTGATTTTGCTCTATCTAAAAAGAAAGTTCCACTTAATGCCATGAACCAACCTAAAAATGGTACATATTTCAACGATTTTTTACTAGTTACAGTATATCCTGGTTGAAAAATTCTTCCCAAAATATGTATATCTAATGCAGATTGATGATTTGATATAACAATAGCTGGTAAATCTTTTAAATAATGTTCATTTTTGATTTTAATGTCAACTCCAAGGAAGAATTTGAAAGTGTAATAAAAAGCTCTTGCTACTGTATATTGAGCATATTCGACTTTACCAATTAGTCTAAGAATTAAAGAAGCTATTACTCCATAAAGTGCACAACCAGCTATAAGTGATCCAAATATTATAGATTTCAAATAAAATTTTACTTGAGTTAAAAAGTCAGTTGATGCCATTTTGATAGGATTTTAGTAAAATTCACAAATAAATAAAATACTTTTGATCTAAAGAATGTCTTGCTGTTCAGTTGATGAAACGGTGTAAAATGAATGTGATTATTAGTTGATTGAAAATTGTACGTATCATAGATGGTAGGAAAAAAAAAAAATAATTGTTGAGCTTGGATTAATTATTTCAATCAATTATCTCTTATACAAAAATCAAAATTGGTCTAACTATACAACGACATAATTAAAGGAGGACTTTTTTGATGACATTCAATTGGCAACTTTGTCTCAATTAACAACTACAAAGTTTTTTGATCTACAAGATTGTATCGTTCACAATAAAAAATCTTCACTTTATATGATTACTTATTTTGCTAGTTACTTACTGATTCATGAGCTGCAATAACATTTCTAGCAGTAATAACAGCTGATTGAGGGTTAACACCAGTAACTAATTTACCATCAGTAACAGCAAATGAAGCCCAAGGTCCATCTGGTTCAACATAAGTTGCACCTTCTTTTTCAGCAATTTGTTTAATAGTCAATAAATGATCTTTTTCCATGATTTCCAATACTCCTAAAATTTCTTCACCTTTATCAGTAAAACCAGTTATTCTTTTACCTTTGATTAATGGTTCACCAGTTTTTAAATCATTTAAGCCATCAAAAATTGCAGGTCCATGACAAATAGCTGAAACTACACCACCTTTAGCCCAAGTTTCAGCGGCAATTTTTTGTAAAGCTTTAGCTTTTGGATAATCAAATAATGTACCATGACCTGCACTGGCAAAGAAAATATCATAATCTTTTGGATTTAAATCGGCTGCTTTTTTAATTTTATCTAATGCTTTGTTGTATGGTGATTCTTTGTTTTCAAAAACTTCTTTTGCTTTACCATTAAGGAAATCTTCACCTAAACTATGATCATCGTATCCAAATGTACCAGTTTCTGAGGCAAATTCAACATCATAGCCTTTTTGAGCGAATTCCAAGAACGGTTCTAAAGCTTCGGTTACGAAAAGACCGGTTTTTTTACCATCTGAATAGAAAACTTCATGATAAGAAGTAATTGCAATTAAAACTTTGACCATTGTTAATATATTATTCTATGAGTTAATGATTCAAGGATTTTAAAACTTTACTTAGAAAGAAAGAGGAAAGTTTAAAAGTATTTATACTATAAAAAGTCACATATATTTACAATTGCTTTAATTCTAATAATTTATAAATGTAGACTTTAATCGAATCGTAGTATTTATTGTTTAGTTAAAGTATTTCACATATCCGTATAATTTTGCTTTCAATCCTTAAATTTTTGTGTTATTATTGTAAATTTTATTGTTTGCTTATTAATTATACTCTTACGAAGTTCGGAGACTTTAAAATGTCTGAACTTCAAACTTAATATTCTATGATATCATCAGGTACACAAAAGAGACAAGCACAAGGTCAAAAAGTTCGATTAATTATCTATTTATTGTAATACTTCTTTCAAGTTAACTTGGCCTGAACCTCTAGCTAACGGTTGAGGTTGTGAATCACTCTTTTTCCATCCGATCATATATATAACATTGAATGTAGCCGGTAACAAAACTTCACCATTTTCTTGTATTTCACCATGTAAACTTTTGTAAATTTCATTTGCTGCTAATAATACATCTCTTGGTAAATTACTAGCTCTTGTTAAAACAGCATTTTGTTCTCCCATACTTTGTAAATCTTCACATAATGCCAAAATACTTGGAAATCCACCAACAACTATATTCTCAGAATCTATGGTCAACATCGTAAAGCCTGCTTTATTCAATAATGCACCAACATCATTCAAATGAACTAAAGGTGAAACTCGTGGTGACATACCACCTTTTCTTTCCAATTCTGCTAATTGTAATGATGTTCTTAACTCATACAAAGTATCACCTCCAATTAATGTACCCATAAATAACCCATCAGGTTTTAATATTTTATTAATATTTGATAAAGTTTGTGGTAAATCATTGATCCAATGTAAACTTAAATTGGATAGCACTACATCAAATGTATTTGATTCTTGAAATATTTCATGATTAAATGCTTCTTCATCCCCCACGATTCTTTTGATCTGACCTGGAAATTCATAATCATACTTGATTGAGTCGTCTCTGTGTAATAACTCCTTTGAGGAATCAAACATCACTAACTCTTTAATTTTATCTCGTACCAATGTTTTATCACTATTTAGTTGGTCAATTATTTTATGTTCGATCTCATCATCTTTCAATTGTTCAGGTACGTGACTCTTTGTACATAGTTGTTTCAAAAAGTTTCCGCTATTACTTCCAAAATCTAACAATTTATCAAAAGGTCTTGTTATAAATGCTAGTCTTTCTATCGTTTTTGTTGCAACTTCATCTCTTATATAATCTTTCTTTCTTGATAGTTCAGGGTTTAATTTTGCAGTTCTAGACCGATGTATTAGTTTCGCTGATCTATCAAATACATTGAATTGTGGTTTGTTTGTTTTTGCTGCAGTTGCAAATGCTCTTATCGTTGTGATCATTAAAATTGAATGTTTTTGATTGAGCAGTAGAAAAGTAGTAGAATTTTTTTTTGCAACACATTTCTTTATATTTTACAATCAACTTTGAATGTTAAAAAATCAATTATGGAGATGTAGATTATATGACTTTACTTTAAGTAAGCCTTGCATAGGTAGTAGATCAAGATTTTCTACGAGGTCAAGCGGACTAGCTACAGTTAAACAAAGTTGTCTTCAAAATCAACGATCATATAATACAAAAAACTACAACAACTTCGATTCCAATGGAGCGCAGTTCAAAAACCAACTGCTGGTCAATAACCATTTCAAAAGTAAATCACACATTCTACAGACATTATCAACTATACAGACCAAAGATCAACTTAACGACTTTGTCACAAAGTATCTGGAAAAGTATAGTCCTGAAACATCATGGCCACCATTTATGCAATTTATAAAACAAGCCCAGCAACTAAATTTCCAAATATCCAACAACTTGTGGATTCATTATCATAAATTGTGTGAACATAACGAACAAGACATTCAGCTTGTAGATTGGGCTGGATTATATTTGTTTAGATTCAATGGTCGAGTTTTCGAGATTTTACGTTTCAATGATCAATGGAGGAAAATTATCAAGTACAGCCCTAATTTATTTGCAGTTTATTATCTGAGTTATATACATTGGTTACTTAACACGAACCAGTTATATTTTGCAGTCGAAAACTTCATTAATTATTTGGAGTCCGGTGATTCGGATTTAAATTTATTACCATTTGACGCTATCATTACAAAATTGATTAAAGATGAAGATGTGTATAAAATTTGCAAGATTTTGGATATTTCAATGAATGAAAGAGACATAAATTTAAGTGATGAAAATTGGTCAAAGATTTTAAATTTAGGTATAAAAAACAATTCGTATCCAATTGTGAAGCAAGCTTATAAATCATATTTAATGAAAGGGTTCACAGATGGGAAAATATCAATAGAAGAAGCAATATTATCACCCATGTTAGTAAACAAAAATCATATATTTCAATCAATGTCTGATTCCTTACTAATGCAAATTTTACAAATACTTTCAATGAATGGTGATACTAAATTAACAATTGATTTGATTGAAAGTCATTTTTTCCACAAAGTTGTTGCTGGTAAGTCCGCATTAAATAAAAATTTCTGTTTGAAAATCATCGAGAGTCACTGTTATGATAATTCTCAAGCTAGCAAAGGTATGGAAAATGTATTAGATTTAATTGACACATTTGTTAGGAAGACCAAGAATGATCCTAATAATGCTATAACTTCGCAAGATTTATTCCAGGCTATGAATCAAAAAATATCATCATACAATCTAGGCATAATTGATAAAGAAAAGAAGTTAGATCAACCAGATATGGATGAAATTCGCGTCATAGACCCGAATAAAGAATCAAAGAAGCCAAAATTAGTCTTAGCTAAAAGCAAACTACTTCATGATTTCATTGTCCATAATATAAGTTACATCGACCAAAATGATTTCGATCCAATGACAAAATCTATATTCATTGACTGTTTACTAAACTACATATCAACTTATTTAAATCATACTGGTATTGTGAAAGTTTTAGTTTCAATTCATTACCTTAATTCGCAAAACCTAAAAAATTTGAATTCAACTTCATATGATTTAATATTAAAGACGCTATCACCTTCAACTTCAAAACAATGTGCTTTATATTATTTCAATTATTTCAAGATCAATCAAATAACAATCACACCAAGAATGTATATTTGGTTAATTCAAAGTTGTTTCAATGAATATTACGAACCCATTTGTACTTATTTAATTTATAATTATTTCAAGGAATATGAATCAATTATGACAGATGATGAAACAATTGTAACCAAGTTGATTGAAGTATTACCTGATGACATTGATGGGCAATTGTTGAAATTGAAAAATTATTTGACTCATATGCCTAGTGGAAAAGGTTTTAATATTGCTGGCTGCTTCAAATTTCTTGGTATTGTCATTGATGTCATTGATGAGAATCAATTGCTTTCTGAAGTTGGTCCAAAATGTCATAGAAGATATTATAAAGTATATGACGAAAATGATTTATCCAAATTAAAAAAAGTTTTGCCTATTAATTAGATATGTTTTAGCTAGACCAAATAATGACAATACATCTTAGTGAGTAAACTTGATCACCCATTAACTGCAGCTCTTATTTCTTCATCATTAATGTCAAAAACTTTATGTTTGAGTTGTTTTCTGAACTCATCATTTAAACTATCATTACAATTATTATTATTTACTGTGATATTTTGTAAAGTTAATGAAGAATTCATAGAATTGAACATTGTTGAGTCAATTGCCATTTTTAAAATATGATTTGCGTGACAAGCTAATTCATCTTCATCATCTTCTTCTTGCTCTTCTTTCTGAAATTCGTGTTGATCGTTATGTGTTGAGAATTCTATTTTCTTTTGTTGTTTCTTTCTGATTGGGAGTTTTTGAATTTTTGAGGATTTTAGTGATGGTGGAGTAGAAAGAAGTTGAGCGCCTATTTTTGATTGTTTAAATTTTGTTGGAGTGGATTGTAATGGAGGTATTTCATCAATGATATTATCATTAAATATTGAATTTGATTCCCGATTAGTGTTATCTCTATCTTTGACACCACCATTATCATCTTCAAAAATGAGAAAATTGGTTTTGAACTTATTTGAAGGTGGGGTTTTGGGTATTGATTTTATAGGACTTAGATTCTTCTCTGGTAAGGATACTTTAAGATTTGATAGTTTTTGTCTACTCTCGATTAATAACTCCTGCAATGGGTCTTGATATTCTCTGGTTGTGTAAACTTTGCCAATTGGACTGGTGACATATTGCGCTTTAGCTGTGTTGGACCTGGGTATATCATTTGAAATTTGTAATTTATGATTATTATGACTAGAATTTTGTGAGTTTGTGATATCTCTCATTGTATTTATGGTGATATAAGTTGTTGGTATTGTTAGCTGAATATGAGTTTATATCAATATTGAATAATGGATAAAAAGTTTATATCAGGGGTATCTTTTATTCCACATAAATTGATGGGATAAAAAGGGATCTAATTATATTTGTAAAAAATAATTTTGAATTGATCTGTTTACTTTTTGCCTAATTTGGTTTGTACTAAAATCTTTAATTATGGCACAAAAAAAAAGATAAAAAGATTTTGCAACAATTTGATAAATTACCTTATACAAAACCTCTTGCCAAACTTATCGAGGAAGCGAGGACTTAGCTTATTTAATTTACTAGATTATCCAAAAGTGCTCTTCTAACCATGAAGATAGGGTTTGGCTTAATCTATTATGTTGACATTTTCTCAAACGTGTTTCAAGTATTGAAATATTTTATTTATTGTTTTGCAAATGTGAAGAGTTCTTAAGATAACTAATTTTTTCCTTAGTAATAAAATCAATTGAGTTCGACCTTATGAAGGAGTTTAGATCTTTAAAGAGCCTATCGATTACAAAGTCCATTACGCTACCAAGTACCTAAGATTTTTTAAGTACGAGACGTGATTGGATATGGTCCGCTCAACTACAAAGGAACTAGAATACGTCAAATCTAGTCATTGCTTACAAAGAGGTTCTTGAGTGCAGTCAGAAAATACCCATAGTTATTGTATTGAAATAAATAGAAACTCGTCATTCGAGTTGAAATTGTTTATTAATTAGTGATCCGAACATATACAAACTCAATCTGGTCCTAATTTTGTATGTATGACTGGCGCATGGTGTATTCCCCTGAACGCATAGAATTTAAATGAGTGGTAAAAATCGTCATTTGAGAATGTTCCTTTTAATCCTCTGACCCTTAAATGCCTTGACCTTGTGAACTGAAAATGTTAAAATGCTATTATATTTCTTGTTAATAAATAAATTGATTATTTGTTTCTGTTATCAACATTCTCTATTTGTTTATTCATCATTTGTTTATTTCTCAAATATTTTTCTTGTTGACTTAATTTTTCATTCGTATCATTACCATGCAAACTATCAACTGGACAAGGTAGTATACTATTTGCACCAACTAATAAGAAACATATGGCAAAAGTCGAGCTAAATAATGAATGTGTTAATCTATTTCTTTGAGTTGCTTTTATATACTGAAACATTGTTGGAATATTTACTATGATGATGTTTTTATCGTGCTTGATACGAGTTTGAGTAATAAATGAATGGTTTTATGTGATAAAGGTTTTGAATAGGTATTCGTTATGTGGGAGGTGAAATGACAAATCCAAAGTATTGTTGATCTTGGAAATTATATATACAAGATGATAAGTGAATATAATTGTAGTTATTTGAACAAATGTTATTCTATTAAATCGTATGTTTCTTTTTTTATTTACTTCAAAAAATGAAGTATTTTTTTTCAAGTCTGTATAAAAAATACTTATATGCAGTCTCACGTGTAAAGAAATATCCAATCAAAGAACTGGTGATGGTTATACAACATAATTAGCAACTACAAGACAACAAAGGCTTTTCATCCATCAAGAACTGCGAGAATCAGTTTGGATGTAGGTTTAAGATTAACATGTACCACAACATTAATAACTGATGACTTTTAGTTATAGAATTGATAAGCCAAGGTTTACAAAGAGTTGATTTTTCGATTTGAACTATCACTGATGATGAAGTCATTACCCAATTTCATTATTCATTAAATCCTCTATCTGATATCACTATTTACAAAAACCCATTCATATGCAAAGTCATACACGAATGAAAATACATCATCTTACCATTACTAAGATGATTGTCAAATCTCCCAAATTCTATATACAAACTTATTCATAAACTTTCCTCGTACCATCCTTAACTAACTCAAACCCAGAAGGCCATTTTCTCTCCAAATTAATCTCTCTGTTGTTCTTATAGTAATCAGTGACCTCAACAGTAACCAATTCTTTAACTTTACTTAACGAATGAGCTGATGCGACATCACATTTTATATATTTGGTTTGGTTTCTTCTACGTAATCCCAATGCTTCGAGTGTATTTCTTGTTTTTGGAGGCATACCTATTGATGATCTTATTTGAGTTACTTTGTAGTATAGTTGTTTTGAGGCTGGAGATATTATGTTTGACATTTTCTGTGTTGTGATGCTTCTGTATGTGATAAGAATATGTGGTTGATAATTAATTTTAAGTGATCGCTGACTTTGTCAAAATCTTCGAGTTGGTATTTAAGTTGGTTGTAGAGCTCACTTTAGATGTTGAAGAAATTTTTTCTCTCAAAATCTCGTAAATTAAAATTGGTAGCTCTACAGTATTATAATCTGAAACATTACTGATTTTCAATATGCCATGAAAAATGCTAGTATATTATATGGTCTATGGTCTATGAATTATATATAAAATTAAGTTACAAATACAGCAGCACTTTCCTTAAAAATTTCACCTTATTTAATCATCAATGTTTGGCTCAACATTTAATTTAATATAATCAGTAACAACATCATTATTAAATTCAAATCCACTTAATTTATCTATATGTTGCTTAATAAATTGATCATTAAATTTAATCTTTGCAGTTATATAAATTTCCCCATCAACTGACTTAGAGTCAAGAGGATAGTTTAAATATTGAAATAAGTCCCATACTTTTTCAACATACCTAAAGAAATTATCTCTTGAACCAAAATATAAATTTATTAGGAACTCCCAGTTTTCTTGAGGAATAATTTCTTTTAACTTATATAAAAAATCAGTTAAGTCTTCAAAGTTGTTAAGTACGTCGTCTGGTGTTGCTCCTTTGTTTAAGGATTTTTGTATTGAAGTTGGTTGATTTTTCAAGACTTGATTAAACTCCAATAAGATTCTCTCTGTCAACTTGAACAACGGAACAATTGATAAATTTTGAAATTTTTTATTAGTCATGAATTTGTTTAATGTTAATTGAAAATTTTTTACAATAATTGGATAAATCTTGTAAAGGTTAATTCTATAAATTTCATTTTCGATATTTTCCACAACTTTATTTTTCAATTTTGAATTGATTAAAAAATATTTCATCAATACCAAAAACAAGGCTTGGTACATTAGACATTGATGATAACTTTTTAAACAGTGAATTGGGAACTGATCAATTATGATGTCTATAACTCCGAATTCAGAATTATTATTGTCTTGATCAATTAAATTGAAATGATTGAATAAATTTATCATTGCTGTGAAATATGATGCATATCTTAAGCTTGGAAAATAGTTTGATTCAATTCTTATAAATGTTAACCACCTGATTGATAATAATAAGACATTTTGATTTTTTATTAATAACTCAATATCTTGTTTAGTCGGTGATGTTGATGGTGGTGATTTATAATTAATGGCAACTTGTTTCAACTCCTTGGATAATAATAATGAGACATTGCTGTATAATTCTAGGTAATTTTTAATTATTCCTCTTATTGATGTTGAATGAGCTGATTTTTTGTAATACAAGCCCCAAATTTCAATTGAATGTTTACTTAATTGACAATCAATATATTTTGCATTTTGCCCATATAATACATTTAAAAGCTGTCTATGAGGTACAACTGTATTTTTCAATTGATTTGATACTAATAATGAACCTTTAAATTGAAAAAAAGTGAATTCCAATTCAACTAATCTAATTTGTATCCAATATTTAGCTAATATTTTGAACTCAACAGAATCTGGGTACTGATCTACCATTTGCTGTCCATCAGCACCATTACCATTATAGTCGCTATCAACAGTCTCAAAAATTGGATCATCAATCAATGAAATAAAATCATTATTCAAGACAATATAATTTAATAAATTGTTGAACTCCAAATAATTATCTATAATGTCATTCTTGTATAGAAAAAGATTTTTTATAATTAAATAAAAATCTATCAAATAAATTAAATCCGTTAAATTCTCATAAAATAATATTTTTAATTTCAAAAAACGTGATATTTTAATCCAGTCGTTAATTAATTCATCTTTTATAATCATTCTATTATAGTCTAGTAAAAATTGCGAAGTATTATTTTCATCGAACAAAAGTCCATTTGACATTATCAAAAACATCAATGATAAATGTCTTAATTCGATGATGCTGAATCTGAAAATTTGGCTTAAATTTTTAACACTATCTTCATCATTTATATTTAGCAACTTAAAATAAATTAGTCTTGCCTGCTTCAACATTTCATCGTGATCCTGTAAGTCAATTAAGATGGGATTCAATGAGTTTAAGTAACTGCTAAAAAATTTCTCAAATACATTAAAGTTGTTAGGCAATAATCTTTTAATTCTCTTTATATCAACCATGTTTAATTCAAAAAGTCTTTCTGTGTCTTGATTCAATAACCTTTCTATTAAATTGACTCCATTCATTGTAGTGCTCTTAAAACCATTACCAGGACTGCTAATTTTGTTATTACTTGAACTTTGTTCTTCCATTCCGGTAATATGATTGATTGGGTGATTTGAAATACCTCTTATTGCTTCAGGTTGTAAATTAAAAGTATGATTTTGCCTAACATGTGATGATATATACTGATCATTATTATCATTTGATTGACCATTTGCTAATTGTAAATTTTTCGAAGTTGACAGTAATGAAGTGACTAAACTTGCTAAAGAATTTTGATTATCATTAAAAGTATGGACAATATCATTCGAAACTTTTAACTTCTTATTTAATGATCTTTTTTTACGCTCTTTTATTTTATTTAATTCTTCTTCTGATGGTGGTTGAGGTGGTTGTAATAAACATCTACTAACTCTTTTAAATTTCTTACATGATGCACATGGTATTTCTAAGTCACATTTAATTTTTAATAATTTACATGGTCCACAACTATAACTTCTTCTTTGTCTTTTTTTTCTATGTAATTGAGATTCTTGTTCTAATAACATGGAAGTATTATCTTGTGATAATTGTTGTTGGTTATGAGACGTTGAATGTGGTATAGTATTATCAATGGATGATTCTTCGGGAATTGTTGAATGTAGATACAGTTGATTATTAGAGTGTTGTTGTAAATTGTTTGATGGTAAATCTGAAGAAGAACTTACCCCATTACCATTATAACTCATATTTGAATCCATGTTGTGATTTTGATAATATATTTATGAATCTTAAAGATTTTGGTTGTAAAAAATTAATGATTCTAATAAACCCAAAATAAACTTCTATAAATACATTAATAACTATTAGCCTTTGTGCTTGAAGAATCTTCAATTCTAGTTTTTAATTTGAAAAAAATGAATAGTTAATAATAAAATGACACTTTTGAGTATATTAATATATATAATATATATCTATATTTGGTTGTAAAATTATATATTTGATAAATAAAATAAAATACAAAAAAAAAATATTTAATTTCGTAAAAATTTAAAATCGGATTTATTTTTATTTACTTTCAAATATTTAAATTTTGAATAAAAATAATTTATTATTTATTAATGAAAGATTAAAGATATTGTGAATTTAGCATTATATATTAATTATTTTGAGATGTGTTAAAATTACTGATGAAGATTGTGAATGATTTTTTGACTTATAGGTTCTTTCGCTGATATTAAAAACAATTATTATTTTCTACTGTTTTAAAATTATGAGATTACTAAAGTTTACGTTGTATTATAACAAAGTCAAAACTTTTTTAGAGGCTAGTAATGCTGAATGGTGATAAAATGTTGAATGTTAGTTGTTGTACTAAACTCAAAATATGAAGATGATTTTATCCATCAAGACTTCTTATTAATACACATTTCCGTCACAAATAATTTGAAGTATTTTTTAAAGTTGATTGATAATAAAATTATTATTATTTATATTTAATAGATGAAATTTTATAACCGGATCAAATAATAACCGATTGTGTGATGAAACAAAAATTAATGCGAAAAAAAGTATTCATCTATTACTCAAGATTGGATAATTGATGAATAGATCAGATCAGATCTTTCGATCTTAAATTAAATTTTACCATTACTGATACTTTTTCCAATGTCTAAATCCGATCATTTAACATCTTTTTTTTTTTGCATATTAAAAATCTAGCATATATCCAAATTTCATTAATTTGTATTATTTATATTAATTTATAGTCCTGTTTCGGATTATTTAATATAAAATTTTCAAATGATTGTGTTTAACATAAAGCCGGTTTCTTATTCCAGATCGCTAGTAAGAACGTAGTACAACAAACTTGAGTTAGTTTTTGAGTTTAGTCAAATCATCCAACATAGTAATAAGATAAGACATTCAAAATTTTGGTAGCTCGCTCAAAAACATCTTGACTCCTCCAGGTCGAGGAATTGTGTTTAAAAGTTACTACAATTTAAGTCGATCTCTTTCGATTAATTGAGTAATAAATAACAAAACCAAGATTAACAACAACAAAATATACTTCTTCACGATCTAATGCATGTTGTAAACGAGCTAGCAAATAACATTATTACTTATTATATGCTGCTACCAAATTGGTTTCGTATTTCCCAATTTTAAGGTATAGTACATATAGATAAAACACACTAAAAGATTATTAAAATTTGCAACCAATTTTTTTTCGATCTAAGTTGGAATCAAAAGCACCAGTATTATAATAGCATCAGCTGAGCAAAACACAACCCTTTTGTTTTTAATACAAGAAAAAACGATGCATAAATTTGGTTTTTGATGATAAAATCCAAGAAATTGCACCTTCCAAGTACTGTGGCTTTCTTTGTTTGTTGATTTTCTGGTTTGTATAAATTGATTTGATTATCTAAAATGTTTTGGAAAATATGAACCCTTACTTGGATACAGACAAAATGACAGTTGAAAATCAACCTAAAAGACCAAATTTCCTTATAATAGTCGCTGATGATTTAGGATTTACGGATTTATCACCATTTGGAGGAGAAATCAAAACACCAAATTTGAATAAATTATCAACTGAAAATGGTATAAGATTAACTGATTTTCATACCGCGTCTGCATGTTCACCAACAAGATCAATGTTATTAAGTGGTACAGATAATCATATTGCAGGATTAGGACAAATGGCAGAATTTGCAATAAAACAACCAAAATTAAAAGGTAAACCAGGTTATGAAGGTTATTTAAATGATAAAGTAGTTGCATTACCTGAAATCCTAAGGGATAATGGATATTTTACTTTTTTATCTGGTAAATGGCATTTAGGGTTGAAAAAACAATATTGGCCGATAAATAGAGGTTTTAAGAAATCTTGGTGTCTTTTACCTGGTGCTGGTAATCATTATAAATATATCACAAGAGATCCCAAAACTGGTGAACAAGCCCCCTTTTTACCAAATTTATTTGTTGAAGACGATCATGAAATTGTACCTGAAACTTTGCCTGATAATTTTTATTCAACTATTCATTATACTGATAAGGCTATTGAATTCATTGATCAAACACCTGAGAATGAACCATTTTTTGGGTTCTTGACATATACTGCTCCACATTGGCCATATCAAGCTCCACAAGATAGAATTGCAAAGTATGATGGATTTTATGATCTAGGGCCAGAAGAGTTAAGAAGAAAAAGATTAGCTAAAGCTTTGGAGTTAGGTATAATTGAAGAGAATGTGAAGCCACATCCAATAACCACTATTCGTAAAGATTGGAAAGATTTAACCAAAGAAGAAAAAGCTATTGAGATCAAAATCGTTCAAGCTTATGCAGCAATGGTTGAAATATTAGATGAGCAAATAGGTAGAGTTATTGATCATTTAGAATCAAAAGGTGAATTAGATAACACATTTGTATTATTTATGTCAGATAATGGGGCAGAAGGTATGATAATGGAAGCATTACCCTTGTCAAATCAAAGAATATCAACTTTTGTTGATAAATATTACGATAACTCGTTGGAAAATATAGGTAATTATAATTCATTTACATTTTATGGTGATCAATGGGCACAAGCTGCTACTGCCCCTCATTCAATGTATAAAGCATGGTCAACTGAAGGAGCGATAGTTTGTCCATTAATTTTACATTATCCACCTTTAATTAAATCTCAACATGGTAAAATCTTAAAAGAATTTACTACAGTAATGGATATTTTACCAACAGTGTTGGACTTAGCTGGTGTCAAACACCCAGGTAAGACATATAAAGGTAGATCAATTGCTGAACCAAGAGGTAAGTCATGGAAACAATATATATCCGGTCAAGCCCCATATGTACATGATCAAAATACAGTAACGGGGTGGGAATTATTTGGACAACAAGCTATAAGAAAAGGTGATTACAAAGCTATTTATATTCCAAAACCTTTTGGACCTGAAAAATGGCAATTATTCAATATTATAAAAGATCCTGGTGAGAATGATGATTTAGCTGAACAAGAGCCACAAAAGTTACAAGAATTAACTGATCATTGGGCTGTTTATGCTGCTGAGACCGGATTAATTGAAATTAGTTCTGATTTTTTCCAATCTGAAAAAATATTAGGTGAAGAAGATTATGAAGTTAGTTATAGAACAATTTATGATTAAAAATGACACTAGTGTTTAATTCTTCTATATATATTATGAATTTATTTAATGCAATTTTTTACTATGCTTTTTATGCTTTTTATGATCTTTTGATTTTGAGTGTTTTGATTTTGAACTAGAACTACCTTCATTGTTTATCCAAATTTCATCATCTTTTGCATCTTCAGGCAAATTTAAATTTTTAAAAGTTTCTTTTCTCCATTCTTTTAAATGTTTTGATTTTGTGAGTTTTCTCTTGTCTTTTAATCTTAATTCTTTTGCTCTATAAGGTGCAAATTTTTTGATACCTATTAATTCATTTAATTGTTTATCATCTGCTAACAATATATCTCTTGTTGTTAAACCAAAAGTTTCTGGTGATACTTCTCTATATTTAAATTTCGTGGTGTCGTTGTTTTTATTTTTAGATCTACCTCTTCCCAATTCTTGTTCTTCTTCTATTTCTTCTTGTATTTTTAATGTGTTTGCTTCTATTATTTCTTGTGCTTTTTGCTTTAATGATTCTTTGGATTTTTTTGCTGATTTTTTATCTTTTAATTGATCTTTCTTGGATTTTTTCAATGGTGGTTCTTCTATTACTTCTTCTTGTTCATATTCTTCAGCATCTTCTCCTCCTACTCCCTCATCCTCATAGTCATATCCATCCATTATCTCATCATCCCATTTTGGTTTTTCATTCTCTGCTCCATAGTATTGTTCATTGAAAATTTCTGACATTTTGTTATCCCAATCAGCATCATCAAAATCGTCGTTCAATAACGAGTCTCCAAATACTTTTTGTATTATTGCATCATCAACGTCTTCGCCTACTGCCTCTTTAATTTTGGATAATCTGTCAATTACTTTATTCAATTTTGATATTTTTCTTTTTTTCAATTTTTCTTCTTTCTTTTGTTCTTCTTTATGCTTCTCTTCAGTTTCTTTTTCTCTCTTTCTTTTACGACTATTAGTATTTGATCTTCTTAAAGTAGCTTGATTTCTTGCATATGAAATAATTTCTGTAGAATTTGGATCTTCAAATCTAAAATTATAAGCATTTTCGAAATCTTCTACAGCATCGTCAAATTCTTCTTCGTCATCTTGATCAATTTTATCTAAATTTATTACTTTATCTCCTTTTTGTGGAATCCATGCTTTTTGATCTAAAAATGCTGATAAAAACCCGTTTTGATCTCTTTCTGGATCTGGTAATGATTTTGTTTTAGTGTTTTCTCCATCTTCAATTTGGTCGATTTTTGATTTCGTTTTCTTTTTCATAAACCCATCATCTTCATCATCATTTTCCTCTTCTTCCTCATCGTTGAAAGCATTTTTAATATCATTTAATAATTTATCACGTTCTTCTTTTTGTTCACTCACGAAAGATTTTGCTCCATCCACTGTTTCACTTTCGTCAAATTCTTTATAACTTCCATCAATTAAATTTTGTCTATGATAGTCTTTCAAGTATAATGGTTTTTCACTTTTGGCCTTAGTGGTGGAGTTGGGTTCATTTGAAGGATCTTTGAAGAATTTGACATTTGGATCCAACAATTTACTTGGATTACTTTTGATTGTTGCTAAAACTTGATTGATTCCATCTTCAACATCGTCCGTTATTAAATCTCCGAATTCATCTTCTTCTTCGGATGATGATTCACTTTCTGAATCTGAATATTGTGTTTGTGTTTGTGATTGGATTTGTTGTTTTCTTTCTTCATTTACACTGTTTAAATTCTTGGCTGGTGGAGTTGTCGTGGTATTAGTTGGTGCCTCTACTTCTTCTTTTGAAGCTGCTTCTCTAGCCTTTTTGGCAGCTGATTTCTTCCTAGCCATATTATATAATGCTTAATGAATATATTTGGATCTTTGTAACGAGATGATCATTATAGACAAATTTTGAAACATAATTCGAGATCAAAAATTGGAGGCTACCAAATATTTTACTTTTGTGTAGTTTATATCTAATCTATACTTTTAATATACTTTCTATAAATGCTATATCAGACTTATTAATATCAAACCAATCTATAGCTTCATACCTTTCAAATGCCTCTGAATCATTCAAGGAAACAATAATGTCAAACAAAATAACCTCTCCAACAAACACTTTAATTTCTTGCATCTTGTGACATCGCAAAATCCACAAATACCTACTAAATATTTTATTTCGCAAATTAGGATGATTTTCAACTATTCTACTAAAAATTTGCAAAAGTATTTTGATACGATTCAAGTTCTTTGTGTTTATGTGTAAGTTATAGCATTTTTTAAACAATTCATTATAATTCATCTCTCCACTGAAATTATAATTTGAATCAAATAATTTCAAAATTAATTGTAATGTAACAAGTACTAATTTTTGATCCCTACTTGATGTGATTTTTGGCTGGATTGGTTTCAAAAATGATAACAAAATATCGAACTCTTCAGTTGTTGGTTTATATTTTATAAGCTCATCAAATGATTCATTTATTATCTGCAAATTACCAACTAATGATCCACATGTGAAAACTATACCCTTCCAAAATTCAATTTTCATTTGCGTATCAGTTATTGTGCCATAATACGCAAATAAATTAGACCAGCTAAATGATTCATTAGTCAACCTTTTAAATGCAAGGTTTCTCAACCTGTCCATAATCTCACCACTTAGTCGGGTCAACTTCAATCGTATCGTATAATCCATTATATTATTTCTTTGCACTAACTTGACCATATTGATTCTAATTTTGGAGCCAACATCACCTTGATCTGTAATAGTATAATCATCAAATAAATCGTATAACGATCTTATATCAAAAAATGGAGGTAAATTAAAACTTAGGTTTTCAATCAAATTAGCCCTAATAGACGCATTAAATTTTGGGTTTTTAAGCATCAGAATGATCTCATCATACTGAGGTTTATCAAAGTGCTTGTAGTCGAATAAAGTTTTTGATAATACTTCATTATTTTGGAGGTGGTATAAAACTTCACTTATGGGTATTTGCTTTTGGTTTGAAATTATTGACCTAAACTCTTCTGTATAATCGTGAAATTTTATAATTTTTAATAAATTATGCCATTGTGATTCATTCAATTGTTGAATCTTCAAGTAGGTTAGATAACCTTTGATCATGTCTTGTTTAGATTCGTCGTATTGAAAATTGGCAAAAATTTCATCAGCAGTATTGGAATACATATCTAGTTGAAACAAGATGTGCCATCTATTCGAACGCTCCAATTTGTACTTTATTGAATCAAAACTAATTGATGATTCTCTGGAAGTTAATGCTACTTGTGGTGGCTGTATCAATAATTTATTCAAATAAACACCATCTCCATCTTGTTCACATATTATATCTACTAATGGTTCAATCAAAAACCTTAGGTCTATGACATTGTAAAATTCGTCCATCAATTGATAACATATACTCAGACTTAAATGTAGTATCCCCAATTTCTCAATAAAGTTTATAATGAACTCACCTTTTACTTCTAGGTCATCAATGTGAATTAATTCTTTACCAAATCTACCAATAAGTTCTTGCAATACTGCGATACTGCATTTTTTTAAAATCAATTCCTCATCAAACACTAAAGCTTTTAATAGATCAATAAAAACTATTTCAAGTATGGATGAAAAATTTTTCATATTCTTAACAATCGACCATATTAAAAAGCAAGAGGAATCTCTAATTTGATTACCTAAAGTGATCACACCATTTTGAACTTTGAAAAATAAAAAGCTTGTTGCCAAATTTAAACAGTCGTCATAAAACTCAATTGGTAATTTTTTCAGTAATGCAATATATCCTAGAGTCAATAACGTTGTTTGAATTTTGGGAATGTTGTAAAGATTCAGATCATTCAGGGAAAGTAATGACAAAATAAACTCAATTAATTGGTGTTGATAATTCACTGCAACATAAGATAATTGCACAACAATTGATGAAACAGACTTAGCCATACAATATCTCAAATTTATATCAAATGGAATTGCATCAGTTGGTAATATATCGTTTAGAAGTACATTAATGATTTGACATGTTTGGGTGAAATTTTTTAGTTGAATAAAATTATTTGCAAGTTTACTTAGTATTTTGATAAAGTAATTTAAAGTCATGTTTGAAAAATTGGACTCTAGTACATCATGAACAATGAATTTATATATCACCTCTAACTTAATTGACTTTCTCTTTAAAATTTGATTAATTACTAACAAGTTTCCCAATCTTTTATTTGAATCTTGAAATGACCAATTTTTCTCCAAACCCCCAAAATAATCAGCTATCATTTCTTCACAATCTGACCTAGTAAGCAACCTGGACAAAAAAATCAGGGCAATTTTTTGAATTTTAGATCCATTAGTATACTGATACAAATTTAATTCCCCAACTGTTCTTAGTCTTGAAGATAAAGTATCACTAATACTAGCGATTGGGAATGGAACAAGCACCAAATTACATAACCAAAGTAAACACGTAAATTTTACAAACTCATTCTTGGTGGTTTCACATTTTTGTAGTAGAACTTCAATCAAATAAACATCACTTGAAAAATATAATGATAATGTTTTAAATGAACAAATTTTGGCAAATGTATAAAATATTAATCCAACATAACTTCCAACTTCTTCATTTTCCAAAAACAATGAACTTAATTCTGTGATATAATAAGTCAAATTTTGTTCTAAAAGTTTTGGTTGCAATTCGAACTGATTTATTATTTCAACTAATTTATTGGTAATTGATTGATACGTTATAGATTTCTCTTGAAATGATAACTTCCCATTTGAAGTATCAATTAAATTTTGTATTAAACTTTTAATTTCATTTTGTAATTCTTCATTTCTTTTAATGATCAATACATATTGCAAATCATCCATATCATGATTATAATAGTTTGTTGATCGAGTTGTAAATAATCGAATATAGAATTTGATTTTGTGTTTCTATTATCATTTAAAAGGAAGAAAATCATTTACAGCATTTTTTAATAATCAAATGATGCAATCGCTTTAGAACTATATGTATTCCTTCATGTAAAACTGTTCAAAAGACCAACACAGAGTAGAGGGTTAATTTTGAATAATTATTACGTTCAGTTAATCTAATTGTCTATAAATTATATATAAATAAATTTAACTCATTTTTTACCATTTTGTAAATTTTTCTTTTTAACAAATGATTCCTTAGCTAATTTAATTAAACTATCTAATTCACCACTATTTTCACACATACTATAAAATAATGAATTTTTATCACTTATCAACACATAAGGATTTTCATATTCAACAACTTTTCCAGCGTCCATAACTAAAATTTTATCATAATCTATAATTGTTCTTAATCTATGAGCTATTGTTAATATGGTACTTCCATCAAATTCATTTCTAATGGTTTGTTGAATGAATGAATCAGTTGCTGTGTCTATGGAACTAGTTGCTTCATCTAATAACATAACTTTTGGGTTTTTCAATAATGATCTTGCTAAACAAACTAATTGCCTTTCTCCTTGTGATAAGTTTCCACCACCTTCTGTTATTGAATTTTCTAAATTAAGGAATTTATTTTGATTTTCATCATCTGCTGTAGTTATATTTTCATTTGATCTAATAAGGTTTACTCTTCTTAATGCTTCGAAAATTTGTTGATCTTGGTATTGTTCGAATGGATCTAAGTTTGTTCTGATAGTACCTGCAAATAATGTTGGATCTTGTGGGATAATAGTAATTGCTTGCCTTAAATTTTTCAATCCTATTGTTGTAATGTCAATTCCATCAATTTTTATAGACCCACTTTCTGGATCCAAGAATCTGAAAAATGCAGTTATAATAGTTGATTTACCAGCACCTGTTCTACCAACAATACCAACTTTATTACATGGTTCAATATTGAAAGTTACATTCTTAATAACTCTTGGTAATTCAGGTGAGTATCTCAAAGAAACATCATTAACTTCGATTGCTCCTTTATCTGGCCAATTTGATGGTGGTTGAGTTTCTTTAATTTCATATGGTGGTTCTTGTTCAACTTCAAGATATTCTTGTAATCTTTCAACTGAATTCATATTCATTTCAACATTTGCATAAAGCCTAACAATCCATAATGCAGATTCACTGAATGCAATAGCATAAGATAATGATAAACCTGCTAAACCTGCATCAATCTTACCAACAGATAACAAGACAAATATACCCGCAAATAACATAACTAATGATCCAACAGCGTCGATTCTAAATGAAAGCCATCTGTTAGCTACCCATAAGTAAAAGAAAGGTCTATTGTTGTTATCAATAGCTTGTAAATTTTGTTTCATAAATCTTGATTCAATACCATAAGCTCTAATAGTGGCAACACCATTTAATGATTCTGAAAAATGTTGATGAATTGGTGATTTAGTAATTGACTCATATCTTTTTAATTCTCTTGATAATGTTAAATAGAAATAGCCAACTAAATAATACAAGAATGAGATAATAACTGCAAAAATTAAAAATCCAGGAGTGATAAATACAATCATAATCAATGTTGAAACACATTGAACGACACAAATAAATGCACCTTCAGCAAATGGAGTAACTTCTTGATCAACTGATTCAATATCTTTTGAAAATCTATTCATTATACGACCCAAAGGAGTTTTATCAAAAAATCTTAATTTTGCTCTTAATATTGTTGTTAAAACATTTTTGAAAATTCTATTTGATGCTTGAATACCAGTGAAAAATGTAATATAAACTCTGAAACAAGCAGTGAAGGCATATACAAACCCAATAATACCATAGATCGATATATAATATAATGTTGAGTGTTCTTCAGCCGATTGATTTACTTTAGCATAACCAAAACCAAATAATTTAACCGCTCCCATTAAATTTCTAACTATTGGTAATTGATTATAATGAGAACTATCCATAACAGCACCGTGTCCAACATATTTGACAAACAATGATTCAACATGTTCACTATGTAATGACCAAGTTCTTAACCACCATGATTGGAACATATAAACACCTTGTGAAATAACAAATGCAAAAAGAATTAAAGTCCAAACTCTCCAACCACCAAATACTTTTGCATATTCAATATAAACCTTTGAACCAACAACACCTTCAGCTTTATTTTCTTCTTCAACTAATTTACCATCAGTTTTAATTAATGGTTCATCGTCTTCGGTTTTGTCATTAGTTTTCAAAGTTTGTAATTTTTGTTCAATAACAGCTAATTTTGATTTCATTTCTGCATTTCTATCTCCCAAAGATTGTAAATTAGAACTTGATTGATTTCTTGAATTCATGACTGATGATTTAACTAATTCATCATCACCTAAATCTCCCGAGGCTAATAATTCTTCAGTAGTTCCTTGATTTTTAACTCTACCATTATCCATTACAACAATCCATTCAGCATGTTGAGCAGTTAATGCAACATTATGAGATACCAAAATACATGTTCTACCTTCCATTAATGGCCCAGTGATACAATTTTCATAAATCCATAAAGCAGTATGAGAATCAACAGCCGATAAACAATCATCTAACAACAAGTGTCTTGCATTTGAATATAATGCTCTTGCTAATGAAACTCTTTGTTTTTGACCACCTGATAATGTTATACCTTTTTCACCAACTTCAGTTTGATCACCTGCACCTAAAATTTGCAAATCTCTGGTCAATCCACAAGCATCAATTACTTTGTCATAACGATCTTGGTTGAAGGGAGCACCAAATATAATGTTACCTCTTATAGTATCATTTAATAACCAGGCAGATTGAGAACAATATGCAACAGATTCAGTCAAACCATCTTTATCAGGAATTAAATCATCTCTTGGAATAATACCTGGCAAGAAAACTTTACCATTTAATAAATCCATTTCACCTAAAAGACCCATTAACAAAGAAGTTTTACCAGAACCAGTTGGCCCAATAATAACATTCAATTTACCTGGTTTGAAAGTAATGTTAATATCTCTCAATCTAAAATCTGTTTTGGACAGTTGATTCCAAGATAAATTAGCATTCTCAAAACCAATTTCTGGTGAATTTGGACCTTTTTCTTGAGCTAATTGATCATATTTGGAAGTTTCAGCTTCATCCAAGAAGTCGGTGACTCTGTCTAAGGAAACTTTTGATTGAATAACAAATGAAGTCATGTCAGCTAATTGATCCAATGGTGATCTCAATAATGTGAATAATGATAAAGCAGTAAATGCAATTGGAGCAGTTAATGTTTTACCGTCTATGACAGTATAACAATAAAATGAAAGTAAAGTAATTAAAGTTGGAGTAATAAACCAAACAAATGCAGCAGCACACCAAACACCACATCTCCATTTCAAATAACTTAATTCTTCTTCTCTAATTTCCATTGCACTTTCAAAAAATTTATCTTCCCATGCAAAAAATTTAATAATTCTAATACTTTGGAAAGTCTCATTCAATTTTTGAATTCTCTTGTCTGTGACTCCCAACATTTTCTTTTGTAATCTACCCATCCATTGAGCCATATTATAATTAATTGGCAACAATACAACAATAGTTAATGAACCAACTAATGCACTCCATCCTAATAAATTGTAAAGTAAGACAGTACAAATACCAATCATTAAAATAGCACCAACAAAATAATGTAAATAACCACAAATTTCAGAAACTTTGAATGCATCAATAGCCATAAGGTTAATAATTGCACCTAATTCAGCGGTTTTCTTATTTTCTTCCGGTTCTTCAGATGATTCATCATCCTCATCTTTATCATCCAATGATTCATCTGGTTTTGTTTCAGTGACTGTAATTTTTCTTCTTAAAGCCTTTGCGTAAACTTCACCTATAATAACTGCTTTCATTCTACAACAAACTCTTCTTCCTAAAAATAATGAGCACCCTGAAGCAATTGAGTCTAACATTTTCATTACTGGCATCATGAATACAAAAGTCCATGCTAAATTTGTGGACGTTGAAGCTGGATCAGCTACATATTCCAAAACTTTTTTCAATAAAATTGATGGTCCAAATATAAGCATTGATTCTAAAATTGCCCAAAATGCTTGAATTGCAAATAAGAATTTAAAATGCCAAAAAATCTTATAAGTAAAAGATAAAGTTGATTTTGATGCTTCAAAAGCTTTTAAAACATACAATGCATAATCATCTTCTCTTAAACCCCAAATATCATTTTTACTAAGTGGTTGTTTATAAGATTTCCAAACCATTTTATCTAACCAACTATAAGAAACAAAAGATGCAAGACTTGAAATGTTTTCTGGATTTGGTTCAATCCCTGGGGTGACATATAATTCTGAAGGTTTGTCACCAATTTTAGCAGTAAAATTTAAAAATAATAACATGGCGTTAAAAATAAATTCCCAAATATAATACTTACTAACAGTTTTATTCATCTGAGTTGATATAATGGCTGATCTGAAAGTTAATAAACTTGGAAAAAAATTGAAAAAATATAATGTAGTGGTATGAATCCATAAATTTGGTAATTTTATAAATACTTTATTCATATTTATGACTCTGAATGAAACAATTATAAACAAGTAAGACCAAAATACAGTTTGAACAACCGGTATATAAGTATGTTTGAATTCTTTGTGAAGTGGTTTTATAAAAAATGGTGATAAATGTAATGCCAATGCTAATATGACCAAAATATATTCAAAAGCTACTCTAAATCTTTCACTTATATTTTTATAAACTTCTTGAACATATCCATGAGGTGTACCATCTATATTCGTGTCTGGTAATTTTGATAAATCAAAATGTAAAGCTTTTAAATCATCTTTTGTTAATTTGTCTGTAATTGATCCATAGTTACCATTACTTGCTAATAATGGACGATTTTCATTTTCATTTTCTTTTAATTCAATTTTAATTTTGCTCTTCCTAGAATATGATATAATAGTTTTTATAAATAATATTATAAATGATATTGATATTAATATAATTGGTGTATAAAAATCTAATTTTAATCTTGTACAATTTGTAATATCATCATAATCCCAAAATTGACAATTATTTGAATAAGTATTATTATTATTATTATTATTTGATAGATGAGATATCATTAACTTCTGTAGCACCATTTGAAATAAATGAAATACTATTTAATTGAAGAAGAAGTTGATGAAATATAAATATTAAATTGAATTTTTTTACAACCAAAAGATGAATAAATAAATTGAAATAATATAATAATAAATAATAAATATAATAAAAAATAGATAATAGTAAAAAAAAGGAATTTAAATTTTAGCCTAGTACTAAAAAGTATTATTAAAAGTAGAATATTATAATAATAATAAAATTATAATTCCGTTTCAAACTAAAATTAAAAAATAATACTTCAAATATAAATGAATTACTTTGAAAATATTGACAAGAAATTTATCAAAAAAATATGAAATTATACCAATAACGATTCGGTAAGGCAACTTAGAATTATCTTGGTATTAGGAATGTTTCATCTCTCTTCACTCGGCAATGTAATCTTAGCGATTAGTCTTAAATACCATTTGATTAATTGGCATAAAAAAAATGAATTTTGTGCTACCTCTTGTTTTACGAAAAAAAATTTCTATTAATTATTAAATAAATATCAAGATGAGTTTACTAGTTAAAGAATTACTATTTTGCATTGTTAGCATCTCTATTTCAATTAGCTTTTTAAAGAAGAAATAGAGAAATAGAAGAACAAATTCTAGTTTATTAAAAAAAAGATCACCTTGAGTTGTGGTAACAATAAATCAAGTATACCAGTCTTTGAAACTCGAATAAATAAAGTTCGTCTTGATTTGAATATAGCAAATCCTTTCACATTAGACTCGTACTAATTAATACTGCTAGTTTGTCTGTCTTTCTACACATATTAAGTCCAATTTTTCAAAGATTTCTATCTTTAAGGGGTAATTTTGGGTTAAGAGGTTATTGTTAATTTGTTTGTTTTGATGTTTTTTTTTTAAAAAATGACTAATGTTATGATTAAAGTTTGACTCAGCAATTGATCAACATACAACCTTACAATACAAATATTTTTAATATACAATTTTAAATCATTATAAATTAAATTTTTTTCAAAAAATATTTAGCTATAAAACATATAAACTTTTTTTAATTACCATTTGATTCTACTTCAGCATCTCCTTGATTTTCAGCTTCTTGTTCTTCTTTTGTTGGAACTGAAGAATTTACTGCAATATCAATAACCATTTCTCTACCATTAATTTCTTTACCATTGAATTCTTCAATTGCTTGTTTTTGAATATCTTCACTTGGAAATTTAATAAATGCAATACCTTTATTTAATGGTCTTCTAAATTTACCATTTGGATATTTTTTATTTTGAATTCTTCTTGTTGGTACATGAATCCACTTTGGTTTTAATTCTTTAAAAGTATTACTTAAAGCTTTTACATTAATTTTATAATCTAAATTTGTAATAAAAATAGTATCTTTTGATTTTTCACCTTCTGGAGTTGTAATTGGAGTTTTGGTGGTGGTGGTAGTTGATTTTTTTGATTCTGGTTTTTTAGTGGCTTCAGTTTTTTTCAATTCTTTTGCTTTTTGAATTTCTTCTCTTTTAGCTCTATAAGCTTCATCTTTTAATTTTTTTTCTTCTTCAGTTGGTGGTGGAACTGCTTTTTTAATAAAAATTGTTCTTCTTTGAAATCTTTGACCATTGAAATCAGCAATTGCTTTTTCTGCATCATCTTTGGATTCAAATTGAACAAATGCAAATCCTAAACGTCTTTTAAAAGTTTTATCACCTCTTGTATTTTCTTTAAATGGAATTTCAACTTCAGTACTAGAAGAAGTTAGTATCACAAGCAATAAACTTTTTGGGTTATATACTTATACATACACTTTTAAATCTTTGAACAATTCTTTTAATTCATCTTCAGTTGCTTTATAATCAACATTACCAACATAAATTCTATCTTCAATAACTGGTTTAATAGCTTTAACTTCTTCAGACATTTCAGACATTTTCTTCGTTATATATGATTTTCAGCCTTTAATTCACTAGGTTTAATATCTTCAAACTAAAATATTTGGTGATTAATATTCAATTGATTTGATTCACAATTGATAATTTTTATAATCTACACTTATTTTTTTAAAAAATTGTGTTGTAAAAAATCGCCTTCTTTTGTTGAACGTAGAGAAAAAAATTTTATGATCTTAAGACCGTAAAAGTTAGTGTCATGTGACACAACAAACAAAGTTGAGACATTGTATCGAAGAGTTCAGCATTTGCTCTACAATCAGTTAAGTTATTCTTTCTTAAATATTTTGGGTTGTTTTGTTTATTATTTATTATGTTAATTCATTGGAGCTTTGATTCTATTTCAATTTACTAAATAATCTTGGTGCTACACAATCATTCACACAATGTTCTAAGTGGAAAAATTCTTCAACACAATCTTCCTTGTAGTGCTTATGTTCATAACCTGGTTCTTGCATTTCTTTTGTAACTCTTTCAACACATTCGTGGAAATGATGATCAAATGGCTTACATGTACTTGTCTTTACACATTCTTCACGTAATTTATCTAATGGGTCTTCTAATTCTGCTTCATCTTCATCTTCATCATCTTCTTCTTCATCGTCATCACCGTCTTCTTCTGGATCTACTTTTTCTTCTTCAACTTCCTCTTCTGGTGACGCTTCTTCTTCAGCTTCTGGAGCTTCTTGATCAGCAACCTCATTTTGTGTTTCATCAGCTGGCTAAAAGAACAATAGTTAGTACTCGATATTCAATAATTTCTGGTAGTGGTAGGGCAACATACTTCATCAGCATATGCAGATGGAATTATGGTTTCAAATATATCTCTTAAAAATGACATTATTTATATATGTGAAGTGCTATGATGGGATATGATGATTTATTTATTATTGATAGTAATTGAATTGAGTATGGTTGACTTTTTGTTAATATAATTATATACGATTAGTAAGACAACGACTACTTCTTATAAATCTTAATCTATTTTAATTACCTTAATTTTTTAATTAAAGTGAAAAATTATACATGAAGTTAGTGCGTAATATAGAAAAATCAAATATTTAATTGGTTAAGAAAATAAGCAATTGAATTGGTAGCATTCGAAACTTGTATATTTTCTATAATGTCTATAAATTATTCTATTCTTGATCTATAATAATCTTTCCAATTTTTTTATTTGTATCAAATGGATTATCAATGTATAGATTATGGCCACCTTCTGCAATTTCATCATATTCAAATATACTTTTTGGGTTATTTTTGTGTAGTATATCAATCATTTTTTTACCTGCTTCAGAATTCATAAAATCATATTGACCATAAAATATAAATGTATTAAACTTAAAAGTTTGGGGGTCTGCTTGTAAAAATTTATCCATTAATGGTACCTTACTAACTGTTGCCGGTGTAAGTAAATATTTCACATAAATATCACTATTTGTACCATTTGTGATTGAATTATATAAATACTCAATGATCAATTTAATCTCTTTACTACTTCCAATCACTAAGTCATTTGAATTCTGAAAGATTTCTTGAGCTCCTCCATGTTTTGCAATTAACTTGTTGATCTTTCCTAATTTTGATAACCACATACTAAAATAATATTGAACTCCAAATGGTCCTAACAACTTTAGTATTTTCGGTAAGTATGGAATTTTATAATACCAATTCAAAATATGATTTTTAGATAAAATTGGGAATCTCGTCAAAAATTTATAAGAAGTTGGGTCTAAATTTGGTTTTTCGATTTCATTCGTAATTTTATCAGTATTTGTTATTGCCATTACATGTCTTTCTAAACCCACTGGAGATAATAAAATTAAATTCGATACATTATTTGGGAATTTTATAGAATATGAACCACACCAATATGCACCAAATGAATGACCAATTAAATAGTCAATTTTTTCCAATCCCATACTTTTTCTCCATCCATCAATTGCTTTAGTGTAAAACAATTCCATATCTTCTAAAATTGGTCCAAAATATTTTTGATACTCTTCGAAATTTTCAGGGTCCAATTGATACCCTTCAATTAGTTTGTAGTATTTTCTATATAGCTTTTTAGGATCTGTTGGTTCATTGTCAATTAGCTTGATTTTGGCAGTAGGTGGAATTTTCCAACTTATTTTATCATTATCGATCTTTGGATTGGATGATAAACCAAAAGTGATATTATCTAAAAAGTGAATATGGTAGTTGAATTTATCACTTTCTTTCAACTCATCAATGATTTTGAAATTTCTTGCAAAACAACCCAATGATGCTCCATAACCATGTATAAATACAACATGTTTGGTTGGGAGTTTACTGTTTTTCCGACAGATTGTTACAGTATTGATATGATCTCCTTGTTGTATGGGTATTCTTCTCTGAATTAATTCAATATTTGTATTTTCTTCGTTATTTGGAATCATAAGTTTAACCAATTCATTTTGTAGACTTTCCAATCTATTTGGTGATAATGAGTCCCACCAGATTTTCAAACCTTCTTGTAAAGATATATTTTTCAAATTCTTTTTATTTGGTACATAATCTTTTGGTAAAATGTATTGGTTTTTTGACTTTAATGTGAATGATCTAATTGATACCCTGGCATAGAATAATTGGTGGCACCGTAGTTGAGTTTTTATCATTTGACTTATGTAGATTTAGTCAAGATCTCATTGAAAAATTGCTTAGACTATCTACGATTTGAAACCTAATTATAAAAAAATGAAATCTGTTACACAAAATTGGTTTTAAATAATAAGTTGTTTTACTTTTATCCATTTTTCTGGGATTTTATTTAAATCTGTTTTATGTATTTACACTCTAAAACTGACACAACGCAGTGGTTTCAAGTTATTACAAACAATACTTTTACAGTAATGATCCATACAATAACTGAATCTTATTACCTTAAGACTAACAAAATCAAATACGAATTAATATCTAGTATAAACGAACTAAAAAAAAATACTATACAACTTTAAAGAATTTATTTAAACCTTTTCTTTTCTTTGAAGTAAACTCATATCATCTTCATTTTCATATCTTTCGACACCGTGATGAATTTCATGACCAAATAAATCCTCTTCAAAATGTTCAACATCATGAGTCTCTTCGAACCAACCTTTTTCAAATGGTTTTAATTTAGGAATACCAGTTTCAATTGGGAAAACATAACATAAAATAGCATATATGATGAAAGCTGAGAAAAAACCTGCAAAGAAATTAATTCTGTAAACATATACAGCTCCAATTGGGACTTTACGACCAGTTGCTCCAACAAACCCAACTATATTTGGTAAAATACCACAAATATAAGCAACAAAAGCTCTCCAATTGACTCCAATTTTATTGTAAGCATACATTGACAATTTTGATTTATCGGATGGAGATCTGAGTGAATACAAATCTGGCAAATTGATATGTCCTCTTCTTACATAATAATAATCACTAGCCATTACACCTGCAATTGATGATAAAAATACGGAATAAGCAGATAAATATGTTGTGAAAGTTGATGAAGATGAGATTAATTTCCATGGACACATAGCAAGACCAATTAATAAACAAAGGTAACTACCTCTTCTAATGTCTAAAAATATTGAGTTAGTAAACATCCTAACGATAAAAGTATAAATTACATACTTAAAAGTCGTGGACAAAGTGCCGTCAAGTCTGTACCAAAGCTTAATGAGTTAGCTGATATATTTGTCCCCAACTGTGCAACAGCAAAAGCAAGGGCAATAAAGAATACACCAGCTCTAATACCTGGAGTATAATGTTCTAAATATTTTTCCATTACTTCTAATGGTGACCAATAAGTTTCCCCATATAAATTTTCTGCAGAAGCAGTTACTAATATACCAATTAATGAAGTAATACTAAAACAAACTGGTATAGATATTGTGTGAACAAGATACTTCATAGCAAATGATTTTTGACTATAAGCAAAACGCAGGAAGTCTGGGGAGTTTGTAATAAGTGTTGCAAAATTAGATAAAGCATTTAAAGTTGATTCAACAAAAGCCCAAGCAAGTGCAGAACCTTGAACTCCATTAGGTCTGCTTAAAACGCTTCCTAATCCGTCTGCTTTTACCAAAGCCCAAATCAAAAGTCCAAAACCACCAAAAATTGAAAAATAAGCTTTGACAGTAAATAAGTATTTTAATTTATGTGCTGAATTAAATAGTTAGTAGTTGAACATGATAAATAATTTTTCTCATGACTAATTTACATACGCGGTATCCAAAGAAAGAAAGCTTGAAACACGAAAAACAAAAATATTCCTAAAAATTGATAAACAGTTAAATCACCACCATCTAATTCTTTTGACATTCTTTGAGGCAAATTCTTACCAAAAATAGAGTGCAACATCAATGTCACTGTAGGTCCCGCGACAGCACTTTGAACCGAAAACCAGACTATAAAAATGTTAGTAAAGCAATCTTGATGGTATCAAGGTGTATTTCTAAAGTATTTGAAGCCTTTCTTGCTAATTGAATCTTTGTGAGATCAATTTTCATTTCAAAATTGCAAAAACGTTATTGTGTTAAATATTATTTTACTAACAAAAAACATTCAATTTCATAAAAAACATTCAAACTAATGAAAAGCATCCAAATTCTTTTGAAAAACATTCAAGTTCATAAAATACGTACCAGCGGAACAAACAACTCTATTAATTATCGGCCAAGCCAGTCCAAATAATCCAAAACTTAATCTTGAGGCAATTGGGAAACTAATCCCATTTAAACCAATTCTACTTATTATAGATAAAAAAATACCTGCTAGTAAATATCCAACCCACACACTTAACCATGTAGTATACCAATTGAGGCTCGTTCTATTAGGTGCTCTAGGTTAGTAACGATTGTTGAAATACATATTGCAGTACAGATGTTAAATATATATTGCAGTACGGATGTTGCAGTACATATTGCGGTACGGATGTAGCGTTAAGTATTGCGGTACGGATGCTACCTTAAGTATTGCGGTACGGATGTCACATACGGTGTTTGCATCAAACTAGAAGCAATTTGCCAAGTATTTATATTGAATGAGTCTGCTATCCAAAACGTAGCATAGTTATACCATCTCCAAGTTCTTCTTGCCTCTTCAACAGGTTTTAAATCATAATTGTACAAAAACATTTGTGAAGCACTTAAATCTCCCATTGGTTGAACTTCAATAAATTTAATAAATCTTTGCCATTTTGATTCCGTTTTGACGTCATCTTGATCTGACAAATCATCTGTACTAATTTCCCTATTTATAACCCCATCATTTTTTGTTGTGTATTTGTCCAAACTCATTTTATTTTGTAAAGCAAGATCGATAGTTGTAGAATTTATAAAGTAAAATTGTTGAAAATTAAAATTAAAGATTCAATTGATCTTTTATATATAAAATAGATAAATTTTATTGATATGCATATTGATTAATATATTGATTAAAATACTAATATATTTGTTAATCATCTTGTGTCCCTTGAAAATTAATGTAAATAATTTAATTTTGATAACGATCTTATCGTAAAATAGTTTGGAAAAAAATAAAATTAAATCAAAAAAGAAACAAAATGTACACCCAATCTTTCAAAAAAAAATTTTCAGTTCAACAGTTCAATTTTTTTTCTTTGTTCTAATTTTCAATAATTTTAATGTATTACATGTTAAAAGAACAACCTGAATATAATTTATTATAATTGCGAAACAATAATAGTGATAATAACTGAATGCCGTTTCTCCAATAATTAAGCTTGAGATACCAATTTTGAGTCTTCGTTTGATTTCAATTATTGTGAAACTATGATTATATCTTTTTTAACTTTAAATCATCAATTAGCAATAAAGTTTTTTTATCATTTTTTGTACTCTTTCTTTGTTTCAGACCAACTTCTTCTGCACAAACTAAAACCTACCGAAACTTATCTTTCTGATAATTACCAAGATATCTCCCTTTCACTTTCATCACTACTAAATCTTTATCTTTTTTCAGGCACTATCCTTACTCTTTGAACTCCAAGACCGATTCATGGTGACATGTAGAGATAAGATTTGAAAACGACGGTTTACTCCGAAAATTCTTTTGATAAGATAAAAGAATCAAATTCACAAAATTTTTTGATTAAAACGCACTAATTAGATAGATTTGCGGGATATTTGTCCTGAAAAGGGCGATACTTTGTTCGTAAAGCAGGCGGAAATTTCGATTTCAAAGGTTTAGTTTTGAAAGCTTGGTCTCAAATCATCTCAAATAAATTATTCTATCTAATCAAGTGTTTTGTGATTTTCAAGGCGTATACATCTAACTCTAATTAACTGTACTGTACAGATAATAAAATGCTTTAGCTCTACTTATCCTTGCTAACAACTATCTATAAAGAGGTAAAAAAGGAAACTGAGAGGTCCATTGTAATCTAGGTTGATTAGACCGGATTTACCCCAGATAAAAATTATAAGGATTTTCTTGATACTTAGTCTACAAAATGTCAAATTTTTCATGATAAGTTTATATACAAAAAAAAGTGATATGAAATTTGAAGGTTTTTGTATGTCTAATAAGCCATGTTCTTCTTTTGTAAATGTTCCTGATCTCACTTCTGACTTGTTAAAATTGAATATCATAAGTCCCCAATACGCCTGTAAAAACCCAAGGCACAATCAAAGCTCCCAGTTACCATTACGACCTCATCTTAACAAAATCAGAAGGAATCAATAATTCAGAATGGATTATGAAGCAAATTACAACTAATCGACTACAAAGGATATCTTTCATGTATATTTACTAAGATACCGAGACAGGTGCGTCTCTATTCTCAAAAAAAAACGATTTCAAAGTTTGAATTTGAATTTAGACGTTTAATTTGAGAATATTACTACAAAATTAATAAGTATTTTTTTCAATTTAGTTATTTCGTTATATTATTTGACTAGCATTATAAAAAGGAGTTTTTGAATTGAGAATTTATCAAAACTTTACTTATAAAAATTCATTAGCGTTTTGTGTTTACGTAATACATTAATTAATTTTATTATTATTACTTTTGTTACTAAATTTATAAACATATAATTTAATTAAAAAATACTAATTAATAATTGGATTTGAATTGAATTAACTCACCAAACTAACATTCAGTCAATTCACCGTATGACTTTTTAACCTAATTTATATCATCACGTATATGTCATATAACAACTCCCTTGAAAATCTACTAGGTTCAAAATATTTTACATCTCAATCATCAAATAATAATTTATCAAGTAATAATGATTTTAGGAAAAGTTCATTAGCAGCAACAACTACAACTACAAATTCAATAAATAATAGTAGTAGTTTCACAAATCCAGATGATTTTATAACATACATTATACCAGATTTCAATGCAGTGAAATATTTTCAAAAAGATTTTGTAAATTCAAATGAATTTTATTTAATTGAAGAAAGTGAAGTAAATGGATTTGAATTATATATATGTGAGCAATGGGTTATTAATAGAAATATAGGTACCATAGTCACCGCTTACACTGGTAATGAAACATCCAAAATATCAGTTGTTAAATTTACCATTATAAAAAAGCCAACAAAATATTATCCCATTAGGTTCCAAGAATATCTTACAGAATTAATTCAAAATCATTCACGAATGAAAACTGTTGATAAAGAAAGACCACAACAAACTGTAGCAAATAGCAGGGCTAACAGTACTAATGATATAGTTACGATAGCAAAAATATCTAGTAAACCACCGATGGTAGGAGAAAGAAAAGATAAGCAAGCAGATTTTACAAATGAAGTATGTTTTGTTACAAATTTAACATCATTGCCACCAAACTTAAATCTAATACCTATAGCATCAGGTGATGCAAGAACTATTGAAGCTCCTTTTATAATAAATTCAGATTTGAAAAAATTACAATGTACAGGTCGATCAGTTTCATTAACAACAGATAAAATATCAGATGCAAGTGATGATAAGTTTCGTCAAATGTATAAAATATATAATGTCAAAGTTCCCATAAAGTTTGCAGTGAGAGAGCTTGTAAATGTCATACAAACATGCCTATTTTATTTTGATTTATTGGATGGTAGATATTGTACTGGATTGTTGTGTGTTAAAACTGAGGAAGCAATAAATAATTGGTGGAATTTAATTGGGTTGCCACATTTCAATACTAAACCCAATGCAAGATTTGGAATACTACCTGCAACTACAGTGGCAGCGATAATAAGTTTGATTTTAAGTATTAGGCTACGTTTACAATTAGTTGGTGTTTCAGATGTACCTAAAGATCCATTTGATTTTGAAAATTTTTTGTTGGCAATTGGTCAATTTCAAAGACAAAGCAAGTTAGAAAAGACAAGAAAGTTGGACATGGAAACAATGAATAAATTATTTACTATTACCAACGCAAGATTAATGCCGGAAAAAAGTTCTAATTACTTTTACACTCCATATGATTTGGATGAAACTCAAGATTATGACTTATTGACATCACCAAAGCCAGTTGTACCTCATAAAAGAACGTATGGTAAAAGAGAATTAAAAAAATTAACAAACGTAATGAAGAATACGGTGCTGGACCATATTAATGCTGCAAGTATGAGAGATTCAGATGACACCACCAAATCTGGAGGCAGAATCAGAAATAGAATTGCAAAGTTGGCCGATAGTGTGAGCCCATTAGATGTTGAAACATTAGATTTGGATATTTTAATGAAAAATTTTTTAATTGGAAAGACTTTATTAAGGTTATTTCATGGTGTACAATCTGGAAATGTTTTATCTGATGAACAAGGGAAACTACGAAATAATGAAAATAGAAAAAGTGTCAATAGTAACAATGATTCTTATCTATATAACTTTGAGAGTTTAAGAGATAAAATTATACAAAATCACGATATACAAATAAACACCAAGAATGTTGGATTTTCAAGAAGGTTTGGATTACAGAGTAGGAAAAATTTAGATGATAGATTAGCACCACCAACACTTGACAATAACAATAGATCAATAATTGCAAGAGATCGATCATTACAATCTTCATCAATGGTTGATTCTTTTTTACAAATTGGAGATGCTGCATCATCAACTGAAGAAGTCCGTCGTCCAAGTAGTATAGATTCATCATGTGTAAATACAGCAAACAATAATTCAAATCATCCACTAGTTCAGTTTAAGAGAGATTTAAATAGAAGGAATTCATGGCCAACATTACTAAATGCAAAAGAAGAAAATTTAAATTCATTTATACACATGAAAGAATCTTTCACTTTTCCATCAGAGTATATCAACATTTGCAAAACAAAACCGAGAAGTAATAGTTATACATTAATTGAAAAACACTTCCGTGGTGATGATCCATCTTTAGAAAGTATACCTAAATTTTCAACACTATACCTTAAAAACATTGATTCATTAATGAGATATGAAAACCTAAAAAACTATTACTTTGAAACTGATCAAGATGTATCTAATGCCGCTTTAACCAAATCATTTCAACTACTTAATGTTGATCTAATGAAAGTAAAAAATTTAAAATTACAAATGATGTCAAACAAGCACAGAGTAATGGAAGAAGGATTAGTTGACCATTTAAAATTTAATTTCAATAATTTAACAGGTACAGTTGATAGATTAAGTTATGAAACAAGAATAGTCTCCAAAAAGATTAATGAGCTAGAGGAGAACTACAAACTTTATGAAGATAAATTAAATACAAATTGTCAGAAAAAACTCAAAAAAATAATTGATCAAGTTTTAAATCTGAGAGAATTTAAAGAACTATACACAATAAATGAAAGGAAATCCATTGCTTTCGAATTAACAAATGATGAAAATTATGTTAAAATAGAACAGGATGATGAAAACATGGGAATAATGAGAATTATAGTCGTGTTTTGTTTTGAATTAATCTCAACTATTTTCCAATGGTTTAAATTTGAAAGAAATAATATGAACTTGGAAAGAATTAGGCAATCTTGGGTTAAATTAGATCCTCAAAAATCAGTCATCAAAAGAACTTATTCATATATTGGTAGACAACCTTCTAGTGATAGTATAGCATCAGCCGAATTGAATCAATGAAAAAGTGTTTGTCAAGTATCCTTGATGTTATTTGCTAATTATACTACGATTTAACGAAATCACGACTGTTTCAAATTTTTGATTTTTGATCTAATACTTGATTTGATTTAGTCATCGCTTTAATGAATTTACGTGTTTTTCAAATTTTTGATTGTAGGTTCAATACTTGTTCTAATGTAGTTTTCTAGTAGTAATTTAGCTTTAATTCTTTCTTCTTCTTTAAGGTTTGGTTGAGTTTGTAGAAATTCTTTAACTGTATCTAAAATTTCTTGATTTTGGTTTATTAGCTCTTTAAGGTTTTGAGTTATAAAGTCTTGCTTTTGAAGTTCCATCACCAATTGTAATCTTTGATCTTCTAGTATTTGAATTTTACTAGGTGGTGGTGGTTCTGATGTAGATGTTTCAATTAACCTCTTGTAAACATCTTCTGGTACTAAACTCTGAACTGTCAAATTTACTTTATTTAAATTTTCACCCGATTCATTTACCTTCTGATTTGATTGATTGACTAACGTAGTAATTGTTGATATTTCATCTAATTTATCATCATCCATATTTCTTTAGTTAAGGAAAAATGTACAAAAAAAACACAATCAAAATAAATTTCCGCACAAGAATTTATTGATTCAAAATTAACACGTCCAAAGTTATCACCACCAAAGAAAATGGTTACAATTGGTAATGCTCATGAAGATTTAATACATGATGCGGTATTAGACTATTATGGTAAACGATTGGCAACATGTTCATCAGATAAAACCATCAAGATATTTGATATAGAAGGAACTGATAATTATAAACTTATAACAACTTTGACAGGTCATGAAGGTCCAATTTGGCAAGTTGCATGGGCTCATCCTAAATTTGGATCAATTTTGGCGTCTTGTTCATATGATGGTAAAGCATTAATTTGGAAAGAACAACCAGAAACTCAACAATGGTCAATTATAGCTGAACATTCAGTACATCAAGCAAGTGTAAATTCAGTAAGTTGGGCACCCCATGAATTAGGAGCTGTTTTATTATGTACTGCATCAGATGGGAAAGTATCAGTTGTTGATTTTAATGATGATGGAACCACTTCACATGTTATATTTGATGCTCATGCCATTGGTGTGAATTCAGCTTCTTGGGCTCCAATACAGACTAGTTCAAAAGATCCTGCAACTTTAAAACAACAAAGAAGATTTGTCACTTGTGGATCTGATAATTTAGCCAAAATATGGAAATATGATCCGGTAAATAATACATATGTTGAAGAAAATAAATTAGTTGGTCATACTGATTGGGTAAGAGATGTTGCATGGAGTCCTTCAAATTTAATACGTCCTTATATTGCTTCTGCTTCACAAGATTGTACTGTATTAATATGGACTCAAGATAAAGATGGTAATTGGCAAAAACAACCACTAACTGAAGAAAAATTTCCCGACGTATGTTGGAGATGCTCTTGGTCATTGAGTGGAAATATCTTGGCAGTATCTGGTGGTGATAATAAGGTTAGTTTGTGGAAAGAAAATTTACAAGGAAAATGGGATTCAGCAGGAGAAGTAGATCAGTAAAAAAAAAATAAAAAATTAAATGTACATTAATAATTCTGTAATTGATTAACCATTGATTCTATAATTTTTTGAACATCTTTTGAAGCTTCATCAGCAGTTTCTAAAACTTCCGCATGACTAGCCATACCTTCATCTAATGCCTTTGGGTTTTCATTTAATGCACTTGGAGGTTTTTCACCAACTCCTGCATTTGTAATTAATGATAATGCAAATACTTTTAAACCTGAATGACGAGCTATTATAACTTCCGGAACTGTTGACATACCAACTGCATCACCTCCTAAAGTTCTTATTGCACGTACTTCTGCTCTACTTTCAAAAGTTGGCCCCGCTGCGAAAAAATAAGTACCCTCGTGTATTGTTCTTTTAACATCTAGAGTTTTAGCAGTTTTAATAAAAAGTTTTCTTAATTCATGATCATAAGCATCAGAAAGTGGTTGAAAACGAGGTCCAAAAGATTCTAAATTTGGACCTCTTAGTGGATGCCAACCAGCCAATCCAGGGAAATTTATATGATCTTCAATAACCATTAACTCTCCAGGTTGATATTTTTCATTTATACCACCAGCTGCATTTGTAACAATAACAGTTGATATGTTTAATTCTTTTGCAACTCTTATAGGAAAAGTAGTTTCTTGGAACGTATACCCTTCATAAAAATGTAATCTACCAACCATACACATTACTGGAACTTCATTATCACCAATTAATCCAAATACTAATTTCCCAGCATGACCTTGAACTGTTGAAGTTTTAAATCCTGGAATTTGTGAATATGATATCTCAATTTTTTTCCGGGGGTTTAAAATATCTGCTATTCCACCAAGACCTGACCCACAAATTATCATGACTCTTGGATGGGCAATTGCTGGATGTGCATTGATCTTGGATTGAATTATATCTGTTGCATGACTTATTTGTTGTAAGTAATCTTCAATTGGGATATTTTCTGCCATTTTGATGGTGATTGATATTTACGAGATCTGATAATAGATTTTGATTTATGAATTATTATATTTTCGCGATCTCAATTTACTATATTTTATTGTATTACATCATTATATATATCTACAAGAAAGCTCTATTTACTCTGGCCACCAATCTGGAACAGTAACTTTAACACCAATTAATTTGTTACCATCTATTGTAGGTACTTCAACTTTAAAACATGGTGACTTGTTAACATCATTTATACTCAACAACCCCAATCCTAAATTATCATATACCGACAAAATCTTACCACTTGAATTTTTTCTTTTCCGCACTGGTTTAGAAGAAGATCCAAATGGATTAGGTGGTTGTAACTCTTCTTGTGGTGGCTCTGATTCTTCTAACGGACTTAATTCTAATTTACTCAACGTTGAAGTTGGTATTTCTGATAAATCTTGTAAGTCAGAATCAAGTGCAAAAAATTCTATAGGATAAATCCTTTTTCTTATAATCCCATTATTATAAGTTCTAATAGTTAATTCTTGACCTACATAACACCCTTTATCTAAAGATAATCCATTAGTATAATCTAAATTACATTCAAAAGGTAATAATGAATCCCCCGTGACAGCATCATTAGTTTCGAATAATCCATTTGAAAATCTTCTTTTCCGAAGTAACTCTTCTGGAAATTCTTGGACTAGAAAATCTTGTTGGAATTGTGGCGCAAATATACCTTTGGGTGCTGGTTCATTTAGAACGAATTTAAATCCAAAGTTTGGTATTCTATTATCTATTGCAAATCCAAAAATGTTCTTTGAAAAATTTTTGTTAAATATTACATCATTAGCTATGAACGAGTTAGCATTTCGTATGGCATTGACTGGATCAACTGATTTGAAATATTCTATTTGGACATTTTCCAACCACTCGTCAAATTCTGGTGTATCATTATAGTAATAATATGATTTGAATTGGGGATCTGGTTTAATATCTACTTTTGCACTTAATTTATGTAATTTCAACATCATCATGACTTTACTTGTATTTTGTTGATCAACTTCTAATAAATATCCAGGTTCTTCCATAAGTGATCCAAATTCATTTTGATAGTTATGAAATGGTTCACAATACAAAAAACAATCAGTAAATACTCGACCTTTTGAATTTAAAATCATTGAATTTATTCCATCTCTACTTATGGTTATATTGTAATTGGGGTCATATATATCTTCATGCATTAATCCATAATTTGTATTGACATCTATTATCTCTTGTAAATTTGAATGTTTTAATTCTGCATCACTTATTGTATGTTGTTTCTTTTTAATGACATTGGGTAATAATCTTGATGTCAATAGTCCATTTAGAAATTTTGTTGAGTCGGGACCACGTATTGATATTAGACTTTTCAGTAGTTGTGTTAGTCCTGCTTGTGGAAATTGCATAATTGATGTAGAAGTAACAAATATCATACTTTTGATTTCGCTTATTAATTTTTGAATAAAGAGATTTGCGTAAGGGGTGTTTTTCATTTTAAGATCCGCTTAAGGGGTAGAACGGAATAAATGAATAAATAATGAATATATTTTAACTATACATATTTTGAAATATCTAATGCTTTACCAATTGAATTTTTTGGACTTGTTTCAGCAGTTTCTTCACTTTCTACATTAATAGCAACATCTTGATTACTATCAACACTAGAGATAGTATCTTCACTTTTAGATAATTTATCTCTAATTCTTTCTGATAAACTTTGTTTTTTCTTTATATCATAAGCACCAGTACAAGATGGTAACTTGTTCAAGTTAGTTGAAGAATGTTGCTTTGAACTTAATGCACTTGAAATATTTGATTGTGGTTGACTATTATAATTAGAATGAGATTGAGATTTTGACAACTTGTCTAATCTTGTATCTAAATCTCCATAATCAAAGTATCCGTATCCACCCATTAATTCAAAATCTGAATCATCATCATTTTCACTTGTGGAGCTTTTACGACTATGGACTCCATAAGCTTCAACTGGTTCATCCTTATCCAATGTTAATGGGATAGGATGTTTTAATGATGGAATATCTAAACTAGTGTGACTTAATTCACTTTCAATTCTTAATCTTTGAATTTCCATTTTACGATTTTCTGATTCACTAATACTAAGCAAAAATGATGAGTTCATTTTTAAGCTAGTCTTCAAATCTGCTGTTACACGATGGAAAGTATCTAAAAATCTATCTGTTTGTCTATGTTTTGAACAAACGGTGATTATAATTTTATCATGATGAATAATATATCCAATACCAAAACCTTGATCAATTGCTGGTGGAATACCAAATAATCTCAAAGCTGGGTTACCACAATTTGAAATTAATAATTCAGGGTTTGATAATTGTTCAACACTTGCATTGAATAATAATGGAATAATTGTACCACTTTTAAATTCTGGAATTGGTGGTAAATCTAGATTTAATTTATTTAATCTTTTAACAGCACTCACTCTATTTACAACTTGGGATATAGCCATAAAATGTCTTTCAAACCCTTTACCAAGCATAGCGTCATGATATTGTTTCGAATGAATCTTACAACACTCCTTAAAAGCTTCAAATTTTTCCAGTCTTGAAGCATTTGTAATATATAATTTACATAATTGAGCAATGGAGTCATTTTGTACTGGGATTAATTCAGTTCTTGCTTCTTTAAATTTTCTTGTCATAATTGGTTCTAATGTGTTTACCATTCTACCATATAATGAATAATTTGCAACCTGGAAACAAATTTGTAAAATTGAATCGATCGATAAACCAAATTTACCAGCTAATCTTGAATCTAATTTAATTGTGTGGGTTTTGTACTCATGTTGATTAATTAAATCTGCTAATTTAGTTTCCGATAAATGAATGATGTGTTGTAATTCTTTTGTCATGTTAAAAGGAATTAAATAAGGTTCTGGCTTATTGTCTGTAGCTTCTGAATATGTTACTGCATTATCAAATAAAGTATATTCTGATCCATTAATATTTTTTGCTAATTTTAAGACTGAGTCGGTATAAATATCACTAATAAATCTTAAAATGGCTGTACTATCCATTGTAATTGATTCCCAAACTACACCAGCAACAGAATTTCTTGTAACAATTAATTGTAATTTATCATACCATCTAGAAGTACAAGTACCAATTTGAATATTTTGTTTGGATAATACTGAAGTACCATGAGAAATAACCATTGTTTTCTCTTGATCAGTTTTAGGTGAATTTGAATCTAAAATCAAAACAAATAAAGCATCATTTATTAATTTTAATTGTTGAGGATTTGATTTTTCTAATTCTTGTCTACCTAATTTCCAATGTTTTAAAGCTTGAGTCGTTATTGATCCAATACAATTGTTTATAGATTCTACTGCGTCAACTACATCAGAATCGTCTATAATTTTTTGAAAAATATCAGCTAATTCATGATCATGGAATAAAATTTCATGTTTTGATGGTGCATCACTTTCTTCATCATATTCACTCAATACTTCCAAAGCATAAAATTGATTGTTTGCAATTATAATAATATGTCTTGAATCATTTATATGATTATATTTTTTCATACTAATATCAAATGAGCCATTGACATCATCAGGAGATCTGGTAGTACCAAATAAATTTTTGTAACAAGTCATAGTTAAAGGAACTTGATTCTTTGGAGTTAAATCGGGTTTTAAAGTTCCATTTCTTAAAGTAACAATAAATTTCAAAGTGGAATTTACTAAGTTTGCTGATCTTTCTGATTGATTTGGTGGATTGATAGTTTTGGAATATGGATCTTCTTCCAAAATAAGATACGGATTTTTTGGTAAAATATCAGCTCTTAATTCTCCATAAATTGCTGGAGTCATATCATTGTTTACAATATTTAAATAATTATTATTCTTAGTCTTTTTGGAGATATTTTCTAAATGTAATTGAATCAATTGAATATTTTCATTTTCTAAAAAATCTTTTGCTTCTATTAATACTTCATTATAATCTTCTTCAACTAATAAAGGTTTTAATGATGCTAATAATTGTTGTACAGTTGAATTTAATGAAGGAACTGGTAAAATTGGCAAATCATTTTCATATTCAAATGTATCAAATCTTGATTGCATTTTTGAGATCTAAAGATTTAGGATCGTAGTTGTCAAATAAATGATGTAATATAAAATTTCTAAGACTTGAGCAAATACAAGATGTATTTATATATAAATATGAAAAATTTTTGTGGGTTTTGTGGGGGTCTTATAATATAAAATTTAGGTTTATTAATGGTTAGATTGAATTTATATAATAATTTATTATTATTCTTTTTAGTTAGTTGTATAATTATTAACCTGACATTATTATTTGAGACCTAATAATTGGATAGTTAACTATTATTCTTTAATGTATTGAGTATTAACTAAGAAAAATATAATAAAAGTCCGAAATCTAAAGTGAATTTTAATTTGATAAAAAAATCTGGGGCAATAAAATTAATTATTGTTACACAAATTAATTAATTGTGTCTGAAAATTGTACTTTACGACATAGCTTAAATTTATAGTTTTGAACTTCTTATATTTGACTTCCCGAAGTCATCATATTTCTAATCTCAGATGTTTATGACAAAAGAAATATTTGATCAAGTTTAAATATAACAACGTTATCGAATTTGGAAAAGTAAATTTAAAGCTCACTTTAATCATGTAAACTAAGGTAGTAAAATTGTCTGAATATTACTTTTGGATTGAAATTACGCGCGTCAAAAAAGGAATTTTCAATCATGTAAAGTAAAAAATTATTAGCCCACAACTAAATTCATAATTCCATTATATTTTCTACCCTTTATATAATGACTAGTAGTAGTTAAACAAGAATTAAATATAATGTTTCAAATTTATTTAATTCAATTAAATATAACAACAATATAAAAAATTTACAGTTATGAACACTCAAACAATATCTAATCAACTTTTAAATATAGCAGAACCTTTAGCTACTACAAATGAAATTAAAAATTTCCATTTAAATTCCGTTGGAAATCAAAAACCTAAAAATAAAAATTTTATAAGAAAGATAATTGATAAATTATTAATGAATTATATTAGAAAAAAATTCTTATCTAAAAAAATTAATCAATTTATTTAAAAACTATTTATCTAATGAATATTATGTTATTAATTTAACTGAAATTAGGATGAAATTTGTATATAGAAATAATTAATTTAATAAATACTACATTGTACTTTATTTGATAACCAAAGGGTAGTTTGTATGTATGTAGATCTTAGTTGAAAAATTAAATATAACCTCTTATCAGTGCGGCTCTTATTATTTTTTGTTTTGTATTTCTCGATTTTTTAAGTTTAATTACTCGCTTTTGTGTTTCAGATTTAAATTTTTCATTTGGAATTCATCATGGCCAATTAAATATAGATTATGAAGAAATAGATAATGAATCTTTAAACAATAGGAGTAGATAGATAAAACAATAAGATGAGTTTTTCACTTATTTTCATTAAGATTTTAATGAAATATAAATAATTAAAATACCCGACTATTTATGATGAAATTTTCACCAATTAATTCGATAAAAAGCATTTATTCAACATTCACTTTCGTTTATTTCATTTCATTCGTTGCCCTTTTAATAATTCATTCTTTTTATTATAATGCTTAATTTATTGAAATCAATACTTGCATTCACTTTGCTCTCAGTAGCAACTTCAAAAAAAGTTTATATTGATAATGATGGATTAACAGCACCAATTGCATTAATCCCATTAAAACATGGTTGGGAAATAGTTGGTATGTCAGGTTCATTTGGTTCTGCTTCATTAGTTGATTCAATGGGTCAAATCTCAAATATTTTAGATGTTTATAATTTATCATCATGTATTCCATTATATGAAGGAGCTAATCAACCATTATTAAGAAGAAAAGATACTTTTAAATTATGGCAAACAATGTTTGGAGATTTAGTTTGGCAAGGTGCTTATGATGATCATTATCAAGATATGTATACTTGGGATAATGTTACATATGATCAATCAGTCCCTGCAGCTTTAGCTTTAATTGATGTTGTCAAAAAATATAAAGATGAAGATCCTGTTTATATTTATGCTGCTGGTATGATGACAACTGTTGCTCAAGCTTTATCTTTATATCCATCATTAGTTAATGATTCTGCTGGGTTATATATTATGGGTGGTTTTATTGATACTCAATATGCTGCTGCAACTGGTACTCCAATTGTAAATGATATTAATACTGATATTAATTTTATAGATGATCCAGAAGCTGCACAAATTGTAGTTACTGCAGGATGGAAAGAATTAGTAATTGGTGCAAATGTTACTAATTATTTGGTTCCATCACAAAAATTATATGATAAATTAATTGATAAAGCAGGTGGAAATTTAACTAAAATTAGAGATACTCCATATTTATCACCATTAAGTACATTATTAGCCACTGGTAATTATTCACAAAATAATGATCAACAAACATTACCATTTTGGGATGAAGTAGTAGTTGCATTTTTAACTGATCCATCACTTATTTTAAATTCAACAAATTTTAGTGTTGCAGTAGATACTCAATTTTATTCTCCATTTTATGGTAGTTTAAGAATTTGGGGTAATGAATTTGCTCCAAAGGGAGTTAAAACTGGTAATGCAACTATTGTTAATCAAATTGATGATGATAGATTTTATAATTTAATTCTTGATGTTTATCTTGATGAATTTAGATCGTATTGTTCTGATGGATCAATTACTGCTTATAATATTAGTCAAGAAATTTAAAAAGTTGTAAAAGTATATAGACTATTACATAGATATTTAAATATTAGATACCCTAAAAAACTAAAATAAAAACATAATTTATTTATCAAATTTTTTTTAAATCTTTGTCTTATGTTCACCAGGATTGTTATTCTTACTAGAGTGCCGTCAAGTCTGTACCAAAGCTTAATGAGTTAGCTGATATTTGGTACCCAATTGAGCAACAGCAAAAGCAAGGGTAATAAAAAGTACACCAGCTCTAATACCTGGAGTATAATGTTCTAAATATTTTTTCCACTAAAATCGCTCACTTATAAAAATTTATTTTCACGCACTTTCCTTATTAACTATTGATGTAGGGTTCTCAACATGAGAGCCTTTTGCAACCTCACGGTATTTAAACTTTAGCACCAAGAAGGCACAGTAAATATGAGACCAGTATTGTTCAAACTGGTACTAGTTTAGCTTGAGCTCTGGACTTATCAGAGATACAATTTTTAAGCTTTTTAAATGAGCTTGGAGACTTCTACTTTTAAAGGAAAAAAAATTGTACGATAGTTTGCATCAAATGCATTTATAACTTTGGAAAACTGACAACCTCAATAATTTATATAAATAAATTCAGCCCTGGTATTTCTAAGCAGTAAGAGATACATAATCAAAAAAATCTTACAAATTGCAAGAGGAAATTAGCTGGGTTTGAGCTTTCCAGACAATGTAGAAATTTTGCAACCAGAATAAGCTTATATTTCAAACAGTCAGTTATTTATAATAAATTGCTCCAAATTATTCATGTTTTTGTTAAAGTCAATCAATTTGCACAGATGACTACTATAACTTGATTTAAAACTAACGCCGCTGAGATAGAGCAAATTCAGGACATTACTCGACGTTTTCAATTTTTCAATTTGTATTGTAGTTGAGATTTTTTACATACCAATTTTAAAAAGTTACACAAAACAAGAGGTGCTTTTCAAAAACACTTCACTCCAAATTATTATAAAATTAGTAATCTTCCATAATGATTTGGAAGTTCAGTTTTCTTCCAAATGGAAGAGTACTTTATTTAGCCCTCAATGAAATCAATCCGTCAGCTTAGTATACTTACTTCACTGTTATACAAAAGTCTTTTGATAAAGTGCTGCAAATCGAATTCTACATAGTAAAAATTGGAATTTCATTTTTTCTCACTATCTAAATTTGGACACTATAATTATGTTGCCACACACTAATTACCATTCAACTTTAATAGTTCAAAATCAACCCAATCTAACCCATATTCATCAATTTCACAAATGCAATAATAAATCATGAGTGGGATAGCTTTGAAAATAACGTCATTGCTAATAAGAACAATAGCAAAACCGATGTCAAAAGCAATATCAGCATCAGCACAAGCTAATCCAACTTTTAAAGCTTTATGTATTTCATTTGCCAATGGTTTACACAAGACAGACGTTAAATTGAGGATGAATCTTTTAGGAGAAAAGAAAATTAGAGTGCGACCTTTAAATGATAATAAAGCCATTGAACAAGGTGCAACATTTATATCTGAATTTTTTATTTTCAGTGTTGCAGGAAGTTTAATATTTTATGAAGCTTATAGAAGTAGGAAAAAAGCAAGTAATGAAAGAGATGCAATTGCTGATGACATATCAATTCTACAAAATGAAATTGAATATATAAAACAAAAATTGGGGGATATAAATATCAAATTAGATGATTATAAAATACCTGATGGATACAAACCAAAATATGTTAAAATTGGAAATGACAATAAAATAGAAATAGATAATCCGAATGATAAATTAAATACCAAATTGGAAGTTAAACCTGTAAATAGTTAGAGCCAACCTATAGATGGAAAAATTTATTATATTAATACAAAATATTTAAAAAAAAATTATAAAACTATGGAAATGACCAAGAAACCAATCTTACTCCTGAGAAGAATTTCAATCAAACGATTTATTTAATGATGAATTTATTTTTGATTTTTCTTTTTTTCAACTTTTAATAATAAAGCTTTATTAATATGAGGTAAAACACCACCAAATGCAATAGTAGCTTTAATTAAATTATCTAATTCTTCATCACCTCTTATTGCCAATTGTAAATGTCTTGGAGTTATTCTTTTAACTTTTAAATCTTTTGCAGCATTACCAGCTAATTCTAATACTTCAGCAGTTAAATATTCTAATACAGCAGTTAAATATATAGCAGCTTTTGAACCAACTCTAATTTTATTTTGAGCATTTCTTTTCAAATATCTTTTAACTCTACCAACAGGAAATTGTAAACCAGCTCTTGCTGAATGTGATGTTGATGATTTTGAAATTTCAGAGGATTTCCCTTTCCCTCCATGTACTTTTCCTTTTCCTGACATTTTTTGGTGGTTGTTGTTGGTTGGTTAATTTAAAATGAAATTTGTTGTGAGTTTATAAATTTTATTAAAAAAAAGAGTGTCTTAAAAATCAAAACAAAAACAAAAACAAAAAATAAAAATTAAAAAGAGCGAGAAATTTGAAAAAAAAAAAAGATTAAAGACGTAAGTTTTAGTACAACACACTACCACCAAGTATCATTAAGATCATAAAATTATTATCTATAATAAACAATTAACAATTGATTATACCAAAAGACCCTAAACTTTCAATCATCAATTCAACTTCTGTTCTTGATTTTTGCAATTCAGTACATATAGAATCAAAATGTTGAAAACCCTTGAGCATCTTTATCAAATAAATTATATCTTGTTCTTCTTCCTCTGACATTTTTATCTCGTGATCAGGACTAACTTCTTCTGAATTTCTATATGATGTTGAAGAATTTCTTGGTTTTCGTTCTGTTATTGGTACAACTTCTAATTCATCTTCTTCATCATCTGTTTCGTCACTATCATTTTCTAGTATCACTTCATTCATTGTATTTAATCTCTTTTGTGGGGAATTACTATGACTCAAATCATTATTTTCATAATTGAAACTAACTCTTCTTGTTTTCAAAGTTTGCTCATGTACTTTTGTTTTTAAAAGATTTGAGTTGATTTCGGTTTTTGTGTGTGACATTTTTGCCAGTTTTTTTCTTTTTAAGTTGTTCAAAACATGATCATGCTGAAGAATATCTCCACTTTCTATAGCTCTTGTAATGGAATTTAATACCGGATATGAGTAAATCCTATATATAATTCCTCTTAGTACGCCAAAATTGATAAATCGTCGTATATCTATATTGACTAGTAGTTTTTGATGCTGATTATACCATTCTTTAATAGTTTGACCCTGATTTAGTGATCTATATAAATAAAATAGACTTGTTTTTGTTGGAACTTTGACATTTGAATAATTTAATTTTGAATTACCCGCTAAAAAGTTTTGCTTCAGATAAGGTGATATACTTGATGAGTACTTGCGAAAATTGAAAGTTGGTGATGTTGAATTTTCAACAATTGGTTTTGGTGAATTATTAATTGGTGTATTTGAAAACGAAGAAGACGACATTGGATTTCCAGCAGAACTAAAAGTCTCAGTAATACTTGCCGTCACAACGTATGCTTGACATTGCTCTGCCATTTTACCATCATTTTTCAAAAAATCTCCAATGTGGTTTGTTGGTGCATAAATATTACTAAATTGAAAAATATCAACCAATTCGATACATTTATAGTGCATAAGATGTTGGATACATTGTTTAACTAATAAATAATTTGCATCTGCTAACTCACTTATTCTTTTGACTGAATTTATTCCATCAATGTATGGTAATATTTTAATCATTGTAGGATCCCAATTCACATCAACTAAAGATTTTAATTTAACAGTTGCAATTGGTACTTGAAATGCTTTTAAATTTATTGGCGCAGGCAAGATAGGAAACAATTTGATATCAACCGAATTTGAAGTATCTAAAGGAATACAACATTCAGAATAGTTATTTAAATCTTGATAAATTTGTTGAATTAATGATTCAATTGAAGATAATGAAATTTGTTTCGTTTTTGAATGACCCGGAGCATTGACACTTGCATCATTTTCAATAATCTCTTGCTCAATGTTATTTAGGTTTGTTGTATACATTTCTAAATTTATTTTGTTCTTATCATTACCATTGGAATTATCTTTATTTCTGGAACAGTTTTTATTAATAAATGAATTATCTTTATCTAATTTACTTAATAAAAAATTTTGTTCCTCCAAAACATGAAACATTTGACCCATTCTTTTTATAGCTGGTTCATATGGTGTAACATCACCAATCTCATAACTGAACACGAAACAAAAGTTGAAACTAAATGAATTTCTTGCATAATGTTCATTTTTCATATTAACTGGATATCCCAATACTTTAAACTTGTTAATCTTAAATGATATCAATTGATTACATAGTTGTGGTTTTGGAATTATGTAATTCTTTACAGTGTCAAAATTGAATAATCCCTCATCGTCATCGTCATCTTTAAGGTTCTTGTTGTCTTGTTCTTGATTTGAATTATTTGATGAAGTGGTTTTGATTGAATTGTTTGGATATTGATGTACTATTTTTGTACCCTCAGTTGGATGAAAAACAGCATAGAAAATTGCGACTATAGGTATAAACCCATCAGACATTCCATTTATCGAAAATGATAAAGTTGTAGTAGGTTGTAATAAGTGTAAATTTTCTACTTGGATTGTCAAAAAAATTGGCAAAAACTGTCAGACATTCAATTTTGTGCAACTAAAGTCTCAAATTGAATTTGACCCTTTCTACACTTTAATAATTAAATGAAGCATATAGACTATATTATAGTTGCAAAATTGAAATAAAATTAGGATCTTTTAAATCTTCTAGCAATTGAATTCAACGTAATCAAATCAAACTTTCAACAACACATGACAACATTAACAAATTTCAATATTTATACAACTTCATATTTTATTAGTAAGAATAAACACAAGGAAGAGTTAACGGATTTGGAGGAATTGGTATTAGTTGACCCACTGTTTCTGATTGCCAATTTTCATTTTCAGTTCTGGTACTTGAAATTGACAAAGATAAAAGTATAACAAGAATGAGAGCTGGTCTCTGGTCAATTGTGAAAGCGATGGAGCTAGTACTGAAAATCGATATAGAAAACAGTCATTGCAATACATATAAGTTCACCTTATAACTGATTGCTTAAAAACAATTAACATGATTAAAAGAATTCCAAAGTACATAAAAAAATACGGTCAGAATTCAGACAATTGAAAAAATAGTAAAGGTCAATGTATTGACAGTAATTTAATAGAAAAAATTGAAAAGTTGGAACGTCAAATTAAAGCAAAATTTAAAAATGATGATTTAGGAGAATTTGAATTGAGACATATTAGAAAATCGGATATTTTGAATTCTGAATTTATAAAACAGTTGAGTTTTAATTTTGCAAAAGAATGGGCAAAAAATGAAGCCATAGTTCAACAGCGAAAAAGAATTGTTTTAATTTGAATTAACAAGAAATTAAAATTCACATATTATATAATTTGGAAATTTATTGTATAAGAAGTTGCGTATATATAAAATGATTAGGATGGGAATTTAAAATCAATCATATAAAATATAAAACATCAATATTGTCAAACTTTTGTTTTGTGTAACTTAAAAGAGTTTGATCTTTTTAACCCTGGGTACATATTTATTAAATATGATTGAATATTTTAAAAAAAGTTAGTTTAGTGAAACATGTTTCAATTGATTATTTGTAATTGCGTTCAAGATCTTGGATAAAATTGAAGCATTTAGCAAACAAATCATTTCTTAGTTAATATAGATCTGATAAGTGAAATATCTAATTTGTAGATTTAGCTTTTAAGAAACTTTAAATTTATCAACAACAAAATTCGACGTAATTCAACTCTCAACAATCGATGGCAAAATTAGAAAATTGTAATATCTATACTACATCATATTTCAATTGTGAATTTGATGATGAGGGGAATGTTGATGGATTTGGAGGAATTGGTACATGTTCATTAATTTTGAATATTTTCGATAAAACTTACGCAATGCTGGATCTTGAGAGTAAAAATGATGAATATAGAACCGGTATGAGAACTAGTCTTTGGTCCATTATTATAGCCATGGAAAATATTTTGGAAGAACTTGATGAAAATTCCTATGAAGGAGTTAAATTTACCTTAAATACCGATTGCTTAAATTCTATTAATATGATCAAAAAAATTCCTGACTACAAGAAAAAATACGGTCAAGACTCAACTAATTGGAAAAATAGCAGAGGTGAATATATTGATGGCAAGCTATTAGAGAAAATTGACAATTTGAAAACAAAACTTAGAGCAAGATGTAAGAATGAAGAATTAGGAGATTTTGAATTGAAGTATATGAAGAAAGCAGACAATTTGGGCTACAAATTTGCAAGAGAGTGGGCAGAAGAAGGAGCTGATTTAGATGAGAATAACTCATCCGATTGAGAGATTTTTAAATTAACTTATAGCAGGGGAATTAATGCCAATTAATCTTTCAGAAAGCATATATATTTATCTGCCAGTCTGATTTAAAGGTGGGGGTGAAATAATAGTAATAAAATTTTTTAAAACTTAATCTAAGCCGTTAACAACGCCTTAAAAATTAAAGTAATAATTCTAAAATAATCTAAGACCTCCTTGATTTTACAAGATACTTTGAGAATGGAAATCGTAAAATACTTTCTAATCTTCTATTAAATATGTCTATTGCACCTAAATAATTAATTTATTTCTAATTTCAGATGATTTGTAAATTCGTAAAATAGAATCATTTCGAAATCTAAAATAACTAACTTTTTATTTTTTTGTCTATACCGTAAATATATAAATTTTAAGATACTGTAAAATAATGCAAGATCTAGTACATTAAAAATAACTTTCCTTTATAATCTCTCTAATGAGACCTTATTTGGACGAATATGTCAACAAAATGTTTCACCTGCTAAAATTATAATAAGTTATTATTAAGTTCCTCAAATGTGAAAAGGTTTCAAAAAATTGTTTCAAAATTTTTCTAGTCATTAGCTGATCAAAATCAATCAATTATTGTTTTAGATATTACAATTGATACTGACTTAAAGTTTCGTGTAATTTACAACGTTTGACTAGAATTGATTTACAAAACCAATTTTAAAAAGGCAAAGGCACAAAACCAGTTAATTAATTAATTAATTCTAATCTACAATTCTAAATTTTTTTAACTCTTTATACATTATCCTATAACGTTAAAGATTGATAAGAGAAAAGAGTTTTACATACTGTATTGAAGAATATATTATATTATTTCACTATTTTGTTTTATTTAGGATGATTATTCCATTCTACTCATTAATAATAATAATAATAATTTTAACTTACAATACTAATATTTATTGCATATTTTTTTAATCAATTCTTTAATTTATTATTATAATTATTATCTTATTTATTTAATTATCATACATGAATATTTATCAAAATTAAAACATCAACAACTGATTATTATCCTTTTTCATATATATATGATAATCAAAATTGAAAGGTTACTTTTAATATAAAAATCGATAAATCATTCAATTTTATATAATATTATTTAATTCTATCTTGTTTCAATATTTAAATTTCATCTAAATTTAGGTTACATAAATTAAGATCTTAGGTGTCACAAATTAAATAATAAAATATTTTCTTTATTAATAAGATCAAAAAACTTTAATACAATACTTAAGAAATTAGAAAGTATAAAATCATCCATAATCATCCATAACAGGAGGATATCAACATGGATGATTTATCAAAAACATCCATGCCCATTATAAATGAAAGTGATTTGAATTCCATACCTACGACTATTAATTCCTCATTAACTTCTTCATCACAATCTTCAACTACATCATCTTATGAATCTACTGTAAATCATAGTCCAAAGTATCTAGTCAAGAAATTCATTGATGGGTTTAAACCATTTGATTATTCTACTTTACCACCAATTTATTTAAATCATCCATCAAAAACAAATGTGACTGATGATTCAAATGAATTAAAATTAGTATCAAGTTTACAAGATGAAGAAAGTTTACAATTACATCCAGCTCATCCAAATTTCGATTATTCAAAATTTACTCAATTAGAAAGAGATGCTTTAATTACTGCTTCTTCGCCATTAAGTAAAAGATTAAGAACAAGACATTTAACTTTAATTTCATTGGGTGCAAGTATTGGTTCTGGATTATTTATAACTACGGGTTCTTCATTATCTCATGCTGGTCCATTAGGTTTATTGTTAGTCTGGTTATTTGTTGGTAGTCTTATATTTGTTACAATGTCTGGATTATCTGAATTAGCTACTGCTTTTCCTGTAAGTGGTGCATTTGTTACTTTTCCAACTTTATTTATTAATAAATCATTGGGTTTTGCAATAGCTTGGAATTATGCTTTACAATGGTTAGTTACTATGCCTTTACAATTAGTTGCAGCTGCAATGTGTATACTGTATTGGAATCAAAATATTCATTCCGCGGTATTTGTTACAATATTTTATGTTGTATTGGTTTTCATAAACTTGTTTGGAGTAAAAGGATATGGTGAAATTGAGAGTGCTTTAAGTTTAATTAAAGTTATTAGTGTTATTGGATTTAATATATTAGGAGTTATTATTGTTACTGGTGGAGTACCTGGTACGTCATATATTGGAGGTAAAAATTGGCATAGACCTGAAGGTGGATTATTCAATAAAGTTGAACCTTTTAAAGAAATGTGTTTCATTATATCGAATGCAGCTTTTGCGTTTGCTGGTATAGAGTTATTTGCCTTGGCATCAGTTGAATCAGCTACCCCTAAATTATCAATTAATAAATCAAGAAAACAAATTTTCTATCAATTAATGGGATTTTATGTTGTTACTATTATAATGATTGGATTTTTAATACCATATACAAATCATTCTATAAGCTCTGCAGGCAGAGGATTAGCTGATGTAAACACTTCACCATTTGTTGTTGCTATAAAATTGGCTAACATAAAAGTATTACCATCAATAATGAATGCAATTGTTATCATTACAGTTTTATCAGTTGGTAATGCATCAATTTATGCATCAACAAGAGTTTTAAATGCAATAGGTGCATTAGAACAAGGTCCAAAATTTTTAAGCTTTATTGATAGAAAAGGAAGACCAATGGCTTGTTTAATTATACAATTCATGTTTGGTTTATTAGCTTATCTTATATGTATACCAGGTTATGATACAACAATTGAAATTTTTGATTGGTTATTAAGTTTGAGTGGATTAAGTGCATTATTTACTTATCTTGTCATTAACATTTGTGAAATTAGATTTAGAGCTGCTTTAAATCATAGAGCTAGATCCCCAAAAGATGAATTATTATATGTATCACCAGCTTGGAGTTCATGGTATGGTATAGTTGCAATTTTAGTTACTTTAGGTTTACAATTTTGGGCTGCATTATTTCCACCAGGTTCAGGAGTTGATGTACAATCATTTTTTAAGATTTACTTAGGGTTTTTTGTTTTTTTGGTAAGTTACATTGGTCATAAAATTTATGATTATTGGTATAACGATGTACCATTATTTAAACTTTGGTTAAATACTGATGAGATTGATGTGGACACAGGTAGAAGACAAGTGGATTCAGAAGTTGTTAAACAAGAAATTGCTGAATTAAGAAATAAATTAGATAATAAACCCTGGTGGTATAAATGTTATAATTTCTTTTGTTAAAAAATTTAGATTACACTTGTATAGACATTACAATTATTTATTAATTAAAGCAATTACTGTAGAATTTGTATCTTAATCGAATATGATTCACAACCTACACCGGAGCTGTATAGGATTATTAAGACTAAAAACTCGGTAATTGAAGGTACCGAATTGACATCTCCAAGAGGCTCACTTGAAACACGGAAAAATGAATTTTGATTCAACCACAAATGACTCACTAGGTAAGAATTATATATAAAAAAATTTATTTCGCAGCCAAATTGTGTTTAGTTTTTTTTTTAGATCTGTCAAAAACTAAAAAAAAGAATTATAATGCTAAATCAAGTATCATATACGAGAAATCCAGAATTTTTAGAGAAATATTATATATGTAGAGGATCAGAAAAGTTTTACAGTAATTTTAATATTTCAGTTAAATATGATCAACCAATAACCAAAAATCAATTATCTGCAGCACTTAGATCATTAATTTTAAAAAATAGTTGGTTCATTCACAATTTCTTCAAGGTTGATGAAAAAGATAGCAAGGTTGAAAATTACAATAATTGGAAACTAAAATATCTTGAACAAATTAAATTTAGAGATGTTGTAACTACTCAAAACATACAAAAGTTCAATGAATCGACACTTGAATATTTGAATGGGTTAACACTAAATCATAACACCAAAGAAACATTATGGAAGATTATTTTATTCAAAGAAGATTCTGGAGATCAATGGCTTACTGTATATGTAGATCATTCAATGTTTGATGGATTATCACTAGTTCAATTTCATAAAGATTTAGCTAAAGAAATATCATTAGTTGGAAATCCAAAAGAAGTAGTTGAGACTTTATTTGATTTGGAAAAAGATTTAGAGCATTTACCTTCAAAACCAATGGTTGCTTCTGAAGTTGCTACTGATTTATATTACCCCACTTATACTAAAGTATGGAATCATTATCTTTCAAAGTACGTACCAGGTTACGCAACAGTTTCAAATTGGTTATATCCAGCAAATACAAATCCACCACTTTTTCATAGTCCATCACCAGTTAAAAAAGACTTAACAACAAAATACAAATTATTAAAATTTAGCCCTGAACAAATGAGTAAAATGATTAAATTTTGCAAGACTGAAAGAGTTACATTTACTGCATACATGGACGTGATGTTCATAAAAGCCTTACAAAATTCGATCTTTAAAGATTACGATCCAACTCAGCAATTCAGCACCCATTCATTCATTGCAATAAATGGTAGAAGATATTATGGAGAAGACATCAGGAATTTCAAATTTGGTACAATGGTTACCGGAATTCATATCAAGACTCCACCAGTGATCAATGAGATCGATGCAATGAAACATCTCAATGTTGAATTAAATAAAGAAATTAAATCAAGATCATATTTTAAAGATATAGGAATGATGAAATACGTAAACTTATTCAATTACTTTCAAAGTAAAATAGGCGCCATTAATACAAGTTCAACTTTTGGAATATCTAATTTAGGTAAAGTTGCCACTAATAAAGATGTGCCAATACAATTCAAAGATATTGTTTTTAGTGCTAATGCTGGTGTAATGTACGGATTGGTTCTCAATACAATAACATTACCTAATGGTGAGATGAATATGGTTATTTCTTATATACCTAATTATGGTAGTCTCGAAAGTAATAATGAGAAGGGAATCAAAAGATTATTTAATTTGTTTGAGGAGTATCTTTTGAATGGGATCAAAGCGTAAATAGAAATACAATAGAGTTAAAGATATATAAAGAATAGACATCTTGAGATTTTCAAGATTGGTTGACAACGTAATATAAGTGATGAATTACTTACAATAATTGATAATTCCAGTCTAAGTATCCTCTATTACTAAATTGTATAAAATTTCCAAAGTCTATTACTCCGCCAACATACCATTGACTAATCTATCGTATTTCCAACTTTTTGAAATATCTATAGGTAAATCTTCCTTTGTAATGCTTGTCTCATCAACATCCAACTCATTCAATTGCTTAAAGTAATCACAAATAGGTTTACAATACCATCTATCTCCATTCCAAGTAAACCAACCCAAATGACCACCAACAGTAGTAGTAACCATTGTAATGTATGGATTCAATACAGTTTCTGAAAATGGTAATGATCTTGATCCAGTAATTGGATCATCTTTTGAACTTATTATCAAAATAGGGACTCTGATCTTTAAGATTCTATTATTAGGGGAAGCTAATCTATAATATTCATCTGCTGAATTTAAACCAAATAATTTACTTGTGAAAAAATTATCAAAATCTTTTAAGAACTTAACTTTATATTTCGTTGGATCTTGACTAAATTCCTTTATGAATTCATTTTCAATCATTACATTGTTATGATTGTTTATCAATTTTAATAAATTATTACACATTGTTGGTGAGTAAACGTTATGACCAATAATACTTTCTCTTAAATGTACTGCTCCATCTGGAAAATCCCAAGGTGTACCAAACATTGCTGCTCCTTTAATTTGTGATTTTACTGAATTTCCTTCTTGACCTAAATAATTTGCCAAAATTGCACCACCAAGACTGAACCCCATAAGGTAAATTCTTTTATTTGGATATTTTTTAGTTATAAATTCATTAATAACGTATCTTAAATCATTTGTCCATAAACCATTATATAATTGTGGTGATGTTATTGTATGTTTTGCACAACCTCTTGAGTTTATTACAATTGCATCAAAATCATATGGTGGCTCTATAATTTTCTCTAATACTGCTCTTATATATGCTTCATATGATCCACCTGATAATCCATGCAAAACAAGTAATAGTGGTTTATCATCATTTTTTATCAAATCTTCTTCTGGATCTTTGAATTCAGTTCTTGGAGGTAAAGTATCACTTTGTGATTCTGGTTTAAATTTTAAATGATCTGGATCATGTTTGAACGTTTCTTGACTTATTGCATAATCTAAAGCAATCGTACTTTCACCGCCCCATTGATCATATTTTAATGAAACTTTCCCAACATTATAAGTTTTATTTTCAATTTGTAAAATTTGTCTCTTGTAATGAACTTGATGAAATTTATCGAAATTGTTTAATGCAGTATAAGCAGTTTGAGTATGACCTGACGAAAATAATGGGTTTATATAGAATGAATAATTTGGTGAGAATTCTGGTATGTGATTTTGTATTAACTCCGATATTGTTGTAACTTCTGACTTATTTGAATCGGATTTTCTTATTGATCTTGTAAATTTGATTGGTTTCTTTGGTACATAATTCTCTACTTTGGATATAAAAAAGCTGGAACCAAGCATTGTCATTACCAATTGATTAGTTTTTTTGATATATGGAGATAAAAATATCATCTCTGTATATTATAATTCTAAAACTATCTTACGTCATTTTTGTGTAATTGTCAATACAATAGAAAACCTAAATGTGTCAAAAATATTTTAATCACGAGACTAAAATTTAAGACAAGTTTGCAACCAATAATTAAATAATTGCAAGTGCCTAATTAGGGCCAATATAGCCTTGAAAGTCCATTTCCCACGTTTAAGTCAAGTGCATGAGTTGTGGTCAGGTTCCAAAATCTTGTGTCAAATATTAGCTTTCTTTACCGCCATCATGGGAAACAAAAGAAAATCATCCGAACACTTCCAGCTGTTTTAAGCTGTCAAATAGGTCAATAATTGAACAGTTTTGCTTTGTCCTTAATTTGGTATAAATGAGAATTTTAGTACTTTTAAGATTCATTAAGCTTCGAGTATCCAAAATCTCAGAGTGAGTAATTCTACAAAATCAAATAAAAATTAAAGTTTCTATTGATTCTTTTTTGATTTACTTTTATTTTTTTCCAATAGTATCCAAAATCTCAGAGTGAGTAATTCTACAAAATCAAATAAAAATTAAAGTTTCTATTGATTCTTTTTTGATTTACTTTTATTTTTTTCCAATAGTATCCAAAATCTCAGAGTGAGTAATTCTACAAAATCAAATAAAAATTAAAGTTTCTATTGATTCTTTTTTGATTTACTTTTATTTTTTTCCAATAGTATCCAAAATCTCAGAGTGAGTAATTCTACAAAATCAAATAAAAATTAAAGTTTCTATTGATTCTTTTTTGATTTACTTTTATTTTTTTCCAATAGTATCCAAAATCTCAGAGTGAGTAATTCTACAAAATCAAATAAAAATTAAAGTTTCTATTGATTCTTTTTTGATTTACTTTTATTTTTTTCCAATAGTATCCAAAATCTCAGAGTGAGTAATTCTACAAAATCAAATAAAAATTAAAGTTTCTATTGATTCTTTTTTGATTTACTTTTATTTTTTTCCAATAGTATCCAAAATCTCAGAGTGAGTAATTCTACAAAATCAAATAAAAATTAAAGTTTCTATTGATTCTTTTTTGATTTACTTTTATTTTTTTCCAATAGTATCCAAAATCTCAGAGTGAGTAATTCTACAAAATCAAATAAAAATTAAAGTTTCTATTGATTCTTTTTTGATTTACTTTTATTTTTTTCCAATATTATTTTACGATAAGATCGTTAGTAAAAGTAAATTATTTACATTAATTTTCAAGGGACACAAGATGATTAAACCAATATATTAGTACTTTAATAAATATGCATATCAACAAAATTTATCTGGTTTATATATAAAAGATCAATTGAATCATTAAATTTAATTTTCAACAACTTTATAAATTCTACAACTATCGATTTTGCTTTTTAAAATAAAATGAGTTTGGACAAATACACAACAAAGAATGACGGGATTTTTAATAGGAAAAACAGTACAGATGATTTGTCAGATCAAGATGATATCAAAACAGAATCAAAATGGCAAAGATTTATTAAATTTATTGAAGTTCAACCAATGGGAGATTTAAGTGCTTCACAAATGTTCTTGTACAATTATGATTTAAAACCTGATGAAAAGGCAAGAAGAACTTGGAGATGGTATAATTTAAAAATCTTTATAAGTTCCTACTATTAGTAATGTATCTTTTTTCTTGCTAAAAATCAGAGTGAATATGCAATAAATAGAGATATCATTGAGGTGATGAGTCTCAATTTGATTTTATCTCAATCTTCATGCATTGTTTATTCAAAATAATAAGAAAAATATAAGGTCATTCAAATGTCACTAATATTCAACTTATCTTGTATATATATTGACTTTTTTCCAATTATGATAATAATAACTTTTTGGTTCTAAATCTCTCCTCTGGTGTTTCAAATTTGACCGAAGCTACCAAATTTTGTAACAACATTTCAGCACAATCAATGCCTAAATCAAATAAATCTGCATAGAGATAATATTCTGATTCGACTGCGTATATCAATAAGACACACTAAACACTTTATCTGCGCACTTAACTGTAATCAACTTAAGAATATTGAGAAGCTTCGTATTTAAGTTGTTCATTCAATCAACCGACATCCGCTCAGACGAATCTAAAAATCAGTCGATGTCTCAGTTCAACATGTTCGGGATAGTTCGGATTCATCACAAAGTACCCTTGCGCTCATAAATCGCATCAATTTAAACCGTCGATGAAATAAATTTTGGACCAAAATCTAAACTTTACAGGTCATTAGTGTTGAATTTATTTCTTGAAATACTACATCGATTTATTTATCTTTGTGATCAAAAATTCTCAAAAATTATATTCATTCTACAATAGAAATATGTGTACTTTTCAAATTAGAAATTGACCTCGAAATAATCTAAGACAGTTGTACAAAATCCACATCAGTCTTTAATTCAAATTTGATTTTATACTTGCCTGGATCTCGAATCTATATAAAAAATTACATAGAAATAGAATAACAAAATAATCCTCGAATTTATCTTCTCTTAAATTGCTATAAATATTTTAATTATTTCAACATTTGGTAGTAATAAAATATCAATTTTGAGTGGATTTAATTCCATTTTAGGCTTTTGTCTATAAATAGATACTTAATTATAATATGTAATTTATATACAGTACCAATCATGTATTTCTGAGTAATTGGCTCATTTTGTAATTAATTAAGCTGGATTAAGATTATTACGTAATTAATTATATGTAGTATTATGTAATATATTACATAATAAAGTTGGAGATTATTATATAATATTTTATTAAATATAATTCTTGCCACTATTTCCCCCTTTATCAATTTTATTACTGGTATATTGATTAATTAAATTATATCAACTTACTTCATCCATCTTTTTCTTTAACTTTTTATATCTTTTTATTTTATTTTATACTTTATAATAATAAATAGCTAATTTAGATTTAAAGAAATTGAAAGAATAATTTGTGTTTGATGAAAAAACAGATTAATTCATAATATATTCAATTAATTAAAAAAGTATCCTTAAATATCCAAAAGTTATTGAACTTACATTAATTTAGTGTTCTTAAAAAATGCAATTCTCATTATCAACATTAACAACTATAGCTACTACTTTATTGGCTTTATCATCAAATGTTGTTGATGCCAAAACTCATTCAATAAAATTAAATAAATTATCAAATGAAGAAACTTTAGATGCAAATAATTTTGTTGATTATACTAATGCATTAGCAAATAAATATTTAAATTTATTTAATAAAGCTAATGGTAACCCTCAATCTTATGGTATTCAACAAATTTTATCAAATCAAGGACCACAACAACAAGCACAAATTCCATTTGTTACACCAAAAAAGGAAGGTAAATATGATGCTCCATTAACAAATTATTTAAATGCTCAATATTTTACAGAAATTCAAATTGGTACTCCAGGTCAATCTTTCAAAGTTATATTAGATACTGGTTCATCAAATTTATGGGTTCCTTCACAAGATTGTAGTTCATTAGCTTGTTTTTTACATGCAAAATATGATCATGATGCTTCATCAACTTATAAAGCAAATGGAACAGAATTTTCAATTCAATATGGTTCTGGTTCAATGGAAGGTTATATATCACAAGATGTTGTATCAATTGGTGATTTAGTTATTCCACATCAAGATTTTGCAGAAGCAACTTCAGAACCTGGTTTAGCATTTGCATTTGGTAAATTTGATGGTATTTTAGGATTAGCTTATGATACTATATCAGTAAATAAAATTGTTCCACCAATTTATAATGCTATAAATCAAAATTTATTAGATTCTCCACAATTTGGATTTTATTTAGGTGATACAAGTAAAGATGAAAATGATGGAGGTGTCGCTACATTTGGTGGATATGATGAATCATTATTTCAAGGTAAAATTACTTGGTTACCAGTTAGAAGAAAAGCTTATTGGGAAGTTTCATTTGAAGGTTTAGGATTAGGTGATGAATATGCTGAATTAGTTAAAACTGGTGCTGCAATTGATACTGGTACTTCATTAATTACTTTACCATCAACTTTAGCTGAAATTATAAATTCCAAAATTGGTGCAACAAAATCTTGGTCAGGTCAATATCAAGTTGATTGTGATAAAAGAGATTCATTACCAGATTTAACTTTAACTTTTAGTGGTTATAATTTTACATTATCAGCGTATGATTATATTTTAGAAGTTGGTGGATCATGTATTTCAGTTTTCACACCAATGGATTTCCCAAAACCAATTGGTGATTTAGCAATTATTGGAGATGCTTTCTTAAGAAGATATTATTCTATTTATGATTTGAAAAAGAATGCTGTTGGTTTAGCTCCATCAAAAATTTAAAAAAGTTAGTACTTTTAACAGTAGAGGATGATGAATGATTTTTAAAAGATGAAAAATAATTGAAAATTTGTTAAAAAAAAAGTTTGAGGTATAGTTTATAAAATTATATAAATTTTAGTTTTTTGTTTAGAAAGTAATGGTTGATTTAATTTTATTATAGTTAATAGTCTAGTCATTAATACATTTATAATTATTAATACAATAATCTAATCATATAGACGTTAGATTAAACTGTATGTCTTAGTAAAATCTAATCGTTTAATGAAAAATTTATTGTTTCTCTACAGGTTGTCTCATCAACTCCTTTGGTTGTATATTGAAGATATGAAGGTTACTATTGTAAGATTTTAAAAGATTGGCGTAATGTTATAAAATGATGATATAAATTAATGCTGGTTTAATAGTAATAATATAATTAAAGGCTATTGAAATATATTATGATCTAATGCATTTAATTAAAACACAAAATCAAAAAATTAAAAATCGTATCCTCAAAATTTATAACATTTTTTGCAACCAGCCATTTTTTAGTCAACTTTAATTATACTTAATATTACACTTATTTGAAGATCAACGATATTATAATGCATTAAATCACCAAGAAATCAATTGATTTATAACACTAAATCAATTATCTTATTGTATAATGTTATAAAATTTCATGATATAAAATCATTACAATTTGCTTTCGTCTAAAATTTGATCTACAATTACTTTTTATTTAAGATTTTCAATAAGTGATCAAAACCAAGATTTACAATCCTAAAAATTTAACTTTTGTTACTAATCAAGCCATTGCTTAGCTTTTTGGTCCATAAATTTCATAGTTATATTAATTATATATTTAATCATGAAAGTTGTACCACAATTTCCACTTCCTCCTGATCCAAATTATGATTATCCAATAAATAAAGAATTAACAATTTCTAAGAGACCATCACCAAATAATAGACTAAGTAGAAACTTAATTACTAATTACCCACATTTATCAAATTCAAATCAATATAAATACGAAATAAATTCATTTTCAGACACTCCAAATTCTAAAATGACACAAGAAGTTTTAAATAGTAGATTAGAAGTTGAATCAACTTCTACAACTTCATTACCAATATCTTATCCTTATTATTATTTAGAAGATTATTCACCAGGTAATCAAATATTATTACAAAATCATCAATCAAATAAATCAGCAGATACTTTTGAATTATTAAAATCTATAAATATTCCAAATCAAAATGATATAAGTCCCACTAAAAAGATACAAGAACAACATTATAAGAAACAAATATCACCAAGTAGATACAATGACAATTTATACAACCAAGTACCCAAAAGATTCTCACAATTTATTATTGATCAACAAAATCCCTATGTTTCACAAAGATTAGATAATTTAGATAATTTAAATGAAGATGATTTATCAAGTATTAAAACCAAGGATCATACCAAAACAGAATCATCAATACAAAAATCATTCAGTTTAACTAACTCTAAAACTCAAAAGACAAGTGCAAATCAATCTCAATCAAATTATTTAGATGATGAATATTTTAATAATGCTGGTACATTATCAAGAAATATTTCAAATTCTATGGAAAGTCAAGCTACTATTTTTTCAACAAGACATAAACAACCTTCAAGACAACAATTCCAATCACAACCAAGAATAAGATCAAAACACCAAAAACCTGAAAAAAACCCATCACAACAACAACAACATTTTCAAAACCGTATAAATAATTCCCTTAAAAAAACAAGAACATTATTTAACAAAAAGCCAAAATCAAGAACATCAAATGTACAAATGTATCACAACGACTCAACAAACACATCAATTATAGAATCATCAATTCAATCAAGTTCAGGTCTTATTAGAACAAACGCAATAAGAGTTAAAAAGGGAAGTATATGGTATAGATTTAAATTAAAATTATTAAAATTTATAAATAAATTCAAGTTTTATAATTTTAAAGCATCATCAAAAAGATCAAAAGGAAGTTTTAACAAGTCAAAATCATTGAAAAGATCAACTACAAAGAAACGTGAACCATTACAAAATCAAGATATGAAAAGATTAACATCTATAAAATTATTACCACCTCATAAATTAAACAACATAAACAATGAAACAGACTTCTTGAAGATTTCAAATCCATCAACTAATCCAAATTTAGGTAAAACTCCAATCTATCATGTCTCCAAAATGGACAATAACTTAAAAAATTCAATGGGTATAACTTCCAACAACAAAAATTTAACACCAGAAGAAAATGAAAATTTAAGTAAGTTCAACCATTTAACAAATTATATAAACCAACAAGATAAAAATTTCCTTAAGCATAAACCAAATTTAATCAATGAAAATCCAAGAATTATTGAAGAATTACCATCACCACAAATAGATAACGAAGAAGATCAAGATCAAGATGATCAAGATCAAGATCAAGTACCAACCACACAAGTTGAACCTTCAGTAGCTGCCTCAATGGCCACAACAACCTCAAAACCACCATTACCACCACCACATATAGATCAATCATACCTCACTAAAAAACGTATCAAAAGTACAAATTTTAATAAAGAAAAAAGAATGGAACAAATTTGGAATTCTTATTTAAGACAAGTCCTTTTAAAAAGAATTCAATTAAGATTAGAAATTCAAAATTATCAAAATTTTATGATTACAAAAGAAACTTCTGAATTTATAAATAAAATTTTCGAACAAGTTAAATTAGAACAAGATAAAAACATTGATTTAAAATCAGAAATAAGTTATCAAACTTCAATCAATTCCAAAAACACTTTTACTAATTCATTTTTCGAAAATAAACGAGTCCACCCAAATGCAAATTCACCATCAATAAATTCATCATCATCAATCTACTCTCATAAATCAACAAAATCATCAACAAGTACAACAAGCGAGTCATCATCATTAACTTCCAACTCCATGACTAACGAACATGGTGATGTATTTATTGAACCTGAACAATATCAAGAAGAATTTAAAAATTTTATAAATAGAAGATCAATGTTGGGAGAAATGTTAGAATATAATTCTGGTGAAGAATCATCAGCATCAGAAGAAGAAGAAGAAGAAATTGATCATGAATCATCAGAAATAATACATAAACCTAGTGTTAAATCTTTTGTATCAGTTTCACCATCGATTAAATCTGAATATTCGAAAAAGAAATATGGTACATTAATTAAAACACCATCTAAAAAACCAGCTAAAAAATTGAAACAAATAGTAATGACTAATGTTGATAATCAAAACCAAAACGAACACAATGAAATTATGGAATTGACAAATTCACCTAATTCTTTAAAAAGAAGTTTTGGGTTGAATCATAATTTAAATAGATTAAGTATTTCTAATTAATCAATGCATGATAATACATTTTAGTGGTAGATAAACTTACAAACATGTAGCTCTCAAAACTAGTTGACTTTTTTTAACATTTCTTTTTATATATAGATATTACAACATAAAACATAACCATAAACTTTTTGATCTTTCAATTTTATTTATGAAGTAAATCGAATATTTAGCATATTCAATAGGCAGTCATATAAGAAGAAGCAGAAGAATTAGCATGAGCAGGTAACAAATAATTAAATGAACCAGGCATTGCAACTCTCAATTGTTGTTGTGATCTTTGTTGTTGTTGCTGCCAAACGCTCATTGCTTCATCAACGTTAATGAATTCATCTTGTTGCAAATTTTTTTCTCTAGATGGTCCAACAACTTCATTTTCTTGTTGTGCTTCTTCTTGACTAGTTGAACTTTTATATCTAAACCCTTTAAATAATTGACGTTGACTTTGTTCTTCCATGGAAATAGCAATAGCTCTTTGAATTTCAGCTTCATATTCTCTTTGTTGCAATTCTCTTTGTTCTTGTAATCTAACTTGTTCAATAGCATTATCATGATCATTTAAATCCATAATTAATGAAGGTAAAATCTCATAAAATCTTACGTCATCTATTTTATTAAGTTCCCATATATTGATTTCTTTAGGAATACAATCTAATGTTATTAATTTTTTGATTGTTTTCTTTAAATTTTGGGAATTTTTTATGAGTTTTTTGTTGATTCTTAATACTGGGGTATGATATCTTGGATCAAATGATATTAAATCGATTCTCTTATGTAACCTTTCTCTATATGGTGGTGTATTATCGAAATGAGTGTGAGAATTAGCGTACTCATCTAATGGTGGTGGTTGCTCTTCTTCATTTATTATTGTTGTTGTTGGTTCTGTTGATGAATACAGAGTTGGATCAATTCTTCTATTCAATCTTTCAATTATTGCTTCTCTTGTTTGTTGCATTCTTGCAGCATGAGCTGTAGTTGATGCTACTGCAGCTGCTGAACCTGAGGCAGCTGGTATTGTTGAAAACGTTGTATGGAAAGTTGGAGTTGTTGATGTTATACTCAATCTTCTTGAACTTTCCATTGGTAACAAATGATTATCTGAATTTTCATCAATTGTTCCAGTTCTTGACATGTTCATTGATGATTGACGAGATGATTGATTTTTTAATTGTTGATGTTTTCTTATATCCTGATATCTTTGACCTCTTCTACTATTTTGTGCTGTTGAACCAGTTCTTTCCAAGATACATGCAACAGCTTGAGCTCTATCAATTTGTGGTTCTTCTGTTGTAGTTCCCGAGGAATATAAACTATTGGTTGTATTCTCAGTTGTTGTTTGATTTAATGGTACACTAATTTGAAGTTGTGGAATGCTTGCTTGTGAATTACGTTGTTGTTGTTGTTGCTGTTGCTGTTGCTGTTGCTGTTGACTACCATTTAATTGTCGTAAAGTATTCAGACGTTGTATCTGCCTTTCATTTCTAGTAGATTTTGGAGCTCTTGCAGCTTGAGTTGATGGTTGCTGATTGTGATTTGATTGTTGAGAACTACTGGATTCATTAACTTCTGGACTTTGACTTTTCCTTGCAACGACTGGTTCAAAACCTTTTGGAAATTCATCATCATCATCGATTTCTTCAATATCTTCACCATTTATTTGATCATCATCTTCATTTTCATCAGTTATTATAATACTTATAATTTCATCATTTACAGGATATGGGACATTTATTCTTGAATTTATTGGCTTGATTTTTCTTGTACCACAACTTAAAGCTGTAGGTTTAGAATTTACATTTGATTTCTTTTTCCTTGATTGCTTTTGTGAATTAAGTTCATTATTGGTTTTTGAAGGTTTTAATACCTTAACTTGAGTAATTGAATCATTTGTTATTTTTTTGACTAATATTAAAGACTCTTTTGATGATGCTATACTATTTCTTCTTCTTAATGGTCTATTCTTTCCAGTTCGAGAATTTGTTGCATTTCTTTGTTTTGGCTTCTTTTGAGTAGAATTTTGCATTCTTCTTGCTCTTATTTGATCTAAATTTTCACTTGAAATATTTTTATGATTTGTGTTTGACTTTTTGGTTGTATCTGATACATTTGGTGAACCATTTCTTTTAATCTTTGATTTTCTGTCTCTAGTTGATTCTGATAAATTTGGAGAACTATGTTGAGGAGGAGTTAATATAGATTTTGGAGTATTTGAACCACTATTTGAACTATTTGGTAAATTTATTCTTTGAGATCTATAAGTTCTAGATCTTGCAGAATCAATAAATTTTGAATTTTCATCGTCTATTATTTGTGAAGTTTTATCAATTACTTTGAATTGAACATGATAATTGTTTGATGAAGGTATTAAAGATGATGAATTGTTTGGATCTGATTGTGGTGAAATTCTTTGTGTTATATTATTATTATTATTAATTGTTCTAGGGGTTGATATATTATATTTTGATATATCATCAATTTGATTTGATTTCTTTTGAAATATATTTAAACCCATAACGAACTAAAATTTGGTCGAGTAATAATAATATAAAACTTTAATTAACGATTGAAAGTAATAAACTTGAAAGGTATTAGTTGAATGAAATTTTATTTTAAAAGTGTTGCAAATAATTTTTTTTTTAATTTTAGTGTTTATTATTTTTTTATTACTGCAAATAATTAATTATATTTCTATATTAAGTAATTAATAATAAATTTAATGGTTCAAAAAGTACACAAGATTAAACTCGATCAAATATTTATAACCATTGGAATTAATGAAAGAGTTATTGAAATAAATAGAACATTGAGAATTGTTTTATTCAATAATATATATATTAGTCTTAGACAAGTAAACTGAATTGTGTTGCTGTTGCTATTCGTTTATTATTTCAATTTGCTATATAAATAAGAAAGTACGGTATTACTTATGAAATCCGTTATAGATTTCAAATTTTAAGTTAAGTTTTTAAAGTTATACTTCAACTTCAATATCTGTCTTTACAAGAGTTTAAAGTAAAAATTAGCCTTACTATTCATAATAATTTTTGCTATTTATTTTCTTTTTACTTTTTAACTTTTAAAATACTGAAGAAAAACGTTTATTTCATACAACATTTGTTCGAGGGAAAAATGTTGATTTAAGAAGTATCTTTCTCATAAATTCAAAATTGTTGATCTTTTCAACTCAGTAATCTAAAACTAAACTCAAATTTCTTTTTATCTACTGGTTTATTTCATTTTTGCTTTCTCTACATGTGTAAATAATACGTTTCTTTATTTTTCCTTTATCCGATGGGTCTGTGAAAAAGAAGAGTTTGCTGTCGTTGATTTGGAACTTTACCATTTCAAGAGCAAAAGTTATTCATTTGTTCAATTGATTGACGGATAAATGAATTGTTCCTTTGGTATTAAAATTTGATTTTAAATTTTAGGAAATTTTTATTCCGCAAACTAATTTAATGAAGAATTGCATGTGCGAATTAATGCAATTTCATTTGAAGTGATGTTTCATTTGTTCAGCAAATGTTCACTAAATAAGATTTTGTAAACATGTCATGAAAGCAAACCTTGGCAAATAGATTGAAACCCCATTTATTAATAATTGGTATAATGAATAAGGAGTAGACAACATAGATTAACAATAACCACCGGAAGATGTCCAATTTCATGATAAGCTCTAAATAAAAGGATACGCATTAGTTTTGATTAGTGTTAATTTTTAAATATGATTCACTATTTTAACCATCAATGAGCTATACAATTAAACCAGTAAAGAGTTCAAGCCTCTTGTAAAGTTATTGGTCAAACATAATAATTTTAACTAATTAAAAATTAAGGGGCTAAGAATTGTAAAATAATCAATTTGATGTACCCCCTTAATTTTAAGGGCAAAATTTATACAAAATAAAGAAGTAATCCGGAGTTTTTCATAGGCTTTCAATTGATGTTAATTGGAATAGACAAGTAGGGAAATTGATAAGAGAGCAAAATTCTTGAAGCTCTTATAACTTCAGTAGGAATTAAATCACTTAGCATAGTTTCAAAATTTTCAATATATTTAATCGTTAGCTATAAACACCATAAATACAAAATTTTTAACCAACCTGCAATTGATTTTAATTTAAATTGAATTTGAATGCGAGTTAATTTGTTTTCAAATTCAAACATAAACCCCATCAATTGTTTTAATTACCATTTTTATGATTTTTAATTTCTTCTTCTAATTTTTCAATAGTATCTTTTTGTTCTTGTAATTTTTCTCTTAATTTTTTCAATTGAGCTTCTTCTTGTTTTTTAATATAAACATTTTCTTGAGCTCTTTCTTTTTCTGAAAATGAATCTTTACCAATTGATCCATCAACTAATCTTATTGATGAAATTGAAAATAATCTTTTTGAAACAAGTGGGGTTGATGATGATTTAATTACTCTTGATAACATTTTTTCGTTTGATAACAATATATTGAATACTCAATTGACTTAATTAATTTGTAATTGATATTATATATGTAAAACAAATATCAAAAAGGAAGGGTATGAGTGAAATATTAAACTGTTGATTTTTTCTCTCCAAGTTTTAAAGTGACTTTATTTGCTTGAAATTTGAATTATACTTAATGGTAGTGTAATTGATTACAAAAATATATCATACCATATATTATCAATTAATACTTTAAGAGTAGTTGTAATTATATAATGTATCAGAGTATTTTGCATCAATCGAGCATTGTAATAAATCGATCTCTCATTCTTTCAACCCCGATATAAATTTCATATCTATTATATGTACAATTATTTACAAAAAAATCGCTATAAAAGCTAACGCTATATGTTTCTTGAAGGTAAAAATCTATAATGTTTATGTACAGTAGATAATAATCCTAAATTTCTTGCATTTTTAATAGCAGCAGTTAATCTTTTTTGATTTTTAGAATTACAACCAGTTAATGATCTTGGTAAAATTTGGCCAGTTGAAGTTAAAAATTGTGATAAAATCTCAGGCATTAAATATAAATTTTTTGGATTTATACCACTTTTTTCAAAAGGATCTTTTTTTTGAATTTGTTGATTTTGTTTTCTTTCCATTCTATATCTATTCATACTAAAATCAAATGGATTATAAGTTGTACCTGATCTAAATTTTTTTTGTAATGATTGTGCTATATGAATTGGTGGTTCACCATTTGACATATTTTCTGTTAGTTTTGATAAATTTTCTGTTATTTCTGATTGTACTGATGAAGTTGAAGATGAAGAATTTTTAGATTCACTCCATGATTTTTTACTTTTTAAATTATTTATTGATGATTGATCGATGGATGATGATGATGATGTGTTATTGAAATGTTTTTGACTGATCGTTAAGTTACGTATGAAATTTTGAGAAGCAATTATTCTCCCACTTAATGTTCTACTTATAGATAGCATCACAATATTTCCTCTATTAATATATCTTTTGATTGATTGTTTGATATTGAATCAATGTTAAAAATATGAAAAATTTATTTTCCTAATATTAAATAAATTAAATTGAATGCTACCAAATACATGGTAAAAAAAATTATGTAGCAGTAAATCAAAATTTCTAGAATTAAAGAAACAAATAAATTAATAATAATATTACACATCTTTAATCATTTAAATTATAATAATATCTATTCATTTCATCAAAGTCATTTTATCTTTATATAATTTTAGATAGATAAAGAATTATTCAACTTTGTTCTATTTTTATTACTTCAAATCAAACTTTTTTCCATAACATCACCAGTTAAAAAGAACGAACAATTGTCATATACATCTTTACAACCATCATTTTTATAGACAATTTTCATTTCAAATAATACAATATAGAATAATTTGCTTTTTTTTTTACTTTTGTTTCATCTTTCACGAACCCAACGACTACTTATAGACTTTTAACGATATAACGAATCATTTATTAATTATAGCCAACGGCATTTATCAACAAAAAAAAACAAATCAATAATAATAATAACATAGATACAAAATGGGAGAGAGAGGACCAGATCAATGGCTTGAACAAATAAAAAAATGTGTAGCATTATCAGAATCAGATATGAAACAATTATGTGAATTAGTTAAAGAATTATTAATGGAAGAATCAAATATACAACCAGTACAATCACCAGTAACAGTATGTGGAGATATTCATGGACAATTTCATGATTTATTAGAATTATTTAGAATATCTGGTGGATTACCTAGTGATGATAATCAAACAAATTATATATTTTTAGGAGATTATGTTGATAGAGGTTATTTTTCATTAGAAACTTTTACATTATTAATGGTATTAAAAGTAAAATATCCTCATAGAATAACATTAGTAAGAGGGAATCATGAATCAAGACAAATTACTCAAGTTTATGGATTTTATGAAGAATGTTTAACGAAATATGGTTCAACAACAGTATGGAAATATTGTTGTCAAGTATTTGATTTTTTAACATTAGCTGCAATAATAGATGGGAAAATTTTATGTGTTCATGGTGGATTATCTCCTGAAATTAGAATGTTAGATCAAATTAGAGTATTATCAAGAGCTCAAGAAGTTCCTCATGAAGGTGGTTTTTGTGATTTAGTTTGGTCTGATCCTGATAATGTAGATACTTGGGCAGTATCTCCAAGAGGTGCTGGTTGGTTATTTGGTTCAAAAGTTTCAAGAGAATTTAATCATATAAATAATTTACAATTAATTGCAAGAGCTCATCAATTAGTAATGGAAGGGTTTAGATATCATTTTAAAGAAAAAGATGTTGTTACAGTATGGTCAGCACCAAATTATTGTTATAGATGTGGTAATGTTGCAAGTGTAATGCAAGTTGATGAAGATTTAGAACCTAATTTTAAAATTTTTAGTGCTGTTCAAGATGGAGATTTAACTGTTAAAAATAATAATACAAAACAAAATAGAAGTGATTATTTTTTATGATATTTAATGAAAATGAATTTTAATTAATGATAATGGGAAATGTATTTTTTCTTAGTTTAATGTTTATCTACGTACGTACGAATATATAAATAATTAATGTTTTAATCAATTTAAATAATTCATTTTTTACCTTTTCTTCTTTTTCTTTTTTGTCCAATTATTGATTTAACATTGTCTGAAAGACCTGATTTATTTTTTGGTTCCTTTGTTGGTTTTGTGGTTGATGTAGTTTGAGTTGTTGATTTATTTTTGTAACTTCCTTTATTCATATTACCTTTATTCATATTACCCTTTTTCTGAGATCCTTTTCTTTTTTGTTTTTTGTTATCACGTTTTGAATTTAAATTATCATCATCATCATCATCATCATTATTTCTTTTTCTTTTTCTGTTAGTATCTTTATTATCTTCATTACCATCATTATATTTCCTACTTATAATTTCTTTTTCTCTTCTTCTTTTAACAACTTGAGCATTTTCAACAGCAAATTCAACAATTAATCTTCTTTTACTTAATCCTTCCAACTTAGCTAATTTTATTTCATCTTCATTTAAACCTTCTATAATTTCTTCATTACTTACTTCATGAGCATTTAACCATCTTAAACCTTGTAAAGCAGCTTTATGATCTCTAAATTCTATAAATCCATAACCTCTACTTCTACCTGCTTCTCCAGTTCCTTTAACTTCCATTATAACTTTTGCTTGTTTAACAACACCTTTATGTTTTGAATTTTTAGATTTTTGTTCAATTTCTTCTTGAATTTCCTTTTTCAGCTTATTGGATCTTGAAACTTCTTCTTTTGATAATGGTTGACGATTTCCATTTTTAACTTCTGTTGCAAATTGTACTACAGCTTTTCTACCTAATGCTTTTAATGCTTTTGAATTCATTGCTCTTGGTAAATTTCTTATAGCTAATCTTGTTAATGATAAATGCAATGTTGGATTTTTATTTAATTGTTGTACTCTTAATTTATATGATTTTTCTCTTAATTCTAAATCTGTTTTTGAAATAAATTGAGCTAATTTTGAATTTTCTGTTATTCTACCTTCATTTAATAAAAATAAATTTCTTTTATCTTTTTCACTTGGTGCTTTACCTAATAATTCTTTTCGTTTCAATGAATTTCTTTCAGCTAATGTATTTGCAGATTGTCTATCTACTGCTGATGCTATTGATAATATTCTACCTTGATATACATATTGTGGTGATACATCATCAGCTATTAACATTGATGAAGATCCTGTATTTGTTGGAGCATTTTCAAGACATTCTAAATAAGCATCTTGATCTTGGAATGCAACGAAAGCTGAACCTTTAGCTAATCCAGTTTCTTTATCAATTACTGGTAATGCATATTTAACAGGTCCAAATGATTCAAAATGTTCTTTTAAAGTTTCTTCATCTGCATCGTATGGAATATTACGTACAAATACTGAATATGCTTCTTGTTTATTACTTTTCTTTCTCGGTTTTTCTTCTTCTTCCTCCATTTCAATATCACTATCAGCTTCTATCTTTATCTCTTCATTTGAATCATCCACTTCATCATCAGAATTTATTTCATTCAAATCACCAAATGCAGAATCTTCTTCATCGTCTTCTTCGTCCTGTTCCTCTTCGTCATTATCCACCACTACTACCTCATCATCTTGATCTTCATCGTCTTGTTCATCTTTATTTTCATCTTCATCTTCCTCTTCATCTTCTTCTTCCTCTTCTTTTATTTTTTCCCATTTTGATTTTTCAACTGCAAAATCAACTGCAACTTCTCTTCCATCAATTTTCAAACCTTGACATTCTTTTACTGCTTTTGCAGCAGCAGCTTGTTTTTTCATTATAACAAAAGCAAACCCCATCATTTGTCCAGATTTCTTTTTTGGAATATAAGCATCAAATACAGCTCCATATCTTGCAAAAATTTTTTTTAATTCATCTGGTTTTTTACAACTCCATGGTAAATTTCGTATAATTAATCTTGCTCTTCTTTTTTCTATTGGTTCTATTGGCTCTCTTTTTTCGATTGTGGTTAAATTTGAGTTTTTATCTTTTCTATCTCTTCTTTTAGCTATATCAACTCTTAAAAATCTATTTTGAAATTTAGTCTTTCTTGATTCAACTAATGCAGTTAATGTATCATCATCCATAGTAAATGAAACAAACCCAAATCCTCTACTTTTCCCCTGATCGTCATTGACTACTACCGCGTGTTTAACAGGTACGAATTGTGAAAAAAATTCCGATAATTGATCTGATGTTGTTTCAAAAGGTATTGATCTTACAAATAATGTTTTTCTATCCAATCCGTCATCATTTAATTGTGTTGGTTTTTTTGTTTGTTGTTCTTGTTGTTGTTGATTTTCTGTTGGTGGGTCTTGTATGACTTCATCTGTCACTATTTCTTCTATTTCCACCATTATGTAGTTGGTATATCTATGTTAAATCTATTAAATCTATAATTAATTACACCAAAATAAATTAAATTATAAAGCATCGCATTAAAATAATTATTAAAAGTAAATTCTTGTAACACAAAATAAACCACAATAATAAACTTGAAACAACTCCAGATTAAAATTAAAAACTTATTGGTTGCACAAGAATCATCAATGGAAAAACTACAAATTCTGCTACAATGCAACATTATTTGTTCATTAATATCAATAACCTAACTTTTTTATATAACCATCAATAATACCAGCAGCATTAGAATTAGAGTTTGAAATAGTCTTTTTCAAATTTCTTAAAATATCAATATCCTTATTTTTGAAAGCTTCTTGAGCAGCCATTTCGTAATCATTATTTCTAATAAATAATCTTACTTTCTCATCATATTTGTATTTAACTGAGTTTGAAATGTATATAGAGATGTGTTTTTGTGGGAAATTATATTCAAACCCTGCATCTATAAATGGTTCAAATCCAATAGGTGATTTTGCAGTTGTTGAATCCATTGATCCAAACACAAATTCATAAAGTTTATTAAATTCTTTGGATTTGGAATATGTTGATAATACTAAGTACCAGAATTTTTCTTGTCCCATTTGGAATTCTTTTACGAGTTTTGATGCTGGTTTGATTTGATGCATTGTGATTAATTGTTTGAGTGTTGAACTTACTGAGTTGTATTGATAAAAGTTTCTTGAATATATTTCTTCCAATTTTTTTTGCTTTTCTAGTAAATCTAATTCTCTCTGAAATGATTTTACGCTTGTGTGATTTGTTGAATTTTTCAATAGTCTTTGAAGTAATTTTTTATATTGATTGTAGTAATCTTCTCCCTCTGGATTTGGATGTGATTTTTTGAATTGTTTGAGATTATATAAATTTATCTCGTTTGATTTGTCTTGATGTGATAGAAACTTCTCCATAAGTTTGAGGTTTGATTCACCTAGTGAAGTAAGCCAAGTATGACCAATAACATCACCTTCTACTGGTATGTTCTCGGTTCTTATGTCTATGTTTTTGTCAGCTATTTGATTGATCAGCTTATTTTGGATTTCATTTTGATTTAGTATTTTGAAAAAGTCTGACGTCGATGAGGTTTCTTGTAAGTATAGTAGTATTAACACACTAAGATCATGATCCCCAAATTGAAAAGATTTAATTAAAGCTAATTCAGGTTCATCATAGCTTATGTATTCATATATTTTTTTAGTTATTGATGGTTCAAGATTGATTAATAAGTTACGTAACTCAACTCGTCCTTCCTCATCAGCAATTCCCACTATATCAGATGTAGTAATATAATTTGACTTATCATTTCTAATTGAAACTAGTTTTTTCACTATCAGTTTGTATAATTCTGAATCTGAAGATGATGATTCTTTTCTTATTAATGAACAACAATAATGAATGTAAACCAAAGGTAATATATTGTTTAGTTCTAGGTTATCAATTATTTTTAATGCTAAATAATGTTGATTTCTTCTTAACAACATTTTAATTACTTCCTCCCACCCAATGAGTTCAATTTCCTGATATGTTAAAAATATTCCAATTTCAGGACTTCTTATTTGATTTAAAACTCTTATAATATTTAAAACTTTGAGATATTTATTTGAATCAAATTCAGCATCAGTATCATAAATCTTACCAAATGAAACAGCTCTTAAAGCTCTTTTCTGCCATACTGGATCAAATTCATAAAGTGCAACATCTAAACAATCTGCCATTGCAGTATTTAATAAATCATCATTTTTTAGAAAATTAATATTTGCATTAGCTTTTGATGCATTTAATTCAAATTTATCAATACAATCTGCTAATAGTCCACTTGGACTATTTGAACCAATTTGATACATTTCAACTGTTTTTTCTGGAACTCTTGATAAAAATTGACATTTGTCTCCCGTTAGTATTCTTATACCGTCAGGTAAATGGTGTAAGATTGGTATAGTATACGACAAGTCATCTTTTGTTGAGTTTTTTAATAATAAATTATCCAAATCAAATTCATCTTCATCGTCAATATCGTAAAAAAATGAAATAGATTGTTGTCCTGGACCAATTAATTTAATTTCATCTTTAAATGATAACACTATAGCATCATTTCCACACCACTCGACTTGATATGGCGAGCTTGATTCATTTGAAGTATCATATTCTAATAGTATTTGATCAAAAGCACTGCTAACAACAAAGATTTTTCTCAAAGTATCATTGTGTAATGATATTAATTGACCATTTTCTGATATTGATATACTACTAAAAGGTCCATCTGTTAGTTCTTGATCTAGTATTTCAAAATTAGATAATCCAAAATCAATATTTATTAATATTATTGTATTCTTCCAAGCCAAGTATATATGTAGTTTTTCAGAGTTCTTTTCTTTATGAACTGCAATTCCTTCTATATCATTTGGTAAATATTGTGAGATATTAATTTCAAAATTCTGATAAGTATTTAAATCAGTAATAATAATCTTATTCTCAAGTCTTACTATTAAATATTGTTGATAAACCAATGCTTCTATAATATTAGTTATTTCTTCAGTTTCATTATTTTCTAAATTAGTAATCATTCTACTAGAATGTAATTCATTTGCATTTAAATCATCCAGATTTGAAGTTCCATTAGGACTCATATTATCTAATACTATAGTTTCCGTATTAAATTGATATTCATTAAAATTACCTTCTAAATCTTGATAATATCTATATTTACCATTATTTAATAATAATATTAAATCTTCATTTTTAAAATAAAATCCAAATATATAATTAGTTTGAGTACTATTATAAACAATTGACCATATTTTATTACCACTAATACTATATATATCAATTAAATTAGGATAAGGAATATTTTTTGAAGCTAATGCAATTAAAGTTGAATTTAAAGAAAATGAAATTCTAAAATTTGAATGAATTTTATCAATTGACCAATTTAATGGATTATAACATGTTCTTATATCATAATAAACATTTTGTAATCTCAGCCAATTATAACTTGGATTTGTGGGCATGTGATCTTAATGTTGTAAATATGGTTGTAAAAAGTAGTACTTTATTCTTGTATTGATATTTCATATTTTGTATTGTAATAATCATAAATTTCGCGACAAAGAATAAAATATGACAACTGATTTGAATTTTTGTGACATTGAATTTTTTATACTATTAGTTTATCTAGTTATCTATATCACGTCTACTATTTAATTAAATTTATATACAACAACAACAACAACAACAACAAAACATTATAATCATTTCAAATAAATTTTGGTTCCCAACTTCAAATAAAATCTACAAATAAAATAAAAGTATGGCAGATATAGAAAATGAATTTGTAACATTAGTATCATCAGATAATTTTAAATTTATAATACTGAAAGAAGTTGCATCAATATCTTCAGTATTAAGAAATTCTCAAGGTTTTGAAGAAGGTAAAACAGGTAAAATAGATTTAGATATGGAAGGTGATATATTAGAATGTATTATTGAATATTTATATTATCATTTCAAATATAAAGATATAGCAGAAAGTGGTGATGTACCTGAATTTAATATACCAACTCATTTAGCATTAGAATTATTAGTTAAAGCTGATTATTTAGATATATGATATATATAAATATAACATTTTCATTCTGTAAATAGTTACTAATACATCATTGAATATAGTACATTAAAGAATTAATTAAGTTGTAAATTAATAAAATCAAATTTGATAATTTCTTTGGTTGTAAAAAATAAAAATTAAAATTATAAATTTCTACCCAACCCCCCTTATCACTAAATACAAAATCATTTACCACAACTTCTTTTAATTTGTCATTTCCAAAAATTTTCTATAAACATATTGATGGCAACAACTTCACTACTAAATAACTTAACGAATGAAATTGAATTATTTAATCAATCAGGAACTGAACAGTTAAATTCTTTATTACAAGATTCAAATGATTTTTTAAAAGAATTAAAAGATATTGAATTAGATTTACAACAAGAAATTATACAACAAGATCAATTATCCAAAACTTCAACTTCAATTAAAAATGACTCACCAACTACTTCATTAAATAAATCTAAAGCCAAAATAGCATTACTACCTCAGAAATCAGAAAATTGGTATAAATCATCAATAAACCGGTTGAAATCATATAACTCCGCTAATAATAAATTCCTGAGGAATATTCTAAATAATTCAAAATTTAGTGTTGATTTAGATGAAGCTTATACATATCCATTAAATATGGATAATTATCCAGTCAATGACTTTAACCTTGATAAAACTTTAAATGAAGCAACATTACCTTACCTTACCAAATCTGTCATTTCATCAGAAATTAAGAGTAAGAATATAAAACAAGAAAATAAAGAAGAATTAATGAAAGCAATAGTATTACATTTATTAAAAATTGGTCAGAGTTCAGTTGTTCCATCTATATTAAGTCAAATTCCAACCAAACTTTCGGTAAATGAAGATTTATTAGAAAGATTTAAATTATTAAATCAAATAGTTGATGATATATGTATAAGACATGATTTATCACAAGCATTAGGTTGGTTACATACAAAGTATAATGAAAAAATTCTACATAATCAACAAGAATTTGAAGAAAGTGATTCATTTAATGTTGTTGAATTCAAATTTCATATATTACAATTCATCATATTATTAAATGGTAAAAATCTGGGATTTTCATATGATGATGCAGTTGAAGCATATTTTTATTCAAAAGATCATTTTACAAAATTTTTGAAAAATTATTTACATGAAATAGCTCCATTAATGACTTTAATACTTTTTGAACCTGATTTTAATAGTGGTATTGAAAATTTTTCTAAACAAAAAAGTAAAGAAATAGCTATACATAATTTTATTGAAAAAATTAAACAAGGTTTTTTGTTAGAAAATGATGAAAAAAATTCAGATATTGGTAAACAAAGTCAAATTGAATTTGTATCAGATTTATTAAATTCTTTTAAAAATGTTCACAAGAATGAAAATTTGTTTTTAAATATATCAAATGATTTTATAGCTGAATACTGTAAAGATTTAAAATTATCAAAAGATTCATCATTGTTTCAAAGTATACTTGCTGGTCATTTATACTTACCAAGTTTTTATAAATATAATCAAATTCAATTAAAGATGAAACAGTTTAAAACAGAACCAAAAGAACCAAAAACTAATGAAAATTATATCATTAATAATGTTGCAACATATCATTATGAATTACCATTTCAATTACCTGATTCAAATAGATTTTTATTTAAAAATCATCCAATTTTCATTTGTCCAATATCTCGTGAACAGTTAATCCCAATCACAAACAACATAATTGAAACTATTGTAGTAGAAGATGGTAAAAATGGTACAGTAGTTGGTAAAAAGAAAAAATTTGTTGTTGAAAATTTATTAAAAACTCAAGTTGTTGTATTAAATTATTGTCAACATTTAGCTTTAAGAGATAGTATATGGCATTTATCTAAAAAAGGAATGGATGTATTTAAATGCCCTTATTGTTATAAAAAGCATAAGTATAATGATGTTACTGATGCCTTTTTCATAGATTTATAATTGAAATCAATATTCATATTATGTAATTTTGTTATCTCTTGTTTTGAATTAAGTCCGCGATCTAAGAGATGATAATTTTGATCCACAAAAAAAAATACAGAATTTGGTCTACACTAGTATTCACAAAACTCCAATATCAATTAACAAATGGGTTATAAAAAAAATCAATCATTAAAAAATGATCCAAATATAATAATAACTCAAGACTCAATATTAGGTTCAAAATGGTGTCCAATTTGTGAAATTGAAGTAGATTTTGAACCACAACATTTTGAAAAAGCGATGCTTAATGTTATAAAAGAACCAAATATTAATTCAACAGTTATATTAAGAGCAGATATATTAATTGAAAATATATATGATCCACAAAAAGGTGATACTAAATTTTTGAGTAAATTAATTGATATTCTACCGGAAATTGAATCAATTGAAACAAATAAAGAAGAAGAAAATAATAAATTACTACATAGAAATTTAAATGATGTAAATATAAGAGACATACCCAAAACTGAATGTCAAATCAACTTAACAAATAGATATGAAATTGTTAGAAGAATAATCCCAAGAAATCCATTTAAAGATCATATAGTTAATCAAACTTGTTTATTATTAAAAAATGAAGATGAAAATTCAATTTTAATTGTATATATACCACATATTGAATCAAAACAAGAAACACCCTATTATCTACCACAAGTTTATGGAGTAGGAATACTATATCATAACCAAAAAGTATCAATTCATTATCTACCTTTTAATGATAATTTAAATTCACTTAAATCAATTGATGAATCAGATAGATTGATTAGAATAGCAATTAGATTATTACAAACATCAACAAAACATTCCAATGGCGTGAAACTAGGTTATTTGAAAAGAGTAAACCATGATCTAGTAGTTTCAAAAGTAAAATTCCAAAATAAGTATATTTACCTCAAGTCAAAATATGCATCATATTTAGTAAATAATTGGGTAGAAAGTACTGATCCAAATAAACACGTATTTGAAGATTTAGCAATAGCTGCATTTTTAATTGAATATTGGGAAGTTAAAAAATTTAATAAACAAAGTTTTGAATTTAGAGATTTAGGTTGTGGGAATGGATTATTAGTTTATATTTTAATAATGGAAGGATTTAAAGGTGAAGGTATTGATGCAAGAAGTAGGAAATCTTGGAAAACTTATCCAAAAGAGATTCAAAATTGTTTATTTGAAAAAATTATAGTTTCAAGTATATTATTAAAACCATATCCTTCGTTGGCTAAAATTGTACCTAATATAAAAGATAATGGTAGATCATTTATTGAACCAACTAATAATCAAATATATTATTCTTCAAATAATTTGTTAAATTCTCCTAATGTATGTACAACTGAAGAATTCCCATCAAATACTTTTTTAATAGGTAATCATTCAGATGAATTAACATGTTGGATGCCATTATTTGGATTTCCATTCATGGTAATCCCATGTTGTTCTCATGCATTAAACGGTAATAAAAGAAGATACCCACCTTCAAAAAAGCACACCCATCATCATCAACAACAACAACAACAACAATCATCATCATCATCAACATCAACTTACGCATCATTAGTAGATCATGTTGAAAATATTTCAATATTAAATGGTTGGGAAATTGAAAAAGAAATGCTTAGAATTCCAAGTACAAGAAATGCAGCAATAATGAGTTGTAATAAAATTAAACAATTTATTAATGAACCACCTGAGATCTCACAATTAAGAATTTTAGATATAATTGCAATGGAAGGTGGTGCTGATGGTTGGGTTGAAAATTCTTTAAATTTAATGAAAAAAGCTCCTAGAAGTCATTAGAAAAGATTGGTTACACTGTATATCATTGTATATATATTTTGTATGTATATAATCTAATAACGATGTGATGAAGTACTCGTTCAATTAAAACTCACAGAATTTAAAAATCAAATCAAATTTATGAAACACGTATAAATCGATATAGAAATTACACAAAATTGAATTCTATTAAATCTTTTTTTAATTTTTCCATTTTTGAACAATTAAATTAAATTTATATGTAAGAAGTAATACAAAGTCTTATTAATCCTCTACTAATTAATCACCTTTATCATATCAACCAAATTTACCCTTCCCCAAATCACACTACATATATATATACATAAATAGATCATGACTGGCTCATCATCTCAGTATGTCTTTTTAATAACATTTTTGAATTATTTCATTTTTTTTTTAAAATCAAAAAATTACTAACATATATAGATTTCAACAACTTGAAAAATTAGGAGAAGGAACATATGCAACAGTATATAAAGGACGAAATAGAGCTACTGGGGCACTTGTGGCATTGAAAGAAATTAATTTGGATCCAGAAGAAGGTACACCATCAACTGCAATAAGAGAAGTATCATTAATGAAAGAATTAGATCATGAAAATATTGTAACATTATATGATGTTATACAAACTGAAAATAAATTAACTTTAGTATTTGAATATATGGATAAAGATTTAAAAAAATATATGGAAGTTCATGGAACAAATGGAGCATTAGATTTAAAAATTGTTAAAAGTTTTATGTTTCAATTATTAAAAGGTATAATGTTTTGTCATGATAATAGAGTATTACATAGAGATTTAAAACCTCAAAATTTATTAATTAATAATAAAGGGGAATTAAAATTAGGAGATTTTGGATTAGCAAGAGCTTTTGGAATTACTTTTAATACTTTTTCAAATGAAGTTGTTACTTTATGGTATAGAGCACCTGATGTATTATTAGGATCAAGAGCATATACTACTTCAATAGATATTTGGTCAGCTGGTTGTATATTTGCGGAAATGTGTACTGGAAAGCCATTATTTCCAGGAACTGCTAATGAAGATCAATTAATTAAAATTTTTAGATTAATGGGTACACCAAATGAAAGAACTTGGCCAAATATAAGTTCCTATTCAAATTATAAAAATAATTGGCAAATTTTTGTACCTCAAGATTTAAGATTATTAGTACCAAATTTAGATTCAATGGGATTAAATTTATTAACTAGTCTTTTACAAATGAGACCAGAATCAAGAATTACTGCAAGACAAGCTTTACAACATCCTTGGTTTCATGAAATTATATTACCTAATCATCCACTTCATCATCATTTAAGTGATCCTTATCAACAACAACAACAACAACATCACAATCAACAACATCATCAGCAACATCAACATCAACAACAACAACAACAACAACAACATCAAGTACATCATCCACAACACCATCCTCATCAACAACAACATTCACAACATCAACAACAACATCCACATCAACCTATAATTGATCAACAATATTGAGTATTGTAAATAAGAGTTATAAATATGTAAATTAGTTAATGAATAAATAAATAAATAAATAATACATTGTATTTGGGAGGAAACTATGAACAGAATTAAGAAATTAAGAATAATTATTTAAAATATCTATATCAGGACATTTACTAAATTTAGATAATAAATCAGTTAATTTATAATTTTTTAATTTTAAAGCTAATATCCATAATTCTCTCGTGGATTCATTATTTTGATTTTCATTACCCTCATTATCTATATCGTTATATGTAATATGACCTAATAAATATGAACACATATAATACATTCCTTCATATAAATTTTCCAACATATTTTGACCTTTTACATTTATACCAAAGTTCTCAATATTTGATATGTGACAGTATTTATCATACAATTTGAAAGATTCAATTAATGATTGATTCATATTAGATACATTATCAAACATAATTAAAGTAACAATACTTAAAAATGGAATTTTGATCTGAAAATCAATATTAGACGGTTTTAGTAAATTTAAAATTTTTAACATTATTAAATCACAATTAAAATTTCCATGAGGATAATTATATATTAAAAATTGTAAAATTTCAAAATATCTTTTGTTGGAAATACTTTTTAGGAAAATATGAATAGGTATTTTGAATTGTTTTTGATAAGATTCAATTTCTCCAAAAAATTCATGACCTAAATTATATCCGTTTTTAAAATTATAAAAACTAAACTCATCTTTGGTGAATCCTTCATCTGGTAAAGATTCATCATCAAAATTTGCTAAATTTGGGTTTTGTAATTTACTGTTTGACATTAGTTTATGATCTGTTATTGTTTCAATTTTAGAAAATTCAATTTCTTTAAATTTAATAAATTGTTGATACTTCATAAAATCATCATCATAAACACTAGGATCTTGAAATGCTCCATTCGAAAGTTCTTGATCTACTATTTTTAGTAGTATATCAATTTCTTTAAATTTTAATTTTAGAAAAACATTTCTTAATTTTCTATTTAATTGAATTTCATCTAATGATTTAATTTTTATTAATTCATACTCTGTAGTGTTTTTATTAAACCCAAAAGTTTTAGTATTTAAATTTTCTAATAATTGACTTGATATAAATTTATAATTTAATAAAGATTCATCAATTACGTATTTTCCTTCAATTGATGTATAAAATTTAAATTTTTCCTTTAAAATACTCAAATTGATTAATAATTTTGTATAAAATAAACTTCTTTCAACTTCAACGTATTTGATTCTTAATTGTAAAATTTGATCTTCATAATATTTTATTTTTGTTTGAATTTTGTCAATATTTAATCTTGTATTTATATCATGTAAAAAAAACATTTTAATCATTTTTATTAAAATAGAATAATTAGTCCATGGTTTATCTTCAATTTCTAAATCTTCTAGGGTAGTAATGGTTTCGGAATTATTTATACCTGATATTTTTAAATTTGAATATAATGATTTATTAATTAATGGTAAATTGTTATTTGGACCAGCCAATATAAATATCTTAGTAATAATATCAATAGGTAAATGATTCAACGTTAATTTTTTCACATTTAGATTAGTATTAATAGATAGTCGTCGACTAACTAGTTCTGTATGTGATGAAGATGAATTGGATAATGAAATTATAGAATCTCTTTTTAATTTATTAATTTGATGTGGTTTACGAGTTTGTTGATTTCGATAAGGTTTTGAAGTCCTTCGCTGTCGTCTTCTTTCTATTTTTGTAATATTTAATGGTTTACCAGGGATTATAAATCCCATATTATGAAATAAATTTCCATATAAAAATTTGTATTCTTTATAAATGTATAAAGAATGATTTATAAAAGATCTAAAAAAAAAAAGAACATTTTAAGAGAAGAAGTTGCGCGTCTTCTAATAATAAATATATAAAACTTATCTGGTAGCGTACTTACATAGTTAAGAGCGAGTAAATCAACAATAACAAGAAGCTCAAAACATTTACTTACAACTTTTAATCAAATTATTTCAAAAATATGTTAGTTAATATACAAAAGTTATATCTTCTATAAAATAAAGAATTAAATTTAAAAAAAGATGTGAAAATCATCAAATGATTATTATATGTATATATTTATGTTTCAAATCATTTAAGTTTTTTTACACCTTTTCTTCATTTCTTTTCATTGATATTTAATGATCTTTAAATTGATCTTCAGTGACACCAGCACCCATAGCAGCAGTTGAAGTAACACCACCACTAACCATTTTTAATAATCCATCAATATAAGTGGCACCAGACCATTTTTGATGTTTAACAACTTCTACACCTTTTTCAATTTCTGGTTGTTGAACTTGTTGACCATAAGCTCTCATACCAATTTGTGAATAATTATTTGCAAAATCATCAACAGCTAATGCAGTAGTATGTAAACCTGCTAAAGTAATAAATTGCCAAACATAACCTAATTCACCTAATCTTTTTATATAAGTTTCTTGTTCATTTGGTGGCATAGCTTTATTCCAATTAAATGAAGGTGATAAATTATAAGCTAACCATTGATCTGGTACAGCACCTTTAACACCATCAGCAAATTCTTTAGCTTGAGAATAATCTGGTAATGCAGATTCCATCCAAATTAAATCAGCATAAGGAGCAAATGCAATACCTCTCATAACAGCACATTGACAACCACCTTTATATCTATAATAACCTTCTCTTGCTCTTGAAACTTCCCAATTGAAATAAATATCTTTACCAGTTAATTCTTTAGCTAATTTTCTTGCTTCTTTATTTGATGCATTACTTAATGGATTAACTTTATCAGTAAATTTTTTAATTAAATCTTTTTTATTTGAATAATTACCATTATTAATTTCATCAATAACAGCTTCACTAAATAATTTAACACCAGCTTTTCTTGTCCATTCAACTTCAATGGCACCTAATTCATCACCAGTAGCTCCCTTACCTTCAGCTTCAACTAATAAAGTAACTAAATCACCAACTTCTGGATTAGTTGCACCAGCAATAAAATAATGATCTCTATGATCAATAGTTGAAGTAATTAAAGTAGCAGCTTCAGAATCAGTTCTTGCAACAGCTAATAAATTTGAACCAAAAATATCAGCAGAAGCTCTAATAGCAACTAATCTATTAATATGTTCTTGTACAGGAACTAAAACTTTACCAGCCATATGACCACATTTCTTAGTACCTGGAGCTTGATCTTCAATATGAATACCAGCAGCACCTCTTTCAATAAATAATTTAGTTAATTTTATAATAGCAGTTAAACCACCATGACCAGTATCAGCATCAGCAATAATAGGTCTTAAAAAATCAATATAAGGAGTTTTAGCTCTTTCTTCTTTTGATAAAGTTAATCTTTCTTCTCTTTGTTTTCTATCATGAAATAATTGAGCAAACCATAAATGTTCAACTTTATTTGGAACAGTATCCATTGGATAATCAGCTAAATCTGGAGAAGGTTCATTTGAAGTAGAAGCAGTTGAAGAACATTGCCAACCAGAAACATAAATAGAATCTAAATATTTAGCCATTTGAGCAACATGAATTGGATCTAAAGCACCAAAAGTAAAAGAAACAGTTTTATCAGCATCATGTTTTGTTAATAAATCAAATAATTTATCAGCTTGTTGAGAAGAAGGATAATCAATTTTTAATGTACCTCTTTTTTTAGCAATATCTTCAGCAGTATAAATTCTTTTAGTTTTTTTCCATCTTGGTTCTGACCACCATTTTTTAATTTCAGAAACTTCTTTTTGAAATGCAGATTCTTCTACATTAACATCAATTGGAGTATATGGCATTGTGAATGTGAATGATTATAGTTATAGTTATAAAATGTAAAAACTTTGATTAAAAAAAAGTTGTAATAAAAATAAATTAAAAATATAAAAAGAGTTGTAAAAAATTTTAAATCATAGAAATCGAATAATATTTATATTTAGTTTTAGTTACTTTGTTGAACAGATTTAAATTAAGTGTCGGTATTATTAAAAAAAAGCAAATAAATTAAAAATGAAAAATTTAATTACCCCAGATTAAATTAATATTACTGTTTTTTTTTTTTCCATATATCCTATATACATGTTTATTAATTACTATTAACTTTCCTCGGTTGTGTGGAATTTTTTCATTTATTATTTATTGATTTATTATTCTACTATGATAATAAATATTTGTTTCAAATCTACAACAGTCGGTCTTATTTATCTATTAATCAGAGAGAACTAATTCAATGAATCAAAAATGAAAGTAAACATTTCATCAAAGTTGATTTTAAATATATTTGAAATCCAAGGATAAAAAACCACTAAAAAAATCATACTATTATTATTTATAATTTACACATATTGTCTGTAATATTAAAAAGAAAGAAAAGAAAGTAATAACTACAAAAAAAAAATATGTCTGTCTATGTGTTTTATTAATTGAAATATTTTTTTTAAACGTTGTTACATAATCTATTCACTTTAATTAAATTCATATATGAATCATATGCTAAAATTATAATAATTATGTAACAATTATAATAAAGCCAGTTTGTTTTCGAATGTTAAAAAAATAATAAATTTAAAAACGGTTCCGTAGTCGCACTTATAATTTTAATTATTATTTAATAGGAAATAAAGAATAATTCCTTTAAAAATAACCTAATTAAGTATATTTTGAATGATTAGTACCGATGAATCATCCAGTGACTTTTGAATTATTTGATTTTTTTTTTTTTTTTTTTTTATNATTCTCGAATTCAAAAAACTATTCAATGGGAATTTTTAAATTTCGATAATCTACGGGATCAATAGATTTAGTTCCTTGATTTGTTATATTTGAAAGATCCCTTTAAATTGATATATCATTTCAAACAAATTATTTATATTTTACGAAATAGATCTAATTTCATTTAAATTAATAGATATATATATTCTTCAATGTTTTTCTAATTCGTCGGAATAATTAATATTTTGATTTTAATTTAACTCGGGCTAATTGTTCCTTTAATTGTAAATTAAATATTAAATATGTCTTACATTAAATTTATGAAACAAACGGAGCTTAACATCCGCTTTTTTTTTTTCATTTACTGACAACTATCAAAAATATTACTCAATTGATTAAGAAATATTAAGAAGGGGTTGGTACTACCGACAGTGGCTAGTACTTGCTCTTTTAATAAATTTTAAATAAGGATAGAGTTATTTTTTAAAATTGGAGCCAAATTTAGACAAAAATTTTTATTGAAAAACATATTAAATATACTAAAATATGAATATAATTATATATTCTCTTTTCCTGAATATTTTTCGTCAATCCATTAGATCAATGACCTTTGATCGACAATTAATTGACTTTAAAAAGCTTTGAAAGAAAAATCAAAAATTGGTTGCCAAATTTTTTAATTAAACTTTGGTTGCAAAAATTTCAAAATATCTTTTAATAAACTAGAATATACGCGATGTTAATACGGAGTTAAGAGTACAAACTATTAATTAAAGATTGAATTTTGTAAATAAACCATTTACAAATCTACAAATTATTGTTATTCAATTTTACAAAATAATACAGTATCCAATCATACTAATCTTCTCAATTTTATTTAAAGATTAAACAATAATTGTAAACCAGGAATTAATGGATTAGCCATAGCAACAACAACTTGATCATTTTCATCATTAGAAACTAATTTAATATCTTTACCTAATATACATTGAATTAATTTATTTGATCCACTAGGTATATCACTAATTGATAATATTTCAATAATATCTGAATGAAATAAAAACAAGTAGTTATTTTTAAATTTTATTTTATTACATTTAAAATCAAATTTTAATAAAGTTGTTCTTGATAATTTACCTTGCTTGTTGATAAATATAGCAAATTCTGAATACATTAAAATAAATTCATTATTATTGTTTAGTTTGAACATACCTAAAGGTTGAACATTAATTGAAGATACAAGTTTTTTAATAGTTTCAATTGTATTAGTATTATTTGTATTTGTTTTTCTTGAAAATTGATCAATTTTCTTTTTTTCAGTTTCAATCATTGGTAAATCAGGTACTGATCTTGGAATTAATTTATCTAATTCCATAATTTCAAATCCTTTATCTGTATGAACAGCAAAAGATGAGTTAAAAATAGATATTCCATAACAATCAGCTTCAATATAAAATTTTTTATCATCTTTAAATCTATTAAAAATTCCATTATTATCAGTTTCTGGTATTAAAATTTTAATATTTGTAACATTATTTTTACGTTTTGCTATAAATAACATTGGTATATTTTTATGAATTTTCATAACAAAAAATAATATAGGATCTTTAGATAATGATATTCCAATAATATTAGTTTTTAATCCAAAATAAATATCAATTAGTTGATTTAAAAAATAATATTTTAAAATTTTATCATTTAATATTAAAACAATTCCAATAGTTGTATCAACATGAATTTTACTAAAATCTGAACCATTTAATAATTTTTTCCACCTTGATTTTGATTCACAACAATATAATCCTGAATGTAATCCAATAAATGTGAAAAATAAATCCTTGTATTCAAAAGTAAAACAACTTTGAATTGCACTAAAAACCATTCTATTTCTTGGATTATTTGTATTATATATATCATTTGTAAAACCTAAACTTGAAAATTTTCTTAGTGAGTCTTGACAAATATCATAAATTGGATCAAATGGAGTTACAATTTGTAATTTAGTAATTTTATTATTTTGTTCATATGCAAAACATGTAGTTGATATTATTTTAGGTTTAAAAGCTAAATTATTAAATAATCTTTTATTCATATTTGATTTAGCAGTTGTTAAATAATTAATCCAATCATTTTTTTCACGTTCAGTTTTACATGTAAAAGTATATGAATGTCTTGATTTCCCAGCATATCTTAATTTTATAGAATATTGAATATCTTCTTCTACATCATCCAAAGATTTTCTTGAATTTTTGGTAATTGGTGATGATGATAATTTTATAGATGATGAAAAATTAACAATTTTTTCTTCAAACATTAAAAAATCTATAGGGATGGGGTAATCACTTATCTTGTATAATGCCCCATTTGGTTTTGAATTTTTCAATCTTTCCGTAATTATAATAAAATTATCTAATAATATCAAATGATTTATTTGAGTTGTAAATTTTAAGTCAGTTCTTCTTGTTAAATCACCACGACATATAAATTTTCTATTCATTGAATTTAAATTTAAATTTGTTTGTCTTAGACTTGATTTCCACAGTAATTGAGTTTTTAATTGTTCAATTGCATGAACATTATCAGCTAATTTTTTAGAATCATTAATTTTAGATCCCAATTTTTTAATTTCATCACTTGCTTGCTTTAATAAGAAATATTCTGGTTCATTTTCTTCATATTTTTTTTGAATATCCATTATTTGTAGTGGAATTTGTTGATACCTTGAATTAAAAGTACTTATAAATAAAATTGGTACATTAACTTTTAATTCTTTAACTTTTGGTAATTGACCTATTTTATTATCAATATAAGATTTTAAATTTGGTAAACTTAACAAATCTTCAATCATTGGCATATTATTCATATATTTAACTAAATGTGGTCTTACTTCTTTTGCCCAATCTGTATAAATACTTACTATTTCAATTACATTTTTGATAAATTTACCTTCTGATATTAATATTTTAAGTAGTGGTTCAAATAATTGTTCTTGATGAATAGCCAATATTTTTTTACTAGTTTTCAAAACATCTTCTTCAAATGATTTTATTTTGGAACTGTTTGATCCTAAATAATTTCTTGCTGCTTTTACAAATTCTGGTCCAACAATTTCAACAAAACATTTAGCTCTTTGTATAAAAGTTTGTTCATACCTCAATAAATCAAATATTAATGACTGCCTTTTAATTAAAGCAGGATTTAAATCTCGTAAATCATCAATTGTTAATCTCCAATGAGCAGCCCAATCATTGCCCAAAACAATTTCTTTAATGTTCATTGTTCTCATTTTTCTCTCAAGATTCATCATTCTACTAAAATGGCACATTGTGGAATAACAAGTCATTGAACTTTCTTCTTCCTTTGTATGAGGTATTGGAGAATAACATTCAGTTAAACCTGGTAATACACCACTAACATAAACATCTTCATTGAAAAGAACAACTGATCTATCACCATTTATGTTAGGTTTCAGTAATTCAACAACTTCAATAGCTTGATTAAATGAAAAAGAATCAAATACAGCTTGTGAATTTCTTGTTAATACATCTAATGAGATATCACTTCTATGAAATGCAATTAATCTTATAATTGCCTTTTTCAATTCTTGTTTTGAAACTGATGAACCTTTTAACCAAATCTGTAATTTACAACACCATTTAAATAATTTTGATAATGACCATATATCTCTACAAGTTTCAAAATGTTGTGCTTGTAATGATGAAGTATTAAAAGGTAAATCTGGTAAATCTAATGGTAATGGAGGTAGTTCTTGTAATTTTTTAGGTAATGGAGGACCAGTAGATACTGAAGTTGCAGCAGTTGAAGCATCTCTACTTGGTGGTAATTCTGGTAAAATAGAATAATCAAAATAATCAGTTGCTGGTGATTCAAATTCATAATTTTGATTTTCTTCTTCATCATAAAATGGATTATCTGAAACTACTCTATATGAAGGTCTTGTATTAAATTGATAATGTTGTGGAGTATATTCTTCCGGTGATTGTACATAAATTTGTTCAACTACTGAATCATCATAATTATTATAAGTATTATACCCATTGATTGAATTTTTCTTACTATGCATCGATCTTTTAGGTGATGGTGATCTACTATAAGGATCTTCCTCTGGATAATTTGGTAATGAACGAATAGATGATTTTCTTCTTGGAAAATATTCATCATATGGTGATCTAGGTGGTGAATTATTCAGTAATGGTGAAGACTCTTCTACTTGTTGATTTTTCTGATAATGTTGACCATATATTGTAGATAATGAACTTCTTGTACTTAAATTTGGTACATCATTGATTTTTGGAGATGCAGTATTTATAGATTGGTTAATTATAGCTCTTGTTCTTCTTTGTGATGGTGAATCAACTTCAAATATCATATCTGGTGGTAAATCTTCATCAATGTAATCTTCTATTCCTTTAGTTGGATAAGGTGGGTTTTTGTTGTTATTATTTACAACATTATCAGTATTGAAATCTTCGTCATCAGAATTATGATTTACATGTCCAGTAGTGAAAATTTCATTATTATTAGTATTAGATTTTGATCTTGAAATTTGTTGATAACTTCTTTTAGGTAGTATTCTATTTATATGAATATTTGTATGAGTTGGAGTTGTTATAAAATTTGATGGAAATTGAGGTGATTGATCATATTCCCATAAATCTTTTGGTCCTTTTGGTTTTGGTGAATCAAATGATGTGAAAGATTCATCAAATAATATATCATTAGTTTCATTAGTATATATATATTTAATCGGTGTTGTGATTGTTGGCTCTATAAATTGTGAATCATTATTATTATCGTTAGGAATATGCGGAAGTTCTTTATACTGTTGTGAATTTGAATTTGAATTTGGATCAAATTGTGATAGTCGTTTTTGATTATTTAAACTTGAATATGACTTTCTATGTAGATTCTCCAATTCACTAATAATTGATGAATTGTTATTGGTATTATTTGTTGTAATATTTGCAGTATTATTATTATTATTAAATTCTGTATCGATTGGTGGTGGCTTTCTCCTTAATGATTTACTATTTGACATTATTCTATTAATTAAATATGAAATCGATTTTAAAAGGCTAATTTATATGATCATTGACAAGTAATTATAGATAGCATTGAGTATAATAATTTGTAATTTGAATTATAATAAATATGTATAAGTTTTTATCAAATTAGATCAATATAAAGTGTATGTTTATATTTCTAAATCTTTTGTTATACTCAAATTTCCTTAAAATTTAATTTTTAACACACATCTTTTAAGAAATATTTAAATTTTTGCAACCATTCAACTTTTTGACTAAATAAAAATGATTTAATAAACACTATAAACAAACAAGGTATTGAGTTTAAAAAAGATTTGCTGTTCTACTAGAGTTGGTTCTTTCTACGTTAGAGTTTTACATACAGTTTAATTTTTAATTTGAATTTACTGATCTAAGCCAAAATATATTAATCTACTGAAAATTATTCAGATTTATAAATTTAAAAAAGGAGTTATAACAACATTAGATTAAAATAATCATTACTTTAACTGGATAGTAATATTGAAAATTGATCATTCAAACATTATGACTTCGTTGGATTAAGTAGGAATGGAATTGAATTAAGTAAGAAAATTTAAGTCCCTTAATTAATATATTATATGGAACGCGTATTAGACTGTTGCACAAAAACAATTATTAATTATTTTTATTTATTTATTTTATTCTATAATATTCGTATAAATTACATGAATTTATACCCATTAAAAGCAATTTATCCAACTTAGCCAATGTCATACTCATCAGATATAACCAAGTTAATATCAGAAGGATCAAAAGCTTATTCACAAAGAAATTATGAATTAGCATCTGAAAAATATGGTGATGCTTGTCAATTATATTCTTCATTAAATGATAATAAAGAAGATGGTGATTTATTATTATTATATGGTAAAGCATTATTTCAAAATGGGATTGATAAAAGTAGTATATTAGGTGGTATTGAGACTAACAATAATGAAGAAGAAAAAGAAGGAGGAGATAATAAAGATAAAAAAGGAAAAGAAGAAAATGAAGAGGAAGAAGGCGATGACAAATTTCAATTTTATGATGCAGAACCTATTGATGGAGAAGTATCTAATGAAAATGAAAAAGAGGAGGAACATGAAAACGAGGAAGAAAGTGAAGAAAACAAAGAAGAAAACAAAGAACAGGGAGAAGAAGAAGAAGGAGAACAAGAACAAGAACAAGAACAAGAACAAGAAGCAAGTGATTTTGAAATGGCATGGATGATATTGGATGTTGCAAGAGGAATATTTGAACAACAATTAGAATCATTACCAAAACCAACTACCATACCAATACCATATATTAAATCAGAATCTGATCCAATAGATAATGAATATATAATAACATTGAAAAAATTATCAGAAACTTATGATATCCTTGGTGAAGTATCATTAGAATCAGAAAATTTCCAACAAGCTTCACAAGATTTACAAAAATCCTTAAAATTAAGATTGGAATTATATCCCAGAAATTCTTCACCAATATCAGAATCTCATTATAAATTATCATTAGCATTAGAATTTGTTACTGATGATCCATTATCAAGAAAAAAAGCAGCAGAACAAATAAAATTAGCTATAGAATCAACTAAAGAAAGAAATCTTTCAGAAACAAATCCAGAAAAACAAAAAGATAATGAAGAAATGATTCAAGAATTAAATGATAAATATCAAGATTTAATTAAAGATCCAAATCAAAATATACAACAACAACAATTAGATATTATAAAAGGTATATTGGGAGAAAGCTTATCTGGTGAAGGAGCAGAAGGTGCTACTAATGCTATAGTAAATAATTTAACTTCAATGGTTAAAAGGAAACCAACTAATGAAGGTAAAGTAAATGATTTATCTAATTTGGTGAAAAAGAAAAAACCAAAAAAATAATTAACGAGTAAAGTGTTTAATTCAAAATGATAACTAATTATAATGTACAATTATAAAATAGTTGTGAGTTGTATACTCTATCGATTTTTCTATTATAATTCTATTTGTATTCACTGGTCGTATATCCAAGTGAAAGATCAAAATTAGTCCTTTTATGGCTAAATTTACGATAAAATGCTAATGTACTTCATCACCAGTATAAGGTGACTAGTAAAGATCGTGGAGTCAAAAAATTAATCTCTTTTTATTCATATATTGATTCGAAATTTATACGGCATAATAGTATTATTAAACTATTCTTTACTACGTGCTAGACATATTTTGGTCTAAGTATAAGATCTAAAAGTACCCAACTACTCGACTGGCTAAAAAAAAAAGCCAACTAATCGACTGGCTAAGTTTCAAATTCAGACCAAAAAAATATTTTATTTCGTTTTGTTTCACATTAATTTTTAAAACAAACGGCATCAAAACTTAATTTTTTAATACAATAATTTGGAATTTGGCATAAAACGTGTAAAATTAGTTACTTTAATATATTAATACAATAGCATTAACACAAAAATTCTTTCTCTTACTGGTTTTATACTTTAACATTTTACATTCTAAAATTGGTCTTAAATGCGTTTTAAGAATTGAATAGAATTGAGTTTTTGACTTCTTGCTTTAGATACTTAATTGTTCTATTGACTTTGTACAATCTATAGAAATTTGAGGAGTAAGTAACAAAACAAATAATAAAATATTAAACCCCGAATGTTATGATGAAAAAATCTTAACACGCAATTAATATTTACTTATTATATATCATAAGTAAAGAGTAGAATTTTATGAAACCAATTCAATCAATTACCACATTTTTATTTTTATCATCAAGAACTTATAGTACAAGAATTACATCAATTAATTCAATTACTTCAATTGTTAATAAATTTATTAATAATAATCATACACTAATACCTAATTATTCAAGTAATTTTGATTATCCTAATAATAATACTAATAATAAATTATTTTTCACTTTAATTAAAAATAATCAATTTAATACAACTATTAATTTATTTTCAAATTCATTAATCAATTCAACTAATAACTTACTTACATATTCAAATACTAGAAATTATTGTTCAATGTGTTCACATCTTAAATCAGAAATAAGTGGTTCATCATCAACTCCACAAGATAGAGAAGTTTTACCAACAAATGTTAAACCATTACATTATAATTTAACTTTACAACCAAATTTTGAAAATTTTAAATTTCAAGGTGAAGAAATTATTGATTTTTTAGTTAATGAAAGAACTGATTATATAACTTTAAATTCTTTAGAAATTGAAATTGAAGAAGCTAAAATTGATGATGTACCTATTAAAGATATAAGTTTTAATGTTGATAAACAAACTGTTACTTTTAAATTTCCAGATCATTTAGTTGAAGGTAGTACTGCTCATTTATATATTAAATTTATTGGTGAATTAAATGATAAAATGGCTGGATTTTATAGATCAAGTTATCAAGAAGATGGTAAAACTAAATATTTAGCTACTACTCAAATGGAACCAACTGATTGTAGAAGAGCTTTCCCTTCTTATGATGAACCTTCTGCAAAAGCTAAATTTACTATATCATTAATTGCTGATGAAAAATTAGTATGTTTATCAAATATGGATGAAAAAGAAACTAATTTAATTGGTGATCATAAGAAAAAAGTTACTTTTAATACTACACCATTAATGTCAACTTATTTAGTTGCTTTTATTGTTGGTGATTTAAAATATGTTGAAAATAATAGTTATCGTGTACCAATTAAAGTTTATGCTACTCCAGGATCAGAACATTTAGGTCAATATTCAGCAGATATTGCAGCTAAAACATTAGCATTTTTTGATAAAAAATTTGATATTCCATATCCTTTACCAAAATGTGATATGGTTGCTATACATGATTTTTCTGCTGGTGCAATGGAAAATTTTGGTTTAATTACTTATAGAACAGTTGATTTATTAATTGATCCAGAAAATACAAATGTTGATACTAAACAAAGAGTTACTGAAGTTGTTATGCATGAATTAGCTCATCAATGGTTTGGTAATTTAGTTACAATGGATTTCTGGGATGGATTATGGTTAAATGAAGGTTTTGCTACTTGGATGTCTTGGTATGCTTGTGATTCTTTATATCCAGATTGGAAAGTTTGGGAATCTTATGTAAGTGATTCTTTACAACATGCATTAACTTTAGATGCTTTAAGAGCTTCTCATCCAATTGAAGTCCCAGTGAAAAGAGCAGATGAAATCAATCAAATCTTTGATGCTATTTCTTATTCAAAAGGTTCTTCATTATTAAAAATGATTTCAAGATGGTTAGGTGAAGATATTTTTATAAAAGGTGTTTCAAATTATTTAAAAAAGCATAAATGGGGAAATACTCAAACTTCAGATTTATGGCAAGCTTTAAGTGAAGTTTCAGGAAAAGATGTTGTTAAAGTTATGGATATTTGGACTAAAAACATTGGTTTCCCAATTGTTAGAGTTGAAGAATCTGGAGATAATCAAATTAAAGTTACTCAACATAGATTTTTAGCTACTGGTGATGTTAAAGAAGATGAAGATCAAACATTATACCCTGTTTTTCTCGGATTAAAAACAAGTGATGGAATTGATGAATCTTTGGTGCTTGATGAAAGATCAAAAACTTTCAGTTTACCAAGTAAAGATGATTTTTTTAAAATTAATGGAGATCAAGCAGGTATTTATCGTACAGCTTATGATTCATCAAGATGGACTAAATTAGGTCAAGCTGGTGTTGATGGTAAATTATCAGTTGAAGATCGTGTTGGATTAGTTGCAGATGCAGGATCATTAGCTTCTTCTGGATTTATTCAAACTTCAAGTTTATTAGATTTAGTTAAATCATGGTCAAAAGAATCCAATTATGTTGTATGGGATGAAATCTTGGGTAGAATTGGATCCATAAAGGCAGCATTAATGTTTGAAGATCAAGCTGTTAATGATGCATTAAAATTATTTACTATTGATTTGATTGGTTCAAAATTGAATGAAATTGGTTGGGAATTTTCAGAATCGGATTCATTTGCTGATCAACAATTAAAATCTTCATTATTTGCATCAGCTGCAAATTCAGATGATCCAAAAGCTGTTGAATTTTCCAAATCAGCATTTAAAAAATTCATTGCTGGTGATAAAAAAGCCATACATCCAAATTTAAGAGCAACAATTTTTAACATCAATGCAAAATTCGGAGATGAAAAAACTTTCGAACAAATTTTATCAATATACAAAAACCCACAATCAATTGAGGAAAAAATTGCAGCATTACGTTCATTAGGTAGATTTGAAAAACCAGAGATAATGGACAAAGTAGCTGATTTATTATTACAAACTGACGTTGTTAAACAACAAGATATATATATTCCAATGCAAGGATTAAGAGCTCATAAAGCAGGTGTTGAAAAATTATGGAATTGGTTAACTATAAATTGGGATAAAGTTTATGCTTTATTACCACCAGGATTATCTATGTTAGGTTCAGTTGTTACGTTGGGTACTTCAGGATTCACTAAAGATGAACAAAAACAAAAAGTTGAAGAATTTTTTAGTACTAAAGACACAAAGGGTTATAATCAAGGTTTAGCTCAATCTTTAGATATCATTACTGCAAAGGGTAAATGGGCTCAACGTGATTCTAAATTAATTTCAGAATGGTTAGTTACAAATGGTTATTCAAAATAAAAAAATTTAAAAGAGGAAATAGTATTAAACAAGATATATATGTATATAAAGCCAATTTTTTAATTATAATGATTTTATTTTTAATATTCAATTTATCCAGTTCTTTGTAGTATATGAATCCCACTATCAGTTTCAATTAAATTTGATATTTCATGTAAATGTAAATCATAAGCAGCAGCTTCAAAAGGTGGTTGCATTTCTTTTCTACCAAAATAACCTAAATCACCACCTCTAGAATGAGATGAACAATCACTATTATCTTGAGCTAAATCATCAAATTTAACATCACCAGCTAAAATTTTTTTTAAATATTCACTTGCAATATTTATTGATTCTTCTCTAGTTGTAGTTATTTGCAGATTTTTCCAACTCTTGGGATTTCTTGAATTTTTATTTTTAACTAGTATATGACTAGCTCTAACTTTCCCATCTTTATTTATAACTGGTTTATAATCATTATTTTTAAATTTTTGAATATATGAATTAAGAGTTTCTTTATCTGTTCCATATGGTGGATCCCATGATGATTCATTGGTTTGTTGGTTGAGATAATATTCTTTATTGTGAGTTTTGCTTACTTTTATTGTCCAATTGGGTGGAAGACCTGTTTCAACGCTCATTAGTTGGTGGTGGGTTTTGAAGTTATTTGAATTTACTTGGAGTTTGTATATTTTGGTATTTTTAATTTCGTAATTACTAATATATGAATATAATACATTTCACGCACTGGGATCTATCAAATTCGCGGAGTTTTTTAGACAGTTTAAGTTAAAACTTGATATTAACAATAACTAAAGGATTAATAGTTTTTGAAAAAGTCAGATAAGAAACTTTGTGATGTTTAAAATGCAAACTCTATTTATTAAATCTATCCACAATTATAATACACCTATCTCATCTAAATATTTTTATTCAATTTAATATATTATCATTCTATACTCCCCTTTTAGTCAAAGCATCTAAAACTTGAGAAGCAACAACAGGTATAGAATGATCACATCTAACTTTAATAACTTTCCCTTCTTTTTCAAAATAATCAACAACAGGCATAGAAGTATCAATAAAAGTTTTAAATCTTTTTTTAATACTTTCAATATTATCATCAGCTCTACCACTAGTTTTACCTCTTTCTAATAATCTATTTAACATTACTTGTTCAGGACATTCAAAAAATATAGTTAATGCTGATTTTGCTATACTATTTTCAAAAGTTAATGCTTGATCCATTTTTCTTGGAAATCCATCAATTAAAAATTTAACTTGACCTTGATTATATTTTGATCGAATGGCATTTCTTAATAATTCAATAGTAACTTCTTGTGGTACAATTGTTCCTTCTTTTATACATTTTGCAATTAATTTTCCATATTTTGAATTTGGTCTATTTTGTTCAGCTCTTAATAAATCACCAGCTGATAAATGTGTAAAACCTTTTTCCTTAACTAAAATATCACATTGAGTACCTTTACCTGATCCTGGTCCTCCTAACACAAATACAACTGAAATTTGACCAGGTTCAAATACTGGTCCATTTGATAATCTAGGTAATTCAGGATCAATTGCAGATTTTGGATCTTCTTTATTATATAAAGTAGCAGCTATTGTTGTACCTACTACTAATGCACCTAATATTAACAAAGTATTACTTTGTAATTTTATTCTTGGTTTTATAGGTGGTGGAGTTGATTTGAATGAGTTGAATCTTTTAATTAATTGAATATTTTGTTTTTGAAAATTTCTAGAAAGTAATCTAGATGTTAATAGTTGTCTTTGAATGAGCATGTTGTAATTTAAATAGTTGATATGGTTGAATAGATCAAATTGATATAATTTAATGAATAATCAAAGTAATAAGTTATGAATATCTTCTCAAGGTCTTTGAAACTTTAAAATTATAAATTTGTTATTGTTAATGGAAAAAGCGCGATCGTTTTTTAAATTTTAATACTAAAATAAACTTTAGGGCTTATTTCAATTTAATATGTGAAGTTGAAACTTTAGTATGTTAAGAAGGTGATAGAAAGATGAATTGACAATGGATAACGATTTTGATATTTATAATGTTAAATTGATAGAAATTGACTTATACCAATCTACTAATTTAATAAGATATTTCATAGTCGGATCTTATTTTTGAAATCGGTTTAAATTTTCTTATAACAATTGAGGGTTTTTTTTTATTATATTAAAGTTTTCTTAACTATGTAGATCTTTCTAATCACCCCACCATTCTCAATTTTACATTTTATGTACTATTACTTATTGATATTCTTTTAATTTTGAATCATTAAATCTTAAGAATTCACCATTTAATTCATTAGACCATCCTTTTAAAACTAAATTAGCATAAACTGCCCCACATTCTTCAGGTTCAACTAATTGACCATTTTTATGTAAATCTTTAAATTTTTTAATACTTTCTTCACTCATTTTAGATCCAAAATTTCTAATTAATCCTTGCATATCAGTATTCACAACACCTGGTGCTATTGATATAGCTTTTATATCTTTTTCTTCAGCTGCTAATGATTTAATTAAATGATTTAATGCTGCTTTGGAAGATCCATAAGCATACCATCCACTATATGCTGATGTTGCTGCTCCTGAACTAACTGCAATAAAATTACCTTTTGTTCTTTTTAATTCTAATAAACTTTGTTGTATTAATTGAACAACACTGAAAAAGTTTATATCGTATAATTTTTTCCATTCTTCAATTGATGTATCTTTTATTGGTCCAACTGGTTCTATAACTCCTGCATTTGCAATAACTGAATTTAATTGACCAAATTTTGTTACTGCTAAATCTACCGCACTTTGACTTATTGTTGAATCTGTTACATTACCTGCTACATATTGAAAATTATCTTCTCCATATTTTGATTGTAATGTTTCAAGTAATTCTTGTGATCTTGCTATAGCAACTACTTTTGAATTTTGATGTTGCAAAAGTAAATCGACAATTGCCTTACCAATACCTGAATAGAGTTAGTAAATCTGATACTAATGACTCAATTGATTATTCGTTGAGCATTTATAGTCTCACATACCTTTGGAAGCACCAGTAACAATAGTAACATGTGTCATTTTCTTGTTGTATAAGTTGAAACTTAATTATTTATTACTTGTTAAAATCTGATATTGCGCGGAATTATAAGCTAAGATTTCCCAAGATTTTCAAAGTTACTTTAAACTCTTGGTATCTATTTAAAATAAGACCTGAGTCCTCTAGTACTGAAGAAGTGCTTACATTGTTCCATCATTATCATTGATGATATATAAATAAAATAAAACTATAAACAATAAATCAAACTCCTATCTCTAATTTTACTTCTACTGAATCATGGCCAAGTCAATTTTACATTTTTGCTAATCTAGCTCCTCCATCTACACAAAGATCAACACCATTAATGTAATTACCTTGTTTTGAACATAAGAATAACAAAGCAGCTTGTAGATCTCCCTTTTCACCTAATCTACCTCTTGGGTTAGTTTCAGTCAACATATCACCAGCAGCTTCAATTAATCCATTAGCCATTTTAGTTGGGAAAAACCCAGGTAAAATAGAATTAACATTAATATGTCTTGGAGCAAATTGTACTGCTAAATTTCTACCTAAATGAGATACAGCAGCTTTTGAACCTAAATAACCATAAGTTCCTACAGAATCATTATGTAAAAGTGAAATAATTGATGACATTATAATAATTCTTGAAGGGTCTTCTTGAGTTGCCGCTCTCTCTAATAATGGAGTAGCTAATTGAATTGAATGATATACAGCAACAAAATTTAAATTAATAACTTTTTTAACTGCTGATACTTTATGATCTTCTAATGGGGCTCCCCAAGTTGCACCAGCATTAGCAACAAATATGTCTAATTTATCAACTTTTTCACTGATCTTTTTAAATAAATCTTCACATTGTTCTTCTACAGATAAATCTGCTGGAATTGCAATAACTTCACATTTATTATTACCTGCTTTTTTAGCTAATTGTTCTAAATGAGCTTTTGCATCCTCACAAGCTTTTGGTTTTCTTGATGAAATTATAACTGTTTTAGCTCCATTTTCAACAACTGCTTCAGCACAATATAATCCTAATCCTCTTGTACCCCCGGTAATTAAAACAATTTTATTTTCAACGTTGAAATCGACCATTTTTAGTATTTACTTGCTTGTATATATGAACAATTGATGAATAAGTTTAACTTAAGTGAATCAATGGAATAATTATTGATAAAGTGATTATTCAACAAACTTAAATTTTCATTTATAGTAAATTAAATCTATTATCTTTTCTTTTAATATATAGTACTAATTAGATTCCCCACACAATAAAATTTAACGGGAGAAGGAAAGGATATAAAATATAATGTCACAAAATTGGCTCCAGGGGGTTAAGATCTATGATTAAATTTAATGCAAAAAATCGACTACATTGTTTTACCGAGAGGTCGAATTGATTGACTTAAATTTTACAAAACTCCGCACTAAATTTATAACGGAAAAATTTGAATTATTCCATAACTTATTGTAATTTTATTATATAAACTATTAAAGAATTGAAAAAGTAATATAGTCTTTCATAATTTTGAAAATATAATTCATAACATATAAAACTGTACTCTTTTTAGATCTCAAAAGTAAAGAACTATTTTAATGATTGACTTTAAACCATTCCATGAAAAATTAAAAATATCAATACCAAATTGAACTGAAAGTAATAGCAATAAACTGATCACCTTCAAAGTACCAATAAATAAACCATTGAGAATATCTTTATAATTAGATGGCAGAATGAAATATAATATGAATGAAATGATTATTGATATTGATTCTTCATTCGAAGCTGTGGTTGGTGCTATATCTTTTGAATCATCATTCTCTATCTCTTGTTCATTTTCTATACTTTTGACATTCAATTTAACACCATTTAATTCTAAAAGTTGGGCTTGATTTTGTTTAAAATTAACTTGTTTAAAATCAAATTCTTCTGCTTCATATACTTCAGTTGACATTGCAAAATTTTGAAAAGTTTTATAAAAATAATGGAGTTTCTTTGAACAAGGTATCTCAATTACATTTTATAACATATTAATTTGGAACACTCGAGCTTATAAGTAGTAAAATTTTCAAATATAATAATCAAAATTTTTAATGTAATTTTAAGTTCTATTTATATTTTAAATTAAAAGCTTAAACTATGTTTTATTATTTTCCCAAATAAATTTTACTTGTATTGGTTATGATTCAATAGTCAAGACCTAAAAGTTTAAATGATGAGGATCAAAAAACTACTTAATACGGATATAATGAAGTATAATGAATAGAATAATATATTATAACTATTCTCCATATTTTTAGTAATTTGTCATAACAATTAGACCTTAAATTTAGAATTTTATTATAAACAGTTTTCTTGATTACTATAATCAAATTCGTATATTTTTAAAACAATTTTGAGGATGTATCATTTTGCACTAATAGAATTGCAAAATTGAAAAAGAAATTAAATTATAAAACAAAGCCGCACTAGCACAAACTAATCACCCAAAATCCCTCTTGAAATACACTAAAACAATAATCTCTTTTATAATGAGAAGACTTTAAAACTGATACGGAATCTACTAAGCTTAAAGTTGATGAATTTGTTGGGTCAAATTTTTATCAATATAAGGGGTCTTATAATAATAATTTTTGAAATTAAGCTTTTTTTAGTTTTATGTGTCTAATATAGATAGAAAATACTATAAGAAGTAATACTACAATAGGATGGCTATTAGTAAAGTTCTATAAATGGTTCTATTATATTTCAAATTGGATCAATTGTTTCCTTTAGTTGAATCTTTTTGTTTAGCAAAGATAAATGAAAATCTCTTGAGGCTTTCCACCAAACATTATCATCTAAATTTTTTTCATTATCTACTGTAATTAGTAGATCATCTTCAACCATCTCAAAGTTGCAAAATTTTTGATAATACTCATCTAATCCATATTCTTTAACACATTCCGCAACTATGACTAACTCAGTTAAATTTTGAATCATTGTGGATGAAAACATTCTGTTATCTAGTACATAATTCAAAAATTTATATCCGATTGATTTCATAAACGATGTGTATAATGTTAATTCAAACTCATTCGGCGAATTCAAAGACTTAAAAGCTAATGTTGCAATACATTGATTGATTTTGTCATGATTCAATTCAAAATCATTCAGCACTATTTGTATATCTATTTGCTTATCAAATTTTATCTCACGCTCAGGAATATCACACTGATAACAAGATTCAATAACTTCATTTTCAAAATGCCTTTTTACGTTAATCTCTTCATCAATTAATAAATATAAATAAAATTGCTGATCCTTTGTGATTCCTAAATCATGAATCAAAGAATCGATAGATCTAATTCTTTGTGTTTCTATGAGGTTGAATCGTTGTCGACTTTTATCATATCCCTTATTTATCAATTGTCTTAATGAGATAAATTCTTGATTTGGATGTAAGAACCATGACGTTTGAAATATCAATATTTTCATTCGAATTTTTGGTTGTTTCATACTTTGATATTGAAGTTTAATAATTCCGCTCTTACATTATCATACAGTGCGTAATTTGCTATAAGTCGGCTAAATTTGAACTCCAAGAAATCGTGGACAATACAGTCCCAGTAATTAATAAATACAAAATGTAAACTTCAAACATCTATACGTCTATATAAAAATCCAATGTTGAAATTCCTACTTGCTATAACTTGCTTGTATCCACCAGCAGCACTTGCAATTGAAATATCAGGTTTATTAGATTTAAAAAATTTACATTTTCCAGTATAATAATCTATTAAGTTATGTTCGATTATACAATCTGCATGTATAACAATCGTTTTAAAATCTGATAATGGTTCTGAATACAAAGCCTTGAAAATTTTTGGATTCAAAATACAATTTGATATTAAAAAATCAAGAAAATCACTAGCTGCATGGGATAAAAATGAACAATATGTTGTTAGTATGACATCTTTTTCTCCTGGCTTTGAAACTTTATCATATGATCTTAAACCAGTTGACGCTATAACTCTTTTTAAATAACTATCGTCCAACTTAAAATCTGAATCCACTATCTTGATTTTAGCATTTGGTAAGTCACTTAACGGAAACAATGACCTGTACTCTTTCGGTATATCACAACCAAAAGCATTTTGAACATCTTCATCTTTAAAATCTCGATATATTCCATTATTTTCTAAATTCTGGAATTTCTCTTCAGTTCCTAACAATAAAAAAAAATTTAATTGATCATTTGGTAATACTGCTAAATCATCAAAAAATGAATCAGTTGATATAATTCTAAGAGTTTCAATGATACCAAAAGTTTTTCTTGGCTTATTATATCCTTTATTGATTAAGTATCTTAAATTTGATAAATCTGTTTTAGGATTTCTAAACCATGATGTTGGTAATATTAATACTTCGAATGACATTTTTTCTCTAATTTGATTATTGATCTTATTTGCTATGGTGTAATCTAATAATGTTGGGATCAGTTCATATTGTATATTGTGGAGAATTAAATTTGTTAAATAATAAATTTACTTGGAATTATGACTGAAAAATTTAAAATAATTAGTCAGATTGTTTTGTGTAAAACATATTAGATTTCCGTCATATTAAAAAAGTTCACAAATTGATATATAAAAAGGGTCAGTTATTATATAAATTTAAGTAAAATGTAGCGCCATTGATACTTGAGAAATTGCCATTGAATATCTCAACAGCTTTTTGATTTCCTTATTCTTAAGGATTTCTGATTTGAAGAGATTGAAAAAATTTGATTAGTATATAATAATACTTTTATATCGTTTTGCAGCCAAAATAAACAATTTTTGTAACGGCATAATCTAAAAGTGGCATTTACAAATTATACTATATTCCATTAATTTAGATACTAACATATAAAAGTAAACAATGCTCTCACGGTGCATTTAAATATCGGATACTTGCAGTCGGTGAATTATAATTATAAACAATTGAAACAAACTGCTTCCATCGTATACGTTTTCACAAACATGATGTTTTTTAGATAATTTTTTTTTTTTTTAATTTCGACATGCGAATTTAAGTTTTCTATATACTATGTAGTTCACTTTTAGTGACGGAAATATTAGAGTAATTATGTTGTAAAAATTTTGACTTACTTGTTGAAAGGCTTTTGCTTTTAACTGTCGTTTAGCTTTTTTAAAAAAGCTAAGATGTAGCCAATCAAGCAATAGTCTAGCCTAAAAACAAGCCTCATATAATACTGTCACAAACACCCCCTTGGGAACTTAACCAAGTTAAAATTTAAACTGAATACACGTCTAGCAATTGTTGGCAATTAATCAGTTCAATGCAGACGTGTTCATCAAATTTAGAAATTTCAAAATAGACGTGGATTATTTTTAGACGTGTTTGGTGATATAATTACTTATTTCTCACAGAATATAAATAAACAAACAGTTCTCAAATTAATTTTTTACTTTCTTTTTTTCTTAATTTGCTTTTTAAATTTGATCAGTTGGCTCAATATTATCAAGAATACCGATTGTCGGAATGTGTTACTTGTTACTTGTAGATAGAAACATCAAATGCAACTCTTGCGAATGTTGAGATACCATCATGCGAATTATTCGAAGAGAACTGATGGATTAAGTTTTTAGCTGTTGATCCCTCCCGTAATTCTGAGGTACTAGAGCAAGCGTGGGGCCAATTAAACATTTTGGGTCGGTATTTTTGCAAGTAGTCGACTTAATTTCTCTCCTCACTCAAGAGAAAAAAAATAAAAATATTAAACATGTGGAAATGTAATGTAACACCAAAATACACAAAATCACAGAATTTAAATAGTTGTGAATTAAAGATCAGATATTATAACTTTTTTTTAACAAAAGATATACAATCAACGATATCTCGAAAGAAATTTTGGATGATACTTTATCCAAAGTTGAGCATCAGTTGATAACTTATGAAAGATGACCTTCCCAAGGAAATTGATTGGAGTATTGAATGATGATGTTGAATTGCGGGGTGTTCTACTTACCTTACAAGCAAAGTCCGTAAAAAAATAATAATTTGGAATTAAGATTAAATAAAAATTGAAGTAGAGTTAATGAATTGAAATGTTTCATAAGTATTATCGTTTAAATAATAATAATTTTGTGCTATATAAACTGTCAGGATATTCGTATAACCCAACTAAACTACAAACCCTCCCATTTACAAGATTCCCTATTTCAAATTATGATACTCAAAACCATTGAATTATTATTTTTTAAAATTTTTATTTTTATAACTACAAAAACATTCGATTGTTTTTATTATTTATTTTAATATTTTATTTTGCAACTTATTATTTTTAATTTTTTTGTACTTTTATTTTATTATGTATTAATTATGTAATTATTTAGTAAAATTATTTATTAGAAATATTTTAGTACAGTATCATTATTATTATAAATATTCAAATAAGATCATATCATAAAATTATTATCTATGCTTTACATTACAATCTATATCTCTCTAGATATAAATTAAACTTATTTTCCATATCAATTATTTCTAATTTTCATATTTACGCATTTCTTAATTCAAATTTATTATACTTTCAATTTTAAACAATTATCAATCTATACTCCGAATAACAAATAAATAAAATGAATTCAATATATACAAAAAATTTCTTTATTAAAAGATCATCAACTATATTATTATTAACTTATTTATCAATATCAACCACTTTACCATTTTTATATTCTTATAAGAATTCAATAGATTATAATCATAATAATTTAAATTTACAAAATAAAGGTACAATATCTTGGAGATCATTATTTAATAATATATGAAATTTATCTAAATAAGTGGTGGAAAAACAATTTAATAAAGGAGGGGAACATATACTTTAATAGTTATTGATAACTATTATTATTTTCAAAATTTAACTTTTACTACCTATTGTTAAAATTACTGAGACTGCGATAGCTCGACATCTTTGCAAATTAGTATTTACAGATTCACGATGATTGGGAATGTTATAAAAAGTTTATGCATTTATAAGATTATATAATATTGTGAGGTGATTTTTTCAGAAAAAAAAAAAAAAATATGTTAAGCTACCCGAACCTATTGTGGCACATTTAAATAAGTATAAAAATTGCTTGATTATTAATATCAAACTGGATTTAACAATAAAGAAAAGTTAATTACTTTAGAACAATTTAGATAAGAGTTGAAAAATGCTCTTAATTTTTAATATACAGTTTTAAATATTAAACCGTTTTTGATACTTGTAAAAGCTCTTTTTTTGAATATGTAAAAAATAATAATTTATTATGATAGTATTTAAGGTCTCTATATACATTTCAATACTTTCAATTAATTAGCCTTTTGTTGTTTCCAATGAGCATCTTTAAAAATCAGTTTGATATTACCTAAGTTTGTAATTGTATCATACATTGATTGCTTTTCAATAATGTTCATAGTTGGATTTACTTCAATATTATGAGCTAATTGCTTATTTTCTGCATCACTTTTAATTGTTTCAATTTTACCAAATACTATATTATTAACTCTATTTTTCAATATTTCATTATTTGGTTCTAATTTCCAATTTTTTTGTAAAATATATTTATTTTGAGAATTATTTGGCTGTGCTTGATCTATAATATTTTTAGGTAAATTGAAAGGATATTTTGAATCTAATAATGATAACTTTGTTATTGATGCAAATCTTGAATCTATAGTTGATAATATACTTGGGATTTTACCATAAAAAAATGTTTCTGATTTTAATTTTGGTTTTAATGTATCGGCAATTAATTCTTTTGATTCAATTGGTTGTGCAATGGTATTTTTTATTTGTTGATCTCTTGAGAATGGTTGTCTTGGTGTTCTTTTAAAAACTCTTTGACCTGGGGTGGTGGTTGATTGTGATTGTGATGATGTTGTTGATTTGTTATCGCCGTCTCTAAAAGTTTGGCCACGACTTTGCCATGGTTTTGATCTACCACTGTTTCTTCTTTCATTGTTTGGAAATCTAGACCCAATTGACTCAAATAATTTTGGAGTATAAGATGTTGTTGAAAATTTTTCAAATGAGTTGTTTCTTTGATTAAATTGTCTTTGTTTTTGATGTTGGAAGTTAGCTGATTCACCTTCTTTTTGGAAATTTTGGGAATTTCTTGTTGATGATGATTGTTGATTGTTATTAGATTCTCCATTGGTTCTATTTTTTGATTGGTTACGAAAAAAGTTTGTTGTTCCATCTTCTTGACCTTGTGGACGAAACGGTCTTGATTGTTGTTCTTGTGAGTGTTGTTGATATTGTTGTGACCTTTGCTGTTGTACTTGGTGTTGATCTGACGAGGGACGAAACGGTTTGGAATTTTGTTGTCCTTGTTGTTGGTTTGCTTGTTGTCTTGATTGTGGTCTGTTTTGAAACCGAGTTGATCTTACTTGTTTTCCATCATTGTTAATAGTAGAGTTATCTTTATTCTGTTCGGATCTTAGTTTAAAACTTTGACTTTTTTGATGTCTCTTATTTTCCCTAGCAAGTTGATTTTGTTTTTTAATTTCGTTAGCTTTGACTGTAACTTGATCAATTCTTTTGAAAATATCACTTAAATTAAATTCTGGAATCGATTTTGTTGTATTATCATTTGGTTTGGATGAATTGAATCTTATTATACATCTTGAACTATTTAAAATAGCTCTTTTCGAAGTTGAAATCAACATGTCTTGGTGATTCTTGATTATAAATATTCAACTTGATCTGAAATTGGTTGTAAATTTTTATTGAAAAATTTTATTTTTTTTTCAGACTTTATTTTTTTCTCTCAAATAAGAGATCCAAATTAAATCAAACAATTTTTGGTAACCTATCTAATCAGACAATGTTGAGCAAAGTCAACGGTATATGAAACTGAAAATTATCATGTAGACAAGAAAGAAACTTGCAGCACTTGAAAGCTAGGTCTTCTACTCCATTGAGAATGACAGTATCGCGAAGAAATCGAATCGAATACTCCGCTGAATCTGTTTATTCAAAAGATTTGTGAAGTGGCAATTGACGAAGCATCAGACTTCGTAGAAAAGCTTTGATTCTCCTTCCTCTCACGCATGAAAATATTCTCTGAAGTGTTTAATTACATTCAACAAATATCATTGACATTAGTTGGTTGCAAAATATAATTTAGTGACATTTACACTATGTAGACTTTTTTAAACTTTATAATTTTTTATTGGTAGAATTTTGTTAGTCAAAAGTTTGGCTACCAAATAGAGCTGAAAGTCGTTAGTTCTATTTGTGCTAACTTAAGTCGAAGTTTCTTCTAGCTTGACCACAAAAATAGCTAATAACCGACATGATGTCGTATTCTATAACAAAAAATTTAAAACACGGAAACAAATTTATTGGTTCATATAAAATAATTAATATTCTAAAAGAGAGAGATTTAACTATTGTTAATAGTTAATTTTTTTTCAGCGAAATTTTTCTTTTTCACATTAAATTTTTTTTTCTATTTCATCAACAACAGTTTTATAACAACAATTTATAATATACATATAAGAAGAACAATGTTGTCAGCACGTCCAGTTTTACGTAACGCAGTCCGTTCTGCTGCTGTTGCTGCTAAATCATCATTAAGAGTTGTATGTATATGATCAAATCATAATTGGAGGAATTGAAAAATTGATATTGCAAAAATTTAAAATCGGCATCTTTTGTAACAAAATCATCAATTGATCATCAATCAAGATAACAGAGCATTAAATTACTATGAATTTGAACAAGATATGGAATTTATCACCAAAATAATCAATTATTCACTAAATTATTGGAACATAATCAGAATATGTGATCAATGCATTTTTTAATTTCCAAATCAATCCAATTCTTCAAATATGGACTTTCATTAGTTTGAATACTAACAATTGATGTTTTTATAGGCTCGTCCAACTTTGTTAAGTGCTCAAAGATACGCTTCAGCTAAAGCTGCTCCAACCGAAGTTTCATCAATTTTAGAAGATAAAATTAAAGGTGTTTCAGATCAAGCTAACTTAAATGAAACCGGTAAAGTCTTATCAGTTGGGTATGTAACAATTATATTTAACTTGGGATCATTGATTTGTTAACTGTTGTATGATGGATCGGTACCTCATGAATTTTATTTGAACCTCATTGGATAATAAAATTTGGGCTTGCGCGCACTACAACATAAAACAAGATTTTCTATAAAGTATAATATACTAACTTAAATTGAATAGTGATGGTATTGCTCGTATTTATGGTTTAAACAATATTCAAGCTGAAGAATTAGTCGAATTCGCTTCAGGTGCCAAAGGTATGGCTTTGAATTTAGAAGCTGACCAAGTCGGTGTAGTCTTATTCGATTCAGATAGATTAGTTAAAGAAGGTGAAACCGTTAAAAGAACTGGTGAAATTGTTTCCGTTCCAGTTGGACCAGAAATGTTGGGAAGAGTTGTTGATGGTTTAGGTAACCCAATTGATGGTAAAGGACCAATTAAAGCTGCTGGTCATTCAAGAGCACAAGTTAAAGCTCCAGGTATTTTACCAAGAACTTCAGTTAATGAACCAATGCAAACTGGTTTAAAAGCTGTTGATGCTTTAGTCCCAATTGGTAGAGGTCAAAGAGAATTGATCATTGGTGATCGTCAAACTGGTAAAACTGCTGTTGCCGTTGATGCCATTTTAAATCAAAAAAGATGGAACAGTGGTACTGATGAAAAGAAAAAATTATATTGTGTTTATGTTGCTGTTGGTCAAAAAAGATCAACTGTTGCTCAATTAGTTCAAACTTTAGAACAACATGATGCTCTTAAATACTCAGTCATTGTTGCTGCTACTGCTTCAGAAGCTGCTCCAACTCAATATATTGCTCCATTCACTGCTACTGCTATTGGTGAATGGTTCAGAGATAACGGTAAACATGCTTTAATTGTCTATGATGATTTATCAAAACAAGCTGTTGCTTATCGTCAATTATCATTATTATTAAGAAGACCACCAGGAAGAGAAGCTTACCCAGGTGATGTTTTCTACTTACATTCAAGATTATTAGAAAGAGCTGCTAAAATGTCAGATGCTAATGGAGGTGGTTCATTAACTGCTTTACCAATTATTGAAACTCAAGGTGGTGATGTCTCAGCTTATATTCCAACCAATGTTATTTCAATTACTGATGGTCAAATTTTCTTAGAAGCTGAATTATTCTATAAAGGTATTAGACCAGCTATTAATGTCGGTTTATCAGTTTCTCGTGTCGGTTCAGCTGCTCAAGTTAAAGCTATGAAACAAGTTGCTGGTTCATTGAAATTGTTCTTGGCTCAATATAGAGAAGTTGCTGCTTTTGCTCAATTTGGTTCAGATTTAGATGCTTCAACTAAACAAACTTTATCAAGAGGTGAAAGATTAACTCAAATTTTAAAACAAAAACAATACCACCCATTATCAGCTGCTGAACAAGTTCCAGTTATTTTCGCTGGTGTTAACGGTTACTTAGATGATATTCCAGTTGATAAAGTTGGTGAATTTGAAAAAGCTTTCACTGAACATTTAAAAGCTAATGAATCACAAATTTTAGAAAGTATTAACGTTAAAGGTGAATTATCAAAAGAAGAATTAGAACAATTACATAAAATTACTAAAGATTTTGTTGCTAACTTCAACTAAAACATATAGTATATAAAAATTTAAAATTAACTTTATATATTCAAAATAAAATTCAGTAAAGACTAAAAATGCATATTGTAGAATACCGATTTATTTTTATTAAATAAATATGAAGTTTATATTAATACATATAAGAATAAATATCAGAAATTATACAATCATTTAATCATCTTCTCTCATAGAAGATAACCTAGAATCACCTCTTGATCGAGATTTAGCCATTATACTAGCATCATCCTCATCTTCTTCATCACTATCATCTTCAGCATGAACAGCAGTTTTCCTTCTTTGAAAATCTTTGATATGAGCACTATTTAATTTATCAGTAATTTGTTTAAAATAAGTTCTACGTTGTTGTAATTGAGGAGTTGATTGTGTTGTTGACATTCTTGTAAGATCAATTGAACTTCTACGACGTTCATCTTGTTGTTGACGGGAATCAGCACGACCCGTTGTGAAACCAACTGTTTCTTCATTTACTGAAGGTTCATTATCACTTTCATGGAATTTTTGTGGATCATATCTTAATTCAACTAATTTTTTAATAGCTCTTTCTGTCTTGAGTGAAACTGCATATGGTAATGGAGTATCTTTTGAAGCTCTAAATAATATAACATTTGTAACATGTTCATTTTCCATTCTGAAGAAAATCCAAATAAATCTTCTAATAATCTCAGCTAAAGCAACGCAAAATGAAGTTATTGCACTTTGTTGAATCTGATGACTGAAAAACGCATAAAATACCCATTGAAACCTTAATATCACATCAATGACCATAGCTGAATAATAATATATTGGTCTCTTGTAAAACAAATAATCTCTCAACAAGAAATGCTTTGACCCACTTTGCAACAACGACCAATCCATTACAATATCCCAAATTGAACAATAAATTGAATTTAAAAATGCAAATACAATAAATGCAACCTTATTTCTTACAACATTATCAATTCTATAAATGCTTAGTGTCATATAATACACGGTAGACACTGCATATTTCATCATATTAGCTAAATGTGGAAACCAATCACCAGTATCCATATAACGTCTTACACATTGTAATAATCTCCAAATACTTGGTAATGTACTGAAAAATCCCATAACCCTTGATCTAGATGAAGTACATCTATTTCTACTTTCATCTTGTCCAGGTAACGTTCCAACCCAATGATTTGCAAATAAACAAAAATAAAAAGGTAAATTCCCCATTGTATAAGTTAATGAACATACAATATCTCCTAAAAAGAAATCTCTAAATTCAACTGGGTACAATCCTGATAAAATTAATCTTAATATGGCGAATTGTAACCATCTTCTACTTGATCCGTAAAAAATATTACCAGGCCATAAAAATATAACCAACATAATTCCAAAGAAAATCCAAGGCCAATCTCTACCTGGAAATTGTGTTGGCCAAAAATTATTAAAACTAAACCAACCAAGTAATGATAATAATCCAAACGCAAAACACGGTATTAAAACGAATTGCTTATAATTTAAAGCTGTTGCTATATTAAATTCAAAAATAAATTTATAATTAATTCTAAATTTTTCAAAAACTGCTAAATTGATACCAAATAGTATAAACATTAAAGTCAACAAGAAATCTCCACCCCATACTTGTAACAAGAATTTACCCTCTGTCATTTCTCCACTTAATGTTTTATGTAATGCAATGTATAACCCCAACACAAACAAAGGTATTCCAAACCCTAAGAATAACCCAGAACTAAAAAATTCCGGATAAAATGAGTTAGACTTCATTTCACTTGCATTTATAGTGTATGCTATAGTTTTTAATTTTTCCAAAGATTGTTTTCTATCACGAGATTCAGGATCAAAAAATGCAATATATAATTCTTCAACATGATTTATTATTTTCCATAGTAGATCACTTGTTAAGAAATATGCAGTTGTATCTATTCTTTCTAAAAATTCATCCATTATATTTGTATGCATTGCTTTATCGTATTTTTTTGTAATTTTTCTAAATGCTGTTCTATTCATTGTTCTATATGACTTTAGAATTGATAAAGATCTATAATGTTCTAATAATGCGGTTTTTAATTGTTTTTTAGCATAAAGATAAGGAACTCCAAAATGTTGTTTCTTTTGTATATAATCTCTTCTTTTTGATGTTCGTATTTGATCTTCAGTTTGTGGTACATCTAATGAATTTCTATTTGATGGGGAACATGGTGGATAATTTTGTGTTGAATTTTCATCTAATTCAGATTCAGAATCATAAGAAGTTTGATCAGAATGAGATTTATCAGTTAAATCAACAATACCATTTCTTACTCTATTTTCTGCATAATTTAAATCTATTGAATCCCGAATATGTAAAGATATATCATCTGCAAATTTTGGTTTTCTCTTGAAGTTATTTAAAAATCTCATGGAAGGTAATGAAGGTAATTCCCATCTATTTAATCCACTTAAAAAATACTTTGTATGAAATGCTAAATCATGAACTTTATCAACTACTTGATGATCAGTTGCAGTACCAGTATGATTCTTACCATCATGTTGTTGCCTTTGTTTATTTAATTGAATTTTTTGATCTCTTAATTGATACAATTGATCTTGTAATAATAAAAATCTTTCATATACATCTTCTTCTTTTTCTGAATAAAATTGATCAACTTTCATTAATTCTTCATCTAACCATAATTGAAATTTTCTTTTCTCTGATATATAATCAGCTTTATCTGAACGTAATGAATAATTAAATATTGAAGTTCTTCTATGAATTGAAGATTTACTTGAAGGTGGAGGAGGAGGCACATCACTTATATTAGTTTGTTGATCATCATTTGTATTATAATTTGGATCTAAATCAGTCGGACCTAACAATGGTGTTCTATCATCATTGTTAGTACCGGTGTTGTTGTTATTACTACTATTCTTGGGAATATTTAAATTTGAATCTGAATTTTCAATTTGTTCATACTCGTCTTTTAATTTTTTAATTTTTTTAATTAATTTTTTACCTTCTTTATAATTAACATATTGATCTTGCCATTCTGATACTAAACCCTCATTAAGAGCCTCTCCGAATTTCATAAGCCAAAGTTAATTATAATTGTAGTAATTGTAATTGTTAAAGATGTTGTTTCCAAATATATTTAATAATGAAATCTTACATTTAATAATAAATAAATAATATTGTAAGTAGTAATAATAAATAATATAATAAATAATTACATTACTTGCATAATAATATTAATTTAATAATAGAAAAAAACAAATAATATACAAAATCTTCAACACGTGATCTGGATTTAATTATATTATCATAGTCAAGATAAAGTCAGTGGAATACACAAATAATCATAAAAATTGTTAAACATATGATAATTACATTTTATAATTGAAAATTTTTTAAGATTAAGTGTTATTAGATCGAATATTGTCTTTGATATTTTGAAAATTTATTATTCAAGAGACCAAATAAAATAAACAGCCGCATCGTTTACAAAATCAACCCCCATTTACCTCTTAAGCTGTAAAATAAAATTATCTTTTTTTTTGTCAGGTTAAAATTAAACGAAATTAATCTTAGAAATTGTTAATTTCACCAAACCTTCCACGAACGCCTATGAAATGACATGACGAGATCAATAGAAAACATACTTACACTAAATCTGTCACCAGCAGCTACTCACTTGACAAACGAACGAACTAAATCTCATTTATTATCAAAAAAATTCAACTTATCAAATTCTAAAAATGAAAATGAAAAGCATGTAAAGAAAGTAAAGAAAAAGAAGTCAAAAAATACCAATGAAGACGTAACAATGAGTCAAAAATTAGTTTATAAAAGTATCATTGGTTCATTTTTACTGAGCATTGGAAACGATGGGAAGTTGAATTATTCTTTACCTGTTTTACATCAAATAGTTCTTGGTTATTGTAAAGATCTAGACTTTGATGCATTGTATTTACTTTATCGTTTCATTCATGAAACGATCGATCAAATTTTACTAACAAAATTTATTACTCCATTTAAGAACAAAAGGGAGGAAATGACTCACTTATTTAATGAGAATTCTATTGATAATGCAAAGGTAATTTCATTTTGTTATTGTATTATAAAAGACTGGCAAAATTGGTTAAAAATTATAAGTTTGTGTGATCTGGTTTTCAGCATATTGAATAAGGATGAAAAAATTAATACCGTTTTAGGATGTACAAACTCAATTGTGGAATATGGAAAGTTTAGATTTATTGAAGCTTATTTTGACCATAGAGATATGAAAACTTGGCCCTTAGGAATTGAAAAAATATCGAATTTCAATGAAGAGTTTGAAAAAAACTTAAAATTAATTCGTTTGACTTATCACGAATTAAGTCTGCTTTATGTACAAGAAAAATATTTTAATGGGAATCCAGAAAATATCCAATATCTTGAAGCTTACGAGAAATGTACCAGATTTTTCGCAGAGATACTTCCTATTTCTGCTTTTGAATTTATGGTGGCTTTTTCAAGAGATAACATTAGCGCTAGTCTAAAGAACTTAAAGTCAATCAATATAAAAGGTTGGTACAAAGCTCATGGATCCCATGACCTTGAAAAATATTTAAATTTAATTGAGGAAGAGATTTTATATAATGAAGAGATTAGCAATGGTTATAAAAATGAATACTTGGTCTTTGAAATTTCACTAGTTTCCGCAATTTCTAAGAACTTAGAATTTACCTTTGAGAATCTACTAATTAAAGAATTTGTTTTTATAATGGAAAACCAAAAAAAATTAGAAAGAGTGGTCAAAATTTTATCATACGCATCAACAACAGCAGGAGCAAATCAAAGAGCGTTTTTAAAACAATGGCAAAAATACCATGAACTTAAATTTGACAATGCAATTTTACAAAACAGTCAAGGTAAAGCTGATATTATACAAAGTATTTCCTTTATTTTGAGTTGTTTCGAGCATCGTGAACTTCTACAGAATTGCATATTAAAATATGATTTGCCCGGGGTTAATTACGATATAGATGAGTTTTTATTTGAGTTCAAAATGAGTGAAAGAGATTTATTAGATAAACCTAAAATTAAGAATTTTATTTCAAAAATTATATTAAAATATTGTGATTTGTATTTTAAATTTAAAGAAAAAATACCATTTGCAACATTTTCACAAACGGTTTTGACTATCTATGATTATTCAGATGAGTTCATAGCTCAATATACAAAAGATCTTTCAAGAAGATTATTGTTAGGGAAAAAACTAAATTTATCAGAAGAAAGAAGGGTAGTTAGTCTATTTACTAAAAGCTCACCTGCTTTTGATAGTCAAAGACCAATGACTTTAATTGATGATATTGAATTTGCGAAAACACAACAAGTCTCAACTGATTCTAATGGGAAGCTTATTGATTTTAAATCGTTACTTTTACAACGAGATAGCTGGAGAGATATTCCAGATGAAAGTTTTGCTCACTTAAAAATACCGCAAGATATGCAGAATATATTGCAACAAGTTTCACAAAAAAAATTTGATAAAAAATTGGACTGGTCACATTACAAACTTCATAAATTATCAATAACTGGACAATTTTCAAATAACAGAGAAATTATAATAAATTGTAATCTACTTCAGGCCATAATTATTCTATCATTTAACAAATCAGACAAATTAAGTATCAATCAGTTATTGAATAATTTTAATATGGAATCCAATTTATTAAATTCTATTTTACAAACTTTTAAAGGTAATTCAAACATATTAATCCAAAAAAATGATACAATATTATTTAATAGAAAATTTAAAAATAAATCTGGCGTTGTTAATTTACCTCCTATAAAAAATGGTTCTGCTAAAAATAGTAGAGAGGTTTCTATCGACAAGGATACTACAAGTAATGATGAATGAGTTAATAATTCATTCGACAAAAAAAGATTGGTCTCACAATAAACTTCACAAATTTTCAATGAATCGTCAATTTTTCTCATAATAGAGCTACTACAACAAATTGCGATACAAGCTATTGTTGTTCTAAGTTTTGGTGAATCTAATGAAACAAGATTTGATCAATTGTTGTAAAACCTCAGTATTAGTTCCACTTCACTCAACTAGAATAAACAATAAAGATTCTTGAACAGGATATAGGTATAAATGATTGAATTAAGAAAGATTATAGTATTACACATAGTATTTAGCTTGTCTCAATTCAAAACCAAATAATTATTTATTAATCTCTTTTATTGTTGTATTAAATCTCTATTTATCATATCTAACATATAATGCATCTATAAAATGAGGATGTTTTATACCAGGTGGCTTTGCAATTTTAAATCCTTCAACGGCTTCTTCAACTGACCAACCCAATACTTCAATTAAATAACAACATATTAAAAATCCAGTTCTATTAAATCCATAATGACAATGTACGCCTATTAATGGGTTTTCTATTGTATTACTGTTTAGTATATCATCTATTAATTGTATGAATCTTCTTATTGCACTTTGATCTGGTACTACTTTTGAGACTGTTGCACATTTATAATACTTTATTGTCTTGAATGATTTGGGGCTATAGGGTGGTATATCAGCTGAAATATCAATTATAGCTATGAGATTACCTTTAATATCCTTATTGTGAGCATTTGTCTCGTAAAATAATGATTCAACAATAGTTGGAGAGTGAACAGAATCTTCTTCTCTTAAAGTTTTCATACCTAATAATGGAGCAATATCAGTACCATTGTGTCTTGTTATATTGGACGATATTGGTTTCAAATTCAGCCATTTCAATTCATTTTTCATCCCCCATTTATCTCCTGAAATCAAGGCTTTCACTTTTAATACCCAAGCTGGTGATAAATGTAATCTTTCTGGAAATCTCAGTTCGATATGATTTAGTATCATCCCACTTATAAATTCTGGTTTGACTAATAATAATGAATGTCCAACATCTTTTACTTCTATTACTGATGATACTTTTTTATTGAATGTTTTAGTTAAAAATTCATCACCTTTATAAATTGCAGATACTCCGGTTAATTGATCATTTGATCCACATATGAATAATGTTTTTTCATATACATGTTTATCTAGAGGATTATCGTTAAATTTTTTGATACCTCTAATTAATTCTGAAGTTGTAGCCTTTTGAAAACCGTTGACATACCTCAACGATATTTTTGAATTAACATCTAAATTCCATCTAAATTGTCTTAAACTGTTATAAAATCTATTATTTGTTTTAGATAATTGTCTCGTCACACTATGACTTTTCAAACCAGGTAATCTGTCCCAAGTTCTAAAATAATTAAATAAAAAAGGGAAATATGTGAAAAATTTCAAAAATGCCAATGATTTAGTTAATGATCTACTAGATTGTGTAATTTCAGTTGTTAGTTCTGTATCATCTAATATTTCTGGTGGTGATAATAATATTAAACCTTCTACTTTTTGATGAGGTAGTTTTTTAGCTAATTTTATTGATATGTGAGTCCCCATTGAATGACCAATTAGCACGATAGTTTTGTTTTCTGGTATTTGTTGTAATATGAATTCATAAACTATATTTACAATGTTTTCAGTTTTAAAGTCATCCCAGTTCATTCGTTTAATACTTGATGAAATTTTCAATTGATCGTCTACAGTGATACTTGATATAAATTTTCGATCACTTGAAAAATCAATTTTTGAATTCCCAAACCCTGGTAAATCTAACGATATAATTTCAGAACATTGTGATAATAATCCCATCAATGGTTCGAATTGTGACATTTGTCCACCAAGACCATGAATAAATACAATTATTGGACTTTCTTGTAATTCTTTTGTAATATTTTCATCGGTTGATTGATTTGCTTCATTTCTTGTGAAGCTTACTAATGGATGGGGTATATGTATACTACTTAATGTAATTGAATCTATTGATAATTTTGGTTGATTTTTTAAATCTATATCTATAGTCTTATAATATTTTGCAATTAATGAACAATCATTTGGTTCATTTTTTAATATATAATTTTCAAATTCGTTTTTATAACCCAAAAAATTAATTTTTATAAATTCTGTCAATTTACCTAATATTGTATTAGTTTTTTGCTCTTGCAATTCAGATAATTTTACAATATTATCTCCATTCTCTAGGTTGTTATTTAAATTTGATAAATTATCCTTACTATGATTTGAACCTGATGAAGCAGATACAGCTAATAATTCTTGTGAATCATCATCTTGCTGCAGCATCTGATTTATAAATAATGGATATTGACTACAAGATTTATTTAATTGCAATGGTGCTATTAAATATTTATTAAATATTGTTATAAAACGTGGTTGTATATTTGATAAGGGTTTAATCAATCCTATTTCAAATTTGTTATCTTTTTTTTCTTCTCTATTTCTTTTTAATATTTTTAATTTCTCGTAAATGTAAATTAATTATTATGTATAAACATTCTAATAGCCGTTTTAATATTATAACCCATTAGTCGAACAGGGTAACTCAAATCTTATATAACAGAACTTGCTTCAGATTTTGCTACTTGATCGAAGATTCAGAAAAAGATTGCAGCACGAGAGTTTCGCGTATAGATTTCCACTACACTGCTCGGTCTCTCAGCAGCTTAACTATCGTTAATCGAACGAAAAAGGTACTTTCTACTAAATATGGCCGCAACCAAAAAATACCAAAGTAATAGTAGTTATGAGGAGAAGAAACATATTCAATGTAATCAACTCTGCATGTGAAAATAATTTAAACATATCTTTGTATCAATCACGCAATAAGCAAACTCGGGGAGATAATTTTAGTTTAGTATACTATCAATAGGCGACAATATAATGAAATAGATCTTTCAGAAGTTGGTGGACATAAAGTCGAGAAAACATCATTTTGAACGGAGCCAAAGAAAAAAATAATTAATTGACGATTTTTTTACTGCAAAAGATAGAACAAAGATTTTAATTAAGATTTATTAGTCTACATATCAGTGAATGAAATTACATTACCTCTCACTCTCCATGTATGAAATGACATGATACGATAATGTATTTCATGAGTGGGAAAACAATCTATCAATATACCACTTTACTAATTGAATAATACACTAATTTTGCAGCCGTTCCAACTACCAAATGATTTTGTGATTTTCTGATACACCTTAAAATACGAAATTAACATATTTTATACTAATATATTGACTTGATTATGTAAATCCGTCTTAGGAGACCTCTATTATTTATTCTTCAATGTAAATTTTATTCTTCAATGTAATTTCTTGTAAATCAAGAGGTTCATAGCTTCAACTTTCATTTACCATGATTTCATTCCGAGGAGCCCATAGTATAGTAATTCTTAAACTTTTATTTTATGTAAATTCCCACTAGTCATAAATGCTTTGACCAAAAATGTTATACAAGTACATGTAATCAAATAAGTTACTAAACAATCATATTGGAATATTCATTGAATGTTAGTAACATTTGTCTCAAGAAATAATAATAATAATAATTAATAATATTAATTAATATTTTGTGCATTATTAAATAAAATTTGATTTTGTACAACTTAATTATTTTTTTAAAAGTTCTATTTTCTTAACACATTATCATAACACATTAAGTCAACATAATCCAAGATTACCATTGTGAATCGACTTTATACAGTCAAATAATTACATCAAATCAACAATTGATTAGTCCATATATATCATACTCGGATGTCGTCATCATCAAAGCGATATTCTCCTAATAATAATTATGATGATAATTTATTTGAAGATTTAGATAATTCATTAGACAAAGCATTAAATAATGCAACCAATAAATTATTCATTAATAATCAAAATCTGCTATCAAATGATCTGTTATTTTCAAGAAGTAGAAATAATTCATTTAATTCAATAAGTAATAATAGTAATAATTCAGCAATTCCTTTAAGAACGCTACATTCAAATCAAGAAGAAAATGATTCCTTATTATTAGGTAGTGATAATAACAGATTCTCAATAAACTCATCAAATACTTCATTAGACCAATATCCAAATAATTCCGTATCATCAAAATTCAAAAATTTATACAAGAAATTTATACTACAGTTTAATATTGCCAAAAGAGAATTAAATCAAGATAGATTAAAAGAATCCGGAGCATCAGATTTTAGAATAAATAATTTAAGTAATGAAAGGTATATATCAGCAAAAACTACAAATCAAAGAGCCAATAATATTTATCCAACAAATTCAATATCAAATGCGAAATATAATCCGATAACATTCATACCATTAATTTTATATGAGCAGTTTAAGTTTTTTTTCAATTTGTATTTTTTAATTGTTGCATTATCACAGATTGTTCCACAATTAAGAATTGGTTATCTATCCTCATATATTGTACCTTTAGCGTTTGTTTTAACAGTGACGATGTTAAAAGAAGCGGGTGATGATATAAGTAGAAGAAGAAGAGATTCAGAACAGAACTCCGAAAAATATGAAGTGTTGAATAGAATTTCTTCAACAACGTTAATACCCGAACCAAAACTAGTATCATCAAAAGATTTAAGAGTTGGAGATTTAGTAAGATTACATAAAGATGTAAGAATACCCGCAGATTTAGTACTATTACAATCAACAGAAAAGACTGGTGAAGTATTTATCAAAACTGATCAATTAGATGGTGAAACTGATTGGAAATTGAGAGTGGCTCCAAGTGTAACTCAAAATTTGACTAGCACAAATCAATTAATAAATTCCGTAACGATAATTGTTGGAAATCCAACAAAATCAATTCATTCTTTTAACGGACAATTAGTTTATAATCCCCCAACTTCAAATGGAACTACCTCACCATCTAATGCAGAAACATATCCATTAACTGTTGATCAAACACTATGGGCAAATACCGTATTAGCTTCCGGTGGAGCAATTGGTATGGTAATATATACAGGTGTTGAAACAAGGCAACTGATGAATACTACAAAAAGTGGAGTTAAAACTGGTTTACTTGAAATTGAAATAAACAGTTTATCGAAAATTTTGTGTGCGGTTGTATTAGCACTTTCAGTTGTATTAGTACTAGCTCATGGTTTCCCATTAGGTAAAATTTGGTATCTTGACATAATGAGATTTTTAATTTTATTTTCCACAATTATTCCAGTCTCATTAAGAGTAAATTTAGATTTAGCAAAATCCGTTTATGCATCACAAATTCAAAATGATGAAGCCATACCTGGAACTATTGTTAGAACTTCAACGATTCCTGAAGATTTAGGTAGAGTTGAATATTTATTAAGTGATAAAACTGGTACTTTAACAAGAAATGAAATGGAATTAAAAAAATTACACTTAGGTGCAGTAAGTTATGCAGGTGATACCTTAGATATTGTCAGTGATTATGTTAATAATCTCCTAGGTTATATAAATTCTCCACAGTTTACACTGAAAAAGAAAGATTTAAGTGCAAAAGTGTGTGATTTGGTATTGACTTTAGCACTTTGTCATAATGTTACACCAGTCTATGACGATGAAGATTTTGATAACTCTGGGGAAGTAACTTATCAAGCTGCATCACCAGATGAAATAGCTATAGTCAAATTTTGTGAAACTGTTGGATTAAAACTTTACAAAAGAGATAGACATTCAATATCATTGATGCATTTACATACTGGTAAAATATTAGATTTTGAAATACTTTATAATTTTCCATTCAGTTCAGAAACTAAGAGAATGGGTATACTACTCAAGAGTAAATTCAAAGATAAACAAATTTGGTTTTTAGAAAAGGGAGCAGATACGGTAATGTCTGCCATAGTAAATTCAAATGATTGGTTAGATGAGGAAACTGGTAATATGGCAAGAGAAGGTTTAAGAACTTTAGTTATAGGTAAGAAATCGTTATCAGAAAACTCATATCAAAATTTCGTTGAAAATTATAAAGAAGCTTCATTATCAATGCAAGATAGAGATTATACAATGCAAAATGTCATAAATTATTATCTTGAACAAGATTTAGAATTATTGGGATTAACTGGTGTTGAAGATAAATTACAACATGATGTTAAATCATCAATTGAATTGTTACGAAATGCAGGGATAAAAATCTGGATGTTGACTGGTGATAAAGTCGAAACCGCGAAATGTGTTTCCATTAGTGCAAGATTAATTTCAAGAGGTCAATATGTGCATCAAATCACAAAGTCGGTTGACCCAGATTCAGCAATGGATCAAATGGAATATCTAAGAACTAATACAAATTCTTGTTTATTAATTGATGGTGAATCTTTAGGAACTTACATGAAATATTATAGTCAAGAATTTTTTGAAATTGCTATGAAATTACCAGCTGTTATTGCGTGTCGTTGTTCACCTCAACAAAAAGCTGATGTTGCAGTTAAAATTAAAGAAATTACTGGTAAAAGAGTCTGTTGTATTGGAGATGGTGGTAACGATGTTAGTATGATTCAATCAGCCGATGTAGGTGTTGGTATAGTCGGGAAAGAAGGTAAACAAGCTTCATTAGCTGCAGATTTTAGTGTTGATCAATTTTGTTATTTAACTAAATTACTATTGTGGCACGGGAGAAATTCTTACAAAAGATCAGCGAAATTAGGTCAATTTATTATTCATCGTGGTTTATTAATTTCAGTTGCACAAACGGTTTACTCTATTAGTTCAAAATTTGAACCAATAGCATTATATCAAGGTTGGTTAATGGTTGGTTATTCTACATTATACACAATGGCACCCGTATTCTCCTTAACATTAGATTGTGATATTGATGAACATTTGACAAAAGTATATCCTGAATTATATAAAGAATTAACATTAGGTAAATCTTTATCATACAAGACTTTTTTCATGTGGGTATTTATCAGCTTATATCAAGGTTGTGTTATACAAATCATATCCCAATTTTTGCAAGGTTTACAAGAATCAAAATTTAAGTCAATGGTAAGTTTATCATTTTCATGTTTAGTTTACAATGAATTATTTATGGTTGCTTTATCGATAAATAAATGGAACAAGATTATGATTGCAACTATAGTTCTAACATTCTTATGTTATATTGGATCAATACCGTTTTTGGGTGATTACTTTAATTTTGAATACATTACATCAGTAGCATACATTTGGCAAACTTTATTAATTATGTTAGTCAGTTTATTCCCAGTTTGGTTAGTTCAATACTTAAATAGAAGATTAAGACCTCCGAATTATGCAAAAGTTCAACAAGATTGAAAAAGTATAGATTCATATAATATATGTATTTGGTATATTCTAAGGAATGTTATTAATTTTTAAAAATCGTAATACTATTAAAAATTGATCTTCTTCAAATGGGAAATTATTTCTAAATTTTATAAGGTGTTTCCATCTTTTAGAGTTCATTAAGTTGGTTTTATTTAATTTATCCCATAAATGATTTCCACCAATTTTTAGTTTGATAGTTGATAAGTTTATATAATCTTGCAAGTCTAGCTGATTTATAAACGTTTCATTTTGACCATTATTTATTTGCAAAACATAAGCCCAAATCAAAATATGTCCAAAAAATCCCAATACTAAATAATCTAAATTATTTTGATGTAGTAATCTTTCTGATTTTGTAATGGTTGTTTTTGTAGTTTCTAAATTCAATTCTTGATAATTACTCAAAAGGTCAACAATTGATGGAAAAACTTCCATAGTTTTGTTAATTCCATTAGATTCATAAAGTGATATATTGATACATAACAAGATAAATTGATTGTTATACGTAGTGAATATTGGATCGTTTTGATATTTTATAACAAAATTTTTAACATTATTTATATATTTCGAAGTAGATAATGAATTCATTATAGTTTTAATTTTAACATCATTTAAATCAGATTTCAAAATTTGTGAATGAGATACTCCAATTATTGTTTTTATAGGTTGAATTTTGGGTAAATGATCTAATTTATTTGAATTTGATGTTGATTTTAAAGTTATTCCGAATCGTTGAGTGGTTGATGAATCAGTAGGGGATTTATGAGATGTTTGTGGTGGGGTTGGTAGTCGTTGGTTTTTCTGAATTTGGTCTTGGTCTTCTTGGTCTTCTTGGTCTTCCAGTTTTACCTGATGATGATCCAGGTTGGCTTGTTTCTTCTTCTGCTTTTGAAGATCTTCTTCTTCTTGGTCTTTTTGGCCTATCTTCTCCATAACAAAGTTAGTATTTTGATTTTCAGATGTTTGATGAGGTTTATACTTACTATTTTTTTCAGCTATCGGTGAAGGAGTTGTAGTAGATGACACGTTTGAATTTGGTTTTTCGCTATTTTTACCATCACTATTGAAAAATTCGTTGGCCTCTTTCGGAAGTCCTTGACGGGGTGTATTTGCAGCATCATCTGATTTTGGTAATCTTTGACGTGATCTTCTCGTTTTCTTTGTTGACTGATCATTCGATTCATGTTCTCTAGGTTTATTTTCTCCTAGTAATTCTGCTTGATTGGTTTCTAAATTAGCAACTTCTTTAGCCTTAGAAATTCTTGCTTTAGACCATTCTTGCTTTCCTAGTTTTTTGATAAGTTTTGCTCTTTCAGCTCTAGCAATTTGTTCAGCTTCAGTTTCTTGTGATTTTTCATTTTCTTGTGGTATTTCAGTTTCTGGTTTCTCTTCTGTTCTATGGTTTGGACCTGCTGTAGTTGAGTCTAATTCTCTATTCCTAGATCGAGTACTTCTGTTTCTATTTTTATTTCTTGATCTTCTTGGTTTAGTTGATTCTTCACTTGCTGAATTTTGTGATGGTATTGCATCTGATTTGGCTTCATTAGATGAAACGCCTTTAGAAATGGTTTCCTTTTCTGGTCTTGGTCTTCCTAGAAATTCATCAAGATCTGTTCTATTTCTATTCCTGTTTCTGTTACGGCTTCTTTTTTTCTTACTCTCGTGATCTTTTGCTTCCACGACAATTTCTCCTTCTACAATAACAGTGTCAATCTCAACAAATTCTTCTCCATCCGATGAAAAATCAAGATCACCTAAATCCTCAACAATATCGGCCACTGTGAAATTTTTATCTCTTTTGCCTCTAGTTCTACGACTTATATTCTTAGGTTCTGTGTTATCATCTTCTTTTACACCAATCTGAATTTCTGAAAACTTCCCTGTAGGTATAAAAACAGTTTCATTTTCAAAATGTGAATGTTGTGAATCTTTTTCTTCATTTGTTAATAAATAATCTAAATCATTTTGAAATTCTTGTTCAATTATATCAGGAGTTGATTCACCTGTCGATGGACTCGTGACTTCAATTGATGATGAATTTTGTTGATTAATTTTATTGAAAGTTCTTGGTTGATGTGGTTGTTGTTGAGATTTACCACGTCTTCTTTGTCTAAAACCTCTTTTATTAGGTTTTGATGACGTCTCCTTGGACATTATCGTTTCGATGTGTTGTCAAAAAAATATTTAAGAAATCGAAAATTCCAAATAGTAAATAATAATAACAGAATTACGAGAAAAAGAATAAAATGAAACTTGGTTCTTACTTTTGTGTTATATAACAAAACATAAACTCTAGTACTTACTAAGTATGCCTTAAAATTGATATATCTAGTCTGTATATCAGTCTGAGATTGAGTTTAAGCTAATTCAATGTATTTCTCTAAAATAATCTTCTATATAATAACTATTTACTTCATTATTCTAGACTTTTGACGTTAAGATCAGTTAAAGACACTTACACCCAGGCTAATTCTCTTTTTGGTTGATATGGTTCTTCTAAATATTTAGCTTCTTCATCGGTTAATTTCAAATTAGCAGCTCTAACATTATCATCAACACGTTTAACTGAGCTTACACCAACAATTGGATTACAACCTTTTTTCAAAGCCCAAGCAATTGCAATAACTGCCATACTAACATCATGTTTTTTAGCTAATTCTTCAACTCTATTCAAAATTTCCTTTTCATTATCTTTTAAATTATCTAATCCTAGCATTTTCAAAATTCCTCCATCATCATCACCTCTTTTACTTTCTGATTTAACATTTGCTGGTCTAGCTAAAACACCAGTAGCTAATGGTGACCAAGGAATTATTGCAACTTTTCCAAAGTCATTGGTTTGACAAAATGGAATCATTTCTCTTTCTTCTTCTCTATATAACAAGTTGTAGTAATTTTGCATACTAATAAATTTGAACCATCCGTTCTGTTCTGCAATAAATTGTAATTGAGCAAATTCAGTTGCTTTCATTGATGAAGCTCCAATGTATCTAGTTAAACCTTGTTCAACAACATCATTCAAAGCTTTCATGATTTCTTTCTTTGGGGTAGTTGAATCTAATCTATGGATTTGTAAGACATCAACATAAGTACCTAATCTTTTAACTGAATTTTGAGCAGCTTCTATTATATGTTTTCTTGATAATCCTTTCGAATTGTATAAGTCAGCTGGTGAATAATCATTTGGTTTCATTGGCATAAAACCTGGATCATTTTCATTAACTGGGAAAAAACATTTACTTAAAATAACAACTTTATCTCTTGGAATATTATACTTTTTTAAAAATTTACCTAAAATAATTTCAGATTTACCATTCGAATAAACGTCTGCAGTATCAAATGTTCTTAATTCGTTGTCATAACATTTTTTCAAAATTTTCATACATTCTTCTTCATCTTCATTGACCCAATCTGCCCATTGACTTGAACCAAAACCCATACACCCAACAATTAATGGTGAAACTTTTAATCCTGAGTCTCCTAAGTTGTTATAAGTTAATTGAACTGACATTCTTTTTGTAATTATTATTGATTTTTGTTATTATCTGCAATAAGTCGATTGATCTATAGTGAATCTATACTGATTGTATTAATCAAAATAACAAAAAGCTCAATTGCTGTAGCATTCAAGCATATTTATACTTTTTTAATTGAAAAATTCGTATTGAAGTGGCTAATGAATCAATTCGGAGTTATACTTGAATTGAAAACTTACCGAATTGATAAATTAACATTAGATACATATGGACAATGTTTTGTTGCAGAAATATCTATAATTGTGCCATTCAATACCTCGCCCGAAAGTATCATTGAAAAATCATTGATCTTAACCACAAAAAAATTCGCTTTCTTGAATTTTAAGAATGAATTTTTAATTGCTTTTAATCTATTTAACAAAAAACAGCTCGAAAACGTTCAACGAAAACCCGAACTTTGGAAATTGCTATTATTGAAACTTATTACACCCTTTCTCTCAAAATTTCTCACTATTAATTTCGACAACATCTCGCTTAATCAATTTTTGAAACATCTAATTTAATCAAAAAATACTTCATTTGTAGAATTCTCATAGAGAAATCTAAATTTTAAATCGATCTAAAAAATCTTAAAATCTTTACCTAATAATTATAAATTGATTTTGTGTCACAGAACAAATTTAATACTGTAATTCTATACTTTGCAGATAGAGTTGGACTACATTCAGAGTTTGGTCAATTATGTAGATTTTATAGTTCTATATTTAAACATCTGCTCTATTAACTATAGTAATTTTACCGAGTACTAAAAACACTAGCTACAAACTGGAGCACTTAAAAAAAGGATTTTTTAGGAATATATGGTTCTTCCAAATACTTGGCTTCTTCATCACTTAAGTTAAAGGTAATAGCCTTGATAATATCATCAGCACGTTCTTCGGAACTTATACCAACAATCGGGTTACAACCTTTCTGTCTTAAAACCCAACTAGTAGCAACAACAGCCATACTAACATTATGTTTTTTAGCAAGCTCTTCAACTCTTTTCAAAATTTCCTTATCTGCATCAGTTAATGAATCCAATCCCAACATCTTAAAAGTCTTGTCTTCTTCTGTTCTTTTGTTTTCTGATTTTACATCAAATGGTCTTGCTAGTACACCTCTGGCAATTGGAGACCAAGGAATTATTGAAACTTTACCTAAATCATTTTCTTGACAGAATGGAATCATTTCTCTTTCTTCTTCTCTATACAACAAGTTGTAGTAATTTTGCATACTAATAAATTTGAACCATCCGTTTTGTTCCGCAATAAATTGTAATTGAGCAAATTCAGTTGCTTTCATTGATGAAGCACCAATGTATCTAGTTAAACCTTGTTCAACAACATCGTTTAAAGCCTTCATAATTTCTTTCTTTGGGGTAGTTGGATCTAATCTATGAATTTGTAAAACATCAATATAAGTACCTAATCTTCTAACTGAATTTTGAGCAGCTTCCAATATATGTTTCCTTGATAATCCTTTTGAGTTGTATAAATCAGCTGGTGAAACACTATTAGCTTTTAAAGAATTGAAACTTGGGTCGTACTCATCAACTGCGAAAAAGCACTTGGTCATGATGACAATTTTCTCCCTGGGTATGTTATATTTTTTTAAAAATTTACCTAATAAGATTTCGGATTTACCATTTGAATAAACATCTGCAGTATCAAATGTTCTTAATTCATTATCGTAACATTTTTTTAAGATTCTGAGACACTCTTCTTCATCATCTTTTACCCATCCTGCCCATTGACTTGAACCAAAACCCATACATCCAACAATTAATGGTGAAACTTTTAAACCTGAATCGCCTAAGTTGTTATAAGTTAATTGAACTGACATATCGAGTTTTGATGATATTTATTTCTATAAATTAAGTGATTTGATGGGAGTAAATTATTAAGCATCTAATAATTCAATAATAGTTAGATTCAATTAAACTTATACTTAATTTTTTGAAAATTCGTAATAAAATAGATAAATAATGTACAGACGGAGTTATACTAAATTAAAATTAAGTTAAATATTAAACCGAATTGATAAGTAAAATTAACACTCATTGCAGATGACAATTAAATGTTGCTCTAGATAAGTATGAACGTGAAAAGTAGATACCATGGTCCGTGTCCTGCAGGACTTAAATCACTTGCGTCAAGATCATCTTAGGACGGCCGACTTTAATATTATGTCGGTTCAAAATAATGATTCAAATTAGATTTTCTACCCGTTGAATTGATTGTTGTTCTCTTCATATGAAATAGGATCTCCCAATTAATTATTTTAAAAATTATCGAAATTTCGAAAAATATGTTGAATATCTGGTAACTGGGCTGCTTTTTATTTTATTTGGATTATTGAACGCTCATTTCGCTACACACTTATAAATTCTTTCTTTTTGGTCAGGGTTTGATTTAGAGTAAATTTTAATTTTTAATCACATCGTTCTTACATACCGTTATAGGAGTTTTTAAAAAAAAAAGAATGTCACAAATAAGAAAATTCAAAGTAAGTGTCGTAATTTTCAAAATTTCTCTTCTTCTCGCATTATCAATACATTTCATCGAAATCAATCAATCAATTAGTTTGACTAAAATAATTAACATTTATCAATTGACACAATACATTTACTAAATATGTCTAACGGATTCAAAGAAATAAGTGAAAATTTAAGTCATAAAGCTCCTCAAAATCCATATGGACCAAATCCAGCAGATTATTTATCAAATGTTGGAAATTTTCAATTAATTGAAAGTACATTAAGAGAAGGTGAACAATTTGCAAATGCATTTTTTTCAACTGAAACTAAAATAGAAATAGCTAAAGCATTAGATGATTTTGGAGTAGATTATATTGAATTAACTTCACCAGTTGCTTCTGAACAAAGTAGAAGAGATTGTGAAGCTATTTGTAAATTAGGTTTAAAATCTAAAATATTAACTCATATTAGATGTCATATGGATGATGCAAGAGTTGCTGTTGAAACAGGTGTAGATGGAGTTGATGTTGTTATTGGTACTTCACAATTTTTAAGACAATATTCTCATGGTAAAGATATGAATTATATTGCACAAAGTGCTATTGAAGTTATTGAATTTGTTAAATCAAAAGGTATAGAAATTAGATTTTCAAGTGAAGATAGTTTTAGAAGTGATTTAGTTGATTTATTAAATATTTATAGAACTGTTGATAAAATTGGAGTTAATAGAGTTGGTATTGCAGATACTGTTGGTTGTGCAAATCCAAGACAAGTTTATGAATTAGTACGTACATTAAAATCAGTTGTTCATTGTGATATTGAATGTCATTTCCATAATGATACTGGTTGTGCTATTGCTAATGCTTATACTGCATTAGAAGGTGGGGCAAGATTAATTGATGTTTCTGTTTTAGGAATTGGTGAAAGAAATGGTATAACTCCATTAGGTGGATTAATGGCAAGAATGATTGCTGCTGATAGAGATTATGTTTTATCAAAATATAAAGTTCATAAAATTAGAGATTTAGAAAATTTAGTTGCTGAAGCAGTACAAGTAAATATTCCTTTTAATAATCCAATTACTGGATTTTGTGCTTTTACTCATAAAGCAGGTATTCATGCAAAAGCTATATTAGCAAATCCATCAACTTATGAAATTTTAAGTCCAAGTGATTTTGGTCTTACAAGATATATTCATTTTGCTAATAGATTAACTGGTTGGAATGCTATAAAATCAAGAGTTGATCAATTAAATTTACATTTAACTGATGAACAATGTAAAGAAGTTACAAATAAAATTAAAAAATTAGGTGATGTTAGACAATTAAATATTGATGATGTTGATTCCATTATTAAAGAATTTCATTCTGATTTATCAACTCCTTTAGTTAAACCAACTAGTGCTGGATTACCAAAAGTACCTCATGTTTTAGAAGGATTAGAAGAAAGTGATGAAAAAAGAGTTAAAACTGATTAGATTTACAAAAATTAAAATTTTCATAAGTGAATTATCAATTCCACCTCAAATTTTTCAAATTAATTTCTAAATAACTAATATATTTATAATATTTATTAAAACTTTAATTAATTGTAGTAGTAATAGTGGGAACTGTAGTATTAACTATATTATCATTACTCAAATAATCAATTGCATCTTTAGGGTTATTAAATTCTATATTTCTAAATAATAATAACATTGATAAAGTTCCAAACATTATTGACATTGTTATGCAAATTTTAAACGCTTTGAAATTTTTCCCACTATTAATAGATATACCTTGTCTATTATTTATAACATATATGACAAAAGCTGTGAATAAATTTAATACCGAGATTATGGTAAGTATATATTCTATTGGTGTATACATGTTTGATATTTGATTTTAATTGAGTATGTGTATATGAATATAATTGATGAGTTAGGTATTGGAAGTATATATTATATGAACTAAATGAAAAATATAATCGAGTTTAACTCATTTAGTATGGAATATTAATTGAACCTATAGTTCTTTTTATCTTCTTATGTAATCGATAGTTTAGGTTAAAACTTCAAGTTGATGGATGACTAATGGGACTTGATTTTTATCATATATATATGTATAATGAATAAATTAAACAACAAGCTAATTTACATCTGGATAAGATGAAAGAAAAAAATTTGATAAATCTTTTTGAAAATTAAATTTGATATTTTCTACCTGAAGAAGAATATTATTATAATTTTGTACAAAAAAAATGATGATTAATTTTTGTGATATTTATAAAATAGAATTAAATTTTATTTCTATTTTTAATTTATTATTGTACGAGTTTAAATTGGAATGCCCCTTATTTAACCAAATAGTTAAATAAAAAGAATCTCGAATAAGAATCTAAATTTATCACTAATATGAAGATTAAGAATGATTATACTTTATATTTAGATATCAATTAACAAATCCATTACTTCAATTGGGTGTAAAAGTTTACTATAAAATTTATACTTTTTTCATTAAATCAATAAAGATTCTATTTATTTCTTATTTAATTATTTCAATCTCTAGTTTTGTTTTTGTTACATCGGAATTTTTGGGGAAAGTTTAATATATAATTTTACTCACTCAAAAAGAATGATTAGTTCTTAAAAGTTTGATATCTCTATCTTAAAAAATAATCTTTTTCGAATCTTGTGCTTAATTATATTATTGACATTTAGATTCTCTATTTTAATATATTGAGAACCACGTTGATCATTAACAATTTAGAGTAAAACAGTAAAAACTTGAAAAATTGGTAGCCTTTTTACACCTAAAAATGAAGGCTTTTTTTTTAAATGTATGTAAGAATTTCATTAAAACGCCTTTAGATTGTGTGAATTTTGTATCTTATTATTGTAAAGAATTTAGATCTTTTATTAAAAACTCCTTTTATTATATTATTATTAGAATTTCTTATTAGTTGATTATAACGATATAACAAGTTTCAGATTTCCGTAAATTGTTTGGTTGTTGTTCGTAGTATTTATGAAATTACATAAACAACATATTTCAAAATATTATTTTACTAGCTGAATATCAATAGTCGAGGATTATAGGACAGTTTAGATAATTTCTTGATTTTAGTACTTTGTTTTGTTGAGTTACAACTTATTATATTGTGAATAAGTCTGAACTATTAAAGAATTTAAACACCATTACTTCAAATTGTCAATCCTGCATATAAGTTTCTCACTCATCTTTGACACAATATACGAATTTTTCATATGGAATATCTGAGGTACAAATAAAACCAATCAAATAAGTAATTGACTCAATTTGCATAGTACGAATATGGCTAAATCTACACAACCAACCAAACAACAGAATAAAAAGACGTCGAATAGAAGAAGAAAGAAAAGAAGAACTGAAGATTTTTCATCATCATCAGAGTCATCCTCTTCATCATCAGATTCAGAATCAGAAGTGGAAGAAATAAATGAAACAATAAATGAAACAAATGACAACATAATACCCAACCCAATCAATGTTGATGATATAGAACTAGATATAGAGGAAAAATCAAACAAATATGCCCCTGAAAATTTAACATACGACCAAAAGCAAAAACTATCAAAAATTCCATTTACAAAAACCCCAATATCATCAATAACAAACTCAAATACAACAACAGCTTTGAAAAATATACCCAACCTTACGGAAATCAACAATCAAATATCACAACAAAAACAACAAATAAATACAGATTTCTTAAAAATTATGTCAACTGAATTTAGTAATGATTTAGATGAACTAAGAACAAAACCTGATTTTAAACAAAATTCTTTAATTACATTAGCTAAAGCTTTACAAAGTGGTTCTAATATGTTTGATTATGATATTATTAAGGGATTGTTGCAACAAGAAGAAACACAAAAAATTGAACAAAATTGAAGTAAGTCTGTTTCATTAAATTAATTAAAATACGCGTAAAAACGTTACTAAATATTACAATTTTTATCCTATGAAGATGTAAAATTTTTGCTCATACGGTCATTTGCTGAGTATTACATAAATCATCAAAATCAAAATAGATTTTAACATGGCCCAGGGAGTGTAATGTAATCAGTTTGCTTTTATTTTTGTTTCCTTCATACGACTCAAGTATTCATAGCTGATATAATCAAATTCAAAGCTGTCAAAATAATTGTTTATCAAGATATTATGCATACAGTGTCAATGTTTATATATTTATTTTTAGAAATGTTTATAAAATTAAGCCACCTAAAATATTTTGTAATTTTGTAATAATTTGAAAATACCCCTATAAATTTATTTTCCTTTTAATTTAAACATAAATTTAAATTTAATTTACCTTAATAATTTTTTATTCTATCCCCAAATTATAAAATTTAAATAAATTATAATTTTAAATTAAATGTCAATTTAAAGTTACAACCAAACTATTTTTTTGATTCAATTTACATTGATTTATTCATTCAATTATTATTATTCAATACATATGACAGTACTTATCAACTTATTGATCTAAAATAATATATTATTATTCAAAATATAATAACATCTACTAATATATCAATATTAATTTATTATAAATATTCATTTATTTACTTATAAAAAGAAACTGCTAATTTTAACATTTTCGTAAATTGTTGCAACCAACGTTTTTTCAATAACTCGTGTATTAAACTAGAATGCCTCCAAATTCAACTTCGGATAAGCAATTAAATAATGATAACAATCACAATCAAAATATAAGTAATTCTAATAATGATATAACTGCAATACCTACTCCAAACCATGGTTCAACTAATGAAGTTGAAGATTATGAAGAAGATAATAATACTACAATAACTATACATGATGGAAGAATACCAAATGATTCAACTATCAATGACGATTTAGATCTGAATAAACCACAAACTTATCCTATAACTCCACCAACAACTCAAGATATAACTGAAAATTCATTATTACTACCACAAAATCATCCATTACAAGAAGATGAACGTGATGATGATAATATGAGTAAAATTATAAAATTAGCTAGACGACCAAGTTTTATATGGATCTGTTGTTTAGGTATTTTGGGTCTAATAATATTTCAATTAACTTTTTTACCAAGAACTTCATTAGCAAGAGATTATAGAAGATGGCATGGAATTCATTTAACAAAATCAGATGTTAAAAGAAATTGGTTACAAATGACTGGAATTGGTAAAAGTCATATGGATTTAACAACTGAAGAATATATTGACAACTGGCTTTTAAATTTTACCACGTTAAATCAAAAATCTAAGACCAATTTAATATCTGATAATAATCCAAAATTGACTCACTTTGTTGAATCAAACTTTAAAAATTTTGGTTTCAAAACTGAAAAATTTAATTATGAGTTTGAAATAAATGAACCTGACGGTGCTATTATTAGATTAGTTGATTCAAAAGAAGCTGTTGTTTATGAGGTTGATGTATTGGAACCTAAATTCAAAACTCCTGCATTTTACAGTTTTGGGAGTAACTCAAATGTAACTGGTCAATATGTCTATGTCAACTCAGGTACTAAAAATGATTATAATTCACTAGTTAAAAATAACATTAACCTAAAAGACAAGATATTCATATTAAAAAATAATAATGAGGAAAATATCACAATTGGAGAGAAAATCTCGCTAGCTGAACACTATGGAGCAATTGGAGTATTGACAATATATGAAGTTAATAAAATTGGTAATAGTGATGATTCAAATATAGATAGAGCAATATCAAGAGGTTGTAATTCATTGAAATCAAAAATCCCAGTTATTCCAATAAGCAAAAAACTACTAACTCCAATATTAGACACCAAGGTATCAACCACTAAGAAATTCGAAAATTGGGATCATTCACCTTTCATAAATTCGAAATTCAAACTACAAATCTATAGTAAATTTAATTCAAAATCCACGAAACAATTGACAAATATAGTTGGGACAATAAAAGGAATAATGAATGATGCAGATATAATAATTGGAGCAAGAAGAGATTCATTTACATCAAATAATCCATTGTCTGGTCATGCAATACTATTGGAAATCATGAGAAATTATCAAAGATTAGTCAAGCAAGGTTGGAAACCTTTAAGAAATATGAAATTTGTTTCATGGGATGGTTCATATTTGGATTTACTTGGTGTTAAATCGTTTACTAATGATACGTATGTTTTCAATCCAAAGAGATCAATTGTTTCATACATTAATATAGATGGTGATGCAGTTACTGGTAGTAAATTTAATGTTGATTCAAATCCTGTTTTCAATCACATTTTAAGAAAAACATCAAGATTAATACCTATCCCTAAAAAATCAACTGCTCTTAAAACTTTGAGTGCTGAAATAAGTGAAGAAAATTTCAGTGATTCAGATATTATGAAAAACGACGAAGATAATGAAGAAGATGAAGGAAAATATTACACCACGTTACATAAGTATTGGCAAAAGCAAGACAATACATCAATAAATAATAATTTAGGATATTCCATAATCAACTCAGAATCAAAAATATTTCAACAACATTTATCAACTCCGGTAATCAATTTAAAATTTATAAACGATGAGAAAAAAGATAGTGCAAAATATATACCCAACTCAAATTATTATTCAAGAGAATGGTTAGTTAAGCAAGAAATTGATGATGATTTATTATTACATGGTTCGTTGATTAGATTTATTGGATTATTAGGTATAAGTTTAAGTGAACATGAAGTTGTTGATTATAAAACTCACACATATTTTGAAGAAATCGAGGAATTTTATCATACTTTATTACATTTGGAAAAGTCTAAATTAAATCAATGGAATAACTCATTAGTTTCAAATTATCTTATATATAAATACTCCATTTTTCAAGATTTAGATACAAATGATCCAGTTCATTTCCATCAAATTGTAAATCAATTTACGTCATTTTTAAACGAAACTGTTTATCAATCCAAGATCTTTGATGAATGGAATGAAGTAGTAGAAGATGGGTTAATTCAAGATTATCCGTGGTATAGATATTACAAGAAATTACAACATTTTGCACAATTTAAAGTTTCAAATTATAAACTATCACATTTGGAAAAAGATTTAAAATTAAATGATCAAGATTATACTTACTTAGAAAGTAAAGAGATATCACAAATGAAAGAAGAACAACCTCAAAATAAAAAGGAACTTTTAAATAAAAAACTAAATGGTATACTTGATGGTCCAACCACAACAAAATATTATTATGATTCTGTAATCTACGGAAACCCAAAATTTAATGTGAAAAACAATCAATCATGGTATGATGAAAGAAGAGTAAAGTCAACTTTTACTTATTTATATGAAGCAATTGACTCGGAAGATTACGAGCTAACTGTTAAATGGTTTGTTTTGATTTATGAAAAACTAAAGAACATTCAATACAAAATGACTTGAGTTGTTTTTTATATACTTATTTATTTAGTTTATATAGGTGTATTTGATACATGGAAATTAAAAATAGAATTTATTGAACTTTTTTGAACTAACTTGGAGGACAAACCTACTTTTTGAAATTAAAATTAGCTTATAGTTTATTTTGTAGTCAATGAGCAGACTGATTTATTTACTAAGGTTGATGGTATATTTGTATTACAGGTGGTGTTTCAAATATTCAATTCTTAAGCGGTATCAAATCACGTGATCTGTTTTCGTCTAAATTTTAGTAAAGAGATAAAAAAATTTGGCAGCCAAAAAAAATATGTATAACAAGCATTTTTTTTTACAACCAAGATCAATTAAAAAGACGTGTTTTAACTATCCAACTAAATTTCACTTATGGATTTACTATCAAATCAAACTACTGGAATTCAAACAGCGTGGTTATTAGCAACATTAGGTTCAAAAGCTTCACAAAGAAATAAAATAATCAAGAAAGATAATATATTAAATGTATCTATACCAGAAATATGTCAAGATTTAATTAATACTTTTGATCAACCACAACAACCAGAACAACAACCAAATAGAAATATTAAATTTGCTTCAAATATTCTTTATGGATTATCTATTTTATACAAATCTAAAATTTCATATATTTTAAATGATTTAAATTATATTCAAATTAAATTATTAAATTCATTAAAATTTAACAAGAATTTATCATTACCTTCAACTACAACTACAACAACAACTTCAAATTTAAAAAGATCAAGATTTTTTGAAAATGATGAATGTTTTAATATTTCAATTGATTTTTTACCAAATTTAAATTTAGATCAACCATTTACTCCCACTGATACACAAAATCAACCACAACAACCAAATGTTTCACCTTCAAAAAGAAGAAAATTAGAAATTGCAAGATTTGATGCTAGTGAATTTCCAATATTTGATCAATCAACAACCTTATCGACTAGTGGAGCTTTAAATTTTGCATTATCATTAAGTGAACAAGAAAGTAGAGAAGTTGAAAATTTCTTAAATTCACCTATTCATCAAACAAATATAGATGATGATGATCTTTTGGTTGGTCAAAATAGAGTTGAAAATAATGATGCTTTATCTAATATCAGATTTAATAGAAATGATGAATTACAATTAGATAGAAGAATTAGTGGTATTAATAGTGATCATGAATTAGGTGATTTAAATGAACAACCACAAGAAGAAATGGAACAACAAAGAAGATCATTAATTGAAGTTGATGAACAAGAACAACAAAATGATTTAGATTTAGGTATGGAAGTTGAATTATCTCCTGATTTATTAGTTGGTGATGAAAATGTTCAAGATGATCAAGATGATCAAGATGAAGAATTTCAAGCTATTTCTGGTGATGCTACTCAACAACAACAACCAACAAGAGAAGATGTCAATACTAGAATTTCAAATTTAAGAAGTAGAAGATTGGTGGTTGATGAAAGAATTTCATTGAATACTTCAATAATCATAGAAAATAATGATAATTATGAACAAAACATGATTCAATTAAGAAATCAACAACAACAACGTCAACAAAGAACATCACAACAATTAATTGAAGAAATTCAAATCATGTTGAATCATTCTACTTTAATTAATACTCAAAATTCAAGATCATTATCAAGAATAAATGAAATTAATCAATTAACTCAATCAATGGCTAATGAAGATAGTGAACAACCAAGAAATATTGAATCATTACAAGTTGAAAACTCAAGAATATTTAATGAATCTCAGCAACAACAATTACAAGATATGGATTTAGATTTAGGTGATGATAATGAACAAGAACAAGATCATTCACAACAATTAAATTTTGAAGATAATATTCAAGAAATGGATTTTGAATTACAAGCATCACAAAGAACAACATCTTCAAGACTTTCTAATTCTCAACATATTTTAAATTTACAATCTTTAACATTATCAGATAATGAAGATTCAACAACTTCTCAAAATCAATTAAATATAAAATTACAAAAATTTTTAAAATATTTCATGGAAAAACTGATTGAATTAAATACATTTACTACAATCACCACTGTTAATGAAGTTGAAAAACAATTCACTTTAAATTTCCATCAATTAGTTCCACCTCCTTCATCAACACCTTCTCAAATTCCAATAAATAATAAAAAAATAGCCATAAATTCATTTGCAACAATTTTAATATTATTAAATAAAAATATTTTAGATTTAAAAATTTTAAATCAACAACAACAAGATTCTGAAACAAATACTTTTAATTTATTAAAACCTAAAAATTTAGAAATGTGTTTGAAATTAAAAGAAAATGAATTACCACAAGAAGAAGAAGAAGAAGAAAATCAAGATGTTGAAGTTGATGTTGAAGTTGAAGAGTCACCACAAAATCCTCAAAGTAGAGATATTAGTGAATTAGAAATTCAATTACAATCTCAAGAAGATGAAGTAATGACTGAATAAATTAATAAAAACCAAAAAAAGTTTAAGTAAAATCTGAAACGTAATTAATATATACCCTAAATTTGTCTTTTTGCAACATTTTTTCTTCTTTGTGTTTTAAATTCGATACTTTCTGTAGTATAATGCAAGAAGAAAAAAATAATTTATTGCTTTTGCATTTATTGTGTAAGATTTTCCGATATTGCCAATATTTATTGCTAAGACTGTCCTTTCTGAGTAGTGAACAGAAAAAACTCATATACAAAGTATCTAAGTTTGAAAAGTTGATTCTAAGAATTAATTTGACAAATAGTAGTAATACAATAATATTATTTAATATTAAAAATTATAAAAAATTGAATAGATTAAAATAGAAGAATTGATAAAGTCAAATTTTTAAAAATAAAAGCAAACCAAAAACAAAATAATATTAGCAAAATTAATTAATTAATTAATGTAAAATTATTTATTTTATTTAAACATGTGATTGAGTTTGATGACCATCTTGATGAATTTGATGAACATCATCATGTTTATTAAATTCTTGTTGAGCAGCATCATTAATTTCTGGTTCTTCTTCTTCATCATCATATTCATGATGTAATGATAAAGTTGGTTTTACAACTGCTGAATCTAAAGTCCAATTAGCTAAAGCATTTTCAGCATCAATAATAATTTGTTTTGAAGCTTCATAACCATCATAAGCTGGTCTTGTTTCACCTGGAGTAACTGCTGAATCATCTAATAATTCCAATAAAGCTTTACCATAACCAGCAATTAAAGCATATTTTTCAGCTAATTCTCTTGTTGCATCAAATTGATAATTAAAAGCAGCTTTTAATTGTTCTCTTGTAATATTTGATAATTGAGCTTCAGCAACTAATGATTCAGCTTCTGCTCTAACTAATTCTTGTTCTAATACAGGAATTTTTGGAGATTGAGGATCTTTATATTTTAAATGAGCAATTTCATCAGTAATTTTTTGTTTTCTTTCTCTTGAAGGTTGTACTGAACCTTCAATATCTCTAATTGATTTTAAAGTAATTCTATATTGATCATATTTATCAATATATTGATCTTCTAATTCACCAATTTCATAAATTAAAACCCCTAATTTATCAGTAACATCACTAACATCATCATCATTACCTTCACCCCAAGCACTTAATTGTTTTGCAATATCTTTTCTTTCTCTTGAAGTAACTTCAACTGATCTCATAAAATTTTTTTCCATTTTAATAAATTGAGTTAATTTTCTTGATAATTCTGGTCCAGTTGCACCAGCTGCAGCTTTTCTAATTGATGATGATAAACCACCTGAACCAAAAAATCTATTTTTAGTTGATGATGGTGGTGGTGGTGGAGATTGTAATTGAGAAGCAGTTGGAGCTTTTGATGATCTTAATGAATATGTTCTATGCATTTTGGTTATTAGTATTCAATTGATTGATTTAATTGATTGATTAAATTAATTATTAAATTTGGTTGTAAAAAAAATTAATGGAAATTAAATTTATATATTATGTGGAAATGAAAAACTTTATAAAGTGCCTATTAATTATATTTAACTAAAAATTTGAATGATAGCAACAATTAATCAATTTTAATTTATCAATATTCTCTAAACTTTTTTCAAATATACACAATACTTAAATCCATTTAACTACATGACAAAGGGATACACAATATTCAAATGCTTTGTGTAATGTTTATATAATAAATGTAGAATAATTAATCAAATTACCTAATTAGTAAATGAAATTGCTTATTTTAAATAATAATTTTTGTATCATAATTGGTAGCTTTAATATGAACGATTCAATTTATGGTTAAAGTGCTGGTTTAGAAATTAGATTAATTTACATAACCTTTATTTCAAAATTCTAAATTCCAAATATTTGATTAGTAGTTTCAGATTATTAGATGCCGTATGGTCTCAAACAACTTGGATAACGTCTAATTTTTAATTTGTGTTCACTCGTTTTTTATATTCGAAACCTATTATTATAGAAGATCTTAAGAGATTGAAGTTTACACTTTCATAGATTGAAATTTAGATTTAGATTTTAATAGATATAAATAGAATTTGAAAATTATATTCATTCCAGATTTTTTGAAAACTATATATTTTCTTGATTCTCTGATCATTTGTATGTTTACTATTCTTACGATGTATACATAGTTAATAGGTCTATTAATATAGCTGAAAATGTTACGGAACTAATAGAAAGTTTTCTTCAAGAAAATATCTATTTAATTTATGACATAATTATATTTGTAATGTATTATTATTTTTAATTTATTCTTATTATTTAAATTTACGATTATTATTTTTAACTTTTTAATTTTTTGTCGTATTATTTTAATTATTACTAAATTATTATTATGACGTAATAATTTCCAATAAAAATTTTGACATTAATATTTAATATTTATGTCATGAATCTAAATATATCGTTAGATCATTTAGATTAAAGATGATTTAAATAACAGATTATATAATTTATTAATTTACTTGAAATATAAAATAATTTATGTTTGGCTTAATGATTAAACTCGATGATAATTGTCACAAAACCATCATTGGTAAAGGTTATTAAGTAAGATAAGTTATAGTTCTCCCATTTATAATCAATACTAGACGTGTTTGAGGAACTTTGCATACCTTTTAATTAGGCTTTGTATCTATGGATATTGCTTCGTATTATATAGACATTTACATTTCTACTCAATTTTCAATTATGTTTATTTTTTACCAGTAATTAGGCAAAAAAAGTTTAAAACTTAAGATTATAATAATTTGGCAACCAAATTAGAACAAAAAATAATTTTAATATAAGAAACATTAACAAATTTTACAATCCGTACCACAACTAATTTGAATAATTAAAATTATCACTAAAAATTAACAGAGTTGATCAACAATTTAATATTTGTCATGAAATTATGTATTAATTAATAAATTATGTCTTATCTACCATCTTCCCTTCATCTCTTTTTCTTTTAGTTGGTAAATTTATATCACCCAATATCCTATAATAATCATCTTCTAAAGCTTGATAAGCAGTTTGTAATTTATCTTTCCTATTATTTTCATCTAAACTATCTAAACCTTCTTTATTCTTTTTGTACAATCTTTGTTTAATAAATTTTCGAACATCAGCAGTTGATATATCTTTTGTATGTTTTAATTTATATAATAATATTAATTCTAATAATCTTGAAAATTGACGATTTTCAAACTTTAAATTCTTTTTAGTAGTATTAACCCAATCAGAATCAATTTTAGGTATAACTTTCCCAAAATCAAATGATAAATTTCTTAATCTTTTTAAATCTGCTTTATCTCTTAAATCATCAAATTGTTCATTTGGATCTTCAACTACAATTTCAATAATATTTGAATCTTTTAACCATATATCACATAAATGACTATAAAATAATTGACCTAATCCATTACCTTGATAAATTGGTAATATTATAAATTGTGATATTTTTATTCTTATTTCTTTTATACCTTCATCAAATTTTATAGCTCCTGGATATTTCCAATAATTATAAGCTGTTGTAAATCCCACAATTGATGGTTCATTTTCTCCTTGTGGTTTTTCATAAAATACATATAAATTCCATAATTCATCTTCTGAATCTATAAATGAACCTGCTTCAATATATAAAAGTACTAATATTTGTAATCTCTTATGTAATTCTAATCCTTCTTTTGATTTTAAATCAATTTTATATATTTCATATTCTATATTATCAACTTTAAACTCATCTATTTTATTACCAGGTATTTTATAACTTTTTTTTTCTTCTTTTATTGAATCAACCCATTTTATTTCATCTTTAAAAATAGTAGAATCAGGTAAATATTTATCAACAGTTTCTTTTATATCAATTAAATCATTATCTTCTAATTTTTGTGAATATTTTATATTTAAAAATGGTTTAAAAGTATAATGATCAAAACACAAAAAAATATCCAAGTCTTTATATCCATATATAGATTCTGCATCTCCAAAAATTGGATATGTAAATAATGGTTGAAATTTTATAGCTTCTTCTTCATTTGTAATAAAACATTTTAATGCTTCATTTGATGATGATGTCCAAAGTTCTGGCTGTAGTGATGCTGCTTGTAATGATGCAGCTGAAATTTGTTTTTTATCAGCTAATGACATATTGATGGTGTTTAAATTTTGGTGATAATATTGAATTGAATATTTACATTTTTAAAAATTAATTTAACGCGAAATATTTCCATTTAGATTTACGATATCAATTCTTAATTATTCTATTAACATATTATTATTTCTTTTTTAATACACACAAGTCAATTTATTTTACAAAAGTATCTAGTCTAGTCTATTATCTATTCTAATACAACAACTAAATCACCAGCATCAACCATATCACCATTTTTATGATAGATTTTTAATACTTTACCTGCTCTTGTAGCATTTACAACCATTTCAGTTTTCATAGCTTCAACAACTACTAATGGTTGATTTATTTCAACTTTATCACCTACGCTCACCAAAGATTTCCAAAATCTACCTGAATATTCAGAATAAACCATTTCTGCATTATCATCGAATTTTTCATCTTCTTGTATTTTACTACCATTTTTTTCTAATTCAGAATTTGAAATTTGAATTAATTTATTAAATTCTTCTAATTTTTCACCACCTTGAGCTTGTTTGAATTTTTCAATTGATTCAGAATTTTCTTGAATCCATTGTAAATATTTACCATGATCAAATACAGAATCGACAATATCAACTTTAAATTTACCTGCATTCATTTCTTCGGAAAATTTATCTATTTCGGATTCTTCAACTGGATAAAACTCAATTTGATCAAAAGGACATAATAACCATGGATTTTTTGATTCTTGAGAATGATCACCAATAGTTAATTTATCCCATATTGGTACAGTTCTACCAACTAATTGATATCCACCTGGTGATTCCATAGTATATATACACATATAATTACCACCAATACCCACGGTACCATTTGGAGTAAAAGTTCTTGATGGATTATATTTAGTACCTAAAAATCTATGTCTTGGATCTAATGGTACAGCACATGGAGCTCCTAAAAATACATCACCTAAACCTAAGACTAAAAATCTTGCAGTATATAACATATCTTTTACATCATTTCTTGTTATACCATTTATATTGGCAATAAAATCAACATTATTTGGTAACCATGGGGCTTCACTTCTAATAGTTTCTTGATATCTTTTAACTGCATCTAATGTTTTCTTATCTTCAAAAGCCATTGGTAATTTTATAATTCTTGATTTAACTTCCCATTTATTAATGAAAGCAATTTCTTTTTCATATGAAACTAAAATATTTAAAGCTTCTTTTTGAGATATGTCATCAGTATATTCAACTAAAACGGATCTAACACCTGGTGATAATTCATAAATTCCTTTTGGTTTAAATCCTTTAACCATTTCAACTAATTTATGAATCCTATAAGCTTTATTTAAATCTAAAATATTATCTCCATATTCAACCAAAATATATCTATCACCCGCTTGACGATAAGTTACAGTTGGTGCGTTTTCAGAAACTTTTAATTTGTATAGTACGGGATTTTCTGGTTTTTGTAAAGATTTACCTTCTAAACTTGGTAAATCACCTTTTAAAGTTTTAATATCTTCTTCTTGTTGAGATTTTAATATTTTGGCGGTATCATAAGTTATAGGTACAAATTGTATAGATTGACCAGGTTTAACTTGACCAATTTTCCATAATTCAGATTCTGCAACAACAGCTTCACAAACAAATCCACCTAAACTTGGACCATCACAAGTTAATATCACTGGTTCATCACCAGTAAAATTTACTGCACCCATTGAATAAACATAATCATGAGTATTTGAAGGATGTAAACCTGCTTCTCCACCATCAGATCTTGCCCATTTTGGTTTTGGTCCAATTAATCTTACACCAAATCGATTAGAATTATAATGAACTTTCCAAGTAGATGAAAAAAATTCATCAACTGATTCTGATTTGAAAAAATCTGGAGATCCATGAGGTCCACATGTAACTCCAACTTTCCATATTTTATTATCATAATTTGGTATCAATGAAGTTGGAATTTTAGTTGGTGATGAAATTGGACTTGGTAATGTACAACTTGAAATTTCTGGTTGTCCTAAAAACAAGACATCACCTAATTTTAATACTCTACCATTATAGCCACCTAGATTACCTAATGCAAAAGTTGATCTTGATCCTAAATATTCAATAACATCAATACCTCCTCTAATAGCTAAATATGCACGACATCCAGTTTCTAACTTACCAATTGCTAATTTATCACCACTTTTAATGTTTATTGGTTCCCATTGATTTTGTGATTTTCCATTAACATCAATTGGAGCTTTACCACCAGTAACTGCAATTACACAATCTTGATGAAATAATAATTTTGGACCATTTAATGTAATTTCAATACCTGGGGCTGAACTATCATTTCCAACAATTCTATTTGCAATTCTAAAAGAATATTGATCCATACAACCAGATGGAGGAACTCCAATATTCCAATACCCTTTTCTACCTGGATAATCTTGAACTGTTGTATAAGCACCAGGAGCTAAAATTTCAATAGCATGTGGTTTATAATCATATGAATCTAATACTTTTGTGGCAACTTTAGCTTCTTCAAACATCTTGGAATTAGCAATTGATCTAAGATAATCAACATTTGTAATACAACCATAAACAACAGTTTCATCTAATGCTTGACGTAATTTTTTCAAAGCATCATTTCTATCTTTACCATGAACTATAATTTTTGCTAATGTTGGATCATATTCTGCTGAAACAACAGTTCCCTTTTCAACCCAAGTATCAACTCTTGCCCATTTTGGAAATTTCACTTCTGTTAATTGACCTGGTGATGGCATAAAATCTTTAACTGGATTTTCAGCGTATAATCTTGCCTCCATTGAAGCACCTTTAACTTCAATCTTTTGATTAAAATCTGGTGGAGTATCAGCAGCAATCAATAACATCCATTCAACAAGATCCAAACCGGTAACCATTTCTGTAATTGGATGTTCAACTTGTAATCTTGCATTGACTTCCAAAAAGTAAAATTCATCTCTTTTTGGATCATATATATATTCGACAGTACCAGCACATTTATAATGCATTGATGCACCTAAACTTTCAGCTGCTTTTCTCATTTTTTGTCTTGTTGCTTCTGGTAAATCTGGAGCAGGAGTTTCTTCAATAATTTTTTGATTTCTTCTTTGTAATGAACAATCTCTTTCTCCTACAGCAATAGCATTACCATAACCATCACCTAACATTTGGATTTCAACATGTCTTGCATTTTCAACAAACCTTTCCAAAAACACACCAGCATCTCCAAAATATGATAAACCTTGATGTTGAACGGTTTGGAAAACTCTTTCAATATCTTTCTCGGAATCAACTTTTTGTAAACCAATACCACCACCACCAGCAGTTGATTTAACCATAATTGGATATTCTAATTTTGCAGCAATTTCTCTTGCTTCTTTTGCATCTTTAACTAACCCTGAACCTGGAACCAATGGAACCCCAGCTTTTTCAGCAATTTCTCTAGCTGAATGTTTTAAACCTAGTTTTCTTATAGCATCACCTGAAGGTCCAACAAATACTATACCTTCTTTACCACAACGATCTGAGAAATCAGCATTTTCTGATAAAAACCCATAACCTGGAATAATTGCTTCAGCTCCTGAATCTTTAGCAGCTTTTATAACTTTATTAATGTCAATATATGTTTGAGCAGCGGTTGTACCATGTAATGGGATTGCAACATCTGCTAATAATGAATGTTGAGCATATTTATCTGGATCTGAATATATTGCAATTGATTTTATACCTAATTTTTTTAAGGTTTTGATGATTCTTACAGCAATTTCACCTCTATTGGCTACTAAAACTGAATTAAATGGTTTTTTATATTTTGCATCTTCTCTAGCTAAATGTTCTTGATAATTTTTCCAACCACCGTATGATGTTATGTCAACAGTTCCTGGTGCATTATAACCTGATTCTTCACAAATGAATGATTTTACCCATTCTCCTGAAGCCAATTCTGCTGATCCAATACCAAGTGGTTCTGGAACATAATTTATAAATTGACCAAATTTTTCTTTCGGTATTGAATAAACTTCAATAGCTATTTTATTTCCACCTTCAATTACTCTTCTCAATCCTGGTTTTGCAACTGGTCCAGTTTTAGGTAATGCATATAATTTATAATTTGATGATGTAGTGGTTGATTCAACAAATCTTGCGTCAACAGCTTCTAATTGCCAATGCAATTGGAAACCTTCAAGATGAGCTCCAACTACTGCTAATTTTATTTGTTCTTGTGGTTTCAAGGAAGGTACATTTGAATTTAATTCATCATGGATTGTAGAATCAATTAATTTATCTTTTATTGATCCATAAAAATGTGGAACTGTTTCAGCATATGGTTTTAAATAACGGCTTGCTAATTCTAATAATGCATAATCATTAAATTTATGAGATAATAAAGTAATACCAAATGGTTGACCATCTTTTCTAAACCCAGCTGGTATAGCCAATGCAGACATATCTGCTAAATTTACAAAATTTGTATATGTACCTTGACATGAATTTACTTTTATTGGTTCATTTTGTACTTGTTCAATAGTTGGATTTAATGGTGCAGTTGGTACAACTATAACATCGATATCTTTTAATAATTTTTTAACTTTTTGTAGTATACCTTGTCTTTTATATTCATATTCAAAACATGATGCAGCTGTATAATTTTCACCACCTTTTATAATTTTGAGTACTGTTGGATCTAAATCTTTTGATGGTGGATTTGTGGCTAAAAAATCTTTCATGGCAACATATCTTTCAGTGACCCAAGGACCTTCATATAAACATTTAGCTAAATCAAGTAATGGTTGTATATCTATTGATACTAACTCTGCACCAACTTTGTCACTCAAAATTTCAACTGCTTTATTATATAATGTTGGATTTTCAGTCTCACCGCACCAAATTAAATTTGTAGGTACTGCAATTTTTGGCTTTTTCGAGAATTTCAATAATGGACTAATTGGCATTGAACTTGAATATTCATCATTATCACCATCTTCTTGAGCCATTAGACTAAAAGTTAATTGAGCATCTTGTAAATTTAATGAAAAAATTGAAACACAGTCTAATGATTTACATGCTGGTACTACACCTGAACAAGAAAATACTCCCTTTGTTGGTTTTAATCCAATTATATTATTTAATGCTGCTGGTACTCTACCTGAACCTGCAGTGTCAGTACCTAATGAAATTGGAACTATACCTCTTGCAACAACTGAAGCTGAACCAGCTGATGATCCACCACTTACATATTTATCATTAAATGTATTTGGAGTTATACCATATGGAGATCTGGTCCCCACTAATCCAGTTGCAAATTGATCTAAATTAGTTTTACCTATAATTATTGCACCAGCGTCTCTTAATAATTTGACTGTGGTTGCATCTTTCTCGGGAAAGAAAGCAAATGAAGGACATGCAGCAGTAGTTTCAAATCCTTTCACATCTATATTATCTTTAATTGCAATTGGAACTCCATAAAGTGGTAATTTTTCTTTGTTTGACTTTGATTGTAAAAAATCCCATTGATGTTTTAAATTGTCAGTGGAAGCTAATGATATCCAAGCAGGATCTTCCGGTGATGATTTTTGAGATTTTAATAAATTAATCAATAAATCAAAAGATTTATCTGGTGTAGAATTGAAATGAAAATTTTTCCAATCATCAATTGTCCAACCTATAGTATTAGTAGACATGATTTGGAAATGTGAAATTTGATTTTGATTAGTTAGTGATTACGATGGCTTGTAAATTTCAATTTTCAAAAATCAAGTTGAACAAACTTGTTGATATATATATATATTACGTAAATTAGATCAAATCAAATAAGAATAAATTACATATTAAATTAAATATAAAAATGGGTATATACGTAAATAAATTTAATTATGATAACAATAAAGTAAAGTAAAATAAAGTGAAAAATTAAATCAATAAAGAATCTCGATAAGAGAAAAGTTTTAAGAAATTTTACATAAATTGGAAAAATAATTATTTTATTTTCAAAGAATCAATTTAATGAAATCAATTAAACTAATCTTTAAAGATAATTCAACGCGAGATAGGCTCTCTTATTAGTTTAATCTAATAATTAAGCAAAAAGCCAAGTTTTTGATATTAAGTTTAGATGACCGTTAAATTAGTTCATAATCAAACGGGTATAGGATTACGATTCAAATGGTAAATATTACTTTAGATAAATGAAAAACTTCGTTTTGGCATTTATCATGTTCTTATCACAAACTAAGAATATGGCGGTTACAATAAGGCGATGAAGGGCCAGAGAGAAATTCGAAAAAGTATCTGGTAGCGTAGCTGAAATAAAAATTTCGGTGAAATCCGATTTAATTTAAATGATAAAGACCAAATATATTTTTGATTATCATGAGCTGTGAAAGTGAGGTCCGGTCTACTATTAAATATGTTTTAAATGATCGATGTCTCAACTTGAACGGGGAATAAAATTAAATATTGCAAAAACATTGATTGCGTATATGCATATTTGGTAATCTTTTTCGCTTAGGTATTATTTTGAATCTGATGGTTCTCCACAATTTTCATGACAAATCAACCCTACATTAGGTTGCTTACTAATGCTATTCCTCTCATATGGTGTTTTAGGAACGAGCTCATTAAAGAAATAAGTAATACTTGTTCAGTCGAAGGAATGCACAACTTGGTCCAAAAATCAAGTATGCCATTAGGTAAGTTGGAAAATTTACTGGAAGGTGAAGAAGAGAAGAAAAAAGACCAAAAGTGAAGATTTAATAACTACAAGCTTGAATCAACTTGGTTACGAACCTATTTAGTTTACTTTTAGAAATCACAAACAGTGGTTTAGTAGAAGCTACGAGTGGCTAATCCTTTCAAATTGTCGGAATGAAAGAAGAGTTGTGTATAAACTTAATTTTTAAGACGTTTCATAAAGTTTGAATTTTGTGTAATTGTTTCAAAATATTTAATTTTTTTCTTTATTTCAAAATTGACACACAAAGTCTGAGCGGAAAAATTTGACACATTTCTTCAAGATTCTACATAGTTAACAGTATCTACATAGTTAACGATTTCATAATAAGTTTAAAATATATATAGATTAAAATTTAATAACATGTACAAAAATAAATAAATGTAAGACCTGCTTATTTTTTCTCAATTTCATCATCAATACTTGGATATTCCATTTCAACCGATCTACCATCAACAACTTGAGCATTTGATAATTGAGCATTAATTTGTGATCTAACCGCATGCATTTTTTCAGGATGATTTTCTTGCCATGCTCTTAATTTATAAGTTTGACCAGTTAAATCCCAATAAACACCTCTTGCAGTACTTGCAATACTTCCTCTACTTTCCCAAATTGGAAATACAATAACTTGAAAACATGTATAAAAAATCCAAATCATGAATACTGAAATCCAACCTGTGAAAAATTTCTTACTGAAAATATATTTACTTCCATACATTGGCATTGGCCATATAACCAAAAGAATTAATGTAATACAAACACAGAAAATGGAACATCTTTTGAAAGCTTTACGTAAAATTTGTTGTTCTTCAGTATAATGTTGTCTTTCATGTTCTGCTAATTCAGTTGCAACAATTGAAATTGGTGATTTAACTGGACTTAATTTTTCATCATCATCATAATTTTCTGATTTAGTTGCTTCTAATAATTCTGCTTCTTCATTAACTCTAGTAATTCTAGTATTTAAAATATTCCAATCAAAATTTTGTTGTCCAAAAATTAATGTAAATACTGGAACTGTAATTAATGGGAATAATAAAGCAACAACATTACCTGCTAACATAGAATCGTCCATGAATAAATTATCATAAGTAACAGCTCCGAATTTGGTTTTACAAACGATTAACCAAGTCATAATAGCTAAACCAGTACCAATTGGAGGACTAAAAGTTGCAGCTGCCCAATTTTGTCTAGCACTTAAAATAGTCATAGCAATTGGGAACACTCCTGCACCTATAATAATTCCCATAAGTTCGTACAAGAAACCCATTGAAACATTAGCATAATAAAGACCAATTGCAAAACCTGCCATAACATAAGCAAATACACCACATCCAACATGAGAAATCCAAATTAATTTTTTACCATCAGCTTTTGGATTAACGTAAGTTCTATAAACATCATAAGTGAAAATAGTTGATACAGCAATTAATTCTGAAGACATAGCACTTGTAACAGCCATATAAATCATAATTAAACTTAAAACACCACCTGCTTTACCCAATAAGGCAACACTTGCAGTAGGTAAAACTAAACCAGCAGAGACTTCATCAGTAGTTAAAGCTCTACCCATTGGCCAATGTTCTGTATATTGTAAAGCAAGAGCAGCAAATCCCATTGTTAAACTAGTGATACATGGAACTTGAAACCAAGCAATACTACCTAAAATGTACCCTTTATAAGCACTTCCTGGATTGGCTGCAAAGGCTTTGTTAAAATACCCATTATCAAGGAACACTGTTCCGAAATTACCAACGATATTAATGACAAAAAATATACCTGCTGATCTTGAATTCATTGTTAAATAAGAACCTTCTGCATTACCTTCAACTGGATGAGTTTTACCTAATTCTTTAATGATATCATAAACAGCTCCAGGAGATCCTAATTTTGAATTAGTTGCCCAAACACTGAATGCAAAAATTAAAATAATAACCAACATAATTAATGTGTGTGCGTAATCTGTTAAAATTGTTGCTTTTAAACCTCCAAAAATTGAATAAATAGTAGGTGATAATCCAATTAATAAACATGCAGCAACTGGATGCATACCAGTTAAATCACATACTGCTGCTGAACCACCAGTTAATAACATAGCAGTAACTAAGATATTTGTAAATAAACCCCAAAAAATATAAACAATATGAGTTGTTGTACCATATCTTGCTCTAACAATTTCTAAATAAGTTCTAGCAGCTGGAGCTCTCAATTTTGCCTTGATAGCGATACAAGCAAATAAAGTAATTTGAACAGTAGCACCTAAACTATAAGATAATGCACCAAAAACACCATTTTTATAAGCTTGAGTTGTTGAAGTTACTAAAAAAAATTGGTTAGTAAAAATCTAAATATTATTCATCAGAACCTCCTGAACAGGTTGTTTCGTAATAAACGTTCCTGATTACCTAGTTCATGCTCTTTAATTCTACGTACAAAGTGTGGCAGCCCATGTCCAACTTGAGACTACTGCTGCTGAAATCAAACCGGTCTTGACTGATCTACCGGCTGTTGCAAACTCTTCTGATGTTATGATTTCTTTGTTATATCTTCTTAACATAAAAGTGGTTAAGCACATCCCAATTGCAAAAGCTGCACCAAAACCCAAAAGAACACCATATCCAGCACTTTGAGGTAATGGAATATATTTCTCAACTGTTGACATTTTTGTTTGTGATTGATAGTTGTTGAAGATAAATGTTGAAAATTTAATGAACTAGTTATTTCTCTCTTAAAATATATAGGTGAAGGTTATGTCTATATTCTATTTGTATTTATATTATTATCCTTTCCTTATGAACAAGCTAAACAATTAAGTTACTGAAAAAAATTGTTTGGAAGTGATGTGATTAATTCAATCCATTTTTATAGATTTTTGTTTTGAAAAAAAATTAAGTTGCAAAACAATAAAGATTAAATTTTATGCAGGATTAATTAATTTTTCAGTATTGTTTTAGTTTCTTATCTATTATCTTATTTAATTGTTTTGTGTTAAATTAAAAAAAATCATTTAGTTATCTTTTACAATCTAATTAATGGATTAATCATGAGTCGTGCGATTAAGTTTAGTCATAATTCATTCTTCTTGTTATCATTAAGGTTAATAAATTACCCAGGTTACTTAAATTTTGTATTCTAGATTATTATTATATTTAGGTACAATAAAAGCACATAGGATCATTTTGAGACAATTCAAAATGTAAAGAAATGCAATAAATTTATTTTATTGTTGATGATATAATAAGGCTGACCCTTCGCTTCAATATTTCATATGTTTCAAAGTGAAGAGTTAAAAATAGATTTTGATTTATTAAGTTTCAGATTTAGTGAAATCTTATACATTTGAAACTTAATTTTAGATTTTAATGCAAATTTGAAGATGATTCAATATAATTGGTTTAAAAAAAATCCTGTTTACTGAGAATGTCTTAGATAAGAAACTTATAAACCTTTCTTACTTGAAATATCCCCGTAAACCGGCAAATTTGATATATTTTAAAACTTAATTTTGTGTGATTTTTTTAGGCTTAAATTTTAATCTAACGAACTTCTTACATCACTTGATTATTAATTAAAAAATTTCTATTGTCAATTTAGAATAAAGGATTCCAATTTTTCAAAATCGTTTGTTTCAACTACCCTCCCTTAAGGTGTTATCAATTGGTTTTTACACTTTGATTGATTCAAAACATATTAATATTAATACACCTTATGGGAGTGTCAAATTGATTAAACTGATATCTTAAGTATAGTCTATTAATTCCACCTCTGAAGTTCAATTAAAATGACATGTCATTGGTGTTATATTCATTAACGTTATTTGCGAATTTAGTAATAGACGAAAATCTTTTACCGCCTTAAGGATTTAGTATGCTCAAAATTTGAAAATGTAAATTCCCTTAGAAATTAGTATCTTTATTTTTTAAAAGCACATGTGAATACTTGAGATTCGTATCTGATAACTTTTTAGAATTAAAGTTAGGCTATTATTTGCGTTTCCTTAATTTACTACAGTCAGGTACTTAAAATATTATTTTTTTGCAAATTTGTGAAATCAAACTCATCGTGATAAAGTTTTGAAAGAACTAACTAAACAACTTTAATCTAAAGTGTATGATAAGTTGAAAATTTTTCAGAAATTGGTTTTAATTTGCCATAAATTTGAAAATTTACTAAAAATTCCAAACTAATTTTCCTTCAAATATGTCACAAAACGTTTGAAATTTAATTTTCAAGGTTTATAGAATTAAAGACAGTCTTTTTGATAAACTTCATGAACTTATGGTCAAATCATACGATGTACTGGGTCTCGTTATCTATTCAATCTTTGATGTTGAATTCAAGATGAAATGGCCCGATTAATAAAAACAAACTTATAATTTCAAAGGCCCATATTTCTGAGCTGACAAGCAAAAACCAAGAATGCTCAAAACCAAGATCTCTATTTCATTTTAGTAAAGTTGATCCGTTAGATCAAAAGATCTAGAGATAAGTAATAAACTTGGATTTAAAGTTGGTTGTGAAATGTGACAAAAGGCTTTAATATTTTTACTTGGTACCAATTTGAAAATGGCCCGTGCGCCGTAAATTTATTCACTTGCATTGAAAAAGTAGTGGGAATATTATAATAAGATCGTTTTAAATATTATTCTTATCTTTAAATAGATTTAAGGTTTGTATATTTGTTCTAAATTAGTAATTCAAATTTTCTTAACCGCCCTTTCATAATAAAGTAACATCTAAATCAAAGACAGAACTCAAACAAGTTTAAGAAGAGATAATCAACTTTATCAATTGTTATCTTCAAAAATTATGCCTTTCAAATGATGGTCTTTTCAACAGCTTTCGGCCCATGGTAATTTTATCAAACTTACCAATGTAAGAAAGCAATAGATCTTGTGAAGTTGATGGGTTTCAATCATCGAAACTTTCTATATAACTATTTGCAATTATATTATTTTCGAAAATCGTTATATCTAGTCTTTATGAATTTAACTAATAGTGAAATTTTTATAACTTGAAAAATCCCAAATTTTGCATATACTTCGATACTGAATTTATTTTAAGAAAACCTCGACAAAATTTTGATCGTATTTGATCCTGGTAATTACTTATCAGATCATCAACCTAAAGTTTCTATCTTTAAGATCAAAATGTAAAGAAACAAATTTAAGATTATAAAAGATCAATCGAAAACAATTAAAGTAACGTTACATTATTATAAACTTTTCGTAAATGTTTTACGAAATATTATAATTCAGAATAGAGAATCTTGATTTTATAAATCAATCATTTATTAAGTGAACCTTTTTTTATTCAACTTACTAAAAGTCAATCGTTGAGTCAAACTTTTGAACAATTCTTTTAAGTGTCTTCTATTAAAGAAACTACATAAAAAATGCTCTTTCCCTACTATGAAATATAAAGAACTTAAACAAATGTATATAAATATATATTATTTGATCAGATTATTTCTAAAATTTTCAGCCTCCTTATCCATCATACAGCTTCATTCCACTTTTTCTCGCGATTTTCTGATGTACTGATCGGTTCGATAAGCTATTTTATATTTGTTTTATTGGTAAATAAGTGATATCGCATAGTATAATATTTTTTACGAATATTATATTAAAATTTGAAACAAGGGGGGAATACCTCTCCCAAAAAAAACAAGTCGTTGAAGTCAAAATTCAAATTACAATTAGCTTTCGGAAATCAAGCTTAGCCCTATATTGAATTGACATATATAATATAGGTAACAAATTAAAAGAAAAGTACTAAAAAAGAATATTATGCAAGATATATAATCTTAAATAAAGTAGTAAATATATTATTATACAAGTGATTATTAAATCCTAGAACTAGGTCTTTGCAAAACAACTTTCAAAAAAGAATTAGTTCCCGGAAAATGAGCTGAACTGTTCAGGGAACCTTTGAATAAGTTTTCTAGTTTATTACACTTTTGTATAATTCACAAGAAAGAGACATATCAATAACGTTCAAAAATGAAATAAAAAAAAATGTATTAAAAAAAATGTATGAATAATATATAATAATATATAAATAATTGTCTTTTAGTCTCTCAACGTTAAATAAAAAAAAATAAAAATGTCAATGTCCTTTAATAACTATTATTCCCATATAATTTAATCTTCAATATATTCTCTATCATCAACTTTTCCTTCTAATTCATTTCTAATTTCTTCCATTTGTACAACTTGATTTTTCCATATTTTTTTAGTATCTACATCATCATTATTTTTAACAAATAATGAATCATCAGGTCTTCTATAAGAATTACCAATTCTATCCCATAATGTAGTAAATTGTCCATAATTATAATTAAAATATAAATGATGTATAGTATGACATGCTGTACCATTTACTACAGGATCATTACTCATATAATTACCATCATGAATCATTACAGTCCAAAAATTAACAAATGTAAATAAAAATAAATATAATACTTTATGTAATGGGAAAAATAATGGATATAAATGATAAGGTAAACTTTGAGCCCAACCATCAACTGGATGGAAAGCATGTGATGCAAATGGAGTACAAACAATCCATTTATGATGAGGTTTATGTAATCTTTTATAAACTGATGGCCAATGTAACCATCTATGAATAAAATAAATTAAACAATCAGTAAATAAAATAAACATTGGAATTTGTGCAAATAAAAATTTCCAACCACCAGTTGAATCATTAATATTCATATATAATCTTGAATATCCATTTAATTCTAATAAAAAAAAAGGATTGGTTAAAGCAACCATTATAGGTATTGCTGTAACTGCTCTTTCTATCTCCAATGACATTTGATTTTTTAAATATCTTGGATGATTGAATATTTTTTTATCAAAAACATATACATAACTTAAATAAGCTGTGATAAAATATAAGATCCAACCAAAAAGTGTAGTAACCACAAGTATACTTAAAGCTTCTCTAAATAAATTTGATCTTGCTAGTAAGGACCCATCAAAGAAATCTCCAGCTGGTAATAAATTTGGTTTTAATCCATAAATATCTGATTTATTCTGATAATTTGTAATTTTAGTTAATAAATATGTATATAAATTTGAAGCATTTATATCGGTTGTATTAAAGTTAATAGAACTTGTAGCATTATATATATTTTGATAATTATTTATTATTGGAGATTTTGGTAATGATATTGAAGATGAAATTTGATTTATTATTGGTGAATTTTTTATAAATTGATCTATAGTTCCATCTTTTGGTAAAATTGTTGAATATAATTTATCAAACAAATAATAATCACAAACTTCCAATACAATATCCATTTTTGTAATTAGTAAAGAACGTGGTTTATAATGAAGTTGTGATTTTTAGCAATGAAAAAAATAAAGTATATACTGGAATAAACGGTAAACAAAATCTATGTCCTAGTCTGAAAAATGAAATGAATATATGATCTAGTAAATAAATATAAAAAAAAAGGTATCAAATGAATGAATAAATATTATTCAAGGAGTATTTAAATCAAATGAACTTTTAAAAGGTTGTATGATTTTTAATAATAAAGAAAGAAAAGAACTTAAAATTATTTAAATTCGTTTTTATTTATTTTAATTAAAATTGAAAAAAAAAAAAAAAAAAAAAAAAAAAAAAAAAAAAAAAAAAAAAAAAAAAAAAAAAAAAAAAAAAAAAAAAAAAAAAAAAAAAAAAAAAAAAAAAAAAAAAAAAAAAAAAAAAAAAAAAAAAAAAAAAAAAAAAAAAAAAAAAAAAAAAAAAAAAAAAAAAAAAAAAAAAAAAAAAAAAAAAAAAAAAAAAAAAAAAAAAAAAAAAAAAAAAAAAAAAAAAAAAAAAAAAAAAAAAAAAAAAAAAAAAAAAAAAAAAAAAAAAAAAAAAAAAAAAAAAAAAAAAAAAAAAAAAAAAAAAAAAAAAAAAAAAAAAAAAAAAAAAAAAAAAAAAAAAAAAAAAAAAAAAAAAAAAAAAAAAAAAAAAAAAAAAAAAAAAAAAAAAAAAAAAAAAAAAAAAAAAAAAAAAAAAAAAAAAAAAAAAAAAAAAAAAAAAAAAAAAAAAAAAAAAAAAAAAAAAAAAAAAAAAAAAAAAAAAAAAAAAAAAAAAAAAAAAAAAAAAAAAAAAAAAAAAAAAAAAAAAAAAAAAAAAAAAAAAAAAAAAAAAAAAAAAAAAAAAAAAAAAAAAAAAAAAAAAAAAAAAAAAAAAAAAAAAAAAAAAAAAAAAAAAAAAAAAAAAAAAAAAAAAAAAAAAAAAAAAAAAAAAAAAAAAAAAAAAAAAAAAAAAAAAAAAAAAAAAAAAAAAAAAAAAAAAAAAAAAAAAAAAAAAAAAAAAAAAAAAAAAAAAAAAAAAAAAAAAAAAAAAAAAAAAAAAAAAAAAAAAAAAAAAAAAAAAAAAAAAAAAAAAAAAAAAAAAAAAAAAAAAAAAAAAAAAAAAAAACAATCAAATGTTTTAGGTGGAAAAATTTATTAAGGGCTCTATTTATAAACGAAATTATTATTATTTATTATTTATTATTATCGGTTAATTAAGATCAAAGTATACTATTAGACTTGACCCTATTCGTCAATCAATGTTGACAATTTCAATACAGATAATGTACCTAATAAAAGTAATTGGTTCAATCTTTACATATTAATCACTATTTTGATCTGTTTAATCTGTCAAAATTGTTTCTTTTTTTTTTTTATAAAGTAAATCGTTTAAAAGCATAATACATATTGAATTTTAAACTTTTTTTTTATTTTTTGTTTATATCGTTTAAGAAATTATTTACTTTTTTTTTTCTATACGATGAGATTTTTTTAATAATAGATAATTTAAATTTATACGATGACATATGAATGATAAATAAATTTTAAGTAATAAGCGAGAATCGGTTTAAAATTTATACTTTATATTATATTCTTCGATGGCTACCACTTGAATGTTATATTTTTAAATTGGTACAGTCAGTTTGATAAAAGATCATATGAATTGATGTGGACATATTAAGTAATTTTGACTAATCTTAACATATAAAATACTGTCAAATTGTTCTGAATAACTGTAAATTATATCGTTCACTTCTTACTAAGTAGTGACTAAAGATCATAACATTTGATCGCTTGATGCTTCGACTGGTCCATTGAAATATTCCTTTTATTAATTATCTTGGCTCAAATGAATGGTGGAGTGATTTGAAGTCACGAATTGAGAGAAAACCCCCCTGCATTGAGGACTTAAAAAAGTAGTTTATAAATCATCTGATTATTAAACAATTTTGTGGAGACCTATTTACAATAATAAAATACGAACAATTGGAACAGCTTTACCGTCAGATGATTTACGACCCATCCACTTTCCAATTGCAAGACTATCGAATATTGGCTTTTATCCTAACAGGACTGGTGACAACTATCTTTAATTTTCATTATTTTCAAGTAAAACAATCAATCTCAAATGGTTAACACTACACACAAAATTATGCTACCATACTATCGGTCTTAAATTCAATTTAAAGCCGGCTACTACTTGACTTAAAATGTACAGTTTTACGAGAAGTTTGTATTAATCAGAAAAAAAATAAAAAATGCATTTCTATTAGCCATAAATTAAAGTAAATCTAATAAGTCTGAATTGATACCATTACTATTGGTATTATTGGTACTAGTAGTATTTGGTTTTAACATTGAATTTGGTTGTAAAATTGATTGACTACCTTTTGGTGATAATACAGTATTAAAACCTGGTGGATAATTTACATTTGTCAGTTTATAATTTGTCATAATATTATTATTTGTAGTTGGAGTAATTGGTAAATTCTTCATTCTATTAATTGAGGACTCATTTGCCTTTGAATTGCTTGCCAGTTGAAAGTCATCAAATTCATCCTCATTACTATAGTCATTTTTCTCAAATGTACTTTTTAAATTACTTAATAAGTTATTTGTGGTTTGTGTAGAATTTTGATTTGTTGCACCAAATGATAATGGAGTTGGTGACGATGTTAATGACGATTTGTTGGAATTCAATTGTAATGGTTTTGTTTGTGATTGAACTCTTGGTTTTGGTTTTGGTTTTGATGGTTGCATTATTTTAGTTGTTGGTTGCATAATTTTAGATGTTGGTTGCATGACTTTTGATTTTGGAGCAGCTTCCTCTTTTTCTGGTTGTTTTATAGTTTGTGATTGTAATAATGATTCGAAATTGCTTGATGTACCATTATTCGATGATAGACTAACTGCTGGTAATTGCTCAACTTTTTTGTCAACTAATTGCTTTTGTATCTTGTTGATAATTGATATGAAACTCTTAAACTTTTTTTGATCACATTCACAATTGAATGCAAATAAATAACATTGAGGTAATAATAATTCTATTGAAGTTTTCATATCTAAATTTATATGTTCACTTGTAATGATTTTCTCAAAAAATGTCAATAGTTTAATAATAATATCTTGATCTTTATTTTTAATGGTTTTAGTTATGGGTAATAATTGTTCCTCTATTATGATTCTATCAATTACTCTTTTATCAATGAATGCGTCAAATGTATCTAATATCTTTAATTTTGTTGAATACACAGTTGTTGATTGGAAGATCTTACAAAGTAATGGGAATAATGTATTTTTCATATATGGGAATTCTATCTTGTCAACAAAATTAGGTAGGTATGATAAAAATGTTTCTTGTAATATAATTTGTACATCCTTTTGATCTTGTTCTTTTGATGATAAAGTAAACACAAGATCTAGTATGCTTTTGATAAATCCAATAAAAAGTTTATCATTTGATTTTTCTTGTAATACTGTCAAATTCTTTATTAAAACTAACCTTGTTTTAACTGAAGCATTTATTAATTTGGTGAAAGTCTTTAACTTTTTGACTTTTTCGTCCTTAAATATTACGTCATAAACTTTTTCGGTAAATGTAGTATTGTCTTTGAATAATACATTGAAGACTCTATCTTGGAAAGTCAATGCAGATAATGATTTGGATATTAATAATATAATCTCTAATGATAAACAGATTAATTCATCAACATTTGGATCTATCACCGCTGATTCATCTAATACGGTCAACTCATTTATAAGTACACCAATTAGCAAAGGCAATAATTTCAGTGACTTGAAAGCTTGTGGAAATTCATTTATTAAAGCAGCATCTTCCTCAAGTAACCCTTTCAAGAATACAATTTTTTCATTGATTGTCTTTGTTGAAAACTCATCAATGAACCACATTGCTTTTATAATACTACCATTGAAATAATCAGAGTCAATAAATTGATCTAAAGATAATCTATCATATGGATATCTTGCTAATAATTTAGGAAATAAGTTAAACAATTTTTCAGGAACATCTTTCAAAATGTATTTTAATTCGGCTGGTCTATGATTATAAAATTTCCTTTCAAATTTTTTAAACTCTTGTTTATATTCTTGTAAATTATCCGCAGTAATAAGGTAGTCATGATTATATAAGAAAAATATCAACATTCCAAATGACCAGACATCAGTTGTAAATTCTAATTTCCCTGAATCAATTAACTCTGGTGATGTAAAACTCAAATTTAGATTAGCAAATGGTACTGCTGAATTTGATATAAAAAATGAGTCCCTTTCTTGTGGGGATATTTCATTTAAATTTTGTAAAAATTTGAATCCGGCTAATTTCCAATCACCTTGATTGTTGATAAAAATAGATGATGGTTGGATATTTAAATGTATGATGTTGTTGCTATGTAAGAATTGTAATCCTTTTGCGCATTGTAATAACCCCTTTTGAATTGATAAAGAATCTTGTGTACCGGCTGTAATTAAATTATTTCCAATTGATTCACTAACAAATAAAAATTTGGTCTTAGTTTCCTCTAGGACTTCATAAATTGTCAAAACTTGTGGATGTTTCAATTTACTTAATTGGTTCACTTCGAGCTTTATTAGTTCATAACATTCTTTAATAATTTTCTTTGGATTTGTTGATTGATTTATTCTTTGAACTTGTGATTCGAATTTAGTCTTATCAAATATAAATACTGAAACTATTCTTCCACTTTTATGTTTTGCAGGATATATTGTCCATGGCTCAGATACAAATGTAGGATTATCCAGAACATTATATTGAGCTCTGATTCCTGTCTTGAAACCCAATGAACTTAACATTGACGATAAGTGAATATCATTAATGGACCTCAAAATATTTTTATTTTTTTCTATTTTTAATTCAATTGAAAAACAAATCTTAGACAAGCAATAGCTTCAACTAATACTACATCATTAATACAATTCTCACCATGGATATACTAGATAATACATTTAGAAACTCCGCTGAAAGACTAGATAAACCATCTGCTTACCTAATACGAAAAGCCAGAAACAATTATGGTGAACTAGAAAGAGCTATGACATCACGAACAGTATATGTTGGAAATCTATCACATTTTACTACTGAAGAACAAATTCATGAATTATTCATGAAATGTGGTCCAATTGAAAAAATCATAATGGGATTAGATAGAAATAAATTAACACCTTGTGGATTTTGTTTTGTCATATATAGAACTGAAGACGGTGCATTAAATGCAATGAAGTATTTACAATCAACTGTTTTAGATGGTCATAATATATCAATAGATCTTGATCCTGGGTTTAGAGAAGGTAGACAATTTGGTAGAGGTAAACATGGAGGTCAAGCGGCTCAAGAAGCAGCAGCAGCTCAAGCTAATGGACAAGGATATGATGGATCAAATTTTAGAGGTGGACGAGGAAGAGGACATTTCAGAGGTAGAGGAAATGGTTTCAGAGGTGGGAGAGGAAATTTTAGAGGTAGAGGTGGAGCACAAAATAATCATGGTGGATTTAGAGGAGAAAAATCGAGTGTCTATATACCGTCAAAAGATCCAAATTATGATGCTCCAACTACTTTTAATCCAATGGCAAATATGAGTCAACAATAGCAAATTTTTAGATAAGGCATACGGGGTATATATTTGAATAAAAAAATCACGAAATTAAATAAAAAAACTATAAAAATAAAATTGTAAAATTTCGAGCAACGTATAAGAAGTAAAATTCTCTTCTAACTTTTTCTAAGGATTATCTGAGTCATTGGCATTTTCCTCAGACTTACTTGCAACCATCTTTTTGGTATGTTAGAGGTTTAAAACTGCCAAAAAACCCTACTTCATTGGACCGTTCCCACAATTGATATTGTTATCTGAGAAGAAATTAAGGAAACAGTTATTGTCATTATAACAAACTCTTGCCAATTTACCATCTTTAGTTGTACAATTTGGAGTTAATGGACTTTGTCTATATTTGTAGTTCATAAACTTTTGATTAAATGCTGTATCGTTATAACAAAATTTTTATAAGAAGTTCTGGAGATTTAGTGACAGTTTTTACCTGACAGAAGTCTTACAATGGTGCTTAGTTATTGCAATTTCATGAAAGGAATTTTCAATCACAAGCGATAACTTTTGAGAAGAGAATCGTTGATAGTTTTCATTCAAAAACCGTCCTGTTTTCAGTTATCTAAACTAATAATAAATGTATTCCTGTCAATCTTATTGCGGGATTATTTATTCAGATTAATTGGTTGAGCATATGTTGGCAATTAGGTTGATCTCTTAAAGTTTTCAAACTACATAGTCCGGTTCAAAAGCTTGGTGAAACTATGTATAATTTCTGAGCAGCAAATTTTTTTCTACGAGCATAGCTATATTTTTCTTAGTTTTTTTTGTTTTTCAGGTTCTGATTCATACTTAATTTAAGACTTTAAGCATAAAAAATGACTTTTTTTGAAGTCTTAGATTGTAAATAGACGTGATTGTATTCTTTTTTTTGTACAAGGTTACCATTTTCAATGCAATATCAAAAGCGAAACTTGTATTATATTTTTGTCCAGATTAATCCTGTTTCAATTTAAAATGCATGCTAAGTAGATCTATTATGTTGTCTTAATTAAGAAGAGATTACATCTTTTGCTTATAATTGAATAATTTTAGTTTTTTCACCTAAATTAATTCATAAATTTTTTAGTCAAACGTTTTTTGTTTTTGCGTGGTTTTCAAAATTTAATTGATTTATTCCTAATTTCAAATAAGTGCTAATTTTAATGTTTGAAGTTTTGTACTTTTATTTTGTAGTATTTTACAATTTAACAAGTTGGTGAATGAAATCCAACTTGAGATATATGTAAGAAAATTTGGGTTATGACTGATGATGCTTTGTAGCTGATGCTAGTTTGTGGCTAGTCCTAATTATCTTTCAATTACGTTAATCGACGATCATTCAAAATTCAAATTTGATTGTGTACCTTAAATAATATTTTATTATAATTACAAAATAGAGTTTTGTGTAACTTCTTTATTATGATTTTTAACTTTTTTTCCCTTTTTGTAATCAATATTTTGCAACCAAATAATTTAGTACTTAATATTTGCAACAACTTGACAACAAACCAGCTAAAATAAGAAAGCTTGACAACCATACTAAACAGCTAAAAGACTTTTTTTTGACTTGTTTTTAAGCTCTTTTTGGTAAAATTATCACCCAATTTGTAAAATTATACGGCTTGCATTGCAAATATTTTTGTTGATCTTTCTAATAATTCATTATTAATTGCAAGAAACTATATTATTTTTATTGATTAATTTTACAAATTGTGTGTGATAATATTAAATATGGGTTGTTGCAAAATTCAAATAGACGAGTTTTATATATTATAAATATGTCTGAAATTAATCCAAAAGTATTAAACAAACTACTAAGTAAATTATGAATATTAGATTTTTTCCTCAATAATAAATTATCTTCAATTATATATCAATATCAATCAGCTAGTCCCTTAAGTTACTTTACTTATATATAATTATTTTTATTCATATTATTTACGTTAACTATTTAAGTTAATTACTTTATGCAGATTACACATTTTGCACCGAATGTCACCTAGAAAAGTCACTGAATCAAGCATGATCAGTCTTTTCCAAGAAGCATCAGTATCTAACAAAGATTCAGTTTCAGCCTCAGATATTATTACGATTAATTATTCAACTACCAAAAAACCACAATTCATCGAACAACAACAAGATAAATCGATTCATGATAAAAGTAATTCAACAACAACCTCAACTGCACCATCATCATCAAAAGTTAGAAATAAATCAACAACAACCTCAACTGCACCATCATCAAAAGTTAGAAATAAATCAACAACAACATCATCAACCTCAACTGCACCATCATCAAAAGTTAGAAATAAATCAACAACATCATCATCAACCTCAACTGCACCATCATCATCAAAAGTTAGAAATAAATCAACAACAACCTCAACTGCATCATCATCATCAAAAGTTAGAAATAAATCAACAACAACCTCAACTGCACCATCATCAAAAGTTAGAAATAAATCAACAACAACCTCAACTGCACCATCATCAAAAGTTAGAAATAAATCAACAACAACCTCAACTGCACCATCATCAAAAGTTAGAAATAAATCAACAACAACCTCAACTGCACCATCATCAAAAGTTAGAAATAAATCAACAACAACCTCAACTGCACCATCATCAAAAGTTAGAAATAAATCAACAACAACCTCAACTGCACCATCATCAAAAGTTAGAAATAAATCAACAACAACCTCAACTGCACCATCATCAAAAGTTAGAAATAAATCAACAACAACCTCAACTGCACCATCATCAAAAGTTAGAAATAAATCAACAACAACCTCAACTGCACCATCATCAAAAGTTAGAAATAAATCAACAACAACCTCAACTGCACCATCATCAAAAGTTAGAAATAAATCAACAACAACCTCAACTGCACCATCATCAAAAGTTAGAAATAAATCAACAACAACCTCAACTGCACCATCATCAAAAGTTAGAAATAAATCAACAACAACCTCAACTGCACCATCATCAAAAGTTAGAAATAAATCAACAACAACCTCAACTGCACCATCATCAAAAGTTAGAAATAAATCAACAACAACCTCAACTGCACCATCATCAAAAGTTAGAAATAAATCAACAACAACCTCAACTGCACCATCATCAAAAGTTAGAAATAAATCAACAACAACCTCAACTGCACCATCATCAAAAGTTAGAAATAAATCAACAACAACCTCAACTGCACCATCATCAAAAGTTAGAAATAAATCAACATCAACCTCAACTGCACCATCATCAAAAGTTAGAAATAAATCAACAACAACCTCAACTGCACCATCATCAAAAGTTAGAAATAAATCAACAACAACCTCAACTGCATCATCATCATCAAAAGTTAGAAATAAATCAACAACAACCTCAACTGCACCATCATCAAAAGTTAGAAATAAATCAACAACAACCTCAACTGCACCATCATCAAAAGTTAGAAATAAATCAACAACAACCTCAACTGCATCATCATCATCAAAAGTTAGAAATAAATCAACAACAACCTCATCAACCTCAACTGCACCATCATCATCAAAAGTTAGAAATAAATCAACTTCAACCTCAACTGCACCATCATCAAAAGTTAGAAATAAATCAACTTCAACCTCAACTGCACCATCATCAAAAGTTAGAAATAAATCAACAACAACCTCAACTGCACCATCATCAAAAGTTAGAAATAAATCAACATCAACCTCAACTGCACCATCATCAAAAGTTAGAAATAAATCAACATCAACATCATCAACCTCAACTGCATCATCATCATCAAAAGTTAGAAATAAATCAACTTCAACCTCAACTGCACCATCATCAAAAGTTAGAAATAAATCAACAACAACATCATCAACTACAAATGACCATACAAATAATTCCAAAACTTTCACGAATTTTTTCATCAAAATTCATCATTTATATAATTTCAATGAAACATGGCGTTTAATACTTGCCGAGTTAGCTAAAACAAATCCGAAGTTGAAAAAAGTACTTTCCTTCATTAAGAACATAGATTCAAAAACTGCCACTACAAATGAAGAACAAGAAGTAGATGAAGATAAAGCTATTCAACAAAAATTAGCTTTTGAACTTGAAAGAAAAAGCTTATTTAAATATGATGATACTCCAATATTCATAAATGGTGAGATGAAAGATTATCAAATTGATGGCTTGAATTGGATGGTATCTTTAGATGATAATAATATATCTGGTATATTAGGAGATGAAATGGGTTTGGGCAAAACCTTGCAAACCATTGCGTTTATGGGTCATCTTAAATATAATGGGAACAATGATGGTCCTCATTTAGTTATTGCTCCAACTTCGGTAGTTAATAGTTGGCAATTGGAATTCAATAAGTGGTTACAAGATTTTAAAATCATTGTTTTGACAGGGAATAAAGAAGAGAGAGCAAAAATTATGGAGAAGATTTTAAAATATGAGTTTGATGTACTTATAGTATCTTATGAAATTTTTTTAAGAGATGTAAATTTTTTGACATCAATCCAATTCACTTACACAATATTGGACGAAGCTCATAGACTAAAAAATGAAAAAAGTATAACAAGAAACCAAATCAATCTTCTACAATCAAAATCTAAAATATTAATTAGTGGAACTCCATTGCAGAATAATATCGAAGAATTATGGTCATTAGTAAGATTTATCATCCCAGATATATTTGATGAGAAGGAAGACTTAAATAAGTGGATTAATAATCAAGTTACAAATTCAGATCCTTTACAAAAATCAATAGAATTGTTAAAGCCCATTTTATTGAGAAGATCAAAACAAAAAGTCTCAACACCATTACCAACTAAAAAAGAAATAATAATTTTCACCAAATTAACTTCATTACAAAAAAACTTGTATGAAGCAATATTAAAAAAAGATTATGAGACAATCAATTCAAACAATCATAATACTTTGAAAACAAGGTTGACAAATATAAGTATGCAATTACGAAAATGTTGTAATCATCCTTATTTATTTGATGGAGCAGAACCAGGTCCTCCATACACAACTGATGAACATTTAATTAATAATTGTGGTAAAATGATTTTATTGGATAAAATGTTAAAAAAATTTAAAAATGAAGGTTCAAGAGTGTTAATGTTTTCACAAATGTCAAGAGTTTTAGATATTTTAGAAGATTATTGCAATTTTAGGGAGTATGAATATTGTAGAATAGATGGTTCAACTTCATATGAAGATCGTATTGAAGCAATTGATGATTATAATGATCCAAATTCATCCAAATTTTTATTTTTATTAACAACAAGAGCTGGTGGTTTAGGTATAAATTTAACTTCAGCAGATATAGTTGTATTATATGATTCAGATTGGAATCCACAAGCTGATTTACAAGCAATGGATAGAGCTCATCGAATTGGTCAAACAAAACAAGTTAAAGTATTCAGATTAATAACTGAGAACTCAGTAGAAACTGAATTACTAAAAAGTGCTACAAGGAAAGCACAATTAAATAAATTTGTTTATAAGAATGGAGATGGTGAAAAAGAAGATATTGATTTGAATAATTCTGGTATTATAAATGTAGCCAAGGATCATAAAGTGCAAGAAGATGATATAGAAGAGATTTTAAGAGCTGCTGAAATACAAACAAGTAATTATCAATCAAAAACCTCAAATATTACATTCGCTGAAGCTCAAATCCCAACAAAAACTGATGTTTATATTTGGAAAGGTCAAAACTTCAAAGAAAGAAAGAGAAAAATTGAAGATGATGTTGAGATATTAACATATAAAAGACCAAGAAGATAAAGGTTTTTTATGGGTTATAGTGGAATTTCTTTATTACATTTTGATGATTGTATAGTATTAGTTCAGTTTGTAGAGTATATTAGATTTTAAATTATGTATATTATTAATTTTAAAATAAATTATAAACTAAACTATACAAGGTTATAGATCCACGCAAATTTAAAATCTTTAAAAATATGATCCAAGAAAATTATGGACCACATAATACAATTGGTGATTGAAACTGTCTAATCATGTTTGGTTTTTTTTTTGTTAACATCTGTGGCCTGGGTAAACTCTTGAGAAATTGCTTATATCAATTTGGGATTTTGTTGAGCAAGAAAGTAAATAAAAATGACCAGTAACATACAATTTTGAACCCTAAATCATAAAATTGGTTTAATTTTATTATTTAATTTATTTTATTATTCAATTCAAATTTCTAATGACTACAGCCGTCAAAAAAGAAACTATATGTTTTATGTTTGTGTGTTATCTATATCTTGATCCACTCAGTATTGATGTGTTGCATAAGCTGGTTTTCCTGTAATAATTATTTTCATTGATAATTAATGTGATTATTTTACTATATTGGTTCTAATATTGACTGATGTGTAACATTCATGTAAAAATTTTATCAATTCAAATCTAATTAATTTTGAAAATGGATGATCAGTTGCAATTTCAAATTTTCCAAACCAACTTCAACAAAATCTGTAAATAATTTGATAACTGATCACTTTGATTTCAAGTTGCTTCAAATCACTTAAAAATAATCTAATAATTTCTAAATGTGGTCCAAAAACTTCTTCTAGCTTTTTCAGCTAGTTCGTTTACAGCAGTTCTATTACTTGGTACATAGTCCAAGTTATCAAATTCTGCATGACTTAAATGAAGTTATCGTGAAAGTATAACTTTTAATTCAATAGATTGTCCCCACCTTTCTAACTAATTCACTTGTAAGTAACATACTTGCTTTTGTTTTATCTGTCACAATTGCAAAACAAACACCGGCTGCACCAATTATTACTGCTGGTTCAACAACAGAAAGGAATTTCAATCATAAATTTATCCAATGCAGCATTGTTTAAATAACTCAACAAAGTTGATCCAGTAATTTTGATAATAATTTTAGTGGAGCATCATCAGTAGCACATTTTTATCTAATTTGATTTTATAAACTTTCTTTAATTGCTCTGGATTTAATTGAATCTTGGTTATACTAATTAATCGATGTTGTAAATGAGATGTATTCCAATCTGCAACTATTTGATTATGATGAAATATTAAACTATATGGAAATGTATATTATAACAAAATTATATGCAGAACATTGAAATTATACAGAAAAGATGGAGACATTTCCAAGTATGTAGAAAAAGAAAAGGACTAAGCAATAAATATAAGAAGATACTAGTATATAACTGTTAGAACAAGCATATATAGAAAATACGAATTGAAGTAACTAAATTGTTATTCTGTATTTGAATCATTTGACAAATGTATGATCAAAATTTAATCAAAAACTAAAATAATTTTGTGTAGCTAAAACTAATTTTGCAGTCATTTGAGATTGATTTAAAATAACCATAGACTGTTCTAGAGAAGTCTAAAATAATACTTTCCAACAAATTGTATTACAAATTACAGATTTAAGACATTTCTTCGTCATTGGTAGTAAGTTTACACAACAAAAGAGATATTAGAATGCATCAATATTTGTCTACGAGCAACAAGTACATCGATTACTACTAAAATTTGATATAAATGATGAAGAAATTTGCACTCAGCAAATAAATAAACCCAAGTGTCGATTTGATTTGGATTTGATGGTAAAATTAGTGGTACTTTTGCAGCATCAACCAACAAAAAGGAATACACATCTATCTTAAACAGTTTGAACCTCAAGATGAAAGGGAGAAAAAGTACGTTCACACTAGACTTTGTAAGATGCAAGCAATTTTCACGGTAGCTTAGAATTATGTCAATAACATAACTAATTTTTAGTATAAAATAACTATAAAAGAGCAAGATGTACTACAATTGTATACAATAACTAAAATTTTCCATTCATTAATTAGCTTATTAATTCATTTAACTAATTATCATCTGAACTTAAGCTTTTAGCTATAATAATCTGACTATAATTAAGTTGAGTAATATTTTTCTTGGTTTCAAAATGAGTTGGTACAAAAATGAAATGATCAAATTTCTCCTCGTTGTCTTCATCTTCTGAACTACTGATTTCACTTTCTTCATCTTCTAAACCAGAATTATCACTTGATTCATCGTCTGAACTATTATTTTCGTTTTCTTCATCTACTGCACTAAGATCTTCTTCTTCTTCTTCCTCTTCTTCTTCTTCTTCTTCCTCTTCCTCTTCTTCTTCTTCTTCTTCTTCTTCTTCTTCTTCTTCTTCTTCTTCTTCTTCTTCTTCTTCTTCTTCTTCTTCTTCTTCTTCTTCTTCTTCGTCTAAATCAGAATTTTCAATTGGATCACCTACTGCACTATTATCATCATCTTCTTCTTCTTCCTCTTCTTCTTCTTCTTCTTCTTCTTCTTCTTGATCTTGTAATTGTAAACTATTATTTTCACTAACACCATCATTTGCACTCAAATTTTCATCTTCTTCACTAGCACCATCATTTGCACTCATGTTTTCATCTTCTTCTTCTTCTTCTTCTTCTTCTTCTTGATCTTGTAATTGTAATTGTAAACTATTATTTTCACTAACACCATCATTTGCACTCATATTTTCATCTTCTTCAATAGCACCATCATTTGCACTCATGTTTTCATCTTCTCTAATTTTTGGAAATTTTGATTGAAATTTTAATGAATAATAAAATCCTGAATTATTTTTATCAATGGAAATTGAACCTTTTAACAATTTTGGAAATGCATTTATTGAAAACGAACCATGAACTTGGGATTCATAACTATTACAACTGGAATTCATTTTAAAATAATTACCGGCAATAACGTTTAGCATCAAAATTTTTTCAGCAAAACCTTGATTAAAAGTAACAATTTTGAAAACTCCATCATATGTGGGAAGTTCTCTACCAACACCTTTTATAAAGCTTTTCAAATGGTTTTTATCAAGCTTATAAATGAAATCAGGAATTTGTCTTTCTTTTTTGTACGGAGCGACTGTTGAGTTTATATTGAAAATGTCTTTTAAAGTTTCAATGAATTCCCCATATTTAGTTCTTTGAATAATTAAACCTTTTTTATCATTATTAACATATTCAATTTGTACCAGCTCTAAAATTATTTTTGCGTGTTTTAAAACTTTTTTGTTGAAAATTACACCCTGCTTATCAAATCTACCATACTTGGTTAGTAATCCAAAAATATTACATACTTTTATAGTATCATTGATACCCAAATTTTTAGCAACTTCTTTTAGCTCCACAAAATCAATACTATCATCATTTAAGCCATTGGTGAGGCTTTGTAATCTATGACAATTCACATCGTTTAAACTTTGAGATTTATAGTAAATTGGATGAAACCTGCTATTCAATAAGGATAAATCTTTGGTTTCAGATTTATCATCAATCCCATCACCAATTCTATTGAGGATTTGTTGTCCAAATAACAATTTGAACTGTAAATTTTTTTTGTCATTGATACTTAAAACCGGTGATTCATGTATATGTATCGCATGAAATTCTGCATCTCTGAAAATACACTTTCCTGTTTTTAAATTATAAGCTAATACTTTAAATTTAATATTCTTTTTTAAAGCATCCTCAATTTCATATAAATTTAATAAACCAATCGATGTTACAATTTTAGCTTCATCATATATACCACCATTTAAGTAATTTAATTTCTTGAACATGATAGAAACAGTCTTTAATTTGTATCAGTGAATAGACTTAAATAACAAAGTTTGAATTATCTATGAATAATATTGTTGAAATTTTTTGGTTGACTTTAATTGTAAAATACATAAATTGTGACAATTTTTTGATATAATTAAAGTTTAACAAATAATAATAATTTATTGAATATATTATTATAAAATTAAGTAAGGCTAGGACAGTCCCATGTCACTAAGCTGAAACTGTTCACATCGACCGAAAGGACCTCAATTTGGTAACATATTAAAAAATTATGTAAAATTGTATAATCAATCATGCATCTCTAAAAATTTTGTTTGAAATTAATTAATCATATGAACAATTTTTGCTACCATAACACCTCTTGACAACCGTTATGAAATTTGTAATTATTTGCCTTATTTGGTATTGACAATGAAAGATCATTAATTTAATCTGAAACAAATTTCAAATTTTACGGGGTAGGACAATAATTATTTTTTAAAGAAAAAAAAAAAAAAAAAAAAAAAANTAAATTTGTATTTGTTTAATTAAAAATGTATAAGTCTTGGCAAACTTAATCTAGTTAAAACTTAAAATTTAAAAAGTTTTATAATATTTCATTTCATAAAGTCTTAAGTTTTTATGGAATATTATAATTACATATGAAATATGAAATATGAAATAAATCTAGACTTTGTTAAACAAAATGGAGATCTATGTCAAATTTGCCAAATTAACAAAGTTGAATGAAAATGAAAAAGAAAAAGTAGACAAATTTTTTTTTTTTTTTTTTCAATACTTTACAAATTTTAATTATTTTGTAATTAGGTATTAGATCAAATTTAAACATAAAACTCAGAATATCATCAATACATAATTATTATTGTAATATATATATATAGATCGTCTGTTAAAGTAGTTTATAAGTAAATAAGTAATATAAATTATTTGATTATTATTATTAGATACATCTTTTAAAATACGATACGATAGATCTAATTAATAAAATAAGAACACAAAAATAAAATAAATTATTTATTCAGTAAGAAATAAAAAATAAAAAATAAAAAATAAAAATTAAAAATTAAAAAATTAATAATTGAGATAAACCAAAGGTCAAGTCAAAATACATGTTTTTATAAAATGACAAAACTATTAGATACCATGAGTAAATCAAAGAGAGTGATTCAAATTGAAACAAACATATAATAACTCAATACCTATTAATTAGATGCAGATTCATTGTATAAACATAGACAAAACAATCATGAAGCAATAGTTCAAATTCAAAAGTGAAAATAATTTAAATATTAAAAATCAGCGTTTCCACCATGTTTCAGATTTGAAAGTATAATTAGACGACCAAAAATCGTCAATTGATTATTAAATTCATAATGAATACCTTGATGATTTTCCGTATTTTATTATATAATTTCATATAGTTAATTAATTTTCATTTATTCACAAATTTTTCATTATCATTAACTTTAACCAAAATTTCAAAGACCACATAATGGCTAATGAAGACTTATTTGTTTCAAATTCAAGTTCAAGTTTAGATTCAGATGGGATAGAAGATGAAGAAGAGGAAGTTGATCTATCTGGTGAAATGAGTCAATTAGATATTGATGTTGATGTTGGTAATGAAAGTGGTAACAATATTGACAAAGTTTCATTAGAATTTTTAAAAGCAAATTCAATTAAATTTGATGATGAAGTGAGAGTCAGTTCAAGTGAAGACAGAGACAATATGGCTGCTTTCAAATTTCAATACAAGTTATATAAACGTAGCATTAAGTTTGATTTTGATACATGTGGCAAGAAACTGAGTAATCATAAAGAGTTTAAACAATTAGATTTTTTTCAGAATAGAAGAATCAAAAAATTCAAGTTTAAAATTAGGGACAAATTAGATTTATCAAAATATGCTAATTTGAATTACAAAAAATATCGGCATAAAGATCCAACCAAATGGTTTTTCAAAGACCAGTCAACAAAAATCAAGTATCCACGCAATTACAAATTGGTAATAGATAGAGTATTCAACAACGATCTGGATCATGAAGGTGTTTCTGCTACAGATACAGAGTTGCTCACGCAACATAATGGTTGGAAAAGTATAGATCTAATTGATTTCGATAAAGAGAAAATAGCTTGCTACAACAACAAATCTAAATCACTTATTTATCAATTAGCTAGTAGAATTACATTTTCCACTGGTTTCAAGCAAATTAGGAATTTTGATGGTTTAGTCTTGGGTGTAGATCAAAAAGTTTTACATCAACTAAAAAATACTTCAATTAAAAGATCAAGTTACGGTCCATTTGTAAATGCTGTTCCACCAAGAAGTAAAAATGAAGGTCATGACAGAATTAGATTAAAGCATTTTATTGATCATGGCTACAAAGGAAATGGAAATAGAGAAATTGTGACAGAAATTAGAAATTTGTTAAAGTTGGACTCCCAATCCAAGTTCATCAGTTTTTTGGAACTCTTAGGATTTTTCCTAGGAGATGGGAGTCTCAAATTTGATCGAAATGGTGATTTGGTATATATTATTTTTGCACAAATTAAATTGGCTGATTGTGTTTACCTCGAGAAGTTACTTCTTAATTTGAATTTAAAAGTGGGAAAAGATTGGAGAGTGCTTAAAAAAGTCGTTCAACATCCAGGATTGGAGTCAAAAGTTCTTGAAAGATTCAGAAAGCTTAAAGAAAATGACTTTGAATATGACAGTAGTGAAAATGATAATGCTTCAGATGATGATGATGAAATTAATACCAGTGGAAACGATAATGCTTCAGATGATGATGATGAAATTAATACCAGTGGAAATGATTATGCTTCAGATGATGATGATGAAATTAATAGCAGTGGAAATGATTATGCTTCAGATGATGATGATGGTGAAATTAATGCATCAATTAATACCAGTGGAAATGATTATGCTTCAGATGATGATGATGATGAAATTAATACCAGTGGAAATGATTATGCTTCAGATGATGATGATGAAATTAATAGCAGTGGAAATGATAATGCTTCAGATGATGATGATGACATTAATAGCAGTGGAAATGATAATGCTTCAGATGATGATGATGAAATTAATAGCAGTGGAAATGATAATGCTTCAGATGATGATGATGAAATTAATAGCAGTGGAAATGATAATGCTTCAGATGATGATGTTGAAATTAATACCAGTGGAAATGATAATGCTTCAGATGATGATGTTGAAATTAATAGCAGTGGAAATGATTATGCTTCAGATGATGATGATGAAATTAATAGCAGTGGAAATGATTATGCTTCAGATGATGATGTTGAAATTAATAGCAGTGGAAATGATTATGCTTCAGATGATGATGATGAAATTAATACCAGTGGAAATGATTATGCTTCAGATGATGATGATGAAATTAATACCAGTGGAAATGATTATGCTTCAGATGATGATATTATTCAAAAAGAAAAAGATACTGAATCTCAATCTGAAGATATAGCAGAGAAGGTCGACGAAATTGATGTAAACCAAGTATTAGATGAAGCAGGTATTACACACTGTAATGTATTCAGTTTCACAATTATATCAAAAGTCTGGAAATTGTTGTTCACCAAATTCTTTGCTGAAAAATACACAACTTCAAGATTTTATATCAAAAAGAATTATAAGACTTCTGTTAAACCAACAAGTCATTTAAGTTGGTTTCATCAATTGAACCAAATGGAAACTTCTGCCATCCTCGAGGGCTTAAATCGAGCTGATGGCAGAAGTGAAAGGAGAAATCTGATAGGAACTGGAAGTTTTGATTTCATGAACTTCATATCACAATTGAGTACTCATGCCGGTAATGGCTCTAAAGTTTATGTCAACAAACAGCCAATTAGATATTGTTTATTCAAAGTTCGTGAACAACAGGTAAGAAGGGGTAATAGGACCATAATTAGTCAACGTGATTATCAAAAATTGCGAAAATGTGACCAAAAGTTATTTCATCGCTATATGGAAAATGCGGAATCTGTTTATGATATTGCTTTCAGGGATTGCAAAAGAAAGCTTACTTTGGATGGTATTAGAACTCACAAAATTGAAGATATACCAATTAAGATAAAGAAATGTAAATTAATGAAATTGAAGACTAAATCTGGTTTTGTAATAGTCAGACCAAAGTTGGCATCTGCTGGGTCACTAATAAGAGGTAATCCTACCGTTATCGCTAGTCACGAATTTAATTAATGGGTTTATTGTTCTTATTGCAAAAATTAATCAATATTCAAAAACTTACTATTAGCTGTTGTATCACATTATTTTTCATAATATGTATACTCAAATTAACATTCAATACAAGTAAAATCTGATATTCTCATCTAGGTTAAATATTTGAAACAATTATCTCTTATAAAGTTAGATTTTAGTCGAAACCAATATCATGATACTTATATCCAATTAAATGATTCACAACGTATTTGATTTTAAATGTAAAGTCTTTTATATATAGGGGAAGGATTTTTTTCATTTTTGATATATACATACTGATTTTTAATGCGCAATCAATGAATACCTTTGTAATATTTTCAAGTAATGGTTCATCACAACGCTTATATATGATTTTTTATAAAAACACCTTGATGATTATGATAATATTAAGGTATTTCTTATCCACAATGTAATCACGTGTTTTAGTAGTTATAAATCCGGTTACATGTTATTATTATATTATTATTTAAATATTATTAATGCTTAAATTTCTATACTAATTATACACACAATTATAATACCATTATTATGACTGCAATAATATCAGAAGAAGAACCAAATCATAATGAGAACCATTCAAGGTCACCATCAATAGATTCTGATTCATCAAACTCAACAAAAAGTAGAGATAAAAATCAATCATCATCAAATCTACGACCTTCATTGCAAAATTCTGTGAGATCAGTTTCTACTTCAAATATATCAAACAATAGCAATAAGAAAACTCATCCTCCACCGAGACTTAAGACTCATAATAGATCTTTATCACACAATAAGTTATCGAATAAATTGTCATCTTCATCATCAACAAATATAGCGAGACCAAACCTCAGTAGATCAAAATCCACAGATGGATTAATGAAAGGGAGACAAAGTGCAGCAGCATTGAAAAGAAATAACAAATCATATACAAAAATTGCGGGGTTGCAACCATTAACCAAAACAGTATCGAATCAATCTTTGAAATCGAATAAATCCAACACATCATTAAAACAATTCGGTCTGACTTCATCAGTAGGTTTAAAGTCAAATGCAAGAAAAGGAAAAGCAGTAATAAATTTAAATGATGATGATGGAGAATTTGAGGATGTTGATGAACCGCCAGATGTTCCTGTTCCTGAAAGATTTGATAGTCAAGAAACGATATCTACTACTCATCTGAATTCTGATCAAAATATTCCAAGTTTATATGAACAAATTAATAGAATCTTACCAGATCCAACACCAGAACAAGAAAAACCAAAACTTGAAGTATTGGAGGAGAGTACTGATAAAGAAGAACCGAAACGACCTGATTTAATATCATCAGTTCAAAGTTCTGCAGAGGATTTCAATAGTAATTTATATGGGGGATCACTTTTATTATCACAATCAACAGGGGTAGTAAGAAAAATAGAACCAATGAGTTCTAAAAATTATCCAACTGAGCCATTACCAGAATCTGCAAGTGGTATTTCGTTCAAAGCAAATCCAATGGAGTCAAACTTAGCAAAACCAGTAACTACAAATCAAAATGCTATTCAAAAAAACTCATATCAACCTGATCAAACTATTTTCAATAATTTACAAAGAACTAATAATCAATATATGCAAAAAAAGCCAACTTCAAAACAACTTCAAACACAACCACAACCAACAAAAGTAACGGGTAGTTTGAAAAATGGGGCAAATAATTTCAATGAATTTTTACGAAGCAATAACAGCAATACAGATCAATTTCAACCAAAAAATATAGAAACTAGAACACAACAAAAATTATGGTTACAAAGGGAAAGTTCTTTAATGGATGTAACAAACATGGACCCAACAAAATCTAATTTTTCGAATTTATCATTAAATAATTTAATGTTTTCTCATAATTATCCTAATTCATATGGTCTGCTGCATGTGTTACCATCGAGTGTTGGTCCAATGACTCCAGTCACTCCTGGTGATAATTCTTCTCAAGATGGTCATATGACAAATTCAAATAATAATTCAACCACGAATATAAACGGATTGTTGTTAATGGTGCAGAATTCTCATCAAAATTCTATACAAATAAGAACAGAATTTGAAAGACTTAATAGAGAATACCTAAATGTTAGGAGAAACTTGAATCCAATAGCAGGAAGTTTGGATAGAATTGAAAATTCCAAAAATGAGATCAAAGTTGTTAAAAGTAAAAAAAATAGGACAGAATCAAATAATGCAAACACTTTTGAAGAATATGCTCCTGCAATACAAGAAAAACAACCAGAAATTTCAAGTAAAGTCAATAAAATCTGGCAAGATGCTATAATTTCAACTCTTTCCAACAAAATTTCATATCAAGATCAAAATCAAATGATGTCGAGATTATCATCATTCAATGGACATCAATCATATAAAAATAGAACAACAACCAGACTTCAAAATAATGAATAAAATAACTTGTATTAAAATTTAAATTATATATACATGAATGAATAAAATGTTTTTAACCTTGTCTTTGTTTATGTTTACCATTAGCTTTGCAATAAACGTATACTCTTCCTTTTCTTTTAACTAAATAACAATCTTTACAAAATTTCTTTACTGATGTTCTAACTTTAAATGTTCTGAAAGGTTGATATAATGATCCCGTTATTGGCTGTATTAGTTTTGGTGTAGCATTGAATATTCTTGGTAAATTAAGTTGCAGCCTTATTATATTAGTGAATGATAGCATAGTGTGTAATTATTGTAGTGTGGTTAAGTAGTTGATAATATGTATGTAAAAGTCTTAGATCTAATTTGTAAAAATGAAAAATCAAATAGAAAAAATTTACACGACCTTTTTTTTTTTAGTGAGAATTCAATTACAACATAGTTAAATCAAAACACGTATAATAATAGTTATTGAAAAGTTTCAATTGATTCAACGACAACTAAATCAATCATTGCACACACATCATACTATACAAAAATGTCAACACTGTCATATAAAAAACAGGATGCATATAGTACATCTGGTGTGCCAGATAAAATGGCTGTGTTTCAGGAATGTTTACAACAATTTAATGCTACACCAGTCAATGCTAAAAAATGTAGACAATTATTAGCAAAATTATTAAGATTAATTTATAATGGTGAAGAATTTCCAGCTCAAGAATCAACCACTTTATTTTTTTCAATTTCAAAATTATTTCAACATAAGGATGAATCATTAAGACAATTAGTTCATTTAACTATAAAAGAATTATCTTCAACTTCTGATGATATTTTGATGGTTACTTCATCAATTATGAAGGATATTCAAGGAAATGATGCAGTTTATAAACCAAATGCTATAAGAACTTTATCAAAGGTTTTAGACCCTACTACCGTTACAGCAGCTGAAAGATTATTTAAAAATGCAATTGTTGATAAAAATCCAATTGTTTCTTCTGCTGCTTTAATTTCTTCATATAACTTATTACCTCATGCAAAAGATGTTGTTAAAAGATTTGGTAATGAGACTTTAGAAACTATACAATCTTACAAATCTTTTCCACCAAATCAATTTCAATTACATGAATACTATGGAAATGCTACTTCAAATTTACCATCAACTTCATATATGTATCAATATCATGCATTAGGTTTAATATATCAATTGAGAAATCATGATAAAATGGCATTGATGAAATTGATAACTTCATTATCAGAAGGTTCTTCATTAAAAAATTCATTATCAATAATTCAATTGATTAGATATATAAATAAAATTTTAATTGATGATGAAGGATTATTTACTCATTTATATCCAGTTTTAGCGGGATTTTTAAAACATAAATCAGATATGGTTGAATTAGAAGCTTGTAAAGCTTTGATCAATTTACAATTGTTATTGAAAGATGATCAATATATGCAAATTGTTACAACTTTACAAAAATTATTGGGAGTTCCAAGAACTGCTACAAGATTTGCAGCTATAAGATTAATTAATAAAATTTCAATAAAACATCCAGAAAAAATTTTAGTTATCAACTTGGAATTAGAAAGTTTAATTAATGATTCAAATAGATCCATTTCAACTTTAGCCATTACAACATTATTAAAAACAATGGGTGCTGGTACTATTGATAATGGATCAGGTGAAAGTGTTGATAGATTAATCACCAAGATGACTTCATTAATGGACGAAATTACAGAAGATTTTAAAATTGTCATTATTGAAGCTATTGAAAATTTAGCTTTGAAATTTCCTTCAAAACATAAAAAATTGGTTTCATTTTTAACTGATTTATTAAGAGATGATGGATCTTTAGAGTTGAAAACTGCAATTGTTGATGCATTATTTGACTTGATTAAATTTTTACCAAATGAAGGTGCAAAACAATTAATTTTAATGAATTTATGTGAGTTTATTGAAGATTGTGAATTTACTGAATTATCAGTTCGTATATTGCATTTATTAGGAGATGAAGGTCCTACCACATCAAATCCTTCTTATTATATCAGACACATATACAATAGATTAGTTCTTGAAAATTCAATTGTTCGAGCTTCAGCTGTAATTTCATTGGCCAAATTTGCAGCTGTTTGTGGTGGTGATGTTTCTAAAAATATTATAATTTTATTGACAAGATGTTTGAATGATATAGATGATGAGGTTAGAGATAGAGCAGCTATATCATTAAATTTTATAAACAACAAAAAGAAAAATTTGATTGTTAGTGATTCAAAATACGATTTAAATATTTTGGAAAATAAATTAATCAATTATTTAAATGATCAAAATTTTACTGAAAAATTTGATATTTCAGAAGTTCCAGCAATTTCTCAAGAAGAATTAAAATCAATTGAATATAATAGAAAATTGAATAAATTAGAACGTGAAACTAATGAAATCACCACCGAAGAACCAGAAAAGAAAAAAGAAGAAAAATCAGAACATGCAACAGAATTATTAAAACAACAAGAATATGCACAAGAATTATCAGCTATACCAGAATTTGAACCATATGGTAAATTAACAAAATCATCAACACCGTTATATTTAACAGATAAAGAAAATGAAATTGTTGTAAGTGTCATCAAACATTTCTTTATTGAATCACAGAAATTAGTATTACAATATAATATAAATAATACTTTACCAAGTATATTATTACAAGACATATCAGTGATTGCACAACCGGATAATGAATTATACCAAGAAGATTTTATTATACCATTAGAAGAATTAAAACCTGATGGTACAGGTATAGTTTATGTATCTTTCAGTGCACCAACAATAGAAGAAGATATATTATGTGCATTTGGTAATACAGTAGCATACACCAATAGAGATTTAGATGAAGATGGAAATGTTGATCCATCAGATGATGGATGGTCAGATGAATATCAAATTGATGATTTATTGTTATTTGCAGGAGATTTTATAAATCCATTATATAATTCAAATTTTACTGCAATTTTTGATCAATTACCATCATCAGATGATTCAACAGGTTATATAAATTCAGATTCATTGGAGAATGCAGTTACTAAATTAAAAACTCAATTGAATATGTTACCATTAGATGGATCAGATTATGTATCAAATGATTCAAACAGTCATACATTAAAATTATTAGGTAAGGATGTTTGGGGTGGTAAAGTTGGTTTATCAATAAGATTAGCTAAAACTGGTGGTAAAATTGTTGGTAGAAGTGAAATTAAAACAGAAACTGAAAATTTTGGATCAATTGTTTCTAGTAGTATATATGATTAGAGATACTATAAATAAAAAAATTATCTTTCTAAAATGTATATTAATTAATTTAACTTAAACTTACTACTTTTTTATTATTATTATTATTTTTGTTTTTCATTTGTCTATATAAAATCCCACCACTAAAATAAACTCCTAAAGCAGCTAATAAAATAAATAAAAAAATCCAAACAGCTGCAGTATTATTTGCTTTTGCAGCAGTTGGACAAGCATGATGACTTTTAACTTCAAAAAAATAATTACAATCATTTGAATTACCAATATATGATATTGTTGCTTTTGCTGACATTTCTCTATCACATGTAAAAGTTAATAAAGTAGATTTTTTTAATTTTTTACCTGTATTATCAAATAAATTATCACAATATGATCCATTTTCATAAGTTAATGTTAATTTTTTACCTCTAAATTTTGGTTGAGTTGAAAATTGTCCAATTGATACAAATGTAGTTTGATCCATATAATAACCACCAACTAAACTTGAATTTACATTATCTTTTATATCATTATTATGTAATTTTTTAAAAGGATTTGAACAAATTCCTAAAGTATAATTTTTACCAGAATCATATCCTTTTGAATTCCATGGTAATGGTTTATTTTCATTACCTAAAGATGATAAACCTCTTAAATCTATAAAACCTTTTGATATTGGATTATATACTGTACATGGATCTAAAGGTTGTTCAGATTCTTCAGATTCAGATTTAAGATTAGATTTTGATAAATCTGCATTATTATTATTATTATTATTATTATTATTGTTATTATTAGTTAGTGAATATTGTGAATTTTGTTGTACATTATTATTAATTGTTGATTGTTGTTGTTGAGGTGATGTAAAAGTAAAATGACTTATTGAATCAAATATATGTGAAGAAGTTTCATATATTGAATCATTTGGTTTTGATCTTTGTAGTATTGTAATACATATTATAATTAATAAAGTAAATAATGGTAATATAACTCGTCTAAGTAATTTTGACATTATTTGTTATTTTGAAATGAATAAATAAATATAATATTGGATATATAAAGTAGCGAATGTAATAATGAATGAATTAAAGATGTTAAATGATAATCAAAATTTGTAGTTATTAAATAATAAAATCTATCATTTATACGTCTAAACTTTTATATTAAATCTTCATTATCTTAATTTGGTTTAATTAAATTTATTTTTTTTTTTAGGTTAAATTATTACATAATATATTATGTAATACTACACTATATAATTACTTAATTTATTATGTAATATATTATACTATTAAATTTATTAGGAGAATAGAATTATAACAAATCTATTTATTAAGAGATCAATTCTTTTACAACCAATTTAGAAATCAATTATTTCATATTGATTAGTTTAATCAAAATTATTACTCAATTCACTTATGGATTCTTGGTCAAATCCTACAGCATTAACAAATATTAATGGATTTGCTTCAAATATTTTAAATTTTTCAGATCCATTATTAAATCAAATTATAACATCAAAAAAGGCATTACAATTATTAGAATCAAATTTAATATCAACTTTAGAGAAAGATGAGAATAATACAAAAGATTTAAAAGATAAATCAATTATTGAATTATTATTAAGTTCATGTGATGGAGATATTGTTACTTTAGAAAACTTATTAAAATCAAATCCAGAATTTGTTAATACATTATTTCCAACTAATGAAGCTGGTGTAACTGCATTAATTTATGCAATTTGTTTTAATAATAATGATATTGTGAATTCTTTATTAGAAAATCATAATGCAGATCCTGATCTTGCTGATACAGTTATAAATCATACTCCAATTATGTGGGCTGTTTATTTAAATCAATTGGATACTATAAAAGTACTACTTAATTTTCAAGCTGATCCTTACTATTCTCCAAAAGATGATGGTAAAAATGCTATAACATTATTAAATCCTGAAAATAATGAAATTTTCGACTATTTTAAATCTCACAATTTATTAAAAAATGCAACAAATGGAGATGAACAAGAAATTTTTACGACAAATACTTTTTCACCAACAGAATTTGAAGATGATTTATCAAATAAATTAAAATTGCAAACTATATCTGGTAAAATTGATGAATCAGAAGAAGTTGAACATGTTTATGAAAATGATGATGAATATATTTTAGCTCAAGATCCAATTTTACCAAGACTACCTGATTTTGAATATGAAAAATTATTACCTGAACAATATATTAAATTTACTGATAGTGATATTCCTTCATTAATTGATTATATTTTTAATTTGAGGTCGGATACTACTTATCAACATAATACAAGACTACCTGCTGCTATTGTATTTCAATTAATAAGATATGCACATTTAAAAGTTGATTCAAATGAATTGACTGATTTTTTATTTGATTGTTTTACTGCACGTTTAAGGACTGTAACGAATACGAAATCTGGAGCATTCAATATGGCATTGCAAGAAGAAAATGCAAAAGGGGCAGGAGATATTGTATTATTAAGTTATTGGTTGTCATCATTACAATTTCTTCATTTTTATTTTTGTAAAAATAAAATATATTCAACATTTCCAAGATTTTTACAAGAGATTATAAATTTAGTACAATCATTAATTGCAACTTTATCATTTTCAATAAATTCTAGATTAAATTTATTAGTGAATGATTGTATTTTAAATTTTACAAGTTTGATTGATGTTTCAAATACTTTATATGCAAAAGACTGGAACCTTTTCAAAAAAAACAAAAAGCATCCAAATAATTATGATGATATATTGAATACTCTATATCCACCAACACAAGATGAAATGATGAAACCGTCACCTTTAAGATACATACAAGTCTTAGGTGCATTAGATTATGTATTAAAGATGCACAATGTTGACAATTTATTCAGAGTACAAACTTTTTCATTAGTGTTCTATTACATTGATTGTATTATTTTTAACAACATCATTAGTCAGAGTAAATATTGTACCAGATCAAAAGCAATTCAAATTAGATTAAATTTATCAGCAATCGAAGATTGGTTACGTTCGCATAATTTGAAATTCCAAAAACCTGAAAAAATCGGTGGTTTAAATCAATTAACAAATATAACCTTGAACAATTTATTAAGTGATGACAAATCATTACTGAAGAAAGACCCAAAAAATATAAACTTTTATTATGATTCACTTTATCATGTTTGTAAGAATCAACTTCAACCAATTATAGAATTGCTACAATGGCTACAGTGTATGTCATCTTTAAAAGATGAAGAAAGTTTAATTAATACAATAAATCAATTTGATTATCTTAATTATTATCAATTGTACAAAGTTGCAAATAAACTATATAAATATGAAGTTGATGAACCAAGATTATCTAAAAAACTTGTCAACTTTCTAAAGTCATTAATGAATGAACAAGGAGAGCAACAAATCAGTAAAAATTTCCAACATTATATGACTCAATCAACCTTCCTATCAAAAGAAGTTTACGTGTATTTAAATCCAAATTATATATTCGAAATTACTTTACCAAATTTATCGGAATTGATTAATAGTTATGGTTCAGGAATTGGTGGAGTTAGAATATTAAGAAGTAAAAAATATCAACCTTCTTTACCAATTAGTATAGTTGATGATATTGATGAAATTTTAACGGAAAATAAAAATATGGTACTCAATGATACTTATGATTATGAAGAAGAAGAAGTAGATGAAGAAGATGACGAAGACGAAGAGAAAGATAATAATGAAGATCAAATAGAAACTGTCAAACAAGTGAAAGATGAAAAGTTTAAAGGCGATGAATTGTTCAAAAGTGTTCAAATGCCAAGTTCACTTTTACATAAAAATTGGGGTGATAACGAATTTGAGTCTAATCCATGGTAAATTTACATTGTTGACACTATTTACATAAATATATACTTGTATGACCTTTCCCAAATAGATACATTTAATACCCACCATATTTACATTTTCGATAAGAAATTATTATTCCTTATAATCTTATTATTTTCCTTTTGTAATTTAATTCTTCTCCACCTCAAAAAATTTTCATTCTTTATATTTTCTAAATTGTTCTTTGGATCAATCATTCCCCAAAGCCATTCTGGATATTCTGAATCTTCTAATGCCACTGGTTCATCACCTTTTTTAAAAATCTTTAAATTTAATGGGGTACCTGCTTTACATGATGATTGTTTTAGTATTGAAGTTGTAGTGAATGACCTTCTTAGTATAAATCTCGAGTTCAACATTGTAGTTTATGTGATGGATGGTATTATGCTGTTTAATATGATGTAATGATATATTAGTTCGTGTTGATTCAAAAAAATTTTATTCATTCTCACCAAATACTTTTTCAAAAAAAATTTCAATTTTAAACAAAGTTATATAAATTTTATACAATTACAACATCACAATGCCACCAAAAAAGAAAGGAGCTCAAGAAAAACCAATTTTATTAGGTAGACCAGGTAATAATTTAAAATCTGGTATTGTTGGATTAGCCAATGTTGGTAAATCAACTTTTTTCCAAGCAATTACAAGATGTCCTTTAGGTAATCCAGCAAATTATCCATTTGCAACTATTGAACCAGAAGAAGCAAGAGTTATTGTACCTAGTGAAAGATTTGATAAATTATGTGAATTATACAAACCAAAAAGTGAAGTTCCTGCATTTTTAACCGTTTATGATATTGCAGGTTTAACTAAAGGTGCTCATGCTGGTGAAGGATTAGGTAATAATTTCTTAGCAAACATTAGAGCAGTTGATGCAATTTTCCAAATGACAAGAGCTTTTGAAGATTCTGATATTATTCATATAAATGATGAAGTTAATCCAACTGCTGATTTAGAAATTGTTAAAGATGAATTAAGATTGAAAGATATTGAATTTGCAACTAAATATTTAGAAGGTATTGAAAAAATCACTAAAAGAGGTGGTCAATCATTAGAAGTTAAACAAAAAAAGGAAGAAGCTGAATTAGTTAAAAAAATTATTCAATTATTAGAAGATGGTAAAAGAATTTATAATCAAACTTGGACTTCAAAAGAAGTTGATGCTATAAATCAAATGCTTTTATTAACTGCAAAACCAGTTATTTATTTAATCAATTTATCAGAAAAAGATTATATCAGAAAGAAAAATAAACATTTATTAAAAATTAAAGAATGGGTTGATGCAAATTCACCTGGTGATTTAATTGTACCAGTATCAGTATCATTAGAAGAAAAATTAGCAGGTATGGGATCAGATGAAGAAAGAGAAGCTTATTGTAAAGAAATTGGTGCTCAATCAGCATTACCAAAAATTATTGTTGCAATGAGACAAAAATTAGATTTAATATCATTTTTTACAGGAGGACCAGATGAAGTTAGAGAATGGACTATTAGAAAGTGGTATACTGCTCCACAAGCTGCTGGTACTATTCATACTGATTTAGAAAGAACTTTTATTTTGGCACAAGTTATAAAATATGAAGATTTAATTGAATATGGTGATGAAGCAAGTGTTAAAGCTGCTGGTAAATTATTATCAAAGGGTAAAGATTATTATGTTGAAGATGGTGATGTGATATATGTTAAAGCAGCTGAAGGTAAAGCTCGTTAAGATTTGTAAATAAATTTAAATAAAATATAAGAACATGTATTTTCATATTTTTTCTGTAAGTAAATGTTTTTGACGTAAGTTAATGCAAGGCACAAAGAAAAGCTTATTTCACGAATGAAACATTTTGCAACCAAATCTACTTTGAATTGTTACTTAGTATTAGTACCAGTCTACTCCATAGGTTCTAAAGCTCTACATATCTTACCACTAATTGAACTATAAGTTATAATAATTGTATTATACTATGTAATATTAATAGAATATAAAAAGTCTAATTGGAAAAAAAAATTAAACATGGCTTATTATTAACTAAAATTTGAAAATGTTAACTTTATAATACAATAAATAATTGATATACAAATGAACTTTTTACATTCAAATACTAGTTATAGATGATTATATCAAGTTAATGAGACAAATGAGAATATCTTTAAGAAAAATAGTCATATTAGTGTCATTAATACTATTAATACTGTTTACATTATTAAAGATAGAATCTTCAATCGGACTTAAACAATTAAAATCTTTAATACTAGATACGGAAAGATTTGATTCGATTTCATTTAAATTACATGATTTACAAATAAAGAAAGAATTTCATTATTCTAATTATTTATACACTGGTTATAATAATTTTACAAATCATTTTGGAAACGACTTAGATCATATAAAATCATTGCCATTGAAAGAAAAATGTCAAATATTATTTAATCAAATTAATGAAACAAATCCAGATTGGAAATTAAGTGTATTTAATGAACCAAAAAATAGATTTGAAAAATCATCGGATAAAAAGGAACAATTCTTTCAAGATAAAATTAATAGATTAAAAGATAAATTTGAAAGGGAAAACCTTGATTCAAAGAAAAAATTCAAATTAACTAAATTTCATAATCAATCAATCCTTGAAGAATTTAATGAAAAAGTTGCAAAATCTAAAATAATAATGCAAGAAATGGCGGACTCAACTACATTACTTAGAATCTATGGTAAATGCTTTTTAAATCAAGATTTAGACAAAAATCAAAGGGACGTTTATAATGAATTTACTACTAAATTATTTCCATTTTTAACAAATAAGCTACCTTTAATTGATGGTGCTTTTAACGATCAAGATGGTTCAGATTATCCTGAAAATCCAGTTGATTTCTTATATAAGAAATCTAATGGTAAAGGAATTGTTGTTTCTTCTGCAACAAGACATGCAAGAGATTTAGTAAGATTGATCATGGTACTTAGAGCTTTGAATAATAAAATACCTATTCAAATTATGCATAAGGGAGATATCACCAAAAAATGGTTAGCTACAATTGAAGAAGCAGCAGTTGCAGATGTTGAAGTTTTATTAGATCCAGAAAGTTCAATCACTCATACTCTGGTTTTACCAGATTTAAAATTACTAGAACAATATAAAGAATATGGATCAGTGTTCCCAAAACAAGATTTAAAATTTGTTAATTTAGCTCCATGTATTAAAAGAACTTTTAAATATTCATTCCCTGGTTATTCAAATAAAATATTGGCTTTATTGTTCTCAACTTTTGATGAAATAATACTATTGGACGCTGATACTGTACCATTAGTACCTCCAGAAGAATTTTTTGAATCTCAAGAATACAAGAAATCAGGTACTTTTTTCTTTCAAGATCGTTCATTAAGAGATACAAATGATTATATGGAAACCAATTATTTTACCACCTTATTTCCAAGCAATGAAGAATCAATTGATACTTTATTTGATATTCCAAGAGTCACTGAAAAGACTTTAAATAACAAGTATATGACAGGATGGAGACATTATCAAGAAGCTGGAGTGGTTGCATTTAATAAGAAACAACATTATATTGGTTTGCTAATGATGTTTCCTTTAAGTTTATGGCAAGAACCAGTGAAATCATCCATATGGGGAGATAAGGAATTATATTGGATAGGATTATCAGCAGCTGGTGATGAAAATTATGAATTTAATCCAAATGCCGCTGCTTCAGTTGGTGAAAAAACCGTGAGAACAGAAAGAAAATTTTATCCCAATTCTGTTAGTAATGAAGTATGTTCAACTCATCCGGGACATGTCAATTCTGATGGGAAATTGCTATGGATTAATTCAGGGTTTGGATATTGTAAAAAGAATGGTTATTATAGAGATAGAATAAAGTTCCCATTTACAGTATTTGAAGGTGAAGAATTAATGGAATTATTCAATTCACCATTGAAAATACGATCAGCATTAATTCCACCAGACTTACCAAATTTTAGAGAACCAAGTGAATTCAACCCAGAACCAGAAGATGAGTTTCGAGATTCTTGGAAACATAGGAAAAAAGATATTGATGAAATAAATGAAAATTTACCAAAAGATAGTGAAAGAACTGAATTTATTCCATTTTGGGGTCCACAAAAAGGATGGGTTAAAAACAGTATATGTTTTGGGTATTTTTATTGTGCTTATGATAATGTTGAAAGTTATTCAAATAATAAAGAATTTGATAAGGGGAAATTTTATGAATTTGATGAATCTAGTATTAAATTTTTTGATTATTTAAGTAAAGTTTGGTTGACGGGAATACCCAAGAAAAAGGGATAAAAAAATAGAGTAATAGATAGGTATAGAGATAAATTTTGTATTTTGTATGATTAATTGAATAAATAAATAATGTGTATTATCATTTATTAACAGTAACAACGACTGCATGAAGAACCATTGGTTTTATCAATAATTTGGTCTCTGGATCATAACTATCTGGATTAGCATATGTATCGATAATTGTCTCTACATGTTCTTTAATTTTTTCTTTTTTGTCAATTGATAAATCAGTTATGTAACTCCTTGTTTCCCAATACTTCCATACATCCTCTTTACTAGTTAATTTATCATATAATGCAAACAGATCCAGAATATCTTTTTTGAAGTAGTTATTGTTGAGTAGAACTTGTCTCCATTTACCATGTCTATATTGAGGTACATTTACATCAAATCCCCAAATATATTTAGTAACTTCTTCATTCCATTTTTGATTACCAAAAAAGTTTTCAAATACTCTTTGATTATTACCCTTTTGGTCTAAGTTGTTGAAATATCTACTACCATCATTATAAAACTTACTATCTTCAGCGTTGGAATCTTGCGAAGGAGAACTATAATCAAAATTCCAAATTAATCCTAATTTTGCACCTTTTTTCAAAATTCTATTAATTTCTTTCAAACTTTCATCATCAGCAAACCAATGGAAACCCTGAGCTATAAGAACAGCATCTACTGAATTATCTTCCAAGGGAATCTTATAACTTGATGCATTAATAACATTTTCAATTTGTGGGAAATTTTTTTGAAAAGTTTCCAACATTCCTTTTGATGGTTCAACAACTGTTAAATTTGATATCCATCCGTTATCAATTAAATTTTTGGTAAATTTACCAGTCCCACATGCTATTTCTACTATTTTTTTATCTGTTTTGAAAGTAAATTTGTCTCCTTTTTGGTCAGCTAAGCCTAATTCTACTAAAAATGGATTTACTAGAATTGGAGTAAATGATGGTCTGAATTGATCATACAAAGAATGATTCGAGTTGAATGAATTGACGGCAGTATTATTAGCAGTCTTTGACATAGCTTTGATCTAAGGTGGAAATGAAGAGTTACATAGATTTAATTTCAACTTCGACAATTCGATAATGCACGGTTTGTTTACTTTATTGTTTAGTCGGACTTATTTTAAACAACTCCGCTCTTTTATTGTGGAGAATATTATAAACCAATTATTCGGTTCCGATATCAAAAGAATCTCATATTTGTATTTGGTAGTAAAAATTAAAAATTGGACTCCAAAAATTTTGTGTTGTAAAATTAAAAGGTTTTAAAATTAAGGGGTAATTAAGTTTTAATAAAATTTAATATTAATAAAAATATATAAAGTGTATAAAATATACTTTAAAAGTATATAAAAAGGGGTATAACAAACATAATTTTGAAGAACTAAAATTTGGCAACGAGAAAACTGTTGCTATGTTTATAAAGCAATACCAGCATCAACGCCGACTTCCAAGCCTAATAAGTTGGCAATTTGAGCTAAGACATCAGCGGATAAAGTAATATCTCTTTTTAAATTGATATCAGCTGCAACACCAACTCCTAATTCAATTAAATCTGCAATATCTGCAGCAACAGTAGCAGCAACAGTGTCATCTCTTTTAGCACTGACATCAACACCAACGTCCAAACCTAATAATCCAGCAATTTGTGCAATAACATCAGCTGATAAAGTTAATAATCTTTTTTCAATAGTTTTTTGATTTTCTGATCTTCTTTTTAAAGCAATATCAGCATCAACACCAACACCTAAATCAATCAAGTGAGCAATGTCAGCACCAACAGTAGCAGCAATGGTGTCATCTCTTTTAGCTGTAACATTTAAACCAACATCTAACCCTAATAAGTTTGCAATTTCAGCAACAACCTCAGCAGATAATGAAAGTAATCTTTTTTCATTATCACTTCTTTTTAAATTGACGTCTGCATCAACACCAACACCTAAATCAATTAATCCTAAAACATCAGCGGCAACATCAACAGTATCATCTCTTTTAGCAGTGACATTTAATCCAACATCTAATCCTAATAAATCTGCAATTTGAGCAATAACTTCAGCTGATAAGTTAAGTAATCTTTTTTCATTATCTTGTCTTTTTAAGTTAATGTCAGCATCAACACCAACTCCCAATTCAATTAAATTTGCGATGTCTGCAGCAACTGTAGCGGCAATAGTGTCATCTCTTTTAGCACTGACATCAACACCAACATCCAAACCTAATAATCCAGCAATTTGTGCAATAACATCAGCTGATAAAGTTAATAATCTTTTTTCAACAATTTCTTGAGTTTCTGATCTTCTTTTTAAAGCAATATCAGCATCAACACCAACACCTAAATCAATCAAGTGAGCAATGTCAGCACCAACAGTAGCATCAATAGTGTCATCTCTTTTGGCTGTAACATTTAAACCAACATCTAATCCTAATAAGTTTGCGATTTCAGCAACAACCTCAGCAGATAATGAAAGTAATCTTTTTTCATTATCGTTTCTTCTTTTTAAATCAATATCAGCTGCAACACCAACACCTAAGTCAATTAAATTTGCAACATCAGCAGCAATTGTAGCTGCAATAGTGTCATCTCTTTTTTGATTGATAACATCATGATTAATAACAGCAGCTTGAGTTGATAAAGCTAAAGCACCTAATGATAAAACTTGTTTAATTTGCATTTTGAATATTTAGATTTTTTTTTGTAGTTGGTTGTGAACAAAATGAATTTGTATTTTGGTTGATTAATAGAAAATAAAACATGTGGATAAAATGATGAAATTGATGCTTATTTATATTATTTTGATTTAAATTAGTGAGTATATTATTAAAAAATCACATGGTTCATGGAATTCGATATCAACATATTGTTTGTAGTAGATCCACAACATTATTCCATACAAACTGGTCAATCTCACAAACTAAGAACGATCTCCCTTTGTTTTTGCAGCAACTTGATAGGACTTAAAATTGCAATTTAATTTTGCAACCTTTGTTTTGGTTTTTTAGTTTTTTTAGTTTTTGTGTCTAAATTTAGTAATAATTATAAAATGTATGTTTACTTTTAAAACAAAGGGTTTACATTATGCAATGTGTGACGGCTAAATTATATGCAAAGCTGTATATTCTTTACTACTGAACAACTTTTGAAATTCTTTATTGTCTTAATAATTAAAAGCTGGAGGTTATATTTGGGGATTATGCAAGTTATGATGAGAATTTCGTGTACTCAAGATCTTAACATAACCAAATTATGCAAGAAGAATCGGATCTTGCTTTAAGATCGTTTTAGGGCAATAGTGGTATGAGCCTAAATTAACATACTAGTAAACCATGGAAAAAACTGAAAAAGTAATCAAGTGTTGAGAAATATTACTATTATGTGACAAAATCGCGAGTACATAATATCAATTGTAATAATTTGACTTGAAAAAAGATAATTACAAATAAAGTTATCATGATTTACCATACAAAAGCAAATTAGTCCTATTTTGAAAAAGTTTAAATTGATGGGCGGTTTATTCATAATTATTATTTTTATTGTTCAAATTTTGTATTGTTTAAAGTATCTCTAATACAATAAAAGTCAAAAAAAAAATTCAGAATAGAACTGTCTCACTGTCTATGTCATAAAGAAACAGTACCGTTTAAAACAATAAAAATCTTCTTATCTTTTTAATTAATTAAAATGAAAGAATATAATAAATTAATTGAGTATCTGATAAGGATTTTGTGATAGCAAAATTATAGTATGACAGTTGAAACGAAATAGCTATATCGGATATTAAAAAATTGTATAGGCTTAATTGAAAATGTCAAAAGTTTATTTCATATTAAGTATAGCAATAGCAAACTCAAGGTCTATCTACGAAACAATGAACGAGTCCTATAACGGTTCAATTTTTGAAAACATTCGCTATAGACTTGGTAATTTTCGTATACTCTTATTATTACTAACGAAAAGATCATCAGAAATTTGGCTTTGACTATTACAGCACATTCGTTTCCTATTGTGGTTCATCGAAGTATAATCTCAAAGATTTACAGAACATAATATTTTTGTAAATATTAATCTAGCTTAGTAAGAGATTTTTATTTTATCTTCCTCGCTTTTAATTCCAGAATCACTTGGTTTCAATTTTTTACTTGGAGTCTTTCTCTTTGTTAAACTAAATAAACTTATTAAACTATGAAAGTGCTTATTGTCTTTGTTTTATCAAGTTCAGCTTAACGACAGATATTGATAAATTCATTACATGATAAGAAAACGTAAACAGAAAGTACCAAAGTAGGATACTTTATACATAATTGTGTAACATTTATTGTAAATTACTATTGTCAAAACAATTAAATTATATTTAAAAAAGTTAAAAATTTTGAAGTACTATAATTTCTGTTAATAAGTTTTGTGATTTACTTGCAATTATAATTTAAATACACAATTACGAATGATATCATTTGGTAAATTTTAAGTTTCGAATAGATGAATCATCATAAGCTTTATCACTACCGGGGAGGATGTAAAATGTATTAAATTAAAACAATAGGTGACTACTATGGATGTAAACTTTAAAAATCTTATAAAGTTTGATGTTGATTGGAGTTATGACCAATAAAAAGCCCCAGATAAAAACTGAGTTAAAGATGTGTTTTACTGAGTTTGATATAGAGCCGAACCGGTAAGATTATTTCAAAGTGGCTGATAATTTATTCAGAGCTATACTTCCAGTTGGTAAAACATATTTTCATCAAAAGAGAAATTTGCAAAACAGTTTTAATTTTAAATCTCTTTGACCACTGGATATGAATATAAGTTTTTATCAAACTTAAGTTTTGTGTTTAGATCAATTTGTAGTTCTCAGTTGTAAGCGAATCATAGAAACGTTTGAAAATTCAATAACGGTTTAAGTTAAGCTTTTTCAATTTGTAGTACTTAGTTGTAAGCGATTCATAGAAACGTTTGATAATTTTACAACGGTTGAAGTTAAGGTTTTACGGAAAATTACTTCACCAATTTTATGGATTTGCAATTAAATTTTTTCGTTGCACTAAAACTCAACCCCTAAAATCCGTACCGCAATACATTTGAATTTTGGGACCAAAGAGATTTAAGGATGAAATTATTCAATTTTGAATAACCTAAAAATATGTTTAATAAGTAGTTATACCAAGAAATTTAGTCTATTGTTGGATAGCGACTCTGAATTTAGTCTATTGTTGGATAACGGCTTTGAATTTAACCAAAATTTTTACACAGTAATTATACCAATTGTGTACACAATTATACCAAATAGCTAAAAATAATTTATTTATTTTTGCTCATAAACGTTGCAAAAAAAAATTTTTTGCAATTTAATTTTACTTGTTCCTTTAAACACTATAGAGGTTAAATTTGTTTTGATGAACAATGCAGTCATTTTTTCAACTCTTAAAATTTTAGATTCAACTATGGCAGTTCAATTAATATGGATTGTGGTTTTCTATTGTTAAAAGCAAAAGAGACAACGGTCCGCCTTGTTTCGAGCCCTTATAAATAATAGACATGTAAGTGAATAAAATACGATTTAAAATAGAAGATGATTATTTTTAGATCACAATAAAAGACAAGAACAGTGAGAAACGAAACGAATTTACGAGATACATATAGTTTAAAATGTAATTTGACAGTTAAATTCTGGCACAAGTCATGATCCACATTTTGAGACTTTGAAAAGATGACGGGACTACAATGTAATTTATTTCTTCTTCAGAGCAACCAAAAAGAATACTATATTATCAAAAGTCCAGAACTGTTCATTGAGCTAAAACTATAGGAGAAAAACTATCCTTGAAATTTAGTTTTATTTAAATTTTGGCAACCACAAGTATTAGACAATACATTCAACTACTATTTGGCTTAGGTCAATCTATCCAAATGTGTAAGGAGGTTAAAATTAAAAAAAGCAAAATTTAGTTTGTTATTCACATGGACTCGTGGTTCTCTTAAAAGTTAAATTTGTTTCATGATTCTATGTTTTTCTCCTCTAAGCTATTTCTAAATCTACAAGTTTTCGTCCATCTCTCCGTTCCCCAAAGCTAGTTTTGTATCAATACAGGTTTGAAAATTAAGAAATCATCTTACAACTCCAAAAACGCCTTTCTTTTCGAGAACTGATTTGGAAGAAAATAGAGGTTCAATTAATTGAGCTAGTTTGAAAATACTAAATTATCTAATTACAAAAAAGATTTTCATTTATTGTTTGTTTGTCTTTGTCAAACGCAAATAAATCAGTTTCTTTGTTTTTTTTTAGTAAAAAAGAAATGAACGTTCATAACTTAAACCTTGTCTTTTTAGTTTTAGACGTTTTTAACTACATGATCTGCATTACATAGAGAAACTCATCCATGTGCAAATAATATTTTTGTCTATAGTGGTTCTAATTAGTTACAATTTTTCAACAAAACAAGGGGGTTGCTAAATCCAAACATTGAACTTCAATTTGTTATTTGCTTAAAGGATGTAATTTGAAAAGTCATAGCAAACATCAATTCCCGAAAAATTGATTTTATGAAATTACAAAATTCAATTTTGAAAATCGTTGCAGCAAAACTTGGAATTAATAAGAGTGATTTACCATAAAAAGCACTTCATTTTAAAAACCACTGAAATGCACCTTTCTAGCGTTTTTATAAATGACATAACTAATATGACATATCTTCACTTAATTGCATAAATAGCTCGATTGACAACTTCACTTGCATGTTATTCTTTAGTTTTGAGGAAGTAATGAGATAATATTTATCAACAATTGGGAATTCAGAGCAAAAACAACCACAAGATTATAATTCTTCTGAAATACAAATACAAATGTTTATCAGAAATCAAAGGTCAAAGTAGTTTTCAGGTACTCCAGATTTTATTAATTCACCACCAACTTAAAATCGTTCAATATATATGAGAAAGATTTAGATAAAATACTCATTCGTAATTAAAACAGTGTAAAATCTAAAATATCCTAAATTTCAAATTGTCATGATTTAGATGGAAACAAAAATAGGGATCTGGCATAATTTCCAAATCTAGTATCAATCAATCATTTCAAATTCTAGGAAACGATCATAGAGGATCTACTATTCTTACACTGAGTCACAGCTTGCTCTACACAAAACCATATCTTAATTCCCTTGTACTCAAATTGACTAATTTGAAATATCGAAAAATCTTAAAAAGTATTTGAAGAAATTTATTGTTTATATCATATTTTTTGAGCGTGTGTTTACCAAAAAATTATAGAAGGTGTTTCAAATTTGTATGTTACTTATAATTATATAATTTACTACCAAAAATTGATTTTTATTACCATGCATTAGGTCATCTTTGTAACTTGTAACTAAGGAAGATATTATTATTCACAAAATTATGAATTATTAATTTTCTTTTGGTTAAACAAACGCAAAGTTGCATTGGTAATTCAACATTTAAAAACATGAAACTAGAGCTAATCCTAATTCAATTATCATCAATCATATACGAATCTATTTAAAGTGTCTATACAAATCTCATTACAACTTTTGAGATATATAATACAAATAAAATTGATAATAATAGAATTAAAGCATAATAACCTTTTGTCATCATAAAATATAACCAAGTACCATTAATTTTTTCCATATTATAATTTTCTAATTCAATCAAACATTTAGCATTTTTTTCAAATATAAATTTACTTTCTTCTATAATTTCAAGTTTTTCATCTTCAGTTAAACCATTTCTAGTTAATAATTCATAATTTCTTTTATATTCCATTCTTAATAAATTTTCATCTTCAACATCAAAATTAAAAAAATTTGTACCTAATTTTACAATTTCTTCATGTTTTAAATTATTTTTATGAGGATAAAATCCAGTTGCTTTAGCAAAAGAAGATCTCATTAATCTACCACCAGCAAATAAAGCTAAATACATAACATGCAAATAAGCAAATAGTAAATAAGGTTTTTCTTTTGTAACATTTATAATATGTTGACTAAATTCAATTTGTTCTTTCATTCTTGGATTTTCAAATTTTTCTTTTGAATTATCATAATAAAATAATAAATCTTGTTCAGCTTTTAAAGTTCTACCAATATCTGGTCTCCAAACTTGTTTTAACATTTCAACATATTTATCTTCTGAATTATTTTTAAATTGATAATCTAATGCTATTTCAATACTTTTGAATACATGATAAAAAGCTTGTAAACCTTGACGATAAACTTTATAATTTCTTAATGCAATTGCAAATTTTAATGTAACAAATTTATCAACTTTATCATGTAATGATCTTGTTTCTAAATTTATTCTATTACCTAAAGCACCAATATCAGTTTTTGAAGGTATTATTTCATGTTTTGATATATTTTTATTATTTAATTTTATTGATTTATTTGTTTTTGGTATTGAAGTTGGTGGTAAATTTATTGTTGTTGTTGTAGTAGTAGTAGTAGACATTATTATATTATTATTGTAGAAGTGAGTTCAAAGGTGATATTAATTGAAGTGATGAATGTAAAAACTATCATAACAAGTTATAAATTTATCTTAGATATTTGATATATTATTTATATAGAAGGAACATTGTATTAACTTTAGTATGTTTCGGAGATATCGATATAACGATAAAAACTTTTTTTTTTTTGTTTCTTAATAATAATAATATTGTGGTGTATGTGTGTGTATTTCCTGTATATAAAATTAATGAATAAAATATTCTTAAATTATTATTCAAAGATTTATTTTGATATATTTTAGATAGAGTTAACAAAACTACGAGTATAAATTATAACCATTCCTTATTTTTTGATTCTACTTTTCAATTAATTTTGGTGTTTGAGATTATAATAAAAAGATTTCATATTTTTCCATAGTTTTAAAAGATTAAATTCTAGAATTAAAAGTTATGTTCTCCCCTTCTCTTAATTAAAAATAAACAATTCCATTCAAATTATTTTATCTTTTATTCTTGTTCAAAAAAATTCTTTTGACCGATAAAATGTATTTACAATTGCTTTCTCCGATACATCAATTTACAATGTTTTCATTATTGTTAAAATTTGGTTTCAAAGCGTGATATCATTATTAATGTTGTAATATAATAAATTTTCTTGATTATTCGTGAAGATTACAAGGCTCGAACTCCAAACATTGTTGAACCCAAACAACTATTTATATAGAGCTTGAACAGAGGTTATATATGTTTAACATACGATTTTAAAATTCATAAAATTTCCCCTTTCTAAATCATTGAACAACCTCGTAACTTAAATTACTCGAAGATCTTAATTGTGGTAGCGTTTTTTATCTTTTTAATCAGTGAAACAACGATTTATGGAGTTTCACAAAATAGAATTAAAATAGCAATTAACAAAATAGATTAATGAAATAAACGTTTATATTGTAAGGAAATAGTCTAAAATCAATCATCGTTTGTACACTAAAATGCATTCTCTAATTACCCTGGGTGTTTATTACATTTCGCTTGAATGGAAGCAGACTAATCTATCAAATCAGATAAAGAGTTAATTGTCGTTTTTTACAGGAATAAGTCAATGACAAAATTCTTAGACACTAAAATAAATTTTTGAAATTCAAGACGCGTAAGATATGAAAATTAGTAAAACTAGCTTTTACGTATTTTTTATAAATCGATATGAAACTCAGTAAATGAAACAAAACGAAACGAAAAAATTCTGTGAAATCCCACCCATTGACGGTAATACCATTCTTGGATCAGATGAAATATGTAAAACAAAATGTTATTTTTTAGTATTGCAAATTCTCCCAACAAATAAAAAGTTTTCAAAATTTGAAGTTACTGATTTTACTTCCAATGTACAATTAAATGATGAGATTGGTAAAGATGAAAAAAATTATAGATACCTTTGTACTGATGATAATAAAGTTTTGGAAATAGTCGTACATCAAGATAAATTAGATCCAATTAGCGGTTGGTATGAAGAAGAATTTCCGGGTTTAAAATTAAATTTAGCACAAGACGTGAGAGATAATAACGGGCAAGTATTTGTTGATGATAAAGTATTGATAATGGCAATGACATTAAGATGGAGAGAATATCATGGCAAGTTGGAACCCTACACATATGATCCAGAAGTTATTAAATGGGAACCAGAAAATATGACTGAAAAAGATCAACAAGTTGTTATTGATTTATATAGAAATATACTACAACAAAGAGATTATGTTCAAACATTGCAAAACAAAGCAAGTAATAGACTTCAAAAAATTATACCAGCAGAGTTTTATCAACAATTTTATATAAATAAAAATTACTCTTATAAATCAGTTCAAAAAAATACAAATGATACTGGTAAAGCTAATGAAAATTCAAACACAGTTTATCAACCAACGGAAGAAGTTGATAAATCAAGTAAGCAAAATGAGGAACAATCTCAAGTCAAAAATGAAGATGAGGAGCAAACTCAAGTCAAAAATGAAATTAACACTAGTCAAGCAGGAGTTTCAAATCTGGTAAAAGTAGAACCAATTATATCTACCACTATATTGCCCGTTGAATATGATGAAGATATCTTCGATAATTTATCAAGTAGTGATGAAAATTTACCAACAAGTTCAACAGCATCTCAACCAGCCCAACCTCGACTAGAAGAAAAAGCATCAGTGAATATGGCAGAACAAAAATTAGATTCAGAAGAAGAAGAAGAAGAATTACCAATCACTGAAATGGAAACTCCAACTCATAAAAGATCATCATCAGAACAATCCCAACTACAATCACAACCAAACAAACGTCATCGACAAAATGTACCAGGTGGATTTATTTCAATACAAGATTTAAACGATGCAAATTATTTAAAATTAGAAATAGACAACAAGGTATATAAAATTTTATGTCAAATTATAGGTACAAAACCCGAAGATCTTGCTTTAGTATGTGGTAAAGAATTAGTCAAAAACAAAATAACCAAAAAAATGGAATTAGGTGATCCAATTATAGCAGGATTAAGTTTATTAATTGCTGAACCAAATTTACCATCAGGATCAGAATTATATGAAAATGATTTTTTAGAAATTGAATTAACTGATCAAGACGTTTTAAAATTATTTAAATGTGATAGAATTGAAGAATTATATTTAATTGGTGATAAAATTGAAATTGATTATAAACAAGTTTATGAATTGGAAATTATGAAAAAGGATTTTGGTGGCATAATATTATGGGGTGTTGTGGGTGGTTTATATTAATTGTAGAATATTGTATAGTTTAATAAACTTCTGCAATTTTTATATAAACTTTGAAATCTGGGGAAAAGTGTAGTAGAAATATTTTACGAAGAAAAAAAAATAGAAGATTATTAGAGCAATTCTTTAGCATAAATACGGCAAGTCCTGATCAATAAAAGAGCTAACACAAGACCCGATCTAATATGTTAAGTCTACGATATTTATCAACCCAACCTTTGAAAAGATCATCTATTAAACACTCAATCCCATCACTAGAAGAATTTATCTTCAACAAAAAAGTGAAAACAACATATAAATCAATATTAAAACAATTATATTCAAAATTTAACCAATCATCACAACAACAAGAAAGAAATGAGTTAGTAAAGTTTTTAAAAAATGAATTCAAAGTAGATCCAACTGCTGATTTAAGTCATAGAAAATATCTTTTAAGTTTAGGGATGAATCAAATTGGATCAATGGCTAGTAGTTTAGGATTAAATATAAGAGTATGAGAAGAGATCGATAAAATTGTACAAATTGTACTTGTTTTCAGTTATCTTTTATTTATTTCAAGTTATTAAGTATTGATTTTGTTGAGAATGTTATAGATTCCTTAATTTCATCAAGTGTTGGTTGAATATCTAAGTCAATTGGTAATTGGAAATTTATATCATCAATTTGTTTGATTTGTGAGTTTATTATGAAATTATCTTTTTTGAATTCATTGATTAAAGTACTTAATTGTATGAGTAAAATCTTATAATCTGAATTGGAGTTATTAGAAAATAGCAATTTAATAATTTGAATCAATTCAACTAAATCAATTAATTTTGAATTTGTTTCACTAGAAGTTAAATCATCAACAAAGAAAGTTTTAAGTTTATCAAATTTTAAATTTTTCAATATGAAATTGTACAATGATTTTGATTCATTTTCATTTATGTTGGTTTTAATTTTAAACAAGTTGTAATAATTTTTATAGATTAAGTTTGACCAAGGACTCAAATGTGAAGTATTTGATACTAATTTGTTGTAAGTTTTTAAATGATTTTTTACTTTTTCCTCTTCATTTAATTGATTTATCATCATGTATATAATCAATTTAACTTTTATAGATGAATCGTTAGTTGAAATTTTTACATTCAGTTCTTCTTTAAAATCTCTATTATCTTTCCATTCTCCCAAAATCAATTTTTCATTTTTAGTTAAATAATCATTAAAATAATTCATATATCCCTTATCATTCATCACTATAGATATCTGAATAATTTTTTGTAATACAAAATATAAAGAAAATGATGTTTTTATTCTAAGACCAAAATTTATAAAACTTTCTAATTTATTGTAAACTTCTGATTCAAATCCATTATATATAGTTTCTTTAATTTCTTGAGTTGCAGTTAAATAAAATCTAAAAATTTCAACAAATTGTTCTAATGATGTTTTATTTGGGATTGTTTTTGTTAATAAATAACTTAAAGTATCATGTTGAATCATTTTTATTTTGAGTGATTGGTATATTGGAATTATCATGTCATTTGTATTTAATTGTGAATATAATTTGACTAGTAATAATTTTAATTTGTAGTTGTGTTTATCTTGGATTAAAAGGTTTTTTATAATTGCAATACTTGAGATAATATTTTCAAGTGTTGGAGTTTGGAGTTGCTCTTCAATTGACATGAGGAACAATTCATTAATTGGATCATTATCAAATTCTGATCTTTCTGTTTTAATTTTGTCATAAAAGTCCCAGCTATTTACACTATTTGGCAAAAATTTTTGATTATTGACTAAAACAATTGCATTATTTGGTTTGGATTCGGAGGATTCTTTAATTGCCTCATAGAATTTTGGTGGTAATTTATATTTTGATAAGTCTGGAAAACAACATAATTTATTTTGAAATTGCTTGAAAAATATTTCAGCATTTTCATCAATGCTTTTTTCATAAAGTATATCTAATTCTATTTTAGTGAGCAATTCATTTCTTGAATCTCCTAATTTCTGTTTTAAATCTTCGTACGACATACCCAAATGTTTTCCAGATCTAATCCATAATTTGTAAGTATCAAAATCATCAAATTTGTCATTAAATAATGAGTTTGTGGTGTATTCAAATAATTTTGACCAACTTTCATTTCTCTTTGTAGATTCTAGGTATAATAACTGCATTTCTAGATCTAGTGGGAAATTAATTTCTTCCAAAACTTTTTCAATAGTCTTATAATCTTCATCTAGTATCAAAAACCTGGTATATACATATAATTGTTGATTATTTTGAATTTTTTCATTCTCAATTAATTTTTTACCAAACGATTTGTATAAATTCAATTTCGATTCTTCGTCGTTATGTTGTTGATATAATAAGTAAAAACTAAAGCTGTACCAATAAATATACTTCTTTATTTTACTTTTGTTTAAATATGAGAAAATTTTGTTGAATTTCTTTAAATCTAATGTATCAATACAATTATTAAACCATAGGAAACAAATTTCATTGGACTTTATAGGATACTTCTTGATGATATTTTCAAAACATAAATCTGCTTCTTTTTCCATTCCACACTCTGTGAAAAATTCATTTAATGTCAAAATTGAGTTTGAATCATTTGGTAAATTTTTTAGTATTTGTAAATTGTTTTCAATACCTAATTGAGTTGATTCAGATTTGTATATGATTTTATTCAATAATATCTTATAATATACTCTATTTGGAAATTTTCTAATTCTTTCAGATATCATAGACCGAGCGATGTCATAATGCCCTTGAGCAATGTACTCTAGAAGTTGCTCATCCGTCGTTGAAGACATTTTCAGAATTTTGGTTGTGAAACTTGTTACATAAATCATCTTGTCTTAAAATTTTTTTCTATAGTTTGTTAGGGTAACGATTTGGCGCGTTTTTTCAAATATAATTTTGCAACACAGTTCTTTTTTGGCAACCAATCTAAATCAGAATATTTTTCTTCAGATCCTACTTTATTGCGAAAGATTAGTATACTTTTAAGCTTTTAAATTGAACTCTAAACAGTCTCATTGACATCAACTTGAGTATTCTGCGAGTGTGCAATTTGACTCTTGAAATCCTTCCAAGACATCTTGAAATGCTCTCTCAAAATCAATTACTTGTTTGTCGTCAATTCAAGTCGCGTAGTATAGAAATAGCCTTGTATAAATCAATGACAAGCAAGAACTGACTTATGAAAAACTGAAGACTCAAGCACATCATCATTAAGGTCTTGTGACAAGAATTTTTTATTTTTTTTTTCATTTTTTAGTAATTGTTTTGAAAAGTACAAAATTGATGCCAGAAACCCTTTTTCTTATTCAAAACAAATTAACCGATATCATTATTGATACGGTCAAATAAATTTAACCTTATCTTTAGCCTAAGTGTCTCAAAAATTATCTTATCTTATAACGGTAATAAAATAAAATCAAAATTGTATACATTTCTTGGGGTTTGGTATTTTGTGATTCAAACATCAATTACTTGGCAACTTATAAGCTGGAATTTGAATTAACTATTTGATAACGTTTTTGCAAAGTAATGAAGTTTAAACACAAACCTAACAAATTAGAGTCTTAGAAAATAAATACAAGAAGCTTCTGAATTGTGAAGTGGCTGTTGAATTCAATTGATTAAATTACATCGGCTGTAAAGAGACCCTAGTCTTAAGCTCCCATTCATTGACGTTTCAAGCATTTTTAAATTGTTTTTATAATGAGTATCATAAGTTTAAGAGATCGGATAAACTTTTAATAAGTATAACTGTATTTGGAAGAACACACGGAGAAAATCAATCGTATAATATTTTTTTGTTATAAAATTCATCGTAAATTATAAACCTTAATTTTAAATATTGTAATTTTAGTCTGTCCTAGTTGGACTGGCATAAATACATCTTAATCTATAAACTTATATAAATGTGTCTTTTATTCTTCATTAAATGACGTAGTTTCATCAAATTGATCTCTTTCTCTTTCTCTTCTGATCATATATTCGTAAATCTAGAATGTGTCAAAAAAATAAAATAAAAAAATAATTCGATTTTGTACTTAAAAATTAAATATTTTTTACACCCCCTCAACATATCTAGTATCAATAAAATTAAGTTTGTGTAATTTCAGCCTTTCCTCAGATCGTAAAAAATTTAAAGTTTTTTAATAATTTATTTTAGTCAATTATAAATAATTGAAAAGTAATTAAAACATAACTGATTTACGATATATTCAGTTTGTCCCTCAAAATAAAATTCTATTCAAACATAAAGTCAAATAAAAGAGTCTATTCAGAATCTATTTAAAATATGAAATGTTAGTTTTAGCCGGTTTTGAACTAATTATAGAGCCGAGATTTGCCAATTTGAATAACTGTGTGAACCAAATTTCTTGTCTTTTACACAAGTTATTTCTTGGTTTTTATTTAATTGCTTTTTAAATTTGCTGTTTGAGAAACTATTTAAAATGGAGGGGGGAAAATTACCAAGAAAAAAAAAAATAGGACGAGAATTTAATTACTAGCATGATCATTTGGTAGTGGCACAAACATCACGGGAAAAAAAAGAAATTTTATAAATTTTTAGATTAATTAGATTAAAAGTTTAACTCCAGAAACAGATCTCCAGATTTTTCATTCAATACAGTTAACATCTACTTGGTATTGAGATTGGAAGACTTCAAAGATATTCTCAATAACTCTCTCAATATAGCTATCCTCGATGTAGTCAAATATCAGAAATCTAAAATTAAGGTAACACATCTTGGACCTTGAATAATCAGATCATTGCAATTCAACTGCAGCAATATATATTTGAAGAACAATAACTAAATTTAACTGAGAGGTAAATCAATTGATAAGACTTCAAGCATTATCAAACAGAGATCTGACTACTATTGACAAAGTTAATCTTGATTGTAAGGCCAATACTTTTAGTTAGTATTCTTTGTTAACTCCGGGAGACTTTAAGAAGAGTTGACCACATGTTCAATAAATCATTTTAGATCTATAAAAAATGTTTCATAATTATTATTTTATTATTTTTAAAACATGACTTTTAAATAATAATATAAATTTTTATTTAGTATAGAATAATAATGTATGTAACTCTTATTTAACCGCTGAAGTATTACACAAAAATTTTAAACTTTATTTTATTTTTCAATTACGGAGAATCTAAAATAAAATGTTCCATTAAAATCAATTCTTTGGTTGAGTTAGTGGTCAAAGGTTTGGTTTAATTGTTGTAACAATAATGAATATTATTTATTATTTTACAATTTCATTATTCAATTTTTGATTTCAATGTAACAAATATTTCAATTATGTTATTCTCCTCAAAAAGTGTAACAATTTGAGAGATTCTGAATTTTGAAATCACTGAATTGAATTTTATTATCTGGACGGATTCGTAGATTGTAAGATAAAGTACCATATCTATCGACAATGATAAGTTCATTAATAATTTTTCAAATTTTCAATCAATTGAAAATGTGTGTGTAATTCTGGGCTGCTAAGAAAAATTCAATTAAATTAAATAAAAATAAATAAATTAAAAAAAAAAAAATTTAATTTTTTGTGCATTATCAAAATTTAAAAATTAAATTAATTTACATACAAAATTGTATTAACCAATGTATATTCCAAGCAATTTATTTAAAATTTATATAAAGGCTATGTCATGTGACTCCATTATTAAAATTAAATTAAAAATGATAAGAAATTAACATTTAAGTTCAAATCTAAAATAATTACATTACATTAATATAAATATCAAATGATATCCTCCTCAATTTTTTTCAATTTCATAAATTTATTTTTAAATCAACTTAATGATAAATTAATTATCAACAAGATATTATTAAACAATTAGTACAAGAATTAGAATTATCAATTATCAATTAACACAGCAAAAAGATAGTAACACACGTTGATTAGATAAATAAATTTTACAAATTATTATTTTCAAGACTTACATTAACCTACATAGTATAGAATAGGTTAAAAATAAAAATCTAATATTTTGGCTATATTTTACTATAAAAGCTATTAATTAAGAGTATTATATTTACATAAATTATAATAATAAATATTATAATTTTATTATTATTAAGTAAATGAAAAACAGTTTAGCCTAAAAAGATAAATAAAAACATAAAATATGTCGAGTTCAAAGGAATCAACTACTACTGAAAAACAACGTACAAATACTGATTCTTCATTATCAGATAAATCAATAATGGAAACAAAACAGCAGCAGCAGCAGCAGCAACAACAATCACAATCAAGTGAGGGACAAAATCCAAATTCATATTATAGACAAACTGTTGAAGCAGTTGCAGAAGAGTTTCATACAAATATTCAAGATGGTTTAGGTGTTCATGAAGTAGATCAGAGACTAGAAACTTATGGTGCAAATACTTTAGGTGAAGGTGATAAAATTTCATATACAAAAATCTTAGCTCATCAAGTTTTCAATGCAATGATATTAGTTTTAATAATTTCTATGATTATTGCACTTGCTATACAAGATTGGATTTCAGGTGGTGTTATTGCATTTGTAGTTGGAATAAACATTTCAGTTGGTTTTGTTCAAGAAGTTAAAGCTGAAAAGACAATGGGGTCATTACGTAATTTATCTTCTCCAACCGCAAGAGTTACAAGGAATGGTGATGATATAACTGTTCCAGCAGAACAAGTAGTCCCAGGTGATATTGTTCATATTAAAGTTGGTGATACCGTACCAGCTGATTTAAGATTATTTGATTGCATGAATTTAGAAACTGATGAAGCTTTATTAACTGGTGAATCATTACCAGTTCAAAAAGATGCAACTGTTGTATATGATGATTATTCCGTTCCTATCCCAGTAGGTGACAGATTGAATTTAGTTTATTCTTCATCAGTTGTTTCAAAGGGAAGAGGTACTGGTATTGCATATGGAACTGGATTAAATACAGAAATTGGTCAAATTGCTAGTTCATTAAGAGGAAACGATGGATTAATTAAAAGAGTTGATAAATCAAACGGTAAACCAAAAAAGAGAGAATATGGTAAAGCATTCTTGGGTACTTGTTATAATATCATTGGAAATGTTTTAGGTACAAATGTTGGTACTCCTTTGCAAAGAAAATTATCATGGTTAGCTATTTTTTTGTTTTGGGTTGCAGTTGTATTTGCAATTGTTGTTATGGGATCTCAAAGAATGATCGTAAACAAGGAAGTTGCAATTTATGCTATTTGTGTTGCATTATCAATGATTCCATCTGCATTAATTGTTGTTTTAACTATTACAATGGCTGTTGGAGCTCAAGTTATGGTATCAAAACATGTTATTGTTCGTAAATTAGATTCATTAGAAGCTTTAGGTGGTATTAATGATATTTGTTCAGATAAAACAGGTACTTTAACTCAAGGTAAAATGATTGCTAAAAAAGTTTGGATTCCAAATGTTGGTACTTTAGAAGTTCAAAACTCAAATGAACCATATAACCCAACTGTTGGTGTCGTTAGATATGCTCCATATTCTCCTTACTTTATAAAAGAAACGGATGAAGAAGTTGACTTTAATAAGCCGGTTCCAGAACCAATGCCAGAATCAATTCGTAATTGGTTAATGACCGCTACTTTAGCTAATATTGCAACAGTAAACCAAAGTAAAGATGAGGACTCTGGAGAATTAATTTGGAAAGCTCATGGTGATGCCACAGAAATTGCTATTCAAGTTTTTACAACAAGAATTGGGTTCGGTAGAGAATCATTAGTTGATGGATTTGAACATCTTGCTGAATTTCCATTTGATTCATCTATTAAAAGAATGTCTGCTATTTATAAGGATAAAGAATCTGGAGAAACTAGAGTTTATACAAAAGGTGCAGTTGAAAGAATTTTAACATTATGTGATACATGGTATGGTGAAGGTTCAAAAGATTCACAAACTTTACAAGAATTAACCGAGTCAGATATTAAATTAATTGAAGAAAATATGGCTGCTTTATCATCACAAGGTTTAAGAGTTTTAGCATTTGCAACAAGAACTATAGATTCAGATTTTGATGAAAGAGAAAAAGTTGAAAAAAATTTAACTTTCCAAGGTTTAATTGGTATTTATGATCCTCCAAGAGAAGAAACAGCTGGTTCAGTTAAATTATGTCACAAAGCAGGTATTAATGTTCATATGTTAACAGGTGATCACCCAGGAACTGCAAAGGCAATTGCTCAAGAAGTTGGTATTATTCCAAGTAATTTATATCATTATAGTGAAGATGTTGTTAAAGTTATGGTTATGACAGCAAATGAATTTGATGCATTATCAGATGAAGAAATTGATAATTTACCTGTTTTACCATTAGTTATTGCTCGTTGTGCTCCACAAACCAAAGTTCGTATGATTGATGCATTACATAGAAGAAAAAAATTTGCAGCAATGACTGGTGATGGTGTTAATGATTCACCATCTTTAAAGAAAGCAGATGTTGGTATTGCTATGGGTCTTAATGGTTCTGATGTTGCAAAAGATGCTTCAGATATTGTTTTAACTGATGATAATTTCGCTTCTATTCTAAATGCTATTGAAGAAGGTAGAAGAATGTCTGCAAATATTCAAAAATTCGTTTTACAATTATTAGCTGAAAATGTTGCTCAAGCTTTTTATTTAATGATTGGGTTAGCATTTATGGATGAAACTGGATTTTCAGTTTTCCCATTATCTCCAGTTGAAGTTTTATGGATCTTAGTTATTACTTCATGTTTCCCAGCTATGGGTTTAGGTCAAGAAAAAGCAAGTGATGATATTTTGGAAAAACCTCCAAATAATTCAATTTTCACATGGGAAGTTATTATTGATATGATTGTTTATGGTTTTTGGATGGCTTGTTCATGTTTACTTTGTTTCGTTGTTATTGTTTATGGTCGTGGTGATGGTGATTTAGGTTATAATTGTAATTCAATGAATGCAGAATTAGATGTTTGTAAATTGGTTTTCCAAGGTAGAGCAGCTTCATTTGCTAATATGACTTGGTGTGCATTGATCTTAGCTTGGGAATGTATTCATCCTTACAACTCATTGTTTTATATGAGACAAGATACTGATAATCCATGGTGGAAACAAACTGCAATTGATCTTTGGGACAATCAATTTTTATTTTGGTCAATTGTTGGAGGATTTGTCTCTGTCTTCCCAGTCATCTATATTCCTGTCATCAATACTAAAGTTTTCCTCCACTACAATGTGGGAATTGAAATCTTGATTGCCCTTGCTTGTACGGTGATGTTCTTGTTGGGAGCTGAAGCTTGGAAATGGATTAAAAGAGTTTATTTTAGAAAATCTCAAGTTAAAAATCCAGAATATGAATTAGAAAGAAACGATCCATTCCAAAGATATGCATCATTCTCAAGATCAGGAACAATGGATAAACAAAGAATCATGGTTTAAATCAAGTCTGATCATAGGTCCGATTAAGTTTGTTGATCAAAATATTCAGAAAAAATATCATTATAAAAAAAGTTGTACATTAGAGATTCACATATTTATTACACATATATTCCAGTTATTTAATTCAAAAATCCATCGTCATATATTATTAAATTATAGATTTTTATATTGCATTTTATTACCAAATTATTAATAAACATCATTTATATATTCGTGATTAAAATATGTCTAAATCTAAGTAAAACTCTACTAAATTAAATCTATATTTATTCTATCACTATCTATAATATTCCTGTGCCTTTGTCTATAAATTCACCTCTTTCATTTTCTATCTCAATAACTGATCTTTCACTTCAAATTTACCACCAAGATGATCAGTTCCACCAAACAGTTGAATAACCCCTTTCTTTGCACTTTTACCATAATCAACAACAGTAATGGAAGTATTGAAAGGAACTCTTAAATCATTAGGAGTCAATCCATTATTTAATTCAAATCCCAAATCCAGATGTAAATAATTACAAAATCTTGTAATAACTCCACCATGAGTACAAAATATAACGTTTTTATAATCCAGATCTAGTAGTTTGTTGAATTCTGTCTCTACTCTTGAACATAATTGTTCTTCTTTTTCTCCAAAATTTCTAAAATTCGGACCATATTTTTCCAAAGCATCTTTTAATAACATATTTTGTACTGGTCCCATTTCTCTTTCTCTTAAATTTGAAGTATAGCGTATTGAAGATTCATCATAATCCTGATTTTTCAATATTTCATTCAAAGTTTGTTTACACCTTATTAAATCTGACGATAAGAAATAATCAATTGGTAAATTTTTGAAAAATTCACCTAATTTTTCAGCTTGTATTAACCCTGTTGTATTCATACTTGTATCTATATGACCTTGTAGGATTTTTTTAACATTATGATCTGTTTGTCCATGACGAACTATATATATTCTTGTTATATTTGGATCTGTATTTACTGATTCTATTGTCATTTAAAGAGATAAGAGATATGAGATTGCAACATTTTTTTTTTTGAATCATTAATGAAAACGTGAGTACATTATTATCTATTTACATTTATTAGTTTTCTATAAAGTTTCTGCTTCCTTTTTAAATTCTTCAAATACTTCTTTTTTAACTTTATATCCATGTTCATCAGCTAAGGGGAAATTCTTTTGGTTAACATCTTTTTTATAATTTTTCAAACCTTCAACACCTAAATTATAAAAATTTGCATAAGGTTTTACAAATTTTGCAATGTGATTTTCCTCAGGATTTTTCATACCTAATAAATCTGAAATCACCAATACTTGACCAGAACAATGAGGTCCTGCTCCTATCCCAATAGTTGGTATTTTCAAGTTATTCGTTATAAATTGTGCGATTTTATTCGGTATACATTCCAAAACTATTGCAAATACTCCACTTTTTTGTAAATTTAAACATTCTTTATATATCTGTAAAGCACTTTTGGAATCCCTACCTTGTAATTTGTAACCTCCCATAGTATTATGTTTTTGAGGTGTTAATCCTGTATGTCCCATTACTGGTATACCAATAGATACTAATTTCTTTATAATTGATAAATTTTCTTCATTACCTCCTTCAATTTTAACTGCCTGAATTTTTCCGCTTTGTATAATTTTTATTGCTGATTCTGTTGCTTGTTCTGTAGATTTTTCAAAAGATCCAAATGGTAGATCTGCCACTATTAATGATTTTTCATTTCCTCTTTGAACTGATTTTATATGATACAACATTTCATCTAGTGTCAATTCATTTGTATCTTGATATCCCAAAGTTGTATTAGCTAACGAGTCTCCAACTAAAGCTATATCTATATCTGCTGCATCAACCATTTTTGACGTTATATAATCATGAGATGTAGAAACCGTTATAGGAGTATTTGATTGATATAATTCATGAATATCTGCAATTGTTTTTCTGGGTACATGAGTATATGAGGAGTTAAGTTTTGAAACTATTGAAAACAGACGAATGGATAGCCTTAGTGGTTTAAACATTGACTTTATGATCTATATTTTAAAGAGTATTGGTAGTGGTGAAAAAAAAAATATTTTAAAACAACGATCGTATAAAATTATCATATTAATTAGATCTGATGACACAATTAAATTAAATTTTACTAAGATATAAATATTAAAAAGTACAATCGTTTCAAGTAATTCAATTAATACCTATTATTATCCATGATTGATAATTATATGGCATAAATAGATTTCATTAATATCATTAATATCAATGTTCAAATCAATATAAAATTATTAGAATTAAATAATAAGCAAAACACCCCTCTCTTAATACTTTTAATATAAAGCAAATTTATGCACCTTTATTTAAAAATAATTTATTTTGGGTCGGTCTCACCGTTATATATAAATATTATTAAATAATTCCCACCTCCGATTCAAATAAAAATTACTTCAATTACAAGTTTTCAATATTAGAAACTAAATTAAATTTTTAAATAACTACTTGTTAACAATGGTTGAAATAGATAGAAGTTTTATTATAAATCATACATGTCTAAGAATTAAAGATCCAAAATCAATTGATTTTTGGACCAAGAAATTAGGTATGAAATTAATTGCAACTATTCCATTTGATTCATTTACTTTGTATATGTTAAATTATGAAACTGAAGAAAATAAACATTTAAATTGGGCAGCTAGAGAAGGAGTTTTGGAGTTATGTTATAATCATGGAGGAATGGAAGAAATAAATAATGGTAATGGTGAAAAAGATAAAGGATTTGGTCATGTTTGTGTATCAGTTGATAATATTGAAGAAGCTCAAGAACAATTTTTAAAAAATGGTGTTAGATTTCAAAAAAAATTAAGTGATGGTAGACAACATAATATAGCTTTTGCATTATCTGATTATGAAAATTATTGGGTTGAATTAATTGAAAATGGTATTAACAAAGAAGAAGGTAAAACAAATGTTTCAAGTTATAGATTTAATCATACAATGGTTAGAGTTAAAGATCCAGAAAGGTCTTTGAATTTTTATAGATCATTAGGTATGAAATTATTTTCCAAAAAAGATTTCCCAGAAGCTAAATTTTCTTTATACTTTTTAGGTTTTGATCATGATCCAAATTTTAAAGAAGGTACAATGGATTTTGCAGTCCAATCTAAAAGAGAATCAGTATTGGAATTAACACATAATTGGGGTACAGAAAAAGACAATGAATTTAAAGGTTATCATAATGGTAATAGTAATGATAATGGAGAAATTCAAGGTTATGGTCATATTTGTATATCGTGTAAAGATCCAGCAAAATATTGTAAAGAATTAGAAACAAAATATGGATCAAAATTAGATTGGAGTGTTAAATTTAATCAAGGTAAAGCAGTTAAAGGTATAGCGTTTATAAGAGATCCAGATACTTATTCTATTGAAATTATATCTCATGATTTAATGTCAGATCGTATGGGTAAACTTTAAATAAACATATATCATTAGAGTAAATAGTTAGTAAATGATAATATTATGAACCCTCCTTCATTACTAATCTCCAATAAATATATTATGATATCATTAACAAATATTAATAATCTTGAATACTTGCTATATATTTTATTTGATAGTCGTGCACGTGAATTGCTTTATAATAAAATTCTAAGAGCTTTAAAATAGAATCTTTCCCGTTTCTTATATAAATTCCTTGATTGCCACAAATTTATTTTATTAATTTTGTCAATTGTTTCATGTTAAAAAATAGTTTATTAAAAACTTATAAATTATCATCAATTATACCTGATAAAAGATCAATTTTTTCATATTCAACAATGGTTTCACAACAAGCAAAAGATAAAGTTGAAAAATTAATTAAAGAACATCCAATTTTTATTGCTTCTAAAAGTTATTGTCCTTATTGTGCTCAAACTAAAAAAACAATTGAAGGTTTAACAAAAGATGCTTATATTGTAGAATTAGATGAAACTAGTGATGGTGGTGAAATTCAAGAAGCTTTAGCTGAATTAACTGGTCAAAAAACTGTTCCAAATGTTTTCATTGGTGGTAAACATATTGGTGGTAATTCTGATGTTCAACAATTAAAATCAAATGATGAATTGGAAGATAAAATTAAAGCAGCTTTATAGATTATTCATATAGATATTTTATCTCAATTGAATGAAGATTTTTTTGTTTTAACTTGAATATGTATGTAGTAGTATGTACTAAATACTACAAAATCTCTCTCTTAATTTTGTTAGTACAAAAAAAAAATTTAATAAGCTTATTAATTTTTTACTGCAAATTCTTACAACCACATTCAAAATGTCAAATATTAGTTTACAAGTGAGGCAAGCAGTACCATCTATAGATTCTGTAGTGGCTGATTATGCTGTTGGTTATATTAACCATATTTCAGAAGCTACTGAAGACAGTGTGAGATCTCAAAAAATCAATATACCAGAGGAAATGACATTTTTAAATGATTTATTGATCCTGGCTGGTGGAATCACCGACAAAGTTCAACAGCTAACCGAAACAATATCTGAACAATTAAGTGAGAAACTCAAGAAAAATATCGAAAAGTTAGCAATAACTGGGGACACATCAAAAAGATTACTTGATATTAATGTTTTACAAAATAATAGTAAAAGAGATATAAATTCATCACTAGCTTTACTTTCTGCAAGTAATGATATTGAACATACAGGAAGAGTAATGGAAAGTAGAGTAGATAAGAAGAAATTAGAAAAACAAGAAAGAAAAATTGCTAAAAAAGTTGCTAAACGTAATAATAAATTTGTAAAATATGAAGCATCGAAATTATTAAATGAAAAACAAACTGAAGATTATGATTCATTCTTTCTCGAAATTAATCCGTTGGATTTTGGTTCAAGTGCTGGGAAATCAAAAGATATTAAAATTGATAATTTTGACTTGTATGTAGGAGATGGTCAAAGAATTTTAAGTGAAGCTTCATTAACTTTAGCATATGGTAGACGTTACGGTTTAGTTGGTCAAAATGGTATTGGTAAATCTACTTTATTAAGAGCATTATCAAGAAGAGAATTAAATATTCCAAAACATATAACAATTTTACATGTTGAACAAGAAATACGAGGTGATGATACTCCAGCATTACAAAGTGTTTTAGATGCTGATGTTTGGAGGAAAAGTTTAATACAAGAAGAAAGTAAAATAAATGAAAGAATAGCTGAAATTGAAACATTGCGAAAAGAATTTGATGAAGAGTCTTTGGAGGTCAAAAAATTAGACAATGAAAGAGAAGATTTAGAAGAACACTTAGTTGAAATCAATGAAAAATTAAATGAAATGGAATCAGATAAAGCTGAAAGTAAAGCAGCTGGTATACTATATGGTTTAGGTTTCACCAAGGAATCACAAAATTTACCAACAAAACAATTTTCTGGTGGTTGGAGAATGAGATTATCTTTAGCAAGAGCATTATTTTGTCAACCAGATTTATTGTTATTAGATGAACCTTCTAATATGTTGGATGTTCCATCTATAACATTTTTAGCTAACTACCTACAAACTTATAAATCAACTATATTGGTGGTATCACATGATCGTGCTTTCCTTAATGAAGTTGCAACAGATATAGTACATCAACATTCAGAAAGATTAGATTATTATAGAGGAGCAGACTTTGATTCATTTTATGCAACAAGAGAAGAAAGAATTAAAAATCAAAGACGTGAATATGAAAATCAATTGGCTTATAGACAACATTTACAAGAATTTATTGATAAATTTAGATATAATGCAGCAAAATCTCAAGAAGCACAATCAAGAATCAAAAAACTTGAAAAATTACCAGTATTGGAACCTCCTGAAGATGATAAAGTTGTCACATTTAAATTTTCTGAACCTGATGGAATTTCACCACCAATTTTACAATTACAAGATGTTAAATTTGGATATTCACCAGATAAGATATTATTTAAGGATGTTAATATAAGTGTAGATTTACAATCAAGATTAGCATTTTTAGGTGGGAATGGTACAGGTAAAACTACATTATTAAAATTAATAATGGGTCAATTAACACCATTAGAAGGGTATGTAAATAAAAATGGTAGGTTAAGAATTGGTTATTTTGCACAACATCATGTTGACGCAATGGATCTTTCGTTATCAGCAGTTTCATGGATGAGTTCAGCATTTCCAGGTAAATCAGATGAAGAATATAGACGTCATTTAGGTTCATTTGGTATAACAGGTCCATTAGGTTTACAAAAGATGCAATTATTATCTGGTGGTCAAAAATCAAGAGTTGCATTTGCTGCATTATGTTTAAATCAACCACATATCTTAATTTTAGATGAACCTTCAAATCATTTAGATACTCAAGGTTTAGATGCATTAGCTGATGCTTTAAATAATTTCAAAGGTGGTATATTAATGGTTTCTCATGATGTGAATATTATTGATAAAGTTTGTAATGAAATTTGGGTTGCTGAAAATGATACAGTAAGTAAATTTTCAGGTACTATACATGATTATAAAAAACATATTTTACAGAGTGCAAATGTTGCAGGGGTTGTTAAAAAACATTAGATGGTGGTTATAGATAACATAATAAATTATAAAACTCCGTTGATAATAAAATTAAATTCCGATGATGCGCGAGAGAAATATCAAAACAATCAATTTTGTAAATATGTATCACATCTTTTTCTTTTTTATTGTAGCAAACAATAAATCAACAACTATTCACTAAAAGCCAATGTTTGGCTCATTTGGACTCAAATTCAAGATAGGAATTGGGTTGATATCATTATATACATCATTTGAAGTATATCTACATTTAAGAACATATTACCTCATAGAATCCAGAAAAAATGAATATCAAAAATTAAAAATTACAGGTAACAGTAACGACCTTGATTATAGGAAATTCAAATCTTCAACTATTGCAGGAATGTTTGTAAATCCATTTGAAGAATATAGACCACAAACTGCATTTGAATTTTTATTAGTCAGAATTATGGAGCTTTGTGAATCAATATATGGTAATGCATTTGAGAAACATAAAAAATTACCAAATCCTCATAATGGACATATTGAAATTGAAGATGAATTAAAATCTTTTAAACCGGATTTGGAAAGATATAGAAATAATTCAAAAATTTTACAAGAATGTCTTAAGACGAATAATTTTCAATCATTATTTAATTCTAAAGGTTGGTTTTTGAAAACTGATATAAGTATACATCAACAATTATTATTCACTTGGTTGGGTCAATCATGTACATTATTTCAAATATCAGGTATTAACTTTTTAACAGATCCAATAATAAGTAATCATTTAATTACTCCAAATTTTGGACCAAAAAGATTAACAAAATCACCATTAGATTTAGAAGATATTAAATACGCAACAAATAACAAATTAGATTTTATTTTGGTTTCTCATGATCATCCAGATCATTTGGAAATGGATTTGGTTAGTAAAATTAGAAATGATAGTACTTGGATAGTACCGTTGGGATTAAAACAAAAATTTGCTCGTCGAGGAATTCATAAAGTAATAGAATTAGATTGGTGGGATAAATTAGATATAACAAAATATATAACAACCGACAAAAATTTTCCTGATAAATATGAAATTGAATGTGTCCCATCAATGCATTGGTCAGGAAGACATGTAATAGATTCAAATACTTCCCTTTGGTGTTCATTTATTTTAAAACGTAATGGTGAATCCTTGATTTATCATGCTGGTGATACTGGTTATCTGAAAGAATTATTTGATATCATTGGAAGAAGAAGTGGTCCAATAACTTTAGCATTATTACCCATTGGTCAATATTGTCCAAGTTGGCATCAAAAACCAAGACATATTTCTCCAGAAGAAGCTTTAAAAATATGTGATCAAGTTTCTGCTAAATTTATGAAAGGAATACATTGGGGAACTTTCAAATTAAGTGGTGAACCTATACTAGAACCAAAAAATTTGTTAGCTGGTTTAACAAAAAATTTGGGGAAATCTGATGTATATAAAGTACCTGAATTTGGTTTAACTTATTTATATGATTTAAATAAGGATAAAGAAATTGAATTGCATTTATAGAGATTTAAAACTTACAAATAATTATATTAATTACATTAGAATTTTTATATTTAAAAATATTATTAATATACAAATAGAATTGGGATTAAAATTTGTATTATTTACAAGTCTTTTCTATCTTTTCATTTCATTATTCATTAAATTTGTGGATTGATTAATTAGTTTGATGTTTTTTAGTCTTATTCTCTATAAATAGCAGTTAATTTTGCTCTTTGTGATGCAATCATTGATCTTTGAATCGCCTGGAATTCAGAGTCTGATCTTATAACTGAACCAATAGACATAAATAATCCAAATGTACCGACTGATCCCATAATATATTGACCTAAAGTTCTCATTACACCATTTGGTCCTGCACCATTTTGTAATATTGAAAATCCACCAAATAATACGCCAACACATACCCCAACTGTCGAACCCATTAAAGCTCCCATCTTAAATTTATCCCAGTTGGAAGGTTGATGACCAACATATTGATATTGTTGAACTGGCGGCATTTTTTGTGGTTGTTGTTTTTGACTGTCTACCTTTTATACTAGGTTAAAAAATTTGTTTTATAATTTCAAAAAATTTAACCAATAAAATTAGACACGACCATAGAGATTTTTACAATTAGATCTTTAGTTATCAAAAAACTAGAGAGTTAACTTTTCAATAATTGATACTAGATACAAAGCAATGGGTTCAAATACATCTAAACCGGAAACCAAAGTTTTCACACCAACTACACCAATTGATTTTAGCTCAACATTTTTATCACAATTAGAACAATCTCCAGAAGTATGTTGAAATAACTTTTACTACTAGGGAAAACTAATACTAACAACCAATAGTCTGATTATTCAAGAGCTCAATACACTGAGAAATACATCCAAGATAGAGTAGCGCAAGAACTAACAAAATTAGAAAAACAAACCATTAAAAATTTTAAAGACACAACCAATCAAGCTCTACTTAAAGATGATTCTGTCGATAAAGACGCCAAAGATACGAAATTATCAGTATCACAAGCAAATGATAAAATTGTACAACTTACTCAATTATTAAAAGAAAATGCTGAATTAGAGAAAGCAAATATAACGCCCGAAATCAAACAATCAAGAGAAAATGTTATCTCATGTTTAAAAAATAATCAAGGTAAAAGTCTCAATTGTTGGGATGAAGTTGAAACTTTTAGAAATTTGGTAAGAGATTTATAAATACCTAGCATGTATAAATAATGAATATAAATTTACTTCTTTTATTTTTAAGATGTATCATTTTATAATCCTAAACCTTTATAAATTAATAATAATGCAGAATCACTTTCTCCACCACCTGATAAAGTTTCAATTTTTTCTCTTGATACTGAGCTTACTTTGTCATCATTAAATAACCACCAATTTTCACCTTCTAAATCATTTGGATCTTTCACGTATGCCTTATAATGTCCACCATCTGCATTTGCTCCCATATGTGTTATTACTGCATTTAATTCATAAACTGAAGATGGGTTTTCAGTTGTATTTTCAAAATCTACATTTGGAATGTTTGTTCTTAAATCATCTTGAAATTTACTTCTTATTGACGCTATTTTTAATTCTTCATCCTCATTTGAATCTTTCTTGGCTTTTTTAAAATCTCTTTTCAAGTCTAAGTTATCTTTTTCAACTTTTCTAATTAGATCACGGACTTTGTTCTTATCTTCTTTAATTGATTCATCTAAAACTTCTGATAAATCTAATTCAAATGGAAATTGAACTTTTCTTAAAATCTTGGATTTTTTGTTTATATCTCTTCTCCAAAAAAATCTTATAAAGTGTACAGTTAAATATTTTGGTAATCTTGTTATTTTCTTGGTGATTTGATATTCTGTGTTGGTATCTAATGCATCATTATGTTTGGTTATTGTTTCCGTTAATCCACTAATAATACCATCTCTCAAGAAATTTGTTTTAATATCTATATGACAATTTAATTTGAATGCATCTTCAAAACTATATGAAACATCATCGTCAGCCAATGATTTGGTCTCTACATTATATTCTATCTTAAATAAATCATCAATTTTTAGATTTGATTTTAATGTAGTTAAAATTTGTGAATATGCTTCTTCAGCATCTTGTTGTGCAAATACTCCATTTCTTTGTTCTGCAAATTGTGGATATATACTTCTAAATATTGTTAAAAACATTCCAATATTAATAGTACCTTGTTTTTTCTCTAATTGTTGAAATAAATTTTTTAATGAGACTGTTAAATTGTCAGATCCTTTAAAATTTTCTAATACTTTCTTTAGGTCATCAATTTGATACAAGATCTGTAAACTTGAATTGAGATAACATGTATTTCCATAATTTGGTATACCCAATGGATTATTGTCAACTTTTGTAATATCTCCTGAATCTTCAATAAATTTTGGTTTTTCAATTGGTTTAGAAAGTTTATCTGGTGATCCTAACACCATTATGGGTTTACTAAAATCTAATGTAGATAATAAAGTGTCATCGTTTAGTTTACCACCTTTCACCAAAATTTTTTGTCTATCTGGAGGAATAGATGTTTGTTCTTGAATCTTTTCTTTTAATTCTAAACCATTGCTGTTTTCATTGACCTCAATAGTATAAGTCTTTCCAGCATTTTTAATGATAACTAAGATAAGTTAGTATAATTGAGCTATGATATCTTTAATTATTGAGTCGATCACTCCTCTATACATACTAGTTGAACTCATTACTTTCTCTTGTAGTGGCAAAACGTGAATGAAAAATAATATTTCAAATCCAAAAATTTATTTTTCTAAATTGGTTAATCAAAAAAGCCGCACTAAAAAGTTTCATATTATTTATTCATCATTAAGTAAACTACACAGATTTAATAATATACAATCACCACCTCTTTCTGGATTTAATCCATAAATGTAAAGTATACCTTCTGATGTAACAACATTAACATGTAACAAATTATCATTATTGTCAAAATTGTTATCAATAAAATCTTGATTCTTGTTGATCATTGCAATTGATTTAATTTCCTTATTTTTGGCATCTATTTTTATTGAAGCAAAATGTCTTGTTGGTTCTAGTATTGATGAAAACCTAGAGGGTAAATAATCACCCATCTTTTGAGCTGCTTTTCTTCCTAAAGTTTGTGAAGATCTTCGTATTAATCTCGCAACGGATAATCTATTTTGATCAATAATTGGTGCATTTATATCTTCTGAATTTATACTTGTGAAAGAATTGGATGAACCTTGTGATAATTTTCTTTGCTTTGTGGGTACTTCTTCTTCATCATCTTCATCATCGTCTTCATCCATTGCGTCAGAATCATCATCACCTTCTGGTTCTTCCTCTATAGTTTTAATTTTCTTCTTTTGTTTATTTTCTAATGCTTCTTCTTCACCTAACCTGAAGATATGTACAGTTAAACTTGAGCTTGTAGCTAAAACATATTTATTGTCATTACTAAATTGTAAAGAATATATCTTCGTTGGATATGAACCTCTTCTAAATTGAAACAATTTAACTCCAGTATTTGTATCAAATACTCTTACAATTGTTCCTTTGTGTGAAGCTGTACTTACCAAAGATCCATCATTTGAAAAACTCATTGCGGCAATATCATTCTTGTGGGCACTGATTGCCATTATTGGCAGGAATTTATTTATATTGAAAATTATTAAATCTCCTTTATTTGAAATTGCACTAGTCGTATTTGTACCTGTTGTTTTATTGACATTATTATGAATACTAGCTAATGAATCATTAGCTGTTGGTGGTGATGGATATGCTAACAAACAATAATTTTGATCATATGATACAGCACATAATCCGTTAGGGTTCGAATTTGTTTTAACAGTTTGTAATAACTTCATTGTTTTAATTTCATATATATATATTTGACTTTCCAATACAACTATAAGGAATTCTTTTGTTAATTTAATATTTAAAATTGAGGTGGGGAAGAATAATGAACAAATTGTACTATTTGTTTTAGTGTTTTTTATCTTTAATTCTCTTGGGGATGATCCAATTTCATTTCCTAGTGGTGTTAATGCAATTAATGAAGTTGTATATAGCATTTCAATTATATTTACACTATCATCTTTATAGCTGCAACATCTTCCAAATTTTTGTTCAACATTAACTATTTTATAACCTGTCTTCAAACCCAATGCAACACATGATGAATCTTGATTAAAATTGAGATACGTGACGGGGAATTCATTCATTATATATTTTTTTTATAAGTTATGTGTATTGATAATGATAAAAGGTATTTTAATGGTGTAACGGTTATAATTCAAGATTTGAATAATTGATTTTTGTTTGCTAATGATTAATATTTGTATAATAAGTAATAGTAATATCACTATCGTTTATTGTAAATAAATAAATAAATTAATATTATTATATTTTTAATGTTTCAAAATAACAAAAATATCGTTTTATGTCGTATATACAGAATATTGAATGTCGTGGAAGATTGACATGACGATTTCAACAATTTGAACTGAACTCTTCTAAAGAATCCAACTACAAATGAGGGGTATCGATCAGCCAATGCATCACTCTTATAATTGATGAATTAACACACAATTGGTAAAAAGTATGTATAAATTAAGAAAAACTCTTATAATTGATGAATTAACACACATTTGGTAAAAAGTATGTATAAATTAACCAAAAAAATTAATCTTCTACAAGCAAGGGGCGAACTGGGAATCGAACCCAGGGCCTCTTCGAAATTTATGCTCAGGTGAGATAACCCAAACGAAGAATCATACCACTAGACCATTCGCCCTAATTTGATGGTTGTAATTAGCAAAGAATTTAAACAATGCAATAGCCGCCGTTATATATATACTCATCTTACTCATCTTAACGCAGTAATCTGAATTAGTTTTGAAACGGGAATGACACATCGCACACTAAATTTTGAAATAAAACGATATTTTGAAGTTTTACCTAAAAGTTTGACGTATAAGGTGTTTGAAATAAGCATTAAGGCTCGAGAAGTTATTGAAAAAAATTTAGTAAACAAATTTATTAGTAAGTAAAATTAAAAAGAAATATCGGTGCTTCGAGTAAGTTTAAACTTGTTTTGCAGCAAGTAAAATTAAAAAGAAATATCGGTGCTTCGAGTAAGTTTAAACTTGTTTTGCAGCAAAATTATTTAAACTTAGAATTTTTTGCCTCCATTCAATACTCAAAATTGTACAAGTTTATAAGAAAGCTTATAGAGATTGATTGATATAGTTCCAGCCAAAATACAAGATCATTTCCATTGTGTATCTGCTTCTTTTGATAAACCTTTTCTCTGGACCAAATTTATGATAAAAATAATTACCACCTAAATCAGGCTACCAATCTAAACCGGAAATAGACCACAAAAGTGGACACCAGGTCAAATTTAGATCTGTAACATCCAGTCCAAACTACTTGATAAAGTCACGAAATCCACCAGATATACCACATAAAGTGATGATCAATGGATGCCCGAATTTTTCGATTGATATTGATATAAAAGAAGAAATAATTGACGTCCTTCAAATCAATCAAATACTTGCAATTATAACAAAAACATCTGTTTACATTTATCATCTGTATACTTTATTACCATTAGGTAAACACATAAGAGCTTCAACTTCATTAGAAAATAATGGATTAAATATAAAAGCAAGGAAAAAACTAATATATTCAAGATCAACTAGAAGACCTTCGAAATTAAACATATATATCCAAACAGATTTAAATTTTTTGATCATATATCAAATAAGTATTGATAATTCAAGTTCTATTTATGAAATCCATAATATTAAAGAAGAACTAATTCAAAATGGTTTGCCTTCAAGCTATACTCATAAAAAGTTTTCGATAACTAATTTTATACTGTCCGCAACTAAAACATTTATACATGGAGCTGAAGAAATTAGCCCAGCGTTAGAGAATATTGAAAGTGTAAAGAATAATATAATTGATGATGAATTAGGTGGGTACGAGATTGAATCTATAAAAATATCAGTATATAAAATACTAAAAATTGGAGTGGGGAATCAAAAATTTTGGCTTGAACCAAATTCACATAATTTATTAGTTTTCAATTTTATTGGTGAATCAATTGAATCTAATGTTTTGCAAATTGTAAAACTTACTAATTTTGAAAGCAAGCAATTAGACTTGTCAACTGTTTATTCTGGAAACGTCAAAAATATATTTTACAATCAATACTTTAACTACTTTTTAATTGTTGGTGAAGAGGAAGAATTAATAAAAATCTCAATTACTGAAGAAGAGGGAGAGGAAGGCCCAGCATTAGGACTAACCAAAATTGGTTTTGGAAACTTTGAACAAGCATATTTTAATCCAAAGTCCAACTTGATATTGGCAGAAAATGAGGGATCTTTAAAGTTATATCATCTTGATGATCATTTACACGAAATACGAACATTGGACATGGCTGCAGGTGTAATAAATTGGTCAAACTGTGGTGAATTCTTTACAGTAGTTTATGAATCAGGAGATTGGAAATTAGTATCGAAATTTGGAAAAATATTACTCAACACTAAAAGTGTACGAAGTGAAATAAATGAGTCGAATGGAAATCAAGGATTTTTACATGCAAAGTCCATTTTGATTTCTAATAATTCAATGTCATTATATATTCTAGGATTAGAATCACATAAAATTTACTGCATACCATTATCAACAATACTCAATGATATCATTTATGACAAGGAATATTTCAGCATTATTGAAGACTACAGAACATTTCTAAGATTCCCATTACTTCCAAAATTCAAAAAATTGCTATTATTCCATGACAATGATAATTTGATAGACAGTAATTCACAAACAGAAAAATTAACTATATCAAAAAATTCATTTAATCAAATAGCAATGTCTTATGAACGGTATTTAGCAATTTCTTCTCCAATCGCCACTGGTGGATTGACAAATCATGTTTTGTGGTACAATTTTAAATCTCACTTCGCTGAAGAGTTAAATATTGTTAATCAGTTTTGGTTTCATCATTTTTTGATTGTTGTAAATAGAAAATTGAGACATTCTTTTGAAGAGGTTGACGAGGAAGAGCATTTAATTGATGAAATTATTGTCTTTGACACTTCTAAAACCAAATATGCAATGAGTGGTGAAGAATCAGCATTTACTAGTGATTCATTATTATGGAAATATGATTTCAAAAGTACTTTCATAAACATTCAACTTATTGATGGTGAAAACTCATCGCATGTAATAATTTTGACTAGTGACTTTAAGATTGTGATCTTGGATTTGATGCTTGATAAAACAGTTCAAACCGACTCAGACACAAAACATTACAAGGTGTTTATATCCATAAATAAAACAGTTCACTTAAAATCACTTGAACATAAAATCAATCTTAAAGAAGTTAAACAAAGCAGTTTGATTGATCAAAAACATTTCATTTTCTTACTACAATCTGGTGACTTGTACTTATTAAAAAATCTGAGTAGATCAGCATCTTTCTCAAACAAACCATTGGACGCATTAAAACCAAGTAATTTTTATGATTTGATCAAGTTAGATTCATCAGTAGAATATTTTAAATTCAAGACTATAAACTTTCAGAAAAATATAAATTTCATATACATGTTCAATGGACAACAAATATTAATCTATGATGTTTATGAATTAGTTGACAAAGCATACAATAAAAAACAACCACATCATGAAGAAGATGATTTATTAGAATCAGAAGATACAAATTTAATTCCCATTACAATAGATACTGAAGAAATGATTCCCTTTGAAATTGAAGCAGACCAGAAAACAATAAATTTGATTGGATTTGAAAATTTAGCTATAAATCGTCACATGCTTATATTAAAAAATAAAGTATCTCATAAATTAATTTTAAATAATTTTATTGAATTTGATCTTATTCATAAAGGTGATCTAGAAAGTACTTTCAACAGGTATAAGTCATTTGATAATTTTGAATTTTGTTTGGAATTATTGTTGTTCAAACTTTTAACTGACGAAGAGCCATCATTAACTTTAAAGAGACTTTGTCAACTAATTGAATTTTCAGAAAACTCAGAATTTATTTACATCAATTGTTTAAGAAAAATTGAAGTTGCTTACTGGAGTAAATTCTTTGATGTAATAAATATGACACCGGAAAAATTCATGAATCGACTTATAAAATTAGATAATGTTGAATTATGTTATAATTACCTTATTGTTTATTTAAATTATAAACGAGAAGGAGATACAGAAATTGAAACTGATGATTCAAATCATGAATTAACAAAGTTTGATAAACAAATTATACTTCAAATCATAAAAATGTTGGACAAAGCAGGAAAATATGACTGGTGTTTTGAATTATGTAGATTTATAAAAGTTTTAGAACCTTCAGGTCAATTTTTGAAAAAGATAAAGTCAGAATTAGAATAGGTTGTATATGAAATAGAAAATTATGTTTTCAGGATGTTTCTTTTTCTCTACTTTTATGTTTCATAATTATACTGCATATAAATTTTAACCAGTTAAATTGTTTTTCAAGTAAGCTTTAAAAAAAAAATCAAATATCAAGTGTTACAACCAAACAATAAACCAACTACAATTAACCATTCACATATATTCACAACTACTTTAAACCCGTATATACATAACAATACCCAAAATACTTAACTCAACACCTGTAACATTAATATAATAACACAAATATAATGACTTTAGCTACACAATTTGCAGAAACAACTCGTCATTCAGCAACAAAAGCAGAATTAAGAACAAGAGTATTACATTTATATAGAAGGTTCATAAGAAATTCCCATGAATTTGCAGACTTGTACGAATTAGATATGCCAGTATCAACAATAAAGACAAAAATAAGACAAGAATTTGAAAGACAAAGATTTGTTCAAGATTTAAATGTTAGTAATATCTTATACTTGAAAGGTCAAATGGAGTTTCAAGAATTGATTAATTTTTGGAAACAACAATGTCATGCTTTACATTATTTTCAAAATATAAATGCTTATAATACTTATGATAAAAATAATTTTGTTAAAAATTTTTTGAGAGGAAATTGAATTACGAAATTGCGAGGTTGAGGGTATAAATAATTGATGAAAAGTAGAAGATTTAATAAACGATTTATTATTTATTAATTTTATTCATTTAATTCATGTTAGACTTGCTGAAATTTTAAACAATAAGCTCAGTTGATTTCTCATAAAACTCTTTATTTTTCACGATTACAAAAAGTACATTAATTGATGAAACTAAAAAGACTGGTAGTATACACTAATTAACTATATAGAGGGTATAATATTTAAGAAACAAAAGATGAAGTAGAATAATAGCTAATTATTATTATTATATTGCAAAACAACCAAAAAACCAAAGATAGAAAAGAAATGAATAACAACAAAAGTGAGAAAAGATAATGATTTATCAGCTAGTTACCAATTTATTCCATAACAGCTTCTTCCATTGGCATTTCATCATTATATTCCAATTCTTCTTCATCAACACCAGCTTCTTGATATTGTTGATATTCACTAACTAAATCATTCATATTTGATTCTGCTTCTGTAAATTCCATTTCATCCATACCTTCTGAAGTATACCAATGTAAGAAAGCTTTTCTTCTAAACATAGCACTAAATTGATCACCAACTCTTTTAAATAATTCTTGAATTGAAGTGGAATTACCAATAAAAGTAGCTGACATATCTAAATCTTTTGGTGGAACTGAACAAACAGCAGTTTGAACATTATTTGGAATCCATTCTACAAAATATGATGAATTTCTACTTTGAATCTTGTGCATTTCATCATCAACTTCTTTAACTGAAACTTTACCTCTAAAGAATGCAGCAACTGTTAAATAACGACCATTTCTTGGATCAGAAGCTGCCATCATATTTTTAGAATCAAACATTTGTTGAGTTAATTCAGGTACAGTAACTGATCTAAAAGATTTTGAACCAATTGAAGTTAATGGTGCATATCCAACCATAAAAAAATGTAATCTTGGAAATGGAACTAAATTAACTGCTAATTTTCTTAAATCTGAATTCAATTGACCTGGATAACGTAATGAAGTTGTAACACCTGACATTACAGAAGAAACTAAATTATTTAATTCAACATATGATGGTTGTGGTAATTTTAAAGTTTTTTGACAAATATTATATAAAGCTTCATTATCAATACAAAAAGTTTCATCTGAATTTTCAACTAATTGATGAACTGATAAAGTTGCATTATATGGTTCAATAACAGTATCTGAAACTTTTGGTGATGGTACGACTGAAAAAGTAGCCATCATTCTATCTGGAAACTCTTCTCTAATTTTTGAAATTAATAAAGTACCCATACCTGAACCAGTACCTCCACCTAATGAATGAGTAATTTGAAAACCTTGTAATGAATCACAACCTTCAGCTTCTCTTCTAACAACATCTAAAACTGAATCAACTAACTCAGCACCTTCAGTATAATGACCTTTTGCCCATACGTTGCCAGCTGAACTTTGTCCAAAAATGTAATTATCAGGTCTGAATAAATTACCAATATTTGAAGTTTTAACATTATCTATTGTACCTGGTTCTAAATCAACTAAAACTGCACGAGGAACATATTTACCAGAACTTGCTTCATTAAAATAAACATCTAATTTAGATTTTTGTAATTCATTATCTCCATGATATTGTCCACTATTATCTAAACCATGTTCACCACAAATAGTTTCCCAGAATGCAGCACCCTAAAGAAGTTAGTATATCGATCTAGTAAAACTTTAATTTTATTCGAAAGTCTTACATACAATTTGATTACCACATTGACCTGTTGATAAATGAATCTATATTTTAGTTAGTATTTTGGAATTTAAAATTTGAAATATTCATTATAAGCTACGTGTTGATCTATTTGCTTATACTATGACCAATTAATCCATCAATTATAAATATACATACAATTTCTCTCATAACTCAATGATTGTATGAAAATGTAATTATGAAAAAGTAAATGATAAGAATTCTATTTGATCTAAAAACTTGAAATTCTATCTCTAATTTATTATTAGTATATCAAATTTTTTGATATTTGTTTCGTGTATCAAATTTTTTTATTTTTTATTTTTTATTTTTTTTGTTTACATTTTAAATTTATTTTTTATTATGAAAAAGATTTAATCTCATTTCCGAGTTACTACAAAGTCATGTGAGACAATTATAAAGTAGATACTTAAGCACTAATATAGTCACGTTTATTATTAAATCAAATAGTCGGAAATTAGTACGTGTTTACTTATTTACTTAAAATGGATTAATTGATTTATATTATTGATAGATAATAATAATAGTTTACATTTTGTTTCATAAATTTCAATTGAACAGATTTATTCAGCTTATCAAATCTTCTTAACAAGTAAGTATTGAGTTTTACTTTCATCTTATTCTACAAACTAATTTACTCAACTTATAACTTATCCGACAACAAAACCCTTGTTTGAGCAGAGCTCGGTCTTACCAAATTCTAAGTCACATAGCAACAGGAAAGCGACAGCAATGATTGATAATCCTGATTTTCATTTATTCATAATATTAGTATTCTTATTAGTTAGTGAATAATCGTTTTAGTTGTTTCACTACGACTTGATCCGAGAAAACTTCTGTATTTCTCACCTTGGTGACAATTGCTTAGTAAAACTACCTTTAAAAGCACAGCTTGGTCTTGATATACTTGAGCTATACTTTTAAATTGGGCCCCGAATCTACAACAAATCTGAGGCGAATGAAAGAAGTTGGACTTATCAATATTTTTTTAGCTTGTAGTGCTTGGCATATAAATTGATGGTCTATGCCCTGTGTCATTACCATTTAAAGTGAAGCCAGAATGAATTCTTAACAATGCTTTTTAAACTTACACCAAAATCATATAATAAAATGTTAGGCAAGAGAAAGTTTAAAATACTGTAAATGAAAATAATTGAATTGAAATTTGAGATCTAAAGTCACCAGTTATGAAAAACTGACACGACACAAAAGCTCTTTTATTGATTAATTTTGATTACACAAAAATAAAAATCTGAAACTTCACTTTTAATTCACACGTGATTTTACCAGATAAAAGAGATAAAATTACAATTTCTAAAACTACGATAAAGTTTCATTTGATAGAAAAAGAAAACTGATATTTTAGCCAATTAAAGCTATATAAGCACGAATACGAATATAAAAAGAACACGTAGAAAATCTCAAAACTTGAACACCATCATTTCTTGAAACGCAGCAATTAATTCAAACATTTTTTCTGTTCTATAATTGAACGACTACCCCTTGAACAACAAAAAAAAACCAACTTCAAAGACAAATTTTTAACCACCTTTTCAGACTCCTCAACTTTAATCTCAACCTCAACCTTTTTGAAACATACCTCATAACCCCGAAAAGCAACCTCTACAAAAAACCTCTCAAAATCTAACAAAAAACTTAACCTCTAAGGCAAGCTTGATAATCATCAGAATAGAAATTAGCCATGACACAATAATTCTCATCATAACAATCATCAGATATAACAGTTCCATTTGCACATTTCGGAGCACCTGGACCATATCTATATTGTAAGCTTGCAAACTTTTGATTGAAACTAATATCAGTTTGGTTGGCTAATTTCTTTATAACATTATTATGCCAGAAAGTAGCATTCAATGGAGCATCTTGTGGCCAATCTGAACCGTAATCTCTTGCACTATATTCATAGTTCCAAACCGGTTCTTTTCCACCGTTAACGAAGGTTTCATTCAAAAATGTGAAATAATTGTAAGCATTCATGATATTAAAACTCTCATTTTCTACTTCATAGTATTTGAATGCTGGATTAAAACTTCCAATTGGAGTAACAGATTGTGCAACCCAAGCTAAATTTACAATATCTTTTTCTACAGCAGTTGCAGCAGTTGCATTACTTGAATAAAGGACTCGGAACTGGTCCAAATGGGTGTGACCTAATGGTTTTGAGTTAGTAATGTTCATAGGAAGACAATCAGTGGATGTGTGAATGTTGAATAACTTTTTGTGCTGAAATTTTTGCAATTTTAAAAATCATTTCAAATGGATAAATACATACCATAAAAGATATTAGCAATTGTATAAGGGCTGAAACGTTCGACTATCTTACCAAAGATTCTACTTTGTAATGGTAATGTATCAAAATCAGAAACTGGAATATGAGCTTGAATCCAAACTCTTTGTCCTTTCTTTTCAGATTCAACTAATTCATCAATAAGAAACTTCCAAGTACCAAAACTATCCGGATTAGCAGCTAAATTGACGTAAGAATATAAATTCTTTTGATAGTAACTGTAAAGGTTAGTATCCAGCTGTGAAAAACAGGGTTAGGAGAGAATTTAAAATTTTCAGCCCCAATTTCTAAATTTGGTGAGCTAGAAGCCTTGCTCCTACTCGTAAAGTAACGTACCTGTTAGAGTTTAAACCAATGAGCTTTAATCCTCTATTAGTGACATATGAAAATCCAGAATAATGTCTTTTTAAATCATTTCTATCTTTTTCTTCAAACCACTCATTATTGATCCAAAGATCAGCCATTTCATCAATATTATACTGGAACTGGTCCATTGATTCATTACCAAGGTGAAGAGGTGGTAATTGAGCGTATGGGAAACTGTCATGATCTCGATTCGGGTTAGTATCTGCTGCTGGAAGGTCTTCTTGGAGGATAAAAATTATTGTCTCAAATTTTTAATTTGAAATTAATTTCATATCTCAGCTATTATTTGATGTTTCAAATATAGCTATGGAAATTGTTAATAGTAAAAAGTGTATACATACTTCCCAAAGATGGTAAAACTGGAATATTATTTAAATAGTGCTTCATTAATTGAAAACTTCGAATTTCATCATGCTTTGTTCTTTCTGCAGTGCATGTGAGCAAGTTATGGTCAACTAAATCCCCAGTGAAAACCACGAATTCAAACTGTTTCTGTTGATGCAATTTAGCTACTTCAACTAATGAATTATTCATTAATAATTCTGGAGAATCACATTTATAGCCACCAAAACTTGTTCCTGGAGCATTAGCGAAATTCCAACCTCTAGTCTTTGGTATATCATATAATTCACCTTTGATATATGTCAGGTTTTCATATCTTGCATCTGGATAAAATGATAATTCAAATGAAGAAATATTTGGATTGAATTTTTTATAATAATTGGTAAAATTATAATTTTTATCTGGTAGCGCAGTATTGAAAGATTCATCAAACCCACAAATACCTTGTGAACAATTAGTTTCAGCACCTACAGCATATTGTGGTTGAATATGGAAATCAGTTATATGTAAAACATTAAATCTTTCAGTATTATTTGTATAATTCGGTTGAAAATGATGTTGAGGTTGTTTTGCTGGCCACCAATTTTGAACACCGTAAAATTTATCAACATCTTGAGTTTTTGGTAATTTACATGCTGAATTACCTTTGTAAAAACAATAATATTCTAAATCTAATTCACTTGATGTATTAAAATTTTTTAACATATGTAAAAAATCATTATCATAAAAATTTATACTTGTATCTAATCCATATCCTGAATCATAAGTATTGTTTAATATACTTGAACTTTTTGGTTGAGTAGTAACAAAAAAATCATTATTATCACATTTACTTTCAGTATTATTATTTTGAATTATACAAAATTTAAAAAGTAATAAACTGACCAAATGTTGTTGATCTGGAAATTCTTCAATTAATGATTTACCATATTTAATTCTGTATTTACATGTATCACATTTTGTACCGTTAAAATTTGTTAAATTTTTGATGTGAAGATTTATAAAATCAAGTGCTTTATCAGGTAAATAGGTATAAGTTGGATCCAACAAATTTGTAGCTCTTTTAGCAACTGAAACTTGAACTTGTAATGAATCAAAACCAGGAACATAATGAGCAAAGACATTGGTTGTAAACAACACTAAGACTGAAAACGATAAAGTTGAAAATTTCATCTTTTTGTAGTTGTTGATCCTAATTTTGAGCTTTTTACAGCAATTGAATTGAGAAAATTCATTTCTATTTATAATTGCATATCGGTTTTTACCTTCCCTATAAAATTTTCAATTCAAGGTCTTCTCGAAAAAGGGGGACTATTATTCCCCACGATGTAAAGTATTGATTGTTCAATTGAAATTGATTGTCTTAGTTTCTATTGTTTAGTTTGATGTACTTTTTGTGTTCTAGATAATAAGTCAAATTAGATACGACATTCTATGTAGGTTTGGCACGTGTCGACCCAAGTTATACCTTATTTAACAAATATTTAATAGGTTGCATGGTTAGTTTATTTATATTTAAATCGGAAATTTATCCCAAAATATCTTTTTTATTATCTATCTCTTAATTCAAGTAACAATTATGAAGACTTGTAATATCAATTTATATCTAAATTTTATTTCCATCGCCTTATCTTATAAGATTTCCATACTAATTCTGTGAATTATTTCTCGTTCAACTTGGTCATAATTGAATTCTTTTGCTTGTCATAAATTAAATTCTCGTTCGTAATAAATTTTTCAGTAGATGTCGATCTAAACAAAGTCGTCATAAATTTACGATTCTATTATCTTTAAATAAGATTAATTAAAATTAACGATCTTTCTAATTACTAAATTTGTATTATGTAATTTGGGTTAATTTTAAGCCTAATTTTAGTTGGTTATAATAAGTTTTAATTTGAAACATGTTACAGATTAATTTGATGAAATTTTTGACAATTTATTACTAACCGATACCTGCTTTTATTTACAAATTAGATTAATAACATTCTTTATTGGGATTTTTCAATCAAATTAAGGTTTTAAAAGTCGAATAGATAGAACCATGGCTTAGCGGCTTTGTAAGTTTACTCTTGATATCACCAAACTTTATTGCCCGTGGTCTAATTGTAACATACGTACAATTCCAGCTATAGAGTTAAGTCAACAGGCTATAGCCAGGTCAAAATATTCAAACCATTGGTTCATAAGAAAAACAATAAAACTCAATTCCAGTTAGACTTTAGTCAAGATTCTGATCTAATTGTTCAGATTTGGATCTAGATAACTTCAAAAATTTATAATCATTTCGCCACTTATTATAGATGCCTTGATAAAACAAACCAACTTGCCAATATTAGTGACGGGGTAAGCTTGTCACATCGTTTGAATACTTATACGAAAGTATTATTTAAACATTTCATGTAAAGAATTTCAACTTATTTCATTTTTCAATATTTGTTTTTCAACAATAAAAAATCAGGTACTGATATACTGCATATAATATTCATACTATTTAAGTTTTTTTTTTTTTTTGCTGTTCGAAATTAAATTTATTATACGAATTTATAATATTAGTATTAAAATAGTATAATAAGTTACTTCAATCAATATATTATAATTAATCATTAAAACAACCAATACAAATTCATATTACAATAATCTCACATTATGTCTATATCTATTCAGAATAGGACGATAGAGTTTCAACAATGTGTGAATAATTATGAAAAAATAAATAGAAAACAAAATAAAATAAAAGCCCAGCCACCAGGACAACCACCAAAAAAGTCACAATTTAGTCAACAAGCTAGTATCATAGCAAAAGATATATCAAATGTAACTGAACTATTAGGAAAATTAGCTATATTGGCTAAAAGAAAACCATTATTTGATGATAAACCAATTGAAATTGGCGAATTAACATATGTTATAAAACAAGAAATTTTCAAAATTGAAACAAATATACAAAATTTACAAAAATATATGAAAGGTGAACAATCAATAACGATAGATTCTCAAACTACTCAATTTAGTAAAAATGTACTTACGTTACTTAATTCAAAAATGAAAAATATATCAGGAGAATTTAAAACAGTTTTAGAAGTTAGACAAAAAAATGAAATAATGAATAAAAATAGACAAGATAATTTTCTTTCATCAGTATCAAATAATAGAATTCTAAATAGTTCATCACCATTACATATAGATCATAATAATTCAAATGGTACAGATAAATCACTAAGTAATTTAAATGAAAATCCATTTCTAATGCAACTGCTGCAACAATCACAACCTAAAAAAAATCCAGATGATGATCCAGAAATATATTCACCATATGATAATGGACAATATTTATCATTACCAAATCAACAACAACAACAAATGCTATTAATGGAAGAACTAAATAGTGGACAACAATATTTACAACTGAGAAATAGAGCAGTTGAAAGTATAGAAAGTACAATAAATGAAGTTGGTAATTTATTCCAACAATTAGCAACAATGGTAAGTGAACAAGGAGAACAAATTCAAAGAATTGACGCAAATGTTGAAGATATAAATTTAAATATAACGGGAGCTCAAAGAGAATTATTAAAATATTATGCACATATAACAAGTAATAGATGGTTATTTTTGAAAATATTTGGAGTATTGATAGTATTCTTTTTCTTATGGGTTTTGGTAAGTTAGTGAATAAGTTTATCTTTATATAATCATATATACAATATATATTTGCATCTTCAAAATCAACTTGACTTTGGTTGGTAGTAGTGTAATTACATCAAATTTATTATTATCTATGTAATATAATTAGCAAAAAAAAAATAAAAATGGTTTTTGATAAAGAGATTCTTAAATAGATAAAAAAATTAATATATCTTATAATTAGAGTCACCAAGTTAATAGTATTTAATAATTAATCTTAATTATTAGAGACATACTAATTACAATCCATCCGTTTTTACATTATCATTAACCTTACAATTTCATAACTCAGCAATTAGCCTGACATTTTTAAAATTCCAAGAATTATATTTTTTATCACCACAGTTTAAAAGGCAAACTGAATTCATTTACAACCACTATATCAGCAATATATATATAGAAAAATGTGGGGTTATTTCTTTGGAGGAAATTCACAACAAAAGAAAGATTTGCCTAAGAAGGCAATCGTTGAATTACGTGAACATATATCGACATTAAATAAAAAGAAAAATCATTTACAACAACAAATGGATGATCAAGAACAAATAGCAAGAAAATATGTAGCATCAAAACAAACAAATTTAGCTAAAAATGCTTTAAAACGTAAAAAAGGTTATGAAACAAATTTAATAAAAGTTGAAAATCAAATAGAAACTTTAGAAACTCAATTAGTTTCAATTGAAGGTGCTAATTTGAATTTAGAAACAATGAAAGCTATGAAACAAGGTGCTAAAGCAATGAAACAAATTCATGGAGAATATGATGTTGATAAAGTTGAAGATACAATGGATGAAATTAGAGAACAAGTTGAATTAGCTGATGAAATTTCAGAAGCTATATCAAGACCAGTTGGTAATGAATTTGTTGATGAAGATGAACTAGATCAAGAATTAGCGGAATTAGAAAATGAAAATAAAGAACAACAACAACAACAACAAATACAACAACCACAAAGACAATCAAATTATAAAGAACCAGAAAAAGAATTACCTTCTTTCCCAAGTGTAAATAAAAATCAACCAATATCTCAAGATGATGAAGATGAAGAAGCTTTAAAAGCATTACAAGCAGAAATGGGATTATGAGAGAGAAATAATTATTATGTTATATTAACGCCTTTATTCAGTTCTTCAATTACTAATTTACTTGTTTTTATCATAGTTTATTTTTTTCAATATATATACATTACATAAAATATATATATCAATACATTGTTAATACATTTTCGAAATTAAACGTTTGTTGTACTAAGTTATATCATTTTTGTTACTTCTTAATGATGATAAACCGTTTAAATTTAATCTAATGTAAAAACATTAAGTACAAAGTACAAAAAGAGAAAGAGAAACTTTAGATAAAAAAAAAAAAAAAAATTTCAGACCTTCTTTTAGTTTAATCATTTTTATTTTCTTACAACCAAATTTATTTATATCAACCATAAGTTCAAATATACCTTTCTTTTTTTCATTCATTTACTTGTAAATATCATCAATACAATAATCAACTTAATAAAATCTTGTAAATAAACTCGAAAATAATGATACTGATAAAAAAATCAGTGCTAAAGAATGTTTTGCAACAAAAATGCAAAAAATTATTAAGAAATAATATAACAACAGCTACAACTACCACAACCCCTTCTATAGCATCATTACCATTTACAAATAGAATACTAGAGCCATTAAAAGATTTCCCTTTGCCGAATGGGAACTCTAAAACAAATATTAGTAATAAAATCACAACCTCATCGTATTTAGATCTTCGGCCTGATAAATATGAGATATCAGATGACGATAAACAATATAAATATTATTCCTCAAAAAACGATGATGTATCAAGACAACCATACGAAAGAGAAATCAACTACTTAAAAAACATGTTGGAGTCATTTTCTGCAGAAAGTTATTTTGAAAGAAGTTTTCAAATTTTAAAGTCATTATCAAAATTAGTAAATCAAGAAGAATTAACTCAAATTGGAAATAAATCGTTAGAATCAATAGCGAGAGATTCAAAAATAAAGCCAGATAATTTGAGTAAAATAATATCTCAAATGGAAGAATTCTGTAATTTTAAATCAAATGAAAGAACAGAGGCAATTGTGTTGAAAACTTTACTACAAAATGATGGTAACTCAAATGATTATTTTGAATTCATAGATGATAAAAAAACCATAAAAAAGATTTTACAAAACACAGATATAATTGGAGCTGATAATATGTTCAAAATATTTGACTCCAAAAAAATAGATCAATCATGTATACCGCAAGAATTGATGGAAGTGTACAAAAATTATAAATTAAATCAACAAGGCGGAGAAGTTGCTGAAGATACAATCAAATTACAACAAAACGTAGACATAAATCCATTAGATAAACAAAACCTAGATGAATTATTACCGGTAGATTCATTTGGATTAAAAGTCGTTAGACATTCATTATTAGGTTTAAAACCAAATTCAGAGTCAGCATTACAATTTGCATCGAACGTTGAAGAAATAGTAGATGATTTAGATGAGATTACTAAAACAGAAATTAAATCAGGTAAATTAAATTATTATGAAATTTATAAAAGATTGAAAACTGAAGAACAAAAAGAACAATTTAATGAAGTTTTAGAAGTATTTAATTCCGATAGACAAAGACAAATTGAAATCAGAGGTATAGAGGGAGCCAAAGAAAAATGGAAACACGATTTCGAAGAATCTCAAAAAAGAGGTGACCTCAACTTAAGTAAAAGTTTAAATGCTCAATGTTATGAATGGTATCAAAAATTAATTCCGTTAATAGAAAAAGAGCATGAATTATGTAAAGCTTTAATTAAAGAAGATAAATCAATAGATCAAGGAGATCCTGCAACAGCAAAAGATAGAGCTTATTATGCACCATTTTTAATTAAAGTAGATGCTGAGAAAGCAGCAGTAGTTGCCATATTGGAGTTATTAAAATTAAATGCAAGTGGAGGTGTCGTTGGAGGAATGAGAGCTGCTAAAGCAATATCTTCAGTGGGTAGAGCCATAGAATTAGAATATAGAACTACATGTATGGCTCAACAAGAAAATAAAGTGTCATCCATTAACAAAAAAATTCCAGCTTCACAACAAATGAGAAAAATAATAAGAAAAACAATTGATAACCTAGATGAAAATGGACCAGATTGGGATAATGGAACAAGATCAAGAATTGGAGGTGTATTAGTTTCATTTATAATGGCAGTTGCAAAAGTTAAAGTAAGAAAATATAATAATGGGTCGCAAATTGAAGATTATCATCCAGCTTTTTTCCATGGAATGCAATTTATTGGTGGTAATCGTATTGGAGTTATTAAGATTCATAATGAAATTGCCAAAAATCTTACAGGAACATCATTTACTGAATCTATACAACCGCAATCATTACCTATGTTAGTTAAACCCAAACCATGGAATTCATTTTATGGCGGAGGAGGACTTTATTCAAGACACCCATTAGTTAGAATGAGAGATGCACCAGAAACTGAAGCATATGTGAAAGCTGCTGCAAGAAGAGATAATCTCGAAGAAGTATTTGATGGTTTAAATGTATTAGGTACAACTGCATGGACAATCAATAAAAAAGTTTTTGATATAATTTCACATTATTGGAATCAAGGTGACGAATTTTTAACAATTCCTCCAGTTTTAGAAACAGCTGAGTTCCCATCAAAATTAAAACCTGAAGCTGATCCAAAGGAAAGATTCGAACATAATCGAGCTATGTATAAAGCGGCAAGAGATTTTGCAGCTTTTAGATCTCAAAGATGTGATTATAATTATAAATTAGAAATTGCAAGAGGATTTATTGGTGAAAAATTATTTTTCCCACATAATTTAGATTTCAGAGGTAGAGCATATCCTATATCTCCTCATTTAAATCATTTAGGTGGTGATTTAACAAGAGCATTGTTTTTATTTTGGGAAGGGCAAGAAGTTGGAGAAAGGGGATTAGATTGGTTAAAAATTCAATTAGCAAATGTTTATGGTGTGGATAAAGCTCCATTATCTGAAAGAATACAATTTGCAACTGATAATTTAGATAATGTTATTAAATCTGCCGAGAACCCTTTGAAAAACGATTGGTGGACAAAAGCTGAAAAACCTTGGCAAGCATTGAGTGTTTGTTTTGAATTAGCAGAAGCATATAAGTTACCAGATCCAACTAAATTTATATCTCATTTACCTGTACATCAAGATGGTACTTGTAATGGTCTTCAACATTATGCTGCATTAGGTGGTGACGTTGAAGGTGCAAATCAAGTCAATTTAAATCCAGCTGATAGACCACAAGATGTTTATACATATGTTGCAAAATTAGTGGAAAACAGAGTCAAAATTGATGCTGAAAAGGGAGATGAAATTGCAAAGTTTTTACAAGATAAAATCAAAAGAAAAGTTGTTAAACAAACAGTCATGACTAATGTTTATGGAGTTACTTTTGTTGGTGCATTAGCACAAATTAAAAAACAAGTAAGTCAACATTTTGGTGAAGATCAAGAAGAAATACATAAATTTATCAAATATTTGACTGTACAAGTATTTGCATCTATAAGAGAATTGTTTGAAAATGCTCATTTAATCCAAGATTGGTTAGGTGAAGCAGCCAAGAGGATTAGTAAATCAGTTTCCATTGATTATGGTGAATCATCAGGTAGTGAACATGAATTACATTCATCAGCAGTAATATGGACTACTCCCTTAGGGTTACCTTGTGTTCAACCATATCGTGTAAATAAACATCATTCAGTTAAAACATCAGTTCAAGATGTATTAATTACAAACCCATCGGGTACATCCACAGTTGATGCAAGAAAACAACAAGCAGGTTTCCCACCAAATTTTATACATTCATTAGATGCAACACATATGTTAATGACAGCAACTGGATGTGGTAAATTAGGTTTACAATTTGCTTCAGTTCATGATTCATTTTGGACTCATGCAGCAAATGTTGATAAAATGAATTCAATTTTAAGGGAACAATTTGTTAGATTACATACAACTGATTTAGTTCAATTATTAAGAGATGAGTTTATTGAAAGATATAAAGGATCATATCAAGTTTTACATATTCCATTAGATCATGAATTAGTTAAAAAAGTTAAAACTATTAAAAAGCAATGGGCAACATCTATAAAAAGAGGCATAACAATAACAGATGAACTTTATATGGAAAGAAAAAGATTAGAAATGCTTAATTCAACAAATCCAGAAGAAGTTGAAGCTGCTAAAAAATTGGAAACTACATTAAGTGTCGTTGAAAATTATGATCCATATCTGTTTAATGTTGCTACAAAAACAAATGCTTATGATGTTTTGGTACCTTTACAATTTCCAGAAGTTCCAACAAAAGGTGAATTTGATGTTAATAAAGTTAAAGATTCTCATTATTTTTTCTCATAAGACTATGAGTATTAAAAGTCACTTTGGTTTTTTTATTGTTTCGTTTCAAGTTTGATATTTTAGGGTAGGGTTTGTTAGTTAGTTTGGTTTTTTTTCATTCATTCTTGTAAATATGTATATTATTATTCATTATATATAAATGATTTATAGAAGTTTATAAACTTTTTCTTTGAAAACACAAGCAGTTTGTAGGTTTAATAGTATGAGAGTAGTCTCAGAAATCCAGTGGGATGTCCGTTCATTATAATCTAGAAGTCACTATACATAAAAAAACCAATCATTAAAACCATAACATAAACAAACTTCAAAACATTTTCTCCTAAATATCCCTTTTCTTAATTAATCTTACCTTGAGCTTCAAAAGAATCAATTAAAGGTTGTAAAGGATTCAATTCCTTTTTATCTAATAAATTAAATTCTTTAATAAACAGTATAAAATGAGCAAAAAATGAATTAAAATGAGCTTCTAAATTTAAATGAACTAATTTATCAAATTGATTATAATAAATAAATGCAAAAATTCTAAACATTTGTCTTGATATATTTTTAACATCTTTAATAAAAAATTGTGGGAAAATAGCTCCATTTTTAGTTGGGAAATTTTCTTGATCGTTAATTTTATTTGATATCCATGTTATAACATAATCGATATATTGACAAGCTGGTAAATTTATAGCTTGACCTGATCCATCTACCCAAAGATAATTTGTAACTGGTCCAGCATTCATAGTTGGAAATAAATCAGGTTTAACAAATTCTGAAATTAATCCATAAAATGAATCTAAATTACCAAAAAATTCAAATATATTAAGAGCTAACCATTCATTCAAATCTACAAATGCAGGTAATTGAACTATTGTCTTGTATGAACCTTTAACTAATGCTGTTTTAACATATGGATCACATAAAAATAATGGTGGTTCTGAACTAATGATTTTTTTAGTTGTGGTTTTTTGAGGCAGACGATGTTGTTGTTGTTGTTGATTGTTATTTCTATTACGTTTTGTAGGAGATCCTTGATGAGGGTATGATGATTGATTCCTTATTGTCGGTATATTTTGTGGTGTTTGGGTAGTGTTGTTGTGAGTGTTATTGTTGATGTTATTATGAGTGTTGTTGTTTGACCGTATTGGTGAGGAGCTATTATTATTTGAATTACTGTTTTTTATAGGTGATGTATTTTTATTTGCTGATTGAGTTCTTCTTAGATTATTACCTGATAAATTTGAATGTGAATATAATGAATTATTTGTTGGTTCTAAATCTTTTTTATTCTTTTTGGAACTTCTTCCTAATCCTCTTATTGTATTTAAAAATGACATTACGAACGGGTGATGGTTTAATTAAGTTGTAATTAATATATGTTGATTATTGACGATTGATTTCAAATATATACTTTTGTTGATTTTAAAATTTGGTGTTTTGATTTAGACCAAAAAATAAAAAAATTAATTTTTTTTTACACGAGGATAAGGAGTAATTTTCAAATCAATAAAATGTACTTTCTACATTGCATTGCAACAGTTAATTATTAATTCTACTTTATGTTTATTATTTACTTTAATTATACTATATCTATTCACCGTTTAAACAAATGAACCTAAAGATTGACCAACTTTAACAGTTTCACCAACTTTTAAATCAAATTTATAATTATTAGGAGCTTCAAAAACTAAAACAACAGTCGAACCTAATTTGAAACCACCAATATCTTGACCTTTACTTAATGGTATACCTCCCAAAATTCTACTTGCATTAGTATAAGTAGCTTCATACACTGTATTTTTTCTTAATTTCTTTTTACGGTTTTTTTCTTCTAAAGAATTTATAGTTAAAATATTTGATGCTGAATAATCTCTTTGTAATAAAGGAGTATTTTCCAGTATTGAATTTGCTGAACTATTACTAGAACTATAAATTTCTTGTTCATACATTGAATTTGTTTTTAAATCTTTATCAAAATTAACAATAATTGAACCAACATTTGTTGCACCAACTGGAATCATTGAAAAAAACCCATATTTCCAATATCCCAACAAGGCAACTCTTTCATTTAATACAAATAATCCTTGTAAAGTCTTTTGGAAAAATGGAGCAACTGAAAATAATTCACCAATAAAATGACGTCTTAAAGTTGTTACCCAATTTGTTGGAGAATGGAAATGATGATAATCACCTGGTGCTAAATATATAACTGCAAAATATAATTGTTTTTTTCTAAACATTTCTAATGGATTTGGTGCAAGAGCTTCTGCAACTTCTAATTCTTTTGTAAATGAAGCATTTTCACCTTTTGCAGTACCATCATGATCATTTTTATAAGTTAATTTATTCATATGAAAAGTTGAATTATTTTCTCCACCAACTAAATCATCAACAGTATAAGTTATACCATTTAATTTTGCAAATTCTTCATCTCTTTTAATTCTATGTTCTTCATCCATTTTATGATCAAATTCAGTTGAAAGAGTTGGAGCTGCTAGTTTCCTTGTTGATGATAAACCTAATAAAGCATCTATAGAATAAGTCATACCTTTAACTTGTTCAATTTCTCCTTGTTCAATTAAACCAAATTTCAAAACTTTACCATCAGCAGGACTTACAATATCATTTTCAGATATTGGTCTTACACCAGGTTTTAAAGTTCTATAAAAAAATTCAGATAAATTATTATAACTTTTCAAATCTGGATTTTCCATTTCATCTAAATTAACACCAAATATAGCTGAATATAATCTATACAGTGGTGATCTTATAAAAACTGGTAAATTTATTGAATTTACATAACCCCATACTCTTGACATTGTTTTTAAAGGTAATGTTGAATAAGCGTATAATTGCCAAGATTGTGGTCTAATTTTATAAGGATTATCATTATGTTCATCTCTATCATATTTTATTTTTGCTGCAACACCACCCAAAACAATAGTTAAAGAAGTTATTGTCCACCATCTTATAAATTTTCTCTTTTGTTGTCTTTTTGATCTTGCTTCAATTGAAAAAAATCTTGTATGTAATTTTTTAGTTTTCAATTTTAATTTTTGATTTGCTGATGAAAAAGATCTTTTAGAAATTTTAGGAAATGGTATTTTGGTAAATTTATAATATGATTTATAAGATGTTGAATTATATGAATTTGAGTTATTATTTCTTGTCCAAGTTGAATAGTATAATACATTTCTTTTTGGTCTTGGGATTTTGGGGAATTGATAATAATAATTACTAAAATATCTTTTTTGTTGTTTTTGTTGATGTGGTTGTTGTTGAATTAATTGTGACATATAAGATGCACTTGATAATGGTTGTAAAATATCTCTTTGATTATGAAAATAAATATTTTGTGAATTAGTTTTTGGATTCTGATATTGCCATTTCAGTCCAACAGACCTTGACCAATTAAATGAAGGTGGTCTAAATGCCATAGTTTATAAATTAATATCTAATTTGAAACTTTGGTTGTAAAAAATAAAAAAATATTAAATGTAAATAAATAATAAAGAAAAAATTTAACCCTAGATATTGATAAAAAACTAAAATAATTGAAAATTGAATATATAATGAATTGAACCAAATGTATATTAATATAATTGTAGGAAATGAAATAAACAAAAAGAAAAAGATTAATGAATGTAAAGTTTTTATAGATTGTTGGATATATGAAAAAATGATAAAAAGTTATATATTAAATAATTTGGTTGTAAATAAATTTTCTTAAATTAATTTTAATTTAAATTTAATTTAAAAACAATCAAGTGAATGTACTGTATATAAATGATAAAAATAAGACGTATATTTTTTTATGTCTGTCTGTTTTTTTGTTATCTCCCTTTTTATATCAACTATTATCATCTATTATTATTATATTATTATTATATTATATTAGAAGAGAATAATAAGATATAACAAGGTGATGAGGTTTGAAAGAGATTATAGAATTGACAATTATATTATCTTAAAATGAAGCTTTAAAATAGTTTAAATAATAATAATTGAAAAATAAAGCTAAGAATAAGTTAAACGAAGAAATATTATTTTTATTAATAAATTATATTTAATTTCTCTCCATCCTTTTAAATTTTTCAAAATTTTAACGTCTTTTTGAAATTTAAAATTGAATTAAATTGGGAAAAGTTACTAATTGGTTTATTATTAATTTAGTGGAGAAAGAGTTAAATTTAATTAAACTAAGTTAAAAGAATCTTTGAATTAATTTAGAAACAAAAACGTTTGAAGTAAATTAATTTTATCGTAACCATTTTCTAATTTGATTAAAATAATTGTCGTGTGATAGTTAAATGATTTATTATTATATACAATTATATAAACTTATTGATTTTAACTACTATTAATTTTATTCCAAAATTTTAATTTTAATTGATTTATAAATTCAATATTAATATAATGTAAATCATTTTTAATTAAATTATTACTATATTCAAATAATAATTTTAAATTCCAAATATCTTCAATTATTGTATTTGAATTATCATTATTAATTGAATTTATTAAATCTAATTTATTATCAATAATATTAAATATTGATAATTCACTATATGAAATTTTAGAATTTTCTAATATTTCAAATTGCCATTTTTTAATTAAATTTGAAAAATCATTTACTGAATTTAAATTATTTAAAAATATTGAATTATTTAAAATGACTGAATTATTAGTACTTTCGTCAATTTTTAATTGATTTGAATCTTGTAAAAAATATCTTATATCTGATTTTAAAATTTGATAATTTTGCTTTTTTAATACATATATTATTAATTCTTTTAAAAAATTATCTAAAATTTCAGATTTTAATTGAAAATTTATCAGTATTTCAAAATAATTTATTGATTTTGTTATAATTTTCAGAATTTCATTTATTGGTGGAATTAAACATGGTGAAATTTTATTTAATATAATACCATTTTTTAATATAATTGTTATTGGAATTTTACATGGTTCATTTGTTTTAAAATCTTTTATAATTAAACATCTTGGTATTATAGATAATGCCCAAAAATGTCTTAATGCTTGTAAATGGATTTCATATTCACTATTTTCTTTTGGGAAAATTGGATATAAACTTGTAATTAAACTTGCAATACTAAATAATGAATTATCGAAAGCCATTTGTCCACCACCTAAAAATAAAAATCCTAATGCTGTATTTATTGCCATAAATCCACCAAATCCCATTTCTTTATTTGTATCATTATGTAATACTCTTAACCTTCTAAATACTTGCAAATCTCCACTTGCTGCCATTATAACCGATACTGATAATGCTAACATATTTTGAATATTTATTGCAGTATTATAAGCTAATTTTTGATCATAATTTATTGCTAGCTGGTTAGTTAACTTCATCATTTTATCAAGATAAAATAAAATAGTATCTCTTGCTTGTAAATTATGACTTGATGCATATTTTAATGCTATTGATAAACAAGCACCTCCCAAGATATTGAAATAAATTAATTGATCACTATCTAAATTATTAAAACCTTTAGCTCTATTAAATTCTTCAATTATAAAATCGGGGATTTGAGATTCAACCCATTCTTTACTACAACCAATTTGATTCCACATTATACAATTCTTAGCCAAAATTTTCAAAAATAATAAATCTGGTCTAATATAATCTAACAATTGTTCTGATTCTGGTATACTTAATTTTTCTGCAATATTTGAATTTTCAGTTTTCAAGTACATTAAACATAATGCTATAATTGCTCCACAACATGATTTACCTAGTTCCAATACTGATTGATTATCTTTCATTGATAAAGCTACAGTCAATAATTTATCAACAACATGAGTATCATTTAATCCCTTTAAATCATCTCCTTTACCTAAATTAACATAACCTAATGCAATTCCAGAAGCTAATCTATAACCCTCATGAACCTGTTCAGAATCATTTTGATAGACTGATCCAGTAATTTGTGATAATAATATTTCACTCATTCGTCTATGTTGAGTTTCTGAATATAATAACCCAATACCAATTATTCCAGCAGTTTGAACAATTATTGGTACATTTAAATCATTTGCACCTTGAGGTAATAAAGCAACTGCATGAACTGATAAGACTTTTGTTAACTTATTATCCATTGTACCTCTTAAACTTGCAGCCATTCCAATTAATAGACCAACACTAGTTAAAGGATGTTTTGGACCTAAATAATTATAAATATGCCATTCTTCTAATTTCTTCAAATGACCATTTAATCCTAATCCGAACAAAAAACCCGCATGCTGTGGATTTAAATCTGGTGGTTTATTAAATACAATCCAACTACCTGAAATTCCCTTTGAATCCTTTGCAATACTTAAACCTGATGAAACTCCATTATGAAAATGACCCCACTCTGATAGATCTTGTGATATGCTTTCTTCTGAATGTATGATGTTTGTCATTGTTGGTGATATCAATGTATTTAAATTAAATTTGGGAATTGGAAATTTCTCAGTAAGTAAAGGTTTCCTACCACCATAATACAATGCAGCTCTTCCTAAAGGTATAGTCAAGGTTCTTAATGCAACAATATTAGCTAAACTTCTTTGAAGTAAGACCAAATCATATTCTGTAATGCTTTCATCGGTTTTCAAAAAAGCAGTTTGAGTTTTAGTTTGATGTAATAAAGTTGTAATTTCAAAATATCTTCTATCTAAATCAAATATTAATTTTGTAATGCTTATCCTTTTTGCTTCCGATTGATCATCCCATGAAGAAATTGTTTCTGATGTTGTAATCTTATTGGTTAACGATTCTATATTTTCTATTGGTGGTTTTTCAAATACAACATCTTTAGAATATTCATTGGATAACAATTTACTCAAATCTTCTCTACCAGTAAGTTTTAGTGAATTTGTAGTCCAATCAAAAGTAGGATTTTCTTGTGAAACTGATAATGCCTCCTTTAACGGAATGGCTATACCTAATGGAAATTTCTCCAATGATGTAATACCTAATGCACTCATCATATCAACCAAGATTGAAGGTCCATATTGAGAAGATACCAACACTTCAAATAATTTCAAAACATTATGAGTTACTGGGGTTACAATAGCATCAACTGAATCACTTTCTTCAACCAATTGTGAAAATGATAAATATCTTACAATATTATCAGTGAATAAACTTGATAGTGATTCAAATAAATTTGGAGGAGATTTTAAAATTTGTAACAGTAGGAATCTTGTTGTTCTATCTAAATGCATTGAAATTGAATAATAATTAATCCATATGTCAGGCCAGCCCATCCATGCAGATAATTGACTTAACAATGCACCAAGTTTTTGTAAATATTCTCTTTTTGTATCTAATCTAAATTCTTCTCGTAGTAGATGTAATGATAATGCAATGTATGGTATTAGGTCTTGTAGATTGTAATTTAAATGTGATGTTTGTCGTAATAGTTTTGCTTTCGGTAGAAGAGATGTGATACTGTTTGGTGTACATTGTAATTCACCTTGAAATGGGAAGATTAACGATAATAATGCTATAATAAAAGCATCCCATTCGTCTACCCCATTATAGGCTGACCTCCATAACATCCACATTGTTTGATTGATTGTTGATCCTGACAAATACTGGAAACATTTTAGACAAGACAGAACCAAATCTGTTGTTGGATCAAGGATGATCTTGATTAAACTTATAGTTTCATCGTTCAGTCTTACAGCTAATTTTTCATGGTTTGAACAAATCAACAGACTTATAGGAAATTGAATACTACAATTTGCTCTTGTTTGTAGAAATGGATTAACAATTAATACTTCATTGTCCAACAATATTATCAAATTTCCTTCAAATTTTGAGTTTAACGGTATACAATCTAACGCAGGACATTTATATACCGATTGATGCTTTGAATATGAATTATATTTATACACATGAACTTCTTGTTTTAGTTTATTGAAAATTACAACCCCTTCTTGATCCTCAAAATTGATACTAAAAATCTTGATGTAATTTTTATTTAATTTATTTTCAATGGATTCAATTTTTGATAATATGACATCCTTTTTCAAATTTTGTGATGCTTGTTGTTCAACATTTAAAATTCTTGCATCTGATAATAACGTACTTGTTCTATTTTCCAGTATGAAAAAGCTTAATTTTGGTTCAATTTTGCCCGATGGTGTTGATAGATATTGTTTTTTCTTTTTTGTAGGTTTCGAATTGAATTTTAAACTTCTTGATGAATTTTTTACTTGATATATATTAATTGATCCTTCAATATAAGTAGTACATAACGAGATTCCAGGTCTTTGATTAAATGTTGTGACATATTCATTATGGGAAAATGCACTATTTGTATCTTTATCAACAAATTTGAGATCCAAATTCTTATTTATTAAGTACAACTCATTTTTGGTTTGTAATATTAATCCTCTTTCATATTTCTTAACAAGCATAACATCAAATGGCAAATGTAAAGTATATAATTTCCCGTCTGGATAATAAAAATTTATATACTTTTTAAAACAAATGGCAATAATCTGAGTTAATTTATCTTTAATTGTAAAGTTTGTAACACATGCTTTTATTATATCCTCATCAAATTTTAAAACACGATTTATGAGTAGTCCCTTGAATATGGTAACTTGCCGGGATTTTAATGATAAATTGATATTGTTGTCGCATAAAACAACGTTTTCACTATCTATAGGAAAATTAAACTCATTGTGATAATCAATTACTGGTGTGATTAGAGTTTGATTTGTTGTTGTGGACATTAATACATGTTTTTAATAATTTTGGTTGTAAAAATAGTTTGTTTACAAAAGTATATTGATTTACTAAATAAAATAAAAATACGAAAAATAATTAAGCTACCAATTCAATGTCAAATTTGAAACAATTGAAGCTTATAAAATAATCACCAACGACTCTACAATAATTAACTAACCTTTTTAATGTTTTCTGTAATTTTATGTATTATTAAAAGTGTAAATACTGTATAAACCTAACAACACATGAATTTTATGTGATAATTTACAATGAAATGATTGTTGATTGTTGTGAATTGTATTGTATAAATGATGTAAGCTGATGATATATGATTTGATATGAAAATAAGTAAGATTAACGGTATGATTTTTGGAATCTTGCTCTGGCACCACGACCACCGAATTTTTTTGGTTCCATTCTTCTTGAATCAGCAACTAATAAAGTTTTATCATATGAAGCAAAGATTTTTTTTAATTCATTTTTAGAAGCTTCATCGACAAATTTTTGATGATAAGCAACTAAACCTTTAGCAATAGCTTGTCTAATAGCATATACTTGTGAAACATGACCACCTCCAGTGACTTTGACTCTGATATCAATACCTTGGAATTTATCTAAACCAACTAAAGTTAATGGTTCGTAAACTTTGAATCTCAAGATTTCTGGTTGGACTAAGGTGATTGGTGAACCATTAATTTTGATTAAACCTTTACCGTTTTTGACGTGAGCAACGGCAGTGGCAGTTTTCTTTTTACCGAAAGTCTAGAAGGAAAAATTGTTAGTATTATAAATTCATTAGTTATTGTACAATTTGACTGATTGATATATTCGAGACTTGTATATATTCTTCTCATAAAATCCAACTCTGGTACTCCATTGTGCTAGTTCTTTACGACTTCTTGATTTGTAGTTATACTCTCACTATCTGGCTTGGCTGATTCATATTGGATCTTAAATTGAGTCTAAATTTATAATTCCATCGTTGAACTTATATGACATCTTGTTCTTTTGATATCAATCAATATACATGGATTTATTTATATTATCTATGAACATACTTGAACAGATTGGGTTGACATGTTGTGTGCTGTATTATACTGATCTTTCTAACTTTATTCTAAATTTTTGAAAACAGTTTTTTCTAATTTTGAAATTTTTTTTGTTTGTTAGTAAGTTTCGCTACACTAACTAAAAATTTGTATGGGTAATAATAAATTAAGAGAATATTAATGTAGTACCGTTTGTGTAATTCTTCATTGGCATTGGTAGCATTGCATTATTACTTAACTATGTATTAGGTTTTTAACCCTATCTTGTAAACAGCACAAAAACAACATAGACAGATGGTAGCTAGTCTTTGATTTTAGCAGTAGTCAATAGTTTAGAACTACCAAATGAATGTACATAGTAAATTCTTTTCTCTCTTTATTATTATTTTCTCATAGTTAAGTTAAAGACTTTACCAAAACTGAAAATTTTAATTTTTCTTAAAAAAAAATTTAGAGAAGTTCATATTCAGATCTTATCCATCCCAACTTTGAACAACAACAACAATGGCTATCTCAAAAAATTTACCATTATTGAATAATCATTTCAGAAAACACTGGCAAGAAAGAGTCAAAGTTCATTTTGACCAAGCTGGTAAAAAAGCTTCAAGAAGACAATCAAGATTAAGAAAAGCTGCCAAAGTTGCACCAAAACCTATTGACACTTTAAGACCAGCTGTTAGAGCTCCAACCATTAAATATAATAGAAAAGTCAGAGCAGGTAGAGGTTTCACCTTAGCTGAAATTAAAGCTGTTGGTTTAACTCCAAAATACGCTAGAACCATTGGTATTTCAGTTGATCATAGAAGACAAAATAGAAGTCAAGAAACTTTTGAACAAAATGTTTTAAGATTAAAAGAATATAAATCAAAATTAGTCATTTTTGATAAAAAAACCAAAGCTTCAGAAACTGTTACATACGAACAATTATCAACTTCAGCTACTTTCCCAATTGAAAAATCTGTTGGTGAAAAAGGTACTAGAGCTGTTGAAGTACCAGAACAAACTGCTTATAGAACTTTAAGATTAGCCAGAAATGATAAAAAATTCAAAGGTATTAGAGAAAAAAGATCAAAAGAAAAAGCTGAAGCTGAAGCTGAAAAAGCTAAAAAATAAGTTAATTAAATTTACTTTTAGTGATCATATAAATGGGAATATAAAATTAAAATTAATTAGGAGATGATTAATATTGGATGTGGAATGTACATTATTTCAAAACAACACCACCCTGGGTTTTTATAACTAAATTATATATACAAATTATAGGTTGATAAATAAAGGGTAAACGCAAATTCATTTAGTAACAATATTTTTAAGTATCATTATTGTAATTATTTAGACTCTAAAATGTTGAATAAGTTATAACTTGGAATTAATAAGAAATTTCATCTCTGAAGGTATCTTCATGCATTGTTTTATTTGAAGTCACTCATACTCCTAGTAGTCTAATGAAGTACTGTACGTTACCATCGGTAAACACTTAAAGTTATAGAAAATATTGAGAGATGATTGTACTATTCCAAAAGAACCTACAGTTAAATACTCTCTTTTCGATAATGATAAATTTTATTAAAATTATATTATACAAAGGATTTACTGAATAATTAAATCAAAATAAATTGATCCATACTAAATTCTGATATTCTCCCTATTTGTGTTGATAAAGATAACCAAATTTTCAATGTAATGCAAATGTTTTGAATGTAAATTAACAAGTTTAATCGAATAAACCGAATCCCATATCATCATCTGATTCTTCTTTAGCTTCTTCTTCTTTTTCTTCAGCAGCTTCTTCTCCACCAGCAGCAGCATCACCACCGGCAGCAGCACCGGCAGCTGGGGCAGCAGCAGGACCAGCTGAGAAGTTAAAGAAAAATTCTTTTAAATCTTTACCTTCTAAAGCTTTAGCAAATAAATCAGCCCAAATACCTTCAACTTCAACGTTGGCAGTTTGAACTAATTTTAATAATTGTTCAGCATTTGGAGTAATATCAGCATCAGCTAAAATTAAAGCAGCATATGATAAAGCTTGTTCAGTTGACATTTTTATAACTAGAATTAATCAATTTTAAGCAAAAATAGCGGACTAGTTCTTAGTTTTGGTTGATTTAAGTAAATATGAATGGTAATTTTTCACTTTTTTTTTCTGTGATATTATTGTGTCAGTAGAAAATTACTGTCTGAATTTGGATAGTGTGCGGCTTTGTAAAATCTTCAATGTCACGTGTAAAAAATATCAAATTTGTTGCCCTAACGTTTTTGTACCTGGTAGCGTCTTCTTCTAATATGACAATGTTTCAACTGTTTCAGAACCAACTTTGCAGTGATAACCTGAGTATGATGCATATTCACCGTGTGAGTGCGAGTTTAAATGTATAATTGTAAAGGATGATTACGAGTTTTGAAAAGTAAAGCCCACTTTTATCTCGGGTTTCAAAGTTTTCGGTGAGAATTGGCGTCAAAATGATGCGAATTGGAACACTACGAAATCCAAGCGTGGTAATTTTATATCATATGCTCATTCACTATTATACAAACAAGTCGATGAACAATCACAGTGCGAGAAAGCTTCATCTTTCAACTTACCTACATTGAGGGAATGTTGACAGTAGACTTTTTCCAAATTGAATGCCATTTAGAACCAATGCCATTTAGTACCGAACATTCGAATTGTGGAGTAAATCTTTGTTCTTACTACAAAATTGATGAAACACAAAATAAACACCAAAATTATTCGGAAAAATCGTAAAATTTAGTATAACAAGGAAAAAGAGTTGGGGTTTACGATAAGCGATTTGAGAATAGTGCTAAGCTAATTAGAGTTCGTGAATGATAGGTTCATAATTTAGAGCCATTTAATCAATTAAGATCATATATATATGCACATAATTAAGAATTGTATAATATAAGGCGTTATTTAAAAAACTCCTTAAAAGTTTAAGGGGTTATCCTAAATAATAGAAAAAATAAAAATATTACAAAATAGAAATCATCTGTACATTAATTAACAACCGTATAAAAATAAGAAAAAAAAATAAAAAAAAAAAAAATGTTCAATTAAATAAAAATTAATTAAATTAAAATTATACGAGAAAAATAAACAAAAATTAACCAGCCATGTTAGTTTTGTTTCCAAGTATAATTTTATCAATGAAGGTCATTGAGCTTACAACTAAAGCTTTATACAACGATTATTAAAAGAAAAGTATGAAATGTATTGTTGAGGTTATAATTGCTAAATAATAAATTATTATTATGAAATTTTGTTCTTGCGTACCTTAGACAACATTTATTTACAAATCACAATAAGATCATGAAGTAAACTTAAAAGAGCTTTTGTATATCTTTCACAAAATCACTAAGGAAGCTGAGAATTTCATTTACAGAGCGGAACCAAAATAGCAAACCAATACATTTTCGTTCTATACAAAGAGAAACGTATCATAATGTAAGGGAAGAATGTGAAATTTGTGTTCGAGTACAATAAGAAGACGCAAAAAAATAGAATAGAGAGTAAATTTAGTAATAAGTATGTTTTGTGAATGTATAGGAATCCGAATTCTTCATATTTGAAATGAAATTTCTTATTATTAAGGCATAGTTTTGCCTCTATACTCTCTATTTAATAGATGTAAAAGTATATGCTTTTGCCACATAAGTAATAGGTTTATCGAGTTATTTAATCTAAAGGTTAGAAATTACGAAATAGTAGATATATGTAGAACAACATATGAAAAAGAAGGAGATCAATAATAAATTTATTTAGTAGATTAGATAAGAGAACACACTTTGAATAATAAAGCACAAAATATAAAATGCAATTAATAGTTGTTTAATATCCGGATCAATTATCTCATATACCCTACGCGTTAAAAACCTAAAATAATACTCATTTAAAATTAACAAAAAATTGCCCATTCAAAAATTAATCTCTATCTGTAGCATCTAAATTACAATATTGATTAAACAACACGAAATCTTCATAATTCAACCAATTACAGTACAAGTCAATAACTATAATTTACGGATTAAAAAAACATTTAAGAACTAATAAATGAATCTAAAAATTTCGCTCGTTAAATTATCGTTGATTTTGTAACTGATACGTCTACTGTGTAATTTTTTCTTCTAAAATCTTTTGTAACACAAAAATTGGAATAAAAGGGTGGAGGGGTGGATATTTTATTTCAAATTTGTACAAGATCAATTACTCAATCAACAGCCTTTTAATACTTTTATCAGAGTTTCTCGAAATCATTCCGACTAAGACAATCGTACCAGCTAGTGGTATCATCAATATACTCAACTGATAAGTTATTTCTTTTGTTTGTTTGTTTTTAAAAATAAAATATTGATCAACCAAAATGAAACTTAAAATTATAAAAAGCAATTATTCCGATAAATATTAATTAAATATAATTCTATTGCGTTTCATTAGTAATTAAATACTTTTTTCTTCAGCGATAAATTCCATTAATTCCATTTTAATTATGCAAATATAGAACAATCTTTAACTAAAACAATCCTATAAATTAGTGTATTTAACAATTCATAAATATTGACGAATATTTATTTATAACAAATTGACATATTAAATAGATTTACATAAATACATTACATAACTACAACCTTATTAGAATAACAAGAAATAAAATAAATGAAAAGTATATTCTTTACTAATGCATTGTTTATACGAGTTTGCATCATTAGTAATAACTTTCTAAATTTAAAAACCAATAAACAAATAATGCTAAGAATTGATATCACATAGTATTGATATAAGGAAAGTTTTAAATTTGGTTATGTGAAGAATTAAATCTTAACTTCCATTTGGACTGGCAATCTAAATTTAGTCATAATAATTACTAATTAGAATTAAATTTGATAGTTATAAGAAAATACCTATTTCATTGCACGTTGTAGATTTAAAGTGTTTGATTAAATTGCAAAACAAATTTGGTTATTTAAATTTAAGATTTTTAAAAAATAATTAAATTTAAATAAATTTAAAACGTTTTGCATAATTTTAAATTTTAAGAATTTATACATTAAAATAATTTAAAAAGATTAAATTTATTAAAATAAAAAATGTTATTGCAAGTAAGTTTTTTCAATAATTAATAGTATTTACTGCAATTAAAAGGTATAATAAACATATATACAATTAATAAAACAATAAGAAAATTACTTACTATTAAGTAATTAAATTAAAAATTAAAATCTATATAAATATAATAATGAATCTCTTGAATAAAATTAAACCATTTCAAAACTTTCTATTCCATAGTCAAATTAAAACAACTATATATATATATATCATATCATCAATCGTTCAATTAAAATACAATTAACTTTCGTTAAATTTGCTTTACATTAGTTTGAAATTACACTTATTCATTACATAAACTCACTTTTTTAGTTGAGTATCATTTCATTTGTTATTAAGAATTGTTTTGAAAGGGATAAAATTAATCCAGCTCTTTCATAAAAATCTGTACACAAAATCAATTAACAACGACAATTTGTTATAATTTATAAGATCAAATAATATCTATTCATATAATATCATTTTATTAGCCTTGGATATATTGTCATCTCAATAAATTTCAATTTATAAGTTTCAAGTTTATTTTAAGCTTTTAAATTTCTTGATTAATATTTAAAATTTAGTTCTGAAACAAGTTTGATACGCTCATTTAATAATTACGTATAATAATTCTTTTTTTTTTTGCACCCATTACACAATAATTATTATAGAAGCATAAAAAGGGCTTTATATCACCAACAATTAATTTAATTATACAATTCACTATTACTTCATCATATTATATATAACTATTCATAATAAAATGAGATTAGTACTTCTATTATTCACATTTATAATATCAATAAATTCATTAGTAATAACAGAAAAACAAAAAAGATTTGATGCATGGGATTATCAAAAAGATATAACAAGAGGAGTTAATTTAGGTGGATGGTTTGTATTAGAAGCTTATATAACTCCATCAATATTTGGAACTTGGTTATTCCCACAAAATACACCAGTTGATGAATATCATTTTACAAAACAATTGGGTAAAGAAGCAGCATTCCAAGTTTTAAATCAACATTGGTCAAGTTGGTATACCGAAGCTGATTTTGAACAAATGAGTTATTTAGGGTTAAACGTTGTTCGTATACCAATTGGTTATTGGGCTTTTCAATTGTTAGACAATGATCCTTATGTTCAAGGACAAGTTGAATATTTAGATCAAGCTTTACAATGGGCCAGAAATCATAATATAAAAGTTTGGATTGATTTACATGGAGCTCCTGGCTCACAAAATGGTTTTGATAATTCTGGTTTAAGAGATTCAATTAATTGGCAAACTGGTAATAATGTACAATTTACTTTAGATGTATTACAACAAATTTTCAAAAAATATGGTTCATCAACTTACGAAGATGTTGTTATTGGTATTGAATTATTAAATGAACCTTTGGGACCATCTTTAAATATGGATCAAGTTAAAGATTTCTACAACAAAGGGTATTCCAATTTAAGACAAACTGGCTCATCAACACCAGTAATTATACATGACGCATTTCAACCAGCAGGGTATTGGAATAATTTCTTACAAGTCAGTCAAGGTGCATGGAGTGTTGTTGTTGATCATCATCATTATCAAGTCTTTTCAGCTGGTGAATTAAAAAGAAGTATAAATGATCATATATCAGTAGCATGTAATTGGGGTTGGGATGCTAAAAAGGAATCTCATTGGTCAATTGCAGGAGAATGGTCAGCTGCATTAACTGATTGTGCAACTTGGCTTAATGGGGTTGGAAGAGGTGCAAGATATGAAGGTCAATATGATAATTCACCATGGATTGGTTCATGTTCACAAATAAACACTGACGTTAATAATTGGACATCAGATTATAAAACAAATGTACGTAAATATATTGAAGCTCAATTGGATGCTTTTGAATATAATGGTGGTTGGATTTTCTGGAATTGGAAAACTGAATCTGCTGGTGAATGGGATTTTCAAAAATTAACTGCTGCTGGTATATTCCCACAACCTTTAACTGATAGACAATTTCCTAACCAATGTGGATTTCCATCCAAATAATTTTGCTAGTTAGGTTTTTTGGTTTTTTTATAAATTTGGTTTTACTTATACTTATTGATTGGTTTTAAATTTTTTTTTCAAGCGTTACTTTTTTGCAACAAAAGTAAATTTAGTTCATTTTCAAAGATTTTTGTCGTTGTTATAGAGGAGTGGATTTTTATTATGGTGAGTCATACGTTATTTTGATGACTTACTTTTATTAAGTTTTTTGTAATATTATTGTTATTTCAGATTTAATCAGTTTAATAAATTGTTCAAATGATTCAATTTTTTATGATGTAGAGTATCGTTTTTACTAAGACTTCTGAAAACAAATAAAATTCTATCACTCTAAAAAACTTATTTAAAATCAAACTATACTAGTAAATTATTTTCTTTTGCAACTTCATCTAAAACTTGAATTAAAATATCACTACCCTTATCGTAATCACTTAATTCATTGTATACTTGACAAGAAAATCTAGCGTATAATTTCCCATTATGACTAGCGCAAGGAATATAAGCTTTCTTATCAAAACATTTATGATACACTAAATTATCATATTTTGACCAGTTCTTTGCAAATTCAGGATATTTATCAGTGGGGACTTCAATAGTTACCATTGTACTAATTTGAGTTTTATCAGGTTGATCTAAAATTGAAGTCCCCCATTTTTCACTAACTAATTTACCAACTTTTAAAGCTAAATTATGACAATGATTGTATATGGCTTCTTCACCTCCACAAATTTCATTTCTAAATTTATAAGCTTCTGGGATAGTTGCAATTGATGCAAAATTTTTAGTACCTGTGAACCAAAATCTATCAATCATTCTATTTTTGGTATCTTCTTCTGATAATTCTGTATCACTGCTAATATATGAATGACTTATAGGTAAAGTATGGATATACTTTTGATATTTTGGATCAATATATAATACGGCACAGCCAAATGGAACATAAAACCATTTATGTAAATTTGATACGTAAAAATTTGGTTTAATTTTGTTTAAGTCTTGTGGAATACAACCAATACCGTGAGCACCGTCAACTAATGATAACACATTATATTTATTACATAACTTGACCATTTTTTCATGTGGGAAAATAACACCAGGCATGGAAGAAACTGAATCAAACATACATAATTTTGGCTTGTTTTCACTAAAACATTTTTCAAAATTAGCTAATATTTCGGCATCTGTAGTTGGATAATTAACATCAACAACATGATAATCAATACCAAAATTATCTTTTAAAAATTTAACAGTATTACCACAAGCACCATAAACAGTACTTTGAATAACAATAGAATCACCCTTTTGGAATGGAAAACTCCTTAAAATTGTATTTACCCCAGTAGTAGCATTTTCAACTAATGCTAAATTATGATAATCACAATTTAAAACTTTACCAACCACCTTTAAACTTTCGACATAAGTATCTTTTAAACTATATTTTAAATGTAAATCAGGGTACGAAGATGTATGAAGCATTGATTCAACAAATTTATCATGGATCGGGGTAGGAACTGTTCCATAACTTCCATTATTCAATAATAAAACTTCTGGATCTTGATTTGAAAAGTACTTAGTTCTAAACTCTTTACCAAATGGAGTTTCTGGTTGGTTCTTTGTGACAGTTTTTGTAGCTGTAGACATGAAATTTAATTGATTTATTAATGAAGAAATCATTTTTAGCTTGCCAAAGTAAAAGGTACGAATAGGGAAATATTTATAGATTGAATTTGGTGATTAAATGACTCAATTTATGTATCAAATATTACCATCTACGTGGTTTCAATTTAATTAAAAGTAAATTTGACTATAGCCCTTTATTACTCATAAAACTAAATTCCTCTTTTCCTTTTTATTGATAAGATAAAATACAACTAATTAGATTTTGTGTAACATTCGGAATTCTTTTTGTAATTCTATTATTAACCTCGAAACAAACTAATTTACGATATTCACAACCAAGTAGATATAATTATAAGTATATAAGTATATAGTGAGTGAGCAATAAGTCAGCTGTAATTTGAATTTTCAACAAATTCATCGTCAATAAAGTTTTGAGATGAGTAATGAATGTAGTGGTTGTCTAGACCCTTGATTCTGGCAGATCTTTAAAAGACGAGATTTTACATTATTTGCTACATTTTGTTGTAAATTGTAATGACAAACATTGATAATCACTTCTCCAATTTTTACACAAGTGGTTACCTTTTAACTTCTAAGTCATTGATATTCACTAATATTTTCAGTTGATAAATGCTAAATTATAATAATATTAATAATACTTCTCTTTAAAAATTTGACAAGTTTTACACAAAATTACATTGTAAATTTCTCTCTTCTCGATTCAAGATTTCCACTAAAAGGTACAGATCAATACTATTATTTAATAAGTCAAGTCAAATATATCATTGAATCAAGTTTAACTTGATGAATAGACTATTCCAGGGCAAAAGCTACCTACGATGTATCAACCGAATACTTAGGCAAAATCAGCTTAAATCTAGCCAATTGCAACATCAGCAACCTTTTTTACAACCAAAATTTACCCCATACTTTACTAGATCATTTCATCAAAAATCAATAATACTACAACAACTTAAAAATAATGATAATCAGAAGGATCCAAAAGAGATTAATATAATTCCTAAAGCTAAAGAAGTTGTCAAAGAGATCCCGAAAGTGACAAAAGAGCAACTATTAGCAAAGGCAAATAATGTGATATCTAGATTAAAAATTCGAGTAAAATGGCTTTTAAAAAAATCCAATCGACCTTATAATACAGATGATTATTCAGCATTTTTTTCATGGTTAGTTGTTGGTAATGTATTCTTAATATTTGTTGCAACAACAACTTTTTTTTCATTAATTATATTTACAGCAAATACAGTTTTTGCACAAGAATTTGTTGCAAGAAAATTAGGAGAGTTTATTACAAAAAATTCAAATATGACCGTTACTTTCGAGAGTGCGATTGTACCTGGCTGGTCAGATGGTAAAATCAGTTTTAGGAAATGTTTTGTTAGTAGAAGACCTAAAAAGATTGAAAAATTTATAAAAGGATCACAACAAGAAGCGTATGAAGAATCACTAATGATTAAAACACCAAATGGAGAAATAATAGAAGATGTTTTTGAAGATGATGGAAACTATACACAATTTGATTTAATAATAGAAGAAGTCAATATATCTTTATCTTTTAATAAATGGGTCAATGGTACTGGTATGATTGAAACATTAGAAATTAAAGGATTGAGAGGTGAGGTCGATAGAACACACGTTATTTGGAATCCAGATGATGATGCAACGAATTATAAAAATGTTTATCAACCTGGAGATTTTGAAATTGAAGACTTCAAAATGGAAGATGTGTTATTTGAATTGAAGCAACCAAAAGGATTTAGACCTTTTGATGTTGCCATATATAATTGTGAATTATCAAAATTAAGAAAACACTGGTTGTTTTATGATTTTTTGAATGCAAATGTTATGAGTGGTTCATATGATAATTCATTATTTACTGTACATAAAAAGCAAAGATTAAGCGATTTTTCATTAGACGGAGAGGATACATTAAAAAAGCATAACAAATGGAAAAGAATCACATGTTTAAGAGTTGATGCATTAAATATTGATCATTTAAATACCGGTTTAGAAGGACCATTTGGTTGGATCACAAGTGGTAAAGTTGATATGATTGGTGAAGTAATGGTACCACAAGAACATGATGATGAAATTGGTGTTAAAGAAATTGTTAATATGATTGCTGAGTCAATCACAAAGGAAGCCACCAGGTACAAAAATCCAGAAGTGCAATCAAAACACCCAGATATGCATACAAGATTAACAAAAGATGATTATACAGATATAACGAAATATTTTGTATTAGATTTGACTATAAGATTAAACAATGTCAGAGCTATAGTTCCATTTAAAGCACCTGAATTATCATACATCAACTATGCATTAATTAGACCAATTGTGGCTTATATTAATTCCAAAAATACAGTTATTGAAATTCATAATAGAATTGTCAAAAATATTCAAGATTTTGAAGGTTCATGGACTGTTTATGATTCTTTATTAATGGATGATATATCTGAAGAAGTTTATGATAATTTTGTTGATTATGTAGCAGATGAAGAAGCTAGATTAGTTAGAATGAAAAGAATTGGATTCTGGTCTTTACAATTATTCTTGCAATTGATACTTGTTGGTTTAGGAACATTGGCGTAATAAGTTAATCACATCTTTAGAATTAAAATTAATAATGCAATATAACAACACAAACTAATGATTGATAAAATTAAGACGTAATCTCCTCCAGTCTTATACATTTCCATATCTTTCTCTGGATTATAATAAACATCAACACATGATGATTTATAAACTCCAATAAAATAAAGCAAACATCCATAAATTGTATATATAGTACCTATGGGTAAAAATTCTTTTGAAAATAATTTTATGATTAGGATTGAAAATGAAAAACAACCAATTGCTGTTCTAGTATAAGCACCTTCATAAGTTCTTTGATGTGCTCTTATATCTAATTTCAAGTTATTCTCGAATGAGTCTAACCTAGATGGTAATCTATCTCTTATAGGCACTGGTTCAGCATTTGACATTATTTCATTTAGATAAGGATAAATGTGGTTGTATTTGTGATCAAAAATTTAATTAATCTTTTTTTTGTTTGTATCAACTTATCATCAAACTTTACAACACCACCAAGACTAATCCATCACAAATATTATATAGATCATGGTCGCTGCTAAAAGACTATGGATAAAATTAAGATTACCTACAAAATTTTTAGGTACTCTACCTAAATTTGAACCATTTGTATCGAAAACAAGATTGAAAAAAATAGCACAAGAAGAAAGAAGAATAGCTGCAGGACTACAATCATCAACAACACTGCAGAAATCATCACCAGCTCCAGATGGAGGTTCAGTAACCCCAGCACCAAATGCAACAACTTCAACTACGGGAGGTTCAAGTAGTGGAGGTATAAGTCAATATAAAATTAATGTTGGTTTGAAAGAAAGTTCTACATCGGGTTTAACAATGAATAGTATAAATAGTGCATTATATACTTTGGATAAATCTGGTAAACCATGCAAAAGATGGGTTAAAAAGCAAAGAGAATTCAAATCATTTACTGGATTCAAGATGAAGTATACGCGTTATGAACCAAAAGAATCAAACAATCCATTAAAGATTACTATAAAAAAACCGGATTCAATGAAAGAAAAATCTAATGGTAAAGCAGAAGGCTCTCCAATAAAAGTAGAAATTACAGCTTGAAAGTGATAGGGAATTTTGTATGATGGCTTTATGATTGTATAGTAATATTACACTAAGTTAAAAAATGTATTTGAAAAATTGAAATATCTCTTAAATCATTTTACAACCAACAAATGATTTTGAAAAATATAGGACTACGAAGATGTACATATAGACTATATTCAATTAAATTAAAAGAACTAGAATCATCTAACAACACTAACCATGCAATCTCAACGAAACAATTATTATACACAACTGATCCAACTTCACCAGGTTCAATTTTTTTCTTACCTCATGGTACAAGAATACTAAACAAATTAATTCAATTTATGAAAAATCAGCAAATTAAATATGGTTTTCAAGAAGTAGTGACTCCATTAATTTTCAAAACTAAATTGTGGCAAAAATCAGGGCATTGGGATAATTACAAAGATGACATGTTTAAAGTTATTGGTAACGATTTATCAAAAGAAGATCAACAAGATAATATTGAAGAACATGAGTATGGTTTGAAACCAATGAATTGTCCAAGTCATTGTATGATATTTGCAAAGTTTGATAGAAGCTATAATGAATTACCAGTAAGATTTTCAGATTTTAGTTCATTACATAGAAATGAAGCAAGTGGTGCATTATCTGGTTTAACAAGAGTTCGTAGATTTCATCAAGATGATGGTCATATCTTTTGTGACTTAGGTCAAATTGATCAAGAAATTAAAAATACTATAAATTTAATCAAAGATACTTACAATGTTTTTGGAATTAATAAAATTGAATATTATTTATCTACTAGACCGGAAGAAAAATTCATTGGAGATTTAGAAACCTGGAATGATGCTGAAGATCAATTGAAAAATGTATTGAATGAATCCACAGGTGAAGGGAATTGGTCCATCAGAGAAGGCGATGGTGCTTTCTATGGCCCAAAAATTGACGTTCTTTTAACTGATGCTTTTCAAAAGAAACATCAAGTTGGTACAATTCAATTAGATTTTCAATTGCCAAAAAGATTTGAGTTGAAATATGTTGCTGAAGATGGTTCAAGGGACAATCAACCAATTTTAATTCATAGAGCTGTTTTTGGATCTTTGGAAAGGTTCTTTGCCATTTTATTAGATCATTATCAAGGTAAATGGCCATTTTGGATTAACCCAAGACAAGCCATAATTATACCTGTAAATGAAACACACATAGCAAAAGCTGAAGAATTGCAAAAGAAATTGTCTGGTGATATTGTTAATACTGAAAGTTCAATCTCCCCATTGACTGGTTTTAATTTTCATGTTGATGTTGACAAAAGACCTTCTACAGTTGGTCACAGAACCAAAGATGCAATTCAACATGGCTATTCATATATTATTTTAATTGGTGACAAAGACATTGCAAACGGGACCTACGCGATTAGATCAAGAGATGATAGAAAAATTATCAATAAAACAGCTGACGAAATTTATGAACAATTTATAGAATTAGAAAAATCTTATAAATAGACTAAGAGAAAAAAAATTCTTGTATATATACTAATACATCTATTAATTTATTTACCATATCCTTTATTTATAAGTATTTTTTCTAACTCAATCCAAAGATCTTTTACAAGCACTTTATCTTTAAATCTTTGATCACCTTTATTTACTTTTAATTCACGTACATTCCATTCTTTTATTTGATGAGGAGTTGATTCTCCTTGATATCCTAAATAAAACCCTTGATACTTCTGAAATAATATTTCTCCTCTACTATATTTATACTTGCTGAATTGCCAAACTTGACCAGTTGTAAAAATTGCTATTACTCTATTCCAATAGTCTGGATTCGTGAAAAGATCTGTATTGTCAACAACCATAATTTTTTGACCTTGAGGTATCAATTTCTCTGATGGATGATTAAGTATTACTACTCCTGATTGTGGTCTATTTGTGGGTACTGGTTCAGTAAATGTTCCATTTTCTAAAAATTGTTTTATATTTGATAATGCAAGTAATGAAGTTGTTGCTGGTGATACGATGATTATAGGTTGTTTCTTAGCTGAACTTGATTTTTCACTACTTTGAGGATTTGTTTTAGCTCGTTTTAATTCATGCATAAATTTTTTAGCATCAGATATTAAATAACTAAAATCTATATTTTTGGAACCTCTTAAAGCTGCATTGTGATCAACTGACTCTCTTTCAAATTCATTTATTCTATCTATTTGTGGATCATCCAATTTATGTTTTTTAAATTCTGGTTCTGATTTATGATCTTTTGATTTATCATTACTTTGAGAATCTTTATCTTCTTTAACAAATTGACAAGAATCTATTGAACCTTTTAACCAAGTAAGTAAATCGAATCTACACAAAATTGAAAATGGAGTAAAGCCAAGTTCTGCAGCTTTTGCTTTGTATTCTTGATCAGTGTTTTTTTCATATAGCCAACAAAATACTACTGATCTTAAATCTTGTGGTTGTTCATCACTATAGAAATTTGTTTCTAGGTCTAAGTCATATTTTGTTTCAATATTTCCGAATGATACTTGTGAGGCATCTTTTATTGAATCTATTTCTTCTTCCTCTGAATTGTATAATTTGAATGGTTCCCCCTTTGATGATGCTTTACGTAGAGCCCTTAATGCTTGTACTCCAGACATTTATTTGTGTTGTGTAATATTGATGTATGCTTTGGTTGTGAAAAATTATTATTCTGTTGATATTTTTTCTAAGTTTCGAATATCAATTTTTGTAACCAAATTAGTTATCTAGATAGAACTATCAAACCACAAGAAACAATAAAATTGACTCAATTGAAATTGAAAGAACCCAGAATATATGGATTAGGTCACTAGAAAATTTCATATTTAATATCAATAATCTCATATGGTTATTGACAGTCCAAGAGATATAAATGCAGATCAAGTAACTCAATGGTTGACAGAAGCTCAACACACGTTAGAGAAAGCTCAAAAATTATGTAGTAGTGCTCAATCACTGTTGGATTCCACATTTCAAAAATTAACCACTCAACTACCCGACGAATTGCACATAGCTGAATTAATCTATGACTCCTATCAAAATCAATATGATGTTATTAATCAACTAGTGGATCATGTCAAGACAATCTTAAAGAATAAAGTTGAGCAAGTTAGTGATGACTTTAAGAAATTACTTGACCCGAACTTAGAAATGTTGGAAAAGGTAATGACACAATTAAAAAATACAGATGTGCCGTCAATTATCTTAATCGAAGAAAAATCACCAGAGAAGAACCTTTTAGACTTCATTGCCACAGAATCAACAGAATTAATTAAAATCAACATTGAAATTTATCGATCAAACTACCACAAGATTAAAAAGCTATTGGAAAGTCAATTGCAGAGTAATATACTTGAAAAATTAAGTCATTTTAATAAGCAACATCAAATAGTTACCAAAGAATTTGATCAATTGGGGCCAGTCCAAGTGGAGCTTAGAACAGCTCATGGAAATATACTAGAGTCAAAACAAATTATTGGTACAGTTTTAAGAGAGAATCACTCTTTGGAAAATGAGTTAGTGTCAATGTTAGAGATGTTAACAAACCACTATGATCAATGTAATAAAGCTGTGAAATTAACATATTCCAAAACTGAGAGCTTGAACGTGAATCTAGAGGTTCTTGAAAATGACGCATCAGAATTACCCGAAGTTTTCAAAGAATTAAGTACTATATATGATATTATTGTCACAAATGAATCAAAGTCTAACAAATTATTTGAGCAAAATAACGATTATATCAAAAATAGCGTAAATATTATGAAAGAGGAGCTTAACAAGTATAGAGAATTCAAGACCAAGTCAATACCAGAGTTTTTAATGTTACTTGATGAATGTTTTAACTTCTTACAAAAATGTTCAATTTCAGATGCAGAATTAGTCGACTTATCACCATGTGAAATATACGCGGAAACAATCAAACAAGTGCTATTTCATTATACTCAATTTTTAGACATATACAAATCAAAATACTTATCAGAGTTATATCATGAACAATATTTATACCCTAAAAAGTATTTGAAAAAAATTAATGATTTTTTAAATGAAGATTTGTACAGACTACAATTAGAAGAATCAAATCATAGAAAGTCATGGTTGACAAAATATGGAGAATTTATACCCAAAGAATTTAAGTTGCCCGGTGAACAAGAGATTCCATTAGTTGTACAAGTTGTAACTCAAGGTTTAGAACATGTTCAACAAAATTCAAATGGTGTTGAAGAATTCAATGAAGGTGAAGAAAAGCAGTTGTTAGATTTAATTAAAAAAATAAAATTACAGAAGTGAATTAATACTTGTAAGTTTATTATTTCTTTTATAGAATGAACATAATGTAATATTAATTTGTAAATGTTTTGCAACTTTTAGTTTTAGTAATTTGACACAAAAAGTATCACTTTTATTTTACAACCAACTTTCTTTCAGAACAACTAATTTAGCATGATATGACAACTAACAAATTTGGTAATATACTATTTACCAAATCTGGTACTACGGGGTCTAATGATGAAAATGAAATTTACAACAAACCAGGTGGCCTGATGATGAAGGCATTATATTACGATGATTATTCAGATTTGGAATTTGATGAAAATGAAGAAAAGGAATACAAGGAAAAAGATGAAACAAAGGAAGAGCAACAGCTGCATCAAAGAGAAGCCGATATGATGATAAATTACAATGAACTAGAATCCGAATACGAGAGTTCTAAAATAGGAGAAGAACCTAATGATCCATTCTTTCGAACGAATCCATATTTAAGTCATAGATCAATTTCACCAGCAAAAGAAATACCACATTCTATACGGCAAAATTCACCAGCAAGTCAGAATGATCCTCAAGTACCTGATATAGTAAAAAACTTTGGAGTGAATGAAGCATCTAGAAAATTAGCAGAAGAACCCACATTAAAAGTTTCATCCCAATATCACAAATATGGAATTGGTGCAAAATTAATGATGAAAATGGGGTATCAAGAAGGTAAAGGGTTAGGAAATGATCAATCAGGTATAGTTGAACCAATTGATGCTGTTCAAAATAAAGGAAAATTTGGATTAGGTGCCTCATCGAGGAATAAGAGTGTATTAAGTGATGAAGATGAAGATGACAATAAAACTATTGTTAAAGATCACGAACAAACTTTATTAATGAAGAAAACCTTGAAGCTAACTACCAAAGCTTTTTTTGTGATCAATAAATTCGAAAGAACAGGTGTTGAATTGCCAAATGACGTAATTAAATGGGCTAACAATTTAAAGAATATAACAACAGATCAAGAATTAATAGATGCAACTAGAGTTTATGACTATTTAGATGACATATGGGATGATTTTTATGCATACAATGAGAAAGAAAGTACTTTGAAAATGGAATTAGATTTACTTAATAACAACAACATTGAAAATAGATTGAGTGAGTTAAATTTGTTGCAGAATCAATTAAAAACATTACAGTTAAACATGGATGGTGTAAAAATCGATGATTTTGTTCAATATTTATCCAAATTGTCTATATCTGATGATGATAAGGTTTCCACACTTTTAACTATTGTGCAACAGAATCTTGATCTAGTCATAAATGTGCCATTGGCTTCTTTTAAAAGTCAGGAGACATTAGTTACTACACAATTGAACAATTATGCTACTTTCTTTACCAATTTATCATCATCGAAGAATTTTTTTTTCAATTACTTATTTCATGGATATTCACAACAATTGAAAGAGTTGTTAGAGGGTGCAGGTTATAGTAGAGAAGCAGACGAAGATTTGGATAAATTAATAATTACAATCTTATCAATATGGGTAAATAATTTTAACTCCATTATGAAAGAAAAATTTATGTCAAAATTATTTAAAGCATTATTTGTGAACTACATTATGAGAAAAATCAAAGAATGGGAATTATTTTCAATTGAAACACTTTCAAAATATGTTGATGATTATTTAATTATTATTTCAACAATTGATGATTCAACTCATGAAAAACTTCATTCAGCATTATCTTTAAAAATTAAAAATTATTTAGACTTTGAAAACATAAACTCATTATGGCATAATCTTCAAAACGTAGACCATTTAAAATTTGCAAAAACCCAATTACTTGATATTTTTCAGACCTGGATTCCTAGAATTAAAGCCAATGATACTTTTGATGCTCAAACAATAATAAAATCATATGAAAGATCTTTTGCAAAATGGAAAGAAAACAAGTTACTGTTGGACCAAGACCAAAAGTTTGTCTATGATTGTTGTTTCGAATTTACCAACTGTTCGAATCTTGAATCAAATTTTAATACTTTGCAATATTTGTTGTTTAATAGATGGATCGAAGAGTTAGTAAAATGCTCCCAGCCGGACCCAGAAAAAGCAATAGAGTATTATACAAATTGGTTTAATTATTTTAATGACAAACTAAATCAATATGACAATCAAATTATTTCTGATTTAATAAATTGGTATCTCAATAAAGCATTATTAATTATACAGTCAAATTTCGATCCTTTAGTATATTCAAATTTACCAAAATTACAAGGTTCAATTTTACCAAAATCAGATCAATTACTACAAAATAAGAATAACAATATCACTAATGCAAATGGTATTCCTGGTTATAAATTAATGACTACGTTCAAAGATATACTACTTGAATGGTGTTCAGAAAATGGTATAGTCATGACTTTATTAAAAGAAAGATTTCATTTTTTGAAAGGCTATCCAATTTATATGTTTAAATATGATAATTCAACAATATATGGTTATATTGAAGATGACGTACTTTGGATAACTTTGAATAATAATGATTATGAAAGTCTGAATTATTTCCCAATAGCGATGGAAGACTTAATAAATCAGTTTTAATTTGGTAAATAGATAATATGTTCAATTTTATATACAATTAATTTTACGATGTAACGAACCAATTTAGTTGTTCTTAAATTTCAACGAATTATAGAAAAGTGATTTGAAAAAAAAATAATTACTCTATTGTTAGATTTTACTGATTTTTTTGATAAGAGAGAATTGAAAAATTTAGAAATTTAAATAAATTCAACCCCTCGTTTCATCAATTACATCATCTTATTCCAAACACTAATCATATCAACCAACCTTAGTTTTAACATGTTGAGATCGATTTTAGGTATATCGAAGCATAGTAGAGCATTCCGTAGAATGATGATACAAGAATTAAAACCAATAACAACACAATCAATTAAATCAAATATAATATTACAACAAACATTACAAACAAGATCATACTCTGAACCTGCTACTACAAACCAAACAGCAGCACAAGAAGAAAAATCAAAATATGAATCATCAAAAGAATATATCAAGAAAGCACATATTGAGAATTCAAAAGAATCAGAACAAGTTTTGAGAATAATGAGAAAAACTGGTGCTATTTCTGTTTTAGTTGTGTTTGGATCTATTGCATATGCTGCTTTTTCAGAATATCAAACTAAACCTAATGAAGTTGAAGAAATTGAATATATACCAAATTTGAGTCAAGATATACGATATAAAACCAGAAGTTGATCTTCTTTCAAAAGGTTTAGTTTTCACTTGTTAATAGGTTTAGCTTTTTTTAATATGCTTGGTTTTTACTTTAATTTAATGATACGACTGGTTACGAACTAAAATATTCTACTAACAATGTAAACTATCTCAGATCATTAATTTTTCAAAGATTCATAACTCTTTTAAGCTTAATGGAAATATGCAATTAATTTATAATATAATTACAATTTATCATTTATTATTCTAGAAAATTTATTAGTATTTTAGATTACATAAACACTACAAACAAAATTATGTAAATTATTACATAATCAAAAATACATCATTTAAATTTTCTATAATTAAATAATTTTTCAATAATACAAAGATTTTAATAAATAGCAATTAGTACATTCGAAGAGAATTCTAATTTTGATATAAAAAGCAATTAATATATTTCAATCTTAATTCATCATTTTTAAATTTTGAAACTAACATTATTAATTGTTAATTCGAGAAAAATTTAAAGATTTTAAAACTTGAAACTTATCATTAACTCATTTTTATAATTTTTTTTTTAGACTTTTTTGCATTCAATTTCTATTCATTTATACAAATCAATTGAAATATTAGAATTACCAATTGCATAATTACAACTCATAAAATATAAATAAATAAATCAAGAAGAAATGTATAGACAATTCACCAAATCATCAATTGCTCGTCAAGCATCAAGAATTACAAGATCATATTCAACTAATGCATCAACTACATCATCAAAATATAATTCAAAATTAATAATTGGTTCAATTGTTCCAATTGCAGTTGCAATTGGTTATTATTCATTAAATAATTCAAAAATTTATAATTTATCATCACCTGTTAAAGTAGCAGAAGCTATTAGAGAAGAATTTAAAGAAGGTAATATAATGGCAGATGATCAAGAAGAATTATTTCATAAAGAACAAAAAAGATTAGCAAAAGAACAAGATGAAGAAGAATTAAAACAAAAAGAAGATATTAAAAAACAAACTACAAAAGATGCAAAAGGTACTGATTCAAAAGATATTGCAACAGATTCTCAAATTAGAAAACAAGCATCAAATGATTTAAATGATGATACAACAAGACATGCAGCAAGTGATCCAAGAAATAAACAAGAAAAACCAAGTGATCAAGCATCAGCATCAATTAAAGAAGGTGGTAAAAAATCATCAAACCCAACTCCAAAAGAAACTTCATCAGATACTGCACAAGCTGATGCTGATAATAATAATAATGAAGAAAAAGAACCAAAACAAGAAGCAGCTTATAACCCAGAAACTGGAGAAATCAATTGGGATTGTCCATGTTTAGGAGGTATGGCTCATGGACCATGTGGAGAAGAATTTAAAGAAGCATTTTCATGTTTTGTATTTTCAGAAACTGAACCAAAGGGAATAGATTGTATTAAAAAATTTGAAAATATGAGATCATGTTTTAAAAAATATCCTGATCATTATAAAGAAGAATTATATGATGATGATGATAAAGAATATGATGTTGAAACTGTTGAACATATTGTTTTAGAAACTGCTGATCCTGCTGTTGAACAAATTGAAACCGGATTAGATGAAGGTAAATTAAAAAACCCAGAAAAATAAATAATTCAATAAGTTTTAGAAATATCATTGGTTATTTTACCGTATTATTTAAAATGTATATACTTATAAATTAAAATTAGATCTTATATAAGATATTTATAAAAAATTAAAATTTAAAAATAAATAAAAAGTTATTTTGTAAACTGCAATATTGTCAATAAAAATGGTGTTCAACATGCACATTTACTCGAAGCAATTTCTCTATTATTAAATTCTTGTAAATCAATTTTATCAAAATTTTGTAAACTTTTTTTAGATAAAACTTCATCATTACCCAGTATTATAATTTTACCTAATTTTCCAACTCTTTGAAATAATTCATTAACTAAATTAATATTTTTTGCACTAACTTCAATAACATCTAAATTCCAATCTATAATATAATCTTCAAGATTATAATTCCCATTCATATTATTATCATTTATTAAAATATCTTTAACTTCTTCTTTATCAATAACTCTTTTATTAATTTTATCACATTTATTCCCTACAATTAAAAAACCAGGTTTTAAAACATGACAATTTTCAATAAATTTTAAAAACCATTCTTTTAAACTTAATAATGATTCATAATTAGTTATATCATAACATAATATACAAACATCAGTACCTCTATAAAATGCTTTTGAAATTGAATTAAATCTTTCCTGACCTGCAGTATCCCAAACTTGTAAATTTAATTTTTCTATTTGTTGTTGTTGTGGTGGTGGTTCAAGTGATGATGATGGTGATGATAATGTTGTATCGTTCTCTTCTGTATCCGATAACTCTTCTGTATCTTCTGAAAATTGTAATTTTGAAGAAGTTGATGATTTTGAAGTATCTGGTTGTAAATCTATTGTAGTTGTTAGATAATCACCACCAATTGTTGCTTTATATGCATTTGTGAAAACATGATGAATAAATTGTGATCTTAAACAAGTTTTACCAACCCCCAGATCTCCTAGTAGTACTACTTTTAAAGTAGGTGTTGATTTTATGGTTGTATTACTATTACTCCTATCTTTATTTTGATCTTTTAAATTTACTTGTGATTCTTTATGAGGTAGCCTTTTTGATTTGGTTATACTTTGATTAGATTTTTTTGATTTCATTCTTGTTATAGTATCATTTAGTTAAATTTTGATGTATATATTAATAAATTTTTTATTTGACGGGTATTTGATAGACGAAGAATATAATGTTTATGTTATAAGTTTAGCCGCGTATGATAATAATAATAATGAAATGTAGTTAAAGAAAGTGAATGTTAAAAATCCAATAAGATTGTTTGATGATGATTTTATTAGATTGTTTAAATGAATAAATTGATGAAAAATTCAGTTGACCTTGAATTTGGATATATAAAATCAGGTTGTATTTTTGATCTTGAATAGTTGTAATAAATTTTGTTTATTTGTTTAATAAAAAGGAAATAATATTTAAAGTAGAAACCAAAAAAAAAAAAATAATTTAATTAAAATAAAAAAAAATAAAAATTTATTGCTACGTCGTTTACAATCAATCAATTAATATTGATTTCATCAACATTGTTCTTTACTATCTAATCAACTTTATACAACTTCATCCAACTGGTCACAATAACACCAAACCTCCAAATTTTATACAATTTTTCAAAAAATAAATTAATATTTCAAAAATGAAAGTATATTATATAGGTATATTAAAATCAAATGGTGATAAAACAATAGAATTAACATCATCAAGAGATTTATCACAATTTTCATTTTTTGAAAGAAATGGAGTATCACAATTCATGACATTTTTTGCAGAAACAGTAGCTCAAAGAACACCTAAAGGACAAAGACAAAGTGTTGAAGAAGGAAATTATATTGGTCATACATATACAAGATCTGAAGGATTATCTGGTGTTATAATAACTGATAAAGAATATCCTGTTAGACCAGCTTATACTTTAATAAATAAAATATTAGAAGAATATTTATCATTACATCCAACAAATCAATGGGAAAATATTACAGAAACTACTCCAGAATTAAATTATCAATCACAATTAGATATTTATTTAAAAAAATATCAAGATCCAAGTCAAGCTGATTCAATAATGAAAGTTCAACAAGAATTAGATGATACTAAAGTTGTATTACATAAAACTATTGAAGGAGTTTTACAAAGAGGTGAGAAATTAGATGCATTAGTTGATAAATCTGAAGCTTTAAGTAGTTCTTCTAGAATGTTTTACAAACAAGCTAAAAAGACTAATTCTTGTTGTATAATTATGTAAATGTTATATTGAAATTTGATGAAATTTTAATAATAATAAAGTTATGGAATTTAATAGTTTTAAGTTAATAAAGAGTTAGTTTTAATAAATAATAAATAATAGTAATAATTAGTAATTATAACAATGATAAGAACTACAACTTGAATATTTCACTGTCTATCAATTTCTTTATATTTTATAGTTTATATATATATATATATATACATTTTCATTTCTATATTTTCATTACTTTCATTTTAATATTTATATTACTTTAATGTATCACCATGAACTTCTTTAACCATTTCAAAAGCTTTTAATAATTTTCTTCTTGCTCCTAAAGCAGCAACTCCTTTCTCTTCTAATGCATCATTATCTAATTCAATTAATTCTTTCCAATATATATCTTTTAAAAAATCAGTATATTTATGTAATCTTAATAATTTTAACCAAGCAGGAATATTATTTAATAAATCTATACTTGATACTTCATTAGGCATTGATGATGATGAAACTGTACCTGTTTGACTGTTTAATGAACTTGTTGATATGTTTTGTTGTTGCATATGAGTTGATATTGGGGATGATATTCTATTTTTCAATCCCATTGATGAATTAAAATTATTTCGATTATTATTGTTTATTTGGTGAGAACTTGTTGTTGGTACAGATGATGAATTTGATATTCTATTTAAAGAATCTTCGTAATTCATTGCATTTAAATGATGAAAATTGTTATAGTTATTTGAACCTTGAGGAGATATTTGTGGTTGATGATTATGATGATTATGTTGTTGTTGTTGTTGTTGATGCTGTTGTTGTTGATTTGACCAGTTTGTATTGGTTGAAGAATGTGGATGTTTTCTATTACTATCTAATGCAACTCTTGAATTTATTGTAGTTAATGCACCTAATTTTAAAGCAGTATTTGACATGTCAAGGTTTTCATCCTGATGATTTCCTGGACTTGTTCCACTATTTAAACTTTGAGGGGAATAAAATTGTGAGTTTTGATTGGTTTGATTGTTTAGTTGACCATTATTATTATTATTATTATTATTACCAATATTAGTACCGGAACCAGCATTACCATATTGATTATAATAATATTGTGATGAATTATTTGGATTAGCTGCAGCTAATTGTAAGAAATTGGTCTTTTCATATAAATGAGATGTTGGGGATTTTGATCTATCTATTGAATGATTTTGATTTTGATGATGGTGGTTATGATGATTATGATGATGATGATTATTATTGTGATTTCCAGATTTTTGATTATGTAAAAATGGATCAGCAGATTTTGGACGCGCAATTCCTTTATCAACATTTAAATAATTATTATTTTGTTGTTGATGTTGTTGATGTTGTTGATATTGTGATTTATTAATTTGTTGTTTAAATTTATTCTTTTGATCATTTAAATTTAAATTTTCTAAATCTAAAAAATCTTGACCAAAATTATTATTGTAAGGTGACATTATATATTGTGGAATTGTTGTTTGTTTATTTGTTTGTAAATGATTATCTAATTTTGCTTGAAATGTTAATAATATATCAATCGGTAAACTTGCACATAAATAATCAATCATTGATATTGTATCTTGAGGATTTAAATTTTCAATCCAATTACTAAAAATTAATAAATCAGAATAAAAATTATTTGGTTGTTGTGAAGTCGTCGGTATTTGCTGTTGTTGTTGCTGTTGTTGTGGAATTTGTTGTTGCTGTTGTTGTGTTGGTTGTTGAACACTAGGTGTATTAAAACTTGTAAATGCATGACCTGCTCTACTAAAAATATTTGTAAAATCATTTGCTGATTGTGGTCTATCAGGTATTGAAGCTGATGGTGGTTGTGGGTTTAGAAAGCTACCAGTAGCTCCTTTGAACCCTTTATTGTCTAATAATGAACTTATTTGAGGATTTGTTCCTGCAATATTTGGTGTTGGAGATAATGAATTAATTTCTTTTGATTTATTATAAGTTGATGAATTTGGATTTAAATTTAATAAATTTGATGATGGATTTGTTGAATTCAATTTTGATGCAGATGGAGCAATTAAATTTGAATTTGTTGATGGTCTCAGTAAATCAGTTGATTGTTGTTCTGATGATTGTTGTTGTTGTTGTAAAAATTCTTGATTTGGAGGGGCACTTTGAGAAGGTCTCATTTGACTATTATTATTAATATTGTTGTTATTTAAATCTAAATCTAATTCAGCAGTTAAAGTTTCAAATTCATGTTGTAAATTATATCCAACACTTTGTTGTCTATTAGGATTAAAATCATTTGGTAAATCTCCGAATTGCTGACTAAATTGAAATTTTGAAGAATTGTTATTAGTGCTTGGATTATCATTATCATTTAAATTTGGTGGTGAGAATATTATTGGTTTTTGAGATGATGGAGTTGTTAAAGATTGTTGAGATTCATTTAGCTCCATAATTGAAATTGTAAGTTTTTATTAATGCCGTAATAGCGAATTTTCGTTGTAGTTCTAGGATAAGTAATTGCAATTTAAATACTTTTATATAATGATTAACATGTAAATATCAGTTGATGATAATGAAGACCAAAAAATATTAATTATGGGGTTTCCAAATTAAATATATCTATATTTTCAGGCTGTAGTAATTATTCTAATAATACTATAACAAATGTTCAATATTCATAAAATTAACTTGTTAAAGTGAATGAATTTATTCAATATTGATCTCAAATAAATATATAAAAACTGGTTGCAATTCTTAAAATTCAATATTAATATAAATTTTAACATTCTATTAATTTAATAAAATTAGACAGCAATTTTTTTTTCTTCTTCCTCTTCTACAAAAAACGCTACCGATTTCTATACAATTTTTAAATTGATTTATTGTAAATATCAATTAATAAATAGTTTAAATATCATTATATATAATTGAGTATAAATAAGTATAAAAAAGTATTAAAAATCAATCTCTTTATAAAAAATATATAATTTCATAGATTTCGAATTCGTCAGCTTAATCTTTATAATTATTATTGTCATTATTCATAAAATATCTAATAGTTTCATAAACTTACATGTCATCTAATTTTATAGGAGATGAGACATAAAAAAAAGAACATTAATTTCGGACTTTAATTTTATATATTATTAATTTATTTATATATGAAGTTACATGTCATAATGTGTGTCATAAAGTAAAAATTTGGACATAAGAAAAGTAATTATAATAATATATCGAAATATGAATCTAAGAATAAAGAAGAAAATCTAGGAAGAAATAACAAGTGTGGATCAGAAAATATAAGATTAGGAAATTAATAAGAAAAGGGAAAATAGAGATAATGATCTTGACTAATTAAATATAAATAAGAATGAAGATTTCTAAAATTTTGAAATTGAAATGATATTGTCTTGGTTTTTAATTCTGAAATTTCGAAATAAGTGACAATATACAATTTACTTCATTTTCATCTTTACATGGACTAACAAAAGGCTAGGTCTCGGGCTGTTATTGATGATATGTGTGCAATTGTACTATAAATTTTTTGTGAATACCACACAACTGGACCAAAAATATCAACATGCAAACGAAAAAGTGGTCTAGTCGCTAATTTCATTTGCAATGTGAATCTCATATTTTGGATTAAACCCATTCTAGAATAATATGATAGTATACATATTAATTAAAATTAATTATTATTAATATAAATTACTATTAATATAAATGAAATAGGTAGTGTAAAATTGTATTGAAAAGAGATAATTATTATAAATAATATAATTTACTTTTTTTTTTACAAATACTCTACTACAAAAAGAGCAGAATGCTTTTCACTTTGAAAAGTATGATGTTTTGAAAATTGTATGATGGGTTTTTGAATACGTATTGAATCTTTGATATGATTGGAGGTATCAATTGTATTGGATTTGTATTCAGATAGTAACATTAATTAGCAATTATTCTTTCATACTAGTGATTGAGTATGAGAAAGAGTATTGGTATTATGTTGTGAACTATCAATTTTTTTTCCAAGTTTGCTTTTTGTCATGTAGGTGATAAGGCTGAAAATAATATGATTTATTTGTGGTCATTGGATCGAAAGCCTGGAAAAAGTCTAGACTGATCAATGACTCTTATGAGTGGAGGTTGTTGATTTTCCAACACATGATAGATTATTTGGATACGTTTTGAATCTTTGATATAATAGAAAATATCAGTTGTATTTGAATTGTATTCATAAAGTAACATTAATTGTCAATTATACTTTTATACTCTTGGTTGAGTATTAGAAGTAATATTGGTATTATGTTACTCTCAATTTTTAATTTTTTTCATTTTGTTCATGTATGTGTGATGTACTGGGTCGAATGCTTTAGAGAAATCTAGGTTAATAAAAGCCGTATGTTGTTATGTATAAATTGAGTCGTTTATGTTTCTATGTCAGATAAATCCAGTTTGTTTGGGATTGTGATTTTTCATTATTGGTTGCATTTTGGGTTCAAACGAACAAATTAATCTCAAACCACAATTAATGATCTATGATAATGTGTTACTTGTGAAAGACTTTTCCACTTTAAAATAGGATTTATTGGAATTTCTTTCATTTGTTGAATATACGTATTAATTGTATCAATGTATTTAAAATTTACAACAATTACTGTAAAAAACTGAACTCTTTAAAGTTCACGATTGAGCTATCAACTTAAATATATTTATGAAGTTTCCGTAGCTGGTCAACGCATGGAGTTTTGTCTGCCAATACTTCGCTAACAATCATTACAAGTATGAAGTTTTTAAAGGTATAATCGTAACATCAACATATATTTTTAATTTTATTTTTCAAATTACTTAGTTTTTTGATCACTTTTAGTTGTTAACTCTGCTTACCAGTTATCAAAACAATGATTCAATAAAATAAAAGTCAATAATTAACTGCTATTATTCATCGGTCATTATTGATTTAGTTGAAATAGAATTATAGAAAGAGGAGGTATAATGCAAAAAACAGGATCAAATGGATGTATCTTGAATTTTCGATAACTAACAACTAAATTTTGAATCATATTTGTTAGTAACAGTATTCACCAATAGAGTATACATTTCTAAAATTCTCTACTAGAGTGAGTAATTATTGAAGTACTGAGAAGTGTGAATGAGTGCTAATAATCATCATGTTTAAATTCAATGAATACACTCCCCTCTTGTATTTAGATCTAATATTTTAGTCTAAAAATTGAAACGTATGCATAATGTGTTAAAATAATAAAATAATAATTTACGTTAATTTTTTTGTATTAGGTTGCAAATTAAAGATTACTGAATTTAAAAACGTTATTAATAATTAAACGTTTTAATTCTATACAAAAAATTTTAAAGTTAAATAATAAATTAAAGTATGGAACAGGTCTATACATGAAAGATCTAAATATTATTTAATGTCAGAAAATTTGTAAAATAACAAACAAACAAACAGATCTTTTCAACTAAGTAAAAACAATAATTGAATTAAAAACCCTTTCATCATCATCGATCAAGATTAAAATTTAAAAAAGGGTTTCATTATTATTCCGAGGCTCATTTTTAAAATAAATTTATCAATCTGAAATTTAATAACGGATTAAAAATTATCCATTTTTAATTACTATATCAGTAGAAAGCAAGTATAACACAAAACTGGTAATTTTTTTTTTTTTTATTTTAAATATTTTGGTAACGATAATTGAAATAATCTCATAATTTGAATTGCATTTTGAAATGATAGATCAAATTAATATTTTAAATCGTCAAATCGTCAAATATTTTTATCTAATTTTGTCGATCAGGGATAACTACAATTTATGTATACAACTTTTATTAATCAACAATTTGTCTACACCAATTCAAGAATTTTTGTTTCATGACCGTTGTTAACGTTAAACGTTAAATTTTAAATCATATTTTTTTAATATTGTGTCACCATATACCCAGTGTTTAATTTCCTAGGTTCACAAAAATGTTATTTTGTACCTTCTGTACTTAGATTGATACTGATATTTTGTTAAAATTGTGAAGAATATGGAAATAGAAAATATAGAAATAACATTAGAAATGATCTACATATTTAATATTATTTATATATAGGATATAAAAATCTATCAAAGGTTAATAATAAATTTATTATTATGCAATTAATTTATTAATTTATTTTATTTTATTTTTATTAATTTATGCAAGTTTAGGATTTAAGTTAATTATGTAAAATGTACCTAACCAAACTAACGATCTTTTCTATTCTATCTATAGAAATAATATTAGTATATCAATCAATACTACCACACTTTTCATAAAAGATCGTCAAAGATTAGTGATAGGCCGCCCTTAAAACTCAGTATAATCAATTCAGGGTTTCAAATCATCTATACAATTAATAAGGCAACTTATAGAATTGACTCCTTACTTCGTTTCTTTTTTCAAGTAAATATATCAAGCTTTTAACTGTAACTCCCCTCCTTTAAGTGAGAGATTTAAAGAAGCTTAATAATATAAAAAAGGAGGAGAAGAGCAGTAAAAATTTCAAATACTAATTCAAAGTAAAAACAATTAAATGATCTAATCGATTTCTAATAATATTCGTTCAACCGGTATTAGTTATTATAAAATACCTTTGTAATATTCAACAAATAACAGAAATAGAAAGACTATTCTCATTATCAAGTTAAAAATAATAATAAAATATTCTTTCGTTTAAAAATAAATAAACAAATTATTATTTTTTCGTTGCTTTTTTTTTATTTAAAGAAATTAAAAATAATAATTAAAAAAAATTAAAAAATAATTTGGAAAAACTCGGAATACACAAAACGTATAATATTTTGTGTTATTATGTTTCAGGTTTGAGCTCTATGCAAATGTTTAAATTCTTTTTATAGCCTCTTAATCTAAGCCGTGGGATTTTTCATAGTAACAACAGTCAAACTTTTAACATCAAGTTTTCTATATTGTTCAAACGCTACAGATTTATATTGTAAATTGATATACAAGTTTAATGTTTTATTGATTACTCTATTAATTAAAAGACTATATACCAAAAAATACTTTAAAAAAAGTATTAAAAAAAAAAAGCCAAAAAAAAAAGTTGATGCAAAATAAATGTTATGTTTGAAATAAATGTAGTCTCAATTTTGATATGCTAATAATGTGAATGTAAATTAATTGTATTAAGTGTTTGTAGGAAATGTATTATATGTTTTTGTATTAAAATAAAATTCATCATAATCATCTTTATGTGGTTGCTGGTGTTGTTGTTGTTGTTCTAATTTTATATCTTCATCATCTTCTTCAAAATCTTCTTCATCTGTATAATATTCATCATCGTCTTCTTCTTCTTCATCTTCATCCATTTCTTCTTCAAATTCACTTGCATATGAATTAAATGCTGTTGATTCTGGTGGTGTAAATAATTGATTATTTGATTGATGAACGTTATGATTATATTGTGGTTGATGAATTTTAATATGAGATTTGATTGCGTCATGATGATAATGGGTTTGTTGTTGTTGTTGTTGTTGTTGATGTTGTGGTTTATATCCAAAGTAATCATCTTTGAAAAAATCACATTTTAAAATTTCATTATATAAATTAATTAAATCAATTCTATCATTTGGATTTAATTTAAAAATTTTATTTAATAATTGATTAAATTGTGAACTTATTGGTAAAATTGAAGCCAATATTTTTTTATCATTTTGTAAAATATAATTTGTAAATACATCATTTGAATTATTATGTGATGATTCATTAAATGAAGCAATTGGCCATGGATTTCTTGAACATGTAATATTTATAAATAATATACCTAATGACCATATATCACCAGCTAATGTTGGTAAATATTTACAATTTGATTCATTTGTTTGTTGATTTGATTGTTGATTATATTTAATTGATGGATATTGTGACATATCAATCATTGATCTAATAATTTTATTTGTATTATAATTTGTTGTTCTTTCTGGTGCCATATAAAATGATGATCCACGACATGAATTACAACATATTGATTTTGATTCCATTGCTAACCCAAAATCTATCAATACTAAATGTAATTCATTATAATCTATTATATTACTGTTGTTGTTAGTTCTTTTATAATTTGGATTATATCTAACCATTATATTTTCAGGTTTTAAATCACAATGATAAACTGATTTTTGATTACAATATTCAACTCCATCAATTAATTGTAACATTGCATTTTTCATTAAAATTTGTTTATTTTGATGATTTTGAAAAATTTGTTTATCAATTATATTACCAAATAAATCACCTTGTTCAAAATAATCCATCATTATTACTATGGCAAAATTTGAATTTAATTGATAAACATCATGTATTGTTATAATATTTGGATGATTATGAACTTTTAAATGTAATGAAATTTCACTTAAATATGGACAATCTTGAATTGTTTGAGATTTTAATTCTTGTAAATTTAATTTTGTTGGATTTGGTATTATTTGATTTGCAAAATAATTATAAAATTGTTGTTGTATTAATGATTTAGTTAATGATGAAGAATGTGATGAATTTGATGATGATGAATGTGATGATGATGATGCATGTGTATTTGAATATTCATTTAATTTTAATGGTGGTTGTTTTAATAACATTTTGGCTGCAAATCTTTCTTTTGTAAAAATATTTTCTACAAGATAAATTAATCCATAAGTACCTGCACCAATTTTTTTAACAAATTTATATTGATTATTAAACATAAATCCATCTAACATATAATTAGTTGTGTTATTATTATTATGATGATTGTTTTGGTGATGATTATGTACTTTTTGTTTTTTATATTGTGGTGTAATTGGAGTTGATGGTGATGAAATTGGTGAATGTAGTTGTCTTGGTTGTTGATATTGTTGTTGTTCATTAGTGATATATGGTTTCGATATTGGTGTGTTATCAAATAATGGTAAAATATCAAGAGTCATTGTTATTATTGTTGTTATATTAGTATATTAGTATGACTTGATATTTGATAAAATGATTGTAAGTAAATTGTTTGCAATTTGAAAATATTTGTATAAATTAAGTTAAAATGGTAAGATAAATTAGTCAAAAGATAAAAAAAAATCTATCTATAAGAAATTGAAATGTAGAAATAATCATTTGGTTATATATTTATATGATGTTTCTAATTTATTAGGTGATATATTAAATGTTAAAATTATCATAAGAAAATTTTAGATTTTTTTTTTTTTTTTTTTTTTTTTTTTTTTTTTTTTTTTTTTTTTTTTTTTTTTTTTTTTTTTTTTTTTTTTTTTTTTTTTTTTTTTTTTTTTTTTTTTTTTTTTTTTTTTTTTTTTTTTTTTTTTTTTTTTTTTTTTTTTTTTTTTTTTTTTTTTTTTTTTTTTTTTTTTTTTTTTTTTTTTTTTTTTTTTTTTTTTTTTTTTTTTTTTTTTTTTTTTTTTTTTTTTTTTTTTTTTTTTTTTTTTTTTTTTTTTTTTTTTTTTTTTTTTTTTTTTTTTTTTTTTTTTTTTTTTTTTTTTTTTTTTTTTTTTTTTTTTTTTTTTTTTTTTTTTTTTTTTTTTTTTTTTTTTTTTTTTTTTTTTTTTTTTTTTTTTTTTTTTTTTTTTTTTTTTTTTTTTTTTTTTTTTTTTTTTTTTTTTTTTTTTTTTTTTTTTTTTTTTTTTTTTTTTTTTTTTTTTTTTTTTTTTTTTTTTTTTTTTTTTTTTTTTTTTTTTTTTTTTTTTTTTTTTTTTTTTTTTTTTTTTTTTTTTTTTTTTTTTTTTTTTTTTTTTTTTTTTTTTTTTTTTTTTTTTTTTTTTTTTTTTTTTTTTTTTTTTTTTTTTTTTTTTTTTTTTTTTTTTTTTTTTTTTTTTTTTTTTTTTTTTTTTTTTTTTTTTTTTTTTTTTTTTTTTTTTTTTTTTTTTTTTTTTTTTTTTTTTTTTTTTTTTTTTTTTTTTTTTTTTTTTTTTTTTTTTTTTTTTTTTTTTTTTTTTTTTTTTTTTTTTTTTTTTTTTTTTTTTTTTTTTTTTTTTTTTTTTTTTTTTTTTTTTTTTTTTTTTTTTTTTTTTTTTTTTTTTTTTTTTTTTTTTTATTTTTATTTTTATTTTTTTTATTCTCCGTTAATTTAAGTTTGTGTACATTAAGTAGTTATAGGAATTAAAGAAAAAACACAAAGTAATAAAAAAGAAAAAGTATCTATAAAAAATTTATTATGTAAATTTTAAAAAGATTTACATTATAAGAGTAATTTAAGTAACATAGATTGTATTGAATATTTTATCATAATTTTCATGAGTCTAGATTAATTTTAAGGTGTGTTTCACATAATTTCATATAAAATGATTAACAAAACATTAATGATAAATAAACAGTAATTTACAATTATCAACTGATAAGTAATCATCTACACGATATTCTCCGTTTCAATTTACTAATTTACCGTTTAGTTTTCTCATATGATATAATATTATAGTACACTACTGCCACGAAGAACATATATATAATATATTATATTATTGACTATATTAAACGTTATAATGGTGTGATTTAAATATAATAATAATAATAATAATAATTGTTTAGATTTAGATCATGTCATTAAAATTTAAAATTAGTCTTCAAAAGGAAAAATAATTAATTTTTAATTTTTAATTTTTTTAATTTTATTTTAATTATTTAACCGTAAATCAGCTTAACTCCTATATATGAAATAGAAAGATCTAACTGAACTACCATTACTACTGGTTTCTCTACATTAAAGTAAATAGTATGGAAAATGGGAAAACTCAATTAAAATTAATCACTCGTATAAATTTGCTAAATTTAGAACTCCGTTAATGTCAAAATTTTTAAAGCACCCGTTATCCTAAATTGATGTAATGATTTAATTACAAAATAAATTACTCTTCTTAATTGCTTGCAATTTGAAGATAATTGATACAAGTGGCATGTGAATTAAATTAATCAATTTAATCTGTTTGCTCTTTTGTTTTCTATATCGATCTGATTGTTAAATTATTAATTTGTTCTATTTAATTATTTTTATGTAAATATGTATATTATATAAAAATAAATAAAAATAAAAATAAAAATAAAAAAAACTTTTTCACATGCGAAATTTATATAATATTTATATTTTGAATTAAATTCTATTTTAGTATAATACGGATAAATATTTAAACTACACGAAATCTGATAGAATAAATTTAATCTATATCAAAAAACTGTAGTACTCTAATAAACTTAAACGATGAAGAAGTTTCAGTTACTATAACTAATTATCATATGGTTTCACTCCACAAATTACATTAATCAGATCATTCAATCATCAAAATGCTTAAAACTTTAAGTATCGTCTAGAAATTATAATAATTTATTATCCATATGATATTTTAGGTTTCTTCTTTTTTCATTGAGCAAAATATATCATGGTTAACTTTATAGTTTGATGATTTTTGCGATAAATTCTATCAATCTCCGAATTGGAACCTTATTAGATTTTTGGCTAAGTAAAATTTTAGGTTCCATCAAAAATAACTTTATTCTCTTCTATTGAAAAGTGGAGACACCGTGTCCAAAAAGCTTAATTCCCTTTACCCAACGACTGTCAATTCCTATCCTATATCCAGTTGATCATGCCAAATGGATTTAAGAGTAGACCTACTTTTTCTTAATTATTCATTCGTCATCAACTTCGTCATTAACTTGTAAAAGTGTGTCGCGTAATATAAAAATATATTTTCCGAATTTAGTCATATAATAAGTTTATAACAAATGAGGTAATTTTAACATTAATCCGCGACTTTGAATCATTTAAAGCAATTTAAAAACTTAGATTAAAAACCTGTGTCAAAAAAAAAAGGTTTTATTTTTTTTAACGTTGTATAAAACTCAAACTTGACTATAAAACTTTACTTTACAACTGGATCAAAATAATAAAAAATGTTAGATCCAATTGCTATGTATTGTAAAAATATAATAAATTATTTTAATAATAATGTGAAACCTCCTTTTAAAATATTAACTTTTAAGATTTACTATTAATTTTCCAACTGATCAAGCGATAATCTTAAACACATTAAGGTTTTCAAATAATCAAATTATGATCAATTTCATCAACTCACAACTTAAGTCCCACGAGTTTCAATCTAACGTGAGAATTTCATATTATCACAGTTCCATCTTTAATTTACACAAAACTTACTTTATTCTAAATAAGGTTAACATATGATTCAATTAAACTTTCTTCACATAACCGTTTAACAAAATTAAGTAAAATTGCATAAAATCCGCTACTTACATTATAAAATAAAACAGTTATTCCTAATTAGCTACTTCTTATACATTTTATTTACTTAGTCCGAAAAGTATAAATCGTTTAAATTTAAATTATCAGGCTCTTATTCTAACCAAAAAAATTTCTATTAAAGAATATATCAAAACTTAAATTAAAGGGACCACCCTTTTTTGATACCTTCTATTTCATTCTCTCCCCTCCTTGAAATCTATTATTAGAAATAAAAAAAATCCCTTTATTATATTGTAAAGTGTTAATTCTTGTAGTTGCTATGTAAATTTCTGGCCGTGTGTATCATCTGTTTTATACCTTACGTACACTGGTAACAACTTGCAACAAAACATAATAAAAATGGCATCAAAATCATCTGGCATAATAAAAAGAATCTAGAATCTTGTTTCAAGCACGTCAAAATAATCAAATCTATTTAATAACAAAAAATTAATCTAAGATTTTCATGTGAAAATAATAAAAAAAGATAAGAATCGTGGCTATTTTTAAACTCTTAATATGCGGCTTTCATTTTTTGGTATGTTTACATTTAATTTGTTCTGTATAATAAAATCGTTAAGATGATTGACGATCATTCTGAAGTCCGCATTTATTCTTTAATTTTCATGTGAAAATAACAGATCAATTGTAAAATGTTATGATTATGAATTTGTGTTTTGATTATTAGCAATTGAGAATCAAAATAACATAGGGTCCTTTTTCAAAAATAGTTGAGTCACCTCAATTTTTTATCGCTTTCTTGTGATAATCTTTAGTTCGTGTTCGTATATATTAACGAAACCCAATAAAATTGCCTAGACCCTTGTGACCTCACTTACCGTGAAACAGCATAGAGTACAAACTAAATACAAATTAAAATTTTATATTCTGATTTTCTAATTGTTAAATCATAAGAAAATTGTAGATTTGAGCATTTTTTTTTGTTTTTTTGCTTCGAAATTGTACCAAAATTTCATTGAAGTCACTTTCTTACTTAAAAATCTTTGAGCTAGGGAAAAAATTCCTTAAACACAACATGATATACATCAAAATGAAACTCATCTTGAGCTGTAGCATAATCTAATTTTTTAATAGTTTTTGTTGATTAAATTCATGAAAATTTGAAACATTGATTATTAGAAAAACATATTTTTTTCTCTATCACGAGATAGTGTTTCAGATTAAAATTTAAGTAATGATACATACACATTTTATACAACTTTTCTCCAAATAATAAATTATTATAACTTTAAATGTTTCTCTTTGATATTGGTCATTCAAAATTCTATTTATAGATTAAGGAGTTGATATCAAAAAAAAAATTGGAGACCAAATATAAAATACCACTGTTGAAATACAGAATTTAATATAAAAATAATTGAAAACAATACAAAATTAATGTTTATAATCAAACTGCTTGAACATTACAATGTATTGGCATCAGTTCGTCATTTGTATCATACAAGTTTGTTTCGATAAATTTTAACCGAATGTACTATAATATCCGTATGATTTATTAATTCAAAAATATATTCAAAATTACGCGTCTATTTCTTTTGTAATTGTAATTGGTATAATGTTTAAAAATGTGTAGGTGAATAATAATTTTAAAATTAAAAAAAATTTGGAGGGAAAAAATATACATAAAATTATCTATCACTTTTTTTTTCAAAATTTGTTTCCTCATTCATACTT